GCACAAAGAGACAGGACCCATCATATCCTTAAAACGGGTCAAGCTCCGACACCAACGTCTTCTCTCAAGTCGATCCGGGGGCCGGTAGTGGCACTGCTAGCGGAGTAAATCGACGACATCGGGAGCTGGATCTCGGTTGATCCTCTTCAGGGGTGGTTGGGTGGCACGGGAGTCTTTCTCCCCCTGTCCTTCCCTGCTCTATAGTTCGTCGATGGGCGCCCATCCCCCATCCCCCCTCTGTTTACCCACATCAGATTGATGTTCCCGTGCGACTTTTCATTCTGGAACCCGTACGACAAAGCTACGTGGGCATGTGCGATCAATACACTTCGAGCACGGATACTTTTCCCTTACTTTAATCATCATTCGTGGAGAATGCCACATCGTGGGCCTTTTTTTAGTGACATTTCTTTTTGATATATCTCAAGTGGGTTCAAGTTCCCATACATGTAGTATGTAGTTGTTATTATTTCTTGACCATTTGCCCAGGTAAGTGGTTTTTTTTTTGTTTTTTTGGGTCCGATTTATTCCCGAGGCCAACAATGGCCTTCCAAGTTCCAGGGCTTCATCACCGTATACTTGATCGAGTAACCCGCCATCCCAAGGCGTAGTGGGGCGATATCACAATTTCCCTCCACCCTAGAAATGGGACGATCATTCAAAGTCCCGCTAAAATTATTATCAGTATGATCGTCTTAGAGCGAGATGAAGGGAAATCACTTCGCATTCATACCTACAGAATAAGGCAAGTCTAGATGCTAGGATAGGTAGCTGGTGGGACTGAAGCGGGTACAACTTAACGCGACGGACAGTCGCGGTCTCCATCACCCTGCATTGATCACAGGCGAATGCCAATGACGACCCGGCCTAAGATGACACCGTTTCCCATTTGGCCCCGTGGTGGTATGGAGACGCCAAACAAGACGAAAAGGAAATAAAAATAAAATAAAATAAATAGAGAAGGGAAAAAGGGAAAAAGGGGGGGGTGTTAGCTTGGGGTTATGCACCCGGGTTAGCCCCAACCTTCAGCCCTGAGTGATTTTCCTAGCCGCAAAGTGAGAAAGGAAGAAAAAACACACAAAAAAGAAAACGAACTTAATCAAGCCTCTTTTCATCCTCGCGCACTCATCATTGGGCCGTGATGAAGTGATGATCATTGGATGAAAGGCCCAACATCCACGCTTGACTCTGAATGGTTACGATTACGACGCTCCCGAGACTAAGCTAGTCCTGGAAGTCCTAAGCTGCATGTACGGAGTGCCTCGAATCAGAATCTGGCCCCCCCTTCGCTCTTTTACCGGGGCCGATGAGTTCCGTTTCTCATGCAGATGCAAGAAAGCGCAGTCACTGCGCAAATATGGAGTTATTATGGAGTCGTGCGTCGCTTCAACATAATTGACTCGTCGGTTTCCCTTTTTAGGTGGAGCTATTGAGCCTCAGGAGCCGGTTTACCCGTTCCTGAGTGTTGAGCTCTGAATTCTGAGACCTGGCCAGGCCGGGGCTAGATAATGGGTCCTAGTAAAATTAAAGATACTACAATGGACTCTATACATGGTTGAAAAGCTATCTAATAAAATCCCCAAATTTTCAGCTAGTATGTTCTCCTAAATAGGGGGTGTCAGTTACTAAGACATACTCCGCAGACGAGTCATTAATCCCTTGAACAATAAATAATAAAAATGAGACAAAAAGGGCCGTATATTGTAATGAGAATTATGAGATAGGCGAGAGACGACTGGCGAAAATCCAGCCGCGATGCTCCACATCTCCCGGCGCCCAAGGCTTGCTTTCCTGCGGGCTCCGTTGGCCTAACTATTAGGCGTTCCGCTCTGTTAACCTTCAAGTTGCAAAACGTCAGGTGAAGGATCAAGTGTCGTGCGTCGAGGCGATTGTTAGGGCCGGGAAAAAATGGCTTGTCAACTCCATTTTTCTTTGTTGAACTTCAAGGGCCAAGGGCCAAGCACAGTGAGCCCGGGGCTAATGCATGATGGGCTTAGGGAACTTACCCGGGTGGAGGCTTGCATCGGGGAAACCTGGAGCAAATCTTTGAGTTCTATTGGTGGTGTATCTGTTGGCTCAAGTCAAGCACACATCATGTACTCCATCCGCAGAAGTCAATTTCCGTTATTTTTTTCTTTTCTTTTCTTTTCTTTTTTTTGGCCGTTTCTTGCCTTTACATGTCAATACGATTTTTTTGCTTTTTCTCTTTTCTTTCTACTCGTCTCATTTGTGCTCGGCATTTGCGGAAACTTCGTTCATCTTGGACCGGTAGATAAAGAACACTCCATACATATGTACGCCTTCATGCATCAAATGAAATATATCCATTGACAGTATCTGGATGTATCTGGATGGGGACCGGGAAAAACACTCGTGAAGTACTAGTAGATTTATAGGTCCCGATTCAGATCATGATGCTGGTTCATCGGCGGATCAGCGGCTCATACCGAACAGGGAAGGAAAGGATATCATCCACTGGCATTGATGCTAGAAGAAAAAAGAAAGAAAAAAAAAGAAAAAAAACTCAATAGCTAGATAGACAGGGTTACACGGCTCCTTCCAGTCGATGAACGCAAGTCAAGGAATGTGATGGCCGTTAGACTGTTTCGAGTTTATTTGGACGGGGCGAGGGATGGAGTCGGGAATCGGGATCTCATTGATGAGACCAAAAGTGGAGAGAGGATAGATTGGGGCCGTGGAAAAGGAAAGACTGGATCCCCCAGATGTTCTAATCCAGTCAGATCAACCTTGAAAATGTGTAACCCCGTTGTTCCGGTGTAGAGCCCTTCTCCCCGCCGATCTGCCTCGATATACTCCGAAGAAATCGCTCAGCTTTCTCCGTACCTGAAACTCCGCTATGATGATCCGACGTCAATGGGTCTCTCCCCCCGAGGGTCTTCACCGGGGTTTAATCTCCATCGTCTAGACCGTGGTAGTGGATTTATCAGTTTTCTTAAAAAATAATAAAAATAAAAATAATATTACAAATATACGATTTCTTTTCTTTTGTAAATGTTTATTTTTTTTCGAGCCCGTTGATTCCCGTTCGATCTGCCCCCCCACCCTTTCTAGACTAACGTCATGAGCAAACATCTTATAACATGAAATGTTCTACCTAAATAATAATCATTTACCATAATTTATCTAAGTGGTCAATTGTCAAATGTGGAGATACCTGGAGCAATTGCCCCATCGATCAAAAGGTCGTTTTTTCCCACAGCCTTTCAGCAGTCTAAGTCAAGCCGCAAAACTTCCAAGGTTTGGATTTTAATTTTTTAATTCTGTATTCATTTAGTTTTAATTTAATTGTTTTTTTTTCTTTAAATTTTCTTTCTCCTTCATCGACGCTTAACTTTAAGGGGATAGACTGCGTAAACCAGGAGGATCCTTTGCCGGGAAATCCAGTTCTCATCCTCCAGATGTCTTCTATAGGAAAACAGCACGAGGGAATAACGTCACTCGGATCTTCTTTGTCCTGCGTTTCTCTGAGCATGTTGCGCCCCCTTCTCCTCTTTCCTTTAAAATACCCAATCATGAGGTCTCACGACCAGGCAGTTCTTTGTTAACCCTCACGGACGTATCATGATGCCTCCTCCCCCTCCGAAGAACCGTTCCTTGGAAAACAAGCTGAAAGAAGCAAGAGGGGCAACTTGAATATCTCAGGGTAATGTAAAAACCAAAGATCCCATAGATCAAAGAAAATGTTTAGATTAGACCTATTTCGTACTGTAATACACTATGCAGGATCATCATTCCCCCACTTAATCAAGTGGAATTCCACCTGCCAGTGGACCTATTCCATAGATGATAGGTGAACAATATCGGATCCGTGGTGGACTTGTCACTCCAGGGCTGCCAGTGTACTAGAAGAAATAAAAACAGGAAAAATCGATTATCTAAATTAGATTATACAAAATGATAAAATTATGATGAAAATATAAATTATTTTTTTTTGGCTGCTTAAATGTCAGTGGTTACTTACTCTCTTCTATCCACGCACCGGTCTACTGCATGGCTGCTGCACATCATTCCCTCTTCCCACCCTCCTCTTTTTTGAAAGAATTGTATGTGTAATTTTCTTTTTTTTTAATAATTTTTTTTAAAATTCTATGTCTCTAGGGCGTTTAAATCTGCTCCCATCTCGGCTAGAACATGACATGATGCTAAATTAATTTTAACTGAGCCTCGGGTGTTTACTACTCTCTCGAGTCTCTGTTTAATCTCCCTGCGTCCTGCATCCATCCTGGACAATATTACACCACGTTCCCGCTAGTTACCAGTCCATCCTGATAACTTTTGCTGTTGGTTTTGTCTCTCTTGAATTCTCGTTCTAACTGGTAACTACCCCATTCTCCGTATTTTCGATTTATCTTTTTTTTGGATTTTATTATTTTTTATATCTTTTATACACCATTCCCCATTGGTATTTTTTCACCATTTTCTTTTTTTTGTTGGAATAAAAAATAAAATAAAAAATTGGGCACTTTTATTTTATTTTTTATTTCCATTTTATTTCATCATATTTTTTTTTTTACATCTCTTTCTTTCTTTTGACTCCATCCTGACCAGAGAGAGGCGTGGGGTCTAATTTAGAAGACACTATCGGGTCTCGTCCCCGAGAATCCATGGGTCTCCATGGGTGCATCTAAATAAACGACCCTGGACCCTCTCTTACACTTCCTAGTATCAACTGAACACGGCCCATCGTGCCCTGAACACCCCACCCCAGTCAAGATCAAGCTATTAGCCGTGAGTGTCGCGCAGCACTTTTAGCCTCAGACTTTTCGGGATCTACCTCCATTGCTTGTTCTCATTTGACATTGGGCATCTCTCCACGCGCGTTTCTTCCCTCCGCGCCAATCCCTCACATCCTAGCTCTTTTTTTTCTTTTCTACCTTACCTTCCTTGTCAGACACTGTCTCTCCCCATCACCAGCATATTCACTGCATTGAAGCCGAGACTCAATCCTAGACCGTGAACGAGGTTCTTTCCTGACCGGCATGGTACAGACTGACCGTTGTCCTCCGGTGTCAAATTACAAGGAAGAGCCGGTTGATGATCCCGTAAGTATTGACTGGTCTAGTCTTTTTTTCCTTCTTCCCCTGAGGCACATTCGTGATAGATTTGATTCAATCTATCTTTTCCTTTATTTCCTATTTCTCTATTTCAATATCACTTGCCCATTTGTTGGCATTATCATTTCTCTTTCCTTTGGATATTCTGCCGCGGTGAAGTACATATCCCAAGGATGTCAACCTTCGAGCCTGAACCGGTACAAAGAGGTCATATTCAACAATCTCTCTTGTGGAAGAGCAAGAAGCCTGGACTCTTCAACGGCACACTATTCGCCATGAGAAGGTTTTCTTCTGGACGGATTGACCGTCTGACTCAATGGCGGCATCATCATTATCTATGCGGCTGAAAAATCTCTCCTCGGAGGGAACTACCCGCAAATCTCATCACCTCAGACTCCGTGAATACTGTGGAGCGCATCAGAATACCTGATACATCGGCAATTGCCCTGTGGTAAAGGGGGAAACAAGCCGGTGAAACAAAGGGAAGAGGGAGAAACGCCTCCTCTCAGCACAATGAAAGCCACATCCTCCCGAGTCCCGTGTAGCAAAAGAAAAAGAGCTATTTACATGGACAAACAACGAGGCTAGAGTGCTTGGTCCCCTCGGAAGAAAAGAGCCACTCGCAATCTCAAGGCCAGCCCCAGCGCTACACAGATCCGTGGTTTTCTTTGGCCCTGGACTGCTCATCCTGGTTCAACCCTGGCTATTTGTCACGCACCTAAGCCCATCCCTGCTCGAGGCATCGTTCATCCGTGGCAACTTTTCCCCTCTCATGGCCCAAGGAGCCTCTGACCCTTTTGAGTGATTCAAATCCCCACGCTTATGTCGTCACTCGTCCGGGCGATCTGGCTGTGTTCTCAAGTCTTTCTTCCTTCTCTTCTCCCACGTTCTTAGGTTGTTTTGTACCACCACGAGAGCTCAGAGACCTTTCTTTGCAGCCTTGGATATCCAAGTCTTTCAGTCACTGATACACGATTTCTTTTTTTCGCCACAGCTTCGACACGGTAGCTCGGTGCCTCTAGGTTCTCAGAATCAACAACAACTTCAAACTCCACGACCAGATCTAGCATCACTTCAGAAGCAAGACTCTGTATCGCCTGTCTCAACAACTGTTTGCCTTCCACCAGCAACATATCCTCCCCCTCCGTCTCTCGGAAACGGCATTCTGCATTCTCATAGCTCTTACGGATCGCCATCACAAGAAACACACTATTATACCTCACATTCGCCTTTATATTCAACGGTAACTGCACCAGCGCAATACTCCTCTAGCGGTGAGTCTAAGCCAATTATTTTTTTTTTCATTGAGATTTTCTTCAAATATTTTCTTCTTACTGCTTTCCTTGTGAGGTTCAGATCTTACATTCCATGGCATATCATATCTAGAGCTGGCTGCCGCCTGAATTGTTACGGACACCGGGCTGATCTTTGTGCAATATAGGGCCATCTGACCTCATGGCAACCACCGCTCAAATGCAGAGACCCTCCTACCCACCAATCTATCATACACCTCAGTCAAACTCTCCAGCGTCTGTAGCATCACAACCACATGATCAGCATGGCCGAAGCCTTTACACTCAGTCGCCACAGATCCCACCCCAGATGTACGGTTATCCGCCATACTCTCCGATAAACCCTATTCAGCCGCCTTATGCATCCCATCCATCACCTCAACCACACGCAAGTCTTACAACCCAATCCATGATGATGCCCCCTCAGACAAGTACAGCGCAGATGTCTCCCCACCAGCCATCGCACACTCCAAACACAGCTTTATCTAGCAGCCCCGGTATGAAAATGGATCCAGCACCACACTCCAGTGCTCAACGATCAATGCTCAATCCGACTCTCCCAGTACCAACCAACGCCGGTATTCCTACTGGACCAGTCCAGACGTCTCCACTAGGTGCAAGTTCTAGTGCAGCACCTGGACCGATTCCCGCGACCACGCCACTTGTCGTACGACAAGACAACAACGGGGTGCAATGGATAGCATTCGAGTACTCACGAGATCGAGTCAAGATGGAATACACTATCCGCTGCGATGTGGAATCCGTCAACGTTGACAGTCTTAGCCAAGACTTCAAGACCGAGAACTGCGTTTACCCACGAGCATGCTGCAGTAAGGATCAGTACCGAGGCAATCGGCTAGTCTATGAGACCGAATGCAATGCTGTTGGATGGGCACTAGCAGACTTGAACCCAGCTTTGAGAGGCAAGCGAGGCCTCATCCAGCGAGCTGTCGATAGCTGGAGGAACAGCAACCAGGATCCTCGGCTTCGCAGTAGACGAGTACGTCGCCAGCACAAGATGAGTCGTCGACAGTCGGTTCAGCCCCCTACTCCCCAGATGCCTCCTGCTGGCTCTATCAGTCATGGACTGGGTGCTGCTTCCGGTCATCGTGGTAGTATTGGGGGCTCTTTGATGGGTCCACCTATGACACATCATCATGCTCAGCCAGATGGTAGCCCTAAGGTCGAACAGGTCAGCGGTATGTCTCACCAGATATGATGCAATTTATTCTGTTGTCGATGTTTCTTTCTACAAGATGCGCGGCGGGGGTTGAACTTTGCATTTATACTTTGTTTTCTTTTTCTACTTTACACTATTATGGGCCTTTTACACTTGTTCCCAAAGATCTGGTTGTATGTTTATGTGGGAGTTGTATGTGTCTATTGAGTTTATCGAAAGGATGTGTATGAGATGTGTGGATAATTTTCTGTGTTTTATTGGGATACTCAATCTGCGTTATGAGGGCTTTGTTCTTTTTCTTCTCTCCTCTTTTTATCTTCTGTTGATTTCATACCCTTTGTGTTCTGATTATTATTCAATACCGCCGCGCCGCTTGCCTTTCTTTTGTGTTCTTTCTTTGGGACTCGACAATCCATCCCAGCATGCAGTACAGCGTAGGCTAATTTCTTTTCCTATTTCGTTCTTCCCCATTTATAGGCACCGCAGACTACAACCTCGGAGCCCGTCCCATTGACACAGGTCGTCTGCCACCCGCACCCCTCGGTGCCACCGATATCCGACCGGCACAGGTCTTCCACGATGCACACGTCATCCCAGGACCTACCAGCATTAGTCCCTCCATGCCACCTCTACTCCGCGAGGGTGGACTCGGTTCTCTAGGCCGACACCCTACCATCGCGACATCTTCCAGCCGCATGGCATCCACCACCGCACCAACCGAACTAGATGACGAAGTTAGTCCTACTAACGATGATCTATTCGGCCAGCTACCTGACGGTAAGCGTCGAACCTTCATCTTAGTCGAAGATCCACAGCGCGGTTCTCGCGTCCGTGTTAAGGTGGGCCTTGATAAAGTGAAGATGGATGAGATCCCGGATTCTTATCGCAAGATCAATGCCGTGTACCCACGTACATATTTCCCTACTCAGATGAAGGATGCGCCGCTCCTTGTTGATCCCAGTAAGCGCTTCTTTGCTGATGATGCGGATCACACGGGGGGACCCTGAGGACTCCACTCTGGGTCGTACCAGTGTTCCAGCCCCGTCTTTGGATAATGATTCTATGATTGATGTGCCGAAACTCTCGCGTCGACGACACCGGAAAGAAGTTATGTTGAATGATCTGGCATATCGGTTAAGTTGGAGCCAGAGTCGTGTTTTTGCGGGGCGGATGTTATTTTTGCAACGATCACGTACGTTTTACTTTATTTCTGTGTCTTGCATTTATTTCCTTTTTCGTGTTTTCTTTTTTGCAGGTTTCTCTTTTTGGGTTGACTTTTCTCGTATTCCAACTACATGTTATTCCACGTGTCATCCTAAACTTGAAATGTCTCACTATGTACCGCGGGAACATCAAGAGTTCAGTACTAATGTCTTATTTGTATAGTGGATGCCTATCGCAACAAAATGCGCACCAGTATGATCGCGGCGGGCCAAGAAGCCTCTGAAATTCCAGAGCATTTTGATACTCGACGCGGAAAACGTCGTTTCCTGGAGCGGACTCGTCGCATGGAAAGTGATGCCCTGTCAGCAACACAGCGTGGCGCAGAAGAAGTTGAGGGTTAATGCTGAATGAGAGAATACTGTTGATTTGGATGACCTTTATTTCTGATGATGTGTTATGTTTGATTTCCCTGATGAGGGATCTATGCCAAATACCAAAACAAGGGAGCGTTAGGACTGGAATGGATTTGCACGGCGCAGGGATGGTCAGGATTTACGAGTTCACGGCAGTTACGGACGATTCTTTCTTTTGTTTTATGATGATGTTGTTGATTGCCTCTAGGGACTTCCAGTTACTCCCTGAGTTATATCATTTTTATTTATTTATTTTTCGCTATACTTTCTCTCCGCATTCATACTTCTCAGTACATTCCAAGTCCAAAAATAGTAATGAGTGACTCGGACCCACTGAGGTTCCACATTGACAGGACCCTTGCTCGAATGCAGGACCCTACATGGAATACATCATGGCATCAGGAATGATTTCGTAATTGAGAAAGTCATTTTGAATAAAGAGTGTATCATTAATTTATCAATATTTTCACTCATTTCTTCTATAATACTTGACATTAATCCATTTGAAATATGGTCATTGAGTAGTATGGGGTAACGGAACATCCGTTGTCGGGGTCACGCTTGTTGACAACCTTAATTGTGTAGCAGAAAAAGACCCGTGGACCCTGACTGAACTCGGATTCCTCATCGAACCCTTGAGAAATCACTTCCGTTCTCATAGTCTCATCTTAAACTCTGACCTGTCACGAATACTTCAAATTTTCAGCTTTTCGGTTTGGTCTACTCTCTTCCACCTATTTACCCACGGGAGCCTACCCGTACACTTGATTATGCCTATTTTCTAATCATTTCCCTTTCAAATAACTCTTAACATTATCAGTCCGATATTCACCCTCTTCTGGCTTTGAAAAAAAGGAAACAACGTCCCACCAGGACAGGTGTCCCGGTTCCACTTTCACATATCGTGCAAGCCTCAGCCTCATCCACTTGGACCCTTACATCGTGCATATCAACCAAAACCACCTTAAATTGTGAACTCCCCGCCAAAATGAATCCGCTCGATCCCTCAGATATTCCTGAACCTCCTCGCCGATACTCTCATCCATCTCGACAAGAGTACACCGTCACACCAGGTGTCGATAATTTAGGTCCCTCCTCAGTAGGAGGCGGCATAAGCGGCATAGCCCTCGGAATCGCAAACAGTCACGATCGCCAAAGTGGTATCGACGCCGTCCGCGGTCTACACCCAGAGTCTGCGGAAAATATGAACGACGGGTACACCGGTCCCGCAGAACGGGCCTTTAACACCACTGGCTCAGATAATCCATACGGTCCACTTCCTCCAGCTGAATACACTACTGGAAGTACAGAATCCCTTCAGGGACTCCACCCACAATTCTCATACGGTTCATCAATGGCATTGGGGAATGCTGCTGCGTCTCCAGCTATGCAAGCTTCTGCGCGCTCCAGTGCACATCTCAGTGAAGCGAGACGAAGCTTTCGGGAACTTACCTCTACTGGTCCGTCGCCGTATAGGAATTCGGGTGGTGGGATTGTTAGTGATGGGCCTTATCAGCGACAGTCTTATTATAATGCTGGGAGTATGAATATCCCTGTTGATATCAACCCGGATGACATTGCGGATGATGGGGATGATGAATTTGCTCCTTCTAATCACAATCGAACGGGTCCTGCGGCGACAGGTGCGGCTGCTGGTGCTGGTGTTGCTGGTGTGGCAGGTATCAGTGCGTCTAAGGGTGGGTTATTTAAGGGATTCTTTGGGTCCGAGAAGGCTTCGGATGTTTCTTATGATGCTGTACCTGGTGGTGGCTTGGAAGCTGGGTACGGGAAGAAAAAGAGGTTTCCGAATATGGAAGGGAGAAAGAAGAGAGGGTGGATTGTTGGTGGTGTACTAGGCTTTATCATTCTTGCTGCTATTATTGGTGGTGCGCTTGGTGGTACACTTGGAACGAAAGAGTCAGATGGCTCGTCGTCGTCAAGTGATAAGTCTGCTACAGATGATGAGCAGATCAATGGTGATCTTGATAAGGATTCAGCTGAGATTAAGGCACTCATGGGCAACACAAATCTGCACAAGGTCTTCCCTGGTATGGACTACACACCTTGGGGAGTACAATACCCATTGTGTCTGAAATATCCACCATCACAAAACAATGTCACTCGTGACTTGGCGGTCTTGTCTCAGTTGACCAATAATGTTCGCTTGTATGGTACAGACTGCAATCAGACTGAGATGACCTTGCATGCGATTGACAAACTTGGGTTAACGGATATGAAGGTCTGGCTTGGAGTGTGGATTGATTCTAACACCACCACGACAAAACGCCAGCTGAACCAGCTCTATGACATCCTTGATGATACTAAGAACACTTCCATCTTCAACGGTGTTATTGTTGGCAATGAAGCTCTTTACCGTGCAGGCCCTGACAAAGCGACTGCAGAAACGAATGTGATTAGCTACATCAATGATGTCCGAGATGAGCTAAAACAGCGCAACCTTGATGACCTGCTCATTGCTACATCTGATCTGGGTGACAACTGGAATGGCGAGCTAGTCGATGCGGTTGATGTGGTCATGTCCAATGTTCACCCCTTCTTCGCAGGTGTCAATGTGAACGTCGCAGCAGCTTGGACATGGGATTTCTGGCAGACCCATGACACGTCATTAACCAAGGGTTCAACAAAGAAACAAGTCATCTCAGAAGTTGGCTGGCCTAGTGGTGGAGGAAAGGACTGCGGTGCAAGCCCTACCTGTGATTCCGATACTCCAGGCTCCGTAGCCAGCATCGATAACATGAACACTTTCATGTCCGACTGGATCTGTCAGGCTTTGGAAAATGGCACAGACTATTTCTGGTTCGAGGCTTTCGATGAGCCGTGGAAAGTCCAATTTAACACACCTGGCAAAGACTGGGAAGACAAGTGGGGTCTGATGGACTCAGCCCGCAAGATCAAACCTGGTCTTAAGATCCCAGACTGCGGTGGGAAGACAGCTTCATAGCGGTCTCTGCATTAATTCTTTAATGGGATCATGATCATGAAAAACATCCTTCTGCGTGCATTTGCTTTTTGACCATTCACTTGCACTGGTGTTTTCTTTGGAATCTGGTTGACTTCACCTTTTTGTGCTTCTATTTCGGCTTTCTGTTTTCTGCATCCTCGTGGTTTGAGGTACAGAGTTAATATTGGTTATGGCATTTGATTGTATTCGTGCAGCATTTCTTGCGACTTTGTTATTATGAGCATCTCTATGCTTTTTTATTAGTTCGGTTTTTTCGGAAGGGAATTTGAATCCGATAAATATTGGATTATGTTCAGTGTCTCTTCGTGGTTGATTAGAATGCCTCGGCAGGGTTCATGTACATATGCCATTAATCTGACAATGTCTCTATCTATTCCAAATGGTGTAGGAACGTTTCAAATATATGCAGCTTTCAATGTTCATGGAGAATACCCTGGTATCAACCCAATGTCGGACTATGACTTCTATGTAGATGCCCTTAGTATTTTCAGTTAGATGCAAGACCCAATCACCTGGGCATCCCAAACGCCAGTCAATGGAATAAATCATCACTCAACTCGAATGCTATATGTCCATCATGTGCAATCTATTGTTGCGAATTCTCCTCTGTCCAATAGAACCTTGTCATCCAAAACGCATGCTCATTCGTCTTGAAGGGAGCCAGAATCCTCGAACCGGTCCTCTCAATAAAAGCCTGGATAACATCCGACTCCGTATTTTCCAACGGCCCTCCAAATAAGAGTCCAGGGTTAGAAGGGAGGATCTGTTCAAGATGTTTCCGCTCAGCACCAGGACAGAAGAGTAGTGTGTTGCGCGTGACACGCTCAAATGCCTCAGGGTGATTGACGATAGTCATTCCCAATGATTCCAGGAGCGCACAGTCCAGTTTGTTGAAGACCGGATCTTGAAGATAAACCGGAACAGAAACTGAAGAGTTCAGACTTGTATCTAAATGATATTAGTTGTGCTTCAAGGTTGATGGTATCAGAAACACCTACTTTCAACCACCAATTCCCGAATACTCTCCAGTGCCGCAAGTTGATACATCGACACATCCCTCCGATCAACCCATCCATCCCGTAAGAATCCACTCAAACTTCCCAACCCAATACATACAATCCCATCTACTCGACCCGTATCCTGCGTCTGCATCACCCGTCTAGAGATCTGCTCCGCAAGAACCCCCTCAATACCCCTCCAAGTCTCCGACTCAACCCATTGACTCCGATGTAGAGAATACTGGATCCGCAGATCATCCAATGTAAGTCGAGCAGGAGCCTCAGCGGGTTGAAGCACAGGATCAAGGTCAACAAGTGTCTCTTGTGTCTTGCTCCTTGTATTGCGGTTTACGCGGCGCGCATTGTTTCCCGTAGTGACGTGGGTCCAGCCATCGTCGCTGGTTATTTGGAGGCGTTTTTGAGAGGGTTGGTTTCTTTGTGTGCGTGCGCGTGAGGTGTGTGGCATTGCGATTGATTAATCGGTGGCAGGTTGTGACAAAATGATGATTGTGATTGCGGTTGGGGCTCGGTGTTCGTTTAGACTTGGTAAAGGGTATGAACAGATTGTATTGGATCAATTGATATACCTGGGTATAATTTGAATATAGATTTCAGCTTGTTGAATATATATTAATTCAGTATGATGTATATGAGGAGGTCTTTTTTTTCTCTTATCGATTCGATGCCCGCCGATATAAATGACTAAGCCATTCGCTGTCCGGGGCCGCCCATTGGCACCTGGGCAGGTGATTTTGTGCATTTTTCTGGGGAGTTAGGGTCTTGATTGTTTTGAGATTCTCATGAAGGATATCACAGTTTAGACATCTGGACTTGGGGAGATTTCAATGAATTGTATCAAAATTTGAAGTTATCAGTTGAGAATATTGGAACTAGTACCACTGGTTTGGAGTTGTGGTTTTTGATCGCATGTATACCTACTTCATCTAGGTGCTGAGTCTAATTATAGCATTAAGACTCCGTTAAGGAACTGGGTATGGTTTCATGAACGTCTGGAAGAGATTTCATTCATGCATTACGGGAAGAAAGCTTATCTCTTCCAAGGTTCAAGTTGATGCTCAACTTGAGGATGTTCAAAATGTCCCAGCTCGGGAGGCGTAGATCCTTGGGCTATCACCAGCGTATCCACAGTGATGAAGCCACATCCAAATATTCAAGTTTCATAAGATTGAATATCGGCTATATCAGGGAATCTTGGAAATAATCACAGTGCTGCATAAATCAAATAAAAATTTCTCTCAATAATTTTCCCGGGTCATAGTTAGCTATGGCTAAGGTAATTGCCTGTCGCCCGGATGTTGCTTAATGCAAGAAGAATATGCAGCTCCCGCCTCTCAACTCAACACTCTCTCCACTATTTTCCCCACTCGCCGCATCTGTGATCTTGTGATTGTGACTGGCCTGCAATATATTCTTTCTGGGAACATCAAAAATCAGGCACTGCAAGACAAAATACGCACAAGTCGTATCTAGTGCTGCCACCTTGGACCATGGGGTTGGTCAACGCCCATGATTGCGGGCCCCATTAGTCCAACCGAGCTGCATCCACCACGCAGAAGAAGGGGGAAAAAAGGTGTGCTTCATTCTGAGTGATAATCCTACCAGCAAGTTCATCACATATGTGCCCTGTAAGCGCCCAGCACCACCGGTCAACCCCTCAGAGTGTCCGTTAGCGTTTCCCCTCGGCGCTTCGAAATGTGGACTCTCCGCCAATCACAGTACCGTATTGACCCTGAAGTGATGGCACTTGCAGCAGGGCCGTGATGATCCCCAGCATCCCTGCTCCACTGGTCCAGTCAGAACCACTCACAGGTTACTCGACCTGCAGTCGCAGTCACACTGGGATCCTGCATCCTCACTCGTCCGCGGCAGCAATCATGTCTGCACCGGGCAGCAGTACCCCTCAAAAAGAGACCGATCAGCCCTCGAAAATCTTCCGTGGCTTTGTGAGCTTCTTTTCCGCTGGATCGATATTCTTGGTCTTTACCTTTGCCTAGCCCTATACTTTTACGAGATCTCTCAATCCGTGAATCTCTACAGAGCGAAAACAACTGGACCGGTTCCATTGATTTCGCATTCTACTTCCGTCTCACTTAGATTTCCTGACATTTTCTATTTTTGGGATCCTTCTTGTCTTTCTACCATAATTTCAATCATCATGGCCTCACAATTCTTTTTGCCCCGATGGGCTTCCCTTCTGGTCCTGCTGTGCGTGGGCCTGTCAAATGCCCACACTGTCATCACATACCCCGGTTACAGAGGAAACAACTTGCACACCAACGGTACTGTCCAGGAGTCCAACGGACTGGGTGTTGCTTATGACAAGAGCAACGACTCATACTACTACCCCTATGGAATGGAATGGATCTACCCTTGTAAGACAATCTTTAATCGCTACTCATCTGTCCGAATGGTCAACTGACAATTGCCTAGGCGGCGGCATGCCCCGATCAACCAACCGCACCAAGTGGCCCGTTAAGGGAGGCGCTGTTGCAGTGCAGCCTGGCTGGTTCCCAGGTCACGAAACGGCCTTGATCTATGTCAACCTCGGTCTCGGCACAGTCCCCGAGAACATGAGCCATCCCGTCGTTTCTCCCTTCCAGATTACCGGCCCAAGCAACAACCCTTACCCTGGTACATTCTGTCTCCCTCAAGTGCCCTTGCCTGCCAACATCAGTGCCAAGGTTGGCGACAATGCTACCATTCAGGTTGTTGAGACGGCGAAACATGGTGCTGCTTTGTACAACGTATGTCCCTGTTCTACCTGGTCCTACATCAATTCTATTTACTAACGGATTTAGTGTGTGGATATCACATTCGCCGAACCTGAGGAAGTCGAGGAAGTCACCCGCCAGAACTGCTTCAACTCTAGCGATCTGACCTTCCAGTACGTGTACACAACGGGTGGTATCAATGCCGCAGGAGCTTTGAAACCTCAAACCCTGCTTTCCCTCGTGCCATTGCTATTGGTGGCTACCTTCGGCGCTTTCATGTAGATATGATGTGTTTTTATTCTTTTTTGTTGCTACTGCATTTGCGCGCGTCTTTGTTATGACATACCCTTTCCTTTTAATCGCTACGTCTAAAATTATTGAGATCGATGACCGCAACTGCAACTGTTTTACTGATTGTGATCTTACATTCTCTCGACGGTCTCGCTGGTGTCCAGGGCGTTGGGATGGATTTTTGAGATGCTATATTATACACAATATCATGTTAAATATGGCTCAAATTCTCTTTGCGATACGAGTAGCACTGTGTTTGTAGTTTCAAGTTCCTAGTACCATACCACCACATGTGCAACAACCGGAAGATACTTTGACGTCGGATAGGCGCGAGCGCTCAACTCGCAGTTCTTAACGTCTCTAGGCTATTATACGCTTGAAAAGGGCACTAATTGGACTATGAAGTTCTGAGAAAGAGTTCGTTAAATTGATGATGTTCGTTAAGTTCTGTCTCATTCTGGTGTAATTGGGCATTCGAATCATGAAACAATGTACTGCGAAGAAAGAAAGATTGCCTATACATTAAGTCCTGCGGTCAGTTCTATGATGGTCTGTACAACCTCATCTGGAGCTTCCTGGGGAATCCAATGTCCAACTCCATCGAGGACTTTAAGAGACCGGAAATCAGAGCACACCGCACCACTGGTCATTTTATCCAAAGCACCTGGTTCCTGGTAGGTACCCCAATCCTTAGCCCCCGAGATAAAAGAGCAAGGAGTCTCAATCTTCTTCCCAGCAAATAGATCGTAGTCCTTAGTAAAGCGACCCCCAGCAGCCGTGCGAACACAGTACCAATTCAGTCCTCCTTGGTATCCAGTTCGAGCATACTCGGCTACATAAACCGCAAGCTCATCATCAGGGAGCCACGAATGAGACGTCATTCCCTGCGATGGCTCGTCAACCATGTGCCTTTCAACCGCTTCGGGCATTGTAGCATCCAAGGGCATGATATAGTAGTAAGGCATCTGCACAACCTCCTCAACTGTCCACCCTTTCAGGGATGAGGCTGATTCCCTGGCCACGACCCACTCTTAAGATGAAAGTAGCCACGTAAAAATCGGTGTAGCTCTTCTGGAGCCAGCGACGACATATCAGTATTTGCTGACGCAGTCGAGTAATACCATTTGTAATGTTTCCGACCACTTCGTGCCAATGCCTCATGAATCCCTGAGGCAGCAGCCGATCCCTCCGCACCACCTCCTCCTCCCTGTGCAGCTACCTCGGCCTGCTCTTCCACACTCCCTTCATTGGCAGTGTTAAACGGGAGTGTAGGACTCCCATTAAAAGGGTGGCTCATCAGCACCACACTGCGAAAGAAATCTGGTCGCATAAGCGCACACAGTGACGCCGTGATTGCGCCGCAGTCATGTCCTACAACACAATGTACTGATCGATAACCCAACGCATGTACGAGAACGACAATATCGCGAACCAGATTTGTCAACGAAAAACTGGCTAGGTCGACTTCCTCGAAGGACCGAGTATCCCAGCCTGTGGTACGGCCAAAGCCGCGTTGATCCGGGGCGACAGCATGGAACCCTGCATCAGCTAATTTTGGGAGCACTCGACGCCAGGAATAGGCGATTTCAGGAAACCCGTGAAGTAGGACAATTAAGGGGTGGTCCTGGACGGGAGTGGCGCCGGCTTCGATAATATGAAAGGTCAGATCGGGAGTTGAGATAAAGCGGCTGGTGACGCCCTTAGGGAGGGGCAACGAGGGGAGATCTAGGCACATAATGAGATCTTGTTCCTTGTTTTTCATTTCCTTTTATTGAAGATCCTATTTATATATGACAATTATTTATAAAAGGGGTTCCCCGTATTTATCTATATGAATCGGAGGAAATATCAGCCTGTTTCATAAGGTTTCCTAGATTTTTCTTAGGTGCCTGACCCGTTCCTTGGAAGTCATGACGCAAGTGTCCCTTTCTTCTCCCATATTCACACATCTCTCGCACTTTCAAGCTCTTCACCTTTGCTACGGGCATTCATTGGCTCACTCTTTCGCCTAATTTCATATTTGCTGTGATTCTTTCTTTTATTTAACTTTAACATTTACTTGTCCCCGATTCACGTTCTCCCAAGCACGAGAGATACAACACGTAATTGCTGCAACACAAGCTTTCATCTTAAAATTTCGGACCCCGGCGCTGCATTCCGCAGTGTGCGGTTATCCTCTTGCTTCCACGAGCTTGAGGATCTCGTGAGCAATCATGTTCAGCCGCCGCAAGAGAAGCTCTTCCCAACATCGTCAGGTATGCTGCTCCGCACAGATCGAGGAGGCGTGAAATGGGATATCGCGTACCTATCCTCGCCTGGATTTCTACTCTCCTATTTCTGTTCGACGATTCAAGGTCAATTCCCTTTTGCTAACATGCTATACCTCTCCTGTCATAGCCCCTCTCCGCGCCTGCGTCCCAATCAGCGCAGTCCGCCGCGAGCCATGCTTTCTTGAGATCCCAACCTTCGACGAGCAGTCTCTCGTCCGCGGCTGCTGCGGCTGCTCTGCGAAATCGCACACCGACTCCAACTTCGGTCGAAAATGTCCAGACCAAACGTATGATGCAGCGAGCGTCCTCGACGCATTCTCCGAATAATCCGCTGGTTACACGTCGTTCAGCAAGCGTCAGCGGCACGCTGCGTCGATCAAATAGCTCCGGGTCGATGAGCGCGAGAACTTTTCGAGAACCATCACCTCATCGCCCCTCGACAAGCTCTGGCCCAAGCTCTGGTCCTGTAGTTACATATCATCAATTTGGCACGGTACCACCATTGCCAAATTTACCCGCGCAATATGCTGGCCGAGCTCAACAACCGGCTCGTCGCGCTGCGAGCATTGAGCCATCGATGCGATCTCCGCCAGCATCCCCGTCATCCCCAGCACGTACCACTCCTCGCGTTCGCGGAGGATCGACATCCCCACTGCATAATCGCATTAGCAGCCTGTCGACTGTGCCCGAGGATCGACCAGGAAGCCGAGGATCCGTCAATTTCTCATACCCCAGGGGTGCACGACCCAACTCGCCTCCCCCATCCCCGTTAATCGCTGAGAACCGACCTGCTAGCTTAGGTCCGGCTACAGCCCGTAATTTTTCGGCGACGGAAAGGGCCGGCACTCTCCAAACCACACCTCAGAAACCGATTACTGCGGAAGCCAATGCGCAAAACGTGGGAGGTTCTGATGGACATACTAGCAAGACTGCAGGACCAGCTCTTGGCAAGGCGCTCGCTGCAGCTCAGCGTGTTAGCACACAGAAGAGTGACCGCGGGCCGGATCCTCAAGTAAGGGCTACACGGGTAGAGCAGGAGAGTTCTACCAAATTGCAACTCCGAGTTCCTAGCAATGAATCATCAGTTGTGAATAGCGGCTCAGAGATCGACCACCCGTCTTCACGAGTTGTTCCAGAACGCTGGCCCGCTACCGTCCCGGAAGAAACTGAACCCACAGAGAGGGCGAATACCGAAATGGCTGGAAATCGATTCGCGGCATCATCTCCCACGCCCGCGCAAAACGACGATGAAGTTACGCCTCAATCGTCTCCCTCGGCGGCTGTCAGAGACCCTAAGCAGCAGCAGGAATTACTACAACTCCGTCAGTCAGGCAGTCCCGGTCGGTCTGCTCGATTCTCTAAATGGCTTTCCGTGAGTAGCAATGAGAGCCAAATTCACCAACCTCCTGGTAGATCGGTATCTCCTGTGAAGTCCGCTATGAAGCACACCCGCGGGACTTCTGTATCTCCGGATAGGAGGGCCTCGATGTCCGGATTGACCGTTCAACCAGTTCATGAGTTCTCCGACGGCACATCGATCGCATCGGATGAAGGGTCTCGACTCGGCGTTAAGAAGCGTGCACCCAAAGTCAGCTTCGATGAAGAGGCTGAAATTGTCGGCATTGCTGCCAGTCCTCCTACCTCACCCGAAGACTATACTCCCGGATCGCCCCCAGCCAAAGTCAAGTCTCGTATGAGCTGGCTTGGTGTTGGGAAAAAGAAGGGAGGATCGGAGAATGGAGTAGACGACAATGATTTTGGTGGAGTTTTGAAACCGCGACAGGTGCTTCCCTCATTCGGTAGTGTTCGAGGAAACCGTGACGGCGGTGCGCCTGGCCCTGCTATCCCTGAGTTCAGTGATAATGAGTCAAGCAGCTCATCCGATGAGGAGGTAGGGACCAACCCTATCTCCTTCTCGAATGACCATGCTATCGGTGGTCTGCTTCCACAGATTCAGAAAGTAGAGAAGACTCATGACGTGAAATCCTTAGAGCAACTCTCCGTTATTGGGGAACCATCGCCGCCTCAGCAGCAGCCAACTAAAACCAAAATCGATGGCATGTCTCTTGGAATTACTAACCAGCCTCCATTTGCCAATGCAAACTCGAATCTGCCCCCTCCTTCGATTGCGGTAGAGCCAGCTACACCTCCTGTTGATATGGATCGACCTAGCCGTGAGCTACATCGAGTGAGCCGGTCAAGTCTCGAGTATACCATTCCCGGTGGCTTCCCGCTTTCAGCCTCAGACCGCAATCTCAGGTCCGCAGCCGAATCCGCAAAGTCCCAACCAGTCACCAGTGCGGTGCCAAAACTGGTTGATGATGTGGACACCGAGGGGGAGTCTGGCGATAGTGTTTACAGCGATGCAGCCGAGGATTTCGATGGGGATGGATTCGGATCGATCAATGCAATTGTTGACGCCAGATCAATTCCTAGATCTTCAGGGCCCGTGGAACCAGTTCATGAAAGCCGTGATACAACTCCAAAGGCGGCTGATCGGTCTACTATTATCGATGATGAATCAAAGGATGTCACGGAGCAAGCCGCGGAGCATGGCCGAGCTATCACGCCTACTCAAGATTCTGTCAATCGCGAGATAGAAGAATCCCCTGTCGCAGTATCTGTCGTACCCGAGGTGGAACCTCGGGTCCCGGCTCGTGCAGTACCAAATGGGCCGATTCAACCAGAGACGCGACAGCAGCGAAGACCGATGTCTGTCGATGTTTACGCTGCAAACTTGCAAGATCCCAGACACCAGAGCACAAATAGATCCTCTGCTGCCGCTGGTAAGCCTAAACCAAGACCCATGTCAATGGGTCCAGCGTTTCACAGAACAAAGGGCTCAGGTGGTGCTGCATTCCCTACCTCTCTTCGTCGCACTATGTCTAGCGGGAGTGACTCCTCCAGCAGCTTCAAACGAGCCAATTCCTCAGTTCGAGGTGATGGTGCCCGTTCAATGCGTCGAACAATGAGATCTGGCGCGGCAGGCATGCAAGGCCCACCATCGGATCGAACCGACTCACCTATTGACCGACGACCAACGTCATCTGGCTCCAACCAAGGGACTATGCGCAAAACACTACGAGGCCCGCCAGGTGGTGACAACGAGCGGTACTCATTCTTCTCCACCAACAAGAAGGCCGTTTCAGCACCCCGGGGAGGACGACTCTCGAAAAATCCTTCTCGGTCTGCTCAAGGAACTCGATTCAAAGACTCAGATGAGGAAGGTGAAAGACAACCTCAGGTCTTCCGTAGCCGTTTCGCAGATTCCAGCGATGAAGGTGAAAAGGTCGAAACCCCGATGCGACCTGTTCGAGGCATTCCACGCCGTATGGGTGCATATGATGGAGATTCTACAGATCTAGAAGATAGTTCGGAAGAGGATCGTCGCCAAAAGTCCCATGCAGCCGCCGCTCCTCGGGCACAGCCCGCTCGACCTGCCACCCGCGATCAGAATGCCAATGCAAACATGTCTGGTATGGCAGCCGTAGCTCGCCAGCGCGGTATGACGCAGAGGGAACTGGAAGAATTCATCATGCAGCCTCAAGGTCGTAAGGGCGGATTCCTGTCCCGTCTTGGTCTGAAAAAGTCCAAGAATCCTGAAAATCGCATTCGCAAAGCGGATGCGGAGAGTCCCTCTCGACGGGATACACCATTAGAACGATCCCGATTGGAGCGTGAAAACTTGCGCGATGATAGTTTTGTCAATGGTGCTAGCCGTCCTGCTGTTGTGACGACTGTAACTGCGACTCAACCCGAGGCACCCTCCTCGTCTCCACAGAAGCTTCTGAAGAAGAACTCTAAGCGTTATACCACCGGTGGAGAGCCTTGGCCACTCCGCTCTTTTCCTGGGGCCAACGCATCCGAGCCAATTCCAGAACAACCTGCCATTGTCTCAAATTCCCCATCGCAAACGCAGAAGCCACCAGCTGAACAAGTTGGGCGGAATGGAAGCACTACAATCAATGGGACAGGTGAAGGTCTAGCCAGCTCTGCCATCAAAACGCCTGAGTCACCTATCGGCCCTCGTGCTGGTCCAGATTTGAACGACGATGCCGCCTCGGATATGACTAGAAGTACTGCTGATGAGCATGGGCCTGTGGCCAGAGACGTGGTTATTGCCGGATCAGGTCGAAAAGAAACGTTTCCCCATGCTTCGCAAGGCCTTTGGTCTACGAAGTTGATGATGCCCGTGTTTGATTATCTGATTGATGTTTCTACTTTCGCTTCTACTTCCCGATGGGAAGGCATTGACATCTTCTAACATACATGTTTAATGCCCTAAACACCTTTTCTTTCTCTCTTTTTTTCATTTCTCTGTGACTCTTATTCTATGTGAAAAGACCTTTTTTTTTTCTTCTTGGTTGTGATAACACTTGCCGGAAAGGCGGATTTGACATTTCCCGCGTGGGATCTAATCTTTAATACGCGATCATCTGTCGTTATTCCTCCATTTTTGTGTTTCATTATACACCCTTCATTTTTTTCTTTATTTTTGGATTGGACGGATTTTGAAGGTACATACATCTTCTGGGTCTCTCCAATTGGCGTTTTCTGCCAGATGTTGGTATCTTTCTTGATTGGTGATTTTGGTGTGAGGATTCGTACTATACACTTTGATACCCTCGTTTCTCCTCATATCCTGTATACGAAATTGGTTGTGTCCCTCGTTGATATGTACTTTTGAGGCCAGAAGGGCCCATGCATGGATGCCGCGTCGCCTCCTTACTACTCCCCTGCCCCCCTCTTTTTCTCACTAGACCTTCTGTTTTATAGAACGTGTACTGGTCCATTAGAATTCATGAGGACTTGAACTTGATTGGATCGGGGTTTCACATCACATCATGCCACCATTCTATCAATTGCGTATACGTATGCATTTAGTACGGAGTAAGAAGTACATAGGTACCTACCTAGGTAGGTAACGTAGGTAGGTACCCATGACGCTCCAACTGGAAAATAACTCGTAGGCGGAACATTGAAATCCGGGTCCGTTCGGCGATCACCACTATGTTTAGCTGTATTGAGGAACTCGAAATCGGACCTAGGCATCCATCGGAGGGGGGGCGGGCGTCTGGTCTAACGAAGTGGATCCTAGCTTCTCCCCCAGCCACTTCAGCTGGCCTGTGTGACCGACCTGATTGATTCCCAGCCTCGGTAATACAAGTGGATTACCATGCTGATGGGTCCTGGTAATCAAAAATGACAATTCAGCGGCGCCCAGACAATCTAGACACATGCAGGATGCGTTGGAGCTCCCAGCCTCCTCATTAGATTCATACCCATTGGGCGGGGATTGGGCGACCACTTAGTGGAACATAGCATGGTTTTGTCAATGGCTGGATGCATCATTTTTTTTTATTGGTGGCGGGTGTGATGTGTTGTTGCGTAGTGTACGCATGTATGATTCATGATCCACCGGTGAGACAAGGAGTTCAAGATGTATCTGCAATACGTGAGAATAATTTGTGAGCTTTCCAGGTTCATACTGAATCAATTGAGTTGGTTTTATTGTAATGAATCGATGATCTCAGTAGAAGTAAATCGAGACATGAACCCGTGGATGTGATAAGCGTTCCCGTGAAGTGTTGTTGCTATGGAGACAGCCCCATGTGATTTGCGGTGAGATCCATAGTAGTGAGGGTACCCTGTTACATTATACAGCTATACAGTACATAGTTACGGAGTACCTATACGGAGTACAGTACGCGAATAAATAGATCTACTAGTATAAACAGTAGGTATCCAATATAGAAATTGATCACTTCCATGTGGCCAAATTCTTCAAAATCATCCACCGGAATGTAAATATTCATAGATTATTTGAAACCAAAAATAAGGGGCGTCCCTTACCAATTTCTCAGAGTGAGAACCTCGGGTGCCTTTGTAGCCGATCAGCACGGATCGGGTCAAGCGCGGTAAACAAACAACTCTCCAAGATACGCGCATAAATAAACCGCATCTAGGACCATTCACTCCATCTCTCTTCCTCATCTCTTTCCATTCCAACCCCATTATTCCCACCCTTATCTTACACATTCTTCTTTCTCTACCCACGAGATTGATACATTCTTGAAATCTGATCTTCCACGTCAGATCTCACTTTCTTAACTTCACCTCTCACCGAGAAAGACTTCCCCCAGTCAAGTCTTTTCTTGTCTAGTCTTTCGAGTTGTTTTTAACAGTTCGAAAGGCATTCGAGAAAAGACGTCTTAAAGTCAGTCAATCTGGACTTTGACGCCCGCGTCCCCATCCCCTTCAGTGTCTTCCCGTCGTCGTACCGGAGTGACGCTGTCTCTGAAACTACTCAGACGCGAGTAGAGGGAGAAGTTCAACTCGATCACACTTCGCACGTCGAACGGGAAGATACTCGAGTTCCTGCCCCTCTTCCCAACCCTCGTGTTTACGGAAAGGAAGAAGTCGATATCCACGTCCAGGAAGATCGTACTACCCGTCGATTCGACTCTCAGAACTACCAGTCTACCAACTACGGTGCTGACGTTGAGTTAACTCGTGAACGGTACGTATTTTCGATATTTGTTTACATTTCGTTTGTTTTGTTTTTTGGGGAAGAAGGGGGAGAAAGACCCCCAATCGACTCCTCTTTTTTGTTTTGCCCCAAACTCCAGCCCGCTGAAATGGAGTCCACTTGCATCATGGGCAACTCCACTTTAGAGGAGCCCAAGTGGATCGATCCAACCAACTATTTGTTGTCACATCTCCTATCTCGGTCTAGAGTCGTTACAGGATTTAGCCCCGGACTAAAAATTACGTGTTGCGAAATATTACGACTCCACTATAACACAAGTGGGGATCCGCTCCAATGAGCGGTGACCACCCTCGTGTTATTTGTTTATCTTTCTTATATACTTGTTTTTCTACCTGCGTGGCCCCCAGCTAATTTCATTTTCTCTTTTCCAACCTTTAGCTACCCCAACTACCAACAGTCTTCTGTTCGCTTTGAGGAACGTCCCCAAATCTACGATCAGCCTGTTGTCGAGTCCCAACTTGACATCACTGAAAGAGACTACCGTCGCCGTACCTCTCCTACCTACGACGTCGACGGCTCCTACCAGAGTCGTTACCCCGTAGAACCCTTCCAGTACCAGCAGTCGTCCGGCCCCACCGCCGACTACTCGTACGACCGTTCCTACCAGTCCCAGCCCACCGGTGTTTACCAAGGCGAAGACTACACTCGTCGTCAGATCGAAGTTGAGAAGCCTGCTCCTCGCTCCACTGTTGACGTAAAGTTCTCCGAGACTACTACAGTCCGTGACATCCCTGCTCAAGCTCCTGCTTTCACTCAACCTCAAGTTCAAGCTCCCGTTCAATCTCGCAAGATGGGTTACTACGACGACGAGGGTCAATACCACTCTTTCCGCCGCGGTGTCGAGCGTGCTGCCGACCGCATCATGCACCCCTTCCACGACCGTGATGAGGCCCCCGCTAGTGGTGCCTCTTACGAGGGTCCTCGTGAGACCGTCCGTGTCGTCGAGCCCCGTAACCGTGGTACTCCCGGCGAGACCGTCGCTATCCCCTGCCACTTCGTTCGCATTGGTGACATCCTGATCCTTCAGGGCCGCCCTTGCCAGGTGATCCGCATCTCGGTCTCTTCCCAGACCGGCCAGCACCGTTACCTCGGTGTTGACCTCTTCACCCGCCAGCTGCAGGAGGAGTCGAGCTTCGTCTCCAACCCCTCTCCTTCCGTTGTCGTCCAGACCATGCTCGGCCCTGTCTTCAAGACCTACCGCATCCTCGATGTCAACGCTGACGGCTCCCTGACCGCCATGACCGAGTCTGGTGACATCAAGCAGGCCCTGCCCGTCATCACCCAGGGTGGTCTGTACAAGCGCATCCGTGACTCCTTCGCCGATGGCCGTGGCTCCGTCCGTGCTCTCGTCATCAACGACGGTGGCCGTGAGCTCGTTGTTGACTTCAAGGTTATCCACGGTTCCCGTCTGTAAACTCTTTTTTCCCTTTAGATATTAATTCTATGTGAGGAGGGGAGTTCAATTGACTGGGACTGTTTTCGGTGTCCTTGATGACTTTTTTTTTTCTTGAGTGTGATTTTATTTTTCCTATCTACTTTCCTTTGTTTCTGATGAATCTACTTCTATGACGGTTTGCCAATACTTGTTTTGACCTGCCTTGATGAAAATCTGCTTTTCCTGTATCGTACTGGTCCGCGTGGCTGGTCCCTCTTGTATCTAAGCGATTAATGCAAATGAATCAGGGTTTTTATGATATTTCTATTCCAGTAAACCATCCATTGAGATGCTATTCCAAATAATGTGCATGTGTATTTTTCATGTTTTTGGGTTCTCCTCAACCCAATCCAAGATGGGCATCAAGCCGATCCTCCCACTTCCGAGGTTAGGCCACAATGGTCTTGTCAACTTGTTTGTTTGTAAACAATCACTGATTCCTCAATTGGTCGCCAAGATTCGTTGGTGAGGAAACTGTCTCAGTGCGAGATACCACTAGGACGCTTTAGTGCTTATTGTATCCCGCCCCGCGGCGACCAGCAAGGATTTATAGGCGAAGTAGATCGCACTATTATTTGAATTGCATCAGTTTATTTCCCGCACTTTTTGGTTTGTAATCTCTTTTATTCTATTTTATTTTTTTTCTTCTCATTTTCCACTCGGCTTTGACATTCATTTGCCCCTGGTGCAGTGGTGTCCCACCATATGCGATTCTTTATAACATGGCATGGCATTCCAGTGATAATCCATCCATATCCCATTCCAAGGTTGAATGGAAGAATTATGTATCTGTGAAACAGGTGGCCAACTGCCAGTGCTTCCGTCCACAACCTTGGAATTAAGATGCCTGTATATGCATCCTTCAAATGTTGAACCCATGAACACATACATGTATTATCGGAGGCCCTGGAGATAATTATATACAATAATCGATGTTTCCGATGGTCCATCTTCGAACCCCATGTGCACATGATTTTAATCAAGTGAAACATACGAGCGCCTGCAAAAGCAGTAAGATCGCAGCCAATGAACACGATCCTACCAGCTGATTACTCCCCGACGTAGTTGTATAACCAACATTCAAGGAATTATTCTGATAGCCAACAGTACGGAGCCAGGTTGGAGTGGCGGTATCATTCCGCAAGATATCAGAGTGATAGGTATCGATAACGCCTTCAAAGGTCATAACAAACTTGCCCACAAAGACAAATGTGTCCTCTGCTTCCTGTGGAAAATCCGGTCCTGATATTGAATTAATACTCGCCTGAAAGTATCCCTGCATGGATAGATTTACAGTCGTAGAATCAAACTGAAGATTCAGAACTGGGTTCGTGAACTTGGTCCCGTTGAAAGCGGTTCCAAATGTGATTTGAGCAAATCTCCAGCTGAGAACTTTCGTTTCACCACAGTCTGTTGTGCTGTTGACCTCCCAGTAGTTGAAACCTGGATAGTCACTTAATGTACTTGAGAGATTATAAGTCGGGGCTTTGGTTTCTTCGAGGGACCGACGAAGTTATTGAAACCATCTGCGGAGTAATTGTTATAGACAGATCTAGATATTCTTAGTGAAATAATTAATAGCTTCTAGGCCTTTGACAATTGGACTTACTTAGTCGAAAATAGAGCGTATTCAAGCGATACCATCTCTTGAATCAACTCCCAGTCATTAATCGAGCTGAAGTTGAACCCAGGGGGCCAGAGAGTCAAAAAGGCATTTACTGGATCATCTTTGAGGTTATTGTATGAGGCTGGCTCTGTGAGCGCTAGCAACGTTTTGTACTTTGTCGTGATTGTTTTATTGCGAAGAACAGGACAATATTCCGTTTCAGAAGCTGCCAATCCAGCATATGCAGAAAGCTTCAAAGATGTGGATCCGTTGTAGTACCTAAAGATGATCTATAAGAAACTTTGTTTCACTTCCAGGGCTCAACAACTTACGATCCAACCCAACGGTAAAGGTTGCTTAAAGTCACATTGTCAGGTCGAAAGTTGAGTTCAGCGGGCATACTGCTAGTATCCGTTGTAGCAAGAACTACGGCAAAGATCGGACTGAAAAGTACGGCTGCCACTGTCTGAAATGCACGCATTCTGTTTCCAGATCTTCTTCCGGATGAGACGGAGATTTGGACCTTAACACAGTGTGATGGGGCTTGCCTTTGTAAAGGATGATAGATGTTGGTTAAGTCGAACTGGGAGAAGAAGAAACGCAGGAGAAACGCAGGGGAAATGGTGTTGGTCCCTAGACTCCGCTAATCTAGTGGTGCCACTAAGCGCTAGGTCTATTGCTTCAATTTGCTTGATCTTACTAGTCTAGGGCCAATTTTCTCAGAGCCACACTTAACCCTTAGCCCTGACTAGTGACTACTACGTAGTATTCGGAGTTAACTAAGTTAAAATGAGGTCGATTTTCCGAAGCTACCTAAGCGATTGGTATATGCCGCATCTAGATTCTATGTATGCCGAAACGACTCGGAGATTGGAAAAATGGCTCCAAAGCCGAGTGCATTATCTGAAATTGGCTGAGGTTGAATTTTGGCGTTGAATTCTGAAATCCCCCACCTCGAGGAAAGGCTTGAGAAAATCAAGCAAGGCGTGCCAAAGATTTCCACTTCCAAGGTTCTGTCTTAACGAGTCTGTATCAGTACTGCAATGAAGTGGTATAACTCCCCCACAAGTTGTGTACATTATTGAGGTTGTACTTCAGCTGTTAACAATGAACATAGCCCCATCTCAGGATCCACCCCCAGACCGAACCTACCCTGGAGACTGGAACCCTGAAACCCTGGAACCCCTCGATCCCCGACTCGGAATTCCATCGGCAAAGTTGGGTGTTCTCCAGGGCATGTGCAAATACGATGTAGATTAGCTATTATTTTTTATCTCATTCGAGTCCTCTCATTGCGATTTGTCTGAACTGCATGCAAGTTATTTGTCATGGGCACTTGTGTGATGATCATGCACATGCATGTGTGATGTCATGGTCAATATTCAGATCAAAGTGGCACTAAATATATCCTTCCCCATACTGCTGCATACATACAAGTTGAAACCTGAGGTAACATCATGATTTCAAATGTTGAATATTGAAGTCCCAATAGTGGACTAGTAGATAACTTGTTCAAAATAAATGAATCTGTGAATAAAACCTCTAGGGTTGAACATTGAAAGATTCCAAGGGGAAGAGCATAGATCTATAGAGTCGCATCTCAGTGCCGCATAACCTCGCTCTTCAAGTTATGAAGGTCCCATTTGCCCCAAAAAGTCCCAGTGCCCCAGTAGATCCATGGATAATCAGCCTTTATACGACTGCTATATTCACTAGCATGAATCGACACTTTTTTCGAAAGGCCGATACACAATTGATGATGAAAATGCATACATAGTAGCTTTTGACGTCGACAATATCATCACCATGTCTGCGGACCTTATATCTCCCGGTCGATGATAGTAAAAAACCAATATTATCCTCATATTGTTGACGCGGGACTTATAAGAAAGGTGCTACTGGAAATGAACCAGCATTTCTCTTTTTCTGCGGTCGCCTTTGCTCCATTCTTTCGTCCGGATATTTTGTTGAATCCTCTAGATGGAGGAAGTAAGGAGAGGACAATTATCTGATTTCTCAATTAGCCTTGTATAGCGAGTAGTTGAGGGAGTTCACATACAAACCAGGTTGCATGCTCATTGTGGTGTAGTGGTACTAACCCTCAAGCACCATGTAGGAGTGTCTCTGCCCTCTGCGAAACCACCGACGGGAGAGGAGAGTATCGAAAGCAGACTTCAAGGAGCGGAGCTTCATCATGATTGATATTGGAGGAATGAGTTGATAGAGGATGAAGTATTTGATGTTCAGTATGATGGGAATCGATTCCAACGTTGTTCTTGCTTTTCCACTGACATGATGCTAGGTCTTTATACTTCGATAGAAGAATTCCATGCAGTTCCGTACAGGAGAATTTGTTCACGTGGAGAAGCGAATCTGATAATGGATTCTTCTAATGTTCCATCTCGCGCTGCTGTCAAAAGCTGAGGTTATTCTCCGGACCAATGAACCTGCCCAAGTGGTAACTATAAACGGCGAATTTCACGTTTCTACGCTAAATGGACGTAAATAGGTGGCAGCCTAATCCTCACAGACTCACCCAGCCTATCATCGGTGTTTCCAGCTATGCTATTACGCGCCTTGCAGGATGAGGCATTAGTGTGAAACGGGCGCTTAATGGGTTGATGTTATATGCGCCGTAGGGACGTTTCACTAAGTGAGCGGGAGTTGCTTTTTTCGGCTTCTCTAACCGCCGGCCCCATATCCTTGACATACATCCCACAGACCTCCATGGATTGACTCCTTCTTTAGGATAGAGTGACCTATGGGTATGCCGAGAACTCTTAACTTTCGGGTAGTTTCTTCAGTAAGACCAAAACAAACTACTGCGAACCACACGGGATAGCCATCGAGATGCCGGGAATACAACCTGCGTCTGAAACATGGCGGTATGTGCTTTTTCATCTGGGATGAAAGCAGATGTGCGTCATAAGATGGGTGCCTTATACGAGTTGGTAATTCTGGGTCATCCATAATCGGTGTGTCCTGATGTCCAGCCTGTATTTGCCCTTTTCGCTGATCTAGGGGAATATGAAACGCGCGATTCATTCAGTCTACCTCTCTGTTGACCTGATATTTGGGTGCATCGTGGTTGTTGAGATGATCGTTGATTTGTCAAATGGTGAAAAGACTGATCCGTCTTCTTTGAGGCTGATATTAGCGCTCATCTTACAAATTCTGGGGCTCTGGTGACTGGCAACAAGCGTTTTGAGGCATTTCTCATAGTCGAACCGGCTGCGAAAGCACTGCAGAATGTACCGGAGGATATTTCTGCAAAGGAACATTTGATATACTATACACTCTGGTAGGCTGCTGAGGGGGTAAATTGTCATTCTCCAGCGCACGCTCGAACTTCTTCGTCCGGGATCCTGGTTCTAGATCTTTCAAGTCCAGTAAGAGCAGATAAACTTCAACGTCAAGTTGTTTGTATTAGTAAGAACTGCGGAAATCATATCCTACTTCCCAAGGTTGTAGCAAGATTCAAGAACAAGGCAAAGATCTATATCAAGATTGTGTTGAAGGTTTGAAACACTTTTGACAGTGATCATAAAGGACTGATGAAATTGAATGAGATGAATGATAGTTATCAAATCACTTGAGACAGAACCTAGAAGACACATAGAAACAGAGTGATGATGCATAGTGCAGTGATGTCCAATCGACAGAGGAACTTGAACCCATATATGAAGACCGATAATTTTCCCAAACACCAATCCAAAACCCAAACAAGAAATGAAGAAGTCCCAGAGCATCCGGAAAAAGATAATTTCATAATTAAACCATGAACCGAGAGGGCAAGTTCATTAAAGCAAATATCCAGACATGGCAAAGAGGGCAAAGAGAGAGCTTGTGCTAGCCTCATTCTCCAGAGATGATAATCATGACGCCTTTCCAATATGAGTTGAGTAAAAAACAGGGGGAAGAAGCAAATGGAAAATAGAAACACAAAAAAATAAAACAAAAAACGCCAGTAGACGTTCTACTTTACAATGATCGGCAGGGAATTGCTGCACAGAAACATGGGGGGGTATCGTATTGAGAAGCACCAAGGGACAATGGTCAAGGGGATACACGACACGTGCAGGTGACACGGTTAGGGCTACCGTTCCCCAAACTTGCCATACTCCTGCTGCCATTTCAGCAGGTGACGGGTGAGAACATCCATCATCTCCACACTGCTGAGGTCTTTGAAATCCTTTTCGGCGATCTCACCGCCATCAGTGGGAGCGGATTCACCGGTTTCGCTATTCGTTGAGAGCATGGCGTTGTCGATCTGTTCAACCATACTCCTCAAGAGTAAACCTTGAGCTCGGTCACCGTTCTCAGGTGGAGTGCTGGATTGCTCGCTAGCAACAGCCATCTCCACCTGCATTCGGGATATGAACTCAAGGATAGCTGCCACCCTTCTTTTCATTTCGTTCATGGTAGTGCGTTGGGGGTGCATGTATCGAGGCTTACTCGGCCTAACACCATCACCACCGTTTGTAAAGGTGCCATTCGCGCCATACCCTATTCGGGGTGACTCTCCGCCGATGTCATGGGAATACCCACGGCGGGGAGATTCGGTGCCGGTACCGTTCACATCTCGGTCTTTGGTGTATTGGTTGCGTCCAACACGACCACGACGTGCTGGTGGGCGCCCTGACTTCCGGGTAGACGGCCTAGTAGGCGGCGGCTCTTGCTGAGTGGGAGTATTAGGGCTTGCTTGGGCCGGCTCAGGTTCGGTTGGCGGGGCAGGCTTGATTGGCGATGGAGGCTCATGTTCGGACTCTGCGATGTCATTGTCAGCAAGCCACAGTATTCAATTTGCGATGGAGATTTTCCGCACCTTCTCCCTTCCGACGATTGTTTCTCTCCTTTCGACGAGGAGCAATCTCGGGGGGTGCTGTCTCAGGCTCCTCGGCTTCCTTAGTAGGTTCCTTGTCACGCTGGCCTCGAGATGCAGCTCTTTGTCTTCGCGTGCCATTCGTGGCTTTGGGTTTCGACTCGTCATCCGACGGAGGTTGAGAAGGTGGGTTGCTATGTCTTGAGGCAGCGGCGGGGGGGGGAGAGGCGGTTCGTTGGCGTTTGGCACCCTGTCTGTTGCTGGAACCATCCTGTCAGTTATTCGCTCGAATCGAGAAACGTGGGATTGAGATCCAAATTACGTACACTTCGCTTTCACTTCGGCTTCGTTTGGTACGTCGAGTGGAAGTGTCGTCAGGAAGACTCTTGGTATCTTCCTTGCTTTCTTCAATGGCTCGTCGAATCAGTTCCTCTTCGTCATAAGCCGCATCACGACTGTTCATGGTGGAGCGCCGCTTGGGATTCGACGCACCCTCGCTGTTGCGAGATTTAGGATCCTTGGACCGTCGAGATGTGTCTTGTGAAGAAGCTCGAGAGGAGGGGGCCGGCGATGACGCTGGTACGACGGGTAGGTAGGTGGAAGAGCGCTGGCTGTGAGGGTCATTAGCATTGTGAAGCCCAAGTAAAAGAATAACAGCATGATTTATGAAGGCTTGGTTCTAGAAAGAAGACTGGAGTTCTGTAACCTGCAGACTTTCCTTCCTAGACTGTGCTGTTGCTCAATACACCGGCCTGCTCACCAGCTGCCACAAGCTCGGACGAGTTTTCTTGGACAGAGGTACATTTGAAACGCAACCACCCGACAGCATGGAAAGAAAGCCCGATGGTGATTTGAAAGAAAAAAAAGACTTGAACTATCAACTTACCCATTGGGTTCGCCCCGTATTCTGTGCAAGTCCTTCCGACATTCCTCACAGAAATATTCGTCGGGGCTCATGTCCTCGTCCATGATTCCAACACAGCCACCATGTTGCCATACTTTGCAAAGATCGCATTGGATGAACATGCTACCGATATCGTCTGATAGTAAATCAGATGAATCAGTAGGAGGATTGGGAGGCTCTGGCTTCACGATGCTCCGACCGAGGGCTTCACGGCGAGAGGGGGGTAGGCCAGGATAGTCCTGCTGTCCACAGAGACAGCGAGTGACTTCTTCCTCTTCCTCCTCTTCAAGGTCATCTTCATCCTCCTCACGAAGAGGCTCTTCTTCATCATCGCGAGCGCGCTGGCGCTGGCGCGTTTGTGGGAGGTCTGTCCTCGAGCCGTTTTCGCCATCATCGATGGATTGAGATCGATGGGTGGATGAGCCCTGAGGAGAAGGGTTTTTATGATTTGAACGGGTGCTCCTCTCACGAGTGAGGGAGACAGAGGAGCCGGAGGAGTTGGTGTGTTGGAGGAGGGCTGGGGAGGGCTGCGTGGTGCGCGCCCGCGAGGAGCGACGAGGTGTCATGGTGGTGGAAGGAGTCGAAAAGATTGAAAATTGAAAGAAGTATAACTTATATAAATAAAATAAAAAAGGTTGAACAAGCTCTTGAAAAGATTTCCAGTGGTGTTGAGAACTGTTTCAAGCAGCACCGGATTGCGAGGGAGCTCTTGCGCGCGATTGTGAGCTCCTTCTGGGTAGAAGGAGGGCAATAAAATTGAGAATTTTAAATAATTTTGATAGCACAGCGTCACAAGGCTCATAAAAGAGCCCGATGACTACATAGTCCGAGGGTTGTAGCAGGATTGGCGGGGGTTTGCAGAGAGAGAAAGAAAGAGAAGGAGGAAAAGCACCGGAACGGGACTCCAAATGCACTTCGCCCGTCCTTCCCCGCTCTCGACACCCTCTTCCAACGCGCGAGTTACCGCCTTTCCCTTCATTTGTAGAAGTCAGAGAACTTCTCGTTCGATCATATCGAGGTATATATACTCATAATATTTGGAGATCCTGAAGATTTTCTTTTTCTATGGGTGGCGTGCGCTTGGTCGCATGAAAAAAAATTGACCATGACGCGCTCGGCAGAAATCCGTCCCCTCCCACTCGGTTCCTGTGAACAAATTGCAATTCCTTTTTTTCTTCACCCTTTTTCGAACATAAGGCAATGCGATTGCTTATGTCCTGGGTCATGATGATCTATAATAAAGCTGTGAATATTTCTTCTTCTCTTTTTTTTTTATACCATGACCTATTTCCCTTCTGTGACGACGAAGCACCTCGACTGCAGACCCTCAATTGGACCGGAAAGCGAGGAGGGACAGGTACTGCAGCTGCAGATCTCCAACAAACAGATTTGAAATCCTCGGTGTTATAGGACACGATGGACCTTATACAAAGCTCGTGCACTCCATCGACGTACCACGGTGGAATTTCCTGGGTATAGCCCTAACACCTGGGCAACGGGTCTTCTGGACATGAACCAATAGTGATCCGAAGGACCAAGCGGTAATAGCTATCCAAATTGGCCATGGAGTATTTGGGCAGTAAGCTGATGCAGAATTACTATTTGGTCTTTCTGTCAAGGCTCTGAGCGGGGGACCGAGAACATACGCAAGGCACTTGAGGGGCAGTTTACAATGCGCTACTAATCATGTTGCTAGCTATGCAGGTACAATGGACTTTTTGAACACAGTTTCAATGCTAACTAGGTTGCATCACCTGGCCTACTGGAACTAACCTATGTTGAAGGAATTTTGTTTGTAATATGGACCACTGGCATTGGTCAATGGTCTGCTGCGGAGAAAGGCAACTATATCCTGGGCAGAACAAAGTATGCACTGCATACTACACATAAAGTAGTTATCTGGCTTTCGCAGCATAACAGAATTAAAATATTATCTACTAGTATAAATTCCCATATCTTCCAAGTTCCAATTCTCACAAATGACTTGTAATAACCAATTTAAAGTCAATTCTACAGAACAATATCTTCATATGTAATAACATTTACCCCGGTTGGGCATGATTACTAGGATTACCCAATTCGGTTAGCGTCATGGGTGATCCGAATTCCCGTGACTTGTTCTTTCGCTTCACCATCTCTAACCCCTCCGCAATTCCTATTCTCCGGATCTTGCTTGTGTCTCGAAAAACGGCTGTTTTCGCTGTCTGTTGGGACAAGCAGATCTATCGCAACCTCACATTCTTTGCCAATCCCTGTGGTTTTTATGCACTGAGTTGTAGAAGGATTTCTAGTGGTTCTTGTCGGTATGTTCATGATATTCCCATATCCGTGGCTGTGGAACACCCGAGGCCAGCGGAGATGCCCAAGATCACCCCCCAAAACGGAGTTGTCCATATATGGCTATATCTGGCCATGCATACATCCCTGCATGGTATTGTATGCTGAACCCCGGCTAACGGATGTATGGATTGATAGTGTTTCCCCCCGAGACCAAACATTTGCCCCCGAAATATCACGATCTCCAACTCCAGTCTCACTGGCTCGCTCACAGCAAACTTGGTGGAGGGGGAAACCAAGGAAACTGAGGACACGGGTTGGCATACCTCATTCCACAGCGTGTAAGCGATTGTGGATGAGGTCGATTGTCAAGAGACCTGCATGATGACTGCTACTCTGAGTATGTCTTGCCCGTAGAGGGACAAACCGGTTTGCATCACCTTGTTGGGTGGACTGCCGGGGAAATCCCAACCTTCAGGAGTCAAATATCTATCCGGTTGCTCTGTTACTGACGCGGTGTTGCACTCGTGTAGACGGGACGTTCAACTCGGCGCCTGACACACCCTCCCCCGTCTATCCCGATCGCCTGATTCGTCCTCTTCCCAGGCGGACCCTGCGTTCCCGCTTGTCAACCGATGCCGCAGATACGATCCATTATCCGCCCACTCCTCCCGCGTCACAGATCTTCTATGGAATCCCAGGAGACTCAGAAGAAGCGGTTAATGAGTCCAAGGTCTATGTACAGCAGACCATCGAGTCGGATCGACATGAACTAACTCCCGAGGCTGAATCCCATCATGGATTTGAGATTTCTGTTGAGCTCGAAAGCGGAGACGAAGACGGACCGGTAGTAGTGCGCCGTAGTGCTGGGTTTCGAGGATCTCTATCCCCAACTTCCAGCATACAAGCACAAGGATCTGCTGGTACAGATGGAGTTTTGAAGTCCTCGGCTGGACCGGACGGTTACGATGCATTTGAAAACACCAATAATAAGAAAAAGCGAAAGATACCCACGCCGGGCAATATGGCCGGCCATCATTCAACATTATCAGGGGAATTTGCCAACATGGGCTTGGCCACAGGGAATACGACCCCAACAGCAAATGGTGACGGAACGGGGACATATTATGGAAATGGAAATCCAGCATCGCCAGTAGGGAGCGGCATATCAGGGTCAGGTCGAGGTCGTCTTGGCCGGAGCTCTACTCGTAGCAGCAGTGGTCGTAACCCGTTATCTGCAAATGCGCAGAATGCATGGATGACAGCTCCTCGGACACCAAGTCGGCGGGATGGAATGATGTCGTCCCCTGCTCCATCTGGTATGTATATCAGGGCTCTTCCTCCAAGGGCTAACTGCATTGGGTCGCTGACTCGTCGACTCGTTGACTTGTTTGTTTGCTAATCCGTTGACCACAGGTGAACCATCTGACCAGGGAATCATTTCCACAGCGATTGCAAATGCAGCAACGTTGTCTTCTCCCACACGTGGACCGAGCAACGTGAGCTTGTTGGATCAGGAGAACACTACCCCCACCAAAACCCAGTTCACGTTTACCTGCGAGTCTGATTCCTCTAAAGGATTGGTCTTGCAGAGAAACTCATACTCCACCCCCGTCGTTCACCAACCTCTCCTCTTTCTTCCGCCACCCAAAAACCTCGTGCTTTCTCTACCCAAGGCACACAAACGAGCCCAAACATGGGTAATGCCATCTCAAGAATGGTCCGGCCGGACGATCCGGATTTTGAACGCATCGAAAAGAAGAAGAAGTCTCCTGAGGCCGTTTATTCTGCTGCAGCTCGTCGCCGTCAGAACAATCAGCAGTACCATAATGCTCACAACCCTCCCCGCGCAGAAGACAACTGGATTTGCGAGTTTTGTGAATACGAGCGTATCTTCGGCACTCCCCCAACTGCACTCATCCGACAGTATGAGATCAAAGACCGCAAACAACGAAAGCTACTTGCTGAGAAGCAGCGCCTCCTAGAGAAGGCCAAATCAAAGGGCCGCAAGGCAAAGAAGGCAACGAAGAACGGATCAAAGAACGAAGCTGCGCAGCCTGGCTATGATCACACCTCAGTTGAATCTACCGGTCCCGGCCTGCGCGATGATGAATCTCTGGGTCCAGAGTATGACGATGAAAACGACTCTATTCCCGCTACCAACCCTGCATCCCCCGCCGAACTGAAACCACCCCGACCTCTTTGCTGTGATCGCCCTAAGACGACTGTGGAGGACAGCAAGCATCCTGTGAAGCATGACAATGACCCTGCATGCGCCAATGGTTGATGATTTTCACTGCATGTCATTGCATGGAGCATGGTGTCAGCGTTTTGTCATGAAGCATTCTTTTTTTTTCGGTTCTCATTTCAGTCGGTTCGTTTATGTTAAGGTCAAATCCTTCCTGGATGTCTGTATTCAGGAAAGGAATGTTACGAGTTTTGCATCTGTGGAATTCCCCTCTCAAAGCATTTTAAGGCAAGCGTCAAGTCAAGGCAAGCATTTGGAGCAGATTCGTTTGAAGGAGTCAATGTATTTTTAATGATATCAATAATCCATATTCTTATCCCAAATCTGGTTTCTTTGTTGTAGTTGAGGCGGTTTGTCCCAGTGCCAGATTCTTTGTTAGCAACCCGTTATTATTAGAAAGTAAATCCAGACCAGATCAAGAAGACGTAATCAAATTTAGGCGGAATCTAATTTCGTAATCATCTGGAACTTATCGTCTGGAACTTGAATCTAGTTTCTTTATTGATTGGCTCAGAATATCTGGTTTGTTCTTACGTTGAAACACCAATCCTGTGATATTGGCGCGCGCGAGCTGAGGAACTTGAACTGTGCATAGGCGCCGACCCACAGGAGATCGATATGATTTGCGCCAGCATCTAGACGGTTCATTTCCTATCTGGGTAGTTAATTGTCTGCAATAGCTATTTTTGTTTTATGACATAAATTTCTATGTTTCATCTTCATATAGATTTTTACTGAGCTTGATTCTGAATGGTAGAACCCAACCTTGGGACCAATCCAACTAGAGCCGCTCGGCATTTATCCCTTAGATGGATTCACTGCTTTGTTTCATATTGGACCAGAGGATTAAAGCAGCTAAAATAGAATTCTAAGTGCCTTTCATGTGCCTCAACTATAGGGGAAGATACCAAATGTCTCATCATCTATAAGACATTCGAAATCCCCAAACTATGAAACCAGCAACGACCTTCTTTTGTTTCTTCAAAGATTTGTTTCATGCCTCTCATTTAGATACGCCTGGTTGCCTGTCTTTGAATTTGCAGACTATTCTCCTTGTCAAATCATTCTGGTTGATGAATTGACTCATCCTATAACACCTTCTTTCTATTTGATTTGGCAATCCAGGCTGCCATTGACCCCAAGCTTCATTATTCAATACTTTCCTATCTTCCTTCACTAGACTGTGATATACGATTTTGACAGCATAATCCGATTTACTTTGTGGATTCACTTCACGCTGCGCGTGACCTCTCATTCAAATACTGTTTACATTTCTTCTCGAGAAATCACTCATCGCCACTCCCTCAATACATCATCGTCCACACGGACTCGAACCAAATACCTACCTACCTACTATTCTAATACGAACTCGAGTTCATTTTACAAAAATATCTGCCCATCATGTTCCTCGCTGGAAAAATCATCAAAGTCGGCATCAACCAGGCCAAGAAGCGCAAGGCCAAGAACCAACCTCAGTTCCAACAGCCCGACCCGAACTACAACTATCCCCAACCTGGTTACCCCATGGGAGAGTACCCACCAGGCGTTGCACCTGGTACAGACACCAAATATGTCCTGACTCCGCCTGCAACCAAGGCTGGCAAGCTCACCGCGATGTTCATGTCTGTTATGCGCTTTCTCCAATTCGTCTTCGGTCTCACTGTCGTCGCTCTCTACGGCGACGATGTCCACCACGATCACGAAGACGACCGCCAGGCAAACGCTAAATGGGTATTTGCTGTTATTGTGGGTGGCTTGGCAACCCTGACAGCTTTATGGCATATGATCCTACCATTCGTCAAGAGACGTGTGCACTCTGGCTCGAATCAACATACATTCAACACGAAGGTGCTCTTGCCAGAGTTTATTTGGGAGTTTATTATCTGTGTCATCTGGATTGTGCTGTTTGGTATCTTCGGAAGCATGTACATTGGTGTTTATGGTAGCGATTCAAGCAGCAGCAGCAGCAAGAGGGATTCGTCAAGCTCTAGCTCTTCGGATTCTGGATTGGGTGATAATGCAAAGATCAATCGCATGCGTCATGCTGTTTGGGTTGATCTCGTGAATCTGGTTATGTGGATTATCACGTCGACTTGGGTGCTTCTTCGCTGGGTCAAGTCTCGTCGGGCTGCACTGGCAGCTGTGGCGCTTGATGCGGGCTTCGATGCTGAGAAGATCTAAGTGTATCGGGTCTTTGATGCTCGGAGACCTACTAGGTGTATTCCAATAGCTACTTCTCACTGACTGGGACAACGGGAGGAGCGTTTGGATTGTATGGAAACACGTTCATTGTACACGAGATCTCTCCTTCTTTCTTTTTTCTAGTGCCAATGTCTCTTTTACTTTTGATGGATTCTCCTTGGCGTTTGGTGGAGTTTCCTTCTGTTCACGTCCAACTCGAATCACGAGTCAATCTAAAAAGATTTTCAATATTTGATTAATTCATTATATATTCCATCGAAGTAGATTATTCTCATTTATCTTGCAAATTTCGTCTTGAATCTCACATGTACTATGTCACAGGAACAGGCCCACTAAGTTTGCTACGGAATGGAATTACATAACCCCTGTAACCTCCAAGTCCGAACACACATGTACTACCAACTTGAACCTCTGGAACACCCCAATGCTCACAGAATACTTCTGGTTTGCCTTCACCAAAACTATCTAGCTTCAAATTATCTTGGGGCGCAAGCAAGAGATTGAATTTAACACTCTTATTCCAATTCCGACCAACAAATGCGAGATCGTTTTCGTTCCATTGGCCAGGTAGGAGAAACACATGTGCACACTGGCAACTTCACCCTGAGCTCTGGGCCCAAAATTCAAATGGCGAAGGTAAATAGCACTGGCATGATGTGGGAGAAAATACAAAAAGAAAGTTACTAAAGCACTTTCCTTACTTCTAGAAGAGAAAATACTCGAAGAAGATCTGTATCGATACACCAGGCACCGATAGCTGTAAGTTACAAAGCCGATTATTGTTTACAGACTTATTCTGACTGTTATTGCAGCTTTAAAGAGGAAAAAGAATTGGAACGCCGACACGTTAAGTTCAACTTGCAAGAGCTGCTCAAGATAGCCGTGAATGCTTGCAAGGGAGTTCGATCAGGTACGTTCTGTTCTATCCCTTGGGGCATACCCGGGATCAAACACTAATATCGCTGAGCAGGTATCAAAGTCACGAAATGTCCAGAAGGGCTACATAACAAAGCTTTCATTTTGACAATGGATAATGGGTCTGAGGTTCTTGCGAAGCTCCCTAATCCCAATGCCGGACCTGCGCATTTCACAGTTGCCTCCGAGGTGGCTACACGTGAACTGGTAGGATATTCTCTTTTCTTCATACTGGACATTTGCTAATGAACTTAGCTTCGTCATGTATTCAACATACCTGTTCCCCAAATATTTGCATGGTCCAATGACGCCTCAGCCAACTTGGTCAAGGCCGAATATATCATCGAGAAAAAGGCACCCGGTATACAGCTTGGGTCTGCCTGGCATCAATGGCCCCGAGAGCTAAAACTCCAACTCATAACTCGTGTGATTGATCTCGAAGATAAATTGACGAGTATCTCTTTCGATCAGCATGAATGCATCTATTTTAAAGATGACCTACGCTTACTTACAGGGGAGGCGACAGAGCTTCAAGTTCAGGCTGAAAATGTTGCGCCCAAGGCTCTTCAAAAATACGTTATTGGACCTTTGACCACGAACGAAATTTGCATGAGGGGAGGTGGAAATGATATATTACTTGCCCGCGGTCCTTGTGAGAAATGCTCAAAATACTCATCATTATATTCCCCTGTGATACTAATCTATGGAGTACAGGGATAACTCCACATGACTACACCAAGGCATTGGGAAATAATGAAATGTTATGGATCAAGTCAAAAGGAGCTTCTCGAATGAACTATTACCGGTCAAGTCAGAACAAGGAGCTTCCAGCGGATGGTCTCGAACTTTTGAAGAAGTATATGGATGTGGCTCATTACCTTGGCCCCTCATCAACCGATGAATCGGGCGCCTTGAACGTTCTCTGGCACCCTGAACTTCACCTGGACAACATTTTCGTAGATCCAGATACTCATGAAATTACCAGTATTATTGACTGGCAATCGGCTTGCGTGGCACCGCTGTTTTATCAATCCTGTATCCCAAGACTATGCAGACATCTTGGCCCTGTTCAAGAGGGCTGGAAAATCCCCCAAAGACCCGATAAATTGGAAGTCTGAGCGAAAACGAACAGAACAAGATCGACAATGACTTGGAAAGCGAAATTCTTCACAAAAACTATGAAGCCCAGGTGTGTAAGCGCGCACCCCGACATTGGAAGGTTCTTCAGAATCGGTCAGTTCCCATGATCCGGAAACCCGTGTGGCTTGTAACTAGGGTATGGGAGAATCGCGATCTCTTTTTCCTTCGAGAGTCATTGATGGAACTGGTTGCATATTGGGATGAACTATTTCCAGATGTCACTTATCCAATTGAATTTACCAGAGAGGATGTCGAGATGCAGGCAAAGGAGAATGAAAATATCAAGGGCATAGGACATATGCTAACAATGTTCCGGGACCAGGCGGCTCTCCCAGTGGATGGGATGGTCGATCCTGAAGACTATGATGTTGCCCGCAAGAACTGTCGTAAGTTCAAAGATATTTTTGTTGAACTGGGCAAAGATGATGAGGAGAAAGAGCTGTTCCGGAATTTATGGCCTTATCAAGAGTCTGAGGCTGGGACTTCCCAAGGTAGTCCCTAAGGTGATTGTGAGCCCATTTCTCAACTGATGGAGGACCTGACCTCGAGATAGATTGTAGTATTCTGTTGTTCGAGTTTTCCAGACACAGGGTCTCCATTTTCAGCATCAATACATGCCATTCTCCATACCAATATACCAGCGGCATAAGTCGCGGACTTGCAGTTATCGATGTGCTCCAATAACCAATAGTAGTAATCTAAAAGTCATCCTATACAGACTGCTAGTGGTTTACAGACTCACTTATTTCCCAAACTTGGAAGCTTCCTCAACTTAAATATCTCTCTTCTCACTTTGCTTCTCTCCTTCTCTCACTTATCACATGCATCCTTGCCAATCCTGAGGTCTTACATTTCACTCTTCTTCCCTTCTCACTCTCTCTACTTCTTCCCCCAACTTAACTTCTGGCCTTCTTTAGTTTTCACTCTTCCTTCGCTCCGCGGAGTCTCTATCGCTCCAAAGAGGTAAGCCATCTCTGAAGACACCATACCTTTCCTCTTCCTGACCCTCCTCCCTTTTCAAGGTTTCATCCTCTTCTTCATTCCATCCCCTTTTGGACCGGATCTCTCCAAACGTGAGTCTTCCTGCTTCCCACAGCTGAACTTGCCAATCTGTCCTACACGTTGTTTCTTGCCCAGGCTAACGGCTCATTCTTAACAGATGCCTCTCAATCTCCTGTACCTCCCCAGCGAGGTCATCGCCTTGATCGGCTGGTGTCTCGATTCTCGCCGGGATATCAGAGCTCTAATTGAAACTCATCCTCGGTTTGCATGCCAGATGCAGCTCTGGGAATCCTACCACTGTATTGAAGGCAATTCCTTCATGCATGAGAGCGGCCTTCTGTTCGCGTGCAAGACCGGGAATGAGATCATTGCCCGTGAATTAATGAAAGATGGCGCATGCGCCTGGGCAAACTCTCGATTTTCTCGTTCCTGGACGGACATCGTCTCTTACCCATTGCCCATTGCCGCACGCAATGGCTTTTGCAGCATAGTAAAAGTTCTCCTGAAGCACAGCGACCCTATCATCCCCCACTCCGAGAAGTTCGATTTCATCATGCTTCAGGCTATCAAGGCGGGTTCTAAGGAAACTGTCGAGGTTCTTCTCAGCATCAAGGATGACAAGATAGATCCCGATTTCCAGCTGCGTAGACGAAAGCGTCACCGATACTTGGGTTCAGTAAAACCAGGATGTGGACCAGACACTCCCCTCAAAACAGCAATGGCACTAGCGAATGAAGAAATCACACGCCTTCTCTTGGACGATGGACAATTCGTATTCAACATGAGCAGTCTAGGAATCGCTGCAGCGGCAGGTCTCGATGACCTTGTCAAGATGATTCTGGAAAATCCATACCCAACTCGCACAGCGATTGCTGACGCCGCACGAGGCGGACACATGAGCACTCTCAAAATATTGGTACAAGATGGGAGGTTGGATCCTAATCAGCCGGATAAGATGGGCTGGGCAGCACTTCACTACGCGGTTTATTATGGAATGATGGATATGCTCCAATTCTTGCTTGGTGTTGAATGCATCCGTCCTGATTTTCGCTCTGATGACCGGTTGGGTGGTAATCATACACCTTTCTCCGAGGCTGCACAGCACGGAGATATCAAAATGATGAAAATTCTAATGCGAACACGCAAGGTTAGCGCTCATTACATCACCTGGAGTTCATGGACACCACTACATCACGCGGCCTATGCTGGAAGTGCCAAAGCTGTGTGTTTCTTGCTTGCCCAAGGCGTGCAAATTGACCAGCATGACGAAAACTTTCCGAGTCCTTTTGCCCTGGCCGCAGCAGGTGGTTATTTGGACGTGATGAGAATCCTACACAGCACGGGGAAGGTGGATATTGAAAGCTTGGGCCAAGAAGACCGTACGCCATTGTCGTACGCAGCTGGAGGGGGTAACCCGGAAGCTGTAGCATTTTTGCTTGCCAAAGGAGTGAACCCAGATCCCAAGGACTCTAAGGGCCGAACCCCCCCTGTTATATGCCGCCCAGCAGTGCAACAGTTCTGTGGTGAAGGTTTTGCTCGCAATTGGTAAGGTTGACTTCAATTGCAAGGACCTTCAGCATGAACGCACTCCTCTCCATTGGGCGATGCAGACTCTTCCCCTCTCCTTTTTGTCACCACAGTTTTTCAAGTGGGGTGAAAAGGGAGAATGCTTGTATTCTGTACTCCGTGATTTGGGGGACGTTTTGCTATGGCAGGGATCCCGGCTTGCACCTCTTGACAACGACACCCCTTGGCGCACGCGAGACGGGGAATGGGGAGAGAAGCCGCACCTTCTGTGGGACCCACTTGGTGTTTTCCGACAGCTTTTATTGATCTGCAAGCTCGTTCCAAGGACGGAGAACTCGGCTGGACAATTTGGCTCTGGTTTCAAGAAAACAATGGAGATCGGGAGGGTGAAATTTGAGGGTGTGGGTGACGCATGACAAAGAGCCTTAGAGGCTTTCTGATTTTTCTTTTACGACATGAAAAGCTCAGAAAATATGCAAAAAAAGATTGAATACGAAGCACTTGGAAACTACTATTAATTTGAACCATCAACTACTAAATAGTCGGAAGTACTAAAATCGTTAAACAATGGCGAGAAAATTCGATATCAGCTTCTGGAACACCCCACAGGCCACAAGTCAGTATATTACTCTGATGCAGAAAATTGGAAGCCAACGAGTATATAATGTAAATAATCATGGTTCAAGATGGCCATTCTGTATGATGACATGCCAGGGACTGTCTCCAGCCCTGGAGACTTTTGTCGTCTCATCCAACATCCCTTCCTCATACTAAATCTACCGAAATCTGGAGATCGGCTGGAGCATATCGTGACTTACTACCTTCACTTAGCTCTTACTTGACTATTTTTTTCTGGGGGTTTTCTGCCTTCACTTTCTCCCTATCTATTTCCAATATTCTATTATCAAAATTCTTTATCTATTCTTGACTTCCCCCTCTTATCAATTCTACTCTTCTGTCAACTTCCAGGCTATAAAAGCTTCCCTTCTTCATCATTCTTCCTTCTTTGTCATTCGACCTTCTTGACCTTCTTGAATCTCTACCACTTATCAAAAGCTCAACCCTCCCAGAAGAGTCATATGTCTTCAGATCCAAGCTTTCATACCTCCCTGCATCCTCATCCTCCTTCTAGACATCTACCCTTCGACCACACATTGAACAGAATTCCTTCAGCTATCAGTCCTCGTCCTTCCCATGGCTGAACTTGTCCACATCTCTTGCTCTTGTTCAGGCCAACGACTTACCCTTTATCCTGTGCTGCACGCAATGGGTACTCGATAATGGTGGAGATGCTTTTATACCACTGTGATCCCCTGATTCCACACTCTGCCAAGTATGAACTTGTCATGATGGAGGCCATCAAGGGGGGGGGGGGTTCGACAGAGGTTGTCCAGCTTCTCCTCAGGATTGGGGATGATGACGCAGACCCCAAATGCAAAATGCGTCGCAGGAAGTCCCACAGATACCTGGGTTCTTCAAAGCCGGGATCTGGGAAGGATACCCCTCTAAATACGGCAATCGCATCCAAAAATGAAGAAATCACAACGCTTCTTTTGAAGGAGGGTCGATTTGAATAAAGAAATGTTGGCTTTAGGATTCTGCTAATAATGCTTCTTCTTGGGTTGGGTGCATGGAATGTGAGAGATTCTGGTCTATTTGATTGCAGGAAGGAGGCGGTATGAGAGGCGGCTCGTCCCTATGATGCACAGCATGCTGTTGGGAAATACAAGGATGAGCTCGGTATAATTAGTTATTAATTTATAAATCTTTAGGTTAATATTATTTTTATCCCAAAGTTGAAGCCTTAACTCAAGATCCGGCTCAGACTCAAAACGAAAGGGAGGAAGAAAACCTCCAGGGCTGTAATAGTATCCTGTATTAATTAATTAGTTTAAACTTAGATAATAAGAATAATTCTAATTGAAATCCCCATTGGAAATGAGGGCTTCCAGCATCATCGATGAACGTTAATCCTAAACATTCGCAGATCACTTGTTTCATGTTGCTTGGACTTCATTTCCCATGATCTTCGTGGCCACTATCTAAAATGAGTCTGAAGAAGCTAGTATTCAACTTCACCAGTCTTGGAATCACAGCACGTGTTGGTTATGACGATATGGTCAAAATGATTCTGGCAAAACACCATTGGACTCGCACTAAGCCCTCAGCAAGCAAAATTTGATGCGACGACTTTTGATTCCCCCCCCCCACCCCCTCCCAAGGCCCCCCAAAACCTCCCCGCCATCTACCCACCTATCTACCTATTAAAGAGGGGAACGTAGTGATGTGTGATCAAGATACACGCGCAGAGACACCATAGACACACTACAACAAATGACACCAAACCATATACTAGACATGTGGAATGACCCCTGGGGTCGGATCAGAGAGGTGTATGAGTATGTATTCCTAACTAGTGCGCAGTGGCATTATATGAAGCGGTATCGTACATGAAGACCTCCCGCCTAGTAGTAGTCACGTCACGGTGTAGTAGTAGTAGGAAGGCCTTCCCCACTACACTGGCACTATATATCTATATATGATAATAGTATTTGGTCATCTTAATCTTCGTGCAGACTTTCATAGTATCCACCAACCCAGTGTAGTGCAGAAACTTGATCATGTTTTATAGCAAGGGCAAAAGGAAACTGGAAATTTTCATCATGCTTGTCAGGGTGCACACCTTGAGAAACTAAGAAACGCACAGATTTCCAGCGTCGACCGCGTGATACAATATTGTTCAGTAGCTTCAATCAATGGAATGAGTGTCGACCTTGACTGTTCCCATGTGTAATTTATAGCGCAAATCGAAAAATCCATCAAAGCACCTGTGGATACCGCAGGCATTGAAAAGGTTGCACATAAACTTCGGTCCTAGAATCGGGCTCGGTCTTAGGCGCATCCGTCAGGATAGAAGTATCCTCCATATTGGAGGGCTCCCAATCACCTAGACCATAATGAACTCAAATTTCTCAGAGTGAGGAATAAAAGGATCACTGAAAGGCCAAGCGAATGCCTGTGGATGTCTTAGACATCGCGGACATAGATTCCCTCCCAATCCGCACATTGTGCAAGGACATAGATTCTCCCCAATCCGGGCATTGTACGAGAACTGATTTCAGTCCCAGTCTTGCAAGCAAACTGAAGACCTCGTTCGACGCTCAAAATAGTTGGTCAGACGGTACATGAACTCGATGGCTGGGCCTCGCAGGTAGAATGAAGATGATTCTCAATCAGAGTTTTAAGATCTTGGAGAGGATCCGGAAACTCGCAGATCAAAGCGATGACCTCGCTGGAAAGCTGCAAAAGACTCATCTGTTGAGAATTAGTATCAGGGGATACATAGTCGTGAATGGTAGGGACCCGGCGAAACTGGTCGTTGAATTGGCAACGTGTCAACCAAAACGGCCACACGTCTGCTCCCTTTATCAGCATTGCCCAGGCAAGGGCTTCATGTCCATTCTTGCAGGCCAGTTGAAGACCTTGTCTGGTTGACCAAGGGTCAGCAAAAAGCCACATGGACTCGTAAAGCTGGGGCTCGTTGGCAAAATGTGGGTGGGTTTCAATGAGGGCCTTGACATTGTCCATGACCTCTAAAAACTCGCCGATAATAGCAATGATCTCGCTCGGAAGTTCTAAGAGACCCATCTGTGACGAGTTAGCCACTTGTCCAGATAAGAACGCAGTTTGTTAAAAGAAATAATGGCAAGTTCAGAGGAAGGAAGCAGGAAGACTTACAGCTGTGGAAATCTGCCTTAAAGGCGATGGAACGGTAGGGTATCAAGAGGAGGAGTGATGAAGAGTGAGGAGAAGTAGTCTCAAAAAGAATGAGCTTCGAGGATCCGCGAGATGTGACTCTTATGAAAACGCCGCTCTTGAGAAGTGGCACCGAGTCGAAAGCCAAGGAGGAGTGAAAAGCCAAGACGACCGAGAAGCGAAGATAAGTAAGAAGGGGCAGGTGAGTCAGAAGTCAAGAAGAATGAGAGGCGAAGGATGATCAGTAAGAAGAAATAGTCAGGACAATGAGTCGGAAGAGAGAGGTAAAGTCCAAAGATTTGAGAGAGCAATGAACTCAGAAGTGATAGAGATTTGAAAAAGGACATCGAAAACAATAGTAAATTTGAACGCATCAACTAAACCATGGAGCTCAGCAAATACTCCTAAGAGATATAACTAGTATCCACCCAGTCCTCATAATCGCTTCCCAGGATATCAGAAATAGTCACAGCAGCAGACAAAGTAGTAGCGAAGCTAGCACGAGTTCCCTCTGCTCCAGAACCGCTATTATCATACTCACCAAAGAGCACATCCTCAGTATTCGGCTCACTAGTAGACCACTCCACCCAGCCCGCAGAGTTAATCACATCACTGAGATAGGTATTCTGGAAGACGACACGAGCATACTCAGTCCAAGGACGACCAAGGTAATAAGTTCCCTCAACTACATCTTCACCAGATGCAGCCTCAACAGTACTCTCATTAATAACGTAGTAACCCTCATCAGAGCTGGATGGACGGCCTTGGGCTGTGATTGTGCCCTCACTATAGGTCAGAACACCGATGACACAGCTATCGAACCATGCGTTACCGGTTTGACCGAAGATAAAGTCAATGGCACCCTCAATGTAGCATGTGCCGTAAACCTGGTATCCGGTTTCTGCGAGCACGGTGTCTTGGAATCCGGTAAACTGGCAGGCATAGTATCCTTGCTCGGTGTTGTATGCACTAAGTGCCAGTGCCTGAGATCCCTCGCCGTAGGTATTGGCGATGTTGATATTGTAGATGCTTGTCTTTGCGGCCCAGTTACGGAAAGTCGCGGATTCGTCATCATCAGAGACATCATCCAGACTTAGGTCGTAGGTAATGGTGACCGTGTTGGAGGAGTATGTTGTGTCACTGTTTGAGTTAGCTTGTGCATAATTCCAAGGTTGCCCAGATTCAACATTGAAGTTTATAGATGCCATGATCGTGGCATAGGAATTAGGTGACATACTCTTCGGTTTGACCGTAGATAATCAGTGCTCCCGACAATTTGGGAATATAAACTTGTTCCTCGTAGGTACCCTCCTCAATAAAGATAGTCTGGGTCGCAGTGCTATCAGTGTCGAGTGCGGCGATGGCTTCACTGACAGTGGTATAGTCACCGCCAGATTTAGCAACGACAATTGATCCAGATGGAGGAGTAGTGCGACTGGCAGCTAAGACCGAGACCGCGAAGGAAGTAAGCGCAAGAAATTTCATTTTGACCAGCAAGTAATGAATAATCCAGAAGAATCAGAAAGGTGTGGATTTCAAGAAAGATCATTCTTCAGGACCCAGCACGCATCATTTATAGTAATCAGCCCATAGCACCCCCTTGAAGTTCTCACGGAGTCACGGACACAATGGGATTTCCCCTGACGGAAGAAGTGTGAACAGATTATCGCAGCGCTAGGTTAATTAGCTTGTCTCCCTACCAAGCCAGTCTCCGGGGCTAAAACGCCTTAATCCGCCTTAATCCACCTATGGCGCGAGTAGACCAGGACCTAGTCCTGTTGTTGAACTCAAAATTAACATCTGCAGCACATTTCAAGAATGGTTTATCCATCTGTCGACGCGGCCGGTGCCACCGGGGATGAACCATCGTTTTAACTATGCATGAATTTGGTATAGCTTCGGAGGAGAAACTGGGAATGCTTAAACGAACTAAATGGCCCGGAACGTGCTGATCATGACGGAGTTGGCTGGTTCGGGCATCGCGATCTTCCACCAGTGAGGTTCGAAACATGTGGGGACAACTAGATGGAACTAGGTGTCAGAGTTACCCCTGCTTTATTCAGATGTTCCAAGTTTGAGAGTATAGGTCCGACTCCCGAGTCATCTGCACTGCACTGTACCCACTTGAACTTCAAATGTTTCGGATTCGGAATTCCCCACATAGGAGATTGTCATTTCTTCAGGGTGCAGGCCCACAATTCAGCGAGATTAGGGATTATAAGGAATTATTAATGCAAAAGTAAAAATTCAGTATGGATTTCGCCGACTCGGAGAAATCACCTAGTTGGAATCAGTATCAACTTGAAATAGGAATCACTCCCCGGGGTCATAAGTCTGAGCGATTACCTACAGGACCGAGTGAACCTTGGAAGACTGCGAGGCTGGACTGTTTTATGTGCCTGTATTTCTGTCAAAGCTTAAGTATTTGGTCAGATGGTCATCAGGAAAGAGATAGATAGATAGAAAAAATATTAATTCATTCCTATCTATTGAATGACATGTCGAGATAATTGCGAAGCCAATGGCACCAGATTCGAATCAGGGATCTCATATGGACATTCTTCGTTCACTTCCTCCACTGTAGGTGGATCTTCGTCAACATCGGCGGGAACTGGGGCACATGCAGATGTTTCCCGGAGGGTCTGGATCCCAGCTACCTCGTCGTCTCTGGTGATCTGATTAGCTTCTTCAATAACCTCGGTCCAGTGTTTTCGGAACCCCTTCATCACCAATCTGCTGCGTCCGGGCTGAGGATTAGAACTTGAAGCCTCCGCACCTTGCAACATGTACTCAAAAGAGTAATTGGGAGAAGGCTGACACGGACGATCGGCGAGGTCGAATGAGTGGGTTGGCGCCGGAGGGTATTTCTCATCAGGTCTCGCGTCGGTGATGATATGAATCAGACTTCTCATCAATTGTTCGGGCATTTGAATGCGGTCGGACTCTGGGAATCCAAGTAAAGGTGTTTGAGTTGCTGGGCTGATATTATTGGTATTGAAAATCGCTGGTTTGTCATATAAACTGTGATCCAAGGGTTCAGCATTCGGCTTGCTGGCGGGTTCCTGCGTGTGAATTTCGACACTAACCGTTTCTATTCCTTGGGGCAGGATGGGGTCTTGTTTGTCTGTTATTTCGAGAACGGCCGGTGCTAATTCAGGCTTCGGCATACTGATCTCATCGGGTATTATTGTTGATGTTGTTGCGGGAGCGATGGTTGGTGACGACAGATCGAAGGAGACATGGCCGACATCTGTCCAAGTTGCGTCTCTGCTAATCTTGGGATCGCTTCCTTTCGGGAAATTCTGTTCTGTGTGTAGATCATCGTCCACGCTGAATAGTGGCTCCGCGGAATCGTCATGCTTGGTCTCCGGCTGACGCCCTCGTGGTGATACAGAGGTCTTGGAGACTGATGTTTGCGACGACTTGCGACGAGTGAATACCGGGCGACGTCTTGCACCTCGAATTGCACGGTTTGTTGTGAGGTGTGTTGCTTTCTTTGGAGCCTTTTGCGGGGTCGTAACATCTTTAGGGTGAGTTACCTCGATAGGAGTGGGTGGGTAAGATGGGTTGAGGGTAACACGTTCACCATCAGGCCGCTCAAGGAGCAGGCGCGTCGTTTTATGGACCTCACCAGGGGCAGTATTGGGCTTCTTGAGGATGGGGTGAAGTGAGCCAGGGATCTCAGTGTGAGGAGCAGACTTCGATTGACCGGGGCTCTCTGCCTCTGCTTGAGGAACGGCTCGTGGAGAAGTGTAGGTACGCATGGCTCCAGAACTTGGTGATGGGAATTTGAGCTTGTTTGGGTGAGCGTGGTACAAGGAAACACGGAGTCGGGAAGACTTACACCATCTTTATCTGAGTTGAGGGGCTCAGATGCCATAATACGCGAGACCAAACTGTCCAAGTAATGGATATTGGTATGGTCGAGAAGGTCCTCACTGCTCCAAATTCTCCAAAACAGATATTCCAGTCGGCGGTCAACCTCTTTCTTGCTTGTCTGTCGGGATATGAAAAAGGCTGTCGGAGTGAGCAATCGTCAGCATCGGGTTCAAAATCAGACTGATCCAAAATTACCTTGCCAGAATCTCTTGATCAGAGTCCTGTCCACAATTTCGGAGCCATGAAGCTCGTTGGTAACTGATTTTTGAGAGATCGTGACGAGAGGCTCTGGGACCTTTTGTGTCATAGTTGCGGTGTAGAAGGTACTCCGTACTAGGATACACTTCTGAGAGTCAAGGCACAGATATGGCGTTGTGATCCAGCTCGTTGCGTATTGCGATGAAGGTGTTGAGATTGAAATTTAAGATCTTCCAAGTCAGAGGATAAATCTCTGGAGATAAAATGAGTGAATCAAATTCCAAAAAAATCAAAGTAAAAAAAAAAAAGTGAATGTTTGATGATGGAAGGGTCCCACCAAATAAAGCCAATAAGCGCATTCACTGAACAAACTTGAACGTCCACAATACACAAGACACCCGAGCAACTTGCAAGTACTCAAGTACACGGGGATTTCGCGGGGTATATTATAAAGAAGTTAAAGCTACTTCGTACAGATTCGAGATCGACACTGCGCTTTTTATGGATCGACGGTTGTTTCCGAACATAAAGAGCTTCAAAGTTGAATATGACAGGGAAGAGCTGGACCTTGAAATAACGACATGGATTAAAGATTCAAAGATTTTCGAAGTCTCAAAGAAGAATAAAACCTGGAAACTAGGAGAGCATTCTAACGCGGAACATATCCCAATGATCAGCGTACCTTCAGCATTAACCAAGGTAGGATCGGCGGAGGAGTGGAACCACGGTCAAGCTGGCAATGGTGATGTTAACACCCATGAAGGAGGAAAATTCGATACATAAAATATTCTAGTGTTAACGAAGCTGAATGAATCTGAATCAACAAAGCCTCATATTTCTATGATTAGGATAAACCGGGATGATCGGCATGTATCGGGATTGGTGCTATTCGTGGCCCTGACTGAATCTAACGCCAAAACACCCACTTTTACGAGAACTGCGAATTAGCCGCTGGTTTAAATCAGATGATATGAAGTACAAAGAGTACTGGAAAATATTTCATTGATCTTCATGACAAATAAGCCATCCGAAACCGCCGAACGCCGCCTCATCATCGCATTCCGATTCGCCCCTTGCCAAGGCATGGGGTAGCTTCGATGCGGGTAGAAGATGAAGATCAATAGATCAATAGATCAGGGTATATCATAGGTCGTGATTTCAAATGTTCCAGTCAGGTACCTAGCAAGCTAGGACTGATGACCTGGGGGATATTCGACGAGTCTCAAATTTGAATCTTCCCCCTTCAATTATGGATAGGATCGATTAATCCAATCTGGAGAGTGTGGATGTCTGACGAGGTCCTGCATGAGTGGAATGCACGAAGCTCCAACAAAACCTCAACGTGTTTGCTTCGCTGCATTCGCACGCCGTTCCCCCCTTGATATCCCCGCATTGGCCTCTCCACAAGGACCCACATTGGTATGCAATTATGCGGAGATGAGGTTGAACCAAGGAACACGATGAAATCTCTTTGCGTAACATCGTGATGCGAAATTTTGCGTTGATTTCCAAGGTTGCTCTATTGAAAAGTAGTCATGACGAAACATTGGCCAGTTGACTGCTTTCGTAACTATTCACGGGTGTCCAAGTCCAAGTTGAACTAACTGACAACTTGAGATATGTTCATTTGATCTGATATATGTACTTCGTTCCGATTCCGAGTCTCAACTCGGAACTCGGAGTCTTCATGCTTTCTATCCAAACTTCAAGTCGAAGCAGACCCGGGAGTCGTTAGCTAGTATCCACGACCAACTTGAACATTTTGAAGAAAATCCGAAGCTTCAAGTCCACAAGGGTATACCATCGAATCAAAATTCACCCTCAGGCAAGGTCGTGTTCTGAGGAAGTCGAAACTTAACCACCGACCCTCCACCCTGCGTCACATATGCATACCCATCCGATGCAATCTGAATAGACGAAGGCCCCTCAATCCCACTTCCATCTCCACCAACATAAACACTATGACTTCCATCCGGCAAGATCCTCGCAATACCATAAACCGGCTGCGCAACATATGCAATTCCATTCGAATCAATAATAAAATCGTCCCAATCATTCGCCGTGCTATTCAAATTCGCAATAATCTCCACCTCTCCAAACGTCTCTCCGTCATCACTAACAGGGATTCTGCCAAAGGTATTGCGGGCGCTATTGGTGAAATGCACATAGTTCCCGACAACCTTCAGCCCATTAACACCGATAGGAAGTGAGCTGGTGGACGTTGCGTTTAGTTGTGGATCTTGAATCGCAACCTTCGATGCACCGGTTGTTGTGTCAACCCGGAATAGCAGACCCCGGATCGCATCGCCGATTAACACGATGTGTGGGTTCTTCGGCACCGCAGCCATTCCATTCAACATAATGGCAGTAGGGAGATGCGCTACTTTTTCGATAACCGGGTTCGTAGCATCTTGACTAAAGTCTACCGTGTAGACTGTCTCGTTGTCATAGTGGTACGTTCCTCGGACACCACCAACCACTGCATACTTCTCGTAAGCGATCGAAGTGATGCCGCAAAGAGCAGTGGCGCCAGGCAGCGCAGCGACTAGCTCAGGTTTTGGATTCTCCGCATGAGGATCGAGAGTGTAAAGATGACCCTCGTAGAATGTGGTAAGGAGGAGATGGCCATTAGGTCGTAGCTCGCTGTTCTCAATGTCCACGTCACCGCTGGTAAAGTTGTATACTGTTGTCACTTGCACTGCAAGGGTGGAAGTGGCTGCCAGAGCCAACAAGAAAGGGGAACGCATTGTGAAGCGAATTCGTAAATCAATTGGATTCTTAACTTCAGAGACAAGGCTGGAATCGGGCGACAATGGCGATTTTATTTCTTCATGCGGGGTATTTGTTGCAGAATCCTTCAGATTATATTAGTAAAATGTATCGGACCACCGAGATACAATTATTGCCGAAGGACCTCCTGGAAGTGCAGGTACGGTTATTCATCGGGACGAGAGACTCCGAGTAGAGGGGATCGACACTACGGGCCAAGACGATCACCATCAGGACTTGTGGAAAAGGGTAACAAGCCCCGAGTCGGCGCTGTGGGGATTCGGGTGGCGATCTGCTTTATTGTCATTCTGGATGTCAGTTAGACGAGTCAGGCAATTAATTTATCATTGCAGGATTGCAGGAACGATCGTGAAACTGACGAGTTCCAATAATTTCCGACCCTAATTTGTTTGGGGTTTATGCAAACCCATTTCTCAACCGATGGAGGAAATCACTGAACGAAGAAAAGAAGGACCAATTCTTATCTCTAACCTGGCGTGATAAAGTTATCAGATACAGCCGTGGACCACATATTCTTATTATAAAACAGAGATGAAGAGTTACTAGCATTAAACTCATCTTAAAGCAGTTTCTTTGCCGGTTAGAGGCATTTTTAAATTCGCTAGACCGCATAGTGGCTTCTATGATTCTAAGCTTGGATTGGTTTAACTTTTCTCTTCAGCCATGGTTCACATAACACACCTCAAATGTTTGATTAAGACAGCTTCAAGTTACTCTTGCTGATCCCTCAGCGCTTGGGACTACAAACCTTGATATAGATGGTAATTTTTGAAACCGAGCAGCTATTTACCTTATATTGACTCACAGATCACCCAAATCAAATTAGGAGGAAATCTTCAGATACAAGCGATAATCAGATCAAACAGATGTGTAAATATTCAATGTTATTGTATCATGATGGTGATCTGCTAGTAGGGAAGCTACGAATGTGATCAAAACATCTTAATATAAAGCTCTGGGCTCCCTCCTGAGATCTCAACTGTAGACCGACTTGTCTAGTAATCCCCGGCCACTATCCAACATGTCGCCTCTCCCAACTGGAGTCGTCCCTCTCATCTCACCACCCTCTGCTGGGTCACTGGTAACGAGCAACACCACCACCGAGCAAGGGCCTAATAACACCACCATGTCCTCCACCAGAACCGAGACCAAACCCCTCGAGGTGGATGCCTGGAAGAAGACAATGAAGGAAAGAAAGGGGAAGACTGCCAATGATCTGAACTGTAAGGCATCTCAATTGCTAGAGGCAGTTCCGTGAAGAATGATCACTCTAATCAACGTCACGGTTGAAGCTGTCCTTGATCCCCCCCTAAGCCCCGAAAGCCCATTGCCGTCCACTGCCCCATCCACCATAGCAACATCGAGCTCCGGGACCTCTCCCCTCGAAGAGCCCAACAAGCCAATATCGAGTTTGTGGGCCCGCCACCAGGGTATGAATCTGTCCGTTCGCCGGTTGTTGGTGATGAATCTCCTCCACCTAGACCTCCTATGGTCTCAGGATCCACCCTCATTTCTTTCTTAACCAGGCCGATGCCCCTGTAGCTTGCCTGTATGCCGCGTGCCTTGCACCGGCTGTCTTTCTGTATGCCGTGTGCTGTGCACCGGTTGTCTTTTACTGTATGCCGCGTGTTATCTACCGGCTGTCCTTTACTTTATATCATGTGCTGTATTTTCTGATGCTATGACTAAAAGTTCAGAATAGCTCAGAATACACATATTTGATTGATTCTTCTTTTCCTTATCTAGTGACATCCTAAGATATGGCTTGCCTAAGTATTGTATTACTATTGATTTGAAATACCACCTGGGCATGCAACCTTGGAAGTGAGATGAGAGAGAGAAGAAGTTTAAAGTGAGATGAGAGATATTTAAGGAAGCTTGGGAAATAAGTGAGTCTGTAAACCACTATTACCTAGTAGCAATCTATACAGGATCATTTATAGGTTGCTACTATAAAGCTTGGAAAACATTCCAAAGTTCAAATGTTAAGACAAAGATTCCTAGGTTTGGATACTATGGTATCTATATCTCCCAGGTATCTAACATGGATGTTGAGACTAGTAGGTATACTAATCAAAAATTGTAGGAAAGTCAATTCATTTCGAGAACTCTTGTCCCGACATGCCGCTGCAGTTATTTAAAGAATGAAACAAGGAATCTTCTGTATTGCATTCAGTTCCACGAAAATTTGAATTTCTAAAATCAAGTCACAGTGTAGCCACCATCTACACGGAGCTCAGCACCAGTGACATATTTCGATGCATCGCTAAGCAAGAAAGTGACAGCTCCCATCAAATCCTCAGGGACACCCATCTTACCGACCGGGATAAGCGAAATCCATTTATCGCGCAGCTCTGGATTCTCGTCCAGGATTTTGCGTGTACTGCAGTGAAAAGCGTTAGCAATATAGTCATGGAGAACGTCAAGTCTCAAAAATCAATGAAAAGCTTACAGAGCTGTCAGCATATATCCTGGACTAATGCAGTTGACGCGGATATTATGAGCAGCCCACTCAACAGCTAAGGAAGCTGCTAACTGCCGGACGGCTGCCTTGGACGCATTGTATGGAGCTTGAGGCTGGGGCACGTTGACAATAGCACCGGACATGGAACCGATCATGACGATGCTACCGGGTGCTTTGCGTTCCATCAAGTGCTTGGCTACACCTGTAGCAAACAAGTATGTGCCATTCACATTCACACCCCAGAGCTTCTGCATTCGGTCAAAGGGGTAGCTGATCGCATCAAAATTCTCCGTGAATCCTGCTGAGGTGACAAGATTATCGATTCGACCATGTTTCGCTAGAACTTCCGATAGTGCGCTGTTTACTGAGTCTGGATCTGCGACATCGGCATAGTGTGCGGTAATCCTCGGCATTCTGAAAATGAATTGAATCAGAGATTTTTTCTCAAAAGGCTGTAAAGCAATGACTGGAATAAGACGGTCACTCAAGGGACTTACTGCTCAAGACCAGGATTCTCCTTCCGAAACTGTTCCATCAGTTTCCCCGCTTGCTCCTTAGCCTCAGCTCCTACCAAATAGTGAGTCCACATATCCTTCACATGATGCGAATACTTAGAATTAGTCACTGATAAGACTCACCATTCAAATCAACAATGGCCAAATCCGAGCCCGAATTGACCAATCCTTGTGCCATAACTAATCCCAATCCTCGTGCACCACCCGTCACCATACTGACTTTACCCTCGAGTGAAAACAGGTCCAGAGTGCGCTTGAAGTGCATACCACCACGACCTTGGGCAACTGGCTGAGCGGGCATCTCGCTATCAGGTGGGTAAGGAATCTGTACGCTCTCATCAGTTCGCGCGAATCGGCCTTCCTGGCTTCCCGAGGCACCCTGAGGGGCCTTTGTGGTTGCAGCAATATTTGGATCCTCATTTCCTGCTTTTTTTTTGGCTCGTGTCGCAGTACTTGAAAGTTGCCGAGTGAACCGGTTGGTAACTAGACGGAAGGTAGAGAATGTGGTTGAGTGAGGGGTTGCGCTCAACACCCTTAAGGTGGAGCCTGTAATAAAACGCGTAAACATTCTTGTATGAAGCAGAGTCTTTTGGGGAAAGTGAAAAGATTAATTATTGTAGAACTTCAGATGAGGAAGTGATTCATTTTGAGATGGGATGATTCGGATGAATATGAGGAAGAAAATTGAATTGAGGGGTTCCTCTAAATTCAAGTGAGCATTCATAGGTTATGACTTGGGACTACTAGTCAGTATTCATGGACACCCGGATTTTGTCAGCAGGAAATTTCTCTCCGAATTGAACTATTTCATGGACGCGCGGGGGTGTTTCTAACTCACATTTGACCTCGGGAACCGAATATTCGCTTACTATGCATAATGCAACTACAATTTCGGTGCCCGACTCGGAGAAGGCCCGGATCTAGTCCGAGATGATGCCTTATTGGATTGATATCAAGGAAAATATAGGCCTCTTTTACTACTTTGGCTGCTAGTTGCCTATATCCAACTTGAAATATATAGCAGCTAGCCTTCCTTCTCCTCCAGGTAACTTCAGGTTTGAGCCCCGTACATAGGCAACCCCGTACCTAGGTACTTAGATAAAACATTTGAAAGAAGTGTAGGCCATCGATCACCTGTAGATACTACATACTCACTCGGACTGAGCCGTGTACTTAAGTATGTGAAAATTCTTGTCTGAGAGGACGTGAACACACCTGGCCAAGCACTTGAGTGCTGGGGACTCGGACATACCTCCCCAATTTCGATGCTAGTGCCGCGAGAAGCGCGGTGTGAGGACTTGTTGGGCCACCACGGGAGCTGCTTACGCTGAACCAAGAGTGGAGAAATGTTTATTGAAGACGTTCCAGATATTTAGTAGTATACAACCTGCACCTCTCCTCAAAGATGCAATAAATGAGAAATCATGGCTGCTCACATGGAGGCTTTGCAGGATTCTGGTACATTTTCTCGATCTCAACTTCCAGCTGTCTTTCTTCTGCTCATCCTTGCCCGGGTCAGGGGTGCCGGGCTGCGAATTTATCTTCCTGGCCGCTGGAAAGCCACCAAAGCAAGTCCAAGTCATGCAAAGCTCATGGCACTCCACCAAGTGGCCCGTAGGGCTCGCGTGCAAAGTTTCAATACTTGTTCTTTGGCGGTACCCTGGAATGACTCTATGAATGACTTACTCGCTCGGACATAGGCGCCTGGCCCGCTCATCAAGGAACGGACATCCGCGGGCACAGGGCTCAAGTTGTTATTCACAGTCTTGTCGAAGATGGACGGAATATTCATACGGTAATACCTCAGACCATAGCAAAACTGCGCAGGAATTCGAACAGAGCAGTGACCACCGTTATGTCTTCAGAATCACACTGGGCCTGCACATGTGGTAACAGAGTGGCTAGGAGCAGCCCGTTTCTGCCAGCGACGATAATCTGCAGTACAACGTGTACCACGGCTGGAGAGGTGAAAGTCAGAAGTGTGAAGCATCCGAAACCAATTGATATCATCGTAAAGCAATGACATTGTTGAATAGAGCCCAGAACCCATGGAACCGCGACATAATGATACCCCCAACGATAGAGAACGCTACTAAGGCCACAATAGTGGGCATGAGATCAAATCCAGCTTGCTGGGTCGAATCCCCAGGACCGCCTGGAAATACACGGTCAAGAAATAGTTGACCCACATGATGAGCATGCTCTGGATGAAGCTTTGGATTTGGAGAGAGACAGATGAGAGACTGAACAACAGTCGGGTTTGAATCAATGGGTTCGCCGCGATTAGATCACAACCTCCCAAAACCAGTGGAAAAATGACCCGTGCTGAGCTCCAGGGATACATCTGGCCACTCATTGTCAATGGAATGAGGATAGCAACACTGGAGGCAGGGAGCAAGAAGTTACCGAGCCAATCAAATTGCCTCGTAGTAGCTCGCAGCGACTCAACTCAGCTGCGCTCTTCTGCCCAGCCGTCCGATGGCCGAGCATCAGAAACAAACAGATGATAGAGGCTCCGCCGAAGGGCACGTTCAGATAGAAGATCCAGCGCTATGTACTATGTTGGACGATCACTCCACCGAGGATGGGTCCAAACACCAATCCCGAATACCTTAGGAGCTACTTTGGCAAGTCCCAGCCTCAGACTCTTGACAAGGGCATAAATCCCAGAATAGCTCCTTTTCTTCATCATATTTGCCCAGCTTTACAAGAATATCTTCAATTTTGAACTGAGCTTACGACAGTTCTGCCGGGTAGTAGCAAGGTCGTTAATTAACGATCGACCATACCATTCACCAGGAGAACCGTGGAACCATGTGGTCTTGTAACAAGGCCAGTATATGCCTAACGCCATTAATGTTCGTATTCTCTTTAGCCTGCATCTCAACACCTTCTCTGGTAGATTTAATTGGAAAAGGCAAATCGGGGGAAAGCTCATCCCAATATGCGGCAGGTCCATTAGCAATTCTCGAAGGGAGAGATCGCGATTTCGCCATACACCTGCCACTGGCCAGTGGGCAGTATTTCCGGAAATTGGTGTCATCACCTACCAGGTAGTGCGGCACCAAGCCGCATCAGAGCACGCTAAACTCAAACAAGGGTAAATTGGGGGTGCTAGACCCGATCAGGGCGCCTGCGCAAATAGTAGCTCTTCTCTGGAAGCGGTCTAAAAACTAGTCCTAAATAGGCATGCGAGCTGTATGTACCTAGGTGAGGCTAGGTATGAACCGTATGACCTTCCGCACACCAGTTGACCTAAACGATGACTAGTCCATTTTTGGACTGCGGCTTGCTGCCAGTACGGGGAACTATAACGGCCATCTGGCCATAACCCATTTTTCCCATAGTAAATATTCACCGCCTATCTCACCGCCAGCTGCTTAATCACCAAAGGGTAAAATCCCAATAACTAACTAACTAGTTAGTTAATACATACCCGCGGGCGGTTACCCTCCCAAGCCATACTTCCAAAGTTGTTGCTAAAGTTGTTGATGGAGCTATTTCAAACATGTAGGCTGTGGAAAAGTCGATGCTAGCTATAATAAAAAACCAGGAATAAGATCTATTGTGACCAAAAGTGTACCTATCATATAGTAGGAAGTAATATAATTATTTTTGAAGAGAAATATCTATAGGGGAATTATGGTGAAGTAAGAGATATATGTAGCGAAACTAAAGGGAATGAAATTAAAAAGTAAGATTATATAGATAATAATAATAAATATTAATATAAGTATATTATTATTTTAAGATAATTAGTTATTCAGATAACTTACCACAAATAGTTTAATAGGGATTCAGCTTTAAATATAGCCTTAAGGGTTACTGGTGTTAAATTGGATCGGGTCTTGGAGATCAGTATAGGGACTCAGTAAACCTTGGAAAGTTCCAAGGTGGGAAGGCCACCAAGCCTGTTATGGTATTACAGTTTTCTTCTTTTTCTACCGGCGATATAGGGGTGATGGCCAGATGGCCGTTATAGTCCCCGTACTGCCAGGTGGGAATGGCCTAGCAACCTTGGAAATAAGCATAGCCTTTTTTGGGATAACATGTTCTGGAGTATATCCGAATATCTTATTCTTTTTCATTTTTATTTCTTTTAAATGTTCATTCTACTTTGTCCACTTCACACATCTCAATTTTCCTCACCTAAAAATCAAACTTGACCACCTTCTATACCAACTTCGTACACCATGGGAAGCTTCGCCAAAATAGCAGACTCTGAATGGGTCGGGTCGGGCCGGTATGCACAACTCAAGATCAAGTATGATGGATTACTCTATGAACCTTACCGATTCTCCGATATGCTAGTTGCAGAATACGCACTACGTGAATCTGTACAGCGCGAGGAAATACTACAATACAAGATCCAAGGTCTTGAAAAGGCAGTGGCTATCGAACCCGACGGCAAAGCCCAGCTTGCACTGGCAGACGCGAAGAGTGAACTAGATAAAGTTGAGATACAATGTTATCATAATCAGCAGGCGCTTTATCGGACAGAAGCAACGTTTATTCCACGCGTGAAACGAGATTATGACACGTTAAGAACCGATGATAACTGGTATATGCGAGAGGAAATGGCTCAAGATTGTGCAGATAAAGGCGGCTGCTGCAGCCGAGGTTGTGGATGCTGCGCTCGGAGAAAGCTATCAGAAAAACGCAAAGGGACGGGCTACTGCACTCTAGAGTGTTGGTGCTGTTCAATCCAGCGAGGCTTTGAGGTTCCATGTGAGGAAAATCAGGAGATTCAGCAAAAGTACAAGGAGATGCTTGAGGGCTCAAATCAAACTTTTTTGTTGCATTCTATTAACTGTCTTGTTTCTCCATTGAAGTGTCAACCTGAAGTGCCAGTGCCAGTGCCCTCAAAGTCTTTATAGTCAAGGGTTGTGTCCCGGTGGCGGCTCATTTTTATGTGAGATTTCGACCGGAGAGGTGTTTATGAAAATTGCATTATTCATCTTGCTCAATTTTGGGGTCCTTGGGAGCAGTGAAGTATTTATTATTTGACAAATTGAATTACTGATCATTGAAATACTTCAAGTTGTACATGTGAACATTTGAATCTACTTCTTACCGAATTATCCTATGTTGTAGTATACTAGATAAGCTAGTACTACATATGTAGTTTCAACATACTACTAGTAGGTAAGGTTCAAGTTTTCAAATGTTACGTATATAATAAATTTGCACCTGGGCATCTTTTCAAATGTTAAATATTTGAATGCAGATCTAGCAAAAAAAAACATGGCCATTGGCTAGTTCAAAGGGTGTTATGGATCAGATTGTATCCATGTATGAACAATAGTACCTAGGTACAGACTATATAGCCTATATGGATCAATCAGTCCCGAGGTCTGATAGGCGGTATAGATAATACCTAGGTGCCCGCCTGGGCAGTGATAGGTATAGTATGATGGTATAATAATAGCGACAATCTCAACTTCCAAATCCTAAAATTTCATATCTTGAACTAGAGATAAATGCATGAGGTTAGTTTATCGCTGTAAGCGCAACTCTTCGTAGTAATCCCCTACAAAATTCCAAGTATCGAATTCCCCTAGTCACGACACTGACCATGTGGTCCATGTCCAATCTTCCACGCTCTCCTATGACTCCTCGGCGAACTCAACCAAGGGTGTCCCGCTCTTGCATTGATCCTGCAACATAATTTGTCAGCTCTCTGTAGTCTGAATCGGGAAAGAATAGCAATAATCGGATGACCGAATTGTAGGGATCGACTTACTCCTTGTTTATGAACCACCCGAGCAATCGTTCCTTCATGTGGACTGCGAATCACTGTTTCCATCTTCATACTCTCAATCACAACGAGTGGCTGATCCTTTTCCACCACATCACCGGCTTGTACCTCAACCCGCAACACCTTGCACGGCATCGGTGCCAGTACGCTATTAGCAACATCTTTCATTCCCAGAGCCTTCTCCATCCATTTGGCTCGCGGGACTGTCAGACGATATTGCATGCCACGCTGGAATGCAATGATAAGGTCTTCATTCTGAACCACAGTCGTGTCTAGTCGGGTATGAGGAAAGAATGAGGTTACCACATGCGACACTGGGTCCATGTGGCTCTCCACTTGCTCGAAGACCGTTTCACCAATTTGAATATTGAATCTCTGGTCTGCTATTTGCTGGACACGAACGTGTAACAGAGGCGCTTCAGCGGTGGGTCCAGTTGCCTCAGTGAATGATAGCTCTCGCTGCATATAGCTTGTGGCAAACCCAACTGCCGATCCCGCGAGTCCGCTAGACGGGCGAGCAGCTGCGTGAAAATCTCGGTGCAGACATGCCAGCGCGACTTGAGCAAGGGTTTCATCATTGATTGGCTTCGGCGCAAACAACTCCTCTCGGTGCTTCTCAATGTATCCAGTCTCAACTTCTCCAGCAATAAAATCGGGACTGCGACAGATGGTCTTCAGGAATTCGATATTGGTCACAGGGCCAGCAACTTCATATTGCTCCAAGGCCGCACCGAGTTTGCGAATCGCTTCCTCGCGTGTTTCTCCACGGACAATAAGCTTGGAGATCATGGGATCGTAATGTGCGGATACCTCATCACCTTCAACGAATCCAGCATCAATGCGAACATCTTCAGTTGAGACGGGTGTTCGCACATGAATCAAGCGCCCGGAGTCGGGAATGAAACCCAGGTTCGGGTTTTCAGCATAGATACGTGCCTCAATGCCGTGTCCGCTGCAAGCAATGTGCTCTTCAACCTGCTCCTGGGTTAATGGAAGCGGGGCTCCTTCAGCGACCATGATCTGCCAATGAACAAGATCTTGTCCGGTCACCATCTCTGTCACAGGGTGTTCGACCTGCAGTCGGGTGTTCATTTCCATAAAATAGAATTCCCCGGTTTCATTGTCGAAAATGAATTCCACTGTTCCTGCACCTTCGTATCCTACTGCTTCAGCAGCAGATCTAGCTTTTGCCCAAAGGTCTTTCCGAGTAACATCTGGCAAGTGAGGCGCCGGTGACTCCTCCAAAATCTTTTGATGTCTGCGCTGGATACTGCAGTCTCGCTCTCCAAGTGCCACACTATTTCCATGCTTATCTGCAAAAACCTGGACTTCGATATGTCGAGGCGTGGTGATGTATTTCTCGATCAAGACAATGTCATCCCCGAATGAGTTCATGGCCTCTGACTTTGCCGACTCTAGCTGTGATTGAAACTCGGCTTTTGAACTGACAATACGCATGCCCTTGCCACCACCGCCTTTGATGGCTTTAATAAGCACAGGGTATTTGATCTTGTCTGCTTCGGCTTCGAGGAATTGAGGGTCTTGGTTGTGTCCGTGGTAGCCGGGAACGCAGGGTACGCCTGCAGCGAGCATAATTTCCTTGGAGCGACTGAGGATAGAGATTTAGTCGATGTATCTCCTGTTCTGCTGGGAATCACTCACCTCTTATCGCCCATATCTTCAATTGCCTTCCATGGAGGTCCAATAAACACAAGTCCAGCTTCAGTGCATTTGCGGGCAAAGGCAGAGTTCTCACTCAGCTAGATACATATTTAGAATTAGCTTCTCGCATTCAGAAGTGATCACTTCATGAAGAACGATCCTCAAGGGATTGAACTCACAAAGCCGTAGCCGGGATGTATTCCTCCACATCCTTCTCTCTTCGCAATCTCAATAATTCGATCTCCATCTAGATATGCAGAAACAGAGCCCAGACTATATGAAAATGGCGAGCTTAATGCATGTTGTGATCGACTATCGGGGTCTGTGTAAAGAGTAGTGACACGGATTCCATGCTCCGCAGCAGTCCGTCCGACGCGTCTAACATTGAATTAACTCTGCGTTGCGACATCCTTCTTTCCTAGATTGATAGATACATACAGTGCAATCTCGCCTCTGTTCGCGATCAAAATCGAATCCAACGACTTCTGCTGCGTCCCATTTGCGGCTGATACCGAGGATACAGCTCTAGTTGTTCGGCGGGCCGCCGTCGGTACAAGGCGGGGCGTAATGCGGAGAAGGGATGAGAGGGTCATGTTGGGTGTTTAGCTCAGCGGATGGTGTTGCTGTTAACTCGACGCAGAAAATTCACTGGTTCTGGGGCTCTCAGCACATAATCGTAATTTCTTATCAAGGGTGATCTGAAGAAGAAAGACTAGTTGATGCGGGTGCTCGTAAGTCGTGAGCTCCTAGCTAAGCCGATTAAGCCGATGGAAAGCGAGATTGCGGGGAAAGCCGAGGCTTATGTAATACACCGTCATTTGCCGGGCATTGATATCAGTGACCACTGACATCACACTGTTTATTGCAATAAAGAACTTTACTTCATTGGATATCATGTTGATTTGATCGATAAGCTGGGACTTGAATCATTTTGGGTGGCAGATTCCCAGGAGTGTATCTCACATGATCTTGAGTTGACAAAGAGAATTACCCGCGGACTGATTCAGTACCAGTGTCTACAGACTACAGGTGACTTGTGACAGACTCCCCTTTGTATGTAAGTACCTCCGGGGTTACCTACAGAGTTAACTGGAGAATTATCTGGGAGAGAAGGTTAATAGCTGTGATATAGTTGGATATAGGCAACTGGTAGCCCTAAGCATAGATGAATATCTAGGTATTCAGCTGCCCAGGTGGTTTGAGTATCTTCCGCTTCCATTGTGCAGACGTGACGAGATCATTCAAGTTTGAAAAGTATGAGAAACTTGAACCCTTGAGGCTTGGATCTTCAAATTTTACCAGCATTTGGCTCCTTTCGACTGCATTGCTTCAATCTGGTGAACTTCTGAATGATAACCTTGGAAATGTGTCAATGAGCTGTTCCGCCCACGGGTTTACTTTGACCTTGCGAGTGTGCCCTTTCTAGATCTCAGCAAGATTCATCCAATAGAGGAAATTTGGAGAGTCGAGCCGGCTCATTCATGACAATGACTACCGATACACACCTCGAACTATGGTTTCAATTAAGATTGAGCAAATCTATTCTGGCAGTGGAACAAGCCAATCCCTTTTTATCTGTGACCTTGGAGTATTCAGAAGCTGAAATTTGACTCACGATCCCATTGCGTTCAATGAACTTGAAGCTTCATCATGATATTGCGCAACATTCACGGACGGTTCAATGTTGTAAGGCAATCATACCATTGTCAACGACTCGGAGTATTATGGACCATAATGTCAAATTTTTATAGAGATCACATATTGCGTTAGCAATGAGCCTCGGGAACCTTGGGAATGAACTACACGCACTCCATGACTGCCAGTGCCATAGAATGACATGGCTACGACTCGGATGACCGCGTATATCTCGCCCCACTTTGAGATCCAGTTCACACACCCAGCGCACTATCCTGAGGTTGTCTTCAACATCGCCCAATAACAAAGATCCTACGCATCATCGAGAAGATTTTGAGATTCAAAATTCCATGTCTCTCTTGATCTGGTATGGAATTTATGTACGTGCATGGCTCTAATTCGACAGGATTTGCTGGTGGCTGTGGTGTGGATCTGATATTGGGGATATTGCGTATGGCACCACCAACGGAGCCACTACGACCACTACCAGATATAATATTCTACTTTACACCCACGTGGCTAATCTGTACATCTATTATGGATGATGCTAAGTGCTAACAAGGAGCTTGCTTTATAGTATCGTTCCATTTGTCTCATAAACATCTGATGACTCTTTAGTCTGTGGCCTCATCATTCAAACCCAAAAAAACTGCCCGAGTGTCAAAAATCCCAACCCATTGGGGCCTTATACATGCTGCAAACACTTCATGGTAGCCAAACATTCGAAAGCTCCACATAATGTCGGGATTGAAAGCTTGAAACAAGTTTCGAGTATTGCAACGGCACAGAATTCCGCTGATCGGCGAACATGTTTCCTCTGGCGGGTTTGCATGCCGATCCCTGTCCCATTCCTGCCTTTTCATTGCATGAAAGATTGCCGGGATTGATTGAGTCCCGATAAATGGTGGGACCTTAATTTCCTTTCGGCTACTCAGAACAAGATCTTCGATCAGATAACCTATGGCAGGAAGATGCCTCCATATCAGGCCACTTTGTGGAGTTGTTTCGTGGGATCCTCCGGATGGAATAAATGTGAAAAATGTGCGAGCCCATTCCCTCTCGCAAAAGTCATTCCTTTTGTCTTTCGTGTCGTGTATCAATTGAACGGTCATGGCATTCACCATGAGGTTCTTGGTTGGCATTGTTGCCGCGGCGTGCTTCCAGCTCTGTCAAGCGAAAACCGTCACCTATGATTTCAACTTGACTTGGGTCAATGCCGATCCCGATGGACTACATGAACGCAAAGTTCTGGGTGTCAATGGACAATGGCCACTTCCCATCATTGAGGTTGAGAAAGGTGACCGGCTCGTGGTGAACATGCACAATAGTCTCGGGGATAAGACCTCATCCATCCACTGGCATGGCTTATACCAGAATGGAACCAACAACATGGACGGACCATCAATGGTCACTCAATGTCCTGTCTTGCCCGGCTACTCATATACATACAACTTCACCATCGAACAAACGGGCACATTCTGGTACCATTGCCACGTCGATGCATGCTATCCCGATGGTCAGCGCCAGGCTCTTGTTGTCCGTGATAAGGATGCATACTTTGCAGACGAGATCAACGGAGATATCACATTGACCATGAGTGACTGGTATCATGACATGACCGAGAACCTCTCCCAATCCTTCCTCTCCCCCACGAATCCCGATGGCGACGAGCCCATCCCTAACTCATTCCTGTTTAACGATGCTATGAATACAAGCATTCCTGTTGAGCCTGGCAAGACGTATATGCTGCGACTGGTCAACATTGGCGCTTTCGTGAGCCAATACTTCTATATTGAAGGTCACTCATTCCGCATTGTGGAGATCGACGGTGTTTATACTGAGCCTACGGAAGCGGAGATTCTCTACATTGCTGTTGCCCAGAGATATTCGATACTGGTAACAGCTAAGAACACCACCCACAAGAACTTCCCTATTGTCACTGTCGCCGATGCACAGCTATTGGACTCGGTTCCTGACACCCTCAAGTTGAACCAGACAAACTGGTTACAATATAATGCAAGCGCGCCTCACCCCCAAGCTGTTCTGAATATCACCTCTTCAACCCAGCTTAATCCTTTCGATGACATGGGGCTATACGCATATGATCAGATGGAGCTTCTTCCTGAGCCTGATATTACTATTACTGTCAACGTAGCTATGCAAGAAGCTAGCAATGGAGAAGGCTACGCCTACCTCAACAACATCTCCTATACCAAGCCTAAGGTTCCAACCCTCTACTCCGTCCTCTCATCAGGGTCTCTTGCAACGAACCCCAAAGTGTACGGAAATGATACAAACCCTTACGTCCTTGGTCATAACCAAGTTGTCGAGATCGTGCTCAACAACAACGACACGGGCGCACATCCTTTCCATCTTCACGGGCATACATTTCAACTTCTTGACAGGTTCCCACCCTACGGCCCACATTTCTTCGACTATGCCGATACCGATTATCGGGTTACGTATAATCCTAACAATCACACTGCGTTCCCGAAGGTTCCCGCTCGCAGAGATACTTTCGTTGTACCACCACAAGGGTACTTTGTTATCCGATTTGTTGCGGATAATCCAGGCGTCTGGTTCTTCCACTGCCATATCGATTGGCATCTGATGCAGGGACTGGGTATGCTTCTCATCGAAGCGCCTTTGCAGATACAGGAGAGAGTTTCTATCCCGCAACAACAGTATGATCTCTGTAAGGCTGCTGGTATCCCCACTGAGGGTAATGCGGCTGGTAGCACAGAGGATTACCTTGATTTGAGAGGGCAGAATTTGCAGGTTCCTATTTAAGGATTGAATTGGGATGTACTGGCATATGGGTTGTTTTGTATATTAAATCTTAGATCTCATTTTCGTTCCTTTGGTGGGATCATAGAGTGTTGCAAGATGCAATCCATAGCATCAGTGTTTCAATGTTTGGACATTTCTCTCGTACTACATACTTTATTCACATTGGATGGATTTAGTCAAGGTCTACAATAGATCTAAAGTTTAGTCCAATGTGTTATCATAGTCCAGCCCCAGCGTCGTGATGTCAATGGTCTCCATGAGCCCCCAATTCTTCAAGACTGCCTAGCTGCAGGTAAGTGCATATTCGAATTCCGGACCCAAACGTCGCTTATCTAGGCCCCTTCATCCGCTTCTATCCAAATGTGAAGTGTTGATACCGGTGGAGTCCAAAAATAGACAGTTACGCCATTGAATCTATTTTCAGCGCCCCCATTAAGCCAACCATGCCACATAAAGAAATGGCCTTGATCTTCGCCCTCGGGCCGTTCAAGGATCATTATAATTGTGGAGCGACGTGCATGACCCCCACATGAATGCAAGAAGAGCATTGTGATCTAGCAGGTACATTGAAGAGGGAAAGACGAGTTGAAATATGGTAGACGACTTATTTGAAGATCAGGTCAGTATAGTTGTAAATGAAGCCCATAATAAAGAATTATTGTATAGACATCCATGGATTAATTAAATGAAAGACCTTAGAAGGATCATGATCATGGTAAGACGTAAGATGAGCTGAAACGCCGGTCCAAGGGGAACAAATCAAGTTATAGTGGAGCAACTTTGCAATTTGAGTAATGAAAAAAATGCCAAGGCTTATGTTAGCCTCCTGTAAAAAGATCCCTTCTCATTAATTTGGTTCCAAGTTTTTCCCTATATATCATATCTTTTTTTATATTCTTCTCGATTCCTGTTCTCTCGGTCACACTCGTTCTTGTGTTCCGTTTTCTCACTCATCATCGACTGCCACTCCTTCTTTATCCCTGTTCAATCACAACCATGTCCGACGACGAGGATTATTACGAGTTCGAAGAAGAGTATCTGTTTGAAGACCCTGTCCCTGATCTTGTCGTAAGTGAATTCTTCCCAGTCGAATTCATGCGCCTAAAGTCCTACTTGGCATGAATGCTTGAAGAAAGAAAAAAGCGCCATGGATTCCACTAACAGGATTCTCCTCACAGGATGAACTCGCCGCAAGTTCATACTACGAAGCCGCATTATACGATGACCCAGCCATTGACGTGGAAGACTACTATAGCGACTGGGATTACTACTCGGATGATTATTACGATGATGACCCAACCGTGAAAGAGAGCAGTCTGCGCGCAAAGTCGGATGCGAAATCCAAGAACAGAAATCGTCGCGCCCATCCCGCTTCAGTCGCCCATCATCCTCCCTTGAATATCGATGTTGGTTCTTTCCAGGGTGTCGTGTGGAAAACCGTCGGAATGGAAAGAGATCAAGATGTATCGGTCCAAATATTCGAACCCGGACAATTGGAGAAGGTTGCATTCCTGGAAGATTGGAGAGAGGTCTTCAAATCTGCGCAGCCATCACTGGATAAATCGCGATTGAGGAAAAAGCGAGCGCGTGAGCAGAGCCAGGACTCGCTCTCTGGGCGCTCTTTCGCGGAGGAAGAGGTGGAGGTGGAGTCCCTGGGTGATGATGAGCGGGAGGACACCTCGGATGAGATGTCGGATATCTTGTCATGGGATCAAACAAATGAGAGTGTTGATGCCGGGGACGTGTCAACCACGACGCCTGAGCCAGGTCAGTCTCCTAAGGAGAGGCCTAGCATTGCGGCTGAGATCCCTGTGAAACGGGGTCGCAAACGCAAGGCCGAGGTGCCCGTTAAGGAATCGCCACGGAAATCAGGAACGAATACGAGGAAGTCGAAACGGGTCGCTTTGGATCATACCGAGGAAATTTCTGCTCCGGTGCGTCGATCTACGAGGCAGAAAAAGTAGGATTAGATGGAATATTGTTTGTTCGAGTTTTTATGTTTGAACGGAACATCATCACACACGACATGTAATGAATAGTACGATTGGAAATGAATCTTACTTAGCAACGCTATTTTTTCTCCCAGGTCATTTATGAGAAAAAGATCTCCATATTGTCTATTTCTTTCCTATGTATGAGTATCTAAGCATACTCTTTGTTAAATGCACGCCCAATGACCATGCGCCGGATTTCACTTGTGCCTGCTCCAATCTCATACAATTTCGCATCCCGTAGTAACCGTCCAGCAGAGATCTCATTGATGTATCCATTTCCACCCATTAGTTGGATCGCATCAAGCGCACACTCTGTTGCGCGCTCGGCAGCATACAGAATCGCACCGGCGCAATCCTGGGTTCTGATGACCAGTGGCTCTGGGGCCGCGGCACCATTATCTACCTGGCGTGCTGTGGCATAGGTATATGCTCTTGAGGCCGCAAGCTTGGTGTGCATATCCGCAAGCTTACCCTGGATCAATTGGTTATGAGCAATGGGAGTCCCGAACTGCGTGCGGGTATGTGTGTATGGAAGCACAAGATCAAGGGCAGCTTGCATAAGTCTAGACGAAGTCAGTATTCGGAAATCTCGCAAAATGGAGAAATAAAACATACCCCAGAGGACCAGCACTCAGAACAAGTCGCTCTAAATCAAGACCCTCCATCAACACCTTCACACCCCGGTTGATTTCTCCCAAGAGATTCTCTCGAGGAACAAAGACGTTATCAAAAACCAATTCGCCGGTATTGGAGCCGCGCATGCCCAGCTTATCCAACTTCTGGGCACACGAGAAACCCTCGAACGTCTTCTCTACAACAAAGGCCGTGATTCCCTTAGATCCCTTTGTAGGCTCGGTCTTAGCATAGACAACGATATAATCTGCTTCGGGGCCCTAGAGTCCAAAAATCAGCTAAAGTCTCTCTCATATAACCACCCAACATGATAACTCACATTGGTAATCCACATCTTTGTCCCGTTCAACACCCAACCTCCATCTACTTCCTTTGCTGTAGTCTTCATACTGACTACATCAGAGCCAGCCGAATGCTCTGACATGGCCAAAGCACCAATCTTGTCTCCAGAGAGTAGCCCGGGCAGGAAGCGCTCCTTTTGTTTTTCGTTGCCATTCAGCGATAATTGATTAACGCAAAGTTGGGAGTGAGCGGCGTAGGAAAGACCAATGCTTCCTGTAAAAAGAGACTGTTAGATATGTCTAAATATATTAAGATTCAGGTAAATAAAACCGTACCTGACGCTCGACTTATTTCTTCCATCACAACACAGTGCGCTTGGTAACCCATTCCCAGCCCACCATAAGCTTCATCAGCCGTGATACCCAGAAACCTATAGCACTAATCAGTATAACCCGAGTGCGCATATATCAAGACACAATTACCCAGCATCTCCAAGCTTCTTCCACATTTCTGCTGGAAAATTGTTCACTTCATCGGTTCGGGCCGCAACCTCAGCAGGGATCTCACGTCCTGAAACAGGATGGTCAGTTAAACTGTGCGCGATCACTTCTGTGGTATCGAACATTGAAGACTTACTTGTGAAGTCCTGCACCCGCTCTCGTAGCTCTACAAGCTCATCTTCGCTAGGTGGTATAAAGCCTGCAGGGTGTTTTGTCGATATGCTGCGGGCGAAGGCGCGTGCGGGGATACCGTTCCACAGGGAGCGGGTAGATGTACGGGTGGAGGTGCGGAGGAGGGAGGCGACCTTGATGGAGCCCATTGTGGGTATTGGACGCGATGGTCTAGGTAATAGAAGATCTGGTTTCAAGGATGAGAGATAAGTATGATAGTTGGAGTATTTAAGATTCCAAATGGAGTGCGAAGGACGGCAGTCCTCGGCGCTGAGACCGCCTGATGCGGGTTTATCTCACTCCAGCCACGCTTTACTCCCAATTGTTAATATTGATGACTTGAATAGGATAGATGAAAGGCTCAATTCTTGATTCGTCTATTTCTTCTTTATTCCCTCCCTTGCTTCCCTGATCTTCATTATTCTATCGCTGTAACTTATTCTCATTGTTTGACTGACTACGAACCTCGGGTAGAAGCGGCAATCAGCGCAACTCCGCACAATCCGGGGAAACTGGAGGTGCCGAGCAACTTACTCTTAGACATCTCATATTCCAAGCTCCAAATCCTCAAATGATCTAATTTCACACATATCCTCTCTCTAACTATCTTGAATCACACAACTTTTGCTTCACTAGCCGCTTCAAAGCAGTGACCCAACAAGCTCCCCGCAATGCGTGCCGTGCCCCCGCCCGCCCTGCGGAGTCTGGGTTCAAGGGTCCTACCACGTATCTACCGCCCAACACAAGCTGCTCTATCCAGAAATCCGGTGACTCGAATCTCATCACGCTCCGTTGCAAGCTATACGCACCCACATCATGCATCTGCCCTCTCGGTTCTCCCAACAGCCGTTGACACCTCATCCTCCGAATACCGCGAAAACAGCCAACAAATGCAAGAGATCCTCGAGCAGATGAACTCCCTGCACGCAAAGATCTCAAAAGGGGGTTCTGAGAAAGCACGAGAGAAACATATCGCGCGTGGTAAAATGCTACCTCGAGACCGAGTCTCTGCCCTCATCGACCCAGGTACCTCCTTCCTGGAACTGTCTCCACTGGCCGGACACGGCGTCTACGAAGGCGAAGATGTTCCAGCTGGAGGTATTATTACTGGAATCGGCACGGTGGAAGGTGTCAATTGCATGATTGTTGCAAATGACAGTACAGTGAAGGGCGGAACTTATTACCCTATCACCGTGAAGAAACATCTTCGTGCACAGGCTATCGCACAGGAAAATAGACTACCATGTATCTACCTCGTTGATTCTGGTGGTGCCAATCTGCCTCATCAGGCCGATGTATTCCCTGATCGTGATCACTTCGGTCGCATCTTCTATAACCAAGCAAGAATGAGCTCCCTGGGGATCCCGCAGCTTTCGGTTGTTATGGGTCCTTGCACGGCGGGCGGTGCTTATGTTCCTGCTATGAGTGATGAGACTATTATCGTTGAGAATCAGGGAACCATCTTCCTTGCTGGCCCGCCGCTTGTTAAGGCTGCTACTGGTGAGGTTGTCTCGGCAGAGGATCTGGGCGGTGGGCAGTTGCATTCGACTATTTCCGGTGTGACGGATTATTTGGCCGTTGATGATGCGCATGCGTTGATTCTTGCGCGGAGATCGGTGGCTAATCTGAATTATCCTACTACGCAAGAATCATTGAAGCTGGAAGGCGTTGTTAAAGAGCCGATTTATGATCCTGCAGAACTAAATGGTATCGTGGGAACTAATCTTCGACGCCAAATTCCTGCTCATGAGGTTATCGCGCGAATTGTGGATGGGAGCGAGTTTGCAGAGTTTAAGAGGGATTATGGGACCACGCTTGTGACAGGCTTTGCTCGAATCCATGGCCATCGAGTTGGTATTGTGGCGAATAATGGCATTCTTTTCTCTGAGTCTTCGCTGAAGGGTGCTCATTTCATTGAGCTATGTGCACAGCGAAAGATACCGCTTGTCTTCTTGCAGAATATCTCGGGTTTCATGGTCGGTGCAGATGCTGAGAAGGGTGGTATCGCGAAGAACGGTGCCAAGCTTGTGACTGCTGTTGCTTGCGCGGATGTTCCCAAGTTTACAGTAGTCTTCGGCTCAAGTGCAGGTGCTGGCAATTACGGCATGTGGTAAGTCTTTTTTTCTTTGTGCTGAAGTATGACTCAAAACGGTCCTCAGCTGATGATTTCTTCTTAGTGGCCGTGCCTATTCCCCTCGTCTGATGTTTATGTGGCCCAATTCTAAGATTGGAGTCATGGGTTCTGAGCAGTTATCCGCTGTCATGGAAGCCGTGGGTAAATCGGCAGACCCAGCCTTGAAGGCCCGTATTGATCACGAGTCCGAGGCTATCTTCTCCTCTGCCCGTCTATGGGACGACGGTGTAATTCCACCAGCGCAGACAAGAACCATGTTGGGGCTAGGGTTGGCCGCTGTTCTGGGTGGTAAAGCAGAACCAGATATACAGACCAGGTTTGGAGTATTCCGGATGTAAACCAGAGATGGCGAAGACATCTGTAGAGATCACGATAAGAGGCATCCAATTAAGCGCAGTGCTCCCGTACCTTTTGAAGATAATGGCAATATGAATTTGATCATAAATGAGGTTGAACAGAAACATGCTGAACTCAACAAGTATCCCGATAAAAATTACAGCTTTTTTTCCACCAAGTTCGACTTTTGAAAAATCCAACAGAAAACATAACTTTCGAAGTGTAAGGTAGGCAACAAAATTCAAATACACATAGGTATCCAGGACCACGATAGAATTGAAGAATGGATGGTATAATGAGAAAGTGGCGACGACGCGTCATTCTATGAAGAGGCGCAGATGCATAAAGCGTATAAAACATCATGAGGCATGTCAAAAAAGCATACGTAGAAGCGGAGACAGGCGTGACTTGCAAAGGCAGAAGCAGTGCAGCAGTCCAATACAAGAATCATAAGATGTGGAAGAGGGGAAAGATAGAGGATTTATCCCGTCTAGAGAATAACACACGGCGATCGACGGCGCTGTGTTTTGTTGTTTTTGCGGTCATTTCGGTTCGAACCTTCGCGTTTACGCGCGGAATCGCTGCTTGAACCTGAGCCCTGCAGGTCTTTGCGGATGATCTGGCGGCAAAGGTCGATGAAGACTTCATTGACGTTTGCACGGCGGCGAGCGGAGGTTTCGTAATATGGAGCATTGCCCCAACTTTGTGATAATCCGAAGGCGCGTGCTCGTGGGACTGCTCGGTCATCTTCGAGGTCGGATTTGTTGCCAACAATCACAAGGGGAACTTTTTCGTCGTCTTTGATTCGGATAATCTGTTCGCGGAGTTCGGAGAGCTCGTTCAGTGATGACATGCTAGTGATAGAGAAGACCAGCAAAAAGCCTTGGCCTTGCTTCATGTAGAGTTCTCTGGAGAGAGCTGTTAGCATTGTGGTCAGGGGGTGGCGATCAAGTCATATTTTACCTCATCGCCGCTATAGTTCTGTTAGCAATAGATCAAAAATATTATGGGGAATGGCTAGCTCACTGAATTGTTCTGTTCCTGCAGTATCGAGACTATACGAAGACACCTCGTTAGCTTCTTTCCTAGTCCATACCCCATATTATCTCCAGATCGAATCACATACATTTCCAAAATGCATTGTCGGCCCTATAAATTCCATATATCAGTAATGAGATCAATGCGGATTATGCGAGTTATGCGGAATCCCTTACATCCACCTCAATCTGCTTACGGTATGAGTCCTCGATGGTAGGATCATAACTTTCAATCCAAACATTTTGAACGAATTGCGCTGCGGATGTATAAGCTGCTGCCTCGGGAAATCGACGCGCTATTGCGCTGCAGACGGAAATAGATCATCAGGGCGATATATACCAGTCAAACAACTCTTTCCGACACCTCCAGCACCCAGAACAACAATATGGTATTCGCGTCTATTCGGTGGCATGACAATCAGAAAAGCCGGCATTGGCAGCAAGATGAAAGCGCCTCAAAACCGAAACTTACTGGGGCCTCATTGAGACGAATCCAAAATCCACTTAGTATCGTTATGTGTTGGTCGAAAGAGAAGAAGAAAACGAATGCGAATCCAATGGCTCGGGGCTAGATCGTGGCCGCAATTTGATCTCGTGCAGCGTTGTTTGTGCCACACAGGGAATGAATGGAGATTCCGGGTATTTTTGCTCGCGATATCAAAGATGTTCAACGTTTATATATAACCCCTTGTAAACTGGTCAAAGCCGGCGTGATACTCGTCAATCGCTCAAATGTTGTACGATCGAGCCTAGCTCCCTAGGGGGGGCCGATAGGAAGAGCAAATGGAGGCGGTTACATCGGCGTGGGGAGGCAATGGATTGTTTGGACGCACGGACCGAAGTGAGTCGACGTCGGAATTACCCACAGGAGGTCAAAGTGGACTTGGGGAAGGGATTGAGGCTGACAGCGTTCGAGAAATAGGAGGGGGGAAGGTTTGAAGTTTGAAGTTTGGGTGGGTGTGTTGTGTGCGGGCCAGAACACACAGAACACGGAGTTTAGGGGCGATTTGATCTTGCTTCTCTGTTGTCCTTTCTGGCTGGGTTTGCAATAGTAAATTGAAAATAAATACGGTATTACCGAGGGTTATATTTGGTTGGGATTATATGAGCTCCGATGGATACGACCAATCCTCTTGATGTCCTATCTCTAGTTCCCCTGTTCTAAATCATATCATGGTCCCTGGCGGTGAGTCGACCTCCAGTACTTAATATCACAATGGCATTCACCGTGATCCTATGGTTTCTTCAATATTTCAAAATAGACTGCTCCGGGTGGACTAAGGGCAAGATGCATGAAGGAGTGTTTGTTCAAACTTGAAAGTAGTTGGACTTTTCTGGAGAACCTTGGAAGCTATGAGACATCAAGTGTTGGAGAATTGACCCACTAAGGGGTACTGGGGATGTACCCGTGAAATGATCAATGCTGGTTCCAACCCCGGGTATTGCTGATGACAATTTCAGGATTTGAAGTGAGAGATCCAATTCTTGAATCAGACAAAAAAAAAACAAAAATACGAGGGGAGTTGGAGTTATCAACTTTGTACTGGTTAGAGGAAGTCACGTGTTACTATACACAGCTTGATTCGATGTTGGAGATGATTGGCTCATCACATTGAGAAATAAACGATATGAAGACAAATTATTAATAATCAATGAAGGTATTAGAGTGGATCAGATAACTATTCTGATGCCTATTGTGCCTAGATGAGTAATATAATGTATTAGGTGCATATCTTGTCCCGCTTGTCATTCAAAATCTTTGTGCGAAGGATTCAAGGAGCATTTGAATAAATGGGGTTTCTATTGGTTTCGTATTGCTTTCTAGTTCTGGCCACACTATAAATGTTAAAGATAATACTATAGTATATTGCAATTCATTTCAACCTAATTAAAGTATCGTCCAATTAGATAGATGCTGTTATCTTAACCCTTTCCGAAGTTTGATTGTGTTTGATCGTGCGAAGGCTCCTAATAATGAGGTGCCCGCACGAGATAAACCCGTTCAAATGTTTTGACCTTATGCGTCATCTACTTAATTACCATTCATCTGATTTAAAGTAGTTGTCAAAAAATCAGATTATGTCAAGTTTGTTTCATATGTGTATTCGAGGTATAGAAACTTCGATAAATCAATCAAGCTCCGAGTCAGTAGACATATTTACTAGTAGAGCCCAAGCCGAGCTTCGAGTTCGTATAGATCGCGTGAAGAGTCTAGATCTATCGGAGTCTTTACCCCTGCCTTCATCTCCTCCTCACTGCTGTGCAGATATGCGAGGCACTTGCAGAAAACGTCACTGATCTGGCCACCAGATTTAATCATTCACATGGTTCTCGCAGATGATCGAAGCCCGAGGACGTCATAATGTCACGTGACACTCGCACGGGCACGGCAGCAGGAAGCGCCAGCTCGACCAGATGCATTCTCACTCATCCCTCGCTCCCCATTACTATCACACTCTCAGAAACCCGATTCTGATTTTTCAAGCTCAAACATATAAAATGGCTTCTTTCCAGGATCGTGCCCAGCACGCTATTGCCCAGCTCGACAAGGAGGTGTGTTTCTAGCCCATTGTGTGTTCCGTGCCTCGCCAGCTCTAGCCCTCCGCCCCATTTTTGGCTGCATGATTTCTGTGCCCTCACGATAGTGCGATCGGGGAGGGCAGAAGCCGAGTCCACTGTCAACCCATACTACCCCTCACCACTACTAGAGATGGCTTTGCTTTTTATTGTTCCAAAGCTTTGTTATTCATCGCTAATATCTCTCCCATAGCTCTCTAAGTACCCTGTCCTGAACAACCTGGAGCGTCAGACCTCGGTCCCTAAGGTCTACGTCATCCTGGGTCTGGTCGGTATCTACTTCTTCCTTGTCTTCTTCAACATCGCTGGCGAGTTCCTCGTCAACGTTGCCGGTTTCGTCCTCCCCGGTTACTACTCCCTCCAGGCTCTGTTCACCTCCGGCACTGCCGATGACACTCAGGTAAGATTTCTGTCCTCTCCCCCTTTGATCTGAACAAGGAGGTTGCTAATGCTCGAGTTTACTGTAGTGGTTGACTGTAAGTTCCGTTGACTTGAATTTTTACTCTTAATTCCTACTGGATCCGGTGTACCTAGCACGAGACGCCATATTGTCTTGCGCTTATCAGACGCCACGTGATACCATATCGACTTGCATAAGATCACATCTAACTTGAATCGATAGTACTGGGTCGTTTTCGCTTTCCTGACCACCGTTGAGAGTGCCATCAGCGCCGCCTACTGGTTCCGTAAGTGCAATCCAGACTCAATATCTATAAAATCACACACTGACTCGACTAGCCTTCTACTACATCTTCAAGTTCGTCCTCGTGCTCTGGATGGCTCTTCCCCAGACCAAGTAAGTGAAGAAAGCACTCAATTCTGCTCTTAGCTTTATTATAATCAGAACTAACCCCTTCACCAGCGGTGCCCAAATTGTCTTCCACTCCTTCCTCCAGCCCCTGGTCGGTCGCTTCTTCTCCAGCACTGGCACCTCCGCCAACCTCCGTGCTCAGGCCGAGGCTGCTGCCAAGGCCCACTCTTCTTAAATGGCTGGCCTATAGGGGAAAACTGTTGAGAATCGCTCGATGATGTTACGCCTGAGGCTGTAGCCTAAATATAAGCCGTGGGTCTATCGATTCTCCGTACCCGCTGGGTACCGTTAACGACGTGAAGTGCAGCCGAGAGGTTGAGTCTTTTGGTGCGAAACGACATGCAACTTGGAACGCAAGTGATGATAGAGCGAATGGATGATTGTTTGGAGAGGTGGGGAGATGCAGATTGACATGTGGAGGAGAGAGAACAAATGTAGCAAGTCCGGGGATGTAGTTGGAGCTAGATATGACTGTTACTATGTGGTTTTTTGATGTTGATTGAATTACATATGCGAATGGTAGAGTTTCTGTAGCATTTTGGCCTCGATCTAATCGCTTTCTTGGATGTTCTACATGCTGGAAACATAACTCCTCATTCTTCCTTGTGGAACATGTCCTAGAGAAGGATATTTTTTGTATTTGGAATGGCTTTTCGAGTAGCCTATTGTTCGTTTGCTCGTTTGGGGGTAAACTAATCCACCGGGATAAAAAAAGAAATATGAACCTCCCCAACGCCATCCTTGGTCATTTCCCCAAAGACATTGAAAATTGAAAGAATTGCACCATCAACGCCGCATACCCTGATGTTCTAGGACTGTCATGACATGAAAATTGGCAAAAGCACAGCACCGTGTTGAATGGCAATGGCGTCAGTATCCTAGCCAAGGTGACTTGCGGCCCGAAGATTAATAAAAGCCAATGCGATTGCCCCAGCTATCAGTCCGAGGGTTAACAACAATGCGGTAGGGAAAAGGGTTCGAATCGGTAGTGGTGATAGGCGGGATATGATCCTTGTCGCGATTCACAATGGCCAGAATCTTAAGGGCGGCTTTGTGAAGCATGTTATTCATCGCTTTCCAGACCTTAGATCTCTCTGTAAAATGAAAGAAATAATTAGCTCCTGTGCACTGTGAATGGCACGCAAAAAAAATCAAGTGAGCCAAATAGGAATGAGAGAATCAAACACTCACCAGACTCAGTTCGTGGCGTCGCAATGGTAACATCCAGCGTCCAAATCTCCCAACAGACCTCCTCCTCTCCCTTCCCAGCCAACCCGCCGAACCAAAGTCCGGAGCGACGTCTCTTCTTCTCATAGAACTCTACTGCAATTCGTGCCCGTACACCTCCACCGCTGCCATTCTTCCCATCCTCGGTCTCCGCAGCAGAAGAAAGATGATTCCGAACAAGGGTACTGACACGGGACTCAATCAGAGTTTCCAGATCCGCATCATTAATCGCTGGTAAGGTGAAATCAAGAACCTCAAAGGTAACAGGGCGAATAGAGGGGAAATAGCGGTGGAAGAAGATGAGGTTCAGAACACCTGGAAGGAGGGGTAAGTTAACTATGTTTTACTAGTCCAATATGACGGGAGCAAGGGCGTCGGATATTTTTTTTTCTAGCCATTGAATATAGCTATTCATGTGGGGTATTGTGCATATCACGTACCTTTCAATACATCGTGCACTGAGGTGGTGTCGGCGAAGATCTCCAGGAAGTACTCTGGAGGGGTTTTGCGGGGCTCCATCCCCGCCCGCGGTGAAATGGACCCAGGCGAAGGGTACACGGGAGGTTGGGAGTGCGCGTCGTCTAGCTGGAGGAGATAGGGCTCAAGCTTGATTTAGAACTTGAAATAGCGTTTGTAGTAGATTCAGGCTTAAGATATGATATGTTGATCATGGAGGAGTTGGACACTGGAGGTGATGATGAGTGATGATGCCGGGTATCAGGGTCGGGGCGGTTTCCATCGGACTAGGCCGAATGACGCTTATCGGGCTTATCATTGGTCCCCGGGAGTTGATTTGGTCGGTTGCGTAATAATGCTCACCTGCGGCCCTCTGCGGGTATAGAGTGGACCTTTACTATTGGACTATTGACTACATGTATTGAACTGGGGGGGCCCTTTGTTTAAATCTATGCAGCCACATGCATAAATAGTTATATTTTTTTCTCTTTACTGGATATCTGGTTTGAAAGATGCAGTGTAGGGTGTGGTCCGGGTATTCCTTTCATTTTTGTGACCACGATGTCCTCTACTAAGGAATGGACAGGGAGAATCCCTGTCACAAATAGGATCTCTAAGATTACTTCAAGCTTTGAATGATTGATACTTATAAAGGACTGATATTAATAAATCAATATTGAAGCTTTCGTACCAATCAGTATGTCTTGACTTTCTACATCAGTCAAGTTTCTAATAGAAGCTCAAAGCAGATAGGGACAGGGTACATCCACAGGTGTTTATGCTAGTACAGTCAGATTGATATCTACAATTGTTTCAAATTTGTTTCTCAAAATTTCGAGCATTCCAGGTGGCAGGTACTAGCGAGGCAGCAGTGGAATGGGGACAGGAGCGTACCAGATAGACATTTTCTCAGTTCCTTAGCTTATCGACCTGTTCTTCAAACCGCAGCAGGCTACTATGAGGCTTCGTTCTCACATTTTACCTTGATATTGAAATCAATTCCACGATGGAGTTTGAATGGCCAGCTTCCGATCGGAAGAAAATCAAGACGATCCCAGGGATGTCTGTTTTCATGAAGCCTATTTTGCTAGATATGTACCCCATGCAACTTGCGATTCGCCAGAGATGCTTTGGAGACCGACCCTGCTTCTCGGGTGTTGATAATGGCAGTAATCGCTAATGGCAGCCCGGAACTCATGTTCCGCCATGGAAAGAAATTGGCAAAGAAGTTTAACCGAACGGTGGACCTACTGGAGGCCTTCACTTTCCAGGAGTCTGAAGCACTGCCGGGCCGGAGGTTGAGGAAAAACAGGAAGTGGATTGATACTTGAAAATCTGAGCAATAGTAGTTACTAGCACTTGAGGACTAACATTGGAATGATAGCTAAATACCCACGAATATTGTGCTCCAGAGTTCAATTGGGAGGATCTTTCATTTTGAGTGTGCTACTGCACATGTGTAGTGCCAGTGGCTCAAGTTCAGCGGTCTTAACATTTGAGTCAAAACAACCTTGGAACTGATTTGAAAGAGCACAAGTGCACTTCTGTTAGAACATGGGACCATAGGCCCCGTTCTCCATGTAGATATCACCTTCCACGCCACCTTCTTCTTCTCTTCCCCAACCTTCCAAGATTGGAAGCGCCTACCGTTGACAACTTCTAATGTTGAGATGGATCGGCAGAATAACTTGAATTATGACCTTGGAGCCTTGGAAGGATGGATAGTACCCGTGTCTCAGACATAAATACTATCCATGCGGGAGGTCTGGGACTTTTGAACATGCCCCCAACACAGTGTAGACACGGTTTAAAATATAATATACGTTAAAATTTTAAAGAGCGGTGGTAGGTACCTAGGTAGAGTGTTAGGACCAAAGATATTTTAGCACTATAACACATATCTTAGGGTGGCTATATTAGATAATTATTCAAATATATTAGACTAAAAGCTGTGTTAGGCATGTGTTTGGATTAGAAAATGAGTTGGAAAAAAAACCCGGTACACCCTTATACAGGCCAACTTTCAAATGTTCAGTCTGGTAATTTTCATCTGTGTAGCTTCAGACATACTTCATGCCTTCCTTCCTTATTGCTTTACAATGCATCTTTTTCTTTTTCTTTTGATCTACAAGATAATTGAACCCAGGACCTACAATCTACAGTTTACAGGGTACATCTTACAACATTTGAAGGCTTTGAAAGCTATATTTTACAACACTCAGGCTACAGCTACAGTTTCAAGTTACCAAATACACCATCTATGTATATTATTTCAATATCTTCACACACCAAATCACACCTTCTACAAACCAACATTCCATAAGAAGGAATTCCACAGGCAATTCAACACACATGTGCAGATCATTCAACACAACCTTAGATATGTAATGTTGGAATGTTGAAGTACTAGCTAGTACTAATTAGTATTGCATCCATACTAGATGCTACTCCAAGGCTAGTAGTACATATGTACTAGTAGGTAGTTAGGTAGTAGGTAGAACATCCCAAGGTTGAACATACACCTGCCCAGGTGGGCATAGGTACTACTAGTACCAGTCTATGTAGGTACTACTACCTCCAGGACTACTAGTACACATGTGCATCAATCTATAAATGCTACCTATCCAGGTAGCCCTGGAGGTAGGTACCCGACTATATGTACCTAGGTAGTATATATATATACTATATAGTATATACTACTATGTACTAGCAGATGACTTGAGGTATCTACTGGCAGTACTTGGATATTACCTAGTATTGACGTATATAAATATCCATACTACTATGTACTATTGTGCAAGTCTTATTCAGAACGGGCTAGGCTAACATGCACTCTATAATAAACTTGAAGCTTGAAGAAGAAGAAGAAGAAGAGAATATCACACAGAAGAACACATATATCAGATCAGGGCAGTGTGCGGCGGAACGCGGCGGAACGAGGCTTTTCAGCCGAAAAGCAAAACAAGCTCTATGGCCGCAGGCGATAGCACAAATCGGGTTCAACCCGTTACATGTATATCATACCAGAGCTACCTAGGTACTCCAGGGGAAAACAAAACTGGAACCTTCAAGTTGGAATCAAAGGTGATTGAATCAATTGATTGATTAATTTATCCATCATGTACATGCCAACTTACCCCAAAAGGATAGTGCTTAGTACTACAGTGGGACATCCAAATTATGCACGGATGGCGGCATGCCCTTGAGGGCTATGTGCTGTTACCTACATAGCAGCATAGAGGTATTAGCCAGCCCAGGTGGAAGATTCTTTGGACGCCATAATCAGAATTTCAACAAATACCTAGGTAGCTACCTAGGTATCCATACTTGACCTGAGACTTTTATCTACCATCAAAATGGCCTGTGGGGAACTTCGAAAGAGGTTCAAGTCTAGGACAGTAGATGGAGGTCTCTCTCTCCTATCAAGTGCAGATTTTCAGGACCCAAGATTCAAGGCTAAGGATTCTTCCCAATAACAAAGAGGCGTTTCTCGCAGCAAATTTTGATTGAGACGTTTTGATTCATCCATTCTTGATACAGCATTGCCCAGTGCCACCTGGGCAGGTGCGAATTCATATGGATTAGTCATCATGCCACATGTGCAGGTGCTGCGCAGGTGCAGGTGATGTCTCGCAGAAAAGAGTGTACTAGTGAGTTGTCCTAGTTTATACATAGGATATTGAGAGATGGACAGCTCCTTTTTTGGATGTATCCATGGAGAATAGTATCAGGGGTAACCCGATAAGGAACTATCATAAGTCCAACTTAACAATGAATAAAGCAACAAATCTGGGGAAGCTTCAAGTATCAACTAGAAAGTCCATTTCAATAAAAGGAATTTGGTTAATTTCAAGTCCAGGCTGAAGAATGTGATTATAGACAAACGTAAATTCAAGGTTGATTGTTTCATCATCATGACCAGATGTGACTGGTTTCATAGTCTGGTCTCTCCACATCTGCAGCTCGGACTAGCCGAGGCCGGCTGGGGATGATCCCCGACCACTGTGATCAGCGCCCGAGGACAACCTCCCATCTGCGTCTGCCCGACCTCAACTCTATCCAGTAGAGTCATGCGTCGAAACATCCTGTCATTATTCATCATCTGACCCGAGTGAAAATATCCAACTATTAACAATATGATCGGTGCCGCGAGGCGCTGGTTAAAGCGCAATCGCAAAGGCCTTGCGATCGGGGCTGGGGTGCTAGGTGCTGGCTACCTGGCTGGACAATATGTGTTATCCAAGATTTCTGAGACTCGAGAGCGTATGAGCAGCGATCGAATTGCTCGGGAGAAGTAAGTGTCTGCTTGTGCACCTATCCTGGGCTATCTCCGCCCGCGGCACGCGAGCTTGTGACAATCCGCTTCAACGCAATGGCTAAATCTCGTTTCCTAGTCTCCGACGGAGATTCGAACAGAATCAAACCGATTGTACCTATACCGTTATTGCACTCCTGCCGACCGCCACAGAGAATATCGTTGAGGCTCTTCCTGTCGAGGAACTGACGAAGGAGCTCCAGAAGAAGCGGGCGGAGAGGCTGGCACGACTTAACGCGGGGGAAGCCACGGGTTCGGATATGAGTTCGGTCTCACCGAGTCTACTAGAGGATGATCGAAAGAGCCTTTCAAGTGAGAGCTTTGTGCACACTAGTCAGTTAGCTGAGTCCGTTGATTCGGACGGTCAACCTCAGCCTCGTGTGAAACGGAATAAGACACAACTATGGAATGAGGTTAAGATCACCTGTATGTGACCATCAATCGCCTTATTTGAATATTTGACGAGTATCGGCTAACCACGATCGATACACAGCCATTACCCGATCTTTTACTATGATCTATATCCTGTCCCTTCTTACCATTTTCACTCGTATCCAATTGAACCTCCTCGGCCGCCGTAACTACCTTTCCAGTGTTATTTCACTGGCGAATCCTCCTGCAGACTCTACAATCAGCCTTGAAGACCACGATGACGACCTCACACAAACACTTGGAGATGATATTGCTACCAATCGGCGCTATCTTGCTTTTAGCTGGTGGTTGCTTCATCGTGGATGGAAGACATTGATGGAGCGTGTCCAACCCGCCGTGGAGGAGGCATTTGGCTCTCTTAACCCTCGAGAGGATATTAGCATGTCGAAACTGTCGGAGTTGACTCTTCAAATCCGGAGAAAGGTCGAAGGAAACACAGAGGAAGAGCGACGGTAAGGCCCGATCTGGAGACTATGTAATGGCAGATAGCTAATCCAAACACCCTTTAGGTCCAAGAAATGGCTGTCTTGCTTACTTCCATCAGTCGACGAGGAAGAATACGTGCTTCGTGAATCCGGCGTTGAAGGTGTCGCCGACCCGTCTTCCTCGGAGACGGCCTCTAAGTTGCGTCATCTTTTGGATGAAACATCCGATCTTATTGATTCGCCCTCTTTCTCATTTGTTCTGACTCTCCTCCTCAACGAGGGATTCTCCACATTGGTTGATATCAAATGTGCCAACGAGGCCTTCCAGGCGTCGGCGTCAGCCCCGGAGACAGCCCCACAGTCATTTGACTCGATGGCCACTGTTGTTCCTCCTGTTGTCTCGGAGCGTAAGACAAAGTTGGCCAACCTCCTGGCCGTCATGGCTCGCCAGGCACACGTGATCGGTCATGGTCCAATGGGACCTAACGAGTATCTTGAAGCGATGGACAAGAACGTCCGAGAGCTCGAGGCCTTTTCTGCTGTGATCTATAGCTCAAACTTCGATCTCGAGCTACTTGGAGGTAGTCGTCAAGGTGCAAGCACAGGCTTCGATTCGATGGATCCGAATTCCTCGGCTACATTCTCACATGTGGTGGTCGACAGTGACACAGAGAGTGGTCGTGTTGAGGATCTTGCTGAGAGCGCCCCGATCCTGGTTGAGCCTGAGAATCAAGTTGCCCAAGTGACTGAAATCACCGAAGTTGCCGAACTGGCTGAAAGTACTGAGTTCACTGAAAGTGCTGAGTTTGCTGAAAGTACCGAGGTTGCTGAAGTGACTGAAGTGCCTACTGCTGAGCAGGAGACTCAGATCTCATCCCACGAGGTCGAGGCTTCTAGTGAGTCTGCCTTCGAGCGAGCCTGGGGCAAGGCCGTTGATGAAGGGATGACCGCGACGGAGAAGGCACCAGAGGAAGCATCTTAGAGCCTGTAGACTTAGATATGAGCTTCATACGGCAGCTCTGTCTTATATTTCTTGCCAATACCCTTCAATATTATTTTGTATTTATTGCCTTTCAATATTACTGTTCCTCTGAGTATTGCCAACGGTTTAGCTCAGGTTCAATCACTTTGCCCACGTGATGATCTGAGCTTTGCTCAATATCTCCACCAGATTCTCTCTCCAACGTCTGGAAGATAGTATGAAAAGCCGAGCTGAAATATTGCTTTACTACCCTCCTGGCCGGTGCCGTAGGTGGTATACATTCATGATCGATGCATCCATCTTGAGCTTGCCCCGCGGTAAGTTATCCGTACATGGAATACAGTGGATTAATTACAGGGGTTCCGGTTACCCCACCCTCAAAAAAATCATACGAATCAACATGTTCTTTGATCTCTGAAACCCTCCATATCTCTCTCAATATCTCAATTCCTTTGAAAAGTACAACCGAAATCTACATTCATCATGGGTGTCCAGCGAAAGATCATTACCCGTGGCTCCGGTCCCTCGCCCGCATCGGGTGATAAGGTCTCGATCCACTACACTGGCTGGCTCTATGATGCCAAGAAGGCAAACAAGGGCTTCCAGGGCAAGCAGTATGTTGCTATACGGCTATATGGCATACAACTCCATGCTTGAGATGCACTCGTACTGATTTTCGGACAGGTTCGATAGCTCCAGAACTCCTGGCCGTGGTATCTTCGAGGTTCAGATTGGTGTTGGACAGGTTATCAAAGGTAAGAGCACTCGATATTACCAAAGATCATTAATCTTCAACAAGTTGAGCCTTGGAATTATCGTATGATTTTAACACTTGTACTAGGTTGGGATGAGGGTGTCCAGGAGATGTCTCTGGGTGAGAAGTCTACCTTGACCATTACCCCGTAAGTAGTAACCGTCATGAACAAGGCTAAAGTGCACGACTGACGTCAATTTCTAGTGACTATGCTTACGGCGACAAGTAAGTCCACGCTCGCGCTCACACATCAATCGCGCCTCTATCCGCATTCTAACAAGCATTCTAACATTCTTCTGTATAGGGCTAACGGCAAGATCCCTGCTGGCTCTACTTTGATCTTGTAAGTCACCCAACGACTTGAACCACAATCTTAGAAGTCATTCGAAGCTAAATTTTCCTTCTAGTGAGGTTGAGCTTCTTAAGATCAATGGTAAGGGTCTTTAAATTAGCATAAGAGATAGTCCTTAATAGAATGACGTTGTAAGTCTACGAATATGTGCGGTATTATCCTTTAGTCTGATTAGTAGTTGTATAATCTGGAGATAACCTTGGAAGCCTATATTGAAACTCGAAGTGATCAAGAAAACTTAGGAGGTCAAATATTTGTTCTGGGGAAAAGAAAAGAAAAGAATGGTATGAGCAGGAATCGATCCAGGGACTTTTGATTTCGCGCTGTTTTCTCCAAGTGAGGCTTCAAATGAGCAAGACGATGACAGCCTCAACTTTCAAAAAATCATAACAAATCCAATAAAATAGATAAAAATATAAAAGTAATATCAAAAGAAAGAGCAAAAATAAAAAGGCTCCGCAGAAGTCTTTCACATAGTCCGCTGCATGCTTTCTCACGGTGGTGTTCCACTTAGGCAAGTCTCACGCTCGCTGATGCTACTTGACAACCCTCAGTCCCAGCAAACCAGACTTATGGTATCATAGTGTCAAATCAACTCGGGACAGACACGATAGCCCGCTAAGCTACTGGGATGCGGATGGTTACCAGAACTCCCAAATTTACCCTTATAACTGAGAAACCATATTAACGCCAGGATTTTCAGGCACCCAACCCCACTCAAGAGTACTATTACTCAGACTTTTAAGTAGGCCACTCTTTATTTAAGAAAATTTTATTTTTTGCTTAAACAGGTATTGCATTAAGCTATTAAAAATTAAGCTAGTTGATAGTTCATACTTCATGTAGGGTCCACTGCGCACAACAGGAAGGAATCCCTAAGCGTCATTAGTATCAATGCCCTCGATCAAAATAGACCATAGAGGCATTAAGTAAAACCACATTAACAGGACTGTTGAAGCCTGTTAAGAAAACTTTTGGCATGCACACATGCATATGTCATAAAACATTACTCCGTTTAGATCTCTTCACCTGTGACGAGAACATTCTTTTTATCCTCAACAGAGCAGGCTTCTTCGTCGCTGGGTTGAATTCCAGATTCGTCACTCTTGCTATGCTCAATGGGCTCATGCTTTGAAGCGACCAACCAAGTTGGAACCACAGCAATACCTATCAATTTCATAAGCTTCTGCTTATGAGACATGATTAACTGTTGACATACCTAGAAGAATAGTGTTCACTGCAAGAGGCACTCTTCCTCCGTACCAATCCCGAGTGTTGATACCGTAGGAGACTGCTTGGGCAAAGCTCTCCTGTCCACGCAAAATTCCAGATAAGCGAGCTAGATTGTAATTAGTATGGAATGCAACTTGAACTGGAATTAAATTCACTCACAGAGCTCGGAGATATTATCAGTCATGGTGGAAAGCAGATAGTAAAGCCAGTTTTGCAAAGCTTGTTGAGAGAATTCTGCAATACAGAATGTTAGATCTTCATCAATTTAAAGAGACCAATGGGGGAAAATATGGAATACTCACGCCAAAGTAGAATCACAAACATGCCCTTAACGAACCCTTTATCAGCCCAGTCAAGGGATGGTGGGTTGGATGAGTACTGTTCTTGGACAACCCAGCCGTATACCCAGGCGATGACATGAAGAACAATCACGTAGTAAAAGCTGAATATCCGTCAGATTAAGTTCTTATATCCGAGTCAGTCATTCTTACCTGTACATAATTCGAGTCTTGGTGGGGATTTTCTGATAATCCAAGAAGCGACTGATGACCCAGGACGAGATAAGACCGGCGAGATAACCTAGACGGGATGTTAGGCATGAATGTTTGGGCAATATGAATACCAAGGGAAAACGTACTGACGAGTCCAATCAATGCACGAGCTCGAACTCCAAAATAGTATGTCTCAAAGTCTGAAGAACTACGTTAGCTTTTGTAAAGGAGATTGAAATGCACATAACGTACTTCCGGTATACTGATTGAAATAGGCGGCCCAGAAGATGGGGAGCAGCAGCAGGATCTAGTATCGAAATGTTAGCATTATGACGCAATAGGAATATTTCAAATGTTGTGTTACTCACATCCTTGCGCTTGCACACTTTCCAGAGTTCAGCCATTTCAGACTTCCATGACTCCTCCTTGACAACCTTGACAACACTTCCATCGCCACGTTGAACTTTCTCGGGTCGAGTGAGGAAGATAGCGAGGGGAACAGCAAGACACTGCAAGGCGACAAAGATAAGGTACGTTTCTATTCTGTGTTAGTTCGCGCCTCTCCCACTCTATAACACAGCTGACTTACCAGATCCGACCTTTCCTTTGGTCTTTGCACTGGCGGAGCTGTTTTTTTGTGAGTAAAGAAAGTATCCAAAGATCTAAGATTGACGTACTGATTGAGTCCCAGCACAATGGCACTACCAACAAGAGGTCCACCAGTCCGGAACCAAAGCCAAATGCTGATAACCATTGTTAGAATTTAGTCCTTGAGGTTCAATGTTCACAGATTCTTTGTCCAACGTACTTCATATATTGACCTCTCTTGGCCGGCTCAGGATATCCAAGTGCAACTGCGCCTTCAGAAGCCCAGAAAAGACCCGCACTGTAATGGTTAGCATTTTCAGTACTTGTATAATGATAATTTTTCAACTCACGATAGACCACAGGCGACGGCGCCAACTAGCACAAACCACACATTGCCCTATTTTCAATTATAAGTCGTTGATCCATGTATTCTTCGAAAAAAGAAGCTCACATAGCGATTGTTCGTGTATAAAGCAGCGCTAATCAATAAGTTAATATAAATGAATCACAAGAGACGGATGCCGTGACGAACGAGTAGATTGGATATCCAACAGCACCAAGAAGTAAAGTCCAGTTCATGCCAATCCGGTTCGCGATCGGTCCACCGAACACACATAGAAATCCCACTAGTAGAGCCAAGAAATTAGCACTGGGTATTGACACAGCATCATTTCTTCCTATCACATACTCAGTCCAAAAACCAAAGCATTAGCCGCATTGATCAAGAACGGCGATTCAGCACCACCGGCGCCAAGCGAATTCATCGCATTCCATAGTCCCGGAGCCAAAAATCCCACGCCACCAATAATAAACGCATTGAATAAAGTTGTCCGATACCAAATTCGCTTGGCGTTTTGAACGGGTTCCTGTTCGGAGGACGCCGAGGCCGAGATCGGTTCAGCCATGGTGTGAATAGATCGAGTTTCCGGGACACCAAAGGGTCAATTAGTTGGGTAAAAACGTGAAGCCGCTAAGAGTTTAGCAACCCTGGGCATTTCATTCTTTCTATACCTTGTGCCACCAGACCCAGCATCACAGTCTCATCCACTTCAAAAATGGCGTGCTTGCAAACCTCGACATTGAAGAGATAGCTACAACTCAAATGCCATGTTAGCGTTACTGAACCCTGGAGAATGGTTCCACTTTGACCCGTTGTTGTAGCCGACCGACCAATGATTTTCTTTTTTTACGTACTGGATACCATCTTTTCTTCATGCTTAATCTTCTTCCGCTGTTAGTGTTCTGTCTGTTCCGTATTTCTGGCCAGCCTAGATCTCTGTATACACTTTTGAAAGGTGCCAGGTGGGGAGTTGAGGTTGGACCGGACAAGATCCGAGATCAAAGTTCGCTTTCTTATCAGTGTTAGGTGGTAGATTGCGTGAATGTGCTCCGTAATTAATCAAGCCAAGACTAGACTTCCAAGACTTTTGTCGGCTGACCTGAATTATTATTCCTTCGCGCGTACCCCGTACCTTGAGGCTTGAAATGTCCCACCTTGGTAGAATACTCACAACACGAATCGTGGGCAACTGTGAAAAAAAAAGATTGTGCATTTTGGCATGAACTGCAGATTTTATTATATATGGTATTATAGCAAAACTCCAAACAAATGGTATTTCAGATTCGAACATATGAAAGTGGAAGGGCCTCCCAGCGTGACTATTTAAACATTTGAAACAATGTCTCCAACGTGGTATCAATTGACCAGATTCACTCAACAATCATGAAGATTTTTCCATCTTACAGAGCAAGGGCGATACCCAGAATTCCAGCAGCGCCCGCGAGACCCATAGCAATGGTGCCAGTGGCGGCAGGAGCGCCACCAGAGGAAGTGCTGGAAGCGGCACCGGAAGAAGCGGAGGAAGAGGCACCGGAAGAGCTCGACTTGGAGGAGCCAGTAGCGGTGGAAGTAGAGCCAGTGCCGGAGGCAGTACCAGACACGACGGTGGCGGAGTCGGTAGCAGTAGGAGTGATCACAGTGCCGGTGTTGGAACTTTCATAGCCAGAATAGCCAGTGGCTGCGGCCATCTCGCTGGTGAATTCAGACAGCTCGTCCTGAAGTTCCGAGGTAACGTAGGCGTGCGCCCCGGATGGGAGGGCGTTAACCCAATCAGGGTAGTTACCCTTCTCCATGGCGTCGACCACGGAGGTGAAGAAGGCATCGTTAGTTTCGTATTCCATTAGCCAAGTGGAGGGGATGGCGGTTGCGAGGACCGATTCAATAGAAGTGGGGACGTCGAGACCATAGTCGTAGCCATCGGAGTCTGTGTCATCGGAGGAAGTGGCATATGAGATAGATGAGTCCGAGTCCTGCGGCTTAGGGGCAGCCAGAACGGCGGTAGCAAAGAAGAGAGTGGCAAGAGTAGTGTACTGCATGATGTGCGGTAAATAATGAGTGACAGGGCGAAGAATTATTGCACAGAAAGGGCTTTTTATTTTCTCAACGGAAGAGGGCGGTTTAGGCACCGGGGATTAGGGGAGTTTATTTATACACTGGCAGGTCTTAGGCACCTGGGAGATACCAAGACGACAAAAACGCCTATTTCCGCCTAAAATGAACCAAAATCTTGCTTTTGAGGCTCGCGGCTACCTAGACAGGTTCTCTTAATGCTGTGTTCCAGACTACTGGGCCAGTGTAGATTGCGGGCTTGAGAAAAAGGGTTCATATTACGCTAAGACCCTTAGCTTTCTTGAATATCCAATTATATTCCTTCAGTGTCTCGCTAGCTTTGCCACTTTGAGGAGAATACGCCGACACTAATCTATTTCGAGAGTTGGTGCTTATGGACCCCTTAGTCTAGTCCCTGGACCCTGGCGACTACTTCCCTACCCAATAGTCAGCGCTACGCGACACCGTAAAAAAAGTTTGTTCAATCTCCTGAATGATCCTTTTACCTGCGCCTCAAACATTTTAAGCCTTCAATTTCCACATACATAGCCGATGCAGTAGCTTCTTTTGAGCGACCAGTAGGAATTTACAGCCGGATTCACGGAAGTGTCGGCTTCTTCCGCCATAATGAACTTTTTTTTCCCTTTCACTCAGACCCTTGCAACATCCGACACATCCCTGTTCTGTAAACCCTCATGTTGATATTACATCATTTTCTGGGGAAACAGGGCAAAAAAAAGAGTCTGCCTTCTTTCACAGTTTATGGCCTGGCGACTATGCGTGGCTAGATCTCCTTCCATCCAATGAAGACTCGATAAGCACCTCCTCTCGAGTGTGGATCCCTGATTCATGGAGATCATCCTCCCCAGCTTTGTTGGATCGATAGAGGGAATGTGCACAACCTTCGCCGACCTTTATCTCATTCGCTGGAAAGCGGTTTAGACCTCGAGGTGACCATTATTTTCATGCTGTGCTTGCTACTGACGCGTGGACACGTGGCAAATTTTCATTTTTGTCATTAAGAGATCCAATGAACGATAACTTCGATATGCAAGTTGTCAAATGGATGCCTTTGTTACCACATGGTAGACTTTTTCATCTGATAATATACTATACAGCTTGCGTCAGCTTACTTGGCAAACCGAGTATCGATGGTTGGAGGTGGTATGAAATAAGGCAACAGCGTAGAAGATCCGCTGTGCAACGGCGATAGCAGATGGAGCGTGAGCCCTGGAGGGCTAATATTGTTAGCCCGGTATAGGGTACATATTGGTGCGAAGGCTAAAAAAAGATCTATGCAAAGTCAACCCGCTTCAAGTCAGGAATTAATTTTAGTTGCGCAATGACACTGGTAGTGTGCTGAACCCTGAAAGTTGAATCCTCATCAATTGATTATACTAGATTTCCACACGTGCAGTTATCTCCCATGGTCTTTCACTCTCGAAGACCCAATTTCTGCATACAAAAGTAGCGGTATCTTCCAGCCACTCTAGCGCGAAACTTCTTCCCAAAATATATGAAAATGAAGTTGCCAAGAAGAACAACAGTCGAGATCAAACCAAATATCACATAGAACCATGACAATCCAACCCGATCACACCAAGGTTGTAGCGCGAAAACAAATATAGTAGATATGAGGTTTCGAATGAAGGTGACGCCGACTACCGAGTCTGCAATAATCTAAAGAATTCATTAGTAAGAGTTCAAATGTTTCTAGGAGTACACTGGAGAGACTCACATCAGTGTACGCATCGGTATGTCAGTGCAGCACTACTAGCCGGAACAACACCAAACCCAGTGACTCCAAGCCCGAACGCAGGCAAGAGCCAGTGCGAGCCATTATTCAGTCCAATGCCAAACATAAATAGACCTGCGGGCACAAAAGGAGTAAAAATTAAAGAAAGCCAAAGACGCATTTCTGGTTCGAAGATTCCGTTATTTCTTCGTGCCAAGCGAAGCGCAATATAGTCACTCAATGGACCACAGATCAGAGCTCCCAAGCTTGTACCGAGAAAAGGTGGAATTCCCATGAGTCCAATTTGAGATGATCCAAAATTATAAGGTGGGAGTGTCATAACGGAGGATAGAGTTGTGACTGGGACTGTCGTGCAAGCAGTCATGATTCCGTATTCAACAGCCATGAAAAACACCGCTGGGATGCTAGACATGATTAAGAAGGGTTGATAAGTGTGTTTCAGTAATTCTCCAAAAGACATGGGGGAGACCAGAGTGCCAGTTTGTGACGATATGATTTACGTGGAATAGATTGGTCAACCACCACCGGCTTGGCCTGAGCAGCTGCACCTTCCACAGCTAAGGTCTCTCTCACTGATGCTGAATCGAGATTCTCCTTTTCAATGACCACCTTCGGTTGGACATTGTCTGCAACTGGCACTCCGTCAACAGGAGCTTCGCAAAACATCGTCTCCTCGTAAAGAAAGACAAAAGCGACAAGCCCGACGCCAAACAGAATTGCCATCCACCACCAGACCCAACGCCAGCCTTGGGAAAGAGTAATGAATCCACCAGCCAGAGGCGCCAGAGTGGTACCAACGGTCATAACCCAAAAATATATGGTATTCATGACACCTCTCTCATGAATGAAAAAGACGTCTGCAACTGTCATCTGGACCAATACCTCTGCTAATGCTCCAACAATGCAGCTTAATACATTGACCAGCATCAAGTCAGCAACAGTCTCCATCTTTGCGCTCCAGATACTAATTCCGCACTGAACGGCAGTGCTGAAGATGTAAATGGGTCGTCTCCCGAATTTCAACGCAAATGGAATCAAGAGAATGCCGCCGATGCACAGTGCTCCACACCCAGCAGCGTAGCTGTCGTTGAGTATCCCATAGCTAAAGCCTAGCTCTTGATTGACTTCGCTCCATGTCACTGTTGCGACGTCTATTCTATAAATCTGGGTCAGCATTTTATCATAAGGGAAATGCTTCATGTACTCACAGTGCAAGAACCATCATGACATAGTATGAGACTAAGCCAAAGTTCAAATTCTTCCTCCATTGTGGCCAGTTCTTATAAAGAGTATTAGTTATGACTATCACAAAAATAGGATGACGGTTGCAGCACCCACCAAAGGGTCGTTTGGATCGTTGCTTGGCTTGGGTTCTAAGATGACATCGGAGGTTTGGTTCGATCGCGAGAAGTCTGGTATGTGAAATTCTGTTAGATTGACCCTTAAGTGTTCTCAGTGAGACGGGATTATCTCTCTGACCTTCGATACGAACAGTTCCTGGTGGCCACTCTGGGTCAATTTGTTGGTCGTCTGGTGACATTCTTCAGGGGGTCCCGGTGATATTTCAAAGTACAGGTCAAGAAATTCACTTGTAGACGGACTGAATGGGAGAGTCAGTTATGGCGACAGGATCATTTTATGCCAGACCTCCCAGCTCAAAGTCATGGCAAAGACGGCAAAGATCATGACGCCTCATCTGAATCTTTTATCACTGTTAGTACGAAGTATCGGTTTTGCGGCCACTCACGCTCAACAATAGGAGACGCGGTGGAACACAGCTTTCCTCAAAAGGGAAGTTTGAGGCATCGGCTAATGAGCCCAAGACTCTCTGGCACATTGAACATTGAAGCTTATCATCCTTTTGCTGATCAGATATGCGGGGAAATCGTGTGATAGGCAAGAAGCTGGAGTCATACTATTTACCTAACCTTATCAGACCCATCTGTGGCGCTCGGCAATCTGGCATGATATTTCTCGATTTTCCGAGTCTTGGTGACCTTTGATTCAATATTGTCTTCGGAAGAAGTATTCCCTTGGACTGAGTCCGACTGACACGATTAAAACAGTTGGCCTACCAGTCCTCGTCCTCTATGTTATGAACAAAGATCACACTCAATGAGACTTTGCTTAGAGGACTGAAGGATTCTTCGAGACCAGGATCTTGCCAAAACCTCTGATAACGGACAGTGACCATGCCATATTCAGCAAAGTATTCTTCGACGTTAATGAAACTCTTATCGTTCAATGGTCCCATAACCTCCACTTCCCCAGGCAAACCCACCTCAAACCGACCAATGGCGTCAAATTGCGCCGCCAAGATGCAACATAGCTTCTCCACATGATAATCGAGTTTAGGCTGCGGCGTTGATATCACGGATGGAGGTGCTCGGGTATAACTGCCGATATGGGTCAAGGGCATATTGTGACTCCAAACTTCATGTCCACTTCTCTATCTGCTTTTCAGTTTTGGAGAAAGTGATTTTCCATCGGAGTTTGGTTGCTTCCGTCTCTACCCGCGCATTATATTAATAGGATCTCGAAGTACCAAATCAAGTTCGCTCCTAAGTTCTTCCAAGTTCTCCCCAGACAGATCTACCTTCAAGTCCTTGAATCCTTGAAATGGCATCCGTCTTCCAGAATGGGCGAATCTTCGCGCCCTCAGCCGGCGCTACCAATGAATTTGCCGATACTATGATTGTTGAAGACGGACGAATCACCTATGTCGGTTCTCTTGATAACACCAAGATTCCAGCAAATGCCACGATCGTTGATTTGGACAATCATGTAGTGGTTCCCGGATTTATCGACAGCCATGTCCATATCCTGCATTACGGACACTCACTACAAAAAGTCGATCTTATTGCCTGTACATCCCTGGAGCAAATCCGAACAACTATTAAATCATACGCCGAGTCCAATCCATCTGTTCCACGAATTTTGTGCCGTGGTTGGATCCAATCTTCAACTGGCGGGGTGGCTTTAGCCAGTATGTTGGATGATCTAGACCCCCGACCCATCTATATCGATGCTTTCGACCTCCACTCCATGTGGTGTAGTTCAGCTGGTCTTGACGAAATGAAAGCGCATACCGCTCCTGATCTTCCAGGTGGTACTATCCACCGTGACGAGAATGGAAAGGCCTCGGGTCTATTGGATGAATCCGCTTTAATGAACCTGGCTTGGCCACACGTTGAAAGCCTCTATTCGAGAAAAGACAAGTTGAAGGCATTGGAAGATGCCATTGCGCAATACACTGCTGCTGGCTACACTGGAATTATCGATATGGCCATGGATGAGGGTACTTGGGAGATTCTTAATGAATATCGTCGCGACAAGACAATTCCATTCCATATTGGTGTTCATTGGCTTGTCCCGTTCTCAGGTGATCAAAAAGTCAACTTCACCTACGTTGATCGGGCTATTGAGCTACGAAAACAATTCACAGATCCCAACTTCACCGTTCTTGGAATTAAACTGATCTGTGATGGTGTTGTTGATGGCTGTACCGCAGCCCTTCTTCAACCATACACCGGAAAATCAGATCCAGTTGACCCAATTTGGCCAGCTGATATGCTACAAGAAGTCGTCCAACGAGCTGATTCAGCCGGTCTTCAGTCTGCTATCCATGCCATCGGAGACAAGGCCGTAAACCAAGCAATCAATGTTCTATCCGAAGTCGGTACTCCAGGTCGCCGACACAGAATCGAACATCTTGAAATGACTACATCTGAAGACGCCAAGCGACTGGGTCAACTTGGAATCACAGCATCCGTGCAACCCGTCCACTCTGATCCAACCCTCTTCAAAGCCTGGCCTGGTCTAGTTGGTCCGCATCGATGCAAGCGAGCATTCGCCTATAAAGACTTTTTAGATGGTGGTGCCCCTCTTACTTTCGGGACTGATGCTCCTACTGCCCGACATCTCCCTTTCCCGAACCTCTACAATGCCACGACCAGGCGCTCAGCTCTTGAGCCCGAGAGTACTGAAACGGTTAACCCGCACTTTGGAATCACGCTGGCACAGGCTGCTACGGCTGCTACAACTGGTGCGGCTTACTCGCGCTTTGCTGAATCGTGGACGGGAAGTATTAAGAGTGGTTTGATTGCTGATTTTCTGGTTGTTGATATGCAATGGAATCCGGAAACTCTTCTTGGGGCGAAGGTATGCCAGACTTGGTATAAGGGTCAGAAGGTTTATGATTCGAGTGAATCTGCAAATTAATAGAGCAGACTCGGAATTCTCAAAATTGTATCAAGCATTGAACTTTGTCATATTTCAGAAATAGAACTTAATGACTTTCAATTTGGTCCTTCGAATGATGTCTAACCTATATCATTTTAATTACTAGTACCTGATTTATCAGCCCATAATATTGATACTAGGGAAAATACATGGGCGGACATCATCATGACATCACTCGGAGCGGCGTCGACTCTTCCTGTATCTTCTACCTACTCAGGTTCAACTTGAGGAAGACATAATTTCAAAGTTTTTATATACTATTCAATATGATATACAATTCGTATTCTGATAATACATGTAACAAAATATTCAGAACTCGTTAAAGGTGTTCTTCCTCGTATGAGACATCCAGAGTTACTCCTCAGGCTTACGAGGCTCAGCGCCCTGTTCGGAGGATCGACGAGTTGAACTAGCATCTTTGTTTTGTTCGGTTCCTAATAGTCAGATCGCTTCCATTCAAAGAAAGAAGATATAAGAAGATAAAGTGCACCTACTGGATGCTGAGTTACTCTGTTCGGATGTATGCTCTGTCATATCATGAAGATCTTCAAGAGCATGTTGGTGAGCGAGTTCAGCACACATCGCTTGTGGAGATCTATCAAAAACTGCGTTAGAAGACTTCGAAGAAGTAATGGAAAATATTCTTCGTACGGCGCAACATTTCGCTCGATGATCATGTCCAGATCATTGAGTTTGTGAGTTTGTGAGCTAGTTTGCCCGTACTTGTGCATAGTGTTGGGGTCGAGAGGATTCGCGTCAATAGATGAAGTGACCATAGTGAAACTTGAGCTTTAATATTGTTCAATAAGCAAGGTATGAATATCTGATAGAATTTTCAAAAGTCAGGAAGAAATTTCAGTCAGGATCTGGCATTTGAATTTTCGACCAGGGTCAAGTGCGGGGAGAAGCTCTGTGGAACGTCCCGCAACCAGATGTCCAGGTGGCGACCTATGATAAAAACCCTATGCGGCATAGTCAATATTTAATACATATATCGCTGTTGGATCAATTTCAAATGCTGTGCTTCTTCCAAAGGTTCAAAGTTGAGTTCTCGGCTACGTTCAGTGAACCTCCTACATATGTCCCCATGATTCATCCGATCCTCTGAATCTTGGGCTAATTTGGACCATTCCAGTGTTTGCCTTTGATGGCAAAATAGCAAGATTTTCAAATTAGCTACGCCTCCGGTCCAATACTAGTAAGCACTCAGCGGTTAACCTTGGAAGACATTCAAATTTGTTCAAGCTCAAATATTCAGGCTTTAAGTTGGCAACTCGGAGCTTCTTGAAGTTACCACAGTGCTCAGGCTGGGCAGGCTGGATAGTATACCTATTTCTGCTACTAGTAAACGATGATCCACCACTGGCAATACTACCTAGTACTAGTAAGAATAGAACTTGAAGTGCCCGATGAAAGAAATCCCTATACCTCCTGCATGTACCGACGATCAACGACATCGGGCCTGGAGTTAGTAAATGAGCTTGAACCTTCCAAGGTTGCCAATTTCGAAGTTCCAGATGTCGTGTTGAAGGTACTTTTGTTTGACCAGTTGAGGCCTACATGAATGGAGGGAGGGAAAACCATAATGATTGATCCCGAGTTCAAACAGTCTTTTTCATTTTCATAATGGCGGTGAGTACGGAGGTCGGTCCGGAAAGTTCTCGCCAGAAATTATAATTTCTTTTTCTTGATATATTACCGGCCCTGTATGTCAGGTGTATAGCCTGCTGTATATTGGATGTATTGCCGTGTTACGTACTAGGCTAAATATTGCTTATAACACCCGTGGACACGTAGATCTTTATCTTTTACCCCGCCTACAGTCCGTACACCCCTTCACACTTTTATCCCACCTACACAGCTACACTTTTGTCCCACCTATACAGCTACAATGAAGACCAATATTGCGCAACGTGCTGTCATTGTATACCTAAGGGCCCAAGGACATGCCCCTAAGGAGATCAGTGAATTTATGAATATTCCACGGCGTACTATAGGAGACATATGGAACCGTGCACTCGAACGAGGTTTTCAGCCGAATCAGCGACCATTCAATATATCAGATGAAATGTTAGCTGATAAAGCACGTTCTGGGCGTCCATCTAAGCAAACAGATGAGCTTAAAACCACACTTGGGGCGAAAATCCGTGTAGACCGCTATGGGCGTGAGAAAACATGTGAACAGCTAGCTGCAGAGCTACGCAGTGAATCAGGTTAGTTATTCTAAGATTTGATATTTTATTTAGTGTGTTATTTAATATGTTATTTAGTATAATATTTGATGTGTTACTTGGTGTGTTATTTGATATGTTATCTCATATGTTACTTGATATGTTATTTCCTCTAATATTTCTTCTATAATTAGGGATTAATATATCAAAAACAACAGTTTGGCATGTACTACGAAAAATTGGCCTACGAAAAACAAAGCCTACACGTAAGCCTGGGCTTGCCGCTGAGCAGAAAAAACAACGTCTTGAATGGTGTTTAAAACACGCCCATTGGACTATAGAAGACTGGAAGAATGTGATTTGGACTGATGAAACTGCGGTTGTTTTATTACACCGTCGGGGTGGATATCGTGTATGGCGTACTTCTAGTGAGCGGTTCGTCCGAAGCTGTATTCGAGAACGTTGGAAGGGGGCCTCTGAGTTCATGTTTTGGGGTGCTTTTTCTTATGATCAGAAGGGCCCCTGTCATTGTTGGGTACCTGAAACTACAGCCCAAAAGCGTGAAGCAGAACACCAAATCGCCGAATGGAATACTGAATTAGAGCCTATTATGCGTGCAGAATGGGAGCTTAATTCAGGTATACAGCGATTAGGGCTACGCAATAAGCCTGGAAGACAACCTCAGTGGAGATGGACTCAGAAGAATGGAAAGCTTGCACGCAATTCGAAAGGTGGAATCGATTGGTACCGATACAACACCGTGATTTTAGCCCCAAAACTACTTCCATTCGCCCAAGAATGTGCTCGAATTCGAACGAAAACAATAGTTCAAGAGGATAAAGCACCAGCCCATTCACATCACTACCAACAGCGAATATTTGATATAATGGGGGTCCAACGAATGATCTGGCCTGGAAATTCGCCTGATCTAAATATGATTGAACCTGCATGGCCTTGGATGAAGAGATACACTACGCGAAAAGGAGCACCTAAATCGCGTAAAGAAGGGATTAAAGTATGGGAGGCTGCGTGGCGTGATCTACCACAGGCGCAAATTCAAGCTTGGATTGAACGTATACCATGGCATATACAGCAAGTCATTAGACTAGAAGGGGGCAACGAATACGGTGAGGGGCGTGATAAATTAGGTGAAGTAGCCCCTAGCGGGTTAGGTGATAACGCCTATAACAGCGGCAGCGGCAACGACAGCGACAGCGACAGCGACAGCGACAGCGATATATGGGAAGATATGTGAATATTTACTGTTTCAAGCTGTTATTATATTTCAGTACTATATATTTCCGTTTTATATACATCTTGATTACGCGATATATTTCAATATTTACTGTATATAGCCTAGTGTGAGAAAAAGAAATTATAATTTCTGGCGAGAACTTTCCGGACCGACCTCCGTACGTAGCGATGAAAACTAAACCAAAAATCAAATAATAAGATAAATCTTATTCGATGGCCTGATTCATTGTTTGCGCGCCTATAGCGCTAGCTATCATGCAAGAAATTCTTCGATGAAGAACAATGACCTCGGATTCGTACCGCTCAACATGACATCTGGAATATTCAAATGTAATTCTTTTTTTCAGATAGTAATTATATAGGTTCAGTATGGTCCAATATTTCCTAGGATTCAAAGCTTAAAAGACTCAATCATCTCATTTATCTCACCTCTTGCACCTTTGACCACGCGTGGGGAATTTCCGTTTACAATTCTGGCTATGCAGCACACGATCCTAAATCCTAGGCAGTTACGAAATATGATATATTTTCCTGTCCTTGATTGGATACGAACTGATGAATAATTCGCCGATCAGACAAAAAACCGGGAACTTGCAGGTATTACAGTAGCTAGTAGATATTGCAAAAGTCGTGAAGCAACGAAGCTTTAGATTGCCTATACCTCTTCAAGTTGTTCGAGACCCTTTGTAATTCAAGAGGCTAATAGTAATAAGATATATCTTCTTATTAAGAGAATCGAATGGATTGGTCAAATTGAAAGCCATACGCTTCCCACGGAATATTCCTCCAATAGTTGCACTTCCATAGTCATGCAGGGTAAAAGCACATGCGGAGTTGCGGGGTACATAAAAGGAAAGATGTTAGTAAATGAGATTTCTAAGAATAATGAGCGGTGATCATCTAGCCACCGCCAACCGACGAACCAGACTTTGGAGTCGTCAAATCCATCGTGGGCCCATCCGTGCTAGTCCCGAATTGGTGATTGTGGTGAGAAGGGCTCCGCATTTGAGGAACAAGTCGATGGGGTTCAATTTTGTCGTAATGGTGCAAAAGAGAGGAAAATTTTTCTTATTCAGTTGTTGTTCTTATTTAAAATCAACTTGAACTTCGTATCTGTTTCTTCTGCTGGTCTTTGTGCTTCGTGCTTCATTGGAAAAGTATACATGCGTCTGGTGGAGTCAATTGTTGGTTACCAACGGAAGGTGAAGTCATCTTCTTCCAAACTTCCGGATTTGGGAGCCCGTAGCGGAGACACACCGATTCATCGTTGACACATTGAGAGTTATTCTTAAGGAGGAGGGAATTGAGACGTTCTATCAACTCATTATCAGATAGACATGGTATTTACTCGTGGTGATGTATCTGGAGATGTGGATGAAATAGGTAAGTATCAGCAGTGCTTCAAGCATGGAAGAGTATGAGCAGTATGAACTAATAATTGATCGTTTAGACCACAATGAACCCGGAAGTAATATCGAAGTGGTCTCCTGGGATGGCCCTCGCGATCCTGGGAATCCTTACAACTGGTCACTTCGCCAGAAGTGGACGTTGACCATATTGGCGAGCTTTGCAACCTTCGTCACAATGATGAATGGAACAATTATCACTGTTGCCCATACCACGATCAATGAAGAGTTCAGCGTCTCGGATGCTTCATTTCCCAACTCCTACTGGCCTGTCACATCATGGGCCATGGGAGGTGGGTGCTTTTCTCTCCTGATCCTACCATTGATGGAGGACTTTGGTGTAAGACGAGTATTCCTCTTGACATGGCTGGTCTTCGTCTGTTTTGTCATTCCTCAAGCATTAGCCCAGAACTTCGCCACACTGATTGTAACCCGGTTCTTCGCTGGGGGCTGCGTTGCCATCTTGGCGAATACGTCTGCGACAGTCGTTGGTAATGTCTGGGACACAGAAAAAGCTCGAAATATCCCCGTCAGCTTGTATATCGTCGCCTATCTGACTGGTGCGAGTATTGGGCCAGTCATTGGGGCACCGATCTATCAGTTCCTCTCATGGAGGTGGATCGGATACCTCCAACTGATCTGGTATGGGGCCCTATTCCCGGTTTACGCATTCATGTTCAAGGAATGTCGTGGGGTTGCTATTCTCGGACAACGTGCGAAGGCTCTGCGTCGTGAAGGCAGGATGGCTTATACCCAACACGAAATTGATAGTGAGGGGACGTCGATATGGAGGATTGTGGCTCGGAGTGCGACACGACCGCTCATCATGTACTTCACGGAGTCTGTCGTCTTCTTCTCGGGCATGTGGTCTGCTTTCACTGTGGGCACACTCTATTTGTTCACACAGTCAGTTGAGCAGGTTTTCTCTGGTCTGTATGGCTGGAGTCCATCACAGGCTGGATATGTGCAAGGTGCAATTGTGATTGGAGAGTGTATTGGCTGGGTAGGAACTCTGTTCTCTGGCAGTCTATACTTCAACTCTGCGTCTCGGAATACGGAGTTCCCCGGTAAACCCATCCCAGAAGCACGACTGTACCTGGCTATCATTTCGGGCGTTATCGGTCTTTCGGGTGGAATGTTTGTCTATGCCTGGACATCCTACGCTTTCCTTCCATGGATTGCACCTGCTATTGGACTTGCAATGGTGGGAGCTGGTAGTGTTATCGTGGTTACTGGAATCTCTGACTACGTTGTGGACGCATACGCAAAATATGCTGGTAGTGCGGTTGGTATCATCGTTACTGGCGAGAATACCTTTTCTGCGTTTCTACCACTAGCTGCTATGAGCATGTACTCGCATCTCGGCTTCCAGTGGGCTAGTACCTTGCTGGCATTGATCTCCCTAGCACTCTCACTTGCTCCCATATTGTTTGTGGTATATGGCAAAGAGATCCGAGCTCGGAGCCCCTTTATGAAAGAGGCTATGTTGGATATGAGGAGGAAGAGTATATCCTCGGTTTGATTAACCGGGGATCCTGATTGATCAATTGTATATAATAGTCTAGCGCTATCATCTTATCATGCACATATACGCAGAACCAAAATAGAATACTTTGTCTCACGATTGAACTCTTTTCTTGCCGAGATGGCTGTCGGTGGAATCTCTTTCAATTACCTCTCTTTCCCACCGACTACTCAATCAGTCATTGCAAAAGCTGTGAAGTATTTGTCATGTCAAGAGCTTCCATATAAGCTTCGATAAAAATAGCTGATCCATCCAACTGATACAACTGGTACCAAGATGAGGCTCGAAGTAGATCGTGGGTGGACTCGGAATTATCCAGAGTGGACCTGAGACATAGACCACCCACGGATGACCTTGTCGGAGACTGAACACCTGAAGAAACATTGACCGAACCTTGACCAAACTAGTCCACCCCAGAACCTTAACAATTATATTGTTATCACTAATTCAGACAAAAAGAGGGGAAACCCATGGAAGGTTCTGTAGGGCGCAGTATAGTTTAAAAGTGGGAGAATTCAGGAGAAGTAGAACGGAGGTTTTCCAGAATGTAGTTTAGAACGTCCGCTAGCCCTTAATATCCATGAGAAACACCCATCAAGTCCTTTTGTCAGACTACACATGCATGAACTCCTCATAAATCCTAAAATTCGAATTTCAGAATGTTATTGATGTTGATTTAGCCGATCATGTCTTTGTTTTTCTTCGCGAAGTCAAAGGAACAATGAGACAACATTGTCTCTAAAATTTATCAGATCCATAATGCAGAGACCACAATTGATCCTTTGTATTTCCCGGTCTAAGAATTATGTTTTGCAGGAGGGGAGAAGATCGTCATCGAGCAGGGATTAGTAGTCCATTGAACAGGGATTATAACGCCAACCACGACGCTACTCCACGCGTACTTCGTACTCTACTTGTTCTACGACTTGATCCCACCATTAAGACCTTCCCCATTCGGATTGATGCATATATTCAATGCTTTTCCCAGCCACAGGACTCAATACTGCGCACTAATAGCACTAAAAGCACTAACAAAAACTTGAAGCCCCGCAACATGCACCAGACTCGGTAGAACTTCTAGATCGTTTCAGAGGGGACGATCAAACGGGCGCCAATCAATCTGTGCTTTCGTGCGACCCACCACTGCGACTCGTGATGCCCAGGAGTGGGCTGGTCAAGGCATTTGATCCGAGTGGAATTCCCGGCGATAGCCTCTTCCCCATCGTTGCAATGTGTCCTGATTCCTACATTGGGTAAATGAGTGCGGCCCGGGGGTGAATTCTGCCGATGATGGCTGAAGTTGTGAAAGAGAGTAAGACATTCGGGGATTTTTGGGTTCCTTGATGGAGCTTCACTAGTACTACTAGTACTCGACGGCGCATCAAGCTTGGGTTTTATGTGTCATTTGTTTGGTAAAGGGGTCTTTTCATGCGGGCACTGTGGGTTGAACCATCAACAATTGATCTTTGAATCTTGATGGTGAAACACGATTCAATCATCGGAAAGTACGATGGCAATTTCTTTTTTCATGAGGATCATACTAGTGACATAGATCGTGGATGACCTTAATTCCATTAGTAGTCTCGAATAGAGGAAAAACAGAATCCCGGAGTAATTAGTAGTCCGCTCACACTTGAGTGAAAAGACTCAGCTAGATCTTTTATATGGGAAAGAATTTTCACTCATATACTGGACCTTGGCACAAATGATTAATCATTTCCTCGATGCCAAGACTTGCTTTTGTACTCGACTCTCACTGGTCTTTCAAGGACTCGTTTGGTCCACGGATAGGGCGTTGGTCTGGACTTTTGTTGATCATCATAAGTGACATAACCGGGGGACCATGGGAAATGAACCGAACAAACTTTTATGTATACTGTCAACTGGCAGACGGAGTATACCTATACAGACTATACTTCGTTACATCCAAGGCCCTGCATAATGGACAAATTACCGATGAAGAGTATATACCCCTTAAACTACTGCATGCACTCCAGAAAAGATAAAACAGGGGCGTCAGGTCCAGGCGGGAGAACCTCGGAAGGTCAGGGGTATTATTTTTTTTCTCTCATTATCCACTCACGCGTTAAGCCCAAAGAAGTAGTGGTTATGTTCGGAATCGCACGGAGAACCGGAAGGCATGAAGCCCAGCCACAACCGTGAGAGTCGAGCACGGGCATCGGAGAGTTTCCTGAGACTAGGATGAGAGGAGTATAGGGAAAAGATCAAAGTGGGGAGAACCCGTTTCAATGTAAGCGCCCGGGATCCTGAAACATCATGAGGGCGGGTGCTTCAGGTCCCCCAGCGCCAGTTTGATGAGCAAGAGAGGATTTTAGTGGAGTCTTTACGGAGTACCTATGAGATTTCTGCAGATTTCCTACAGGGGACCGAGTGTAGGGATTTTTTTGATGTACATTTTACTCTTCGCCTATTTTTGGGAAGATGGAGACTGGGGAGTATGATTGGGTCTGTTATTTACGGAGTACTTCCCTGATATACCCTTAACTCGCTACACTCTGAAGGTAGATCAAAGTCTGTTTTGGACAAATCAAGTTGAAAGAAGGAAATGATCCTCTTAAACCCTCTGCAGACCAGTCACTCTCTTCATGGTGATGCATCTAATCAACCCTGCAGGTTGTAATGAGGGTTGCGTCAAGGCAAAGACAACTGTAGAAAGGCTAAAGTTCCTGTTCCTTTTTTTTTTAGTCTTTTTTTTTTTTTACTATTTTTTCTTGAATTAATTTCACGTAGAAAAACTCCATTAATCAGGCTAACCTAGACTTTGACTATACTCGAATATAAACGAATCATAAGAATTCGGCCCCATCTGCCCACTATGTCTACGGAGTAGGGGACAAAAGTGGAACACGGAACCAGAACAGATTCAGGAACGGTGTGAATTACAGGTTATGTCATGTAGTAAAAGATTAAAATAATAAAATAATAATAATAATAATAAAATCAGTTTGAATTCTTATAATAAAAATGTAAAAGGGAGAAAGTGATTTGACTGGTCACTTGGTCACATCAAGATCCTCCTTCGCCAGGGTCCTGGCGCTTCCCTCTTATTTGTTGGGATTATTATTAGTACTGACGTTGCCCAGTGCTCTCTCTCTCTCCCCCCCTTCTCTCTTACTCCTCTCTTCTCTCTACCCACTTTCGTTTCTTTTCCCTTTCCCGCTGTGCGAGACCATACTCTAAAAAAAGAGACTCTTACTGGCTGGTCTAGTTCTATCTCTCTGAAATCATCCTTCTTTCTGTCCTTCTCTTTGTTTTCTTGAGGCCGGTTCCTCATCCTCCCATATACAAAGATCCGATTGCATTTGTCGCGTTATTTCCATCGTCCCCACGACCAAGATAAATCAACAATTCCGAAAATTTTCACTTGGCAACAAGAGAACGAACTGAACGATCCCAAAGAAATTCGATCATTTCGCATAGAAACCTGATTCTAATCCGGGTCGCATTGTAGAGGTGAGTGGTGTGTGAGATGGGTCTCGAAAGGATGTGAAGAAGATCTGGATGTGGCTTTTAAAGGTCACAGGTAGACATAAAGTCGGCATTGCGCTTTTGTCTTATACCCATGTCCTTTGTTCCTCTTACCATGACGTTCTTCTATTTCGGGCCCACCTACCGTTCTTTTATCCCCCGGTCGGCGCTGATGATTTGATTCGTATAGCCTGTGGGAAAGAATCATGTATCCTCAACATAGTGCCCCTATGGCACCACCCCAAAAGCCGGAGACTTTCATGCTCTCTACAGAAGCGCAGCATAATCTCCCGCAAGATGCGCAGGTCGCCCTGCAACAAGTAGACAACCGTATGTCGCAAATCCATACCTTGTGGATGAGGTGGTGGTGGTGTTGACAAAAATACAGTGAAATATTTCCTTCTGTCAGCGCCCGTGGATTGGCAACCCGATCAGTTGATCCGTCGTTTCTTGCTTCCGACCGGCGACTATGTCTCTTGTGTCTTATGGTTAGTACAGACGAAACCGAAGAATACCTCCAACTCTCTATTATATACCCCTAGCTCAGAACTGATCAAATTTGGTGCCGTAGGAGCAATCTTTTCCACATCTCCGGCACCGATATCGTTCGATGCCTCGCATTTCGATTCCAAGCATTCGGTCGCCCAGTTAAGAACTCGAAGAAGTTTGAAGAGGGTATTTTCTCCGATCTACGAAATCTTAAAGCTGGCACCGATGCTACTTTGGAAGAGCCAAAGAGCGCATTCCTCGATTTCTTGTACAAAAACAACTGCATTCGGACTCAGAAGAAGCAGAAAGTGTTCTACTGGTACAGTGTGCCACACGATCGGTTGTTCCTAGATGCGCTGGAGAGGGATTTGAAACGCGAGAAAATGGGCCAGGAAGCGACCACGGTCGCCGTGAGCGAACCAGCCATGTCCTTCGAATTCGATTCGTCCCAGTCCCTCTACGAGCAACTGACCAAAGCACAACAAGCGAACTCGTCCTCGTTTGCTGCCCACGCAAGTACGACATATGGCCAGCCCAACTCTCCCGTGGTTCGGACCGTTGACGCAATGCCTCCTCCGCAGATGGCTCCTCCCCCAGCGATTCCACTTCTCCAGGACGATTCGCCCCATCCGACGATGTACAGCAATCCCCCGATACCCTTGACGAACAACCTGGTTCAGGGGATTATTAAACGGGAGCAAGATTACGGAATCCAGTATGACCGCAACGGAATGCCCATCGCCCGTGTCCACCAGCGCCATTCCTCCATGCCGACTTTTTATGAGTACTCCCCCGCGCCATCCTTCGTGTCGTCCCATTACGAGGATTACAGCAACCGCGGCCTGTCGTTTGAGCCTGTGACCCCTCCTCAACATGCGGTCGGCCTTGGTGCGGAGCCCGCGTACATTGCCAATGAGGACACGGGCCTGTATACTGCGATTCCGGATCTCTCTCATGCGGCCCCTTACAACCCGATGATGCAGCTTCCGCCATCTAACTTCGCCAACGGTCATTACCAGTCCTCTTCGCGATCTTACCCGTCTAACCCATACTCTGTCATTGAAGGGTCGCCCACGTACAAGCAGCGGCGACGTAGACCATCAATAACTCCGGGTCCTTCTAACGGTGGCACTCCTGGTCTCCAAACTACTTCTGTTGGACAGACTCCCAACTATGCGGCCCACAAACCCAGTGACCTTCGTCGCTCGGTTTCAAGTTCTGTGGCTCCTGCATTGGAGGGAGATGAGACTGGTCACGATCTCTCTCGGGCTTACCCGAGCGTTATGCTTCCTCAGAAGGATTTACTGCGGGAAATTTCGCGCCACGGTACCCCACTCCAGCATCTGGACAGCAGTGTTGAGCCACAGCCAGTTCCCATGTCAAACCCGCATGACGACTTGGCGGCGCTTCCAACCAGTGGTGCTATTGAGACCGCCGTTCAAAATAGCACTAGTCGGTCAGATCGCTCAGCCCCTGGTCCCGCTCGTCGGGCCCGGAGTGCAACAATGATGGAGCTGGGTCCATACCCACAAAAATCTCACTCATGCCCGATTCCGTCATGTGGCAGACTCTTCAAGCGTTTAGAGCATCTTAAGAGGTAAGCTCGATTCTATTTTTGAAACTTCCCCCCTGCCGTCCACGGATCCCCTGTGGGGCGCCGATCTGCACAACAATGCCCTGGTGTGATTATTCTAGCCGCCGAACTAACCTGGGCGCTTAGGCACGTGAGGACTCATACCCAAGAACGTCCATACCCTTGTCCGTACTGCAGCAAAGCTTTCTCCCGATCCGACAATCTGGCACAGTATGTTTCATTTTTCCCGTACAGCTCTGAACATTTCTTTTCTAACTCCTTGTTTAGACACCGCCGAATCCATGAGGCTCAACAAGACGGCCAGCCCGCTGTTGCCACCGAGGATGACCTTGAGCATGAGGAACACGAGTTCGAATCTGCTGGTGAAGACTCGTCCCCGCCGGCTCCGGAGCCTGCTCCTACTCATCATCACGCTCATGCTCACGCTCCTCACATGGTCAACATGCCTGCTATGCCTGCCATGACCTCCATGGCCGCACCAATGAGTATCCCTTCTGCGGTTCCAACCATGGCTGGGACTCATATGATTGCCCCCCCAGCTTCTGCAACAGCAGATGTAGATTGCCTCTTGGGCATGTTGGGGGTCAACGAATCCTTGGACGCACTATAGACGTCCTTGGATTTAGGTGCTTAATTGGTTTATCCCTGCTTTTTGCTTGCACCACGACGTTCTTTTTGACCGCATTACTCTGTCTTATTTCTTTTTGCACATCTTGCATGGCCACTCGTCACCTTGTCCTTATTTTCTCTTTGTTATTTATCTGTGGGTTTCATGGTTTTGTTTTGTGTTTGGAACACCTTGTATTATCGTCTCTCCGCAATCGGTGCTCACTCCACATATGTGGAAAGGAACCTGCCTGGCGGGCACGGGCACGTGTGGCGTACAAATTCAAGGGTCCGGGGGGACATCCGGTATATCGTTATGGGAACATTGGGAATCTTCTCTTGAAGAGCAGAATTTGGAAGCCGCTCAAGCGGCGTGGTTATACTATAGACATTTAACGAATTGACTTGACTAAAAAACTATGCTCAGATGATGAATTTTAGCTTGAATGCAGTAGTGATGTACTCATACTTTGGACTTCTCCAGTTATCAATAATCTATAGTCCATCTATAGCAACACTTGACCTCGGACCCTTCAGTCCCAATCCGGCAGGGAGTGGGTATCACGTGAAATCTGACGTCGATCCAGGGCCCTGAGCTGAGATTAATATGCATAGCCCCCAGACCAAGTTCAATAATTTGGTCAGACGGTCTATACTCTAAGAATGTTCTTATAAGCTGTATAGGTACATCGACTTCCTCGAAAGCGCACCCGACCCGACATCCTGACTTGTGACCGCATGACCAGACGCCGCATTCAAGTACAATCCCCGCTAATGATTCGTCGGAACCAACCCAACCCCCATACGATCTCGACTAATGATTCATTTGCGGCCCGACTACCGCTCGAAGACACACGACCCCATTCTTACGAACCCCAGCGCCTATGCACTGCCTCGCACTCTGTTGAATCCCCTCTAGAAATCGCTGTGGGTCTCTCTCTTATCCGCTTCTCGCCCCGTACACTACCCCATGGGGGAAACCAACACATTTTCAGTTGTTCACGAAACCTCGCCCCTAATGCCTGCCAGGCAGGAGGACGGGGTCTCAGCCAGGGACTATGCCGGTGTCCCAGTGGAACGTGTCGACGAGTCTTCTAAGAGCAGCTGGTATTTGTTCTTGCTTACGGTCTCGATTGGAGGGTAAGCTTGTTTCCTTCCGTGGTGGTATAAAAATTCGACGAAAATGAAGCGATGAACACGAAAAAATCCGTTTCTTGTGCTGATAAGAGTTTCTGGATAAAAGTCTTCAAGTCGTTTGGTCGGTGGAACTGTCCAATGGATCGGTATGTGTTACCTGCAGAGAAGGTTTATCGACGATTTGGATGATTCTACACGAGCGTTGTACGATGGTGTCACGGGTTATGCTAACTTATTGCTTTTTAACTCTTTCTCTATATATAGCCCTTCTTACTTTCCTTGGGCATGAGCAAGGCTCTCCTTGCTGTTGTCTGGATTGCGGGTCCCTTAACCGGTACGCTTGTTCAACCGTATATCGGCATTCGAAGTGATAATTGTCGGATACCATGGGGCAAGAGGAAACCTTTTATGGTGGCTGGAGGTGCAGCTACGGTTGTCACGTTGCTTTTGCTGGCGTGGGTGAAGGATATTGTGGGCGGGTTCTTATCTCTCTTTGGTGTGGATCCATTGTCGAGTGGATCGAAGACGACGATTATGATTTTGGCGACGATCATAATGTTTTCTCTTGATTTTGCGATTAATACTGGTGAGTCATGGGATTATTATTTGATCAATGGTCGATAGATTGTCTAACAAGCTCTCTTTAGTCCAAGCTGGCATTCGGGCATTCATCCTTGATAACTGCCCTACTCACCAACAAGAGCTCGCAAATGCCTGGGCAAGTCGATGGACAGGTGTGGGTAACATTATTGGGTATATCTTTGGATACATGGATTTGCCTAAATATTTCCCTTTTCTGGGAAACACTCAGTTCAAGGTGCTTTGTTCGTTTGCCTCATTCTCGCTGAGCGTGACATTAATCGCCAGCTGTTGGTATATCAGAGAGCGCGATCCACGTCTCGATGGTCCGCCAAAATCGGATGGCCTTGGAGTTATTGAATTCTTCAAACAGACATTCAAGTCCATTCGGACTCTTCCGCCTCAAATCGCACGAGTATGCGAGGTACAGATAGCCGCTTGGGTGGGCTGGTTCCCATTCTTGTTCTACTCTACCACATACATCGGACAGCTCTATGTTAATCCGATTTTCCAAGAAAACCCAAACCTTCCAGAGGATCAGATTAACAAGGCATGGGAAGATGCCACGCGTGTTGGAACATTAGCCCTGCTCATTTACGCCGTTATCTCATTCACAGCCAATACAGTCCTTCCGATATTTGTTGTTCCTACCTATCAACACGCTGTTGAGGGCATCGCAGATCACGACGAACGAGATACATCTCTTGATGAGGAACCAAGTGAGCGTCCTCGCAGGTTGTCAATTTCCGCTATGCCAACGGGTATTGCATCCGAGCCCCTTCTAGACGCTACCCCAGGGAAAGGTATCAACGAAGATAAGCCGGCCTGGCTTTCGCGCCTACAAATCCCAGGACTAACACTCCGACGCACCTGGCTCCTCTCACACGTCTTATTCGCGATTTGCACATTTAGCACATTTTTCATCTCCTCCTACCAAGTTGGCTCCATCGCCATTGGACTCATCGGCATTTCATGGGCTGTGACTCTGTGGGCTCCATTCGCCCTGATCTCAGCAGAAGTCTCCCGCATTGATCTTGAGCGACGACTCCGTCGCCAGCAAGCTACTACCAGCGGAGCTCCAGTATCTCACCCAGGACCTCGCAGCACAAATAACTCCTATGCACCCGTCTTCAGCGAAGAGCAGGACGAGAATCGTGACTCTCTCGACGATGATCTGGAAGAAGGTCGCTCCAAAGCCTCTGCTGAGGAACCAGAGGAAAATCTAGTCCAGGCCGGAATCATCTTGGGTCTTCATAATGTGGCTGTTTCTTTCCCGCAGATCTTCTCGAGTCTGATTTGTAGTGCTGTCTTTAAGGCGGCTCAGAAACCGCGTGGTGAACCTTGGGATGATAGTGTGGGATGGGTTCTCCGGTTTGGTGGGTGTGCGGCTTTGGTAGCAGCTTTGCTCACCAAGCGATTAGCTAAGTGATCTCGTTGATTTGTTCTACATGATATAGTCACATTTCGGGAATGATACACTATTCATAATCCCTACATTATCTGCGAGCTTGCGTACGAGCTCGATGACTTCGGATTTATAACAGTTCGAGCATATCACGTACAATAAGTGAACATTGGTACATGTAGTACTAGTAACTTCGAGTATCTACTTCAGACACCCTACACACAGCCTGAGTGTTAGCATTGTATAGTAATGAACAGGGGCATGCTGCCGCATACATATTAAGACGACCAAGTAAGTAAGACTCGGAGTGGGTCAAGGGGTTACAATGCGGTCATCGAAGCTCAAAAGGGCCGTAATACTCGCCGCTCGAGCGCCTTGAAATGATATAATATTGGAGGTTTTCTCTTAATTCACCCCAATGATAGGGCCTATGTATCGACCTGATTTCTCTCCTTTCCTTTCATATATAAGTACCTAGGTACTAGTAAGTGTATGTAGGCTTGTCTATCAGTGCCTGTTCCTATGATGCCGCTAGTCTTGGCGTATTGCGCGGCATTCTTAAAGTGGCCCACGTGTCATATATAACGTATTTCAGTTTCTCGTCTTGTATTTTACAAATATTACTCGTCAATCACAACACAATTCCTATTTCATAAAGTTGTTCCGTCCCCGAAATACGCACTTGTCATGATCTCGGGGACGATCTGTCCCTTCCGCTCGGCCAATGCAACTCAACTGAGAACATCAAGCCGGCCTGCCACTTTTAACCGTGTCTATTAGTATCTGATTACGCAGATTCGTGCACTCCTCATTTTTGCGCCTTTCCTCCTAGCGGATTATGCGCGCCTGTTTCCGGCATCTCTAACTCGCAGGAGTTAAACTGCCAGGTGTCATCTGTGCCTCCTCGATCTTCCCTCGGAGTCGGAGTCGCGATGGCTAGTCAACTTATGGGCGACACCCTCCACGCTCTGCTGCGTACGTCTGCTGTCACCAGCCTGGATCGGAATTTACCTGCTTGTTCACTTGCTGATCTTGTTTTATTCATTTAGGGCGAGCGACGGAGGATACTGATCCCGATGGTATGCCTGCCTCAAGCTTCACCTCCCCTCCTTCTTTTCCATTGCCGATCGCGCCACCCTGCCGTGCCTTTGCGATGTGATTCTGTGGGAATACAAACCGACTGATGTGATTCTTGGTACTGCAGATGCGCCCGAAGCGGGCTCAAAGGAGATTACTAGCTCCTGGGCCTTGTTTATCATGATAATGCTGTTGATGTTCGCCTTGTTTACAAGTTACATCCTCCAGCAGAGAAAGATCCAAGCCGTCCATGAAACGGTCTTATCTATTTTCGCTGGTACGTTCTACTCCGGATACGATCCAATGCGATTGAAAGCGAATTATGGAAATACTTGTCAATTGATCCGGTTGCTAACATAGATCTTCCTAGGCATGTTTGTCGGTCTCATCATTCGCCTTACATCCCAATCAAACCTCCAAGATAGCGTCGCATTCGACTATCAATTTTTCTTCAACCTCCTCCTACCTCCTATCATTCTTGCCTCCGGCTACGAACTCCATCAAGCCAATTTCTTCCGCCACATTGGCACCATTCTCACCTTCGCGTTCGCCGGTACCTTTATCTCTGCTATAGTCCTCGGACTCGTTCTTTACCTCTGGACGCGTATCCCGCTGGACGGGCTGAACATCTCCTTTGTCGAGGCTATCTCCGTGGGCGCAACCCTCTCGGCGACGGACCCGGTTACCATTTTGGCAATTTTCAACTTGTACAAAGTTGAGCCTAAGCTTTACACAATCATTTTCGGCGAGTCGATCCTCAATGATGCCATCGCCATTGTTTTGTTCGAAACTGCGCAGAAATATGCTGAGACCGATGCGGGATCGTTGAGCTTCCTGAACCTCTTTGAGGCGGTTGGTCTGTTCTTGCTGGTTTTCTTTGGTAGTATGTTGGTCGGCATCATTGTGGGTATTGCTACTGCGCTTGGCCTTAAGTATACCTTGGTGCGCCGCATGCCGAAGATTGAGAGCTGCTTGATTATTCTTATCGCTTATGCCAGCTACTTCTTCTCGAATGGCGTGCATTTATCAGGTATGTTTATCCGACAGGGTTGCGGCTTCCTAGGATTTCGGATGCGTGTTCTGACTATTTGGACTCATAGGAATCGTCTCTCTTCTGTTCTGCGGAATAACTCTCAAGCATTACGCCTATTACAATATGTCTCGCCGAACCCAGTTGACGACCAAGTACCTCTTCCAGGTCATGGCGCAACTTTCGGAGAATTTCATCTTCATTTATCTGGGTCTAGACTTGTTCGTCGAATCGGACTTGCATTTCAATCCGCTTTTCATCTTGGTGGCGGTCTTCGGAATCTGTCTTGCTCGTTACCTTGCCGTGTTCCCGCTTTCCAAGGCAATCAACTGGTTCATTCGGTATAAAGCCCGCCGTCGCGGCATTGAAGTTGCCGACGAGCTGCCATTCGCATATCAGGCCATGCTCTTCTGGGCAGGCTTACGTGGTGCTGTCGGTGTTGCGCTAGCTGCTGGTCTCTCCGGCGCCAATGCCCCAGTGCTGCGAGCCACCGTCCTCGTGGTAGTTGTGTTGACAGTCATTATTTTCGGTGGTACAACTGCACGCATGCTCGAGATCATGGGCATCCGCACCGGTGTAGTGGAGGAACTTGACTCTGACGATGAATTTGACATCGAGGTTGCCCATGGAGGCACCTACTACAAGCGCTCCGATACTGCCTTCGGATATACCCCGCGACGCACCGACTCTACCATCCCGCTAGATGGTATGGGTATCGACAATCCCCAGCGTTCAGGGCTTGCCGAACGAGCCGACAGCTACTCGACGGGCAACAGCCGCCGTCCCAGCCCGCCGCACGGCCACACCCGAATGTACTCAGCCGCCTATAGTGCGAAAGATACGCAGGCGCGGCGTGATCGCTCGTCAACTGCCACCCTGCTTAATAACGGCCACGCCAGTGATGACGAGTTTGGTCTCCCGCCATCTGGTAAAGCGCGTGAGTCCCAAGTCGCCCATCCAGACGACTTCGACCTCGATCTCGATGGCGTCTCTGATGATGATGATGACCTGCCCCCAGCTGCATCTAATGCTTCTCGTCTCCGCCGATCTCCATCAAACCCCCCGCCTGCTCCTCACACCCCATCTCCCAATGAAGCCTCTGCAAGTGTCTCTCCTGCCCGACGAGACCAACCACCTGGTCTCAGCGCGCGGGAGGCCCTTCGAGACCTCTGGTCCGGTGGTGCCAGTGGGGATCACGCTGCGTGGTTCCGGCAGATTGATGAGGACTATATCAAACCTAAATTGCTGCTTGATCAGTCCAACCATAAGGGTCCTGGCCCCGGCGCTGTCTGATGTTATGATACCTTGTTTTCTTTCTTTTTTTAGATGAAGGTTCTACGTAGTTCCTTCTTGCATTGTTATGTTTTCGCAATATGAAATGTATATTTAGCCTTTCTTCTCGTTTGGTTTCTTGTAACGTTCCAAAGATGGGATTATGATTTCTTTGCTGTCTCATACATGATGGACTCGTTTGATTCTGCGTAGCCTGCTGAGACTTTTAGCCCTGGTGGCCTTGTACTACCTATGTTTACTTGGATGTGACTGGTGTGCATCATATCATGAATTCAAGTTCCATTGACCTCAACTTTCAAGTTCTCCATATCCACATGTGCCCCACACCGGGGTAACCTAGATTTAACCATAGGACAAAACAACCGCGGCTCTATCAACTTGAACAACATTCCCTTATCGGGAATGTAAAAAGAGAAACACTGTGACTTAGTTTAAATCTAATAAATTAATCTGACCGTTACGTACCCTATACAAAGTACTTCACTAGTGGCGTGTATACTCCAATCAACCCCAACTCCTTATCACACACCAACCGGAATCCACACACCTATCTCTGCCACATTCCTGATCCAGCTATGATTGACTATCCACGGCCACTTATCCAATCTCACCCCTCACTCTCACTACAATAACTTGTACACCGGGTCCTCGCCCCAACTACGGGCCCAGATCAATGGGGCTATCATACCCAGCAACATGAGATGACGACCAACTTGGCCCGGGGGCCTTACCTGTACATCCGTACAGGTGGAGCGAATCCAATGCAGGAGTATCGTGGAACGGTAGCTTAGTTCCTGCCGAGAAGTCCTATCAGACACCGGCTTGGAAGCTTGTCTCACGTTTCTATAACGTTGGCGCTACTGATAACCTATGCATGATATCTGATATGCTTCCGTGCGAGGTTCCGGCTTCCGATTCAGTGCTTTATAGCATCCCCTGTCCGCCCATGTGTGTCCGAGTCTGACTCCGAGGCGGGGCTTACTTTAATTTTCCTCTGTACACAGAATACCCATTACAGAGTGTGAATGTTGATATAATTTGGATTTCCTGATACAACGCTATATTGAGCCCGTATCATCATGGCTGAAGTCAAGAAAGCGAGTGATGAGAAACCTTCAACTTCTATTGAGCATGGAGCTATCATCGATGGATCTGCTGAAGCAGGAGATACAGAGCTCTTGGGTAAGAAATTAAACACCATGCTACTTTTGATTGTACGCGAAAACTATACCTCGTTCTTTACTAACAAATACAATAGCAACCCTAGGTTACAAACAAGAACTTCGCCGCCACTACTCTACCATCCAAATATTTGCCGTCGCATTCAGCATCATGGGTCTCCTCCCCTCAATCGCCTCAACCCTCTCCTTCTCCATGCCGGCCGGTCCCGTCGGGATGGTCTGGGGCTGGCTAGTCGCCAGTGTCTTCATCTTCATAGTCAGTCTCGCGATGGCCGATCTAGCCTCCGCAATGCCCACAGCCGGTGGTTTATATTTCTGGACACATTACTACGCCGCCGAGAAATGGAAAGACGCACTCAGTTTCGTCGTCGGCTACAGCAATACTATTGGTCTGATCGGTGGTATCTGCTCAATTGATTATGGATTCGCGAATATGCTTCTATCCATGATCTCTATCGCCCGTGATGGAAACTGGACTGCTTCGCGACCTGTTATTTACGGTACCTATGTGGCTACTGTCGTTGCGCATGGTCTTATCGCTACTTTCTTCGGAAGAGTTATGCCCAAGATTCAATCCATTTGCATCTTCTTGAACGTTGGGCTTGTTTTTGCGACGGTTGTTGCGTTGCCAGTTGGGAAGAATAAAAATGCCCCACCGGTTAATTCAGGTTCTTATGTTTTTGGACATGTGGAGAATTTGACGACTTGGCCTACTGGGTGGACATTTATGTTAGCATGGCTTTCGCCTATCTGGACTATTGGCGCTTTTGATTCTTGTGTGCATATGAGTGAGGAGGCGACTCATGCGGCGAGAGCAGTACCGATTGGAATTATTGCCTCATCGGGCTTGTGTGGTATTTTGGGATTTGTTTGTTTGGCTGTTATTGCGGCAAGCATGGATACAAATATTGAGGGGATTTTGAGTTCGGCGTTTGGTCAGCCTATGGCCCAGGTATTATCTTCTTACTGCTGTACTTTTTTGATGTCTCGCTGACCTTATCTAGATCTACTATGATGCTCTTGGAAAATCTGGGGCTCTTGGATTCATGGCTGTGGTCTCATCCGTACAATTCTTCATGGGATTAAGTATTGTATGTGCTTTGCTCTCATTCCTGTCGATTCGATAGCTAATAATACTATTAGGTTCTCGCCGCCTCCCGCCAGAGCTGGGCCTTCTCTCGCGATGGTGCCCTCCCCTTCTCATCATTCTTCCGAAAAATCAGCCAGCACAGACTCATGCGTTACCAACCCGTCAACATGATGTGCGGTGTTGTTCTTGTCTCCGTAGTCATCGGTCTCCTATCTCTTATCGACAGCGCAGCAGCAAATGCCCTCTTCTCGCTTGCTGTTGCCGCGAATGACCTCGCCTGGTTAACCCCCATTCTGTGTCGACTCCTTTGGGGCAATGAGCGATTTGTCCCTGGTGAATTCTACACAGGAAAATATCTCAGTAAGCCCATTGCATGGACAGCGGTTATTTATATGGTTTTTGCGATTTTGTTGTGCATGTTCCCGACTGAAGGGCCAAATCCCACTCGTAAGTCCTATGGATCTTGGATAATTTTCTTGGATTCAGCAAAACTGACGATTTCTAGCTGGGGATATGAATTATACGGTTGTTATTAATGGGGCGCTCTGGCTTGGATCCTTTGCTTATTATATGCTTCATGCGAGGAAGACCTTTAAGGGGCCCCAGACTACTGTGGCGCCAGAGGAAGAGGGTAAGAGGATTGAGGCTGAGCGGGATACTTCCGGGCAATGAGCTACTCACCAGAGTATTCAAATGTTTGTTTAATTGCGAGCCTTCTTCAAGTTCGTTGTGATTAAATTCTGAATGACTATTGAAGGATTATTCATGTAGGAAGTCACGATCAGCTCCAATCACGTTTTCTCCATCTAAAAAATTTGAAAAATTTGCCAATTTGATATCGCAGGATCAGCCATTCTGAAGGTGCCGTTGATTGCTCAGGCCATGAATTGTCGAGTCGCTGACCGTTCCGATGCCACCTTTCACTGTAGTCGTCTTTCATCTCTCGCACCACCCGAGTTCTCCAAATATTATAAGTATCTCCCAGATTGCGAGAGATATTATTCAAGTTGGCCACGACGAGGAAATTCATGAAGCCCAGCACTACAGAAGTCACAATAAATGCCATTCTCGTATCGCTCATGTTGATGTTTGGAATTGCCCATAGTGCCGCGCAGAATGCGAGTGGGAGATAAAAGATGCTCACGTAAGTGAGAAGCTTCACGTTCTGGCCTAGTCGATTCGAGTTCCGACTCTCACTCAAAGCGCTGGCATTGATAATCCGTCTCGACGGGCCTTGACTGTCTCGACTATGTCATCCATTTCGTTTCTTATTCCGTCTAGGGCACTGCATGATTGTTCTATGTGCTTCACGAGTTCCGTCAACTCATTTGGCCATGAACTAGAGAATGGCTCGAGTCGCGCTTGGCGATAAAGATTCCATTGCTGAATGTTGTCCATGATGTGAGTTCGAAATTCTTGGATACAGGCAAGAATCCAAAAGTACTTCTTGGATGTGGATAGTTGATCGTCATCAAAAATTAGTTTGACATAACTTTCAGGATCCATGAAATCTTCCTCAAGAAGACCGGTGATATGGTCCAACAGTTGAGACCAACGATGCGGAAGAATCTTATATTCCTCGGCGATGACTGCAACCTCACCAACCCTGACTCTGTTGTACTCTAGAATACATTTCCATTTAAGGGAAACATCTTCCTCTCTTGTCATATGACACCACTTGGACGTGAGAGATGGACAGAGGACAAGCATTGTTCCCCATTCGGGGGATAAGTCTGGCCGACGAGCTTTCTCTACTGTTGAGTTCAGATCTTCAGTTGCAACGAGAATAGTAAATGCACTTCGCCGAAAAACAGGCGCTTCCGTACCCCGGGGCGAGGCTGGATTTATGTATAGATGGCCGGTCTTCCAAGTTTCTTCTTTCAATCTTTTCTCTTCCGCTTTATACCTGTAACCTGAATTCAAAGGCTCAGTCGGGTACATGCTCAAAATCTCATAGAAAGTGATATGGAAGGCCCTAGAAGCATCGAGATAAGGGTTGATACGATCTCCGCCCGTTCTTGGTGAGCAATTCAAATGAAGCTTGACGGCTTCGGTGACCGATTTATATGTGGTATCGCCCGCGCTACCCTGAACACTGCGAGACTGGTTGTCAGATGACGGGAAGGGATTAATACCAATGCAGGCCAATTTCTCATTAGTACCCGAAATACTAAGAGTCATACTATCGATAAAGTCCAGTATGTCCACCGGGGCTTCGGTTCCCTCCTGGAGTGTATCCAACAAGTCCCGGATGCGCCTCGGGACCTCATTTGCCCCCAGAAACTCGGATATATGCATCCAGTCCTGAATGCGGGCAGTGGCCCTCGGGACTTCAAACCCCTCCAGAGTTGTATTGGTCAAGTTAGTTCTCTCCAAGGTAGCGGAAAGTCCTTTATAGAATATTATTCTTCGCCATGCAGAAATGGGGGTTTTTTGTTGCTTCATATATGTATGATCCAATCCTGGATTGTCATACTCTGTGAAAGAGCTTTCTTTATCTCCCATCCGATAAGCTATCTGCCGGGGGCAGTCTGACATATGAGTCTTTACGTGATCCATAATCCGCAAATCACTCGATACAGCACCGTCTTTCTTGCGACGCATCATAGTAGACCGGGTCATGTCTAAAAGCTCTTCAAATACGAGTCTACGATGTCTTCGATTAAAAAGCTGAGAGCTTGAAGATAGCATCCTCATTTCGGCTTCGATTTTTTGCGTAAAATGCATCAAATCTGTCATCTCGTGAACCAACGAATTCGATTGTCCCGGGGGACTTGAGGAAATAAGGGCTCACATGAGTGACCATTCAAATTTGAGATTGGGTGGAGTCGATGAATATCTGCAAGTTCCTCCCCACAAGATGAAGAAGATCTAGGTTTTGAGTACGGGAGAAAAGATATTTCAGGTTCGCTGTTATCTGAACTTGAAGCCCGTGGACCTGCATCCCAGGATGGTGTCTGTGGATCTTTCATGGAATTTCCACTGAGCAGAATTGTACCACATCATCAGCTAGTATTCAGAGATATTGAAGCCCGCACATGTAAGCCTACCTTTGAGGACTAACTCGAGATTCCGGTTTTGATTCCGGTTCTTTAGTCTGTGGAGACTCAATGACTGGATGATCCATGTCTACTTGCAACTCAATTCTGCTTGCTTTCTCTGATTTAGGCGATGCTGAGTTTTTCTCGGAATTTGCCAGCTTAGAACAGCCCTGGGCGTCATGCGGTTCATTTTTGACTGGGAATGTCGGCTGGTCGTCTGCATCAAATGAAGAGCTCATATTTTCCTTATTTTCTTCTTTTTGGAAATATCAGTGATGATAGAAATTAGTCGGAAAACCCCCGAGATGAATGTGTTGAGGGGAGAGTGGAGTTCGCTAACGTGTTCATGCATGCCCAAATGATCACTACCTACTCATGCCTCCTGCCATTCTGAGTTAGCGCCATCACATACGTTGGCTGTGTTTGAAATGTGAACAGTCAAAATAAGAATTTTTAGGAAGAGACAGCTATGTTCGACTTCGACGACAGAGAGTAGTATCATTAGATATTGTAACAGATCTCGGGAGACTGCCTCAATGATTAACGATTTATGTCTTCATGCAGGCGGCAGATAGAAATTCTGGATCAGGAGAGACAAATATGTTTTCCATTAAACTACCTGCATTAAGTATCGTGTATTGCATTCTGTAATCAGTGCATCTCATCTCTCATAAAAGGGTCCTCTATCAGGAACCATAGTCATAATTCGAGTTCGATGCACCCCCGCCTCTAGAATACAACTTGAAAAGGTATGTATCCTCACACTGAAGGCTAGTGTTTTCGGAGCGGAGATTACTCTGGAATCTCGAGCACATAGCGACCAGCGATCTTGCCTTGCTCTACGATGCATTAGTAAAAGTTCATCATCAATCGTCCTTGATCGACTTACCCATCAGCTCAAACACCTTCGGCAGATCCTTGAGTGGAACCGTCTTGAATGGGGCTTTGATCAAGCCACGAGCAAAGAAATCAATAGCCTCGACTCCATCCTGGCGATTGCCCACGTAACTACCCTTGATGTTGATCATCTTGACAACGCTATCGAAGACTGGTGCTTTGAGGAAAGCATTGGCAGGCAGACCAATAGCGACAATAGCACCACGTGGACGAGCATATTCAACAGCCTGCTGGAAAGGCTTCTCAGAGACAGCAAGCAACAGAACTGCATGAGCACCCAGTCCTCCGGGAGTGGCAGCCTTCACATCCGCCACAAGATCCTTGGAAGTGGTGAAGTCAACGTAGGCCTAACACCATGTTAGTATTCAATGCAGAAAATGAGGAGAAATGGAAGGGGCCATGTTATGTACCTCGGCACCGAGCTCCTCGCACATTTCACGCTTCTCATCCCCACCATCAATAGCAAGAACACGCAGTCCCATCGCCTTCGCATATTGCAGAGCCAGTGAGCCGAGTCCACCTCCAGCTCCAACAATAGCAACCGTCTGACCAGGGCGCGCACCCGACTCCTTCAATCCCTTGTAGACCGTAATACCCGCACACAGGATCGGCGCAACTGCATCAAGAGCCACACCCTCAGGCAACTTGGTCACATGTGCCGCCTTTCCAATAGCATACTGCTGGAAAGTTCCATCCACCGTGTAGCCAGAAAGCTGGGCCTCGGCGCATAGAGGCTCATCAGATGTCTTGCAGAACTCACACGCGAGACAAGACCCATTCAGCCACTTGATGCCCGCCTTGTCGCCGATTTCGATACCGGCGGCGAGTTCACCCTTGGCGACTACAGTTCCAGCACCTTCGTGGCCACCTACCAGGGGTAGCTTGAGTGCAAGAGGCCAGTCACCTTTCATAGCGTGGAGGTCTGTGTGGCAGACGCCGGTGTATTTCACTTTGATGAGGACTTCATCGGGACCGGGCTTGGGAACGGGAATTTCTTTGTAGATTGGAGGACCGCCCTTTGTTTCGACGACCTGAGCCCACTGAGTTGTAGGAATTGAGGTCATTTTGATAATGTTTATTGATGTAGGTTGATGAGTGGTTGTAATTGGTTTGGTGTTGAATTTGGAGTGGTGGGCAAAATTGCGAGAGAAGGTAGAGAGTGGAAGAGAAAGAGAGAGAAGTGGTAGGCAGAAAGGTTTGGTGGAAAAATGGAGAAAGTGAGAGATGATGTTGGGATTTGTTGGCAATTTAAAGGACATAAGTGAGGTTGGGTCAATAGGTCGTACTATGCAAATAGATGTCATGGATCGTGTGGTGCCACCTCCGGGTTGATGGCAATTCCCGGTTTAAATCATCCCTCTATGACAATCTGGCTAAAAGGCTCGGATAATTCATCCTGTTGCATTCATCATGATTCTATTTTGAAACCTGATTTACCTAGATATCTGGTCATCGATGAAGCCCATAAAGGTCTAGTCCTGACCTCGTCTATACAATGGCATTAGATCCTTGTTAGCTATCTTCCCACGGATTGGTGAAATATTTCATATCGGCTTATTTACGAACCGATAGCCGGAGGATTTTCTGTCATTAGCACATATTCAGTACTTTTGGATGGCATTTGATATACACTGAACGCCGATTACCCCTCAACCCCGGAGACCATCCATCCTAATGACTGAATCTGAAACAAAAAGTCGAAGTGCCTGCCGGACGTTGCCCGAGCATTTAGAGATCCTTCATGACTGCATATGAGAATCTCACAGTGGGCATCAATCCTAGCGATGGATCAGGGACAGTTGATGTGGAGTGCCCAGGTGGAGGACGTCACCATTCGGATCTCCACATGGGGCAGTCATCCGTTCTCCGAAGATTGTGTGATGAGCACATATCTGGAGGGTATTTGAGCATTTGAAGCAGGAAATTGATACTTGAGGTTGACATTAAACACTTCTATCGTACAATATGAGCGATTTCTAGCTTTAAATCCCCATTTAATCCCCGGGTTATGGACCTTGGGGGAATCGCGATTCGCGGCCCAGTTCAGTCTCCACAGTGGATCATATGGCACCTGGATCTTCCACCTGCACTTTTAGTGAATTTGAGCCTTTTGTAGAAATGGATTATAAGCCGCTAAGAAGATGACTTCGATTTGGAACATTTAGGACTCTTTGAGTCGAGTTCAACTATCTAAAGGGTCACCTCCAGGACTAGGAATCCTGTACAGAGTAGTGACAGCTCTGTGGGGACCTCAGGCTCCCAAGTTGAATATCATCATAGTGATCGCTCCTAGATGCACATATTGCGCAGCAGATGAGTTACATAATGCGATTTTTGTAGTTTAAAGCTCAAAAGGCCCTTAATATATATATATATATTTTCAATTCCCGACTCGGAGGTTGAGACATGGCTCGTACGTAGAGCGCGGCTGGTCAGTTGACAGCCTGAGTGGGCGCGCTCGGGAGTTTGGCTCTGAAAAACATACTCTCCGCTCACACATGTGCATGTGCAGATTCCGAGTGGCAACATTTGAACATTTTAAATTGAAATTGCTTATGTAGGCACCTGGTCAACTGGTAGTAGGAATAAATTATATCCTTATGTATTATGCTGGCTATTTCACTGTTAGGTACAGATACCTGGGCATACTAAAGGGAGCCCAGGACTCCGAGTCGGAGGAGTACTAGTAGGTAGTAGTAATCAGTCACTTAGGTACCTACTGGTACTATCGTGCTACTGCCAGTGAGTATGTAACTTGAAATAGTATAGCTTGAAAATATTTAAATGTGAATACTAGGAGGGTGGACAAGAGCAGAGGAGTACTGTATACTAGTAAAAGAGCTTCCTAGCCAAGTATCCTTCCCGACTTCGCTGCTAAGGACTTAGTAGTATATAATAGCCCCCGGGGCCTGTAGGTGACTTCAGATGACGTGTCATAGCTAGAGAGGAAGGACACTTAGTAGCCCCAAGGGATTCTATTCCACGAGGATGTTCACCTTGTTGCCCAGAGTATTTAGCACGGACATCAGGCGTGCCTGGGTTTCCTCAAGTGTCATTGGCGAAGCTGTGATGTGCGGATCTCCCGTATCGGCCTTGAAATCAGCATCGGCAAGCCCTAGAATCTGACTGTGTACGCAGAAACATTTGAACGATGAAAGTGATCTGTCATCCCAGATATTTCTGCTTCTGCCTTCAAATCCGGTCTATTTCATGGAATCTCAGTTGTGGAGTAAATTCCTCGATAGATTTGGTGGAAATCGCCATTCTGGTGCAACGGGGTCAGGGTCGAAATATCTCACAACGAACTTTAAGGATGGAATTGTTCCGATCATAGATAATAAGATCTCATCACAAACAAGGAACTCAGATCTCTTCGTAGTCCAGAGCAGTGTGGTGGATGATCAGTTCATGGTGATCACGGTGATAGATCATGCACCTCCAGATTTGGTGACGGATGCCTTTCCGCCCCGTCCTGCATTAAAGTCAATGAATAGTAGAAATTGGATGAACCATAGAGATAAAGAGGCAAATAAATAGACTCGAAATAGGTTGTAAAAGAAAATCATGATAATAAGTTTTAGTAATATAGGGGTAGAAACATTCACTTAAGAACCCGGGAAGAGGGAAGAGGATCACGAAGCAGAGCGGGTAGATTAGCAGATCCCCCAACGCCATCGGAGAGACCAACATTCAATGAACAAGGGAAACGGACCAACTCGGACTAATCGGGCAAATCCTATTCCCTTTTCCATTCACTTTAGCTTCCTTCGCTCATCCCATCAACTTCATATATTTTTAAAAAAAGAAAAACACATCCTCTCTCTTCCACCTTTCATCACCTCCCTGCATCCTCGCCTAGCCCCAGCCGCGCATTCTCTGCTTGGGTTCTCCACGGACACAAAGATCCCTTCTGCACCTTCCACCACCTAAGCATTTCCATCCTCCCATCCGGTATTATCATCTCTTGTTCCATTTCATCCCCTTCCCGGGCTTCTCTATATCGCCCATAGTTCATTCTCTATATCAGGAACTGTTCACGCTGACGTCGCGTTCGTGCTAGAATCCCGGAGACGTTTCAACCCCCCCTTGACACCTATTCTAAGGGTGCCCCTCGCGCTCTTTAGCCTCTGTCATTTCCAATTCATCGCATTCTATCTTTTTCCAGACTGAATAGTACCCGCCGCGCTTGTCCGGCGCCGGGGACGCGGCCATCATGACCGGCGCTCCACCCTATAATGCCCAGTCGCCGACGCAGCAGCATCGCTACCCCGTCTACGATTCCCCGACCAAGAATCGTCCCTTCTATCCGAATGGAGAGCAACCCCCGCCTCAGCAGCAGCAATATTCGCAACATCCACCCCAGACACCACCGACATTTGCTCCATCATCCGTTACACGGAGCCCTCGCTTCTCGCACGCGTCGTCACCTATGCCCGCTACTCTGCCAGCACCCTTGAATGGGGCAGGACCCCCGTCTCATCCCGAATCGGCATCGCAATATCAGACCCATGGCCCGGGTGGTGCCTCGCAACTCCCCCTGCCTCGTCCCTTTTCGAGCTCCGTGCTTCCGGGAAACGGCACTTCGCCTTATGGTCCCTCGACACCGCACGGTCACCCTGCTGGTCTTCAAGATGCCCACTCGCAGTCTCCTACCCGTGAGCCAGAATCGCCATACCGGGCAAGGGGCAATGCGTCAGTTTATGAACCACCTGTGATGCGAGAGCCCCTCCCATCCGCTCAACGGGAGTCGGTACGTACCAAGAACATCTGATACTTGATTACCCTCCTTTTGGAATCTGATCTAACTTTTGTCTTTTCCCCTCGAATCTAGAAACCTGCCCGCGCTGCCGATCCTATGTCCTTTGCCAGTATCTTATCGGGACCTACAGAAGACAAACCCGCTCGCAAACCATCTCCTCCGCCCTCCCAACCTTCCACTTCTGCAATCAACTCGCATCCCATCTTCGATCAACGCCATCCTGATACTGGACCCGTTGCGGGAACTTTCTACCACAAAGGAAAAGAAAATCACCACTCAGAGAGCTTCAAAGAATCGCACGCCTCAAACGGCCTCAAGACAGAAACCGAACCAGTCATGATTACCCATGTGCCTCAGAAAAAGCTCTTCCCTCCAGGGGTTGATGCCGATCAGGTGAACCGAGCTCTTCTCGATATCGAAAATGCCGACAAGAGTGATGTAGAAGGACCTGGCTTTGAGGCGGAGTTCGAGCAATACAAGGAGAAGTCCATCAAGCGAGCCCAGGACGACGATAATCAAGAAAGCCGCCGACGCAAGCGCCGACGTCACGAGTTCCTGAATGAAATGAGCAAGTCACTTGAGAAGAACTACATCCTGGGTACCGACCGCTTCCGCGCCATTCACGAAGAGGAGGTCGTCACAGAAGTCCACCAGAAGGAAGTTCACGACGAGAAGGAACGGAAGAAGGATATGCAGCGAAAGCGTCGTCGAGAAAACACTGTGCGTCAGGAGATGCAGAAAAAGCTTGAAGCTGAACGCAAGGCAGACAACACACAGGATTCGGCGGAGAAGGCCAAGTTCCTTCGTGAGGCCGAGCGGGCTCAGAAGAAGATCCGCTCCACCAAGCGTGCCCTTGAGGGTGGCAGTGCTCAGGATGAACTCGGTGAGGTTACTCCGCTTGCACCGAACCTTGAAGGCGGCACTACCAGCTCGTTCCATATTGGTCGCTCATCTCCCTCGCGGCGTCGATCCGGGCGCGCAGGCCCCTCCAGCCGCCCGAAGAAATCCAAGGAGCAGAAACAGGCTGAGAAGGACGCAGCTGAGAAAGCTCACCTTGCCGGCCTGGATGATGAATATTACACGCCTCGCGATCTTCAAAGAGGTCTCAATTCCAAGGAGGGCACACCCAGTCTTCCATTGCAGTATGACAGCAAGGGCTACAACCAGATATACGAGCAAATTTGGCGGGACATTGCTCGTAAAGACATTCCCAAGGTTTATCGCATCAAGACTGTATCGTTGTCTACCCGCCAAGAGAATCTGCGTAAGACAGCTCAGCTGGCTAGCAAGCAGTCCCGCAAGTGGCAAGAACGCACCAACAAGAGCACCAAGGATACACAGGCTCGCGCCAAGCGCACTATGCGTGAGATGATGTCCTTCTGGAAACGCAACGAGCGTGAAGAGCGCGATCTCCGCCGTCTGGCAGAGAAGCAAGAGCTCGAGTCCGCCAAGAAGGCCGAGGCCGAGCGTGAAGCTAACCGTCAGAAGCGCAAGCTCAACTTCCTGATTTCGCAGACCGAGCTCTACTCTCACTTTATCGGGCGGAAGATCAAGACTGCGGAGGCCGAAGCTTCCGGAGATGGTACGGTTGCTGGTACGGATGAGACTGTGAAGCCTGGCAAGGCTGATGCTCACACTATTGATCTCCCTGGCAGCGTGGCTAATACGAACGCGAAAGTTACCAACTTCGAGGACCTGGACTTTGATGCTGAAGACGAGTCTGTCTTGCAACAGGCTGCTATGGCCAATGCCCAGAACGCTGTGCAGCAGGCTCAGGATCGTGCCCGTGCCTTCAACCAGGAGCAGAATGGCGACCAGATGGCTGCCTTCGATGAAGGAGAGATGAACTTCCAGAACCCTACGAGTTTGGGTGATATTGAAATCTCGCAGCCTACTCTGTTGACTGCTCAACTCAAGGAATACCAACTTAAGGGTCTCAACTGGTTGGTCAACTTGTACGAGCAAGGTATCAACGGTATCCTGGCAGACGAGATGGGTCTTGGAAAGACCATTCAGTCTATCTCTGTTATGGCTTATCTGGCAGAATTTCACAATATCTGGGGTCCATTCCTTGTTATTGCCCCTGCATCCACCCTCCACAACTGGCAGCAAGAAATTGCCAGGTTCGTGCCTGATTTGAAGGTGCTGCCTTACTGGGGTAATGCAAAGGACCGCAAAGTCCTTCGCAAGTTCTGGGATCGCAAGCACATCACCTACACCCGCGACTCGGAATTTCACGTTCTTGTTACATCTTATCAGTTGGTCGTTCTTGACGCCCAATATTTCCAGAAGGTCAAGTGGCAGTACATGATCCTGGATGAGGCTCAAGCGATCAAGTCTTCCCAGAGTTCTCGTTGGAAGAATCTGTTAGGCTTCAGCTGTCGAAACCGTCTCTTGCTGACTGGTACCCCCATTCAAAATAACATGCAAGAGCTGTGGGCTTTGCTGCATTTCATCATGCCCACGCTGTTCGATTCTCACGATGAGTTCAGCGAGTGGTTTTCGAAGGATATTGAATCACATGCGCAGAGTAATACGAAGCTCAATGAAGATCAGCTGCGACGTTTGCACATGATTCTGAAGCCCTTCATGCTTCGCCGTGTGAAGAAGAACGTGCAGCAAGAACTTGGAGATAAGATAGAGAAGGACCTCTTCTGTGATCTGACTTACCGCCAACGTGCACTGTACTCTAATCTCCGCAATCGTGTCAGCATTATCGATCTCATTGAGAAGGCAACCACCGGAGATGACTCCGATGGCACTACGTTGATGAACCTGGTTATGCAGTTCCGTAAAGTCTGCAACCACCCTGACTTGTTTGAACGTGCCGATACGAAGTCCCCCTTCTCTGCGGCTGCTTTTGCAGAGTGTGCCTCCTTTGTTCGCGAGGGATCGTTTGTGGATGTCCGTTATTCTACCCGAAACCACATTGAGTATGCGTTGCCGCGCTTATTGATGAGTTCCGAGGGCCGTGTTGACATGCCCGGTCCTGGAAACCCTCGTGCTGGATTCGAAAACAAGTACCTTTCACACTTGATGAATGTCTGGACTCCAGAGAACATTCAGAAGAGCTCGCGCGAGGATGGCGCATTCTCTTTCCTGCGCTTTGTGGATACTTGTGCTGGAGAAGCCAGTGAACTGGCTCAACTAGGCGTTTATGAACGCGCAGTTCGCATTCGTGGCCAGTCTAACCGACTTTCTTGTCTCAATGTGGTGTATGATGATGAGGAAAATTCCCCGTCCAACTCTGTTTTATCACACTCCATGCTCAATGTGGTCAGCCGCAATGATCGTCAAGCTGTTCATAAGGTCTTATTCGAAGGCCGCATGCGTGAACTGATGAATGTTTCTCGCACTGCTTTCGAAGACCAGGGACTCCATCTGATTGAGCCTTGTGCCACTCCAGCAGCCTCAGCACCACCAATCACTCTTTCTTGTTCTGGCCAAGAGGCCCGATTAGAGACCGAAAAGACTTTGTTCAATAAGTCCATTCGACAGGCTCTGTACAACATTTCAACCAAGCAAGTTGATGAACAGCTCCTTACAAAGCAGGTTGATCCCAATTCTTACGCCCTCTCTCCAACCCTGCCGCAGCCAACTTCCCTGAAGTCGCGCTATACCCATATCGAGGTTCCATCGATGCGTCGCTTCGTTACAGACTCCGGAAAGCTGGCGAAATTGGACTCATTGCTTCGAGAGCTCAAGGCGGGCGATCATCGCGTGCTGCTGTACTTCCAGATGACTCGTATGATCGACTTGATGGAAGAATACTTGACCTACCGAAACTACAAATACTGTCGACTTGATGGAAGCACGAAGCTGGAGGATCGTCGTGATACGGTCGCGGACTTCCAATCGAACCCCGAAATCTTTGTGTTCTTGCTGTCTACTCGTGCTGGTGGTCTGGGTATCAACTTGACTGCTGCCGATACTGTCATTTTCTACGACTCCGATTGGAACCCGACTATCGATTCGCAAGCCATGGATCGTGCGCATCGTCTGGGTCAAACCCGCCAGGTCACAGTCTACCGACTTATCACCCGCGGTACTATCGAAGAACGAATCCGTAAACGTGCACTACAAAAGGAAGAGGTGCAACGTGTTGTCATCACTGGTGGTGCTTCCGGTGGTGTTGACTTCAACACCCGCGCTCGCGATAACCGCACCAAAGACATCGCCATGTGGCTTGCCGATGACGATGAAGCCGAGCTCATTGAACAAAAGGAGAAGGAATTACTTGAGCGCGGTGAAACGGCGGCGGCACCTAAAGGTGGAAAGAAGGCTGCTGCCAAGCGGAAGCGCGATCTCACACTTGATGACATGTATCATGAAGGTAAGCCATACTTATCCTGTTGATGTCTTTTTTAGTCCATTTTCTAACCCCACTTTCTGTACAGGTGAAGGAAACTTCGACGATAACAGTGCTAAGCCATCTGGAGCCGCTACTCCCATGTCCGATCAAGTCGAAAATTCCTCGTCAGCCCCAGCCGCCAAACGCGGTCGTGGTCGTGGGCCTGGCAAGGGCACATCTAAACGTGCCAAAACCACGAACGAGCGCCTCCGTCTAATTGATGGAGATGGTGGCCTCAGCTAATCAAGTGGATTTGTTTCATTATTCTCCGCAAATGGACGATGGCGTTTCATGATCTCAACGGTGCTACTTTTCCAGTCCTTTTTATTCACTTTTCTACTGATTGACATTCAAGTTCCTCGGTACTTCTTTCTTTCATTTTTCATTTTATTTTCCTGCTTTGTATTATCATACAACTTGATAGTTTCCCATCCAGTACTCTATTTGTTTCGTCATGAGCCACAAGATCTAGGTGTTCTTTGGACCCGTTCGGCACCTTGGCATGATGTATGAATGAAAAGCTGGTGAAAAGATGTTTTCATAGACATTCAATGATGTTCCAAGTTATTCTCTCTCTTCATGTTTTACCAGTAGCCTATAGTAGATACTGTATAACCAGTTCATTACACAGTTAGTCCCCATCAAGGGGCAAGCATCTGCCAATCTATACGGAGTCCCGCCGCTGGAGAAGCCAAAGTCCGTCCAAACAAAGTCCGTCCAAGAAGGGGGTCGAAGGCGAAATGACTTTGCTGAACTTTGGCACGTTGAAGTCATCCTAGTCTTACTCGGATCCTTTGGGCGTAGTATACGGTGAAAATATCTTCTGAATCAGGGATCAAACGGAGTTGAGGAAGTGAGAGGGGGCGGGTGAGACGGGACAAGAGCACGAGATATCCCCAGATGCAGTTGTGGCTTGCTTGTAGATGGAAATTTCAGATGATGATTTGCTCTTGGCTCGCTTAGTTGGACTTTGAGCTGAAATACAGTTTGAGATGCTGACTGCCCAGTTGTAAGCTGCATGGATTGAGCAAGCCTCTTTTGAAGATGCATTTGTGCTAGATGGATTTGTCAGTGAAAATATTATAAATACCAACCTAGCGACTGCAAGAATTATTCTCCTCAACTTCATCTCGCTTTCATCTCAATCTCCACAGACCAACATTGATCACAATGCGATTCAACTTGAAGTCAATTGTTGCCTTAGCAGTCACGAGCGTCTTTGCCGGACAGTTCGCAGAGGCATGGTCGATCCAGTTTCAGGATACAAACCCCTCTACCGCGGAATATAGCGAAAAACTATCAAGCTTAAGCGACAATACTTGTTGTACGTTCAAACCTCCTTGAAGAATGAATAGAGCATCTGACTTACATTCTATAGATAATATGAATGATCTACCTACAGCAACTCCTTGGAATGATAGGGTGAATAATGCTTGGATTTGGGATGCTATTTGTGTCTTTTGGGCGTAAGTTTGATTCCTGCTCTACGCTTCCAAGGTTGTTTTAAGTGGAATCACTTATGATTGATACTCGAAATAGTGATACAGGTTGTTCTGGACATCACACAAAAACAGAAACGGGTGCTGCTGGAACTCATCTTGTTGCCTTCTCTGGAGTATGTGACTCTATTACAACCACGTGGATACACAGAATTTCTTCGTTTAAGTGTTGCTCAGGAACTACGTGGTGTGATGGAGGAAGTCCAGGTTGTACGTAGGATCCATGGATTACACATTTGACTTTGATTCTGAGACGAGGCTTTGTACTATTCTTTTAGTGGTAACGAAGTCTTTCGAGAAATGATTAATTAATATTCGTACTCGGATGATAATACATCAGGCTGTAATCACCTCGATAATGCTATCTTTCGAACTCTCGGTGTAAGTATGCACCTTGTTAACCTTCAACCCAGCACTCTCGACTAGCTGATCCCACTGTTCCTGTGTCCGCTCCCTCGCAGCCAGAGCCACCATCATGAGCATATCTAATTGTGCTTGCTGCCAGTGAACACCAACATTGGGAAGAACCATATCATCAATCAGAATGTAAGAGTCCGGAGCCATGGCATCGATGATATTCTTCAAAATTTCTCGACACTTGTGATCAGGCCAATCGTGGAGGATATTTCGTAGATAATAGGATTTGGCACCTGCAAGATAATATTGGTTAACCCTTACACTCCAACTCCTAGTAGTAATGTAGAAAATCCAAATCGACTTACCCTTGATTGGCTGAGGACTAAAGAAGTCATACGCCATAGCTTCCACACCAGGATGTTGTATCGCGTCGGCTGTCGCTAGAGTAATATCTTGGACAATCACTCGGCCTTCAAGCTGGGGATATTTTTCCTTAAACGCAATAGCTTGTTGACCAATACCTCCACCAATATCGACAAACAATGCACGCTCGGGAGTCAAATCGGTAGCTTTCTCGAGAACAGGGAACACATCCAGAAATGTGGGCATACCATCCCGATTGGATTTCATGTGCAAGTTGAAGAAGTCCCTGTTTTCAGGGTGTCCCTGTAGCTACATGAATGCGGTTAGGTCGGTATTCATTAATTTTTGGAAGGGTGTTTTGACGTTATCTTGGATGTCGGGGTAATTGTTCTCTTTTATGAAGGCGGGGAATTCTTGGATGGATGGACCAGCATTGTTGAAGCTATGAAAATGTTAGTACCATTCGAAAAGTTTGAATGTGCTGGAGATATGGACAGACATATGACCAACAGCAGCCTGGAAACCGGGCTGAGCAAATGTTTTCGAGATGTTTGATGAAGTAAAGAGGTCCTTGTTGACTTCCTGGATTGCGTAGTATGAAGCCAGATAACGGAGTAGACGGCCTGATTGATCTGTTAGAAACGGCCGATAGTGACATATGGGGTAGTCATACCGATGAAAACGGGATTTGCACCGATTTTCTCACTGATCTGATCTACTGTGAGAGGTGTTTCATTTTCACTCAGCAACTCAAACAGTTTAAGATCGATGGCAGTGAGGTTGGCGGCAAGTTGCATGTTCTGCAAATCTGGTTAGTATCTATCGAGTCCATATCAAAAATGTTAAGATTGTACATAGAACGTGAATCGCTGGACCGAGTCATCTGGAGATTCAATTGAAGCACTCAGAGCACTTAATTCATCCAAGATGTTTTTGCGAGTCCTCTCATCGCCGGACTTGGCCAGTCTGCGGACTTCCTCTCTTAGGGCTTCCATCCTGTTTCAAGTTTTAGTAGAAAGTTTAGGAAGAGAATAGAATCGAATGAGCTCAATTGAAATTAATTATGATGGGATTAAAGCAGACTTAAATATCATAAACATTCGGTTAATCCCAATTCCGGGCTTGTTTTGAGATGCAAGCTACCATCCGCGGTGGATGTCTACCAACTTCAATGTTGTTAGCGTCAATCCTGGCCCCCAAGTACAGTCTCATGGCATAAATAATTGGATGATACGGATATTCAATCTGTAGACTTACGAATCCCAGTCGCGAAAATCCCCGCTTGGCCCCCGCCTCATCGCCGATCCTCTGTTACTACTATAGTACATCTGGGGTCCGAGATGAAAATGATGATTCATCCGATTGATCATTTTAAAAAGCCCATTGTGGTCTAATTCGCGAGCCTATAATCTTTTAGAGTGACCATAATGCCTCAGGCTCCGAAGATCTGGGGGACTCGGAGGAACTAAATAGCTTGAATCAACCTTGGAAGTGCTTGATAACCCTGGATGGATGGATAAGCTCCGCTCGTTCCTGCTTAAGATTGACGCGTATTGATCCATAATCTGATCCTGCATCACTCCCGAGGTCTTGAGGTCTTCAAATTCGAGTTGGAGCATGAGTTGGAGTGTAGTAAGCCGGTCTACAAGAATACTCTTCGTGTAGCATCTATATGGTAGGTACTACTAGCATAGCCTTGGAAGGCTTCATTGGCACCAAATACATACCAGCCACCAAAGGCTCCATGCTGCAATGGATATATGGATGCTGGTAGTTATCAGTTTCTTCGTGTAGTGAAGATGCGGTGTAAGAACCAGAGAGTTCCTTGGCTTTCATATAAATGGAGATAAAACGTTCATTATAATGGCTGACTTGATAGACCACCTGGGCACAAGTTATCTATAATAAATCACGTGTATCCTGTTGATTTATCCTGAGATATTCAAATGTTGAAGTAGAATACAATATATTAGTATAGCCGGTGAGCGTATGAAGCATCCCCCCAGATTCAGTGTACTGATAGAGACACACCAACTGGTCAAATTGGGGTAATTTCCCCCGCACAACAAGTTGAAAAGAGTTCCGCCACCAGGATATTTTTTGCGAATAAACCTTAGAATTAGTAATAGAGAATAACTTATTCAGTAATACTCGGTACGAAAAGTTCACATTTCAATTCTTAACAAGGCAAATTGTCCCGGTCCGCGGCCCGCGCAAACCAATCAAAGGTGACTGATTATTATAGGTTGGCGGTCTGAATTCCCCGCCCAGTCCGATTTTCGACCGATTTTCTCGTATAAGCCTGGGATTCCTCCTCTGACTCTTATCCGTCAAAAAACTACCTGTCCGGGTTGTGTGTTGTCAATTGTCTTAATCACCGCAATCATGGAGGCAATGCTCCAACAATCTCGGGCTATGTGCCCATTTCTCAAGCGTACCGCTCCTTCAACTCTGCGGACTCTTTCTACCGCTACTCGGCCCAGTGCCGGAGGTGGCACTATGTCTAATCTCCAGGTTTTGGCTCGCCGTTGCCCCGTTATGAGCAAGGCTCTGGCCGTCCAGAGTGCCCGTATGTGTGGAACCAAGCGCTTCACCTCCTCCGCTGCTGGAGTCCCCAAGCCATTCCGTGCGCCAACTGAGAAGCGATCGCTTCATACTACCGGTGGTCACCCTGCCAGTGTCGCTCCTGGATCGTATGAAAAGAACGAACAGGGTAATTGAGAATCGCAACAATGGTATCCTTGCTGTACAATCCGGGCTAATTGAAGCCATTAGTTCATCCTAACCTTGCCCGTCCTCTCCGTCCTTCTCCCGATGCCGAGGCCGCAGTCCACGCCCAACACCCAGGTGCCGAAGCCCCCACTACCCGATTCGACTACAACTCCTTCTACGATGGGGAATTGCAGAAGAAACACAAGGACAAGTCCTACCGCTACTTCAACAACATCAATCGCCTCGCCAAGGAATTCCCCCGGGCCCATACCGCCTCTGCCGAGGAGCGCGTGACCGTCTGGTGTTCCAATGATTATCTCGGCATGGGCCGCAACCGACATGTGCTTGAGTCTATGCACCGTACTCTCGATACCTACGGTGCTGGTGCGGGTGGTACTCGTAATATCTCTGGCCACAACAAGCATGCTGTGCATTTGGAGGACACGTTAGCCAAGTTGCATGGAAAGGAGGCCGCACTGGTCTTCAGCTCCTGCTATGTTGCCAATGATGCCACTCTTGCGACTCTCGGTAGCAAATTGCCTGACTGTGTGATTCTCTCCGATAGCCTGAACCATGCCTCTATGATCCAGGGTATCCGACACTCTCAGGCGAAGAAGATGGTCTTCAAGCATAATGACATGCAAGACTTGGAGACCAAGTTGGCCTCACTACCACTCCATGTGCCTAAGATTATCGCTTTTGAATCTGTTTACAGTATGTGTGGATCTATTGCTCCCATTGAGAAGATCTGTGACTTGGCCGAGAAGTACGGCGCTATTACTTTCCTGGATGAGGTGCATGCTGTTGGTATGTACGGTCCTCATGGAGCTGGTGTGGCTGAGCATCTGGATTACGATGTTTATGCTTCCCAGGATTCTGCTGCTCCTAAGAGCACCAAGGGAACAGTCATGGATCGCATTGATATCATTACCGGTACCTTGGGCAAGGCGTATGGCTGTGTTGGCGGCTACATCGCAGCCTCTGCAAACATGGTCGACACTATCCGTTCCTTGGCTCCTGGCTTCATCTTCACAACTTCCCTGCCTCCTGCCACTATGGCCGGTGCCGACACTGCCATCCAGTACCAGGCCCAGGAACCGCGAGATCGCGTTCTCCAGCAGCTCCACACTCGTGCTGTCAAGTCTGCGCTGAAGGACTTGGATATCCCTGTCATCCCTAACCCATCTCACATTGTTCCTCTTCTTGTTGGTGATGCCGAGGTTGCTAAGCAGGCTTCGGACAAACTGCTTGAGGAACACGGCATTTATGTTCAAGCCATCAACTACCCCACTGTTCCTCGTGGCGAGGAGCGCCTGCGCATCACGCCTACCCCTGGCCACACCAAGGAACTGCGTGACCACCTGGTCCAGGCTGTTCAAGCTGTCTGGAATGACCTGGGAATTAAGCGTACTAGTGACTGGCAAAGCCTGGGCGGCTTTGTTGGCGTTGGTGTCGAGGGTGCCGAGGAGGCTAACCAGCCTATCTGGGAGGACTCCCAGTTGGGTCTGAACCCGGTTGAGCCTCTCGAAGGTGCCATCGCTCGTGAGCTGGAGGCTGAAGCCAGTGCTTTCCAAGCTTCTCAGCCCGCGGCGATCCCCCATCTCAAGACCGGCGCTCCCAAGGGCACCCGCGCGTACTGTACCATCGCCGCTCCCGTCGTGGCTGCTTAATTCCTAGTCACCATATGCTAGAGCCCTGGGTACTGGGTTACCTGTCCATTCCTTTTTTCGACGAATCATGTGATGCGCACGCGCACTCTCTACATTTTTTTTTGATTTTCTTTTCTTCCTCCGACAACTATGTTAATACCATGTTGACTTTGTGTTCAACTTCTGTTTTGGTTTATCGTGTTCGGCATCTGTTGTCTGATTGCGATACAAAATTTGTATCATTTTTTGTACACCTACATTTCTCATCCTCGAGCATACTTCTTGTATGTACATTGTCATGTGTGAATCTAGCATGATAGTCATGAAGAAGACGGGTTTGTTCATCGAGTTGTTTTGGGGGAATATCTTTCTTTCCTTGTAGACTTTAAACCCAACAGAACCTTGCTCTAACTGTAAAAAACCAGACTTGACAAGATGTAACCAGACCGGCCGGATCAGAACCACAATCATGATACCAACACTCCTCACCTCGCAATCTCGGTCCATTCATCCCCGTGATAACCATCACGATGCAAATTTCAGGTGGACCCATCAACACTCGCACTGACATCGGGGTAGCATTCTGTACCTGGCTCTTATCCATTTCCCCAGCAGCTGACTCAACTAATCCCATCTTGACTCGGAGTTTGGAGTATTCGGTCGATCATTACTTGAAGGATTCGAGCGGGGAACTAGGAAACCGGGGTGAGGAGTAGGAGTACCTCAATCATAATCACACGCTGGGCTGGTTAGATGAATATGACCAGAGTCAATGGATACAAACTAAATCCTGCAGAGTGTAGTTGTGCCTGGGCTCGCCACATGCAGCCTTGTGACTTGCGCGCATGAGATTTGATTCATGCAGGGGCACATGGACTTATGCATATTCCACGGTTGTGGTTGTGTTTACTCCCGCGCTAACTTGGTGCATGATGACGATGGTGGAAATGATAGTTACATCTACGGAGTATACTTATGCGAGTCTTTCTAGATTTCCCCGTCTGTGCATCAAGTCGGCAGTCGTTGTTTAAGGCGGATGGTTCCGCAAAGCTTGAGTGGTCAAGGCGTATAGGGTCAGTGCGGTTCAGCCTGACTAGCATCAGCTGGTATTTATTAGTGGGTGATGATTATGGAGATCACATTTGGATTGATGAAGAATTTGAACTTAGTATTGTCTTTGATAGAATTTCTCGACTTGAACTTGATAACTCGGACTTTTCAATGCAAGAATGTTCCGAGTCAAATTGAATAACATTCAATGATAGGTGATACAAGATCAGATTCAGGGGAGATTAAAGCCAATCTCATTCAAATGTTTGATATTAACGATTGAAGTAGTTTATTTCCCCGAAACTGTAACATTTGAGTATCACTAGCAATGTAACCATTCCCCTGTTGATCTGCAGGGGTAAAAAGGTACATAAAATAAAATAATAAAAAATAACTCGTATATAGTCATCCCTGGATTCCTTCCTACGTTTCTACTCCAGATCAACGCCAATTATACATATTTCTTCTGATCTCCTCGTGAACTGTATAGAAAATTACAAGTCTAGAGGATAAACAATCCAGTGTTTGATCATCATGGCCCCTGGTATTCATCTTCCCGCCCTACTGGCTCTAGCAGCAGTGACAGGCCACGCCACTGCTGCTCCACACGCACGCGCCGGCGCAACATGCAACACGGTCCAGTATAATTTCCCTGCTGGGACTAACAAGAATGATCCCCGCGCAGAAGCTGTGAAACAGGCTTATGTGCGTGAGTGGAATCAGTATTCAAAATATGCCTTCCCCAAAGATGATCTTTTGCCGATCACGCATAATGGCACAAATGATTTGTTTGGTTGGGGCGCGACTGTTGTGGATGGCATTGATACTGCTATTGTGATGGGTCTTACCGATATCGTGGAGCAGCAGTTGAAGCATATTGCTTCAGTTGATTTTACGTATGTTTGCTCGCATTCACCTTGATAATATACGGCCAGACTGATGGGATTCTAGGAAATCGGCTTATATTGTGGACTTTTTCGATGTGAATATTCGATATCTCGGCGGGTAAGATTGTCTTGTCATTTCTTGAATTCTGATACATGAAAAATTCAAGTTCCTCTGATATCAGTCTAGACTTCTGAGTGCCTACGATCTTATCAAGAGTGGTGATTTTGCTGGTTCCTACGATGATGATCTCGTCGAGGCCCTGCTGTCGCAAGCCAAGTCTCTGGCCACAGCTATTAGTCCCGTCTTTGACACCGTTACTGGTCTGCCTGCTGCGGATCTCAACTTCTCGAGTCAACAAATTGAGCAGAGCACTACTACCGTGAATGGTGTCACTTACAATAGCACCAACACCGCTCAGGCTGGAACCTTGATTCTGGAGTACTATCGACTCTCAGATCTCACTGGCGATGAATCTTTCCGTCAGAATGCTCAGAAGGCTGAGAAGTATCTCATTAACCCGAATCCCGCCCCGGCATTCCCTGGTCTCGTTGGTACCGAGCTGAACACCGATACTGGTGACTTTATCACCTTTGATGGTGGCTGGGAAGCTGGAGTTGACAGCTTCATTGAGGTGAGTCCTGGCATTACTCATAAAATGATCCATCTACTAATTCTTTTTGTCTAGTACCTGATCAAGACTTATGTCTATGATCGCGATGACTCGTTCGCTTCCGATATGAAGGACTTCTGGATCACCACTGCCGAGTCCAGTATCCAAAATATCGCTCTTAGCCCCTACCAGAACCCACAGCTCACCTTCTTGTCTCAGTTAGATACAGATGGTAACATCATGTGGACTATGGATGACTACGTTAGTAAAACCAACTCTTCAACTATCTCACCTACTAACATAATCTTAGGCCTGCTTCGCCGGTGGTAACCTTTTGCTCGGTGGAAAATACCTCGACCGCCCTGATATCACTGATTTCGGTGTGAAGGTAGCTGATAGCTGCCACTGGCTATACAACCACACTCTGACCGGCCTAGGCCCATCCAGTATGAACCCAGTTTCTTATTTCATGCTACCACTATCTAGAATATTCCAGTTTAATTTGAGATCTTGATTACTGACTATAATCTAGGCATCGGTTGGTTCAACGGTAGTAACCAACCATACGACTCATCCTACAACACATCCACATACCGCGCCGAGGCCGCTAAGAACGGAGGCTATTTCATCGAAGACGCTGCTTATGCCTCATACCCTGAGCCTCTGGAAAGTATCTTCTACGCGTACCGTGTCACGGGTGATGAACGCTGGCAGGAGTATAACTGGCAGATCTTCAATGCGCTGAATACCACTCGCTCGAAGGCGGTGCCCTATGCCGAGATCACAGATGTTAATGCGCCATATGGTGGGGAGTTGTCGAATTATGTTGCCAGGTCAGTTTGTTTTACTCCGAGCCTACAGTTATGTGGATTCTTTTTTGGGGAGTATTCTCTGACTTTGATGATTTACAGCTTCTACTTCGCTGAAGTATTGAAGTACCTCTACCTTACTTTCGCCGAGCCGGATGTTGTGAGTTTGGATAAGTATGTGTTTAATACGGAGTGTCATCCGATGACTATTAAGACTATTTGTTGAGTAGTTTCATGGAGCTTTTCAACGCTGAGATCAAGGAAGCGATGGGTAGATGGAACTCGGGGGATAACCCGAATTGTTAAATATTGCAGACTCAACATAGCATCTAGATCTCGTGCATGATATGGAAGCTGTTTAAACTACTGAGATATAATATCCATTTCAATCAAACATTTTGTTCAAATTCTTCAAATGTTCCCAGCTCTCACTATTACTCATACTACTCTCTCAGGAAGGCATTCAAGTTGTATCTGGCTGGCTGGCATCACGTAGATTCATCGAAGCTTCGTGTCAATGTCAAGCTTTGCCATACCAGTAGCTGCCTCTTCTTTGTCTTTTCTTGTTACCTGCACGAGTAAGAATAGCCTGGAGTCCTTGATGAGACTGCAGCTCTGACAATTCAAAAACATTGAGCCATGTACCTGGGTCAGAAATTTCTGGGTCCGCTCCTTCTTGAAGTATTATTTCTACAACTTCGAAATTGAAGCGGACACTGGCAATACACAAAGGAGTAGCTCCTACCCGACCTCCAGGAGCATCTATATCCAGATCTAGATCATTCTCGATAATGGCTTTGACAACTGGGACCATCCCAAACGAAGCAGCATAATACAAAGGATGCGTTCTCTGGATGGCTGCGGGATCTATTTGACTTGCCGCATCGCTACTCCTGAGAAGAGCCTGAACTCAGACACCATAGTTATCTCCTCCAGGGAGAGATCTCGTGGAAAATAATTTTTGAACCATATAATAGGGATCGTTGCCAAAGTTGCAAGACACTCCATGGTAAGGCCAAAGGTTTGCGGCGTATAGCATGAAAGGGTGGTCCTTGAAAAGCCTGGACGGGTTTCCAAGATATGTTAAACATCCACCTTTGAAATTGTCGAGGCATAGATATGTGAGGCAAATGTGCATGGCTTTCAGGTCTCCTGTTCTCGAATCCAAGCTGAAATACTGCACTCGAGAGGACTTAATCCAATCGGAGGTCAGAAATTCTTTCACCGAGGGATGTTCAAGACTCACAAAGCCATTACGGTCTTGAAAAATCAAGCCTCGGCATATGCGAAGGAGTATCTATGGGGAAACAATCATTGCATCTTCGTCAAGAGCCATGTTTGTCTCATCTATAACCACAATTTCATTAAGAGCACTCAATCTCAGAGGTTCCTTGACGAAGCTTAACCAGAATAGTGCGTTGCGGGCAATTTCCCAGTCTTCACGAGCAATTTCTTCCAGTTTGCTCACATATGTCTCTCTTAAAGTCCCTGGGAGGCTCTCCAGAGCTTGCCGCATGGCGTTTTTAGATCGCTTAGCACTAAGATCATCCAACGAGAGTTGAACCCATCTGAATCTGTATACAGCTATCAGGAAAGGCTAACATGTTTTGGAATATGGTTATACTGACGAGCCGTCGGCCTTCTGAAAGATTGTTGATTCGATCTCTGACTGAAACAATGGTGGCAAGTTCTTCAAAATCTCGTCACTTCTGAGGCGATATCGTATGAAGCTGTATATGTCCTCTTGTATCTCTGAACGAATATTCAGGATAGATACGCTGGAGTCTGAGGCAAAGCTTATTGCTTCTGCTGTGGTTATAATAACCTGAATATTGCTGGAGGATTTCGAAATTCTGAGAAGGGATTTTTCAAGAAGAGCCATGTCATGACTTTCGTTAATCGCATCGAGCATGATGATAACCTTTCTTCCACCCGAAGTACCTTTGACGATACCAGACTCAAATATAGCTGTTTGGATAGGGGGTCGATGCGCCTGACTCTCAGGAAGCTGAGCATAGTGTTGGCGGATATCCTCTAATACTGATGGTACTCGACCCGAAAGTTGTGCGACAAGTGAACCTAAAATGTGCCGTATATATTGAGAAGCGAGGTTACCAATTGTGCAATAAAAATAAGCAACACATAGTGTTGAGTCTTGAGACGCCAGGGATGAAAGACTGTTTATTGCCTGAGCACTAGGTTCGGTTAGACAAGAACTTGACTCATCTTTTGAAGCTCTTACAGGAGTGTTGTTTTCCCAGACCCAGCTTTGAAATAACATTAGTGGGGGTGTTCAAGTTCCAAAAGGAAAAGATGCACATACATTTCCCTGATATGAAAAGAACTTGTTTTCCGTCTGTATTCCACAGGAACTTTTTCAAGATTCCATCAACGAACCACCCGCTCGTCCCCGGTCGGTGCTGATCTAAAGCCCGAAGATGAGAGCTTGCTGCATTCACAGGAGCTATCCACTTAAAAAGCTCACCATCTGCTGTTTGGTGTCGTTCCTGTTCCCGGAATTATAGGCTTCTTTTCAAGGCACTTGTCAGATCACCGATATCTTCTTGAAAACTCTTGTATGCCAAACTTTGGTCGGAGACAAGAACCAATACTAGCCACGACTTAATCCTCTCCAAGTGGGCGAGTTGATCTTTCACTCTCTCTTGAGTGAAGGGCCACTGCAATTTTTGAGTCACGCGTTTCAATCCAGCCTTTGTAATGTTGAGCTCAGTGATAATGGACTGAAGGAATTCGTTTGTTGCGTGTAGAACTTTGGTCATAATTCCATAGTCGAATTCACTTTCCTTTTTCGTCCCCACATCTTCGTCTGTGGCCAAATGACCAGGCATGTGTGCTGCCACATGCTCCAAAATACCTTTGAGGGCGAATAGCTCTTCACTCAGCCTTCTTATTTCGACGCTTGCAACTTGAACAGTTTTTGCGTATTTGATCAAGCTGGCTAGGATGTGGCCAACATCAAGAACCAGGCTGGTGACAGAGATTGGATCTGCCATTCTCTGGAATTGACTTATGAGTAAAAGTCCAACAAGCGTCACGGTGTTAATACTAGTACTTGACTGCTAGAATGAGATTCAATGTTGATCTTATGTCAAAAAATCTTCTATAATTAGGTAGAATGTGCCCCTCGTCAGGCGCCCGAGGGGAGGGGTAGTGCGTTAGTATTTATTCATGCATGGATTGATCGACATTGCGCGACACTTGTTCAGGTAGAAATCTCAAATACTAAAAATTTTGAACATCCTGTTGATACATAGTCAAGTCCTATGCAGCTGCGCCAGTTGGCATCTTGGCCAGCTCTTAAGAACGTAGGGGAACGTAGGCTGCGAGCCTACTACTCAATGTTAGCAGGCATTTTCTGGACCACATGAGACACCAACATCATGATATGAAGCTAAGTAATATTTCTTCACACAAGATTACACTGAATTGGAAGTTTACGAGGTTGTCAATTTGATTCATCATTCAACCATTGATGTTGTATGTAGTATCGGACTGGTGAGTGACTGTAGACACCATAAAATCAAGGCATAAACTTTCCCAATCAGGCAGTTCCTGGGCATGTGGATCCTTTGAACCTTGGAAGTATCAAGATTCAAGACTCACATCAGACAAGGCTGTGTCCCTTTCTCGCCTTATATGTCTGCCTTATTGCTACGCGTGCCTCGAAAATAAACAGAAATACGCAGGTGAATCACAATCAGCAGGCCTTTGATCGCCGTGATTATCTGGGGCTGAGGCCCGACCGGACCCGAAGATCAGGGGAAGAAAGGCTGGAATCCGGTTTTCAGCGCCTTGCTTGACTCGGACTTTGGCACACATGGCTTCCATGCGGTCAGTGGCTAAGTTTTCCGAACGCCTCAGCCGAAGGATACCACTTCAATTGATGCAAGTTAACCTTGAAGGTCTAGTTCTGTATAGAACCTGGATTATGATGTTTTGCTAGTAGCGAAGAGGAAGGATTTATCCGACAGCTATCAATATTTTGCCGCTTCTTGGAACTTGGATGTCAGTGTCGGAATTGGCCGATAAGCACGCATGCGGGAAGTCTCACCATAGTACGGTGTAGACTAATGGTTCATACGAGTCTGGATCGACCGTCGGAGTCAGAGCTATGTGAACCATGGAGTGCAGTGGTCATGCCAGTGTCTTGTGAGCATTCAACGTCGGAGATTGCAATATTTCGCCCGGTCTTTGTCTCCGCTTCTCCACACTTTCGCCCTCGGTAACCCCAGAAATTTCATTCTACGCCTCAGATGCATGAATGCACAGAGCAGTCGATCGTGGGAGAGTGATGCTTGCTTCTTCTTTGTTTTCAAATTATGCACGCGACCATTGTGTGACCAGTCCCTCGACGGAATAGGTTACTGAGTCAGACTTTGAAAACTCAGCTGGAGATACTACATAAACGCCAAGTTTCAATTCTCTTTCATTGGATCAAAGAGACCTAGAAGTTCCCTGGGCGTTGAATTTAGATATCACATATTTATGTATGATTTCACCTTTTCGTCGATCAATACATCTTTTTACTTCTATCTTCAAAGTTTATCATACTGTTCATATGCTGTGTAACTTTCCATTGAGTCTCTCCAGGTACACAAATCTTGTCCCCAGATTCCAATTAAAAAAAAACTGGATAATACCCTCGTGGCCTCCACGTACTCTATACATGTGGAACATATGTACAGCAACCAGAAGAATGGTCTGATTCGACAAAAATCGGCGCCGGAATTGTATGTAAACTTGTTCATTGGTGTTTGGTGTTTGATAACTTCCTACCTGAACTATGACAGCATCTGGTGTTAAGTCCTCATGTAGCTCTTCCTGAAACCCCACTCAACACTCATGAAAGACAACCCATTGGCAACTTACCCTGCATACGCAGCTGCTTCGACGTTAAGCAGTGGAGACAACTTGAAATCCTCCATGAATTGACGTAGATTCGGGCGGAAATGACGTAGAAGGTAGAGGTGATCGGGTTGCCGACCTCCCCGGTTGCCCCACGGCCCGTGCTAAGTAGACGTGCTAAGTAGACGCTACGGCCGTAACAGGTTTTGCCGGCCTAACAAAAATCAATATCAGCATAAATTCAACCATTCACGATACAATGTCGTTAAAATTAAGTGGGTATCATGTCCAAAGTTGATTACGAAGTTTCTCCGTTATGTCCGTTTGCTTGGGGCAAAACTCATGGCCATGGTTCGGGTTATCCTGATTGAGAATATGGAACACAACAATTAACCCTGGAAACATCAACCGGTTTTGATATGTCGTTTGAGTCGATCTGTCATACATATAAATGCGGCGATGTCTCTGTTTTTTGTATGATTAATTCTCCAGGGACATGTGGTAGTCCACTTTATACCCCATACCCACATTATTTCTCCTTCCTCCACTTTTTCTCCTATTCTATACTCCTTGCAGCAAATTCCTAGAGGGGGCTTGAATCAGTAGCCCCAAGTCGCACCTTCCCACATGGCTACCCCCACTGACTCATCGCTTTTTGAAAAGCGAGAAGAAGGGAGGAAAACTGACGACCCTGTCAATGGGAATATCGAAAAGAAGGTTGAAGGTGGTAACGATGCTCACGCCGAAAATGCCTCTCAATCTGATGCGACCAGTCGAGAGGATGTTCCTCGGGTCCATAAATCTGGAAAACGCGAACTCACAGAAGATGATTGTTACGAAGCATTGGGTTTCTGTTTTCCAACTTGGAAGAAATGGACAATCCTTACAGTAATTTTCGTGGTGCAGATGTCCATGAACTTCAACTCCGGTGTATACTCTGATGCCGTAACTGGGATTACTGAGGAGTTCCACATTAGTGAGCAGGCCGCTCGTGTTGGTCAAGCTGTTTTCCTGATCGCCTATGCATTTGGCTGTGAGCTCTGGGCCCCCTGGTCTGAGGAGTTTGGCCGCTGGCCTATCATGCAGCTCTCATTGTTCTTTGTCAATATCTGGCAAATTCCCTGTGCTCTTGCACCTAACTATGGCACAATTGTTGTCTGCCGTATCCTCGGTGGTCTTAGCTCAGCTGGTGGCTCCGTCACCCTGGGCATGACTGCTGATATGTGGGAACCCGATGACCAGGGTTTCGCTGTCGCCTATGTTGTGCTTTCGTCCGTAGGTGGCTCAACTATTGGTCCCTTCTTCGGTGGTATCATCGCACAATACCTCTCTTGGCACTGGGTTTTCTGGGTTCAGTTGATCTTCGGTGGCGCCACTCAGATCCTACACTTTTTCCTTGTCCCGGAGACCCGAGCATCTATCCTGGTCGACAAGGAAGCAAAGCGCCGTCGTAAAGCTGGCGAGGAAGATGTGTACGGTCCTAACGAGATGAAGACTCCCCGTCTGGAGGTGAAGGATGTCTTAAGAATCTGGATCCGTCCTTTTGAGATGTTCCTCCGTGAACCTATAGTCCTCTTCCTTTCCCTTCTCTCTGGTTTCTCCGATGCACTAATCTTCGTCTTCACGGAATCCTTTACCCTCGTCTTCGACCAATGGAACATGAGTACTCTCGCCATCGGAATGACCTTCGGCTCAATCCTACTCGGTTATATCCTCGCATATCTCATCTTCTTACCTGACGTCTACCGCCAAATCCATACCCGGAGAAAGCATGGTGCCGCATCCCGCTACGCAGAACGTCGTCTCCTTCTACTCCTTTTCATCGCTCCACTCGAACCTATCGGTCTTCTCGGTTTCGCTTGGACCTCAATGGGTCCTCCAATTCCCTGGATCGCACCCTTGATCTTCGCCTGCTTGATCGCTATGGCAAACTACGCCATCTACATGGCTACAATCGACTACATGGTTGCCGCTTATGGACCATACTCTGCCTCCGCAACCGGTGGTAACGGTTTCTCGCGTGATTTCCTGGCCGGTGTGGCTACAATGTACGCGACGCCCATGTACGAGAATATGGGTGAGAAGTACCATCTTCAGTGGGCGAGTACATTGCTTGGATGTGTTGGTTTCTTGGTTCTCATTCCTATTTATGTCTTTTATTGGAAGGGACCGGAGATCCGTAAAAGGAGCAAGTTCGCTCAGGAGTTGGCTGCTGATCGGGAGATCCATGCTGAGCGGAGAGCTAGTAGGGCTACCCCTGCTGCTACGCCGGCGGCTCATGGAGCCCACACAGGGGCTCAAGAGTACTTCTCTTGATGGTAGTGCCCGATTTGTTCATTAAATATCAGTACATGTGCATTTAGACTTTGCATATATGCATTACGAGAAATGATCTGCCTAGGTATTTGTCTCATATATATGCCTTCATGAATTGCTTCAACGTGCGTAGATTCTCAATACTAGTCCAACATCATGATGTGTAGTACTTTCAGCTGTTGATGCTTTCTGCTACTACTAGTATCATTTTGAAGTTCAGCCCGTGGTCATTTGAAATTTTTGTTATCTTTTCTGACTTGGATATGGATGTTCAAATCATGGATGCATGTGTTCAAGTTGCATCATGTCACATGAACTTGAAGCTGTTTCGCATCAAGGTCTGACCCGCGGGTCTGTGATGATATATAGCACCATCGCGATATCGGATCTAATACTACTAGTAGCACAACTAGTAGGTAGTAGCCCTGGAGCTTCTGGGCGAAAATTTCACTGATAATATTCAAATGTTGAAGTTCGAGTCACGGTTCGAACCTCAAGGGTTCAAGTTGGGAGCTGAAATGGGCTAGGGCTGCCCATGGGCAGCCCTGGAGGTGCCATAAGCAGCCTGAGATTCCAACCAACGTCAACTGATCAATTGATTACAACTTCCAGTTCAAGTTGAACCTTGGAAGTTGAACGAGATGATCTATTGAGTGCCTAGGGCTAAATGGAGGGAGCCACCGGCACTTGGGTAGTATTTGCATACATAAGTGTTGATATATTTGATACTAGTTCGAAAAATTGAAACTTGAAGTGAAAATAAAATTGATATATAAACCAGTTCATTCATATGAAGAATTTTGAAACAAGCACAAAGTTGCAGGTGAAGAACGCCGGATATATCACAATGGCATAATGATTTTTACCGCCCAAGTAAGGCTACCGCTTAAACAATTCCATCGACATGCCCAGCCCTTATTTCTTACCACCACGGCTAACACGCGGGAACTCCACTGGAATACGAAGACGGGCAACGCGACGAGCATTCGCCTCGGCACGTCCACCCTTGATGTTCCACTTGGCGAATTCAGACTCCCGGGGCTTGTCAACACGGCAGCCCAATTCACGGAAGTACTGCAGCACAGTAGGTGCGTCGAGACGCAGGTCATCACGCAGATCAGAAGGATCGGTGGCCAGCTCGTTAGGAGCGTTACCACCCAGAGAACTGTTTCCACCATCCTTAGCAGGCTGCGGGGGGATATGCAGCGAGAGAGCACAGATGGTGGTGTGGAGGAGAGTCAGGTTGTGCTTGGTAACGAAACCACCGCTTGGTGCGAAGCGGCGACGCAATGAGTCGATGACACCGTCCGGGAGTAGCTGTGTGGAATCCTCGGACTCCTCCTCCTCACCGGCCTTAGCGGTGACACCTGATGTGCTGGAAAGAATCTTGCGGAGCTCATCACGAGGAGGAAGCTTCTTGCTACCTGGACCGGCACCGCCAGATCGTCCCATACCCTTAAGCGAGCGAGCGAATTCCAGCAACAGGTGAATGAAGCGGAGAATCTGGAGCTTCTCCTGGTTGCCAGAAAGCACAACCGCTTCGACACGGTTGGCCACATATCGGGATCCGGTGGTAACGCCCAGTCCACCTTCCACTTGCTGCTTCCATTCTTCGATACCGGTCAACTGGCGCAGATTGGAGGTACCACCAGGAACCAGGGTCTCGAGAGGGTACACGTCTGATGGGTGAGCTGCGCTGAGGTCGGGTGTAGGCAGAGGCTTGGCTGCTTGGACTTCGGCCTGAACATTGCTGGCCTTGTCGAGACCGGAAGCAACACCCGTAGGCAGGGATGAAATGAGAGCGGCACCCGCCTCGGTGACAGATCCGGCGGGAGCATTGGAAAGCTGGGCGTTCTCGGCCAAGGATTGAACAGCCTTGCGTGACTGCTTGGTACCGAATGTGTTGGTGAGGGCTGTACGCTGAGCACGCATAGTGTTCTGTATCTATTAGTATCATGTGCGCCAGATAGGATACCTTGAAGAGTCTGTCTGGGACATACCATCTCCTCCTCTGAATCCTCCTCGTCATCTCTCTTTCCAGTTCGGACGGCACCACGGAGGGTCACTCGTCGCGCCTCCACAATTTGCCAGGTCTTGCGCTCTGAGTCCACGACGGCAACGTAGTGCTTCAATTGGGAGTCCGCATCGTCGCCGGCTCCTTCACGACCAACAAAGTCCATCTTTTCATGCTCAGACGACTGCAACAACATCTCTGAGGAGACAATTCCTGGGTTCCGGGCGAGGGTTGAGTGTTTTCCATCGCGGGATTTGATGTATGGGTTGAAGCGGAGGGATTTCGAGTTCAGCACACCGGGTGTTGTAGCTATACAATGACAGTCAGTCTACGAGAACAGAAAAATCCGCACATCCTAAGTCTCCATACCAATCACTGGAGCCAGCTCGCTCTGATCCTCGACAACGCTAGCTGCCAACGGCGGGAGGGCTTGCAGCTCCAAGGCGGCCTTTTTGCTCGGACGCTCGTGACGATCCGAGGCGCGCTTGCGCTTTTTCTCTGTTTTATCGGAAGGCATAGTGACCGGAGAGTCTACAACGAAGATCACAAGGATTCCTCGGACGTGTAGCTTCAATGGTTCACTGTCGTATCTCAGTAGAAGTAAATGTCGAATGTCATGGGCAGAAAAATTTCCATTGCGGAGACGATTTCAAAGGCGGTGAATGTGGATCCGCACAAATCGAAATTGGTCAAAAGCATAAAAATGGTCTACAAGTGCTAACGGTCATACAATGAATGATCTACAAAAAGCATCTACAAGAACATTGGGAAACAAAGTTACTCGTTAAAAGTCATCGATTCATCGGCAAGCATAGCTATCGAAACCAAGGACCTCCGAGCTATTGCAGTTTTTGGTTTTGTAAACTCTCGGAAGAGACCTCTCCATAGCTCTGAATCTTGAACGGATTCAAGATCCGAATTGTAAAAAAAACATGAGCGGGAAAATTAAAACAGGTATCCCATTATCGAGCTCAGACTGAGTCCCAAGTAGGATCAATCCTCAAACCCTCAACCAAACACGGGCGCTTCTCCAAGTTAAATGCCTAGCCCGACACCAGAACGATAGACGTTAAATGAACCCGAGGGGTAAGATGTAATGTGGGAGAACGGATTGTGTTTGAACGGTGGGTTCCATCAAACGATCTGTGATTCCTTCCAAAGAGACAGAAATCGGGTTCGGGCAGGCAACTTGTTGATTGAAAAGCGAGGCACGGATAGAAACGAAAGTCGTCACATCGAGTCATGAATTGTCGTGTTCAGTGTTCAAACGGAGCCTCGATAAGAGGAGCTGAGATGGAGTAGGGGCGAGTAGTTTATTTGCTTTGGAGATAATTAGTATCACTGGCTTCAATAGCTTGGGAACAGCTGAGGAAAGCTCACCTGCGAGCGCGCATCTTTCTGCGCTTGCGCTTGAGACGACGAACGCGCTTCTTTCTCCACTTAGCTCTCATCTTCGTAGATGTTTCTGGATAATCAAGTTAGCTTTATGCTGAAATTCAATCGAAACAAGGTCTTTTGGTGTCGACTAACATTCTGCGAGGATGAGGAGAGATAGTTGAAGAAAGACAAATGCAGAGCAGCCCGCGAAGCACTTTGTGTAGTGGGTGGCTGACTCAGCTAAGCGAGACACTAACCCGCTTCGGGACACAAGTCATGTGCCACGTGACCTATACATTGCATCACACAGTGGAAATAGGGTTTCCACACATCATAGATTTTATTGATAGAAGCGAGAAGAACATGAATGAAGCTCCATTAAATGTGGATTCAATTATTCTGATACCTATTACTTGATGAATATGTACATGGGATGCCACCGCAGTCTTGTTCCGCGGTGAATATAACAAAAATCTACACGTATGAGTATATCCTACATCAAAAGCCCCGTCATAGTCGTATGAATCATGTATCTTCTGAAATTTGCCATTCAAGAGGTGAACCATGGGAACATCGTACTGAGCTCGAGAGCTCACGTCATAGCTTCGAGATTAGTATGTGTAGCGGTAGGTAGGTGCAAGGTCACCGAGGTACTCCTCCTCTTGGGCAGAAATCTCGTTGGGATTGACTGCAGCATTATCACGCTTGCGGTTCTCATATCGAATGGCGATCACATAAATCACGCATGAAATGATCGAGAGACAGGAGAAGCCAATGCAAATGCTGTAACCCGTCGTGTAGTCCGGTGCGTCCTTCGACAGGAAGGCAAAGGTAGCAATGATACCACCAATGTTGCCGAAGCCGACTTGCCATGCTGTGCCAATGCTACGTCGGTGGTGACCACCAAGGTTCATGGCAAACCAACAGACGACGACAGGCATGGCGCTGTAAGCACCGCTAGTGACTAGGAAGAGCGCACCATACTCGGCATCCCTGTGGCCATGAATGCCGATAAGCATGGCAAAGCCAGCAATGGCAATACAGATGGGGATTATGGTGAATAAGAAACGGTGCTTCAGACGATCAGAGAAAAATGCGATCACCATGGAGAAACAGAAAGCTGCTGCCCATGGTGGGATGGAGTATAGTTGTGCCACAGCAGCTGCGTTCACAAATTAGCCGATATACAAGATACAGAGTAGAGTTGAAATACTTACAGCTGTATCCGTAGCTCTTGATAATTGAGGGCGCAAAGTAAGCGTATCCTAAGGAATTCAGTTAGCCAGATGTTGACGTTATTAGAATCCAGGTTTCCTTGTATGAAACTCACCATATGCAGGGACGATCAGGCCGAAGTACATGAAACCTCCAATGATGACCTTGTCTATGAAGCCAATTGATTAGAATTGTATTAAAAAAAGAGAGCAGGATTTGACTTACAGTCCTTGAAGACCTCTACAACCTGACGCCATCCCAGGTCGACATGGTGAGCTGACTTGCCCACGTCTTTTGCCAATTTCGCGCGAACGAATTCACGTTCCTCGTCAGTCAGCCACTTGGAATCCTCGGGGAAGTCAGGCATGGTGAAGAACAAAATAAATGCCACCACGCAAGTGATACAGCCTTCAATGATGAAGACCCAACGCCATCCATTGTAACCGCGATCTCCCTTCATCTTCGAAATACCATAGGCAAGAATACCACCGAAGGCACCGGCAAGTGTGGTAGAGCTGAAGAAGAAGCTGAAACGCTTTTGAGCTTCACTGCGCTTGTACCACATGCCGAGGAGGTAGAAACCTAGTATGAATGTACATATCAGAATTATGACACTCCATAAAATATGTTGGTTGACTTACATCCGGGGAACATGCCAGTCTCGAAGACTCCAAGGAACCAGCGAGTAGCCATCAAGCCACCCCAATTCTGGACCAGACCCTGACAAACCATTACAAGGCCAAATCCAAACATACAGAGAGACACTAAATAGAGTCAAAAATTGTTCGAGATCGAGGAATAGGGCCAATCAATTTACACCAAACGTGCGGCTTGAACTTCTTGAGAAGGATGTTCGAGGGAATTTCGAAGATGATGTATGGAACGAAGAAGATGGTCAAGGCGATGTTGTACTTCATGCCGGTCGCGATATCGAGGTCATCTTTAAGACCCAAGAGAGCCGCATTACTGATGTTGACACTGTGGGAAGTAATTGATATCACTGAGCTTGTTTTTAGAAGTTGGCGATCGCATATGAGTGCGCTTACCGATCCAGGAAAGCCAGTAGATAAAGTACACAGAGACAAGGTAGAACATGCCAATCGATCTTGGCCATCAACTTGCGCTCCGTGGTTGATCGAAGGGGAGGAAGCTCATGATCAATGATTGGGCTGCCATCTTGTTGCGAAAAGATCTGGCTGTCGCCATTCTCCTCCGTTTTGAAATCTGATTGAAAACAGAGCTGTCAGCGCCGATCTCGCGCGCAAGGCCCGCATCCTGCATCCTCGTGGACAGGGAAGAAATAGCCATGAAATCTGGGGAAACGAACCTGCTCCCATGATTGGATACACCACCTAATAGACGCGCCTTGGACATTCAATGTAGCGCCAAGGAAAGAATTCAAGGGATGTGGAGGGAGTAATGAGAAAAAGGAATTCTTCTCGAGTGCTGATCACCTCGGGTCACAGGGATATCGTGGTAGTATCGGAAGCTCTTGGCCGCGCACAACTCAATGCGCCAATGTACAAAACTAGACAAAACGCACAAAGCAAAGTGAGTCAGACAAGGGTAGAGAAATTCAATAAATAGCCAAGAGCTGAAAATCCCAAAAATTCGTGTCTTGATTCACTCTAGCCCAATAAGTTAAGTAAATCCCAAGTTTCATTCAAACTACTACTCCATATGACCCACTTCATCTCGTACCTTGGCCCGATCTCGGCCTACATATGGTACTAGTATGAGTGCTGATCTTAGGTGAGCAGATGCAGACACATTCCACTGTTTTAGTGCTGCAACTTGGAATGAAATCTTCAGTGATCTGTCTCTCCACATTATTTGTTTGATTATGCATAAGTAAATACTTAAACATGTAACAGGGGGTCGTGCACTGAGTAATTGTATGGAAAGGATTTCCCGCATTTGGTTCCCCGCAAAAACTCATTGGTTCCGCCTGAAATAGGTAAAATAGGGAATCTGGTTCCAGGGTCTCATCTCGAGTCTGCTTTCAAGCATTTGAACTCTATGGTTATGCAAAGTTTATGCAGTAGAATTCTGGAAAACCCATTCCGCTCTTAGGTGACTTCTAATATGGTTTCCAATACAAATAAAATTTCAATAATCAGTGACGATCATTGACATTCTCCACTTAGTGAGCTTAGTGACCTTCAGCTTTGCATGATCCACTTATTCTCCACTTATTTTGGAGCCTTTTATCCCAGAGATCGCCGCCAATCATCACCCTCATATTTCATTTGCGCACTTTGCATCAAGTCTTCATGGATGTGAAGATAAGCTTTCTCGGATTACTTATATTTAAATGTCTTGGCTATATGCGCACCTAGCACTTGAGTAGGCAGTCCTACATAGGATAGCATCGATACTGCCTAAATGAAGAAGATCTCAGGGCCGTCTTGACAAAGCTCCAGGGCGATCTAGGTAGTAAGGTACGATGAGTCAGAGACTCAGAGGTTTTCAATGGTTCTTATGCATGTATAGGTTGAGTCATGGTCTATGTACTTACAGTTTTATTCCATCTGGGGCCGCTGCCTAGGTGGACCATTATATAAGAGGATAAAAAGTTACAGGGTAAAAAGTATAGAGTAGAAACTTGAAGGATATAAAGGTTATCTTTAGGAGTAAATACCTAAGTACCTTTATTTCTCTTACTTTACTCTTACCTCCCTTACTATAAGCTGCCTTGGTGGCTGAAACGGCGGTCCATCCACAATCTGAACCCCACACTAGTGCACAATTCGATTCTTGACATTCGCATGGGCTTGCCGTTTGACTGTCATGGCGAGTATGTACTATCTGTTCTGAAGACATAGCGCTTTACCCTTCAGTCACGATTGATATTCATCGGATAGGAAAACGGGTAGCGGGAAAGCAACGCCCTGTGGGTATTATTCACGGTACCGAATGTTGCAGGAGCACTCGGGGTGATTGGTCTCTACACTCCCTTGGGAATCTATCTAAGCAACAGATCGTGAGAAGTTCATCAAATTCTGGGAGATTATTTCATTCATGGTATGGGACATGTGAGTAAGAGATATCCCTCCTCTTAAAATGCTTCCATTCAATGCTTATCAGAATTTGTCATCGCATCAATGCGAGCTCGAGCGGCCTTAGAACCTTCGTTTCTTTCCGCCTCAGTTCGCCCAGAATCGGGAATAGTAAGACCCTTCTGCACTGCTCCTCGTTTTTCAATCTGATCCACCCACTTCTTCACAGCGGGAAACTCCGCCAAATCAAGGTCCAAGGAACCAGGTGCACTGCGGACCCATGTGTAGTTTGCGATATCCGCAATTGTATACTTGTCTCCCGCCAGGAATGAGCTTTCCTGTAGGCGAGACTCGAGAACAGAGTATAGACGCTTTGTCTCGTCGATGTATCGCTTGATTCCATAGTCGGAGCGCACCCCAGCGTACACTCGGAAGTGGTTTGCTTGACCTGTCATTTTACATTAGAACAAACTCATCATCCAGGTAGAAGCGCTGATAAATACCCTGCATAGGTCCAAGACCACCCATCTGGAACATCAGCCAAGAAAGCTGCTCAATGTATTCGGGGGTGCCCGGCGCGTAACTGATCTTGCGATCGGTGTCGTATTTGTCAACAAGGTAGAGCATAATCGATCCACTCTCGAAGACGCGCTGTGAGCCATCTGTAATTGCAGGAATACGGCCATTGGGATTAATTTTCAAAAACCATCTGCATGATCGGGGTTGGTTAGTTCGGTGCAGCTCAGAAGGTGTTACTCGGCCAGGGTTGAAGTGATATCACATACTCCTCTTTCTGAATATTTGTGCTGATATTGATTGGAACAGTCTTATAGGTGAGGCTCAGTTCTTCAAGGGTAATCGAAGCCTTAACGCCGTTTGGAGTCGGCCAGCTGTAAAGGGTGATATCGGACATGATGGGTGAAGTTGAGAATGAAGCACGGAATTTGGGCAATTGAGAGGATGGCAATTGAGAGAATCGTGGCACACCAGCTTTATATGAGCTGCGACACAGGGTGCGGGGCAGCATCATTATGTGATAATTCCAGAATTAAACATTTTAAACAATACATGTATTATGTCGAATTCCAAGGTTGCTTACTCGATATCCATGGATATGCCGGCATCTTCAAATGACCGAATTCCGCGTTCATTTGTCAGCGATGCTGACATGATTTCATTTTATCCGTTACCTACCTATCGTACTATCTATATCCGATCATTTCCGTCCTCTTATCAATATTCAACTATTCCTCAACCCATTTTGATCGAGCTTCGATGCCAGTATTTACTGATATCTCAATACTGCGAGCCTCCAGGGTGTGAACAATCATTGGGTACTATTCTGGGAACATAGTGGCAGAGACCCAGTTCGAAAGTGGGTGCTACAGTTGGATTTGCTATCTAATCATCCGTCAAGCTACCGGTCAAAATCGGAGAGGAACTCTTCTTCACCGTATCAATTCGATGTATGCCCGGTTCTTGTACAGGTGTTGATGCGCTGTTTTGGAACTGGTGATCCACATGAATTGGCCCACCAAGAAGTGGGAAGTGGGGGGCGGGCCGATGGTCGATCGATCTCAGAGTTCAAAAGCAATGAGATTAAAGCTTACCATCTGTGATCCTAGATGCCAATGATTTTCCGTGGGCTATATCAAAATTCATTCTACATACATGGGATCCCAGGTTGGATTATGGCCATTGAATTCATTGAATCCGCCCCTGAACGAGATCGGAGGTCCGACGGGTTATCGCCTAACATAGCTTCGCATTTGACTCGAAGCTACTACCTAGCTCTATTAGTTTAGTACACCCAGGCACCGAAATTGATAGATCCTTTGAGATCCCATCCCCTTATCTCCCCAGACCAATAAAACTCGCCATTTTCCCGTTGGAATGATCACGAGTTCAAGTTTGAGACTGGTCCGCACTTGAGCATTGAGATACGGTCACAAGTTACAACATCCTGGTAGGATGGCGTCTAATCTTTGCCCGGTGGACAGTGATAATCTATTCAAAATTAGAGTAAATATCAATTGTCGAGAATTTGATTTTACTTTGCTCTTTGAACAAGCCATCTTCAGTGTTCTGCCATCGATTACTTTGTTACTATGGCTCATCCCCCGACTCGCGATTTTGCAACGCTCACGGATCAAGTCAAAATCGTTTAAACTTGCTATTTACAAATCGGTAAGAGAGATTATCTCTCTCTGAACTTAAAAATACATCTTCTTACTGACATGTCAAATCCTAGTTGCTATTGTTTCTCCTTTTTGTGCTGCAAATCATCCTTACAGTGTACCAAGTGCAAATCAAAGATTTACATACCAAGGTCTCTATCCCAGAAGCGGCGTTTAACTTAGCCGCAACACTTGCAGCAATTATTCTGTCATTTCTTGAGGATCAAAGAACAATCCAGCCGTCGGATACACTCATCGTGTATTTTTCGGCCTTGTCCATTCTCTACATACCATACTTGCGGACTTTATGGCTCATCCCCTCAATCCCTATTCCCCGAGGACTGTCCACTGCGATCTATATCATTATTGTTCTTATTACTATCTTGGAGTCGACTCGAAAAGTCAATTCTCTCCAACCGCTCTACAAGAACGTTTCAATCGAAATGATCCATGGCTTTTGGGGACGCAACCTCTTCGTATGGGTTCTCCCGCTATTCAGGAACGCTTATACCTTCATTATCTCTCTAGAAGATCTGCCGGATGTTGATTCCACGTTGCTAGGAGATTGTGCAGAGGCACGTCTGGCACAGACTTGGTCCAAATCACACGGCAAATATCGGCTGATTAAAGCGACCTTTCGAGCATACTACCGGCCCCTTCTCTCTGCAATCATCCCCCGTATTTTACTAGCGGGGTTCACCTTTTGCCAGCCCTTTCTGTTGTCGGCCACCATTAATTGGATGACTGATCCGACGACGGCGGAGACTCAGCGTTATGGACATGCGTTAGTCGGAGCATATGCGCTCGTTTATACTGGTGTCGCCATCTCAACGGCGATATACTATCGCGAGGCTAGTCGTCTCGCAACCGCCGTCCGTTCAGGCCTGATTGCTATGGTCCATGAACAGACACTGGCACTGCAAAGTACGACGGACTCCAAAGCAGGAGATGCGGTCGCCTTGATGGGAACAGACACATCGCGTATCATGTCGAGTATGCGGTCACTACATGAGATTTGGGCATCTCTCCTCTCGATTGTGATTGCTATCTATCTCTTAGAGATACAAGTGTATGTCGCATGCGTACTCCCAGCTGCCATTGCCGTGGTATGCATTCTTGCAACTACCCCGGTATCCGCTAAATGTGGAGAGGCGCAGAAGAAATGGGTGGGGCATATACAGGAACGTTTGGCGGTTACTACCGCGATGCTTGCGGATATCAAAGCTGTCAAGATGCTGGGACTGGAAGCTATCTTGTTTGATATGATTACTCAGTATCGAAAGGTTGAGCTCAGCGCCTCGAAACGATACCGAAAGCTTATTGTGGGAATCGTCATGCTATGTAAGTGAGACTTGATACACCGGAGAGTATGTATGAAAAGACAATATCAATTAAGAAAACCACTAATATCACTGGATTCCGTTTTCACAGCATCCATTTCGGTGGACCTTGCACCATATGCGGTCTTTCTATTATACTCGGTTATAGCTGTGGTCAAGCATGATACACAGATTCTTACCACACAGGCATTCACGACAATATCTCTCATCTCCATTCTAACAAGTCCTCTGATGTCGTTCATCCAGTCACTCCCCACAATAACACAGTCTATTGGCTGCTTCGATAGGATTCAGAACTATTGTCTGCGAGAAAGGTCAAGCGAGTTTTGCCTGGCACAAACCAACTCTAAGCTGCAGAAAGACAATATCGAACTTTCCGAAGTTTCTGTGGCTGTCAAATCCCCTGGGACATTGATTGCGTGTGACAAGTTCTTATCATTCCAAAATGCATCCATATCCTGGAAAACAGAAAGTGCCGTCGTTCTCCACGATCTAACATTCTCCATTCCCTCGGGTAAGATCATTATGGTCGTGGGCTCGGTTGGATGTGGAAAGTCGACCCTTCTGGAAACCATAATGGGCCAAACTAAAATTGGAAGTGGCACTATGCATCTTGCATCATCAGATGTAGCTTACTGTCCGCAGAGTCCTTGGATTATGAATGCTTCCATCCAAGATAACATCACCGGGTGGTCAGAATTGGACGAGAAGTGGTACGATGTTAGCATCTCCGCATGTGAATTAGCCAGCGATATCGGCAAATTTCCTAAGGGAAGCATGCACATGGCTGGGAGTGGTGGAATCTCTCTCAGTGGAGGACAGAAACAGCGAGTGGTGAGAGGGAACCCACCTATACATGTATTCATCCGAACTGAAGAAGTGCTGATTGAATCAAGGCTCTTGCGCGCGCGGTATACTCTCGACTCCCCAATGTGGTCCTAGATGATACCTTTAGTGGGCTAGACTCGCAAAATACTCACCTAGTAGGTGAGAATCTGTTTGGTCGAAATGGGATTTTCCGACGGGCAGGAACAACTGTGATTCTTGCAACTCATACCCGTGAGTATAATATAGAGCTCATCGTGTATCGCTGTTAACATGAAGTTTTTAGGATCACTTCTCCCGTATGCTGACGAAGTTATTCTGCTCGAAAATGGCCGCAAGGCTCTCCAATGCACGTACCAGGAATTGATCGACCAGAGACCCGAGTATACACAGTCTCCTCTTGACGAGAATCTTGATAGAATCGACGAAAAAGATGACTTATGCGACCAAGTCTCGGATGAAACAGCAGAAACCAAGTTACTCTCCAGACAACCAAGTAGCGAAGATGGTGATTCCGATTCCATCTTGTTGAAACAAAACCTGAAAAGGCGAAATGGTAGCTGGTCCATCTATGGCTATTACGCACGCAAAGCAGGGTTTCTACAAGTTGGTCTTTTTACTACGTTCTTACTCGCGTACGGCTTCACAACTCAATTTTCCTGTAAGTTTGATCTTGGCCTGGCGCGAATAAATAAGACTGACAGTCATTATAGCAATTTGGTTAGAATGGTGGTCTGATGCGAATGAGAGAGACCCAAATTCGGATCTCGGAAAATACCTCGGAGTTTATACAGTCATTACTCTATTGGCGCTTCTTTCTCTGGCTGCCGGCTGCTGGTACATTATGATCCTCCTTTCCCCATCTATAAGTAGTAATCAGTTGCTTATTTTCTTTAGGATGCTGATTATCGAGATCGTTGGTAACACCTCCCTTGCTCTGCATTCAGATCTATTACAATCTGTTCTGAGGTATCTACGGATCGACTACATACCAGAGACCTTTATTTACTAAACGTCTTTCAGTGCACCATTCAGCCTCTTCCAGAAAACCGATAGCGGATCTATCATGAACCGCTTTAGTCAAGATATGCAGCTCATCGACTTTGAGCTCCCGGTCACTGCATTGAATTTCGTGGAAGGTAGATTGTTACTAAATGCATACAACCAAAAAAGATATGCTAATGCCGCTTACCATCTAGCCCTCAGTCTCTGCATAGTGAGCTTGGTGATTCTCTGTGTGGTTGGCAAATACATCACAATTACGCTCCCATTCATGCTACTCGCGATCTGGGTTCTGCAGCATGGCTATCTTCGAACATCTCGTCAAGTCCGTCTATTGGACATCGAAGCTAAGGCACTTCTATTCTCCCAGTTCCAAGAGACCATTAGCGGCCTTTTGGTTATTCAAAGCATGCGATGGCAGCCACAGTTCCACAGGCAATGTCTTTCCAAACTGGACGTGACCCAGAAGCCGTTCTATATGCTATTCTGCATAAAGCAAGGCCTTAAGTTGATGCTGGATCTGATAGTCATGCTCTTTGCGGTTATCCTTGTCGCCATCGTGACCTCGCTGAAGGATCAGTTTAGTGCCGGTGAGATCGGTGTGGCCTTGACTCTGATAATTTCTATCAGTCAGAATCTGAACACGGCCATCGAGTCTTGGACCCAAATGGAGATCTCACTTGGGGCGGTGGCGCGTGTACACGAATTCACAACTGAGACGCCCACCGAGGCATCAAAAGGGTTAGATGCAGGTTGGCTAACGCGCGCAGAGATTCGCTTCGATAATGTGAATGCAAGCTATGGGTACGTCGAGAAAACCTATTAACACTTATGCTTGATCTGCTATCCACTAACAATTGCTAACCTCGACTCTTTGATACAGTCCACACGACGCTCCCATTCTCTCAGATCTCTCAATCCATATCCCTTCTGGGCATAAGGTTGCCGTCTGTGGTCCTTCCGGTAGCGGCAAAACGTCCCTTATCATGGCTCTCTTGCGAATGCTCGAAGTTTCCAATGGTCGCATCACTATCGATGGTGTGAATATATCTACCATACGCTCTGCCGCCCTTCGCACACAGATTACCGTTATCCCGCAAGACCCCTTCTTTCTTCCCGGTACACTACGCGATAGCTTCAATCCCACAGGCGGGTTGTCAGACGAGCAGATTGTTGCAGCAATTCAGAAAGTGGGTCTCTGGGATTCGATCAGTGGAAAGGGAGGCCTAGATGCGACTCTCGATGCGCTGGATTGGTCATACGGCGAGAAGCAGCTGTTGGCGTTGGCCCGGGCCTTGACCACCCCAAGTCCGCTCCTCATATTGGACGAAGCGACTAGTAATGTTGACTGGGAAACCGAAGCCCGAATGTTGAAGATCATCGAGCAGGAGTGCGCGGGACAGACGGTCATAGCGGTCGTGCATAGATTGCGGCATATCGGGCGTTTCGATAGCGTGGCACTTCTATCACAGGGGACAGTGGTGGAGTTCGATACTCCCGAGGCCTTGTTAGGGCGTGAGTCAGAATTTCGTAAGCTGTATACTGCCTCGCAGAAATGAGGAGTCCCCTAAATTCAAGTTGTATGTGTATCGATATACTTGTCTTGTCATCTTTATGAGCTGACTAGGTCCCTGCTAGAGGCATTGAACAGTTTGAAGAATATTAGAATTATTAAATTGAGCATACTAAATCAAAAGTCTCAAGTGCTGCGTCTGCATCTGACGCACCCAGCAATTGTGTGTGGCTTGAGTTTATGATTTGGATGTTTAAGCAGATCATGGCCATTGGCAACTTGAAACTTGAATTAGTGCTATATCTCCCAGTATGGTGATGTAGGATTCAGAACTTGAAGTAAGGGCTTGAGATTGTCGAAAAATGGTGTTTCATAAATATCGTGAATCGGAACCTTGGAATTCATAGTCGGAAGTCATGACCTCAAGATAGATGAGGGACTTTAGAAAAAAGCATGTTCCTCCTTGCTCTTGAACATGTCCAGGTGGCTGCTCTGGGTAAATTATGTAGGCGATCCCCATATGGTCTGAAGCCACGAGTTCTTCACGTTGCAACTCCTCAACGGGACTCGCTCGAGCCTCGTTAATTTTCTCTTGGTTCCGGAGACGGCCAAAAGCCTCATCACTGATTTATTTGTTTTTATTTTGAGACAGTCATCCCTGCGCTCGGGACCTGCTTGGCTGCTTCAGTGACCTTTCTGCACGTGGATATCGCTTCTTTGCTGACTTGGAAACACGAAACGCTTAAGAGTGGCGAGGATCATAACTCATATACCACAAAAGAAAAACGAACATATCAGGATCCGAACCGAGCCGGATTCTATCTTCCAAGGTTTATTGTAGAAAGGGGGTCTAACACCGCTCATTATCTCCCCTGCCACATATGGACCCGGGGCATTCAAGTTCGGAAGGGAAACCCTGGCCCGAAAGGGGGCTCAAAGACCAGGGTCAGGCCACAAAAGCTAAGCGGATCTGAGCGACCAATAGTAACTAAGGACTAACTGTGATAACGTTGGGTGCATGCTGACACAGATTGGCAGTTTAAACTATGCTTAAGCAACTGCTTTGGCAGCTGGGGCCGACTCCAGGTTGAGAATACCCCAACCTCCAAACCCCAGTCTCCACCCATGTGGAGAAAAATAACTCGATCTCGGCAAGATCTACCCCCGCAACTTGGCTGGTAACACATGGCTAAAAGCACGCGTCAAGAAATTCGCCGGATGTGATCTTTTCGGAGACGCCGGACAAACATCCTATTTCATATATGGAGTACTCGGTAGTACTCACCAGTCCATTCATCTCAAGCCACCAAATCAGCCTACCGCAGAGTCAAAGCTTTGACAAGGATTACAGGCTCCTTATTCCGGATTCGGCATAGCTGATACAGTCGATGTGAGCCCAGCCGCGATGCATTCAAGGGGGTCTCGGCGGTCTCGGTTGGCGAATCACAGGCCACCAGGGCCAACCTGGTACCTCTACCCCAGTACTGCCAACGAAGTGAGAACTTAAACTGGTAATCAACAACGGGGAACGATATAGTCAGTCGCATTCGAAATATAGTTTGCCTTCTCTCTTGCTGGGAAATGAGAGTGGCAAACTCCATCCTTAGTGGTGCGTCCGATTTTCCTATATCACCTTACATGCGATGCGAGCGTCCCAAGTGCAGCCTTTGAGAGATACAACATGGCATGCCGCATGAGAGCATTCCTGTTTCACAAGCCTATCGAACCGGGAAATTGAAAGCTTCTAAATAGACTTTCACACCTGATGCACAGAAAAATCAAAGAAAATGGGTTCGATAACAACCCACATTCACATAAGTCGATGATAGGAAAGAGAACCCAAGGATGCAGGGAACCGAAGTGATACAACAAGGTCCACTTCCCCAAACTAGGATCCTCATCCTCTCTATCAACGGTCACGATATCGAACTTTGATTACAACTTGAGAGTTTGTTTTCTTCTATCGTGAGGTGTTCAACACAAGAACAAGCAAGGACAGGAATCTTTGAAGACTGATCACTATAGACTGGAGCGGAGCATACAAAGAAAGGATTCAAGAACACTTATGATGTCGCCTACTACCCCGAATTAACCCCATTTAAACCATGTGTGAAGTGGGCCCTAATTGTGACCCCGCGGGGCGTTCCCAAGAAACATATCAGAATTCTAAATTATGTTACTTCAAGTCATAACTCTACTTTTGGAATACAGTAATAAGAGTTTATTATTCATCTAATAAGCTGACTGCTTGTTAAACGGGCTGACCGGAGGGAGCATAAGAAGGTGTCAGCTCCCCTTGAACTCCTGGTCTTCCTCATTTTTATTTCAGACTTCGACTTCTCAGGTCGGAGAACCTCACGATAAACCCGTGATTACTTCGCTTTGCCATTTTCGGAATCGGATGATCTCGTGACTCCAGAGCTCTCACTTTCTGTTTACTTCCTCATTTCCTCACTTCCTCATTTCCTCACTTCCTCACTTCCTCACTTCCCCTCCTCCCTTCTCTCTTTCCCCCTCGCCCTTTACTTCCATCTTTCCATCACCAACCTTGTTTCATCTTCAAATAATTTCACTACTTGACCTTCATCAATCCCATTTGGCTGTCGCAAAGTCTTCTCCGCCATCATGGAGGAAACTTCGGCTGCTGCCTCTCAGCAATCGGCACGGTATGTTATACGCCCCAGCTTCGATATCATATTTTGATTTTACTTGACCTTGAACATGACCTTGAACATGACCTTGAATACTAACTGCGCGTATCAGAACTATCGGCAACAATCAGTATGTTGCTGAAAAGAGTGACTCTGAGCAGGAGCAGCTTGAGCAAGTCGATCTGGAGAACAACATTTCGGTTAGGTAAGTTGCCGGCGACCTCGACGACTCAACCTTGGGTCTTTTACTCATTGATAAACTAAATTAAGATAGAATCAAGAACCCACTCACTGGCCTGAGCCAGGAAGAAGTGATTCGCGATGTGGAAGCATTCGCCCAGGAATATCAGGTCACAGATATCCTTCCCGAGCTGAAGAAGGGTGCCCTCGTCGCCCGGGACCCAACTAGCTTCGAATCCGTCCCCGGGATCACTGAGGATGAGTGCCTCACCTTGAAGAATGAAGCCCTCTTCAAGTGGCGTCAGCCCAAGGCTCTTTACTTCACCATCATTCTTTGCTCCATCGGTGCGGCGGTCCAGGGCTGGGACCAGACTGGTTCCAACGGTGCCAATCTTTCTTTCCCTGAGGCTTTTGGTATTCCTGAGAGTAAGAGTCAGAAGAACCAGTGGCTGGTTGGCCTTATCAATGCTGCGCCGTACATTGCTAGTGCTCTATTTGGATGCTGGATGTCCGATCCTTGCAATCGGCTTCTTGGGCGACGTGCAACAATCTTCATCTCTGCTATCTTCTGCGTTCTGTCTCCCATTGGATCTGGATTTACCCAGAATTGGCGTCAGCTATTCGTCACTCGTCTTCTGCTCGGAATTGGAATGGGTCTCAAGGCATCTACCGTTCCTATCTTTTGCGCTGAGAATTCGCCTGCAGTTATCCGCGGTGCTCTTGTTATGTGTTGGCAGATGTGGACAGCTTTTGGAATCTTCCTTGGTTTCTGTGCCAACTTAGCGGTTAAGGACACTGGCCCTATCGCCTGGCGCCTTCAGCTTGGCTCTGCCTTTATTCCTGCTGTTCCCCTCGTTTTTGGTGTCTTCTTCTGTCCGGAGTCTCCTCGTTGGCATATTCGACGTGGGGAAATGGACAAGGCTTATCGATCACTTTGTCGACTTCGCAATACTCCACTTCAGGCCGCCCGTGACCTTTACTACATGTATGCTCAAATTAAGATTGAGCAGATGATTATTGGAGATAGCAACTATATTACTCGATTTGTGGAGTTGTTCACCATTCCTCGAGTTCGTCGTGCCACTCTTGCGTCCTTCACGGTCATGATTGCTCAGCAGATGTGTGGAAGTAAGTCAAACTCCGTTTCAGCATAATAACCAATATGACTATGAAAATGGCTAACATTATCACTACAGTCAACATCATTGCATTCTACAGTTCGACAGTTTTCAGCCAAGCTGGCGCTTCCAAAACTGGAGCATTGTTAGCTTCTTGGGGATTTGGTTTGATGAACTTTATTTTCGCTATCCCAGCTCTTTGGACTATTGATAGCTGGGGCCGCAGAGCATTGCTTCTGTTCACATTCCCAAATATGGCTTGGACGCTACTCGCCGCAGGCTTCTGCTTCTACATTCCTGGAACTGGCCCGGCTCATCAGGGTCTTATCGCCCTCTTCATTTTCCTCTTCGCCGGTTTCTACTCCCCTGGCGAGGGACCTGTGCCATTCACTTATTCTGCCGAGGTCTTTCCTCTCTCTCATCGTGGTATGTCTTTTTGAATATCTTTCTTTTCTCAATCACCAAGCATATTTCCTGACTAACTTTTTTATATAGAGGTTGGAATGTCCTGGGCTGTGGCAACTTGCCTAGGATGGGCTGCTGTTCTCTCGATCACCTTTCCGCGCATGTTGTGGGCTATGACTCCCACCGGAGCCTTCGGATTCTATGCGTGAGTATCTCTCCAAGTATGAGTTTTATGGTGCTTATTTCTAATCTGTTATCCGTTGACTCTAGTGCCCTCAATGTGACTGCGTTGATTATGATCTTCCTTTGGGTCCCCGAGACCAAGCAGCGAACACTTGAAGAACTGGACTACATTTTCGTGGTTCCAACTGGCGTTCATATGCGCTACCAGGTCTTCAAAGTTCTTCCCTGGTGCATCAAGCGCTACATCTTCCGACGAAACGTGCAATTGGAGCCCCTGTACCAGCTTGAGGACGTGCGAGTGACAAACGTTGATCAGGTGGCAGCTTAAGTACGCTAAAGCAGCACTGCTCTTGGTAATGCTTAGGGATCGAGCCCGACTGCACTATCTCTGCTAGCATCATGCTAGATCTTTTTTTCTCGGGAAACCTCTTTACTTTATCTTATTCGGGGAGGTTTCTTTTTTCCCCCTTTTTTTGGGAGAATTTTATCGGTTTTATGATTTTTATTTATTTCGCAAGGCGTTGAGATGGGATGTTGGATTCACCAGGGTTATGGATGGAGCTCAGTTGACATTTTTACTAGTTCGGTTTGCCACCAGTTTTATCTTGCCAAAGGCGTTCCAGATGTCGGGATTGGATTTTGGATTCTCCAGAGTTGGGATGGAGCTCAGTTTACATTTTTACTAGTTAAGTTTGAGATACCCCGAATTCATTAGTTTAGTATGCACTCTCTGCCAGTGGATGCAATAGTAGTAGTAAAGATACTAGTACGGAGTAGCCCTACTACCTAGTAGGAACAACGAGCATTCTTTAGGTATACATTAGAGTTAGTATACTACTACCTAGTAATGTCAAACATGAAGTCGATATTATGTGTTTTCTAGAGTAGTCAAATAGAACTTGAATCATTGATTTCTTCATACATATGACCATATGGTGGCTATTGATTTCCGTTTCCGCATATCACCGTGCGGGCCCTGGGGAATAATAACTGATCCATGGTAAAGGCGTCAGCTGATGTGGGTACATTGGAAAAAGGAGGTGAGGGCAACAACTTGAACTATTTACATTTGAAGAGAGACACGAGATGAGATATCCGTGTCATATGGTGTGACTCGAGTAAAAAGTATTAATATAAGAAAAAAATGAGAGTTTAGTCACGCAAGGACATCATAGGGCTTGAATAGGTCACGCTCCTTATGACCACTAATAAGGTGCATCACGTGGGAGTTCGAGATGTTTTGGTCCACTCCCGCCCCTCACTCCCTCCTGCCCAAGAGCATTCTGTTGCGCATACTTGACTCTTAATCTGCTTCACATGAGCGCTCTATTGACTTCGTTGCCTCCTTAACAATTCATTTGAATATCTGAAAGGTGAATCGGAGCTGTTCCTGTGGCCTGCACCTGTTCATCCTCTCCTACCTCCCCACAAAAGCTTCATTACCAGCCTCCGTATACCAGCAGCAACGGTGGGGTCCCGTCCCAGTGGGCTGCTGGGTGCTCCTTTACCAGTCTAAACACCACCTTGACCGCCTCTCCTGAAGCTCTCTCACTTCTCGCGGAACTAACAAAACGACGTTCCTCGAAAAAAAGGAAGCGCCGGAAATAAAAAAAAAAAGTTACAAGACTGATTGTAGCCTCCCGGCTCGCGTCAGATTTCTGTTTCTTTCCCCTAATTCACTACCTCTCCAATCCGCCCGCCTTGTCACTTCTCGGCCAAGAGATCTTGCCTCCGTTTCTGAGGCCCGCCTCAAATTTATCCCTCTCTCTCGACCCATAAAAAAAACTCCCTCTTCTTCAACCCCTCCCGACGTGCCGACATGCCTTGCTTCAAAGGTCTCGCGGTGAGCATTCACACGCCGGATGGCGCTATCTCCGAATACTCCATTCAACGCCAGTCCCGAGCCTCTCGCATAGCCTGCTTCATCCCGGTGCCTCCGCCCAAAGTTCCTGACTCCAAGAGCGGAAAGCCTGAACAATCCACCTTCGCCATTTCTATCACCTTATTGAATGCCGGCCAGGATGTCCCTTACTCAACCCCCAAACCAACACCTGATTGCCAATCCCCGAAACCGAAAGTTGTCGGTGGTCTACCAGGCCAGACAAGCGAACGCGGTCAATACTCCGGCGCAGTTTCACCATACCAGGCATTGACTAATTCACAGAACGAGACTGTCGCCGCCTACATATACTTCGACGGACGACAGAAGGAGGAAGTAGCAACACTTCTGCGGAGAGGAGAGGAGACATGGGTCAATTCGCGCTGGGTCAGTATCCCCGAATCTGAGGGTGGGGGCATTGCCGAGCGCGAGTTCCTCTTCCGCGAGGTTGGACTGGAGCGTTGGCTCAACGGATTGGATCTTGAAGGGAAAGATGCAGCTGCCAAGATCGAGCGCCGACGACAGAAAATTGAGAAGCGTCGTGCAAAGCGTCTTGAAGAGGGCCAGAGTGTTATGGAAATGGAAGCCGACAGCTCGAAGCCCAAGAATATCATGCGATACGGAAGTGACGCAAAGGCGCCACTTGAGAATGTTTCTGATGACGATTTTTCCTCGGATTCTGATGATGATGATCCAATCCCGGAGACTGCTGGGCAAATCAAGGTCGCCTTGTTCCGTGTATTGGCATCCGGAGAAATCAAGCGTGGTGAATACTCCCCACAATTCGATGCACACGACGATGATGAGGAAGGTGGCCAAGGCAATAGCAATGGAGATGCCGACATAGATCACACTACCAGCTTCGCCAAACCTAAGAGTCTCGACCCCAAGTCCATCAGCACCCAGACCGTCACTGGCATTGACCCAACTGACAAGCCCTACGCTACTTTCACATTTATGTACCGCGGTGAACGTGAGTCATTTACCCTATCTTTTGTGCGATGCAGTGCAGTTGAAGATTTTAACATTATTCACAGGACAACTGCAGAAGATGGGCATGTTGAAGGACCCTAAGGCACCCGAGACACCGGCTGTGAAACGCAAGTCCATACAAGCGGACTTTTCTAGCCTTGGCCCTCTCAAATCCGGTGGAACTGTTGGATTCCTTAATTTCCGGGATCAAGAATCTGGGCGTAAGGGTAAAAAGGGCGAGGATGAGATGGATAGTGATGACGACGATGCCGAAAATCCTATCCTGAACAAGGCTGATGATGAGGAGGCCAAGGATGATAACCATTTCTTGTCTCCTGATGATATCAGGCGTGAGGGAGAGCTAGAGGAGGGTGTCCGCAAGATTCGCGTAAGTCAAATCCATGATCCGTCTTCGGCTTTGTGTGCTAACATTTCTTTCAACAGCTCAAACGCCAGCATTCTGCTGAGCCCTCCAATGAGAATGGAGAGACGAATTCAAGCGGCACCCCAGTTTCTAGCACTACGCCTCCAGCTACTGAGCGCTCAACAACTCCACCTAAGACAATTTCTGATTCCACTGCGGGTCCGTCTGAGCCAGTACAGCCTCCATCAGATTTAGCAGATGGCTTCATAGGAAGTCCCCTGAAGAAGCAACGTGCGAGTGTATCTGCCGCTGACGAAAATGCTCTTCGACGCCGCATTGCAGAGTCCTCCGGTCGCATAAATGAGGTTCTAGCTGCAGAGGCGAATCAGACAGCCCCCGTGAGTGCCCTTTTTGGAAACAATGGCAAGGCTGCTGAGTCTACAGCTCCCCAAGACGAGGATGAAGAGGAGCTATGAATTGGGCTTGGCAGTTACTTTCCATTCTTTTGCCAGAGGTCTGAATGAATGGGCTCTGGAACGATAGACATTTCTTTTGTTGAAACCACGCGAACATCGGCGCTGGTTCTATGGAGGGACAAACTAAGGCCCGTCTATTTTCTTGCTTTCTACCTCTAACCTTTTTTACGCCGTCATGTCCACACCAGCTACAGGAAGCATCCAGAAGGGAGAGGGAATACATTAGCTTTGCCACCTTTTGGTGACTTGTTCATACGTCAGTTACTTAGGGCGTGTTTTTTCCCAAGAATCCGACACGTTCTTTCTGAAAAATTCAGCCCTTTACTAGTACTTCCATGTAGTCAGTAGTACATAGACTCGACGTCAGGCTTGGCATTAATGCCCCAGTGTACTACAGAGATTTGAATCATTACTACCTACTCCATAAAATACCAATAACAACTTCCCTCCTTACTTGGATATGCTTGTAAAGACTTTTTCACGTCTCCGTCCGGCAATTCCCACATTCTACAGAAAGACCTTTCGGACTCGGCCCGCCATTCTCCACCAAGGCATTCCAACTTCGTCACCGTTTTTCTTACCCACGCGTTTCTCAGGAAAGCAGCTTGCTCAAGATAACCAGAAAGCCCACAATTCGACCGTCACACCCATAATGTCTCTCACACGCTCCTCTGATCCCTTGGTCTGGATCGACTGCGAGGTAAGTTACCCTGCATCGCAATGCTGCATGCTGCAAAGCCGCAACGCGTCGCAAGCACAGAAAAAGACAAGCAACCGCCCAAGCTCATTACTTTATTTCTCTAGATGACCGGTCTCGACGTCGAAGATGACCAAATCCTCCAAATCTGCTGCTTCATCACGGACGCTCAACTCCAAATCCTCGAACCAAACGGCTTCGAGGTTGTCATTCACCACCCCGACTCCACCCTCGACACCATGAACCCATGGTGCATTGAGACGCACGGCCGCACGGGCCTCACGGCAGCTGTCCGGGCCTCGACAACCAGCCCGACCGCTGCTGCCGAATCCCTCCTTGCCTATATCCAGCGTTATGTACCGACCCCGCGCACTGCTCTGTTGGCTGGGAATAGTGTCCACGCTGACAAGGCATTCTTGGTTCGTGGGCCTTATGCGCCTATTATGGAGTACTTGCACTATCGAATTCTGGATGTGAGTACTATCAAAGAGGCGGCGAGACGATGGGGTAGTGATGAGTTGTTGGCATCTGCCCCGCCTAAGCGGGAGGTGCATCTAGCCCGGGATGATATTTTGGAGAGTATTGCGGAGATGAGATATTATCAGGAGAAGCTATTTGGGTGAGAGGTATTACCTACCTGATATGATGTGTTATTTTATTTTCTGCATATGTGTGATACCAATTTGATCTATATCATAAGTACTATATACTACTAGTACAATGTTGATAAAATGTTGGGAGCTTAAGAGGTTAAGATGCCCCGCTATGAATGTTTGGGTTTCTCCCCATTTTATAAAAAACAACATCAAAAACATTACATTTGAAGTTGAAGCTATTCTATGTACCTAATAAATATACGTAAATTAATAATATCAAAATTAGAATCAATTGAATACTAATAGAATAAATTAAGTAACAATTAGTTCAATTGGGAATTAGAGAAACCAAGGAAATGCTAAAAAAAAAAAATGTCTTAAATCGTCCCATGACAACACATGACGCCAACCCCTCTCCTCTTCCCTCAAGTCGGTGAACCTCTTCCCTTTTCTACACCTCCTCTTCCCCCCCAAGCGTCACCATGTCGATCCAAACGGTCTCTTTTTCTCCCTTCACTGACCAGAAGCCGGGCACGTATGTGACTGCCCCTCTATCCTACCAATACTACTTTCTAACATTGTCTCAGCTCTGGTCTCCGCAAGAAAGTCAAGGTCTTCCAGCAGCCCAACTACTCCGAGTCCTTCATCACTAGCATTCTCCTCTCCATTCCAGAGGGCGTTGAGGGCTCCTTCCTCGTCATTGGTGGTGATGGTCGTTACTACAACCCTGAGGTGATCTCCAAGATTGCCAAGATCGGTGCCGCCTACGGTGTCAAGAAGCTCCTGGTGGGCCAGAATGGCATTCTTAGCACACCTGCTGCTAGCAACCTGATCCGTGTCCGCAAGGCCACTGGTGGTATCTTGCTCACTGCTAGTCACAACCCTGGTGGTAGGTTTTGGGCTTCTGTTATCCCCACCTCCATAGGGGAAAGCTGCTAACAATTCACATCAATTAGGTCCCGACAATGACTTCGGTATCAAGTACAACCTGGCCAACGGTGCCCCTGCCCCGGAGACCGTGACCAACAAGATCTTCGAGACCTCCTTGTCCCTGAAATCCTACAACTATGTCGATATCCCCGAGGTTGACACTTCTGTCATCGGCACCAAGGCCTACGGTCCTCTGGAGATTGAGGTTGTCCACTCAACCGCTGACTACGTGACAATGATGAAGGAGATCTTTGACTTCGATCTGATCAAGGAATTCCTGAGCACCCACAAGGATTTCAAGGTTCTCTTTGACGGTATGCACGGTGTGACCGGTCCTTACGGCGTGGACATCTTCGTCAAGGAGCTCGGTCTGCCCGCTAGCAGCACCATGAACTGCGAGCCCAAGCCGGACTTTGGCGGTGGTCACCCTGACCCTAACCTGGTGTATGCCCACGAGCTGGTTGAGGCCGTTGACAAGAACGGTATCCACTTCGGTGCTGCCAGTGACGGTGATGGTGACCGTAACATGATCTACGGTGCCAACAGCTTCGTCTCCCCCGGTGACAGCTTGGCTATTATTGCCCACCACGCTAAGCTGATCCCCTGGTTCAAGAAACAGGGTGTCTACGGTCTTGCCCGCTCCATGCCTACCTCTGGTGCCGTTGACCGCGTCGCCCAGGCTCAGGGTCTCCAGAGCTACGAGGTGCCCACTGGCTGGAAGTTCTTCTGCAACCTGTTTGACAACAAGAAGATCTCCATCTGTGGTGAGGAGAGTTTCGGTACTGGTAGCAACCACATCCGTGAGAAGGATGGTGTCTGGGCTGTTGTTGCCTGGTTGAACATCATCGCCGGTGTTGCCAAGGAGAAGCCTGAGGAGACTCCTAGCATTGGCTCTATCCAGAATGACTTCTGGAAGACCTACGGTCGTACCTTCTTCACCCGGTACGACTATGAGAATGTTGACAGCGCAGGCGCCGACCGCGTCATCAGCACCCTGGCGGATGTTATTGCCCAGAGCAGCCCAATCAGTGCTGCTCCCGCTATTGCTGGACGCAAGATTATTGACGCTGGAAACTTCTCTTACACTGACCTGGACGGCAGTGTCTCCAAGAACCAGGGTCTGTACCTCAAGTTTGACGACGGCAGCCGTATCGTTGTCCGTCTCTCTGGTACCGGCAGCAGTGGCGCTACCATCCGTCTGTACATTGAGCGCTACGAGAGCGACAGCTCCAAGTTTGGTCTCAGTGCTCAGGAGTACCTGCGCGAGAACATCGACATGGCTCTGAAGCTGCTCAAGTTCCAAGTCCATGTTGGTCGTGAGGAGCCTGATGTCAGGACCTAAAGTAGCCCTTGACCTGGTTCTCGGCTACTGTGTCACCCGCTGGATGGGGGTCACAGCTTTTATTCTATGACGTGCGAAGATGATATGATGGATGACCCGCAGAAGCAACTTATTTGATAGAGATAGCAACGGTTCTAGTAATGTGATATTCATTCTGCAGCTTGTCAAATGGTACTAAGCTATTATTCGTCATATGTAGTAGTAATGTGGATATTTATGATAATGGCCCAGTCTCCCTGTCGTTAAAATTGTTCCATTCTGAATTGTAGGTACTATCATCAATCATAATGTCATGCGAGTGCATATCAAATACTCCCGGTATCTAGCTCCGAGAAGAAAAAAAGCATTATATCAGACTTTGACAGACTGATGTTTCAACTTCTTCTCCCACCAGTCTTCCCAATGAACAACCCGTTCTTCTCTTCTTGCCTCCTCAGCAGCAAATACTACCGCATGACTTTGCACCGCCTCCTCCAATGTACACCCAATAAATCTCGCCTGTGCAGTCTGGATATCCAATCCCCCGTTAACCACAGCCTCGACAGCACTGACATACTGCCCAGCAAGTCCAAAATCACCACCACCATGTGACTCCGCCCTCTCAGGCGGTGGTTTCGGCACATCATGCACAACCGTCTTTCCAGTCGCGAAATCATAGATCGAGATAGTCGTACTATCATACTCGATCTCCCCAGTAGTCCCATAAACTCTTCCTCTGCGTACACATTGTTTCTCCGTGGGAGCAATCATATGAAACGAAGCAGTCTTCGCAAGTCGATGTGGTGCAGCGATCTCATCATCCCACTTAAACGTAACAACTTGGTCATCCGCCACGTTATTATCCGCCTCATAAACACACCTGCCGTACCAAGGTCTCGCCGCAATGTCCGCATCCGATTGCACAGTAACATCATAATCCTCAGCTAACTTAGCCAACAATGCCGCCGTCGCACCATCTTGCCCTTTTGTCACATACACATCCTCAATATCCGGAACAACAATATTAACCGGCCACCCTCTATCACCATGTTCTAAATGACGCCCGTATATCTGCATAGCATTATAGGAACACTCAGAAGCAGCAGGACATTCCACACAATTCGTTGCAGTACCTGCATTCACAGGTTTCCTCGCCTTCCGAAACTGAGTTAAGGATCCAAAGGACGAAATACTTCGTGGGAAATGTGATCCCTGTCCCTTAGCCCCCGCATCTTCTAATGAAGTTGGTGAACAAAGTAACCAAAGAATAAAATCGATGTCATGGCATGATTTTGTGAGAAGGGATCCATCTCCGGATGGTGTAGCGCGACGCCAATTTCCACGGACATAACTGTGTGAAAAATGCCACCAGCCCACAGGCTCGGTATGTTCAAGAGAGACTATGTCACCGATAACACGGTCTTCCAGAAGAAGTTTTCGAAGGAGTTTGTTATGTGGACTGTAGCGAAGGACGTGTCCAATTGAGAAGATAGCTGTAGGTGCCGACGCACCTGCATTGGGATGTGTTGGGGGTTGAAGAGTTCGGTAGACAGTTAAACAGTCTTGCAAAGATAGAGCGAGGGGCTTCTCACAAAGGATATGTAGATTTAGAGGGGCGATAGCTTGGATAATCTCGACGTGGGTTTCGTCCAATGTGCAGATGAAGACTCCGTCTACACCAACGGCATCGTCTATGGAATTGGAGCTTGTCGAGACCTTTTTGCGTCGTTCAGTTTCCCAAACTAGCCAGTCGCGCCAATCTGTGAATTCTTGGCCGGGTTTTGGAGCTCCTTTAAGTCCCCAGATATAGTTCTGACCGAACTCGCGTCGCTTGAAGGGATATGGCTCTGCGACGGCGTGGATTGTACCTGGCGTGGTTCTGGTTACGGCACGGGCGTAGGCATTTCCTCTGGAGCCAGCTCCTATGACCAGGTAACGAGTTGGTCTTTTTGTTTCCATGAAGGGGCGGATGGGGATGTCTGCGCCTGGTGGAGGGAGCTGTGGTTCTTTCATTTTGGCAGTTTGAGGAGGGAAAAGTTGGTGAATATCTAGCATTTATGTAGAAGCAAGAGAATTTGAGAGGTCATTTATTAAAGCTTCCAAGAGTTATAAATGAGACTCGAGGTTGCAGTTGCAGTCAAAGAAGTCGTAAATGCGGGGGTTATCAGCAAGATCAAGTGAGCGGTGATTGGCTCCCGCAGTAGACATCGTAAACAATACGAGGATAAATGCATGAGGCCGTTGGACTTTTGAATCGATTTTATTAAGAGATCTAGTACTATTCTCTTGAGAATTATCATGTTTTCCTCGGGGTAGATTGGAGGAGCTTGTCTAATAAAAGATGGCGTTGTAGGTCAGAACAAGATTAAAGTAGAGACCAAATACCCCACTTTCAGTGTATAAGATGAGACAAACTTGAAGGCCTTATTAATGTTGTTTCATATATATTGAACATATGAAAGATAATATCTCGGAGACGGAGTTTTTGAGTCCGAGTCGCAGTTTCTAGTCTGTAAAGACTTGAGTTGATCTAAAAGAGGCTGAGCTATTGAATAGTGAGACCGCGAGATAGGCAAAAAGAAGCAAATATGAAGTTTCAAGTCGATTCTATAAAGCCCAAAGTAATACTTCAGACCCTTGAAATACGCACACGAGCATCATTTTTGTCAAATTAGAGAGGTGATACTCAGTCATATTAGGCCTATATAGATAGATAGTGGATCATTTCCCTCTACCAGTTAAATCTTGAAGTACAGCGCTCAGCCTCGCCCCCGGTCCCCAAGGGCGGCGGCCTTAATCAGCCGCACGCGTCGATGCCCAGGTGCCCAAGGGTCCGAGTAATAGACGGCTGTGTCTGGGTCATGACTCGGATTCCAGTGGCGCTGTTCTAACAAAAGGTCACGTTTTAGGACATAGGACGATTATATTCCTCATCTTTCATCCAGATCTCTCTTCCTTCACCTATCCAAGTCCTTTTCCATTCTTCTTAACATTTACCTCTATTAGCTATCTTCACACCCCCGTTGATTCAGTGAACTTACACTATCACACATCAGTTCCCCGCACAAATCCAAGATGGCCAGTGCCAGTATTCGTCGAAAGCTCGTCATCGTCGGCGACGGCGCCTGCGGCAAAACCTGTCTTCTCATCGTATTCTCCAAAGGCACCTTCCCAGAGACCTACGTTCCCACCGTATTCGAAAACTACGTGACCGACGTGCAAATCGATAACAATACCGTCGAGCTTGCGTTATGGGATACAGCGGGACAAGAAGATTACGATCGTCTCCGCCCACTATCATACCCCGACTCACATGTTATCCTCATTTGTTTCTCCATCGACTCGCCTGATTCGTTGGAAAACGTTCAGGAAAAGTGGATTCAAGAGGTTACCCACTTCTGTCATGGCATGCCCATTATCCTTGTGGGTTGTAAGAAGGATTTGCGTCAGGACCCGGGCACGATTCAGGCGTTGCGGAAAATTTCCCAGAGTCCTGTTACGAGTGAACAGGGTGTGAATGTTGCTAGGAAGATTGGGGCTTATAAGTACTTTGAGTGCTCTGCTCGTTCGGGTGAGGGTGTGAGAGGGGTCTTTGAGGCTGCTACTCGTGCTGCCTTGACGGTGAATAGCAGACCTAATAAGCTCAGGGGTAAAAAGCGCTGCACGTGCTTGATTCTATAATATTTTACCAGTCGGACTCGTGCGGAGGATCAAGCAGCAGTTGAGATTGAGGAAAGCTGGGGAGGTACATACCCAAGGAACATATCTCGTTCATCGGCCCCGGGGGCAGCTCTCGTTCATGTCATTTTTTTTCATAATACTCCTCTTTGTTACTTACTTATTTTTTGATCTATGCATACGTTTGCCGGTGACTCGGATTTTCATCTAACTTAGTCTAGAGGCTGAGCATTTGAAGAGACAATCTACGTCTAAAATACAGTTTTTTTCTTGTGTCTTGCTCAATAGTTGTTACTAGTAGTACCTAGGTAGCATATGTGTCGAAGATTATTCATGGAACGTGGGCAAGGAAAGGAATATGGGAGTCAGATGAACAGGCGAAGAGACAAGGCCCGGGCTAGACTTCAAGTTAGGCTTCAACTTTCTAAGAGAACAACATTTACTCAAGAGTGCTTGCACATGTGTACTAAAAGCTATATGTTGTCAAAATTCTGATCTGCATAGAGTCCAGATGTCCCAATGTCAACTGGTGGAGAGGAATCAGATGAATACTAGTAGTATTTGGGTAATACTATTGCCAGTGCTTATGATAATAAAATCATGAATCAATCAATAGTACTCCAGGGCTATCGAAAGACGATTCCTGTGAACTAAACACCTGTACATATGTATATGCATTGTATCTTTTCTCCAGATGCCTGCCATATGCAGTGTCTACTTTCTAAATGACTTCAAATGCCATTGAAATGTTCTATATACTGTGGGTGGATAGTGGATCTATTGTATCTTGATTGGCTATTCAATTCCAGAAGCTCCATTAGCCCTGCAAGCCACTATTACTAGTATTACTAGTATTTTCAGCCATGTTGAGGACATGGGGGAAAATTCCCTTGTATGCAGGTGGATTTGTTATAGACTCATAGGAACTCCTCAATTTTTAATTATTTCAGCTGGTGGAGAAACACTAGTAGCTACTATGTAGTACTAGCAGATTCTCAATCCTAGCAGCTAGCTTTAAGTACCTCCACAAGACAACACTATAGACGAGTATATCGTGATGTGGCGTGCAATTGCAAAGCGGTATTTTAATTATGCGACTAATTATTAGTACAAACATTCAAATGTTCCACATCAGGCGAAATCGGAAACACAATCCCGCAGCCTTGTAACTTGTTAAGTACTTTTGGGGGTTACATGATGGTTTATGCGGCCAACACGTGGGGGCTGGTTGCCCCACCTACATTTTTTTCTTTGCTTTTTCCCTTTGATGTTTCTACAAAATAAAGTACAACTACAAGAGCACATATAATTTTGTCTCATGAGCAAGAAAGTGTATATGACTAGCTTGGTAGACTGTCTAGATTACATCACGCAAGAAGGAAAGGCGACCAGGGGACCAGCCAGTCCAATACCACTTCTCATCCAAGAGACACGCTCAAAGAGAGACACTGCCACCAACAAAAAAGCCAGATCATAGATCAAGACATTTAAGCCTCACCAGCGTTGATGATGGTGGGCTTGACAGCAGAGCGAACGGCACCGGAGGAGGAGCCGAGGGCCTCAATCTCCTTGACAACGGCCATGGACTCAGCATCAGCAACCTCGCCGAAGACGACGTGCTTACCATCGAGCCAAGAGGTCACAACGGTGGTGATGAAGAACTGGGAGCCGTTGCTAAAAAAGAAAAAATACATGTTAGAATCAAGTTTTTTTTTCGAAGCGGGGTCGGTGGATCTGAGCGCAACCAGCGAAAGTGACTTACGTGTTAGGGCCGGCGTTGGCCATGGAGAGCAGACCGGGGCGGGTGTGCTTGTGGATGAAGTTCTCATCAGGGAACTTCTCGCCGTAGATGGAGCGACCACCGGTACCCTGTAGAAATCAATTTAGTTAAATTTAATTCAATCGAAGAGTCGAGAAAAAAAAGCAGGTTCAGCTGAACTGAGAAAGTCTGGACAACTTTGAACGCTGCATCGACTGTGTGCAAAGAAAACAGGAATAGAAAGACTCACGTTGTGACGGGTGAAGTCACCACCCTGAAGCATGAACTGGGGGATGATGCGGTGGAAGCCGGAGCCCTTGTAGCCCTGGCCCTCGGGGAGCTTGCAGAGCTCACGGAAGTTCTTGGCAGTCTTGGGGACATCACCCTCGTAGAGAGTGAAGTTGATACGGCCAACCTTGGCTAAAGAAGATGTTAGAATGAATTGTTGATGAAATGAATCGCTTGATAATGACCAATGTCTTTGAGATGAAGGTGGAGGGGAACCTCAATCGGGGAATGGATAGAGGGCAGATCCTGAATGTGCCCCTCCAAAGCTGCATTGGGATAGAAAGAAAGAAATCACTTACGGGTGGAGGAGCCCACAGGGGCGTACTGAACTTCGAAGAAGGCCTTGGTGTTTCCGGACATGGCTGCGGTTGTGGATGAGAATGATCGAGTTGCAGGGTGGAAAGAGCAATTGAGAGAAGAGAAGAAGGAGGGTGGGGTTGACTTGAGGCGGCAAAACATGGTGAGGGGCAGCGCGGAGCGGGATAACTCGGATACCGGGCTGCAATGGGGTTAGCTTATGCGGTGCACGAGAGAGACTAAGAGCGCAGGTCTAATATTTAGATGCCTCAGGCGTCCAAGGATCCAGCTTGTTCAAACATGCAACGCTGTTCACAAGAGTCATAGAGCAGGGGTATGCGGTGTAAAGGAACGGATGGATAGAATTGGGCTTTCCTATCCCTTCCACACAGGTAATACTTACATATTCTAGATAGAGATGATGGGGATTGCGGAGAATAGAGACTATAGGGGAAAAAAATGCAGCTCGGCGTTGAAAAGCCGCTGGAGCTCTATGCTTAGTCATTCCGGGAAGCCCCTTGTTCCGGGGAAGCTAGGCTATTTCCATAACATTGAAGATAGTACGGAGTAAGGAGTACATATAGGTATGAGACTTTATTCCAGGATTCAGATCTTCAAGTTGGATCTGACATTATGTGTACAATAATTGTAAGTGGTGGAAAAGCTTGGAAGTAAATATCGAGATATTGAAATTCTAATTCATGTGCATAATGCAGAACCCGGCTCTATCCAGGGCCGAAACAGCCAATATTGAAAGTATAGAAAGGGAGATCGAAAAAAAGAAGAAAGGCATAAAAGAATAGGGACAGAAGAATGGAAAATTATAGATCCGAAGATCAAATAGAATACAAGAACAGAAATATAACAATCCAATGAAACCGAACACTAGCTCGAACAAGCTGAAAACAGAAGAGAAAGAATAGAACCATAAATGCCACGCGTACCAGGACATCATTTCGACATTGTCGGCTTGTTTGCCACAGATGAGAGTCGCTCAAAAGCCAGAGAAAGGATGAAAAATCGAAAAGGTATGGAGAGAAGAAGTAGCTAGAAGGGGTAGAAGAAGAAGAAGAAGAAGAAGAAGAAGAAGAAGAAGAAGGAAAGAAAAGAAGACAAATTCAACAGAAGTGTGACAGGTGATGATGGAATCACCTACGTATGTGAAAATACAACAAATCATGTCGAGAAGAAATCAAATGAGAAAGAAATAAAGTCATCACCGGAAATCATCGTCATCTGCTTGTGTCAACAACTCCAGGCGCTGCACTAGCTCCTTGGTCTGACGAGCAATTTCAAACGCAAGTGGAGGCAACTGGTTGGTCACCTCACGCAGTTGCTCAGGACCCTCAGCGTGGTGGCCTTCGGAAACAGCATTCATGAGCCGGCCACGACATTCATCTAGAGAGTGGATAACGGGCTCAGACTGCTCGCGCAGAGAGGCATCACCGCTACGCTCGTGAATCAGATGCTCTGTGGCGGATACCACGTTTGAAACAACGTCTCCGATTGCGGAGACGTGAGTCTCGACGCTGCTGAGTTCCTGCTCAGCTCTGATACTGGCCACCAGAGCCTGGATGGACTGGACCATGCCATCAGTTTGGTCCTCAACGTATAGTTTAAGATCGAGGACCTCGTGATCCTCTTGGGGAGCCCCATAGCCATAGCCATTGGTGTAATCGTTCTGCATGGCAGGGTGGTCATGGTCCGGAGGGCTCAGTTCGCTGTATTCGGAGTGGTTGCTGTACCGCCTTTGACTGGCAGACGCGCTGAGATAGTCAGGGAACTTCTCCTGCGACATGTCCTCTTCAACGTCGTCGTCCAGATCATCCGCTGGGGAGGCCTGGATTTTGACCACGCGAATCAGCTCGACGACAGCAGTGCACAGATGAGAGGCGGCAGCATCGAGCAAGGAAACAGGGGACAGGCCACTGGAATTGGCAAAGTTGCGGGCTGCAGTAATCATGTTATTGGCAGTGGCAGACACTCTGGTCTTGGTCTTGATGCGGAGAGTAGCCGTGCCATCAACCGGAGGAGGAGCCTGATCCACATCGATGACCATACAGCGAACGGCGAGAATGACAGTCTTGATGTGTTGTGACACATCCTGTGCATCGCCAAACCGAGCGACACGGAGAAGCTCATCAATGGACATTTGGAACTTGGTGACATGGATATCCTTAACCACGCCGTCTGTCTGCACAAGCTCATGCTCCTTAGCAATGATGCTCGCATCAGGATGAACATCAGAGAAGCCGCCGGAAGAAGTACGGAGATGGCGCAGCTGTGCCTTTGCCTTCGCGTAACGATTCTTCCATTCATCGACTTCACTCTCGAGTTTCTGAACATCACTCGACAGCCGTTCTTCACGCTCCCAGTTGGAATGACTCTCGGAAGTCAAAGTCTTCATCTCCAAGAGGAACTCAGATGCCTCTCGCCGGACCTCTGCAGTGACAGACTGCTGCTGTCGCAGCTCGCCTTGAAGGCTCTGGTGCTTCACCTCCAAATCAGCGAACCGCGCTGCCAAATCTGCATCGCCGGAAATCTGGGAAGCTTCTTCAATTTGAGAACGAAGGTCCCGCTCCATGCTTTCCTGCTCTGTCCGGACTCGATCCAGCTCAAGCTGAAGGGAACTATTAAGATCCTCAGCCTGAGACACCTTGATCTCGAGATCCTGGCGAAGATCATCCCACTCCTGACGTTCATTTTGGCTGACCTATGGAAGATGTTAGAGATCGAACCCAAGTATAATAATATTGACGGCGAAAACACCTACCGCGGATTGGCCCTCGTCCTGCGACCGAGACAGCTCCTCATCTTTCGAGCGAACCATTTCTTCCAGTTTTTCCACCTTTTCTTGCAAAGCCGACACTTGCGCTTGACTATCCGTCAACAATTTCCGTTCTCCATCACTCAGCGTCATGGTGGTGCCTCGTCTGCTCAATACCGCGTCAAGCGCAAAAGCATCACTTCGGGCATCCTCGTCATCATCTCCACCCATATCATCACTGTCTTCCACCATCGTGCTTTTGTTTGGGACCATGGTATTACTCTGGAAAGACCGAGGTAAAGGACCATCTCCATTCATTCCCGGGGGCGGGCCCCCAAGAGAGCCCTGCCGAGGTGGGAATGGACTGGGCGGACCACCAGAGGGATAACCTCGACCTGGGCCGCGACCAGGGGGTCCACGAGATCGTGAGCGACGAGCACCGGGGGGCATATTCGGAGGAGGCCGACCGCGGCCCGTGAACTGAGGGAAACGGCGCTCCAGCTCACAGAAGACATCGGTCGCCAGGTCCCGGAAGCGCTGATGCTGGAGGCTAGCGAGCTTCTGACGGGCAGAGTTACGCTTTTCGTGGAAATCATCGCGAGGGGGCAGGAAAGGTGGCGCATCAGGGCGAGGTGGGCGACCAGGGGCCGAGGACGCTTGTTGACGACGAATAAGCTCATCGTATACATCGGTACTGAGTTCGTGAAATTGAGTAGGCGAGAGTCGTAGGAGTTTATCGCGGGCTTTAGCCGATCGGCCGTTTATTCGGTCCTCGCGATATGTAGCACTGAGGAATCGTTTCAGGGTCACATAATGTTGATGCAATATTTCCTCCATCTGTCGACGTCGTCGGCCTCCATCGCGCTGGTCGTCACCCAGTGTCCCGACACTGGATCTGGCACCCCCGACAGAACTCGGTGGAGATGGGTTTCCGCTGCCTGGCAGACTACCCGGTAATGGCAATGGCAGGCTGCTGGCGGGGCTCAGGGGAGCACTGGGAATACCGGAGGTCGGAGGAGTGGCTAGATTACCGCGAGTAGAAAAGGTCGGCGAAAAGGGCGGGTCCGACTTCTGGTATTGATTGATGCCGGACCAGTCGCTGCCATCGACGGAGACAGGCGACATGGCTCCCGAATGGACATTCACATTCATATCAAGATCAAAGGGAGCAGTCGTCGAGTCCTTCCATGTATCAATATTCGAATCTTCCGGAGGTTTCGGCTGGGGATTCGGGGAACTGGGGAGTTGACGAGGTCGCCAGGAACATCCGCGTCGTCACCACACAAGGACCCAGTTTTATTTTCCTCCACAGATCTGTAAGTCTGAAACGAAGGGGAGGCGCCTAATAGAAAAGAAGAAGAGAACCCAAGCCACCAGGGGGGGTTGGAATTTCCAAAGGGAGTGTGTATGTTTAGTCCGAAAGAGTGAAGGACATGGAAGGGGAAAAATATGAAAGGGGAAAGAAGTGCCAGGTGCTAATGTTATTTGGTTGACTCCGGAGTTCCCTTACGGGGGACCCGCTGGTCCTTACGCCCAGGAACCATTGCATGCACAAATGGATTTTGCAATTTCTTGTTTTTTTAGTGAAATTTCTTGGATCTATAGGATTTATTTGGGTCTTGAATTGTTTTTATTTTATATATCTAATCACTACGTTTTGACCTATATTCTGCATTTGATAGAGTTCCAAGGTTTTTTAGGGGGGGATTATCAAGAATGAACTCGTGCTAAAAAGGACATTGTTCAATGACCTGTCAGAAGGGAAGAGAAACGAAGTAAAAAAGTAATAAAAAAAATCACAGTACTAAAATACTACAGTAAAATAAACCCGAGTCCAAGGCTTCTATAGGACCTAAGCCACAGGGGCTGAAATAACATCCGCGGGGGGCCGGTGCGTCTCTGTAAAAATCTAGAGAAATTATCAGAAAATGATCTGATATGAAACTGAAGTCTATAATTGGGTGATATACATCATCATGGGGAAGATATCAAGATATATCGAATCCTCGAAACAAAAATACTATAAGCATCTGCAGAGGTGCATATGCATTAAGGGGATAAGCCCTAAACTCGACGCCATTCAGGAGACAATCTAGACCCTTTTAGCCCCTGTGGCTAGTACAGGTCATAATACAATACGAATACGCTTGAATCCGACAATGGCAGTGATCAACACTGGCACTGATATCAGACAATTTTAGAAATAGAAGAATATCTAGGATGAAAAAAGAAGTTCAGTTGACAGTTCACGTTCTACAGTCTAAATTCTATTATAATCTACAGTTTACAAGCACAAGCAAATTGAACTGAAAAAGAATACAGCATTCATGGTTCTGTGGGACCAGCATATCTATCCAGATGAAAAAAAAGGGAAAAAAGGACTTTAGTACAGCAAGTAAAAACGGAGCATAGCTCGTAGCCGCTAGTAGCGGGTTTGTTAGTTTGAGCCTTTAAAGGGATTCAGAAATAACCCGAAAGGCATCATTTGAGTTCCCAGCAGAAGGTATCATCACTGGTGTGGTCCCAGTATACTGTGATCTCCACGCCAAGAAAAAGCCAAAAGAAACGGCGCCTGTCATCATATAGGGATCGTAAGATTCAATGTGAAATCGGATACTCGAGCGGGCGGGCTCATCCAAATCTACATCGAAGATGGTATCGAAGTTTTCGGAAGATGGAAATATTAGGTACCAAGACTCGTTTCCGCAGGACAGGAAACTGAGTAGGCGTCATGGCTTATCGGGTGCTCATGGCGAGACCACGAGTAGCCTTGACGGCAGCCGAAACCGGAGTGGACGACCGAGTAGGGGCCGCACTGCGGTTATGGGCCATGTGAGCCTTGACAAGGTGGCCGGCGGCAAGAGCAGCGCAAAGACTCAGCTCCCCAGCGAGAACTGAGGCAGCGATGATGCGAGACAATTGGCGAGCATTCTCGCCAGGGGTAGTGGGGTGGGATCCGCGGACGCCAAGCATCTCCAACATCGCTCCTTGCGCCTCCAGAATAGTACCACCACCAATAGTACCAACCTCAATGCAGGGCATCGAAACGGCGATTTGAAGGTCACCGTTGTTGCTAGAGAAATGATTGTTAGTCCCGTTGATTCAAGGGGGAGGAAAGAAGGTATGGTGGGGGATTCATATCTAGAACTTACTTCTTCATGGTGGTAATACAACTGCTGCTCTCGACAACCTGAGCAGGATCTTGACCAGTAGCAAGGAAAATGGCAGCAACGATGTTAGAGGCATGGGCATTGAAACCACCCAGAGCACCGGCCATTGCACTTCCAATCAAGTTCTTGCTGATGTTCAGTTCAACCAAAGCAGCGACGTCACTCTTGAGCACACTCTTGACAACATCACCAGGGATGATGGCCTCGGCAACGACTGACTTACCACGACCATCGGTCCAGTTGATGGCAGCGGACTTCTTGTCAGTACAGAAGTTACCAGAGAGAGAGATAATGGACATGTCATCGAAGCCACACTCCTTAGACATGACATCAAGGGCCTTCTCACAACCCTTGGAGATCATGTTCATACCCATAGCATCACCGGTGGTGGTCTTGAAACGGATGTAAAGGTACGTTCCAGCAAGTGCGGTCTTGAGATTTTGGAGACGAGCAAAACGACTGGTCGAGTTGAACGCAGAGAAGATAATGCTTTGACCCTCGGGGGAGTCAATCCAAACCTTAGCAGCGGCAGCCCGAGCCAAAGTCGGGAAGCTGACACAAGGACCACGAGTCATACCATCACCGGTCAGAACAGTCACAGCACCACCACCAGCGTTGATGGCCTTGGAACCACGGCTGGTACTGGCGACCAACACACCTTCGGTAGTAGCCATGGGGATGAAGTAGTTCTGGCCATCGATCTTGATAGGACCAGCAACACCAAGAGGGAGGGGCAGGTAACCAATAACATTCTCACAGCAGGCGCCGTGAACCAGACCGTAGTTGTAGTGCTTGTAGGGAAGCTTGGAGTGCTCCAATGATGAGGTAGTGTCAGCGGTAGCAGGGGTGCGAGAAACAACAGATCGGCGAATCTTAACAGCACGAGTGAAGGCATCCACTCGGCTCATCAAGTTCTCGTCTTCCATAGTCTTCTCAAGAGCATATCCAGGGAGCTTTCCACGAAGGGACAATTCAACTAGTTCCTCATCAGTGAGGTGGGGGGGCGCGCTTCTCCTTCAGCATCAGCTCACACTCATCAGGAGAGCGAGTGGACTCCTGCTCGTTGGGCTTAAACTTGGGGTACACCTTAGGGGGGGAGCTCCTTAGGAGCAACAGCAACAGGCTCGGGCTCCTTGATGCTCCACCGGGCAGCATTGAACAGATATCCGTTGAGAATGATACTAAGCGTCAAGGCAGCAATAATCCACTTGCTGATGAAGGGGTCCTCAACGCTCTTGAGCAGACTCTCGAGAACCTTGCCACCAACAGCCTCAAGAAGCTGATCAGTGTATTCGATGTCAAAGCCAGGGGCATCAGCACCTGCGTAGTGAACAGAGGGGTACTCGAGCTTGTACTTGATAGGTGGGATGATAGTAACCAGGGTCTCTTGCATCTGACTCTTGGCAGTCACGTAAATGGCGTCCAATCCATTCTCAGCGACCTTGAAGGGGTCAATGGGAGTGGGGGCCATGAAGTTAGAGAGACGAGAGATAAGAGCACCGTTGCCAGTGTTACGGAAAGGAATAGCGGACAGGTTAACCACATTGATCAGGATAAGACCGCCAACCATGAGGATCTTGAAGCGACGGACATTGCTGGACTTGATCTTGCGGCCAAAGATGCTAGTATCACCATCGACACTCTCAGATCCGACGTTAGGCCAGTCGTTGCTTGATGCGACGTTCTCAGCAACACTGTGAGTAATGCCATCCTCTTCCAGAGCCTTGCGCAGAGCGACGTGGCGGCGAATGCGGGTGATCTCAAGCTTGATGCAGAGGATAGTGGTGTAGAAGGTGAACAGCAGAACACAGTCGAAGAAAAGGATCCAAGCCGCGAGGAAGCAGAATTGCTGAAGACCGCCCTGAACACCAGAAGCAGCACCCAAGGCCAACAAACCAATCTCAATGCAGTAATGCTGGATAATCTCGAAACCTTGCTGCTTGATAGCAGTTGCAATGGAATCTTGAATGGAACCAGAAGTGCTGGAACTCAGAGGTCGGGGAGCCGCACCAGGACGAGGACGGCGGCCCTCAACCGAAGCATTGAGAACAGCCCGAGTGAACATGATCGGCTTCTCAAATCCAATAGTCACAACCAAGAAGGGAAGACCCTCAGAGAGCAGCAGAAGATTGATCTGCACGCCAAGCTTGGTGGTCACCAAAAGACCAAAGAGGAAAGCAAAGGAACCAGAGAACAAGACTGTCGCAGCCAGCCAGAAGTTTGAGCCCAGACGTCTCATCGAGAAGAAGAGCGACACAAAGCTCAGGTGCATCGAGATGTACCCGAGGGTCATAATAACAATGTCAATGGTCTCAGCATGCTTGATCAAGTCCACAAAAGAGCTCCATGCATCAGTCAGCCACAGTTTGAAGGCAGTACGGGATCCCGCAGCGCCACGAGCAGCTCTCATGATCCATTTCTTCGATTCGATCTCCTCTCCGTCGCTGGAGGGGTCGGGGATCTCCTGGACGGCCTTGAGAAGATCCGATACCTGCTCAAATGGCGAGGTGTAGGCGAGGGCAGAATCGTAAGAGAAGGGCGAGAAAAGGTTGGGAGTATACGGGACAGGGAAGGCAGAGACGTTGGCCGGGATTGGGACGCCGTCAGCGCCTGGGGCAGTAGAGGCAGATTTGGAGCTAGAGTCCGGGAAAATCAGGGTAGTCAGGGCCAGGTGGTTCACAGTTGACTGCTCAACGTCCTAATTGAGTACTATGTTAGCCATTGACCCACTATGCAAGGTTGATTAAGGAAGGGGGTGGGGAAGGGAAAAAAAGGCTCACCGCCGAATCAGTCCAGATATCCCCCGTCTGCCACTTCCATGCGGTAGACTCGCCTAATCGTAGACTTCGACTTCCTTGAAGCAAAGCTTCCACATCCACTTGTCCGGCAACATCCCGGGGGTTCTTGGTATCCAAAAGACTACCTTCCAGCAGACCCACGTAGGTCGTACTAGCCAGTAAAGCAATCACAACAATTGTGTGAATAGGGTGTACACAGGCTCGGCGCGAGATGGCCTGTAGTCCAGAAGTAACCTGGCGACGGATCCAGCTCGGTTCGACATCCTGGGATTCCTCCTGGAGCGCAATCGGTTGGAGATGAGGGAGGTCGCCATGTTGACAACCTTGGTGGGAGCGGTGTAGAGACGACTGTTGAAGACGCTGAGGGAAAGATTTAAACCGGTCCTCAAGGACCAATTCCTGAGAGAATTTCCGCCGTGTTTAAATGCCTTTCGGCCAGAACCGAAGAACGATGGGAGTTTCAGAGCTCGAAAGTCTCGTGCCGCATATATTCCCACGGGACGAGTGTTGGAATAACTGTTGCTATAGGAAATTTTCTAGTTAGCGGCATATCATTAAGGATATAGAAATTGCGCGAACCAATTGCAAAATAAAAAGAGAACACAGCGGTCCTCTCACGGGGAATCGCGGTGTATGGAGAAGAAGCACGGGACCCCCTGAAGGCTGCAAAATAATTGAGTCCCGAGTCCGCGCCGATGGAATTAAGTAATGCCGATAAACGGGGGTCGCCAAGCCACTTCAGTGGGGGATTCCAAGTTTTGACAGGGGAGAGGAAAAAAAAAAAAAAAAAAAAAAAATTTAAATCAGATAATTTCAGAAGATGATTTAATTTAAAATGTTCCAAATGATATAAGAGAGAGAAAAAGATTCTCAAAATCAGAGAGAAGAGAATCTCACGCTGACAACTTCCAAAATTTGGGGAAAAAGGAAACAATGAAAAATAAAGAACAATAGTAAGACTCGGAGCCCGACTTTCATGGACAATACTTACTGGGAAACCATGTGGATTTCCTTTTTTTTTAACTTCTTCGTACTTGCTAAATAGTTGGTTATCTTTTTATATGATGGTTCTTCACCCCCAGCTTTTTTGTTTTTGGCCCTTTCATCTCATCTTTTCGCCCTTATATCTATTTATTTTTGGTACTGTGCACTTGGGGTTCAATCTGATGATGATTTAGGGTGGCAAACACCCTCCAGGGTTCATCGTACACGAGAGTACAGAATAAAAGCTGTGAGAATAGTTGTTTTTGGGCTCCTAGTATGAGATACCACTATACTACGTATTTCCATCCAATCAATACTATCGCGCCACCTTAGTCTGCAAGGCTTGTGCAAGTGCAATGGAATTTGCCGATCTTGTCACCGGAATGAATTGGTTTACTTCGGATGCCGTATCATGCAGATTCATGCTCAGGTGTAACTGATTGTATTTTGTCCATAGGGAAGCCACTATCAAGCACGTTCCATGCTGCACCTTCATACAATATAGCCCACCATAATACGATTAAACTCCACTGTCGGCGTCCGGTCTGATGTTCAGCTGTATGTATTACATACTGCAAAGAAGCACAAACAATAGAAATCTGATCTTGTGAGTGGGCAAGTCGGCCCCCGAGCGCCGATTAGTCGATCTGCAGCAAGGTTCCACTCGCTTGAGTATCCAGGGTTGCCCACCATTCTCGTATCTCACTTGAAGTAACATTGTCAAGACATCCGCCTTTTCGGATTATCTCCATATCCACGTCATCTAGAGCTTCGATCGGAAACCATGAGGGGAAAAATAATAATTCTCGCAAGAATGCCCCTTTCCGAGAATCGCCGGTCTGCGGTTTAGCGACCCTGTTTCTGGTCGACACGCCAGGTGGAATCCACCCGGTGGAGCGAACGGAGAAATCTGATAAAAATCAGATAACTCAAGTCAAATCATGAGCCTTTCTCTGTGCCGGCAGCCCCGCGGTCTCTATCCACTCATCCGGAATTGGATCTCTAACCGAGCTCGCCAAGGAGAAATTGAGCAGAAAAAATCAAGATAAGATGGATATCCGACGACGGAGAGAACCGAGTGTTGGGCCTTCAAGCTGGAGATGCCCTCGCATGGACCAGGCTCCACTTTGATTCGATTTGAATGACAAACGGAATCAACAATCTGACGAAAAGATCGAGGTCGGTGTCAATTTCGGTGTCTATGTCGGTACCGTTCATCCCGTATGGATTGGCGAGAGCTGAACAAATTCTACTGTCATCGTGCATCGGTCTAGACTGATGATGATAAACATCTAAGAAGTCTAGATGATCGCGGGTAAATTTGATCATGCGCGATGACAAGTGGCGCTTGGTGATATCTTCAATGATAACAACTACTGTGGACAAGAGTTCATTTGCTTGACTAGAAAAATCGATATAATTGACTATTGTAGGTGGAACTAGCGAGTCTAACCTACCAAGCCTTACGGAGTATTCATACCGAGGTATGGATACAGCTTGAAACACCTGTCAGGTGGAGACCACTTCTACCTTACAGCCTGATCTTGCAGAGTTTGATGGCGTCAGGCTGCATACAGTGCATATGAATTCTTTGACAGCGCCTTTACTACGTTTTAAGGTTGCCACCTGGGCACCTAAAGTTAAAGCGTGTCACTGTGTTATGCAAGGTGATTAGACATGACAGGCGATGATGAGTGCCCAGATGATTTTACCAGTTGACATACATATCACTATCTACTAGAGGATGCCCACGTGTATATGTGAGCACTTGAGTACTTTTGACATGCATGATTAGTAGAAAATAGAAATGAGATAAATGTGAATCTTGGAACGGCGTTACGATATAAAACCTCCAAGGTTAAAGAAATGAAGACTCCGAGTCAAATAGAACAGCCTGAGCCTTCAAATGTTACACTATCGGGACCATTCAAGTTTGAAAGACTGCTCAAGTAGTAGTACTACATATGTAGAACTTCCAGGGCTTATTCCAACTTGAATTTGAACTTGACAATTTTCTTCAAGTTCCAACATTTGAAGGTTATTACTAGGTATGCACACTTCAACTTCAATTTCACGGTGCTATGTATCAACCCATCCATCAAAACGCATTCACTCCAGTGTTGGTCCTGCCAAGTACTGCTAGTGATTGATAGTACTTGGTGTTTTCACTTTTGACACACACTTCCAGGGCCCTATATGATAGACCCAGGCCCCGGGAGTGATGGCTATACTTAGATACCTAGGTAGAGTACCGTGAGTCCTGTGAATATGGTGTCATAAGGACTAGCAGTGTACAAAGACCAAAATTTGCCACTCGATGACTTCTGAAATCATTTTAAGTCACATGCATGATCTAGTTTTCATGATCTTGAAACCTTTCGGACCCCCAGTTGGGGCTTTCCGTTACTACTCACATCTGACAGCGGTCCTGAAAGTTATCGGGGGCTCTTTTCTTGGGTCGACAACAACCTTGAAAAACAGAGTGAGCCACTAGAATTGTAAGATTCGTGGTCTCAGACCGCATAGTATAGGACGTCACCTGAATGAGACTTTTTATTGGGAACCTGGGATTGCTGGGGGCGAGCAAAGATCATCCGAGTCCGCACATCAGCTTGTATATAACACAAGGGAACAGCCATTTGGACAAGTGAGTCACAAAAAGAAATCCTTGAAGTGCTCGGTCTCAGAGCTGCATGCGATGGGCCTATTTGGACTTGGTACAACTTGGATCAGTCATAATGATGGGATCGATGAAATGGACGATAGTGCGTTTGCTAAGCACGTTCCTATCCGGGTTAGTACATGATCGTGTATGACAGCCTGGGACTCGGAGACGTGCAGAACTGAGTGATTGATGACAACATCTAAATATTTCATTTATCAAATATTCAGTTGAGTCAGGCAGTATGATTGGGCATCTGCGGAGTGTCTCTGTAGATCTCATACCAGACTGCTGCAGAATATGATGAGACGGGAGCTAAATGGACAAGGCGCTTAGAGAGGCTCGCCCAGCAAAATCGTCCAATCACTGGTCCTCTTGAGCCTCGAAGACTGCAGACTTGTCACACTTGCATATTGAATCCTCCGGAAATTTCTGCAAGGCTAATTTAAGTCTAGAAGCGCCAGGAGTATGAGTCCAAGTTTGGCATTCGTCTCAGACATAAAAATATCCATTCACTACTACCCGAGAATGACAACCCCCACCTCTTGGTCCCTTTGCCAACATTTGAATCATTTTCACCCAACCAATCCCCAGATCTTCTCTCCTTCAATATCTCTTGGAGCTGAGCTTGAATGACCCGTCGGGTGACAGATTTAGATTGTTTCAACAGTGGCGTGGTGTATTCACCTTTGTTTAGGATCGCTCTAATTAGGCGCGATGCTGGGCTCTTGTCATGTCGAGAACTCTTATATCTGCAACAGCGTGCCTTTGATCGCAATATTTGAGTTGCTTTTGTATTCACTGACAGGCTGGATCTATTATAGACTGTGGCTGTGAATATAGAACTTGAAACTATTTTCAAAGCCCTTCAAGCTTGAATCTCTTTGTTGCCTGCATATCAGCATGGTTCGGAGTGAATGTATGCGACCCACCCTTCCCCATTGTGACCTTGTTTATTCAATCTCTTGCTGCATACTATAAAAGCCAATAAATCTCCAACTTATTTCATCTTGTCGATCCTGATCGATCGCTTTCTTTCTACACTCCTTTTTCCAACACCTCTTCCTCGAAATCGTGCATCGCTGGTCGGTAACTTGCACCATTCTCCCAATACTGGGTCTTCCAATTCTTTCATACCCTTCTTGAAGAAGATTTTTCTCAATCATTAAACCTCAATATGCTTTTCCAAACGCTTATTACGTCCTTTCTCATCGTGTCCGCGAGCGCTCATTCCTGGGTCGAGGAAATCAGGATTATCGCACCCAACGGAACATTCACAGGAGATGCAGGATACGCCCGAGGCAACTGGCGCCGCACGGCAGCTGGATTCAACGATACGACTATGACCTATCTCATTCCTCCTGATGGGCAGGCCAATATCACAGTGGTCTACAATACAACGAAGATGTGCAAAAACTCGCAGCAAACAGAAACCCAAAGTTCTGGGAGCCCTCGACTGCAGGCCAGTCCGGGCGATGCAATCGCATTACGATACCAGGAAAACGGTCATGTCACTCTACCTTGGAATCAGCCAGGCAAGCCCCCAAACCGAGGCACCGTATACGTGTACGGTACAACATCCCCCAAAGTCGGCGAAATTTTCGACGACGTTCACAAAGTGTGGAACTGGAATGGCACCGGCGGCGATGGTCGCGGTAGACTTCTTTCCATGCAAAACTTCGATGACGGCCGATGCTACCAGATCAATACTGGTAACATCTCGGAATACCGTCAAGAAAAGTATCCGCACGAGGCAAACCAGCTGATGGGTGCCGATCTGTGGTGTCAACAAGATATCGAGCTGCCAACCACTGCGCCGAGTGGAAAGGTGTACACTCTTTACTGGGTTTGGGATTGGCCCACTCTCCCAGATATCGATCCTACCTATCCCGATGGGAAGGTCGAGATCTATACGACCTGCATTGATATCAACGTTGAGGGCTCGAGCGTCAATCAGACAGACAGCTATGCCTCAGACCAAAGTCTCAACAGTGCATCAATAGAATCCGAGCTGGACGATTTGACAAGTGAAGATGCTGTAAGCTGGGATTCTGCGGTAGATCAACCATCAGCCTCAACCTTGACCTCGTCCTCGGCTGTACAGGTGGAGACTAGTACGTCTGCATCGAGTACAGAAGCGGCCGTCCAGCCGACGACAAGTGTGGCTGCGGGAGTCGACTCTGTCAACTCTCAAACTTCTACTGTGACCGTTACTGTAGGTGAGATTACTGCATGGCGAACAGTTACTAAAGTCGAGATGTTCGACCGAACAGTGACCGTTACTGGATGTCCATCAGCAACGGGTGGTTGAATTTTGAACCTTCACCAGGGAATTTTCGATTCAATGTACAGTTGATTTATTATTACAGAAACAATCACTAGCATATAAATTATTTTTCAACCTGAGGCAGTTTCAGGTTTCTATTCGTAACAATATGTAGCCAACTTTTTTGAAGCATACATTCATCATGATGTGACATAGTATGCATCTTACCTACATAGGTAGTAGCTATACTAGTACAAACACGCACCGCCATCAACTTCAAGTTCAAGTTGGACATGGATTTGAACATCATATGTGCATGATTTCACACATACATGACGTTTCTGGCCCTTATTGCTCTGGCATATACTCAAGTGCTAGTAGGTACTATCTAGTACCTTGATTATATGTCCTCATGGCCCATGCGCAGGAATATTTTGAATATCTACCGTGATTGAGTGTCTTGGACTTACATATACCAGTTGACGTACTAGTACTAGTCATGCTGCCAGTGTGGGGCTCAAAATCATGGCTGTGCATACTAGTACAACATACCTTCTAGGCACCTTTTTTATATCCCGCCTTGATGGATTCAATCCATACTAATACGAGGACTAGTAGGTAGTAATATTACTACAGAGAATTCTCAAATAGGAGACGGAAAGTCTTTGATAAAATTGGCTTTGGACCCGAATCCTGCCATTCAAGTTGTAATTTCTTGTAGCCTATAGAGCCTAAACTTGGGATTACACGCCATCAAATGTGGCAGTGCTATTCAAGTTTAATGACCAAGTAGATCCATTTAATTAGAACTTCTATATCTGGTATATCTGGCCAAGTTAATATGAGTTAATCCGGTTAGACTTCGATCTGAAACACGCTAGCACGTGATGCCTAACCAAATGGTTGACACATGTTATGCTTCTATGCTTCTATGCTTCTTGACCTATACTATATCGTTAATTCAAAGGCTGAACGGGTTTCGATTACCCCTTGCCAATCATTGCTTTCCCTGATCATTCAGTGGTTTATATTAACAGGTATGAATCAACATGCCCTAACCGCACCCCCGAACCCGATTGCATTGCCGCATTGCGGACCCAGATGAAACCAGAATGGAGAGATGGAATATGAGAGAATGAAACCAAAGTGAAGAGGAGGAAAGAAATCTCCCGAGAAAGGAATCATATCAGATAATTTCTGCGATTTTACTGGTTGGGATCCGCAAATCTACACTACCTTGTTAATTTTCGCCAACATAAGCGCTGTGCCCGGGTTGCATTGATATCTGACACACAGCAGTTTCTGCTATATTTAGCATTTACCCTCGACTGCGGGACAGTCTGGAACAACCACTGTTCCGACTTCTTCCTCTCAAGCACTCTTTCTGCAATCTTATTGCGATCCTTCTTCTGGACTCCAATCACCGTGGGGTCCAACTCCTCTCGTGACTCGGCAGTCCCCCCCCCCCGCCTCAAACCCCCCCCCCCCAACCTTGAACCTCGAACCCTGTAACCCCCCTCCGATCTGCAAAAACCGGGGTTCCCTCGTGCGTCCATAATCGGGTGAGAGAGAACTAGTGGTGGACGGTGTGTGTGCATTGGATATCTAGCGTGCAACTCACCCCACAATACCAATACGGACCTTTCTGGGAATCGCAAGTGGGATCATCGTCCGCGCGCCACCCAATCGCAATGCAAAATTAGGATTCATGCAACGCGGCTAAATGAACCCTCCCCCATATCCCTTGCTGAGATTCTCGATTCCGTAACTTTCCCATCATCCACGCACCCAGCTTGGGGGATATCCCTATCTTCTTCATGATGGCCTCCTCAACCTCCCCGACCACTCTCTCCGCGGACAACCTGAGCGTCCTGCCCCCCCCATCCTGACGGATGGCACCGTGAAACCGTCGCCGAGTGCGAAGGAGCGACTATCCACATACTCCAATGTTTCCTTCGCGTCCCAAAATCGCTCGCGCCCAGGCTCCCACGTGTTCCCAATCTTCCATTCCAGTCTCCCGTATGCTTTGGTGCGAGACTTTGCCTACCCGCCGATCCATCATCTGCACTACGGTCCACCTCCCTTGCCCTCCGGCGGCTCTACACCTGCGAGCGAGTATCGTCGCCTATCCGATCCACCCACCTCCTGGGATACATCTCGCGGCCCCTGGGCGACCGGTCCTTGGAGCAACGAGAACAGCCATGGTCACGGTCCCGGTAGCGGCCAAGGTCAAGGTCAAGGTCAAGGCCACCAACAATTGCCTGCCATGTCATTCGGTGATGGACCTCCATACAGTGAAGATGAAGACCTACATAGCCCCGTAGTGACCACCTCACGCCAACGCAAGAAGTCTGTCGCGACCGATTTGAATGGGATGGTTCAAGAGCATATCGCGCAACCTGCGGATCGCGGCACATTTGTTGCTATGAACCCCGATGGCAGTGAGACATATTACGTCAATGGTGGTGATTCAATGGAGGATGGACCCGGTGGAGAATATGTCACATATCCCGCCAACGAAGGCCAATATCCACACTTCGATACGCAGCAAGGATATGCGCCCGATACCGGCTTCGAATCAGACGACGGTGAAGACCGATACGGTAACGATTATCAGTTTGCGGTCGGTTGTCCTGATGAGGAAATGCATGGAAAAGCCGTCGCACTCTTTGACTTTACTCGCGAACATGAGAACGAGTTGCCCCTTACCGAGGGTCAAGTGATCTATGTCTCCTACCGACACGGTCAAGGCTGGTTGGTTGCCGAAGATCCAAAGACGGGAGAAAACGGTCTTGTTCCAGAGGAGTTTGTGCGACTGCTTCGAGATATTGAGGGTGGATTGACCTCGTTGAACGGGGAGCCTATCATGCACTCGACAGAAAGCACCACAGCCATGGACACGACTGCCGAAGATCGCACTTCTACACCTACACAGAATGATTTAAAGGGTACAAATGGTGACACTCCGATGACAAACCCTATTGGGGGTTCGAATGAAACCAGCGAGACCACTGGTGGTGCTGGTACTCATTCTACATAGCATGGTCTCAAAAGATTGAGATCGGCTACACCTACATCTAGAAGCGGCTCTACTGAACCAGGGGCAGGAGTTGAACATCTGCTATGTCCGATTCACGTGATTCCAGTTTGATGGGTCATTACTCTGGTCTTTCAACCCCTACGGACAAATTCCCCTTTGTTATCCTATGGAGAGCCTCACACGCTCCATCAAACTGCAAGCCTAAATTTGGGTTATTGCAGCTCTTCAAAAGTGGGAAAAATCATAAATTTCTACCAGCCAGATTGATTCGTCGAATCCGGACACTTTTGGGACCAAATGCAAAGCACTGGAAGCCAGAGAGACTCTTCCCAGCTTCACAGCTGCTCAGCTCACATCCTTCCACAAATCGCCACGCCCCTTTCCTCCAATTGATGAATGAATTCCCCCCACTAACCTTTTACACTGATATCCCACATTACCCGAGTCTTGTTTCCACACCTGTACAACCCTGGGTTGACAACAGCTACGCCCAACACGAGAATGATGGAAAAGAATTAGTTACTTTTCACTTCTTGTTGGCTTCTTGTTTCTTCTATCTATTCCCTCTCCCTCCACATATGCTCTGAATTCTGTCACCCATTTCCTGTTCTAACCCCATCTCCATTTCTCGCACATGTATCTAGCTTTCTTCAGCGCAGGCGTTGTCCTAGCATTGATCAATTAGCATTAGCGTAATGCCTATTCAACTCTACAACTTTCTTTGTATTCAAGTAATGATGAATGTACCTAGTACATATTCCGTTTATTTCTGATGGCGCATCTATAGATTGTACTAGGCTAGGGGGGGGAACTTTTAGTATGGTCGTGAGGTAACGGTACATAGCCAGAGAGCAAATATGGGCACAATGAGAGGCTCATGAGAAATGGGATGGATATATGACAAAGATCATCTTACTAGCATTGGGAATAAGCATAAACTTTGTCCTCAAGGGAGAAAAAAAGAAGAGGGAAAAGAAAGGAGAATTTTCAGAACTGCTCTGCTAAAGCGGCTGGTATCCCAGACGCTCACAAACAAAAATGAGGTACATGAAAAGAACTGGGATCGAAAACAACAATGGGTGAATAGAAGAAGATAAAAAAAATCAAAAGAATAGCATGAGTCTGGGATTATGGAATGCCGGATCCTGTACTTGGTAGAAAGCTAGCGTGACGCAAATCAAGAAGCCTGAATGGCCAGATCGGAGACTTCAAATTTAACCGAGGAGGTCATCGAGAGCCGAGCCAGTAGACTGCTTTGGCTGAGATGGGGCAGAGTATGTTGAGGCCGCGCTGGAAGGAGCATTAGCACCCCAGATACCAGCGCTAGCCTTTTCTTTAGCCATGCTGGCAAGGTTGGGGCCCTTGTTTGCGTTGGCGTTGGACTTGTTGATGCCGGCGCTGGCACTGGCGGTGGACCAGAGTGAGCTGAAAGCATCCCCGGAAGCCTTAGCTGCGGGCTTGCTTGCCATGGTGGGAGCCTTGTTGGAGGAGATGGAAGAAGTAGCGCCGTGGGAGGGTAATTGTTGAGAGGGCTGGTTAGTATTGACTGAGGTAAAGTAGTTGGGGGTGGCCGCCTGGAAGCCTGAGGGCTTAGGGAGCTGTTGCTGCTGAATAGAGGCAGTCTGAGAGACGGGGGAGGCAAACGAGCTCGAGGTTGGGGTAGGAGTCGCCGAGGTGAAGCCCACTAGGCCGTTTATGTTGGCACCCTGGGAGGCTGAAACGGGCTGCGGTGCAGCAAATTGAGTGCTGGCGGTTGTGCTCGCAGTCGAGGCGGGGGCAGCGATAGAGAATTGGTTTGAAGCGGCCGGCGCTGGGGTTGCAGACTGGAAGTCATCGAAATCGTCATCGTCGCCGGTTGAGTCCAGCATGTTCAAGGCACTGCCAGCGGGCTGCTTGCCGGCGGCGGTTGAGGTCGTCACAGGCTCATCGTCACCAAAATCGAAGAGATCTGCGACAGGCGCAGGTGCCAGTTCTGCCTTCTTCGGTGGTGCCCGCTTGGTGGTAGTAGCAGCAGCGGTTTCTCGTCGTGGAGGGCTGACATCCGCCTCGTCATACTCATCATATTCATCAAATTGGTTGTTGTTTCTGCGGCCTGAGTCCTGGAATTCACTCGAGGCACCACCGAAACCTCCACCATCGCCGAAGACACCTCCACTATATCCGCCGTATCCCACGCTGTCACTGCCAAAACCACCATAGCGACCAGTGCCACTGGACGATGCACCAACATTCATGCCACCTTCGAAACCACTGAACTTGTTGCGGTTGGACCGGGCCTTTTTGCGCTCGGAACGAATTTGCTCCACATCGCCCAACAATTTCACTAATTCTGAGGATCGGTTCCGCACGTTGATACCCTGATCCTTGCCATTCATATCAATGTAGTGGAACTGCCGAAGCATCCGCAGCAAAGACATGTGAGATCTGGCATCATCAACCACTCTCTCCGATCCGTTCTTAACAAGGAATTCAAGCAGTTGGAGACTCTATATATCATAGAACAAGTCAAGTCAGTACAGTGCGCAAAAACAAAAAGCGAAAGCAGGAGCCTTGGTATACCTTGTAAATTTGTCGCCATTCCTCTGCAGCTTTATCGGTAAATCGCTTGTAAATCATAGGCATGATCTCATTGAGCAATTGGCTATAATGAAATATAAGAAAGTGATTCAAATGACAAGCTTTCATCAATTATCACTTACTAGCTGTGTGTCCCATTGGAAATCTCCTGCATCAACGTGGTTGAAGCACCCCAGGGTTCATTGTTTGTAGCTTCCCGGACCTAAGTCGTGTAAGTAATTCGGTATAAGGACAATGTGAAGAGGGTCGCAAATTCGCAGTATCGTTGAGCGTTATACAGGTTTTGCGCACGGGGGCCATTAGGCAGACGGACCTTCGACTCCATTTCGGTATAGTTCATAACAGCTATAACGAGGCGGTCAGCTCAGGGTTTCTCGGGATTGCACAACAAAGGGGAGTTTGGGTAAATGGCAATATGATCGGATCAGAATAGTTGGGCATACCATTTTGCACCTTGCGAACACCGGCCTTGAGATCATACAACGTCAGGTTGCTGACCTGATCTTTGAGGTTTGAGAAGTCCATGGTGAGGGAGGGGTCGCCAACAAGCGAAACTGAGATGCAAGTAAGAACAAAGATGTAAAGCAGCCAGATAAAGGCCAGATAGCTCAAAGCAGAACAGAAAAAGAAGCGATCCAAGCCCACCAGGATTGGGATTCAACGAGGGAGAGATGTTGGAGGGGATGAATCGGTTTCCACCTGGCCGATTACACGCGCCACGTCACGTGGAGCCCCTGACCCTCAGCGACGTAATTGGCTCAGCGAGGTTCTTATAGATGGACATAAAGATCACACATAGATGATTATATTCTATGCATTAGAACGTCAAAAGATATTATTTGAAGTCTAGTTATTCAATAACTAAGATGATATGTGTACAATCATTGAAAGCCAAACAAGAAAGAACACTAGATTGACAGATCTCAAGGGCTTCGGGAAGCTGTGGAGGGTTCAAAGTGGATACTGGAGTTATACTTGTAGACTGTAGTAGGCTACTAGTACTAGCTCCGGCGAAGGCCTGGAATCCATGGGGCATTATATAGTACCTAGTAGTTATATTGAGATAGTTAGGCAGCCATGTAATGGATTCAGGATTTTATTTCCTCGTCAAATTCCAGCTATATATGAATCGATGCTTTTATTAAATGGAAAGGTGCTAAAAGTGAACTACAATAAGGAAAATTCCAACATTGAAACTACTATCTGGTTCCAAGGTTGAAACCTTCAAGTTGGAACATTTGAAGTCATGCCCAGGTGCATGTGGGCTTACATGTCCAGGAAGCAATCAACTCAGCTGACCTTAATTTCCAAGGTTGCTGGTCTTACACAATTATTCATTTGAATATGTGAGATTCTGAATTTTTCCCAGATTCTTTGCCTCCAGGGCTCTTTTGGTTTAGCGCCCCGATACGCCGTTCTGTAAGCTCCCAGTGCCGCCTTTTGTCGCCCACCGGGGCCGGTAAGCCCTCCAAGTTTAGGCTTAACCTATTATGCCATCCCACACACCCAAAATGGCTTAAAAATTACTGAAGATTTTCCAATTGTTAGAGAAGGTGTTCAAATCAACCATCCAAATAATTTCTAGAAAAAGTTAAAAGTCACACTGCAAAACACCAGGGAGACTCGCCAATGACATATCAGCTTTGCCCTTGAAGAACTATGTACAATTTTACATATCATCCACCTTCTCAATCGAGTATACTTCCAACTCGGCAATCATAGTATGGGCAGGCACTGTCACACAGATCGGGAACCCACCGTAGTCCGGATCCTCATTCGGCATCATAGCAAAGATCCCACTCCGCGTCTCATCTCCATTCAATACTCGCAGCGTGCGTAGCTCCCCCGTCTCTTTGTTCACCACCTTCTTCTCCCGGAAACTCAAGAAGCCAGTGAAACTCGACGTTGGCGACAGTGCCTTCGCCCGCACTTGGAACCCCCACCCAATTAATAGGAATCGAGGCCCACCCAGATGGATCACCATGCCAGCACCAGGTCCTGGCTTTCCAAACACAAAGCATCGCTCGATGGTGATCTCATAGCCACCCCAGGATTTGACCACCGGCTTGGAGGTATCAACGTTATCCCCATCTCCTGACAACTCATCAAAGTGAAACCCAACGGAGGCATCGGGACGAGTTTGTGCCTCGAGCACCAGCGGAGCCACAGACTGCAACAGGCCGTAATGTTTGGTGAATGGATTTGTAGCGGGCACCTGCGTATCAATACCAAAGGGGGAGACCCCAATAGCTTGATACGATCCATAAGCCACCCAGATGCGTCTTGCACCGTACTCATCGCGTCGCTGCTCGGGGATGAACAGCGACTGGTTCCGGTGGCGGTATTTGCGACAGGAACTGCTGTAATCATTTAGGTAGACATCTGGCGCGATGAAATCCAGCGATGGCGCAAACTGCTGCCAAATATCGAGGACATTGCTGGTGCCTCCTCCCGACGGGTAATCGCCTGGATTGCCGCCTCCGCCGACTACGACGGGGAAGTCGTTGTCACCGTCCTCGTCGACGTAGTTTTGCCAGACATTTGTATAGAGTGGGAGAGGGTACTCTTTTTTTACCGGCTGCGGCGACATGGTTGATGTATTTCGCATAGTGATATGCCATAAACAGCTCGTCTGTGTGTGGGTCTTCACCGAAGACTTGCGTCCATCTTCCGGATAGATTTGTTTGGGTGTTGAGATAGGTCAACTTCAAGTTTGCTTTTAGGTCAGGGTGGAGGTGGTCCCAATCTTGGACGAGGAATTGCAGGAGATCTGTCGGGACTGACTCGCTGAAGCGCTTCTCTGCTGCGGCAGACCTGTCTCGAGAATCGCCTAAAAGACCCGTCTCATTCTCGACCTGCACCATGAGTACAGTGGAGTGTGCACCATCTACTTCTTTCAGGTGACTTAGAAGACGTGCAAAGGCCTTTGCATCTGCCTTGACGCCTTCTTCGTAGAAGATCGACAGGACGTCACCGGTCTTTAGCTCGCCATCGGCTTGTCGCAGCTTTGCTCGCGGAAATCTTCGGGTGTCGGTCTTGACCCATGACGGGACATATGTGGAGATACCGTTCTTGAATGATCCAAACCATAGCAGTACCAGATGCAAGCCATGCTTCCTTGCGCCCAGAATGACCTTGTCCAGCTCAGCGAAATGAAACTGATCCTCAACAGGCTCTAGATCTTCCCAGGTGACACACCCGAGCACGGTATTAATATTTGTGTCGACGAGCTTCTGCCAAACAGGTTCCATAAACTCAGCCGAGGTCATAGAAGAGTTCTGCAGCTCACCAGCAAGGGCGAGAAATGGCTTGCCATGAACGATAAGCTGGGTGGCAGACCCTGTCTGCCGGAGATGAGGAATGGAGGGAGACAATGTCATGATTGCAGCAATGAATGATTCTCCTTTCGAAGATAAAAAATGTTTCTGAATGGATCTGTTCTTTGCTACAGACAATATCCCTCTTTTTATACCTGCTCATCCGAGTCATCCCCCTCTATATACCCCTCATCGCAAACCCCACCATTGCCAGTGCGACAAGTTGTGGAACCACCCGTAAGATAATATTGGTATGTCAAGAATGGACTCCATACCAAGACCATCATGAATCGGGCCTAATGGATGCTTGATTGGCCGATATCCCGCTCAGAAAAAAACCCCAGAAAAGATGGTTTTCGCGGGTTGCGGGAATGAACCCTTCCCGTTGGCCGATATCCCGCATCATTTTATGGGGCGTTTCTCCGCAGACGCGTTGCCAAATTTGGAAGAAAACCGGGGTACGGGAAACCTACATGCCTGGGAAATTGCAAGCCGGGGAGATGATGGGGAGACGTATGCCTTGTTGATGGCTCAAGTGCTTAAATAGAGGCTTGCTGGCCGACATGGTCTGTCTTTTGGTTAATTCATTCTGCGTGACTGAAAGGCAGAGGAATAATACAACACAATTACATTGAGCTCCCGAGGTCAGGCTGTCAACATGAATGACTCGGACAAAGACTCAAACAAAGAAGATGTCAAAAAAGGTCAAGGAACGGTTGCTCATTCAGAGTTTACTGCATTAAGGAACAATTCTTCTGTGGAATTCCCTGAGGTGATTTGGTGGAAACACCCTGGGCTGCGGAAATTGTATATTATGATGCCGCTTTTGTTCCTAGGTATTTGATTCATGACATCCTACTATATCAGACCTCGGGATGAGAGCTTGAGGTGACTAATTCTCAGATACATCCAGGATCCTCGACAAACGGATATGATGGCTCCCTATTGAATGGATTGCAGACCATGACTCCATGGGAAGATTGTAAGAGTATCCACATGCAACAGTGAGACATGAGGTACTTTAAGGCTGACTGAATAGATTTCAACAACCCCAGTGGCTCGAAATTAGGTCTTTTCACCGCAATCCAGAATATCGGCGGGTTCTGCTCGTTGTTCTTCGGTAACTACTTCATCCTTCAACTTCTGCCTATGATCCCAACTGAGATCTAAAACACAGCTTCATACATGGCCGATATATTTGGACGGAAAAGAGGAGTGGCCATCGGACTAGTGATCCTCTTCGTCGGAACCTTGATTCAAGTTGTTCCATCCGTCAACTCCAATATGTTCCTCGCAGGGAGGTTCCTTGTCGGCCTGGGGTAAGCTTGAGGTTCCTTTCTCGTGTAGAGCAGATAAATTATTGACTTTCTCAGATCCAACATAAGTCAGGCATCTGCCCCACTACTCATCACCGAACTTGCTCATCCTCAACACCGCGGAAAGTTAACAACAATGTACAATACACTATGGTATGTGGGAGCGATTGTTGCGGCCTGGACTGTCTTTGGTACTATCAAGTATACATCGGAGGCGGCATGGCGGATACCCGTGGCCATGCAAGCGGCCATGCCGGCCATTCAGTTCATCGGTATATGGTTTGTTCCTGAAAGCCCCCGTTGGCTCTGTGCAAAGGACCGCCCTGATGAGGCATTTGATGTCCTAGTCAAAGTAAGATCCTGGACCTTGGCGAGAGTGAACCAGTCTCTGACAACTGCAGTATCATGCAAGTGGAGACAGACATGACCCATTCTGCGCATTTGAGTTTCAAGAGATCCAGGAGACCATCCGCAGGGAAAAGGAAAATTCAAACGACGGATGGATGGTCCTAGTTCAAACACCTGGTAATCGCAAACGGCTAGTACTCATTCTACTCACTGCATTTTTCTCGCAGTGTTCAGGTAATGGATTGGTGTCGTATTATATTCACGACATTCTAGAATCGGTTGGAATCGAGTCCTCATATAACCAGTCAATGATCAATGGTGCTCTCACAATATGGTGTTTTCTGGTCGCACTCGGCACCTCTGCTTTCCTCGTGGATGTTCTCGGCAGACGAATGTTGTTCATGATCGCTGGACTTGGAATGTTAATAAGCTTCAGCATATGGACTGGGTATGATATCCTCCTACTGGATGGTGGAAATGAAATACGGCTAAATCAAATACAGATGCTCAGCTGTATACGAGAAGACCGGTAATAAGAGTGCTGGAAGCACGGTCATTGCAATGATCTTCCTCTTTTATGGGGCAGCCGGGTTTGCCTGGCCTGGTCTGACGATCGCCTATACTGCTGAGATCCTCCCATTCAATATCCGAGCCAAAGGCCTCACAGTCGCCATGGCTGTTACAGCTGCATCGTCGGTGTTCAACCAATATGTCAATCCAATAGGTCTGGATTCATTACAGTGGCGGTTCTATTTTGTCTATATTGCCATCTTAGTGATTGAGTGTTTATGCATTTGGCTCTTCTTCGTGGAAACAAAAGGCCCGACTTTGGAGGAAATTGCAGAACTGTTTGATGGGGAGGATGTCAATGTGGCTGGAGATGGTTTGACGATGCGACCGGAAGCAAAATCCGTGGATCCATGAAGAGCTTGAGATCAAAGTGGAATTTTCTTGCATTACGGCCGAAGTATTGACAGAGCATCACTAACGAACTTTCCACGCTCTTCCAGATCAAGTGTGACTGGTTGTTCAATATCATCACCCATGGGTAAAGCATGCTGCAAGAGGAACTTGACGATCCATCTGTCTACTGTGTATGTCGTATCCATAGATCGCATACAGGCTTTCTGAAATGTAAACAAGCGCTCCATCTGTTCTTTCGTTAGCCACATGCATTGAATTCAAAATATTTTCCAAGCTGCATCTTCTCACCATTAAATCAACACCAGGCCAATATTGTTTCAATTGGAGAAGAGTCTGAAAATTGGAGAAAAGTCTCTCTTTTGCTTCAAGTATTTCAGACTGGTTTCCAAACAAGAGGGTATGGAGCAATGCAGATGATGACACAACTGTCATGTGTGCAACAATTAGATAGACCGCTTCACAGTCTGGGGTCTCTTGAGAAACTCGCAGTAGATCACTGAAGGATGTCGCATGATATTTGCAACGGGCGACAAATATCGCTCGGTTGACAGTCTCGGCGGAAGTCTGGTCAAAATATGGGAAATATAGTAGAGTGGCATAATGGTGGTATCCCAAATGAAGGGCCACGAACGCTCGCCCAAGGCCCATCTCAGCCTGTTGTCTCAAGTTATCTGGAGTGAATTGTAAACTTTGTGGCAGTTCGTGAACAAACTGTTCAAACCTTTGCGCTAGGTCTTGAGTTATCATTTCTGCCTGTGCTTCCTCCAACAGTCTATTCGCTAATTTTTGATGAAGATTTTGGATATGGCCGAAGATTCGAGCAAGAACCACCATATGTCCCCAGAGACCAGGTCCAGAACGAGAAACACTTGTGACCCTTTGTCCCGGTTTTAAAGACCAGAATTCAATTTCCGTCATTGGCAAGCGATGCTGATCATCATTGAACTGTCTGGGTAAGTCGAGTCCTGCCGATGACCACTGATCAATCATATACAAGGACCACCAAGTTCTTATTTTGATCTCTTGGGTGATGCTGTCGTCTGTTGTATTTGATTCGGGCAAATGGAGGATATGCGCCATTCGAAAGGCAATACCTAATATTTACCTATGCAATTAGTCTCTGGCCTGCAACGATGACCAGTCAACTCACCAAAGAAAATACCCTCCGTTTCAGATTGAGCTTCTGCGCCGCACAGATTAGCAACCAAAATACTCGCGTGTATGTTATCCAAGCATGGAACATCGATGGTCATCTTCAGAAGGTATTTGGCTTTTAAGAATAATATACCAGCCATCTGACGGACCGCTTCCTCATCAGAGAACCTTCCAAACATTATCCCAGTCAGCACTAGCTTTCAGAATTGTTAGGTCTTTTATCTCTAAGCGGCTTACCTGGCGGCAAGTGCCAGAATCCCATAGAGCACCGGCGATGGAACCGACCCATTGCTCGCTCGCTCTTTTAGTAGAGCCGGATGAAACAATGTGTGCGGTTTGTCATGAATGCAACTCAAGTAAAGATCCACCAGTCGATCGCGAACGTCATCTGTCAGGCCTGGAACTTCCAGAGAACTGCCCTCACTGCAATTTCCAGTGGTAGGCAAGAGATACCTTTGTGTTTTCTGTTTTGGTTCTGTGAGAGAGCATGGTTTATTCTGCCTCAGGCACTGTTGACAGGGCTTCCCCGCTTGCTCTGCCGTACATCTGCGCTTGCCAATTCGACATTGTCGACAGGACTTGGAGACTTTCATCGGTTGAGAAAGACCTATCAGAGAAATTGAGATAATAGTTATTATGAGTCAAATTCAAATCCAGTCCTAGCCAAGTTGACATCATTTATAAGCTAACATTTGAGAACGAGCGTCAACTACCAACAGCCCTGGAGGCGGGATGGTGATGACTAACGACGCTAGATGGGTGCACAAAATAGTGATGGGTGAACTATATCAAACTCAATCATGTTAGGTAGACGCTTTGAAATTCATTGGTATTATTGTATGTTGACATAAGATAGACGTTTAGTAATTAAGACAAATTGGCGCCGGAAAACACCTTTAAGGCGTATGCTTGGTTCTCTAGGGCGTCTGGGATTTTTGCTCTTCGGGGGAACCCTACTACATACTAGAGGGTGCCATAGAGGGTGTCTTATTATAAGACAATGGTTTTCCATCGCGGGTCTCCTCCAGGGTATATTCGGTGGTCACATGGATGGCGAGCCTGTTTGATATCGGGCCCTCTTCATCATCTGAAAGAATTGGTCTGTCACTTTCCTCGGATGTACGCGCTGGAATGGTATTCAGTTCCATGGCCTTCGCGTTGTGGTTTCCACTGCGCTCAGCAAAGCTAAGGCCTGGTGTCTTGTCTCCCCGGAGGCAAACTTATTATAGCCTTCCGTGCCATAAGTGTTCTTTGATCGACTGTAGCTCGTGAAGCCAAGCCAGCCCACTCCACGGAATAGTGGTTTGATTCCAGGGAGAGAGGCAACAATGGCAGCAACGAAGCACTCGCGGTCAGCCCAGTGGAGTGCAGTTGGAAGTTGACTAATATCGCCGAGGGAATAGTAGCATCGGAGAATCGTACAGATCATAATGAATATACCGGACATAAACATTACTCCTAGGATAATCTTGCGTTCGAAGGCAACTTGAAGTTTGTTGAGCATGAGGAAGGGGATAATCATGATCATGAGATCGGATCTATGAGTAATGACGTAGGTTAGCTTTCTGTTTCACGATGAAAAAAAAGAAGGAAGGCTCGTACATCACGTTGAGAACAGCGATGACTACATAAAGTGGTTGACGGAGAGTGCAGTTGTCTACATCATCTTGTTAGTTTTCATAAATTATAGTTCACTTCCAAGAACAAACTCGCCTCCTGCGTAAGGCTTGATCTGCCAATTCCTGGGAATTGGTGTGCATATGCAGATATGTGTCAATAGACATGCTAGCCAGCTGAGTATACAAAATATCACAGCTCCCAGAACCAGCCTTTGAGTTCGTGTCCCTTGTCTGTCATCGGATTGTTTGTTAGTAATGAAGACTGATGATAAACCAAGTTTACCACATACGTGAGTTTCCAGTAGAGGCAAAGGAAGACACCCTTGAGACACCAGAGATAGCTCATATACCAAATCCAATTCATAAAGGCCAACTTTGAGCCGAGGATCATATCAGGCATCTCGCTATCGGTGACTTCCATGGCGGTAACTTTAGTAAGGCCGATATTGCTGCCATAAATCTCTATTAAGAGTCAGCAATCGTTCACTCCAAGGAATTGCGATTAGAGTAACACACCCAAATAATAAATGATAACTGTTTGCATGGTCCAAAATGCCTGTTATCGGATGTCAGCAGCACTCAACTTAATTTGGAAGCAGAAAACAAACCATGCCAGCAGCTGCGAAAGCATCATCCAAACGCAGGCCTTGAATTCCTCCGAAATTTAAACGAGCAAACATTCGCAACACTAAAAAAGATATACCAATGCCATATTCGACAAATGTTTCCGTCACTAATGAGTTTGTCATGATGCCAAAGTGTCAGAGGCACAGTCCTCTTAACTCATGGAGTGCACGGTGATGTAAATCTGAGGGGTGGGTTTGGTATAAGAATGAGATCAAAAGAGTCGATTCAACAACTAAAATTGGGTCTCTCCATCAGTTCCCCTCGATCTCCTGAGCTAAAGAAAAATCGAAAAAGGGGACTCTATTATTGTCGCCTAGCAATCCTGTACCAACCTCTCGGGGCGGAACGAGGTTAGTGGGGTCATGTCAATTGTTTTAACGGTTTGATGATCTTCAAAATGTTCCTACAAAGAGACAGAGGCGTATGAAATCTGTATGTATTGAGTACTGAGTACAGAATCAATCTCATTGCTTATGTTCTGTTTAGATTGCGCGTACTCTGTACTCTCGAGTCACGATTTATGCATAATTCAAGTTTTCGCCGTTAGATTCTAGACTATTTCCAGATACCCAGTGGCGTGTTTCGGTTATGGGCGATCATTATTTTACCTAGGTTGTACTGTTGGGGCTAGGGAAGCTTAGTAGTTATCAGTTAAATGCTCTACCTACTAGAGCTCCATACATGCAGGGTACTAGTATGTTTAAGTGGTTATCAAGCAAAACTTGACCCTGGCTGATTTGGGCTGAATTGTGCATGATCCTATTCTAATAAACATGCCTAGTCAAATTTTGCATTCTTCGCCACAAATTTGGGGGTTTTTGAAGCTTGGTGGGTCTTTAGTTGCAGACGAAGTGACTACCATCGAGCTAAACACGAGCTAAAAACGAGCGAAGGATCTTCTCCACAAAGCGGCTCACTTTGATTCCCACCTTGATTCCTTCGGGAAGTTAGGATTTTCTGGTTCGTGAAGATGTATTGGTCCCATCTAATATGGAGTATGTATGCGGAGTAGTGTCCCAACTTCGGGGAATCGGGACACCAGTCTGAGCGGGACCAAGAGTTCGTTTAAGAACGGATCTTTATCCAAGCTGAGACTAGTTCATTATTAATTGTTCTCCCCCTGTTTCCACACTCTTCACTTTTGTTTCCTAACTTAAACCATGCAGTTCCGAATTGGTGGTAATCTATAAGTCAAGACTGCGGCTGGCGTTCCGGGACATGGTAAAGATCTGCAATACTGTGGGGCAATTATCATGCTTAGCACCACTGAGTACGTATGTTTCATGGGCCATGGAAATCTCTTCAATTCCGACAAATGTCAACTTGAAACTTAAATACATGTAAGAGTACTACGTGCTCCGCAATCAGTATAGTCATTACTAGCACATACTGCAGAACCCTAGTCCTGAACTGCATACTAGTACTCCGTGCTCGGTACAATCATGCAATAGTCTATTTAATCTGATATATGAGACCAAAGAATTCACATAGACAATTTCACTTCACATACGGAGCATTACTGGCTCTAATCTTTAATCGATAAATTTCCATCATGGCCATGAAAGTTGCTTTAATTACCGGAGGAGGTAGGTCTGAAACTGAACAGTATGAGCATTTGTTCTTCTAAGGTTACTAATTGTTTCAATGAAAAGCGAGTGGAATGGGCCTTGCTGTTACCCAGGAACTATCATCTCGTGGCGACTGGACTGTTAACATTCTCGATATCAATGAGACTCGCGGGGCCGAAGTAGCCCAAGAGCTGCCTCGAGTGATATTTCACAAAGCCGATGTGACGAAATATGGCGATCTATGTGAAGCATTTCAGAAATCTTTCATTGAGGGTGGTAAATCCATTGATTTTGTGTTTGCCAACGCTGGAGTGATTGAACGGACCAACTTCTATGCCCCGCATCCTGTCTCCGAAGATGCTATACCACCACCAGAGCCAGACCTTCTCCCAGTCGATGCAGACCTGAAAGGGGTCGTATTGACTGCCTGGTTAGCACAGCACTACTTCCGTTTGTCTCCTCACAAGGGAAATGGCGCAAACATAGTGATGACTGCAAGCTGTGGTGGACTATACCCATCATTTTACTCTCCTCTTTACTCGGCAGCTAAATGTACAGTTACTCACCAATATGAAACTCAATTCAAAGTACTACGCTGACCTCGAGACACCATACAGTTGGAGTTGTTGGATTTATGCGATCAATAGCCAATTCATTCCGGTCTGAGGGAATGCGTGTCAATGCCATTTGTCCTGGTATTGTACGCACTAACCTTGTCGACCAGAAAGGATGGGACAGCTTCCCCCAGCACCGTTTTATCGAAGCAGATAGAATAGCCCAAATTGTTCTCCAGCTTGTCGACGGTGGCAAACCAGCGGGTGAGGGCCTGACTGATAACCAGGGCAAATTCCTCGCGACTTCTAAGCTCTATGGTCTCGCGGTAGAGATCTCGGATACAGGTATTTACTTCAGAGACCACCATGAGTTTTGCGATGAGGGAATGCGGGAAGTCATGGGTGCTACGGTCATTGCTAATCAGGTTGATGGTGTGCTGAATGCCAATTAGAGATTATTAAACACACACAACTTGAAGATTGAAGACGCAAATGGGAACATTGAAGATCACTTGGGCATGAATACGAATACGGACTCCATACAACCTTGGAATTACTGAGTGACAGACTTGAGTATCAAAGAGAACTCCACCCTGTACTAGACCTCGGATAGTATGGCGTATAGAAGCCACACAATTGCAGGTCATGGTATAAGTTGATTTACTATTCATTCATAATTGGTCTCAATGTCAATCCCCCCTTACGACACCCGAAAAATACCAATTCTCGTGAAGTGGAAAAAAGAAAATCATTGACAAATGATCCACATAGTGGAGTCATTGTGTGTAGGTTTGGGCCGACGGACCGTATCCGAACCAGTTGTCACCTGAACATTTGAACATTCTCTTATTTTATCACTTCCATCTTTTCCTGTGACTTTCACCGGGGAGTTAACGTAAGAGAATCCGACTACGCTATGCAGGGCTAGGAAGGATCTGCGCTTATTCCAAGTCCCGATATGCAGGATTGGCTTTACTTAGTCTTCCTTCAGGGGGGCAAAATAATGGAGACAAGGCTGATGCGTCCTTGTTCCCGCGTTCAAGAAACTTCGGTTATGCATGACGGTCATTGTTCTCCACAGCCACGGAATTCTGATCCACTTTGCTTGTGCGAGGAGGCTATGGAGTACGGAATGCTTCGATTTCTCTGGAGCCATGTTTCGTACTCCATATGCTATACTTTTATCCATTCGCTGAGCTTGATTGGCAGTTCGGACATAGCATGTGGATCAACAGACACATGGCCCAAGGTCTTTCTTCGAAACTCGTTGAATCGAGCGGCAAGTGGGAAGTCGCAAGGACCAAGAACAAGGCATCCACTGGCCCAAGCGTCCTTTCTACCAAATCACTGTAAATATCCAGGCCCATGTGCTTTAACAGAAAATACTTGAATGTGTGGGCAGACTTGAAAGTGGCTCTCTATTCTTTGTGGGCTACTCCATAGTTCGCCTCGTGGACTAGCATCCGCTTACCAAATCTGCCATGCATGCATAGGTGGATTCCAAAGATCAAGGAATTGCCTCAGGAAGGTTCGACTTCTCGCCATGCATCATCTCAAACAATGGCTCCCACACAGTGATTGCTCGCTTAGTGACATGGCCATTGCCCATCTCAGGCATAGGATAGTATATCAGCTTCTCAGCAGAGCATTCAAGAAGCTCGCCCGCCATACCGGTCGTGTCCTCCAAGAAAGTATCATAAGCGTTAAGGATTGTCTGAACGGGTGTGAGACTGTAAAGGAATCACAATTAGAACTCAAGCTTCAGAACGTGGTTCTCCATCACTCTCCACTGATATCTTCTCTATCTCCACTTACCATTCAAGTGTCACAGCTTGGATCATCTCTTTCGGCACAATGGGTGTATCCACAATCCCAGGTAACACAACGTTGAGGAAAATATTTTCCTTCTGCTTTAGCAACGGAGCAGCCCCACGGACGAACTGGTTCACAGCAGACTTGGTTCCACAGTATATCGGATAAGACTTGTGTGGGAACACACCTCCAATGCTACCTGTAATGATCACTCGGCCACCGGGTTGAGGATTGTATCGCATGAAGTGTGTAGCAAGTTGAGTGCAGTACACTACACCCTTATAGTTAATATCCACGACAGAGGTATCGGGCGCAGGAGGAACGTCGTCAATGGGTTGATTCTTTGAGCCATAGATATAGACAGAGGTCATGTCGACGATCCCGGCGTTGACGCACACAGCATCAATGCGTCCCCATAGCTTATGCACTTTCTTAAAGACCTCGGCGGTCTCTTCATAGTTTGACATATCGGCGGGGAAGAAGACGGCCTTTGGGAGACTTTTCAAGAGTTGCTCTCCAGCTTCCTTGCGTCGACCTATGCATGCCACTTTCAATCCTTTTGCGTATAGATGTTTCGCTATATCGACTCCCATGCCAGACTGTCAATTTCTGAGTTAGTGAGTGGTCCAGTGGGTCTCAACGTTGACTCTACTGACAGTGGCTCCAATTCAGGATAGCAACACGTTCCTCTGCGTATGAACCCATTTTGAGAGTCCGTGCTGTTTCAGTGTCAATAATTGAAAAAATGGAAATTTCGTGAACGGATAGACAGAGAAAAGAGAGCAAAATATTGAAACTAGCAAAATGATTGACTTGACATACGTAAGTGCTAAACTGACAAACCAACTCAAATTCTGACAATCTGAAGTGGAGTCATAGCTTTCATCGAATTAATCCCAGTCAAGAAGGACACTTCGGACTATGAATCCTTGTGAAGATCATTCCTCCTTTCGATCATTTTGATGTCTCCAAAGGTCATGGTTGGCCAACAGTGATCAGCCAACACACGGCTCATAATGGTTACCCACTCAAAGACTAGCCAACTAGTGTACTCGTAGGATGGTGGAGCAGATGCTAGTGTAAGAAAAAGTCACAAACTTGAATCATTGTTCTTACTGTATTCTAGCTAATCAGGGGGGGTCTTTTAGTATTGTTTGATTCGAGGAGCACAACGGTTTAAATGCACCCCGTAAAAATTAGCTTCATGCAGGTAGAAGCTGCAGCTACATTAAGTGCCGATTTAAAGCCCCTCCCATCCTTTTTTAATTTTTTTTCTTCTTACAATCGTCAAATCGTTAACGAACACAAAATTTGGTGATGATGACTGAGATTGAGAAGAATGAGGCTTCTAGCCCAGTTGCTGCTTCAGCACCAAGCTCAGTTGATGAGACAAGTGAGCCTGCTGTCGTGACGCTGAAAACATGGTTTGTTGCTTTGGTAGGTTGATACATTGTCTTCAAGCTCTGATCAAAAGTACCACATCTCTAACATGGTTATTGATCTAGATCTTATCTTGCGGATATGGTCTATCATTCTGGCCTGTCCCTGTTGTGTCTGCGATTGGTTCCTCGCTGTCTGCAGACATGGGCGACGCTGATGGTTATATCTGGTTTGTTCCGGTTTGTTCTACCTAATAGCTTGCTGAAATAAAAAAAAAGCAGGCTAATTCTTTTCTAGGCATGGACCATCTCCATCACATGCTCCTTCCTGCTCTTGTACGTTCTCGAGTCTTATAAAACGGATATAGATGAGTTGGACTAAGAGCTAATGATTGTTTACAGTGGACCAAACACAGATCTTCTGGGTCGACGATGGTTCCTTGTGCTTGGTAACCTGGTATGCACTCTATGCAATATCCGGAGCCAAATGCACAGTCACTGATTGATATCTTTAGGTTACTTTTGCTGGTCACATCATCGTCGCTTCAGCAAAGACCTCTAACCAAATCATTGCTGGTTTGGTTGTCACAGGATTTGGTGGAGCAAACTGCCAGGTATGTCTGCTTTATTCTGTTTCCAAGTGATATTTGGCAAGAACATTTGCAACTGACTCAATATGCTCTATAAGATGGCTGCATTTGCCCTTCCTGAACTTCTTCCAAACAAGTGGCGACACATCGGTGTCGTGCTCGCTGATTCGACTGTGTACATCGCTGTCATTGTTGCACCCGTTACAGCCCGCTTTGGATATGAGATGAATCACTGGGCATGGAATTTCTGGGGACCCGCCATTTTCCAGGGTCTGTCTTTCATCGGACTCCTCCTGCTCTACCACCCTCCTAAGCATCCGTAAGTACATTTTCTCCAACGTGAAAAGAAACATTCATATTGAGCATGTCACTAACCCCAAACAGTCTCGGTATCTCTTACATGGAGGCATTCAAGTCGATGGATTACCTTGGTAAGTCCTCTTCTAATAAATTCTAGCCGGCCTCACTAACAGTCGTAGGTGCTTTCCTTTTCATCGGTGGTGTCGTGCCTTTCCTCTTGGGTATCGTCTGGGCCAATGTCTACTCATCCACAGACCCCCATGTGGTGGCATCACTAGTCGTTGGAGCAGTTGTACTCCTCTGCTTTGCTCTCTGGGAAACCTTCGGCAACCTCAAGTACCCACTTGCTCCCACAGCGATTTTCACCAGCTCATACGGCCGTGACTTCACTGCACCTGTTATCGCCCTGGGAGTCATCAACATGTTCTACTACTCCTCAAGCATCTTGTGGCCTGAAATGATTGATGCTTTCTACACTAACTTCGATGCGGATTGGAGATATGCCGTTGTCCTATCCCTGCCTCAAGGCCTCGGTATTCTGTTTGGTGCTCTTCTGCTCACTTTCTTTGGTAGCTACATCCGTAACTGGCAGTGGCAGTTAACCGGCTCCGTGTTTGTGATGGTTCTGTTTGGATCTCTACTTGGTTTGGTTTCGCCTCATAACAAGGGCATGATGATTGCCTTCTTGTTCCTCTCTCAGGTTGGTTTTGGCTGGGGTATTTACCTAAGCATTGCTATCTGCCAAATGGGTGTAACCCAACAGAACCTTGGTGTGAGTGGAGGTATCTCAGGATGTCTTCGCTTTGCGGCTGGTGCAGGTATGCTTGTTTTTTTCCGGACTCTGATTCAAATTCATACTAAGAGTCATTATTCTAGTTGCCACCACAATTTACGAGGTCGTGTTTGATAAGAGTCTTACCAAATACATGGACAAGTATATCCCAGATGCAGTTACTGCCGCTGGTCTGTCAGACTCCAAGGTTACAGGTTTGATGAGCGTCGTCTCCGGTGGCGCCTCCGCTCTGAGCTCCTATAGCCCGGCAGTCGCTTCTGCTGCGGTGAGTGCTCTAGAGCATGCCTACTGCAAAGCCATCTTGTAAGTATTCAAAGTCAAGGATTTGGTGAACTGGATCAATCAACTAACTTGGTTTTAGTATCGTTGCAATGGTTTCCATGGCCTTTGGTATTGTGGGACTCATCGCTTGTCTGTGTTGCAAAGACGTTGATGCTAAGATGACCAACAAGGTAAGATGGAAGACTGGCTTTACCCTTTTGTTTGATCTCATTTACTGACCATTCTTAGATTGAGGTCTATCTTGAAAATACCAAGCAGGCGGATCGAAACACTTTCCACTAGATTTATACTTCTGTCCTGCTTGGGGTGATAGAGTAGCAGCAGGACAACATTCAAAATGTTGAAGAATGCCGCAACCGATAATTTTCGTACGACAGAAGGATTTGATAGCAGGCAGGACCTTGATCATCATGGACCAATGAATATGGACAACGGATATGGATATGATAAATACGTAATGAATAGATTGTTGATAGTTAAGGAAGATATACAATAATTGTTGATTGTTCACATTGTGTACATGCTCATTCATAGTAATATTGTAAGAGGCGTGGCCGCTATCGCTATTGGGGAAAACATTGAAGAAGAAAGTTAAACCATACAAAAAGGAAATACCGAGGTATCTTAACAGGAAACATCGCAAAGAAAAGAAAAGAAAAGAAATAAAAATATCACCATGAATATGCCCGGCCCAGTTCATCCCTCATCAAGTCCGTCAACATAAGGAGTTTATTCGTTGTAGAATTTCTTCATGATCAGATGCAAGAACAAGTTGACGTTAACTCTCATCTGTGCATCGAAAAAGTCCATGAATTGTGTATTGTTGAATTGCGCCTGCAACAGATCATCCAGTGGTACTTGCGCATTGGCCCGGGGACCATCATGTTACCACTGCTACCATCTATGGTGAACACACCAACTTCATTGCTGGAGATGGTCAAATCCACTCGGTCAAATTGTCGATCGGAATAACCCTTCCAAGCAACAAGGACTCCACGATCTGCCAGATTGCGGGCCGAATATTTGTAGGATCCAAATTTGAACACCTTGCCGGATTTTTGAAGCTCGCGCTGATGATCCCACTGCTTGGTGAAAGGCATCAAGAATCGTTTCTTTCCCTTCTTGGTTTGAAGAGTGACCATGGCCTGTTCAATGTAATCGTTGTACGTCTTGAGTTGTCCCTCCAAGTAGCTAGCTTGATCGCTGAGACGCGCTGAAGTCAACCGGGCTCCTTCCAACTCACGCTCCCGTTGAACCCGGCGGCGATGTTTGGTTCGGATGTCAATGGCAATGGCATTCAAAAGATCCTGGTAGTGGTTTTGTCGGCTTATCTTGCCAGCTTGCTCGAGGCGCAGGATGTTCTCCAACGCAGTGCCCTTGAGCGCTGAGTAGCTCATTGAGCCGATATCGATCAAGCTGCTGGCCTCGGAGTAGGCACCTCGACGTGGATTGGTTGTGCTAAGCTCATCCCGCACCAGTGTTCGCCACCTCTCTTCATCTCCGTCACTGGGCGGCTTGAGCATGATATCCAGTAGGTTGGTACCACTCTGTACTCGAATGATGTAAAGAATGCATCGCTTAGTCTCCATAAACAAGGCTTTCACTGCAGCTTCAGGGTCTACATTGTTTTGTTAGCCATCACTCTATATGGATTATTCTGCTTTCATAGCATGCTTACCTTCGACTTGAGCTAGCTTGGGGTTAAGAGTGAGGTTGATTTCCGTGGAGCTGACACTCATCAACTCATTTTCGTTGCTTTTGACGTTGCCGAGGTCGTGCACAAGCTGTTTGAGGATGTCGCCGGGATAAGAACACATGAAGTCGATTTGGGAGGCCACCAGTTGATGAATAGAGAAAATATCGGACATCTTGATATACAAAGTGGGCTTGGCCTTGGCATACAGATCATTGAACTCGTCAATATCAAAGTAGGCCTCCGCATCTTGGACAGAAATTACTGCTTCTTGTTAGCTTTGTTGTGAGTTTTTTGGGGCAAAGACAATAAAAAACACTTACACTGTCCCCAAATGCTGCCAAGCCGCTGTATTGATTCGCCAATGTATGTGTTCAGAGGTTGGAGATAAACGTTTTCAGCGCCAAATAAACGACCAGAAGCAACCTGAGCAACTACCTTGGAAATCTCTCCAAGGTTCCTCTTCTGTTCTTGCGTCAGGCCTCGGTCTACCACTCCATTCCTCTCCGGTTCTAGCAAAGCTGGCTGGAAATAACTCTTCCAAATCCAGTGACCAACTGTCTGGAGCACAAATCCAGGTTCCTCATTGGGGAAACGCTCAAGCAGGTTCTCGTACATTTGCTTGGCCAAGTATCGAGTACCAAAAGGCATGCGGTACAGGAAATCTTCAAAGGCTGCGAAAAACAGATCGGCGATGTCGCGGAGATCTTGCAAATTTTGGATAAAAGTTTCACGAGTCTCGGGGTCTCGGATTGCTTCCTCGCGAGGAAGATCTGGATGTCGTCGACTGCGTTGACCAGTGCGCAGCTCCTCATTGTTGATTGAAGAGCGGTAGATCTGGATCGGATCACTCTCGAGATCCAGTTGTGGGTTGTCAATGATAGAGTCCTTTACCACAGTTCCCAGGACATCACGCATAAATTTACGGTCTCGGGGTGATTTAGCGTAAGAACCGAATAGTTTGTTCCAGAATGCGTTGCAGCGCAAGAAATCAGGAAGTGCCACAAACCCGTCAATATCTTCTTTCACGGAACGTGCAAGAAGCTTAACGAGGTAATACTCTTCTCGTCTCTTTTGGGAGTATCCGAAAAGACCCATCATCAAATGCTTGATTCTTTCATACTCTTTATCTGAGGTATTGACCTGTCGGAGTCGCTGGAATAGTCTTGCCAAATACTGTGATTGAGTCTGTAAAAGGAAGAAGAAGACCTGGTACTGGTCTAACTTTCTTCTGGAAGTTTTGTTCAAGGCCTTCAGGTCGTACGGATCCTTGGAGGACATGTCGGTGCTGGAGAGCAAATTGCCAATATGACCGCCGAAGTGTTTTTGGTGTTTGACAACTTCATCAAGGGTAATCTTGTTCTTGACTAGTAGAGCGATCTTGATGTCCAGTTGACTGATATACTGCTCTGCAAGCTCATTTTGCCGCACTTGTTGAACAACGACCTTGCGTAACCTCTCAAACTCAATCTCCTCATCGAAATCGAAGTCACTGTCATTGAGAAGATGAACAAAGCCCTTGACAGTCCCCACGGGTGGGTTCTTTCCGCTGGTGAGACTCTTGTACGCATGACCTTGGATGCGCGCCCGGATAACACTTTGAGCTTTGATCACCTTCTCCATGTTCCTATTGTAATGACGACGGCGCTCCTCAAATCGATTGCGGACGAGCATCCCACGAATGCTGGCTTGCAGGTCGGTGATAAATTCATCTTCATCCTCCAGGTCCGCAAGCATCTCACCAACCTGACAACGAAGGAGCATGGCGCGACTCAGGGCTTGAAGCTCAAAAATTTCCTCTTCGTTCTCTTCTAGTCTGGTAAGAATATCACCAACTCTTATGCGTTCCAAGGCGGCTCGAGAAAGTGCTTGGAGGTCAACAATAAAATTCTCCTGTTGTTCCAGCATTCTGCGTTCATTTTCTCTGTACTTGCGTTGAATCAAGCCTCTGGTCATGGACTGAATGTCTAAAACAGCGCTCTCCTCCCTCAAAAGCTTGGTGTGCTGCAATTGTAAGAACTCTCGCTGGGCTTGGCCTCGAATGATGCCTTGTAGATCAACGACGGGTGATGTATGCTGCGCCAATTCATCACAGAGCGCTTTCTTGTTCTGGCGAGCTGCAGCACCGCGAATCAATGTCTGCAGATCGACGCAGTCTTGCCCTGTCTTTGCGAGATCATCATTCAGCTGCAAAATACGGCTCCTACATGCAAGTGCCCGAGCCCCTGCTTGCAGTAAAGTCACACTGAGGCTCTCGTTGAGGAGAGAAGTCTTGATTTGAGCCACTTTTTCGCGAGCGAGGTTCCCTCGAATCACTGCCTGCAGTGACTTGACAGGGCTGCTAGCCTGCTCTACTTGCTGAGACTGGTTGTGAATTTCCTTTCGCTGCAAAGATCCCCGGATGGCTGCTTGGAGACCTGACACGCCACTCTCCGCATAGCTGAGCTGTTCGTATTGGTCGGCGATACTCTTCCTTTGGAATGCACCTCGAATCGCGGCCTGAAGAGCCAGCATGTCATTCTCTGCGTGTCTAGTCTGATCGTATTGGTCGGCGACAATCTTTCGTTGTAGTGCACCTCGAATCACCGCTTGGAGAGCAGTCACACCATTCTCCGCATATCTGGTCTGGTCGTATTGGTCGGCGACAATCTTCCGTTGTAGTACACCTCGAATAGCCGCTTGGAGAGCAGTCACGTCATTCTCCGCATATCTGGTCTGCTTGTATTGGTCGGCGACAATCTTTCGTTGTAGTGCACCTCGAATCACCGCTTGGAGAGCCGTAACATCCTTTTCTGCATCTTGAGTCTCGTCGTACTGATCGGCGACAATCTTCCGCTGAAGCGCACCTCGGATCGCTGCTTGGAAACTCTTGATTCCAGACTCCTCTTTTCGCACACGAGTCTGCAGCAAGTTGCTTTGGGCTCGCGCTTTGCACGCCCGAATGAGGCTTTGTAGCTCGAGAATGTCGCATTCTTGTGCCTTTCGCCACTCAGTTTCCCCTTTTTGACGGTGACGCACAATAAATCCTCGGCTGATTGCTTGCAGTTGAACCGCAAATTGGCGCATTTCAATTCGATATCGGCTAACTTGTCGGGCCCAATCACCGCGCATAATAGATTGCAATTCAATCAAAAGCGGCTCAAAGTCCCAGAGATCATTCATCAAATTGCCAAGCTTCAAGCGCATCATAGCACCTCGAACCTGAGCCTGAAAGTCGGAAATTGAGGCCTGGTTCTCGTGAAGCTCACGGTCAATTCGCTCCTCCTCCGTTTCGACGGGCTCCGGTTCAGGTTCTGGCTCTGCATCGAAATTTGCGGCCATACCTGCGAAACTTGGCATACTGACACCCGCTTTATCGAGGCCCTTTTGAGTTTTCTCAAGCTCATGATGTTCGAATTCGAGTTGACCAACAAGGTTTCCCATTCGGAAGTCGAGCATGCCATTTTTGAATAGTAACCAAGAGAGAGCATGAATGCAGTGTATGACTTTCGGAATGTTTTTCTTTTCGTAAAGGTCAATGAGCTCAAATCGGAAAAGCTCGGGCAGTTCAATATCATCAAGGAATCTGAAGAAAACTGCGATGTTATCGGAGTGGCGATATTGTAGCTTTGCATGTCGAAATATGCGCAAATTTCGGTCGGGATACATTGATTGGACCACCTCTGCTAGCGTCACGCCATCTCTCAGGGCTTCTTCAAGCTGAATAATTGGCGGAATTTGTTTCTTGATGACCTCCTCGATCCATTCTTTAGCCTCACCAATGTGACAAAGATATTCATATGCTTGTAAAAATTGACGCTGTTGATCCATCCAATTTCCTGCTGCCCATGAAGACGCCTTGGGCTTTTCTGGAGATATGGCACCCTTTCTTCCGGCCACCGAATCTGCACGTTTCAAGCGTCGCCGTCCCTGTAACCCAATCACAGAAGCAGTGGCGGACGCAAGTTGAAACTCCTCGCCCTCCCCGGATTTAGCGAACTTTGACAATGTTCGGAGATGACCGATAGACGATTTTTGAAACGTTTCGAGTTCCGGCGCAGAAATTGCGGTCGTCAACTGAGCTGGGCGAGGACTTCCAGGCAATGTCTTTTGGGGCGATGAAGGACGCGACGATCCCGGGGTTGGAGTAGGAGACCAATGGCGCGGGGAAGCTCCCATTGGAGATGTTTGAGGTTCAACTGCGGGGGATCGATACCGGGGCGATTCGTTTTCTTTGAAATGGACGTGATGTGACTCGGGGGTACTAGGTCGAACATCCTTGTGATGCTGTTGTTCATCGATAGTGTGACTGCGCGTGTGACGATAGGCGCCCGCCTTGGGGCTTGTTGGGGAAATGTTTGGCGCCTGTTGCAAGGGTCGCAAAGACCGACGGATATTCTCATACGTTGATCCAGCATTGGGTAATCCTCGGTCTGTTGATTCCATGATGACAGCACTGGCCTCACTTTTCCCTCGGTGATGGCTTAAAGTGCTTTTTATGGATGCATTGGATGAAACCGTGCTTGTTCGACTGGGAGCAAAGGAGCTTGATCCGACGGAGTAGATGGAAGAGTTTGTAGACGCTGTTGACCCGTGTCGCAATGGGCTGGATTGCTGCGCTGGGAGATCGGTCTGGGCCCGCTTGAGCGAAGGGAATTGACTCGACATCACTATGACCAAAGCAACAGGAATGCGAACACCAAGGAGAGATTCTTGTGTTCAATAGACCGCATCCCTGCTTCAGTAATAGAAGCGGGGCGTCACAATTGAAACAGTTGAGTCCGAGCTCACGGTGTTGGCTTTGTTTTTGTGGGAACGGTTGTTCGGAATGTGAGGTGAAAACGCGATTTGGCAACTGCGCGCTAGTGTCGATATCGAGACGGTGGGGGGGATCACTGTCGATGATTTCGAATAGATGTTGAAGATTTCAGATCCAATGGCTCCTTCCCGATGATGGAATTCTTGTTGACGGTGGGGAGGGGAACCAAGGCAGGAACGAACCGGGTTTCTCCAATTCCTGTTTCGGACACGCCCAAAACAAATCTCCCGATATGGACTAGCGCTATCCGCTGAAATGTCGATCTCGCAAGCCTCGCTATCACGTGTTTGAATTTCCTCATATTAATCCGAAGTCGGAGATCAAGATTTTGCCTTATTTCAATGTTTTCTTTTCTTCTATAGGTAGTCACATACTTTATTGTTCTCATCTGATATATTCCAATCACTCATTTGTCAAGGGAGACTACAGGGTGGAAGTTACCAACAGTGATCGATAGGCTCTGATTGTGGGCCGTAGTCCCGTGCGACCATCGTATTTTGTGCATTGCCTACAACCCACATGTGCCCATCGGTGGGACCGACCCATCCAAGCTAGAGAGATTCAAAGTCTGATCACTATAGCCCTGGAGTAGAGTAGATCTCAAGCCTGAGGACTCGAGATAAAATTGAAGAGTCCAGAGGTCGTTTCAACCTTGGAAGTTTCTTATACATATAGTAGTAGTCGCTTCAACTTGAAGTTTATTTACCGGGGTGTTGCTAACCTCATGATCATACGTGGGATTCGTGCGGAAATGCAAATGTGCAATGAACTTGAACATTGCTATGTAAGTGGGTTCAAGTTCAAGAAGGGCTCTTAAGAAAATTCGACACTGGCACCTGGCAGTACTCCTCCAGGGCTCCAAACCTAGCTGGGGTTTGGGTTTTGAGATTCCAGTATTACATTAGTAATAGGATTATATTCTAAATAAACTAGTTAAAATATGAGCTTCGTAGAGCTCATGTACTGACTAATTAAGAGTTGTAGGGATATAAGGGTTATAAGAGATATAACGGTTGTAGAACAGTTATCAGACAGTTATCAAATACCCAATACAGGAATCCATACAGATATTAATCAATTCAGAAATAGACCAATATTAATTGGTAATTTATATATTAGTAAAATTACATACAATATTCTACGCGTCTACAGTACTATAATCAAAACAAATAATCATCCTAAGACCTATATACACTTCTAAGATTCCAAGATTAATTCGGAAGATCAGTATTCAGAAGGTTAGTATTCAGAAGGTTCAAGTTAGAAATTTTTAAAATTTCCAAGTCCATATTTCAAAGGGAGTTGGAGAAGTAAGAAGAATCCAACACATAGACAGATATATATATATATATATATATATATTCCAGGGGGGCCATTAAAAACATAACAATTATGTTACAAACTGGCTGTCAAGCAACGTGAGTATACACTGCCGTAGTGTCAATACTTACCGCAAGCCGTTATCCTGCAACTGTACCGTCGCCGTCCGGGCCTTACACGGGCTAGAGTCTTTAGGGATCCTTGCACGGTAATGCTTGAGTCAGGGGTTTGCTAGTAGGCCAGTCACGAGTGAGCTCTCCTAACTAGTTGGGTTTGTCTTCAAGGGTTCGATTGTGATCAAAGCAAAGTGTCAATCTGATTCGTACTGTAGAGTCCAATAACAATGATGAGAATAATCGCGAAGAACTAAATACATGTGGTAACGAGTGTCCTTATATGTCCCTAGTCCTTCCGTATACTCCTGCGGTGACTCGGGAGTCGCCGTGGGAGTCACTGTATACTCCGCCGTATACCCCCGGGTATATCGTGGAGTCGACGGTCACGTGATATGGCGTGTTTAGTCAGACGTTGGTCGGCTCCCTTTGTGACCACTCCCAGGTCTTCACGTGACGTCCGTGGTCTTTTGTTGAAACAAGACTGATTGGCTCCCATGAGCCCAGAGCTGGACCTGGTCCCTGTGGGTCCGTAACAATTTAGTTACAAGAATTTTAATTAGAACTAATTATCAGGCAGAATCAGGCAAAAATTATTATTCCTTAGTTAGGCATTAATTTTAATCTCAACCAATTATAAGGCAATATTAGGCAGAAAACCTGCTTAGTAATAGGTTATATTTTCATAACCGTGGTATAACCATTCTACAACCATTCAGGACTATTTCTAGCTTAGTCTTGTATTTTTTTTATACAGGCTTATCAAGCTTCTAGTCAGGTAACTATTATATATTAAATATAGTAATATTACTATAAATATCTGTCATATCACCGTAGTGAATTTCATTATAGTGATCATACGGGAGTTTAAAAACCCATTCCCCTGCTAGGAACTTGAATATATTATATCTCAGAGGCATATCCTAGTACTACCTATTACCTAGGTAGTAGTTATGACATCTGGATGCTCCGATCTTTATCTACTTGGAACTTCAAGTTGAAGTTTAAATTGACCACTGGCATTACTGCCCAGGTAGGTACCTAGGTATTACATACATACTTGGAGGGCTCAAACTTCGACGCAGCCACTGGCAGTTGCAAATTGAATGAACAATGATTGAAATCATGCCACTGGCAGTACTATGTGCGGGTATGTTCAAAATGTTCACTCGGGCTCTTATCATCGTGAGTCGTGACCATGCACATGTAGGATTCCGAGTCAGGTCTCAAAATATCATGATACGTACTAATTATTCTTAGTTGCACGCTAAATGTTGAAAATTTGAAGTTCAAATGTTGCTTCTGGCCCTCGTAGATGACGCGATTTGAGTGCAGTAACTAATACTAGTAGTGCTCGGCAGACCCCGCCAACATCATGAAAAACCAATGCGGATCCACTCGGGCTCTAGCATCCCCTCGCCAACACAACGTCTAATCATAGAAATATTCAGTCCGTCCAAACCTTTGATCGCCTCTTACTAATATCTCATTTTCGGGACACATTTACATTATAATGGCGGAATCTGAGGCTTTGCCTCGCTACATCTACAAAATCGTGCCTTCGGCAGCACCGGTCCACGAGCCGCTTCCTGAACGTTTACCTGTTAGCGACCTGGATCAGGATTCGTGGTTCATCCACCTCTCAACGGCAGCTCAAGTGCCCAACACTCTCAAGTTCTTTTTCAAGGATGAGCCCCTCATCTACCTGCTGCGTATAGATTATCAAAATGTCAGCCAGAACGTTCGCTGGGAGTCTCCCGACGGGAAAGTGTGTGGGCCACGACCCGGCGAGGGCTTGTTTCCTGTGAGTTATAGGGCCTGATAACCTAGAAATGTTGATGGACTGATAAGGAACATGACTGACTCATTTTAAGCATCTCTATAACGAGCTGAAGCTGGGCAAAGATGAAGTCGAAAGCGTCGTGGTCTGGCAAAATGAAGATGGGTGGGACAAGGCTATCAATGGGGCTGCACTATGGCTTCTATAGTGAATCTAAATATGATTGAGTTGCTTCAAATATGCCCAGGCAGTGCCTCCAGAGCTACGTTTATGGATATATTACTAAAGTTTCATCTGATACTATCATAAATACAGTACATCAATAGTCCACGGGTACCCCCAGGCCTATGTTGGGGCCACATGCATGTTCAAACCCCTCAGACCTCCCGCATGGTACTAGTACTACCAACTTCAATTTAAACCGTGATCATACGGGTACTACTACCGCCTGGCAGCACTTGAGTATTACTAAAATTACGTACACTGTATTCAACCTTGGAACCTTGGAAGCTAGAGCTTCAAATCTTCAAATTGAATAACGTGCACATGTGATTGAAACCTGCAAATGTTGGAAGATATCTAACTGCCAGTGGAGTCTAGGCGGCAGTGTCAATAATGAACCTGAATGACTCATTGAATGAGATTTACAGGCAGATGAGCTTCGGATGTACGGATATCTACCTAGGCATCCATGAATGTAGTTCAGTATCAAGCATTATCTGAGATCTAATAACCATGGGAGTCCGAGCCGTTGATGATACTTTTACTAGTATCATTTAGGTAGTAAGTTGATGCAGTGTCGAAGTACTAGTACATATTGTTCCATCTCAAGTGCTGATACTATTATTGAGACAAATATACCATCGCATATATTCCAAGCAGAGTGAGGGATTTCAATGCACTCAAGTTCCACCTCAATGAAAGTTTCTGGAAAAAACATTATTAATTGCTTATACGGCCCCCGGGGCCATGGACGTTACTACTGGCGGGGCAGTGCGGACAAATGGCGGCAATATAGATTCCAACCTTGGAACCTTGGAAGTAGATAAGAGATTTCTAATCAGCAGGAACTCACCGCCTGCCGGAAATCTCGTTTAGTGCCCAATCATATCATGTGACAGTGAAAAAGCTGTTGCGCTAGTCCCTGATAGGTATGGCCTGGCCGTGCGCGGAAGAGAAGAAAAGGACGACTTTTTCTCTCCAAATTTTTTTCTTCTTCTTCTTTTCTTTGGGAAAGCTGGTCTCTCTCCATCAACAGAAGGTTTCATTCTGCTTGATTAATCTTTGATCCAGGACTCCAATTCCTCCTCTGATCTCAGACATTCTCTCTTTTATTTAAATTAATCATGCCTATCACCAACAAGGAGGCTGCGCCCGGTGCCGCCATGAAGGCTGAGATCGTGGACTACACTAAGGCCCTCGAGGTCGTTAAGACCTATGCTACTCAGGATGGTCTTGATGTTGATACTCTTCTTGACTCCGACAAGCACGGAGCTCTGACTTACAACGATTTCCTCATTCTCCCCGGTTACATTGGTAAGCTCAACAAGCTCCCTCCACTGATGGCGGGGTACCTGATTTGAGAGGAAAATTTTCTAACACATTGGGATCATAGGTTTCCCTGCTTCCGATGTTTCCCTTGACACTCCCGTCACTAAGCGTATCTCGCTGAAGGCTCCCCTTGTCTCCTCCCCCATGGACACTGTCACTGAGCACAACATGGCTATCCACATGGCCCTGCTCGGTGGTCTCGGTGTTATCCACAACAACTGTGCCCCCGAGGACCAGGCCGAGATGGTCCGCAAGGTCAAGAGATACGAGAATGGTTTCATCTTGGACCCCGTCGTTCTTGCACCCACTGCTACCGTCGGTGAGGCCAAGGACCTCAAGGCCAAGTGGGGCTTCGGTGGTTTCCCCGTCACTGGTAAGCTTCTCCTTTCTTTCTTTTTTGTCTTCATATTGGCCCAATTCCCTTGTATTTGCATGATGAACAAACCTTTCTATATAACTTTCGTTCCACTGGTAGCCGCGAGAGCAGCACTGTAGAGAACTTTTTTAACTGAACTTTTACACCTGATCACATTTTGTCAACCAAAAATTTTGTGTGGCATGGATGCTAACATCAATTGCCCAACAGAGGACGGTACCCTCCGCTCCAAGCTCATTGGTATGGTCACTTCCCGTGACATCCAGTTCCAGCAGGACCTCGGTGCTCCTGTGACCACTATTATGGCCACTGACCTGGTTACCGCCCCCGCCGGTACTACCCTGGCTGAGGCCAACGATGTCCTGCGCCAGTCTAAGAAGGGCAAGCTGCCCATCATTGATTCCAACGGCAACCTTATCTCTCTGCTGTCCCGCTCGGACTTGATGAAGAACCTGCACTACCCTCTTGCCTCCAAGCTCCCCGATTCCAAGCAACTCATCTGTGCTGCCGCCATCGGAACCCGCGAGGAGGACAAGACCCGTCTTAAGCTTCTTGTTGAGGCCGGCCTCGATATTGTTATCCTTGACAGCAGTCAGGGTAACAGCATGTTCATGATCCACATGGTCAAGTACGCTAAGGAGACCTTCCCCGAGATTGATGTTATTGCCGGTAACGTTGTTACCCGGGAGCAGGCTGCTTCCTTGATTGCCGCCGGTGCCGATGGCCTGAGAATTGGCATGGGCAGCGGTAGCGCTTGCATTACTCAAGAGGTCATGGCTGTTGGCCGTCCTCAGGCCGCCGCTGTTCGCAGCGTCGCCAACTTCGCTGCCCGCTTCGGTGTTCCCTGTATCGCTGACGGTGGTGTCCAGAACGTTGGTCACATTGTCAAGGGTCTGGCCATGGGTGCTAGCACCGTCATGATGGGTGGTCTCCTTGCCGGTACCACTGAGTCTCCTGGCGAGTACTACGTCAGCAACGAAGGTCAGCTCGTCAAGGCCTACCGTGGTATGGGCAGTATCGCTGCCATGGAGGATAAGAAGGCTGCCGGTAGCAACAAGGACAGCCGTGCTAGCAACGCCGGTACCGCTCGCTACTTCTCCGAGAAGGACCGTGTCCTGGTCGCCCAGGGTGTCGCTGGTTCCGTTCTGGACCGTGGCTCCGTCACCAAGTTTATCCCCTACCTCTTTGCCGGTGTTCAGCACTCTCTGCAGGACATTGGTGTCAAGAGCCTCGATGCTCTGCACGACGACGTCAACTCCGGTGCTGTGCGCTTTGAGATGAGAAGTGCCAGTGCTATGGCTGAGGGTAACGTCCACGGCCTCCACAGCTACGACAAGAAGCTCTACGTGTAAAATCTAGGCTTTTTGAGAAATATTGAAATAAAGATTTCGCGCTGTGAATGTGAATATGACTGGGATGTCCGCATGATGGTACGTGGACTTGGAAATAAAAAAAAGGGGTATGATAGGATTGGAGTTACTATCCGAGGAGTCTAGCTATTGATTTAATGAGCATATATTCAATGTTGTTTCCGGAATTTTTTCTTGATCAAAATCTGTAAATTTATGTATTCCTCCTTGAACTTGAATTTTCATTGCACCTGACTTGATGCTCAGGTGTACACTATGGACCGAAGCACATGGCGCTTGCCGGCTACTTAGCCCTGATGGGGATTAGTACCGCGCGGGGTACAGGGATAAGCCTAGGCTCTCGGGTCATTTACCTTTGTATCTATAAACCTCCCTCGGCGACGTCCTTTCTTTTGAGGAGATGTCTCAAATACTATCGGAGTACCTTCTCAATCGCCTTTCACTTTCCAGAGGGGCAGTAAGGCACTCAATAAACTTATCAGCACCAAAATATCGCTCGATACGAATCGCGCGCCCGATAAGTCTGCCGTTTTACAGACTGCAAAGCTCAACCGGAAGGAACTATTCATTGGCTTCAATCCCAGAGAAAACATCATCAGAACCTAAAATGCCGCGTGCAAAGAACAGCAGTAGTGAAAAGGAGGTGGCTATTCCTCGGCCCAGTTCCAGGTAAGGAGTCAGAGTTCTCGTGCAAGGTTGTCCGCAGACCGCGATGCTTTCCGACGGGAAACACATCGTCGCATCTCATATCAAGAAATATAGCTAACTTTGCCATAGTGTGATACTTGTTTCTCCGCAAAATGAGATTCTTCTTCTCCATCGCGTGCATACGTCTACATCTTTTGCATCTGCTCATGTTTTCCCAGGCGGAAACCTTGCAAGCCAGGACGGCGCATGCCCGCCTCCTGAGGATCCTACACGACACGATGATGGGCCACATTATCGCAATGCAGCAATAAGAGAGCTCTTTGAGGAGAGTGGAATTCTTCTTGCCAAGGATGCGAGCACAGGAAAGATGCTCGTCGTCGATGAAGCAACTAGAGAGCAAGGCCGTGGGCTAATTCACCAAAATGAGATCACATTTGACAAGTGGTTGAAACAGCAACATTCAACGGCTGAACCTGACATTGGTGAGATATGATATTAGATCCTGCTTCTTTTAAGTTTTGCCAGGCTAACTAAAACATTTGAACCAGATGCGTTGATTCCCTTCACTCGCTGGGTGACTCCAACAAATGTTTCCAAACGATACACTACCCAGATGTACCTATACTTTATGCCCCTGCCTAATGGTGCAGATAAAAGGCTACTTGAAGACTTGCCTACAGAAGGTGAACGTGAAGAAATTCAAGTTCCGACAAGCGACGGCGGTATAGAGGTTACCGAGGCACAGTTTCTTCCAGCCTCTGAATGGCTTCGCCGTGCACAAAGTGGGGAGATCATTCTGTTCCCTCCGCAATTCCTTCTCCTGCATCTTGTTTCCGGTTTTCTGGACCAAGAGCCTCGATCGGATGCGCCTGTGAAAGAGTTGGGAAAACGGCGAGCGGCTCTTGTTGATTTTGTTCACTCGGGATCGCCACCCTGGACACATAAGTGCATTTCGCCTAAAGTGCTTAAGATGACCGAAGATGGGCGGTCAGTATTGGCTCTCGATAACGCTGGTCCTGAATTGAAGGGTTCTGAGCGACGAGGCGAATCCGATCGAGTTGTAGTTTTGAAATTCAAGAAAGGGAGTTCGAGGGAGGTTACAGTAGCATGGAAGAAGGATATCTTGAGAGAAGGACAGAGTCATCTTTAGATCTAAAAGATATTGATTTACTCCGTACATATTGTACAGTTTGAGCCCATGGCTATCAACAATTGAATTCTAATGAAATTCCGTGAAGAATGTGTACACTCAATTGCTAGTCGACTTGAGTACTATTCATGTTAGTGAATTAGTTGAGCAGAGAAGCCATATCTCTGCGTCTCGCTCGCGGTTGAAATGATCTAAGAATTAGCCTCAATCAATAATTCTAATATGTCGGAAAATAGAGGCATTTCAGCGGTCCAGAAACGCTCATCGAATCCATTAAGTCCTTGAACCTTGGAACTCTTTCCATGTATGGAAAGCGGAGACATATTGCCACGCATTATTCTATGTACTGCACCTAATAACACGCACTTTCCATTTCCACCACATAAGCCCTCGACAAATAGTCACATGACCCACACAAATCATTTTGGGTCTTCAATTTTATGGGCCATCAAAAATCCATCCACCTCCAACCTCACCGTCGCCCGTCAAACCCCCCTACACACAACCCGCCAAAATGGAGAACGAGAAGGGAGAGATCGTCGATCTGTACGTGCTTTGGTCTCCGAAATCACTCACCTGAAAATCCCGGAACCCTTGAGTCTCGCTGTACATGCGCAACCGCAGTCCTGCGAACGTCGAAGCCGCATGGAATTTTTTTTTCATTCATGTCGGTTACAAGAAATTGGACACGCAATTATCACTGCCGGTCATCCACACAACCTGCGAGCATATCAGTCAGACAAAAGGGAACCGATGGACTCAAGGACTTGGGTTGAATGCGAATAAAAACGAAAACCCGGCAATACTAATATAGTCTTTTCTTCTTGAACAGCTACGTGCCCCGCAAGTGCAGCGCCACCAACCGCATCATCAAGGCCAACGACCACGCCTCCGTCCAGCTGTCCGTCGGCAAGGTTGACGAGAACGGCCGCTACACCGGTGAGAACGAGACCTACGCTCTGTGCGGTTTCATTCGCGCCCGTGGTGAGAGCGATGACTCCTTCAACCGCCTCGCTCAGCGTGACGGTTTCCTGAAGAACGTCTGGGCCGCCAGCCGCCAGCGATAAATGCTCGGCTTTTGGTGACTATGGGTTGATATGATGGTTCGTGACACCCCGCCTTTTCGAATATACCAGGGAACTCAAACTAATAATATCTTATAGACGAACTGTGGCTAGATGGTCCAGGTTCGGGGATTGGTTATGAAAAAAAATCAGGTGGTCGGGACGCGGATACGTTACCCCCGCCCTGGAAGTTCTTTTTTAGTCCCCTAGAGAGACCCTGTTCTCCTAGAGTCATATCTATCGAATGAATGGAATCGACGACTTAATGGGTCAGGTTTTCTCAAAAGACCAATTTTTCAATTTACCCGTTACACGGGTTCCACGCCTTATACCGATAGATGTCTCCCTAGGTTAGGTTTAAGGGCATCTGCCTCGCAACCTTACAACCTCCTGCTACAGTTGCAGTCCCAGGCAAAGTGAAAAAAGAAAAAATCATAATCTTAGACACTGATCCTTAGTTTTCTTTTCCTACATTTTTCCCCGTTTTGGTATTTCCTTTACTCTCTTCTGGTTCATATCAGTCGGCACATCAAGCCCTCCTCACCCAGTAGACGGAAATCGGATCTTGAATCTGTGTTTCCCATGTCTACAATCCCATGAGCGAGGAGGTAGACATAACATATCCATCGCCGAAAATCATTTCTTATTCTCGCCTCCTGATGAGCCACTGTTGCAGAGTTCCATGCGCTGGGGCACAGATACGGGTGGGACATCTCTTATGTACTATCTAGATCTTTGAATATGTAGGGCTTCAAGTCATTTCCAATTTAATATGAGCGCACATTCAAGAATCGAACTAAACCTACCAAGTTCAATCTCAATATTACAAGTACACCTTAGTATCTACCTCTTCCAGGGTTGAGCAGCAGCAGTTTTATAAGTTATTGAAAGATACAATATAGGGTAATATTTTTGCTTCATTTCTCCTCGTCACTGACATGCAATACGTTTGTCTTCCACATGAAATCATGATTTCAGATGAAAGCCCTCTAAACCAAAGGACATCCACCAGCAAGACACAAAAAAATGAACAGGTGCCTCTTATCTATCGACAATCCATCTCAATCGAAATTTTGCAGGATGAGCGGGTTTCACTTTTGTTTTCTTTACTCCTTCTCGAGACGAACAGCCGGGTTAGACTCGATGAAGTTCAAGTCCACCTTGTGACCCAGAAGTTCACGGATGTTGCTGACACCGTACCTATAAGAAATAGTATGTTAGTAGTGAATCAAATGGTAGAATATAGTACCCAGGAAGTAAACTCACTTAATCATGGTAGGTCGCTCCAAACTCAAACCCCAGCCGTATACCTGCATGCCCTTGGGGATGCCCATGGACTCCAGCATCTCAGGTCGGAACATACCACTGTTACCGATCTCAACCCACTTACCCAGGCCCTCGTGGTAACCGAAGATCTCCATACTGGGCTCGGTGTAAGGGTTGTAAGCAGGCTTGAAGCGCAGCTGGTGGATACCCATCTTCTTGAAGAAGACCTCCATGAAACCAATCAGACCACCAAGGGTGAGTCCAAAGTCCGCAATGACACCCTCGATCTGGTGGAACTCCGCCAAGTGGGTGGCATCGACGGCCTCGTTACGGAAGACACGGTCGATGGAGAAGAAGCGGGCCGGCCGCGGGTTAGCAGCGAGCTGGTGTAGTACGTACGCGGAGACGGAGGTGGTGTGAGTACGGAGAACAAGACGTAGCGACTCGTCTGCGTTCCATGGATAACGGTAACCGATGGAGCCAAACTTGCCCTTCTCGTGAACCTCGTGCACGTTGTCCCAGTACTGCTGGTAGTCCAGAGGCTTGTTCTGGGCCTCTGAGGAGGTCTGTGCGAGCTGAAGGCGATGAGGGTCGTCGATGGGGTCCTCGCGCGGGCGGTCCGCATGCAGAGGGTCGGCGATATAGAAAGTATCTTGGAGATCACGGGCAGGGTGTTGCTGGGGGACGAAGAGGGCGTCGAAGTTCCAGAAGCCAGTCTCGACGAAGCGGTTGGTGGGCATCTCCTGGAAACCCATTTCGAAGAAGATGTTGCGGAACTCGGATCGCACCTTGTTAAGAGGGTGCAGGGCACCGGAGGGAGTGGGTGCGCCCTTGGCGTTAAAGTTGTAGGCCTTCAGATTGGCGGTCTTCCAGGAGCCGCTGGCAAGCATCTCCGGGGTGAGATCGGTCTCCTCCTTAACGAACTCTCGGGCATACTTGGGGCCCTTGGAGAACTTGTAGGTGATTTCCTTGCTCACAGTAAGGAGTTTCCTTCGCTTCAGGTCTGCGAGAACCTTGCTATCGGACAGAGCCTTTGTGCTCTGCACGCTGAGCAGCAGCTCGCGGGTCTCATCGACAATAGTCTCCTTGATTGCGCGGAGCTTGTCACTGTCCTTCTTGATCCAGCCACGCTTGAAGGCATTACCCTGACCAATCTTGGCGTTGTCCTTCCCCACAATCCCGGGCAAATCGGTAATCTTGAGGCCGTCCAGAGCGGCGACCACAGCGGCGAAAACCTTGGCCTCGTGGCTACCATTGGCGGCAATCTCTTCACCTTCAGGGGTCAGAGTGAGGATATCCTTATCAATGGCTTCATACTCGATCATCTGTCGCGAGCCCAGGCGGTCCAGCGCACTTTTAATGGTCGATGAGGGGGTGGAGGGGAAGGCTTCGTTTGAGAGGAGGGGCGCATCGGACGCGGACAAGGCGTCCAGAATCGGGGCTGTCATGTCGGACGCCATGGCTGCAGAAGAATCCTGCAGTTAAATTGGCAGAAACTGAACAAAGGGTGAGGGATATCGGGCTTGTGTTGATAGACCAAAATTACGATGACTCTTTTCCCATTATCTCCGGCGGGACAGAGCGACCATTTCTGCCATTTCACCCCGCCATATTTTTAGGCCTTCATGCCTTATAGTAATGCCTTATAATGGAACAACACTATGATCCTAGGTTAACTGCCCAGGTGATCATAGTATGTCTGAATTATGCAGCTTATCTTGACGATATTTGGCAGGGGGGTTTGATCTCTTTGAAAACTTGCATAAATTTTGTGGATTCTTCTGGATCAGTCTCTTAAGTCCAAGTTATCTTGGAATCTGGATTTCATCCCCCGTTGTGGTAAGCCGTGTATACTAAGCTGCACCTTTCTTGTACACCTCAGTCATGCCAGTCATAGCATGAATAATCACTATATAGAAGTACACGTAGATGGGATCGTATATCGAAAACTCTAATATATGACTAGTCATCCTACCTGATGTCGGTATCTGATACCTGGTGGTCTCGTGATTCTAAGATTGTTCCACTGTTATGCTTATTCCATGTCCAGGCCACCGGGTTTTGTCTCTAACGGCGTGCTTAGGCCGCTGCATACTTCTCCCAAGTATCTGCAACATGAACCCCCAATGACCTTGATCATTTGCCACTTCCCTGTACGATACGCACTTTCGTGATCTGGAAAGTCTTCGTCTGGTGGAAATTTCCTTGTCGCACTCAATGAGGTCACAATACCCAGATGTCCATGCATATTCCTAGCTTTATATACGGGTAATAAAAAAAACACCCGTGGACATACTTGACGGGGGACTTCCGCCTCGGATCTCCGATCCCCCTCTTTACCGGGATATGGAACATCATGATTGATTCAAATGTTATCGCAGACACCCATTCATTACTACACATATGTAGTAAGCATTAATATCTACTAAGGCAAATTGCACCGGCCTTATGACCAATAAAAGAAGGACAATCAACCAGATGTCAGCCTTCAGAAGCAGTGAGAAGCCGCCGCACATTTTTTTTTCTCTTTTCTGTTAGCGAGAGATCCCAAGGGCAGAAATCCCGAGACCCAAGCTGGTCTGAGTCCACTTTTCTGAGTGGCCGAGACTTAAGGTTCGGACTGGATCCATCCACGAAGAACCAGTGATTGGTGAACTATCCCTACTAATCCTCCTGATCATGTTGGTTTTGGGGGGGCTTGGGGAGAGAAGATTTTGGGACATCTTGAGGAAGAGGAGAGAGTCCCTTGGGTGGAACCCATGAGGTTCAACATTCAAATAAACATATGAGAATTCAAACGATGAGGTATTCAGTAAAACTGGAGAAACAGGGCTTAGGGATCGACCCTGGTGACGATCATCGCGATTTTGAGCCCGAGTGGTTTCAATAAGTAGTTAAGTCTATGAGACTAAAGCGGACCACGGGAGATGAAACGCGGTTTCTGAGCTCATTGCAGTGGTTATCTGGTTTATTCCCTCTAGTCTCTTTTGATCCTTCCATTTGGTCGTGTAGGTGCATGTGCATGGTTGATGGGAGTTTATTATATCAAGGTTAAAATTTGTACCATTTATTCTATGAATATAAAAAAAACAAAATTGGTAATAAAAAAAATTAAAAAATTATGAATTAGAAATCAGGAAACTCCAGGGGAAATAAGAACTTTTGGGAATATTGAAGACAAATATCCATAATGTACCATAGGTACCTAAGTTTCTGATTTTGATTCTGATTTACAAGGTGTTTAAGCCCCTTTCAAAATCTTTCCCCTCTTACTCCGTACTCGCTGCTTTTTCTCTACCTTTACACCCGGACCATCACATATAGCGGTGTATTATTTTACATTTCTTTTCTGATAGGATTTCCTTTTTATTTTTCTCTCAGAGTTAATTTCTTAAAAAAAAAATTACAATTTATATTATATTTTGTATATTTTCTTTTACTTGATTTGTTCCTTTTCCCCCGCAAAAAAATAGAAAAAAGAGCCTTCGCTTACATAAGTCACCCCCCTTCCCAAGGTTCCCGACACTCCTCTAGGTTCCCTCTCATCCCCGAACGACTCGGGTTCTATTACATCTCCCCCGGTCTCCGATTCTTTGCAATCACCTCATGTCGCCTTGATCCGATAGCTGGATCTTCTGTGTCAGGAACTCGTCCCCGTAAGTTTGAATCTTTCTTTCCTTATCAAATCAGAAATCCCACCCTTTTTTTTCCCTGGGAATATGCCCGATGTGGCGATCTCCATCTTTCCATTTCTGTTCCTTTTTTGCTTATCCTTGATCTTTGTGTGTGGGTTTGTGTCTATCGGACATCATTCATGTTGATCTTGGCGGTGGAAGGGGAAATCTCTAGCTCTTTTCTTGTTTCCAACGGCTAATCAACTCCCAGGGCACAATGGCTGGCGCGGACGAGACTCTCGCGGCTGCGACTGCCGTGTTGCAGTCTTTGGCGAGAGATGAACCCACCGCCGGCTCCTCTTCACCCCCCTTCAATTTTCAATTTCCATCTTCAAATGGCGCAAAGACGTCTCAACTCCCCGGAGAGCCCACCGCTGTAAAGGCCGCCTTCGAAGCCGAGTTGGAGGCCTTGATGCGTCGCGTGCATCACCTGGAATTCCAAGCTGTCAGTCATCAAAAACTCCCCGACGACCCCCAGCAGGCTACCCTGTCTGCCCTCGGATCCAATGAGAGGAATCCTGATTTTCTGTGGACCTTTGGGCTCGATCGCTTGTCGTCCGGTCAAGGTTCTGACTCTTCTTATTGCCTTACACAGCAGCAAAAACTGAATCAACCCGATCGGAGACAACGAACCCCCCTCGGGCCCTGAGGAACCACCGGCCGGTGACCTCGACGACGACGAAACTGACGAAGAGGATGAGGCCGGGGCACGGACCCGTGTCGTTCGAGAGGAGGATATCAGCATTCTACGCAACCATGTTCAAAAACAGGCCGAGGAAATTAGCTTCCAAAAAGATATCATCGCCCAAGTCCGCGACGAATTGCAGAAGCAGGAAGAGCACACCCGCCGTGCTCTGACCAAGGTTGAGAATGAGGACGTCGTCCTTTTGGAACGCGAGTTACGGAAACATCAACAGGCCAATGAGGCTTTCCAGAAAGCCTTACGAGAAATTGGCGGCATCATCACACAAGTCGCAAACGGTGACCTCTCAATGAAGGTCCAGATTCACCCCTTGGAAATGGACCCAGAAATCGCTACCTTCAAACGCACGATCAACACTATGATGGACCAACTGCAGGTATTCGGTAGCGAGGTATCTCGTGTCGCCCGTGAGGTCGGAACTGAGGGAATACTCGGTGGTCAAGCTCAAATCACCGGGGTCCACGGTATCTGGAAGGAACTCACTGAAAATGTGAACATTATGGCCAAGAACTTAACGGATCAGGTGCGAGAAATCGCAACTGTAACAACTGCGGTCGCCCACGGTGATCTCTCGCAAAAGATTGAGAGTCGTGCTCAGGGTGAAATTCTGGAACTGCAACAAACGATCAACACCATGGTAGACCAACTTAGAACATTCGCAACTGAGGTAACTCGTGTCGCCCGTGATGTCGGAACAGAAGGTGTACTTGGTGGACAAGCTCAGATTGAAGGTGTTCAGGGCATGTGGAACGAACTCACCGTGAATGTCAACGCTATGGCCAACAACCTTACCACACAGGTGCGTGATATTGCTACCGTCACCAAGGCTGTCGCCAAGGGTGATTTGACACAGAAGGTGCAAGCCAACTGCCGAGGAGAAATCGCAGAACTCAAAGACATCATCAATTCCATGGTGGACCAGCTGCGCCAGTTCGCCCAAGAAGTTACCAAGATTGCGAAGGAGGTCGGCACAGATGGTGTTCTGGGAGGTCAGGCTACGGTGAACGACGTCGAAGGCACATGGAAGGATCTCACTGAAAATGTCAATCGTATGGCCAACAATCTCACTACCCAGGTACGTGAGATTGCCGATGTCACCACTGCGGTCGCCAAGGGCGATTTGACAAAGAAGGTCACTGCAAACGTGCAGGGTGAGATACTTGATCTCAAGAGTACCATCAACGGCATGGTGGATCGTCTGAACACATTCGCTTTTGAGGTCAGCAAGGTCGCCCGTGAAGTAGGCACTGATGGAACTCTTGGTGGCCAAGCCAAGGTGGACAACGTGGAAGGAAAATGGAAAGATCTCACGGACAACGTCAACACCATGGCCCAGAATCTGACATCTCAAGTACGAAGTATCTCGGACGTCACACAGGCTATTGCCAAGGGTGACCTGAGCAAAAAGATCGAGGTACACGCACAAGGAGAAATTCTCACCCTCAAGGTGACCATCAATCACATGGTTGGTCGACTTGCCAAGTTCGCTACGGAACTGAAGAAGGTCGCCCGCGATGTCGGTGTTGACGGCAAAATGGGTGGACAAGCGAACGTTGAAGGAATTGCCGGAACGTGGAAGGAGATCACCGAGGACGTCAACACCATGGCTGAGAACTTGACGTCTCAAGTGCGTGCGTTTGGCGAGATTACAGATGCTGCCACTGACGGTGATTTCACGAAACTTATCACGGTCAATGCTTCTGGAGAGATGGACGAGCTCAAGCGCAAGATCAATAAGATGGTTTCCAACCTGCGAGACAGTATTCAACGAAACACCGCAGCCAGGGAGGCTGCCGAACTTGCCAACCGAACAAAGTCCGAGTTCCTGGCGAATATGTCCCACGAAATTCGAACACCCATGAACGGTATCATTGGTATGACCCAATTGACATTGGATACCGATGACCTGAAGCCTTACACTCGCGAGATGTTGAATGTCGTACACAACCTGGCGAACAGCTTACTCACTATCATCGACGATATACTCGATATCTCAAAGATTGAAGCCAATCGCATGGTCATTGAGAGCATTCCCTTCACGGTGCGAGGCACTGTCTTCAACGCCCTAAAGACCTTAGCTGTCAAGGCGAATGAGAAGTTCTTAAGCTTGACATACCAGGTGGACAACACCGTGCCAGACTATGTCATCGGTGACCCATTCCGTCTGCGACAGATTATTCTCAACTTGGTTGGTAATGCTATCAAGTTTACGGAGCATGGAGAGGTCAAGCTTACCATTCGGAAATCTGACCGTGAGCAATGCACGACCAATGAGTATGCTTTCGAATTCTCTGTGTCGGACACTGGTATCGGTATTGAGGAGGACAAGCTGGATTTGATCTTCGACACTTTCCAGCAAGCTGATGGTTCCACCACCCGCCGCTTTGGTGGTACTGGTCTTGGTCTATCTATCTCCAAGCGCTTGGTCAACCTGATGGGTGGTGATGTCTGGGTCACCTCTGAATATGGCCACGGCAGTACCTTCCACTTCACCTGTGTTGTCAAGCTTGCCGACCAATCCATCAATGTCATTGCTTCACAGCTTCTGCCATACCGAAACCATCGAGTTCTGTTCATCGACAAGGGCCAGAACGGGACACAGGCTTCCAATGTCATGAAGATGCTCAAGCAGATCGAGCTGGAACCACTGGTTGTCAAGAACGAGGAGCACGTTCCCCCTCCAGAAATCCAGGACCCCTCTGGGAAGGAGTCTGGCCATGCATACGACGTCATCATTGTCGACTCCGTGGATACAGCACGCATACTTCGTACTTTCGACGAGTTCAAGTACATTCCGATCGTTCTGGTCTGTCCCTTGGTTTGTGTTAGCTTGAAGTCTGCTCTGGATCTGGGTATCAGTTCGTACATGACCACACCATGCCAACCGATTGATCTTGGCAATGGTATGCTGCCAGCACTCGAGGGTCGCTCGACACCAATCACCACCGACAACTCCCGATCCTTCGACATTCTCCTTGCCGAGGACAATGACGTGAACCAGCAACTGGCGATGAAGATACTCCAGAAGCACAACCACAACGTCTTTGTCGTTGGAAACGGTCTCGAGGCCGTGGAAGCTGTCAAGAAGCGTCGTTACGATGTGATTCTTATGGACGTCCAAATGCCGGTGATGGGTGGTTTCGAAGCCACGGGCAAGATTCGCGAGTACGAGCGCGAGAGCGGAATTCAACGTACCCCTATCATTGCTCTTACGGCCCACGCCATGTTGGGTGATCGTGAGAAGTGTATTCAGGCTCAAATGGACGAATACTTGTCGAAGCCTCTCAAGCAGAACCAGATGATGCAAACCATTCTCAAATGTGCAACCCTTGGTGGCTCATTATTGGAAAAGAGCAAAGAGTCACGGATATCCAGCAGCGGAGAAATGCATCCCATCCACTCCTCTGTACCCGACAATCAGAATCAGCAGCAGCAGCAACGATCACAGAAGATGCAGCCGCTGCCTACTCCTACCCGACCGGGATATGATACTCGAGCGATCACCACTTCCGGTCCCATCGTTCGAGGAAGCGTTGTCAGTCCTGTCGAGGACAAGGATGAAGAGATGATCGATGATCGGGTACGTTAAGCATGTATGTTGTGAACATTGGTTATTTGATATAGCAGACCAGCTAACATTTCAATTTTCCTTTGCTACAGTCGCTTTTACGATCCAACAGTACTTAAGCTCTTTTCCATATCATGAACATTTGATTGCCAGCATGCAGATTTTTTGTCAGATGGTTTCGATGCTGCCGTTGATACCCTGTCCATATGAGTCCCGAAGAATTATTGATTGTCCTTTGGAGGAGGAAGTCTCAACCCCCCTTATTTTTACTACTATCTCCCGTTCTACTCCTACCCTCCTCAGGCACTCTTCATTGTCATCCATTTTGATCCTCCTCGCACATCATACCATCTTCCGCATTCGCTTTGTCCCGTATCCCCGGTGGTGTCTGGCGCGATTTATTCTATTTTTTCATATTATTTTTTTTGAACAAGGCTTGGGTCTACTCGGCAACAGTCAAGTGGGTGACTGGAGGGGGGAGTTTGCAAGAGAGGGGATGCTTCAATTTCCATCCTCTCTGGGTATTTTATTGTCGTCTTATTTGTCATCTATTCTCTCGTTTTAAGGTCGACCTCGGAGCTTTTTTTTTTGACTTCTTTGTCTATTTTGTATTGTATTGAGTCGCTTCTACCTTTCTGGTTGAGCCATCTACGTTGCGAGGTAGAATGCATTCAATTATCCGAGGTTTCTTTTCTTATGACTCTCTTTGCCATGGCCCCTGTTTGATAGTTGAGGTTCGGTTTTACGAACGCTTAGACTAATGCTTCTCCGCATTTTGCAAACTTTGAAGTAGCACTGACATTAAACCGCAGAATGGCTTCATGGTTCAAATGTTTTAGAGTAACCAGTTGCTGGACTGGAAATTAGGGTTATCCAAGCCCTGTTCATCCTCTGATACAATGGTTCAAAGCATGGACTCAAAGACAGCAGAAATCAATCCAATAACACCACAAGCCACAATTTGATTCTATGTCCTGCTTTTCCCGGTTTCCAAAATATCTCCCAGAGAGGAGGTTGGGTTCCAGCGAGGAATATTACATGAAATCCAGCAAAATACCATCATATAGATCTTCTCAAGAAAACCAAATATCCCATAATATTACTCCAATCAGAATTAAAGATAGAGAAAGAGAAATAGAAAAAAGGAGAGAGAATTTGAAAACACAAACGAAAAGATTGTAAAAAGGAAAGGAGAGGAAGGGAATACAGTAGCAAAGCCCCGTACCTCAAATTAAAAATTAATATCGATTCCTCATATGAAACCGAAACCCAGACCCAGCCTCGGTAGTGGAAGTCGTGCGAAAACTCGTCATGTTAAAAGTACTCGTCGCATTCGTGAGAATACTGCTCGTGTTAGCGAACGGCGCCGTCACATTCATCACCCCCATCAACTGCCGTCGCACTATACCGGGTGGAATTGCCGCTCGCGGGGTGACTGCACCACCTCCAGCCGGAGTGCTTACACCTGCGCCAGGGCCAGACGCTGCGGTGCTCGTGGGTAGGGTTTGCAAGGTACTTCCGGATTCTGCGGGAGTGCTGGTTCTACCGCTTGGGATCAAGGGTGTTGAGGATCGCGTGCTGGGAACTAGAGGGGTTGAGGTTTGAATTGGAGAAGAAGAGACAGGAGTTGAGGAAGCGATTTGGCTGCTGCTTGGGTTGGAAGAACTGATGGTACTGCTTTCTCCTGCTTTTGTAGAGCTGGATGTTGCTCCTGCTCCACATCCTCCTTCACAGGTACTTGAAGTTGGGCTGCCAGTGCCACCTGCAGTGCCAGTGGGACAGCTGCTTACTGTTACCGTGCTGGTCGTGACAGGACAGGCGGCGCAGAGAGCACTGGCAAGAGGACAGATAGCCGCGGTAGATGAGGGAGTCACAACTGATGCGATAGTAGGAGATGTAGATGCTGAGGGGGCTTGACAGGAGCCACTATCTCCAGAGGCAGCAGCAGCAGCGAGTTTCCGTTCATTCAGTTGCTTCGAGTCAAGATTAACGATCTCATCTGCGGCAACGGGGACACTCTGCAATAAGAACCAGGATGTAGCCAAGAAGGCCAAACAGTTCTTAGCATACATGACTGATATAAAGAATCCCAGCAGAAAGAGATTATCAAAGAGACTTTTGGCAACTGGGTGAAAGGAGAACCGCAAGCAGGATATCCCGTTTGAATTGTGCAGCAGAAGGATCTCAATCAACCTCTCCGACGGTTATGAAGATAATCTCGCCCAGTATTCGACTTCCAGAAAAGGATATAGGCCCACGAAAGATACTTGAGGAGAACGAAACCGGAAACAGAAAAGAACAGTCTTGAATTGCGATTGCCAGATGACCGCAGATCGAAATCGGAATCGAGTCGAAGCAGAATGGAGCGTAGAAAGCGCCCCAGAACCGCAGACAAAAAGGAGGATCTTGTAATAGCAAGAGAGGTAAAAGAGAGAGGTAAAAGAGAGAGAAAAAAAAAAAAAATAAGAGGAAGCAAGAATGGTCTAGAACCCCGAGAACACAGTCTAATATGTAGCGCAAACCGAGTGTTCAGAGTGATGAACGCTCTATGTCATCGAGCCCTTTGGGATTCGGAAGTCATTTACATTGAATTTAGTTGGAATCATTTATTATGGGATCTCCATCTTGGGTTTTTCTGGTTCCGTGGTGCCCGTAATATTTGACTCGTCCTATTGGAAATTCTCGGAGGATGAGTTCCATGGATTCTATAGATCATGTACCATCATTGCGTACCTGAGGAAATGGGTTCCTGTCGGAGATGATATGCGAGGGGTTTTGTGCCTGTCATGGCTTGGCTACGATGCATGGTAGTTGTGGTTTGATCTCACACCCGGTAGATGCGATTTAACTACTGTCAACTGGTTGTTTTTGTTCAATTCTGTTTATCGAGAATATTTGGGATGTTTCAAATGTTTGCTTTCACTCGGACTTTTGATCCGATGCGTAGTGTTTATTCCCATTGAATTTTAATAAGTAGATCTTATCTTAAAGGAAGATTATTGGGTTATTGTTCTAGATGGGATAATCATATCCAGTGATATTAAAAGGCTATATGGTTTATAACTTTTATGAACATGACAGGACTATTCGTGTCGTCATTGCAGGCAGCATGCGGATGAAAGTCACAATTGACGCTCAAAAAGACGACTTTTGGTCAGATAATTTTAGGTAGCACCTATGATCATATGAGATGAGGGACAGATTAAAAGAGAGTTAAAGCTCTCCACATTCAAGGTCTAGTAAATGGCCAACGGTTTACGCCAACCGACTTGAATAACCTTGACAGATGTGCAACAGATCAATCCTGCAGCATAGCATGCAATGGTAAATGCAATAAGACCCCAATATTCTCCATTGCATCGTGCGAGAATTTCACCAGCAATGGGTATACCAGTCAGAGTTCTGGTGGCAAAACATGTCAGTTCGAGGTGCACATTACATCACAGGATCATGTAACGAAGGAGAACTTACCCAAAGCTCACAATGGTATATGCAGTTGCGTAATAACGGCCGTAGTGCTCCGTTTTGCAAAGCCTTATTTTAGTTAGCCTTGCTTCCATATATGGGAATTGAGATAGCTGCATAGAGAGTAATAAAGTATTTTACTTACTGTCCAACACAGACTGGCGTCAAACTAATGTTAGATCCACTGGCGAATCCAAAAATCAAAGCATAGATGACCAGTAGAGCCAAGCTGTTGCCCGCGGGAAGCCATAGGCATGCATTGCAGAGTAAGCAGAGAGCCACAGTCACGATCAGTGTATTAAACCGACCCAGAAAATCTGCAAAGAATCCTGGTAACCATCGTCCAAAGAATGAGCCAACATTCAATATAGCAAGGATCTGGTATGAGAACTCAGTCGAAAAGCCCTGGTAGAGAGCATAGGATGAGATGTAGCTGATGGGAATGAAAAGACCCCATTCGATAAAGAAAACACTCGCAGTAGTCAAGGCAAATCGGGGATCACGGAAAATTTTGAAATCGGGGAGGACGTTCTCTTTAGAGAAGGGCTTTTGTGGCAGGCGAGATCTGATCAAGAGATTTGAAATTGACAGAGAAATCAAGCAGAGTAAGGCAATAACGCGGGTTGCCCATCCCCAACCAACTTTTGGGAATAATGCCTCAAGGGTAAGTGGGAACACGACTCCTCCAATTGATCCTCCGGTGGCTGCAATACCGGTCGCAAGACCACGCTTCTCATAGAAGAAATGACCGACAGCTGAGATGGCCGGTGTGAAGATGAGAGAGGCTCCCACGCCACCCAGAACACCGATGACCAGCATGAAATGCCAGTACTGAGTACAGAATCCAAGCAGAATGATAAATGCCATCTCACAGATCGAGCCAGCAAGGATGAGCGCTCGTGGACCACGAGCATCAAAGATGGGGCCAATCTGAACACCACAGAAAAATGTCAGGAAAGGGAACATGCCAAAAATCCAGCCGACATCACCGGAGCTATAATCTTTCAATTGATGGCTCTCAATATAGGCTTGGAAGGTACCAATCGTGTTGATCAGTCCGAGGGACCCAAACAAGGCGAGGAAACTTCCCAGTACCACCAGCCATGCTTCTCGTCCACCTTCTGGGTAGGTGTTTCCCTCTGCATCTGTGGTTACCCGACTCATCGGATCACGGTGAACTGATCGGTGAGATGGGGCCACTGTAGATGCCATTTGATACAGAGGGTCATCTTGGGCAGAAGGTACCTCCTCTACCGGTTGATCGGCTGATCCCGATGCCGCATGGACCTGCTTCTCAGAGCCAGTTACATGACTGTCGGATATTTCTGTCGCTTCATGTAGAATATTGGTGGCTGTCTTTTCCGTAGACGGGTTCACCGTCTCATGGGAGTAAGAAACATGTTCAGATTCAGATTCAAGTGCATGGTTGACTGTTGCATTTGATGTGCTGATGGGTCCGGTCTCGATGGACATTCTCCGCGAAATGATCCACTCCTGGATGTATCCCCCTCTGTCTTTTCCGGTTGACGCTACTTTTTCAGGGTATGAGTGCTAGAATTGCACGGATACAGTTGAAGGTGGAGCTGAAATGCTTGAGTATCAATGACGGGAGAGGGGTCCTTATTAACAAGCAAGAGCCATGAAAGCCATGAAAGTCTGCTCGTACTGCTTGTGTGCCCCTATTGGTGCTTGGTACTCGAAGTTCCACTTCTTCGAGGCGGAAAAAAAAATTCATTGGATCTAGCGATTGGTGGTCGGGTTGTGGGGACATCTCCAGTACCTTTTTTCTAGGCCCTCGAACCATTTTGAACCATCAACCGTCTAATACTGAGTTAGCTTAAACCTTTGGACTCCTGTTATCACAGTTGAATGTCAGTATTTCAACCTGATTTACCTAACCGTGACATTATAAGGGCTGTAAAATTTCCGGAAGGTGACTGTGCTCTGCATACACGTGGCATGCAAGGTGTGTTACACGAGTGGACTCGGATTCAAGTTTCCAAGGTTCGGATCTTGCCTCAAATCCGAACTTATCTCGGAAATCCTCCTCCAGATTTCGTCTCTGGTCTGGTCCAGTTGAGATGTATGTAATACACTGACTTTTGGTGCTCGCATTGGCGCATCTCCAGGGCTCCAACTTGCACATGTACAAGGCCGGGATCTGTTGCCTCTGCTCGACCTAGTGCTAGTAGTAATATCATTGATGTGCGGCGACCTAGTACGAGTCAACTGGTAACTCTAATTCTCGAGTTACTGGACATTTTCAAAATGTTGAATCGATTTCAACTGAACCTTCAAAATCTCCACTGATGTTAACATTTGAATATGAAGTTCAGGTGCCCAGGTGTTCGACATAGCGATCTTACTAATTCTCCGACCCGGAGTGAGTGAAAAAAATCAATATTGATACCTCCGAGTCAGGCTACGTTCAAGTTCAAGTTCTATATAAGTTCCAACATTCAAGTTGAACATGAATGAAGCACCGTGACTTCAAGTTGAGTCTGCACATGTGGACATTGCATCCACCTGGGCAGGTGCCAGAATCGATACTAGTAATTGTTGATACCTCTACCTAGGTACTAGTAGTAGCTCTCAAGCTTGTGTCCAGCTGCTTTCACTCCAGGGCTGGAGCCTGAGGTTCTTACTAGTAGTCACGGTGTCGACCGCCGACTCGTACCTACCTAGGTATGTAGTGGGAGTACATATGTAGTGCACATGTGGCACTTCAATGTTCCAAACATATATTCATGATGGATGTGTATACATATATTTTGGCCACTGGCAGGACTGGTATGTTCAACTTGAACGTTATATATTGATTGCATTCAGATTAAATTCTGGAACATTTGAAAACATTTAATCTTGGAACTTCGAGTCCTGGGTATAATAGTAAAAAAAACATCAGACCAATTCAACATGTTGACACCGGAGGATATTTGGATTGAAATTTAGCCGCAATGGAACCTTGGGACACGCCATACTTGAATTCCAGTTCATGGGACATAAAATCGAGTCGTCTGATATCTACTGGGCTTGTGGTTTAGTGGTATAATACTCCCTTAGCATGGGAGTGGTCCGGGGTTCGATTCCCCGCGAGTCCATCTTTTTGCCTCCTTGATGTTCAGCTCCCGACCAAAGACTCGGAGCTATGACAAATAGGCTGCAATTTTCTTTTTTGGGGTTGTTTTTATTTTGGACGAAAGGGAATTTCAACGGTGATCAAACTTTTGCTGGTGACAAGTTGGTGCCATGGTTATGATTCTTGTGTTCAAGTTAAACAACCCCAAGGTTGAAGTACACGGACCCGTAGTAAGATGTGAGTTAGGCGCACCATCTAATCCTTCAAATGTTCAAATGTTATTGCGAATTATGCGATCTTATCGTCTACTATATTTCCCGTCCACGCCACTCAGTCATTGTTTTTAATATGAGACCCACTAGATAACGCATAAAAACTCTTATCATTCGCCATCGGAGCAGCTATGGCGATCACTTCCAATGTCTATTCTTCAGGCTGCACATGTCCAGGTGACGCTGCAAAATGCAACGATACGATCATATTCTTTTTTTTTCTCCGATTCTTGGAAGTATTCCAAAAAGCTTAGCATACCAGCTCGCAGAATCTATTCGCATCGAGCCCAACTCATGTCACCGTCATTCAGGTACCATCTCCAAATTGTAGGCTTTGTAGCTATGGCCCCGCGTTTCAACCCCGGTCAGTCGGTGTGATTGTCAGGGGCCATCCCCGATAAGAGAAATTCCCCCAACCTATTGCACTCGTCCAAAAGCACGATCCGCCCGTCTCCGTCAGTGCTCAGACGTGATCTTTGCTCAAGATAGCATTAAGCTAAGGTAAACTGGGACTTTCTTCACGCCACTGACAAATTTATAGGCGAACGGGGAACGAGTGTTGCATCGCAGAGAGATGTTAGCTGATTTCAGTGAGGGGAAAATGATAACTCACACCAATTGGATATCATCCTTATTCTTCCCGTTATACGACTTTCATCATCGGGCTTAGCAAGGTAGATACATTTTATCGGATGCCCGCCGCTGTCCCGGAAAGCCCTAATTTATGTCTGAATGATGTCGTCTGCACTTCGGCAAGATTAGAATCAAAGTTGATTAAGGACTACGTATGGAGTAGAGTGAGGAAATGGAAATGTAGCAGCGTAGTAGCGGGTTTTTTTTTTTTTCCAGGGGTTCTCACATAGTAAAGCTCGCTTACCCGAACAACTCAGCCTTGCTGCAAGTGGCTGACAGGAAGGAAAAGGAAAATAACATGACTCAAAGAAGAAGCGATTATCATGGACGGCTAGAGAAAACCAGTCGATTTGCAGGATGATTTCCATTTCCAGGATGGCTCGCGGGTTGTCTTACCCCGCTTGATGAGGAGATCAGGTTGATATCAGTGGCTCCACGATATCGACAGGGGAACCGAGGTGGAGGCGCAGGAAGAAGCATTGGCTAGACGCCTCAGAAGGTACATGACCAACATGGAGCTATCCTGGTCAAGAAAATCAGTCAAATTGCTTTTATCGCTATCGCCCAAAATCTATATAATCGGGCGTATACCCACTTGCATAAGTACCTTTTCTAACTGGTGTCCTTGGATTTTCCTTGTTCTTTGTTCTCATTTCATCTGTTCTCGGGATCTCTAGCCCAAGATGCAGATTAAATCGATTCTGACGTCTGCACTCGTGGCCCTTTCATTGGGTGCGGACACTGTTGCTGCATCAAAGGCAGCCAAACATGGCCGTTTCTCGCAGCTGTCTCGTCTTCCGATGGAGAAGGCAAAGAGAGCTATCGAGACAACTCGAGACTATGTGAGCAAAAAGGCGACAAATTATCGCTTCTTGAGCAACAAGTCGAAGCGTAAGTGGATCCCTCACACGATAAAAGAAATTCCATGGTAAGGGTATTGACTGGAACTTAGCCTACAAGGTGGACTCTCTGCCAGATGTGAATTTTGACATTGGCGAGATGTACTCTGGTCTCGTGCCAATCGAGAAGGATGACACTTCCCGTCAACTCTTCTTCGTTTTCCAACCTACCATCGGTGCACCTGTCGATGAGATCACAATTTGGCTGAATGGTGGTCCTGGCTGCAGGTATGTTCAAGCTTAGTCTGGAAAGAATTCCATTATGAACCGTCAATTAATGTGCTCTCAGTTCCATGGAGGGATTTCTCCAAGAAAATGGAAGATTCATCTGGCAGCCTGGTACTTATCTCCCTGTTGAGAACGAGTACAGTTGGGTCAACCTGACCAACGTTCTTTGTAAGTTTTCAAGACCTGCGTTTTGTGAGCATTACTGAGACAAAAGGAAATTAGGGGTCGACCAGCCCGTTGGCACCGGATTCTCCATTGGTACACCAACGGCAACATCGGAGGAGGATATCGCCCAGGACTTTGTCAAGTTCTTCAAGAACTGGCAAGAGATCTTTGGAATTAAGAACTTCAAGATCTATGTCACTGGTGAGAGTTATGCTGGAAGATATGTGCCATATATCTCCGCAGCTATCCTGGACGAGCAGGACAAGGAGTACTACGATCTCCACGGTAAGATAATATCGCACCAACTAAGAAATTTCCCCTCTAACATCTTCTAGGTGCTTTGGCATACGATCCCTGCATTGGTCAGTTTGACTACGTTCAGCAGGAAGCTCCCGCTGTGCCCCTCGTGCAATCAAACGCCAATCTCTTCAACTTCAACGAAACCTTCATGGCCGAGCTTGCGAGCCTACACAAGTCCTGCGGATACGAAGACTTCATCGAGACCTACCTGCAGTTCCCTCCTCCTGGAAACCAGCCAACAAAGTCTCTCAACTACAGCTCGATCGGCGATTGCGATGTCTTCGATTTGATCTACGAGGAGGCATTCAACGCCAACCCCTGTTTCGATTTATACGAGATTCCAACAATGTGTCCCTTGCTTTGGGATGTGCTGGCTTTCCCCGGTTCCCTCGAGTACTCCCCCGTCGGCGCGACCGTTTACTTTGACCGCGCAGATGTCAAGCACGCACTGCACGCTCCCAACATTACCTGGAGCGAATGTTCTGAGGAGAGTGTCTTCGTCGGCGAGGGCGGTCCCGAGCAAGAGGGAGACACTTCCGCGAACCCTATTGAGAAGGTTCTGCCTCAGGTTATTGAGGCCACTAACCGTGTCCTCATCGGTAATGGTGACTATGATATGGTCATTATCACCAACGGTACTCTTCTCTCCATCCAGAACATGACCTGGAACGGCAAGCTCGGATTCCAGTCCAAGCCTGAGACGCCTATCGATATCCAACTTGTTGATCTACAGTACGCGGACGCGTTTGCCGAGAACGGTATGACCGGTCTTGATGGTGCTCAGGGTATCATGGGTATCCAGCACTATGAGCGTGGTTTGATGTGGGTTGAGACTTACCAGTCTGGACACATGGAGCCCATGTACCAGCCCAGATCTTCTTACCGTCACCTTTCCTGGCTTCTTAATCGCACCCAGGAAATTTGAGGTGTGAAAAAGCTGGAACTTGAACATCATGATAATGATATATGAGTGGAGATGTAGTGAAGTTTCCATGATGGTTGAACATATTGGCAAATATTTTAGATTCTACAGTCATTGAATATACTGATCAAACGATCAACGAGCAGGACCAGCTGAAATTAAATCCTCTAATACTGCGGCGAGTAGAAAATTGCGGTGTAACAGCTCTCAGACATCGAGAATGAGTCTTGAGTTTACCCTATCAATAATTGAGCCTCATGGCCCCATCATATTCGTATCTATGGAACATAGTAGCCCACATACTAAAATCAAAGTTGCCTCAGATCCATCTGCCTCTCAGAAAAGTACTGGTATCTCCCAGCTACTAGATGACGCAAGCGTTTCCCGTAAAGAATGAATCCAAAAGTGCCAAGCAGGATCACAGTCATCAGGACAGCGATAGTAACAAAACATTCTCCAGGCCAACGGTCTCAATCCAAGGAGCTAGTGAAAACACCAAAGCAATTGCAAAGAGATTTCGAACAAAGCTGACAGCAACCAATGCGTCCGCAACAATCTAGTTCAAGAATTGATAAGCTTCAGGGATTCGGGGAGTGGATCGTGGTAGAATATTTACCTCGCCATAAGCATCGGTTATATAAGTCAAAGATACGCTACTAGCAGGTGCAGTTCCGAATGAACATAGCGCATAGCCAACTGCTAATAATGGCCAGGGACTTCCCCTTTTTAAACCCATCCCGAACATGAGGATTCCTGCTGGGACCAGAGGGATAAAACCAGCTATAACCCATAGTCGCATCTCTGGCTCATATATGCCCTTGTTTCGTCTTGCAAGAAACAGAATAGCCCAGTCGCTTACTGGTTCTGTGATTAGAACACCAAGGCTAGTTCCAATAAATGAAGGGAGACTCATGAGGCCTATCTGGGCCGAGTCAAAGTTGTATGGTGGCAAGGCCATGTATGATGATAAGGTGGTTATCATGATTGTTGTGCATGCGGTGATAGCGCCATATATAAGTGCCATGAAAAAGACAGAAGGAATGGTAAAGAGAATGAGGAAAGGCTGGTAGCAGTGTCGAATAAAGTAACCAGGTGAGCCCTGGGGTTGAGAAAAAGGTACCAGGCGCTGGAGATATGTTTTCTTAGGAATGGTATCGTCGATCTGTGGCGAAGTGGTCTCAACATTGGCATCATCTAGTGCGAGTTTTTCGATAGATTCAGGCAGTTGCTCTTGACTTTTCTCTGTCGAGTATATGGCTGGTATCTCAGGGTCACCGACAGAGGACGGAATTCCATCGATTACTCCTACAGATACCTTGTACATACTTTCCTCATAAAGAAAGAGGAAAGCAAGAAAGCATATATCAAAGAATATAGCCATCCACCACCAAACCATACGCCACCCTTGCGCGACAGTGACGTATCCCGCAGCTAAGGGTGCTAAATTAGCTCCTCCGTTCATGAACCAGACATAGATACTGTTCATCAAGCCACGTTGATGAACGAAGTACACATCTGCCACAGTCATCTGTACAATGACCTCAGACAAGGCTCCAAAAAAGCAGCTCAGGATATTGACCAGCATGAGATCAGTGATAGTCTGCATTTTCGCAGACCATATGCAGATGGCGAATTGAGCAGCGGTGCTAACCAGGTATACGGGGCGTCGACCAAATGCCAGAGCAAAGGGAATCATGAAAAATGCTCCAATACATAGGGCGCCACATCCTGCAGCATACGAGTCGTCAAGTATGGCATAGCTGAAACCAAGTTCAATGTTCATATCAGTCCAGGTTGGTGTCGCAGCGTCAATCCTTGAGAAGTTGATGTCATGGACAGTTTTTACTGGAAGATTGGATACGTACAGTGCCCAGATCATGCAGGAGTAGAATGAAGCCAGGAAGAAATTTAGATGCTTGCGCATCGAAGACCAGTTCTAATGAAGCCGATGTTAAATGGCTGTCTTGAAATAGAGGGAAATGAGCTTCATATACTACTCACCAAGGGTTCATTTGGATCAGATGATGGGCGTGGTTGGAGTATGATATCGCCTCTCGAGTCTGTAAAATCTCCTCTCTGGAGTGTTTCAATTCGAACGGTGCCGGGTGGCCAGGCCGGGTCTCGGTTCATTGTATTCTGAAGGGGCATTTTTAGTCACACAATTCGCTCACGAACTTCATAGACTCAATGGCTGGAGATGTGAAGCCATATGTCAGTCTTTATGCTATATCGAGACCAACAAGCAATCAGCTTCTTATCTCTGGAAAGTGTGGCACATCCTATCGCAATACCAAGTGTACACATCCTAGAATTCTGATCTCTGATTGGCTAATGCGGCAAATCGCGGGGAATTTACCTCGTGCACGGTTATACCCCACATTCCAATTTCCAAGAAACAGTTTGTCATGATAGGCATGTATCCACAGCTATCGTTGTATAGCTGGTCCGTATTTAGAGAATCTTTCCGAGGTCAAGTCAGTTTCCCAGGATCCCGGGACTCTCACGAAAAGTTTATTCGCATTCAATTGAGACTGCGTATACTATGAAAGACCTAATAATCTCGCCATACCGTACATGCTTCCGTGTTTGGCATTCATTTCTTCAAAGGTATTACAGATCCAGGTCTTCTGATCCATATCATTTGTTTCAAGGCTTGCTATAAGCATGGGCCAGCAAACTCGTCCAAGAAGACGCATGTCAATATTCAAAGCTTTCTTAGCCATCTCCATGAGATCTTCCAGAGATGACTGGTAGCAGTCATGCTGGTTTAAATGCCCACAAATGACTCGGTGGCAAAGTATCTCCGTGCCATATAAATCGGCAGCGGCAATGAGGGTAGTGCGAACCATGCGACGCGGTACTGATTCGGGTCCTTGAATAAATCTTGGTAATCGCAGGAGGTCCTCGAATTTCTAGTCATGGGTCAGCAAAGTTACGTTTTTGCTGTGGTGTACACAGAGATAGTAATACCTGTCTAATCTGACTGAGAACATCCCGTATTTGTATCATATGAGAAATATCCATGGATAGATCTGAGAGATCTGGACAGCTCTGTTTCAGTGTCTCTATTCGAAATCGAAGTTTGTTGCATTCATGGGTCAAATCCAGTGCCCTTAGGTTCTCAAGATCATCGAGAAGTTCTTCAACCGGGTACTGAGTATCCCAGACCCGGGGTAGCGTATGATGTGCTGCTTCATAGATTGATCATAGAAGTTTCCAGAAGTCTCGCCAATGAAATATTCAAAAGATGTTCTAGAATCTGGGTTCTCTTGCAAAATTGTCAAGTTGCAAGCACTAAGTCTCAGGTCAGTAATGAGTAGCATTAGAGTCACTGCTGTCGAACATACAGAGTGAGAAGTAATAGGTGTTGTGACAACGCAGGAAGTCGATCAATGGACAGCTGATGTCCATTAGACCCGGATAGTTGGGCAGAGTTTCGAAAGAAAGACGCCAAGCCCTGGAGGTGTATTGATGTGGTGGTATTACTATGTCCAAATAGAGCCTCATAAAACACCATGAGAAAGAAGATAGCCAAGGTCGTATTGATAGTATCATCTGTGAATGGTGCAGATGTACGTAGTAATTGAGATAGCTCACTCAGAGCTCGACAGTAGTGTGCTTCTCCTGCCTCCGATACCGAAGGGTCAGGAGAAAGACTATGCAAGTTCTGTCGTGGCCGCTGCAGCTGAAGCTCCTTCGCGCTCATTGCCATGATCATGTGCATCACGCTGGAATTGTATTTGGCGGTATTATTATATATGTAAGATAATGCACTCCATTTCCACCCTTTGCCATAGTTGAATGCGAGAATGAAACAAGGGAAAAATTGAAAAAGTTCACGGTCATTTGGACTAAGTATGACGGAGTTCTGAAGTGGGATATGATCCGTCCCGAGACTTCTTGTCAGAATAGGCTGAAAATCATTTATCGATTCATATAAATGGATTTGATAAGTGAATCCCTCATTTGCGACACATGAGTGATCGATTGAGGGCTGTAATGGGCGACAACTCTCCCGTGAAACTGCTTCCTTCCGAGCGGATCGTCGACGAATGGGGACAGAGTACCATTCGCATTTTATAAAGCCAGTCTTACAACGCAAGCATTTTGGTTTCTGCTTATCACATTTCAACTTGCGCACACGGCAAGAGAGACAATGTATTCATAAATGAGTTAGTGGACACGATTAGCGTCACTAGTGTACTGACCTTTCTTGGAGCGGGGAGCATTTCTTCCAGACATTCGTAATATCGGAGTTTGGAGAGTCGATTGAGTTAGTACATAAACTGCCCAAGTGTTAGATGAGGTTGCACTCCGGAACTGCAAAGAGGAGTTTGAGGGTGAAAGGAAGGCACGATCGGCAAACCCCGATAATTACCCCAGTTTCCAGTTTCAACCGTGACTCCAATTCCAAAATCTCTTATCTTTAATCAATATTTGCCGCATTAGCCAATCGCAATTCATGCTAAATACCCCATATCAGCCAATCAGAAGCCTTGATGTGACCTTGATCTATACTTCTGGTGGAGATAATTGACATTTCCATCTTTCTCATAATGGTGCTTCGGTTAAGTTTACGGCAATTCGAGGATCTATTTCCTATTATTTATGGATTTTTAAACCCCGCAAGATTATCTACCATTTTATTTTGTGGTATTCTCGTTCATTTCTCACTCCGCCAGTGCTCTACCTTCCAAAACCATCCACCCAAACCATGCATGTGGGAAGTATCTCAACAGCAATGGATCTCGATGAAATCCAAGAATTAATAGGCGGCTCTGCACGCGCTTATGAGGAAGAATTATGGCGTGTAAACAAGCATGTCCGTCAAATTCCGAGCCACTTCGATAAATAGACCACATTCTGACCCCTGTTTTCTTGACTTGAATAGATCCACGAAAACCCTGAACCACATTACGAAGAGACGCAAGCTCATGACACCATCTGTGATCTGCTGGAGAATTCTGGATATGATGTTACACGTCATGCCTACGGACTGTCAACAGCATTTCAAGCCGAGTTCGGAAAGGGAGGAGGGCTGGTGAGTTATAATGCCGAGTACGACGCTCTACCCTGCGAGAGTGAAGGATACCACCATGCCTGCGGACATAACCACATTGCCACCTCCTCAATTGCAGCCTTCTTGTTCACCGCAGATATGCTCAAAAGGACTGAAATTAAAGGACGGGTCCGACTCCTGGGTACACCGGCTGAAGAGTCCGGAGGTGAGAAGATCGACCTTATCGAGGCCGGTGCATATCGTGGAGTGGACGCTAGCCTGATGGCCCATCCATATTCAAATATTGAATGTGGTGACGGTGTCAGCTGTCCTCAGACTCTTGCAATCAACTCAGGGTCACGGTCAATTTCAGAGGAAAGGAGGCCCATGCAGCAGCAGCTCCGTGGGAAGGCATCAATGCGCTGGATGCTGTCGTTGCAGCCTATAATAATATCTCAATGTTGAGACAGCAGCTGCCGTTGACGCAACGTGTTCATGGTATTATTAGCAATGGCGGTGAAAGACCGAATGTCATTCCAGGATTGACGACTATGGAGCTATATGCGCGGGCTGCAACTGATGCAGACTTGGAGATTTTGTGCAAAAGATTGGAAAGTTGCATTCTTGCCGGTGCGCAGGCAAGTGGATGCCAAGTTGAGTGTTCATGGTAAGATCAACTCCGTCTTTGTATTATTGGGATGGAGATACCCATCTAATGCTGACTTGACTACAGGGATCGAGCATATAAAAATCTTCAAAACAGCGAGACTATTGCGGAAGTTTTCACCAAGTCCATGAAAATCATCGGGAGGGACTTCAAATCCAAATCAGATGAGAATATGGGAGGATCAACGGACCAAGGTTGGAGCCCATTCAATGAGATATACCAACAGGTGAACATGGCTGATCTTTTTTCAGGAAATGTCACGCACCAGATCCCTGGAATCCATCCACTCTTTCTAATTCCAACTCCAGAAGGCCGTGAACCCCATACCCCGAGATTTGCTACAGCAGCAGGCACATATGGGTCTTTTCTCTGCGCATTAGATACTGGAAAGGGCCTCGCGGCCGCTGGTTATCAACTTCTCGCAGACCCTGATCTTCGACAGAAGGCTTGGAGCGAGCACTTGAAAAAATAAATTGATGCTTTCTGGATGTTAAATCATACCCAAAACTGAGGATGTGCAGAAAACGCCTCCAGTCTATCTTTTATCTCTTACCTATAAATGGTATAGTAGTATACACATGCATCACTACAGGTTATTATGTGATACCTATCAAGTTCTCGGTCACTCTTAGTACGGGAACTCAGAGAGTCTTATTGAGTTACTCCATGTGTATAGTATGTAATTCAGTTGATTCAATGGATCTAACTAGGCTGAAAGCTTGACATCTGGAACTGCCGCGGTCCATTCTGATCTCAAACAGAGGCCCAAGTCGTGCCAGACACGGGACTTCCTTACTATTTAGAGTATACATTTACTGATATCGGGATGGACCCACCTGGGCGGCGACATTTTGTCCACTCATCTTGAAAAGTTGTATTATAGATCCAAGGACACTTGACTTCTTCATCCGAGGTCCTCTTGAACGCCCCGGCGTATCGGAGATCCACTAGACTGAGTCAATAGTAATGCTGGAGTAGTCGTTCAAAGAGAAAGCTCGGATACTTCCAAGGTTTCCTCACACGCCGATCTGTCAACAGTAGCAAATTAGGCGAAGTTCATGGTTCGTGGTACATCCATTATTATTTACTAGGTACGGCCAAGTATTAATCCTTAGTGAATCAAGTTATCCTACAATAATATTATCGGCCTAGTAATTTATTCATCTCAATTGTCAGGGCTGTCTGTATTACCGAAGTTGATAATACGCTCATCTCAACATTTTAGATTGCATAGGCCGCTAAAACGTAACACATACAGTTTGGTTGGGTGGAGTGCAGAGACCTCAGACACCTCGTTCCACCAGTCTATCAATACATGAACGCTACTGGTCCAAGAAAGTCTAGTGTCGAGTCTATGGGAAATTTCGGAGAGATGGTGCAACGCGAAATTGATTAGTTTTTACAGATATGCCGTCTCTGCTGAGTACTTGAGGATAACCCCTCCAGATGTACTCCAAAAACCACTGGCAGCAGTAATGTAATATTCCTCCGCCCATGCCGCACAATCATGCAGGTTCTAATCTCTATTTTTCAGATTGAAAGATTTTAGGACGAATTACTGATTGGACCGTTGAAAACCAGCTTTCAGCCACGCCACGCCAAGGAACAAGGCTACAATGTTTAATCACGCTTCAATGCTACTGTATCTGGAGCGCAATAGAGACTTGACAAAGGCAATGCTACATTATATTTGCTTTTGTTTACATTGCTGTTTCTTTTGCTTCTTCTATGTAACTCTTTTTTAGTTACAAGTACTCGGGAGAGTCGGGTTGTTTACTCTGAACCCTCCACTAACAGGCACGCGAGCAATTGGCCGACCTAGAGGGGTAAACGGACCCTGCCGAAGGACACCAAGTGTTGGCAACATTGCCGAGAATTCTCCACCGAAGGGAGATTTCGGTATTACGACATGGACAGTGCCCATGCGAAGACTCGGAAGTCATGACAAGCAGCAAATGTGGCGGCGCCCCCAAACGCCTCACGATGTGACCCCCATGATACGGTATTGTAAGGGTAATCTATACCGATATTTAATTGGTGAATTTAGTAGCGCGTCCACGGGTCCAATGAGAATGACTGAATGCGGAAGGGATGCGCCCATGCCAAGACGTGGAAATTTCAATTTTCCTGTTGAGAAAACATAGCAGGATGTATGATGAGTGATGTGTGTTATCTTTCGAAGTAGACTAAACCAATTATATTGATATTATCAGTGTTTAGAAGTTCAATTTAAGGACAGCATATCCTTCTTGGTGAGGAATGTATAGAAAGTCATCAATCAGCCAATGACGTCGGTGCCGAGCACGTGGAGATGGTTGCGGCTTTGCCGTTTTAGGCAAGTAATTCTGGTCTACTCGCAAAAATTTTCATGCCTGAGCGCTTCGGCTCCGATACGATATGGCATTTCCAAGGTTTATGGCATGGCAATCAGTTGTTGAGAATTGCCACTTTGTAACAGTCCAATGTTTGTTTCCAATTGGACGCATGTGTTGGCTTTGTACAATTTGACTGTTCAAATATACGTAATATCAACATTTGAAATCACTGATCCGGTGATACCTCAAGCTCGACGCAATGAGATACTACTACTACACGGACCGAGCCAAGTTGAATGGCTTTCAGTGCCATTCAATGACTAAATGCGGCCCGGTTCAAATGTTTCAGCAACTGATTTGGGATCGCCCAGGCTATCCCCAGTGCGGCAGCTCGTCAACAAGCTGAAAATCCTCAAAATCCTAAACCTCAAACAAGATCATAGTCTATTCGATATAATCACCGCATGGTTTTCTCCTTGCATTCACCCTTCTAGGCTATGCTACTCCGAGGAAAACCGACATGGTGCACAACCATAATCCCCCAGACTCCCCGATTGAATACCATGTGGTAATCCTAATACCAAACAGCATGGACCACCTAAATAGTGGGGGCGGCCGAAGCCGAATGAAGCCCTAGCATAAACAGACTTAGCCTGATTCGTACAAGACTTACAAGGGGTCCCGCTTCTCTAGTCCCTGACCAATCTTACTATGGCCTACTCGCATTTTGTACCGTAGGACACTTAACCTGTAAAATAAGTCCGAGAAAAAAAGAGGAAAAAGAAAAAAGAGGAAACATGGACTGTGTATATAGAGACCTCATATAGTCCGAAGATCCCTCCATTTTCGTTGCATTCTTGTGTTCCCATCTTTCCCTTATTCCCATCTACTTCCCTCCACTCCACTTCCCCCATAGGTTCTTGAGATATAGCTACTCTTTAGCTATCTCACCCTATTCACTCAAGTCAATTGATTTGACTTCCTATATTAGATTGACAGCTGTGCCTGTCCCACTTCTGTGAGAAAGAAAAAGAAAGAAAAGAAAGAATTGGTTCAGTCAACGAGCCAAGCACATCACCACTTCCTCTTCACACCATACGACTTTGCTCTCAAGTAGCAACAACTACAACCCGAGTCCACTCTTGACCAGTCATTGCAACGTATTACGATTCCTGTACGACCATTTTCGATTGCAGCAACTTGAATTACATCTTCCCAGCGCAAAATTATCGGATATATCGATTGCACCACTTTTGTAGTCTTGCCCTGACGAACAACCGACACGACTCGATACCCTAAACGCACCTTGAATAACGCAGATAGCAACAATTCCGCAGACGATTTATCTCCTAGTCCTTGATTCTAAGACCCCCAAGCGCCACTTTTACCCCATAGCTGTCACGATGGGACTCGAAAAGTTTAATCCTTTCAAGAAGGATTGCCAGAACTTCCCTGGTGTCGTAATTCCTCTATCGGATGCTCCCGTCTACCCGAATGGAGTCCCGCCTATGGACGAGAAGGATGATAGCTCGGATGCTAACAAGTCCTTGGATCGTGCTCCCTCAACGGAGAATGGATCTGCTGGTTCCTTGCCGGATACCAGTTCTCATTTGACGATTGAGATCATTCGAGCAGAAGTTGATGCGGAAATAGCATCTTCTGGTCTGAACTCAATCTATGATCGTATGTTTTCCGCTTCGGTCCCATATATCATCTGCTTCCAATGCGCCAATTCCTTTTCCTATGCGGCGGATCTCGAGAATTCTTCTGGATTCCCTTCTGATAGTACACTGAGTCTAATATTTTCATTCTATAGGCAAGGCCATGGTGATCAACCGTGCTCTGCAGGATATTGGCATGGGTCGCTACCAATGGCAATTATTCTTCCTGTGTGGCTTTGGATGGATGGCAGACAAGTGAGTTCTCCTGCCTATTATGTCTTCTTAGACTCGATTCACTAACATTCAATTTCAGTCTCTGGCTTCAGGTGAGGCATAATCATGAAGGGATACATACAATCCCATATCACGTATATTGAATCTAACCAGGATTATTTTCTAGGGAGTTGCCTTAACTTTGACACCTATCGCATATGAATTCGATATCAGTACATCATGGGTCCGTTTCAGCACATGCGCTCTATTCCTGGGTCTGTGTATCGGTGCTTCATTCTGGGGTATCATTTCCGATATTGTTGGCCGCCGTCTGGCATTCAACACAACTCTTTTCTTGGCTGGTGCATTTGGTCTAGCTGCAGGTGGTGCACCTTCCTGGATCGGTGTTTCCGCTCTATACTCATGTCTCGGTCTCGGAGTTGGAGGTAATCTACCAGTCGACGGTGCTCTGTTTCTGGAATTTCTTCCCTGCGTCTCCGGAAACATATTGACCATGTTGAGTATCTGGTGGCCCATTGGCCAACTCATTTCCAGCTTGCTCGCCTGGGCTTTCATCCCAACCTACAGCTGTCCCAGCGCCGAGGGTTGCACTAGGGAAAAGAACATGGGCTGGCGCTACCTGGTCCTAACCCTTGGTGCTATCACCATGTGCATGTGGATTGCCCGTTTCTTCTTCTTCCACTTATATGAGTCCCCCAAATTCTTGCTCTCTCGCGGACGCCAGGAGGAAGCTGTTGCTTCTGTTCACGGTATCGCATACCAGAACAAGGCCAAGACCTGGTTGACTACCGAGATCCTCAACGAGATTGGTGGTGTTTCCGAGACCAAGGAGACTGAGAAATTACCCGTCACTGAGATCATCAAGCGTTTCTTCTCCAAGTTCTCCATGGAACGTATCGCTCCTCTCTTCGCAAACAAGCGTCTAGGCTTAACAACCGTTCTCCTTTGGTTCTGTTGGACTACCATCGGAATGGGATACCCTCTCTTCAACGCCTTCCTACCCCAATACCTTTCCCAAAGCGGTGGCTCCACTAACTCCACATACACTACCTACCGGAACTACGCCATCTCCTCCATCGTCGGTGTTCCCGGCTCAATTCTCGCTTGTTATACTGTCGAACTGAAGTACGTTGGTCGTAAGGGAACGATGGCTATCGCAACTGTCATCACTGGCGTCTTACTCTTCTGCTTCACTGCCTCGTCTACCTCGAATGTCCAGCTCGCATGTACATGTCTTGAAGCTTTCTTCCAGAATATCATGTACGGCGTTCTCTACGCTTATACACCTGAAGTGTTCCCTGCACCCAACCGTGGTACTGGTTCTGGTATCTCAAGTTGCTTGAACCGTATTGCTGGTCTTTGTGCACCACTTGTTGCTATCTTTGCTTCTAGTTCCAACGCCAATGCCCCTATCTATGCATCTGGTGCTTTGATGCTTGCTGCTTTTGTGGCTATGATTCTCCTTCCTATTGAGACTCGTGGAAGACAGACTCTCTAAGGAGAAAAACGAAGAGCAAAGAAGAATATCTCTTCGTCTATACGACTCGTTTATATACCCGTGGACGTCATATGTCACTGGGAATACAGTCGAGATACAGAGAAAGATGTAACTATCTTTCTCCAGTACAGGACACCCATCGCCTACCAGTGCCCAAATTGTGAGATTGATAGCGGTGTGTCGCCTGGTGCTGCTCACAGCTGTTAGATCTTGGGTATCTGAGTGACATCTGGAATTGCTATACCATGTAAAAGATTCCCTTCAAAAATGTTTATTTGTTTTGTCTAGTGGAGCGAAGTCGCTCCCAACTTAGTGTACATGTGCAAGATACCATCGTGACTTTCAATGAAATCTATGTTCAAATCGGATCACTAAGGCCAAGTCTTGACCAGCAACTTGAAGACGATATGCAACTAGAGCGAAGGTAATTATGTATTGGAGTTGGAGCATCTTTCAAATCTCAAAACCGCTATAAGCTGGCAGTGGAACCTTGGAAGAAAGTGAGAATAATAAAAAGAAATGTGTCCTTAATGTAGAAACCCTAACATGATAAAACGTAACCAACTCCAGGCCAAATCATAAAGCTCCACGAAAGCACATAAAAGAGACGTTCAATAAAATATTCGCCTATGAAAAAGATGTTCTCTCGCCTTTCCTAGATACCGGAACCAGTCAAATGAAGTATGTATGCTCTTCTTCGCCATGATATCCGCAGAGACAAATCAGAAATAAAGGAAATTGAGTGAAGAAGAAAGAAGAAGAAGAAAGAAGAAGAAGAAGAAGAAGCAGAGGAAGAAGAGTGGAGGAAGAGAGATAAGGAGGTCATGTGAGACAGGAGGTTGGGAGAGAAATTCGTATGCGAGGTATGGATCGGGAGAGTATCAGAGGGAAAAGCCAGAGGAAATGTCATGAGATATGTCATGTCGTTCGTCAAAATGCTCATGAGTGATCAGTGATGAGAATAGCGAACCATAGTGAACTTTTCCTTTAGAACATAATGAAAAGGAGAACTAGTTCTCTGTTCAGACCACAGGTTGGCCTTGATTGCGTCGACCACGTTTCTCCAATAATGTGGCGCCATCCAAGCTAAGCTCAAATGGTTGTTGGGCTTTACGCGCGATGGAGCTTTTGGCAGCAGCTGCCACCTTGGCATCGTGTTGGCCGTAGCCCTGCTGCTGTCGAGGCTGTCGGTGAGCTTGGCGAGCCTGCGCAGCACTGCTTTGAGCACCCAAGTTTGTGGATCGTAGCTTTGCTTCCATGCCAGCCATATCGCCCGGCGGACCAGTAGCCTTGGGAACCTTGGCAGGTGGCTGACCAGAGGCATCGGATCGAGGTTGGTAGTCTAGCTCGTCATCGTAGTCCTCGTTCAGTGAGCCCAAAGCAGACTGGAAATTAGCGAGAGGGTTCCCCCGGGCTGCCTGTCGTTGGTGTCGGCGACGCTTGCCTTCTTCCTCTTGACGGTGGACGGCGTAACCAACATCGAAGACCTCACGCAAATTGAATGCGCCAGGAGAACGGAAGTCCATTCGGCGTTCCGATGCGACGGAGGGGATCTCTTGTAGTCGGGAGCTGAGAGGCTGGTATGGAGCTTGCTCGACACCCATGAGGTCAAGTTGATCTCCGTTCGGACGGGCCTGACCCATGGGTGTAGCCAGAGGGGGTGCATCGGCAGCCGCAGTAGTTTCCTCATCACTTTCCCGAATCCATGGATGCTCCAGGAATTCCTTGATGGTGTATCGCTTCTCGGGGTCGACAGTTAACAAGTGTGAAATAAGATCCTGAGCTGACTTGGAAATGTCATCCCACCAGGGCGAAAGGAAAGTATATTGGCCACGCGCGACCTTTTCGGTGAGAACTTGAATACTTTCATCGTAAAATGGGGGAAAACCGCAGAGTAGGGTGTAGAGAACACAGCCCATGGCCCACATATCCACACTTTTTGAATAGCGCTCATCCTTCACGATCTCCGGCGCCGTGTAACCGACAGTTCCGCAAGGGGTCATGGTCTGGCTATCCCAAATTACCTTGGAAAGACCGAAATCGGCAAGCTTGATCGTCCCGATGCCGCCCGAGCCAACGCCTGGGATAAATTCTCCCTCATCCTCCTTCTCTTCATCACCCGGTTGTTTGGGCTTCGGGTCCTTGCTCGGAACGAATGTGCTCGGGTAGAAGAGTAAATTTTCAGGTTTGATGTCACTGCATAAGTATCGTTAGCGCAGGGCCTAGCGCATGGCCGGTGATCCTCGAGGGGTTCGTCAACGCACCGATGCACGACACCAGATGTCTCATGGAGGTATTCGATGGCCTTGGCAACTTGAAGAATGACGTGACGACTGAGATCTTCGCTGAAATAAGTCAATCGCACGATCTGATGGAAGAGCTCGCCTCCAGGGCAGAGCTCCAGAATGATGTAGTAATATTGGCGAGATTCGGAAAAATCTATTAACTTGACGATATTCGGGTGGTCGAGGTTTCGCATGATCTGGACTTCCTTGAGGATATTCGCGCGCTGTGGGTAGAATTGACGTTAGTGAATTGGACCAAGCAGGGAGCAAAGTAGATGCGACAGAGCAATGAGCAATGACAGTGCGGTACCAAGACAACACTGTACAGGAATTGGAGCGTGATCTTTGGGAAAGGGAAATCCGATCCGCGCACCTCTGCAGCCTTTGGAACCTTTTTGACGCTTGGGTGAAGATGGCTTGACTACATATAAAATATTGGCAATGTTCATTTCCCTTCTCCGTGGATAACCGGGGTCGATGTTAACCCATAACCAGAAGCACCATTTCAAAAGAAAAAAGGGGTCAAGAGAAATGCAGAAAACAGAAACAGACAACGGAAAAGCTCAAGGAAAAGAAGACCTCCGAGGTCACCCTACCTGATTGCTATTCATTTCAAACTTTCGCACCACCTTGATGGCTACCTCTCCATATTCCGTCGTGGAGTCCTTGGCTCGATAGACATTGCTGAAAGCTCCATCACCCATCTTCTCCACCAAAATCCATCGTTCCAGTCCTGGATACTTTGGCATCTTGGATCGAGTCACGTTCTCCTCCTGGACCAACCGTTCAATTTCCACGGATCGATCTTCTCGCACTTGAGACTCTGTTCTTTTCTGAGAAGCTGCCGGACCATTTCCTCGGAAGTCAGGATCGAATGAACCAAGTCCCGGTGAGAATTGACCTTGGGCATGCGGTTGTTGTTCCGCGTGAATAGTGGACACGTCGGTGGTGGGTTCAGAATGGGTCACGAGGCGGGCTTGTTTCCCATGTCGGATGAAATTCTTTATGTTTTGTATGGTACTCATGGTAGAGAAGAAGAATGACGATGGGGGAAAGGGTAGTTTTAAAAGCCAGAAGAAATAGAGTAGCGCCGAATGCGCCCGAAAACCGAGGAGGGGTTGGGAGAGAGAACTGATCAGAGGGGTCGGGAGCAGGGGGAGGTCAAGGAACTTCTGTAGGTACAGAAATCAAATTGAAATTTGTGTATGATTCTGAATCTCCACAGAAGGATTTGAAACAAAATAGAAGGAGCAATAGAGGGAAAAAAAGTAGATTGAAAGCCCCCGTCACACGAGGGAAAAGGAGAAGGGAAATGAGGAAAAAAACGCCTATGACGATGGATCAACGGGGCGATGTCATCGTCGTTTGCTTAGGGTCATGACCAACTTTCGGGAACTAACGTCATGTTCCGCCACCGGTCCACTGGGGTAATTAAAGGCCAGGGTTTTCCTTGTTGTTTTAAAATGATACTAGACATGGTTATTGTACCAGATATTATACTAGTAAATGATATTGATTCAATATTGATATTTTATGATCATCTTATGAATCATATACCCCGCCGACACCTTGATGCCTTAATCACGTGGTATAATATCTCATTTGCTGTGAACAAATCAACATTCCTCTATATATTATCATCTCCTTAATAATTTGATTTAACTTCTCTCATCTCAAAATTGATATCTAAAACAAACATATATCAATATATCAATTACACGGGGTTATTCCGATTTTTCTGAATCAAGGTTCAAACCATGGTGGAGCTTCCTCAAGTGCTCTCGTCATCTTTGCCACATGCCTTATGACATGCGTAGTTTCTTTCTTGGCTGAAGTTGGAATGTGAAAGACAAACATTGAATGCAGAATGCAAGGAGAAGAAGAAAAATGGAGTGAAGAGTCGGAAGTTTTAAGTCTATAATCTATCTTATTATAAACCCCGAGTCCCCGACATACGGAGTACTTCAGGGCTGCATATAGTAGTCACAGTATGTAGTGTGTACATCGGAGTACATGAAGTAAATAAAATAGGAAATTGTTTGAATGTTTCGACTTGAAGTTCTCCACCAGATACTCCAGATGTTAAATACTTAGATCTTTACAAATGTCTAGACTGTGTTCCACTGATCTTCAACTTCTCTACTAATACTACTAGAGTGGATCTACTCCTAACATAATATGTCACTCTATAGTTCAGTGCTAGTACTACCCACCTGGCCAGTACTACCACACTCAGTACATATACTTATGCATCCTCACAGGAGAACAGAAACATCACCACTCAGGTGATGACAGTACCAATGAGCAGAGTTTAATAAACGCCAGATATTAAAGTACTTATATGCACAGTAATAAGACTACGTACCTACATATGTACTCTGGCCCCCAGGATTGGTGCACTATCACATAGTAAACCATCCAATCATCTGTTAAATTCTCTCCATCATACCCATCACGCTGGGGTCCTCTTTAAACGAGGATCCACTCCAATTTGGGGGTAAATCAACAATTTAGGAAATATTCAAAGTGAGAAGGAAGTTTTGGGAATAGTCAAAATTTATGTGGTGACGAGAAGGGACAAAGTTAACTAGTTTAGTAACTGTTAACTGAGGTGACTCCGACATCTTCCTTAAAACATCTTTCTTTCCCTTCCCAGCCCCTCACCCACCAAAACTACACCCTTACCGGTGTCCAGGCACACCTGCATCTCTGCATCCTTATCGTGGCCTCGGGTCTTGATCGACTCCCTTGCATCCTTTCATCTGAAACGGGTCCTTGATCGCCTTGATCGTCTCGATATTCCGGCCATGCGACCCATCCATCCTTCCACCGGCGCCTGAATAGTATTAACTTATACCTCTCACATCTTCGACGTTTCATATCTACTGGCTATTCGGGCTCCCGAGTCCACGACCCCCCTTTTTTCATGAATTTATGATCAACAAAATCGCTTTCCTCCATTCTTGACATTGATCCAATTTGCGACTTGCGACTCGAATATTTGCGATATGCCGGGCGTGGAGGTGATGAGGCCTTCGGTGGATTCACCAGAACGGTCGCTTCTCAGGTCCCACAAGTCACTCCAGCAAAGCGGCATTGTAACCTCTATTGACGTTGCCCAACCGGTCTCGCCGGAGCGAAATGGTACACTTCCGGCGCCAGCTCTTCCGCTGACTCCACCCGGTGCGATTCACGATGATTCCATGGAGGACGAAATCACGCCCCGGAAAGCCGATTCACGCTCCGAGACCCAGACGGCAATATTGACACCGCGTCGGCTCTCCAAACCACCAACACCAGATGTCACACCTCCCCGAACAAGTTCGAATAAACGTCCGTTGCTCAATAATCTCGTCCATCTTTCTTCCTCGTCACGAGCCGAGTCTTTTCAGACCGCATTGGAAAGTATCTCTTCGGATGGTGACATGGATACGCCGGGTCGAGTACCCTTAAATGTGTCGCAAAGGGGCCGACCGAGGGTGCCTTCTTCACACCAGGATACGCCGAGTGGATACCGGATGAAGCTCGGCTACGCGAAAGATACTCCTCCGTCAGCCTCTCAGCCCCATAGTGAGACAGGATATGAAACAGGCTTCGAATCGTTCGATGGTGAATGGGCGACCAATCAGATCGAGGGATTCCGAACGCCTTTCACTGGGAAACAAAAGCGCCCAATGATTCCAGATCAAAGAAACGTTTCACCAAGTTTTGGAAATGGCACGCTGGACGTCCTGTCTCTTGACGCTTCTTTGACCCGCGAGAAGAACCTGCGCGATCGAGTCCGCAAGACTCCCGACTTCACCGAAACTCCGTCCATGGAGCGATTTCGTGAGGAGATCGGATGGCCATCCTACGAGGCCTCCGCGGCGGGTGATCCAGAATCTCGTCGATTGTCAGGTCTCTCCACAACTTCCACAGTGGAAGCTATGATTATTGACTCGCCAAAAAGAAGCCAACGATTGTTACGACACTCCGAAAAGCGTAGCTCTCTGCGCTCGGCTAGTTCCCCTGTGACCAAATCTGAACGGACTTCAACTCCATCGAATCCTGACTCCCAACATCGCCTGGTTCATAAGGCTGCTCGTATCTCGGAATATGATCGCCGAAGTATCTCCTCAGACGTGTCATTCTCCACGCGGACTGTTGCCAGTGCTCCCCGCACGTCGGTCGATATCATTCCTGTGGTCGTTGTACCAGAGAGAAAATCATCTCTGAAAGCAGGGACCGGAAGCCACAACAGCCAGATTTCCTCCAATCGGGGTTCTCAAAAGTCCAGTCGAGGTCCCCCAGTGTCATCCGAGAACTCTAGCCAAGTGAATGTCCCACGACAAAGGAGAAGAAACACTTCTGAATCGGCATCTGCACAGCCTCAAGATCGGGACTCGAGGGGTCGTAACTTTGGCAGGCCGATCATCCCACCGCGCAGCTCCTCGCTTTCTGCGGCCACAAGCCGAAACCATTCTCGTGCCACATCACTCACGTCAGAAAGCCTGCGAAGTCACACCTTGGCCATGGACTTGGAGATGCAGAAACGCCGCGAGCACCAACCTGTATCACCACCTCGCCACAATATTCTGGCTTCCAATGCCAATGCCTCGAAGAAGGAGGGGGATCAGGTAGACCGACCCCGGTTGCCGACATTTCTCCTCAATAGTGCAGAGGATGTGTCAACTTTGCGCCCGCCGTCAATGCCGTGTACTCAGTGGTCAATACCGTCATCCTCTCCGGGACCTATTGAGATCCGCGAAGCCACTGCAGTTAGTATGTTTGCACACAATAATCGCTCTCTTCTTTTGGTTGAGCAACGACTCCCGGGGCCTGAAGTCCATACTCTTCAAGCCTTCCATCAGATTCGCAAGCAAATTTCCAATCCTCATACTCCGGATAACCCTATTGATCCTGCAACACTGAACGTGGACTCTCCATTGAAGAATCCTCGACCACCACCAAAGCCTCCAGTTTCCAAGCCACTCCCACCAGTTCCTATTCCTCCCAAACATAATACTGTTGGTTTTGGTGGTGGACTGAGTCGACATGGTTCTACTCGCCGCACCTTTACCGCCCGGCCTCGGTCAAATTCCTTCAATAATCTGGTGCGTTCCCTTTCTATCAAGTCAGCAAAGAACCGCAAAGCAGGGATGGAGGTGGATAGTCGTCTTCATCCCATGTGGCGTCCTCGTGGCTTTTGGGAGGACATATCTGGATCCCCTAAGAAAGGAAACACAGCTCGACAGAGTCTCCAGAGCCCCAATGACATGCAGGTGGTCAACAACTCACTGGGACTTCCTCAGTCACGACTCATCATTGAAGGTCCACCGGCCTTGGCTCGCCGTAGTCCCGAAATGAGACGTCTGTTCAACGGGATGCCCTCTGCAGCGCACTACAATGCTAGCAATGGCAGTTTGGTAGACCGGGGAATGTTCCGTAGCGGGTCACCGCTGTACCAACCTCGCTACCACGCTCTTTCTCGATGGGGTGTTCGTCTTCGATCATTCAACCTCCGAAATGTGCGGACTCGCCTGCGACGCATGCGTCAGAGACGTGATGAGAGGAAACGAACAACACGCCGAGATAATCTCAAACAGAGCATCGGCGGACCAGTCCATGTAGTATCCAGTGCTACTCATGGTATAACGCGTTGACGTCTTATCTTTCATGCCCATATTACGACCCATATTTTGACTGGAACTATTCCAGCTGACGAGAACGACATTTACGATGATCATGCATCCGGGAGTCACTTTTACCTTGCTTGTTCTATGCCCCTTACGCGCTGTCTTTGAAAGAAGCCCGAGTATTTCGCAATTCTGTTCTTAGCTTTAAACCCTTGTTTTTCATGTTATTTTTGTTTTCTTATCTCTACATGTATGGGGATTGACTGTGCTGAAACGAAATTCACGATTCTTATGAACCACAATGACGACTCGATGACTTATGCCTGTTGTGTCAGCTACTATTTGACTGGCCTTGAGATGTATCATAAGCTCCTTCTGCGTTACACTGAACATCTATTTGATTTAGCCCGGAACTGAACATATCTATTTGAATTTCATTTGGTGTTTTTGAAAACCTGGTTCATTTTCTTGCTGATCTTCAATTCAAGTTTGAGGGTATAATAGTACGTTGAATATCAATAAAGACCGCTGCCGTGCATAGTAGATTGAGTTTGCAGCAGTGCCAGTGGTGATCAGAGGCACAGTCCAATTCATTCCAAGGTTATCTCGTACCTCGCCGGGTCGTTCTTCCTGCGCCTCGTCTCACTCTTACTCTCCCACTTGCCATTGTACTTGATCGAGCTCGAATAGCCATAGATCCAAACCCTGCCTCTCTTTCCTGTCTTTGTATTCGCTGATCGGCCGATTCAAAAGTTCCTGAATTTCTGGTACTGCTTCCTGGGCCTCCGCTCGCATCATCTAAAGCCTTGGCAGTATCCCGAGCCTTCTTCAACATGGCTTCCCAACGTTTTGGATCAAGAAATAGCTGTGTGGGTCTTGAAAAGTCGCATTCAGTGGGATCTGGGGGATCGTACTCATCCCAATCGGCAGACAAACGTAAGCTCACGGCTTTCTTCATGCGCGTCTCTGTTGCTATCGCGCTCGGGTTGAGAACCTTCTGGATGGGTTTGTGAGACTTGTTGCTTTTGGTGACTTCATTCTTGGAATTTGGGGAGAGTAGTGGACGTTTATGCGGGATAAGAAGAGAGCGTGTGGACGCCATTTTGGAGACTCGGAGATGTAGGAGTTCAAGTTGGGGAGTTGAGTCTAGAGTGAGCGAAATGACGTGTGGGAGATCTTATCGCTTATCGCTTATCGGACCTCATATTGACAACTTGGAAGATGGACTATAGATCACGCTCTTGTGAATATTCTTCATCTTTTAGTGTGGAGACTACCCCTGACGTATGAATTTCTTTTGATGGCCACCGTGGATTATTACAGAATGGTACTCAAATTGAGTTTCTGGAGAAGTGTTGCTTTGTGTTTACCATCTAGAGCGCTTTTCACTTCCAAGGTTTCTGATTTTCACCCTTAGTTTGGTTTCAAGCCTAGTTGCAGCCTTCAGACAAAAGTAATAAATAAAACAGGACAAAAGTACAAAACAGGAAATGCAACCTTGGAATATCGGCAAACCTTACCTGAATAAGTAACAGACTAAATTATGGCCCCAAATCCCTACGCTGCAATCGCACCTTCAATCCAAAATTAGGCACATAAAACTCCTCAAAAGACAAAGACCCAGTTAAAGTTCTTTCTGCTGAATCAGGCAAGAGATCGAAGCGCAAGATAAGATGCGCAAAGACCATCTTTAAAAGTGCGCTTGCCATCCATCGGCCGGGACTGCAACGCAAACACGAAATTACTAGTCAGCCGACGGATATACACGTGTGCGATTGGGATTTAAATAATGAAAAAAGCAAACTCAGGAACTCGGAGATCTGTCTCCCCGATAGGTAGCAAATGGTGACTCAAAGAGATCAGGGGTAAGATGGGCAAAATGAAAGTGAACGATGATTGACCAGGAAATGTCAGAGAAAGCTTACCAAGCATGTACGCCCATCCCAAAGACTAGGTAATCAGAACTCAGGTCGACCAATTTAGAATTCGAGGTTCCAGCTGCACGATGCTTCGCAAATCGAAATCCATCGAAGATCTCTGGGTCGGTGTATGATGGACTTGACCGCTGGATCCAGCCACTTGGGACACCGACATGTGTTCCAGGCTTGAGAACAACGCCTATAGAATTGGGGCCATGGTGTTAGCTACTCCGATTCAAAATTTGTGTAGGTGATGAATACAGTATGATAATAATGTGATAGGGCCGCATCATTGATGAGATGCACCCACCATTCGACAATTGTAAACTTGTCACGCACACTCGGTGAGCAGAGACTATACAAGAAATAATCAGCTTGATCCACGACCCAGATCAGAGAACCGGATACGTGCATGTACATACCGGCTGCAGGAGGATGCAGGCGTTGACACTCTTTCAAGAAACTGTCTAGTAAGACCATTTTATCACACGCCGGGAGTGTAGTTCCCATTTCAGAAATGATGGTTTCAATTTCTTCACGAAGGGCGGGTATATACTCGGGTCTCCGAGAAAGCTCAGCTAGAGCGCCGTAAAGAGCCTGTGTGATTTGTATAAGCCCTGGTCATTAATTTTTATGACTTACCAGCCCGGAGCTATGTAGTGGCTGGTGGTGGTGACCTCAAGAATCTTAAAGTAGCTTGGATTTGAGTATCACGCACATAAGCAGTTGTATAGATGAATGCAAATTGAAGAAGTAGCATTTCTCCAATCACCTCTGAATAGGTCCAGCGCTGTCGAAGGATGGAGCTCTCGTATAACCATCGGAAAATCTCAACCTAGATGCGTTTATTGCGATTAGTATGATCATACTCCCAAGTGTAGATAAGTCTAGCTTCGCTGATAGAACTTGATATTAAGGCAGGTAGTGTGAGACATACTGGGTTCTCCGAGGGTTCAAAATTGCCTTGTTTATGATCCACGTAAGAAATTGTCGACATCGCTGTGCTGTATTCAGCTGCTCTTGCATCGAAGTGCTTTAATAGAATTTTGCGTGAGGCGTGCATATTCCAACTGGTTCCTATTGTAGCCAGCCTGCTGATGAAGCCACCAACGTACCTTTTTTCAATTAGTTCCTTAGTTCAAAATCTTGTCCGCAAAGAAAACCATGTCTTACCACTTCAAGCAGTCAGGAATCAGGAACTGGACTCGAGTAGTCATGATCATCCCTAATATATGATCTTTCACAGCCTTCAAATATTCTTCATCTTGAGCTAATCGCTCCCCAACCATAGCGAAACTTCCACTGCGCGCAACCAGTGAATATGCGAAGTCAAAGCAGCCAATAGTACATTCTATATGACATGAGACATATCAGTGCATATTAAAACCTGAAGGCGAATCGAAAATACTCAAAAGTAGTAGAGACTCAGTGCTCCAAAAAACGTACCATCATCTTGCCATTCCAATTTCTGGAACTGGGAAAGAATAGCCTCGTTCATGAAAGGCACATATCGATTTAAATGCCTGTATACAGTTCCACGGATAACACCTGGTGTCGTCTTCGCAATGGCAGGCCATCCACCACCTTTAGGAAAATACCCAGGCATAACATGTGAAATCTGGAGTAATTGATCGATCCATGGTTCTGGTGATGCAACCGTGCTCCGGGTGTGTTTCAATTCTTCAATCAGCTCGGGCTTGCATATTATGACTTGACCGGGGCGAAAAGTTCGAGGGATCTCGAAGAGTCCGAGTCCATCTGAGAACTGGGCGTATCCTCTCTTTATGAGATCTGGTCCATTGATCAAGAAGCGGTAGTGTTGGTAGAGAATTGATAACGGGTTCTTTCCCATGGCAAAGGGGACGCCATCCTAGTGATTTGATAGGATTAGCACTGAGTGTAGTATTCAGAGTCCTTGAAAAGATAACAAGTCCATGCTTTTTTGTGATGTTGGCCCAGTGATTTTGATCGACTGGTCGTCAATTGTGATCTTGAAATATGAGAAAGAAAAATGGAACTCACATTGCCCCAACGACGAGACGTAAACACTAACGCAGATGCAGTTATCAGAATAAACACTAGATATGCCACGAATATCCCGGTAGCGATTTGTGGGACATCCAATTCTGTGAACAAATTGGACAGACAGACTTTCATCTCTGCGAAGGATATCAATGTGCAACTTGAGATGAAACAAGAAAAGAGGAGATAAAGAGAATTGGAAGGAAAGACCACTAATCCTGTACAATCACGCTGGCTTTTGACAGGAACGTAGACCGGACTGATTTGCAAAGAACAAATAGCGAATATTGTCCATTAAAGGAGGGACTGCAATTCGTGGATGTGGGGTGAGCAGGTGATCGTGTGTCCACATGTGGTGTGTATGGGAGCCACTGGTCCAATGTTGGGATAAGCCTGGAAAGGTCACTTCGGCCGAACTACTGGTGCCCAGGCGCCCAGTGCCCGATTATCCACTGGCAGGCAGTCGGCTTACCATGGCCATCGAATTCCAGGTCATCACTCGGGGACATGGAGTACCGAACCCCACTTCTCCCCTCAAGGCAATGCCAGGGTGGCTGGGATATATACGAGCCTGGGGCCTTGATATGACAGGCTGTGCTATGACCGGAAATACCCACAGTGTCAACATGGGTGTCCGGGTTATTAAACCCGGGCGAGTGGGCGTGGGTGATTTCTGCAGTGCGGGCGAGGATTACAAGGGTTGAGGATCATATGGCCAAGGTTGCATGCATGGCTTCATGAGCCACACTTAAATATGGGAAGGCTAGCCCAGAGGTTCGGGCTTGAAATCGCGGTGATCATTCCGACGAAATGTGAAGATTGTTTGCCTCTGCTTTCGAATGTTTGATTGAGCCTGTCATTGTCTAGATCAAAGGTGACTATGGAGAATAAAGTATTGCCTAGAAATACTGACTATCGGATACGCGAAAGAGTAAAGTGGTAGAGATGATCATGAAGGGCAAAAAGCCCTGAAAGAAATTGGCCCTGGCTGCTGTCCAGGTGCGCATACGCGCAGCATCAAGTCTCGTCGCAGGTAAATGTCGTACAAGGCATCATGAAGAATGAACACAAAATAAGAGAAAAGCACTTGACAGAGCTAGGAACAAGAAAGTTAGAATCATATAAAACAAACTCCCCAGGTATCAGCGAATGGATCCGTGTGGTATAATGGTACAAGAAATCCGCAAAATACGCCCGCGCAGCAGAAAGGCACAAATATATCAAAAAGGCTGAAGGTCAGTTTGGATCTATGCAATGCCTTGGGTGTCCAATCCGCCCATGGTAGAATATGAATATGGCAGGTCGACAAGACCATCAAGAAGCCAATTCAATGGATCAAAGACCTCGTAATTGGGTTCCATGAAACCACTTGGCAGTGACCCAATTCCATTGCTTGCTCCAACCCCAAGAGCAGCTTGCGAGATCATTGGTGCTGGTGCAAGACTTGGATCACCGCCAGAAAGACCAGGAGTGGATGATTGAGTTCGGGGAGGACCGACAGATGAAGCGGCAGATGAATCGGCAGCTGAATCTGGATTGGTTGGGTTTTTGAGGTAGGCTATGAGGTGTTAGTGTATGTTAAATTGAATACGATGTTGTTGTTGTTGTTGTTGTTGTTGTTGTTGTTGTTTTTGGTTCACTCACCTTCGATGTTTCGTCCCTTTGTTCGTGCATCCTCCCGCCATCGCCATACCGAGTCAAAGAGCAAAGACATACTCATGCGACACCGGACTTTCAGTCTTAAAGAGTCGTCAATACTACTGTTGCTTGTTGTTGATTGCTGAGCCCCCAATCGCCACATCTGGGCCAGCACCTCCGCCAATCGCTCGGGGAGATCATTGTTCGACACAGACACACCACGGATGCCCCAAATAGTCCTGTTGAACAGGTTTTTGGTGTATTCCATGTCGATATGCGCCGAGAAAAAGCTCTTGCTCAATTTCAAAAGGGTACAGCCGGCTGCAACCATCATTTGATAGATGTAGTAAGGGGTATATGAGAGAACGGGACCAACTTCAGTCTCAAGATTCATGGTAACCTCGAGGAATGAAGTGGTAGCAACGTATAGTGACAAAAGTCGCTCACGGTAGTCTTTCGCGTTAGGGTCATCAAAGAAAGCCGACAAATGCAGGTGGAGGTTTGCCGCGCGTAGGTAAAGATCAGTAATGCCTAAATAGCTGTTAGCAGTGGAAAACTGTGAGCGAGCGATATTGCAATCTTACAATCGTTCCGCGTTTTGAATTGCTCTTCGAGTTCATCAAAATCGCGGGAAAGAAACGACAGCATTGTGTTTCGCTCTTGGTCACTGGTCAAGCCGACAGGGTCTCGTCTATTAGTGTATAGAGCTCGAGTAATTCTGTCGCAGAATTTCTCAATCTCTAGTCTGTGCTTGATATCCTCCGGTAGTTTGAAGCTCGGATCCAATGCATCGCTTGATGACAACGTCCAGTCATAGAGGGTGGATGGGGGTTGACCATAGCCAGTTGAAACACTGAGGGAAACAATCAGAAACACAACTCCAAATGCGTAACAAGATTGGATGGGACATACCGTTGCGCAACAATATTAGCAATGGCCCAGGTCCGAACTTTGTCTTTTAATTCCTCCTCAATGAGTTCCACACGGAACTTGCTAAAGTCTTGACTGTGTGACGGTCGATGAAGACCAAGCTGCATTGCCACCTGGATCATCATTCCGCAAAGCATGAAGGTTGGATCTGTCGATGTGCTGCTGGTAGGGAATGGCCAAGAGCATAGCAGGGAAAGTGCTTTGACGACATGATAACTTTGCGGTATATCTGCCAATGTGCTCCATACGAGGCGTGTAACAGGCCCTGCTAGGGAATTCAATAGCCCTGAATCGTTCTGATAGCGTCTGGCACCAACACTGAGGATCATCCAGAACAGCAAAGGTGAAGCATTATAGTAATCATCTGGGGACTGTTGCCTATCCAATAAAGGAAGAAATGAATGGTAGTACGTGAAAAACCTATTGCAGTGTTAGATAACCAATAGAACAACCCATATTTCGGTGGCTGGAAAACTGACAGGTTGAAGAGCTCAGTGGCTTTCTCCGGTATGACTATAACATCTTCGATTCGCTTGAATTGATGGGTTGGGGTTCTCATAAAGTTCGTTCCATCGAGCCCTGAGCGCAGATCCAAGAGCGACGCCACTGCCTCTTGCGATCCCATGTACTGATCGGCGGACATGGCTGACGGGGTTTGGGTTTGGTAGACGCCCGCAGGACTGACCTGGCTCGACTCTTGCTTTGGCGTTAATTGGCCAGGATGGATAGGTTGTTGTTGATGTATGACCGGGCCGGTGCTTGCGGTCGCGATTTGTTTCCTCAATTCGATGATCTCCCGTTCCATCTCAGCATTGCGACTGCGTTTGCCAACCCGCTTGAAATTGGATTCGATTTTACAATCGAGTTTAAGTCGACGGCATCTGGAGCAATCGGTCCAGGGATCTTGGCTGACATCGCATCGAAGCTATAGTATAGTATAAACCTGGTCAGCAACCAAGTCTCCAGGGCATTCATTACCCGTTTGCCACTACGGCAATGTCGCAACGAAGCCTTGAACAATAGAAACAGCCAAGCCCACCTTCTGTTGGCGACATTCATTACATGCGCGCTTCACTGGTTGTCGCCGTTTATCGTCGCGCCCATCGTTATCCTCCGCATCCTCGATACTCCCCGGGGAGCTGTCCATCCCCGCAATGGTGACATTCCGTTTGCGACCCTGCAAGCCATCGGACGCAGACATAGAAAGCTGCGCCTGGTTCACACCCGTCATGACGGGACTTATGACCTCTGGAGCATTATCAGCTCCCGCAACTGAATCTAGAGTCTGGGCCGGTGACCCTTCGAAAACTCTTGGTCCGGAAGCCAGACTGACGCCGTTAGAGCAGCGGCGATCAAGTTTTGCCGCAATTGAACGCAATATAACCACCGGAATGTGAACAAACCAGGCGATTGGAACACTTTTTTAAGCAGCCAGCCTTGGAAATACGACAATAGCACTGGCTAAGGCCAATTTAGTCTTTAAAGGTCTCCGCACAAGCTGTGAGATGCAGACTTCAAGACACGCTGAGTCATTCGGCGCGGGGGCAACGTTGTCATGTGACTTTTCATGTAGGAAATTGTTAGGTAATCAAGAGGAAATTCCAAGATTTCCAACACAATTCCCAGTTTAACTCTGCTTGTTTTTCGATTTAGAGGCTTTCAATGCTCCCAATGTCCATATATGGATAATTATGCCCTGAAATATTTGAAGATCGGCAAGTGTTTCCCATCTGTTGTTACTTTGTGGTATCACGTGACCCGTTAGTGATCGACAATGCACACCGGTGGATAAACGTTTTCGATGAATTTGGAAATGGGTAAGGTCTCGGCCGATCTTCACCTCCAAAAAGTGGTTCACGTCGGTCTACACAGATGATTAGCCTATTTTCTTGATATCCTTTTTCCGGAAGACTCCAAGGTTCTATGTAGCAGGGCAATTGAGCTTCGCATGCACCAAAGCTCTGCCGGTGGCCCTTGACACTATTAGCAGAACTCTGCAGTGAGTGATAGAACCCTTGGAAGCGTCCACCAATCTAAGGAACCGAAGTCTTCTGTTCAGCCCAGTCTAGCCCACTATTAATTACTACATCTTCGATCTAGCCAGGATCATGATCTGTTTCTATGTACTGTTCAGATTCCCATCAGGGCTCAGGGTACCAATTTCTATGCGTTTTGGAAGGGGTTATTGGGAGCAAGTCTCTCAATGTACAAATCAATGTTTGAAGTTTACCTATGTAGGTAATCCTTCATTCTCCAGTACTCTCTATCGATCCGAGTCCTATTCACTTGAAGTATGTAAGTATTTCAAGACTCGGATGCTCGAAGTAGGGTACCAGTGAGCACTGGCATATTATCACACATCTACTAGTACATACTAAAATGTGTGCATAATTAGGGTGCAAACATTTGATGTTCATTCAAATGTTGCTTAGAATAGGCCAGCCTAAGTGATAATCAATATGGTAGACCGGGATCATTCTCAAGTGTTTGTAGCGAAAAGAAACGTCAGTGTTTTATTTAACCCTGTGGTATTAAGCCAGAACCAAACAGATAAAAGTGACCAATAGGCGTATTCAGCCAAGCATCAAAAGAAACCGAAATCAAACAAAGCAGAGTAAACGTTGCAACAGAGAGGATCTTGAATCGTTATAAGCAAAGCCACGAACATTCCATCATGCTGAAGCGTCACGCCGTAGCAAAGACATCGCCATTGGATATCACCTCCTCAACCACCTAAAGAAAAATTAGTCAAAGTCTAGGTAATGTATCTAAATGATAAAGAAAACTCACCGCAGCCTCCTCCACATCCTCCGCCTCCTCCTCCTCCTCCTCCACTACAGCCGCCGCCGCCGCCTCCTCCACAACCACCTCCCCCTCCGCCTCCACCGCCGCACCCGCCTCCACTACAAGCACCGGTACTTCCAACTGCATTGATATTAGCATAGAGAATCATAAAGTATGTTAAAAAGGCAGAGTACATACCACAGCTGAAATCAGCTCCACCCGAAGTACCGCCAGCCCCAACACATGCACCGCTTGCTACACCTCCGCCGCAGGTTCCGTTGCAACAGCTTCCAACAGCCCCAACAGCGATATTCATGCAGCTTGGATTGCAAGCATACGAGTTTGGAGCGATAGCAGGATCGCACATATACGGCCCGTAGTAAGGTACGTAGATAGGGTATCCGTACGCATATGGCATATAGTCTAGCGGCTCAGTAGTACGGGCATGTTGAGTGGTTTCAACAGCCCCCTTTGATCGACGTCGTTTCCCAGTCTTCGAACGAATCTCTCATAGTTCTGTGCTAGGCGCATTCGATGGATGTACCCTACTTGGGACTCGGCGGGGTTTCGGTCTGCCGAGGAGACGGCGTTATGAGCTGAGATATGCGCGTTCTTATCCGGATTAGACGAGATATCCTGTCGATCATGGAGTGATTCAGCGTTTTCACGGGCAAGGCGTGATGATCCAATACTAATCACTCGATCATACAAATCTGGTGTGCGAGTGGCTTCGCAGTACCAGCAGGTACATTCGCTGTAGATCCCGCCGTTCGTGGCACGGCGATACATCTTGCTGGTCCATTCGAAGCACTCTGAGAGCTTGTTTTCGTTGACTTTGTCATCGTGGTCGATAAACCGAGGGCTTGACTTTTCTCCTGAGAATCCCGTTGTGTAGTTATAGTATCTGCTTGGATGGAGCTGGTGCGTGTGCCAGGCGAGATCAACGTCCAATGTGGGTACAGCCATTTGCTTTGGATTGTCGAACATGATAGTTAGGAATATGGCGTACTTTCTAATCAGTCGATCGGCTGTGTCCATCACTGCTGGTGAGTGAAGCCAATCCATATTATCCATCTTCTGGACAAATGTACTCTGGCGGATGACTGCACCGACAAGGTCAAGTGCAAATGGGCTGAAGTTATCCCAGTAGCGAGACATCATGCGTCGGAAATGAATCTTCTCTCCCGGTCGAAGAGTAGTACGATTGCGCGCGCTTGCCTTCAACACATCTTTCTTACGCAGCTCGGTTTCCAGCCAAGTGCTCAGTTGATTGATATCATGGCACCGATCAATTCGGGTGTCTGTATACGCAATCAAGTCCTTTCCACATGCCTTCAGAAATTTACTGGGGAAGAGCATGTTATCATGAAGTACCGATGGTCGGGTGAGCTTTATATCGTCCGGCATTCCATTCATGTTCAACAGGGCTCCCGGGACAGATCGACCATGGTCCAGTAATTCCATCAGATCTTGATGAAATTTGGCAATTCTCAGTCGGCCGTGGTCGACCTTGCCCAGACAGTGCCTGCAAACAGTTTCAAAGCCCTTGTCGGCGAATCCAGTGCTGCGTTCAAATGCATCTTTGAGTGGACCTGTCATAGCGCCTTCGGTCCATGGCACGAGAATGGCGTGTTTGCAGCGGGGGCATTCAAGTTTCTTGTCGAGTGGATCTTGGAGATTATCCCACTTAAGCTTCATCTGATGCTCGAACGAGTCTTTGCTCGCATCATCTGGGGAATATTCCAACGTTCTGTCGTCGATGCATGCGTTCACAATCTCAAAGGGGAAACCCGTTCGCCAGGTACTCATCTTACCATAGCGAATACAATCCTCAAGATAGTTTCTAGGATTGAGCATGTGGGAATGCCAGACCATCAGAATATCTTGATTGAATGTTAGATCTATGTCCACTCGCCTCTTCAATATATCATGTTTATTTTTAAGGACATACCAAGGGGAGGCAGTGTCTTAGCAGACCACACGACCTTCGTATCACCATTGGTGATAGTTCCGTAAGTGATACTTTCTTGATCGGAGATTGTCGCCACTCCTCGTGACATAGGTAGAGCAGTGAACCACCACTTCTCGTACCGTTCAGCTGCACGAGCCACATAGACAGCGAACCGTTTCTCTTTAATGCGAATCATTGCCTCGTCGAAAGAATCTGGAAACTTGTTTGCATCGGCATCGTAAATATCGAACAGTCCATCCTGATTAGAGATGTAGTCACGCAGGTCTGCTAAAACAGCCAAAAATTTGAGATGTACGACACACTGATCGCGAGTGACAGTTCGGGAACTTGGGACGTTGGAAAGATCGTTCAAACTGAGTTTGGGTAATTGTAGCAGTACTTCCTGCTTGACTCTCTCGTAAGATGGCGGTCGGGAACTCTTGTCACTAGCAAAACTAGTTGCGGGGGTCTCTTTGGACTTCTTGCCCGTTAATAAACCCATGATCGCGTTGAACTTGCCAAATTTTAGGTTGTAATCAGACTGGTAACACTAGCAAAAGGTGATGAAGATGTTAGTTGGAAATAGGAGGTTGGCACGACGGAGTATACGGGGGGCTATTTGGATCATTTTATATCCTTAGGTACTAATAGTACTATACCCGACGATCAATGAATTCGGTCAGGGTTTCATTCGTTGTAGTGTCAGTCACATGTGTACTAGTATCAAGTTCATCAAATCAGTTGAAGAGCAACGTGCCAGGAACTGACCAATAATTATTTTTACCGATCAAGTACGCCCTGTAGTTCCACCTTCAGGGTGCCTAGCTAAGCCCTTCGGGCCAAAAGCTTCTTCCGGAGTTGAGCTCGGGGCTCAGGGATCGCGTCACCATCGGACATAGCTGGCTATGCAAGTCTTTGAGCCCACGCTTTCATGCGGGACGCCTTAAAGGTCACGGGCGAAGCCGTCTCGGGGCGCGGTTATTGGAGGCATGGCGATTGTGATTGCACTAGTTCCACCTGGCGGCACTGCCTCGGTATGCGGCTCAACGCCCGAGTGGCCCCAGTGGGAACAGAATGATCCAATCTTGAGGCATAGACTTCATTTGGATTTGCCCGTGAGAAATGATTACTGAAACCATATCGATCCATTCAAGTTTCTTTCACTGCCCAGGTGGCAGTCTACTCTTATTCTATTAGATACATGCGGGCCCCTTACAACCTTGGGTTTCAACTGCTTGGGTGCCCGAAGCTATAAGTACGAGTACTATTCCATGGATGACTTGCACATGTGGACATGAGATCCATTGAATAGGGATGCTACATCTATACCAGTACGACATAGTACCTATTAGGAGTAGCAGATAAGCGGGTGTTTGTTGATGTATTCTCCGCAGAGGAGTGGAGACTGCATATGTGGGACTCGGATGACCTCATTGTTATGCTGCGTATGCATATCATAATGACACCTGGGCAGAAGATTGTACCTCAGGACCAACCTTGGAAAAGTTGAAGGTTACCTATGGTAGTATTATTGTATTCGAATGTTCTTCACGCATATGGTCTGGACAGGATTTCCATAGTATAGAGTGAGCAATCTTGGAAATGAGTGCCTCCTTCATCTCATAAACTAGAAATGATTCAAGTTGGACCAGTACTATGCACACGTCTTTAAATGTCTTCCTACTGGCAGTGTCGACTGAGTTCATACCTTTTTGAAATTGGTAGCAACCTAGAATTTTGTTGTTTTAATACTACAGTGAACCAACATTTGAAGGCGTCTGTAAGGGCTTCTCAATAGAATGGCCCGGAATGCATTGATATCAATATGTCCAAATGTGTCGATTCAAGTTATAATAACAAGTAGATCAGTCTATGCATGAAGAAACGAGGGTATTGTAGTCCATCAAAATGGCAAAAATACAAAAAAGAAACAAACAAACGTCAACGCTACATGACCATGCACTTATTTCTTCGTTTTCGGCTTCGTTCTCGAATAGTATGTTCGTTCCAATCCTCAATGCGCCGGCGCCACTCCTCATTCTCTGGTGGTGGTAGGCTTGTCGGTTCAGTTGAGACTCGTCTCCGAAAAGATCTTCGCCTTTCGGGGATCTGATCATCGTCTTCTGCGGAAAGGTCTAGTGCATTTCCATGTGGTTGTGGGATATGTAGAAGGTTTGGAGATGATACAGAATAGGAGAGATAGTTTTCCCCAAGCACGGTTGCACCCAATGAAAGAGCAGAGAAGTCAAGTTGTCGCTCTGCTGGCTGAACAGCCAAGGTTGGAAGCGGTTGTAATGATGGGAGGCGGTTTGTGGTGATTGGAACAACCGGGGGACTGGCTGTGCTCGGGCGAGCAGCAGATAAATGGGCTGGTAGTGGCGGCAGGGCTGGAACTTCTGGTATCGGCGTGCTGGGCTGTTCGCGAGCCATAGCTTCTACAGCAGCCGAAGAATCTCTGCGGGCTCTTCCACCGCGTAGACTACTAGTTATAGTCCCCAATCGTTGGATAATCGCTGACTGGGGCCGAGGACGGTCTGAATGGTTCAAGCGTGGTACCCGGGCTGTTTCAGCTCGTTGAACATGGTTGTTGGTGATAGTATTTAATGCCGTTGAAGAACGTTGAGCCGATGTGGGCGGAGTATCAGGACTTGATACTCTTGGCAAGAGCGTTTGTTGCAAATGATCTGGCAAAGGTTCATCAGGCTCACGTTTGTACGGTGGAGGCGGCGGCACCCAGTTATCTGCGTCGCTTTCATGGGGTACTTGGCGACGGCTGGGAGAGTTGCGATATCGTGGGTCGTATCGCCCTCGGGTTGATGCTGCAGCTGTGGCCGCACGATGAAGTGTATCTTGAGAACGAGGTTGTGTATTATCATATGGAATCTCAACAGGACCACGGGAGGTCGTCATTTCTGTTGCGAGAGGAACTGCCAAACTATTGCGTCGCTGGGGGTCAAGAACTGGAATTGAGGGAACTCTAGTTGAGAGCCCGCGGCGAACTCCAGTGACAGTGACATCTGTATCATTGCGAAACAATCGAGTTCGTCGTCTCTGTAGCTCGACTTCTGTGTCCAAAGAGGAGTCTGGCTCTCGCAGCAGTTTTGGCGTTGTCTCACCAACTTCGATATCTAGTTCGGTTTCTCCACCATCGGTAGCTGATCTCTCAAAATCTAGGAGAAGAATTCTTCCCCCGTCCACAGGTACGTCTTCTTCACCAAAAATTTGTGGACGTACACCACCAGGAGCCACAGACACGAGACGTCGCCGTGGCTTCGTCGAATTTGCCGAGTGTACCCAGCGAGTTGATGTGATTCCATGCATGTCAGTAACGCGTCGACCGCGAACCAGGATTTTAGGCTGTTGAATTATTTTACCCAGTTGGGCCAGATTGTCACGAGGCGGTACAGAGCCTGAGTAATGATGAACGCCACTCAATACCGTTGTGTTCTGTGGGGCCGTGCTAGCAGGTGCATCTGGCGAGACCACATCGAGATGCCTGGGTATTCCGTACAACCAAACTTCAGAGTCCTGAAATCCGAAAGCTGCAAGTTGACCAGCCTCATCAACAGCTGGCAGCATAGCAGGCATCATTTCTCTTGATTCCCCTGTCAAAAAAGGACTAGCAAAATAGACACCACCGGCGTCTACATTGTTCACTCGGAGGGCTCTGAATGCTGCCAGTTGAGGGTCGTATCCTAGGATCCAACTATCATCTCCTTCGTCATGCTCTGGGACTAAGCAGGCATGACTAAAACCGCCGACCATCTCGGGAAATAGTATTTGTGTTGTCCACATTCGCATCTGAACTTCTTCTGGCGATGCATCGGTCCCAGTCTCGGTATAAAATGGAGCAGTAATAGTTACTATTCCATCTAACCCGAGATCTACGGAAGATCCAAGCAGCATCGAACCATCTGGAGTAAATGAAAGTGCATCAACACGGAGACAGCGCGCGGCACGACGTTCAGTGGGTAATGTTTCTTCTCCAACTGCATGGACCTCAATGTTATCTTCAAAGGAAAGGGCCAGAACACTTCCAGTAGGTGAGAATATGAGGTCTCGTGGAGCGTCATTCAAAGTAATAGTCTGGATTCGCCTTGCTTCATCACCGGACAGCCTGTATATATTAACCTTGTAGGATTCAGATACCACTGCCAGTAGGGAGCCATCGTCTAGGATAGTAGCCCCTAGAGGTCGACGGCGGGTCTGCAGCTCATGCTTGACAGACACTGGATCTGCAGCCAGTTCCAGCACAACAATCCGCGATGAGCTGATGCACAGCACCATATGACCATTGGCTGAAAATGAAAAGCGAAACACTTCGCCTTGTGGAAAGGCTGTGGAGGAGCTCATAGAACTCGATATCAAACGCACCAAGGTCTTGCGAGGCCGCAGGAACACATCAAATGCATTTCGGCGCGCCTCTTTAATGAACTGACCTTTCAGATCTGACAAGCCGTCCGCATCAGTTGGCGGGGCAAGACCCTCGCGTGACCAAATAAATGAAGGGCATTGCGCTAAGTGGTAGGCGTAGAGTGCAGGAGACTCTGATATATGCCTCCATTGACGATTCAGCAGCGCAAGTGAAGCAAATGTGTTGGCATCTGCGGCATAAAGAATGCTAGAGGGGGCGGGTCAGCCAACACAGGGTCCAGTCTAAATTGGCCACATAGACCCTCCAGAACATCAAAGCGAACAAGCACACATACTTCTCAATTACAGATGGGGGCAGCCGGTCAAAGACGCGCGCTTCTTGAGGGGAGGCATCCTCCATTATCACCAGCAATTGCCGACATACGGAATTGACGCGGGCACCCAAGATGGAGTTGCCCTTTGAAAGTGGCGGTGCTCCCAACCTCCTTCATGTTGCCCGTGTCGATCTTATGGATATAAATAGAGAGGGCACGTGGTGATGACTCAGCATCCCCGCATTCAGTTTAGCTTGAGTTTTTCTTTTTCTCGAAGTATTCGGTTGACCTTATCTAAGCGTTTTGGTGATTCTGAAGAACTTCCACATTCTACTGTGAATATTTGAGGCTGCATGATTAAACCCCAGAATATCCAAGAACCACCATGAAAGTATAACCTCCACTGAGCCCCCGGCTGTGCTCTTCCACCCAATCGATCATCAATGCCTGTCGCATTCGGCCGGGTCATACCCCTCATCCTGTCCAACTGAGATCGGCCGACTCCGAAAACTCCCCGGCATCTTTTTTCCCCAGATTGTTTCCCTCACCTTCACCTCTCTCCACTTCGAAATCTTTATAGGGTTGCGCATCATGTCACCGGCGCCCCTTCAAGTCAATCCCTCCTCCAAGTTACCTTCGCCCGGCTTCAATGCCGGCGCGCGACCTTACCGCTCTCACAAGGTCCGCGCCTGTGACCTTTGTCGCAAGCGCAAGTCTCGATGCACCGTCGATATTCCTGGCCAGAGCTGTCTACTGTGTCGCGTGCAAGGTGCCGACTGTCATTACCAAGAAGAACCCCAGGGGGATACTTCGGTGTTGAGTGTACCGGAAACGAAGCCGTGGTCGGGAGCCCAGCCGATCGAACCCGTATCAGGTCAAAAACGCAAGCGCAGCCCTGACCGATCCCCCAATTCGGGTCCGCATATACCAACCCGCCAGTCGACTAATGGGCCGAGTCCCCAAGGCACAAATTCGTCCTCTGGGCGCCCCGGGAGTGAATCGCGACGCAAGTACGATGATGATCGCCACAATGAATCAGTTCTCATTGTCGGGCCAATGGTAGCAGAAGATGCGCAGGTAATTGAGAAATACATGCCTCCAGAACGATCGAGTCTTTCCGAAGAACCCAACAGCCACCCATACAATATTTATTCGAGCGACCCTAGAAAACCGGTACTGTACACTACAATTACACGGCGGAGAAAGGGTATGCGCGTCGGTGTTCCACCAGGAGAAAACCAGAAAGAGGTCCTTGAACAAATTTTGGGGCCTTTCAAACATGACCTCGTGAGATTGTATGGCCTTGAATAATCCCGAATCACTTTGTTTACACATACTCATTTTCTCTTGATTTAGATTTCTTGACCGATTCAACGTCGCATTTCCTATATTTGATGGCGAATCTTTTTGGGAATCATATATCACAGAATCCGCGGAAGATCCTCCGGCATCACTTCTATGCCAGGTTTATTCGATGTCGCTTGTTTATTGGAAACACACACCTAAGCTCGCATGTCACCCGAAGCCAGATGTGAGATATGCCGTGAACATGACTGTTGCGGCCTTGCATGAGGAGTTCTCAGCACCTGGGTTGTCCACAATCATTGCCGCACTAATCGATTTGACCGGCCGGCCAATTTTCTCCATGACAGGAAATGCTATTAGTTGTGGTCGAATGCTTTCCTTGGCCAATTGTCTCGGTTTGAACAGAGATCCGAGCCTGTGGAAACTCTCTGAACAAGAGAAGGACCATCGGATTCGGCTTTGGTGGGGAGTGGTGATTCACGATCGTTGGGGTAGCTTTGGCCACGGTGTACCTCCTCAGATATCCAAGACTCAGTACGATGTCCCTCTTCCGACTATTGATGGTTTAGTGGCACGAAACCTTCGCACAACAGAGCGCGTGAGAGCAGCACATTGCCACATCGCCTTATGCAAGTTGACCGAGATCCTAGGTGAACTGCTACCTTTGGTATATGGTCTTCAGGCAAAACTGGCACGCGAGAGCTCCAAGAAAATCAGACAAATTAGAACAGAGTTAGATCTATGGGAGGATTCTCTGCCCGATTGGTTGAGATCGCCAGAGCATCACACTCGTCAGGATGAGATCTGCGCATCAAGCAGTCTACACCTAGCATTCTTGGCCGTCAAGATGCTTGTCAGTCGAGTCGAATTGAATGTAAGAATTTTCACCCTGTCAAATTTGCAGTTGCCAACCGCTTACATTGGACTTGCAGGAGGTCAACAATGCAGAAACAGATAATCCCGAAGCTCGCCGTTATTTTCAGACTGAGTGCCGGCGATCAGCAGAGGAGATTGTACGGTTCATCACATCCCTTCGATCAGAAAACTTCAAGGAATTCTGGTTACCCTGTATGTCAACACCCTGTTTATTCAAATTTCCTTTTTCTCTCTGGCTTTGTGAATGATTACTTACAACTTCCATAGATAGCGCATTCCACTTGACATCGACCGCAACTCTCCTCCTACGATGTGCTTTTGAAACCAACGATAGTGAGGTCGCCAGGTCATGTCTCAATAATGTTGAGAATCTTCGAACCGTCCTCCGTCGGGTTCGAGAAGAAGAGGACTGGGACGTGGCTGATATGTGTCTTGATCACTGTGAACGTATTATGCATCGACTCCCTGGCACTACTACCATAGACCAAATGTCTACTTCCGCCATGGCTGATCACGGCCTCGTCAACCCGGCTGCAATCTCTCTACCGGAAACTCAAACAAATAACGATATTGTTGATGATATGATGTCTATTTCGAATACATTTGGCACAATGGACGGTTTCCCCTTCGATATGACAGGTATCTGGGACGTTTCTGTCTTCCAAGATGTCAACTTGCCTTAGTAAGATGTCTTTCTTACTCTTGGTTCAAGCCTATTTTGGTTATTTTATGATTGGTTTCTGTGTGGCTTTTTTGGTGTCAACGGACATGTACTTTAATTCAACACTGTATATACCCTGGGTCTAGATGACCCCCAACCCGTGCATCTAGAGCAAGATGAAAACTTGAAGAGAAGAAAAAACGATTCTAGTATCAGTCTCGGTTTCTTGATATTAAAAGCATTTGTTTGATCAGATTTTAGAATGTACATTGAGAATCAAGAAACAAGAAGATCGGACACCGAACAATATTTTACAGTCGTTCCAGGAAATGAATGCTCAGAACGAAACCAACCCATCTAATGACCCGCCCCTTGCATGAAATGACGAAATAAAAGGAACCCCAGATATGATAAGTTGGAGGAGAGGAGAGATAGACCAGAGGAGGTAGGCGTGGCAATATAAGGAATATTAGAGTGTTGGAATGGCGGTGTCAAGTTACTGCTTGTCACCGCCAGCACCAAACATGCCAGTGAAAGAGCCCTTCATGCTCTGCATCTGCTCTTGGCGGGCCTTCTCCTCCTCGGCGGCCATCTCAGCGAGCCACTTCTCGCCATTCTCGCGGATCTCCCGCTCGATCAGCTCGTAGTTCTTCTGGCCACGCTCACGGATCTGATCCCACAGCATCTTGCCCTGGGCAAGACCTTCGGAAGGAGAGATCTCGCCATCGGGGGTACGGGTGGACTTGAGACCCAGAGCGGAGGCAACGCTACCCATGCTGATAGAAGGCTTCTTCTTCTGCTCTTCAGCGAGCTCCTTCTCGAAGCGCTCACGCATAGCCTTCTCACGCTTGGTGAATTCAGCTGGGATATCGGCGCCCTCGAATGACTTCAGAACAGGACGGATGTCTTCCACGCCCATGCCAGCAAGGTACTCGAGGAAGGGAATCAGGGCAACGAGGGTCTTGTCCTTGGCATCACCAGTCCACTTGTCAAGCACAATGGCGTTCTCAGGCTGCAGGCGGGCGTGCTCCTCCTTGGTATCGAGGAGGATGACCTTTGACAGGTCACGGTTCAAGTAAGAAAGATCCTAGTGATACTTGTCAGAATTATACAAATAGAAAAAGGCTAAATAATATTGTCATACCTTGATGTACTCTCCATCCTTGTAGCGGGTAGCTTCACGGAACAGGGGCCAACGGATAATGCGGTAAGGATCGAGTTTTCGGAGAACCTGGTCGGCCATCATGCTAGGCACACTGGTGAACAGAACAAGCTCGTAGTACTGGTTGAGGTAGCGAAGGAAGTAGTCAACACCGGGACGCTTAGCCACACGCCATCCGTGCTCGCGGCTCCACTCGCTGTGAACAAGCAGATCCTCCAGACTGAGAACGAGGGTGTATGGCTGGCGCATGTTGGGGTCCTCATCGGGGAGCAGCTTAGGGAAAGCAGGATCCTTGTAGTAGCTGGTGAGGTCTCCAGTACGGGCCTTGATACGGTTCCACCAGAGACCCAAGCTCCAGCCGGATGGTTGCTCAACGTGAGCGCGCTCCTCCTCCTCGGTATCCCAGTTGCGACCTTGGTAGGCCATACCCGCAATACCAGCAGCCAGCATCACTGCGTACATGATGTTGGCCATACGAGCCTTGCGGCGATCCAAAGAGGTCTCATATCCACTCTTTGGGATATCACCACCTCCTCGACCATCCTCGCTATATTCTTCACCTTGAGTAGGATCCTCTGTAAGGTTCAGCTGTGACGCGCCGCCTTTCTTTGTGCGGCCTTCCAACTCAGCGGCCAATGTCGAGGGAATACCCTGGGTTAGGTCGGGCAGGGGCTGGTTTGGGATTTGTTCGGTCTCGACCTGAGAAAGAGTGATTGTTAGAAGGATACTTCGAGTACCTGACGAGTGACGGAAGTAGTGTTCATCTCACAGTATCTGCCGCATCGGTCTCTGATTTAGCCTTGGTCTCAAACTCGGGCTGTTCCTTTGAATGTTGAGATTGAGAAGCCTCGGCAGCAGCCTTGGACTTCTTGGACTTGAGTGTCTGGGGGAGCTCATATGGACTGTCTTTGCCCTTAGCGTACCACCGGGGTCGCTGAGCGGACAGGGCCGAAACCCTTGAAGCTCGAGTAGCGGAAGCTAGGACATTGGGCCTCGTTAGAGGCAAGATGGCGCGGCTCAACATGGTTGGATGAAATTAATGAGAGACAGGTGCACTCATGCCTTTCTCAAGTATCGCGGAGTCGCGGACGTCCGGGTCAGGTTTCCCGCAGAAAAGTCGGAGCGCGAAGTGGATCGGGTAACCCACAGAATCCAATGACGCAGTTTCTATATTACCTATCGCCGCCGAATCTTCTTCTTTCTTTTCTTCAAGTTATGAAAGTTCACCCAGATATAATTTGACCTTGTGCACCTTTTCTATGTGTATTTGGTTGAAATAACTGGGGAGACCAAAGAAGATTTCTTCTATTCCCACTTCCAAGAGCGCAGCGAAGGTCCGCCGTTGATGTTGCTGCTCCGAAGGTGGGACACAACCTCCTTTTTACGTTAGATTTTATTATTTTTGATCCCATCATTTGCGGCATTCATGATCACTGCCATGCGAACCTTCAATTGAACAAGACATTTCGAACCATGGAATCTATACCAAATCCTTAGACTTGTTCCGCGTACTTGATAGATTTCGATCCTATTTTCCATTTTTCTCATTCGCAACATGTCTTCCAAAGCGGCCAGGAAGGCCGCGAAAAAGGCCCAAGCAGCCTCCGAATTCTACGAAGGCCTTGAAGATATACCAGAGCTTGAACCTGTTTATGATACATTCCGCTTCCTCGATCTCCCATCTGAGATTCGGGTTATTGTGTACCACTTTGTGCTGTTCACGCCAACGAAGAAAACCGCGAGGCAAAATGCTGGCACCGTCGGCGCCTCTGCGAAAAAGGCCAAACTTGTGGCACCAACTGCGCATCGAATAGCGTTATTCTTAGTCTCACATCGCATTCATGGTGAAGCCAGTCATTATTTTTATTCGACACAAATTTTTCGCGTTTTCACCATTCAAGATTTCTCGCGCCGTCCCACCCTCCGAGCAATACCCCGCCGCTATCGTCCGTTGGTCTCGACCCTCGAATTGATTCTGGGCAACAGTTGGACAGCACCGCCAAAGTCCTGGGTTGTTGATAAGGGCCTTGGGCTACCTGATATGACCCTCACGCGCACATTGAAGCTATTCATTGAGTGCGACCCCTCCCAACCCATCTTCGAGGGGTTCCGCATATCGAAAGAATATTACACTGAGTTTTCTGGGAGATTGGTGAAAGAGATCCTGGACCAACTTCCAGATTTGGAATGGGTCGAATTCGATGCATATCCGTCTGTACAGAAGAACGGCTCTTTGATGAGTCGCTTACTACGTGAGGCTCGAGCAGCAAATAAGAAAGTCAAGTGGGGCCCGCAGAGAGGCTGGACGGATATTAATGATATAGGCTTTGTCGTTGATGAACCAGAGCCAGTTGGCCCTGATGTCAATGGGGTGCAATCACATGTCCCTACGCCTGTTGATGAATTAGCAAACATGGTCGAGAGTATCACTTTGAATGTGAGTGATCGAGCTGCGACTTACAATTAGCAATAGATCTACAGCTATACTTTATTTTTTGTACATAGATACTACATATACTACATGAGATACTTTACATAGCGATGTCTCCTCCTGCCAGCCTGTGTGGACTGGTTACTAGTACAAATACTAATAGTACTCAAATGCCACAAGTTCCAACTTGAAGGTCGTACTATGCTACCTACCTCTACTATTAGTACGCGCCGTGACCCATATCAGTGGCCTAAAATGGGCATTCTTACCTAAGTACTTACTACCTAACTAGGTAGTAGTCCATACACATATTACAGGCACCTAGGCTTGAGATCAATGCGAACAATGTCCCGAGGTCCTCAAGAAATTGAACTAACGCCTTCACCACAACATTGAACTACTCGGAAACCTTGAGCTTCCACGGAATGAACATACAGATTCCAATAAGAGAATAAGATTTCGTGATTAGAACGTTTCAATGAGACTCATACACCTTCAATGTTTCAAGGTTCTAAATCTAAAGTTCCTCATCCACATCCATCGAGGCGCCATTCGTGTCATCTTTGGTTGCTGACTGGCGCGCTACCGACGCTTCCTTGTCGATCATCTGCCTGGAAACAGCAACAATGTTGTCTTCAATCAATTGCTGACTCACATCTTCGATGTCTGGAGATTACTGTTAGTATCGGTCTGGAACAAGGGTATGAGAGTAGATTGAACGTACGCTTCTTGGGGTCAACTTTGCCGACATATCGTGTCTTCAGCTGGTCCTTGCTCAATTCGGTCTCTTCCTTCACTCGCTTCTCGTAGCCCTCGGCGAGGCTGACAAGCTGTTTCATCTGGTCCACGTTGTGCTGACCTTCCTCATGGAAGTCGTTCATCTGGAGGGCCTCAGTCCATACATGCTTGTGCAGATTCATGAGCATGTTCTCTTCCAATCCAGTCTTTCGGTAGTTGATGGCAATGCTGTAGTAGTGGCGGTTAAGACCGTGAATGAGGGCTTGGATGGAAGGCTTGTTCAAGTGACCCAAGTTGGAGGTTGTTTGACGAGGCTCTTGGCCCATAACGACAGTCTGGGGTTGGATAAGGCGGAAAGCATCGATGACAACCTTGCCCTTGACGGACTGGATCGGGTCAACCACGACAGCCACGGCGCGAGGGGTGAGTTGCTCGAATGATTGTTGGGTGTTGATATCGACGGAAGACAGCCAGCATCCAAAACCAGGGTGAGAGTGGTACCAGCCGACAACGGTTTCCGGTCTAAAAATGAAAGCAAATAGAGTCAGTCCAAGTTCCAATGTATCTACCACCATCGTGATGACAATTTACCGTCCTGTCTGTCGCAGCATCTCCATCATCTTGGTTTGAAACACAGGATCCACAGCCTCGACACTAACACCAGTACCGCTCTGGGGCATGGCAAATACATCTACCACTCGAACTGTGTACTCGTCCACGAACTCTCCCAGCATAAGACCCATGACTTCCATAGGCACACCGGCACGGCCGTGCCGCAGCATCTTCAAAAGGGCCAAGGAAGAAATGTGAACAGTTTCAGAGTTATCGATGAGGTTTGGGGTATCCTATATTTACTTTAATTAGCGACGAGAAGCTTTCAAATGCCAGCATGGCAAGCTCCAACAGCTGGCACCGCGTTAACCTTGGCAACGCCACACAGAGATCACTTACACCACCTGGAGCAGCGCTGCCCATTCCCATGCCCTGGGCAGCCTGCAGCATCCGGTTCAGGCGATCCATGATTGATATGTAATATCAAACTAGATATAACGACGTGTGAAGGAGGTAGGATTGAAAGCTCCCAGTGAAGCTCCCGATAGGGTAGAGGTGTGTTGGACGTAGATTAAGAGAACCGACAGAAGACAACGAAATAAGTCCTGATAGGTAATTCACTCGTATAGTAAATCAAGAAGCTAGACTTGGTTGATCTTCTTCGGGCAATGACAGGACAATGATGTGGATGCTTTGGCTGGGTGTTCGGAGACGGGCACATTCACTAAGCACATTCACTGACGAAGGCGGTCTATTTATTCTGCCCGCTCTGCTCCTTCCCACGCGGCGATTGATTCTCTCTCCACACCCTCTCCGTCTCTTGTCCACAGCACTATGAGCTTGTCAGACCTGACCTGTTGCTGCGATTAACCTCTTCGTTCGCCGATCGCGGTTCTTGGTCACCAGTGCTCTGTCTGTCTTGGTTACGTCTGGCTTTTCATTCTGCGTCCTTTCTCCTAACCCGCATACTTCCTATCTTCTCCAACTCTCTCAATTGATACCCTTGTTCCTCCTCACCTTCTTCGATCGCGTCCCTCTTTTTCCAACCCTCAATATGGCGGCCGAGCCGATCTCCAATGGCGTCGCCAACCCCAAGAAGGTTGCCTATTTCTACGACTCTGATGTGGGCAATTACGCCTATGTCTCGGGTCATCCTATGAAGCCCCATCGCATTCGTATGACCCACAGCCTGGTCATGAACTACGGTCTGTACAAGAAAATGGAAATCTACGTGAGTCCGCTCTAGATTCCCCTTATTTCAATATACGTGGAATTCAAAGCTCATCAGTATGTTTAGCGCGCGAAACCGGCCTCGAAATATGAAATGACCCAGTTCCACACCGACGAATACATCGACTTCCTTTCAAAAGTTACCCCAGACAACATGGATAGCTTTGGCAAGGAACAGAGTCGATACAACGTTGGTGACGATTGCCCAGTCTTTGACGGTCTTTTCGAATTCTGCGGTATCAGTGCCGGTGGCAGTATGGAAGGTGCAGCGCGGTTGAACCGCAACAAGTGCGATGTGGCTGTCAATTGGGCTGGTGGTCTCCACCACGCGAAGAAAAGCGAAGCCAGTGGTTTCTGCTACGTCAATGGTAAGCGCGATCTTTACTGCTGCTAGACTCGAGTGAGTCGTTTCTAATGCTTTGGACAGATATCGTGCTCGGTATTCTTGAGCTACTCCGATTCAAGCAACGTGTGCTTTATGTCGACATTGATGTTCATCACGGTGATGGTGTGGAAGAAGCTTTCTATACCACTGATCGTGTGATGACCGTGTCTTTCCACAAGTATGGCGAATACTTCCCTGGTACGGGCGAGCTTCGCGATATTGGTGTCGGCTCAGGAAAATACTACGCGGTTAACTTCCCTCTCCGTGATGGTATCAACGATGAGTCTTACCAGAGCATTTTCGAACCTGTCATCAAGAGTGTGATGGAATGGTACCGCCCGGAAGCCGTGGTCCTGCAATGTGGCGGTGACAGTTTGTCTGGTGATCGTCTTGGCTGCTTCAATCTCAGCATGCGCGGACATGCGAACTGCGTTAACTTTATCAAGAGCTTTGACCTCCCCACCCTGATCCTGGGTGGTGGTGGTTACACCATGCGCAATGTCGCACGTACCTGGGCCTATGAAACCGGTATCCTTGTTGGCAATACCCTGGAATCCGAGCTGCCATACAATGACTACTACGAGGTAAGTCTGACTTGAATAAGTTGATACGGATGATTCATACTAATAACTTTTGTTAGTACTTTGCTCCTGACTACGAACTTGATGTTCGTCCCTCCAACATGGACAACGCCAACACCAAGGACTACTTGGACAAGATTCGCAGCCAGGTCATTGAGAATCTGAAGCGAACGGCCTTTGCGCCATCCGTTCAAATGACAGATGTCCCGCGCAACCCAATGGTGGACGGGATGGACGATGAGGCTGATGACGTGATGGATGATTTGGATGAAGACGAGAACAAGGATAAGCGATTCACTCAACGTCGTTTCGATCAGTACGTGGAGAAGTCTGGCGAGCTGAGCGACAGTGAAGACGAAGAAGAAAACGCCGCCAATGGTGTACGCCGTCAACCAGGTGTTTCTCGCCGTCGCAACCAAGCCAATTACCGCAACCTGGATGATTCTGGTCTCGATAGTGGCAACGCCACACCTCAGGCAGCATCTTCCATTGGCGATGGAGAACTCGATGCTACTTTGGACACAAAGATGATTGATATCCCACGCACTGAGCCTGAGGCTCCAACCACCGCTGCGCCCTCGAATGATCACGATACTCCCACTGATGCCGACCAAATGATGATTGAAGATGAGGAGAAGGGACTCTCTACATCTGCTTCTCATCATCTTTTTCCTCCTCCCCACGATGAAGATACAACAATGGAAGACGCCGGCGCTCCCGCCCCCGAGGCAGAGCTGCCTGGATCTACTACAGTCGCAGGAGAAACGAAGCCTGAGACATCTCCGGCAGCGGAAGACGCCCCTCAATCAGCTGGGTCTCCTGCTCAAGCTGGTTCTCCGCCAAAGGGATCCTCTACACCTGCCCCCGAGCAAGGCGCCGAGGCGTCAACGGAAGAACCTACTTCTACCGGTGATGCGGCACCTCAGGCAGCGGCCACAGAGTCCACTGACCAACCGACTAAGCAAGAGGAATAGGCAGCAGTGACAATACAATCAATATCGGGTCAGGCGCAACGGACTTTGGGCAGAATGGTGTTATCGGTTTGACAGCGAACTCATCGGATTCCAAGACAGGGGGCTTCGTGTCTCTCTTTTGTGATGAATGCGTGAGATGATTTTTTTTTGAAAGTCGAGAGAATACCTCACGTTCTCGACTTGACTATCCCCAACGGCATGATTTATGCGTACACACCTCTTCAACTTTTCTCGGGATGAATACTTGTCTTGAGACTGGAATAGGAGGTCAGGACGCCGGGGGGTGTCTTTTTGGTTCTTTATTTTTCATCTTCGTTCATCCTTATTATGATCTCCCGGCGGATGTGTATCAGCGTTTGAAATGGAGACGAAAAAAATTATTATTCTTATGTCTTTACATTCAAATCAAGAAATTCAAAAATATGGTCCAGTTCTAGTACATACCTAGTGAACCTCGAGTAATAACGAACCTAGTAGGTGGTGTTTTACTATGCTAGCACTAGAAACGTCGAACTATGCCCGGGAAATGAAAGAGCTTTGGAGCAAAGGTTCATTAAACCATAAACATCGGAATGAATTAAAGGCGACTATTTGAAAGCAGTGATGGAAACGTTCAAGATGCTATCCCCCACACTGAGGTGTATTGATATCACGTGACATGATGCCGTTGATGCCCCAGGCCACAATTTAATTTGCACTAGCCTAAAATAGGACTAGTGCTAGGGCAACCCGTTCCACCAATGGGCCCGCGCCAAGATTTTCCACATTCGACGCACAAGCGAGAAACCACTGTGGACGATTCCTTGACTCTCGACCTGACCTTCTGTCGCCAACCCTTTTCGCCTATCCGACAACCCCCCGTGATACTCAGCCATCATGTCTAAGAGAGGGTGAGTTTAGCCTCCCTCCTTCCGGAAAACACTCCCAAATTACAACGGACCACCATTTTGCGGGATATCTCGACAATCGATCATGCACCTTGAAGATTCAACCATGTCGAGCTAGAGAGATGGAACCGAATGGGGAACACGACAGATGGGAGCTATAAAGGCAGAATGGAAATGCTAACTTTGAAATTACAGTCGTGGCGGTGCCGCCGGCAACAAGCTGAAGATGACCCTCGGTCTGCCTGTGTATGTTTAAAGATCCCCGAATTTTCCAGAATTTTCATTCCATCCGTGCATCCCGCCAAAGAACTTCGACGATATACAATGCCAATTCGCCCACGGTCGACACACCACTTCGCTCAACACTACCGGATTATCGACCACCACGCAATTGAGAAATTCGAAACGACCACGAACAGGCATGACGACACGAAGGAATTCAACAGGCGGGGTGTGCACGACTTGGGAAATGAAATTTCGAATACAGATTCCAGCAGAGGAATGTATAGCTAACGTTCACCTCGTCGAACAGTGGCGCCGTGATGAACTGCTGTGACAACTCCGGTGCTCGCAACCTGTACATCATTGCCGTCGCCGGTACCGGTGCCCGTCTGAACCGTCTCCCGGCTGCCGGTGTCGGTGACATGGTCATGGCCACCGTCAAGAAGGGAAAGCCTGAGCTCCGTAAGAAGGTTATGCCCGCCGTTGTCGTCCGCCAGAGCAAGCCCTGGCGCCGGGCTGACGGTATCTACCTTTACTTCGAGGACAACGCTGGTGTTGTAAGTGGACGATCCATTATGTTTCTGGGAGAATTATGTGGGAGAGTGATGGAATGTTGTGAAGTTTGGGCTCTATACACCAGAACCCTTGTTTTACTGCAGATCGTTTTCCCCGCACATATTCCACCATTGCTGGTTGGTTACAGTTTACTAATCTATTCCGTCTTAACAGATCGTCAACAACAAGGGTGAGATGAAGGGTTCCGCCATCACTGGACCCGTTGGTAAGGAGGCTGCTGAGCTCTGGCCCCGTATTGCCTCCAACGCCGGTGTTGTCATGTAAAGAGATTGAACCGAATAAAACAACCAAAAATGAACGATACCATCCAAACCTGACCTCTTTGGGACCTGGGAAACGGAGTGCATACGAGGCATATTGTGGAGAATTAAGGAAGGGTGGAGGTCCATTTGACGAATCCACCTATGTTATTTCGAGCCGGCTTTCCTTCCCAATTCGTGTCTTTTCTCTTTAACACTGGCGACTCTCGGAAGTATTCTTGAAAAAATTTCAACTTTTCATGACCCTTTCATTTTCGTGTATACCGCACATGCGGGGATTCTGCACTTGTACAACACGAGTTCTTGCCCTCGGCTTCGATGCCTTTGGTCTCTCATGAGGACATCAGGCAGATTCATGCAATCTGACGACTATGGCTTGGAGTCTCGTCCTAGTAGTTGTGTAAACTATTCTTTCTCGTAGATGTAGTCAGCCTTCCAACTTGGAAGCTACACAGCACACACATAGATGCATGTGAGCTCTGTGGCAGACCAGACCTACATTTGACATCTGGATATACGGTATTACGCACATGTACTTCCAAGGTTCCTTTGAAGGATGCATTTAGGCTGTCCAGATGTTATGATCAGGCTGCTCAATCTACTACATAATTTCCAATGTTCAAATATTATGTTGCAATTGATCCTTACGGACGATTGACTACCTAGTACTAATCTCCATCTGCATGTTGCACATGTGTACATCAATGATATCAATCCATTATCATAAGCACATCAAGTTCTGAGTTTCAACTCTATGGTTTGGAGTTTTCTAACATTCAAATGTTGAATGTCCATAAGCTCTCATTCCAAGGTTAGTCACGGTGCTATCAATGACTCCGAGTCCGAAGCAATATGATTGATACTAGATGGATCAAAACTCTAGAATGCATAAGGTTCTCTCAACAAATATTGACAACACCACTAATAAAACACAACCTCATCCTTAGCAGCACCTTGCTCTATCCAAGTATTCAACAACTTGCTAGCAACCATTGCCACAATCTGGGGATAGTTCGGAGGCGGCTGCGCACCAGGCGGCGGCTTCTTACTAGGATCGCCCACAACCCAGACCACAGGTTCGGGAGAAATACCAGAAGCCTTTTGACGAATTTCTTCAACATCCGTGAGATCAAATCCGCGACCAAAGATGACTGATCGTACTGGTCGGTAATTGGGAGAGCCGACATTGTTGACATGTGGAGAGTGGGGATCATTGCCGGCAAGTAGATGAGGAATCTCTTGTTGGGCAGCTTCGAGGCTCTGAATGAAGTGGAGTACTGGGATTCATTTGTCAGTCTTTTCTCTTTCCAAGTAGTAGCGATCTTCAAGCTCCATCATAGCAGTAGTGTGCTGTATTTGGTCAGGTGGATATATCATATACATACCTTCAATATCGGGAAGTAATAGTTCAGAAGCAGGCTTGCCGATATACTCGTCAAGAGCACAGAGCACAATGGGGAGAGGGTTCAACGACGACATATTAACTTGAGATTGTAGATCTGATTTGAAGGTGAAAACTTGAAATATGATGGACGCCCCTTCCCAGGAAATCAATGCCTTTTTAAGTTGAAAATGCTGTAGATATCAAGTTGTATTGTCTCTATTTGGAAATAGTATCGGACTCCGACATCTGGAGCCGTTGCGGCTCGTTGGTTGACACTAACCGCATTGAGCAATACCAGGGTCCGAAGTATGGATCTTCAATTATCAAGTTGGTCTGCAATTTTTGTAGCCAGATGTTCAAGCCCTCAAGTGCTGGAAGTCGCCATCCACTATTTCAGGCAGTTGAATGACTCAGAATAATTAATGTATGCCTAATATTAGCTCAAGGTTATAAGTACTCGATAATGAGCTACATATGTTCAAGTTGTTTGAAAAAAGAAAAAAATTGTTAGCGCTGAGCTGATGGAAATAATCACCAACGTTGCTCCGAGAATTTGAATTATTTTTAGTACTGGGTTGATAGGTAGCAATAATCACCCACGTCGTCCCCTAAGTTTGAAAAATTTCTACCCCGTCATGGCAATAACCACCTACGTCGCTTAGAAAATATCTTCGAAAAAAAAAAAAACCTCGGTCCTAGATTCATCAAAATAATTGTTTAGGTTGATTTACAAAAAATTTTAACACTTGAACTAAGAATAAATCTCGAGTCAAAGAATAATTTCCAACCTAGTATGAGCAAGAGTCTTTTTTTTTTCAGGCGACGTTGGTGATTATTGCTGCCAGGCCAGTGCTAAGAATTGTTCAACTTGGAAGCAACGTTGGTGATTATTTCCATCAGCCCAACGCTAACATTATTTTTTTTTTCAAACAACCTCGGACCATCGGTGATTATTGCCACCATGATGGGCCTGAGGCTGTTATTAAGATAGTCCTCAGCTTATAGAAACCCATCACTGCTTAGAATTTATGAAATTTGAAATATCGACTTGCTCCGATTTTATAAACTGGGCAGATTCGGGATTAGAGGACATGTGAGAGAAGCAATGAAGCTCTTAGCCCTGGAGGGATACATCCATGACTTTAACCATCTTATGCTCGATTCAAATTTCCAGTTACCTCGTTTAAGTTTATCTGGCCAAGTTCATTAAGTTTGTATACAGATATTGTTGCTGATAGTTGGTCAACCTTTCATTTTTCAAAATGGAATGCTTACCAGACAAGTGCTTTCAAGGTTGTGGCTCTGACTCGGAGTGACAAAGCTTCCAAGGGTTGTGAGAGTTTTTTTTTTTCAACTTCCAGGTGCCTACTCTACACTTTGATGAGGGACCCTCACTTCGGCTTTCCCTCCCGTGGGCTATTATGACAGCTCTTCAATTCTAGGCCGCCTTAAGGGAGATACCAGGCAACCCATAATCCACTCCAGACCCTGGCAGAACAATGCACCAAAGTCTGAACAGAGATCCTATCCAAAGAGCAAGGGCCCAACTTTACTTAGGCCTCCCAGAAAGGAAATCCGACAGATCATCATGTCAGACATTCATACGCAATCTCCTCAGTTGGACACCAATGAGGCTTTTTCTTCCAGGTCTGCATTCTTGTTCGATTCATTTCAAAATGACTTCGCACATATGGGTTACTACCTCGTTCTAATAACTATGAATTGTCCCGAGAAAGTGCTACACAGATCTAGGTATTTAATGACACGGCCCCTCCCCAGAATTTGATAATCTCTATTCACTTTCATTGCCCTGCATCCAATTTAGCTCATTTGCTTCGACATCTTTCATTCTTAATTATAATAATGACTGAAGTCAATCCGATCGTGATGAGTGACACCAAGGACGCCACAGCTGATACCCGTCGTCTCATTCTGATCAGTGTCCCACGCACTGCCTCCAACCTTCTCTTGAAAATCCTGATCATCTCCAAGCAACCCAACCTGCTTTCCAGTCCAAAAGAGGGCTATTTCTTCTACTCAGCTTTCCTCGAAAGCACAGTCGCTAGTGGTGATGCCACCAGATCAGCAGACCAATGGACCGAGGAACAAAAGCACCACATCCGGAACTCTTACCAGAAATGTATCGAGTCATTAGAAGAGTACTCCTCACGAGCAATTGAGAATAACAAGAGAATGTTCACAAAGGAGCATTCGTCATGGCTGTTCAGTCCTGCAACCATTCAGAAACGAGTAACTGGCATCCATAACGACGAATTCTTCAAAGCATTTCGTGTGGACACACCGGAAAAGTATGGTCCGACAAAGACATACTCTCCTTCCAACGAGACGATCTTTTCAGACGAGTATCTCCGCTCATGGCAAATGGCCTTCATTATCCGTCACCCGGCTCTAGCTTGGCCATCTGTTTACCGTTCCTTGATGAAGATGTCTGAGTTTGGAATTATGGCTCAGGATAGTGTCATAGGTACATCGTTTACGCATATGGATATGCGATGGACACGCCTTCTTTACGACTGGTGTTTAGAGCAGCCTGATACACCTGCACCACCACTTCTTGACGCGCATGACCTGATTCACAACCCAGAAATTGTGCTCGAGTTCTGTGAGAGGACTGGACTGGATAAGAATGCTCTGCAGTTTGAGTGGCCAGACAAGAATGAGGCCAAGAAGTCTCTCATCTGGGCTTGTCACAACCCCGAGGCTGGTGATGTAAAGGTGAAAATGCACCAGAATGCTGCTGGTGTGTTGCTTGTGACTCTTGAGGCTTCAACTGGTATTGTCAATAGTAAGACACCCGAAACTATTGATGTTGCTGCAGAGCTAGAGAGTTGGAGGGAGGAATTGGGTGTTGAGGTTGCCACGCTCATTGAAAATGCGGTTCGAAAGTCCATGCCTGATTATGAGTACTTGATGACTCGACGCTTGATGGTAAAATTAGTGTAACCACAAGGAGTATTTCGAATAGATCGTATTATGTCGTCGTATTTCCCACAGCAGGAAAATAAAACGATGGAAGCTGTAATTGCCCCTCACTTTCCTTCAGCGCGTTTACGCGACTACCCCAACCTGTTACACTACACAAGCCTGGCTCTATGAACATGTCCAATTCCCGCATTCAAACCCGTTTGAAATGAATGTGGCTTAGATACCTGGGTAACAGAAGGCTTACATACTATCCCGTCAATGATTTTAGGTACGTCCAGGTGTCGGGGTTAGACCTCCAGATGTCGCGTACGGGTGGAACGATGACTCTTTGATATTGCAGGAGAACGATTGGTCTTGACTTCTATTAAAATAGAAAACTGGATAAAATTTTGAGTTTAAAAACCTGTACATACACATGCTCGCAAGATGCAATAGGCATAATTCAAGTTTGCCAAATTTCATGCGTGCTCCAAGGGTTTTTCTATGTATAATGCCAATACTAGTACCGCTCATCTCATCCATCTAATTTCCTTCAATTCACATGGAAGATTCTGGGACCTGATTCAAAGCTAAAATCAAATCTTCCCTGGCTGTTTGAACCTCCTTCAATAAGTGTATCACTAATCGATCATGCGCAATTCCCGGTAGGCCTGCAGACGGACTATCGCCATCCACAGCTAAGCCAGATGAATGCAATGTTTCAGTTTGTCGAATGCGAACTGAAAGAGTATTGACCAAGCGCTGTAAATGATTCAGCTCTCCCAGTATTATCATGGCCTCAATATTTGATCCCAGAGCCAAGTTATCAACTGTATGATCACCAATGGTTACAGCCTGATGGGAAACTTTCTCTGGTATCGGTTTGGTATTATCAATCTCATTGCTCCCTTGGCGAAGGAAACATGTTCGAATCATCGTTTGGTACCAGACTACGAGCCTGGAGCAGATTGTTGCTAATAAAAGCTGGTTTTGTGGACGAAGAACACAGGCACATTGTAGCATTCGACAAACAGACATCCCGACTTCCTTGTTATCTTTTAGAACCGAGCCAGACATTCGCGGTGGCTCGGTATTGTTGCCACCGTGCTTGTTTCGAGATAGGCATTTTGTTTGGCGAGTGTGGAGTAAACGAAGTGACTTGGTTGCTGTGAGGATACATGAAGGGAGATTTTGAGTTAAGCAAGACGGGGTTGTGCTTTCAAGTGGTGGGTTCAGAGTGGGTATGGGTGAGTTTTCGGAGTAGAGGGGTGAAGCAGAAAGAGACTGATAAGCCATATTTTTGGGTAAAAGAGAGCTTGAAGGACTGGAAAAATTGTATATTGGCTCATTGGAATTTTCAGATCCGAGTGGGTAGTCCAGACATGAATGCGAGGTGGTGCTGATTGCAGATTCCGTACTGGATTGGAATGGTGGACTTGGGATGAATGACTGCATAGGTAGATTGGCATCGAAACCAGCATTCATGTTCATATCGGAGTTAAAGGACTCCATTGTGGTGTCTAAATAGAGACCCTCATTTGAAATACCAGGCTCTGCTATTGAATTGAAGGGACTGGCTTGGGCAGAAGGTGACATAAAGTGGGGTGAAGCTGCCTGCCACGTATCGTTGCTTTCGGGAAAGGAACTCAAGAGAGCTTGATCCTTGCTAAATCCCATATCAAAGGAGTTTAAATTTCCCATGATTGAGCTGCTTTCGAGTTGTGGATCATAATTTGTCTGTTGGCTGACCTGGCTGTTCTGCCAATAGTGGTCATAGAGTTGGTTCTCAATTATCGGCTGTCCAGTAGTCTGTGAATGATACTCATGACGAGGACATGGACATCCAGAATGATATAGGCATTCATCCTGACTGATAGGAATGCTCATTGTTGAGACTAATCCAGTAGATATCTCTCACAATGCTGATAGAGCCGAGCAACGGAGGTTAATGGTCAATGCGATGTGCGTTACAGGTTTAATGAAGAGTAGAGACAAAATTATGTCGATTCAAAAACAATGATCGTCCGTCTTAAGTCATGATCTTCCGTGGCTCATTCATAGGTATCTGACAAGTGATGCACACATAACCGACTGATCGTACAGTGATTTTGTGTCAGGATCGTGAAATTTCCCAGGGGCTAAGCATGGCTCGGACGAATTCCACTCATTCTACTGGTGTCATTCTTTTGCATCAAGCCCCACCATCATCCACCAATCCCCATAGTGAAACATCCGAGTCTCGGCCTGGTCAGCCTTAAGGCTGTCGTTTCTAAGCTGTCTAGTGCTATATTGGCTTCCAACATGCAGCCCAGGGAGGGCTTAACCCTATGGGCGGTTGTCTTGTTCTAACATTAGATGTTTTTTAATAGACCGGTGATTACTTCCAAGGTTCGAACTCGTCACATCATCTCGTTTATCCAGTTATTGCCTTGAAGTATCATAGTACACATTATCGTGACTCAGTACGGAGTATACTTTGAGATTCTATCTCGGGTAAATCCACCATAGAACTTTGGAAGACGTCCGAGGTCGCTTACCTTATCCCAATCTGAGATTAGCGTAGGCTTCAGGCCATAAGGAATGCACGTTGTGATTCATGAGAATTCTATGGCCCCCAAACTTTCATCCCCGATCCGCCCTTATCTTATCCCGATTCCCTTGGCCCCCACTGGAGATTCTAAAGATTCTAAACCATTGAAGTGGAACATCCAGACCTCAAGCTCAGACTTTGACACTGTGTTGCCATTTCGGTTCTGCCGAGAGAAGAGTGGACGTTACTCTACGATTGAAACTGATTTGAGTGCCTCAAGTCTTACAAGAGATCATTGATCCCGACAACTTGAAACAATATGGAGATACCAGGAACATCATCCCCAAGTCTCCGACTAAAGGACTCTTGTGATAGATGCGCATCCTCGAAAGTACGTTGTTCCAAAGATAAGCCATCTTGTGCGCGATGTGCAAAAATGGGCTTCACTTGCTTATACAGCCCTGCACGACGGGTTGGACGACCATTTCGGCCCAACGAGTCGTCAGAAGCAAACACTGTTCAAGATACGGAACCCCCTACAAAAGCATTGAAAGAAACCCGATTCATAGACGAGGGAAACAAGCTGTTGTCTAGATTCAGCACGACATCTGCACCCGTCAATATTACCGATTACATGCATGGACCTGATGCTATCAGGCAAAATCCTCATCAAATAGTCTTCGAAACTCAACAAGCACAGCAAACTATAAGTGCTCAACAAACTCACACTGATTCAGACTGTGTACTTGATATTATGGATTTGCTCGCAGAGATAGATGTTTCGGCAGAGCAGATCAGACGCATCCATTCAGTAGATCCCGTTCTACTTGACTTAGCATCACAAACTATAGCCAACGCCCTTCTCCGACTTTCGAGCATCCTAATATGCCCTTGTTCTGACCGCGCTGAAACTGGAATGTTGATATCTGCTCTATGCATATCCATCATTGATGTGCATTCTATGACAATCAATAAATTCAAGTGCTCTCCGAATCACAGTCCGCGGACAAGACAAGACATGCCAGTGGCCATGCGGGCATGGAATAATCTTGGAGTTTCCTATGATGCAATAGGAGAGACGGCAGCTATGCAAATAATCAGAGAGCTTTCCAAGGTGGCAAACTTGGTCTTACAATTCACTGAACGGTATAGAGCAATTCAAGTTGCGAGTGAGAATCAAGTCTCGGAACAAAGCTGTAACAGCATTCCGTTGGACTTTTTACCGGCTCTAGGCAATTTTATGGGCGAGAGACTTCAGCAAATAACAAATAATGCAACACATGGGCTAGTGTAACTCCAGCATGATGATATCTTATATGAAGATCTTACCCGTGGAAAATTATGATAAACTCTATAGTTGCCAGTAGCCACTGGCATCCAGATGTCTGTTTCTGGCAGTGATCTACTGGGTAAAGACTGCTGCTAGCACTTGAGTCGCACACTGGAAACTTCGGGATTCCAAATAGCTTCATATATACTAGATATCTAAGACCCCATATATCCATCTAGTCGTAGATCTCATATCTTCCGATGCTCAACTCGCCTCTTTCCTGCCGCAGCCTCGTCTTCGCGCTGACTCTTGCTAGGTTTCTCCCCAGTACCATTCAATCTTATAGGTACAGTGTCCTCCTTTACAGACTGCTTAGCTCCAATAAAACCAGCAAGGAACCAAAGCAATCCAACAATAAAAGTCACCAATATAGTGACATGCACCGCCCACCAAATATGCTGCACACCAGCAGGACACAAGGTAATCTCATAATCCCATTCTCCCATATCCGTATCAAACCAGACGGAAAGGAGTCCGGCATTTCCACCAAACTCACCCATCATCGAACGTAGGGTAACCTCACGAATTGATGGAGTTTCCGACGCTGATTCTGTCTCATACTGCTTCTGGTACCGTCTCGCAACCCATTTCCAGTTCTGAGCAGGTTCCACAGCTTCGTCTTCGCTTTCATTCTCGGTATTGGCAATCACTCTCTCAACATAATGCACAGTATCACAACCTGTATGGTCATGTCCCGTGAGGATCAATCCCTTTCGCCCATGCCCACCAACAGGCGCGTTCTCCTGTCCACTCATACCGAAAATCCCGGACAAAATCCCTGTATCACTAACGTAATCACTGAGATGATTCTGTTCCCGTAATCCACCATTTAGGAAACGCGGAACCCCATCTAGACCCTCTTCATCATCCTCTTCATGGAACGTAAAGTAAGGTCCATCGGTACAAATTCCGGCCTCTTTATGAAGAGGCAAATGTGTAAGTAGTAATGTGAACGTCGATTTATCCTCAACGGGATACGATCGCTCGCTAATCAGATCATTGAGGTATGTATAACTTTGCGACTGAACCTCCGATGAAAGGGCCGGCGTATCGAAAACAAGAGTATTGAGATTGATAACATGTAATGTGGGCGTTATCACAGACTCGGACGAAAAGTTCACATCCTCCACATCATTCTCCCCACGTGGAATAGGCGGGTGTTGGAACCGAATATCCCAGTTCGCACGTCCGAATTCCTGCTCAAAACGCGCCGTTCGCGCCTCGCTCACGTCTCCAGCGTACCCGATATCGTGGTTCCCAGCTACATTGATGATTCGTCGTGCCCATTCAGGATTAGATCCCGGGCCCAGAGGCTCTAGATGTGAATCTGACTTGACTTGATCGGCTGTGTGGTTGGCGATTGCACCTGTCCAGGTAATGTTATCGTCGATGCGAAGTCCACCGCGGAATACACGCTCCCAGTAGCGATGACTTCGATCGGTGAATTCATCGTCTGGGATCCATTGGCTTCCTAGGAGGTCACCGAGCACGGTTGTATGGGTGGGACGAGTCCACCAGAAAAGTGTCCGGTAGATATGCGCGAGATAGTAGTCGTTTCCGAGGAGGTCTACCCGCTTTTGAGTTGCGCGAAGAGAGCGAGGGATATCTTCTGTTGCGAGGCACCAGAGACCGGCTCCGATGCTTGAGAGGGTGTTCGAGTTTAGGAGGGAGAGAGGTCCCGGTGTTGACGAGGCATTGAGTGATTCCTGGACAGTGGCCCAGTGCGCGCGTATGCGTGGAATAAGTTCATATTCTGGGAATGGGAGGGAGGTATCGCCTTCTAACTGGGGGTCTGCGAGGACGAGGAGTCTGAAGATGGCGGGTTGAGTGTTTGCGGGATCCGAAGTACGGAGGTGTTGGAGGAATGTATTGGCCAGAGGGCTCTGCTCGAGTTTCTCTAGAGTTGTCGTAGCTTCTGCTCCCGATTGGGAGGAAGGCAGAGGGAATGCACAGCCATTGAAGACTGGGTATAGATATAGGTAAATGGTGGCTGCGGCGCTGAGGGGGAGAAGGAGCGCAAAGAGGCGGCCGAGCAATGAGCGGAGGGACATGGAGGGTGACGATCGAGATTATTAGATAAGATATTCAAAAAATAATAATATACATCATAGTGAATGTAAATAAAGGAGTGTGGGTCCAGTTGTAGTCCTGGGCGTTGTCGAGGCACGAAGGAGCACTTGGTAAACAGCAAACCTGAACCTCCGTAGGCCGCGCCAGCTTGCGGAGCGGAGCTAGACTCGTCTACTAATAGTGAGGTATCATGCAACCTGATACCCCTGGCATGAACTAATTTTTGCATAACTTGAAGATTGAAATTTATTTAATCGGAAAAGAACAAATTGAATCATTTAGAAGGTAATTAGATTAGGATTATGGTGAGTCTTCTCTCATTATTCTCAGACAGCTAAATATACTAGGACGAAAGGTGTACTACTAGTAGTAGTTCAAATCCTACTAGATACGACCTACTAGTACCGATGATAGCCTACTTCCTACCTATGACGCATTGAGAATTAATATATAAGCGATTAAATTACTAAATAATGGTGTGACAATCCATAAGTTTAAAATTCTGTAGAAGAAATCGGGATTCAGCCACTACTTCCATATCGTCCTCTCATAAGCCAGGTCATCATACACTCCTGCAAAGAAAACAAACCCTTCGTATCCAAATAATTGAGATAGAATTTGGTAGTAACCAAGAATGAAGGGGACAGAAAGTTGGAGCGAGGGGTATATCACATCAAACGCCAAAAGGTTGAAGAAGAGAGGCGGGAAGGACAAGGGGGGTTGGTGAAATGGCCAAAGAAAAAGCTGATTGATCAGGAATAAAAGAAAAGAAAAGAACAGTAACGGGGGGAATAGATCATGAATGGCACGATGTGGAACAAAGTTCGATGGTGAAAGGTCAGATGTGTAGATCTCAACAGGTATTATATGGCTAACAAGATTCTGCAAAAGATTTGACAGTAAATTTGCCGAAGATTTGTCGAATCAATTAAGCATTCTTAGCCAGAGGACTAGGAAGAAGAGAAGTCGGGCCCATGTTAATTTCTCCAAGAGGATTGGGATTGGATTCATCAGGAGTAATAGGAGAAGCGTGAGAGGCTCCGTCCACTTCGCCCTTGACGTCAACAAAAGAGTTGCCCTCTGAAGATCCAGATTTGGTCAAATTGAGTCCTTCAATTCGAAGACCTTCATCTTCCTCGTCCTCTTCAACCAGTTTCTCGGATTCGAGATGACGCGGGTTGCCCATGAGAGCTGGCGGCCGTTGTTGCATGAGCTGGGCTTGCTTGAGACTGATAGTCTTCTGTTTATTGGTCGTGACGGCAATCTGATCTAGATCGCGCTCGATAGTTGCCTTCATGAGGGCTGCCATCCAAAGACGACCCTCCTTGACATTATCGACTTGGAAGTAATGGGTAGTAGGCTTGGTGAATTGAACGGTGCGTGAATTTCCAGACTTTGGAGGCACCAGCTTGAAAAAGAAAGGTCCACTTGGCTCTTTGAGCTTTGTCGATTCGGAGCCAGAGGGACTGCTGGCGCCCTTCGCTCCTTGCTCTGTGCTGCCGGCATTGGCAGGTTGAGCTGTGGATCCGGTGACCGTTGCATGCAATGCGACGATGGGGTCATTATCTGCTCGAAGCACGCGGTGGGCGGTGATGTCGATTAAGCCTCGTTCTTCCAGATCATCTTCGGTGTAATAATAAGAAAGACGTCGACCACGTAAAACAAACAACCGAGGCTTCCATGTAGTCATCAGGTTGGAGGACCTCTTCTTCATCCAACCATGGTAGTCGCATCCACCCATCTGCTCCAGTGGGCTCTTCTTCTCCAGACCTTGGGTATAGGCGCTGGTATCCTTCTTGGATTTCACAGTTCGAGGACGGACAACGAATCCAGGAGCCTCGCCGGCTTTACCGGAACCGTCAGTGCTGTGTCGTTCTGAGCTCTTCGAAGTTCCAGACGGCGTGGTAGAGCCGGTACGAGCGACATTACCCTCGGATTCTCGGGGAGAGGCAGGGGCAGAACTATCCTTGGTGGCGGCATCTGAGATTGCGCGCATTCCTACGGCTCGTCGCATCTTTGGACCAACATTCCTTAGAGGTTGAAAGTGCGATGCACGAGCAGAGCTGTCGGCATCACCACCTTTCTTCTTAGGCGCGAGACTAGCGAAAAATCCAGATTTTGTATCGGTGTTGGACGACGTAGAAGTGCGGCCAACCGGACCCGAGCTTCGCTGGCTCAGACTGCGCAGACGAGATTTTGTGGCGGGAGAGTCGTTATAAATCTTAGATGCAGTCGAGACATGTTTCCCATCGTCGCGCAGAGAGTCGACGCTACCAATCCTGGATTGGCGTTTGGGAAGTTGAGGCAATGGCGGCTCCTCATGGTGGCTTGACTTCCGAGAATGATGACCAATGCTACCACTGTTCGACGCATTTCGTTTCTGTAGACGCCGAGTTCGACGCGTATCCACTTCTGTGCCCGAGAAATATCCCCGATCCAAGTCATCGAATCCCTCCGGAGTGTTGGGTTCTGATTCAGTGGTCCCACGGAAAGTCCGGTATCCTTCTGATGGAGTGCCTACCGAGGTTCCGGGACGATATGGCAGTCCACTGGTGCCACCGTTGAGAGTCCAACTTCGATCAAACGATGGCTTCTTCTGGTGGCCATAGAATTCGGGAACGCCGCGCTGAGTCGTATCGATAGATGAGTGTCGGCGACTGTGATTGAGTTCGCGAATCGAAGCAGCGGATAACCTCCTGGAGTCTGGTGCAGGATAGCGAGGAGGAGTCATGGGTGTGATAGGTGAGCTTCCATTGCTGGCCAGTCTTGGATGTTGCCCAGGTCCCATAGATGCAGCTCGCGAATAGCCTGCGCCAGTCTTCTCAGAGACGGTTGGGATACGAGGAAGGAAGGGCCCTGGGTGAGCTTGACTGGCGCGGGACATTGATCGTTCATCGTGAGGGCTGGGGTAGCCGACGATGGTGCCTCGGTTGTGCTGCGATGGCTGCCGTTGAGGTTGTCTGCCGCCGCCTACTCCTACTTCTTCCTGGAATGCTTTGATTTTGTGCCAGGTCTTGAGTCGCTTGCCCATAACGCCAAAATCAAACTCTTTCATGAAAAGGAAGTCCTGGTTCATCTCAAGCAGCACCTCACCCGTAATCTCCTCAATTTCGAAGATATCGCAATGTTTGTGATCCACGCCGAGGCTTCGCAAGTGATTGGCAGTCTCTATTTGATTCCATCGTCTGACGTCCTCCTCGGTCAAAGCTTCACCTTCTTCCTCATCCGTCTCATGTCCATTGATGTAGGACAATCTATGGCTGATGTGGCTACTGTATTCGCTGCCAGAGTCGTTGATTGTCTTTGCATCCTGCGTGGAAAGGCTGTGACGAGGGGTGTTCATATCGGTGATGTGTTCATCGATCACGCTCAGTGTTTCATTCATCACCGGGCTCTCCTCTCCATTTACATGATGACTTCCGGACGGACGTAATGCGTTTTGAATATCGGCAGCCAAGGTAGACTGTGGCAACGGAGATGAGGCTGATCGATGTTGCGCAGGGGAATCCATGACTCGGGACACTTCCGGAATACTGTTTTGTCGCGATGCCTGAGGAGTAGTCTGTTGACTCTCCCCAACACCAAAGCCTCTGTCTTTCGGGGTAGTTGGTTCGATCTGGGCCGGCGACTCGGTCTTTTCTAAAGAGTACATCCCCTGACCAGAATCAATGCGAAGCGCATTGACATATTGCTGGTATTCGTGTCTTTTAGCTTTCCTGGTGAAACCTAGTGGGGTAAATTAGCTCGGCTCAATGCCATCTATTTTTCGGTTCCATGTGCGTACCTGCGGGGAAGAGTCCTCTCTGGTTTGTATCTGCATGTTCACCAAGCCACCACCCATCTCCGAATTCGTCGTCGAGCTCTACCAACCTGATCAGTTGATTGCATCGCATCTGCAATTCATCTTCTCCCCCCACGTGGCCATCTGTCTCGAAGTTAGGCGCATTCATGATGAAGAGTCAAGGTAACGCAATGAGGATTTTCGCTTCCTACAGATCGCGCGCAGAGATTCACTTACGAACAACAACGAGATAATCCCCTGGCTGAACATTCTGCGGTGGTGGGGGCGGCGCCAGGTGCGCGTCGGCCATGGTGTAATCGGACTTGGGGGCGCAAGGTCCAGATCGCGCGGGACAGGTCAAAAAAATAGGAACGGGTTGTTCGGAGAAAGACTAGATCAGTCGCAGGGACATAGAGACCCTCAAGCCCTTTTTGAGGGGAAGTGAACAAGGCGGCTTCAACCTCGCCAGGCTCGGAATCCTTGCGAGAGTAATGTGAAATCGTAGAGCAGGGGAGAGAATGTAAAAGGGCCGGAATCTAGTGCGCCCGTCTGGGCTTAGAGTGGACTTGTTAGGTTCATTAGGTCATAAGCCCGAGGGGTCCATGACAGTACGTACCTCGGGGCGAGCGCAGTTCCAGTTTCGGTGCAAAACCACCAGAATCGAATCCCCCGATGCGATCAACTCAAGAGCAATGTGGCGTGTGCGGGCGGACGCGGATCAGATCTATCATGCCAAGTTGAACATAGATTTTAGGAATCTGATGTGGAATGGGGCCGTCAAAAGCTTCCAAACAACAACCGAGACACGACCCACCTGGTAGATGACAGCGGGCAAAAAGATAGAATAAGGAAAAATCGCGAATTAGGATAAAAAAAAAATAGGGAAAAGTGAGCTGAAGAAGAATCGAAAAATTATGGGTCAAGGGGATACGAGTGACGTGGTATGGCCGTCAAGGAAGAAGTTGGGAAAGTCCCACGGTAGATGAAATTAGAAAGTCGAGTAGGACAAAATCGAATTCAAATGTAAGAAGAGAAGTACATTAATCAAATAGTTATAATTGCAATAATTAGGAAGATTTACATAGAATATACTAATAGTAGAATAATCCAAATGAAATCAGACAAATTGGTCAATAATAAACGATGAATTCGTCTGATGAATGCGGCCGAGATCTCGGTGTCTATGTAAGTAGAAGATACTTTTATCTAAATATATTGTGTCATATAGAATGATGTACCTGGTACTTCATACTAATTACTATAAGATACCCGACCATATCTATCATATTTATACCTATTCCTCTCGTACTAGTACTACTAGTGCAGCCTGAAAATTGATTATTATTTATTTCTAATTAATTCCATGTTATATAATAGGATAAATACAGAGAATATTGTACATTCTGATTATCCCATAATCTACTTCCCTACTCTGTACTCTATAGACAAAATAAAAAGTACCTGCATCAACAACGTTAACTACATAATGCACCTTCTACGCGCGCGCCACTAAAAGTTGTGATGGGCGCAGTCACCCCTCTTTGTTGGTTCATTGACTTCTTTTTATTCGTTAATAACAAAACATAAAGAATCTCTGGATTATGAAGATTTAGTTTTAAAGAGCCCTTAGAGATCATATAAGAATATGTGCATATTTCTATGAATTTTCTCCTCTTTTCTCCCCTATGTAAATGATCAGTCTAATTGATTTAACCCCAAACGGAAACCGGAGAACTAAGTACTAAGTACTGAATGAACCAGGGTTCTCGTTCTTAAAAAAAAGCAACAAAGAAAGACAAACAAACACTCCTTTATCTCTCCCAAGTTCATTCCTTCTAGAACCTTCACCTTTGGGACTCTTCTCATATGAAACCTCCCAACTTCTCGAGGCTCTGAGGATTTACATCTCATACCGGAGTACAGAGATCGATCCGCTTGGGGGAACTAATCCCATCATGGGGTCTCCCGCAACTCAAAGATCGCGTCCAAGCGCCGATCACCTCCAACAGTCCAATTCTACTGCCAGTTATTTCTTGGGAAGTTCGCGGAAGGACTGGATGCAAGGCTCTAGGACCACGGTGATACCATCTCCTCAGCGCAATGGCATGAACCCTCCCAATCCCAATCCCAATCCAAATCCAAGGTCAAAGTCAAGTTCAAGTTCAGATCGAAATCCTTCAAATCCTCCGAATCCCTCTATCTCCAAAAGTTCCGACCGCCCGGAAGCTTCACTCATTTCTCCCGTCACACCAGAAGAGAGTCAACAATACTCGGACCTTCCTCCCGGGGACTCCATGACTCTCTCTACCCACTCACTTCCTAAGAAACCGGACCCACCTAAAAACACAAGCACGAGCACTCACCCCAGACCTACCCCGGGTCTGCCCCGGAAACCTCAGAAACCCCCAACACCGATCCCACAAACAGCCGCGCTTCCTTCACCAGTTCCAAGTACAGATTCACATCCAAGCCCTGTGATCAGTCATCTACAAACAGCCGGGTCTCCAGCCACTGCTCCACCCGCTACTCCACTCGCTGAAAACCTCTCAGGTCCATCTGAGACCACAGCTACCACATCCAACGTAGGCAATGGGACATCTGGGACCAATGAAACTGTTTCTGGACCGAACCAACCTGACACAAGTCAGCTCCGGGCACCACCAGTGACAACGATTGCAGACCCAACCCCTGAGTGGAGGATAGACACACTCCCACACCCCGTACAACCTCTTAATGGAACTTCGTTGCCAGTCACTGACAGTGCCCCCATGGTTCAACTAAACCCTCAATCGATTCCAACTCAGATCACATGGGACCTATGGCGGAAGCAATGTGGCGCTCTGAGAGAATGTCCCTCAGCGCACAAGACTCCGATTGCAGAGCCGAGAATCTGTTTGCTGGAAGATGCCTGCAATCACCAAGATCTTTTGTATCTGGTTCTGCACCAGCTGTACTGCAGACATTCTCTGGGCTTCAACATCCTCACCGAGATTCCTGAACTCAATACACCTGACTGCGTCAAAGGACTTAATACAGTGGAATCATTGCTAGAAAACAACAAATTCCTTCACAGGGAAATGCTGCTCCGATTTGCCCGTACCCCGCTCAATGCAACTGAGATGAAATCATGTCTATGGTATAAATCTATGATTGATGAGCTGGTGAAGTGTCTTCCACTACTTGGGAACCGCTTTCTGGACGTAAACACCCCCATTTATCAGAAGGTTTCCAACCGTGGGTTTCCTCCACTCGTGCAGGAGATAAGACAGGAATTTCAAATACAATCGCCAGTGTTCATGACTGTGATCTTTGCCTCTATGTGTCGCAATCTATACGGTTCTTGCAACAATGCCAGCGAAATTCAAGTGAAGCTCAATCATCTGTTTAAAAGAGATCTGGACCTAGATCAGCGAGGCATGCCCAAAGAATCTCTTTATCAGTTGATTGATGAGTATCGGAAAATTCCTATGCAGGGTGGACCAGGCCAAATACCATTGCCCAGCACCTTGACTGTGCCCTCACAAATCCCTCAGTCTCCCCAACTCAGACAGCTAACGCATGCTATGTCAAATTCTCTTCTCAATCAAGCCTCGGCCCCACGGTCAAATATCAGGAGACATCCCAGTCTCCCATCGAATCTCGTGACCACGAATGGGGCGCGCAGACCTTCTAATCCACCAACCCCCCAGTCTGCCACGGTGCCATCTCCTCAGTCAGCTCAAATGTCTCGCGCTGTCCCGGCTCTTCAAACTGCCCCTACTCAGCGTCACATGCAGTTACAACCCCATTTTGTGCCGGTGCCATATGGTCCTATCCCATACCAGTTTCCTTCTCAGCAGGTACAACAAATACAGGAGAGTCAACAGGAAGCTCAGGCAAGAGCTACAAACTTGGTAGAGGCGCAAAGGTCTCAAACTCAGGCCTGGCTAATGAATGCCAACGGTCAGTTGTCGCCGACATCCGGACATAGTCAACTGCAAGCCATCCCTCCTCGACAACCTGTTCAACCAGTTTACGCGGCTTGGCAGCAGGCAAATCGTCAATACGCACCTCAGCACGTTACCTATGTTCCATCTCCAACAGGACCGGTGCCGATTTATCACCCACAGACAAACGTCCAACAGAACCCTCAAAATCCTTCGCGGCCTAATCTGTTTGCTACTGCTACCAGTTTTCACCCCACTTTGTCTGCTTCTGCTAGTAGTTTTCACCCACAGAGCCAGGTAGCGTTGCAGAATTCCCAAGCACACATGATGACTCGACCGGCGGGTTCACCTCGTCAGCTTCCCTCGCCACAGACTCCTCAGACCCAGCTTGCCCGCCCTCTTCCTTCCCAGCCGCACCTTCCTCCTTCGCAACCACTCCTTCCTCCTTCCGGCTATCAGATCCCCCAAACCGTTGCACCAAATCCCATGTTCTTTGGACTTCATCAAGTCAATCTTCGTGATCCAATGAAGAAGTGCGTCAAGGTCGATCCTGCCGGTCAGTCGGTTGAAACCGAGCTGTACCATTACCTGAACGAGTTCGCCATGGAGCCCACTATTGTGGAACAAGGGGAATACAACTATTCTTGGGATTTTTTTGTCTCTCTCGAAGACATGAAGAGGCGGTCTCGCCCAACCAACTCAACAGGGAAGGGAGGAACCCTCAACACGGTTAATTACCAGTCGGGTTGTCGAACGTACCGTCTGCGGTGTATCGAGGTTCCAGTTTCCGAGGTGGCAAAAGCGATAGACCGATGGTCGACATCATCGACCAAATGGCCCAGTGTCTTTTACATCCATGTCAACAACGGGGAGCTGACACCGCGTCGAAAAGCTCACAATGGAAAAGATTTGCCTGTTGATATCACTTCATGCCTAAAGGCAGGTGAAAACAAGCTGAAAATTGACCTTCTTCTGGGACCGGAGGAATGTGACAAGATTCGCTACTTCTTCGCAGTAGAAGTCATGACGACATCCGGATTCCAGCTGGTGCGCAGCCTTGTGAAAGCTGTTCCAGCAGAGGTTGGGCGTCAAGGTCTTCAGCAGCGTCTCAATGAAGGCACCGGCGATGATGAATTGGCTGTTGTGACCGACAGTCTTACCATCAGCCTGGTGGATCCATTCACTGCCCGAATCTTCCGGACTCCAGCCCGCTCCATCTTCTGCAGTCATCCCGAATGTTTTGATTTGGAAACCTTCATCAAAACCCAGAAGTCCGTGTCGGGCCCAGGTCCGATGAACGATAAATGGCGATGTCCCATCTGCAAAATGGATGCTCGACCACAGCTCCTGGTATTGGATCGGTTTTTCGAAGAGATTCGTGCGGAGCTCGTTCGAACCGGCCAGGTCAATGCTGCCGATGCCATCGATATCTTCCGGGATGGATCATGGAAGTTGAGAGGCGTATCGAATCATTCTCCGAAATTAACGAGTCGTTCAACTCTTCCATTGAAGCGCAAGGCTCCACCGAGTCAAAATTCTGCTGAGTCGCCAACCTCACGGCCAAAAATTGAACCCTCTGCCACCCCTACTGCCGCACCACAGCAGGAGCGGATCGTCATTGAAATAGACTAAATGATACTCTCCCATCTACTTCATGACATCCTTTACCATCTATGGATGTTTCTCCAATCTTCGTCATGAAGGGTCTCCATTGTTCCCCATCGCCACTCCCTTTCTTCACTTTTATTATCCCCCTTTATCATGTTTTAATTTTCCTTGCATTTCGAGAAAAAGATACCCCGCTTCTTTATGGTTAGAAGCAGTCCCTTATGGTCACAAAGGCCTATTTTACCCGGCGTTTATTTTGTCTTGCATTTTTTTTCTTTGCATTGCTCTGCCCTGGAGTGTGTGTCTCAAATCCGAATGGCTCTTCTATTGGTTCCTCTCTTTAGATCAGCTTTTTGCTTGTTTGCGCTCCATGGAAGAGAATGCGTATTCAAAGAGCATTAAAGGTGCTGGTTGATTCTGAGGAGTTGAGCTTTGCTTGAGTGCTATGTTAAAGTAGAAGTTCAATGTTGATACTACTACTGCATTTTTTTTGCTGGAGTTAGTTAGGAGAATCAAGATATTCAAAAAAATATTCATAGATCGAATCAACCAAAAAATCACAAATTAGGAGATAGTAATACTATGCAAGTGTTAGTGGTGCCCATATCGGTCTTAGATGCGATGCTCGCACTTGAGTCGTAGTTTAATTCTGCCACTTCTCTTACTGACATCCGAGTCAATCTGGAGAACCCTAAATTCAAGTTAAGAGAACAGAAAGATGAAAATAGATAAAGAGATAAACAACAGTCATGCTCATTCAGCGGATATTTTCCACCTCGACATTAAATTATACATAGGGCTAATATAGTAGATAAATGATCTTCTCATCCAAGAGCGAAGTAAACCAAATTTACTTCCTGACTCTCCGAACATGACTGACCAGATTCTCAATAACGCCTTCAAAGGCTTCCTTCTCACCAACCAAGCCATCCCTCCTCTTAAGCCAATATTCCAAAACCTCACTGGCTCGCAATGTAAAGCTCTCCAGCTCCTGAACATGGCCCTTCAACTCCCCATCTGTTAATCCATCCAAAGCCGCATCCGTAGTGGCACACAAGCGCCGCACAGCCGAGAGATCCAAACCAGGTGGCGGGGGTGCACCCCTCCGCATGGTCTTCGATCGAGAGGGGGCCTGCCCCGTTGCGGCTGCGCTACTACTATTCGGATCATTATTGTTTGTCCCGTCGCCTTCTGCACGGCCTTGGCTACGTGAGCGTGCGGCGGGTGTAGTGGAGCCTGACTCGAGGTCGATGGAGGGGAGGATAAGTTTTTTCTGTTTTGAGGCTGGGAGAATCTCGTCCAAGTCTACCGGGACACCGAGACTGACGAGGAAGAGGCGGCGGATGCGGGATTTCACCCAGTTTTGTGGTTGGAGTGGGGGTGGAGCGACGAGTTGGGACCAGAGAGAAAGGGATCGTTCTGTGCTGAAGATTGCGGCTGAGTCGGGGATTGGGTCCACGGGCGGTAGTGAGTTGAGGTCTTTTGAGGCGGGGAGGAGGTTGTCGAGAGTGCCCTGGAGGGATGAAAGGAGGTCGGATGTGGATTTGAAGACGTCGAAATCTATAAGGGATGGCTGAAGCGAGAGAGATTGAATGCGTTAGTTTGCTGGGGTCTTGCATTTGGTGTAGTTAGACCACACATACCACAGATGGAGGGGCGGCAGGCTGTGGAGGGAGAACCTCTGTAGTGTCTGCACTTGGCTCTTGAAACCCGTCGTCGAAGTCATCAAAGTCTCCAAAGTCGTCGTCTGGCATTGCTTCATTTTCGTCGACGAATTCGTCGAAGTCATCTCCAAAATCGTCGGCATCATTTGTTTCCACGACCTCCTCTTCAACTGGATTATATTGTGACGTCGGTTCTGGCGCATGCTCGACTGGTTCGACAACGTCCGGCTCTGCATCACTCGGGGATTTTTGATGGGCTCTTGGCCTTGATGGTAATTCTTCCCCTGCGGGCATATCTTCCACCGGGGTGACTCGTGTTTCAGGAAGTGGTTGAGTGGTAGAGTCGGTGTCTGTAGAACCGTGTTCCGACGGTGGTGAGGACGTATTATTCTCAGAATCCGGTGCTGTGGTCACCATGTCAGGCACTGCGTCAGCTCGCCGTTTTTCATATGCTTCTGTCCCTGGAACCTCCCCAAAGCTTGGTTCATCGGGGTCTGTCTTTTCCACCACTGTGTGCGGGATTGACGAGCCGTCCGGGGTGACGGATCGATCCTGCGACCACGCCACAGCTTGGTCTTTGCTCTGCACGTCCTCGGGTATAATTTCAATTTCGTCGGGAACAGCATCCTGCTCCATTTTGTCATATGCGGTGGTCCCAGGGGTTTTACCATGCTGGGCGCTGGAGTCGACCCGCTCTACTCGTGTGCGCGGGACAGGGGAAGTGTTGCCAGATTGTGGGCTTGATTGTAAATATGCATGGCCTTCGCTGGCATCTGAGAAGTGGTCATCGTCACTGTTGGAAGCTGTAAAAGCCAAATTTACACCGTATTAGATTTTTAAACAAAGACTATGACGTCCTAGGGACAGATAATACCGGTGTCTTCAGCTCCTGGGTCTTCCAGCTCGGTGGTCTTGCTGGGAGGTTCTAGGTGTGTGGGCGTGTTCGGCGATGCGTCCGACATTATAGCGCTTTAAACTTATGGTTGGAACATGGGAGTAAAAGGGAGCGAAGGAGGAAAAGAACCAGCCGGAAACTTGTCATGCGAGTCGAGTTGTGTAGCGTAGAGTGACGGTGTTCCCTGCAATCGATTCGAGTCCAGAACACTTTCTGCCTTGGTGCCTGATTCACCTGAGTTGACCGCCATATTTACCAGGCTTAAATTCGGACATTGCTGAAACTCAGGCATTAAGGCACCAACTGGCGCGTTAACTCAAACTCCTGCGGATTATTATTCTGAGCTTCAACCTCTCACTTACGAGCCCTTCCCTCACCTTCCCATTTCGCTCAATCCCCATTTCGCCGTTACGATCGCATCGTTCCATTCGAGCCTGTGATCCTGTTCCACAGGATCCCCCGACCTACTACCGGTCGTCGTTTTCTTCACCTTTTTCTCAAAGCTAGCCGTCCTTCGACCGCGACAACACATCCCCATGGCCTTCTCCTTTGGCACTCCGGGCTCTACCGGCGCTTCTGGCGGAAGCCTTTTTGGCACCGCTGGTACCAACCAGAATGCCTCAAATCCTGGCGCGGCTGCCGGAGGTGGTGCTCTTTTTGGAAATGTAGGGAGCTTCAAACACTGGAGGCGCACCTGCACTATTTGGAGCCAAGCCTGGCACCACCCAGTCTCCTCTCTTCGGAGGTGCTGCCACCAGTAACACTCCCAGCAGCAGTCCATTCACTTCTACACCTGCAACCTCCGCAACCACTACCGGCGGAGGCTTCTCTTTCGGTCAAGCACAGAACAAAACCGGCCAAACGACCAACTCTCTCTTCGGAGGTGGCGCTTCGACTCCCGCGAAGACAGACGCAGCTACACCTAGCGCAACTGCTGGTGGTATGTTTGGAGGCGCTTCGTCCGGGACCGGTGCATTTGGAGTCTCAACAACCCCCGGTCCTACCGGAGGCTCTTTGTTTGGAACTACTTCAACCACTCCTGCAGGTCCTCCCCCAGCGTCAAACACCCCTGCTCTTTTTGGAGGATTGGCCACTGGTTCCTCGACAACGCCATCTACGGCCCCAGCTCTCTCTGCTACTCCAGCTGCAACCCAGCCCCAGACTACCAACAGCCTCTTTGGCGCCGGTGCTAACACTACATCGACAACCCCCAAGCCTACCTTTGGCGCAGCCCCTGCCGGTGGTAACGGCATGTTCGGTGCTGCAAAGCCAGCTGAATCTACAACTCCTGCGGTCTCTGCACCCAATGCCGCGAAGCCTAGTGCGTTTGGACCTGCACCAGGCGCCCCTTCCTTGTTCAATGGCATCATGCCCGGCGGTCCACCAAGTGGCGCAGCAATGAAATCACCATTCCCATCTCTTGGGGCTCCTTCCACCTCTGCCACTACAGCTTCTGCCACTACAGCTGCTTCCCAGCCTACATTCCAGCTGGGAGCTCCTGCAACGTCATCCTCTGCTACTACTTCAAGCTCTCTCTTCCCTGCTCTCGGCAGCACATCATCCTCTACTCCTCAGTCATCCACACCCGCAGCAGCTCCCAGTGGTCTGTTCGCACCTAAAACAACTGCACCCGCCCCTTCAGGACTTGCGGCCACCAATACTGCCCCGGCTACAACCTCTGCTACCCCAGCTGCTCCATTAGGCGGGATGTTCAATAAGCCCGCTGCTCCAGCTTCCTCTACCCAGCCCGCTGCTCCTGCTGCGACCAGTGCATTCGGAGACAAGACGACCACCGCTACAGCTGCTCCTTCTACCACTGCCACCGCTGGTACTCCTGCTGGAACTGCTGCTCCCTCTTCTCTTGGCCAGTCGACTGCAGGCCCGGCTCCCCCGGCTCAGTCTCGCTTGAAGAATAAGACTATGGACGAGATTATCACCCGCTGGGCAACTGATTTGACCAAGTATCAGAAGGATTTCCGTGAGCAAGCGGAGAAGGTTGCTGAGTGGGATCGGATGCTAGTTGAGAATGGAACCAAGGTTCAAAAGCTTTATGGTAGCACTGTTGATGCTGAGCGCGCTACTCAAGAGGTCGAGCGTCAGTTGGCTTCAGTGGAGGGTCAACAAGATGAGCTTAGTTCATGGCTCGATCGTTATGAACGCGAGGTGGATGAGATGGTATCGAAGCAAGTGGGTCCTAACGAATCCCTTCAGGGTCCGGACCAGGAGCGCGAGAGAACGTAAGTCATGAGACAAATTTCCCCCTTAATGACTGATTGATGATCTAACTTATTTGTTTTAGATACAAACTCGCCGAGAAGCTTTCTGAGCACTTGGATGAGATGGGCAAGGATCTCACCAGCATGATCGAGGAGGTGAACGGTGCTTCAGCAACCCTGACAAAGACCAACCGGGCAGACGAGCCAGTAAGTCCAGTCTCTACAATCCTGTCATTAATAGACATCCACGATGCTGACTTTCATTTCTTCCAGATTTCCCAAATTGTGCGCATTCTCAACTCGCACCTTTCTCAGCTGCAAGTCATCGACCAAGGCACCTCCGAGCTCCAGGGTAAGGTTGCGGCCGCTCAAAAGGCTGGCCAGTCTATCTCCTCTCGCCTCGGTTACGGATTTGCTAGCCCTGGCATGGGCGGAGGTAATGCCGCTGATGACTTTTACCGCTCCTACATGGGACGCCGCTAGACAGTGACTGATGGGACGTCTTATGATTTTCAATGGGATTAATCTACTTTTATCGTGGTTCAATGGAAAGAACATGTTTTTACAAACTAGCTTTCCTTGCATGACTTACTACTGTATTTTCTTTTCTCTCTTCTTCCTTGTGGTCGGTCTATGGCAGAAGCCTTCTGATTCCTGGGGTCGCTTTGCGTTCTATCTTTGTACATCTTGGGCTAAGTTATGGCTGAACTGTCTCTCCGATTAAGATAGAGAGGGCGTAATTCAAAATAAGGTGGTTACCCGGGTGGGTCAACTGGTGTTAGTTTTCCAAGCTTGTTTTGATCCACTTCTGAGTTCTATAGTTCCGTGATACATGCACGTCCCAAGAAAGGGAAATCATAGCGAGATAGCCAGATTGACTTCGAAATTTACTAGCTTACTGGGCCATCTATGGTCATTTGATATCTAGGCCCCGGTACTCTGTACTAGTAGATCAACTGCCAGATTGTGGCTGCTTACAGGATACATCATTTGTCCAAGATCAAAGTAAATGAACTCCTGATATGCTCGGCTATCATTTGTAGTCACATGTCGCTGATGAAAAAGTCCCCACAGAGGTTATTCGATTGGAGCGGAGAATATTAAAATACAGCCATGGTTGGAGGACTTCGAAGTTCAACCTGGATAGAAGGTACTATGACCAGCTAATTTACCGCTTCTGCTCCTTGGTCAATTTGTCACTAGATGGAGTTAGCCTTATCATATACCAGAAAAAAAAAGAAGGAATGACGGCATACATGTGTTCCTCAAGATCATCGAGATGCTTGCGCTGATCACCGATTTGCTTCTTGAGCTTGTGGAGCCTGTTACTCGAGTCAGGAATCTGCCTTGCTGCAAGCATACCGGATAACTTACTTCTCGATCTCCTTCTCACGGATGTACATGGCCTCCTGGGCAGCCTCACGCTTGGTAAATGAGTCACTACGCCCCATGTCATGTCAGCAACGAATGATGTCATGCGGCAAGGCAGACAAGGCCATAATGACTGACTGCGCCTCGGTGCCTATTCCAACTGATGTCCAGAGAAGCACAGCTGAACAGGGGAAATGAACCAAGGAGGGGGTCAATGCAGAGGAAGATGGGATGCCACGTACCCAGATGAGCCACCTGCACCAGCTCGAGGAGCTCCAGTGTCACCTTCGCCCATTCTAGGCACAGCAACAGAGAAAGAACGGGACAGGATGCGATTGGCAGTTGCCGCAGGTCGGATGATGGATTGACGGAGCATGGTGAATTTGGATTGGATGCGGTTATGAGAGAAAGAAAGAATAAAGAGGAGGGAAAGCAGGAGGAGGTACACCTTGGTCAAAGGTACCAAGCTTACTTGCCATGGGTGGCATGACGACACATCAGGTGACTCTGGGGTGCATTATATAATATATTATGTCAGCACTCCTCAGCTCCTAAATCTCTGCGATAAGTCAACGTGCTCTCATTCGGCTCTGTCAGAGATCATGAGGGGCTCCAGGGAAGATCATTCGTATTTGGAGATTCAAATGACAGAAGTTACTGTGATTCATGACTATTCATGTGTAAATTTTTCAAAATATCTATTCTTTCGTATAGCATTCCTGGTATCTGAGCCTCTTAATTCTAGACTCAACCTAGCCCTGGTGTGAACCATTCCATATGCAAAGGAAGTTAGGGCTCGCATATGGACCTATAAGTATAAAAACCTTGGAAGCAAGAATACATAATCCAAAAGTGAGGCGTAAGTAGGGAACGTCAAGGACGATTGGCGGGCGCGGGATGGGGGATGACGCTGGAAGGCCCACCGAACCACACAGAAGAGAGAGAGAGAGGTGTTGAACACGAACAATTCCAACAAGATCAAATGGGGAAGAAGATGTATGGAGTAAGCAATCGTAAGGCGCAAATACGCAAAATCCAAATCAAATGAAATAATCCATGAGACCATGTGAACATGCCCATTGCTCATAGAAACCAGTAGTTAACAAGGCAGATTTCCTTTAAGCAGAGAGAAGTCCCCCCCGTAGCGTTAAATCCCAACGACACCGCCCTGTTGATTCCCCCTCTTCTCTCTCAACTCTCTTCCCTCTTGGAACTTCCCCCTTTCTCTCCTTATCCACTTCCTGATCTATTTTTCTCCTCTACAATCCAGGTGAGTTTGGTCGTCTTTCAATCTTGTCTATCCATCCCCTTTTCCTGGGGACGTTATCCCCCCGCCCTGCAGTCCCAAACCACAGTGTCTGTTCACAAACCCCCTCTCCCCTTCCATACAATGAGAGGGAAAGGAGAATCATTGAACCCGGGCAAGACAAGAGTCCATTTCAAGATGAACACCTTCTCGCAATGGGTTATTATCTAGAGTCGCTTGTCTCTCTGATTGTCAGCATTCGTCATCGCCCTTGTTTACTTGGCGGGACGGCCGCGACCGCTTCATGAATTCAAACATCCCCAGACATCGAGAAAGCCCACCACACTATCAACTTCTCCATGATCGTCGTGATATCCGCTATAGGGAGAGGGAATGGCCAGTTTTGATGGAGAGATCTCCTCGAATGATGTCAAGTGGGACTATCGTTACCCCCCCAAAGGGGGTCCTGGCGCTCCGTGTCTACCCCTCCCGGTCGGCGATGATGTCGATGGCGTGATTCCACAAACTCATATTCCAACATAACGACAATATATGTTATATGAAGACAAAGCAGAAGAAGAATACTGACTAAATTTGATTGATGTAGAACCTTTCACCATGGGTCACGAAGATGCTGTCTACCTCGCCAAGCTCGCTGAGCAGGCTGAGCGTTATGAAGGTTCGCCTCCCTCTTATCTATATCCAACGAAATCACAATATATTAACAACTCGTTTTTTTCTTGAAAAATAGAGATGGTTGAGAACATGAAGGTCGTCGCCTCGGCCGATGTTGAGCTCACCGTTGAGGAGCGCAATCTCCTGTCTGTCGCCTACAAGAACGTCATCGGTGCCCGCCGTGCTTCCTGGAGAATCGTCACCTCGATCGAGCAGAAGGAGGAGTCCAAGGGCAACGAGTCTCAGGTTACTCTGATCAAGGATTACCGTCAAAAGATCGAGGCCGAGCTTGCCAAGATCTGTGATGACATCCTCGAGGTTCTGGACGAGCACCTTATCAAGTCTGCCCAGAGCGGCGAGTCTAAGGTCTTCTACCACAAGATGAAGGGCGACTACCACCGTTACCTGGCTGAGTTCGCCATTGGCGACCGCCGCAAGGGTGCTGCCGATGCTTCCCTGGAGGCTTACAAGGCCGCCACCGAGATCGCTCAGACCGACCTTGCCCCTACCCACCCCATCCGCCTCGGCCTTGCCCTGAACTTCTCGGTCTTCTACTACGAAATCCTGAACTCTCCCGACCAGGCCTGCCACCTGGCCAAGCTGGCCTTCGATGATGCTATTGCCGGTTCGTTTCAATTCTTGATATAACTGATAATCCCATAAACATATCCAGTGTGACTGACATGATTTCTGCAGAGCTCGACACCCTGAGCGAGGAGAGCTACAAGGACTCCACTCTTATTATGCAGCTTCTCCGTGACAACCTGGTAAGTCCTTCTCGAAAATCTTGTAGCTTGTTTCGCAATCGTCTAATTCCGTTTATAGACCCTCTGGACCTCCTCTGAGGCCGAGGCTGGTGAGGCTCCTGCCGAGAAGAAGGAGGAGGCCCCCGCCGCCGAGGGTGAGAAGCCCGCTGAGTAAAGCGGCAAAATCTAAAAAGATGTTGATGATGGACTCACGTCCTTGGGTGGATGGGACAACCGAGAGAGAGAGTTTCTATGTGACTGGGGTTTCCGGTGCTAGGAGCGCAAGTTGATATGGATAGGAGAAAAATCCCCCGAGAGATTCATTGTTACAACACCTTAACTTTTTGCGAGTAATCCCAGAGCCTCACGGCCACGGGGTGAAAGAATCTGTGGGGTTTCGTCCGTGTGCTCTTCTATGGGAGTAATCCCTTCGTGTTGTCTTCTTCGCTTTGCACTTCCTGATTTCTTGATCCGGTGTTCTTCCCCTACCTGTCTGGAACCTTGTCCGTGTTCTCCTCGCTTTTCTTTTTTCATTCGCCTTGTTATTTTGTCTACTTGCCTCTTTATTTTACCCCTTTTTTCTTGAAAGAGTCCCCTTTGCGCGCACTCTCCAAACGCCCCCCAACACATATACACACACGGACAGAGAATTTTTTTTAAATCAGCTCCTTATCAGGACTACAATGAGGGCCTCGTACCGATCCCCGATCTGGCTTTTCTTCTCTTTCTCTCTCTCCTCTTCTTTCTGTGTTCTCTCGTACTCTGTCCCGTGTGGCGTTTGATTTTCGCTAGATGTGGTTTTAAAAGATTAACTGAGGTATGTTTACCTCCTGGTATTTGCCTGGGGAGATACCCTGTTAGCCATGGATTGTGATCCTTGGTTTTAGATGAACCCTAGAGAGTTAGAAGTATGTTGACTGGGAGTTATTTTAGGATCTCAAGGAGGTGAATCAGTAATGGCACCATAGAAAGTAGTTGTATTTGTAGATTGATTGATCGATCATATTGATCTTCCATGGAAAAGTCAATACTGCCTATGCCCTCTTGGTGTAATCGAGCTCACATTTGATTTCACCTTGAACCTCGCCATCTTTTCAGGTCCAGCTTGAAAGTGATCTCCGTAGTTTCCCTGGCTAGCACATTCCAGACCGCTAAGACCATTCATTTATGATTCTAGACCTTGGCTGTTTTAGGGCCCTGGCAAGATGGGGCATCTTGAGCTTTCACATCACCAATCTCTTTAGCCTGTTCTTCGCAGTACTTTGCCATGATAACATCTTTCTCAGAGAGTCCTTGAGGTGAATGAGTAGTCCACTCAAAAGTAGCAGAGGAGAATTTCTGAATATTCAATTAGCTTCCCATTCATACTCTCCTCTTCAAATAAGAAGGGACGAACGAGCACTGTCACCGGATGATGATTCCGTGATTTGCATCTTACTCCGACGAGGTTATTGAAATCCTGAGATATCCAATCAGTTTCAGTATCAGACAAGATAATATCAACACCAAGAGTCTGCTGCTTTTGATCACTAACCAAAACCTTTGTATATGTCTTGAAATGAAACGTCTTTCGAATAGTATCGCCTCCCAGTAGTTCCCAGCCCGATTGGTGGATCAATGCCTCGATTTCCGTCTGGACCAACTCTCTGTCTTCGCCTTCTGCGATCTTAATGTTCACCGAGGCTTCCGCCATCATTGAACTGTGATTTCTCAGACTAAAGTGTTGACATTCAATCTTGGTGGGGTAATCAGCCCCAAGGGGAAAGGTACCTTGGAACCCACCTGGGCACTAGCAATGAGCGTCACATGATTTAGGGTCGACGCATTTGATCTCATCACCACCATTGGAATAGGTACGTTACCAATTGCACACTTGGGCATGTAGATAAGGCTCAAATTTGGGGCACATCAGGGGAAATTTGAACTTAAACCAATGTTCACCTATGGACATGTTCTAGAACTGGATCCTATTATTACAGATGAGAATGTCTCGAGTCTTGATTATTAAGTGAAGTATCTGGTGAAGAATAAGGCACTGGCAGAGAAAGATCAACTGTGTTCGTGGCGTCACGGTAGAAGTTGATTATTATTATTAAGTGTCACATCAGTAATTGGAAGACAGTCATGGTAATATTATGATAAGATACGATAGACCAGAATAAATACGCCACAATTCAAGCAAAGCTTCCAAGGTTCATTCGCCTCTGTCATTGTCGATAGTGGATATCTATTCAATGCCAACAGAGCGGAATGAAGTTGGTTGGAAGATTTGGGATATAATTCCTATCCTCTCGAGGTAAGGTAGCACATCCTTCGCCATAAGCTTCTCTCGTATTACCAGCACAGTGAAGTTGCGTACAAATATTGCTCAATCTTTCTCTTATGAAAGTTGACTCCTTCATTTATGTGCTTGGGCTTGCGGCTCACGGATTTTGCGGGTTTGGTAATTGGTCATGTTGACGACTTGTTCCATTTCGTGAGCATCGGCATTGCCCGTCTTCTCTGACGCATTGGCGAATTCCATCGTCAAGATATTTGAAGTGTTCTAGACCCTTTTTCCTTGACGAAGGGTTTCATCAAGGATGTCCGTGTAGTATCCAAGACTTCTTTAAGCCTGGCGAGGGCTTTGTCGGAGGCTTCGAGGTAGTTCAAAATCTCCAATAGAGGAAAAGCTTTGAGTCAAGGACGTGCACAGCTCTTGTGAGTAGTCAGCTTGGTTGAGAAACTCTTAACCCCTAATGTGTTTCTGAACAAGCGTTGCTAGCCGGTGGTCCAGGGTTGGAGGTTCGACTGGGGTGGACTTGGTCCACTGGAGAGTAAATTCGTTTTCGGGGTAGGTGGCAGAATCGCAGCATTTGAAATTGGCAGTGTTCCGGTAGGAGTTGAGAATGATTTTGTCATAATCAAGACCGCTGCTCGAGCTATTTGAGACATTTTCCGTTGTTGTAAGTGCGGGTTGACTGAATTTCTAGTTCAATCTTCGACCATGCACTCATACTAGCGCAGAAGGGGGTGAAATTGACCGAACTCTAGGAATCACTTCACTACCTAGAAAATTCAAGTCGCTCATTGAGTTGTATTGGAATGTTGTTTTCTCATCTTTTGCCCAGGTGACAGGTCGAGCATCCAAAATCATAGTCATAGAAAAGACTAACAACAAGTCTCCATTTCAGGCCAGTAAATTCACCTATCAGGCGAATTTGATAACGAGCTCTCCCCAAACAGTTGTAATAGATTTCAAGAAGAAAGTGGTCTCGTTTTTTAAGCCAGTATCTAAGGATGTGATCGATTTCTTCAAAAGTGAATTTTCCGAGAGTCTTGCTGGAGAAGCTTTAGGAGACCAAGATTGCGTGGCCCAACCGACGTACTCATATGGACTAGTAGTCTCCGTACATCAGCTAAGTCTATTAGGAGGATTGTGGATTTTATTTCTTCTCTAGGCTAATTGGTCCGGATTTATGAACCCCTCGATAATGGTTGACAATGACTTTGCAAGCGACCTTTTCATCTGGAATATTCGACACCTATCATTCAGCCAAGCGCACAGGCCTTTTCACGAGTTCATTTTCCTTGTCTTCAAGGCATTGCAATCCAATCTTTCTTTTCTTCTCCCTCTTTCCTATTGAATGTGACTGGGAACTCGATAGGTAGACCAGTATCCTTTTGTGAAGGACTTCTAGGCTCCACGCTGAACTTCATATTCCGGTGAAAGAAGAGTTGAGTTGAGACTCAACTAGGTGATCCCACAAAAATTCGAAACTATTCAGAGCTAATGGTAAAAGAAAAAGACTCCCTATCATTTGGTTTGTTCTCACAATAAAGTCGAACTTCTATTGGAACGATAGTGGAGCTGACAATGTGAATAGAAACTGGCGTTGCAGATATTGTAGATCGGGTCTGCGAGGGAACCGGGGAGCGAAAGAATCTGGTCTGTAAGCGAATGGACTCAGCACTGAGGGGTAAATCGATGCAAGCCACGACATCTTTCCAAGCTAATGCGGCTGTGAGTCTCTTCGTTGTCACTATCTGAGCGCGAGATTCTCCGAGGACATGCAGCATGCACGATCTATCACCTGGATCATTCTCAGTCCCCAATTCTAGAACGGCCGGAAGAGAAACCCGTTACCACGCTCAGACAACAGCCTTTTCTTGTCTGCTATAGGTTTCTTATCACATAAAAGGATTCCATTGCCGGAAACGCGATTGCGGCTCAACGTGCAAGGGGGTGGGCGCTTCAAACAGTGCAAACACGGCATAACGCCACTTTATGCATCATTTTTCCCAAGTCTATGATCGATCGAATTTTGATTGTCGAATCGATTAGAATGGCTGATCGATTCGCTGACGGAAGAACTGCACTTATGCTATATTAGTATTCACAGCTTTGGTGGGAGATTTGCTCCAAATCTCTTAAACCCCCCTCCCCGGGGCCCCGACTTATTTTTTTTTAGTTCTTCCCAGATACTTTGTAATCACAGGTCGATGTACCTAGTGATTGCATTGATTTTATTTTTTTCGTACGGCTTACTATCATTACTGAGATTTTATTTCAATATCTCGTCAGGTTAATCAAATAACATTGGCGTGGAATCAATCTCAGAGACTCCCAACAATGCAGGCACGTCAGCTGAGAGAAAAGCAAAAAATTTCAAAAGATTAGACGAAACAGACTAACATACAATTCAAGAGGCCATTGTCCAATATTGCAGGCAATGCTCAAGACAATAGCAGACATGAATTTTCCATTCTAGCTGCCATTTTCGGTTGGAAAACTACGCCGGCGCAAATACAACTCTCAAATTCAAGACACGCATTTATGATACTTCAGAGTCACGGTATTAACAGCCGAGATTCCTTGAAACGCCATTATAAGAAGGTTTTTGATCAACTTGCAGACACTGAGTCTCTTGAACTTTTGAAATCATGGATGGACGGATATTCTGGCGGAGTTAGTCTTTTTCAACAGGTGCCTCGCTGGTGGCCTCCTGGATATGAATACTGGACTGCAGATGAAATATCTTACACAGGTAAGTACAGGCCCTGTGTTTCCAATTTCTGCAGCTTTTTTACACATATCTTACTTTGAATCATAGATAGAAGAAACATCTTGCTGCACCTGGCGTGTGGAGACACTTTTGGAGGCCAGTCCTTCGACATACTTTGGGATAACCTGCGAAGGCCTCGTATTCAAGCCCAGAGAAAAGAGCTTATACAAGAAGTCATTATTTTACGCCAAATGGAAGTACTTGGAGGAACTCGGAATTGAAAGCGAAATATCTTGTATCACAGATGGTCTAGTATCGCTGTGGATGTTAATGAATTTTATAATGGATGATGAGAAAATGATTTAACGTCAGGCCCAAGGCCATCAAATTGTCAAGTATCTTCATCAGAAGTCTTAATGGTTGTCTCATAACTTTCACTTCAATTGATGTCAATCCGTCGATCATCTGGTTTGCAAGAGAACTTTAGCCTCACGCTGTATAGTATTCCAGGACCCCTGGCATGTGTACAGCTATGGATAGATCATATCACTACCCTCAAAATGTCGCTTTATCCATCCTCTCGCTCGACAACCAGCTCAATATTGAATCCGACTCGGGAGAATCTATTTGAGAAGGGCTCGGAATATTGACTAGATTTCATCAGAATACTACATAATTTCTTTATTCCGGAATTAGAATGAAGAATGTTCGAATATTTCCATCTAATCTCAGGCCTTTGAATCCCACGTTCATCATGGCAGAAATCGCACGCCCTTCTATGTCTCCATACGGCCCGGGCGAGGAGACATTCCTTTAAGGGCTTCCTGCATTCAAGGATTCCGAAAAGGATTATTGTGGCTTACTCACAGTGGAATTTGGTTTCCCTTAGTATTTGGCGAAGACTATTGTGATGATCTAGGGATTATGAGGAACCTTTCTATGTCGACAGCATCCAACAAAGTATGGGCCAAAGTGCAACTGTATATGTGCACGCTCTAAGGATGATAAGTTGTTCGAGTTTGAAAATCTCATACGATTCCATAAAAATAACTAAATAGATCATAATGCTTCGCTGTCTCAAAATTTCCTGTGGTAAGGCACTTGGTTATTTTTTTGACGCTGTTGATCGATCCGCCGTCTTTCGGGTTGTCGAGCACTGACATTTGAAGCTTATGACAGTTCAAGTTCTCTGATGTACAAGTATGTACTAGTAGTAGTACTAGGTACTGGCATGATGCAAACATACTATGTAGCCCTGTAGGTACTAGTAGATCGATGTATCATTCAAACGTTCTCGCATGATATCATATACCTCTCTCCAAGTACATTGTGTCACCACTCAGGCTGCCGGTGAGGCTATGGGCGTACTCAAGTGCTACCTAGCAGTCTAGTACATAGTGGAGAATGCATATATGGGTGATTCGAACTCTGGAAATTATCCAAGCCACTTATCATTATCAATCTATATCATCTACAGAGAAGATAGCATCATTTTGAATAACCTCCATTGCTATGGATAGAACCTCACTGCTACAAGCTATGCAAGCTAAATAGAAGGGTATGATGGGCGATCAAGTAAAACACAGGGTGGGGACTTGAGACATGCGCACGTTCCTGGGTATGACAAGAGCGAAGCAAGAAAAAGCAGAGCCGCAAGGAAGAAAAAAAAAAGAGTAAAAAAGAGCAGGGAAAATGCAGAGGGTTGAAAAGTAGAAAGAAAAGTAGGAGTCGTTCTGCAGAGCCAGTCCATAAAAAAAGAGATCAAGATGTACAGGTGATCGTCCGATAAATCGAGGGAGGATGATCAGATGAGGCACTGAGAAAGGGGAAGAGAAGAGTAAACAGCAAAAAAAATGCGCAAATGGACTGCTCCGAAAACAATGACCCCCTCATGATGCTTTCCGCTTTCCACGCCGTCCTGACCATGCAATGCCATATGACGACGAAAACGATTTCCTGTGCGGGCTCCGGTAAGTGTTCATTTCAATCAAATCGAGTCTAGTCCCAGTCCCCGAAACGCCCAAGGTGCTATGCATCCGATGATAATAAAAAAAAAGACGTAGAAAAAAAAGTACAAGATGAAACATGTCCGCAAAGAACCGCCGTGGGAGTCACAATGAAGAAAAGAAGAGGAATAACGCCAAAGGAACAAGAAGAGGGTGAAGAATGAACTTCACAGAGAAAAGAAGAAGAAAAGAAAAGGGATAAGGATTCCCAGTCGTATCGCCAGGGTGATTAGAGATCGACCCGCCAGGGAAGCCATAGAGCGGTGACAGCCCGGGATGATCCCATAGGAATCAAGGTTGCCAAGAATCAAGTGGCGGGCCACTTGACAAACCCCGAGTATGCAATGATGTCACAACCGATCTAATTTTTGCCCCCTTGGATGTAAATAACCACTTGGAATGACGATAGACCCATAATTGACGATCGTTATCACTGAAAGGGGGCGCAACATTTGGCAGAGAAGAGAGAAAGTTGATGTGGCCACGTCGAACCGGTCGAGTGGCTAGAGGAAAGGGTAAAAGGTAAAGGGTAAAGTGGCGACGACCATAGGGGAAAAGACAACCCAAAGGAAACAACTACCGTGACATTTCATCAAGGAATTGCTTTCCGTGGGGCTCCATATTTACCCCAGACATCTTCCATTGTTGGAAAAAGGTAATGTGCGTAGCTCGTAGGACGGATCACTTTCAAAGGAATCAATGTCATCGGGGGAAAACGAATGCAAACTGTCGGATCGGGATGGCTGTCATCAAAGGCGGAAAAGAATCGAAAATCATCGGTATGAATCGTGAAAAAAAAGTGGACATGTTCCCCAAATTTCTCCAAGGGTATGTTGGATAAGTAAAACCCCCCAGGGGTCTCGAGTCAAAGTGGGTGTGATGATGACCCATTTGCGGCCCTTATCCCATTCACAGAAGTAACAAGATTTACTTCTGTGCTTTCCGTGCCTTTGTGCTTCGCGTCATTTCACTCTTGGTCATATTGCGAGTCAAACCGCCGATGTAATCCTGTAGAACCTTGTTGTCCCGTTCCAGCTTGTCATGATCGGATTTCACAGCATCGATTCGCTCGGCGAGGGCTTGAAGCGATGATTGAAGGGCTTTGGCTTGTCTGTATTGTTGGTTAGTTCTGAAAGACCTCTCAAATAATCCCCAAAGAATCCCCGCTATTTCTCTCATATTTTTCGTGATCGAAAGGAACAAATCCATCCGTTTGGTATACCAGGATATCCAAGACTGAAGGGGAGGGAACAATACTCACTCTTGGAGAGTCTGTCGAGCCTCTTTGCCTAGTCGCTCTAAATCGGCGGAGTTTCGTCGGGGACTCATGGCTCGGGCGTCATCTGGGGGGAATTCCTCCTCTTCGATTTCAATTTCAGGGTGGTCTCGGGGCACCAGTATCGATGCACTAGGTTTGCGACTCGCCATTCGGGGACGTTCGGATCGACCGCGGCGTTCGTTTTCGGCGTCAGATATGGATGAAGATGAGGACAATGATGACATATGCATGCGGCCACCGTCGTTAGGTTGCGGCAAGGTGTCCACGGGAGAGGCTTCAGTCATTTCCGTATCAGATGCCATATGGGTGGTTATTCACAAGTGAGATGCAGATCAAGGAAGGATAGGTGTAAGTCCAGAGTGGCGGCTGTCCGGTGTGAATTTATTCTGGATAGGCTGGGTAGTTCAAAGTGGTGTCCGATGTCTGTTGTGTTTCTTTTCTTTTTCTTTTTTTTCCCGATCTTCTCTCTGGGTCGGTTCTGTTTCGCGTTTTTTGTGGACTGTAGTCGATCGAACTCTCGCGGATAAACGAGTTGGCGGTTTGATGGACCACGGATCTACCCCTAGCGATGTACCCCAGAAGAGATCTGTGTTACGCTTGAGGTAGCTACCGGGGTCAAAAAGAAAGTTGAATCAGGGTGGTGGGAGAATCGCACACAAGGTGAGGAAAGAGGGATGTCGAGAGCGTGAATGAAAGCGAGTGAAGGATAAACGCAAGAGCAAAAAAAGGGAGAGCTTTCAGAACGTATTGTTACCAAAGTGTACGAGAGCGGTGGGCAGTTTTAGGAGTATCAGTGGCCAAGTCCCTTGGTTGGGTGCTCCTGATCGTCTCCCCCTCTTCTCTGGAAACGAAAAAAAAAGGATTTTTCTTTTACTATTCTTTTTATTCCTTTTTATTCCTTTTTTTCTTTTTTTTTGGGTACTGTAATTTATAATTTTAATTGATCATTTCCTGTATATTCTACATTTAAATACTTTCATATAAGTTATCGTAGGTACCCTTATATTTGGAAGATTATGAAAGAGTTATTCTCTCTTTATTTCTTGTAAACCATATATAATTACCCGGGGAATATCTGAGTCTTACCTATAGATCTTCCAAATATCTCTAGGTTCTTTCCAGTTCTTCGGTGAGAAAGAACCTGTTTTTTTTTCTCTCTTCTATTATTTAGTGGGGGGGGCAAGTAGGCCGGGTTAGGGGCCCTTTTTTTCCTTCATTTTTTTCCTCTTTCATTTTTCTTTTTCGCTTTTTTCCCCCTTTCTCTCAACCTTTCACCCGTTCCACCCGTACACCGCTTCCCTCTCTCGGATCTACTAAAATCCGAATAATTATGGAGTCAATGGAGTGAAGAATGACCAATTATATTCTATTATTAAGTTAGGATCAGTCAAAACCAGTTAGATTGTACCTCTTTGAGTGAACTAAATGAGTGGGCTAATGAACCAACCAGCAGGAGCCCCAAACATCAACATCTCCACTCCGGCAGAAAAACCGGTATCAGTGTGACCAAACTCTACATCTTCTCTGTATTCTTTCTCTTCCCGCCCCCCTTTACGACCTGCTTAGACAGATAAAGTACCAGTACCTGCAAGGTCAGAATTCACCTGAGCAAAAGTACCTTGATTTTCAAAAACCCACTTGAGATGTTAAGCTATCTTCCGTGCGACACGTTGTAGAACTTCCTAAATCCTGCCCAGGTGGTTACCCTTCTCTACATTCCGATCCCCGGGAACGGCGTTGTTGCAAAGAAACAAAAATAGGACAATTCAAAACTCTGGAAACGGGAATTCTAAACAAAAACACAGGAAAAACCCCCCTAACTCTTCAAAATCTAAATTTAAATCTAAAAAGAAAAGAAACCACCAAAAAAAAAAAAAGGATATGTAAATCCCTACGGAGTAATTGATAATAATGATCAATGATCATTGCCCACATACTTTAGCTATTGGCGCTGAATGATATGGGCGGTATGGGGAAAGTGTATCTCCATCCACCCTCTCAGGGGGGGCGCGTTATGCATTGTCGATCGAGCCTCAACGAGCGGAGATGACGCCATATGACTGTTTCTAACTGGTTCTACCATTTCACGCGGACAAGCTGTCCAACTTCCCCGTACCACTGAGAGGGTCATTCAACCGGAAACTTCCCTGTCCACGTCGGCTCCGGTATGGTGGCAAACGGCACAGGAAAAAAGCCTCAAGGGATGGAGTCCGTACCCCATAACGGAGTACCTACAAAGTAGGGATTAGTGTACTCCGTATCCCATAGGTAGATCCTCTTCTGAGTTATCGATTTTGAAAATGGGGGTCACGATGCACTATTTACTTGCAGTTTGATGTACGGGAAGTAGCTTGGATTCAAAAGTACTTTGCGCCTGCAATTAGACGTATGGTATTTATTCATATTCATTTTCTACATAATAATAAGAGAAAAGAGAAAAGAGCCGATCTTACTAGTATTATCTTGTTTGGCGGATGCCAAGACTTCATATTCTGCAATTCTGCCGCTCGGTTAGCCCTAACTGAACACGCTGAACACGGTTCTTTGGTACAGTACAGAAGTACCAAATGTCAAATACAAGCCTTCTCTATTACTACATCTGACATACATCTCATATCTCATATCTCGATCTCTCTATATAATCCATATATATATTTTTCAGACTAGTATTCAAGGATTTAAATCATGGGACCAATACATACCCGGTTCTCCGTAAACGCTTAGAACCGATCCATTCCCGTGGGTTCATACTCATTTGATGGATTGCTAGCCGACTACGGAGTAAAAGGAGGTGAAACCAAGCAGGGTCATCACAGTTGCCGATCCTCATGGTTCAAAATCATGACTCCACCTCCACGAAAACTGGAGGCTTCTGAAGGTTTCCAGTGTACACTCCGGAAAGCGGCATCCTAGTCCATTATCCACTTTTTTTCTTTTCTTTTTCTTCTTTTTTTAATTTAAATTATTATTCTCTTTGAATTACATACTGTATCCTTCTTTTCCCGGCTTTGTTGTCTTGGCAGGAACAGCTCAAGCTGACTATGGAGTCCTAGTATGGCTGTCATCCGATCTTAGCGATGCTTCTTTCCAAGGTTGGATTCACATTGGAATTAGCACCTTGAGGATTGCCCCAATGATATCCAGAGTTCAGATTTGCACTAAAGACAAAAAAAAACAATCCATAAATTCTCTAGGTTACCATGTCTTTCTTTGCAAAATTATTTTAGTTCAAGTTTAGCCTGTGATTGCCATCTGTACGAAGTACTCTGTACTGATGGTTCCTTTGGTGACCAGGACTAAAAGAAACTTGAACCAAGCCCAGGTACCGGTCCCGACAGTATCACCCATGGGTCCCTCATCCCGGCAGTGGCTTGGTTGGGAGAACGGTGGCTGCAGCCGAAATACTCGAATCAGAACTGCCGGCGCTACTCCATCACCAAGTTGTTCATGTCCGGGGAGGACCAGGACACAATGCACGAGGCAGAATTACTCAATGACGGCATGAGAGGACCCAGCAATTTGGGCGTGCACTTCCATTTGTGCTCCGTAGGCTTCGACTGCAGGATTGATTGAAATCCTGCAGTTTTTTTTTTTTTCCTTTTTCTTTCCTTAGCTATTTTATTTTCTTTTGGATTTTTCTTCTTGATTCTAAAGTGGGACCCGCTTCCTCTCTAACAAATTAACAATAATGTGACCGATCGGAAAATTCCCTTGGAAACTAAATCCATAGCTTACCTTCCAGGGTAATCTGTATATGGCAAGCAACATTTGAAAAAGTCCAATGATAATCATTATAAGATACAACCATCTGATGATACACCACTTTGAAGTTCCTCCCCCCCCCCCCATATGATACCCACACACCATGCCCCTCTTCAAACTTGAACTTATCGCACTCCCGTAACGGAGAAAGTGAATCTTGTACCCCTCCTGAAAGGGACCAGTGGCCATCGTTCCTGGATCCCCGCCGAGTCAGATGCGAAGAGGGGCGCTCAGGCCTGATTTTCGGAGGGTGTGAGCGTGTGACTGCGTGTATGTGTTGGTTCCACCGAGGTCTTCCCTACATATCATATTTAAAAATTACTGTATAGGCATTGTTTCCACCTGGGGCAGGAATAGGTATACGTATTCAGTACTTCGTGCATATCATGATCCAGTACTACTAGAATATTCAATAGTTCAAATATTACAATAATGACTTGAACCTCACTAGAGGATCTACTGACATTGGATCTTATTGAATCAAGTGGAGGGAGACCTGGGGGCAACTGAGACATAAAAACACTGCTTATTCTTGCCCCATAGAACAATCCACGTAACCCTCAAAGTTGTTCACACTACGGAACAACTCACGGACTACTCCGTTATGGATTACGACAAACTGCCAAATATTCAAAAATTGTTGTACAATTCTGTAAGCAGGGGTTTCTTCGTAACCGAGAAGTTTACTGAATAATTCAAATACTATTTTTTTTTGCCCCCTCCCTTGACACACAAACCCCCCGCCACCTTTCCACATGGTCTGTCAACTACAATCATCCTAGTCATAAATTTAAATGCTACTGCTATGGCCTCCAGGAAGAAAAATCCACAACCCTGTCGATCTGCATGTCACTGTTGATTCGTCTCGCACCTTTTCTCTCTTATCCATTTGAGTTTTTTTTATCTCTTTTGGTTTCCTTATCCCCACCAGTACGAACGTGTTTCATCCTCAATTACGGAGGGGGCGTCAAGTAAGGCTAGTCTTGAGGCACACTAGACTCCACCCCTCCCCCAAGTTGCGGATGGCGCGCGTTCTTTGGGTTAGTGCGCATATGTTAGGATGTGACTAACGATTTTTGGCGCCATCTCACTGGCCACGTTGTCCCTTTGCCGCGGGATATTTTCCTCTTATGTGTGCCCAATCAGAGATTCAATATTTCTTTTTGGATACCCAAGATTACCAGATAGTATCGTTCATACACTTAGTACAGATCAAAGAGGTTCAAGTTGCACGAGATCCGTGTTTCGGTTCCCTTCCAAGGTTCTATATGGGGATTGTTCCTGGAATGTTCCAGGATATCCCAGATCAAATATAGTACAACTTATGTCTAAGATGATGAATCCTTTCATCATGGCATGATTCATGATTCTGAGTCAAACCAGATGATGCGGAGTATACATATTCAAGGTCATTAATATCAACTTTCTAGTAATCACGAGGTCTGGGGGCTGTGCTGCCTGATAGTGGGTCATTGGAACCCATGTCGTGCTTGTCATTTATCGTGGCCCCCCCTAATAAACGGTAAAGAAAAAAATAAAAAAAAGTCCATCCACACTATATTCGCACTAAGCTTACTTACGGTTACGGTTTATTCGGTAGCATGGCTTTTTTCATGTCCCCGCCCTACGATAAACATGCCATTCGGGATACCCACTTACTGGTGTCGGAATCGCCGCTGGAATGCCGATTCTCCTTACTCTGGCAAGGCTGAGGAATTTCCTTTATGTCACGATTTCCATACTCTATGATATGACTGATATGAAACATTTTGAATACCTAGGTACACAACAGCACTTGAGGGGGCATGTCAGAATGTGACTTGCATGTTCCCAGATTGAAGTTGATGCGGGCATTTATGTAGTACAGCTCTGATTACCACGTATTCATACTTGAATTTGAAGTTTTGGGCTTGATATCATACCTAGGTACATATGCCAGTTTAAACTTGGAATGATATGGATGTTAGCGGTCTGTAGAATCCTATTAACACCAGATAAAATCAGCACTCCATACCCCGAAGCACCTTCTATATCCACTCTAGGTAGAACTTGAAATGGATAGACCACAAATTCGTCACCACCAATAATCCCCCAACTGCACCTCGGTCACAATTGCCCAAATCACCCTCAATTAATCTAATTAACCACGACTATATTTCATCCCATATAGAAACTCCTTCAATGCCAAGCCCCGGCGTAAACTAGATGATTACTCAAGTGTTATATTCCCTTGAAGCCTTTTCGGGTACTCAAGTGCTACTAGTAACGGGATTCAAGATCCCAAACTTGAACATCGCCCGCGGCATCTCACGTGTAATGTACACCTCGCATACGGAGTACGGTTCCAAGTCTAAATCCCATATTCCCAAATATACCAGGAAGAGGCTCCGCGTCATAAAAACGTTGAACCCCAATCCCCAAATCAAATATCGTGGAAAAATAAAAATAAAGCTTCAAAAAAAAAGAATAATACCCCCCCAGCGTCCCACAATCGCAGATCCTCTCGATCTCATAATCCTGTTTTCCGATCCGGATCCTTGTTTTTCAAATGTTTCTGGTATTTTTTATTTCCTTCAATTTTCACGGGTTATGTTTTCCCGTTTCCACAGCTTCTAAAGCTGTGGAGCTAGGTCTACGAGACTAAAGTATGGGAGCTTGGCTCCGCCGGGTCGATCTAGGTGAGATTCAAGACTAGTGGTTGATGAACCGTGCACGGGGTTACGAGGTGCATGGTGGTTGCATGGATTTGAGTCTGTAGGAGGGTTATAGCTGCAATGTGCTCGGATATTGGTACATGGTGGCTGCTTGAGAGAATTGGGAGGCGTTGATGTTGATTCCGGGGAATGCCGCTTGGATGTGAAACAATGTGTCAACGGTGTCTGAGGATAGGTGTTACTATGTCTCTTTTTAATTTTCTTTTGGAGTAACCGAATCTCGTCATTCTAACTCGGACCTATGTGGGGATCAGTCTGAAAGGGAATAATTTGGGGGGATTATGCTACATCTATGGGGTTCGACTGGGACTCTTACTGGTTCAAACATTGGATGGGGAAATACGTATGTTTTAAAGATATTTCAACTTACGGATTCTTTGGAATGATAAAGATTGAGACATCTCGACTTGATACTCCGACATCTGGAAGAGAAGAAAAAAAGTCAATGCTCTAATTCTCCGGTTGTGGACATGTACTGTACAAAAGCTTATAAACGAAAGTCAATGAAAGTGATGAAGATATGCGCCGCCAAAACATCCTAGTATAAACCAATCGTAACTCATGAAAGAGCGTCGCTTGTCTGCCACTGTAACAAAGCCCGCAACACCGCAACGCCACCAGATTGCGTCTCGACAGTTCGGCCTCGGCCATAGTCGTTGAAGTCGCGAGGTATCCCGGACCTCAAAGGGCGAGCCCCGATATCCTCATTTCTGTAATCTACCGCACCTTCAGGCAGAGTACTACTATTCATAATCTCCTCCGATTCCATAACTGATAGGAAAGGAAGACCCCACCACATGCCAAACTTGCCCTCGTCATCACGGGTCATGAGCGCAGCACGCGCATTATGTTCTACCCAAGGTCCGTAAGCACGACACCTGCTCAGATGGCGACTGTAAACCTCCTCCCAATCTTCTTCATCCTCAACAGGTCTCCGCATCTGTCCAGCGAGAAAACGTTCTTCCTGTGGCCGGAGTGGGCGACAGAATTCAGCAAAGTGATGGAAGAAGATTCCTTTGAAGGTTTGGCCGTTCTGTGAGCAGCTGGCATATGAGTCGCAGACTTCTTCCAGAACGCCGCCACGGCCCAGTCCAGTCCATTGTTTAGAAGAAGTCCGTGGCCAACCCGTTGCGTGGAGGACTCTATGAATAAGCTCGTGACCATCACGTAGATAGTCTTGTGAACCAGTCGCGAGCCAGAGACCTCTCAGCCCACTAAGAACGACACCTTGGTTGTAGGTATAGACCATCTTGTTCAGGACATCACATTTTCGAGAACCCGGGTCTGATTCGCTGCGCCAGCCGCTGATATGAAACCCATCTGCATAGAGACCATAAATGCCGGTCATATTAGAGTTCTTGAGCCATGCGTACCCGTCAACAGCAGCTTTGAGATGAATTGGGTTGTGGGGGAGTGGGGATTGGGAAGTTTCATCTTGGACAGTGCTCATAAATGGGGCGTCGATAGGATCGCCCGGAAAGTATAAATACATTGCGATGCTGGCGGATATATACAGCTCGTTGGTGATGGCGTTTTTGTATGGCGTTAAAGACGGGTTCCAGATCATGCCGCCATCACAGAGGGCTTTGTCCCATCCCGCGGAAGCGATCTCGTAGAAGATACGCGCACGATGTGCGGCCGAGTCACGGAACTGGGTGCCATACCAAGCTGACCTGGAGGATGCATCTGGTCGGGCATAATGGAGCTCCGAGTGTAGGTTTTGGAAATTGATATTTTCCAGCCAGTCCAGCACTACCCAGAGCATATCATCATAGGCCTGATTCCGTAGACTGAATGCATTCTCACCAAAGTAGAAGGTACTGAGCTGGCTGAAGAAGTGGCTAACTGTGTTTTCTAGTGCGATAAAGGACATCCCATGGGGTTGTTCGGCATTCGCAGCATCAAGCCCATAGGTCGAAGTAAAGGAAGATAGCGTTGCTCCAACATGCGTTGCTAGTACAGCTGCAGTCCAATCAATACTGCCTGGCCATGTACCCATCCATAGACAGAAATAACTATCTTGCATGACATTTAATGCTTCATAAAGGTCCTGCAAAGTCTGGGCAGGGGCCTCCCAACTCCATGATTCTGCCTCGATCCCATGACCGTCTGAGAGATCGGCCTCGTCCAAAACATCTTCAAATGTGTAGAAAGAGTCCTGCACTGCAGGCAGGGGCTCACCAAGGGGTTTCTGAGGAGTTTTTGTGAGGGAATTGGCCACCGCTGAAAACGAAAGGCAGACTAGCGCAAGGGTCATATATAGACGTGCTGCTGGCCCGACAAGGGGTTTGAAAGCGGGCCATAAAGTCATACTGACTGGGGGAGAAGGAGTGATCCGATAATCAACAACACCAGCACAAAATCTCCTCCTCTATAAGAATATGGAATGAAAAATAAAACACCCACAACGAATGACCAGGGCCATCAGCCTCCAACATTGAATGCGGGGAAATGGAGGGAAATTTGGGCTAAAGCTGCGGGGCTTAGTCACCCGCGCCCCATCCTGGGGCCGAAGCCATGGGCATCTGATTCCATATCCACATTCGTAAGATACTTTCGGGGAAAAGATTATATCCATGAATATGAGGAGTATTCTAAGCTTAACGTCGCTTGGAGCATGGCGGTGTATGCTTGGTTGCATCACGAGAGCATAACCATTGATAGTAGTACGCCACATGGTCGTGTGATTCCGCCCCGGCGGTCGTGTAGGTTGAGCTATGCCGAGTTGTGAGGTTACGCTCGGACCGAAGCTTCATGGAGATGTATGCCAACGTTGAATGACTTTGGCATTCGCAAATTGCAATACTGGCAAAACAGAACGAAACGAAGACTCGCCTGTCACTGGAATTCCAAAATGATCGGTACCAAATTGACGCAGCCAAGTACTTGGGTAACAGTACTCAGTTGTGTACAGAGCCAACTTGGTGGCCATGATTAATCCGAATATTGATACTACTTCACACTGGCAGCTACCTAGGTTTGGATCAGCTGGACTGTTAATATTCCAGAGAGCCCAGCGGGCACCTGAGCACAGTGAATTTTGCGGGATACTACTACTATCAAAGGGCCATGATGTCTATACTACTACATACTATAGTATTCGAGGATGGCAGGTTCTATTTCAGACATCGATCTTAGGTATGGAATATTGGATAGCAGCTCAAGATGCCGTCGGTATTTCTTGTAGTGGGCCACCTGTAAAGCCAAATGGGACTGTTTACAAAGCATCGAAAAATCTTTCTCAGAAGGAAGATCCTCTGCATTAAAATGCACGGAGGTAGACACTCGTGGCATATGGGATGCATACCCATACCCATGCCCTTTCATATTGTGTTTCTATATCGCTGTAACTGAAACAAATTCTTCATGGGAGATGGCAATAAGAGGAGATAACTTCGTAGAATAGATTTCAAATTGATAGGTAAAGTTTGAGTTCTGGGCCCAAGTTAGCATGGCACAACTGACTAGGATGAGGCGCAATCCTCATACCTTCCATGATAATGTATTGAGACGCCGACACATACCTCTCCAAGGGTATGCCGGTCCTGAGATAAGTATGGGAAAATATCAAGGCAGCCAAGGAGAGAGTTTAGGCCGGCCGGAGCAGGGACACCGATTGTTCGTCATCCATCAGGAGTGCCCAGGTGGTAGGGTTGGGTATGCGGGTGGTAAATTCGAAGAAAGAAGCGCTGGGTAGAAAAAAAGGACGGAGAAAATGAACAATCCAGGTATCGAGAGAAGAGAAAAAGCAAGTAAACCCCAGTGAGGATATTATCTTTCGCAAGAGACGAACAGTCTAGTTGCGCTCAGCTTCGGGACTGCGACTCCGGTTTGGGCTGCGGCTACGACCACGGCCAGCACGGTTTCCCTTTGCGCCGCCCTTGCCCTTGGCAGATGGAGGCGGGCGAACAAATGCGTAATCAACGTGAATCGTCTGATCAAGGAGCTTGGTGTCGTTGAGGTTTTTGATGGCCTCGGTGGCTTCAGGAAGGGTCGAGTACTCGATCAAGGCGTATCCCTAGAATGAAAGTGTCAGTGAGAAGTTTCCATTGTATAGTCACCGGCAATCCTTTATCTCCATTCTATCCCTCGCTAACAAGGCTAATCGTTGCAGCGATATCTGATCCAACAGCAGGATCCAAGCAGTTATGACGTACCTTCACATAACCTGTTCGTCGGTCAAGGTTCAAGTTGAAGTTCTTGATTTCGCCATACTCCGCAAAAAGGTCGGTGACATCCTCCTCTGAAGCTTCTTCGTGAATATTGGACGCAATGATGATCCATCCCTCAATACTGCGCACCGCGACGGCGCCAGATTGGCTGTGAGGTTCCAAACCGCGGCCCTGCTCGGGAGCGTCATCCTGGATGACAGGAGGGTCGACTTCCATTTCGGTGGACATAATGAAGGAATTGACGGGATTGCGGGGTTGAGGATATTGGAGGGGAAGAGGTAGTGTTCATGAAATGTGAACGCGAAATCGGGAAAAGCTTTGGCTGAGTTGCCTTCCATTTTGGGTCTAGCGTCCCCGAACACCACATATGGAGTACTTCATACTTCATACTTCAATAGTATATCAAGCTCGAATATTCGCATGAATTACTCAAGAAAACAGAATCTGGATGATTCTATTTGAAGTTTTGCAGTAGCTCAACTCAAGCATAATATTACTCGAAAATCAAAGTGTCATACTAGCATTGTTTTCACTTTCAAGATTGTTAAGTGCGACTTGACCTAATCAGACAAACGAAGAATGAAACTTATTTGTGTATACCTACAATTAATGGGTGATAGAGACAGAAAAATAGTAGGTATTAGTATGGCGGACTTTGGGATAGATGTATCCTGCCCAGGTGGCAATCATCATTAAGAGGTGGGTCTTCTCGATCCTGAGTGAATAAAGTAGGTGCGAGTCGTCCCGATAGGGACGAAGACGGGATCGCTAATCATTCACTGTTGAGAGAGAAAAGAGTGAGAAGTGACAAGTAAATCAGTGAAGTAAAGGATTGAAATTCTGTTTCTTTCCTTTGCTCAACCCTCACTCTTCCACCCAGCCAGCAATACCCTCCACATTGAACAGCGACAACATCTCTACTCAGTCTCGCGAACCTCCAAGCTCATATCTTCGAGTTCCAGGAGCAGAATCACCATGTATTGGCGCTGGTATGTACCCATGATGATTACATGAAAAACTTGACAAACTAACGTCCCAAACTTCTACTAGTGACGATCCCTCGTGTGGCTGCCAGCAGGCACCACGTCCACCTACAAACGTTACCAGCTTGAAGATGCAAAATCAAGTCACAGGCAAAATAGAAGATCTCAGCTCATCCAACACTGATCTTGACGCAAAATTCGACATCGTATCCGGAACCATGCACCTCAAACAAAAGCTACGACACCCCGAGCTCTGGCCGGACATCCAGCATGAGACATGGATTGAGTTCAATCTGAGGAACAGCGTGTTTGTCAACCTGGAAGGACTGAAGGATAACTCCCTTCTCTTCACCTTCAAGATCAATTCGCCCGATACATGGCATGAAAATGGATGCTTGGCTGGTGGCCCGAAACGGTGTCACTCAGGAGTCAAATTTAAGATCCGCCATCAAGTCAGTGGCTGGATCGCCGATGCGAAGGACGATAAGGGTCCACTGTTCAACCATTTGATCAACTGTCCATGCGAGGAGAGTATTTTACAACTGCGTTTTTCAAGTGATCGCATCAGAGGCTGGAAGACTGCGGCACTGGTTCTGCTCACTTATCGGCAAATCGACACAAGAATCTGGCATCGCATCCGGGACGAGTTGAATCTGTTTGATATTGCAGGTCTCAATTGGGCTCTAGTCCAGAAACAGATCATGTCGATGTTTGTCAGTGTGAACACTGGAGCAGCAAAAGTACGAAACGGGACTCGGAGAGCTATGAAGAAAGCTTCAATTTCGAAGTGAGAACACCGGAATATCGGAACACGGGCCTGGAAAACAAGTTTTACGGCTCTCTCTATGGTGACTGGCCGCGCCCATGGTTTTCGTGCAGGATTGAACGCAGGAGATCTAGGATTCAGAGGCTAAGACTTCATGATGAGCAGGGCTGTATGGGAGAACGAGTCGTATCAACTACAGAGAGGCTACTTTGCCATGGATCTGGGGTGGCGACATTCGTCGAGATATCAATCATGCTAGGGGATTTACTACATATCTCTAGTCAAGATGGAACAAGTTAATAATTAATGTTAATAGCTAAAAGTTGCGAATGGATAGTATTTCAGAAACCTAAGGTCAAGTCCTTGGCCTGTGCAGTTCTATTATCTTTTTTTCTTTTCCAATAGAAGTAATGGAGTGGAGATTTGTCTCCATCTGGTATGCGCTAAAAGACAATCCTCCTCATACGGAGGGAAAAGAACGGAACCAAGAAAGTTCGTTAAAAGTACAAAATGTCGAGGGAATCAAGAGAAAAGAAAAGGTGAAGAGATGATGGGGGCGTATGGCGAGTTGCTTATTTGCGGTTGTTGCCACGCATGCTCAGGATCTGAACCATGCGGACGAAGATGTTGATGAAGTCCAGCTCGAGGCTAACACTCTCGTTGACAACGTCACGCGGGATGATACCACGCTGGGACAGACGAGCGTGGTGCAGGACCTTCTGGACATCGTACAGAGTGAAGCCACCGAAGACAGCCAGACCACCATACAGCCAAATACGCTCAGACCACATCAAAGTACGAGCAGCAGTAGCGGGAAGGACCATTGGGGCCAATCCGGAAAGAGCAACGAGAGTCACACCAGCAAGCAGCGGGCCACCGAGGTAAAGGTACTTCTCCTGCTTGGCAGTAGCGCCAACAAAAGCAATTGATCCCATCAGACCAACGGTGTACATACCGGCACGGGCAAGCAGAGCAGGGTTGTAGAACATCAATGGGGAGAGGAGAGCGGCCTGGGTCAGGTTGAATGCAGTCCAGAAGCCGTACTTCATGACGTAGCTAATTAAAGCGTTAGTACCGTTATTTACGAGTGGGGAATATGCTGCGAAACTTACTTATCCGGGGAAGTGTAGAAAGTGCCGTACATAGAGCCAACGCTGCCAACCAGACCGACACCGAGAACAAGCCATGGGTTCATGGACATCAGGCGGTAGGACCAACCGTTGGAGTGGAGAGCGCGGGCAGCAATAGCAATAATACCAAGACCAAGACCAGTGTGCATGAAAGTTTCGTTTAGGAAGCTTCGCTCGTAGTCAGGCATACCGCCATCCTCACGAGTCTCGCGGTTGAACACAAAGTTGGTAGCCAGAACGGTTCCACCCACAATAGCAGCGCCGTACATCAGCTTCTGACCCATACTGCCACCCTGGCTGGTGTTGTAGGTCTGCTGCATGTAAGTGCGACGGAAGGCATTCTGAAAAGCCTGGCGGGACTTGGCGAGGACCGAGGCAGAAGCACCGAGGGATTGAGTAGCCTGGGTGGGCTTGATTGGAGAGTTGTGGATGAAGCGAGCGGTATTGGAAAGCTTAGGCACTTGGTGTAGCGCCGAAGAGACAGCGAACGGGCGCCGAAGGAAAAAAGCCATGGCGACGGTGATGTCGAAAAGTGAGATGAAGTCTGAGGGGAAGAAGAACCTCTCCAAATATATCCGCGGATGATATCAGGCCTGAATCCTGATTACTCACATCCGGAATACCGGCTTCTCTTAACTCCGAAGCTTCCAGAATCAATCACGTGACTTTACAATAGTTACTCTTCCATAGTGGGGGGAAGGCAGCTTGTGAAGACCATATGACCATATGTTACGTGAGCTATTAACCATGACGCCACAATTGGAAACGATCAATATCCCTCATCTTCCTAATGCGCCAGTGCATGTGGCATTGTACCGGAATGTGGAGAATTCTGCCTCTTTGCGCCAGCAGCTTCTTGCTGGTAATGCCGATTTTGAATATGCACTAATTGATGCGAGCATGGTGGGTGAATAGTGCCATATGCACCTGAAATCGCAAGCTAAAAAAATGCAATTGCTTATAATACTACTATATAGGTTTTGTCATGTCAACATGCAATTGCAGCTATATTTAGAGCTGTCAATGACTACTTGAACAATCGTCTGAAATCCCACAATGTGCATTCGGAGATTGTTATCTCCTTCAGCCCCGCTACTAATGTGAGTAGTTAAATTGGAACGCAATAGAATATCCATGAAGCCAGAAATAAACTAACCTCATTAGATCGCTGAATCATTTCGCAAATTTGGCATTACTGACTCCACCAAGGATTTGTTGGTGGTGAAAGTCTCCGTCTCCTCGGAGATAACTCATGACTCCGTTGCCGCACATCTGGAAAGTTCTGTGGTCGGAACCTCTGTGCCTTTCGACGACCAGTCACTTTCAGAGATTTCTGATATTACCAAGATCAAAAAGGCCTACAAGCTTGGCGCATTGCCTTCCTTTGGTACAAAAATAGATCGTGCACAGACTAAAGCTCCCACTGATGATGACGTCAAACGACGACTTGAGCTGTCAATTCTGGGTGCCATTGCTCTCCGTGGATCATGAGAGCATGCCTCATCAAATACCAAAACATATTTTTTTTATTATGAGGAAGTCAGTCAGAGAAAGGACAAGCTGAAGCCGACACTCAAATCGACATGGAAACAGCATGCTTCCACTGAGAGCTCTAGTTTCAGCCATGAGGTCATTATGCCTATGAGTTGGTTATACTGCAACGGCCTCCATGCAATGGAGTGATATCACAAATCACTCTGGATTTTGCTGCACTGTATATGCGTGATTCATTCCAAGCTTGATCTTATGCATTCCTGCCAGCTGTTACAATGGCGGGGGAAAATCGTGTTCAAAGTCCCAATACCAGTGAACAATGGACTAAAAGTTGATTGAAATCTCGCTTGAGCTGCTCCAAAGCATTGTTATCGAATTAGCCAGGTCCTCAAGCTGAATTCCCCTCACTGGTATGGGCATAGTACATATCGCCGCGAGCGCTGGTGGTTAGACCAAACAAGCAGCCCATTCAAAACCTGATTAGCTTGTCATTTTCTCTCAGACAATTCCGATAGGAGATGCGTTTACCACATACTATTCCCATATCATTTATATGTAGCTGAAAGCGAGCTCCAACTGGATGCTCAATTTTACCTAATAGTAGTAAGTAGTACGGACGATAGCCGCATTTACTACTACATAGTAATAGGCTAAAAGCGTTCAAGTTAAACAGTAGCACCTATTAAAAGACTACCTGAGACTTTGGAATAGTACCAGCTGCACTAGAAAATTACAAGGCTGAGATACTTACCATAAACATTTTTCTTGTAAAGGGGATCGATCCTCTTGAAAAGGAAGGGCCAAATACCGTGCGTTGCCCGGAGTGACTTGTTATCGTCCCGATGCGGGCAACCCCAACTTGACCGACGCGCTGATCTTCGTTATCGCAGTGTCGCGAATCGCGATCTATCATAACTATTTTATCTTGCAATCTATCGCAAAACTTGGCCCAACATCATTCAATGATTGAGTTATATGCAACGGCGACATTGCTTCTCATGGCCGGACCCCGCTGCAGCTAATCATCAGATCATAATTTGGCGTCGTCAAGCTCGACACTCATAATAATGGCGAGCGTTGCAGAGGCTATCATTTTGTCCTCTTCTCCGACGCTGCCTATGCGAACGCCCACGAAGAGTTCGAATAATCCCAGCAAGCTCCCGGATCCATCGCCACTGGATCAAGCGCCACCGCCCTTGCCATCGCCCTCCAAGCTACCATGTCCGACGCGATCTGGATTCTTCCCCAAGTCTAAGACGACCGAGAAAACAACCCGGAAGAAACGTCAGCCTGCGAAAAAGGCAGAAAAAACCGCTCCAGATGAGAAGGATGTCTCTAAAGCACCCCCGAAGACGAAAAAAGCTACGACGGAACCCAATCGAGACCCGGAGATGGGATCAATTGACTCCAGGGATAACCTCGCGAAGAAAGCTCTAGCGAAGAAGAAAAGTGCACCCCGAACAAGCAAGAAGGCGAAGGACGTTGGAAATATGAAATTGTCTGGCAAAGTCAGTAAAGCAAGTGACGCTTCTCAGGCAACGACAGAGGAGAAAGCAGAGCCGAAGTCTGGTTCCAAAGCAAAAGCCGCCGCTGAATCCGCTGAGACCAAAGAGCCTGAAGATTTGAGCTTAAACGAAGCTTTGAAATTGGACGAAGCAATGGCGAGACGTCGTGACTGGACTCCTCCGAAAGAGACTCCCCTGATAAACGTTAGTGCGGAGGACGAAGCGCCCGAAATCCGCGAAACAGGTGGATTTGGCAGTCTGCTTTCAGACTTCAATTACGCTGGCAGCGCGTCAGACTCTTGTGATATTGGTCTGAAAGTAGACAATGGAGGTCCAACAAAACGAAGAAGAATCGAGGTATGTGAGAAGAAATTTGGCAACCCTCTTTTGGTGCTGAATACTAATGCCCCGAAGCTGGTCGATCCTACATTGCAATCCATGATTACAGGAAAAACGGGCACAAAAAGATCAACAACTAGCTCACCAACCAAAAACAAACCTCCAAAAAGCCAGAAGAAATTCACCACTCTAACGGCTAGGATGACAGCGCAATATGCTTCAAACGAAGTTTCACACTCTGACTTGATGGAGGATGTCTTGCCGGACATCAGCAAAGCCAAATCTCGTCGAAAAGCCAAGTCGGCAGTGGAGGAACCTTCATTTATTGTCCTATCTCCCGAAGCCGCTACAAAAGCTTTGAATGACCAGGATCTTATCTTCGGTACTTGTAGTCAGCTGGAGAGAGAAGATTCTCCAGAAACTTTGAGAGAGCTGCAACAAGCTATTCGCGAATCTGAAAGTATTTCATATAGCGGACAGATCATCGGGTATGGTACGCCTACGCGCCTGGGAGCTGGCTTGACAGGCACAAAGAACTTGTGGGGAGTTGCATCTCGAGACGCCAGCGGAGCTTTGGTTCAAGCAGAGAAAAAAGCGCTTGCTCCTTCAAAAGAGGCTCCCTCAAACGTATCCAAGACCAACACAAGGAATCCTCGAAATGTCTCCATAGGTCTTGAGGATGATTGGCTCGATCTTGATCTTGATATTGACACACCTGTCTCTTCAAAGAATACCTCACAGCTGCATCAAGGAGCCTTTCCACTTGCCGTCAATGAGCAGCCACCGCTTGGCACAACCATTCCAGCTCCAGCTGGCAAAAAGACAGCTGGACAGCCTGCTTCGAGTAGCCAGCAAGCTGACTCACAGCGGCCTTCCATGCCGCATTATGCTGGATTCACAGATGCCGAACTGTCAAAGCAAGTTGCTACCTTTGGATTCAAGTCTGTAAGAGGCCGCAAGAAGATGATCGATCTGCTCCAAAAGTGCTGGGAATCTAAGCATGGGATTAGTGATATACCCGCTGAAGTCCAAGCACCAGCTCCGAAAAATGATACGCAGAAAACGGAGCCAGCTCAAAAGCCAAAGCCCAAGAGCAAAGTGAAAACCAAGTCTACTATATCTTCGACGGCAAAGGACAATGCAATTTCAGTCTGTGAAAATGCTTTGGTCAGCCCAAAGAAACAGCGGAAGCCGGCGAAAGCTCCTGCGCCCTCTCCATCATTCATCGACGTTGATGAAATTCAAGACTCTGAGGAAGAGATATTTTTATCACCAAGTCGAGTACAGCAACGATATACCCCTAAGTCTGGCCGCTTATCCCCAGAACGTACGCTGGACATATTGACCAACATATCGCATAAATCCCCCGCGAAACGAAAGCCCTCTTCCAGGGGACCAACCACCAAGACCACAAAGACCATCAGGGCCACCAAGAAAACAGCAATATCTGCGCCAGTTGTTGCCTCTGACCAAGCGACTGCATCCAGACAGCAAATCTTGCCTGACTTATTGACCCAAATTACCAAAGCTGTGCGGGTACAGCCAAAGCTCTCCCCATCATCTTCTTCTACAGGCAGTCGCAAGTATCCGACGTGGCATGAGAAGATACTCACGTACGATCCAATTATTTTGGAAGACCTTGCAACATGGCTGAACGTCGAGGGACTTCGGCTTGTTAACGAAGATCGCGAGGTCAGTCCATTAGATGTGAGGACATGGTGCGAGAGTAAAGGCATCTGCTGTTGTTGGAAGCAAAACGCAACCTGGTGATGGAATTCCAGGACCACAACCTTAGGCTGCAATACATGTCCTGTCTTTACTGTATATTATCGCTTCAATTACATACCTAGGCATACAATTTGATGAGATGGTACAAAGAAATCATCCAGCTCTTTTGCTCCAGTCTTAAAACTTTGATCAATGATTTAAAGAAGCCGTAATACGATGAATACGCCCTTTGGTTCGAAGGTCTGATGTCAATTTGAAAGTTGAACATCGATTTACAACATAAACATTGAATCTGAGATGTCATAAATTGATCTTGAAATGATTCGAGCGATTAAGAACTATTGAAAAGATTGAAAACTTCGAGATTATTATATCTGTTATTGGGGATGAAAATTGAGGTTGGAGCTGAGAAAAAAGAAATCAATGATAATGGTTACAGCCTGAGGTGGACGGTGCTATTGAACCTCCACTGCTGAAGCGAAGTAAGCTTAAGTTAGAATATAGCCTGGGCATGACCTCAGTCTCAGTCTTCCTTCAAGAGCTCGAAGTGATGGGGTGTGTTTCTATGTATACTTCGAGGTCTTACTTATATGATGTAGAATTCACCTGTGCATCTCACCTGAGGCAGGATTAAGAGCTCACGTGCGTCATTTCCTCATACATCGATAACTGCCACTTGTAGGCAGTCATATCACCTTGGCAACTTCAACCTTACATACCTCTAAAAAAACAACCATTCTACCCAAAAAGTCCCCAAGAGGCGAGAGAAAAAGCTGTATTTGAAAACAATCACTATCATACAGAATGAATTGACTTCATACACATTTTATGCAACCAATAACAAGTCCGGTGACCCAGTGCGCGGCCTATCTACCGATTTCTCATCATCCAACGTTGGAAGGCCCATAAACCTCCTTTGGACGACATAACGACCGAAAAAACTGCCACAATCCACATATGAGCTGTGTTTATTGTAGCCAGCCATCTGGCAGTCGAATGATTGTTGGTCAAACCGCTGTCTGCCTACTCGGGGTTGTTGAAAGGGCTCTCACCCTAGAATTAAGAAGCAGTTAGTTAGAGAACACAAACATGAAGATGTAGATATAAAGTGAAAGTGAGTGATGGGAACCACGATTTTAAGACCTACCAGGCTCGGATTTGGGAAACTAGCACGAGTGAACCCATGATGATGGACTTCACTGGCTGCCCCCGGGTGGTTCATTCGATGGATTTCCAGCATCAAGGCCGTGTTTTCCTCCTGCAGGTACCGATTATTTTCCAGTGCAGTCTCAAGTCGCTGAGAAGTTTGAACAAGCTCTTCCTGTGCGGCTGCAAGCTCGCGCCTCAGCTGACCGGCTTCACCACGAATGAAGGTTTCGTTGGTGACCCGGTCAGTGACCTTGCACGGAATGCCGTCTACCCAGCATCCCAGACAAGAGCCATCAGCCTGGTCGCCTCCGAGGTCACAGCGAGCCTTTCGCATCTGTAATTGTTATCATGATTAGTATTTATGTTATCTTGCCTTTTGGTAGTGGATGATTGGATCATGGCTCGGTCTTACCTTGCATCTGTCGCACGCCTGACGGCAGCGAGTACTTCGTGCCTGGTCTTGGTGCTGTTTCTTGCGGACCAACTCTGACCACTCTGGCTCAGGCTCGTTGCGCTTGCGGCGGGTCTGCTTTGGTGCGTTTTCCGCCTTCTTTCGCTTGGATACCTGCGGAGTGCGACTAGTGCTAGTGGTAGACATGGCAGGCTCCGTAACTGCAGGCTCCACAGATGAGGCTTCCATTTGGTCAGAAGCTTGAATGTTTGTTGCGGTCAGTGCTGCCTCTTCAGACGGGGTGGAAAGAGCGTGGAAAACAAGAGAAGAAGTGACATCCATGTTGAGACGAGGGTTGGTGGAAAGGAGATCGATGAATTTCGAAGGTGACGACGAGGAGTGGCCAGAAAGGTAGCAAAGTCTAGGTATAGGAAAACAGATTTGGTCAGAACGTCTCCAGAGGAGAGCTTCTCAGAATTTGCTTGGAGAGTCTGAACTTTTTTGTTCGGTTTGGAGGATGGAAGAGTATGAGTTGTGATGGGATTTTGGAAGAAAGCAAAGTATGAGTCGCGGTGAAGTATGAATCGTGGTAGGTTTGGGGGAGGAAAGATGGGACAGCTTAATGTGAGATCGCAAAGTTATACTGACTATTGAATGTTTCTATTACTTATTCAACATTGAAAATACTCAAGATTCCATATTTCGAAATTAATATCCCTCGCGAATTCATGATTTAGGGATAAGGAAGGATAGAGAGATATCAGGAGTCTTCAACTACAATTTACAAGTGAATTTAATGACAATGAAGACAAGGAGCACAGAGAGAATTTTGAAGAAAGAAAAGAATAACAATGATGGACTACAAGTCCTGTGTTTAGATGTTTTGCTTAAGCTCATATGGCATAGAGGGTGATGGATCAAGTGTCTTCAAATATTAGCTCACATGGGTAGATCAGTGGCCATTGACATATTGTGTGTTTCTGATAGGAGTCAATATTTCAATCATGGATTTCTTTATGTTGGCAGCTCGCAGATCCGTGTGTTCCAAGGTTGGATCATGATCAAGTTCAAGTTGAGATACCCCAATGAAAATTGTTGCAGATATACTATACGCTCGCAGGATTAGGGAGGAGTGGTGCGGCGAAAGGATGAAGAAGAGAAGGACTACATGTTGGAGCTATTCTAAGGTTAAGGTGACTCGGACCACATGGCTTTGGTCTGATACATATGAAACATTTTGAGTCATGAATGAGATACTTGGTATACATAGCTCTTTGATTCTGGTACCTAGGTACTATGAGTATCTCAAATGAAGAGCCCTGGAGGCTTCCACTGGGCATAGTATACTAGTACTTAAGTAATGCATAAACATGAATTACTGACATTATCTCCAGGCAAAAGAGACAGGCGAATACGTTTCAGGAGACGAGAACTCAATGACGAAAAAGGGAACATTTTTTGACAAGAAAAAAAGGCCGTAAGCAGTGGCAGCATTATCTTCGTAAATAAATGGCAAGAATGAAAACCTCATATCCTGAGAAATTAGATATAGAAAGCGACCATATGCGTTCAGTCTGGGAACTCCAGCCATGCTCAAGTAGCTTAAGAACCAGGAAAACGGAAAAACGAATCCAAAACCCCATATTTCGGAAGCAAAGTAGCCCAAATCCGGAGCCCAATCTATACGTGTAGAAGCCAACCAAAAAACGAAAAAAGCGTGCCCGCCAAAGAAGCCTGAACTCCCAAATGATGTGAAGACGTCCATAGTAGATCCAAGGTGACAAAGTGAGGAAACTGGAGAGAGATACATGAGAGAAAAGTGAAATTATCGCAAATAATTAAAATTTGATGCGTTCAATCACACCAAAACGACGGATGTTACTGTGTGCATGCTCAGCCCCAGACACCCAGGCATCCAGGGCTCAAAATTTGAAACTTGTGATTTTTCTGCTTTATCGAGAATGTCGTGCGTTGGAGGCAACGATCTGGAACTCGACCCGTGGCTCATATCGCATGGCACCACCATCTTCAAGCCAAGGGAGAAGGTTCTTGCATTGGCTCACGTCGAAGGACTCAAGTTGGTGGCAACCCTCGGCAACAGCTTCCACACCAACTCCAGTAACACGAACGCAACCACGGACGGATAAGTGTTGGAGTGAGAGGAGGTGAAGGCCAATGCTGCGAAGAGAAGGATCGGAGATCGCTGACCCACAGAATGACATATTGAGATACTTTAATTGAGAGCACTGGAGTGCAAGAACTTCGGTCGCTGTATCAGATAAGGCGCAACAAAAGGACTGAGTAGAAGTGTTAGTTTCTATCCAAATGAGATGCAGAGCAAGAATCCTCTTACCAAATCCAACTCTTGGAGCTGTTTAGCCGCATTTGTCAGATGAACAATGGCATTGTCCGTTAGGTATGTGCAGTCTGCCAAGCAAAGTCTGCGTAGGTTGGTGAAGCGGGCATTACCCCAGTACTGAAATCCTTGATCCGTGATTGTTGTGCAGCGTGTCAAATCCATCTCTTCGATTCGTCCCGCTGCATGAGATGCAATGTGGTGCATAGATCGATCTGTCACATGTTTGCAATATGAGAGTGTGAGTTTCTTCAATTCTGGACAGCCATAAACAAGGCTATCTGAAGTTTGAAAAGTGGGCTTGATAGAAGCACTTTTACCCTCAGTGGGCCTTTGGTTTCCGGGAATTACCCACCCAAGAATACGGGCCATGAGGGTATCACCAACTTTCCGGCAATTGCTCAAGTCGACTTCCTGTAGACCAGTGGCTTTGCTAGACATATCCAGGATTGCAGAAGCTGTGACATCCCAAACACTTTTCATCTTCCATATTTTGGAGTTTGGTGCACAGGTAGTCGCAAGAGCATTGAACCCCTCATCCGTAACATGAAAGCAGTTATTGATGTTAACCGAGCGTGGTCTGTTACCCACAAATGGGCAAATGACCTTCACGAGCACTTCATCGGTGACTCTGCGGTTATAAACACTCAAGTCCAAATCCTGGATCACTTCTTCTGATGTGTTCAGAATTTCAGACCAGTGAGATGACACAGCACGTAGTCGAAGAAGGTGGTGGAGTTCCAAGAAACGGAAGATATTCAGCAGCACACTGTCTGGGAACACACCATAGTGAGCACCTGCAGGTGATCGAGAGACTTTTTGCGATTTTGAGAGATCGACACTTTCCGGGAGCGCAAATGAGGATGAGCTGGCAGATCGCGGTTCAGGAGGTGAGTATCGCTGATGTTCGCCAGTCATTTCTTCTGGTGTCAATGGAGCCACTGAACCACGCCGACTTCGAAGCCGGACTTTGTCCAGCCCAAGACTCAGATACGGGTCAGGATCTGAAGGTCGTGCCAAGGGGTGCTCTTGATCCTCGCCTGAAACAGATTGGTGTGGACCATCGAGCTCTGTCTCCGTCAATGTCAATAGAGGCATAGACTTTCTGCGAGAAGACGTGAATTTGAATCGATCATCAATATTCAAGTCGCGCATTGAAGAGGGGTCCTCGATCGCGTCGGTCATAACCACGTCGCCGTCCGAAGCTGCCTGCAGCCTCTCTTGGGCAGTCCGCTCGACCTGTTCCTTGATATCAATGGGGCACATCTCCCAGAACTTGGATAGTATGTCGCCACTAAGCATAAGACATTCAACAGAGGTGACTGAGCGAACAGTTGCAGTTCTTCGGGGAGCCAAAGCTAGGCTAACCACTTCTCCAAAGTACTGGCCCTGTCTGAGACGCGCTTTAATTTCGACACCAGAGTGACTAACCCCATTAGTCTTGCCATTTTGTTCATTCACTGGCCGCTTTTCAGTCAAAACCTCCACTTCGCCGCGGACGATGAAATAAAGTTCACGGCCCTGGGTATCTTGCTGAATGATATCGGTGAATGGAGGGAAAGAGGAGGGTTGGGCATTCAATCCCAAGAAGTGAAGAATATCGGCCGGCAATCCAGAGAAGAGAGGCAGTTCTTTAAGCAAGAGACGCACGTTCACCAATCCGTTAGCTAGAGCACTGGCCGCATCGCGGCGGCCCGGGCTCGGTGATTTCCGCTTCTTATGCACGGACTTGACACTTAAATCATCGTCTTCTGCAACGATGAGGTCTTTGGAAAAGCTTTCTCGCAGTCGTTTTGAGCCTCTCCGCACACCGGTTGGACTCGGTTCGTCATCTACGGCTGGTGCCGATGTTTCTTTCTTTTTCTTTTCTAGAATCATCAATCGCTCTTGAGCCTCTTCCATAATTGCGCGCTCAACCTCTGGAAAGCGCGGTAATATATTTCGAAAGTCGTCCTTAGAGAGCACGACCAGCATGCATCGGGTGCGAGCAATAATCGTCGCGGTACGTGGCCGATCCATTAACACACCAATTTCACCAAAAAATGCCCCAGGCTTCAACTCAGCATATATACTTTCGCCATCACGCGATGTTACTGAGACTGCACCACGGACCAACCAGTAGATTGCCCTCGCATCGTCGCCTTCAGTCAGGATGTAGTCATTCGGGGCATGGAGTTGTGGGCGGAGGTGCTGTCCGACTTCGATCAAGAAGGATTCAGGTGTGGCTTGAAAGAGGGGAACGATCGCAGACGATCGACCAGTTCCAGGGGCAGCGCTTTAATGTGGGAGGAGGCTAAGGGCGAAGGGCGCGCAGGTCGGTTCGGGTTCATCACCGAATCGAAGGAATGTATAAGGGACAGGTTATCAGACATGGGCGAGACGGCCTTCGTTGGCCCGCCGCCGGCCCTGCCATGGCGACGCATATCCGATCACAGATATAAAAATTTGAATAGACAGGTTCAACTTTAGACAGGCATAGACCCAGAGGAGCGTCAATAAAACGATGACGTCGACGAAAGCAGCGCAGATGTTAAGCTGGTCGTCGGCATTCTTTCCACGCCCAATGGGTTAAATTGAGCACTAACAGACAGACATCACCAGATGTAGTGGGTGAAGTTGGGTGGGGTGTGGGTTAAGGAAGATGTTCAAGAAGAAGATGGGGAAGTTCTCTCTCTTCAGGCGAAAAAGGTGGGGGGAAAGGAAGGACTCAGCTACGTCAAATGCGGTTGAGCTCCACCGATCATCTGGAAACCTTCGGAAACTCTATGGGAACCCGCTGTCGGAAAGCTCCACTATTTGACCCTTCTATGATGATTGTAAGAATCTCACACTACAAGAAAGGAATGGGATCAAAAGAGAAAGAAAATTTGTATAGGTCTAACATCATGGTGGGGGCGGCTTAGAGCGGTCAATTGTGTTCGGATCGCCGCATTGCTTCGGGGCCTGCAGAGAGACGGTGATCCTCCCCAACAGTTCATGCTAGTAGATTGCTTTTATCTGCATGAGATGGTATAATCTTGCCTCATTTGGTTCATTTGAAGACTCTATGGAATTTATACAATTGTAGGGGAAGAGCAAGAACTATCTTAGTGCTTAGGGCAGTTCTTACACCAAATCCGGTTATTCCGCCTAAATAGGAAAAAGATTCCAAGGGATTACCTCCTTACTTAGAGAGGAATAGGGTAGGTTCTCATAGAGACACCCAAGTCCAAACTATGTACTTTTGATCAGGAATTGTGCCTGAGCTAATGCAATCAACGCCCACTGACATACATACAAGTCAGGTGGACACATCGAGGTCACGTGCCAACCATGAAGAAGAAAGAGATAATTGAAAAAGTGACAAAAGGGTATCAAACAGTAAAAGATATACAAATCAGACATGAAAGCAGGGCAAAAAAGAGTGGAGGGTATGCAATTATGCAAACAATGTCGCCGAGATGCCTCTGCCTTTTAGACAAACGGACTCACCATCTCTGAATTTGTGAACCTTGAAGCATATGGATGTTCTGTACATGGGCCTTGCTTATTGCTGGCGGAGACTGGAAAACCTGGCTCATGTATGAGCTTCTGAAAGATGAGACTTGTCATGGGGATCTCATGAATCCAGGATGGAGTTGTAATGGTTGTGGCGAACGAACATTCGTGTGAGGAAAGCTCAAGTGTTGCCAGACTTGTTTTCAAATAGAGCCCTCATCCTTTCATTGAGAATGTCGCTTGCCCAGGAAGAAATCTAGGTATCGCGGGCGGTTTCCTTTCATAGTCTCCAAGGCATCTTGCAGGAGACCATATGTCAAACTCAGCTTCAAACCAAGCTTTGCGGTACGGGCTGCTGTAAAAACATCATGGCGAGCTAAAAGTATGATAAAAGTTAGTCAAACATACTTTGAATATTAAGGGATTTCCGTAACCATACACAGTAAGCTGTAGATTCCAGAAAATGCTAAGCCAGCCGTCACTGTTGACAAAAAGTCTCGCTCATCATGTCGGGCATAATCCACTGTCTCCTCAAATAAGGAAAATGCTAGCGCTCCTGTCCCCAGTCTGAGTCCTAGTTTGGCTCCATCCTTCACACCACCAACAATTGAGATGTAGTTCTTTGTCTTGTGATATTGGAACCACCCGGTGGAAGATGTTGGAAATCGATGCGCGTTCTCTGCTCTGAACACTAGGCCTGCTCTTTTGCTACCATGAGCATATCCCAGGGCCAATCCAGAAACAAATCCGGAGAGAGTTGCATAATGTATGCGCTTTTCAACATCGATACCAAGTCGGGGTGGGGTGTCTGATTCGAAAAGCTTGTGCCAGTGTACCAGCTTTAGAAAAAGTGAATTTTCCGCTGCCTCGGGGGAGATTGGTTGAGGTTGCATTGTTAGAACTTTGGAAGCTGCAGGTGTGGTTGCTGGAGGTTTAGGTAGGGCGATTATGGATGAACAGAAGCCGTGTGCCCTAAAAAATGAAGAAGAGCAATGGATAGACCTATTTCAAGCTTGAGGTCAACTTCTGCAAAACTTGAATGATTAGGAAAACCAATTGCATGCGACGTGAAGTTCATACGTTAGAACCCGTGTATCGTCAAGTCAGTAGAATTTCGGAGTCGTGGGGATTATCCCGAAGGCGGTCAAGATAGCATGCGGCGACGCGATACGTCAGCAGCAGCAGTAAATACTTTTTTGGCAAATCAACCTCTGATATCCATCACATAGCAAAAGTGCTCTGAAAAGATGGTAAGACTGCAAGACGCTCCTAGTCTTATAGTAGCATCAGTCCAAGCTAACATTAAAGCTTGAACAGGCTGCAAGTGAATCCCACCCCGACATGTTCGGGTTGACCGTCCTATTCAGGAAACACAAAATTACCGTTCTGGTCGAGCTCAAGCCTCACGACAACCTCTCCAAAGCCAAAGAAAATATTTTGCTTAGCTTGAAATCTCGCTCGCTGACTGATATTAATGGTGATGCGATTCCCGAGCAGCCAGAAGACATCGAGCTTGGTGTTCCCGTTGATCGAAGCAATCCTGCGAAGGGTTGGAAACTACTCGTGATACCTGAAGAATCCGGCGACAGCATCGAGGAAGTTCGCCGTCAAAATGGGGATTTGATTGCATTCCGCTTCCGAGACGAAAGCAATGATGATGATAGTTGGGACATCCTCATACCCGAATATGGTGAATATGATGAGGAGTAATCATGCGGGCCTAGTGAACATCAGTTTTCCCCAAGTCTTATAGCAAATACGACCCCAAAGAGAGATCACCGGGGTTTGTGGCGTTCAATGGTGGCGGGGAGAGGCTTTACTTTATGATCATGGTGCCATGGCGTTCAAATGTCCCCCTATTCTATTCATATTTTGCTCTACCTTTAGCGATGCTTGATGAGTTTATGGAGATAAAGAAATACGATCTACTTTTAAGTTGCTACTGCCTGGTCTATGCAATCAATGATTAATCTACTCCGTATTCCGTACATGTCGTTTAGATAGCATGCAAGCATGAAGGTTGGCCTAGCTGTTTGATAATCTAATCATGATCGTGCGAAGACAATTTAGCTCCTATAAGGTAAATTGAAGGCCATCACTCTGCTACTTGGCAATTAGACGTCTACAGATTTTGGAAGTTTTCTATAATTAGTTCATTCAGCTGGGATGTATCGCGATCGTCCCCACAATTCTGAAGCTGAGACAAGTAAGTGCGTATATTAACAGGGATATGGTGCGTGATGAAAACATAAATTCCATAGTAGATCTTGGAATTAAGAGTATTGGGAATAATTGCCACGCATTTTTTGAGGCTAACCGCCACTTCCAAACCGTTGCCCAGAGCAACCAGGAGTGGACAACAAGTGCCACGAATCAACAAATGAAATCACTTCCAGCAGAACTCCCTCGGAGAATACTGCATCCCATCAACCCCATACCCATTAACTCCGCACATTCTTCGCCCTCCCATTGTTAACTCTCGACAACCCAACCACCCATCCAACTCCAGGCCGTGCCGAAGGCAGGTCGCGATAAGGCTTCGACATAACGGCCCCGCAACAGCGACGTGCAGGCGGCTTTCGACCCGATCCTCGACCATGGCTGCCCCTGATGGTGCCTCCTCAATCTCGGTTACCGTCCGCGTTCGACCTTTCACTATCCGAGAGGCAGCTCAGATAACGAAGACCGACGATGGCCCTCTTTTCCTCGGCGATGGATCACTGGCAGGTGTGCCCACGCCAAAACTAAATCAGAAGGGAATACGGTCGATTGTAAAGGTGATTGACGATCGATGTCTGTATGTGGAAGACCTGATCAATAAATTTACCAGCTGAGTAGAGGGAAATTTTCTTACTGACATTCATTTACTAGCGTTTTTGATCCTCCAGAGGACAACCCTGTCCAGAAGTTCTCCAGAAGCGTGGTGCCCCAGGGCAAACGCGTCAAAGACCAGACTTTTGCCTTCGACCGTATCTTCGACCAAAATGCCTCTCAGGGCGAGGTCTATGAGTCAACAACCCGCAACCTTCTCGATAGCGTCCTCGACGGTTATAACGCGACAGTCTTTGCTTACGGTGCGACGGGATGTGGAAAGACTCATACTATTACCGGAACATCCCAACAGCCTGGTATAATTTTCATGACTATGCAAGAGCTGTTTGAGCGAATTGATGACCGATCGAACGAAAAGGCGACTGAAATATCTCTTTCCTATCTGGAAATCTACAACGAAACCATCCGCGACTTGCTCGTTCCAGGAGGCAGCAAGTCTGGTCTTATGCTGCGTGAGGATGTCAACCAATCAGTCTCAGTACCTGGTTTGTCAAGCCACCATCCTCAGAATGTTCAGGAGGTTATGGATATGATCGTGCGTGGCAACGAATGCCGTACCATGTCCCCAACAGAAGCCAATGCGACTTCCTCTCGATCCCACGCCGTCCTTCAAATCAACGTCGCCCAGAAGGATCGAAACGCTGATGTGAATGAGCCTCATACCATGGCTACCCTGAGCATTATTGATCTTGCCGGTAGTGAGCGAGCTAGTGCCACCAAAAACCGCGGCGACCGTCTTCTTGAGGGAGCCAACATCAACAAGTCACTCCTGGCCCTGGGTAGCTGCATTAACGCACTCTGCGATCCTCGAAAACGGAACCACATCCCCTACCGAAATTCGAAACTAACCCGACTTCTCAAATTTGCCCTCGGCGGAAACTGCAAGACTGTCATGATTGTTTGTGTCAGCCCTTCGAGTCAGCATTTTGACGAAACTCAGAATACATTGCGATATGCCAACCGGGCAAAGAATATCCAAACCAAGGTTACTCGAAATGTCTTCAACGTGAATCGTCACGTTAAGGACTTCCTTGTCAAGATTGATGAACAAATGAAAATGATCAATGAGCTCAAGGCGCAGCAAAAGGACTACGAAAACGTCGCATTTGCCAAATTCAAGAAGCAGACTGAGAAGAAAGACGCTGTCATGCGCGAGGGCGTTGCTCGGATTCGCAATGCATACGAACATGCTCAGCCAGAGAGACAAGAGAAGACCAACAATATGTTGAAGTTAAGACAGATTAGCCGCAGGATTGGTATTCTGTCCTCCTGGATTGCGGCGTTTGATACTGTTTGCGCTGCGCGTGATGATGGGGAAGGCATCGCCAGTTTGTATGCCATTCGCAAGAGCGCACAGGGTATTCTCCTCGAGCTCGAAGGCAGCAGACATCACTACAATCAGCGACTATCCAAGTGCTCTTGGGACCGTGGCATGAACTCGGCCGTTGAGAATGCGACCAAGCAGCTCCAGGGGTTTGATATTAGTGATGCTAGCGATTATGCGAACTTGGAGAGAGAGGCTGAGCTTCTCCGATCAAATGCAGAGCGCGAGGCTCTGACTGCCGTTGTGGAGCAGGATAAGGCTGGCGAAGCCATTGCTGTGCAATTACTGCTTCAGGCGCAATTCGAGCTCATGTCCTCCATTGAAGATATTATGCACCTTAACGCAACCGACGCCATCCAGAGAGGTCGTTTAATTCTTGGGAAGATGTTGGAAACATGCTCTAACGCTGCATCCAACCTCGTGAAGCCCGACGGCAGCTTCCCTGCATTGCCTCCAAGTCCTATTAAGCCAGCTAGCCCGTCGAAGGCCAAGAAGAGGTTCAGCATGGTGAGCATGCCTCCGCCAATGAAGACCCTTCAGCCTTCAATCCAAATTGCGCCAGCTCCCCCTGTTTCACCAATGAAGGGCTCGCCTCGTCGTCGTCGGGCTGCACCCGGCCGCAAGAGCGTCAGCTTCTCACCTAAAAAATCGCAGGCCAAGGCCACCAAAAGATCAGTCCGCTGGAAGGATGATGAGGAAGATGCCCCCTTAACCGAATTCCAGAAGTCGCCCCAGAAGCCCGAGTCTACGGATGAGTTTAGTTCTGAGGAAACTTCAGAGGAGACCTATGAGCCCGCTCTTCCACGATCATCATCTCCCATTCCATGCAATATTCGTCGATCTGTTAGTCCATCGGGCGAGCCAACTCTGAACATTCAGAAGAACAACAGCCGATTCAAGGCTGGCTTTCTGTCTAAGCCGCGAACTGATAGCTCACCCTTGGCACCCCCTCCCACTGCCTCTTTTCCGCTTTACAACCGGAATGTCTCCCCACTTCGTGATATTGAGGGCAGCAGTTTCTTGAATCGTACCTTGCCGGAGCGACCTTCTCGTATCGCTGTTCGGAGCCCGAGTGGGAATTTTTTGAGCAGTCCAGTTACTGACAACAAAGTCGAAGCCAAAGACGTCTGGAAGACCGATAAAGAGGATGCAATCAAGATCAACTCTGCCATGCGTCGTATCTCCAGCGGACACTTTGGCCCATCCGCGAACTCTCTTCGAATCCATCGTCGCCGAAGCCCCAGCTCTAACACATATGGTAGCTCTCCCAGCGAGGCCACGATGTTCACCGCCTCCCAGGCCCGCCGTATGGTCAAGAGCGAGCGGGAAGTTGAGACCAAACCCAGAGTGTTCAGTCCTCATACACTGCCCGTGATGAAGAACACAGGACGACGAACCACCTTGGGAGGAGATGGTCGACCTCGACATGGTAGTCTCTCAGGCCGTGATGCCCTGCGACTCACCGCTATGGCTACGCCTTCAATTGGAAATACCCAGGAATGGAGCTCCAGTGGCCTGCGGTAGATCATTCTATTTCTCTGTGCATTTTATTTTCCCTGGTCCGACCAAATGGTGTGTCGGAGCTCGCATGGAGTTGGCGTACAAGATACCACTTTTTCTTTTTCTTGTCATTTTTTTCTTCCTGAGTGCTGTGCTCTCATGGATGAATCATACATTTACGGTACTGGCTTGCTTTTCGTTTCTCTCGTGTCGTTGACTACGTTTTGTGGATGTGCCTGTGCCGTCTCATTTTCGTTTCTCTTAACATATTCTTTCTCCATTTGTACAATAGCGACCTTGGTCTTTTTTTGTCTCTTAGTATCCAGATCAACTTGAAGTTTCTCGAGTATAATCTCTCTCTTTTCAAGTAAATATCATAGAAATACAGTAGCTCTATACAGAGCCTTGACCCGCTTATGGCACACCACCTCAAGCCCTGGAAGGCTCTAGGTCTCATGGGGTATTGCTTTGTCAGACAGAATGACGCCACTGCATGACAGCTTTAGGTTAAGCTGATTCCTACTCCTTCAATAACCCGTCCTATTCTACGGCCTTTTTTAATCTATATTCAATCCCATTGTGTTGCTCTGTCCACATCAATAGGTGACAGCCTGACAGGTCTCCAGTCCGCACCCCACTTCCACTGGTCCCCACCATAATTTCTGATGACTTTCGCCGCCCCGATCGCCTCAACATTCTTTTCACGACTTGTCCGCCCTTTCTCCATTAGCGCTCCTATCCTATCCCTCGTACCAGAATCCCAGCCGCGCAACATGTCCACCGAACAGGCTACCATCGGCGCCGGCTGCTTCTGGGGCGTCGAGCACCTTTTCCGCAAGAACTTCGGCAACGGCAACGGCCTGCTTGAGGCAAAGGTTGGATACTGTGGAGGAGAGACTTCGGATCCTAACTACCGAGCTGTTTGCTCTGGCGCAACTGGCCGTAAGTTTAAACGATTTTCCGTGCATGTCCGAAGCTCCGGTGTCTTGCGGGGTCTCCGCAAACTTTGGTACTTTGGGTTTGCATGCATAATCCTGTGCGGGGAATATTTTAGATGATATGAATACTGATTCCTTTTCTTTCTTTCCGTGGTTTAGATGCCGAGGCTTTGCAGGTTACCTATGATCCTTCCGTTGTTTCTTACCGCCAGCTCCTGGAGTTCTTCTACCGCATGCACGATGCTTCGACTTTGAACCGTCAGGGTCCCGATGTCGGTACTCAGTACCGCAGTGTCATCTTTACACACGGCCCGGAGCAGCAGAGCATTGCCGAGACTATCACTAAGAAGGCTAGCGAGGAGTGGTATAAGACTCCTGTTTCTACTGTGGTTGTCCCTGCGGGTCAGTGGTGGGATGCCGAAGAGTACCACCAGCTGTACTTGAACAAGAACCCGGCTGGATATGAGTGCCCTGCCCAGTACGTATCCCAAACCTTGCACTTTCCGTCCCATATTGGACGTTGTGAGCTGACTTTTCTCTTTTTTTTTTCTAGCTTCGTCCGTGATTTCCCTCCTCTTTCGGAGTGACTCGGTGCGTCGAAGATTTGATATTAATCTTGGTTCAACTCAATGTTTGGAAATAATGCTATGAAGTTTGATGTCTCCGCTTGAAAATAATTGGACATTCTTTGATGCATATACAGTTGGTCATTCTCTATTCTTTGGGCCACTCTTTCTTATACAAAAGTAATCATATACCGACATCTCCGTCATACTTCTTTCGTTGAAGGCGTCCTCCCGGTCATGCATATAACATCTGCACAAGGAAGCTCTCTGGTTGCATTGCAAAGAGACTCGCAATTCCCATTGAAAATACCGCATTGCAATTTGGCTCCTACGGCTTCGAACTACTGGTAGTCCAATGACTTTACATGGCGCAGCAGATCGCAGGCTGAGCCACGTAGGGCAAGTGAAACTGCACAATCTACATACAAGTGGACAGGTAGTGTTCATTTTCTCAATGTCAGGCAGGGGACCGTCATGGAAACAGCCGCAAATTATTGTACAGCCAAGAGAGTAGCAGAGAGAAACACATATCGTTTCGGTACGAGGGAATTTGAGAAGTTCTGAAGTCTCGTCTATATTGAGATCTAGAGGCATTCAGAGCTTCGGTCATCATGCTCCCAATCATATCCCTACAATTATCCATACCTAGGTACTATCGTGACCCCCAACCATCTCCCGGCTCCTTCCCTTTTCAAGCCTTAACGATTAGAACCACCGAGAGCACGATCAACTAGTTCGTTTTGAACAAAAGCTGGAGTGGCCTTGCAGTCCACTTTCTTTTCTTTGCTTTATTCTCCAGCTTCCATCGAATGTGTCTTACTAGGTATATCTTGGTACTTAGAGCAGGTTCTGTCTAAGCTGGCACTGTCCCGACTCGGAGGTCTTCAGGGCGGGACCTCGAAGCATCTAGGCACTGAATCGGGTTACCGAAAAGGCCCACTTCGACGCCATGAATTCCAAGTGATGGAATTGAAGCATATGGTTTTTTGAAAGTTTTATTTTCAAATCCTCCCATAGTAAAGCGAGATGATCATGCTAAGCTAATGAGCGAGGGAAAGCACAAGAAGAAGAAAAAAAAAGATGACAGACGCTGAGGTCACGCCCGGGCATAATATCAAACATTTCCAAGGTTGAATATGATCAAAAAAAATAAAAATAAAAATAAAAAAAAAGACACCGGATTTCACGCAGACCAAGTTCAGAGACTCCCTGGTCATATCAAACCCTTACACGGGGAGCTACTCCAGGCCTAATATGCAGGCCTCCAGGGCTCTTTTACTAATTCGGCTACCTGCTGTTTTGGGTCTCGGCTACCTTGCATTTGATTAAAACTTGGAGGCATTCAGAACTAAGCTTTGATCATGATGCTATTCAATCGACACAGCAATTTGAATGGAAAGCAAAACGAAATCGACGTGACAAAATAATCGGTAACCCTTTTCCTTTCTCCGCCACACTTTTGATTCATTCTTTATCGAACATCTGGGCAGATCCGAAGTTCTCTTTGTCAATACTAACGCTGTCTACCGGCAATGGCCTGAGCTTTAAGGATCTGAGGGAAATTTTTACCGAGATATATGCATTGATTTCCTGAAAGACACCATGGAGCAAAGGGTGTTATCTCTGGAATGACAATGATTATGTTGAGCGCCAAAGACAACCATGCATATTTTCCGTATATCAGCTTTGGATGTGTCCAGGTGCCCAGGTGGCTGACAATGAATTTGCCACCGTCTTGGAAGTCGCAGCTCTGAGGCACATAATATGTTGATTTTCCTGAGAACAATCAGGACAAAGAATCTGATTTGAATAATCGGTCGGCAATGTCAAAGATTTAATGGAGAGGAAGCTAGGACACAAAAATCTTTATGATCACAAAGCGATGTCTTTTGCATAGAATGCTGCTTTGATACATCCAATCTGCAATTGGACTTCATCGGGTATAAGTAGGACTACTTTTCCAGTCCCCAGATCAAACTAACAATCCTCTTCAGAAACTACTCTCAGAATTAGTTAGCCCACTACCTCATTCACCCTTGCGCTCAGCCTATCTTCCTCTCCAGTCAAGTTCAAGCTTTGAGACAATGGCTGGACAAGTGCCAAACCCTGGGGGATGGTCCCCTACCTCCTCCCCCTCCCCTCCGGACTATTGGTCAGTCTGTCTTGATGGTTCAGACACAGCCGTCCACATCTCTTACCGCAGAGAATTGTTCAAAAGCCTTGTGCCTAATAGACGGCGATTGTCCAGTCCTACCGACGAGGAGCTTTTTTCTGAGTCTAGCGGGACCATGTCGATTGATTGTCCGTCTGAAGGCGGATGGCAAACTCTTGAGCTTCCCAATGCTTTATACGTGCCCCGGAGCAACGACACTTGTCTCTCTATTTCTATGCTCTTCAAGCAACATGCGAACTCACGACTCCAGTTGACGCCTGAAGGTTGTTCAGTTGAGCTCAATGTGGGCAACGGTGTTATTCGTCTTCAGGCTGAACCGAAAGGGTGCTTCAGCTTCAGCTTGTCAAAGTTCCCAGGCTTTCTTTCGGGCATGTCTACTCCTTCAGAGAGAAGCCTTTCGCCCTGGACTTCCCCGTCTAGAGTCGTTGTCATCTACCTCTAGCTCGACCTCTAGCTCGAGACGCTCCTCAATCTGGGATACGCCTAGATCATCTGTGCCACCTGTGTCTAGACGGAAACAAATGTCCTTATCCCCAGTTGCAGATGAAGATGAAGATGAAGACATGGATGTGGACACATATCCATACTATGATGCAAACGGGAACGAAGCCGGAAATAAATATGAATATTCAACAGAGGGGCCTTATTTGCATTCAGTGGGCACTCCTACCTTTAGATCCTATGGTCACTAAACTCCCAGATCACTCTGAGTCCTCGTGCTGTAAGCATCGCCACCGAGCCCCATGAGCAGATCGAACGAATTCAATCAGACGAGTTGGAGGATTTCATTTTTGGAGTTTTCCTTGTTTTATTGTTGCAAATAATGGATTTCTTGTCTCTTCAATTCTTTTTGGCTTGTCATGTTCACAATATCAATCAATGTCTCTAAATGAACCATTTTCAAAATTACTAGTAGCCCATTCAAGCTATTCGTACTCGTAGATATGTCTATAGTTACTATGCCCAGTCTTCACCCATACATACTATGGATCCAGATGTCATAATTAGTAGGACCAAGATTTGAAGCTAGAAACCAGCTCTGTCAAAATTGAGTCACGGCGGTGCCATCCGCTCGACTTACCTCCAGGGCTACCTATCATTCGACGAGTAAACTGAATGGTTCTAACTTGAAGGTTGCTTCACTTGATAGCAAGGCTTTTTTTTATCTCTATCTGAACCTGTAAAAAATGCTGCAGTACTATGCTCCACGGCAAACTTATATATAGTTAAACAATTATTAGGCCTGAATTTGTGGAACTAGAGGTGATAGCCAAGAGCACAGGGGAGAAACGTACATCGGTTTGATAATGAGAAGAATCTCTATCAAATTCAAATGTTTGACGTCTCAACTCCAGATGTCAACATTTGAACTTAAGGTGCTATTTTCACGGGACATTCTTAGCTTTGATAATATTTCCCCCATTTCAATGAGAGCGCAAGTTTCTCAGGCGTTTGCTGGACCTTGAAAATCCCCATTTCTGGGTTCTATTTGGAGCCATGATGATCAGAATAGCAGGCCGCATGATGGACAATAAAATTGAACTGCATAATACATAGACCTTCAAAAGGATATTCCCTACATGAAAGGTCAACAGTAGCTCAAGCTTTTCGTTTATCATATGGGCCTGGAGATCTGTTTGTCAATTCCAGCGCTGCCCAGGGATGTTTGTCTGAGCTCAAGGACCGGAAAACCAGACCTGGACAGATGCAGTCGATCCGTTGAAAGAGACTATGTAAAAAATTTTCAAAATGCCTAAGGGTGCCTGAAAGCTCCGATTCTGCGTACCAATGATTTCAAGAAAGGCAATGTTCATGTTGAGAGGCCGAGACATTGATGCTCTCTATATACGAGATCGACAAGGAATTCGTCGCCATTTTGCCAGTCATGGTAATTCTGAGACAGCGTGAGACATCATGGATTCTACTGGTATAATCTGGGATAACAACATATGAACCCATCATTTTATTTTAACAACCTCACTGACTCATATTTCAAGAGATTTCCGGAAATTTCCTGCTGAAATTTCCAAGACTGTTAGCAACCTCCAGGGCTGTTACTCTGAGCATTGACTCTTTTAATTTTGGTTCTACACAGGACAGGCATATAAAGATATCCACTCAATATGAAAGAATATCTCGTAACACAAACCAGGGCTTTTTGAATTACTTTTCGAATGTGAGTGTGTTTGATTCTTTTATCCAAATTTTCAGACTATCAAGTATAAGTAGGGGTGCTTTCCAGTCTTCATGTCCGCAAATCTCCTCTCTCAGCTACCACTCACACACTCATAATTATCTACAGGTGGTTTTTACCTCTACCAGCCTCTACCAAGCTTAAGTCACCAACATTGGGAAAGGTAAAACTATGCCCTCCTATCCAGAGGACCTATTGGTTTGCCTTGATTCGGGTGCGCGCAACCACATGTCTTCCCAAAAAGAGCTTTTCACAAATACAACGCCTTATCGAAAGAAGATCTGGGGCCTCGGCGGTGGGAGCGCCATCTCTGAGTTTAAGGGGACAATGACATTCACAGTTCAGTCGGCAGGTGGATTCCAAACTCTTGAGTTTCACGATACTTTATATTTCTCTCCGGATGTTGAGCCTGAGGAGGTTATCCCTAATTTGATATCTGTCTCTCGGCTCTTCAAACAATATCCCAATGCCCGGCTTCTGTTCACTACTGAAGGTTGTTCGGTTGAGATGAATCAAGGCCAGGGACAAGTCATTTATATTCCTGTAAAAGGGGGAGATTACAATTTTGTGATGGTCAAGGAAATCCCGGCTCCCGAGCAAGGCCACCATCACCATGAGGATAAAGGGGATCGCAAGAAGTGCAAGGAGTGCAAGGAATACAAAGATCGCAAAAAGTGCAAGAAGTGCAAGAAGTGCGAAGATTTCAAAGATTGTAAGGATTGCAAAGATCGCAAGAGGTGCAAGAGATGCAGGAGGTGCAAGGAGTGCAGCATTTGAAGGATGTCAAGGACAAATCGAGATGACGAATCAACAGAAGAGTCATCGGATGTTTCTCAGACATCTGGAGTTTCTTGGCTTTCCTGTGGCTCCGATATCTTTCTTTTCCTTTCGATGTCCTGGCTTGTCACGATGACAATATCAAATCAATACCATTAGATCTCAATCCACCGGCCTCGGAAAAAGTTTTTCCACACACTCCAATACTAGTAGTAGACAATAATGGGCACCAATTTGACTCTAACCAACTTGAAGAAATTAAATCGGTGGTTTCAGTACTATACATCTGTCTGAACAGTGCGCGGCCTGTGTTTTAAAATGTTGTCTCTACCTTAATCCGTGAAAATCCTGGGCTACGTCAATACTATTATTACGCAGTAATCTTCAGGTTACTATGACTCGGAGATCTGGATAGATGGAACTTGGTAGCATTCTTGGTATTTCCTCTGACTGCGAACAAAACCATTTCTCTCACTTATCGCCGTATGTAGACGATGCGATCAAGTCTTGGTTTGAAGAGAACCGAATATCCTTGAGGATAAAAGTGTTTCCTCCAGGAAATACGTAGTTACTCACAATAGAGACCGGTATATCTCCAAATGCAAGGGACACTTCAGGTAGTATCTCCCCTTTTATCTCGTCCATCAAGGTATTGAAACCAGTAAACCAACTGCTGATATCATCAATTTTGCCGGTCTCGGATTGATCGTTTGGTATCGACGTAAGTTGTGCAGTGGCCTCCCCGTTCTTGTCAACTCCCAGAGTAGAAGCATCGATGATTTCCTTGTCAATTACCATAGCATCTTTCCAAGCTCCGTCTTTCTTGATCTTGAGTCGGAATTTCAAGTCCTGTGTAATAACAATAGTTTTGTCCTTAGACTCGACGTCAACCGTGTATGTGTTTTCCATTCTCATGTAATACACCCCTGCCATGGTGCTGTCTTCATGACTCTTATGCCACTTGAAGCTGAGAATCTTGGAACCGGTTTCGTGACGGACCCAGTCAATTTTTGTCGAGGAGTCAAGCCAGATGATCTTGTGATTGTAGCTAACCTTAACCACGTCCCAGAGATACCTGACGGTTTGTATAACGTCAATGCAGTTCACTCGGACGAAAGACTCCAAATTATGTTCAATGTATTTCGCAAAGCTCTTGCGATTGATGGCAATAACGCCGTGGTGATTATCCAATTCAGAAGCATCGACCCAGTTCCAGGTGAAAGGAACCGCCGGTGGCAGTTTCGCTCCATCTGCAGCACAAAGATAATTGAGAGTTGCGGCTGATTGCTGAACATCGGTTGGATCTTCAATAGGCTTCCCATTTGAGTCAGTGTGAGAGTCGGCTTCAATGAGTTTGATTCCTTCTTGATGATACAACCCAGGAGTGGGCTTCCATCCTTTTTCATTTCTTGGAAGTAGCTTGCAAGAAAGATTTCTTGAAGCATTGTCCTGGCTTCCTCTGTGACACCGACGATTTTGGGCTGTGTCGCTGCCAATCCGGCATTGTTTAAATCGAACAGGAGTTGTTGTACACTGAAAACCTGGCTCCCCATGTTTTTGATTTTTTCCTGGACGGCAGGTGGTAGAGATCCATATCCATCTTTCCCAACGGTGACCAGGTTCATATTCACTTTGGCGCGAATGTCCATGGTTCATCATTTGGTTGTGACACATTTATCCATTTCGCGCAGTCCCACCGAGTTTTATCAACATACTGGACGATGGTGAATCGGGAGCACATCATTAGGAAGTCTACTGCGCTTGTTTGAAAGCCCAGCTTCACTAGATTCGGTATTTTGGTCGGATCTGACATCGAAGGGAGACCGAGTCTTGCCTCAAAGCCTCTAATGAATCGAGCTTTGTTCGGCTTTTGGATATCCGCGTTGTCATCGACATCGCGGCCTATGCTTTGGATTTTAAATGGATCAGTTCCGAGCTTGGTGAAATCGCCCTGAACTGGATTTCCTTTCGCGTCGGCCATATAACAAACACGAACCACTGACTCTTGAAGTTTGCTGAGAAAATCCTTGATGGCGATATTGATACTCTCTTGTGTTACGGCTACGACGAAGTCATAACCATATCGAAAGTTGGATAGCTCGGAAGAAGTCATTGTGAAAATCAAGACGAGATTTTTGATAGGACTGTCAAAGCAGTGTGGAAGTTGTTGCTATGTGGTTTTTGGTTGTTTTGAATGGAAAAGAAACAATCTGGGTATTTATCTGAGTCTTTATGCCTTTTCCCTCCTACCTTGGAATTCATTCTCTGAGATTACCTAGTAAAAGTTGCGTTTTTGCAACCGTTACCTAGAAACATTTGAAATTGATCATCACACCAAGATGGAAAGAGTGTTACATTCATCCCTTGTATATGCATATTAATTGGCAAGCTAATTGGGCTTGAAACTTCTGATTGAGCGTTGAAACTACAATCTCTGTGTAGTGAGTAGTCCCGAGATGAGAAATGATGTTCAAGTTACAGCACGGTGATCCAGTGTTTGAGCCCAAAAGGCATGATTATAAGTAAGGGCTGGAAGATACCTTCAGCCAGCCACTAGTTGATCATAAGATTAGTATTTCCAACTTGTCAGGTTCTTGGAAATCCTGAATGTATGTTGGTAGTACACTCAAGTGCTGCCTACACGGGACACGTCAACGCCAAGTTCAAAACTTCAAATGCTATGCGAAGAGCGTTGCATTCAGCTCTGATAGATCGTCAACTGGTGGTACTCAGCAGGATATTGGGCGCTTATGTAGTGTTGATCGGGCATTGATACTGGAATCGCTATGCATTGAGTACCAAGGTCAGAAATTATCTTCGAGTCACAGTGCCTTCATCTAATTTTTCAAGTCCGAAAATGTTTCTACGTACATAAGGGATAAGAGAGATCTTCACTCAGCCATGAGATGATAAGAGCATTTTTGACCTAGGCCTTGGAACTTGAATATCATTCAAGCTCTTGGAGATCATCAATTAATCGATGTATGTTGCCCAAGTAGTACAATGCATCCATCCATGGATATAACCATGGACAGTACACGTCAACATAAGCTTAGGGCTTGAAAGTTTGAATTTTTATTAGCACTATGGATCATGCACATGTGCAAAGGCTGTTGCGTTTGACCCTCATACATAGATAGTAGTAGATATACATAATACTCAACAATGTTATTCAAATATTGACTTTCCAAATGTCGATTAAGTATTAATAACTTTGAAGAAAGTCTCTGCGCCTCTAGCCCCGGGCTAATAAAAGATATTCAAGCTGCAGCATAGAGATTTGGTCAGTAACTTGAAGGTATTCTACGCAGTGGTTGCACAATAATTGATCGTCAGCTAACCACTAGACGGTGGAGGGCATTTCCAAGGGTCTTGGAAATCATGCATGCATATTATGCACACTAGCAAGGCTCATACAGGCAAATGCAGTGGTACTATCAAGCCTGATAATTGTGATTATTTCTATATTTGTAGATAGCGGTCAAACCTGAAGCATGGTTCTCATTTGGGGATCCCGTCTGCATGTATCCCTCATAGTAGTCGCACGTTCAGCTATAAGACCAACAGTTGTCTCTTCCAGCATTAGGGTACTTAAGAGTAACCCATATGGCGAAGAGGTATATTTTTAAAAGCATTATACCATCAGATACAGCTATTTCAGTAAGTTAATAATCAACCCATCTATTGCGTTGAAATATGAATTGCCAATCTAACAATTCTTAGGGTCCTAAACAGTCATGGCAACATCCAACGCCAACACAACAATCAAGGTCGAAGCGGACTCGGAATTGATTAAAAATCAAAAACATGCCGTTTTGATGAGCCCTCAAAAGAATTTCCAAGTGCTTCAGACGGCTGATGGCGATGCTATCTTCTATTCTGTTGGATCTGATGGGGTCTTCTACGTGGCTCGTGAGGTCCGAAAATCAAAGAGCGGCTGGAATCGGACAGACCTCTCATCCTCTCTAAAAGGCAAGGCCAAAAGGTTTACAGCTTCACAGAATCCAGGAACACTGGCTATCGATGTAGCTCTTGTGATGAGCCTAGATGATGGCAATGATTTGGTTCATCTATCCCGCAACAACTTGATCTCCAGTAATGGATGGGAAAAGAGCATCTCCTGGCAAAGTGTTGTGTTTGATGATACACAAAGCTCAGCTCCTTTGCCGCTCATAATTACAGACATGTACATGCTCACAAGAGAAGGCAAGGGCAAGGCACCGGGTACTATTACCTGGTTTGTTGATATTGTGAAGGATCCAGCAAGCAAGCTGCGCCTTCTCGATCGATACTATATCGAACCCGACTCTTCCCCCAAATGGCACAAACACATATTGCCCAATGATGTAGAAGAAGGTTCTATCATCAGCTGTCTTGGTCGCCGTCAGAGGGACTATATTGATGGAATCTATACCTTGAGCAAAATTGGAAATTCCGATAGCCTAATTTTCACCCAATCAAAGAATATTTGGAGCCCTCGATCGCCACCAATCTCCACTGTTCTTGGAAACCCAAAGGGTGCAACAGGGATTTCGTCTTGTGTCAGCAAGGATGAGCTCACTAGTCTGTTCGTCGCGGGTGACGATGGCCTTTATCTATTCAACCCAGACGGCCAAGAAAGCGGTTTAGAACCCATCCAAGTTATTCCATCATTGCGTGAGTCCAAAGTCAACTCTTTTACAGGGCCACGAGCCTGGAATCCAGTACTGGCGGTTCAAAGACTGCAGTTTGGGGTCTCAACCGTTCTCAGAATCTGGTATACGCGACATGCCCCATCGGAAAGGAGGCAAAACCGTCAAGCTGGTCACCACCCATGCAAATTTGCACAAAGGTTCTCCAATTTGCCTTTTATCTCAACCAAAAGTCAGCATTCAATGTTCTCTTTGCCTTGTTCCAAGATCAGTCCATGCTTCAGTTCGTACAGGATGCATCGACGGGCATTTGGAACCCACGGAAGATCACCCTACCCACTACAGATGTGAGCCACATGGTCGAGGTCAATACATTCACCACTCATGTGAAATGCACTGATCAGAATGGCTTGCCTGCGATCGGAGCTCCCATTCGGATAGAGTCCATGCAAACGGTGCCTCTTACAGTGAACCGTAGCTACTGCAAGATTGGACTAGATTCACCGATCGAGATCGAAAGCGATGGCACTGGTAGTGACACCATCATCCAGGAGACTAACGCGCTCCCTTCCGTTTGCTTCAAGCTTATCAGTGGCAACCAAACTCTCAAAGTCGATCCACAGAGCAAGATTGCAAAGAAACTATCCAATATCAAGTCAGGAAGGGATTTGGACGTTCAAATCCCAGATTCCAATGGGAAAATGAAATTGCTTGTTCCAGGTGACGTGTCAAAGGACAATCGAGACGAGGTTGCAAAGTGCATCCCAAAACTAATGGAAGTCCGGTCTTCTTTACCAACTTACGGCTCCCTGGACACGAAAGTTCTGACTAATACTACGAGAAGTACGGGTGATGTGAAGATTTTCAGAGTGACCAAAATCTCTACTGGCCAGTTGAAATTTTGCGAAGGTCATGAAGCGCATGCCATTCTGAGTAGGCAACTTAGTCCAGTGACCTACGCTGCATTGACATCTTCATCCTATCTTTTCTCCAAGTAGTGCCTCTGATTTGGTGTCTACTGCCGCGGGAGATCTTTTTCAATTCCTCAAAAATGTATGGGACGATGTGCAGGGCTTCTGGACCGACGTTGTTGACAATGTCACTCGATTCATCGCTCGAATTGGTGATATGATCTACACTGCAATCCTCGATACTGTTGAGGCAGTGAGCAGTGCAATTGAGTTTTTGTTCACGCAAATCAAGGTATTCTTTGAGGACTTGGTGGCGTGGCTGGGCTTCATCTTCAACTGGGACGATATTGTTCGCACTCACAGGGTCATCAAGAACATTGCCAAGCAATATACTCGAAACGCAGTTGATCAGCTTGATACCCTTCGTGGCTCCCTCGAAAATGGGTTCAAGGACCTGCGAGGTTTCATAAATGGAAAGTCTTGGGATAAAGCGAATGTCTCTACATAGGATATCGGAAAGATCGAGAAAGGGAAGGACAATCAGATCCCCGGTGGAGACAGCCCTCAATCAAACTGGGCAGTTCATACCAATAACGTGTTTCCGTCAGTTGGCTCTCCGTCCGCAGCTAGTGCTATGCCTGTAATTGACATGAGTTCATCAGTTATGGATCTGCTCAAACCCCTCGAAGATGCAGTGAAAAATGAAGAAAAGGTGTTGAAAAATGCAGTGCGGCGGATCAAAGATGAGATCGTTGAAAATCTTAGCAACATATCTCCAATCGAGGTGATCGAGAAGGTATTCAATATCCTGGGGGGAGTTCTTGATGGACACAGCAGAGAATATTTTGCTCACACTGGTTGATTTGTTGAAATCCTTTATGGAAGGTCTCGTGGATCTTCTAGATGCCTCTGTTGACATTCCGATTATCTCGCCTATCTACGAGTTGATCACTGGAGGAGATTAACTCTCATGCTTGGACGTTATCTGTCTGATTTTCGCCATCCCGGCCACCATAGTCTACAAGAATGTCACAAAAGAGGTGCCATTCCCCGACAATAAATCGACCAAATCTCTTATCACGGCATCAAATTTTGCTCAACTCTATTCCCTCATTTCTGGAGGATCCTCAGGAGCAGCAGAAGTCTCAGGGAAACCAGTGGCAGCTCCATCGTTAGCGAAGAAGGTCGTGTCAGTCCTCAAGATAGCCAATATTTTTGTTAGTGCAGTCAGTGCAGCGTTCGCATATATCAAGCGCGAGACCAAACTCTCAGGCCTCAAAATCACTGGACTGTCTTTTGCCCTCTTCATAGCCGCCGCTAGCCCAATAATCGCTGCCAACTTTGGGACAGTCGACAAATGGACCATTGTTGCCGACGTGCTCTTCGCTATTGGGCTTGGAAAGCTCTGCATGGACAGTTCAGACCAGCTGAGCGATGTTTTGAAGGACTTTGTCATGCCCTGGGTTGGAAGTTTGCTGGGACTTGTTGGGCTTGTCTTTGCGATATGGACACGTTGTCAAAATAAAACTGCCAAGACTAGCGATGAACTTACCCTTATTTGTGGTATCTTTACTAACACCTCAAAGCTCTTGGATGCATTTACGTTAAGCAAATTTTTTCCTGAGGTTGGGGCTTTGTTCTTTGCGTTGTCTATCGGGTGTGCAATACTCGGTGGTCACTTCTCTGCTGGGGCGGGAGTGTGTGTACTGGGTGAAGCGTGAAGCGTGAAGAAATCAGTGTCTTGTGACGGTTGGGAGAAGAGGCCGCAGGTTCAAGTTGAGCGAAGTCGCGCAACCAGATTTAATTTCCGGGATATCTAGAATGAATTTTCGTAAATTCCATTTGAAAATTTCCATAACTTTGAATTAATCTGATTGTTGATAGATAAATAGGCTATACGAGAAAGTGTATTGTGTTCTCAACGCCATAAGATCGTAGAATTAGAGTGATAGTCACAGACTCATGGCATGTTTGAGGTCCATTGACTATGATTCGACGATCATACTTGATAGTCAATTCAGACCAGAGCTGCTTGGCAACGATCTGTTATCTCCTCAAAATCGTCATTGATTATTTAAGAAACTTGGATATTTTAGATGTTAAGTTCAATTGGAATGATAATCACCTGAGCATCAACCTTGGAATAGCACTAACCCAGAAGAGGAAAAGGGCTGTGCCCCATATGTCCCACTAGCACGAGTCAGTATTTTTTTTACACAAATACGAGAGATAATAATACCATACCACTTGGTGCATCTCTTTACCACTCAATTTCAAGTCACCCCCCCCAGATTTCCTCTCTCTATCAACTATTGAAAATTATGCATATGCAGATGTCCCCTCCCCCTACTCCATGAAGATCACCCCTTGCATGAATGACACATTCTTGGGCTGTCAATAAACATGGAAGTGTAAACAGATCTGCGTGGGTCGCTAAGCGCAGCCACTGATCTCACATTGCTTCTGGAAGAATAACTGTGGTTGCTGAGAACCAAAAGAGGTTGTATTGATCTTGTATCGTGATTTCTTATCTGGCTTCGAAGATTGGATGTTCCTCGTGCCCAGTGGGATCATCATGTCCTAGCTTCCCCAGAGCTCCGAAGTGGATGTCCACCCGCGCCCGCAGTAACCAACGAGTGGTCAGTCTGCTCATGACAAGGTTCCCCCCCTGATATTAGATCGACAGGTGCACCTCGTTCCTGTGCCGAGTGGAAATTGCTCACAGGTGAGCTTGTCTCGCCCTCGTGCCTCTTTGTATTCGCTGTGCCTTTGCATTTGGTGCATTTGATACATATGGCGGTCAGTTTGTGCAACGGGAATAACCCTGGAAGTTACTAAGAGATTATGGGGACTGCCGAGCCTTGGATGCGCTTGGTGCGCCAGACTATGCACGCGCCGAGTTCTTGGTCCTTGGTTTTCTGGTGAGAGATTTTTTGTTAGCGATGCTTTTCGCTTGAAATTGAGATGCCTTTGACTTGTGGGTTCTCTCTCCGTATGCTTTCTTGGTCTGTAAAGATACACGGTTGCACGGAGGCGCCATGGTTTCTAGTTCTGCCACGGCGTACACGGCCCATTGGGACTACACAAACACCTGGGGCGAAATGTCTCACCTCGGCACCAAATCCAAAATTTGTGACTAATTATAGTCTTAAGTCAATCATTTTTTTCCATTTCGATAGACTTGATTCTAAGACCTGAATTTGATTCTCAGAGCGAATATCTAATATCCCTTATCTACTCCGTATAACCCTGGAGGATAACTCGAAGTGCTTTGATGACATGCCAATTTGTAATGTAATCTATTTTGTAATGCGGCGTATATAAATGTAATAATACGTCACTAGTGGACTCCACATAGTGGAGAAAAGACCCTGAGACCCTGATAACGAAGTAAACTCGCAAATTGACAGCTGTAATTGGCTTCAAAGGACTTTCAATTAGGTTAATTGGTCAAATCTGACTCCAAATTTTGACTTCAAATCCCCATCAACCTGCCCCTTAGAGTTTAGTCTGCAGAGTTTCCTTGGATTTTGTTCTGCCATGTACGGAGTAAATGCAGCTGTGGACCTTTAAGGGGACGCTGTACTCCCTGTACATGTGAGCTCCTTCTTTTTCTCTTTTTCTCAAATCATCTCAGTGCTTCGACACTTGCGACCTTTCGTTAAATTGTTTTCTTGTTTAACCACTCACTCGCTCGTGGTTGATATTTTTTTTACTCTCCAGTTTCCCCCTTTTCTTGTACATTTTGGTTGACTCGTCATATCCCCCTGAATTCCTCCGTACATAATCTGATACAATGGTCCGTTTCGCAACGGCCCTTCTGGCCTTGTCTGCCACCGCTTTGGCAACAACCACTTGTAGCTCAAGCAGCCAATGCCCTGAGGATACGCCTTGCTGCTCCCGTAAGTCCTGAAACATTCCTATTCAGACTGACCCGCCTAACATTTACCCCAGAGTATGGCGAGTGCGGCACTGGCGCTTACTGTTTGGGTGGCTGCGATATTCAGGGCTCATACTCAATTGAGTCATGTGCTCCCATGCCTGTTTGTGAGAGCAAGACCTATACCTGGGATAACCTCGACAATTCTGTCCTCAACACCAAGTACCTGGGCAATGCCTCTGCCGCCGATTGGACCTACAGCGGATACCCTAAGACCGAAAATGGTTCCCTTCTCATGACCATGCCCAAGGAGTCCGTGGGTACTCTTTTCGCCAACAACCACTATCTCTGGTACGGCAGTGTCTCGGGAAAAATCAAGTCCAGCCGTGGCAAGGGTGTCGTGACTGCTTTCATCCTGCTGTCCGATGTCAAGGATGAGATCGACTATGAGTGGGTCGGTGCTGACCTTACTGGTGTGCAATCCAACTACTACTGGCAGGGTGTTCTAGACTGTATGTGACTTCCCACCGACTCTTGTGACCCTACAAGGAGTCCCTTGCCTCGCGATGTCAATAATTGGCTAATATTATCTACAGGGCACAACAGCGCCAATATTTCCGTTAGCGGCGATGACACCTTCGATGACTGGCACACTTACGAGATCAATTGGCAGCCCGACCAGCTGCAATGGATCGTTGACGGCAACGTGATGCGTACCCTGAACAAGGCCGACACCTACAACGAGACCTCCAAGCAGTACCAATACCCCCAGAGTCCTTCTCGCCTGCAGATGTCTATCTGGCCCGCCGGCCAGTCCACTAACGCCCCTGGTACTATCGCCTGGGCAGGTGGTGAGATTGACTGGGATAGTGAGGACATCCAGAACGATGGCTATTACTATGCTACTATTGGCCAGATCGATGTTCAGTGCGCCGACATTCCCAGCGGTATTAGCGTCACTGGCAACAACTCCTACGTCTACACATCCAGCAGTGGTATGGAAACCGATGTTGAGGTCACCTCCAACTCGACTGTTCTCGGTTCCCTGGGTGCCACTGGTCTCGACCCTACCCTTGGCGCCAACAGCACCTCTTCCTCTTCCTCCTCCTCTTCCAGTGCTAGCGACAGTATCCCCAGTAACTCCAGCGGCTCTGGTGGTTCTGGAAGTGCTGGAGCGCAAGCTGCTAGCAATTCCACCACTGACTCCAACCCCACATCCACCTCCAACTCCTTCAGCCAGGGTACCACTACCAGCAACGCTGCCAACCAGAACGACCGTGCTCTGGGTGGTTCAGTCTTTGCTGTCCTGGTTGCTGTGTGTGGATTGATGACGTTGTAAATGCTTTAACGAGGTCGACTATGAATATTCGGCCTTCTTTCGCTGTATCTTACTTTCTTGCACCTTGTCTACGTATATTCAAGCACGATATATTGGGTGCCCTTTATTTTTCCCGAGCCCACTTGGACAAATTTACCCTAATGAGACTCTTTTCCTTTTTTTCATGTATAGTGGGCTGACTTGCGTTTGACACTTGAGTCGCGTTACGCTCTTCATGATTTTCTGCTCTACATACCGCTAGCATTTTGTTTTATTTTATTCTTATTGTTTGATTTGTTTTTAGAATTCCAAGCTCATATCCATTAGTAATAAGGAAAGTTACATAGATCTTATGCGCGTCCATAAAACCACTGGTAACAATCAAAGTTCTATGTTGGCAGCAACTTTGCAAGCAATTATTATTTCTAATGAGTATTTCATTGAGACTTCTTTCAGTCCATTCCCCCTACTTGGTGCAAACACCGCTAACATAGAGCTCCAGGGCTTTGTCACGCTCCAAGATTCAAAACCCCTGGAGGTCGTATTCAAGCATCCGCTGTCATGCAGGGGTCAACACGTTGCTCGCTTTGGTTGGATACCAAATTGCCCCCATCTAGGACCCGCTGATATCCTCGTATCCACGTGGAATTAGAAGTATAAGACTCGGAATGCCAATCGTACTTTTGACATTTTTCTAGAGGCCGTGAAGCCACTCCAACATTGTGGCTGGTTTGGTATGTACCTCAAACGGCACATTTATGGACAGTTGCAGGCGGCTCAGCAACATTTTGAATGTTCTCTTTGACCATATGTGCATTAATATGGCTTTTTCTAATTCAAACAGAATTCCAGATGTCTACATTCAAATGTTGTGCTTTCTTTATCAATCTCTTTGATTTATGCTTGCAAATGGCATTGGATAGACGTCCAAGACACCTCAGAAATGATCTATCAACCCTTCAACATAGCCTGAAACTATACCAAGATTCAAGATTTTCCATTTTCAACCTCTGGGGAACATTCAGAGCAAGTCTCCAATTCCACAAGCCCATCTACTTCCTGGTCCTCTGACAATTGGACTCTTCATTTCCATTGACTGAAAACCCCGCCTTCTGAGCATAACTGGACTACAAGCCAGCCTGTCCAGGTGTTGACCTCCCAATCGAGAGGCTCAAATCTCAATACTGGTCCACGAACCTCACCACAAGACCTCCACTTCAAGCATGTGTCTCTATAAAGGAGTCTGGTACTACGAATGCCAGCACGTCCGCTTCCACCTCTCTACTTTCTGTCAAGACCTTCTTGAGCAGCTATGTCGCATGAGCGACACTATAACTGCGGAGACTGAAAGTCCCACTACTGTCGAGAATCCACAGAGCTGTTTACCCAGACTTCTGGCACGAGATGGTATTCTGGACATGCAGGATAAGGGACAGGAGAATGGAGCTGCAACGAACATCTCTGAATGGGTGATAGATTTGGCAGATCTATGTCCTTCTTGTTCTCTAAAACGGGACTCTTGATCAAGATGTTGTGCTGGACGCTATAGCTATTCTCTTTCAATTTTATGGCTTAGGTTTGCGATTATAGAGTCCGCGTTCTAGAAATAGTACACTACTATTCATACTGTCCGAAATCCTCTCTGTATTGCGTACATATTGCTTCACTGAAATGGTCGTTGCCTCAATGCCTCGACCTGCTTAGTCGTCCCACGCATCGCATCGTCGGGGCCTGGGACATGCTTAGTCGCTCCCACAGAACTTGAGGCCGCGATATTTAATGAGATTCTGAATTATTTTCTTGATCTTCTCTTTCACCCACCACCTCGCATCCCCTCCACTCACATCCACGCACCATCACTATCCATCCATCCATCTATCATCATTGTGAACAGCCTCAAGCAACTGTGTATGTGTTCATCCCTGTTTATACATGATTGTCTTCAAGCTTCTTTGGAGCACAGTCAATAGAAACAACGCAGCTAACATCACACGTGTGAACAACAGCCAAACCTAAACCATCACGTTGCCTACTGTGTGCAGTACTGCAACCCTCATTCAATTGCAAAGCAAATGTAAGTATTCCTTTCCTCTTGAACATTATTTCCTTTGATCCTTGAGTTGTCTAACAAGACTTGAACCCTCCAGTCCCATCGAGTCAGGACACAGACTCTCCAATCCACCCAAAGCACCATCTACTTAAGCGGTAACTCCAGCTCAAGAAGGCAAGATGTGCTTCTACCGTGGTCGTTTCTACCTGGCCTGTGACCACTTTGAGTTCAACCTCGTTGAATTCTGCAAGGCGATGAAGGAGAACACCGAGACAATCATCGCACCCAATGCAGCCCTCTGGCGAGCAGCCGACACCTATATGGAAGATGAGTGCAAGCCCCGCGTCTACATCTTCGAGTACATGAACGGACGTCCCGTCGTTCTCCAATGGAAGAACGCCAGTGATACCTCCGTCACCAATGTCGTCGAGTGGGCAGACGCATTGGTGGGTGGTTGGTGTACCCGGTGCTTCAACATCATGAGAACGTCCGAGGAAGCGGGCCTCCTTGCTCTCCAGCAGGGTGCCCGCATCATGTACCACTTGACGCCTCAAAGCACCAGCATCTTCGATATCCCTGACACCAGACCCATCCTCTGGTACCCGCCTGAGCCCACCGGCCCTAAGGCTGCTGGCCCTGAGGTGAAGCAGGGCTCAGAGGAGGAGCAGCCTGAGGAGAAGCCTGAGGAGGAGCAGCAGCAGCAGCAAAGCAAGTAGCTTTTGAGGCTTCTCTGAATTGCAACCCGGCGTTTCTGGCGTTGTTTCGGTTTCTGCAGCGAGGAGTGTTGGTTCCCTTGCTGGATTTTGGCCAAAGGCCTCTTTTTGTTTTGGCCAAAGGCCTTTTATTTGTCTTTTTTTTGTCCGAGAGATTTGTTAGGACTTATTGTTAGTATTCTCTTATTTCACTCTCAATTGATGAGTTAAGTCCTTACCTATGCACTAAGTGTAGTACTTCATCTCGATATCCCCTTTTTAGGAAATCCTAAACGAAGTCCTAACTCTTCAGATTGTACTTAAAGAACTCCGTCTAGTCTAGGTAGCCAGAACTTCAAATCTGAGTGACCAATACCTAATTGCAATGTTATTCAAATGTATATCAGATTCGCGCTATGGAAATATTCAAATGTTTGTATCAAAAGGTAGATACAAGAAAGCCCCTGTCCAGGTGACTTCTCATGCTGGTACTTATATAACGCCAATTGGCACCGAAATGAAAGCAAAATCCGAAAGAAGTATGCTGAAGATGGTTCGAGATAGATTAATGGTGTCCGCCACATCCGCAGTCTTCAAGGGATCGCTTCTTAAAGTCTCCGTGGTATGTATCAAGACCTTCAGTTTGAATATCTGATCCCAGAGGATTACCCATCCACTCGTAGTTTCCTTCAGCTGTGCCTTCAGTTGTGGAGTCATCTGAAGATGCTTTCCAGGAGACTGAGGACCGGAGACGCTCAGTGACATCCTCCACGCTCAGGTCGAGAAAGTTGGCGAGGAAGTTTCCTACGTCGGTATTTTCGTTGTTGCCGACCAAGGGCCAGGCGTGCTTTGTCGAAGATGAATAAATATTGACGTCCACAGCTAGTAATCAAAATTGTCAGTAAATGGCGGCTAAAAACTAGTTTTGGTCCGAGAGTGACTTACAAGAATGTCCATGAGTAGCCCATCCAATTTGTGCTCGGCGACTGACAATATCTGCAAAAACGTATTTGGCTGAAACGCCGGATGGTGGCTGGAGAATGGCTTTCACTTCCTTATCGGAGGGATCAGTGATACCGAGATAATCTTTCAACAGAGTATCACGAACGTATGCCTCCTTATCTGAGTCATGTGCATTCGCACCGGCTCCAGAGAGGTATGCGGTCAATTGGTCACCGGTATACTCGGAAGAATGCTTAGCGTTCGCCAGAACACCTGGGTACCACAGGTATTCCGGGTAAGTAGAGTGAAGCTGTCTGGCTGCGGCGAGGCCACCAGTTTCGTGGTCAGAGGTGCTGACAAGAATGCCGGGGGTTGTGTCCTTCTCCAGGAATTCCAAAACAGCAGCAAAGGCCTTATCAAATGCCAACACTTCATGGACTTGTGCAGCGGGATCATTTGCATGGCCAGCATGGTCAATACGTGATCCCTCAATCATCAAGAAGAACCCTTGCTCGCTATCCCGAGTAGCATCACTCAAAGCAGTCAACGCAGTGCGAGCCATCTCCTCTAATGACGGGTAGACATCATTCTGAGTGCGGCGGTCAATCTCGTAAGGAATGTCCTTGTCCGCAAAAAGACCCAGCAGCGGTAGCTTAGCCTGGGTGCCACCATTAAGAGCATCAAAGCCGGCCCGGTCATTCACAAACTTAAACCCATTCTTAGATGCCACATCGACCAGATCACGGTCATCCGCTCGGCAGCTAGAGCTAGTAGTATTGGGAAGGAAATGGCACCGTCCACCACCCATCAATAGATCGACAACCCGGCCCAGAGGATGCTCGCCGATTTCTTGCTCGGCAATGCTATCCTCGTATTGCCGCAGATTGGCGTGTGAGGCAAAGCACGCGGGCGTAGCATCCGTCAGACGTGTAGTGACTACCAATCCGGTCTTATATCCCGCCAGTGCAGCAGCCTCAAGTACAGTACCACATGGTGTATGATCCGGGAGTACCGAAATAGCTCCATTATAACTCTTATGTCCGCACGAGAAAGCAGTAGCTCCAGCCGCAGAATCAGTCACCAAGCTAGAGCTTGATCGTGTCCGTGAGGTACCAATATAATGCCGATCCAAAACCAGGGTATCATCAATTGGGAGACCCTCGGTATATTGTCGGAAGTTTCTTGTCATCGTCAAACTGGTAGGTCCCATACCATCGGAAACCATGAAGATTAAATTCCGCTTCCCACTTGGCTTCCCACCAGGACCCCATACCTCCTTCGACTTGTGTGTTCTTGCAGATTCATGCTGGACTACGACTGCGAGGATAATTACGAGAATAGTCGCAATCACTGCCCAGGCAAATAGACCGATCTCTTTCCAGAAGGCCCATCCTCGTCGCTCAATGTGGCGGCGACCTGCACGCTCGCCGGTCAAAAGAGCTTCTTCTTCCTCCGCATCGGCTCGAATCGATGAACGGTCGTCGAAGGAGTGTCGAGGGATCAGGTGGGGTTCTTCTCGGGAAGATTCGGCAGCCATGGTTGGTGTGGTCAAGCTCAAGAGAAGCCCTGAGTATCTTGCTGGGCTCCCTCTTGAAACAGCGGGGGGGTTGGAGATCAAGTGGAGCCCCCAGGGCAATCAGGGTCATAGGGCCGTGGACGGGGGCGTCATGGGTCGCTGAGTAAGACAAAGCTCGGTATGTTGTAGCCTTATAAATATGGCCGAAATATTCTGATAACGATGATAGCTCATCATCATCTCGAGGGCTGCTTTAGGTGCCAGCCAGTCGAGATGAAATTACGAAGGACAGGTTTGACTTTTGATTAAATTGTCAAGTCCACTATTGAGGCTGAGAATGACCACTAAACTAAATGTGGTAAGACTTGCTGATGCAATAAGACGCCATTCTAGGAACCTTGGAAGAAAAGAATGGCCTGGTATATGTATAGTAAAAGTGAAGATATCAACATGCAAGCACTCGACTCGGAGCTTTCTAGTATTTTATGACCTTCCCTTCCATCCGATAGGGATCATTGCCGCCGCAATCTCAGTAACGCCACGTTCAGTAGCGAGTAAATTGAACTGAGCCGCCGCATTCCGAGTATCCTGAATCTCAACCCGAATACCCAGTGAGTTAATCTGGCGCTTCGTCTCCGGTGAAAGGGGATATATCGAAGCCCCAAGACCAAGAATAAGCATATCTAGTCCGGAATTAGTCCAATATCCCATTCAAAGCAAATGCAAACAATCAAACAGATTCCAACAGAAAAGAAGTAGAGTAACGTACCAGGTCTCGGCCAGACAACACTCAATAATCCCCACGCCTCCTCACTCAACTCAAATTGACCCTTCGCATTCAACATTCCCGCCTTGGCCGCTACATCATCCTTGAGTTCATTTTCCTCGCCCGCCTTCCATGGCCTCCACGCAAACGCCTCTCCACCAACAAGCATCATCCCATCTCCACCGGTAATCTTGACTCCACTGTTAAGATGGAATCCGGAATTCAGACAGGCGTCGATGGCTGTTGTGGGGGCAGGCACGTTCGCTAGGACATTCAGCGCGTTGAAGTCTGTTTGAGTATCTTCTGAGGACTTGGGGCCACGGTCTCGAGTAGCGGGTTTGTGACTGTGTGCACGAGGGATCATCCGAGTAGGACGATTGGGGATGGAGCTGTTGTTGCGGCGGGAAGAGAGTATGGTTGTTGGGAGTCTGGGGGTATTGCGGATTATAGTAGGTGTTGAGAGGGTGGCGCGAAGGGCGCGGAGGAGTTGAGGGGATGGTGGGTGCATCTTGAAATGACTTTAGAAGAATGCCTTCTTGGTGTTATGATAGTTTGATTGGGTATTTGAGGTGGTTTAAGCTGAGGTTTTGGCTGAAAGTGACTTGTGGAGGTTGAGGGAGCTAACAAGCTGGGAAAGCTTTGCTGGTCTTGGCAATGCCCCGATTAGCCTGGGCCCGAGGTATTCCGTCAGGACTGCATCGAATCCAAACATTCATCTTATAGTACTAGTACCTAGGTACTTTTGAGATGTATCGACACGTGGGATCATTACAGTCGTCTATTCAATTGAATTCAAGTTGTCCATTGTATTAATATATCCGCCTTGGTGGCCCTAGTGATTAATCTAGCTTTTATTTCCAGAACGCACCCGTGCCCGTACAGCACTTCCGATTCAATATGAAACAAGGACTGAAAAGAAGAATGTCATGCGTCATAATGCCCCGAACTCCATAGAACGCGCGATAAACAACGAACAAATAGGTCTTGAAGGAAAGAAATGGGAGGAAGGATCTCAGCTGTCATACTGAGAGTCAAGCGCAAAAGCATCAGGTTAAAAAACACAAGAACAAGGCCACACATCTGATCCCACCTTCCCCATCCCTGACTACATTACTGCACCGTTTTTGGTTCCTTTTTGGCCAAAACCAAAGTCTCAAAAAGAATATGCACACGTGAAAGGTTAGATAGGGGGTTAGGGTTGGGAAGGGAAGGGGCTGGAAAGAAGTGCGATGAGGGTATTGAGTTGCCTGTACAGGTCGACCAAGATTTGGTGTTAAAGATTATTATTTGGCAGGACGAGTGTTGCCATTACGGTCCTCATCTGATTGACTGGAGCTGTCATCACTGTTTGTGGTAGCATTTCGGAGACGCTCTGCACGATCTTGGAGGACTTGAGCCTCTGCCGCAGCCTTCTGAGCTCGGATCTGCTTTCGCCACATACCGGCGTAGCGACCCTTCATGGCAAGAAGCTCCTCGTGCGTGCCGCTCTCGGCTACCTGACCATTATGAAGGACAAGAATGCGGTCGGCAGTTGTGATGGTGCTGAGACGGTGAGCAATCACCAACATCGTGCGACCATGAGAGAGTGTGGAGAGCGCTCCTTGGATGTGCTCCTCAGTATCAGTGTCAAGGGCAGCTGTGGCTTCGTCAAGGAGAATGATACGAGGGTTCTTCAGAATAGTGCGAGCGATAGCAACACGTTGCTTTTCACCACCACTCAGACGTAGACCACGCTCTCCGACCTTGGTACTGTAACCATCAGGGAATGCCATGATCTTGTCATGAATACTGGCAGCACGGCAAGCCTCGTACACATCCTCATCGGTGGCATCTTGGTTAGCATACTTGAGGTTATACATCAAGGTCTCGTTGAAAAGGACAGTATCCTGAGGCACAACGCCAATATGCCTACGAACAGAATCAATGGTCACGTCTTGCACATCATGGCCATCCACGCGAATAGAACCCTTCTCGGCATTGTAGAACCGGAACAAGAGGCGGAAAACTGTGGACTTGCCTCCACCGGACTCTCCGACCAGAGCGGTAGTTGTTCCAGGTTCACAACGGAAAGTGAGACCATTCAATGCTGGCTTCCGAGTATCATATGAAAACCCAACATTCTGGAATCGGATATCACCCTTGCACATAGCAAGCGGCTTGGCACGGGGGCCATCCACCACAGTAGGTTGTTCGCGGAACAGCTCTAGCATGCGCTCAGCATTGATAAGGGCTGACTGAATCGAGCGGTAAAAAGTGCCAAAGAAGTTAAGGGGGCCTTGAAGTTGGACCATGTATGTCAACAATGACACAAACTGTCCTACCGGGCGCTGGCCAGTCGAGACCTGGTACGCAGCGATAAAGCAAGTGACAAGCAGACCAAACATGAAGACTGTGTTCTGACAAGTGTTGAGTAGAGTCAGGGAGAACAGTACGTGATATTCCGCCTTTTGGTATGTGCCCACCGCATCACGGTAACGATCGAATTCATACTGCTCGGCATTGAAGTACTTTACTGTTTCATATGAAACCATTGAGTCGTTCCTGTGAGAATCAATGTTAGTTGGTTTTTTTAAGGGGGGTTTCTGCAGCGTGTCTAGCCGCCTAAAGATAACTTACTTAACCGCATCTTCTTGTCGCGACGCATTCACCATCTGCCTTCTAATCTCCGCTCTCCATTGGGCCATGCGAATAGTGACGTAGAGATAGCCGAAGGTCGAGATACCCACTACCAGGGCGTAGTAGACATCGAAAAAGATCAAGAAATAGCCCACGGCGACTCCCAAGTCAATCAACATGGGAACGACTTGAAAGGTGACCTGCTCCAAGAAGGTATTGATAGAGCTACCCTTGCTCAGAGCTGAGAGCACCTCACCTGTCTTCTTGCCCAGGTGGAAGTCCAAGCTAAGACCATGGACATGTTCAAAGGCGGCTGTGGAGAGCTCCATGTAAGAATACTGACTCACAGGAATCCAAAGACTCGAGCGCATGGAGCTCAGCAAGCCCTGGCCTCCCTGTAGCCACCTGTAGACTACGTACATAAAGATCTCGAACCAGGGGACACGGAACTGACCCTCGTCTGCAGCCAAAGCAGTCGTGATGACTTGCACTTGATGTGGAACCATCACATTGACTACTCGCTGGGCAACAAGCAGAATGAAACAAGCCACCACGACGATTTGCAGACGGCGTGACTTAGAAGGCCAGAGGTAAGGGAAGAAGAGCGAGTATCCACTCAAGTACTCCCACCAGCTAGTCGAAGGAATTGTCGTTGGGCGTACCCAAGGATCTGTTGGTTTCGACGACTCAGGTGCGCGTGCGCTACCATTAGTTGCGTTACCATTGGTTGATCCATAGGCATGGCCATTGCCGTTGCCGTTGGCATTTCCATTTTCTGCGTTTGAAGAGTCCAACAGGCCAGTAGACTCCGTGGCGCCTCCATTGGTCTGTCCATGCTTCTTATCGTGTTGCTTTAGAGTGATGGATTTGCAGGTGTACAAAACGACGAGGGTGAAGAGAATCAGGATACGCAGAGCACCTGTGGCCACCTCCGCTGACTCCCAGTGTGTGATGCTGCGGCGAATTTTGCCACCTTCAGGATCTCCAACGATAGGTTCATGGTGGGCGGTTGTGTAAATGGATAAGGATGTACTAAGAATAACCAGCTCGATCGGAATGGCAATGGACCAGCAGGTGAATTGAGCGAGTGTGGGCGATGGGGTAGTATCGAGTAATGTCATAAGCAGGACAGCGTAGGTGAAAAAAGAACCGACAATATAGATCTGTGAGTGATATTTCGATTAGCTCATTGTAATTTCTTTTGATGTATGTGAGATTTTGCCTAATTAGGCCATGCATGGTAAATTGCTTTTTCCGTTCCAGTTGCTTGGAATCGGTAATTTTAGACTTGAGGGGGGGGGATTCCCTCCGAGACGTACCACCATAGATTGACCTCGCCACCAATTTTCGGACCTCGCCGCCATCACATGGAGGATGTAGATCGTCGCATCTGCAAGGAAGGTCACAAGGATTCCCACAGAGAGCCAGTTAAACACCTGCTTGACGGTCTTGGAGAACGCCTGCGTTTTGCGGATACCGGAGCTGCGAGATCGAGTAGGTAGAGGACGTCCTCCAGGGCCCATTCGTGGAGAAGCTGGACGGTTTGCATTTTTGGCGTCGACCACAGTGCTAGCCACAAAGGCTATCACAAATAAGATCAGGAGGAATATTGGATAACAGGTTCGGAGGTACTCCAACAGCTCTCGCGCCGCATGAGGATCCATGATTGAACCTAAACGAAGCTTCCCTCCCGCGAAAGCACAGAGAAAAGAAAGAAAGGGGGGAGGAAGATTTAAGCGCTTTCCATGACACAGCGGGTGTCTTTGCGAGGATCCGCGTAGTCGAAAAGAAGAGGGAGATCGGACTAGACGGGTATGGTCAAGGATCGACGCGAGGAATGGGATCGCGGACGCACGCGGGGGGTGGAATTATGCGTGAACCACAATACAACTGGGTCCACGAGGTAAGATCGGAAGCTTTGCGAAGAACAAATTTCAAAATATTGTTTTCAAGGACTTTTGGAGTTATTAAACTTCAAGTTAGAAAATAAAAATGCAAGTCGTAGAATTTTTTAAAGAATTGGTAATTTTGCTTTTTTTTCTCCTCTCTTTGCAAATGTTAACACATGAGCTGAAAATGAGTACTAGGTTTTGGATTTTTGACGCCTGGTGATCTCTGAACCAGAAACCTTGGAAAGAGTCTCCACGGGGTGGCGAAAAAAGAGGGATATGTACTCCGTAGAGTAAGGAATGGGAGAGAGAGAGAAAATAAAATGAAATAATGTAAAAAATACAAAGGAAATTCTAACGGGGATAAGAGAGAAAAAAGAAGATTAAAAATAAATAAAAATAAGATAAAAAAAAAAAAAAGGGAATACGAACGATATAGAAGATGAAAATGGATCCCTCACAAGCAACTTTGAGAGGTTCAAAATGTTGGAATGACGGTGTGAGCTGCAGCTCAGATCCACTCTAGACTCGGATCACACTCGAGTCTCCCCGCGATAGAGTGTGTATATTTATATCACTGGCAGTACGGAGTACTTCAGCACTTGAGAGGTTTAAAATGCTAAGAATGGTAAAATATCTCAAGTGCTGTCTGTGTTTGCTTCAGCCCAAACCACAAGGTTGGAATTTTGCCAACACTGAGAATGCCAGTTGGTTTGACAAGCCGTTTGTATATGTGCCCAACAGTGGTCCAAGTTGGAATGTTAAGTCAATTCAGTGTTCAAATGTTGTAATATGGACGAGAGATTCCGCGTGGGGGTCAGGGTTGAAAAGTTAGAATAAAAGAGACCAAGTCCTAGTAATGTTCAAGTGAAGTTGATATATCAATAAAGTATTTGAGTACTAGTAGTAATGATGATCTTCCTAGTATATATATATATATATATATATATATATATTCCTATAGGAATACTATGAATAAAAAGAAGAAATGAAATAATCCTCAGTCATAATGAAATCATCGACCCTATATATACCTAGGTAATCTATATATAACAATCAAACCTTTCCTGTTCAGATGTTTATGAAAAAATTCAATCAGAATTCAGTTGATCTAGAACCTTTTTTTCATCTCATGTACCTTTGTCCGTGGAGTCATTTTTGCTATCTGACCGCCCCAAAGATCGATCCATAGAGCCTAGACCAGGTTCGTATGCATTGAATCAACTCGAAATATTTTGAGCTGAATTTCTGAGATTTGACATGTATGTCATCTTACTTTATACGGGGTAGTATTATTAACTAATATCCCGACATTTGGAGATTTAATTTAATTTAATTTTATCTTAAATAATATGTAGAACATATGATCATGGTTCTTGGGACACTTGAGCCACGACTTTAAATCCTCCTTGCCACATGTTCATCCGATTGTGATGTCCCCACTTCCAAGGTTAAGAATCTTAAGATATACATGGATGTATCAGTTGGTACCTAATCCATGTTTCCCCCGACAAAGACTTCTTTTGAATCCAATCTATTGGTCCTTCATCCCCCCCCATGAAGCTTGTTTGTTATATGTTTCCTCCATATTTCCCAAACAAGGTGAGACATGAGTTCATTCTTGGATTAGTTCGGATTGGATCCAAGATTGGGCGTTTCATGGGGAGGATTTTGTCGCACTTCCTCTCTCCACGTTCTCCGGCTTGCTCACTTTACCAGCCTAACCAATCTACCTCATCGGAAACCTTGGAACTTCGGGGAGACAGCCCCATGCAGTGGGACCATTTTCAAATCTGATCTCTCTGCCGGTGAGTTGGCTTTCTCCAGACCGCTATTGCCAACTGGAGGGATGGAATATTGTACACGTTCCGGGTCCACAATCCTTTCGGGTCCTCGGGGAAAAAAAAGAAACTATGACCTATGACATAGAAGATGAAAGTAAACCTAGTCACTTAGTAAATAGTAATTAGAAATACTCATCATGATGGCAAACGAAAAAAGTACATTCCCATATGACATTGGGAAGTAGATCGAAGTATCGAAGTAGGAAATCAAGTTACCTTCGTCATATCCCCCGATTTAACCTCACCGCCCTTGCACAACCCAACTTTTAAGACTTTCCAACCTTCATTTTGGTCAACTGGTCGTGTGCCCTCGCCCCAACAATGGACGTGTGATAGGAAAATCATGTCGGACCTGTCAGGGTCACGTTCACCAGTGCCTCCGCCGCCGCCACCTCCTCAAAGATACTCGCGTGCTGCGAACGCCCTTGCCCGGTTCGCGCCTTTCTTCTCCGGATCCAGACCCCCCAGTCCGCAGAGTAACCGGGTTGATGGTCCCCGGCCGATCAGGTCCAAATCACTGTATGTTGCATCTACACACCGCTGTATTATACTCTTTTTTATTGGATTGTCTTCCATGAAAGGAGTACACGTTGGGCTCTAGAATAGTTACCTGATATTTCTGATATCATGGCTATGCCTTTGAACCCCTCTATTACCCAACCCTCCCATGCGACATCTATGTACTCCCCGATCCCTCTCGTATTTTTGATCTGATATCGAATCAATCCTCACCGTCAAATAGTCCAGGTGAACCACAGACTGTCACCCATCGGACCGGTATCCCTATTACGGCCCTTGATATCTCACCCCAACGCACTCATGCCGTGATCGCAGGCAAGGAGATCCTCAAAACCATCCGAGTCTCGCCTGACCACTCGTCGGAGGAATTTAATATTCGCAATGCAGTCGTGAGCTATGCATCCACCCACCATGATGCGGGCGTGTCGATGCCACATAAGGACCAGTTAAATGTACGAGATGTCAAGTGGTCACATGGTAATTATGACCGGATAATCGCAACGGCGGTTGCCAATGGTCGGATCGTCGTTTACGACCTGCAGCGGCCCGGCCTCCAATTATGTCGCTTCCAAGGTCATAATCGTCAGGTTCACAGACTCGCCTTTAACCCCCATCTTGCCTCTTGGCTGCTCTCCGGTAGCCAGGATGGTACCATCCGCATGTGGGATCTGCGCTCCGCCTCAGCGAATCGCGCCCTTTCCACATGTGGTAGTAAGCATGTCTACCAGGGCAATAGTGATGCTATCCGAGACGTCCGGTGGTCTCCCACCGATGGTGTCGTGTTTGCAACCGCCGCGGACAGCGGTGCCATCCAGATGTGGGATTCGCGCAAGACTACTGCCCCGCTGCTGCGGATTGCGGCTCATGATCGTCCATGTTTCGCCGTCGACTGGCATCCAGATGGAAAGCACATCGTCAGTGGTGGCACAGATCGGCAGGTCAAGGTCTGGGATTTCTCATCCTCTGCAGAGCGACGGCAGAAGCCTGCGTTTCAGTTCCGAACCCCCCCAGCCCGTGACGAATGTTCGTTGGCGCCCCCCATCATGGGTGGGAGATTCCCCGGGCTCGGGAGAATGGCAGTCCTCTCAGATCGTCACCTCCTATGACAAGGAAGACCCTCGTATACATCTTTGGGACCTTCGTCGACCTCATGTACCCTTTCGTGAATTTGATCGGTATGACTCTCCGGCGAGTGATTTGCTTTGGCATTCCAAAGATCTGCTATGGACTGTCGGTGAGGTCGGCGCGTTTACCCAGACTGACGTGCGATATGCACCCACGGTGGTTACCCGGCGGCCGACATGTTCGGTCGCTTGGAGCCCTAACGGGGCATTCGTCGCTTTCGGCCAACAACGTCCGCGTCGGAGACATCTCGGTGATAATGCCTCGGAGTTTCTCCATGTCGAAGAAGATACAGCTAGTAACGGAGAGAAATCATTGAGCCAAAGTCCAGCTGATGATATTCTCGATGAGGTAGCTTTAACTACTTCGTTTCGGCAAAGACAGAATAAGCCTACTACCATCCGACCTACAAAGTCATTGGGTAGCACACCACCTGGGGCGGTGGATATCATCCCCATTTTGCCTCTGGACCAAGCTTTGGCCAAGATCACGGCACCGGGTCCCGATCAGTTGGGAACTATCGGGTCTATACCCCGTGCCACAAATGATGAATCATTGTTTCGATTTTTTGCCCGTCACTATTCTCCTTTGATGAATGAATCGGACCGCGAACAAAGTCATTTTGATATCCTTAACTCTCTGATAGAATCACTTGACCATAATGCCGAGTGTGCAGACGACGCGTCACGGACTAAACTTGCCCAGACATGGCGTATCGTCAAGTTTGCTATCCTGCAAGAGCTTCAGCGCAGGTCAAGGGAGCAAATGGCAAGCAAAGGAGGCGTGAAAGGCAAGACATCCAAAGATGGCCTTTTGACAGATAAGTCACGAGCAGTCGACGGGAAAGTCAAAAGTCGGTTGTTCAAGGGAGTCATGGACACGGAAGGTCAAAGAAGTCTGGCCCCAGAAGGCGAGAGCACCTCGAACATGACTACTCCCCTCGCCCGACCACTGCCCGATTCCCCCCCAGATGGATTCATGGAGTAGTAGCGATTCTCAGATCCCATCCTTAAGTGATAATGCTGTCGACCTTGACCCCCTGCCACCGTCAGTACTGAGCTCGCACAATGGATGGAGTATGCCAGACCATGATAACCGAGCAATTGAACCTTTGCCACTGCTACAGTCCGAGTCAGTGTCCAGTGAAGATACTCATAACTATGCAGGCGTTGCAGCTGATCGTCTACGCGATCCGGCGCTGGCAGATCCAGACAGCGACCAGAGATCTGCACCCCGGGCAATCACTGGCAGAGCAGATTGGCGTATTCGCAACCATCCAGATTACCCTCGCCAGGGTTCAGAAGACGAATATGCACAGCAGATGGAAGACAAGCGGGCCGCTCTTCGAAACTACCAGCAATTCCCTAAGACGGTGTTGACACTGGATTCTACGATGGAACAAAACCGCCCTCCTGGACCAGATGGATACCAGAGGCGTGATTCTTCTGAGAGTTTCCCTATGTTTTCCGCCTCTACGGATAGTTCGCACCCTTCGAAATCCCTTGGTGTCTCTTACTCTTCCAATGGCCGATTCCCGGATCGGCGACAGTCAGATGCTGGACAGGCTAATAGTTCCTACGGAGGACGGTCTGTTGTCTCTGGCGAAAGAGAATCACATTTGGAACCGGCACCAGAAGAGCCGGAGGATGATCTCGAAATGGATGATTCCACCATTGAAGCCGGTCGGATTCATCTTGAACGACCTTCCAGCCCCCCCGCCCTTATTGACCGAATCTACCCCGCTGGACCATCCAAGCTCGGTCGACCAACTCCAGTCCGCAAATCCATTGAGTGCTGATATCTCAGCATACCCAGCCATGGCAGGCATTTATGAAGATTTTTCGCAAGTCCAAATTCCTCTGGCTCCAGATACAGCTGAACCGAAGCCATGGAGCATCGAAGCCATTTTGAAAGAGGCTGTTCGATACTATCACAGCAATAGCAGCTCTGTCGACATCCAAACTGCAGCGCACCTTTTGCAGAAACTCCATGTCCTGTTCAAAGATTGCGAGATAATCCTTCCGTATGAGGAAAGTGAAATGATCTTCAAGACCTACAATGAATATCTTATTCGGCATTCTATGGACCTGGAGGCCGCAGAGCTTCGTCTGTCCTGCGTACCTTCTTACCCAGGTGTTTATGACTATGCCCAGGTTGACACCTTCATCAATGTATTCTGCCACACTTGCCAAAAACCCTACGAAAACCCGAAGCGCGACAACTCTCGTTGCTATCGCTGTAGCACTCCACAAGCCCCCCTGCTCCATATGCATGAGTCTTGAACCCCCCTGCAGAATGGGTTACTGCACAGGAAGAAAAACAGCAGACGACCTCTTTTGGTGGTGCAAGTCCTAATCCGATTTCTGAAACCACCTCACATTCGTCTGTCCCAACAGAAGCAATCTCATCCTCCGAGTTGGATCAATTTAATTCTTTCACCCCTCCTCGACCCAAGGGTGCTGCTCTCTGGTCCTGGTGCCAAGGATGTGGTCATGGTGGTCATGTCGCCTGCATCACAACCTGGCTCAGTGATATTTCTATCAGTGAAGGTGGCTGTGCCACTCCTGGCTGCTCGCATGACTGTGGTCCAGGTCCCCGTCGTGAGCTTAACCGCCAAGCTTTGCTTACAGAATCTAAACGTCGTGACTCCGTCAGTCGTACCTCCGGCGTTGGTCTCGTGAAACGGGATCCTTGGACAAAGGGCGAAAGTAAGGCAGTTGAAAAAGTTCGTGGCATGCTTGGCGCTGCTGGTGTTGTTGCCGCTACCGGTGGCACAGTTTCCACTAACACCTCGGCTCCTGGCCAGGCTGTCTCTTCCGGTGCTGTGTCGCCTAAAAAGGTCAGGCTGGTCACTCCTGGAGAGCAGGGTCGACGAAGAGGTCCCTCTAGTCGGTCAAGCTTTGCTCCTACAAATTAAGACCATTCAGATAGTTTCAGTTCCCCTTCTGAGTGGTTCTGGGGACTTATTGTATCATTCCAACGTTGTGTACGTTGTAAGTTGGTGAAATGTCGGTGTTGTTCTTTAGCGTGGATGGTTCTTTTCTTGTTTTTAACGTGATTCCCCCAATGGTCTTAGAATTTATTTACATTAATGCGACAAATATGTACTACCTCCCAATAGACATTAGAATCTCCGTTTCTTCTTTGGCGCTTTGCTCTTCTCTGCAAGTTGCCGTTTTAACTCCTCCCGTTTCCGGGCAGTCTTCTGCGCTTCAGTTTCCTCCAATGTAGGAGTATCCTTCTTCTCTTGCCGCTTCGGTAAATCTTCCTCTTCCTTAGGAATCTTTTCTAGCTCAGTTTGTGCAGTATTGACTGCATTCTTGACATGATCCTGCTGCGTAGTAGCAGGCGGCGAGGAAACAGATTCAGGCTTTGACGCAGCCGCTTTATTTTTGCCCTTACCACCGATCATTCCAAGTTTAGTTGCTCTTTTAGGTTTGACCGGTGATGCATTGGTATCTGCGACCGGTTTCGCCGTTTCCGAAGATGATGGAGCTGGCTGAGATGGAGGAGATGAAGCAGGAGCCGGGGAAGGAGAAGGAGGCTTCTCTTCTTTCTTTTTCTTGCCCCCAATTACACCGAGTCCACCTCTAGCTTTAGGAGCTTTCTTTGGAGACTCCCGCGGCTCCGGCTGAGGCGCTTTATCGGCCTTTGGTGGTGTGGATGTGTGTTTTTGACTCGCTGCTGGAATTTCAGGCTCCGAGTCTGATGCCGTCGATTCACCTAAGTCTGGACTCGGAGCTCGTTGGGTTTGCTCCACGGTCTTCTTTGTTCTTGGTTGCGGTGGGGTTGGCGTACGTTTTCGACGCGCTGCTGGAGTGTTCTCAGGCTCTGAGTCGGATGCTGTGGCTTCGCCTGGATCTGTACTCAAAGCTGGTTGGACTTGCTGAGCTGCTTGTCTTATCTTTGCTGGAGGGGATATTTCAGGTCTTTTGCTCTTTGCTCTTAGTCGTGGTGGTGTTTCCTGCCGTTGGAATTCATCCTCGCTAGCAGTGGAAGCACCATCTCGATCTAGATCCATATCATGTTGGGAACTGATGTCTTTTTCATGTTTCTGATCAGGGGAAGCATCGCCAGCTGCGGGTTCATCGCTCTTCGTAGATGGGAAGGAAGCCGTTTCTGAGAATACTGGAAGCTCTGTCCACCACTGTTCCTTGGTTGCTTGAAGTTTTTCCAGATCACGGTCTTTCTCCGACCCTAAAAGCTCATTTAGTACCTTCTTAGCCAATCCCGAGCTCTCTGAAGAATCGCCAGATTCAAGAGGCCATTTTGATTCATCAAATGGTGCAAGGCCTTTGATGAATCTCGCTGCTTCAGATCTCGTGCTGCCTTTCTTAGTTTTGCGTAACCCTGCAGCTCCAGGAAAGACGGTTCCTAGATCAACACCAAGAGCACCGATCTTGTCAAATATTCTTCCAAGAATCCAGTCCTTCTGTTTAATTTGATCTAGGAGAAATTGCTGTCGAGATTCCCAGCCAGCCCCATCTCTCAATAGTGGCAGCAAGAGGTGATTTGTCAAACATGTAGAAGCCTGTTTTGATAATCGGATTTCCCACACTAGTGGCCGCAGCGGAGCCGGTAATTTCGACTTTGTTATGAGATGAAGTGAATCACCTTCAGCTCCACTGTTTATTGTTGTAGTGCCTTCCTCCCCGCGGAGAGTTTCCCCGATCTTTTCGAGAAGGACATTGAACTGATCATGGTCTTCACTGGGATCAATAGTTGTGGCTTTTTCTTCGGCCCTTTTCAAGATTTCTTGATGAAATAGCTCTTCGCTCCAAATGAAGGTGAGATCCGTTACATAGAGGGTGTAGCCTTCACGGGTCCATGTAAACTGAGAAAGAAGCGGAGGTGTATTTGGTTGTTGTAAAGTAAGCTTATGCCAATTAGAAGCCATAGCTTTGAGTATCAGATAATCCCGAAATGTTGTTCAGCCTTGTCATATATGGAGTAGAAGCATGGAGATGAGGATGAGCATGGAGAAATCTAGAGCGGAGCGGAGCTGCCTAGAGTTTAGACATCGCAGGGTAAGTTAGCCGCACGCGTAACTTTCCGCCGATCTTCCGCCTCATTTTTCCAACCTCACGACCAACGCCACTCACCTTGACTGGGATACTTATTGTTCGTTATATCCCAGACTTGGATAAAAAAACCCAAAGTACCGTCTTGACTGATACACCCCTCAAGATGTCTTCACGCTTGCCAGATCGATCAGACTCAAGGCGCCGATCGCGTTCCCCGTCCGACTGGCGCCAGTCCCAAAGACCTCCCCGCGGCGATAACAGAGAATGGCGCGATCGCCAGGACTCGCACTCTAACCAACAGCCACGGAATATGCGTGATCAGTTGCGCATCAACCAGATCCAAGAGGATGAACAAGAGCGCCAGTGGGTGGCGCAGGAGGATATCTTTGTGTTGAAGCAGGCTAAGAAGAAGGCTGAGATCCGAGTAAAAGAGGGTCGCGCGAAGCCCATCGACTGGTTGACCGTTACGTTGCGGTTTATCGACCCGACTCGTAACCCTCTGGACGACGAAATCGATGATTCGGAGCTTGATGTGGTGGATCCTGATGGAGTGTTTGAGGGACTAGAGCAGTCTCAGCTAGAGGATCTAGAGCACGATATTGAGACTTTTGTTAAGCTGGAGACGAACCCACGGAACCGAGATTATTGGCAGGTATGTTATATCCTTGTTTTACTATATTGACTGTAACTTGTGCTAACATCGGCTTTGCTACACAGACTATGAAAGTCATTTGTCGAGATCGCCTAAAAACCAATGCGCCGGAAGGACGTACACTCAGTTCCGTCGCCGCCGATATCAATAGGCTTCTTAGCCCGAAGACATATGAACAGTTACAAGGCCTGGAGGTCCAGGTGAAGAGGAAGCTGAACTCGGACGAGCCTATTGATACGGATTACTGGGAGGAGCTGCTGCGCAGCTTGACAGTTTGGAAGGCTCGTGCACGATTGAGAAACGTCTACCAGGCAGTCATCGATGAGCGTGTTTGTGATCTCAGGAAACAGCAGAAGGGAGAGGCGGAGACTGTTCGGGAGAAGCTGGCGCCCCTTGCCCCGATTATGAGTGGAAACGATAACGAGCTGGACTCTGTCACATTCCAAGGATTAGATCCCGACCCATTGCTGCAGGTTCGCTCTGAGGATAAAGGCCTCGAGATCATGGATGAATCTGCATTTCTTCGCCAAGTTGCCCGCGAGCGTCAGAAGATTATTCGCATGGGATATGTTCCTCTACGACAACGCGCGGCTGAAAAGTCAAGCGCGGCAGTGATTAACCCAGAATCATCCAACGCTCCTGCGCTTGCTGTGTCTAGTCGCTTTTCCTCGCTCCCCAATGATGATTTCTCACAGGCAACCAAGGCCCTTTACGAACGGGAACTAGCTAAGGGAGTTAGTGAAAACGAGGAGATATTTACTGGCGAAGAAGCCGTGAGTACCGCGGCACAACATCAGTGGGCTAGCAAGCACCGACCTCGAAAGCCACGGTACTTCAACCGTGTTCAGATGGGCTACGAATGGAACAAATACAACCAAACCCATTACGACCATGATAATCCGCCACCTAAGGTTGTGCAAGGTTACAAGTTCAACATCTTTTACCCTGACCTGATCGACAAGACCAAGGCCCCTACATACCGTATTGAACGAGAGAATGGTCGCAAGCGTGGCCAATCCTTCGCCGCAGCTGGAGAGGAGGATACTTGTTTGATCCGCTTCATGGCAGGACCCCCTTATGAGGATATTGCTTTCCGTATTGTCGACAAGGAATGGGATTATAGTGCCAAGCGGGAGCGTGGGTTTAAGAGTACATTTGATAAGGTATGTTCACACGGGTCCACGGGTGTTGCCTCTTCCCTTTCATCATCTGAGGGGGACCCCTGCCAGCAAAGAACACGTCTAACGTCATTGTTTTCTCATTTGGTCATACAGGGTATTCTTCAACTCCATTTTCAATTTAAGAGAGTAAGTGATGACCCCCTTCCGAGTATTTTAATGTTTTTGTCACCAAGAACACTCCCCGCTGACTGGTTGTCTCAGATCTATTACCGGAAGTAACACTTACGCACCCGCGCTACTCCCACATGGGCGTTCTATCGGGATGGAGGAGGTTGTTTTTTTTTCTTTCCCTTTGTGGATGTACATGCAGGGAGATTCGGGGTGTATTTTCCAGCAACCGATCAGCCTGTGAATCCAGCAAGCGAAAGCTTGATTGGGCAGGAAATATTTCCCACTTCTCCTGAGCTTTAAAGGGATCTTACAAAAATCGATATGAAGCTCGGCCCACGTGTGGATCCAATGTCAAATGCTTACTTCGACAGCAATTTTCTTTTTCTTTTCAATTGTCCATTGAAATCACCAATTATTTCGGTGATGCCATCTTCCATGTATGAGGGAATACGGGACTTTTGGATATTCCTCCCCGTAACGACCAGTATTTTTTTCATGACTTCACCCATGTGCCTAGCGACGGGGTTTGTCGGCACGAGCGTTTTTATTTTATTTTTCTATTTTATTTTATTCAATTTTAATTTGCTTTTCTGCGGAACGGCGGACGTTGGTTATCGGCTTCGGGTGACACGACGGCCTCCAGGGCTGCTACCTGCAGGAAAAGGGGACTTCATGACTTCTCAGTTGGATGGAAACGGCCCAACAGAAGCATCGGAAAAAGTCCAGGCAGGACAGCAACTCCAGAAGAGGGAAGGAGTCTTCCAGAATGGTCCCTTTCACCACTCAACGTCGCCTTCCGAGAAGTCCGTGATCTGCTGCAGATGAATATGGACTATGAATGGCTACTCGCTAGTCTCTACAGAAGCAGAGTCGCCGCCAGCCACAAAATTACCCACTCTTTGCCCCCTCTCCTTAGATCTGTCTCCTCCATTTCACCTATTCTGTTCACTCTGCCGTAGCACCATAAATTGAGCCTCTCGAGAGATCATTGGCCATCATCTGTGCCATGGGGAGACTTATCCAAGTTCCACAAAAAGAAATGGGGGGAATTCGCAGAAAATCCAGGGATCTAAGGGTCAATAAATGCAGCAGATAGCGCTACTTACAGTCCCCCGTTTTGCTTCGTCCTGGTATTTTCAGGAAATGAGAGACATTTGGTCCACTCATCTGTTGTTTGCCCGGGGATGCAGGTTCTAAGGCGGTTGACAGCAGCAAAGGAAGCATGTGCCTTATGCGCTGGCGTGGGGAGAAGAAAAAAACAAAAACGAGGGAAAATTACATATTGAAAAAAGAAAATAAAAAAAGTACAGAGAGAAAAATAAAAAATAAAATAAAATAATTATTTTAAAAATTTATTTATTATCTTTTGCATTAGATGGCGAGGGGGTAAAAGAGAGAAGAGCGTGTACAGCTCTCATTTAGGATCCTGGAATAGCGGCTCGTGTGCTAGTGAGAGAATCCTCCCCGGTTACTTTTACCTCGCCCTGCCGCATCTTCTTTCTTTAAAAAAAATTACTTCTTTCATTTTGAATTCTAGTCTTTCTTCTCTTTTCTGTTTAAGTGCAGGTTTAAGCTTCTCACGGTTTTGGTGCTTGTTTCAAGTTAGACGCCTGAGAGAGCTTACATCCTGTCCTTTAACACACGCGATATGGATCACCATTCGTTTTCCTCCTACCACTCTCACCTGGCTCAAATGTCAACTGACCAGCGGGAGCTCGAGTACAATCAGCATTCGGTACAAACTACCGGTGCCGAGGGAACTCTTCCAGCAAATGCCTTGCAGTCTTACGGCGCCCCGGTCACAAACTGGGCGACATCTAGATTGTACCTGACGCAGCAACTCATGAATCCTCAGGCTCTCCGACACTCTGGATACAGTAACGCGTGGGGTACGCCTTTCTCAGGACCAAGCGAACAACCCAGCATGTCTCATCCAGCACAAGCGTTTGCCCCTCAAACTTCTGAATATTCCTCTATCTACTCTCCATCTTCAAACTTTTCTACCATGGTTCATTCATCAACAATGGGTCGTCTCGGTTCCCAAGAGATGAGAAGTGAAATTGGTGCCATTATTTTTGGACGAGATGAACGGAGTCTCTCTTCACCTTGGGTCGGCCAGCAGCACGTCCAGCACGTTCAACGACGACGTTCTATTTATCCTATGAACATGCAGCAATCCATACAACAGGAAGAATCTGATGGAAGTTCTCCATCCAACCTGGTTACCTCTTTATCACCTATCTCAACCGCTTCCCCTAACTACCCCTCACACTCTTCAGAGGGCGCGCACTCGACTCCGATGAGCAATATGGCTGATGAAGCTTCCCCACTAACTACCGGCAGCTTGGGTGAGATGACTGAGGAAGATCATCACACTGATCCTCCCTACTCTCAACTTATTTTCCAAGCCTTGAGTGAGGCTCCGGATTTCAAACTACAGCTTCAAGATATCTATGCCTGGTTTGAGAAAAACACATCCAAGGGCAAGGATCCTGCCTCAAAAGGATGGCAAAACAGTATCCGCCACAATCTATCGATGAATCAAGTATGTGCATATTACCCCGCTCCCCATCATTTGATAAAATACATATTCCAAATCACAATACATTATCACAACATAATCTAATAAATCGGGTGTATTAGGGATTCTACGCTATCAAGAATGAAACTCGCGGCGGCAAGAGAACTATGAGCTTTTGGAGTCTTACAGCGGAAGCTATCAGAAATGGTAAGGTGGAATCTACCACCCGTTTCCGAAAGTCAGTTCCCAAAAAGTCTCAATGCGCCGACTCGCCGACACGTCGTGGGGGAGGAAACCAGAAAGGAAAAGTGACCGGAAAATGGACTGAATTACGCCAGGCGAACCGGAGTCGCGAAAGACAAGCCCGCAATTTAGTGGAGTCGCAAGCTCCCCAGCAACAGCAACAGCAGCAAGCCCCTGTGACAATCGATGATCGGTACCCTCCACAGCCAGAGTCCATTAATGATCGTTACATTTCACAGCCCGAGCTACCGCCCTACCAGGGGTCTCCCATGGCTTCTGAGCCCTACCCCCCGAGAGAATCAGTTTCCTTCGGATTTGAAACTGTGAGCAATTGCATTCCTTCCCCACATGGCAGCAGCCCGGCCTTCAGTGATCACAACCAGCCTAGTCCGGAGTGCTTGGCTGCAATCCGGCAGCGGCAGGCACTGAGGGAGCAGATGGGCCTGCAGCAGCAGTATGTACGAAGTGGGTTTAATCCTGGCCCCAATAATGGGTCCATGGCAAGTTCGGTGACCCACTCGAACATTCAAAATGGAGTCTGATGGATGAATGGCAAGAAAATAACAAAATGAGCCCGGAGTTTTGGGGGAAAGGGGAAGCGAAACTAACCGTTTCGGTGAAAAGAAATAATCACAGCTGACATGCGTTGTCTTGTCCATTTGCTTTTTCTTTTCCACTATTCCCTTTTTTCATCTTTGTTTTGATGGGTCGTTCTCGCGTTAATACCTATGATCGATAATGCTCGTGTTTCTTCTTTTGTCCATTCAATTTGTGTTCTTTATTCCCCCCATTTGATGAAGTTTTTTTTCCTGATCTCACCCTCAGAGCCTGTGGCCTTGGGTCTGGGATACATTAGACCTGCTGCATGCATTGCGATTGAAAGGGAAACTGGTGTTCTGACGGAAAACTTGCAGAGGATGTCATATTTCTTGTCTTGTTTTCTGTCTATGTCTCATTTTGCTTTTTTTTGAAGTGCTTCATTCTTAATGTATCCTGAGATTGAAAATGCAAGTGTACCAACAGGGTCAGTTGCCTCTTGGCACTGTTCAAGATCCATAGTCAAATCGATCTATCAATTACCAAAGTAAGCTTCCGATCTCCACTAAAGAGTCTGATATACCTGTATAAAGTACCCTGTAGATTCAAGTTACAATCCCTTTCAACAGGTTCCTTTCACAAGGGCCCACTTCAAATTGTTGATCTTTTTGAACGTTTCATTGTCTACACTGTACAATGGAGTCCTGCAAGTTCTCAACACCCGAGCACGAGAAGCCTTAGGATTGGTGAATACATAACGAATAGAATTGCTCCACTTGACTCTCTCTCACTTGTCTGCACACTTTGTATTACATACATATACGGCGTGTGGGGATTTCAAGCCATATCTACAACTACAGAAATGTGGCGAATAGGGATCAGCCTCCAACCAAAACACGATTCTTTGTGACACCTTACGGATACCTAAATGAGGAGAAAATAGCACCGAAACAAGCCAAGGGGGTGCAACATGTGGGGGGTATTACATGTACCCGCAGACTTGATTAGCCGCTTACGCCGATGCATAACACTTGGGGGTTTTCGGTGTCTGGAGCATGTTCTACTGACATCTGCAGGTCTCCTTCGACTGCCACGGGCGACGCGGAAATATTGATTAGCCTCCCCGGGCTGCGGCTAAGAGTCTGGAAGATCTTCCCGACCATTCGTCCCCCACTATTGACTCTTGGAGGCGCAGTCGATCTCGGGGGATCTGGATATTTTCTACCTATCCCGCAGATCATACCGGTTACCCTTTCCACACGAGGTTAGTCCAGATGTCTTCTTGGCAAGTCATTATGCAGCTGAATGTCACAACCTTGGAAATGTCACATTTTAGTGCTTCGTATTATGTACTGAGCACGGGGTAAGTAGTCAGTGCAGCCGACTCGGATTTACCATCTTGGCAGCTTGACTAGTTGAGGTTGATGGATCTACACTATCCGGACTACTCCCGAAAGTCTGATCTCCATACTACCGGAGTACTCTATGCACACTAATTATATGCAGCTAGAGGCAATGGGGGACAAGATCGACAAGCGCCCTTAGAAGAGATTAACATGCTCGATGGAGCACCAATCCGGTATCACTTTGAGTGGTCAGGATCATAAATCGAAACCCCCCCTTGACTGCTCACCCGGGCAAGATTTACTCCCCTCATTATCGAGTGACCCTAGTAGGACCGCAGCTCGGCCCCGATCTTTCGCGACACCTTCTTTTGGCCCCCACCTACCTTGTCTTCGTATACCATACCTCCATAGCCTTCTTTGGGGTTATGTGCGACCATGCTCTTCCTGAGTACCTCTGCGGAATACACCGGGTATCTATTTCCTCGGTATCAGGGAATGACATCTGCAGTGCTATTCACAAAGGACCCAAGCGCACAACGTTTAGAAATCCCGTTTTTCTCTCGCCACGGTCCGTGCCGTCATGGAACATGCTGCCTCGAACCTATCCACTCTATAGGGGAAAAATCCATACGGAGCTGCGGTATATTTTCTTGTCCTTGAATTTGATTTGACTATTTATTCATTTACCCAAAACCCTGGGACTTCTGCTGGCTTATCATCTATTGCATGATCTCATTTCCCAGAGATCCTTTCCTAAGTAATTTTAGTCACCTTTCGTTCATGCCGTGACCTATCCATCCCGCTGTCCAAGTCTTGAATCTTTCTGGTTTTTTCACTCCAAGCGAAATGATCATCCAAATGCCGTCTTTCAGCTATGATGTAAATCTATATTGATTTTAAGATGAAATTCATATCTAATTCGTCGGAATTTTTTGCCTGCATAAAGGTGTCGTGGCCTCTGTGGATCGTAATCCAATAGTCTCATAGTTAGGCTATACAAAAGTCGATCCCCGCTGGAGTGTACTCCGTATGCGCGGTTTTGTTGACATGAATCTAGACCAGGGCCCACCACTAACCAGTTAGTTACTGATTAATTGACTCCAGACCACGGAGTAGTTACCGAGTACAGAGTACGGAGTACGGAGTACTAGTAGTTTAGCCTGCGATCACCCGCACAGACCTGCTCGGCTCTGCCCGTCTCTCAAGTGCTCCTTTTTTCGTTTCTTTTTTTCGCTCTCGGCAATTATTGCATGCTGTACCCAGAGTGGCGGCGATCCACGATCTTCAATTTTGTTTTTGCTTTTTTTATTCCATCCCTCTGTCACCGTCCTTCTGTTGCTATTTTGAGCTGGTATTTCATGCAGGGGATGAATTGGGTGCTAGTAACCCGTCCACTGACGCTGTTAGCCTTCCGCCACTACAACCTGAAAAGATCTTAGTGCATCTTCCAACCGGGTGGATTCCTTTGAGAGACGGTTCATTCAACCGTGAATATTATCTATCAATTCAATTTCAAGTCAAAGTGGGGAAGCTAATAGCGCGCAATGTCAAAAATCTTTCACAAGTGTGCGGTACTTTTTTCCTGCAAAATGATAGCCTGAATGCAGTGCCTCCTTAGTACCCACATACCTAGAGGGAACTTGGATCATATCAGGCAGGAAGTGATGACCAGGTGTGGAGTATTCTAGTAATATAACTCAACTATGACAGGGATTTCTGACCACACACGTAAATCTCACATCTCGGCTACATGTGGGCTGCAATCAGCAGGATAGTGTAATCTGGCCCTCTCAACAGGGGTCTATTGAGATCTAGTAGGTCAAAGATACCCGCTCAATGGCACTGGTTTAGCATAAACAAGGGGTATCAAAAAGCTGGGTTCATTGTCGTAGGCCCCGATTTGGGCTTTGTTACACGTGGACAATGCTCTTATTGTCTCATTAACATTGCCAACCCTTGGAGATGGATGAGGCTCATTTGATCCTAAGTTTTTTTTTTGTATCGTCAATGTGGTATTCCGATCTAAATATACTTCAACCGGTAACCGGCAACCCGCGCACTTCCTCTGAAAACCTTTCAAGTGGTTCTTCATGCACACCACACCGTTTTTTTTCTCTCGCAAGCACCCGGGCGTCAGACCTCCTGTCAACTAGTGAAAATTCAGCATGACGGGCACGTTCGCCTTGACTGGGCTTCATCGTAGACGATTAACCCCTTATTCTCTTGGCCCTGCAGGTGCACATGTGATCGGTGGGTGTTGTGATGATAACTGCATATTGGAAGCGAGAGGCTTACCAAGAAGAGAAAGAGTCTCGAGTCATTTATGAAACTAGTGACTAGCATTCTAATAGGTCATGGTGCAAGACCTTCAGTCGGAACAAAAGTACAGCTGTTTATCCGTCACCTCGGGCCATACATAGATCTACAGTCTACTACTCTACACATGCATCCGTGGATAGGTCCGTGCTATATGCCATGCCTTCTCCATGTTGGAAGCCTTAACTTGAATCTGATATCAGTTTTTTCTTTTCTTTTTTGGCTTATTCCTGTTAACTGTAACTTCAAGTTCAAAATAACGCTTCTTTATTCAAGGTTGTGCGTACCCGCCATTGTGGATTCATGGAAACTTGAACCCCCACCCTTCAAGATGAGACTGCCCCATAGTTCATGAGGGAAACATATGCATCAACCTTGCAACTTGCAAGTTCCCAAACTCAGGTTGTAGTTCAAGTCTGTAGCTAAGATGATAGCCCTGATTGCATCATCTTCCAAAGTACTAGTAATCAGCGGTTCCAACATTAATTTTAGGCCCAAAATGCTCCACCTGCAGCCTGAGGGCTGTCATGGATAAATCCGTCTGCAGATTGATATTTAATACCTATGTATATGTACATCTAAATATGTGCATACATGCACCTTATTGAGCCCTGGAGCCCTGGAGGGATAGTGGAATTCGTGTGATATTACTAGTACAAGTACTTCAATGTTCTACTATATAGTACTATTTAAAGTTTTTAATTTCTGACTCCGAGTCCTGAGGCAGTAGAAAAACCGTGACCTGAATGGCTAGTACTAGTAGTACATAATTGGAAACTTGGACATCTGGATATACATAATGCCACATTGATTCATAGTATGCAGTGACCATGTAGGTACTAGTACTAGTGGTTGCCTCGGGCACGTTTCAATTGATGTCTGCCAGGTGGGCACATGTGCAGGTCCACATGGATGGTCGAAACTTGGAAACAGTTGACTACATCATGATCGAGACTCAACACTGGCATCTGAGTCGGTCATGATTGATCCAACATTCAATGTACTCCCATACTACTAGCGTCGACCAGGCGCATAGATTGAGCGGATTACAATCTTGATTAACTCAAGTTTGTTCAATAGTATTTCGCCGCGCCCGGAACTTGAATCCGGTTGCCCAGGTGCTTCATCAGTCCACAAATCACTGACAGGGTCACCAATCATATCACAACCTCATTGATCGAAGCATATTGCGCAGAACCATTTCTGGACTGCGTCCGACTCAAACATCGGAGGCAAAACAGAACAAGGAATATAAAAAAGGAAACAGACATGACGGCGCCCGGAGAACACCACTTCAAGTTGAAGATCTGCAGCAATGAGATCATGGCAGGACTACACAGGTCCGTGGACACCCTCAAGGCTATCTAGGTCTAGCACGCCGTGACCTGGACATGTCTAGACCTTGCAATAGACCTAGGCCTTTATTAATCTGCTGCCCAACTGGGAAACACATGGTATGTATGTATCTGCATCGTCTAAGCGATAGTCAGCTAGCGTAATAGCGACGACCACTTAGCGCAGCCTTTCGATCCGTAAATGTAAGAAAAGAGTTACATACTCCGTACGGAGTGGGGGAACCTAGGAATAATTAGCTGAGTCTCAGGGGTACAGGATGCAAATAGCTCTGATCGATCCACGTATGTAGTGCTCATATTCCTTGGGTCATCAACGCCCCTATGTACATTCTGTACATATCGACTAGTAAGTGTCTGCAGTTCCAGTCCAAACTATAATCAGCGATACGCACGCCGGGCGGCGATGGCCAGGAACAGTAACCCAGAGGCCCCCCCGGGATCCCATCGATGAATTATAATCCATGAAACAACCACCTCCTGGTCAATAGCACGCCTTACTATACCTACTTGTGCGTTCCCCGGAGTCGTTGCGCCAAGTGTCCCAGCCCCATCTAGCCTATAGACGCTCGACGGAAATATAGCGGTCTGTCGAAGGAACGGTGAGCGTTGCTGCAGACAAGGATATTGTTGTACGCAGTCTTTGTTGTAATCGGGGGCCGAGTTCCTGGGTGAAAGGATCAATCGTGCTTCATGGAGGTTGACGTGGTTGAAGCCTTGGACGCCTTCGGATCTTGGGCACATGGCTAATATGAGGTCTAGACTCGATTAGATGGAATACTTGGAATACTGACGTATGCAGAGCAAACAAAAAAGCGATGCGGCTGATTTGGGAATGTGATAGGAGATTTTGAGGGTCTGAAGAGTTTCCCAAATGAAGAGAATGAGTGCAGAAGGGTGTATACTCGCTATTAGGAAGTAATTGCGCAGATATAGTAATCAGTTGACTACTTAGGTTACCGCGGGGTAGTCTGCAATATCTCGAGACAGAAACTACGAGGCTTGTATAATAAACGATCCATATGCTGAAATTTGGGTCTTGCCCAGCCATGCCATATGAAGTCCGCTCACACAAAGATCTAGTAGAGGGCGAGAGAGAATGCCAGGGACCGATAATTGGGAACGAACGCTTTTTGTGGGAATCAACTCATGAAGATAGTAAATTTGGGTTTCATTTGCGTAGCCACGGCCCAGTTTCTGAACTCGTGAACTAGCGGTTCCTCATCCTTTTAAGATTCTAAAAGAACCGATCCCATCCTTTTTTCCGTATCGTCCGCTCCTCAAAAAAGACAAACACCGACGAGAATTGACATTGCTTAGCGCTTGCCAGCGGCCTTCTCCTGAGACTCCTTGAGAACCTTCTTGACGATCTTCTGCTCCTCAATCAGGAAAGCACGAACAATGCGGTCCTTGACGCAACCAGCGCAGCGGGAACCACCGTAGGCACGGCTGACGTTCTTCTTGGGGCGGGAGATCTGGGCGTACTCGCGGGGGCGCAGAGCGGGGACCTATCGAAAATGAATCTTGTCAGTCGAAATTGTTTCGTCGACGAAGATGAAAAAGACTGTCGTAGAGATTGTGTCGATCGTTGGCGAAATGTGTAGAGTGCATGGAATGTATGCTGGCTGTTCAGATTTTTTTTTTCCCGCCGAGGGGTGACTTTTCCGTCAGTCCACCCACATCCATCCACCGCACACAATATGACGCACAATCCCATACGATGTCCCGAAAAAAATAATTCGCGTCAAGGAATACTCACACCGGGGAGCTTGATGCCACAGTCACCACACTTGGGAGCGGTACCCTTCTTCTTCAGGTGAAGGTAACGGAGCTCACCACCGGGGGTCTTGATGATGCGGACCTTGTTGGAACGGGTGTTGTAACTATCGGAGCAAAAATCGTCAATAAATCGTTCCAAATCGTCGTAGCCAGTTTATTCTGATCGTATCTCGTGTCGAATGAAGCGGAGGGGAGGTATCATGGGCAAAGGGAAATTTTTTTTTTCTCAACGTACGGGTTCCGGCGACGCTGTAAAAATCGAGGGTCAGTACTATTTTCGCATATGAAAAGAAACGTCTCAATTCAGCGAAACTCACGAATGTCAATCTGTTGTCAGGCATCTTGGCTGTCGGTGAACCACGGTGGTCAAGAAGGCGTTGGTCGTCGTCGGGTTGTGAACAGTAAAATGTTCAAGTTGGACGGGTTTGTGTGGGTTTCGCTCTAGCGCAGATTTGGCGAGTCCGCGCTAGGCCCAAAGTAGACTAGCGCATTATGGAGCCGCCACCGCAGAGTTCCAAGTTCGAAAGGAGCATCTCAGCAAAGTTAGAGAGGTTAGAACGTCAGGTGTTCCGCCATCCCCTCCTCTTGGTTGGGTCTATTTGCTTTCTTACGCGTTGGTGTTGAGGCTTTTATTCCCCTTCTCAACACTTTTTTCGACATAATACCTCCAACTGTCGATGATCTTAGACGTGATTTGACGCGACTTTTGAGCCCAACTTACGCATAAGGGAGGGTGGAAACTCCCCCCCATCAATCACCACCAGCAATGGCATCCTTGCCTCCTCCACCTCCTCCAGGATGGAGTGCAGCGCCATCATCAATGCCGATGGCGCCGCCGCCTCCCGGATACCAGCCGCCCGCCGACCCGACCGTCGCAAAATTTGCGCAGAAAAAACATGAATGGTTACGAACGCAACGGAGTCGATTCGGCGAGAAGCGCAAAGGGGGATTCGTGGAGACTCAGAAGGCGGATATGCCCCCGGAGCATCTGCGAAAGATTGTGAAGGATATCGGCGATGTGTCACAGCGAAAATTTACCAATGAAAAGCGTGCCTATCTGGGCGCGTTGAAGTTTATGCCCCACGCCGTCTTGAAGCTTCTGGAGAACATGCCAATGCCATGGGAAGCTGCCAGAGAAGTCAAGGTACTCTATCACGTCAATGGTTGCTTGACTTTGGTCAATGAGACCCCGCGTGTGATCGAGCCAGTCTTCCATGCCCAGTGGGCTACGATGTGGATGTGCATGCGTCGCGAAAAGAGTGATCGACGACACTTTAAGCGCATGCGTTTCCCTCCATTCGATGACGAAGAACCTCCTCTTTCATGGTCAGAAAATATTGAAGATGTCGAGCCTCTGGAGCCCATCCAGATGGAGCTGGACGAGGAGGAAGATGCTGCGGTCTACGAATGGCTTTACGACCACCGACCCCTCTTAGATACCCCTCACGTTAACGGACCGAGCTATAAGAGCTGGAATCTTTCTTTACCACAGATGGCGACTCTTCACCGTCTCAGTCATCAGCTTCTAAGTGATGTGGTGGATCAGAACTACCATCACATGTTCGACCTCAACAGCTTCTTCACAGCAAAGGCCCTCAATGTTGCAATTCCCGGTGGACCTCGCTTTGAGCCGTTGTACAAGGATATTGACCCCAACGATGAGGATTTCAGCGAGTTCAACGCTATCGACCGCATCATTTTCCGTGCACCCATTCGTACCGAGTACCGGGTCACCTTCCCCTTCCTCTATAATACTCTCCCGCGCAGTGTCAAGGTTGCCTGGTACTCTCACCCCCAGGTGGTCTATGTCCGCACCGAGGACCCCAACCTCCCCGCTTTCTACTTCGACCCTGTTATCAATCCTATTTCCTCCCGCTCAGTCGCCCCGAAGAACCTCACCGTTAGCCACGAGCACGAGATCTTTGGTGACGATAATGAGGACGATTTCGAACTTCCTGGTGAGGTTGAGCCGTTTTTTGAAGATGAGGAGCTTTACACTGCGGATACTGCATCTGCAATTGCTCTTTGGTGGGCCCCTCATCCCTTTAATAAGCGATCTGGTAAGATGGTTCGGGCTCAGGATGTGCCGCTTGTGAAGCAGTGGTACCTGGAACATTGCCCCCAGGGCCAGCCCGTCAAAGTCCGTGTCTCTTACCAAAAGCTTCTTAAGACATATGTCCTTAACGAGCTGCACAAGAGCACGCCAAAGGCCCAGAGCAAGCAGAATCTCCTCAAGACGCTGAAGACCACCAAGTTCTTCCAGCAGACTACCATTGACTGGGTTGAGGCTGGTTTACAAGTCTGTCGCCAGGGTTTCAACATGCTCAACTTGTTGATTCACCGCAAGAACTTGACTTACCTGCATCTTGACTACAACTTTAACTTGAAGCCTGTGAAGACCCTTACAACAAAGGAGCGAAAGAAGTCCCGTTTTGGAAACGCTTTCCACTTGATGCGAGAAATTCTCAGATTGACCAAGTTGATTGTTGATGCTCAGGTCCAGTACCGTCTGGGCAACATTGATGCTTTCCAGCTTGCGGACGGTATTCTCTATGCGTTCAACCACGTAGGTCAGCTGACTGGTATGTACCGATACAAGTACAAGCTGATGCACCAGATCCGTTCGTGCAAGGATTTGAAGCATCTTATCTACTACCGATTCAACTCTGGCCCCGTTGGTAAGGGACCTGGTTGTGGTTTCTGGGCACCAGCTTGGCGAGTGTGGCTGTTCTTCATGCGTGGTATCATTCCTCTTCTGGAGAGATGGCTTGGCAACCTGCTCTCTCGTCAATTCGAGGGTCGTCACAGCAAGGGTGTTGCCAAGACCGTTACCAAGCAGCGTGTGGAGTCTCACTTCGATCTTGAGTTGCGTGCATCCGTCATGGCGGATCTCATGGATATGATGCCCGAGGGTATCAAGCAGAACAAGGTCAACGTTGTCCTGCAGCATCTGTCTGAAGCCTGGAGATGTTGGAAAAGTAACATTCCTTGGAAGGTTCCTGGCCTGCCCGCTCCTATTGAAAACATCATTCTTCGTTATGTCAAGAGTAAGGCTGACTGGTGGATTTCCGTGGCTCACTACAACCGGGAGAGAATTCGCCGAGGAGCTACTGTCGACAAGACCGTGGCGAAGAAGAACTTGGGCCGACTGACTCGTCTTTGGCTCAAGTCGGAGCAAGAAAGACAGCACAACTACCTGAAGGATGGTCCTTATGTCTCGTCCGAGGAGGCTGTGGCTATTTACACAACCATGGTCCACTGGCTGGAGTCACGCAAGTTCTCTCCTATTCCTTTCCCTAGTGTCTCATATAAGCATGATACCAAGATTCTTATCTTGGCTCTTGAACGTCTTCGCGAGTCCTACTCCGTGAAGGGCCGATTGAACCAGAGTCAACGTGAAGAGCTTGCCTTGATTGAGCAAGCATATGACTCCCCCGGTACTACTTTGGCTAGAATCAAGCGTTTCCTCTTGACCCAGCGAGCCTTCAAGGAGGTTGGAATTGACATGAACGACAATTACAATAATATTAACCCCGTCTACGATATCGAGCCTATTGAGAAGATCACTGATGCTTACCTGGACCAGTACCTGTGGTATCAAGCAGACCAGCGTCACTTGTTCCCTGCTTGGATCAAGCCCTCTGACTCCGAAGTTCCACCTCTTTTGACCTACAAGTGGACTCAGGGTATCAACAACTTGTCCAATGTTTGGGAAACCGCCGATGGTCAGACTAACGTTATGATCGAGACCGATTTGTCAAAGGTCTACGAGAAGATGGATCTTACTCTGTTGAACCGTATGCTCCGTCTCATCATGGACCACAACTTGGCGGACTACATCACCTCCAAGAACAACGTTCAGCTGAGCTACAAGGACATGAACCACACCAACAGCTATGGTTTGATCCGTGGTCTGCAGTTCTCGGGCTTCGTTTTCCAATACTACGGCATGATGATTGATTTGCTGCTTCTGGGCTTGCAGCGAGCCAGTGAAATGGCTGGCCCGCCTGCTAGTCCAAATGACTTCCTGCAGTTCCGTGACAAAGCAACCGAGACACGACACCCCATCCGTCTTTACACTCGATACGTTGATAAAATCTGGGTCTTCTTCCGTTTCGAAGCAGACGAGTCCCGAGACCTTATTCAACGGTTCTTGACTGAGAATCCCGATCCTAATTTCGAGAATGTGATCGGCTATAAGAATAAGAAGTGCTGGCCGCGTGACTGTCGAATGCGTTTGATGCGTCACGATGTCAACCTTGGACGTGCTGTTTTCTGGGATCTGAAGAACCGCCTTCCTCGCTCCATCACCACCATTGAATGGGATGATACCTTTGCGAGTGTATACAGCAAGGACAATCCTAACTTGCTTTTCTCTATGAGTGGATTTGAAGTTCGCATTCTCCCCAAGAGCCGCAATCAGAATGAGGAATTTTCAGTCAAGGACAGTGTGTGGTCCCTTGTGGATAACTCCACCAAGGAACGCACTGCCCACGCTTTCCTCCAGGTGACCGAGGAAGATATCCAAAAATTCAACAACCGTATTCGACAGATTCTGATGTCTTCTGGATCGACCACGTTCACCAAGATCGCAAACAAGTGGAACACAGCACTCATCGCGCTCTTCACATACTACCGTGAGGCTGCTGTGTCGACAGTCAACCTTCTTGACACTATCGTGAAGTGTGAGACGAAGATTCAGACCCGTGTCAAGATTGGTCTGAACTCTAAGATGCCGTCTCGTTTCCCGCCAGCTGTATTCTACACGCCCAAGGAACTTGGTGGTCTTGGTATGATCTCTGGATCTCACATTCTCATTCCTACAAGTGACAAGCGTTGGTCTAAGCAGACTGATACTGGTATTACCCACTTCCGAGCGGGTATGTCGCATGATGAAGAGACTCTCATTCCTAATATCTTCCGTTACATTATTCCCTGGGAGGCCGAGTTCATCGACTCGCAGCGTGTCTGGATGGAGTACTCTCAGAAGCGTATGGAAGCCCAGCAGCAGAACCGTCGTCTGACCCTGGAGGATCTTGAGGACAGCTGGGACCGCGGTCTTCCCCGTATCAACACTCTTTTCCAAAAGGACCGCAGCACCCTCAGTTTCGACAAGGGTTTCCGTCTTCGTGCTGAGTTCAAGCAGTACCAATTGATGAAGAGCAATCCTTTCTGGTGGACAAGCCAGAGACATGATGGTAAATTGTGGAACTTGAATGCCTACAGAACCGATGTTATCCAGGCTTTGGGTGGTGTTGAGACCATCCTCGAACATACTCTTTTCAAGGCAACCGCTTTCCCATCTTGGGAGGGTCTTTTCTGGGAACGAGCTTCTGGTAAGCCCCTCAAAAATTTCCATTTCCATTTGAAGATGTCACATAACTAACGATTTCACTTTCTTCCAACAGGTTTCGAAGAGTCTATGAAGTTCAAGAAGCTGACCAACGCTCAGCGATCCGGTTTGAACCAGATTCCTAACCGTCGTTTCACTCTTTGGTGGTCTCCAACCATCAACCGTGCCAACGTCTACGTTGGTTTCCAGGTCCAATTGGATCTGACTGGTATCTTCTTGCACGGCAAGATTCCCACCCTCAAGATCTCCTTGATTCAGATCTTCCGTGCCCATTTGTGGCAGAAGATTCACGAGTCTGTTGTCATGGACTTGTGTCAGGTGTTTGATCAAGAGTTGGAGCAACTGGGTGTTGAAGCCGTTCAAAAGGAAACCATTCACCCCCGTAAGTCCTACAAGATGAACAGTTCTTGCGCAGATATCCTTCTCTTCGCCACCAACAAGTGGAACGTCACTCGTCCTTCCTTGTTGTCCGACACCAAGGATGTCTACGAACCTACGGCAACGAACAAGTTCTGGCTTGATGTGCAATTGAGATATGGTGATTACGACTCTCATGATATTGAACGCTATGTTCGTGCTAAGTACCTTGACTATACAACGGACAGCATGAGTATTTACCCTTCGGCAACCGGTCTCATGGTCGGTATTGATCTTGCTTACAACCTGTACTCCGCCTACGGTCAGTACTTCCCGGGTCTGAAGACTTTGATCCAACAGGCCATGGCCAAGGTTATGAAGGCGAACCCTGCTCTGTACGTCCTTCGGGAACGTATTCGCAAGGGTCTGCAGCTGTATGCATCGGAGAGCAACCAAGAGTTCCTGAACTCTCAGAACTACTCCGAGCTGTTTAGCCCGCAGATCCAGCTGTTCATTGATGACACCAATGTGTACCGTGTCACCATTCACAAGACCTTCGAGGGTAACTTGACCACCAAGCCTATCAACGGTGCTATCTTCATCTTCAACCCCCGAACAGGTCAGCTGTTCTTGAAGATCATCCACACGAGCGTTTGGGCTGGCCAAAAGCGTCTGGGACAACTGGCTAAATGGAAGACTGCCGAAGAAGTGGCAGCTCTCATTCGGTCTCTGCCCGTGGAAGAGCAACCGAAACAGCTCATCGTCACTCGCAAGGGTCTGCTCGATCCTCTTGAGGTCCACTTGCTTGATTTCCCCAATATCTCTATCCGTGCCTCTGAACTTCAACTTCCTTTCCAGGCTGCCATGAAGGTTGAGAAACTCGCAGATATGATCTTGCGGGCTACTGAACCTCAAATGGTTCTCTTCAACCTGTATGATGAATGGCTGAAGTCCATCTCTCCGTACACTGCATTCTCTCGATTGATTCTGATTCTCCGTGCCCTCCACGTCAATATCGACAAGGCCAAGATTATCCTTCGGCCGGACAAGAGCGTGATCACCCAGGAGCATCACATCTGGCCGTCTCTATCGGACGAGGACTGGATCAAGGTCGAAGTGCAACTGCGTGATCTGATTCTCAACGATTACGGCAAGAAGAACAATGTCAACGTGCAGAGCTTGACTAGTAGCGAAGTGCGAGACATTATTCTGGGTATGGAGATTAGTGCACCATCCTTGCAGCGTCAGCAAGCCGCCGAGATTGAAAAGCAGCAAGAAGAAGCGAAGCAACTCACCGCTGTGACCACCAAGACCCAGAACGCTCGGGGTGAAGACATTATTGTGACGACTACTTCTCAGTATGAGCAGCAGTCTTTCGCATCCAAGACCGAGTGGCGCACTCGCGCTATTGCGACATCAAACTTGCGCACCCGATCGAACAACATCTATGTCTCCTCTGACGACATCCGTGATGAGGGATTCACCTATGTCATGCCTAAGAATATTCTCAAGCGCTTCATCACAATCGCAGATCTTCGGGTCCAGGTTACTGGTTACATCTACGGTAGTTCGCCGCCAGATAATGACCAAGTTAAGGAGGTCCGGACTATTGTCATGGTTCCGCAGGTCGGAAACACTCGCGATGTCCAATTGCCTCACGAGCTGCCCCAGCACGACTACCTGAATGGTCTCGAGCCTTTGGGCATCATTCACACGGTCTCTGGAAATGAGCCACCCTACATGTCTGCGGCAGATGTTACCCAACATGCCCGTCTCATGAACTCTCATTCGTCTTGGGACAAGAAGACCGTCACTATGACCGTTTCCTTTACTCCCGGATCAGTCTCACTTGCCTCCTGGGGACTCACACCCCAAGGATACAAGTGGGGCGCAGAGAACAAGGATATGACCTCTGATCAACCGCAAGGCTTTTCAACCGACATGGGTCAGAAATGTCAACTGTTGCTCAGTGATCGGGTACGCGGCTACTTCCTTGTGCCCGAGGACAACCTCTGGAACTACAGTTTCATGGGTAGCTCGTTTGGCAGTATTGAAAAGAGGCCGATCTATGTGAAGATTGACACACCGCTGAGATTCTACGATGATCAGCACCGTCCTCTTCACTTCCAGAACTTTGCTGAGTTGGAGGATATTTGGGTTGACCGGACAGATAACTTCGAGTAAGGGAGTTGGAGCACTTGAGTGTATTGGTGGGCGTTCACAAAAAAGCCATGACCCCCTTTTTTTGTGTGTCATTTGAGTCATTCTTTGGGGCGGCGTCTGTATTCTTATCCTTGTATCCCTGTACCCTTTTTCATTTTCATTTTTTATTTACCCCTTGAGATGTGTTGCTGTATCATGACAATCATAATTTCCATGTGTTTGGAGCCCATAGCCCCCGAGTTTGGAATAACAAAAAAAGAGCTCCTTTGAACAATCTTGTATATGAATAGTATTAGATGTTAAGCGTTTAAAAGATGAATATTCTTGAAACCTTGGAATATTGAATGTCCTTGACTTGTACTGTGTACTTCTGTATAATATCATCGTGTCCATGCATTGGCATGTGTTGGGAGTCTGGGGACACATGGCATGAGTCGCATGACAAATCCCTGCATAAATACCATGCACCCATGGAGCCGACGTTTGATTTTGATTGTGAATCATGTTTTAGCGTGGTTTCTGATTGACTAACGTCAGCTTCGTATGTGAGAATCAATACAAACTTGGATCATCTCATAAGTGGCCTATCAGGTTAATACCTAGTAGGTACTGGCCAAGCATGTTTAGCCACAACTCCACCTTGACTCCTCCCTGGCTTCTCACAAGTCAAAGCAGGTTCCTTCATTTCCGGAATCACTATATCCACTGATCTGCAGTTGTTGTTCCCGACAGTACAATAACATCATGTCATTCTCCCCTGGGAGGCCTGAGCTTGACTTATGGAGAGTCCCCCGTTTTACGGGGCAAATCGCATAAAAGGGTATTTACAAATTATAACGACAGGGATTACACTCCAGAGTCCATACACACACTTGCTACTCCGTATTCAGCTCCACTAAAGCTAGCCGGGCCCAACCGAACTATCGAATCCACTAGATTCAGATAGGCTGTTCCTGTCCCGTGGGAATGCATGGGACAATGAATGATGAATTCCTAGAGTGCCACCTGCAACTAAGTCAAGCCTACTCCGTCCAGCCCGTTCGGATCCTCCCAGATTGATCCTCTCTTTTACCCCACTCCCCTACAGAAATACAAAAATTTACGAGATTGAAGCGAAGAGGGGGTGAAAAAGGGAAAAACTTGAAGGTCAAAAGCAAGTCAAATCGGTGAAGTCATATTCTGCATGGGTATATGAAGATCTACGATGTCGGGATAGTTAACCTATATGCATTCTAGTGATCAACTAAAATCGTGGAGAATGACTCCGGTTCCAATCTAATACAACCATTTCCACCACTTGATGATGAACTAGCCTGTCAAAAACGAATTCAAGTCTGAGCGCTCATTATCTTACGGCGTCAGATTCATGACATTTAAATCGGGTCCTCTCGGCTTCCCCGGTGGCCCCCCTTTTAGCGTCAAGATAAAAGGGCCTTAGCGTTCAAAATGTTTGTTTGCCTCCAAATTATTATAACTCTTTTTGCCAATGAGGGGATAAATCGGATGATTGACCAAAGACATCACTTCCACTTCTTCCTTAGAGGAATCGGAAAGGATTGATTGGAACTTTTCGCCCACGAATAACTTTCCCTGTCAAGCGCAGGTTCCCCCTCACTAACAATCCAAATTCCCGGCTTTTTGGTTTCGATTATTCGGCTCTTGCCGGATTGCGCTTGGTCTCTTGTCATTTCCGAGGTCCCATTACTCCATGAACTCGTATCATGCTGTTTCATGCATATCGACTTCCTTTAAGGTCTCGTTTCATGGGAATATCAACCCCAAGGGAATATTTCCCCCTTTCTATAAAACAACGATGTGAAGGGCGCTTGGATAGCTAAAAAGAAGAAGAAAGATTAGTGATTGGAGATTCAGAAAGCGCGCGCTTTTAGATATGGAACTTATTTCATGATTGCTATGATTTAGTTTGTTGTATATCGGTTAGTTTTCCTTTCCAGGGGGTCTTCAAACCGCTTCTTAGATGGTTTAGCGGGAAATAGCCCTAGTAGAATACTTCGTACGTATCCAGGTGATGACTTCTTCCGGTCACTCAGACCCTTTTTGCTCGTCTTTCTTTCTGCAATGTCCCGGATATAATTGAAGGGGGGGGAGGGGTCGTCTCCGGTGAAGGTCTTGAACATGCGATTTCCTGTCACAGTGTGATCTTTTTTCCCTTCTCTTTCCCTCGTCTTCAAACATGTTCTCTACCCCTTAGTATCCCCTTCAAACTATGCTATACATATTCACTATTAGACCCAGGAGTCGCTGTACCTCTTTGATACTTGGATATTAAGAGACTTCGCCACTGCCTCCTCTCCAATCGAATTAACTCTCATCCCCCTTTTTTGACTGGTACAAATCTAAATTTGTCCTTCTCGCTTGCTGTTAGAGGCCCAACTCCACCCCCCTATATAACAGCTTCTTATGGTGACAGCGAGACGTCAGTACACCATTCAGAGAGCGAAGTGACCCTGCACTGGCACTGTTCTCTCCCAACAGCTCAGCCACTCAAGCCAGGGCTCTCCTGGCAACTTTGATGTATGTCCGCTACATTGGCCGACCCGTATCGAGGCTTTGCAGTCACCTTTACTCAAGCGGAAAAACCCGACGATCATGATTTGATCACGTATGATGCGACCCAGTCGCAGGCGCGCGAGAAGATGCTAAGCAGTCTTTCCTACCATTCCGACGACGCCAGCACATCATCCTTTGGCAGTCATAGTCTGCAAGCAGGGCTACCTCTCCCAGAGCCCCAAACAAACGGTACCCACGAGCCGCAGTCGAATTTTCTTCCTGTGCACCAGTTACTCCATCCGCCTCATTATAGCTACGATAATATATCTTACTCGTCAGACGCACGGAGACGTTCACACACCGGAAGTGAAATCGACAATCCTCGAGATATGGAGTTACCTTTACCAGTTGGACTTCCACAGCCTGTACATCCCATGCCTATGGATGGTTCAGGTCCTGGTATTTCGGAATCCGAGATGCATTTTCCAAGCCTTCAGAATGATCATTCGGGATCTCACCCCTCATCGAACCATGGCTATGCTTCTCCGATGTCATTATCTCTTCCCCTGCCGATTCCGCAACATCATCACCATCGTCTTCCATCGCAGGCGGGTCTCCTTTCCAACTTTCATAATCATGGATCCCCGACCTCAAGGATGGGTCCGCCAAATCTGGTCGGTCAGCCTGGAATGCCGCGACCTGCTAATCGGCCAAGGGCACCGAAGCTGAAATTCAAGCCAGAGGAAGATGCCTTGCTGATAGACTTGAAAGAAGAGAGGAGGTTGACTTGGAAGCAAATCTCGGATTTCTTCCCTGGTCGCACAAGCGGGACCCTGCAGGTCCGCTATTGCACAAAGTTGAAGTCGAAAGATGTGAATTGGACTGAGGAAATGGTTAGTATTGAACCTCTCTCTTGTTACGTTATTTAAAAAACTTCAACCGGTTCTTTCATCCATGATCTCTGCTAATGTCGGTTGATGCGTATAGATAAATCGACTCGACAAAGCGTTGCGGGATTATGAGGACGACCGCTGGCGAGTCGTGGCAGCGAAGGTAGGACATGGCTTCACTCCAGCAGCATGTCGAATTCGGGCATTGAATCTTGACCCAGAGGAAGAGGGTATGGAGGATCCTCATGATATGGTTGATCACATTGAGGTTGATGATATTGAGGTTCAACATGGTATTGAGGTTCATCGCGCTCTTGAGGCTCAGCATGCTCTCGAGGCTCAGCGTGCTATTGAAGGCCGGCATTAGAGTCATTTCTCTTTTTGCTTTGATTGTCTGATATTTCATTCGTATGGACACTTGTGTGAGTAGAAGATAGTATGTTTTCAGCGCTTGGACATGACGGAGTACATGGGTACCTATGATTATGGGCGAAAGGAAATGCATTCAATTTTTCATTTTTGAAATATGATCAAGCCGTATCGAGATAGGCAATGAGTGCCCAGGTGTATGAAGAGGATGTAGTAAGCTGGGGTTAGAAGCTGAAGGATTTGTTCATGGGTTGCTCGGAGTATTTGAGGTCTAGGAGGCCCACCAGCTGACCCCTGCTATATGAGGAGCGAATATCAGTGGAGTGTATGAGTTGTCTGATGCCGAGTTCGTGCGGAAACTGCGGGTTTAAATAACTACAACCCCGAGATTAGACTCAACGCAACGTCAGCATAATTATCACAATCAGATATTGAGTACAAAATACCTTTGGACTACATATGCATAATTCAAGTTGTATCAAACTTGAGACTGGAAGGATCAATCCTCCAGTACTACATAAAGTGGTGTGTTGACGGTCCCACCTTAGATACGCCACCGATTCCTGGTGCATGCAGTAGCCTAGCAAACATTCTCGCTGAAGATATTGCTCGGAAAAATGCATAGCTGAATCCTTTTATTTCCTTTTTATCAGTGAAGAAAGAATTTGAAACAAGCAGGATAATGGGGTACACATTCCAAGATTACTGTGCAGGTGCCAACTGTGACCCGCTATCTGTCAGTGAGTACTCCAGGCCGAAGACAATCTGACATTGTCAGGCCCTCAATGTCGCATTGGAGACTATATGATGACTTGATATAGCAGAAATTTAAAAAGTTTAGTCCAGACCGATATACTCTTGACGAAACAACTCCGATGTTGAAACCTGAATTTGCATTGAGGTCCAGTCATCCTTTGGAACAATACGTGAATGTGAATGGTCATTAAGCATAACATTAAAATGAGTGGATTAAATCGATGGAGAATTGATAGTTTGACAATGACCAGCTGAAACTAAAACAAAATAACCTATATCAGACAAACTTTCTCATGATATAAGAAAACATGGGGAGTGTCAAATGATTCCTTGTTGTTGTATAGTTCCCGCATTATAGACCCTAAGCCCTAACATTACCTAAAACGGACAACAACATAAGCAGCTCTGATGATTATCACGTGATATATCAGCCACCAATCAGAAAGAGTCCGAAACCAACCAATCAGAAGCCCAACGGCCCGTAGCGGGACTCAAACCTCAACCTCAAGACTTGAGAACTCTCCCCATCCTCAAATTCCCTCCTCTCCTCTCCCCCCCAATTCCACCACACCTCCGGTACAATGTTCCTCCAGCGTACCGCCTCGGCTATTGCCCGGCGCTCTCCCGCCCGCGCCTTCACTCTCGCTCAGCGCCCGTTCTCTTCCTCCATCGTGCGCAGTACGTGACTCCTTCCCACCCCCAAGTGGCCTGATGCGAGCTTGCCAATTCGACCTCTATCAATTCTCGCCCCGCGACAAAATTGGCTCGTCAAATATATCTTAACCACGAATTTGATCGATATTCCATGCCATGAGCATTGGCTAACGCGAATTTGTACTTCCAGTGAACGACTCGAAGAAGTGGGCCGTCCAGGACGAGCGCAAGGTCATTTCCTTCGATGGTTAGTAATCCTCAATTGGTTTACTCCGGACACGCCACGACCAGCTTTATGTTTTGTGATATCGAGTTGCGGTGGACACATCCAAAATTCAATGTTATGATGCTTCCCTACGCAATTGGGTTGCGGGAGATATCGGGAACATGGATTATGGACCCATCCGCATTCGAGGTCACGCAACATGAAGCTCGTACACATATTACGATGTATAAGCTATTTGAGCATGAATTGATGCTGACTCGCGCCCCGGCTTTTACAGAGATCAAGTCCGAGGACGACCTCCTTCCCCCCGGTGCCAAGCCCGGTACCGTCCCTACCGACTTCGTCCAGGCTACCGGTCTCGAGCGTCTGGAGCTGATCGGAAAGATGCAGGGCATCGACATCTTCGACATGCGTCCCCTGGACGCCTCCCGCAAGGGTATGTGACCATCTACATGCACTGTTTTGCACCGACGATATCCGAATTGCGCGTACGGCATAAATGGAGCTTCTAGAACCGGGTTGCTAATCGAGAATGTGTTATATATAGGAACGATTGACAATCCCATCATCGTCAACGGTGCCGGTGATGAGCAGTATGCCGGTTGCACCGGTTTCCCCGCAGACTCCCACCAGGTTAACTGGCTGACTGTACGACAAGCCCTGTGAATCTAAGCATGTAAAGATTCAATATGCTGACCGAAGCTTTTCTTTTACTCATAGGTCTCCCGCGAGCGTCCTCTTGAGCGCTGCAACGAGTGCGGTAACGTCGTTAAGCTTAACTACATTGGTCCTGAGGAGGACGCCCACTCCCGTATGTACCATCTGTTCTGTCTATTGCCGTATACATGGCATTTGTACTAATCTGACACCTTCTGATTATAGACGACCACGACCACGGTCACCACCACCCCACCCCCGAGGAGCCCAAGACCTTCGCCGACTACGTCAAGCCCGAGTACTGGTACCGGTAAATTTGTCGCACTGCAAAAAACCCCATCTGATACAGTTGTGAACGGTTGTTTGTAACATGCGAGTCTCTATATCTGTTCTGTCTTCGCGGTCTGCGCTTCCCGTCTCTTTTGTAGAATAGTTCTCTAGTGGATGAAAATGAGATGATCCCCGGGGATGTATTTTGACTAATCTTCTAATTCTCGGTTCCCTTCATGGTTTCAATTTTTTTTCGATCCTGGTTTATATATGCTTATACTTGTTGCAGTGGCAGTGATCTCGGGAAAAGAAATAGGTAAGACATAGTTGATTATTTTATTTCGCTGGAAGCAAATTTCCCCGTGGGGAAGAAAAGAAAGGCCACCAAAGGTAACATAGCAACGAATAATGAGACAGATTCGAAAGAATACGATCGAAATACAATAGCCTCCCAAAAATCAAGCAAGAATATTATACATACTCTCATTTAACGACCAACATAGCGTTTTTCAAGGTATCTCAAGGGCGGATAAACGACCAAAGCCCAGGTAAAACCAACATAATTACCCATCTGATGTAAAGTTAGCATATATCCAATGTGATCAGAAAGAAAGAGAATTTATACTCACATCAGCACCTTCCGAGCTTACCAACTTGGCCAGTGGTCCAATATACCACACCTGGGCCATGCACAAGACAGCACCAACCCAACCAACAACAAAGGCCGTGAAACTCGCAAACCCAATAGGCAATTTCGACGGATCACTCCAAGCAGCCCAGTTATAGCCACTCTTGAAACGGAAGAGGAAGAACTCTTCCAGGATAATCGCAAACCAAATAGCAACCCAGTATCCCATGAGAGCAAGGAAATTGGTAAAGATATCAGAGAGATGACTCCGGCCCGCAAGCGCGCAGACAGTGTAGATGATCACGCCGACAGTGTTCCAGATCACACGTGGTACCTTCTCGGCGTACCGGCCCAGGATCTGGAAATCAACACCGGAAGAATAGGTTGGTGCAACAGTGTTGGCGATTTCACCCAGGGCTACGATGACGGCACAGAATTTGCCGAAGCCATGGAGGGGTCCAAAGCCTTCTACAATTAGTGCACCTTGGCCTCTGTCATAGGCTGCTGCGTACTCTGGGCTTGTGGTTACACCAGAGCCTAGACCGATACCGAGGATTATGGCGAAGGAGAAGGAGAACATGAGACCTGTTAGGGTTAAGGTGAAGATTGTGCGGCGGGATGTGTGCTCGGGGTAGTACACGAAGAAGTCGGCTGCGAGAGGGGCGTAGGTGATTGCGGCACTCAAGCAGAGCGAGAAGAATGATAGCCTGTTTTTTGGTTTTAGATTGAGGGTCTATTGGGCTGTGCTTCTTGATGGCGTACCTGTTACCGGCTACCGTTCGGGCGTCGCCTGTGGATGCTGTCGTCAAGTCAAACTTCGAGGCGGAGACACCGAAGAGGATGCAGAAGATGATCAGTTGAGGTACGAATGCGAATCTGCTTTGATGTTAGCGGCATTCTCACATGGTTTTCAAGTCACGCGATGACTGACCGTTCGTAGTAGTGGAATGCTTGGATACCGAATGTTGCCACGATCAAACTGATGACTGCAATGATGACAATTCCTATCATGGATATGCAATTAGTTTTGGCCTCATTGACTTTCGAGAGACAGCCACATACCAACAGCAACCGACATGCCATTGGGAGAGACAGCAGACAGAATCTGTCCTCCAACAACACAGTCGATCAAGCAGTATCCAATCATTTGAACAAGATTCAACAGTACAATGATCTTACTAGGCCACCATCCCATAGAGTAACGACCAAATGCCTGAGTAATTGTAAGCTTTGCTTCATACTATAAATGAGACAGAAGACGCCATACCATAGTCCGAATACCTGAGATAGGTCCCCAAGTCGCCATCCATGCTGCTCCAAAAGAGCCAACCAATGCACCAAAGACAGCACAAAGTGCGGAGTCCGTAAAGCTAAGACCATACACGGCTGGTCCCAGCATTCCCAGTGTAATATTATTGGCAGCCAAATTGATCGATACCCACAGCAAGCACGCCTGCAGATACGAAATCCACGAAAGCTTTTTCATACGCTCCTCTGGCTTGACTCGTTCAATACCTCGCGCCTCCAGGTTGTATTCCACGAGCTGCTGCTCAAATGATCTGAGCAGAGAGCCTAAGCGCGTGCCGACAGGGTTCGGACGACCAGCTGTGGTATCCACAGGAAACGGGGCATCATGAGGAGTTTTCTCTGTCGAGTCGCCGAATTGCTGCAGTTCAGGCTGTTGCTGCGACGTAAGATCCTTATCGGAGCGCACCTCTACGGAGGCGATTTCGTTTTCGGGAGCCATGCTACTTCAAAGAATAATTAGTATATTATCTTGAGGATGTGTAGGACAGGAAATCTGTGCGCATGAGTTCTTTCGCTGGAGTTATCCAGATCAAGTTCAACCGTATAATCTCAGATCAGCCACCCTCAATAAATGATATCGAGAGTGATTGAACACCGGTCTGCATGCAGGCGGGATTACCACTTGTGTACCTTGATCAAGAGACAAAACCACACTACTCGGTGTTCACGGTACCCGGGGTCCTTGAGAAGGGAAATAGGAATTTGTACTCGGGCATATGGGGCGAAATTGTATCTTCGGAAAATGAAGTGTTGCCGTTGTCAGATGAGTGAGTCACTATGAAGCAAATGGGTTAGTGGGACTGCAAGTGGTGGCGGGGAAATATTAGATAAGGTATTTTTTTTTACCAGGAAATCACCAGATACAATTGAGGCACTCTTAAATGGTTTAAAAAGAAACCCAATTTCAGAAATGCTCTCCCCAGACTCTCAGTGAGGAAATAACAAGGGCAAGCCACAAGTGGGGAGTGGAAAGAAGAGACCATTCCACTCTTTTTTTCTGTCGCGGGGAAAAAGATCGGCCGCGGTCTCGGCGTCTTTTCCCGCTCTCTCCGCTCTCCGCCAGAGATAGGAAATGCATATGGAAGTACTATATCTACTAGGTGTGTACTAAATTGCAAGTCAAATGAAGTATTGGTATTGAGTCTGATCAGAATGGAATTGATCACATGTTCCTGGGGAATCATGTAGTGTCCATCAAACCAACTTGAAAAGCACCACCCCAAACGCTGAAACCAAGAGATATAACGCCCCCGCGTATTGGAATAAAGAGAAAACATAAGACCGGATCTCAGAGTGAGATAAACGTAAAGATCATGGGGGTAGATAGAGGTAAATCAAAAAAAAGCTCAGGAATAGATAGGAAGATGGGTAAATATAGAAAAAGATCAGGATCACCAACTCCATCTTGCCTCGTAAAACCAAAGGACCCAGGTGGCCATTTGATAACTTTGCATCGCTTTAGAATCAGAGCAGTCGGACGTTTGGAATGCCAAATTCATGGGGGACTCGGATGCGAAAAGAAAAAGAGAAAGGAACAAACCGTATAAGGAAAATCAAAGGTCGTGACTTCATGAAAAGTGTTCGTGAAAGCTTTGGTGAAAGGGAGATCTCAAAGAACCTAAAGGTTCTTGAAGTGCTCTTTGGCATATTGTTCGCATGCCTATAAGAAAGATATCAGTCCTGATCAGAGATGTAAAAGGAGAATCACGGTATAAACGTACCTTCGCAGGCTTGCCAACTTTCTGCCCAATGACCTTCCACTTATTTGCTTCGTATTCCTTGATTGCATCCCGGAGTTTTATAGACTGCTATAGATAAGTCATCAAGTTCATCAATATTGACCTGGGAACATACCTCATCTTCTGCAAATTCTGCGTAGTGCATGTCCTGAATTCCAGTCGTATTAGTATCCAAAGCGCAATCACTATAAAAATATCGTAAGTCCACACGTACTTTGTACCAATGCTTTTTCACACTGCCTTCAGTTCGAGTAGGAAATGTCTATCAATATGATATTAGCGACAAAGGCCATAGATCAGCCACTGAACAGAAAAGTGGAGCCCCACCTTTGCAATCTCGCTCCAGCTACGACCAGCATCGCGCATTGTCTTGAGACGCTGTTCCTCTTCGGCAGTCCATGGTGTATTGGTGCGACCCTTTTTCTTTGGAGCAGGTTCGGGAGCGGGGAGGGTGCCCGGGTCACCCTCGATCGCACCACCCGGGTTCATTGGTGCCGCCATCATAGCTGAAGAACTTGCGGTCGGGGAAGGAGGTCGTTTACGTGAAGTTGAAGATGTGGGCGGGATAGGTGCTGTTGGAATGGGAATACCCTCAAAAGCTGGGACTCGATGGAATGGATGGATTTGTTGTTGAGCGAGAAGATGTGAAGGCGCGCTCGTCGTAGCCGACGTCTTGATTCGCTTGGAAGTCGGAGGGGAGCTGAAGTGAAGGCAAGAGAGAAGTTAGTTGTAAGTTGTAAGTAGTAGAAAGTAAAAATGGCAAATGTGTTTGTAAAGAAGCTCAGGCAACATGATCAGGTGAATCCGAAGTCTCCCTCCTGTCTGGACGGAGATCATAGACGAGGGACTTACGACATGGTGAAGGACACACGTTCGCACGGCGAATCATCTGTACATGCAACAAAGCCGCGTAGGGGGGGTTAGCAGATCTGCTACCGGCGCGCCTTGGTCAACTTCTAGGAAAGTGGGCCTTGTTACACTAAAAGGCGATGACACAGGCGCATCCTAGGCAGAACCGGATCGGCACAAAGAAGGGAACAGGATAGAATGAAAGCGAGGTGGAAGAGAAGATAGATTCCTCCTGGCAATTAAGCTCTTGAAGGAGATCAAGCAGATGGGGCAAAGAGTCGCGACACATGGGAGGCTCACAGATCAAAATCGCATGGTCGAAGAGTTGATTCGGGGACCTCGAATTCCTCCGAATATGGGGAGAACATGAGGCTGGAAGGTAAAAAAGGTGTATATAAGGTTAACACCGATGAAACTTGGGAAGAGGGTGGGGGGAAATAAAAAGGAAGAGAAGGGGGAAGGTTACAGGAAAGGAAGAGAAGTGAGCGGGGATGGAGTCACCTCATATCACGGTAATAATATGGGCAAAGTCACCAACTTGGGGGCTTTTAACCTACAGTTTTATTTTATTTTATTTTGATTCTAGTTTTTAATCATATCATTTTTATGAGTTCTTATTTTCTTTTGCTTTTTATTCTCACTTATTTCAATTCTAGTGAAGTTATTATGGGAATTAATAGATTCTTAAGTGTAAATGACATTTAATACTAGTACTATCATCTATGTATGGGGGGGGGGGGATGATAAGGCCTGAACATTCACAAGTTGAAGTTGATGTCTCTCTTATATAAAACTTTCAAGATTCTTCAGCTAAAAAACAAAACAAAAAGAACTTCAATGGATCTAAATCATTGAGCTTGAAGAGTCTAGACCTTTACTACTATTTATTATCTTGTTTATTCCCCTGGTGTCGGCATAACATCCAAGCTTCGAAAAGATTCATCTGATTATGGTATATAAACCTTCAAGCCTCCTAGAACTCTTGATACTTCATGTTTCTCGACTCTCTCAATTTCCATCCATTGATGATTGAACAATAAATGGAAGAATTCTATTCCTCACTCCCGGCCAAACCACCTAACGCCCTCCGGTGCATTCCACAACCCACCGTTCGTCTCTGGATGAGGGACCGATTCCCCCGGGGGCCCTGTCACAGATGGCTCGTGCTGCTCTCCAATTCGGCCAAGCACTCTGCAGAAAGCAGGAATACATACGTCCCGGGCAGCTCCCCCATGAGACATTTGGGCCGAAGAGACCCGCGAGTGGTCTATTCCAAAATCCGGTGACCCGGCGAACGCTCACACCCGTGCGAGGATGACAAGGCAATCTTAACAGCAAGATGTCTTGACAAATGTACTGTGGGAAGCATCAGGATATACAAGAAATAAAAAAATAAAAATAAAACTTCGTCAAAGCCGCAATTCTAGGATGTCCACGCCTTCATCTTCATCTGTTGCTCCGTCCAACCCGATCCTTGGCAAGCTAATTCAAGCCACAGGTTGGAGGGTGCAGCCACTACGAGTCTAGTCTTCAACCCCTCTTTTTGAGTCCCTTTTGAGGTTTCCTTCATACGGAGTTGTTTACAGATGGAGACTCCGTTTAAACATTGGAAAAATCATCACTGATGTTGTTTGTTACAGCTCTACTCCCATACATTCCATACAATTATGAGGAATTTCAGTGAGGGTCTTGATTCCCCCCCTTTTCTTTTTTCTTTTCTTTTTTGGAAAATTTCTCGTTCTCACAAAAAGCAAAAAAGGAAGATCAAAATAAAAATCACAGGTGAGAAAAAAAATAATGAAAAAAAAACGGGCACGCCGGTATGAACTCGGAGTATACCCAAGACAGACAGGACAGACAAGACAGATGACACATGGTCTAGTACGCAATGCCCAAAAAACAAGTCCACGATTGGGGAAGAGCATTTGAAGTGGCTGACGGCATGCAAAGAGATTCATCCCCTGTACCAATGAAACAGCCTAAATCTATAGCCTTGGGGTCAATGGCCAGGATCGTGCATTCGCTCGAAACAATGTGGCTTGCCCTTGCCTGCCTTAACCTACAGATCAGGGAGCTTTATGATTGCTTGAATATCTGACGCCTCCGGGATGGAATCATCCACGGGTATGTATGTCCTTTAGACAAGGGGGAGGGGGTCATCTTATCAATCAATTCTGATACAGCCGGGTTGGGCTGGTCGTTGACGTGGATATAGGGACAAATCAGGAATCGAGGATATCTTGATTGTCGCCTGGACCATTCATCAAGGTGGGTTTGATTGGTTGATTAAGTCTGGATCATGTATGTGTCACATGGGGGCACATGTTTCCATCCATCCTCATGGATGTCATAACCTGGTCTTATACATACATCTATTGCATCCATGGTGCGGTTGAGATTCAAAATACTGTCATGGACCCGGAAAAAAAAGGAGAAGAAAAAAAGAAACTGCAACTCCTGACATCTACAGGCTAACATTGAATGATATCCAATCTCGCAGGATGTTGGGTATGTAGAGGCTCTTGACAGGTCCGAGTCTGCTCGTGCCTCAAGTTGCCCCATATGGACTCTGGTCTATATCCATGGATATCTGACTCACTGGCACTGGGCACTAAATCCTGCTTGAAGCCCAACGTTAATTCAGCCACCTTTTAGCCGTTCTTTCACCCGAGTTATCGCATTACACATAAGCATAGCAAAAAGGTCCAGCTGTCGTACTCATAATACCTTTCATAGCGATCGACCGATTCCCGTTAACATACCCAACATTCACCGTCGTCTGCAGCGTTACATCAGGAGACGCAGGCTGATTCAAATACGTCTCGGTGCCAGCAACCGCATACTGTCGATTTGGCAAGTCTAGACTCTGCCAAATCCACCAGACTCGATCGATCATGCCGTGATGGTGCCAGAAACCAGGATCCCCCGGGCTGCCATCAGCATCATTACCGGGATCTCCACCCATCGCGTAGTGTCCACCTCCATGGAGCCCAATTGACCCACTCTCAGGTTTGCCTTGTATGGATGTTTCAAACTCCATGATGTCCTGGCTGTGGAGTATGAGATGTAGAATCGATGTATAATTGGCGAAGCTTGAGACAGTTGGGAAGCGACAGTCAGAAGATAGATCAATAGGAAGGAATATATGACTATAATTGGGCAAACATATCGTGACTACAACATACCTTCGCAAAACAGCAGTAGTTAGATCACGCTTCATGCAGCGTGGGTTATGGTCGAGTGGGAAGCGCCGAAAGACAATATCGCCGCCCGGTATGGACAGGTAGGATGGGCCCATGTTGACGGTATAATTAACAAAGGGACCACTATTCACACAGCCTCCTCCTGTGCCAGGTGGAAGGAAAACAGGTGTATAGTTTCCTATTGAAACTCGAACTCCCTTTTGTTTTGGGATGTATGCGCCATTGCCGGAGAGAGAGGTATCACTGCCATCAAAAACAGGCGAATTTTCCATGGAATCAGCATCAGCTCCCCAATCCCAGTACCTAGAAAGGTGAGAGTTATTAGTATGAAACGCAACGCCTTTCTGAGGCAGTGGGGACAGAAGATGCATACGGGAAGTCTCCATTATAGCCACATTCATTTCGCAGTGCCAGCTCAAACTCGTGGGTAAAATATCGGTGCCAGGCAAGAAAAAACCCCTGCTATGTATAAGCTTTGACAGGTTCGCCGGATTGTAAGCAAGCTTATTATAAGGTTGTCATAAGCCGGCAACGAAGGTAGGACTCTTCTCACATACCGAACGGTGAATAGTCTCGGTCTGGTTCATGTGAGTGGCCACAAAGTCATCGTATCGAGTCTTTGCTCCCGGGGCCAGCTCCGGGGGAGTTCGCGATGGCAATGCTTGCAGACAGAGAACAGATCGAATATAGTCCTTCTTTTCTGCTGAACTAAATTGTCTCCAGTTTCGTCTTATCTTCAGAGTTTCAAGTGTGCAGCCGGTTCCATGATCTGCAATATTATTCTGCGTGGCTTTGAGAGCAAATTGGGTCAAAGATTCGATTTGAGCAAACTCAGAGGCCCATAATGATGAATCCAAGCTGCTTTTAATATCTTCAGCCCACGAAGCTGTTGGCAATGCCCAAGATTGCGTGAGGATTAGGAGAGTAGTAAAGGTGAGAATCCAGGTTAACATCGCGAGAGATTTGCTCTACAGTTCAAATTGGTTCACAATCACCGGAGTGAACAGATTTCATGATTGAACCTCATGAAATGCGTCTGATTCATATATAGTACATAAAATTTTAGTTCCTCCTAGGGATAGTTGAGTGTTCAACCATCGGCGGTATTCCACATTTGGGAAGAGAATGATGCGTTATTTACCCACCGTGTACCACAGAGATCATCTTACATACTTCAACTCTGAGTTCTAGTACTACCGAGAATTTTAAGTGAAGATCGCTATTGGAAAAATATCTCATTAGAAGATTGACCTGATTGGAGATTTCTACTGCAGCAGTCTGAGACTCGAAACTTAGCACTTGCCAGTGAGTCATAAATTCATCAAATTATACTTGGGCACTACTAATAAAGGACTGAAATTTGGTTTCTTTCTCTCACAGATGAGACTATAAACCATATTTTTAGTCTTATTTGTACTAGATAGTGGCTTCAATGTTCATTGGACGATCCACGTGGAGTCTACACCGACTGCCCAGATGTCCAGGTTGTGAAACCGTAGATGCCAGTGCTTAGCACTATTGCTGAGATCCGACATCTGGAAGATGCTAATGACACTATTTCAAAGACTGCTTTACACTACCTAGATATGGATGATTTCAGGATATTGCCAGTGCCAGTGATAGCCCGTCTCAATATTTGCTCATACTTCAATAGAAACACACTCTGTGAACAGGCTCCCTGTAATGTTGCATACTCCATGTAGCAGCAAGCTACTGATAGATTGACTATTGTAAGCCGTGAATTTTGGGAATCCTCCACCGTCATCCTCCAGTTGAGACACTCCGTATATTTCACGCCCCATCATCCTTTGCTGATTCACCATCCTCGCCACGCCCAGAGTTTGATATATCGGAAACGCGCCATCCTCAGTTGGCTGTAGAGCGTGAAGGAAATCAAGCCAGCGTTCAATTTCCAAACTCAGTGTTAAATCTTGACAACGTAGGAGAACAGCCAATAAAATCCCCGAGAACCCGATTGTGTAGCTGTTCTTCGACACGGATGTCTGCATACTGCTTCCATTTGCAATCTGAAGCAAAAGTCTAATCCAGCCCTGTTCCTCGTCATGTTCAAGCTCCTCATGCAATTTTCTATTTTGAAGATGATGTAGACTTCTAGTACACTGCATAATGCGTGCCAGCACATAATATGCAAAATTGAGAGCTGCATCGTGTGACTGAAAAAATATCGGCCTATCCAATCCTCCTTCACTTGAGAGATGAGAATAGGATTCTGAATCTGATGGCTGTTCTATTATTGGAAGATTTGAAAGCCACAGATCTAGCTTTTTGGCCTCACGAGCCAGCTTCAAGTAAGTGATTTCGTACTCATCATCAAGGTCTGAATCATGGCTCCAGTGCTTGAGTATAGCCTTGGAATTGAGACGATGCGATTCACACATCACATTTAAGACATTGACCCGTCGCTCTTCCGTTGTTTCAAACCTTCCCTCGAGCTTCCTAGGTAAAGGAACAGGAGGAAGGTTTCGATGAATATCCAATCGACTGAAGTAGGCACGAGCCCACCAAACCACAAATCTGATTTGCATCCATGCAGTGAGAAGTGCGTTGAATGAACCCTCTCCTGGTTCATCTTTCAACTCAGCCAAGAATCTTTCCAGGCCCTGCACATGGCAGTTGAACCCTTCGAAATTCCCCATGGAAGATTCAATATAGGCAAACAAAACAAGAACCGTAAAAGCCAAGCTGGATTTAGTATTGATTTGCTTCAGTGAAGTGAAATCTTTGATAGCCAACGAGTAGTATAGCTGGCTTCTCGTTTGATGAATAAGGTTGGGGCTATAAGTTCCCATATGCCTCCTGGAAGAATCTCTGCGCTCTGCATGAAGACGACTCATATTACATGATGCCAGTGCTAGAATTGCGTGAGTCAACATCGGAGAATTGGAGGTGAGAAGTGACGTAGGCTTAAACATCGGATGTAATGCCGGTAGGCATATATCCTCCCAATATGTAGAATAGAACACATCGCGCTCTGTGTGTTGTAGAGACTTTATAAGATCAAGATTTGGTATTGAAGTGCTTGGGTGAGAGGTAGAGCCGACTTCTTCATCCATTGACTCGGGATGTGATTCGAATTTCAAGACCAAGTCTTTAGTATTAGAAGATTCACTATCCGAGCCTGGCGCTGTGACCATTCGAAATTTGAAATCTGATTTGATGCTTTCGCATACTTTGCCCAGCCTGGTACATGTTCCGCAGGGTCTTTTTTCATCACACTGGATTATATTTAGCTATCAAATTTCAGTTATCTCTGGGTCCATTGACATACTTTGGTTCTTCGTTCACGACAAACTTTGCAGCCACTGCGGGACCGGGTAATATCTGTCTTTTTAGGTCTCGGACGAACCGGCTTGTACATCCTGGTGTGCAGAGCTGACGATCTCACCCCGCGGTGTCACATTGGAGAGTTGCGGGACGGCAAATCGAGATCTATTCCATGCCGCCAAAAGAGTCATCTGGTCAGCTGACCGGTCTTGTTTCTGTTGCATATACGGACCTCTATTCATTCAATTGATTTCATTGTCATTTTAATCAGATAATATCTGGTCCTTTTATTTTGACACTGGAATTAAGTTTTCAGCGTTAACCCAATTATTACCTAGATCAAGCTTTTATCTGGGTCTACACGGCCCGTTGGCCTTGGTATTTCAATGTCAGAAGTCAGATCAAACGATGCATAATTATTGAAACTTTATTATATGGCTTCTCGTATGTATTCTGATTCATTAAAATCAACATTGTCCTGGACTTTCACATGTGCATAAAACATTTGACTGCCTGACTCAGTTGCCTGCCTTCTTCAGGTCATGTAGTTCTCCTCGCCCCTTCACCATCTCTGAGATAGCGGTGCCAGTTTCAGTTCCCATGGACTGGAATCCTTTAACGACACCTTCACGATCGCCAGATCGCATTTCCTGGCTCATCTTGAACTTGCCCTGGATCTTCTTGACTTGAATCTCGATTCCCATAATATTCCTCTTGAGAAGATCAACGTAGCGCTCTGGAGCCTCATCAACCGTCCATGCCTCGGGCCGATCACCACCCGTATAGCCCATGATTGACTTCTCAGTATGAGAGGAGAGATCGTGAATTTGCTGAGCAATGAATGCGCCAGCCTCGGGCGTCTTTGAGTCATAATAAAGAGAAAGCTTGCCGTATACTTGGACTGCAGAATAGTTCCATGTAGGGACGACTTTTCTAGTGTCGGGCTTGGTCTCGACATAGAATTTTGGGGGATCATAGTGATCATGCTGTCCATTGAAAAGAACTAGGACATCTTCGCTAAGTTCCAGGGACATTTGGTGGCTTTTGATCGACAGCCTCAATCATTGCCTTCACTTGTGGGTTTTGCTTGGCAATATGTCCGCGGATGCGAGGACTCGAGTCTTCAGACTCTTCTGGTACATCGAGCACCCATGGAACGTGTGTGCACTGTAGAAAGTCCTGCTCGGAGGATTTGAGGCCTGTGATCAGAATTCCGAGTGGGTTCTCGCGAATGAATTGAAGGAGAACCTCCGTGTCTGTTTCGGCGTGAACGCTTGGGAGAAACATTTTGAATTGCACAGAGTGTAATAGGAGAGGAGGTAATCAAAGATATCAATCTTGTCAATGATTGCTGGCGAGATCTTTCTGCTTAAATATCCTCGCTTCGGGATTTGTTGAATTGATAGTGGATTTGCCGTAAACGGTATGTCCATCCGGGCCAAGCAAAGGGGACAACATCGTCGCGACTAGATAGCACACGCTGTGAGTCACCGACAGAGAAAAAAAAATCTGAAATCTGGTAAGATCAATATCTGCCAGAGAGGATCACAATCGTCAACCTGATATGCTAAAAACACCCAGGGCAGTGGAAGTATACACAGACCCACTGGCTAGATACGGTTAGCATCGTTCTTGCGCACCAGATCGGGACTAGCCTGATATTTATTATAATTGCGGAATCATCCCGCATTTCGATCCTTCAACTTGACATTGTTTTGTGATGTGCAGCATGAGAACAAATCAAATTTAAGATTTTAACTGGAAATCCCAGAAAAGATTGATGACTGTTATCGAATTGAAGAAATCTTTAGTCTCAATATAAGCTGCGTGCTCCATGATTTTCGTCGTTAATCGTCGTTAAGTATCAACAAGATCAACTTTCTCAGAAGTCAGAACAACGAAGTAAGAAGACCTCGGGGAAGGATGATGGGATTTAGGAATCGAACTAGTTATTGAGAGGCTGGCCATCATTAAGCCAAGCCAGCCAATCAATGCTGTCATTTCCATCATTTCCAATTTGTCTCATTAGAGTATCAAAAAAGGCCATATCAGGATTCAAGTTCTGCGGCGCTCTGTCATCATTGCTAGCACTCAAAATATCATCATGAAGTTGTTGAGTATAATCCTCATTAGTCACCTTCTCATAGCCACTCTGACCTATGCCATTGATTTGGACTGGAAGATCATTAGGCTGTACAGTGCCCATCAAAAGAGCTTCATTATCTGTTCGGTCATTTGGTGTCTTGTTTGGGACTTCAAAATTGACATTTTGCGCATTAGAAGCAAAAGAGGCCCCTCCCGACTCTGTATTGAAAGCATTCATATCGGATCGACCGAAGATTCGAAGTTGAGACTGAGCGGCCTCCGCGGCTCTTGATTGTGTCTTGGCCGGGCTATTGAAGATAATTCCCTCCCGAGCAATGCTGATTCCTCCAAAGTAAGGGATTGACAATCGAACAGGATCTTGACTTTTCGGGCTCTTTGACCTCTCTATGGTAGCTGTAGTCTGCTCCATATTTTCCGTAGGTCCATCGGCGACCTCGGCCTCAATGTCCATCAAACGCTGCAAAATGGTCGAAATTTGGACGCTCATGGTATCGTCTTCAAGTCGAGTCACTTCATTCAGAATATCTTGCACATTTTCTATTAAAGCACGATCGCCAGGTCTCTGATGGGCTAACAAATTTCCAGTCGGTATCGCAGGGTTCTGTGACTGTTGAAGATATTGGGAAGAAACCCAACGTTGATTTCCGTCGATGTGCGCTAGTAAAAGAGTAATTGCCGCCATCAAGCCCATGAACTCGATTGTACGGCAGCTGAAGGCGATCCGATTAAAGCTGTGGAACATAATGAAACGCGAAAGTACCTCACGCGCGGAGTTGACGCAGGTAATTTGGGGATATTCATATCTTTGTCCCGTTACCAGGCAGTGCAGCATACAAGGCAAGTGGAGTTGAATGAGGAGATTGTAATGAAAGAGGTGATGAAACAGCCGTCGCATATCCCAGAATAATGCCTCTGGTTGATCTGAAACTGTGGCCAAATTGGGGGTGAGCCACCACTTTGCTGGCAAGCCTTTCGATGCCTTTTGTAATTCTGCATCCAATTCCCGGGTCAGGGAAAATTCTTGTAATTCTGGACTTAATTCGTTGCGCTCAAGGATTCGTGAGGTAATCACACAATGTATACGATCAAGTCGTCCCATAGGTGTATCGCCTGATAGTATTCTTTCGGAGGCCATGCTGTGGTCCTGGGTACTTTGTGGAAGCCCTAGCATTAAACACAGATAGCGCTCCAGGGAATTAATTCGAAACCAGACAAATTCTGGATAGGCTTTTGTCTGCTGATGAACGAGCTTGCAATGCGCCTTTCCTGGTCGGTGGAAGCCCATTAGCTGTGCGATAGTCATAGCTCTCCGCACAGAGATCAAGCCTTTTCGAAGATTTCCATTATTAGTATGATGCCAGCTTTCTAGCAGTAAACAGTCCAGTCCCTCAACGCAGCTAATGAGATCATCATTTGTCGTCACGATATTCATGGCTATTCCAGCCAATCTTCTCATCATGGCACGGGGTGGCTCCGACAGCCCGTCCATATCTGAAGCAAAATCTGGGTGAAGATGCTGTAAAGCAGTAGCGGTGTTGAGCATGTGTTTTGCTATGACAACAGGGTGAGCGTTGGGACTTGGTTTTGCGAACAAGTTCTCGAGAGATATTGTTTCGTCGAGGCAGTTATAAGGTACCGTCTGCATTTGATAGAACAAAGAAGATGTATTACCACATGCTTTCAGGATTTTCTTTATATCCTCCAGCGATGGTAAAGATGCGTGAAGTGTCTGAGAAAGTTTCTCATATTTTGCGTTCAAAATCAAGGAGATTCGGACATCTCCGGACATTATAGACTGAGTGCCATTTATAACACCAAAGCTAGTGATATCCGATCGCGAACAAAATAGCTCAGTATTTTTCTTCTCAGTATACCTTTGATGTGGAAGACATACCTCCAAAGGATTCAGGATATTTGCAGTCAGTGAGGTCTCAGAGGTGAGTGAGGTAGATATGAGAGCACCAGGGTTCCCATCTGCACCATTATTCCCTACTTCATGCCGATCCGATAGTTTGACATCGCCAGAACTCTTATCAAGTAGTTGCTCGATCAAATTCTCGACTCTTGCCATGCGGTCTCCTAACTGGAGGTTCCGATCTAGAGAAGAAGTGATCTCCTCTGGGCATTCTTGGCTAACACACTTCACTCCACGCCGACGACAGCGGGTGCATATATTGTCCGTTGGTTTGCTGAATATGCATTTCATCTTCCGTTGTCTGCATTCCCAGCAGCTACGGGTTCCCTTTCGTATCTTTCTTCGCTTCGCTATGGGCGTTTCATCAGTCTCATGAGAATTGATAGTTCCCTCTGGAAGAAGGTCCATCTCGTGGCAACCTCCAAGTGGCTGATCTTCATGATGAACTCTCGAATGGGATGACATGATATCCAACTATTCTGTATGAAAACCGAGTGATCAGACAGTTCAAGTTCAAACACAGTCGGTGGTTCTGATTTAGCGTACCAGTGGCTATCAAGATGGGCATGTGAGTGGTGAGTATTGGAAATACCCAGATATCTGGCGCTGGTGATCCGTAGAAAGTTGCACTCGGTCTATGGGAATCGATACGGTCTACTATGATTTCGACCGGAACCTCGGTGGACGAAAGTCAAGCGTGGGAAATCACCTGATCTCACCTGCATGATTGGGCGAGCACAGCCCCGCCCCCGGGGCCAGGCTTACTCCTCAGAGTCCCACTGTCGTCCGCCGGGTCCCGGGTAGGCCCAGGTGTACGCAGTAGTATACAGTAGGCCTAGATCCGCTCAAGGCTTCGTCCTCAACCTCGGTGGACGAATTCAAGAGCCACATATTTGCGCACGTCGGGGCTTTTTAGCCATAAATTAGTCGGATCATGTCAGAAATAATGGCAATTTAGATCTTATATTTTCTTACAATTATCTTCCTAACAAGATTTTACATTTATTATCTTTCACATCATCCCGAGAGCAACATCGTCATGGCTCATAGATTCAATGTTCTACCCGAAAAAGTCTCGGGCAACACCACGCCTTTCACTTTCCATATACCAAAAGATAAGCTGATCGAATTTCGAGAGCTTTTGCGACTCTCAAAAATTGGACCTGCAGCTTGGTGGAATCAACAAGGAGACCCCAATCTTGGAGTCTCGCGCGAATGGCTGGCAAAGGCTAAGGAAACCTGGCTCACGAGTTTCGACTGGCGGAACCATGAGGATTTCATCAACAAATTTCCGAATTTCAAGATTATCCTTGAAGACAATGAGCTTGGCCAAGTCGACATTCACTTCGCTGCGCTCTTTTCAGCAAAGAAGGATGCCACCCCTATCATTTTCATGCACGGGTATCCTTCCTCGTTTGTTGACTTCTTGCCAATGATGGAAATACTGGCTGAGAAGTACAGTCCTGAGACCTTACCCTATCACATAATTGTGCCATCTTTGCCCGACTATGGACTCTCCACCCGTCAAAGTTTGGATCAAGAGATGACACTGAATCGATCTGCTCGGATCATGAACCAGTTGATGATCGAGCTTGGGTTCCACGATGGGTATGTTGCGCAAGGAGGAGACCTTGGCAGTATGCTTGCACGTTTGATGTCCGCGCAATACAAGGAATGCAAAGCCTTTCATCGTAAGTCTAGATCTTTGAGATGACTTGAGTTGGGAAGCTGACAGAAATAGTCAATATGCTCGTGTTGAATGAGGGACAAGAGGTTCCGTCTTCCAAAGATCTCAGCCCTCAAGATCTCCAAACTCTTGAACGTAGTGAAGCTTGGTGCAAGACTGGTCTAGCTTATGCACTTGAGCATGGAACTCGACCATCAACTGTCGGATTAGCCATTTCTTCTAGCCCAATTGCTTTATTAGCTTGGTATTTACCCCCAAAGTCCTTATATATCCAACATGACGATCTTCTAACAAAATTTGGACATAATAGGATTGGTGAGAAACTTATGGAATGGACTGATCCGCGAAACAAGTTTTCCCTGGATCAAATCCTCAGTCTGGTCAGCTTTTACTGGTTTACCGACACCTTTCCTCGGAGTTTGTACCATGCAACCATTCTACGAGATTACATAGGAAGTAAGCCATTCCCGACATCAATGGAGAAACCTCTGGGTTATTCCATGTTTCAGTATGACCTTGTTGTACTTCCTCAGCCTTGGGTCCAGGAACTTTATCCTAATCTGATTTTCTTCAACAACCACGTCGAGGTAAGTTAAACTTGTGTTTATCTTTCGATGAAACTTTTAGATTGAGTGCTTACTGAGAATTTAGGGCGGGCATTTTGCTAGTACAGAGCAACCTGAAGCATTTTTGGATGACATTGAGACATTTGTCGCAACAGTCAGCGGGTTATTCAAGGCTAAATAGATCCAATGTTGGTACTATCTTGTTCCATACGTTCTACTCAAGGCTGTGGCCTATCATTCGTGGGAGAAGTTTGATAGTCCGAGTCGTCCTTCAACCTTGGAAGTTTATGGATCCTCCTTTTTAAAGTGTCAAATCTTCAAAATGTTTTCTACTTTATCATAAGTAATTCATTCAATATGTCCTTCCACTCAGCCTACCTTAGGCATCTGGGGAGGTTTACCACGGTGACCTAGTAGTAAATACTAATAGTACATAGCACTGTATACTGTACCCATTTGGATTCAACAACGTGGTGAAATATGGATATACATTACCTACGATAGTACTATGCTAACTTCAACTTGGGATGAAGATTGAGAGTGATACATGTAACTATCAGATGGGAAAGGGCACCCGATATGTGAGGGAACTTATTCCCACACTGGCAGGTCAGGTTAAACACTTGAAGATATTATCATTCAACAGTTGAATGGTCGCCTGAGGCAGAAAATGTCAAGAAACCGGTGATATCATTGCGTATGCGGAGCAAAGGCGGTGAGATCTAAGTGCGACAGGCTGCCGCGCAAGCTTGCGGCCGATAAGCTCTCCCCATCTCCATCCCCAGCGCTTCAAGGTTGGGGTGTTCCGATACGCAAACAAAATCTTTCCTAGTTCACTGTGACAACTTCAATCCGACTGCCTTGAAGCAGAATCCTTTTATTCAAGTCCTTTATTGGAGCTACCTCCTCACTCCCCGCAACCCAGCCATCCCTACCTACCATAATGCGTTGGAACATCTTCCGCTATCTGGCGGACTGCTCTCATTTGGCTTCGATATGTATCCTTATATGGGCTATTCACAGGAACAAAAGCGCTGAGGGTATGTTGGTTTAATATATTGTTATTGCATGGAGCCTATGATAATTCTTTATACTGACATGTTGCTTATTTGAAGGTGTTTCGCTTCTCACGCAGATGCTTTACGGTCTCGTGTTCGTTACCCGATACCTGGATATATTTTCTGGCTCAACATGGGCATTTTCAAGGGGAGCCTCTCTGTGGAATGTCTTGTTCAAGCTCTTCTATCTGACCTCGTCCCTCTACCTTGTCTTCATCATGATGAAGGTGTTTCCCCGGACTCGTGAGAGGGAGCGTGCATGGAAGCTTGGAATGTACTCGGTGGTCGGATCACTGGTGCTGGCACCTGTTACGATCGCTATCTTTGAAAGTGGCTTTTCCCACGGCTGGTTCTTAGAGGTAAGGCGCCTTCTTTTATGTTTCTTATTCTCGTTATTTTGCAAGGCACTGATCCATAGGAACAGGTTCTCTGGGCCTTCTCCATCGTTCTCGAGTCCGTATGCGTGCTGCCACAGCTACTTCTTCTGCGACAGACCACTGTCCCGACCGTGATCGACTCTTACTACCTAGCTGCCTTGGGCTCTTACCGGGCATTCTACATTCTGAACTGGCTCGTCCGCGGTCTTGGAAGTGAACAATCCTGGGATCTTATTGCGTTTATTTTTGGCATTGTTCAAACCGCCTTTTACGTTGACTTTGCTTGGGTATACTACTCTCGCCAGCGAGTAAAGCTGCGCAATGGCGGCGTTGTTGATTCAGATGACCTTCGCAAGAGCTGGCTGGTGAACCGTGTATTTAACATGCGGGGCGTGCGTGGATCTACCGACGAGGAACAGAATTTCCAGAATGACGGGGAAGGCGATGATCGCGCGAATACTAACCGTTGGGGTGCCCGTGGCATCTCCATTGCTGCAGATGATACTTTGGACCATCACAATGTGCGTGATGAGCATGATATCAATGATGACTTTGAGGGTGTCCTCGGGGATGAAGATTCCGATGCGGAGGATCTCGCCAGCCCACGCCATCATCAGAGCACGGTTTGATTGATGTGGCCATGATTCTGGTCAGGAAAGGATATTCCCTAGGCGTGAGATGAGGACGCCTTAAATGGAATATTATTGGAACAGTCAAGTTCCTATTATGAGGGAGTGTTTCACTCACGAATTCCCACTGTCACCCAGTGGAGTCTTATGAAGAGCGTGCATTTTATTAGCCTTGTTTATCTCAGGAATCTGATATCTATCCACTTGAAGTATCGCAAGATTATGCAAATGTAAAAATTTGCGAGAATTTATTAGATTCTATTACTTGATTATTTGTTTGATAGGTAATAGTTTCAACCTTTGAAGCGTGCCCAGGCGAGGTCTAGACGTTCAGCATTCTCCAACGCGGCAGCTTGGACCCCATCTGATATTAGTGGATGGCCTGGAACAATAGTAACAGGCACTGCTAGTGTATACTATTATACATGCATCGAACTTGAATCAGCCACCACTGCAACCCTTTGATAAGTTACTACAGAGTTACTACTCGGCGGATACATCCGATTCCATCTGAGCAGTAAGTAGTTTGTGCCATTTTGATAAGAAATCCCCCGGTTATTTATGGATTCGGAGTAAGCTCCAAGTCGCATGTCAGGAACACGGCAGGATTCAGGACCCGCTGACGAACTGTGAGAATTACCAGGCCTGCTATGCTAGGCCCCTCAAGTGTCCAGGTCTTTCACCTCGGACTGTCATCTTTCGATCTGAATCATCTGCAAGTCTATATGTAGAAACTCGCCCCCCCACCAAAACATCTTACCTGATAGAATTGATTCAGAATGGAACGTCCCGTTTCTAGCCTCTCATCACATGATCCTGGCTAGACTCTACATCTGAGCACTGTGCATTGTGAGGGGCCACGCTAGAGTACGTGTCCTTGCATGCATGCAGACCCTAAGCCCCCAGATCTCTGGGGTTACCGAACTTGGAAATCCTCGAAATGTTCTATGATGTACCTATTGCGACATGACACATCTGCCAAGCGACTTGAGATCCACTTGATGTAAAGTGCATATTGCATATCCTGATCAACTGGTATTCTTTCTCTCTGGTGTTTCTCCCACTTATGCACCTCGCTCGATCTAGGCTGATTAGTCTTCTAGGATGTGACTTGTTGAAATTCTCTTTGTTATTGACCCTTTACGATCAATCTTTGATCTGAGCCACCGAAGAAATAGGTGGTGGGCGCTTAACGGCATGGCCACGTAGGATGGGAGCCGTACAGGGCCGCATGTGGGGGGGAATAGGTGGCCCCGGCGTGGCCCCCAAAACTTGAACATAAACAACATTTTCTTTCTTTTTCTGCTTTTTCTCTTTTGGCCATCAAGCCCTTATGCAACGCCCCGCCTTGCGGCTACTTGAAATGAATTATTATTGGTGAAGGCTTGAAAGAAGATTCTTCCGGAATCTGCACGCTCAAGCCAGGCCCCCTGGTCAGCGCTTAACTATCGGACAAGAAATCTCCGGAATCAAGCAGTTCAAATCCTTCGATTCCTTCTCCCTGGCGCCGGGTAGCCCTTTCAGCCTCACGGACCCCGGCTTGCATTTTATCCAGTCAAGAGCCGCCGGTGATAAACTCCAGGGCCCCATTCACCTATGGTGTGGCCTTCTTCTGCCACATATCACTTTCGGAAATAGGAAAAAAATATTAAATAAATAATGAAAATTAAATTGAGAAATGAATTAGCACATGTGCAAAGAGAAAGCCTAGTCCCCCGTAGTACTCAGTACTCAGTAGTACTAGAAATGGAGTCAACATGGTGGAGACACTGCCATCAATGCAAGGATCCCAAACTCGTTTCGTAGTTATCGGGAGGTGGCTCATACCTTTTTTCAGTCGGAATACTGTTTTATTGTTTGTTTCGCAGTGTATTTCGAAATCAACTTTGAAATTTGACTCTTTGAAGCCCGAGCTGGTTTCTTCAGCCCTTTGATGAGCCCCATTCTGGATTTAAGGATAAATCCCACACAGCGCCAGGGAATTTCTTCAGAAGTTGGGGCGAACAAGATGAGAATCAATGAGGGGCTGAAGATGTTAAGTAACTACGGCGTTATACTATCTCTAGGGACTATCTCTAGGGCTACATTGAAGGTGTGGGACTCGGAGTATAGGGATCTGGGTACTAGTACATTGGAGCTAACGTTATACAAGACCATAAGCCGACACTAAAGATGTCGTTACTATCTTTAATGCTTTCTTAGCCCCTGTTCTAATAATTCAACTAATCAGAATTCGTATATTTCGGCCCTTTGCCTTAGTGAATCCACACTGCCCAGTCCACCCGCACTTATGGATCTCGGGCGTGTTTTGTTCTATTTTCGAATCCTTTGGTTCCTTACTGTAGAAACTCGTTAACAGCAATCAAAAAATTCATTCCAGTGGGACCTGTAATTCTTTATTCAAGGCATACTATCAGCCCACCCCCTTCATTCTCCATTTTATCGGTGTGGGTGAAAGGATGGGGGCGGGAAACTTGTATGTATAGAAAACGGGACCATTTAGATCCGCAGGCGCTTAAATATAGGCCCTCGACGTGTCTACACATTTCTTCCCACGACCGATTTCAATGCACCCACTATTGGCATCGGCGGTACTCTGTTTGTATCCGGATTCACTCTGAGCCTATAGTTCATCAAAGGAGAACGTTTGTCTATCCTGCCTTGCAAGGCATTCCAGTGTGGGCTGTGATATCGTCCTTTTCCAATGTGGACGACAGAGCCATCATTGAGTCTATATCTTATTGCTTAAACCCCCGCTTGTACCTGAACCAAGACCCTTCATCTTCAAGAAAACCTTCAGGTGGTGGGAATTTACTGTTCTTCGTTCAACTCCAACATCTCGAATACTCGCGCCGTCAACCCCGATAGATGCTAGATGCCACTCTTTTGTTTCATATACTACTAGGCGCAACCAACCACCACTCTCAATCAACCGCCTTTTGAGCTTCTGCACAAAGACCCAAACCCGTGTTTCATATCTTTCCACCATCAGTCCCAGCTCCAATCAAACGCAGAACACACAACAGTGGCCCACAATTTCAAGCTTCTAGAAATCGCACATGGTTTGGTACGACACAGACTAATCTGTGGGACTTGGAATCATGTCACACAATGAAGATATGAACTGTATACCAGAGGAGCTTGCAGCCTTCTACGAGAGCATTGGATCTGACTGGACTGAACTTGCACCAGTACGTTTTTCCCTTCCCATTGGCCCCCGGGGCCAGTTTACTTCTTCATCTTGATCCTCAAACTAACTGAGCTATCTTTAGCCTGGATATCAAGCTGCATTTCTGGGAGTTAGCTCTTACTGCACAGAGCCAATAGTCCCACCTTCTATGCTCACCCCGATCAGCCTACCAGATAGCGCATTCCGTCCTAGTCCTGCTCTCAGTCACCACTCGCAAGAATATGCCTCTCAAGAATACAGATATACCATTGGTGATGGTATGGTCCCACAGGGTCTTGGAATTACCGCACCATTCCCAAGTGATTTCCCTCGAACATCAGCTCCAACTGGTAGCTTCATCTATGCCTCGGATGATCTACCATATAACGTTGGTGAAAATCCCATGTCGCCAAGAATCCCACCACCGAAACGTGTGAAGCGCAGATCATCTAAATCACGTACACCATCTCGCGAGACTCCAGTTACTATACTCCCACACCCAGAAGGCAAAGAGCGATTGGAACGGGAACGACAGAACTCCCGGCCCCCTCCGCTACTATACCCCCGACCCCGGGCTCCGGGAAGGGGCCGTCGTGACCCACAGGCTGAGGAGGAGGATGCATTTGTGGAGGATCTAAGACAGCAGAATACGGCTTGGAGAGTGGTGCGCGAGTTATTCCGCGAGAAATTCCAAAAGGATGCATCGGAGGCACGTCTGCAAATGCGATTGCTACGTCGACGAAAGGAGCGTCTGGCACAATGGGAAGAGTCAGATGTGAGTACGTGATCCAAAAATCTAGTTTTGTCGTCATTGCAGTGAAATGTTATGGACATGATACTAACAAGACATTCGATTGATTCAGGTCCAACTCCTAGTCGACGCGAATGAGATGTGGGAGAAGGAAAGATATCGCTTCATTGCAGACAAGGTGAGTTTGGGGATTACTACGACGAACAAGGAAAAGTATATTGGTTATTGAACCATTGCGTATATGGACATTGGCTAATATCTCATAGATGAAAGAACTCGGCTCCTCGAAAGAATACACACCTGTGCAATGCAGAACACAGTTACGGCTCTTAGAAACGAAACAACAACGACAAAATGGGAGCGCATCTCCATCAGCCATGTCAGATCCACCTCATTCTCCAACGATACCGAGATCTCGAAAACGAGCGCGACCTTTATCACTTGAACCAGAATAACGCACGCATGTTTATTTTGCATTTAGCACTGGCATACTTTTTGCATTTTCATGGGCACATTCACGATTTATGAAGCATTTCACATTAGCTATCACATCTATCAAGATCATTTTGGCGTTTAGATGCATTCAGTTAGCGTTACATTACATTTTGATTTACTACAATTCAAATCAAGTTCTTTACCTAGGTAATCTACATACTACTAGAAGGTAGTACAGATGAGAAAACTTCAATCAAGATATACTACTCAAGTGCTAGTGATCAAGATTCTATATCGAGAACGGCACATCTACCTGATTAGGTATAGACATTCGGACCAACAACAAAATACGGTAGGTAGTGCGGAATCTTGAAATAATTCACATACGATATCTGGAGCTGATGCCGGGATTCCCGCAGTTTCAGTCTTGTTCCAAGATTGTTTGGCCCCCCCATATGATCCACAAATGGATTTTAGTTCGATCTATATTTATGCACGGTTCATACTAGACTGCATAATCAGCGCAAACGGGTCTGCAGGAGGCCTGTGTGTTTCAGCTATTTAGGTACATCGAACGAGTACGACTAGACTAGTAGCCCGCGGTAGATCATGCAGTCAACTGGTACCAGTATATGCTCAGGCTCCGAGTCGGTAGTTACTAGTGCGCGACAATTTACTATAATTAAGTACAAAATCTTCACCTATTCTAACTTGAAGGTTACCACTAAGAGTTGGAATGGATAGCTCAGTGGCTAGTACTATGTACTACTATCACATGGTGCTATGGATTCTATTGAGGTTGGGATTTCAATTTCAAATTTGGAGCACCACTATATCACTGGCATTTAGTATGTAGTTCCCATGCTAAAGTGAGTATCATCTTGAACTTGAATTGAAAATGTTCAGATACTAGGTAGTATGTACTAGACCTATGTACTAACAGAGTCATACCTTGCACATGTGGTGAAGAAAATTTGAATGAATCTTCATGACTTTCGTGATATTGTGTTTTAGTTGCTCAATCACTCCCGTAATCATCATCGCCGTTGTCATCACCATTGTCCTCGCCGGAATCAGAGGCATCCTCTTCCTCCATGACAGGGAATGTCAGAAGCGCAGCGATGCCTCCAAGTCCTTCAAGACGCCGCCCACTCTCATGATCAGAACTCAGAATTCGTACCTCACCTCCTTCGACATCCCGGACCCGATCCACGAGCGATACCCATCGTTTTCGCTCGGCGACATTTTGTGATCTAAAAAGTTTATTTGACATAATCAAAACACCACCACCCCGACCCACGGCTCCCTGGTCGACCGCAGATTCAACCTCTCGCGGTCCATATGTGGCCTTGTTCGTCTCCTTGCGGAGCTGGTCCAAGAATTCGTCCATTAGCCTTGTTTCACGGGCATACTTTGTGTCCGCGAGGAGGGTCTTGACTGCAGGTGACTGGAGAACTTCTGATAACGAGTTCATGTAACCCGACGCTGAATGTACGACCGCCAAACTAGGAAGAAGTTTCCTGAGAGCGGGTGTTGTTGTCGACGCCTCTGTCTGCATATATTTATGGAATCCAGAAGCAACAAAGCCAGGCGAAGCCAGTAGAATTGGCCTCACAGACTCATTGCTCGTGGTAGACGTAGAAGCGGTGTTGAAATCAATTTGTCGCAGAAGTGTCTCGAGTGTAACGCGATAAAACTTGCCCATTCCCTGTTTAGATCATTATTTATTGTTCACACGTCGAATATGCACGCTAGTATTCCACGCTCACCTTGTCATGATCTCCTCCTCCACCGCCTTGTCGTTTGCGCGGTACAGACATCTCCACTTTCTGCTTCAATATCGTCTGGAACTGGCCGATGAAACAAATATGAGCCAATCCCTCTTGCATAACAACAGCGACTGCCTCGGCACGGCGGTTGCCGCCCTCGTCAACAGCATCCTTAAGCATCTCCACCGCAATACTGTCCCAACCCACGCCCTCACCATTTGCACCGACTTCTTTCTCTAGAGTGAAATTTCGGTTCAGTTCGAGGTCGAGGGTGTGGAATTGTCCAATTTTGGTATGTGGGGTTTCATTGATAATCTGGCCAGAAACGTGGAGCTGCGAGCTCTGAGGGTCGAAATCAAGATTCCTCACACGAATTACGAGGTTTAGGTGTACTCGTGTTGATGTGGTGGAACCGGTATCTTGGACGGTGGTTACACGACGAATTGCACTCGCGCGTAGAATGTCATCTGGACGAATGAGATTGTAGGCGTGCCACTAAAGCAGACTGTATCAGTATATTGCTAGTTGATGGTGACGGCAATCGTTGACTGCATCGCACGTACCATGTCCTCAGGCTCCTCGGGGAGCAATGTGACTGTTCCTGAGCCATTATGCTCAATTTTATTTTTAACCAGACGCATGGTGCAAAGTTCAAGTATCGCCTTAGACACCCAGTACTCGAGAATCACAAAGAAAATGAAAGTCGAACTGTTGCTTTGAATCAGGATGCCCCGCCAAATACTGCCATATGTCACCGCCAAATTATGAGGCTGCTTATCGACTTGGGGAGATTGACAACGTCGTATATAGAAATAATATAATCGATTTCTTTACTTTTCTTCAGAGATTAAAAGCTGCAGTAGATATGCTTAACAATACGAATGAATCTGGAATCGATTGCTCCTTTCTAAGAGTCCTGCCCTGTCATCAATTCTCCGCGTTACGTCATTGGATGAAAGCTATGCTTCCAGAACAAGATCAATCTACATTTTATATTCGTCTCTTCTACCAAAGTAGACTTGAAATGCAATTATTTAAGTTATCAATTCCAGGTATTCAGTAGCTACTCCAAATTTACTCCAAAATTCGTGTATGAATGCGTCTTTGACATTCATTGAGCCCTCGGATTATGTCTGCCAGTGGATATAACTGTACACATCGCCTATCATCACCAGAAACTCATTGCATTTGCCATATTTCCCGTTTAATCATTGGACAAAGCTGGAAAGAGAAGTCTCTTTACATCATGCAACATCAATTTCATGAAAAATGCTCGGAGCCCCACGCTACTGGCCACTCATAGCCCTAGATGGCACAGCTCCACCCGTTGCAGAACGTTAATTCCGGTAAACGCGCTCGTCTCGTGTAGAAACGCACGGAAGATACGGAGCCGTAGTGGTCCGTGGGGTTTATCAATCAGTTTCCATGACTGGGTCCAGTCTTATCATTTAAGCTATCATTTCCCCCCGTTTCCTTGAAATCATTCCTTCAAGATAGAACAATCTGCAGCCATGGCGAATCTCTCCCTTCAATCGACTTATAAGCTGAAATCCGGATATGAAATCCCGGTGCTTGGATTCGGTGTAAGTGTGAACTTGATGACCATGTTTCCATCATGTGAGCTATTTACTGATTCCATTCTTTATTCCAGGTCTATCAAACGTATGTAATTCAAGTTGCAATGAAGACCTCGGCAAGGAGGTTGAAACCCTTTACTAATTCAGTATCACAGCCCCCTTGATGTCACAGAGAATGTGACGGTCAAAGCCCTTGAGCTAGGATACCGCCATGTAAGTCGTGGACTGCCAAGTCGCCTACTATATCTTTACTCACTAATGGATTCAAGATCGACTGTGCCAAGGTCTATGAGAATGAAAAGGAAAGCGCCGCAGCAATTCGCATCTCGGGGCTTGACCGATCAAAAGTTTTCTATACCAGCAAGGTCCCCCGAACCTGCATGGGCTATGAGAAGGCCAAGCAGGCCATTGCAGAGAGTCTCGCAGCTGTGGATATCGGTTACATCGATCTGTAAATATCCCGCTCTATCCCTTGGATTGAAAACAACATACTGATACTTGGAAATAGTATGCTAGTTCACGCGCCTCATGGAGGCACAGAGGCCCGATTGGGAACGTGGCGGGCTATGGTGGAAGCACAGCAGGCGGGTAAGATTCGATCGCTGGGTGTGTCCAACTTTGGTATCCATCACTTGGAAGAACTAGAGGCCTATATCAAGGGTGGCGCTGGTGGAGAGATCTCTGTTGGCCAATATGAGATTCATCCTTGGTGTCCGCGCGAGGATATCGCTGAGTGGCTGAAAGAGCGAAACGTTGTTGTTGAGGCATACTCGCCACTTGTGCAGGCAACTCGCATGAAGGAGAGCGTCTTGCAAGAGCTATCTCAGAAGCATGGCAAGACTCCTGCCCAGATTTTACTTCGTTGGAGCTTGCAGAAGGTATGTTTTTTATGATCATCAGCTGGAAAGATGAGCGACTGACTTGAGTTCTATTTAGGGCTATGTGCCCCTGCCTAAGTCAGTCACCGATTCACGTATTCAGGAGAACGCGGAGGTGTTTGATTTCGCTCTTTCGGATGAGGATATGGCTAGTCTGAAGCTAGACTCGTATGCACCTGTTTGCTGGGACCCAGTGCGCGAGATTAAGCTGTAGATTAGAGAAGCAATCTCAAGGATACCATAATTTTTATGGAGCAAATATCGAGATGTACTTTGTAGTGTGCAGGCAAGGAAATGGAATAAGATAAATTGGTATAAGATTAAACTACAAGAAGGTGCAGCCACGTGCAGCCCAATCAGGAAGTGTGTTGATTATCGGCACAACGTATCGCCGTCAACAAACCCTCCCGCCCGATAAACCAACAAAGAACGACCTCCAACTCTGCTGAAATACACATGCCTCAATGAGTGGGAATATGTCATCCACTCATACCCGACGGTGTTTCCACCATGCCCCCAGAGCGACGTCGGATCATCCTCGAAAAATCCAGCACTGTACGACGCCGGTACCAGCGCAGCGACCAACGGTTCAGGTTCACGGCTGAGCAGCTGAAGAGGATCGAGCGCGAAGAGGTACTAGACAAACGAGCAAAAGACATACGCGAAAGAGAAAAGAAACGAATTGCAAATAAGAAGAAGAAAGTTGAACAGGAGACCAAGGCTCGTGAAGAGGCTCGAAAACAGGGCCTGCCTGATCCATTCGCACCTAAAATTCCATCCAGCCAGCCATTACTATCGAAATTCCTAGGCTTCGCAAATCGAGCACCAGCTTCTGAAGAATCTCCGGCCAAAGAACCGATCGCTAAAAAACCTTCCTCCACGCCTAGCCCCGAGCCTCCGCTTACAGAGTGCGACGTCCACCACGATGGAGATACAGAAGTTGACAGTGCATCGGGAGACACAGAGCCAGATTCCGACTGCTTTGATGATCTAGATGAAGAGCTAGAAAAAGAAATCGCTGCTCTCGAAGATACGGGGGCCACGGAAGAACCAAAACCTCAAACCCCTGGTCTAGACTGCTATGACGATCTAGATGAAGAGCCAGAGAATGAATTTGCTGCTCTTGAAGATACGGGGCCCTCGGAAGAACCGAAACCTCAAAGCCCTGATCTAGAGTACTTTGATGATCTAGACGAAGAGCTAGAAAATGAAATCGCTGCTCTTGAAGACACGGGGGTCCTGAAACAACCAAAGCCTCAGACCCCCCGGTCTAGAGACAGCAAACGAGAGCTTGAAGATTGCTGAGGACGATGACGATGAATTCTCCGACTGCTCAGCATTCTACGACGACGAAATAATCAGAGAAGCCGAAGCAGCTACAGTTGCAGTTGCGGCCACTCAAAACACTCATCGCGATATCCCAGCTCCTCTCAATTCTACGAATACCAATCACACATTATTGCAACCACCGCCGAGTGGACCTCCGCAGATGAATAAACCCCCCCATAATTTCACAAAGTGATTCGTTCCGCGACGATACAGCTGATTATCTGGAAGATGTCTTCTCACGCGGCTGTGGTGATTCATTTGGAGAACTTCTCGGATTGGGATCAAAGCCACGATAGACCTTTGAACATAAGCATTGGCAACGACTTTTTCCACTTTGTTTAAATTGAACTCGGATTGGAGTTCTGGAGTATGGAGTCTTGGCAGTCCGAAGGGATTGAATCGGCTGCGGGTCCGACGGTCGGCAGGTCACATCCGCCCTCGGATAAGCATCGGGTTCTTGGAAACAGGGATCACAACGGTTGAGGTGCACATGATACCATGAGGTTCCGACGGATATTACAGTTTTGTAAAGGGTTCGAGATTATCAATATGCCTTTTACTTCGGTATAATAGTTTCCTGTTTTGGTTCATATTCATTGCCGCTTTAGGCTACTAGTACCATCCAGAATGATCATAATGAAAATACCAGTTGACTCCTATGACTACTGCCGATGTACATTCGAGTTATTGATCTGAATACAGTCCCAAATCAAACTTGCTCAGGTGGTCTTTAACTCCGAGTCCATATCCATGTACATTCAATAAAATCTGTGTTTCGCTATATGTGGAGCCAAGTTCATATGCAAGCTCGGGTTTATTCAGAATGTCATTGGTTGGGTCATTTTAGAGTGTAGATTGATATCATTTCCAAGATGAAGATGAACGGAGTTAGGGAATATCTTCGCATAGCTCCAGAAACTCGGTTTTATATGAGTTTTGATTGGTCTCAAAATATGGTATACGGATTCAGATGGTAAACTCCGACTGCATGAGAATGATATGGAATTCGAATTGTTGCCTCAGAAAAGATACTTAAGTCGCTTCATATCATGTCAATTCGTGAAAGAGATAATCAATCATCTTCATAAAAAGGGGGAAAAATTGGAATGGCACGTTTCACAGCCGAGTCTACGAGTGAGGAAGTCTGTAAAGACCTGTCCTCGGAAATCAAGGGAAGCAAGGGTAAGCTCTGCCAAAATCCAGATTGAACTGTCAGATAGGTAACTAACGCATACAGTGTTGATGACTGGAGTTACCCCGGGCAGCCTTGGAGGCACGGCAGCGATTCAAATCTCCAAGTTCGAGCCGGCCTTGTTAGTTCTTGCAGGTCGGAATATGCGGACACTGCAAGAATTGGACGAAAAAATCAAGTCGGAAACACCTTCTGCGCCAACTCGACTACTTTTGCTGGATCTTAGCTCTCAGGAAAGCGTCCGAAGGGCTGCAGAAGAAGTAAACGCTTATCCTGAAACGCTTGATATCATCATCAACAGTGCCGGAGTGATGGCTTCCCCATACACTCTTACGAAAGAAGGTCTAGAGCTTCAATTTGGAACAAACCATATTGGCCATTTCCTCTTTACGAACCTTGTACTGGAAGGTTTCTTGCAGCAGGGAGCTCCTTCTATCAGAGTGGCCAATGTTAGTAGTCTTGGTCACAAGAGAGGACCTGTCCGGTTTGATGATCCTGGATTCCAGGTATGTTGTTTGTCTCTATCAGAACCTGTTCTCCGATGATAACTGGCCTCTGGATTAGGGCGGTAAATGCTATGACAAATGGCAGGCATATGGGCAAAGCAAAACCGCCAATATGCTGTACTCCGTTTCCTTGGCTGAGAAGCTTGGAGACAAAGGCGTGCAGTCATTCAGTCTTTACCCTGGACGGATTTTAACTGGCATCGTAAAGCATTTGTCTATGGAAGATTTTCTCAAAGCTGGTATGTCTCTCACTCAATTCCTCTCCATATCCACAGAAATCTTCCAAGCAATTCGAACCAATTAACTGACTGTATATGGAACCAGGCTGGAAGCACGCCGATGGCAGTGTCAACAATTCCCCGAATCTGGGTTGGAAAACACCAACCGAAGGTGCAGCCAAACTGATTGTCTCGGCATACGACCCAACAATTTCCGGTAGGTTATTTTGGTGCTATAATGTCTGAGACAATTTTCCTTATTAACGAGCCCATACAGACAAGAACGGATCTTACATGGTCAATAATGAAGTGAATAATAGCGAGGCTGCAGAGTACGCTCTGGACCCCCAGAATGCAGAGAGACTGTGGTCGCTCAGTGAGGATCTTGTGGGTCAGAAATTCTTCAGCTAGGTTAATTGATTCACCGCATCAATTATTCTCATAAAATATGAAAAGATGACTGCGTAGTAGTAGGTATGGGTATCGAATTTAATTTGTTTAACCTTTGCTTCAAGTTCTGGATCGACTGAGTGATATGAAGAATTTTGGAATCACTAAGAGTGCAGCTCCGGTATCTCCAGTGCAGAGTTATGTGTAGCTCTCTTGCGCTTAAACTTGACATTCTGTGCAGCTGAGAAAGTCGCCATTGCAAATATGTAATTTCCCAGTCCACCTCCAGTAGTAACGCTAGCCTGGCACTGGGCTATCAGATCGCTATAATGACAACACAGAGCATCCGTGTCGTTCATCTTGTGCTGAAGGTATCTCGTTGTTTGAGGAGAACGCCAATATGCAAGGCTATCCAGAGCCTCAAACATGAAGTTGTAAATAATCACTAGACCTAGCCAGTAAAGTAGTAGCAGTGGTATAGTTGATGTATTTGTGAAGATAAGAACCGATTGATGAATGTGCGCGTCGGCTTGCGGAGAAGAGGACTGCTCTTGGATCGCAAAAAGAGAGTCGCCGTTCTTCAATTGAAGTTGGCTGTACCAGTCGAAAAGCTGGGTCTCTATATTTCTTGTGATTGCTAACATATTCTCAATTGATGTTAGATCGCAGCTCTTCATTTTCTTCTTTATTCGGTAGTCGTAAAGTGATTTAGTTGCGTTGAAGAGTAATTCGAGGAGCTCATCGAATATACCCATTGAGGACCAAGTTGAGTGAGGAATCTGCGGGATTATAACAAGATCGTTGATCCAAATGCGGAGAAACTACTGGGTGTTAATTCAAGTGCAGTTTTCAATATGAACATATTATAACTTTGACATACCTCAGTAGTATATAGTCGACGTAAATCATGTTCATTGAGTAAATGCTCCTTCGGAGTATGAGAACTCGTCATCAGATTATAAGCGGCCTCTACATGGATCGGCCATGCATTTTCCTGGTCTGGGATTGGATTATAAGTCTCATATAGCGCAAGAATCATTCCAGTGCGAATAAGATCAGTTGGATCTTTGAGCTCCTTGAGTCCAAAGATTTGCTTCAAAAGTAGATTATAGCAATGCCTACTGCGGTCTGCTAATGCAGTGTCTCCTTGAGACTTGGAGATATGCATCAAAGTCAAAGTAGATATGGAGGTCTTCATAATGGCTGACTGTGAGTCGAGAAAATCCAAAAATCTCTCCACCCAGAATATTGAGGATTGATAGGCATTGCCTGCAGATGTCTTTGGTGGGAGATAATCATCCAAAAATTGAGAGATGAGCTGTCTTTGACTCTGATATGCTGTCAGGGATGATTGACTTGGTATATGTGGAGAATTGATTCTCTCTTCGTTGTTCCTGTGTTAGGGTCAGTTCTGGAGTAAATATCTGGTCATGAGTGCAATAAGATCTATACCTGTATCCACCACAAGTCCTGGCTGAGGCTCGGCATCGTAGACATCCTGGCTTGCCTTTATCGCACTTTAAGTTGCGGATCCACGAATTAGTCTAGAGAAAACGGAGCATGTAGATATTCAAATGTTGACACACCTTAACCTTCCTTGTAATGCATGTTCGGCAGCTTTGGGCACGCCAGATGCTTCTTCCCATGCTGTTTCACTATGGATGAGCACCAAGAGTTTGCCAAGAAATTGCGGTCTGGTTCTTCACTCGCATGAGGTCCACGAATACATAGCGCAAATCAAATGGAACCTTGGAAGTGCGTTGATGAGGGTGTTATGAGGGTTATTTGATTAATAAGGCAAGGTGGCCGAGTGCCCAGGTGGTTAACTAAGGCGACACGTTTAGGTAATCCCTCCGGGGTGTTCCGAAAGGGCGTGGGTTCCTCTGATCCTTTCTTTTTAGCACTGTATAATTTTTTTTCTTTCATCTTTATATTAAGTAAGTAGTATCCCGGGGCTACAAATTTAATAAAATGTATCACATATAAAAGCAGAATCACCTTAGCACCTGGAGAGAGCCGGGTCATCCGATATTTGTACTGATGTCACATCACATCCAGTGATGACTGCTTTAGATCGGATCATATACCGTACGCAGTAGAACAATATTCCAGTGTAATTATTTCTAGTTCTGAGGTACACATCACTTAGAGGAAAAGCTCTTCTAGTCAAATGTCAATGATCACTTGGAGAAGCTATTAAACCTATACCAACTGTGAACTGTGAATATGATTAAAGCGGCGATTCGGAACCCCCACTGCCCCACCATAGATAAAGCCGGTACCATAGCAGAGCTTGAACTGATTATAGATCGGATTTAATACAATAGCATATTTCTCCTTCCCTTCTTCTTCAACTTGCATATTCAATCTTACATATTTTTTCTACTTTCAAGCTTCCTCCACAATGCCGTTCATTCAAGCCAACACTCACCGGCTTCACTATACCGATTCTCACCCCACCGGGCCACCAGACGCAAATGGCCTGACCTTTATTTTCATTCATGGTCTTGGATCCTCTGAAAACTACTACTTCGCTGTTCTACCTCACTTGACCTCAAAGCATCGTTGTATCACAATCGACACATATGGTTCTGCTCGCTCAACATATACCAATGACACCATTTCAATCCCTGGAATTGCAGCAGATGCTATTGGTGTCCTAGATGCCTTGAATATTCCCAAAGCCGTCGTTGTTGGCCACTCAATGGGTGGATTAACTGTCACCGAGATAGGATCGGGGTATCCGGATCGGGTGGTGGGAATTGTGGCAATTGGACCGACACACCCGTCTGAGATGTTAGGATCAGTTATGGGCAAGAGAGCCGAAACAGTCTTGGAAGGTGAGTGATTCCTTTATTGCTCATAATACACATTGCCCGATTATCTTGGAAGGGTTTTCTTGGATCTTAGCGTTAACGTATCTCCAGCTGGCATGGCACCCATGGCTGAATCTATTCCATCCGCTGCCGTCGGATCCGGCAGCACCCCACTCCACAAGGCCTTTATCCGAGAGCTGCTTCTCGGTCAGGATCCTAAGGGCTACGCTGCTCTTTGCCGCGCCCTTTCAACCGCTCAGCCGGCAAACTATGCGGCCGTTCAGGCGCCATTCTTACTTCTTGCTGGTGAGGAGGATAAGTCCGCGCCCATGGCGGGTTGTCAGCATATCTTTGAGCATGTCTCGAGTAAGAGTAAGTCCCTTGAGGTGCTGAAGGGAGTTGGTCATTGGCATTGTATTGAAGCCCCTGACGAGGTTGGATCACTTATTGCAAAATTCGCGGATGACATTTCTGCTTGATTCATAGTATGAGTTACAACTTAAGTTATATGATAGCGTGGAAATCTGTCGTGTTGCCAATTCATAGCATGAAAAGTTGGGTCTAAAAAACATGCAAATCCGAAGCTTTTCGTGAGAAATGAGTGAGAAGTATAAAAATTCATTCGATGCTCCAAATGACTCATTTCAAATATGTACAAGAACGCTATCGTAAATCAAAAGTAACAGGCAGGCAATATACACATGTGCAAGCAAGTTATGTATGGTTTTCGGTTTCAAGCCTGATTGGCTCATTCATCAGCCACAAGCTTAACATCGTACTTGAGCTCAAGGGCAGCCTTGGAGTCGCCCTCGCGGGGGACAAAGTCCACGATCAAGGAGTCCTTAACCGCGAACACGGAGTCGTTGGTCAGATACTTGTCTTGGCTATCAAAGATCTGAGTAGTGAGAGGGCGGTAGCCTTCGTGAGTAGCCTAAAAAAGATAATCAGTACGGGAAGATGCGATTCACAAGGAAACGAGCTTACAAGAATATGAATGTGGGCAGGGCGGAAGGGGTGACGGTCCATCAACTCAAGGAGCTTTCCAGCAGGGCCTATTCAGCTCTTGTTAGCTTACCAAATACACCACAAGACAAGACAGAGTGTAACTAACCATCATCTGGAACGGGATAAGGTGTCGGCCGCAAGCAATAAAAGTAGTAGCGACCATCGGCATCTGTCTTAAACTTTCCACGCAAGTTGAACTCAACCTGATTGGAATCTTGCTGCTCATACAATCCATTTGTCGATGCCTGCCACACCTCAACTGACGCGCCAACAAGAGGCTTCTGAGTGGCAACATCCATTATGCGACCATGCATAAAGGCCATCTCGCCGTCATCTGGCTTAGTAACGACAATATCGGAGCCGTTCTCGCGCCACGGGGTATCGGCACGGAAGAACGGGCCCAAGATGGCGGTGGCGGTGGGCGCATCTGCAGCCTCATCGGCCAGAGTAAAAGTAATTTCATCAACAAGACTGTTGAATATCATTAGTACTAGCCTTAATTATGCATGCAGAATTCAGGTAGTCTTCAATATATGACTTACGTTTCCAGACCAATGACGTCGCAGACTAGTTGTCCCTCATTGCGCTTATCGTCACTCATCTGTCCTGCCCAATTGAGCATCTTCACACCAGCCATCCACTCGTCAACTGTAAGCTCGTTCTCGCGCGCGAAGTCATGAACGTGTCTGATCAGACCGCTCATAAGCTGACGCATACGCGGTGAGGTCTTAGGACCCATTGAGTTAATGACATTGTCGGTGAACTCGGGATCAAATCTGTGAGCGGCCATGATGAAAATGTAAAGCTATTCTTTAAGCTTTGAATATTGCTCTGAGACTTTTTCTTGGTGATACCAAAGTGAAAACCTTGGAAGGGATAAGGGTTCGGTTTTGTACAACACTTGAAGTGAATTTCGTAGAGGTTAAACCTTTTTAAAAACGGATATGCGCCGGGATGTTGCAGAGCTCCGTATTTAAGTACTATTGAAAGTAGGTGTCAGAAGATCCGACGGGATTTAGGCCACCTGGAAAGCCTAGTTGTGACGCGGCAAAGCACGGATCTGGTGCCCTGTGCCTAATTCCGGGTCCCCAAATTGAACTTGACCAACTAGTCGATGCTCATTCGAGAATTGACCCCGCAAAATGGCGGGGGCCGGTGGCCTGATTGGGTCGGTGCGGCGTCGGATGCTGATGATAACTCGGGTAATCGGATCGGGCAGTGTGGAATGAATGAAGAAGTACGCTTCCGACTCCCCCGCAGTTTCGGATGTGAGTGATCGTCATTGGTTAATGGATTTGATATTCGGGGGATTGGAGAGAGATGAGATTTAAAGTCGGCGATCATGAAAGTAGTTCACTATGTAATTTGTGAGGATGCCGATGCAGGTACTGAGTAGATCCACCTGTTACTCTACATATTACATCGGATTGGGAAAGTTAGTTAGGAGTTAATGCCTGGGAAACAAGGCCAATAAACACCATGGAATAATAGATAGAGCATGTCATTATACTGATATAACTAATCATTCAACGTCTATTCTTCGGATTCCCCTTGTTCATCAAATGAGCCGGCAACTCCTGCAACACCTCTCCCTTTTCCCAAATCTTCCCCAACTTAGCCTTCCGCTCAATAACAACATCAAAAAACTCTACCGGGAGAACCCTCTGGACACTTCCTTCAGTATCGCCACTGGCATCGGAGACAGGTAATCCCTCACTCAGAATTACCCCATTCTCACTACGCCAGAATGGACACCCAGCTTTCAATGCCTTCCGAATATCAATGTAGATCAAAACCTGTGCATCCCATCGCATACCCGAAATAACCTTTCTTTCACCGGTTCCCTGCTTAGTCTCGTTCGTTTCCTCCTGTTGTGCCGCAATTATAGATTCGAGGGATGGTCCTGTTGCGAAATGCACATGGTTTCGAGTCATGCACTTCAGTCCACCCGACTGTAGAATCAATGGCCAAGCACCGTGGAAGGTTCCATGGACTACTGTATCCGGAAGCTTAGATTCATCGTCCAATGATAGCGGCTCAAGGAAAGAGGCTGCATCGACAGTCTTGATACTGTGGCCCTGCGTCGCGCGGATAAGGTAGTTTGCGGGGTTCGCATCGGCCGCAGCAAGCGCTTGCTGTGTAGTATTGGTTTGTTCCTCTGCAGTTGAAGGTGCTTCCAGGACTGAGGTGCTCGTATCCGGCTTGACGGACTCGGCTTCTTCGACCGAGTGCGATCCGGGTATCGTTGTAGCAGTCGATGTAGAGGCAGTAGGTTGCGATGAGGGAATATGCAGGAGGGCGAAACGTTTCTTATCAGATGAGTCGACGGCGTGTTTGATTTCATCGAATGAGCATTTGATTGATTTGAGCTTGCGCCATTGTAACTGTGTAGAGAAGACTAGGTTGGTGGAATGATCAGAGATATTTTTCGTAGCTTAAGAGAGTCACATACCACATCTGCTACGTTTGCGTAGCCTTGTGTGTTCAGCTTGAGACCTTCTTTCTCTGCAGCATGGCGCAGTAACAGACTCAAAGCCTTCGAGATCTGCACATCACGAGATTGGCCTTTGCCTCGATTTTGGTCTTTATTCTGTCTCACCCTGTCTCCTGCCATAGCTGTATGCGAAGATGGTATTCTGGGTGTGTAGTGTGATATCTGTAGTGGTGCGGGGAGCTGGTCAAGATTTGCGGAGCTTGAAAATCAAGTTGCTGCGGGGCAGAATATCAAGAGCCGCAGCCGCACTGGTCGATCAGTCACTGGCACTGGGCACTCTTGGGTTTTGGCCGTATACATACCATGACTCAGAACAAAGAATGACTCACAGTGTGTCATATCGATATATCATATACCTGGTTTTAAATGAAAATAGCCTAGTCAATTACATTGACAATCAGCCTGAATGCTTAATTTTTGAATTTAAAGGCTCCCCAGGTCTTAGTACATACTAGGTAAGGAATAACATTGATCACTATCAGCCCTCTAGTAAGATATCATAACAGAACCAAGGGGTATATTCTTGAAACAAAAAGGCAAAATTACAAAATCTCAGTATCTACATCAGGGATTAATCAACTCCCCAGTGTATTTTCAACGATCACAGATGCAGCTACACTCAGCCACAGGACAAACTTTATGCCTCATGAACCAGTCTCGCGCATGGTGGGCATGGAAGCCATGATTACAATGAATACAGAAAACCACAAAGCGGCGCATCACCTCAGTCTCCGTAGCTTTACGAGGATTCGACTCTGTATCTGCAGTAATCCCCGCACGAGACATCGGATCTGGAGAGCCCAGCCAGAGTGTACATATGCCACAACGGGGCATATGACGACCACAGCGGGGACACACAGTACCAGACATAGCCGTGGACCCGAGAGGACTACCCACAGTGGGGTGAATTGTCTCTGTTGTGGCGGACGGAGAGACTTGAGATGATCCATCGCTTTGTGTAAGTGGGCGAGTGCAGTAGTTGCAGCTCAGGCTAACCTGTTGCGGCGGCGGCGGAATGAGCTTGCGTCCGTCAACAGTGACAGCAAATTGACGCGAGCCAACATCAAATCGGGCCCGCTCAAGTTGCAGTTTCCAAGAATTCATCTGTCGGCGATATGTCTCTCGCCAAGCTTCAAATTGGGTGATGTAGGCTTGATTGCTGATGATCCGCGGTACGGTATAGCTCATGGCCAGAACCGGAGTCTGGATGTCGTTGAATTTGTCAATGTAAGATTGAAACAAACCCATTGCTAGATGACCCAGACCAGTCAGTACGACACCTTCAATGTCACCCTGTTGCGTGGCTTCTGCTGTGGCATCTTTCAGATATTCGCTGAGCTCCTCATCTGGAAGCCAGCGCAATGCAACCTCCACACGGTATTTCAGTGGGAGTGTAGTTTCCTGAATAACCGCATGCCAATCTCCCTTGCTCACAAAGGCTAGAATAGCTCTTGCATATGGATCTGTAAGTTCTTTCGAGATCTCTGCGCATGTTTCTTCCCAGTCGGCACTATTATCACCCTTAGCAGCACCGGCTATTGCCATGGCCAGCAGTTTATGGGCTTGCGTGGGCTGATTGCTCCGCAGTGCCAAGTAGGCCAGTTTGGGCTCAGCCTGGAAGATAGCCAGCGCAGCAGCCTTTGTGTGTTGGCTCTCCGCCGAGAGATTCTTCACTAAATCCTCCAATTCTCGCCTTGAATGGGCTGCGCCACAGAGGCGAAGGCACAGTTGGCGGTGTTCGACACGTAAGGTTTCGCAACCAGTAAATTCAGGTAGACCCAGTTGGCCAGCCAGCTGAACTATGGTTTCCGCTGCCAGCTTCTCATCGTCTCCTTTGGAACTGTCGCGGTCTTGGCGCTTTTCGGACCCATGACCTATGGCACATATAATTAACATCAGAATCAAACAATAGTAGAGGCAAGGCGGAACAAACCCAGATCATTTTGCCAAACATTGCCCACACCAAGATAATTCATATCCAGACCATTGACCACCATGTTCATCCCTGAAGAGTCGGACCGAGCACCTGTCATGATTATTAGCATTGGGACAAAAAGGTTATCTGTAGCGCTAGCTTACGTTGAACCCATCTCCAGAAATCTTGGAGAGTAGGATCGTCTTGAACAATGAGTTGATTTCTTGCTTCATCAAAGAGGTAGCCCTCTTTACACCGGAACCGGCCGAGTGTAGAGATAGTCAATGCCTCTTTCGCCGTGAGAAGACTTCCAAATGTCCCTAAAGATAGCGCCCGCTCTCGGCTTTCTCGGCTCGGCACAGGGTCGGAGCTCAGGACCCTAGATATGCTTTTCTTCCTCTCCAAATTATGTCTAGACTCTCTGGAACTGGAGAGAACGCGAGATCTAATGTTCCCGACTAGCTCAGAAATAGGAGATATTTGTTCGGACAATGGTTGGATAGACCTTAAGTCCGAGTCGTTAGATGGGACACCACAAGCCAGTGTTCCTTTTGATGATAAAGCGACAGGCGGGCATGGTGGTTGACCCGTAATGATCTGCGGTTGACCATTGCCATCAATTCCAATGGCACTTGGCTGAGATGAGAGGCTGAGGTTAAGGAAGTCAAATGCGACTATTCGTTCTTTCTCCGCACAACCGCGAATAGGATGGTCAAATGGAGCGCAGACATCTCGAATGTGTTTGGTATAAACCGGCTCCGGGTAGTTTCTGAAAGATCCTTGGCCGAGAGTCTCATCTATAGATGAGCGATACTCTTCGGATAAATGGTCTTTGGCAATGTCAAAAGTTTTCAATTTCCCGGAGCTGGACAATGCACCTAAGGAGCCCCGATTGGTTTTGGAAAAACGCAAACTCCAAATGGTGTTCTGAGGCCTGAACACATTTTTCAACTGCAAAGCAGAAACTGCCTGGTTGGCTTTCGGGGTCGCAGCAGCAGAAGACCCAACATTGGGAGACGAGAGGCGAGGTCCAACCCGACGATCCCACACGCAAACCGTGTTTTCGTTCGACGTCACACAAGAAGCAATATAGTTCTCATCGAGCCAGTCAATTGCCAAGTTATGAACACATTGGGTTGGGAATTGTAACGAAGGGTTTCCGGGGCCCTCTAAGTGAATATGTAGATTAGCTTTTGCACGAGCAAACAGGGATCAAGCATTTAACAAACCTCTAAGATCGTAGATCCGAACAAATTGACCTTTAACTCCAGTCACCAGCATGTCTGGCTGGTCTCGGAAGAACTTGATACTAGTGATAGGCTCGGAGCTGGCTAGCTTTCGTAAAGGCTCGTGGAACCCCTTAGTAGCGCCAGCGGGGCTAAGCCGTTGATTCACGTCCCAAATATTCAAACAAAAGTCATTCCGCACGCGATCGAGACCCGATGCCACCAGCCCATGTGTACTGAATGCCACTGCATTACAATATCGTTGATTTCGTACGGGGAACGAAAGTGATTCCTTGCTATCGGCGTCGAGGCGTAGAATTGTAGCTTCCCCAGATGACTGGCCCACCGCGATCAGGTTCTCATTTGAGGTCGACCAATCGAATGCGCGAAAAAGAGGAACGTCTCGGAGGTGGGAGAGAACTTCATGCTGTATATTCCTGCCATCAAATCCAGTAACTCTGCACAGGCGAAATGCCTTCCCAGTGACGTCGACGGAGAGGAAGCGTTGCTCCGCTGTGGTCGAGCTCGGCGACCAACGAATCGCAGACTCCATAATTCCGTGAGTCTCCCTAGATTATGATTAAACAATACAGCATCAACTTTATTCAGAGGCCGGAGCCTCAGATCGAAGAAGCGCCAATTGGATATAAAATAAAGAGTACACAGCGGGGAAGAGAGAAACGAGGGGAGGTTGATATGCCTAATTTGGATGAGCGCTCATTGGCTACGTCAATCTCTGGACGGGCCGAGGGTTGCGCCGAATGGAGCTTCATTTTTTTTTTTAATTATTATCTCTAATCTCAACAACCCAACTACAAAATGCCTGACTCTCATCATTCTCGGGGAGATTCCTCTAAACGCAAGAGTCGTCATGACTCAGGAGATCTTGCACCTCGCAAAAAGCAGCACCGATCTACACGCGACCATGATCAAGACATCCAAATGGAGGATTCAGGAAGCGACGGTGACCAACGCCAGTCCCATTCAACTCAATCTAAGGGAAAACCTGCACCTCGCAATGAAAGGGAAGCAGCATCTGTGAACGATCTTAAGAGACGTATTCGAGATGTGAAACGCCTGCTCAACAAGGCCAAATTGCCCGCGGACGCTCGGGTGGTGCAAGAGCGAGCGCTTGCAGGCTATGAACAGGATCTAGCGGACGAGACCGCCCGGCGCGATCGGTCACAGATGATTAAGAAGTACCACTTTGTTCGATTCTTGGGTATGCCATCTGGACGCGTTTCCTCTGCGTGACTTTGGTTACTAATAATTAAACAGACCGAAAGACCGCAAACAAGAACCTGAACAGCCTACTTCGCCGCGAAAAAGAAGAAGGTCTCGACTCAAAACAGAAATCTCGTCTTCAACAAAAGATTCACGATGCGCGTGTTAACGTCAACTACACAATTTACTACCCCCTGACCGAAAAATACCTGTCACTCTACCCGAAGCAAGAAAAAGCATCTGCAGAAGCTGGCGCAGAATCTGGGTCTGAGGCTGATACCAAGAAACCCAAGCAGCAAGAAACAGCAACCAGACCCCCACTCTGGTCTGTTGTCGAGAAGTGCACAGCGGAAGGCACTCTTGACCGTCTCCGGGAAGGCAAGCTGAACATTGGACATGATGGCCAGCCTATTTCTGAGGCCCAAAAGCCGGCACAGCCAGTACAGCCTAAAAAGGACAGCAAAAAGCCCAAGAAAGAAGAGTCTCAAGAGGAGAAACCTACCACCAGGAGAGAGAGACGCGCTACAAAGGATGTCCCGAACGGCAAGAGGGATAAGCAGAATCGGAAGGATTATGGCAAGGAGCGAGACCGCCTGCAGGATGTTGCTATTGAGGCCGCTGGCGATGATAGTGACGGCGGATTCTTTGAGGAGTAGCCACCTGGGCACTTGTCGATATGTCTTTATTTGATATCCAACTTAGCATTGTATGAATGACAACTTTGGAAGATTTTGCCTTGCGAAGATTATGATATTGAGGCATACATTTTTTATCGACTATCACCGAATACTAGTACTCCATAAGTAGGTAGCTCCAGTCCCCATCTGGTTAGGTGGAAAACATTCGAACGATCTACCAAATCCCTTCTGGTACCATATTGACACTCTATCTTCTAGGTAGACTATACTAGTATCTGCCTAAGATAACCTAGTACTTAAAGTCTGGTATACTTATATTGAATCCATACCCATGAGCGACAAAATCTTAGCTCTGGTATACTATATCTCTTTTGTTCGTCTTCTATAAAGATCAGTTAATAATGTCGCTGCATGTTTCCTGTGCAATATCAGGCTGCATCAACATAGTCCATTGTGCCTTTTTCACTTGATAACCTTGGTTTGTAAGATAGATGTACTGCTCATAGCCGACTCAATGCCTGAAATGAGACGAATTGGTTTGTTTGTTTGCTATTATAGCCACCAACTGTTACTCGCTCGCTAATGCAAAATCACGAGACCAGGTCTAAACAAGCCTTCGTCTCTTGTTGTTTCTTCAACCCTCCCAATCTCAAACTCGTTACCCTTTGGAATCTCCTGCATTTCTTGCTCCAGCTTCCCACCAACATCTCTCTCCTTCAAATCCTACTTCAAGTTTCACTGTTGAACATCTATGACTTGGAGGCTCTAAGCCTCTGATATCGCACTACTCTGCCCGCAAGGCCCATTGATCTTCCTCATATCGTGTCTTATCTTTCTCAGGACGCGCGTTTGCACCTTGCGCTTGAGGTTTGCGTCTTGTGCTGGAAGTTTGCGTCTTGTGCTGGAGGTGATCGATCTCAAAATCTATCATCACCTTCGGCTTTCTACTACTCACGTCAATCATTCAACTCATCCCACCTGATCTTCGTTTGCTTGCTTTCATCAACACCGTCTCGACTTCATTTTGTCAACCCGATTCTCACCCATACCAGCTGGAATTTTGATACTTACCAGTGGCTACCACCACATCTTCAAGTCATCACCTGTTCTACCAACCTAACTGACTTGAATCCGCCATCATGTACAGTCAATTCAGCCGCCAGGGTACGAAGCAACTCATTCACCGACCTGCAGCAGGGGCCTGCGGTCCATTCGAAATTGACACATTTGAAGACAAAATGATGAAATTCCGTGACGCGTGTCTCGACAAACTGAGAGCATACCAAGTAGACATGGAACAATACTATGATGCGGTTGATGATGAAGAATGGATAAAAGAATGGAATTGGGATAAGGCTAAGCCAGACAAAGAAAGATTCGAGCCGCCCCCTGATCCAGAGATGCTCAAGATCGCAACCAAGGTTACTTACAATAAGAACAAACCCTGCTTCCCACCTCCCCTCTCTCGCCTCAGCGACGAGCTCGTGTACCTTGCTACGAAATTCATCAATGCCGGCGTCCGATGGAAGCTGTATCCTTATGACTTTCTCATGAGCGGCGACATCAACCCAGACCGCATACCAACAGGTCCTGCTCCTCTCGTCTGGGCATATGGTCTACCCTTTCTGCCCGTTTACAAGGGCTACTATGTCCTCACAGGCCGCCAGCATGCAGCCTGGGCCGGATGGAAAATCGACGAGAAGATGTACAAGCATATGGCTCTGGTTCCTGTGTGGTCTATTGGGCCAGTTGTTGCACCTGGTTCCTTGGTGGCGCAGACGAAGCAATGCCGTGAAGAAGAACCAAATGCGCCAGAGGTACTGGATCGTACGGTGGAGCGTCATGCAAGATTTTTCTCTATGCAATCTGGAAGACAATGTGAAAGGGGTGCTGAGTCAATTCAGGCTAACAGGGACGTGGTTACAACTTGTCCTCATTGGGGTGTGGTTGCGCCTAGAAGAGAGGATGGGTTGGAATTTGGGGTTATGCGTCTATGTGACATTCCAGGCTTCTCGGTTCACATTGGGCCGCACTCCATGGAAGAGAGCCCTCCTCAAGTTCTATCGAGAGATCTGTTTCAGAGGACTAATCTCGTGGCCTTTGATTATGACGCCTCATTTAACCGTCCCTACCGTTGCGTTGAGGAGCCGGCTATGTTTCCCCTAGAAGAGGAGACATCTGAATCTGAGTCGTCGTCTGAAGCTGGGCCATCTAAGCGCGGGCCTAGTCCGGGCCCCGGAAATAGACGTGGAAAAAGACGTCGAATCCAGGATAATGAAAGTGATGCCGATGGTGATACCGATGAAAGTGATGCTGATGGTGATACTGATGAAAGTGATGCCGATGGTGATGCCGATGAAAGTGATGCGGGCGTTATCGAATCAATTGAGCAGACTACCTGCGGTGAGCCAGTTGACGGTACCAGTCACGAAATGACCACCCCTGCACCTTCCAATATCACCTGCAGTCAGGACAATGAAAATCACAAGGTTGAATGTGCAGAGCATTCTCAGAACAATCCCGCTCAGGATGACGCTCAAATTGAAGTCCAGAATAAGGTGCATGTCGAGAACCAGGTTGAAATTCAGGATGACACGCAGGTCGAGACTCAGGCCCATGTTCAAGCTGATACCCAGACCGATGCGGTGGCTGCTACTCAGGTTGAGACCCAGATTGAAGCCCAGGTTGAAACTCAAGCCGAAACTCAGGCTCACACTCAAGACACTCAGACCGATACTCAGGCTGATACCCACGTCGAGACCCAGTCCGAACCCCAGAATGCTTAAGTCGCTAAGCATTCTATTCCAGCTACAATCATGTCCGCAGGAAATTTCAAGAACTACGACTATCTGAATGATGTACCAATATCAATACGAGCCATTCGCTTCGATTTTCTCCATCTCACCCACAGTCATTCTTTCCGGAGGCATATTTTTAGGGGTTATCAAAAACATGAAAAGAAAAAAAAACACGAAAAGAAAAAGGAACAAAAAAAAGGAATCTGTATCAATATTGTACCTATTATTAGTTATCCGAATTTACTCAAATCCAATTTGAACGAGATGAAATGCAGGCTTGTTTTCACAAACAGCTGCATAGTTAGGATTTACACTGTATTTTGGATCCAGTATTTCCCTTTTGGCCTACACCTGTGGATTACTAGTATCAAGCCAATCCTTAATCTTGCCAAGTGCAAAGATATCATGCTGTGCTTCAGACGTAGTGTAATCTTCGATTTTGCCCTCAATCCAATCCTTCGTCCCCCGAATATACTTCAACCTCTCACCAAACTTCTGACATCCCCCAAAATCAATCAAAACAGGTTGACCAGCTTCGCTAACCAGGATATTTGCCGGAATGAGATCATTATGTGCCCAACCAAGTCCATGCAAGTGCTGAATCACCGACTCGAGTCCAGCCATAAAGGAAGCTTTATCGACTACCTCATGTCCATTCCCCATATAGCTCCGAAGATTGTATGGGTGTCTATCAAGCACGAGACCGGTTATGTAACCACGAGCAACCCGGCAGCCGTGGTAACCGATGAGATTTGGGTGTGGATGCTGTGATAACTCTTCCAGCACTTATGCCTCTGCGGCAATAGTGTGGTAAAGTTGTTTCTCAATGCCCATCTCTTTGAGCATGGTGTAGAACTCCAAGGTAGGACGCTTAATGTAAAGATTTTCAGGTAGTGTTCCTGACATGGAGGCTTTTAGATGCTCTGCCCCTGATACGGGCCATGCGGGGAAGATGGAGTCATCAGCGACAGGATGGAGAGCATCCATGAGATTATCGAATAAGATTTCTGCCTTGGCAACACTTCTTTGGCCATAGTAGAAGACTTCATTGTCGTCAATGAGACCGAAAGATGTGTACTGGACTTTGTTTGTGTCAGGGTCCTCTTCCTCGGAAGCGAAGGTCAGATCGGTCCAGTTGGTAATTCGGGGTGTCATGATTCGAGATGGATGTGGGGGAGATAATGGTCTTAACGGTATTGGCCTGTTTAATCATCAATCCAAGTAGAATTCTGTGTGGGTAGATGAGGCCTGTGGTGTACTAAAGAAAGCATCAGGCAAACACCAATTGCGGAGGATAAAGACAAAATGAGCGGTAGACCCCTGTCACCTTTCGTGTGATATCTCATTTCCTCCGTGCATATGATAGATAAATTACTTCTCAATCACGTCAATGTGTTCAGAGTTTGGCGTTAATAGCTGTTATTTGTGGTGTGGCTCCAAAAGAAACAGTCCAGACGTTTGTATGGTATTGATGATAAGTAGATTCCTGCGTTCACGCAAGAGCCAGGTCACCAGATGTAATCCATAAATCCAATCAATAGCCTCAATAAAAGCCTGAGTCCAAATCACACCCTGCCTCAAAAGTCCAAGTCGAGAAGGCATCCGAGCTAGATAAAAAGACTCTCCACCTGGACCTTCACCCTCTGAAGCCTGCCGGTCAATTCACTATCCTCGTCGGAGATGATGCATGCCGCAGATATGGGGCAAGTTACTCGACAGACTCGTCCAATTGCGTTCCTACTCGGTACGTAAACGTAAGGAATGTCCTTTTCTTCGCAGTAGGATGTGAGGTGTGCGACGATCATGAGGGGTTGGGTATCAGCGGCTAGAATGACGAGTTTGGCTTTGTTTCGGTTGATATTTTTCAGCACTGCGTGAACAAATGTTATTCATGTTCAAGTTGGAAGTTTTGTATATGATATAGAGTACTAGTCAGCATATGGGGTGGGAGTTTACCTTCATTTGAACCCTTCTTGACTTGACGGGTGTACGCGGCGTGTCGGAGCAGTTCGAGGAGTTCTTGAGTAAGGCTTTCATTGGCTATGGGCCACGCTAAAAGGAGTCAGTTTTCATGCTGAGGTTAGATGATTTATTGGTTCTTGCGTACCTTCATCCTCTTTGGGGGACTCAACGTCAAGGTCCATGGGTTCTCCCAAGCTCGCCATGATGTGAACGATTGGTGATGCTAGTTGGTATGCTCGATTTTGTGGATGAGAATATGTAGGAAGCTTGAAACTTGAGGAGAAAGATTACAGAAGTGAAGTTGGATTTGGAGCCTCTGAGACTTGGAATATTGAGCACTTGAGACAACGTGATCACATACGTGTATGTCCACACCAATCACCACGGGTATGGGAATACTAAAAGTTCTGATTCTGCATTCTACATTTGATATTGAAGTTACTAGTAAAGGTCATTTGATTGAATTCATCATTCATAGCAACTTGAAGAACCGTGAAAATATAATCGAGGAGCAAAGATAAGCAACCTTCGAGAAGAAACTCCGAGATATCCACCCTTCTACTACATATGCTACCGCTGATGATAAAGGCAAGGCAATGACGTGAAGAAAAGAGCCCAGGAGGGGAGAAGCTAACTGTAGATAATGCATATTGATCAGGCGCCGATTCCCAGCATCAGGCATGAGGTTAAAAAGAAAACACAAAAATGAGCGAGAGAATCGTAAAGTGGGGGAAAAGAGATCGGGAGCATTGGAAGAAAGGTGAGAAATAAATAAACAGATCAGATCCATCCATCAAGGATAAGAAGCATAACTGAGAATCGTGGCGATTCAAAATCAAAGGAATTTGAAGAAAGTCGTTTCTCATATAAGTGAGCGAGTGGTAATGCCAGCGGTCCGGCGCTGACAAGTCAAGTTCAAATCGTCGTTCGTGAGAATAAAATATACTCAATCGTCGTTCAGGTAAATGGTGGGATAGTAGTCTGCGGGCTTGCCATGAAATACGCAAAACATAGCCAGATTGATCTACATCAACGCGCAACGTGCACGTGGACCGACAATAGTGACCCCTCCAACAGCACCGCCATCATCATCATCATCATCGGCCAGGTAGATGCGTTCGGCATCACGAGCCCAGCGTTGCCAACGGCGAACGCCCGCGGCGCCAGCTTCTGTGGTCCGCATCATATGTTCGCCCCATTTGCGATGCAGTCGATTAGCCGCTGAGAGGTTTCCACGCAAAACACGCTTGGTATGTTGATCGACCATCATCTGCCATCCATAAAAGCATTTCAGCTGGATGATCTCCTTCACATACATGGCCGGCGGCGTTGGTGGCGATGACGTCGGTGGTGATGGCGTTGGTGCTGACATGGAGATGTAAGTGGAAGTCATCGAGGATGAGCCTGCGTCCAATGTTTGAGTCACTGTTACGACTTCTGCCGCTGATTTTTGTGCGTCTGCTGCCATCGGTTTGCGTATGCGGGGTGCTTGTGAGTTCTTGAGGAGGACTTCTTGGATGCCGGCCCAAGTGACATTGGCACAGTCGAACACAACTAATCGGAGTCCGATCTTGGGAAGTTCTTCACCGTGGCCACGACGCCGGACACGTAAACACGCCTCCGCCAAGGTCAGATCAGAGACGCGCGTGTTGTCCATTTCCACAGAGCGCAGTTTTGGGCAGCTCTTCATGATTTGAAGCATTCCCGGATCACCCAGGCTCTCGCAGTAACTGACATTGAGGTGTTCAAGATGCTGGGCGCAAGGGGATTTGGCGAGCTCAACAAGGGTGTTGTTTGTGAGTTTCTCAAGATCTTCCATTTGTAAATGGGAGAGGACCGGTGTGGTGCGAATAATCTCAATGATTGACTCATCAGTCAGTTCGGGGCATTTGGAAACTTGAAGACCTTCTAGGTCTGGAACATTGAATGCTAAGCTCTTCAATCCCTTGTCAGTAACATCGGGACAGCGGTGCAGATCGAGATGTCGGAACCGTCGTGGGGTTACGATGGGATGGTTCGTCAACAAGTCTATCTCGGGGTTCACACCGTGCATCAAGATCTTCAAGCATTTATCATTCAGATTAGTGCGCCCCATGATCAATCGCTCCAATTTGTTACCCTCGAATATCTCCAGTGCGAGGTCCTCGTCTTGAAATGCATTGATTTCGCTAGCTCGAAGATCCTTTAACTGCTCACACGACTGAATGATCTTACGAAGGCCCTTGGAGGTAATATCATGGCACCATGATACATTCAACGTCTCGAGCAGCGGACAAGACTGCGCGATGATCTTCATTGTTGAGTTCTTCGTGACGTTCCGCAGACCCGAAAGATTGATGTGCTCCAAGCGCAAGTTGTGCGAGAGGAACGAGTGCATAGACGCCTTGTCAATTTTACATCCTTCAAGTGAAAAGTTGACGATATTCTGACACAGCTCAGAGATGTGTCCACCCTTTGAGTTCCATTTATCGCGAAGTTGCACGCAGCCTCTCAAGTTGAGATCACGCACAAATGGACCTCCAGAGGTAATCAGCTTTATCAGAACATCGCTGGGGATCTTCCGATAATAGTCAGTAGTGTCAATCTTTGACCACAACTGACCGTCATAGCACATTTCATTCCACATTTTGGAAACGGACGCACAGCGCACAATCTCCTGTGGTGTCAAGTGACGAAAGATCTCCATCTTCAGTTCCTGCGGCATGTCACCCCAAAAGTCCAGTTTCTTGATCGGTTTTTTTCTCTTCCGTCGCAACGCCATTCCCTTCCAATTGTGGACCCTCTCTAGTCGCATTTCGAGACGCTGGCCAAATATCAGAAGGTAAGGGTACGGTTCGCGATTGAGTATGTGGAGAGTCTGTGCCCACCCGCCGAATTCGGTTTGCGCCCGTGAGATCAGACTGCGATGCTGAGAATGGAGATGTGGGGCTGGTAAGGGACCCTCCATATAGTTGGGAGGAGCTGCCGTTCCCTAAACAAGGCTTATATGTAGAGTTCAAGTTTAGTGAGACACACGATAAGGCTCCCTTGTGGTCCCGCCGATAACCGCTTGATGCAGATCGCCCGCGGCGGGGCAACAACGTTGGACTAGAGGAGATCCGGTGGATCTGGAGACGTTGAAGTAATCTGTGACGACCTTTCAATTTTGGAGGTTCCAGTGGAATTTGTTCTGAGGATTCGGATTGCGGGGTGACTGGCGAGATCTCGGGTGAGGAACTCTCTGGCGAGGTGGGACTTGGAGTCCGCGAGACATTCCTTTCTTCCATTGTTGGGGCCATAGTTGGCGATCGTGGGGAAGAGAACACACAACTAGTACTTTGAACCACCAAGGAACCCAAACAGACTGAAAAGATTGGAGATCGAACGGGATGCTGGATACTCCGTGCGGGGTCCTTAGAAGCCCATGATGTTGTTGGAAGGAAGTCGTGAATGAGAATCCCCAGAAGGGAGAGAAAAGGTCGGGGAAAAAAGAATGATCGGACGATTAGAGAGAGGCTGAGAGGAGAATTTGGACTGTATTGACCGGGGAAACCGGCAACAAGTCCAGAACCGTGGCTCGTTTACCTCTACCAGCGGATACTGACGTGAAGTGTACCGAGGAAAACCGAGTCTGGAAGTTGGTTGTAGAAAGATAGAATATCAGAAAGAGAATAAAAAAGCGAGAAAAAAATTGGAGGAATGCAAGACAAGAATGCGAGGTACATGTACAAAACTTGATTGGATTATAGTACATACGGGGTTAAACCTGGTACACCGCAAGTATCACAAATCATAAATTCAGTGTCCAATAGTTAATAGTAGACTCCAATCTTTTTTTTCTTTTCCTCTCTACGGAGTAAGTTATCCCCTCTTTTTTCTTTATAGCGTTATTTTCCCCCACTCAAGTCCCAAGTGGCACAGACAGTGGAACCCACGCAACTCATCGGCTGACGACGCCCCGTGAGATGGAGAATGACCGGAAAATCTTTAAGTTCGAGTCCAGAAACACTGATAATGAACTTTTGAAGAGATATTTAATGTTCAGATGTTTATTGTTATCAATGGAACCGTGGGAACCGTGGGAACTATGCGGAATATTCCATACTTTCTATACATTATCCACTACTATACTACATCATGATTATACCCATAGATTAATGTGCACATGTGTACACTCGGTATGAAATACTATCAACTAGGATTACTAGTATATTCCTAAGTTAAGCTAGATTGGTCTAGTTCTAGAACAAAGACCGAAACTGTTTCAAACGTCTAAGCCGCTCCTACTGCTACTTTAAATACTAGACCATAGTCTAAACTATTATAGAAATAGACCACCTGCACATGCATGCACATGTGTGTGGGCAGTGCCACATACTACCAAGGAGTTATACTAGTATTTATATATCATTGATTTAATCTTCACTCATTGTTAACTCGTATCCCGAGAATTACTAGTATAGATTCTTTCTCTGTCATGTTCATCATGAAGTCTTGAGAGTCTAAGTACATCATCAGGATGGGAAAAGAGAAGAAAAAAAAGATGAAAAGGGTCATGCAAAACATCTGGTATCCCCATCACTGTTAAAAAAAAATAATAAAAAATAAGTAGGGATCATGACATGTGCAGACACATTTCGGGTAAAGTCGGTTTTCATATTGTTCGATGCAAAAGACATTTCCCCCCAGGCCCGAAATGTGAAAATGGTGACAGAACCAAATTTCCCCCAGATTTCCTTGCCAACCTTCAAAACAAAACATCATGGGGTATCGTGTCTTTTTGTGCTGTCATAAAAAATGGAAGAAAAAATATGATATGATCTCTCACTCCTCGACCATCCAAGGGTGTTCAACCACTTCCGTGATCGTCAACCGATTATCAACATCCCGATCAAGCATCTTGCGAATAAGATCGATACAGTCTTCGGAGAAAGGAAGGAATGGGATTCGAAGAGGATGGTCAAGAATTTCGTCGACGTTGTAGAAGGGATTCTCTTTGTAGACAATGGTATAGAGCAGGATTCCAAGCGCCCAGATATCCTGCTCTTTGCCTCGATATGATTTCGCTTGTAGAACCTCAGGCGCAGCATAATCTAAAAGAGACGAATCACAGGTTAGTATGGACTAAAATCAATCACAAACGGATTCTAAATGCCAAGTAGTGCAGGTGATAAAATGAGAGTAAAGTGGAAACTTACCAATAGTGCCCACGAAAACATCAAACGGGCCATTCTTAATGTAAGCAGCACTGCCAAAATCGATCAACTTGATTCGACCTTCTCCATCAAGAACAACATTCTCATCCTTGATGTCTCGATGCACTACCAAAGCCTTGGTGTGCAGATGATGGATAGCGCTGACAACTTGTCGGAAAATGCTACGACATTCGGATTCATCCATGTTGGCTTTGAGCTCGATGTAGTCGAAAAGATCCATCCCCGGGAGCCCGTGAGGGATCATCTCAATGTAATAGTTGATGTCATCCTCGAAGAACCCGTTCATCTCCACAATGTTGGGATGCTTGTATCCATCGCGGCGGAGGAAGTCGAGGACATGAATCTCCAGTGGCACCGTCCCCAGTCGACGATCACGAGTCCAAGTATCGACCAAAATCCGCTTCTTTGTGACGTATTTGAGAACCATCTTGTCGTCGCCGGGCGATTTCTTGAGCCGCGCTAATTTGACCTGTCCATATGCGCCTTGGCCCATCTCTTCCAGAATCACGTAGTCATTGATGGTTCGCTTCTGAGGAATCTCCTTCTTGCTACTGCCAGGCGTAACTTCAGGAACAGGTTGTACAGGCTGATCTGTGAGCGGTTCGGAGGCAGCCTCGCTAAGCTGCTGGCTTAGTGTTGAGCTTGGTGCATGGATTTCCACGGATGTCTGGTTTGTGCTGTGACCCGTCGTATCGTCAGATGTAGAGATGGGGGCACTGCTAGGGGAGTTAGGTTTTGAAGAAGACAGTGAGGAGGATGAGATGTTGGTGGCGGGTCCGGCAGCATGGATCTGCCGTGAGTAAGTGACCCACAAGGCATAGACCAGCTCTGTGACCGCGATTGTGTCATCGCTATCCTCGGAGTCGCTCGATCGTTCTTCGTGAAGCTTCTCGGCCTGTTCTCGGGTGAAGAAGGTTCCGCTTTTGACAACACGTAGCTGGACATCCACAACGATCGTGGAGCCATCTCGGTGTTTCGCTAACAAGCCACTAGGCTCTGTGAAAACTGATGCGGCATTGGCTTTTCCATCGCGAAGAATAGACAGCGTGCGCGCACGGCGGAAACTGTGTTCGGGGATGACGATTCCATCGACCAATGGCACGTTGTCCTCCTCGGTTAACACATCCAAAATCTCATCAAAGCCTGGAATCAGCTCGGTAATATTTCGCCCCTCGGGGCGGTCTTGGCCAAAGAGAGCAGAAGAGAAGACTGAATTCGAACTTATCACATTTAGTGAAGACGAGGACAGCACCATCATGCCTGCAACATGTGGGAAACTGGATACTTGTATCGTACGAGGACCTTCCAACTTGTTCACCGTCACTGGGATACAAACACCCGCAGCTGTATTTGCCGCGAAATGTCTTAGATCCACAATTCGAGGCATCCCTTTCTCTGGAGTGGTTGCCAGGGACTCGGATGGCAGACGAGGTAACAGCTCCGTAATCGACTGACCGGTGCGGACTACAGCTGGGCCCCAGATCCTATCAACATCTCCTCGGACATTAACAACACGCCAGCTCTCATCACACTCGATCGATGCTGCGTTCTCCGTGATCTCCTCGAGCACCCAGATCAGACCACCGCGCTTTTCCATGACCCACACGCTAGCGGATCCCTTAGTGCCATTGCGCTTTTGAATCGGAACGACGTCACCACACAACAACACGCCGCGTGATTTATGAGCCGGGTGATTGGTACGGGGGTTGCGGGTACTGGATCCATAACCATCGTCGGTCTGTGCTCGTCGGGATTTCTCGCGCGAGGATGGCTTACTGAGCAACTGCGCAGTCACCCCATTCCCCAAGCCTCGAAACTTCGGGTTTACAGCACGAATATTTGGTCGCTCTGGCTGAAGTGGCGCACGGGCTGCGGCATCAGTGCTTGGGTCTCGAAGCTTGGCCTCGAGCCATTGCCTGTGCTCTTCCTGGACGACCTCTAGGATACTGAGACGACGGACCTCCTTCTGAGCGACTCCAAATACAAGACAAGAGAGGTCATTAGCGGCGAGAATAGTCCATGGTGCCTGGGCTTCGGTCCGGAATACGGCCTGGGAAACTGGGGTCCATTTGCTGCTATGGGTATGCAAGGCGGGAATCGGAAAGCCCAATCCAGTGGCCGAGGATGCTAGGGATGCAAATGGGTCTGAAGAGGTGTAAGGTTGCGCTAAAGTTTCCATCAGCTTGTTTTTGAGGGAGGCGGAGTTGAGATCCGTATATGTACGTTTTAAGCTTACGCGCCTGGACGCCGGGGCCGACTTGAGATCCATCCTGGAGGGTGATATACGATCATTGGAAACAGTAGGGCTCAGTAACTGGGAGCTGTCGGAGAAGGCCTGGGATCCTGTCCAAGCTTCCAGTGTCGAGTCTCGAGTACTGACCGGAGATGAGCTGTGGTCTGAGAAGGCCCGCTCAAAGATGTTGTCACCATTAATATCAGCAGGTCCAGTGATGGGGCCTCGTCCATGGGTGGCGGATTCCTCGTCGAGGACATGAGCTCGAGTCAAAAGGTCCATCATACTTTGGATATCCGTGTCTCCAGTAATGTTCGCCTGCGCATAAGCGATAGCCGCATTGCTAGCGGCCCATCCCATGCGGTCGCGCATGAAGTCAATCGATCGTTTGAGAATATTCTGTCGAGTGTGAAGCAATTCCTCCGATTGCTGTGCGAATGAAAAGGAATGTAAAGATTCAAATGGGAATCGGTGCAGATCTTCTAGGTCCCCCGAGTTTTGTTGTTGTGGGTTCAATGACATGCGACCGGTATGGGCTCTCGACGATGAGCTCGAACGCATAGACGGAGGTGGTCGGGGTACGTTCATGGGACTCAAGGGACTCAAGGACGATGTTGACAAGTTAGGGAGGGTTAGCACTCGCGAAGGTTGCTGGCGTATGCGGTCCAGCCCAGACGGACCAAGTCCATGCTCGCTCTCAAATAACGGGGATCTACTGAGGGTTGGTGATGGCATGTCAGTCATTCACTGATTCAATTCAATTTGAATATTGTTTGTGCGTATGTTCTCTCTCTCTCTCTCTCTCTCTTTTCCTCATTCACTTGTTTCCAATTTCAGAACGCAAAGGGGGGTAGAGGTCGCGGACCTTGAAAGAGGGTCATAGCCTGACGAAATACTATCGACGGAGCTTCTTAAGGTACGGTCGGTCGTTTGTAGGGAAAGTTTTTGAAACCCCGACTCCGATTCAGGCGATTCAGAGAGAGGACCCAAAGGTGAGGACAGTGGACTTGGATCGCCTACAACTTATCAGCGGGCTGCGACCTTTTTAATAAAAATTTGGTGCTTGGTTTCCACGGGCTCAGTGTTCGCAACGTGACTCCCGGGATCTCCGAACCCGTGGACGTCTATGACCCCGAAGTAAAAGAAACTTGTAATCTCCCCGACGAAACTCGTGAGAGAATCAGACGGTTATTGAATCCTCCGATGTGTATTCCTGTTTTTCTGGGGAATTTTTTTTTCCACTTTCCATCTCTTTTATCGTGTCCCCATAAACGTCTCTTGCTTGCCCCCACCCATGAAACAAGAGAGCCCCGTGGCCTGTGAAAACAAATAAAAAACAGTTTCACTCACCATCAGGGTTATAGACTGACCCCATACTTTGAAAGTTGGGAAATCTTCCCAAGGGGGAAGTTAATCAAGGAGGCTCAAGGGCAAGTCGACATGGAAAGTCATTCGCTCGAGTCAGCGGGCTACCAGAGGGCAGGTGCCTCGTAACGCGCCCGGCATTCGTGGCGTTCGAGAGCACGCGTAAGTGCAGATGATAAAGAGAGAGAAATGAAGGGGAGAAAAAGGACTCGGACACAACAGCGGGGTTCAATGTTAGTGGGGAGAAAGGATTAACGAGAAAGGGGCGGGTGATGTAATGGGGGAGGGTGGTTTGAATTCCTCCACTTGAACTCGGTTAATACGAGAGATACTCGTGAGGGGTTACAGACTGAATATAGAAAAATGAATACAAATCCAAAAAATTATTGCTAAAAATTCATAGAAAATAATAGAAAATCCTCGAAATGAAATAGGGAATTTTTGGATCGACAACCGATCGGCACGGGAGTTGGACCATGTGGGCTTTCATTTCTTATTGTTTGAATGGCTCATATGTAAAGAGTAGAAGAGGGTCTTCAGGGCTAATATGTGCTAATGTGTCAATCCTATCCTACTTCAGAGTTACCGAATACCCTATATTCCATATGTAGTTAAAGGGAAAGGAGAATTATTCAAGATGAAAGCATTAGACAGCTCATCTCTCTCCCTACTCACGTCGTCATCCATCTACACGGGCAGTATACGCACCCGTTGACTACGTACTCGTATCTACATACTTCGTATAGAGTACGTGGCTACCACTAGTTGACGTCAGGTTTGGTTCGACTATAATCAAGCTATCACTATTTAGGATCCCGTAGCGAACCTGGTTTCAAGCTTGCTCCAGGGGGTCCAGATATTTGACACAATAAGGAGGATGCACTATTGGTAGTAGAACCTCGCTAGCACCATGTATCTCCAAGATACATATGATATCTCCCCTTGGCTCTCTACTCTGCAATCAACACTCGGAGGAACTCAATGCCGAAAAATTCTTGATTAGACAAACTCAATCGTGCAACTTTGAAGTGCATTTGTTGCTTGACCGGGCGGGACACATAATCCACCCCACTGCTATCGTGGGCCAAGGTAAGAGTGATGCCTGATGCCTGGCGAATGACAATCCAGTCAATGAAAAGTAGGCAAACGGTTCAGATCCACCCCTTACAGTGGTCCAGTACCTCGGAGACTGTGTAGCGCTAATTCGTGTTCGGCATTGGACTGAGCTTGCTCATCCCCATTCCCAAACAGTGGATTGCCTTTATTCCGTCCATGATGGTCCTGCTGCCGTCGAGTCTGCTCCGGTGGTACTGAAGCAGAACTCACAAAGCTAGAGACATTTCGGCTCCCCTCCAGCATCCACGAGAACCCGGATTCGGTCAGGGATGGCCGCACAATGGACTTCCCTGCCCCTTCACCGTCGGCCTGCCTGGCGTTTGTCTTGCCTGTGGTAGCAACGCTGACAGGCCTCGGCCCGGCATCCGCATCGAGGGCTGTTCCTTGCTGATCTTCTTGCGCCACATCGACGTGTTCGTCCGCTTTTAAATCTGGCAGTGGCTCAGGTGTCGTGTTATCTACTTTGGTGGAACACGGCGCTGGCACTGATGCCGATATTACTGGAAGCAAGGGATCTTCGAGGCAACGCTGCACCGATTCCGCCCGGTTCAATGCCTCCTTGACCACATCATTTGCGCCCGAATCGGGCTGGGAAAAATGTGTTCGAAGCTCTGCTAACGCTTCGGCCAAGGCAGCTGAAAGCTCTTGGTTTCGTGCTTCCAAATGGGTGATCCTCTTTTCCAACCCAAGCTCAACAGGGGACGGCTTGGGCAAAGGACTCGGTACACTTGTTAAGCGTCCAGGTTTGGCTTTTACTGTAGGGAGCCGTCCTGGTTCATAATGCATCGTCTGCATGTTCTTCCTCGCTTCAGTCACAGCCCCTCGAACAGCTTTGGCCACACCCCAGGATTCTGTGCGACGTTGAATTCCCTGTGATACGTCCTGGAATAGAGCTTCAAGGCTCTTTGGGCTGTTTCTAGCGGGAGACGAACCAGGCGAACTGCTATCACTGCGACTCTTGAAGTCTTCCCATAGAAACGCTCTCCTCGTAGGTCGTAACCCAGACTGGCTATATCGCTTTGGAGATTCTGGGGACTTGCCTGAGTATTTTGCGATGAGAGAACTACCCCTCTCAGCTGTGGGGTTCTGTTCGAGGTAAAGGGCATCCTGCACAAATTCATGGGGCGCATGCGGTTCAGGTGAAGGATAGCGGAGTAGCATTGAGAGCGCGCCCGAATAGTCTGCCTTGAGCACTGTAATTGACCATTAGCGACCCTTGTAGATAGTAAGGTATTTGAAGGTATGGCAGCTTACAGTCCCAGCGAATCCGAAGAAGCATCGCAATGCATGTAAAATCAATGAGATCGGAGCGTAACCCATGAGCAAACAGCATGTCCCACATTGAGAGGACTTCATCGAATGGGAATTCCCGTCCGAATAACAGCCGCATCCACCGACTATGTTATGTATGTTAGCTTATATGGACCTCTTGCTGGATTATCAATTCCACTCACGTCAGGAATATTTGTGGAAGAACATCCACTGCGTGAAGATGCTCTGCCAATTCCTGATCGATGATCATCAATGCCTCGGTGTGAAGATACTGGCATCGACTGACGATGGGAATCACGTCTACTTGACCATTCGCAGTCTTGGTCTCCCCGTGTTCGTAAAATATGCGCGCCGTCTGCATAACAGAAAGGAACAATGTAAATGAATCATGTTCCACAAACTCGGGGTCGAGTAGATCGAGCATTCGAGCATCATCCTTGCTACCCGTGGAATTTTCGAGACCAATCGAATGCTTGTCAACAGAGTCTCGATCTACAACCCAGAGAATGGGGGCCAGAAGCTCATGCATTCCCTGTCTGTAGCCGACATCAGGGTTGAGTTTGGAGTACACAAACAAGACGTCGGTCAATTTAGCCTTGGTCGTAGGTTCTTGAAAAAAGACGTTTTCTTGTAAGCAGCGATCAACATCCTGCAAGATCTCAACCCGTAAATTTTCGTCATCTCGCAAGGATTGCCACGGCGACTATTTCAACCATTAGAAGTCGGCCCGATAACACGTATCGGTACATTGTAGCCCAGCACCCGAGCTTCATAGTATAATTTACATACCTCCTCGTCATCCGCAAGGGGATCGGCCGTTGATTCCAAATCATCTGGGTGTTCGATATACTTCATGAAGTGGTCACGGAGGGCACTGTATGCATCTCGTGACTCGGCGAGCTTCTGTGCCCATTGCTCACGATCGAGCCCTTCGAAGAGCAGAAACACCTGCAGGCGGAATGAGTGCCGCGATCTTTATCTAACCACGATATGTCCACGGACCTTCCAGCATATCGACCTCAGTCCTTCGTTGCACAGCTTCCCACCTTGTTCCGCCCGCAATGCCTTCTCGAGATCGGAGGATGTATCATTGCCGAGGAAGAGGATTTCCCATCTCTTTCTGTGAAGAGTTAGCTTATGAAATATTTCCCAGTAAAAAATCAGTAGGTACCTAGTCTCCTCAATAGTTCTCATGTCATGCGATTCTAGTTGGGGAAGAGGTGGAGGAAGTCAGGATGCATGAATGAGGGGAAGCGATAATAATGTAATCCACACTTCTTATCGCACTCTGCCGCGAACATGACAACATCGGAACTCCGACCTTGCTGTACATGCCACCTGCATTTGACCACCACCGTGATTCTCTAGCGACTCAATTACTTGCGACTGTCTCATCTTCATGCTATCACTTTAAATGTCCGCCGACTTATTAGCTGCGTTCGGCCAGGACTCGCAGCCCCCAACGAGCTCCGCAGGCAACCGACAAGCTGCACAATCGCAAACGAACCCTTTGATACCCAGCCCTACATCGACCGATGATGATTTCTTTTCGTCGTTATCCAATCCGGATCTACCGACTGGATCAATCCCAAACCCCCCGAGTCCAGCAGTAACACAGCGCCAACCCCAACCCCCGGGCTTTGAGTTCTTCAATTTACCTCGTCACGATAATAGCGATGTGTTGTTTGATGCAGAGATCGATATACCTACCAATGAGACAGAGGATGAATGGGGTGACTTCGAAGGACCGGAAGCTACTGTTGCTACTGTTCAGCCGCAACGAGCCCCAAATACTATACCTCAAACCGAGGCACCAGCAACCCAACATCAAGCAGCCCAGATAGACCTGCTAGACTCTCTATCATTGAACGACCCGCCACAGAATTTGAGTATAACAACAAAGAAATCGCAAAATGTCTCTATGAAGTCTCAGGTGGCGGCGCCAGCAAGCAATCCTCCAGAATCAACATGGGATGACGATTCTTTCGGAGACTGGGGTGAATTCACAGACACACCCTCTACAAACCCACCTACAACCCAACGACAGCCTCCGAAACCCAAACCAAAAGCTAAACCAGCCCCCAGAAAGCCCATCACCAAAAATCCTCTCAAACCCACACCTCAAAACCCAGGCTGGGAGGACGAATTCGAAGATTGGGGCGACTTCAACGACGGCCCAACCCCAGCAGCACCAAAACAAACAATATCAAAACAACCCCCATCTCCAGCACTAGCTCAAGTAAGCTTCACATCCTCAACCTCGCCATCCTCAACAGTCCGACCAACAAACATCCCACCCCCATCCGTCCTCCTTTCCCTACTAGTCGAAATCCTCAGCAATCTCCAAAAAGAAGCTCTCCAATCCCGAGCATCAGAACAAGAATCCCGAGAAGAAACCGCAACAAGAATCCAAATCACTCTATCAACCGCAGCGCGGATAATAGCAGGCCGCAGTCTACGCTGGAAACGCGACAGCATTCTCAGCCAAAGTATGCGAATTGGACCAGCTGGTAAATCCGGCGGGATGAAGCTTAGCACGGTAAACAAGCACGAAGACGTGAAAGAGTCACAGGATGCCGTGGAGGTATTAAGTCTCTGGCGAGAGCGTGCGGCACTTTTTAACTCTGTGGTTCAGGGTGTAGGGCAGAAACCTGTTCCTGTTGTTGGTGATCCGGCGGCTCTTAAGGTTGTTGTTGCGAAGGTGGAGGATGGTGCGATTAAGGCTTCGCATGCTTGTGCGCTTTGTGCGCTAAGGAGAGATGAGCGGGTTTTGAGGATTGATGAGGGGGTTGTGAATGATAGTTTTGGGGAGTGGTGGACGGAGCATTGGGGGCATACGGGGTGTAGAGTCTTTTGGGAGAGGTATAAAGAGTTGCTTGTGCAACGATGAGGGTATGTGGAAGTTCGAGTTATAATTGAATGTGAGAAACTACACATGCACATTTCCATACCAATATACTATATACTATATGAATATTTCAATACCTATCCAAGGCATTCTATTTTATCCTAACCCATTTTGCTTGGCGTGACTGGCTCAGGCTGTAGTGCGGTCGAAAGTTGTATGTTTACTATGTGCCAGTGGCTATCAGGCTTATCATTCAGCACCTGGGCATGGCCAAATGGGTGAAGTGCATTTTGTTACAGTCTATGAGTACCTAGGGAATAATATGCTCTAGAAGTTCTTGAAAAATATGGCTCAAATTAACGCCACCAAGGTGACAATACCGAATTAATGCACAACCCCTCCAACACCAAATTCGGTAATAGAAAAAGAGTAGATACATAGAAATAAAAATCAAGTCTGAGAGGAGAAGAGTACGGCCATGAGCCAGTCTGAACATGCCAGACTAGCTGAGCTGGAGGGCTTGTCCTCGCAAGAGTAGCCGTGGTGGACCGTAGGAGGCACAGAGCTCTGGAGTAGTTCCAGGTTTAACCGGGAGTACTTAGAGCCCTGAATAGAACTCGGAGTGAATCTGAGTCGACTTCCTCATGCTATGGAGACATGCTTGATCTTTGAGTATGTGCTTTGCTGTTTGCACATAGATTTGGAAATATGTCCTGAACGGGTCAGATCAAGCGAGTTGTTGTTTTTTTTTCACGGGCTCCTGAAAAGACATCCATATTGTTATCTGAGGCTTCGTCCTGAGACAGAAAGACCCAGATGAGTTTCAGTCTGCAGGCATAGTCCAAAAAAAAGTAGGTGAGGCAACCAGCCAAGCTGGCGAGAAGGAAGATCAAAGTCAATTTAAGTCAACAGCGGCGCGGCAGTGACTTTAAAAATGGCGATATATTGCAGATGCGCTGGCTCAGGGCCAGTGAATTGAAGATCTTTATCAACTTAAAAACTTTGGGCAGCTGGAACCGCAGGCTGTAGTCCATTCATTAGCGGCTAGAACGGCAAGGTGACGTGGATGGTAAGGCTCTTCGCGTCGTGGCACCGTGGAGCGGTGAAACTTGGCGTAAGAGTCTCCAAGGTGGAGTTAAACTTACAGGGCTGCTTAGGATGCTGTTCCGCTTGTTGCGGCCCTTCTTGATATGATTCTTTAATGCGGTGGAATCCAGGGGTTTCAACAACTCGAAACTGCAGAGTAGTTCCCCAGACACAGACATGATGGCTCCCCAATTATCGAACTCGCCACAATACTGTTGCATGCATGTTAGCCAAGGAACAATCAAAAGCAAATAACAGAAAAGAAAAAAGAAAGAAAACAACGGGCCGAAACTCACATTGGGAGCGGAAAACACTGTAACCAGAATCCGGTCCTGATAAAATTCGTATCCATCTTCAACAACCATGTGGGCACGGCACACCAAGTCAAAGTCATGACGCTGCAGGAAGTTCATGATGACCTTTTTACCAAAACAATAGCTAACACCACGTTCGTTGGGCTCCCAGTCTTCCTCCATGTCGGCTGGATCACTCCACAGGAGATCATTTAGCAGGCCATAGTCAGGAACATCGGTAGGTCGGGCAATGCCCCGGATATCATCCATGTGAGACAGGCTCGGTGACAATCCACCATGAACACAGAAAATCTTCCCCGCAACAATGGCAGCGATGGGAAGGCAGTTAAAAGTGTCGACAAATGTCTTCCAAACCTTGATATTGCAACGTCGCTTACACTCGTCATAAAACCCATAAACGCGAGTGACATTGGCACACTCGTGATTACCTCGAAGCAGGAAGAAATTCTCCGGGTACTTGAGCTTATAGCACAGAAGAAGCAAAATGGTTTCCAGACTTTGCTTTCCTCGGTCGACATAGTCACCCAAGAAAAGATAGTTCGATGCTGGTGGAAAACCGCACATCTCGAAAAGGCGAATCAAATCAGTGTACTGGCCATGCACATCGCCAACAATCTTGACGGGTGCCGCCAGTTCCAGAAGCGCAGGCTGCGAAAGGAAGAGCTCTCGAGCCGCCGAACAAATCGCAGTGATTTCGGCGTTCTTCAAGCAGACAGTCTTGGTCACCTTGGTGGAGTAGCCAGCATCCAGCAGTCGTGAGATCATGTCATCTAAGTCAATGGACTTCAGAGCACCCATTCCCATTCCTGGGGACCCAGAAGTCTCGAGAGGAGCGTTCAATATGAAATCCAGGATTGGATTCAGCTGGTTCTCTCGTTTGACCAAGATAGATTCACCAACGACTGGAGTAGTCGCCGGCGCACCTTGAGGTGGACCTTCTGATACATGGTCCACCTCTCCACTCTCTTTCATTGCGCTCACATCTTTATGACCTCGCTTCAGACTTGCTGACAGTGAAGGGGATGGCGGGGGCTCGGGGGAGCCGTTACGTGAAGGACCCTCTGATCCGGGAGACTGGGGCAGACCGGCGTTAGAACCCGGGCGACTGCCGCCAGCCGACCTGGTCGAGGCTGCATCGGATTTATCATTCAAGCTGTCGGTCTGGGACAAGGCAGTGGTGGAACCTCGTGGGCTGTCGGCGCCGCGAGCACCCGGGATCTTTGAACGGATGGAGCCGCGGAAGGAGCGAATGGATTCCTTGGTGTCGGATTTCGAAAAGGACGGGTACGATTGCAACGAGTCGCCCGAGTTGGCGTTGTTCTTGGAATGCGACTGACCCATCGCTGCAAGGCTGGGATGTTTGCCAAGCTTAGAGGGGATCGCACGAACAGCGGACGTTCAAGCCGCTACGCCGAGAAAGAACCCCCCTGTGTATTGGAATGTCTTGGCTTCCAATCCAAGCAGGGACGACCTTCAAGCACAGGAATATTAAACTCGCTGATATCTTTCTCAAAGATCCAGGCCGAGTTTGATTTTTTCTTCTTCTTCTTCTTCTTCTACCAGTGGTACTACCACGACGGTTTTTTGCAGAGGACTAGGCACGAGCTAGGAGGTTTTTTTTTTTTCAAAGGGCGGGTCACGAGCGCGGAAAAAAAGGGATTAAGTGAAAGATCACTTTCCACAAGGCAGTACGAAAGGGCAAGCGAGCTGACCGGTTGAGGTTGATCAGTTGTGATATGGGCAGATCAAAGGAGCTTGGCTTGGTGAGCTGGGGCGGGAGGAGATGAAAGGCAAAGCTCCTAGGTTTGAGGTAAAGCTCCCTTCTACCAAGGGGATTAGTATTTGGACGGGAATTTGGGGGGGAATAATCGCTGATGAGGGGATTATGGCTGCACTCCGCAGAATCTTAACGGGTATGCGGAGGGCTGGTGGAAATGAAAGCAAGGGAGGAATTGCTGGGGAACTCTTGTGGATTTTGGGGGTGTAGCCGGGGCGGGTGGAGGAATGCGTCATTATGTACGGGGATTTTGAAGTGTGAGGTATTTATCCCACATAAATTAAACACCACCAGATATTTTCACTTACCAAGGATGATCAACTTTTCAAGGTCACTGAATATTGCAAAAAGGAAGAAATTCTGAGATGTTTAGAAGGAGGGGGGGCATAGCAAGTAGGGCAAAAGTACTCCGCCACCGCCAATGCGTGTGAAGGTACTTAGGCGGTACAACACCTTGTTCTGGCCACAGCTCTCGGTTAGCTAAGCACGGACTATCCCGGGCCGATGGTTGCCTAGATTGTCTGTATTTATAGCGATGCGTTCATGACTTTAAGGTCAATGTTTCTAAGGTTGAATTATGACTCTAAGTACGGGAGTTATCCGTAGATTAGAAAGTTATGAGTAAAGAGATCTCGATGCAGTAAAGAAAAAAAATCGAAAACTGAAAACTTTGATCTGATAGATTTCTTCATTCCCCAAGTTGATGGGATATCATATTTTCTTTAAAGAGGATCATCGCCACCCCTCATCCTTCCCGATAAGTAAACCCAGTTCACTCACGTCTTAAGATTCCCTCATATTACCACACCTTCAGATTACGATTCAGCCCGAATTGCTGGGACTGTGCGAAGGATGGGTGCAGGACTAGTTGGTGTTCTAGTGGCTTTTTCCGAACCAACCCGGAGTAAAAGATGAGCATGAGCTTAGACCCCACCAGGGCTCCTATCAGAAAGTGTGGCGGGGAAACCACAAGGCTAGTCCCAGCTCTGTGGCCATTCCCGCCGCCACCAACTCATAAATAGGTCAAAAAGAGAAATACAAAATACACACAAAGGAAAAAAAAATCCCCGTTGACAAGTACACTAAATCAGGGGAACAGGAAAAAGAGAAAGCAATATAGGTCTGGACCATGCTCTGCAGCCCTAAAGAGGTTTAAAATTCCTGCAGCGATAAGAAAGGACAAGGAAAAACTACCTACGCAGTCCATGATCACTCGTACCCCGTAGGGCTCGGACGTTGTTATCACACACAATCTTGGTACTGCATATAAGATGGTAGCTACTGCATATGTGCCAAGTCCTCCCATGTTGAATAGACACCGCCTTTTGGCCCAGAGGCGTAAATAGTCCACTGGTTTGTTAGAAGTGGACTCTCAAGGAATTTCCCCAGTGGTTAGCTCTTGTCAGAGTACCTACTGGCCAAGCCCGGAGTTGCTGCTATGTATGCAAATGTTGTGTCCCCCTCCATGCCACGTTGATAGAAAACAGGCAAGCATGCACCCAAGCAAGGAAATTCCAAGACTCCTTGGCAGCCCCACGTTCCACCTCGTGCTATCCAGAAAGCAGGAACCAGGGTGACGTTCCGAGTGGAGAGGGTAATATGAAGTCTCTAGGAATATCTGACGAATAGTTTCCCGTATGAGTGGAGTGCGATGTCGTGATTATATTGGTGGTTGGCTCCGATTGGAAGAACAAGGGGGGTCATCAGGCGCCTCGTGTACACGAGCGAAAACGAGCCAAAGGCCGAAGTAAGCTCTATTCCAACTCGATCTTCGTAATATGGCGACCTGGAACGACGATGAGCCCGATGAATCGATGTGTCATATTGACCTTGACGGTGGCGCTTTTAGCTGCAGCGTTATTCTCCCATGATTCGGCTTCCTTTGCGGCTGCAGCTTGTACAGCGGAGGGGGTAGGGAGACGATATTCGTAAGAGTTGGCAAGGATGATATTCCGCTCCTGTATCACATTTCCTTGATTAGCGCATGACCTTGATAAAGTATGTTACTGTCTAGTGGGCGGCACTTCTAGCGCTTGATGATGAGAGCCTTACTGAATCGGTACACTTGAAGAGGCCAACGAACATGCGGCTATCAGTCGTGTGCACTCGGAGCTGTCGGCCAATCAATCCTTCCAAATATTGGACAGCCTGCTCGGACTCCATGGTCATGGTCTGGGTATTTGAGGGTTGATGCGGAAAGTGCCGATAATCGGGCGGAGGATAATCCAGGACGGCGATAGCGGGGTATTTTCAATGTGAGCTCAAGCTGCAGGATATTCTGGCGGTTGCAATGGGTTCAGTGCTTCTTCCAAGGTTCTTATGGTAGTGTGAACAGCTGGGGATACAAGGCAAGAAACAAGGAAGTGATGTTGAGCAACTGCGGCGGGCAACCTGCGGCCTGAGGCTGTAAATTGTGGGGACAACGTCGCAGAATCCTCAATACTCCACACCTGGGCATTAAATATAGTTACCTACCTAGGCAAGGTCTATATATGGATGCCCGGTGTTCTGTTGTCCTGGGGAAATAAGGCTTTATGCTATAGTAATTTATTCAAGTTTGAAATATTTCACTATCATAGATACAAACAGGACCATCAAATATTCAGAGTGAATACATCCATATCTCAGTAGATATCCATGGCTGCTTTGGCAGAATTCAGGGGGTTTTTTTAAAAAAAAAAAAAATAGTTCTTCATAATGTGGCTGTTACAGTCATAGAGTAAAGAATACCCTGAAGTAGAAAAGATAAGAGCGGTTTGGTAGGTAATATTGGAAGTCTCTAAGTCAGAAAAGTGAACTGGTGATGGGTGCCTGCAAATCATGGCCTTTACTTTTTCTCAGTTATAGGGGTAAATTTGGGAGTTCTGGTAACCATCCGCATCCCAGTAGCTTAGCGGGCTATCGTGTCTGTCCCGAGTTGATTTGACACTATGATACCATAAGTCTGGTTTGCTGGGACTGAGGGCTGTCAAGTAGCATCAGCGAGCGTGAGACTTGCCTAAGTGGAACACCACCGTGAGAAAGCATGCAGCGGACTATGTGAAAGATTTCTGCGGAGCCTTTTTCTTTTTGTTCTTTCTCCTGATATTACTTTTATATTTTTATCTATTTTATTAGATTTGTTATGATTTTTTGATTGAAAGTTGAAGCTGTCATCGTCTTGCTCATTTGAAGCCTCACTTGGGGAAAACATCGCGAAATTTAGAAGTCCATGGTTCGATCCCTGCTCATACCATTCTTTTCGTTCTCTTTTCTCACAGCTAAGCTTCCCTCTTATTAACATGAACTACCATCTAATTCTAATATGCTGCTCTGAGCTTACACAATATAGCAGTACTCTATACTCTATAGCTATACCTAACTTGGATTAATGGCTATATCAAGTAGATAGAACATAATCATACATATATGATTGAGTTTGGTATATCGATTAACCCAAATGTCCAGATGGCATTCCTAAGCCTACACTACCTAGTAGTACTTGCAAGATTTTTGACTCGCTGTACAACTTTATCTGTTGTTTGTCCAGATACTACGATAGAGCAGCTGTAGAATAAGAAAGACACTAGTGTTAACCTTGGAACGATGCTCAATACAAATATGACGCCTGATATCACCCTGCCAATCCACTGACAATGAAAAGAGTCAGACCCACAAATAACGCCTAATTCTGAGGTAGAATGATACGAAAAAATCAACAATGATAAATCATTGGCAAGTCAAGCCATGAGGATGAGGGTAGCACAAGCTACTCCACACTTAGCGACCAGCGCCTCTCCATGGCATAGAAGAGTTCTCAAAAAATCACATCCACGTCATGCCCCCTGGGTTTGAAGCTGGGTTGGAGCTAGGACTGCTCTCGTTGGTGTCCATATCCATATCCATGTCCATGTCCATGTCCATTGAATTGAAACCTGGACTCGTTGTCTCGCTTCCACTCGAGTTGGTACTCGCGGTCATTTGCTCGAATGCTGCGCGCCGTATCGTATCCTCTTGGTTCATAGCAATCTCGTTGGCAAGGGGCACCAGTGCTTCGCGCGACGGTTTAAAACGCGGTACTTGCTGTCCACGGGGTTGGAAGAATCGTAGGAGTGTGTGTTGGCGCGGATCAATTTCTTCGGGGGTTGGAGCGGGATCTGCTTCTTCCATTTGTTCATCGCTTGTGTCCATTGGTCCAGAATGCTGTTGCTGTTGGGCGGAGAAGATCCATCGGAGGGTTTTCTCTGCTCGCATGTTAGAGCTTGACACGCTATTTACTCGACGGATATGTACTCGACGGAAGAATCATGGGTGGGGAGGCATAAGAATGATATGAGCTTACCATAGACGACTTCATCGTTAGGACGGCCATTGCGGAATCGCTTCAGAGTCCGGCTGTGAAGGTGCTTAGAGTTATCGATGTCCATTCCGCAAGACGCGAATGGACTAGGTTGGGTTGTAGAGAAGGAAGCCTTGCGCTTGAGAGACATGGTGATTGATTTTGGTATCGGATAACAAGATTGACAATAAAAGGACTGGAATATGACAATTGAGTTACCCCAGAGAGTGGAGAGGAGAAGAAGTCTAGGTTGCAATTGCTGGCAAGAAGGGCTGGGTGAGGGCACAAGAATGTGATTGGCCAGTCGCGTGGATTACGAGAAGTCGCGTTTTTGGTTTCTGGTTCACGCTAGTCTGTAATCAGTAATATTGCACTTGCTCATGTACTGCTTCTGGTAGTCATAAGAGACAAGAAGGAAGAAAAATTGTGATGTCGCGAGATGGGAAGCTGAAGCAGAAAAGGTATCAGCTATCTCGAAAGAGACAAGACCAAAATAATAAAGATGTCGAATGTATGACCCCCTTACTGGTCGCGATTCCATACATCCTTCTTCGCCCCACACTAGACAATCCACTCAGTACGTGGCCAGCAACAAACCTCGAAGACAATATGACTGAAGAATGATCGATATTATAGATATGTTGGAATTTGGTGGTACTACGTGGTACTCAATCAGTATACTGCCATCGAAAACTTTGGAATTTACGATTTTTCCGAGTTCTGCTAGCGTATTACTACCGAGGTATAGTATGTAGGTAGTACTAGGTCAGCATTCTCAGATCTCAGGCCATAATTTAAAACCAGCAATTGGAGCTTATCATCAAAGAATAATCTTATGCCAGGAGACTTACTCGAGCTATATTCATCCCAACCCAATATTTAATACAATCGGCATGCCGTGGCCAGAGCGTTCGGTATCCCGCACCCTTGCTCCACCATGACGATGGTCTCCCCCGCTTCTCCTCACTCCATTCAATACATACCTCTCCTCTCGACCACCCTCACCACAGCTGCTGCTTTCCACCATGTCTGCTTCGTACAGAAGACCTAGCCATGCTGGATCTTGGTACTCCGATAATGCTCGAACCTTGACAAGAGGACTGGATGGCTGGTTAGCACAAGTGCCAGATACTCTTCCACATGTGGGCTCACTCCCGGTGCCTGGCGCTCGAATTATCATTGCACCGTATGTACTTATTACGATAACTGCCCTTTAACAGGCTTGCTCTGACCTAAATATGGAAACCAGACATGCAGGCTACTCCTATTCAGGGCCCTGCGCAGCCTACGCATACAAAGCACTTGACCTGTCCAAGGCGTAAGTACACCCCAAGCCTGAGTATACTGCAAAATTTCCGGTGCCTTTGACACAAAACCTGATCACAACATACTTTCAGCAAGCGTATCTTTATTTTAGGTCCATCTCACCACTGTCCGCTTTCAACACTGGCTCTTCCAATAGTCAAGTCCTACTACACCCCACTCTCGGATGACCCTCTTCCACTAGATACAGAGCTGATAGCCAGTCTGCAAAAGACAGAGGCAGTCAAGCCAAATGGCTCCAAAGTCAAGTTCATAATGATGGACCGGGCAACCGATGAGGATGAACACAGCATCGAGATGCATCTCCCATACATCCACCGCCTCCTTCAGTTACAGTATCCCGACACTCCGACGGCCCAATACCCACCGCTAGTCCCGATTATGGTCGGGAGTACATCGGCATCAACTGAGCAAGCATTTGGCGCTCTTCTAGCTCCATATTTGGCGGACCCAGAGAATGCATTCGTCATTAGCTCTGACTTTTGCCATTGGGGCCTCCGGTTCCGTTACACTTACTACGTCCCGCAAGCCCCAACGCCAGGCCCTGATCTTCCTTTATCCAGCGAAGAGCTTCCTCAGCCTGGAAGGGAGACAAGCGAGATTGAGCAGGATATAGAATCGGTGTCAGCGGGTCTGCAGCTGCAACGTGGATATCGCTCCTCGGGAACAGGGCCGGCTATCCATGAGAGTATTTCGGCTTTTGATCTTGCCACCATCGCAGCTATCACAACCGGATCCGCAGCTGTGTTCTTGGATGCTATTGAGCGTACTGGAAATACTGTCTGCGGTCGCCACCCGATTGGGGTTATCATGGCTGCACTGGAAGCTGTGATGGCAGACCGGCCGAATGGAAAGCAAGGCCTCTTCCATTTCCTGAGGTATGAACGTAGCTCAGATGCGGTGAGTGTCAGCGACAGCTCTGTGAGCTATGTCTCGGCATTTGCGGCACTCTGATGAGATGGAGGACTTGCTGATGAGATGGAGGACTTGCTGATGATGTTGCCTTGCTTTTGATTATTTCTGTTGCGACGTTAAGGGACTTCTTGCAGTAGCACATATGTAGACTCTCTCAATGAAACCTCGCCCTTGAGCTTAGTCTTACTTGATTTGATCTCTCTCCTGACCATGGGATTCATAGAAAAGATAATATCTCGGCTGAGCTGTTCGTTCATCGGATCATGCTGTCGGCGGATAGAATGGTGATAAACTCACCACGAGACTTAACTGCCGACTGACTCTGTCTGGGGAATGTTGCACAAATATGCGTAATAAAATCTGGTGCTAGGCCATATGTTGTATTGAACAATCTCGTGTGCTTGAGATACTCTGTGATCTGATGGATCTACACCTTCGCATCATACATGATATTGGAAGACAAGAAGCAGCAGATGAAGTGTTCTAATGAATTATTCTATGGTTGAAATTATAATATTCTGCTAATTTATCAATGGAAAATTGCATTTCTTATCGTCTCAAGCCCACTGTTTGGATGGTAGCCCGATTTAATTTCTAAACAGACGTACATTGCGTTGGAAGGCAAAAGATCGTGGGAATCACGATGAAAACACTAATTTCAACTCTCAAGGAGAAACTTGAAATTTGAATCCCTCAAGTCCTGTCAGATTTCCCAATGTTTGAAGTTAAGGATAGAGTTCAGAGAGTTGTGGTTGTACAGACACTATGTCTACCTGGGCAGCAGGATGCAGGTCATAGTTTAAACCATAACAGCGTCTTTAAGGTGACATTGCATAGACATTCATATTTTGATCCTAGATAATCCGATGTCATTCCTTTCATGAAAATCCATTTTGGTCCTTCGGAGAGCCAATTCCCATGCAAAAGTTTATTTCTTTGATTCGAGGTCTCCCACCGCATCGATGACTCTGAAAGTCCACTTGGTATCGAGTCATGGCGCCAGTCCTAGCAATCAAACTCATCCTGCAGGATCTATTGGTACCAGATTCAAGTATGAAACATTTCGATCGCGCTAGTATTAGGGGTTTGATGGGGACCCTGCAGCAATCACGGCGCTTAGGTGCCGAGCATGTTTTTCTGACATGGTGATACTGTTGCAATTCACTGATCGCTCTTGCTGAATTCTTCCACCAACTTCATGGCCATGGGTCATGAACATTTAATGAAGTTTGAACGTCACATCAGGCAATGAAGGTTCGATGCATATGAAGAAATTCAATCCATTCACTTCGACTATTTAATGAGCGTCTTGGCCTCGTCAATCTGGCCCGGCATTGTTCAAGACTGTCTGCTATTTTAAGATCTCTGGGAATTCTCAAAGAATCCGTCCCTTCCATCCGTTCATTAGACTGACAGCAACTGTTCATATTTCCTTTTTCGCGAATTCATTATGCTCAACATGCTGCCCAAGATCAAGCTGGCCTTGATCGGCCTGTTGGTGTCATGTACTGCGGCCAGACCTACAGTCCCTACCTCAACAACTATATCAGCTCCAGAAGTTACATCAACAGCTAGTCACAGACTAGTATTTTGTCATTTCATGGTAAGGATACTCCATGATACGCACCTGGGAAAACCTCAGCGCCGTATCATCTTCAATTGATACCTGGAACAAATTGGAATGCTGAATCTCTCACAGATAGGAATAACTAGCAATCGTGAAAACTCCAGCTCTTACGATGAAGACATGAAGCGCGCCAAATACCTCGGCATTGACGCATTTGCCCTAAACATCGGCACAGATGACTACACCGACACCCAACTCCAATTCGCCTACACGTCTGCCTTCCAACACGGCATGAAAGTTTTCCTTTCCTTCGATTTCAGTGCATGGAGCATATATGATGGCTCGGCTGTTGGCGCCAAGGTTAAACAATATGCCAACCATCCAGCCCAGCTCAAGGTTGATGGCAAAGTATTCGTCTCCTCATTCATAGGCGAAGGTATCGATGTGACCACTATCACCACCGCAGCCGGACAGAGCATTTTCTTTGCACCGAATTTCCAGCCTGGAGCCGGGGATTTTGGATCTGTTCAGGGTGCTCTGAATTGGATGGCTTGGCCGAATAACGGTGATAATAAGGCGCCGACGACTGGTGATCTTGTTACTGTTTTTGATGGTGACAAATCTTACATGGATGCTTTGGATAGCAAGGCTTATATTGCACGTAAGTCTCCGAGATATTTGGATTTAATTTGAAGAAACCCTTCTAACACTTATATGATCAGCTGCGTCGCCATGGTTCTCTACTCACTATGGTTCGGAAGTCTCATACAGTAAGAACTGGGTTTTCCCTTCTGATTTACTCTGGCATCGACGCTGGAATCAGATTCTTACTTTGAAGCCTCGCTTTGTGGAAATCATCACTTGGAACGACTATGGCGAATCGCATTATATTGGGCCGCTGTCATCACCACATGTCGATGATGGGGCATCTAAGTGGGTAATGGATATGTGAGTACTCCCAAAACAACACTCTAGATGCTTCTAGCCACCAAAATCATGCCCGATTATTTACTAAACATCATCCAGGCCCCACGATGGCTGGCTAGAAATGTCCAGGCCATTTGTCGCCGCCTACAAAGCCGGAAGCACTTCAGTACTTCCCTACATCACAGAAGAGAAACTGGTATACTGGTACCGGCCCACTCCCCGCGACATTAACTGCGATGCAACCGATACAACCGCAACTGGGAATGCCAACAACGCGAGCGGAAATTTCTTCCGGGGGAAGCCAAACGGGTGGGAGACGATGAAGGACGAGGTCTTCGTCGTCGCTCTACTCCAGAAAGCCGCCAAGGTCCATGTGAAATCCGGTAACGAGTCGCGGACATTCCAGGCTCCGGCGGGGATTAGTGCATGGTCAGCGCCCATGGGGGTGGGTCAGCAAAAGTTCGCGGTGACGCGGAATAGCAGCGCGGTGCTTTGGGGTACCAGTTTGAAAGATATTGTTGATGAGTGTATTTGCGGGATCTACAATTTCAATGCTTATGTGGGGACTCTCCCGGCGGCAAGGACGATTGATCGACTCCAACCGGATGGACTATCGATGTTGTCGTTGGGGCTTAAGGTTGCGTGTCCGACAAATACGCTGGGGCTGGGACCCGGTGGGATGAGTACTAGCACTTGCAATGTTGCGGTGTAAAAGACATAGTTTCAAGTGCTATCGGTGACCCCGGGGGTTTCAATTTTCTCAATTCATGGGGACCTATCATAGTCTTTGTACACTAGACGAGTCATTACTGATTGAAGGAGATTCCAATCTCGGGTATTCTCGTGATCATTGATACCTACTAGTATGACTCCGCACTTATCTATAATCCTTTATCGCGCACACCGACTTATGTACCCGAGGTAGGACAAGTGCAGTTAGCTTATTGATTTCTTCTTACCTGCTATATTATTATATTTATTACCTTGCTGCCCGTTCGGATCAAATGGAACTCCTTTTAGGCACCGGCCAAGTCCATGGCTTGATCAGCAGGACAAATCTTCATGGACGAACGGAATTGAACTCGTCGCATCGATATCCATTTGTATCGCCTTGATAATCTATAAATTGGCCAATTCTACCCATTTTTGCTCTCATACCTCATTTCCTCGATCTTGAGATCCCTTGAAGAGGACCATCTATCTTTTCAACACTTACAATGGCGCGCATGAAACAGGGTGTCTTCTCCTGGGAGGATGTGCTTGCCCAGCGATATCAGAGTGAGTAATACTTTCCATGTACTCTTCACATACTCGAGAACTTGTTGTAATCGACAAGGGGGGTATAATGAGTCAATCATTATAGTATCCCTGCAATTCAAGGAAAGGGGCGAAATTAGGCTAATTAGATCATCTGGATTTATAGGCAATAAGCCACTTTCCCTCCCACGTTCACGTCGACGAACCCTCACAATCCCCCAACCCCAATTACAATGTCACTTATTATCGCGCCTTTCTCCAGAGCTCCGTCTCATGATCTGGGAAATGGTACTAGGCGATCGAAGATTCCATATTATCCAGCGTAGTAATCAACGACTCGGTCATATCGTGTGTCCCCACAGCGGGACATCCACACCATCAGATAAAGATAGAGCTTCGCGTCGAGCAAGAGATCCTTTCTGTGAGATATGTGATGGAGGTGGGATTCCTCAGCCGGTAAAGGAAGGTGATCTTAATACACGTGCGAAGGAGACGCTACTGAATCTTGCGTTGACAAGTCGACAAATGTATGCGCTTTCATTTCCTCTGTACTAGTTCATATCCTGACAAATATTGCAGATACTCCGAATCCATTCACCTTCTTTATACACTCAATACCTTCGAATTCAGCAATCCCTGGTCCCTCCCATACCTCCGTCCTACAATCTCGTCTGAATACTGGGACTGTATACGAAATGTCGAGCTCCGCTGGTCCTTCCACGGACACTGGCTCCCAAGTAAAGACCCCGTACGCGCGGTCTATGTCTCCGCCGGAAAGGCGCAATGGCATGAAACATGTCGTGCTCTATCGAAACTACCCACACTCCAGTCCTTTGTGCTTGTACTCGGAAGTACATGGTACAGCGAGTCGGTAGAGAGGTTACCTATTTTCCTCGAGCCCTTACGCGGGCTCCGCGTTCAGCGCTCACGATTCAGGACTCATCATAGAGAGGTGTTTGATGAGTATGAAGTGTCTTCTGAGTCTGGGTCTGGGGCTGGATTAAGTTCTGATGAAGAGTCTACATCTTCTTTCAGATCTAGTTCTAGTTCTCTTAGCAGGGAAACTGGGTTACGCTCATGCTGTTACTCTTATTCCGTCGGCCGGCTGCCTATGGTCAAAAGTGATGCGGATTCCGCGACGTGGGAATTGCGCTTGCAGGGCCAGCCGTATTATGGACATGAGCTGGGTCGATTGGGGGAGGATCTTCGAAGGAAGGGGATTGACTGTGTTATCTCCATGACGTGAGGGGTTCAAGTTGATAATGGTGCCTTGAAGAAGAGGATAGAATATCAGTGATAATGCTGTGCATGTACATACTTGACCGGTGCAATGTACATATTGTGGATTTGGCGGTATTCCGCGCCAGGAAAGATAGAGCACGTCATAGACCGGCAATGGCTATTGTGTTTATCAAGTCATGGCTATCTGATCTTGGCGCATGATCCTAGATACCACAGACACGATATGCATGCATGCTAGGTAGATTGGTGATCAGGGTATGCCGCAGTGTCCGCCGCATAGTAGTACCGAGGCGGCATGGTGTTCTTATCTGCATATACAAAGGTCTCATTTTTCAGCTTACATAGATAGAGAGCAGTTATCAACATTGAAAATATGGTGTATAGATAAGGGAAAATCAGATGTATAGAGAAAGAATTAAACATTGCATAGAAAAATCCAGAAGACCCGGGGACTCAAAGTCAATCCAAGCACCAGTTGACTTCAAGTTCCAATATTAAGAATGTATTAAACTAAAAACCAAAAGCAAATCCAAATAAATAAACTTTAAAGAAAAATAAAAAGAAATATAAGGGAAAAACTGGACTCGATTCTGCCATGCATGTGGACATTTTACATCATACAGCATTCCCTCGCATAAACACAGAACAAGCATGTTATGCTTAATCCAACTAACCACTGGCAACTAACATTAATCTCAGGAGTAAAGGAGGTAAAAAATTATTCCATTCAAAGGAAGATATATGTAACAAGATCGACACTATTCATCTCGAATACGACCCTATACACGCGTTCCCCCCTTTTCCTAATATCGAGACCCTGGACCCACTCGTACCGGGATGGGATCAATGGATCATCTAAAAATAATATCGAGGTCTGTGCTTGAATCCACCTAATAAACAACTATGTAGAATACAGAGAAGAAAATAAAGTGAAACAGGATTTGAGATGGAAGAATTCCAGAAATATCGAACAATGGGAGAGTGTAGTAAATCTGAACTTTCATTGTTGAATGCATGAACTAGGGTCAGCTGGACAATGATCATCGATGGCGTGCCTATGCAATGCCGGTGTCGGTGTTGTCGCCAGCTGGATCCACTGAGTCCATCGGGTCCACAGACTGTGGCAGGCGCTAAGAGTCTCATTGATCGTGGGGGAACGCACATCCTAATCAAACTTGAATGGGGTTTTGGGTATACGCGTATTTAAAATTTTGAGGCTGACTATGTGATTCAGGGATCAAAGTCTAGATATAGATTCAAGTTTGAGAATGGGACACATTGGTATAAAGAAATTAATATATATTGTATTCAAGAGGTTGGGAGAGAAGGACAATAGAGACAGATGATTCCAAGGATTGGATCAGAGACAAGCCGAGAGAAGGAAAAGAAAAAAGCTGGCTGTAACCGTGTCTCATACAATGTGCCACGAGGGCAAGAAAAAAAAATAGATCCCAAATTAGAAGGAAAGAAGATATTGTCTTCACTGGCGCCGTGCAAAACCATGCCCAAGCCAAATGCCATGATGCGACAAGGAAAAAGAGATGTGAAAAGGTGGAAATGAGAATGAAAAGTAGAAAAAGAAAAAGAAAATAACCCAATGGGTCGTAAAGAGTCGTAATAAGAGGCAAGATACTCCAAATATCTTGCTCCAAGCTGTGGTATCCAAAAATTTGAGAGATAAAGGAAAAAATGGATCGTGTAGAAAGACGTAAGTCGGTCATAGGAAATGGTAGAGTTGTGATCATGAAGGATCAGGATGAGCAGGTGCTCAAGGCCACCGGAGTGAGAATTGAGCAAAGCTCGAAGTTTCCAGTTGGAAGGGGGTCGCGTTCGCGGACGCGCGCTGGTATCTGACCAGAAGAGGGTGTCATTTGGGCCACAAGTCGACAATTTAATGCAACCTATGTGAATGATCCTGATCGCGACGTCGGTACTAGGCCCCGGAGCGGCGTGCCCTCCAATCGGGAAAAGGTGAAAGGGTGTGAGTCCGTTCGGTGGTGAATAAGTCGAGAGCGCCCGTCCCCGTCTCTCGTCAGCTCAGCTGGAGACTGGGGAGGTGAATCGGGTCGCCCAAATCATCGACAAGATTAAGGAATTCCAAGGAGAGTTTCTTTTCAAAAACTTCAAGGAGAAAAAAAGAGAAGAGAAATAAAAGTCCATCAGACAATTAAAGAGCCTGAGATTCTTTACCGTCCGCCAGGTGACCGATCAGGTCCAGAATGGCCGTGGCCTTGAGCGGCAAGCCACTCGGAGTTGGCCTCCTGTCGTGCATCGGCGTGCTTCTGCTCGTGAGCGCGGGAAGTCGAGCTGCGCGGCAGAAGATTGTTGATTTCGGCAGCAAGGGCGGAAGCAGTATAACCTCGGAATTCACGCTCCTCACGCTCATCCTCCTTGATCAGGCGAGCCTGGTCAGTTTTGGACATATTCTCGCGGCGCTTTCGTCGGATCTCGTGAATCGACCAAAGAACAACTTCTTCGGGCGCACGGTTACGGGGGCCACCGTGCTTGGCGGCGCTGCGAACGTAGCGACGAGTGACATCGGTCGCACCATCGATCGAGAAGGCGATGCAGTATGAAATCTTGCGACCCCATCCTTCGGCGTAAATTCGAGGCTGATCCCAAGCTCCTTCGCATGCGTCCACGTGTACCCAGCGTCGTTGGTGCTCTGAGTAGACTTCGGTCCAGACGTGATCCTCCGCATTCCACACCCAACGAACTCGAGCTCCGACCGCGCGACAAAACATACTGAAACAGTTGGCCCACTCGCCGACTCGACCTCGACGGGTCTGGAGTAATTGCCAAACATCCGAGTAGCGAGGGAATCGTTCATAGGCGCCACAGCTGGCCTCGGAGCAACGGTACAGTTCGACTCGGGCGGCTCCTCGGGCGGTTTCGTCTGGACTAGGGGGGAGTCATTCCCTGGGCGATGGTAGGCATGTGGCACCGTGAGCAGGGAGGGTTGTAGACGAATTGGAAGAAAGATGACTTGAACCACCTGGAAATCAAGGGATGTTAGTGGCAACGGGAGGGGGGGTCGATTGAGGGGGTCTAGATTTCTTGGAACGAACCTCAGTAATGCTCGGATCACACAATCTTGGTAACCCCATTCTGGCTTTCCTCCCATACTAGCAGCTGAAGCCTGCATAATCTGACTCTCCTCCTCGGCCTCGGAATAGAGACGATCGAGCGGGATGACGGAAAGGGCATCGTCGAGTAGACCTGGGTTCTCATACTTGGTGGGTGTGACGGAGAGACCATTTAATAGATTGAAGAACTTTAAGGAGGCGGGATCCTGTGGCGGAGAAGGCATAATTGGTAGACCGCGAAGAGCGTGTGACTTGGGAGTGGATGGTGGTTGAGATGAAGGGTGTTGCGAAGCGCCGAAGGGCGGCGGTGGTGGTGCTCTAGTTGGTGGCGGGATGCTAGGACTGGCGACGGGAGCAGGCGACTGAGAACCCGATCGCGATTCTTGAAGTTGGTTGAAACGTTTTGTGCGCATTAACTGTTCGAACTGGCGGCTGAGAGAAGAAGCGTCATAGTTGTTGGAGGCAGGCTGTGCCCGTTGTTGGGGTCTGCCGTCCGCCATGGTGGATATGAGGGAAGGGCAAGGTTTCACCGGAGGGCGGACTGGGGTGATGATGGAAAGGACGAGTCTACTCCAGTGCTACTCCAAAGTGGAAAGGAGACAAAAAGAACCCTAGGACGGTGAAGGGGGAAAGAAAGAGAGTATATGTTTGAGTGGTAAAGGGAAGGGAGAGGAGGAGGGAAGTCCATTACGAATGGGCATACGAGCCATATACCGCGGTATTACAGGCGTCGTCAGCGTCTCGCCCCAATCATGGGCCCCGCGCCCAAGCCGCGTGTGCGAAATGGACAGAAGCCAAGAAAAAGACCCTTTTTCCCGTATTTTTTCCTTTGCAACACGTACTCTCTCCTCGACTTGGCAAATTGAACTACGACGCACGGGGGAATGACCTGCTCGTCTTACGCATCATGAATTTTCTATATTTTCTAAATTTCCTCAATTTTTCATTTTTTTACATATCTCAGGATCTTGTATGACGAGTCCCTCATTTTTATCATTTGATAATAATCGTTATTTTTTCTCTCTCTATTAGATCTATACTAGGGCTAACATTCATCCCACTCATAAATTTTTATTATACAAGAATCCTTATGTCGTCAATATGAGAACATATACAAGTGAAGATCTTGAATGATCGTCCCGTACCTCTTGACTTTGGTTGAAAATGTTTGTTACTTTGCACTTCATTACGGAGTAGAAAAGGACTACGCGTTCGAAGCCTCTTCAATTTCCTTTTTTCCTAAAAAGTGCCAAAAAGTCCCAGGGCTGGATGGGGCAGCACCAACACTGGTGGCGGAGACGCGCAAGCGTCCGTCTTGGCAGTTGGTAGGATCGGGCTAGAGCCTCGTTCTGAATCCACTTTGGTTAACTAAGCTAAACTATTTTGGGACAATACACTGCCTGGTTGGAGCCCTTGGAGTCTTGTTCGATTAGTCATTAACCAAATTCGGTTCATATCTTCCCTTATTTGCCTTTATTTGCTACTGAGTGGAAAGGGTGGACCTAGTAGGGGGCTTGGCATCGTCGTATTCCAGAATACTCCTGACCTGGTATGGCCCAATGTTCCTGTCGATCGTGGTGATGCAACACTCTCTATGATCATTGTATTTTGCGATCAGATCTGTCTAGTTTTGAGTTTACATTGACAAAGATTCGTAGTCCTTCTAGGTAGATGGATTATATATGCCAATTACAGATGATCTACGGAGTATACGATATAGTAGGCAGAGACGTTCCGTATCTCCAATTGGAGATATCCACCCCCGTTAACTTGAAGTCTCCAATCAAATAACCGGGAAAACCTCCGGTCACTGGACCCTGAAGCTGGGAGGGTCAAGCAGTTTGGGTTCAGGGTCGCCCCATACATTATCTCGCACGATTCGCAAGCCTGCGCTTCGTTCCGACACTCCAGATCCACCGACACGTCTTCGAACTAAAGTAGTGGATTACTCAGCCGTTAAAATTTCAAGCCAGAAATTTTAAAAAGAAAAAGACAATAAACATTATTTGGTAAAAATCTCCAGTTCGATCCATGGAGTGCAGAATTTAAACAATAGACTAGACTATGTTACTTCCGTACTCGTACTCTATGCACTCCATACAATAGATCAATATTAAATGCTTTTTTTGACTTTTTTCTTTCTTCCATTGAATACTATAATCATACGCAATACAGAATTTAGCTCCATTTCTTAACTCCGGAGTCTTCAATGTTCAAAAAATGTTCAAATGTTCATACCTGAGTCAGCCTTGCCCAGTGTTTCATCGGTTTCATGCTTAAACCCATAGCCTCATCCTTCAACATAGCCACTCCAGGCAGTTTAGCCTTAGTATAATTCTCCAGGACCCTACTCAAAGCCTCAAGTTTTTAGTCCTTACGCCAGGTCCAATTTTTATTTCATGATTTCATGATGATCAGGGAAATTTTCTCTTCCCCGCGGAATTATCCTGGACCTATATACCTGGGCATCCTAGTCCTGATGGCGTCAGGCCTACCCGAGCTTACGCAAAACATCCGATTCTGCACATCACAGGCTCACACAAAATATCCTTAATTCTACGTTAATTCCAGGTAAAATTCAAATGTCTACGTATGAACCCGCAAGGAAAAACCTTGGAATTCTTGGAACTCTTTGAATTCATCAACGAGAAATACGCAACCAGATCAACAACCTTGGAAGTCGTAATATATGGGGAAAGCTTCTCGGGAAAAATTCAACTCCGCCTGAAGCATTTGGGCTCTTCTTGCCGACGAACCAATCTCTCCCCCACGCCAAGAGCCAAGCCATCATCCTGAATTACGCTTGGACCAGAATGGTTTCACTCCTTATCATATATACAACCCTGACATCTTCAACTTGAAGTCTTTAGGGATATACACATCTCTGACTCCATTGATAGCTACGATGAACACTTGGCACGGTCTTTCCGTGACTAATTCAGCGTCATGCCGAGCACTTTTTGACGTTTTACCATCTATACAACGTATTGACCGCGTTGCTAGCAGCGTGTCTATCCAGTTTTGATCTTCTTAAGCATGATCAGCCAAGGGCCTGTGGACAAAAGACACGCAATAGCGGATGTTTCCAAGACTCACATGCAGTGATCAACCATGATCACCGCTTTACGCTGGCAGACGTCGTCACTCGTTTCGTCTCCAACCCTCCAACATTGAACTAAAAAAAAAACCAATCCAGCAGCTGCATGACGTTAGTCAAACTAGTGAAGAACCGACCATGATTAATCGAAAATAATAAAAGAAAAAATCTACCGAGTCATGCGGTCCACTATCTTTTCGCACTACCGCGCGTTAGCTCTGCGCTTCCGCGTCACCTTTCGGTTGAATCCGCCTTTGACTTACGTGCACCCTCAATGTGGGCTGCAACGGACTTTTTTAGGTCCATATGACTGGTTCCCTATTCGATAGCTCTGTTCGATAGCTCTATGTATTCAGTATATTTAATTTTCTTACTCGGGACCCCATTCAACCATTTATGCGTCTATGAGCCTCCCTATATCTCCGAAGATTCGGTCTTTTACGCCTTGTGGTTCATGTCCGGATCAGGGGGCACTTTACTGTGGATTATTCTACTTTTAGTGCATAACATTTGCATTAAGTTCACGGGGTGGCTGCAGCCATTGGTGGATGACACCTAAACCATGTACTCCATATCTTATGAGCCTTTCTATACCCCGTAGTCAACATTTTGAACATAAATAAAAAGTTTCTAAGAAGAGTCATTGAATAATCATGTCATACATAGGACTTGGATATTCCGAACAAAGCGGTACATAATTTCATAATCTTTAATTAGAAACGCAAATCTTTCCCCACCATGTTCATCTCCATTAAACGGTTCGCCTTTAATTTCCAGAGGTTCCACCCTATAGGGTTTCATGAAAGACACAAAGTTCAACTTTTGAGCTTAAAGTCTTTGAAATTAGTATACTAGTAGGAGTTCTTGCGGCTTCAAAAAAAATTGATCAATATGTAGACCTTCGTATCGCTGATTGACTACTCTGCACACATGTGCATGTGTGCTCGGATCTCCTAATGATCCCTCCATATAGACATGGCTTTATAATCTTACATGTGCACATGCGCGTGCATCAAGTCCTCAACCCGTATCTGGTACTGCCCAGGTGAGAATAAGACCACCGTCGCGACATTTCATGTTTGAATTCTCCGATCTCCTCCGAGTTTCTTAATGGATGTAGACTTCATAATCTTGGATACCAACTTAGATGTCTTCTATCCGAATCCATCCCGGTCTATTTCTCCGGTAATCCGCAGATATCTCATCAACAATGACTCGGCTAACAACTATCACTATGGATACATTTTCCTGAGCTACTTGTGCCTGAACGGGTGACCGGGATCACCCAGGAGGTCTCATGCAAGAGGTGCAGAGGGGCAGAGGGGCAGGGGCCCAGACCATGCGACGAGTTGTTTTCTCCCAAATGCCCATCCTGGGCCCTCCAGTACTCGTGGAAGATGATGCCTTGTAGGGTTACTTCTTGGGCTACAACTTGAGGCCCATGCCTCCGACCCAACCCGAACAGTTTCATCTAAGCAGTTAGAATATCACTTTGACCCTCGGGACAACATCGGACTACAGCAGTCCGGTGAATGCGCGCGACCGTTAAGAGAATATGGCTATAGCAGGGTGAGGTATAATCCCTGTTGTAGGGTCGGGCAGCCAAAAGCGGAGAGGATCTATAAAAGCCTCGTTCCGATATGCAACTCTCACTTCTGGTAGTTGCCCCCTCAACTTTCCAAGGTTCAACCCCAAAAAACCCCTCAGCTGACAGTTGCAACTTCATTCTGTAACTTCTCAAAGTTCATTTATCTTTTCTATCATTTATACCTAGCATGGATTCCATCCACCCACGGTAGTGCTCATTTCCATAGTTTCTCATCACAGCCCCGGGCCCCCACAAGATGACGGTTTTTATCGCATCCCTGTAAGTCTCCGTTTCCCCGATCCAGCCCCCGCATTCTTACATACTCAAACATGATTCTTCAGGTTCCTTCCATACACCATTGACTTTAAGTCAACAGGTTTGAAAAATGGAAGTGCTCGTCGTCGCAAGTCGTCACCTAGTTACTCAGCCGTCGATGGATCAGGTCCCATGCCTATCATTGGACGCTTGGCTGATAGCCGCAAGCCACGTCAGAGATCTACAAGTCTGGAATTGACCCCAGGGGCAACCACAGAAGACGAAAAGATCTTTAAAGCTTATGTCTCACATTTTGCCGGGGAGATCCCTATTGCAGAAGCACCTAAGGGACCTGGTCCCAATGAACCTCGCGCTGTACCATGGGGTCAAAGCCGCAAGTTCAATCAACCACGCTCGAAGGCAACAACGCATCCTCAGCCATCGATTCTTAGCCGTCCAAGCTCACGGCAGGAATCTAAAGAATCTGCCTTCCTAGCTGGTGGAGGGGTGAGTCTTCCTCCCGCCCCGCCAGAATTAGGCAGCCCTCGTGCACTGCTCTCGGCCGAGGACTGGGTCGTCAAGGCAGCAGAGCAAGGGCATGGCGGTCTCCAGAATGCCATTCATGCTGCGGAAGCTGCAGGCATCCTTGAAAACAAGATGTGGGTGGGGACACCAGGAATGCCCACTGATTCCTTGACGGATATGACACGAAGCCTCATCGATGAGACTCTCAGGGCTGAGTACGAGTCCCTGACTGTATTCGTTGGTGACAGTGAATTTGAGGGCCACTATGCGCATTTCTGTCGCTCTGTACTATGGCCTGCTCTTCATTATCAGATGCAAGAAAGTCCTCGTCATAATGAGTACGATGATTATTCCTGGAAGCAGTATCTCAAGGTGAACGAGGCTTTCGCCAACACCATTGCAAACAACTGGCGTCCAGGTGACACAATCTGGGTTCATGATTACCATTTACTGGCCCTTCCTGGACTTCTGAGGAAAAAGCTGCCTCGGGCCAGGATCGGATTCTTCTTGCACACAGCGTTCCCATCCTCCGAAATCTTCCGCTGCTTGAATTCACGCGATGCACTGCTAGATGGTCTCCTCGGGGCCGACTTGATCGGTTTTCAGACTGAAGAGTATTGCTACCACTTCATCCATTCCTGCAGTCGGCTTCGAAGATTGGAGGTGTCTGTTGATGGCGTTCAGGTCAATGATCGGTTTGTGCACGTCAAGAACTACCCTCTAGGGATTGACTATGAGTCGCTCAATGTGCTGCGCGAATCTGTTGAGGTCAAAGACTGGATTTTGAACATCAGAGAGAAGTACAAAGGAAAGCACCTCATAGTGGCTCGTGACCGACTCGATGCGCCTGGGGGGATCAAGCAGAAGCTCCTGGCATTTGAGCTTTTCTTAGAAAGCTATCCCAAATGGAGAGAAAACGTTAGTCTCTCTCCTATTCCCCATCATGATATGATGCTGACCCATACATGATACAGGTTGTTCTTGTTCAGGTGGCGTCCTCTGCATCGGAGATTCCAGAACTCGAAGCGCAGGTTTCCAAGGTAGCCATGCGAATCAATTCGATTTATTCGAACTTAACACACTCGCCTCTGGTGCTCCTGAAACAAGACATCAGCTATTCTCAATTTCTCGCTCTCCTGAGCGTGGCGGAGATCTACATGGCCACAAACCTCCGCGAAGGCATGAATCTTACGAGTCATGACTTTATTCATTGCCAAGATGGGCAACTCGTTTCCCAGAAACATGGAACCCTCATATTGAGCGAGTTCACCGGCAGTGCATCCATTTTCCAAGGTCACGAACTCATCGTCAACCCATGGGACTCCAAACAATGCGCTGATGCCATAAACACGGCGCTGGACATGTCGCCTGAACAGCGTCAACACAACTGGGAATTCCTTTTGAACCGCAAAGCTCCCTACACAGCAATTTCTTGGTACTCAACCCTACAATCCGCACTCATTGAAGCCCATAGCATGCAGCAATCTCGCCACACACACCACGTCGCTCCGCTCCACTTCGACACCCTGCAAGAGTCATACGAAGCATCCCATAAACGAATCTTTTTCCTCGAAGATGGCGCAACCTTTACCCCTGACAAATCCCATCCATCCAAAGAAGCAACTGACCTCATCCAAGCCCTAGTCCTCGACCCAAAGAACACAGTCTATCTAACTAGCAACAACAGTCCAGACCAACTGAACTCAACAGCTCGACTCCTCTCCAGCCGCATAGGACTAATCGCCGAAAATGGCTGCTTCGTTAAACCCGCCCCTCAAATCAGTTCCTCAGTTCACGAGGAAAGTGAATCAGATCCATGGGAAGCTCTCGTTGATGTGGAAGGCACAAGTGACTGGCGCGCCGGTATCCGCAAGGTAATCGAATACTTTCAAGAACGCACAGACGGCAGTATCATCGAAGAGCGCCGCTGCACACTAACATTCGACTACACGAACGCACTCGATCAGGAAACCGCCGCACACCAGGCCTCCGAGCTCGCAGACCAAATTAACGGCGCCCGTGGCAGTGAAGCAATTCGCGTCGTGCGGGATGTAGTAGCCGTCAGTGTGGAACCATTGCACGCGTCCAAGGCTGCAGCGGCCTCGATGCTGCTGGATCGTCTACCAGCTGAAGACTCCGCGGACTTTATCTTTGTGGCGGGTGGAGCGAGAGGAGATGAGAGTTTATTCCGTTGGGCGAATCGATTGAGCCGTGTGAGCTCGAATGGGCATGTCAATGGGAATGGGAATGGGAATGGGGTTGGCAATGGTCATCGCAATGGAACAAATGGCTCTGTCAATGGCTCTGCCACAAATGGGTCTAGGACTAGATCGATTACAACTCTCACGGCTGGTACGCATGCTACTGAAGCAAGTGCAGTCTTACCGACTGGGTTCTCGTTACTGGATGTACTCCGGCTACTGGCTTTCCCTCATCTTGTCGGAGTGGCTTCAAGATGCAGTGATCTGTGAACGTAGGAGATATCGATGCCTCGATTCTGATTTGATTACTACGTCTAGGGATTATTCTTTTCTTCCCCTGTCTTGTTTAGCCTTTTTTGCCTTCCCTTGATATTGATATCCCCCTGGATCCTTCCATCGGTCTTTTCCTGGATACTATCCCCTTTTCTAATGTTACGGCAGATGTTATTCTAACGAAGGAAACGAACAAGGATCGACTGATATTACTATCTTTATCAATATGAATTGAGATGAACTTATTCTTAAATGTATCATTTTTATGTATTATTTGAACTTTTTATTTGGTTTGTTTGACAAATTCCGTATTTGTACCTAGCTAGTGTAGAAAAAAGCAGTAGAATGTGTAACCACATAACAGCCATGAAGCCGAATACCTCTGAAAAACACCTATGTCTTAGGACATTGTGGAACCCTTGATGGATGAGAAGGTCAAGGAGCTGCAGAACTTGCAATGGATCATGCTGAAGTCTTCCATGCGAACCGTGAAGAAGAGGAGAAGTAAAAAGGGCAGAACTCATTCGTGAAAACAGAAAGGCAAAAAATAGAGGTTAAACACCCATACTAAGCAATGTAAAACCCTATGGATAAGAACGCCACGCCTGGGGATAATAAAACGAAGGTTTAAAATCGAAGCACCACCGGGAAAATCAACAAACATGAGATCCTATCACCACAGTAAAAATGGACACAATTGAGGCTGGCACAATGTGTATTGACAGTGAACGTGGAATGAAGTCACGATCAACAGATATCCGTTTCAAATGCATACAAATGCATACAAATGCACAGATATTCCCGAGGCTTAAGAAGAGCAATGATGCGAAGAGAAGAATGGAAGGAGAAAGAATAGACGCATAGGTATACAGACCAGGATGAAATTTGATATGGAGAATAACATGAATCGTGAGGAGTCCGTCCATCATCAGCAAATAAGAATATCGGCAGACAATCCGGGATTCGAGCCCCGGGCAAAAAGTTCATAGAGGAAGGGGGGACTATGAAAATTGCGCGAATAAAGCAATTTCATGATTTAGCCACCGGTCCCTGTGTTCTCGGTAGTATCTTTGGATGCCGACGCTTTGTCAGTGCTAGCTGAGACCAGCGTTGGGGCAATTCGACGTTTCTTCGGCGGTTGGGCCAGAGTAGCTTCTAGACCCTTGCCCTCATCCTTTTCGGACTCGCTGGCATGTCTCGTATCACGCTTTCCAAGAACACTGACTGAATGGACATTGTTACTTCCATGTGAGCCTGTTGGGAGAGGCGTCTGCGGTGGGGTGGTGAGTGGGAGGGTCGAGGGTTGCGCAGAGTGCGTGGCTGTCACCAGTGGAACAGACCCCAGGGTCGGTGTTGGGTTGTTCACCACAGTGTTAGCCTGCTGAGTAGATGACTGGGTTGTGACCGAGCACGCTGAGTTGGATCGTGCAGGACTGGCTGGGGGCGCCTGGGAGCTCCCGTTGTTGATTGGATGATGGACAGCCTTCACAGGGGACGAAGTATGAGTAGGAGTTGGCAAAGGTGTGACATTGGTCGAAGGGGTGCTTGGGCGAGCATGATTGGAAGCAACTGAAGTGGATCCTGTGTAAGGCTGGCCAAGTTCTCCGGGTGCGAATGAAAGAGCAGAACAGAAGCCATCGGAAGAGCTCATTATCAATGTCAAACCATCATTCGACCTTTGTTCATTAGTCTTTAATCCTGTCCAATAATATCAATTTGAGTAAAAGCTTACCAAGTCAAGTCGGTGAAGGTTGCAAAATGCAAATTATTAACCACACACAACGGTGTTTGCTGTTGAGTATCATAGATCAGGACAGCGTCTTGCGTGGCTACAGCATACACAATGCGATATGGAAGCGCGAAAACAGGTGCTCCTGAGCTAGAGTCGTTGCTGCTACCATCGGATTTCTGTGATGATTGAGGCCGTCCGGTATCGCCACCCGAGGGAGCTGAGGATGGTGGGGGCTGTGAGACGACTGGGCCTGGTAATGGAGGGAACATTGACTCCTCAGTCGAGGTATCCACAGTGAGATGTTTCACTGGTTGCGTGCCTTCCCTCAGCCCATAGTAAATCGGAGAGCATTTGACAGCAACAGACGGCTTTTTATGGCCCGGGAGGTGGGAAATTGGAGGTTTATTAAAGCCAGCTCGGGTGTAGACGTAGACTGTGTTGATGACTTCGTCCGTTGTCTTAGAGGGATCGGTAGGTGAGACATGAGTGGTCTTGAATTGACCAGCTGGAGTGAACAACAAGCTTCCGTCGGGTGCAAAAGTGAGTCGCCGAAAGAATGAGGTAAAAGTTTCATTGGCGTAAATGCTAGCATTCTTCACTCCAAGTCCTCCAAGGAGGCTTGGTGAAGAAACCTCCAAGGGCTTAACAGCAGGTAATGGAAGAGATGGAGCGGGAGATGCCGATCGTCGAATCGATGGTGATGAACCGAAAGAGGAACGGCGACTTTGCGAAACAGGAGGAGGGTCCATTGGAAGATTCGATGCCATCGGCGTTCCTGGGGTCGATGGCGCAGGGGAAGCGATTGCAAGCGAATTGCTGGTGTTATGTTGGTGGCGATTGATCGGCTCTGGCGCAGGGCTGCTAGATGAGATTCGTTTGGCAGGTAGATCCATCTTGAGGACCTTGCCGTGGGAGGTCAAAGTGAATTGGCCATCCTTGGTTTTCAGGTTGTAGATATGGACGGATCGATCAGAGGATTGGGTTGCCACAAATTCGTTGAGCGGATCCCATGCGACGCCTTGAACATAATGAGAATGTTCTGCGATCTGTCGTACCATTTGGCCTGACAAGGTTGACTATTAGCTCTATCCGCTATAAACAATCGTGTCGTTTCTTTGTGACGAGCCTACCATTTTGCGCATTGTAAATCCGAGCAATGTTATCCATACTTCCGGTCATGATGAACACACCGTCGGGCGACCAGGCCAAATCGTAGATCTCGGCTCCAGATGACCGGCACATGTGCTTCACTCGCCATGTTTCCTTGTCATCGGACCGGTCTTCTCCGAGGCCAGCCTGTGCCTGAAGTTCCGATGGGACCCAGAGCAAGACATTGCCGTCATCTCCGGCAGATGCCAGCATCTCACCTGAACCGAGTTAGATATGGGTTCCATCGCTTAGCTTAGAAATACCATACCTTTTGGACTGAAACGGACAACATTGACAGCCTGTGTATGCTTTAAAAGTGTACTCAGGTATGTGACTTTTCTTTCCTCCCCAGTGGATTCGACTTTCCAGAGCTATTATGGTTTGTCAGACAAGAGTTGAGGAAAGGGTAGGGTAAACGGGAGAGTGGAGGTTGCGGAGGCGTACTCGGACGTTATTATCGCTGCAAAAAGGCTGTTAGTCGCAGATCCCGAGATTGAGGCCCTCATTATCAGTATTGTAACTACTTACTTTCCTGCAGTTGCTAGACGACCCTTGCCATTGGGGTCAAAATGCACCGAATAAATGGGGGCATTGTCATTGTGCCATGAGACAAGCAAGGCGGAAGCCTTCATGATGAGGATTACAGCTCGTTGAGCTGGTCCTAGAATTCACCTATCTGAAGAAAATCTTTATTTTTCAAGTAGATTCGACAGTCTCGGAGTTGTTTCCTGCTCAAGTGGAAGGAGAGCAAGTTCAACGAGGGTTTCTCAGTTTGAATGGGGCTGATGGGGTGGGATAAGGGAGGGAAAGATGCAGTTGCAGCTTTAAAGCGAGGAGTAAAAAGGGTTCACGATTAACAAGATGAAGAAAGAGGGATAAGTAGGAAAGAAAAAGTGAAGGAAATAGAGAAGTTTCAAAGGGGGGAGAAGAAGCGAAAGGGTTTCGATGATGCTTTGACCGGAGCCGAGTTGTTTGCGAGCAACGCGACCGCGAATTAGATACGGGCCACTAAACGGGTGCGGATTGCAATTTAGGTCCACGTTTAACCACGTCACGAGTACTTTTTAAGGATTTAGCGAATTAAGTAAATGAAATGGGATTGTCTACGTAGATTATGAAACAATATATTTTTTATATTTACCTAGTATTTCAAGATTGCTGGCAAGTGGCATTAAACATTTGAAGATTCGGAGGTTACAGACATGGTTACATATAATATATGCTTCATTCCGGGCATAACATCCATTCAAGTTGGACTGGCATTTTAAATCATTTGAATCCATGGATGCCTCCAGGGCTCTCATTTGCACTTGATTCCAAATAATAAAGGAAAGATAGAAAAATAGAAATATACTAGAATTACATGCTTAACTTCCAAGGTTCTCATACAAATAGGTATCATGAAAGCCATTTTCCAAGTGTCTCGCCAAACATGCTGACGGCCTTCTCTTGTCGCTTTGATCGGGCATCCGTTTGAGACTTCATAAATGGAGTAGCCTCTTCTGCGTAGAGTTTCTGCTGTTCGAGCTGGGAGTTGAAGGCTCGGATCTCCAATTCACGCTCATGTGGAGTGAGTGTATGGAGAGGCTTGGATGGCTTAAAGCCGGTCGGGATGGACTCCCCGCCAGGAATCTCAAAGGCCAACGGGTTTTCGGTCTTCTCTGGAGTTGAAGGGACTTTCTCAGGGTTGAAGAGCGATTTAATTGGTGGTGGTTCAAGTCCAGCAGCCTTTGCTTCTTTGACTCGTTTCTCATAGTCGAGCATCTGGTGGTAGAGCTTATCCGCGTGCATCTGAATTCGTTCTTCTTTCTCAGGGTTGTATTCGAATGATGAGGCATAACCCAAAGCCTGAAGGAATTTCTATGAGAAGAGTCAGTACGCTGAAATGACACAAGGATGTGCTTGGAGAACTCACGGTCTGGGTTGTGAAGCACCGAGAGAAAGTACCATTTTCCGCGGCACACATTGTTAATCGGGACTCAATTTGCTTGCGCCAGTTTCCAGTCTGGAAACAGAGAGTCAAGGCCTCATGCTCTAAGGCACAGTTCTCCATTGCAGCCCGTTGTACAGTATCGCCGCGCTCCTTGAATTTCTCAATCACTCGCTCCGCTCCACGCATTCCAGTGTTCTCATCCACACTCGCCGGAGGCTTGTATGTCTTCCATAAATCGGCATAGCGGCCATCCTGATACAGTGATTGCGCAGGGGCCTTGGGTTCGGAGGATTCGGTTGACTCTGGTATCGGCGAGGACGAGGGCGTAGTTGTAGCTGTTGGTTGCTTCAGATCCGGCGCAGGGACATATTTGTCTGGAGTCTCCTGCTTGAGATACTCGCGCAGACTCGGATCGAGTTTCTGCACCGGATCATTTTTGTTGTCACCCCAAAACCAACCCATTATTTCTGTAGCGATCTGTAAGAAAGGAGAGGAGAATGTGATAATTTGAGGTTGCGGAGAACTCGGGATAAAAATGGATCGACCCCGATAGACTTGGGTCCCGACCGCCAATACTACTCTTCCATCATCAACACGACGCGTCTTGACGCCCTCCACAATGGCTTCTAGTACGTTTAAACTATACAAGATGAATCGCAAATATGGTCACTAATTATTTATAGCGCGAGAGGAGCGGCTGCAAATGCGACAGCGCGGAGCTGGGTACGCGCTTCTACCCCGCGAAACCATAACATAGGAGCTTTGAACTGATTAGCTATAGAACGCGCAAAATCCAGCAAGTCGACTTCGGTTTTTCCTTTGGAGGCCCAGCATCGGGCCCATCAGATCCTGCACCGCTTTCATGGTTCCCTGAACCCGCAAAACCACAAACAGACTCGGCGCCAATTGCTCCAACACCACCTGCGCCACAGCTATCGCAGCCGGCATCACCAACAGGAAGCCAACCGCAGCGTACGCCAGGAAGTGCGCGCAATAGTCTCCCTCCGCGCGCATCGACATATGATATTCCCTCTGACGATTCAAACCGAGCGCCTCGAAGTATTAAAAGGAGAAAACCAAGTACGTCATGGACTATACATACCCGATTGCAATGCGGTTCCTTAGATTAACACTATTCAAGATCCCACGAGCGAGGATAGGCTTAGCCCATCGGACCGAAGAGACTCAAAATCAGGACATGGCGACTCTATTACAGCCCGGAATGGCGTGCCTAACGAAGACCAGCAAACTCAGGATGTTCCAATTCCGGACGCGCCCCCGCGGGGAAGTACGAATGAAGCGCCAGAACCACCTGCCTCAGAAGCTCCTGTAGATATCCAAATGCAGGATGCCAGTGGACCAACAGATAATCTCGGCAGTGGTACAAATGCGCAGTCACCGCAAGAGCAACCACGAAGCACACCGCAAACCTTCAGAGATGATACCATACCAAAGGCAAACAATACGAGGCCTCGAAAAAGTCGATCGCCCAAGGAACCACTGCGAGAGACTCAACGTATTGTCGAATCTAAAGATCCTCGCCGAAAGACTCGGTCACCACAAGCTGGGAAGTCAGGAGAGATTAAAAATAAGAAGAGCCGGGAATCTCAAAGCACGTCGCCAAGTACAACAGGAGAGCGCCAACGGCAGGCCAGAATACCACTAGCACAGCCTGTTTCGACCAATGACTCCGAGACCAGTCAACCAGAGGCAACTTCCGCTACTCGGGAGAGTCCCAAGGCCCAAGAGGCTCAACCTGATACTACAAATGAGACTGAGGCTCTGGCTCAAAAGCAGTCTAAAGTGACTAAGAAAGGCCAAGGGCGTAAAGGGCGTTCCACCGATGATGACAGTGTACCGCCGCAGACAGAAGAAACCTCACCAGAGGCTGAAGTCCAACAAAAGTCTAGTGGTGCCAAATATAAAGGCCCTCGTGCCAATGTTCCCGATGAGAAAGAGTCTCGCTCTGGACGAAAAGCCGGCGGAGAACGACAAACAGGGTCCGGGCCCGAACACCAGCAGCCCGAGATATCAGGCTCTGAGACAGGGCAAGGTCCTTCAAAACCACGTCGCGGAAAGCCTGGGAAGGGCAAAAACAAAGCAATACCCGATCCTGCCACAACAGAAGGAAACCCAGCAGTCGAGGCTGTTCCTGAGCCAGAAGAGGAGCCAAGGACATCGAAATCGCGTGGGAAGTCTGCCAAGAAGGGCAAGGAACCAGCAGGTCCAAAACCACCTGCTAGAGAAGAGCTTCCAGAACATCGGCCAGAACCACAGGCTGATCCCGAACCAGAACCAGCGCCAGTGCCATCTAAATCACGGCGTAAGGCTGGCAAGAAAAATAAGCGAAGAGCAGAGCCAGATGTGGAAGCTGAACCGACAGAAGAACCAAAAAGCGCGGAGAGGCCTTCAGCTGAGTTTGAAGAACCTCAGGAACCAGAACCAGAACCAGAGCCAGAGCCAGAAGCTAGTCGACCTAAGCCACGCGGGGGCAAACGCGGGACCAAGGAGAAGAGAACTGCACTTGAACCCTCTACAGAGGAGCAGCCAGAAGCCGAATCATCTCGGACAAAGACACGCAGACAAGGACCGAGAGAGCCCCGTGGCGAAACAGTACCTGTTACAGTGCATCGTCTGGTCAATCATGAGGCTCTCGGTGCCATGGGAATTTCTATTGGTTCCGAAGATGAAGATGAAGTGTCTCCCGATCAGCTTTCTGCTCACCTACAAACCAAGCTGCCAAACCGTGGCGGCGTCAACCCTGCCGATGTATTGAGCCAGATTTGTCGTGAGACCTTGGAGAAAACACTTACGGCACTCAATACTGGTATTGAGAATGAGACTAATGCTCAACGGCGTGCAGAGTGGACACGAAAGCGGAAGGCCGTTGAAGCATTCGGCTCTGAACTTGATGGTCGCCTGTTAGATCTGAGCGAGATGCTTGATAGCAACTATGTGCTCGGTGTGCGACTCAGACAAGCGAAGCGCGATATGTTAGGCCTGCGAAGTCATCTCTACAAAGTACGGCAGGAAAGAGAAGCTATTTCTCTACAGATGGATGAAGTGCGTGGCAAGCACATGGCTGAGGAGGCCGCGAAAACAGTAAGACTTTATAAGAGATCTCAGTATCGATCATCTACTAATACTATATAGTCACGGACTACTATCAACAACTCTCTTCATAGTCTAGAGCTTGCTCTGGATCGCAGTCAGTACCGAGATTCACCTCCAACGGATCCCTCGGCAGCGGATCTGGAGTTTATGCTCCGCACTGTGGCTGACGATGTGAGCTCTCGAGCTCCCAGTGCCCATGGAGGACTACTGGATCAAATACGCGCCTTCAATACGCAACTGGAGACCACGGCTCGTCGGTTGGAAGGTCAATGAAACCTTGGAACCTTGGAACAGGGTGGAGTTATTACTATTATTAATCAAGTGGGCGCAATTCCCAGCCCAGGAGGTCGGACCCCTATTTGATACTTTGTGATACCATTTGTGAAAGGCATTACCTCATGGCTGGTCCGTGGGTTTGCTAAACATGATTGTCTGATATGTATAATGACAATATCATTCCTGTATATCGATGTTGAATTCATTCTTCATCTCATTCTTCCAAATGAAAACTTAATTGATCCTGAAGATTCGGCATTTCGGATGTAGGGTTTTGTCAGGTTTGTCAGCGGTGCCGATGAAGAATCTCTTCTGTATCCACTTCCCCGGCAAATCAGATTCTGCGAGTATTCACCATCTTCGATATGGTTTCTTAGCAATTCTCCCGTGTAATATTGCTTGGAAATCAATCTCAATGGGTGGGGCCTTTGAAGAAATTTGTTCATGGCAGGGGCTCTATAAAGCCATGCCTTTGTACGGAGTACATAGCATCTTGGAATCTATAGAACTATACCAACTCTTGCATTCAGCGACTAGATCTCTTTCATCTCATACACTCACACTTCTACTTGAGACCATTCAAGACACCATACTACAATGTCTAAGCTTTTCGAACCTCTCCGTGTTGGCCGCATGGAGCTATCAAACCGCATCACCCTTGCCCCTTTAACCCGTTTCCGCAATGGCGATGACCACGTCCCCCTCCCCTTCGTTAAGGAGTACTACGCCCAGCGTGCCTCAACTCCAGGAACCCTCCTCATCACCGAAGCAACCCTGATTTCTCCCCGCGCAGGTGGTTACAATAACGTTCCCGGAATCTGGAACGACGCACAGATCGCGGGCTGGAAAGAAGTCACAGATGCCGTTCACGCTAAGAGTTCTTACATCTACATGCAACTCTGGAACCTGGGTCGTGTTGCTGTCCCAGATGTTCTGAAGAAAGATGGCTTCGATCTCGTCTCTAGTAGTGCAAAGCCTGAAAACCCCGATGCGGCTACTCCTCGCGAGTTGACTGAATCCGAGATTCAGATCTTCATCACCGAGTACGTGCAAGCTGCTAAGAACGCTATCGCTGCCGGATTTGATGGTGTTGAGATACACGCTGCGAACGGGTACTTGATTGATCAGTTTATTCAAGATACTTGCAACACTCGCACAGATCGCTGGGGCGGTAGCGTGGAGAACCGGGCTCGGTTCGCTATCGAGGTTACTCGTGCTGTTACCGAGGCTGTTGGTGCAGACCGCACTGGTATTCGGTTTAGTCCTTTCAGTCCGTTCCAGGGAATGAAGATGCAGGATCCCATCCCGCAGTTTACTTACCTTGCAGAGCAGATGAAGGGCTTCAAGCTTTCGTATACTCATCTGGTTGATGCTCGTGTTTCCGGGAATGCGGATGCCGATGCGAGTGAGACTCTTGATTTCTTCATGAAGGCATACGAGAAGGCTAGCCCTGTTATTGTGGCAGGTGGATTCGAGCCTGAGTCTGCGCGCCAGGCTGTGGATGTTCAGTTTAAGGATTATGACACCCTCATCGCCTTTGGTCGGTCTTACATCACTAACCCGGATTTGCCTTTCCGTGTTAAGAATGATATCGCGCTTACGCCTTATGACCGCAATGCGTTCTACTCTTTGAAGAACCCCGTTGGTTATATTGATTATGAGTTCAGTGCTGAGTTCAAGGCTACTCAGGTTGAGGTTCAGGCTTAATTTTCTTTCTCTTGATTGCATAGCGAGGTTCTGTTTTATAAAATAGATGTTTCATTCAATTCACGTTATCAATTACCATAATAAACTGCACAAGCATCTATGGATTTTTTTTTTCAAATATAGAACTCATCTAGTATCTCATACCTGTGCACTGTACAGAGTAATCGCTTGGATTTTCTCTTGGAACGATCTCAGGTCTCCCAATCAAATTTTATACTAAATAAATTAGCACAATTCAATTTTTGAATGCAAATGGATTAAACTCACCCGGAATTCCCTATTATCACGATCTGTCATATCCAAGAACTCCGAATTCTCCTGATGAACCTCTCCCTCATGACGCAAATCCCTCCGACGATTCTCCCAGATATAGTAGTACCTCAAAAACACCGTGAAAACGATAGCCACAGATGTAGTAGCAACGAGCGCAATCTTCGCCGGGATATAATTCGGCTCGTCTTCGGTGCGAAAAGTCAAGGGTCCAAGAATATTTCCCAAACAAAATGACATCAATAGGATAGCATTCATACTAACTTTCTTCGTATGGCCCGCGACATTTGCTCCGGCGATGGAGTACATAATAGGTAATGCGGACCCAGTAACCTGTGTGAGATAGTTCCCTGCTAATTGCGCAGCTTTCATATGTGTAGGTGAGAAAGCCAGGAGACATCCGCCGAGAAGACCACAGAGTAACGAGGCGATTACACAGAGACAGCGCTGATCATACTTTGATGAAGCCCATGATGCAAGGAGGATACTGATGATGCTGATTACACCACTGGGGATATTGAGTAGCTCGGTCTGTTTGGTTGTGAAGCCGATGTTCTCGATTATCAGGGAGGTGAAGCTGCTGATTGCGGCGTTGGGAACGTCCATGGCTACCACGATTACGACGATAAGCCAGGTCTGTGGATCTTGGAGGGCTTCGATGAATTGGCGCCATTTGAAATGCTTGTTTTCGATTCCGGTTTGGTTCTCGCGGAGGCGCTCGATGGCTAGGATTTTTTCTTCGTGGGTTAAACGCGAGGTCATGGGGTTGTCGGGGAGGAAGATGAAGATGCAGATTCCGACGACGATGGTGATTACGCCGAAGATGAGGAACATTATCTGCCAGGGCTTGAAGCGATCGCTGGTGTAGAAGAGAAGGCCGTATGCTACCAGTGCGCCCATTATGGTGGCTGTGCCTGTGCCGAGATACCAGATTCCCATGCGAGTTGGTTGTTCTGATTTGTTAGCCTCTAAGTTGTGATGAATTGAAGAATTGAACTGATATTGACTTACCATTTCGCTTGTACCACATTGAAGTGATCAAGATCAGACTAATAGAGATGTTAATTAGAAGTCAGGTAAAGTTTAGACTGTATGATCTCTTACGCTGGCGCAATTGCGCTCTCAAAGCAGCCCAGCAGGACTCTCAGTGTCATTAAGCCACCGAAATTCTTTGCGGTGCAGTTCAGGGTGGTCATTAGTCCCCATAATGTAACTAGAAAATATTAGCTCTTGGTCCTTGCTAAATCGACTATGGATTCTATACCGTTGAACCCTAGGTATTTTGCTGTAGGAAGGCGCTGCATTAGAAATCCAGTCGGAAGTTCGAAGAACAAGTACGTCACATAGAAAGCGAGGGTCAAATCCGAGAAATGATTCGTCTGCATATGCGTATCGCTCAGTAGACCCATAACAGAGGCATAGTTAACTGTGAAACGAATCAGAATTCACTCCTTATCAACCTTCAGGGAGAACACTCACTGAGCACCTTGTCAAGATACTGCAGGTTATAAGCAGCCCACATCAAGGGCATGATCATCCAGTCGATCTTCCGCACCAACGCCTTCTCATCGATTTCTATCGCAACTGAATTATCTCCCTGGTGCAAGAATTCCAGCGCTGCATCTGCTTTCCTGACTTGTATCCCGCCTTTCACATCGATGTCCATGGAATTGTTTGTGACGGAGCCTCGATGCTCCTCCGGGTGTCCCATTTTACTTGCAGTGGAGATTCGATGCTCTGACTATTTCGGTGCTTTGGAGTATATCATGTATGGAATCGATTTGCAATTTCAATTTGAAAAAGTGTGAATTGGAATTATAATTTGAAGAACCAGAAGACCGGGAATCTTCATAGAAATAAAGATTACGAGCTCCGAGTCAACGGTTCAGCATTCTCATCGCATTAAATACGAACGGTAAGATCCCTAGGTAGCATCACTCCTCACAGATTTGCCGACGCCAACGTAACCTTCGACTGATAACACGAGCAGCGATGCCCTATTAAGAAGCTCGAACCCGACTCTTATAGACAACTTGAAGGTGCGGAGGCGCGGGCTGCTCCGCTGATAGTCATGAAACTGCTGAGTCGGGCATGCTGGCGGTGCGAGACGAGGCCATTAATAGGCCACTGATAGTAAATTGTACATCTGAGAGAATCTGTTAAACCTAATAAGGAAGGTGGTGAAGAACCCTGGAGGGGGTATCTGCGGAGTAAAGGCCGTTGAGGGGTTGAGTTAGATAAAGATAAAGGATTAGCCAGCACACGAGGAGAAGAGAAATCAACTTGAAGGAGAGTATAAGTATTTAATCAGAGGAAAAGTATCAGAATTCCTCCGAATGAGATATCACCTGGGCAGTACAGAGTATGGACTAAAGAGGACTGCCCAGGCGGGCTCCAGATGTCTCTAGGCACCTGTGGCAGGGCATTCCAGTGCTTGACATAACCTTGAAAGGTAAAGCTCGAGCAAAGCTAAGCCCACGCTATTTCAGCTTTGAGCTAATGGGAGATTTGATTTGTGTTGTTTATGATCGGATTTATTTCAAGCTCAATTTTGAAGCTCATCATGATGCTCATAGCGATTCGCTATGATCATCTCCCTATTGCGGGAAGCTGCAGCTCGGATGCATTTTATCCCTGTGATGAAGATGCAACTTGGCGATCTGCATTGCATCACAATTGATGTCAAGTTCATCCCTGTCATGATTATCATGCATGGAGTATTCTGCACTCCGTAGCTAGGTGTTCCCTATCCGATTTTCGGATCGGAAGTGTTCAGCAATAAGCAATTACCAATGACCAATGATGCAAGTTCCACAATGAACGACAAATGCGAAAGAATTGACATCAGTTCCGCTCCGCCGAACCGAATGCGGACCCTTTAAATCCCCAGAAACAAGACTTGGCAAAAGAAAGACATAGTCTCCATTGAATTCTACAATCCATGGATTCAATTCCTCTACCAAAAACCAACGTGAGCTACCAAACATACTCGGCACCTCTAACCGGTTCATTGGGACTGCTGACGTCTATTCGGGATCATTTCTTGCCGAATTATCCTTGACACTCAAATCCTGTTATTTAACTGGATGAAAAAGAGGAGTCGGGGATGTACCAACATGTTGATCCCCCGCACCAGGTCAGATGCTCTAATGTGGGGAATTAGAATTCCTACGCGGGGATTCTGGGGATCTTCACATCCTTTTGACTTCTCCCCATGACGCGTGTCGATTCTTGCACATTGGCAGGGCTGAGGATATCTCTCCAGATGTCTTCCCCGCACGAAAGATCAATTTTGAGATTTTTCCGGGGAACGGAGTTCGTGGGCTTTATTTTAGGTGGGGGATCTGATCAGATCAGTGGATTTGGGGACATTGTGGCGGACCTGGCGGTCAGGAATCCTTCTGGAACTATTGCAAATTGTTGACTCAATTATTGAATATCATCAGAGTTCAATGATTTGAAATGATTTGATAATTGTATTGGCACCTGGGTGTGACTGTCATCACAAGGCATGATTGTTGTGGATTCCTTCCGAGGTCGTTCAAAAATCGAAAGTCAGCTTATTATGTGATATCTAGGGCGCTTCAATCTGAGAAAACAAATAGCGATCTGCACTGTGAGATGCCAATTGCTTGGTATATGCTCGCTAGAGCTGTTCTGCGCCAGATTGAGGAAATTTGAAGGCTTTTGAGACGAATTAAGTCGCAAGACTGTTATGTATCAAAGACAATATGAGACTCAAGGTGGATTCAAGAACCTTATTATTATACTAAGATTAAATTGTTAATCTTAACAATATCGAATATCGAATATCGAATATCAAATATCAAATATCAAATATCAAATATCAAATATCAAATATCAAATATCAAATATCAAATATCAAATATCAAATATCAAATACAAAATCAATGAACCATAATTAACTCAAAGTACATACTCTCCGTACTCCGCACCAACATTAGCCTAGATCGATTCCATAAATACCTACCTATAAGCATTAGTCTCAAACGCCACACGCACGCAGGGAAATATGGATCAATAGACCATAAACTTCCATCAATGAGAATGTCCTACACCGAGCCTAAAGAGGAGACGGCCAAGTTTACACCAATAAAGCATCAAACTAGTCCTGTACAAGAGCTTAGTGCAGGGTAACTCTAGAATAAGATGACTCTTTCACACGGGAGCATAGGATGAGCTGCAAGTGCGTATTGGATGAATTCTGCTTTGGCCCCTCGGTAAATAGCTAGCACGGGATAGAGAGGAAACGTGCAAGATTATCCTTTATTCTGCATTTCAGCTCATTATGAGTTTCAATGCCAGAGTGTCCTGGAACATCATAATCTCATTCGGACTCGGAGTACTCCGTATATGAGACGCATATCTGGATCGATCTGATACAGGACTAAATGGGGCTTAACACGGGCCGAATCCGAGATTACCCACAGCACATGTGTATATGTGCAATACAAATTAATAATGAACAAGGCTCTTCATGTTTCCATCTACATGTAGTGGACACTGGTAGTATCAGACTTTACGGTGTAGAGAGTTGTGAAGAGATTTTCAGCTAGGTGGATCGAATACTGAAGCTAATGTACATGCTAAAGGTAGATGTTCCACTGACTTGCGTGTCTGCATCTCATAACTCCGAAAACTCATTTTTACTATTTATTATTTTGTTGAGGATTGTTCCCACATTGCAAAGTTCAAAATAGCCCCCAATGTCCACATTAAAGCTTGGAAGATGAGCATCTCATTGTTTTGCTGATCCAGCTTTCCCCGCCAAGAAGTATCATTTAGGCACAATTTCACAATTTCACCGGACAGATGGCCTGTCATGGCTTAGCGTACGTGATCAAAGAGTGACACGGCCGACGTCGCGCCCCTAAAGTTTATCAGGAATTCTGGGGCTTGGAGTATGATGACCACTGTTTGATACTTTCTGCCGTGTTGCTTGAAACGTGTGTAGGAAAGACTGAAGACATTTGGATGATTCACCCGAGAACGGGACGTTGAGTTCTCCACGCGATGACGGGATCTGTCATTGATTCTTTGGTCGATCAACCTGTCATTAGTACGGAGTGTTAATCATTGTATAACCCGACTCAAAAAGGGGCATGTGGTAAGTCCGAGTCAGAGTTGTGGAGGTGGTGGATTGGTGGATTTGGGATAATTGGTGCTTATTGGTGCCGAGGTTAGCTTATTAGCCGGGGATTTCGGATCTGTATAATGATTTATTAGTGATTATTAATGAGGAATAGGATCAACAAGCATGAATTTGCCCCCAGAAAATCAGAAAATTAGAAAAAAAAACTTGGATTTCTCTTTTTTTTTTTCTTTTTTTTGCCACGTTTGGGGTCCCCAACATCCGCGTGTTTCCGGAGAAGAGTTCACTTGCGAATCAGATTTTCCATATACATAGAAGAATACTGAATCGCATGATAATTGAATCCATGGTCGACTCATGCCAAAAAAGAAAAGAAAAAGAAAAAGAAAAAAGAAAGAAAAAGCAAAGACCCTGGACCAATGGGACCCACTTGCTCCAATTGATGAAATTTATCATCAAAATAATCCACTTGATGTCCACTTGATGCCCACATCATAACCTATTCATTAGTGTGAAATGCGAGCCACAATGACACTAGATATACTAGTGCGACATGGGATGTACATCGTACAATGACTCCTCTTCTCCTCTCTCCTCTATTTTGTACAAGAAACAGGGGGTAAGTAATCTCACCTGATATTGGAGGAGAAAAAGTTGGAGTTCACTTCTCTTACCCAATAATGACTCTGTTCCCCAGATCCTTTGAATGAATCCCCCCCACATTCAGTAAAATCCAGTCGCAGTTCTGCTCAAGTTCCGTTCCCTGTTCGTATGCGCCTCCACGGGTCATTCTCCACTGCTGCGGATGGCGGATTCGGCACACGTTCTAGATGAAGCAACGCAGCGCACACACCTCCTGGGGTCCCTTGTAGGAAAATGGAGCTCATAAAGATCCAAATTCAAAAGTACTGACCCCTCATATCTCATATAACCTTGCAGATTCATATATGAGAGATGATGACCTCGCATTTGTTTGAATTTGAGAGTTCCATTCTGTTTCACCACTTTTTCCCCAAAGGATTTCCTTTCAAGTCCCACTTTTTTTCCACGCTGGAACTTCCCAATTAACCTCTGTTAGTGCCGGTGGAACTCCTGCTGCACATCATTGCGATTTATTGAACCAGCGACAGCAACAAGCGGGTAAGTTGGTTACGATCTCCACTTTTCTTTTGTCCTCCGTTCGTCCCCAAGTCCTCAACGGCCCAAATAATTATTTTTTTTTTCTTGGTTTGAGTGGCTTTGGCTTTCGGAACAGCGGTTCATGGTCCCTGGGAAGATGTCTTAGCGTTGTTCTCAGCCGAGAGCTCGAGGCTCGAGGGAAAAGGGAAGGTATAATAGCTTCGGTTGCTCCTCCCTCTCATCCTTTCTTCATCTTCATCCTCCAGCAGTGCTGATTGGGCTAGTTTGATCATTGTTCACCTTTTTTTTCTTATTTGATTCTCCTTTTCGTGTAACTGTGTTACTCTTATCCAGCGAGCTGGGTAGTTTTCTCATTCACCTTTCTAAATAATTACCTTTTTCTTTCCAGAATCCCAGTGATTCAACATGTCGACTGAAGCTGAAACAAGCAACAACGGTGCCTTGGAGAAGGATGTTGGTGGCATTGCGCCCCAGCAATCCGCCGACACTGCCCCCGATGTCACCCAGATGTCAGCTCACGAGCATGAAGTCGCCCGCGCCGCTGCACGCTTCGGATACGGACCTTTGGCTCACGTCAACACTACCGATGCGACCCTCCGTCCCTTCGGTGGTGAGTTCCAGCCTGGTCTGTACAAGCCGGTAACAGACCGCAAGTTCGGTAACCCTGCGCCTTTGGGTCTGTCTGCTTTCGCTCTCACCACTTTCGTGCTGAGCGCTATTAACATGAACGCTGCCAATATCACTGAGCCCAATATCGTTGTCGCATTGGCTTTTGGTTATGGTGGTCTGGTGCAGCTGTTGGCTGGCATGTGGTATGTTTTGTCGAAATGATCCTTCGTAAATAAGTCGTCGCTAATCCTGTTATAGGGAAATGGCCGTTGGTAACACTTTCGGTGCTACTGCTCTGTCTTCGTATGGTGGTTTCTGGTTGTCCTTCGCTATCGTCCTCACTCCCGGTGGATTCGACATCGCCGAGAGTTTGGGTGGTGCATCATCCCCAGAGTTCAATTACTCCTTCGGATTGTTCCTCATGGTATGTCTTACCCCTACCCCACACATGCTGTAAGTTTCAGCAATTGACTCAATTCTTCCAGGGCTGGTTCATCTTCACCACCGTCCTGCTCTTCTGCACCCTCAAATCGACCGTCGCTTTCTTCCTGCTCTTCTTCTTCTTGGACCTTACCTTCCTCCTGCTCGGTATCGCTTACCTGCAGGGTGGTGGTACTGCTGCCAACCCCAAGATTGCTAAGGCTGGTGGTTTCTTTGGTCTCCTGGCTGCTTTCGCTGCCTGGTACAACGCTCTCGCCGGTATCGCCGATACTAGCAACAGCTTCTTCATCCTTCCCGTCATCCACTTCCCTTGGTCTGCCACTGGTCGCAGCCGCCGTGAGAAGAGCAAGCGGGAGCTGGCGTAAACACGTCTTCGCTTCTTGTATATCATAGTTCATGAGAAGATGAGAGAGGGATAAAGTTGTGTTTTTCAACCGCTAGTAATGTTTTTTGATACCCTCACTGTTCCCACTGGTTGCGGTTAAGGAGGATCTTTGTCTTTCATTTCAATTTGAAACTGCGCGCGGGCATTGGACTTGAGGTCCTGTTGACACGTTGACTCGTTGTTGATAACATTTCAATGTGTTATGCTTTGTTTCGGAAAGATATCGTTGGGCTGGTTCGTCTTGACTGCGACTGGTGACTGCGCGTTCCATTTGTATTTGGATTTATCGATCGTCGAATCGGGATCTGATGGTCGTGCAGTGGAACATATGATGACCATGCTGGCTGGAGGCTTGCAATCTCTCAGCGGAGTGGTCTGAATAATGGAGGACCGTATTTGGTCCTCTTTGTTTCTGTTTTTTATATTTCCTTGTGTCTGTGGATCCACATTTAGTTAATAATGCATGCTATGTTATGATCATATGATATCTTCGAGAGCTTGACGTACTTGGATGTTGTAAAATAATGAGACTTGTGAGGCTCAACATGAGGCTGTGTCTCCCAGTGGAGTGTTCCAATCATGTAGCGGACCACCAATGATAAACAACAGACCTTGTCATATGATCAGTTCAACTGATGAAGCGGCTCGTATTCTCCTCGCCGTGGTGTTGAGAGTGTGTCACGCTGGGCCATTTCAAGCTCATGGTAGTACACCTCAATGCAAAATAGCCACGTAGTATCCCAAGATTCATTCGCAATGACAACCCAGCAGAAGTAGCAGCCTATTCCCGAGGTCTGTTTGTTGCATGCCAATCGCATGAGATCCCTAATTGATTAGTTCATTGAGCTGTAGATAAGAATTGATTAGTTCGATCTCAGAGCAAGCCAGAGATCCCCAAGATCGCATTGATCCAATATCAAGACTTTCTCCCAAGTAGACAAAAGTCAAGGGCACTTGCAGGACAAGGAAAAAGGAGTGACTCTGAATTTGCAAAGAAGCTCGGCCAGAGGCTTAGTATGAAGTCCAACACGGCCCGGAGTTATCTATACCCCCCAGGTCAACGCCATCCGTGTTTGCGGACAAGTCAGGGACCAGCGAGTGGGGAAGTCGGGGTATTAGTAGTTTAATTCTTACCCTTTCCCTCTTTCATTCTTTATTGAATGGGGTTATTAGATCTTTTTTATCTTTGTGCTTGGCGTAGAGGTTTTTTTTTGGCGGAATTGCCGAGTTGTTCGGCATTTCCTTCAAGGTTTCAATGTTGGGAGTATTCCGTAGTCAAGAATCAAGATCTTGCTAGGGATGACTGTGGAGCGGTGAGTGATTTTGGGGTAAGTGAGTATTTATGGAATGGATTTCATGGTCAAGATTGATTTTGATCTCATGATGAATTTGATTAAATATTTTGAGATGAAAAGATGAAAGGATTTGAACAGGATGGAGGATTTCTTTCATACTCTAGTCTAGAAGTCCCGCTATTCCGGGTGAAACTCGGTATGAATTCGGGATATGTACTCGGGCTCCATAATTTGGTGGAGTACACGGCTTGTTTACTCCATTTCTTACAGCTGTCAGGGTCTTGGATTTTCTGTCAGAAGCCAGGGGGTTTTGCGTTCTTTTAAGTCAGTAGGCATTCCAATGATTTAAAGATTGGCTTTTGATACTTGAATTTTATGAGAGAATTACAGAACCAAGTGTGAACCACCCACGTCCTGTCCACTTGTCCAGGTGCCAGTGGACATACTGCATAAGCTCTAACTTGAAGGCATTTTCTCGGAGTGGAGCCAGCGTCACGGAAACAACTCGGCTCTTCCGTGGTCTTACGACCTTGAAAGATTCTACTCCAAAAATAGCTACTACATAGCTGCCAGTGTGGATCAGTCCATAGCTCTATAGTCCAAAGCCATTTGGAAAGCTCCGAGTCGACCCGAGTGCAGGGAAATCAGATTACAAGAGGTGTGATTTTATTCTGCTCTCAATTATATACGTATGCTGTATAGACAAGAGATTTTTTGGATACAAATATGGGTGATTCAATCACGCACTGACAGGTGATACCTCCGCCTGCATCTGGACCTCCTGCCAGATCTGTCGAAGCATAGGGAGGTGTACACGATCAGCGTAGAAAAATCCCAAAAGGATACCTCGACATTCCTGCCAAGTTGTAACGCCGTGCAGGCGGGTGGCTGTCGCTAGCTCCGTTACGAAATATGTGCGTTCCGCAGGCATAACCTGACTGCATGCTGCGCCAATAAAAAGAAGCCAGATCAGTAGGTCCCGACAGAGCGCGAAGAGGCCGGTTGGGATCGTCGCTTCTAGAGCGGTGCGAAGGGCGAGGATGGGTTTCGGGAGTAGCGGTGCAATCATGGGGTAGAAGCTCCAGATTGCGCTGTTGTGGAAACAGAGACAGGCTAGACGAGAGCAGCCTTCGATGGAATTGTCGCCTTTCACTTGGCCGGTTGGTAGGTACCGATCTGTGTGGAGGGAATACTCGACTGAAAGGACCTCGAAATTGAAGTAATCTTCGGTTTCCTCGCTGAAGTCTTTGAAACCGCTTCCACCCTTGATCCATTCTGCGTACCAGGAGAGTTCGAGGAGGTCATATATGATTTTGGTCAGGGATTCACTGAATATACCGGGGATTTTCATCAAAGGGATCAGGCGACTCGCTGTCAAGGCGACATCGTCTGTAGGTGGGTAAAGAGAGAACCCTGCAGGGCGAGTAGATCGGACGAATGGAAAAATGGGTTTTGTCATTGCCATGCAGGCAACACGAATATCAGTCCTGTGTCTATTTTAGTAATGTATTCTCTAGCTGTTGAAGTATAAGAAGTATAACGACAGACCATGATATTTGGAAGCGGACATCAGAGGGAACATCAGCGAAGTTCTTACGAAGTCCTATCATCTGTCGCAAACCAGCCAAATGAATTTTCAGATAGTCCGGATTTCCTGATGCAATCTGATGTATTGTGAGTAATCGTGTTCATTTAGGAGCAAAAGAAAATTCACACACCTCGATCGTCAATAATGTCGATACAGCAGCGATCAACTCATCGCTAGCAGCTTTGATAGGATCTGACAAGCCCTGGTTGACCAAACGGATAGTCTCGCCCCGGTGATGAAATGTATCAACCACAAGCGCGGAGTGCGGTTGGTTTGGATCTCTGACCGGTAGTTCACCTCTTCGCATCGCCGCATTTGAAGTTGACATACAAATAACCGCATGTAGAACAGTTGGATCGCGCTGGATCAAAGCAGCCCAATGTGCCTGTAGCTTATGTTTATACCGAGTTTGTAATGGATGTGCCTCTTGCGTCAAATCCCAAAGAACTAACCAAGAAGTTAGCCTACTTTGTCCAATTAGAATTTCAATGTTCAACCTTGAAAAGATCCAAACTGACAGTTTTGTAAATGCCGCATCATGCGATCTGTAAGTTGCGTATGACCAGTATTAAAAGGATCATGAGCACCCGGTCCAACATATGTCCATATAGGTGGTGCCGCCGGTCTACTCTGATAACCCACTTCACCATCGAACCCAGTATCATCCCAAGCGTCAGCCGAGACAGGAGGATAATAATAGCTCGATGTATGAGTTACAGGAATCAATTCCTTAGTTTCATTATCATCAAATGCGTAGGAAACCCTACGACTCTCATTCGAGGCGGTAGTCGAAGAAGACGCCGAGGATGGCGGGGCGGGAGGTCTCGGCGGTCCCACGCCTCCAGGGATGTGCTCCGGCTGAAAAGGCAGATGTTTCCATGTTTTGCTCTTATATCGTTTTGTATTTTCGAGTCTTTTCTTCCGATTATGTTCCGACATCACATGCGAACGAATTCGCTTTAATGTCTCTTCTTTTGTTCCCGCTGCTGCGGTCTCAGGATCTGTATTCACCCAGAACAACGTCGACTTGCCCGTTGTGTTAGCAGCCTTGCGAGGCTTGCGGACCTTGGTAGATCCATTGCGTTCAGTTCCAGCAGTGGATTTTGCCGTTGATGAATGTGAATTAGATGTTGAAATTGAATCTGATACTGATGCCGGTACTGATCCTTGTTGCGCAGTCGTGTTGGCGGGGAGAGATGTCGGGATCAAAGTGGCGGGAATGGGTGCACCAGTATAAGGGTCCGTGTGGGGAGTCGGATCGGTGGCCGGCCATGGTGCCGCAGCCGATGGCCGAGACAGTACGGGGAGAGTATGCTCGTATCCGCGGAAAGGGACTTTTTCATCCATCATTCATACATCAAAGAGAACCTTGGGGACTTGGGGAATCGAGCAAGTGTCCAAAGGAGGAAGAAATGGGGAAAGCGGGATATCTCTCTTTCTATTCCCCGGGACCGGCGGGGTAGAAATTAGATACTCGGGATAGAGTAGAGATTTGTGGTTTTGGTGAAATTCTTCAAGGTTATCATTACAATCCAGAACGAATCATGGGTCCCGCTAAGTCGCTAGTGGGATGCGAGGCTGCGCCCCGTTGCCAGTTGGGGATTTATGCGAGATCTCTTGTCCGAGCTGTACGGAGTACGAAGTACAGGGAAGATCATTCATAGAAATAATATAGGCAAAAAAAAAAGAACAAAGACGTAAAGATAATCAGGGAGAATAACAGAACAATTTGAAAAGAGAAAAGAGAGTAATAATAAGGAAAGGTCTGTTCGCCAACTTAGATTGATACAAGCTATGGGCTAGAAGTTGAACGCCTCTAAGGAAAAAATAGCCACTGGAACCACAACCACGGGAACCATGGGAGCCACTATTCTTCTAATAATAACGGATGGATACTTCATGTGCTGGTACATTTTGGAGTACGAATTATACGCATACTTTGGGGTAGAACACCTTTTTATGCCCCACTCTATGTCCTGCAATAGCCGCTTAAACGATGTCCAGATGTCGGTAGTATATGGATCATCGGGATTTTTTTTTGTCTCGCACTTTTCCCGAGGTTCGTATATACAAATTTTGATATTCGGCGGAACTATTAGGAGTTCGCCTAAGCAAGGTGGATACTAAGAAAAAAACCATAAAGCAAAATCATCGGGATGTACCCATTTCTAATGTTCGTGGCGTCTCACTAATATCTACGGCGCGGCCACACTGCTCGAAGGAGTACTCGCCGGCCTTATAGTGGACGCGCTACCGAGTTCAGATCCAATAAGAGAGTGAATAGAATGCCCAGGTAAGTGGTTGGAAGTGGCTTTAAGTGGTTGTAATTGGTGGGGCTAAGATCCACAGTGTACAGGGTTTCGGACCTCAACGAGTTCTCCATGTACGCCGAGGCTGTATAGTAGTATGACGTTTGAAGTTGAATCTTTCAAGTTGAACTGTATGAATGATCGTATGTGTCAAATTGAACAAATCCGCATTCTACTACAAATGTAAACTTGAGTCTCAGTACTCTTTACCCTCCTCGAAACTTGAATCGGCCCCTTGCATGACGAATCGTGCTGACGAAAATCTCCTTCGCGCCCGACTCTTAACGGCTTGGGCCACTCGGGATCACCCGATAAACCGGTATGAGTCTGCGGACCGGGAATTTATTTCGAATAAGCTGGCTAGGATAACTTCCATACAATTGTAGAGTTCCCCACGTGTGGAGGCAATGGAGGCAATATCACGTCAGATGATGGAATCAGTTCGATTATGAATATCATGTACTTATTGTACCTATTGTATCTATCCCTTCAATGGGATCTTCGAATGGCTGAGCACTGAACGAGGGATGTTTCAGTCATCGCAGATCAATGGAGACATGCAGACACGTACCCCCATCGGGCAACGGCAGGAGCTCATGTGGGACATGGGGCCAATATGACAAGGATGAGGGAGAAAATTGTGGAGTACAATGAGAATGGAAGAAGATAGAGCCACATAATGCAATGATGGAGAAAGAAAAAAGGAAATGAAAAGAAAAGAAGGGAGGGGGGCAAAAAAAGAAAAAGAAAAAGACCATTTCTTCATCGGTCAATATTCACTAGGTCAAGTTTAGGCCATTCCCGGCCGCGGGAAGATGGGTACCGTCTCCAATTGTTCTAATCCACCCATAGTACCATGCTGTCCGCTTGTTTGCCACCCTTGGCCGGTTTGTTGATTAATAAACTGGCTCTGGCGGAAAGGATTGGTGCTACCTGTGGGGTTTGGCTGCAACGGTTGTAACCCAGCGTTTTGAGGTGGTGGAACTGAAGAGCTCCGAGCAAATGGATTAGTCCCTGTACGCTGGGGCTGAAGTGGTTGTGGTGACTGGGACTGAGGAATCGGTGGCACTTGAGGCATCTGCTCGGGCATGCCGAAGTTTCCTTGAGGCGCAGCCATGGAGAGTCTTTTTGCAAAAGGGTTTGTGTTCTGCCGCTGCAGTGGAGCGATGGGTGCAGTTGCAGACGGCCCTCCGGTGTTTTGACTGACCAACATGGATTGGCGGAAAGGATTTGTCGGTGTGGAGGGTGGCTGCTGCTGGGTTTGCATTGGTTGCTGTTGATATGTGGCAACTCCATTCTGTGGGATCGGAGCTAGCTGATTCTGGTAACCATACTGTTGTGGCTGCGGTGTATATCCTCCGAAGCCAGCACCAGTCGGAGTAGCTTGAAGTGGCTGTGCTGCCGGTTGCCCGAAGGGGTTGCCTGTCGGTTGTTGTTGCATTCCCGCGTACATGTCATGTTGGCCATAGCCTGTCATCTGAGGCTGCTGTTGTACCTGTTGTTGTACCTGCTGCTGCTGGGGGAATCCGGTCTGCTGGGCATAAAATGCCTGCTGCGGTTGCGATTGCTGATATCCCATCTGCTGAGGTTGTTGGAATCCGGTCTGCTGGAATAGCGCAGGCGCTTGTGGGTTCATCTGCTGCTGATTCGTCTCAATTGAGTCGAAGAAGTCAATAAGATCGACGGGTGGTGCCTTCTGCTGTTCGGGCTGTCTGGGTGGGTTTGGCATCGAGTTCGTCTGACTAGCTGCAAGGATAGATGATGATGCAGGTGCAGGTGCAGGTGCAGCACCACCGTCCTTCTTGATTCCTTTCCCAATCATATATTCTCGTCGGCGGAGATCAAAGTCGGGATCATTCAAATCATCCTCAAGGAGCCGGGTAAGGTCTGTAGATGCATGTTTGAGCTTGGGGATTTCCAATCGAGTGGCAGACTGGAAGTGTCTTGCGACTCCCAGAAACTGAACCACCTCTTCCGTCTGCTTGGTGAACATTTTGTAGATTGCTAAGGCACGCTCACTATCCGGCCTTGACATTTCAAAATAGTGTTCTGTTCAAAGTTGATTAGACATCCGAATGAGAGAACTGACAAAGGAATGACTTACCCAATACGTTGATTGTACCCTCATTCATAACCGAATACAGTGTCAGGAGATCCAGGGTGAGGAGACGGAATGCCGTTAAGCTAATTTCATTCTCAGGCTCATCGGTCAAAAGCTATGTCGGAGGTTAGTTTGCAAAGGGCCAATATCTCTATTGAAGAAAATATCACGTACATCACAACGCAGCAATGCCCGAATCTGCTTCTGCACAAATTCCGTTTCGCGAAGGAGACCCTTGTCCACACTTAATCGCTTCAAACGTCCAGGTCCGCTTCGCACATAGTCTGTATTCGTGGCTTCGAACGCCTTGGCGCGCGTAATCAGGTACTCGGCATACCTCCGGATATTATGTCCCTGTGATTGCGCTGTATCCCTTGTCAATACACGATTATCTTCTGTAAGGACCGCAGGAACCATCGTGGGTCTTACCTTCCGAGAAATTACTAGGTGCAATCTTCTTTGGGTTGTCGGAAAGGAACGTTAGTGCAGCATCCTGTTGGCCTTCTCGGATCATAAGGTGAACGATGATGAGGGCTTTGAACACAATGGTCCATGCTGAATCGCGAAGACGATGCTGGAGGGTTCGGAAAACCTCTGCGACTCCAGCGTCGCCGGTATGGGTCGCCACAAGGATGGTTTCGACATATTTAGATTTTGGGGCCGCAAGCTATGAGTAAATAGATATCAGTATTGGTACCAATCTCAATTGATAGATCGACCGCACGAACCTTAAGCTTGGTGGCCCCTTTGACGGCCTTCTCAAAGTTGGTCATTGTTCTCCGGGGTTGCCGATCACTATCTGGTCCCTCGGGCAGTCAATTGCGCGTGATCGATTCTATAGAGCTGTGAGTTCCGTGAAGATAGATACTGAAGAACCCGCTTCAGAAGTAACTGTCGTGTTGAGAGTCGTGTGGATCCTCAATCATCACCGATATCGCGGGAGGGGGGTTGGCTCATTGGGCCATCGCGGGAGCCTTAGAGCAAGAATGACGACGCTTTCCAGGAGAAACCAGAGTGGACAAAACCACAGCAGGTTGCGCACTGGTGGGAATTATGTAAGGATAAAGATATGAACGAGGACAAACGGTGGGCAGTTTCACTTCCAACCTTGAATGAGATTAAAAGCGGGAGACTTGTTCGGGCGTGGGAGTTCCAAGGTTGTCAAATAGCTTGGTGGCGGCCCAATGGGGTCTAGCGTGATTGGCAAGCACGAGTGATCGTCGCGAAGTATACAGATAGTCCAATGTCCACGTTAATCAGTTACTTCAAATTCAAGTTTAAATATATTAGTCAAATATCATATTTCAAGGGCTTCATTAATCCATACCATCCATGCTGCAATTTTACTACTAGGGTTGGACTTGAACCTCCGGTGTCGAGATCATGCACAGTCATGGTTCCAACGTTGGATATATATACTTCAGCCGAATCGGACTCGAAGTCTTACTTCACACTAGGTATGTAGTTCTACTAGGTAGTTCTAGTAGAACTTGTAAAAGTAGTAGTCTCATTATGATTTGAACATCAATTGAACTTGAACTTTGGTAAATTTGAATAGATGGACTCCAGTCCTGAAGGACTTAGATGTATCTAGGTATTATGATATCAACTTTAGTCTTCTAACCTTGGAAGCCTTGGGTGAAAGTTGGAACTCGAACTTTCCAACATGGAACATTTGAAGGTTTTGAACACTGGTCATACATTCATTCAAATTTCATTGATCTTCAAGTTTCATAACGAATGTCAAGTTCCAGTACTTGTAACTTTAACATTTGAACGTGAAGCTCCAACTAAGGTTGACCCATTATTGACTCCGAATCTCTCACCTAACATCCATACCAGTTCGGGCTTCTTCATTCTCCCTTCTCCTTTCTACTCGCACCACTACATCTCCCATCTTCTGAAGGTTCAGATCCAAATTCAACGACTCGATATCGAGATATTCTTTCAATACCTCACCTTCTATTCCCTCCACGCCATCAGAAACATCCTGGAGAGCTCATTTTTTGAGAATCAATAAATTGAATGATTGAACTGAGCCGCCATGGCTAAGAAGTTCACCCGGAAGGGACCCTCGCTGAAGTGGAATTTTGTCATGAGGGAAGTCCTGTGCTGCCTGTTTCTTTTTTTTGATCACGAGAAAAAGAAATTTCCCGAGATATTTACTGAAATCTTTGGAGACGAGATCCGTAACCAAGGGATTGATCCGCAAGAGAAGGTGACTCAAAAGGTCCTCTATACCCAGTGGTACTGGATGCAGCGGGAGACACATGCAATATGGAATCATGTGCATAAAAAAACAAAGTTTCGGGGTGAGGAATTTAACGGACTCATTGAAAAGATTGAGGCCGCTGCAGAACGCCTGGGGCTTTCCATGGAAAGGACCAAAGATGACACAGATCAGTCAGAGCCCGGGGGCCTCTTGGTGAGAGATATTTGTGACACTGAATTTTCAAACTGGAACTGATTTCATTTCTCAAATGATAGAATGTTGGACGTGGAGATCGAGCCCTAACAACCCCAGAGCAGCTCTCGGATTGGCAAAACAATGATCTACGTGTGCGCCAAATGCCCACTCCGTCTACTTTGGATAGCTATGCCCAAACGCATCCAGAAGATGAAGAGGATATGATGCATACCAAGGAGTTTGAACCCATCGTCAACGGCTGCGGGAAGAGATGTTTTTGGTGTTTTAAGGAGGAACTTGAAAGAGATAGTTCAAAGCCGGAAGAAATGGATGTCCTTCACGAAGCAGACCGAAACGCACACAACAAATCCGGCATTGGACACTTCTGGCAAGAGCCCACTGGAAATGGGCAGCAAGAGATGGGACCAGAGGAAGCTCCACTCATTGAGTTTCGAAAAATTCCTGGAAGATGCCCACCATACCAAATGCCAGCTGTCTTGTTCAGATGGTATAACGTTGACTCACAGGGAATTAATGCAGAGGACCTCCTTTTGGGAGGTCTCTTTACAGACCCCAAAGTTGACTTGGAGGTGGATCACCTTCCAAAGCACGAATTCTTAGAAATGTTTGAGAACCATGTTTCAAAGGCAAAATGCCCATCGCCATTCATTTCGACCTTTCTTCACCCACTCAGCCCAATACACCGGGCAATTCGTAAACAAAAACAGGCCAGAGTGACGATGATTGATACATCGAAGCTCGGAGCCGATGCGGTTGTCATCAAAGCATCAACTCTTGTCCCCATAACAAACACTCGAACTCGAAAATGGAGGGGATTCGGCGAGTACCTGATCTGGAAGGAAGTTCCGCGGGATGCCATTCTGGGTACTTTCAAAATAACCAGATTGGAACAGATAGCGATGGACTGGGTAGGTATTGGGGGCTTCCTCCAACTGGATAAGTTAAGAAACACAAGGTTCAGTGATCCTACCCTGTACCGTGAAATTGCTGATAATTTGGTTTCAATGTCTGTCGAGGAGTTGGATGACGCGTTGGAAAATCTGATGATACTTCTTGAGGTGCCACATGAGTTCAAGGAGGCCGTCAAACAGAGCTTCAAGAAATCTTGGACATCGATGGGGCAGCTCGGAGGAACTACAGAGGAGCAGGGTCTAGGCCCTCAAAGTTTCCAACATGGATTTATTGGGGTAGCAGACGATAGTTCTGAAGATGGAGAGACATATCCATTTGCAGAGACCAATGACCTAGGAACGAATGACGAGGGCCCTCAACATCCACGGCAGGAAGGCGATCGTCCTTATATAGGACAGGCTGAGCCAGAGATACCCTATGAGCCCACTCATCATGGTAGTGTTAGCAGCTCTGATACCAGCGAAGAAAGCGAGCCTTACGCGGATAGCGAGGAAGCAGAACGCTGCCCCCCGAGTCGTTATGATACCCCCAGCCCGGAGTTCTCAACACATGATGATGACGACGAAGATGATGATCTCCATGACAAAAATGATGATCCCCCGGAGGCGACGATGGAAGGTATGACCATTGAAATTTTTAGCCCAGGCCCGTCAACCCAAGGGCGATGGGTGCTCTCGCCTGTTCCAAACAACTTTTATCGACCTGATGGAGAATCAGACTCGAACGTGGCATGAATGCCAGTCTGCCGCAATTCAACTACGACGGATGGGTGTGAAGGGAAGACAGATCGTAGGACATGCTGGGATGAAGGTAAGAAAAGAAAGCACTGATATTAGGTCAAAATTGCTGTCTACGATCCAAGCAACAGTGTTTCAGATTTCTCAAGGGTGGTGATACCAAGCATGCAGAAAAATGGAAATATCAATTCCTCATTTTATATCAAATCACAGCTTAAGTGTAGGACCTCGGAAAAATTAAACATGTAGCATCAAGAAAAGATCCGCCCTAGGGTATCATTGCCTAGGACGGACGTACGAATTTCCATGGCAGGAGGATGGATGAAATATTTTTGCTTTTTGTGTGCATACACATTCTTCAGCAAGGTATCTGGGACATGGAAACTCGTAAACTATCCCGAACCCCGTCCAAGAAATCCCTATACTATCAAGTTCAAACCGCTTCCTTCGCCGTTATTGTCCATTCCGAGCACCCAGTTTTATCCAAACGCTTAGAACTTGCTGAAAGACTTGACAGCCTTTCCGGTGCGGGGCAGAACACGCAGAACGTTGAAGCGGACCTATAAAAATGAAAATTAGATACCAATCAAACCAATTGTAGACATGAAGGGCATAGTGTGGAGATCGGAATCATGAATTCCTTCAAAATAAAATAAATGATATCCGCCACCACACTGGTCCGGTCTAACTTCATCATCTCGGGGGCGTAGAAACATACAGTCTTGGAGAGGGGACGGCACTGGCCAACAGTGACCCAGTCACCCTCCTCAACACGGAAAGCGGGGGAGACGTGAGCAGCCAGGTTCTTGTGGCGCTTCTCGTAACGGTTGTACTTGGGGGTGAACTTGAGGTACTCGCGGCGGATGACAATGGTGCGGTGCATCTTGGTGGAGACGACACGGCCGGTCAGGATACGACCACGGATGGAGACGAGACCGGTGAAGGGGCACTTCTTGTCTGTAGGAAATTGTTAGCCATACATATTGATTCTGGCCCGGCTGGTAGATCATTTTTTTGTGGAGAGAGATTTGGTCTTTTTCGAGGTTGGAGATGGAGAGTTTTCGATGCGATTGAAGGTCGTGAGCGCAAAGTGTAGCAATTGATAATTGTCGCGTGTTCAATTTGTATCGCACGACTTCAAACCGACTGTTTCCCGAAATTTCTTAATTCCGGTTCCACCTTTCAACCGATCTGTATTCCCCATCCCCTTCCTCGAATAAAAGACCAAAAATCTCCGTAAATATCGTCCGGGAGTAGAATTCGCAAGTCGTGCATACCGATGTAGTTGCCCTCGATGGCGGTCTGGGGGGGTACGGAAACCAAGACCGACCTCCTTGTACCAGCGGCGGGTCTGACCAGCCTTCTTGGACTTGGCCTTGCTCTTGGAGTTGAGGAAGATGTGAGGCTGCTTCTGGAAAGCGCGCTCGGACTGGACGTTCAACTCGGTGGCCATGGTTGCGGTATTTCCTGTCGACGGAGGAAGCGGGTGTCGAAGAGATTGGCGGGTTAGACGTCGAGAATCAGAAAGGTTCGCTAAAGGCAAAAGGGCCGGAGATGTGATTATTCGTGTGTGTGACCGCTAGTCCAAATTGGGATTAGCGTCTGGCGGGTTAGGGCTTGACCTTTACATAATCAATTAGATAAGCCCTTATCAGGTCTTTGTTTATAGTCACGTGGTTGAAACAACGCGCCTCGGCGTGTTTGGACTACATGATCAAGAGGGGAATGCGATTGTTGTTTGAGCTACTTTTGGCCAGTGTATCTTCCGCCCCTCACCATTGAATTCAGCAATGCTAAGGTGATTGCCTTTTGGGCCTTCCGACGTAATGTCTTCTCGATCCGATGCTGGCGCAACGCGCCCACGATCTCGTCGTTCTATTGCCCATGTTCCACGATCAAAGATGACGTCTGGACTGGATAAAGAGAATGCGACAGCAGATATTGGGGCTGCGCCACTATTTGGTGCCGCTTCAAAGTCTTCAACCAAGGACAAGAAGTCCCGAAGTAAAAGTCTAGGTCCTGGTGGCCTGGATGCTCTGCAGAATTCAAATGGCAACCGTCGCAAGGTAGGTTTGGAGCTGGAATTTGCCTGTTTGTTCTTTGTCACGAGGACATAAATTTACAATCCATTTTAGTCAACGGCTGCCTTTCCTCTCAAATCAATCCTGAAACCCACTGTCCCCGTTTCTCCGGTGCGCAACATCCCGTCCTTCGAGGAAACTCGTCGCCGTACTCCAGCTCGTGATGCGACAAAGCAGAAGGACAACAGCGATACCACTAACCAAGAAGGTCATCTGGTCAACTTTGAAACCCCACGACAACCCGCAATGTCAGGATCAGAGGATACGTTGAACCCTTTTGACACATTCAACGCCACCTCGGCGATCCGGGACGAGATGGCGGCGACTAAAGAACGAGATGATCGAGAACGCCGAGAACGTGAACGCCAAAACATTCTAGAAAAGCGAGAGGCACGTCGGAAGTCTATGGGTTTGTGACGTCCTTCTATTTCAACATCAGAACAAATTACTAAATGTTTCATTTGAACAGCCAACCGCCGCGTTTCGTTTGCCCCAGAAGCTACTCTACATACCTGGAACGTTGTAGAAATCCCCGACGATTCCACGTCATCATCAGCAGCGAACTCGACAAGGCGTGCATCTAGCACCAACCCTCAGAACCAGCCATCGGCACCCTCCCCAGAGAAAGACGCCCCCTCGTCACCCGATGGCGATGCCGAATCTGACTTCGGGTTCTCGCCAGTTAAACAGCAAGACCTCGAACGTATGAGGGGTCAACCTGCATCTGCCGGCGAAACCGAAGGGCCGGCAGACTTGTCATCTAGTCCTTTCAGTGGGAGCTCGGTTTCTGGAAGTGAAGATAACAGAGCTCATGGTTCAATTGGCGACGAGGAAGAAGGCGATCACTCTTCCGAGTCTGATGATGGATTCGATGTTGAAAGCACGGCTATGAGCCTTGATGATGTTACGTCACGTTCTAATGCAACTATGCAATCGGACGCAACTTCTAGCTCTAGCTCAAGTGCAAAGCTCAATCAGGCGCTGCGCCAAGCTGCCAAAGAAGCTGGGACCCAGCTAGTTGATGATGACAATGAGGATGTCTCAATGGAGATTGCAGATGACGAGATTACAGGTGCTTTCAAGCCTTGGATCAAAAAGGGTCAAAGCTTTGATTGGGACGACGACATCAGTGATCGAATTAACCAGGAGAATCTTGATCCTTCGAGAGGTCAACCATCTGATGTTGATGCCCAGTCAGATATCTATGATGAAGACGAAGAACTCAGCATGGATGTAACGAATGCTATTGGACGAATTTTGGGCAACGGACGTCGGCAAAGCACTGTTCCTCGCAGATCCTTAGGCCAGGAGACTAATCACGATGACCAAACCATGGAGATCACTACCATGGTTGGGGGAATTGCACAAGGAGACCCTACGACACTCGAAGATGACGATAACGACGATGAAGAGATGACCATGGAATTCACTGCAGCTGTCGGTGGACTTTTGAACAGACCGTCCTACCCGCCTGTAGCAAATGCTGAACAGCCTGTTTCGTCTACTCCAAAGTCAGATCGCATGAATATGGATGACAATGAATCCGACGGAGGCATGGATATGGAGATGACAGGCGCTGTTGGTGGCATTCTACCGCAGTCCCGAGACAAGAGTCAAGCGAAGGTGCTTATGGAACTTGAGACTGAGTCGGGGCAACTTGGAAGCTCGCCGTTCCAAGACAACGTACGTCTTTCACCAGCAAAGTCACCAGCAAAGTCTCCCGCGAAGTCTCCACTCTCGCACATGACCGCCGTGGCCTCTGAGACGGGGAGTCCAAGTCTTGCAAGTGTTCGCGCTCGGCCATCTCGGCGAAGCTCTATTGCGGCTGCGTCAAGTACGCCAGGAACTCCAGGATCTGGGACTCGGAATCGTTCGCCATCCAAGAAACCCTTGACTCCTCCTAAGCAATCTACACCTCAAGCAAAACCTACCACACCGAGTAAAACACCCCCCTCTGCCAATGTGAGCTTTCGAAGTGCCTCCCCCAAGAAGCTGTTCCAGCCTGAGCTTCAACAGTCAGCAGACAGACGTATGTCGCTTCGTCGAAGTATATTCGAACAGAATGCATCTACTGAACAATCAACCCCTCGCATCGTTTTACAACCTCGTGAGGCTCGGCGATCTTCTGGACTTGGAATCGACAAGGAGGGCCTCGGTTCTCCTCGCGTGGCTGCTATCTTAGACAGGCGTCCATCTCTCGGCGAGAATACACCACAATTCGTACCCCAAGAACATGCGCGTGGCGGCGTGCGCTTCGAGGATCCCCTTAAAATGCAGGCCGATGAGGATCGAGATCGGGAGCAGGAAGAATTGAGAGAGGACGGTCACATACCCGCACTACAAGCTACAGATGGCGATGTTACCTCAAACCTAAGAGATATGATCTCTAGCCTAAGCCCTAAGAAGAAGATTGGCAACCGAAAAAGTCTTCATGTTGGTGCAGCTCGCGGCATACTGGGCAAGCGCCCGCTTGAGCTTGATCTTGATGAAGAGGAGGCAGAAAGTTCACCTGACCCCAAGAGATTTCGCGGCCGTGATGTAAGCCCAGTTAAGGGCGTGAAACTACCAGCACCTATGGCCAAGGATGACGGGATTAGTCGCTCTATCCGATCTCCTGTCCGCAGGGCTCGCAGCTCTTCGCCACTTAAAGGAAGTACTACTCCCACTCAAGACAGGCGCACCTCAAAGACAGGCGCGACGCCCTTGAGGGAAGGCATTGACGCCTTGCAACTTGCTTCTGACTCTCAGCAACCTGAGCAGGAAGACAGGGAAGCCTCCGCTCAAGATGAAGAAGAGGTAGAATCAGTGACAGAAGAGGTCGAACCAATTCAGCTCCAAGACTTCCTGAATATGACAAACATTCATTTCATGGAACTGACGACGACGAAGAGGCGACACACAACTGCTCCTGGGAGTGCTACGAAGAGGTTGATCAGACCTTCGGGGGAGAATTTGCCGAAGGCAGGAACGACCACATTTGATGATTGTGTGGCTGCCGGATTCTGCACAGTTCCCATGCTTGAGCTGTACCAGCATTCTTGTCGTGAACTAAAGTCCTACATCTCTGAAGGAAGGCAAGTGATCCGATCTATTGAAGCAGAAACCTACGCCGACAATCCACCTCTTTTCCGGGAGTATGTCACTGCGCCAGTAGACATCCGTGTGATTATGGACAATCAGTTCCGAAACGTCAAGACTCATGCGCGATTGCTCAGCAAAGCGACATGGTATGAATGGCGTATGAAACTCCTTGAGGGTCTCATGCAAGGCCTTCATCGTCATGTGGATGAAATGAAAGCCGATGATGAGCTGTTATCTCAGCGCGAGCAATTGTTGAACACCTATGTTCCATCGCTAGTAGAAAAGCATGCAATGCTGGATGAAGAGGCAAACAATTTGGAGCAATTGGTGCAAGAGATGGAGAATTGTGACCAGAACGAACTCCGGGAGACGCGCCAGAGGTTGTCAGGTGTTGAAGACGAGATCGAAGCCAAAAAGCGAGAGCTTCAACATCTGCAGCATGACTTTCAGGAAAAGACGACCTTAATTGAGGCTGGTACGAAGATACGTGAAGAGTGTCTGAGTCAGATTCAAGAAGCCGAGAAGGTCAAGGAAGAATGCCGAGGGTGGAGTGCTCGAGATATCAGTGATCTCAAGAGTAAGTTCTTTATAGTCCAAGGTATTAAGTTATTTTGTCTAACCAGATAGTAGAATCCGTCCACAGCATCGAGCACCAAACAGGGTGGTCCATCACTTCTGCCACCCAGTCCGCAGAAGAAACCAGTGGACCAAATCTTACCATGTCATACCGAAGTCAACTGCAGATCAAGTTCTATCCTAGCGCATTCGCGACTAAGAACTCGAACGACATCGAAAAGGCGAACCTTCCACTCGAGCTGACCTTTGCCAAGAGCAAAGTGATTTCGCCCATCGCTTCTTTGGTACTCCAGTCCTTGCAAAAGCACCTCGCTACAATTCAACAATCCAAGATTGCACCCAGGCACCTTCTCCGCTTCATCTCAACAGCGTGGGACCGCACCCTCGGTCTTGAAAACGAGGCCCGCATGCTTGAGTTCTGCGGTGTCACTCGTCTCACTCTTTCTGATCCAAAGGCCGACCTCTCCCTCCGAGCGCGCTGTACCCTTCTAGGCAATTCCACTCCCTCATCTATACCAAGTCGCAAAGGTACAGCAGCGAAGACTGGGGAGACGAAGCGAATTGATGTCGACTTTACTGTTCGCACATGCATCAATGTAGACAAGAATGATGACACTCAAAATATCGGTTCCATGGACTTTGATATCGATGTTGTTGCGACTAAAGTCTATGGCTTCGGTTCGCAGAACCAGTCTGGTTTACCTGACAAGGATATGCAGAGTATCCTAGGCAAGGGACTTGATAGTGCGCGGACTGGAGCCCTCGGAAATGGAGTTTGGTGCAAGGCAGTTCAGCAGCTGACTGGATTTGTCTTCTAGTTTGAGGCGATGGTTGTCTTTCTGACTTTCTTTTTTTATTATTTTATTTTTTGTTCTCATGATACCTCGGGTCTCTCAAGGCGCTTGACAGGATGGGAATGTGGGCAAAGGAGTTACTAGTAGCACAATGCTGGGTTTCTTTTTACTTGAATGGGCATCAATGTTTACCATCTCAATGATTATTCTACTTCTATGCCTTTACTTGATCACAAACCTTTGGAAGTCGTAAGAATCCCGTGCAAGTTGATAGACAGTGAAGCTGAGTCGAATCTTACATGGCAGTGTAAAAAAGATCAAATTCGAGTTTTTATTTAATTCAATTTTCCCGTCTTCACAAACTACCCTATATATGCAATATTGTCGCTTTATACCATGAAATGCAAAGACTAAACGATTGAAGGAACATCATGATGCACATGGATGTGGGCAACTCTCCCAAGCCACTACACACACTTCCATGAACCTAGCAAGATGTGCCCGGGGCCAGCAACTTGAAGGAGGTACCGGCATCGCTCAAAACATCCCCATAAACGCATTCGAGAACATCGCCTGTGTGGGATCCATCTCCTGTCCCTCCTGATTTTCATCCTGTCCCTGTCCTCCTTGTGGTGGCGCACCCGACATGAAATTATATCCGAGGGGCTGAGACGCAAACCCCAAGTAACCATTTCCATCATTGCCACCGGGCTGTGCAGTTTCATTATCAAGACCAGACTCTGGTTGTGAAGCGAAAGGTCCGTTTAGGAAAGATTCGGCATTTAGAATAGGCATCAAAGGAGCTTGGAGATTCTCTCCCCGGAAAAGACCTGCCCATGCTAGTTCGTCGCCGAATTGCCAGTCTGCTGTTAAGGGCACTTGCCATGAATCTGGGAACATGGTGTTCCCCGCACCACTGCTGGTTGCGGAAAAGGGACTTTGAATGTTATCGTGTGGGGATGATGTTTGTGTATGGTCTTCGCGGAGTTGCCATGATGGGAATGTGGTTCCTGTTGATGCGTAGTCCGACATGGTGTTCAAGTTTAAGTTTGCTCCGTTTAGATTGCTCAGCCCGAGACCTGTCTGCTGTGTGACTGGAGGTCCTTGGGGAGTGTGCTGGGTCGGAGGCCTTGCGCTGATGGGCGGAGAGAAGTGTTTTGGGTGATCTTCACAGACTGGAACGACGTAGCCGGATGAGTTGATGCGTGGAAATCCTTCTATCGTTTCGGGGAAACCGCTGGCTTCTGCCATGTTTGAAGGAGCGGTAGTTAATGGCGTGGTCTTGGAAGAGGGTGCGGCTGTATGAGAATGATGTGGTGGTCTTGTCGGATAAGACGACGTTGAAGCTGGTTGATTTGCGGAAGATCGACGTTGGTATAATTTCGAGTGAGACGCTGGGACATTTCGAGATGCTTGTCTCTTTGAGCCTGGAATCTTGACCTCGTCGTCTTCATCATCCGAGCTGCGAGGCCTTTTCTCTTCTCTCTCGACAGCTATTCTTGCAATTCGTTCTAACGTCGCAGTCACACGAGCCATGAAGCCTGAGTAGTTCGCTGCCTCATCATTTGACACGAGGGCAGCAAAAAACTTTGCTGCCATGTTTAGTGTCTGGAGATCTTCCTTCACGCTTGCGCTGCGGGTATTCCGAAGAATGCTGGAGAAAAGGGTTGACGATGCCAGGAAGACATAGTATAATAAAGACCTAATGTTGCGGTTAGAAAAAGTAAAACTGCTGAAAGACGCTTTCTCGGAGAACGCAGGCTGATTCCTTACCAGAGCCAGGAGATGTCTCCCCAGGGCATGTTGTTGACCAGTTTAAGTGTATTTCGCGCGGCCATTGCACATATGGCGGATGATTTCGAAGCACGGGCTTTTCTGTAAGACTTCATGTCGTCTGGTTCGTTTTCGCGGGACGCAATTAAAAAGTTCAGGAGAAGGGGCATTCGGTGAATCATTATCAAAGCGTTATAGTAGACGAAATGAAGGGCAATAGATGCAAATCCGAATAAAAAGTCACTTTCGGCGCCTCTTATTGACGGTACGTCGGTAAAGGGGTAGTCCTTTTTCCACGTCTCGAGTTCGGTATGAAGTTCTGACACACTTTTATAGAGCTCTTGAGGTGGCTTCTGCAAAGCCTTGGCGGTATATAATTGACAGTATATCCGACTTTTGATCACGCACATACGGCAAAACTGGCAGAAGAATGGAATGTTGGAAGACACTTCAGGGTCATTGTCATCTTCGGTCTCTTGCGGAAGAGGAACGTCGAAGTCTTCTGGATGTTGAGACGGAGCATTTCCAGCCCTCAAACATGTACTGTTCAATGTTAGTGAGTTGGATATCATATTGTAATAGGCAGAAAGATTAACCTTTGATCAATTACAAATGTAATCCAGAATACGCGTCGTCTTTGCTCTTGCTGAATATGACTTAAATCAGGCCTATTAATATTACGATGGAGTCCCATTCTCTGACAAGACCGCATTGCTGCTGTCATGAATGGCAGGGCAGCCTGTGTGCCAGCATTTCCGCGAAGGAAGAAGCCCTTCAAGATGAGTTAGTAGGGTATACCGGACTAGGATAACAGCGTCCAGAGAGCAGGGGAAAGCATACCATGCAGATCAAAGCCTGAACACTGAGTAAATCAGTGCGCCGTAATGCCAGCTCAGTAAAGACTGATACAGCGTTTTTAAAGTAGAAACGGGCCTTTTCTCGGTCTTTCTCGGGTTTCAGGTTGTTCGAGAACCGGTATTCATAAGCCAGACATATCACCATATTGATGCTGGCCCACAGAGCGGAATCATCACAGGTCTGCTGTGTATACTGCCACTCTACCATTCTCATGAAAGACCCTTCATGGAAGATTGGAAACATACGATTTGTCGTGCGAAAGAAGTCCTTAATAAGCGAAAAGACCTCGGACCTTGGCGGAAGAGGTTTATACACTTGAGAAGCGAAGAGATCATGAAAGACATCCGGCCGCCATGTGTTCCAGGGGCCATCATGAATCGAATCACGAGCTAGAATGCTCAAGAAACCATCATCGCCCGTTTTTCTCTTGATCCAGTCGATTCCACCTCGTGATAAGATGGAAAGAGAACATGATCGTCCTATTCGAATCCATTAGCGTTTAGCGTCACTCGTGATAGGAAGCCATTTCTTGGGGATAGGGACACAAACCAAAATATCGGGAGTCGTCGCTTTCATGAGATTTGAAGATCGGAGTAGCCTCAACATCACCACCCCCGGGAATTGTTCAGCATCATAATATTCCGAGGACTCAGAATGAGTCGATGTTCGACAGGATGATCCTGGGCGTTCATTGGTGTTCCATTGGTCATCAGACGTGTTCCCATCATCGTCGTCTGAGAGTGTATCTTGAGTGATGTCACTTTCATGTAAGATACCAGCCGCAAGAAGCAGAGACTCTACCCTCTCCAGACGAGTTTTTAAAGACTCTATGTACCGATCATTACTGTCATAAGATTTTAGCTTGGTTCAGACCAAAAGGGAATCTCTCTTTGAAAGAGTAGTAAGTACCTTGGCAATTGTTCCTGCTTCTCTTCTTGCGGTGGAACGACATGTTGTTGCTGGGAAGGAAACACACATTTCGTCCTACGGCGAATGCATTGGAGACAGATCATACCAGGACCCTCAACTTCACATCTCGTCTTTTTCCGGTAACACATGTCACAGGCCTAAGACCGGAGTCAGCGAGATTGCCAATATCGCCCAGACAGCGGGTCTTGGTAGCGCGACCTACCTTCTGACTTCTTTTCCGCCCGACCGGTGGCAGCCCGGTTGGACCTGTGGATCCGACGGGGTGCATTTTCTGAGTGGAGTAGAGACTTGAGGTATCGGGGGTTATGCCAACTGAGCGTCGCATTCCGTTGTGCATTTCCCCCGTATTCCGGATCGCAGTTTCATCCGCACAAGGTCATGCCAAGACCTTGATTTTTCTAGTGAAGAGGTTTGATATATAAGGACCTCTCTATTGATTTTTGTCGAAACGGAGAACTCAGAGAGGGTCTCGAATTAATTCCTTTTGTGGTGCATGAAATGATGTTGAGATTGGGTGTGATTTCTAATGGACACGACGTTGGGTCGGATAGTCGGCATCTCCGATTCCCGGATTTTATGTGTGCGTCTGGGGTACCAAGGTGGAACCTCGACCCTGGGCAGTGATAACGTGGGGTGATGATGTACCATTGATGTATATATTCTTTAAAATCGATATCCATGTCTATATTGATTTCGAATTGGTCACTTGAACAAAGAAAATTATCATCTCTCAAGATGTTCGATATACCCCACGGTATCACGTCAACTGGTGGATTTTCGACTCGGAGGTTATGCTCATGCATATTTATTACGATGCATGGCACGGTCCTGCTATAAAATGATCTGCAGATTCAACGGTATCTCAGTCTAATAGAGCTTGGACGCTATGGTCTTATCTATTAAATCAGGACAAGGGTATCTAAGCTTAAATGATATCTGTATGCCCAACTGTAAGACGCCACCTACACTAAAGCTGACAAATTGCCCCGCACTTGGTTTATTTACCAGACAAAATTCCCTGACTTGAACTCTTGGAGAACTTTGAATCGATCAGTTGATATTGATAAATCTCCAAGTATGCGGGCAGTTACAGTGGGGATCCTCTCCATCGGAGACATGGGGATGGGAATGGCGAGACTACTCAAATCACATGGCTATCATGTGGTCACAGTCGGTGAAGGAAGAAGGTACGAATCTGTACTTGTGGCTTTTTTTGTCTCCGATTTACGTATAGCTATTATGTTAAAGACTAATCCCATGCATCTAGTGAACATACCTTAGCTCGAATCAAAACCGCTGAAATCGCGGTATTACCAACCGACCAAGAACTAGTGGTCCAGGCAGACTATGTTTTGTCTATTGTTCCTCCCAGGAACGCCGTGGCCACCGCGGAGCGGATTGCGGGGGCACTTAAACAGCCAGATACGGTGAGCAGACGGGAGTCCGTCGAGGAGGTGAACGACCGGCCGAGTCGAAGCCCACTCTACTTCCTCGAACTAAATGCCACACCCGCCCGATTGGCGGAGGAGATGGCAACTCTCTTTGAAACAGACGAGACGGCCACGTCAATGGGGGGCTCGGCTCGGTGCCACTTCCTTGACGGCGGAATTATTGGGGGCCCGCCATCGACAAACGTACAGGACGGGACATGGAAGAAACCCAGCGTGGTGCTTTCGGGAGCAGTGGACCTTCCCTCCACTTGGACACAACTCTCTGACGTCTTGAACCTGAAGTTGGTCTCGAATAAGATTGGAGCGGCTTCTACTTTAAAGCTCTCCTTTGCAGCGTTGACCAAAGGTCTGACGGCATTGTCGATCCTATCATTTTCCACGGCACAGCGGGAGTCGCTTCTCCCGGAGTTGCTAGACCATCTCCAGCAATACTCACCCCACACAGCGGCACTTGCTCAGTCGGGTGTGATCGGCATGAGTCCCAAAGCATATAGATGGGTGGATGAGATGCGTGGCATAGGCGAAGCTTTTGATCGTGACGGTGGATGGAATGGGATTGGTAGTAGTGTCTATGGCGGATTTGCAGACATTTATCGAACTATTGCCGAAGACACCATTCTAGGACAAGAGCGAGTTGGAGCGCGGCAACGTGGTACCAGCGTTGAAGATGCAGCCACGATCATAGCTTGTCGACATGAGCCCAAAGTTGGGGAAGATCACGACATCCACGAGACTATGTCATAGGATAGACGACGGGATTTTCTTTTTCCTTCTTGGAATTTTTTTTTTTGATTAAGAGGGAAAAAAAAGTCCGAGAAGAGAGGGGGCAAAAAGCCGACGATCTTATGACGGTGTGTGTACTAGTACTAGTATTCCATAAACATATAGAATTCCGGTCACCGAAGGTCTCATATGTTCTAGATGAAATGGATATTATGGACCTAGACTCAGTAAAAGTACACTGTAAAATAAGACATATAAGACATAATAATTTACTATAATTCCACTTTTTCATTTAGAAAGAATGCCAAGAGTCTTGTTACATACTTCGTACTCCGTACTCTCGTAACAAATAATCCAGTCCGCGTCATCTCAGTGGAGGAGAGTGGATACTAACCATACCTCTTCGTCCCGTCACAGCTCTTAAGGAACGAGATTCATATTCGTGTATTGTAAATTGAGAAGAAGGGCCCATGTGGAATCATATAAAATCCGGGGATTCAGGCAACCCTATTGAGCCTCTTTTTTTTTTTAAACAAGATCCATATTTTCTATCTCAAGTGCTTTATTCTTATAATTTCTATTTTGATATACTACACTCTTTCTTTATACTAACATAAATTGTTATCCCGTACAAAGCGGTGAGGAGGCGCAGCGGACGAACCAGAATTCGCGATCACGACATTTCTCCATTCTATCAGATCATCGACTAGTTGATCTTGAGGGCTTGCTCTTGCATCCTCTTTTCGTCCTTTACCCCCCTGTCCCACCCCTCTTTGCCCCCTTTTTTTGACTTCCCGCTTACGTCCTGAATCGTGATTCGTGAAATTAACGTGGCGCGTTATGCGAAGTCTCCATGGTTGTCTTGTCTACGTGAGGTGATCGTGGCCGAACCCGCCTTTCCCTTCTCCAATCTCCGAGGGCCCGTATTTTACCTGTCAAATCAATCTATTCTTTCCTGCCGATTTGCTTCTTTCCGGGATCGCCCCCTCTCTCACATCTGATCTGGGGTTCTCCCGTGGAATAGAATTTGCTTACGACTTTCGACTAGTAAGCTTGGAACTTCCACACGTCCCCCCCCCCTCTCATCCTCCTGTCGGAGCTCAGAGCCCTAAAACGCAAATAACCAGGGCAAGTCGCCATCGAATCAAGCCATTTGGCTTTTTCCTTGTCTATTCCCTAAACTCTTTAATTTTTTTTTCTTTTTTCTGCAATTTTTGGTGATTGGATTTTTTTGGGGTGGAAGGTAACTGGTTGGACTAAACCTCTTTGCTCGTGCATCTTTTGTTTTTTTTCCCTATTTCTACATTCCACACCCCTCCATCAACCTTCTTTCTTCCATCATGCCTGAGGACCTATCGCATTCTCGTCTACCGGGGCCTCCTTTCGATAAACTCGAAAACTTCAACTTCTTATTGTCTCGGCACGATCCAGCAGCCAAAGCGCGACAGTACTCATTTGACGCTGACACCGGGCTGGTCCCGTTTGCCAACGTGAATATGGATTATGATCAGACCGAGGGTATGGGAGGCTTGTCTGTTAGCTCCTACGATAGTATTGAGGATGAACGGTCTTCCCTCGATCTCCGGGGATATCCCTATCACGGTACGTACAAGCTTTGACCTGTTTTGCCAAAGGTTGCATTTCTTGCGCCATCGCTTTGCTTTATGGTTCGTGTTCAATCCTGCTTGGAAAAGCCCAGGAGGGGCCCCGGGGGAAAAGCAGATTGCATTCCAATTTACACTGAGAAATCCTTGTAAAAAATGAGGAATCATTACTATTTCCCCCCTTTTTGATTTTTTGACGATTTTTTATTATTTCTCGAAATCCAATTTGTTCCCCCATATTCGATTTCATGCGTGTTTGCAATATACATTGTTGTATCATTTCCCTTTCCCCCCCAGCCTTGTTACGAAATTGAACCAGCCTTTTTATATGGCGGTGTCGTTCGGAGTCTCCCCTTTTCCGCATCTGTACCAGATTTCCCATTTCTTCCCCCTCCAGACCATCATCATATACATGAAGGCCTATTTTTGGGCCGGAAAAAAAAAGCTCGTGCCTCCACCTCAGAGAAAGCCATGCAGCTCCAGCTACGGATTCCGGACTTGGAGTGACCCAGTGATCTATCTCATTTCTGGGATGAGATCATCGGCCCCAATGCCAGCTCAATAGCGAGCACGCAATCCCGCATGCAAATGAGCGCAACACTATAGCAGTCTGACTGCATGGGGCTTAACCTAGCGCTTGCACATCATATTTTTCCCCCCCCTAATCCCCCCCTTCATATGTGTGAACCCTGGAGTTTATTTGATGTAAAGAATGATCGTGTGCATGGTCCAGGCGGCTCCCTCGATAGGGTTGCGGATCACTTTCCCTCGAACGGATGAATATCTCTACGATACTGAACTTGAGTCTTAATCAAGACAATTGCTTACTCCATTCTTCAGGACCAACCGGGGATAAATCCATCAACTATTCCATTCCCGACCACATGATGCCGTACTCGGCTCATTCTATCTACCCGCCGGTCCCCTTTGCGCCCGATGAGCTCGGCCATGCTCCGGGACAGATGACTCCATCTGATGTCTCATCATCCATCTCTCCACCTAATGGTCAGATGGGCAACAATAAGTACAGCACTTCCATCTCCGGAGACCGCATTGCCGCGGCTCTGGGTCAAGAGGAAGGTGTACGAGGTGCTGCCGAAGAGGACCGACGTCGTCGTAACACGGCGGCTAGTGCTCGCTTCCGCCAGAAGAAGAAGCAGCGTGAGCAGGTTCTTGAGAGGACGGTCCGTGAGACCACAGAGAAGAATGCTTCCCTTGAGGCCCGCGTCGCCCAGCTTGAGATGGAAAACCGATGGCTAAAGAATCTTCTGACTGAGAAGCACGAGGCTACTACTACTCGTATGCCTCCTCCTCCTCAGGACAGCACAGCCTTAGAACCGAAGTCCGCCGTCACCAGGGGTCAAAAACATATTCAACCTAAAAAGAAGGGCGTGGGCACTGACGAGTAAGCACTAAAACATAAGTTTTTTGCTTTCGTTTGTTTTTTGTCCTACAGTTTTTCTTTTTTATATACTGGGTACCGTCATGTATCATCTCTTGATTCCGCGGTCGTCGTCGACTCGAAAGACCACGTCGGTGTTTCTGCATTTGTCCTTGTCGTCACTGTGCTTGTGCGATTGGAGGTTGCCTCTCACTGTATCCCTCCTCCCTCTCTACCTCCAATTATTTATCAAAAATGGACTAGAGATCTGCGGGAAGGAGAATGGGAGAGAGGTTTCAAACTTCTTATGATGATGTCACGATCTATTGTCTCCTATTCTCGTTCTTCTGCGACTTGGGGTTCTTCCCCTTGCCGACCGTGCTTTGCGATTCTCAGAGCGTCTACTTTTCCGATACTTTCTTCTCAACACTCTACCTCCGATGCTCTCATCCGACCCTCTCATCGAATCCTTTCTCTGGACCCCCTCCACCTCCGTCCAGACCCTCTCCACTCCTCTTATATTCCTTTTTATACATCCAGTCGTTATGTGATATACTGGTTTCTTCTCTTCCTGGAATGGAGATCGTGATTCCACGTCCATGAAATTATCCGTGGTTCTCCCCTATTCAATGGAGTGATAGACTAGATGTTATGGGTGTTGTGTTCTGAGAATCACAAGTTGCACTTGTGGGCTGGTTTCTTCTGGATGGGGTTGCTTAATTTGTGCTGGTCTGTTTTGAGGTTTTTGCTTTTTCATGGGTTTCATATTCCAAGGTTGTTTTACTGTTCTATCGTTTGGGTTTGCTGCTCTGCACTCTGCATATACATAAGAGGTATCCAGACCTCTATTGCTTGGACTGAATCAAGAGTCCCGAGATTTTTCTCCACCCTTTTTTCCTGATCTAACATTCTCCTCGTATCGTTTCAGACTTCCCTGTCGGTCTGCTATCTAGTAAATCCTGATACTACTGACCTGGAGTCTCTGATATCAACAGCTCCGGCCTGTAGACCACTTGCCTCAGCAACTACTTAATTCAAACAAAAAGTTCCGAGGTCAAGTTAAACGTGGATGCCTACGACTAGAGTAGGCACTAGTGCCAGTTGACCTAGCCAACTACGGAATATTCAGCTATTCTACTCCAGGTCATGCGTGGGGCCTGCAGTCAACTGGCACATATATCAGCTTGAACCTTCCAGTGCATAGGTAGTACTTGTAGTAGTGCTACACTGCCCAGGTGGCCGTATCACTCGATGATTGGCACTGCCTATGCTACATCCACGGACCTCGGGATATACGAGGTAGAAAATTCCCTACTATACTATAGTATAACTGATAAAACGCATTCAACCAAACCAAATAATAAGACGATTTCATTAACACTGGCGCCTAGTGATTACGCAGCTCGACTCTCCTATCAAACAAAGTCGAAAAAAGTTCAAAGCCCAGCACAAGATGGTATTACATTAGGGAAAAAAAGAACCAAGGAAACAAAGAAAAAGAAAATAAAACGAGAACAAAGAGCCCATGCGTGTTCTTCAGTCATGAAGTCCAAACCCCCATCAAACCCGGAGAACCGAACTGATAAGAAAGAAAAAAAAAGGTTAAAAAAATTGGAGAATCAGGGTCCTTGACCCACAAACAGGTAAGACAAAAACTGGGGCAAGAACAGCACGGCCCACGGGCACTGGATCACGACATAAGGGTCATGTGGATGAAAGAGGAAATTAATGGCGAATAAGGAGGGAATGAGACAAGGTAGTACACTGTTCTCGGATCGCATGAATTGTAATTCAAGAATCCAAGAGGGGTTACAACCATTGCGTAACCTTTTTGCCTTTTGCCATCGGAGTTGGGTATATCATCGAGTGGTGTGCTGAAGTACAAGCATGCCACTTAACATACTATAGGCCTGGCATGACAATCACGACATAGCTGATTGATCACGCGTTTCAACAGGGATATTGCATGGGTATGGAGATGCCCGGAAAAACCAGGAGAGTCGGAATGAGCCGTTGATCGTGAAGTATGAAAAAGAAAAGAAAACAAGAAAAAAAAACGTCAGAATACTGGTATCTTTGTCTTCGTCTTCTTCTCACAGTTAAGCCGCAAGGGGCTCACGCTCTTCCTCACGACCACGAATCTCTCCCTCCAAAGTGCTGACACCATCTTCACCATCCTCATAGTTGGGGTGTTGATCAGCAGGCAACCAAGAGTCACGGTCTCCAGCCATGGGGGCATCCTGCTGAGAAAGATCGATACCCTCGCGGTTCTTGATGTTCTGGCGATGGCGCTGGGAGAGGGTGTGGGAGCGCTGAGACAGACTGGACTTGACAACAGCCTTGGAGCTAACCCAGTTGCTGAGCGCATCCTCGCAGTCCTGGATGATAGCCTTACTGGCATCGTACCCATCGTAGGCCTGGCGAGTCTCACCGGGAGTCACGGGGGTATCATCGATCAGGTCGAGCAAGTGCTTTCCGTAGCCGGCGATAATGGCAACCTTCTCGCAGTGCTCACGCAGGGCATCAAATTGGTACTGGAATGCAGCCTTGACCTTCTCACGGGTGATATTCGACAACTGAGCCTCGGCGACTAGGGACTCGGCTTCGGCACGAACGAGCTCCTGCTCCAGAACGACGATACGTGGGGAGTTAGGATCCTTGTACTTGAGCTTGGCGATCTCATCGGTGATTTTCTGCTTGCCTGGTGTGAAAATGTGGGTTAGTCCGGTTACTTTCTCCGGTTTCTCAATTACCCAGGTGACTGGATCCTAAGGGGGTAAGGGAGTCGAGGGGCAGATTTGTTTGACTTACGGTCTCGGCTGGGCTGCACGGAGGCCTCAATGTTACGAATGCTCTTGATGGTGACACGGTACTGGTCGTAGCGGTCAACGAACATGTCCTCCAGCTCACCGATCTCGTAGATCAGGACGCCAAGCTTATCCGTGACATCCGACACATCCTCGTCGCAGGCCTCACCCCAGAGGGAGAGTTGTTGCTAAAAAATTGTTAGTTAATTGATTCAGAGCTAATTCTTGCCGTTCAAAAGAACTGGGAGAAAAGTAAGAAGCACATACAGCGACCTCCATACGCTCGCGGGCGACAAGCTCCATGCTGCGCATGACGTTCTTCTCCATCTTCACGAGCTGCGACAGCTTGCGCGCCAGATCGGGGCCGAAAGCACCGGCGGCATTTTTACGGAACGCATGGCCTAGTATCGCATAATTGTTAGTTGCTGCTCTTCAGTTTTTCTGAATCCTATCTTCCTGGGTGCGATTGTGCTCCGTAGGTACAGAATTGAGAGGAGCCGATCGGGCAGCTATAGCTTCACACTCCCCCCACTCATAACCGGATCGTGCGATCATCCGCACCTCGGAGTCGCAACACCAGGATTTCGGTCTTTCTAATCACTCACCGATACCACCCTTTCCTAGCCAGCGGTTGGACTTGGTTGAAGACAATGGGGGAGCGGGGTTATCGACTTGCGAAGCGGTCGGAGCGCGCGTCTGGCGCATAGAATAGGTACGATGCATAATGAGAGGTGAGGTTTAGAGGATTGAGAGGAGGAAGGGTTGAGATTTGTTGTAGAAGTGTACCTGCAGCCAGAGTTCAAGTTCCCAAGGTTAGGTAAAATGTAAAAGAAAAAAAAAGACAGTAAAAAAAAATTGGTGCCTTGCGCAAAGCTCTGGAAGTAGTGACGTGTGGTAGGGATTGCTTACTTTGAACGGGATACGACGGAAGGGAGAAAAGCTGCAACCGGTTCCAAGTTGAAGATATTATAGACTACCTAGGTAGAGAAGATTAGAGGGATAAGTATCAAAGAGAAAAGAACTTTTTTTATAAGGTGACGTCGACAATCGGGAGCTTAACCCGATTTGGGATTAAATGAGAAATGAGTTCACGAGGTTAAAAAGAACAAGAATTTATGGAGAAATATGGAGAACTCAAGGGAAAAAAAAGAATTCAATTTTGAAGCATCCACTACAAAGCATCACCATAACAACCCGGACCTTGGCGGATCCTGCTGCGCCTCTGAGAGCTGCAGCAACTAACTACTTTCAAACTAGAGCAAGTCTCATTCAACTCAATTGGACGCTAACCGATCCAAATATCCAATAGTGCGCCATCAAATGGAGTAATTGGACTTCCAAAGTTGCATTTTGGGGGGGAAGAAGCTCGATCGCCGACGTCATCGGTCCCGCCTGATGTCATCGACCTCCTGGTTCCTGCACCAACTCGATCATGTCATGAACTGGAAAAACGTTGCATTGGAACCCAATTTCTGAGGTCCAAAGGATTCAAAGACCAGAAGGATCAAGAGGCACAAGGTACAGAATCAATCTGATCGAGTCATGGACCTAAAGAGGATCTTGATCGTCTGGTGGGGAGGAGCACTTGGTATGCCAGGACACTGCTTATTTGGCGGATCAGTGGGGGGAAAAGCAGATCCGGTTCCAATCCCTGTCTTTGAGATACTTCAAGAAGTTAGCACAGAACATTCTGGAGATCATCCGAGATATTTGGTGGACATAATAGTATGAAAAAATCTCTGAAGATTGCTGACGAAATTCCTAGGTCCTCAGACTCCTCACTGCCCAGGTGGAGTCGATCACCTGCAAAGCTCTAAGCTTTTGGTCTTGCTGCCCTATGAGCGGCCCAGCCACATCTCCGCGCAGAGTGGAGACGCATCCAACCCAAGAATGTGGCGTTATATATTGAGATAGGTTCGTCGTCACTGGACATATGGAGCACTAAGATATGAGAAGTAAAGTCTTCCAAATTTTTAAAAAGAAAGCCGTAGAGCAGTATAAACCGAACCAACATAGAGAAATGCAAAAAGTGGCGGTAAGGTGGGAGAGAAGGAGAGAGAGAGCTATTCCAAGGTTTGAATGTCACAACTTGACTAGAGAGGGATCACCTGATATCCCCCACTGTTTTGGACAGAATAGTACCCCACTACTAGTATAATCTAGAGTGAGCATTGATATATGAATTTGAACCATCTGTTACGGACTTTATTCGATTCTCTCTTTGATTCCGCGTTGCTTGGTATGGGGATATCTGCTATCATTGATTCACTAGAGTACTAGGATTTGATGTCATACTGAGCACCACAATTCCGATTTGCCAGATAGTGAATTCAATCTCCTGGCGATTTCATACAGAAAACACCATTTCTTTATGACAACAGGCTGCTTTATAGCTTTGAATGCGAATATGGATGTTACGTTATCTTGTAATCGAGATCGCCGGATGTATGAATGTGCTTGTTGTTCGTGGACGATGTCTGCCCAGCCTTGGTGCCAGTGGATGTCAAGATACCGTGCACGTAAGTATGAACAAAAACACTTATAAGCACTGACTCAGTCTAACTCTTCCTAGTTTACCTAACAGAAACAGGCACCGAGCTGTCGGATGTTAATACAACCGAGTACGATTGGCGAGATATCTTGGATAGGGACATGATCACTGACGCACAACTTGATTCGCTGGGCCCTTGGTTTCTGATGAGCCGCATCAGACCAACAAAAGTGCTCTTGTTTCACGAATTTTGTTGGTCTCGTTTGCTTCAACATTTCGAAGGTGAAAAGATCGATCTTGATAAAATTTTTGAAGTTTGTCAGCCTAGATGGCTAGTGCTTGATCTTGGGATTCAATATGTTGGTATGTCATTTCTTGGAAGTTATATCTGAAAGATGGACTCTAATTCAAGTTGGAAAGAAGATTCAGAAGAAGATGAGTTTTATACTAGCCAGCCAAGGACTCCAAAACCGGAATATACTGCAGGCAGTCCTCCAACTACAAGTAAAGCACTCGCTTGTGTTCAAAAGTTCCTTCGATATCCTACACAAATTTCCAGGCTTCTTCAGCTCAGATTTGCTACAAAATCAACCGTGACTGGGACCGTGACCGCGACTGACTGTTTTTGCTTTTTACCGATAGAGATAAATTTGCAAATTGCAATATATCTTGACACCATGAGCTTTTTAAACCTCCGATATGTATCGCGAGAAATGGCAGATATCTTCAATATTCAATCGTTCTGGAAGTCGAGATTTCAATTGAATCAGGACCGAGGCTACCTGAACTATCTGACAAATAACCCCCGAAATTGGACTGGGAAGACCGATTGGCGTCTCATATATCGCCGTACGGCAGATCCGAGTCCTCGGGTATTCTCCAGAAGTACTAGGGATTATTGACGCAGGAGCCTCAAAATTGATGCTGAATCTCGACCATTTATCTACGATAAAAGAGTTATTGATGCACGACCAGTGGTTCAGAGAAAGATATACAATAACTCGGGCCTCTGATACGCAGATCTCTCTCTATGAGCACCTGCTCACCGATTCAAAGCTGTGTTGGAAAGAGTTCCATGCGGGAGTTCAATGCGATGAATTTTCAAGCGCTTGTCAAATATGCTGGAATGAACACATTCCACTCGTTCAAGCCGTTCCATTGCAAGATTCGACGATTGGCCTAGCAATTTCTATTCTTCGCGAAAGAATGACTACTGTCATTACTGGATTTGAGTTGCTGGGCAATGGAGAAACCCCCCAATTTAACATTTGGATATCGCATTCCAGGGAGACAGGTGATTGTCGACCTTAGTGATCGAACGTTGACAGGATTTACTATTTTCTCTAGTGAGAGTCATGTCCACGCACTGTGTCCAATGTTTAAGGATGGCAAAGCTCAATCCAGTTGGATCGGCCAACCGACGATTTGCGAAGGCCCTGCAAATAGATTGATAGAGCTATACGATGAAAAGATTTGCGAAGGAGCTTTGTATCCATTCCGTGGACTGTGCAATTCAAGTTCCTGTGTCTTCAGTGAGAGCACAAAAGTAACTGAAATAGTTTTGGATCAAGGTATCACCGCGCTTTGTGGAAAGTTTGACGTAAGGCACTCTCATCTGAACACAGCAGATAAGTGACGAAACTAATGCTCCAGCACTAGCATTGCAAGATGATTGGGTTGTCTATAGCCTAATGATACCATTTGACTCATTTCTGTCCCGCGCAGAGCCCTTGCCAACATGGACAGGGGCAACATATCTCAGTTGCGCGAATTTCATATACTCTGGTCTTGGACATATCATCGATATTATATTAAAGGCAAGAGAAATTACTTGTTTTGATTAGGGACATTCGAAATAATACCTTGAAAAGGTAATCATAGTTGTTCCTCCTCTACTATTATTAACAACCGCAGCCCTGAGGTCATGTAAACAGTAACGGGGGCCCCAGGGGATATATCCATTTTATACCTCTCTGCTGTTTCAAGCACCACTATGCTTAATGTTATTAACTGGATCAATAAGAACCTTATAACTCTTAATACAGCCAAAGGCTATCCATATAGTCCAACTACCCCTATATCTAAGTATATAATAAACCTAGTACCTCTCACTTCACTCTTATATTACTATCACTTCATTCTTACTTTACTCTTATACTAAAATCTATTATAATGTGATAGTTGTGCTGAAATAGGGATAAGTTTAGGGAGTTACTACTAGTATTCACAGGTCTTAGACCACTTCCCCGCAATTGACAATAACTATGAATGATATAACCCCATGAGAAATAGCCGGATAATAAAATAAAATTCTTCAGGTGCTCTATTGATACCACCATATTCTGTGTCAGTGCGCAGATCGATTCCCGAAAAACCACGGGGTTCAAGAAACACCACCTAACCGGCCCAACAGAGCTTCCTTGATACACACCACTTTCTCCTGAAGAAAAAGCTTGAATGGAGCCATGTGGAGCATATTAGGTATCCTTCGGGATATTCTAATTGGAATTACCCTATAAACCCCGTTTCGGATATGGATTCGGTAACCATCTACGTAATGGCTTGGTCACACTCTTTGGTGGAATCGTACCTATTGGTGCCCATTTAAACCCCGCAAAACGTTCTCAGATCGTCGCTGGATTACGGGGTAATAACCTCTGTTTAAATTATTCACGGGAGGACGGGCTGGGCAGCTTTACTCCGTGTCTTTTTTGACTCCAGATGTCTGTTCTGCCAGATACACTGCCGGTGGTTCCTGCGCTCGGATGCATAGCATAGCTCGAGGGGTGAGAGAGAGCCACTTGTAACCAATTTGAACAATCTATATGCAAATATTTTAGTATAAAATGGGTCATATGTCGCAGGAAAGATGAAGATCTTCGTAGGCAATCACGGACTCTAAGAAAGTCGCACCAGCAACCAGCAATCATCACCAGTGTTAACTGGGCAAGGCTATCAATATGAGATTCAATCGCTTCGCCATCCTAGCTGCGGCCGCATCTGCAGTCGCATCCCCATTAAACCTGAAGAAATTCACAAAGAAGGCATCTTCTTTCAAATGTGAGTACTCAGGTTATAGATAGAAGCGACTATGGAACATTAATTTGAATATATGCTAGGGTTTGGCTCCAATGAGTCTGGCGCTGAATTTGGCACTGGCATTTTCCCTGGTGTTTACGTGAGTTGCGTAGTTTATTGTCTTATATACTCAGAATTTGAGACTCACACCTCCATCAACAGGGAACCGACTACATCTTTCCAGATACTAGTACCATCCAGACGCTCATCGACGATGGGATGAATATCTTCCGCGTGACCTTCCTGATGGAACGATTGGTCCCAACAGAGATGACGGGGTCATTTGACGCAGAATACCTGAGCAACTTGACATATGTACGTCGTGACTAACATCCGAGCAGCTGTCAGATTGATATTAATCGGTAGTGAAGGTGGTGAATTACATCACCGACGCAGGTGTCCATGCGATCATTGACCCACATAACTTCGGTCGATAGTAAGATAGCCCCATATCATCCCTGACAAAGACCAGTCAACACACCCCGGCTAACACTGATTGATGTCAACAGCTATGGCTCGATCATTGAGAGCACATCGGATTTCCAGACCTTCTGGACGAATGTAGCTGGGCAGTTCGCTTCCAATGATCTAGTCATCTTTGATACGAGTTCGTTATCCCTTACTTCAAAGTTGCAGCCCTTTGCTCCCCACCTCATCTCAGCTTGGATTTACTCATCTCCATAACCAAGGTACTAATAAAATCATTAGACAACGAATACTATGGTATGGACCAAACTCTCGTGCTCGATCTCAATCAAGCCGCCATCGACGGAATTCGCGCTGCAGGCGCAACGACCCAATACATCTTCGTGGAAGGCAACTCCTACACAGGTGCCTGGACTTGGACGGAATACAACGACAACCTTGTCAACCTCACAGACACAGAAGACAAGATCGTCTACGAGATGCACCAGTACCTTGATTCAGATGGGTCCGGTACCAGCGCGACGTGTGTATCGAGTACGATTGGACAATCGCGTGTGGAGTCCGCGACACAGTGGTTGATTGATAATAACAAGGTGGGTATTCTGGGTGAGTTTGCTGGTGGTGTGAATGATGTTTGTGAGGAGGCGATTGAGGGGATGTTGAGTTATATGGAAGAGAACTCCGCGGTTTGGTTAGGAGGGTTGTGGTGGGCGGCGGGTCCTTGGTGGGGAGACTATATCTTTAGTATGGAGCCCCCCGAGTGGTACGGCTTATGTGGGAATGCTGTCGATTCTGGAGCCTTATTTTGCGTAAGCAACAGTACTTGAGGAGTGGGAGACATGGATGCATGTACAGTGTACATGCACATATGGTACTTTGCATGGGGCTGTGTGCCAGTGACCTAGGAGTGTCAACTGATCCACGGCGACATGTCAGAGATTGTCAGTGATAGTATAAATCAGAACACTGGTTGTTGTTGCCTGCAAGTGTGAATATGATCGATCTATGTACTCTGTTGACTTTGGCTTATGTACCAGATTCAAGACTCATGCAGGCCGCGGCATCCGTGCTTGGCATTTCTGCGTAGGTGGCTGATACATCTTACTACATACTAGAGACTGAGTCCTGTAGGTAACTATATTCTTTTTCTTGCAAGTTGAAGTTTGCATTGCTTCTGAACTATTTAGTACAGACACTGCGCCCCATAAAAGTCTAATGTTTAAAAATAAATATAGATACGATGCAAAGAATGTGGGTGTGCATGCGGAAAAACGCGTGTACGCGGAATGAGGCGCGGCAGTATCTGCGCCAAGAAGGAAAAGTAGAAGCCTGGAGATTGATGCCGGAGATCACCTGGGGCTGCTACTAGTAGGTCAAGTGCCGAAGAAATATTGTATTTTAGATCGCGGAATTTTTGCTATGTAATAATTCCCATTCTTTTTAGTTTTCCTAATTTTTCTGGAACAAAATGGGAGGATGACGAGGCTCGCTACAGGGCTCGCTACAGGGCTGAAAATTGGGGGTACTAGTATGACGATCCTGGGCTCAACCATGGGTACCCACCCTGGGCAGCGACAGTCCCTGAACCAGAAGGTTACGAGTAATTAACTCTTAATCAAGGGGAAACGAGGAGAAAAGTAAAATGGTCTCGAAAATATTCAATTTAGTGAACCTTGGGAGAACTCGTAACTATTAATTGTTATATAGTATATATTGATATCTAGTATCTATTCTATGTAGTCATATGTATGTGTAGTTTGTAGTATATTTTCTCTATTCTTCAAATTTGAATTTTCAATTAATTTTATTTTGAATTTTTTCATCAGACCCAGAACTTCCTAATCGGGACTAGCGTTGAACACGAATAGAAACTCAACGTGGCGACCCATGTTACCACTCCAAATAAGCCCACAATCATTGATCACTGATCACTGACCATCCAATATCTATCATTTACTCCACTTTCCCCTTCTTTAAACCTCCTTGATTGGTGGCCTGTTCGGCACTGCGCCTCTGACCAAGGAGGCTGGTGTCGTCGTTGCTAAGAGGCTGTACGTTGACTTGCGACGATCATCGCAAGTTAAAACCGGTTGTTTCCCCCGGTGGATTTGTTTACTCGGTACTTTCTTATTACATTTCCCTTATTTTAAGGCCCCCGCCCCCAGTTTATACTACATATATCCCCGACATACCTTCATACCCTACACTCTCACACTTCGCTCAATCCAACGTCATCATGGGAAAAGGTGGTCGCATTGCGTGTATCATCACGCCGTATCTCCTCACGATCGCTACGTTGATTTGTATCATCATCGTCGGTCTGGGATGTACCAAGGCTAGCTCTAGTAGCTTGAGCAACCTTTACTTCTTGAGGGTGAGTAAACAGATTATCTCAATACCATTACGAGCGACGCACAACTAACAATTGCGCTTCATAGATCGATCTCTCAAACTTGACAAATGGCTCCAGTACAACCACTGAAATCGAGAACCTTCTTGAGGAATTCGGCATCACCAGTGTCAACGCTACCGATGTGGAGGACTTGGTAGACCAGCTGGCTAGCAACCAGGCCGATAGTCTGGTCAAGGAATTTTACGACATCGGTCTCTGGGGTTACTGCGATGGTGACATCCGCAGCGGCGACTTCGACACTACCCACTGCTCCAAGCCCAAGTCCGAGTTCTACTTCGACCCTCTCTCCGTCTGGGGTCTGGAGAACAGCACTGCTGTGAAGGATGAGCTTCCCTCCGATTACAACAAGGATATGAAGATATACAAGGCCGTTTCCAAGTGGATGTTCATCGCCTACATCGTCGCCTTCATCCTCACCATCGTCGAAATCCTGGTCGGTTTCTTCGCTATCTGCAGTCGCTGGGGTAGCTGCGTCACTACTCTCTTCGCTTTCGCCGCCCTCATCTTCACCGCCGCCGCCTCAATCACTTCCACCGTGCTCTTCGTCGTCTTCCGAAGCACCTTGGGCAATACCCTCAAGGCCTACGGTATTAAATTGACTCTGGGCAAGAACATGTTCGCCGCTACTTGGCTCGCGGTCGCTTTCTCTCTCGCTGCTACCTTCTTCTGGGTCTTCAGTGTCTGCTGCTGCTCTGGCCGCTCGCCTTACAACCACAAGAATCAGCGCAACCGTGGTCTGACCGCTGAGAAGGCCCCTTATACCTATGAGCCTATCGGTGCCGCTGGCGCCCTCCCTCCTCAGCAGCAGCACCATACCTCTTACCCTCCTCCTCCTGACAACTCCTACCCCATGACACACCAGCCGCAGCAGCATGCTAGCTCTTACGAGCCTTTCCGGCACTCTTAAGCGACGCTCGTGAAACAAAAATTTATTCGCTCCTTTTTTGTATCCCGCGTTCTTTAGATTGGTGATACCATGGCGTTCATGATGATTGCACTCTTTGGGGTCTGGTTTGCCTGTTGGCTTGTTTTATCTACTTTCCTTTTGCATTGATTAGCACTTTTATGATTTAATGCTTGCATGACGACAGTGGCCAGTGACAATCTGTCTTGTATATATTGTTTATGCCACCTTATATTGATGAATGATCTAGCGAATTAGTTCGAGTTTCAGTCCAATATCAAAACAGTCAATATTTATAAAATTCTTCTAAGTTCATTTATATTACTCTGTACTAATACTCGTCTACTAGGTAGGTAGTAAGTAGTCGTAGATAAAACAGAAAGAAGGCAAAGCAAATGGGTATCTAAATCAATCATGCTACCTTAACGAGAAAGGAGTATCTGTGATAATGTGTACATGAGCCCAAAACATAATCATGTATATGGGACTTTAGAATGGCACTTCGGGACCGCAACTCATAGCCTAACGCTAGGGAACCTCCATAATCATGATAGCATAAACATTTCAAGGAAACTTAGGTCGGCGAATCACCCCATTCTCATCTAACTGGATTTTAGCACCTCCGCGACGATCACGATCGACGTTCATGTTCTGGTAATCTTCTGCCCAGCGCTTGAACTCCGTTGGACCGTCACACCAAACACCCTTTTTAGGACGCAGATGGCGAAGCGAATCGAACCAGTTCTCGCTTTCACTTTCTGGCACATGATCCTCTGGAGCTGGGGAAGCAACGGCAGCAGTCTCAGCTGGCCTTTCTTCAGCTGGCCTTTCCTCTGCACGGGAGTGGGCTCTTGTTGAAGAGATGAATGATTCATCGCCTAATTCAACACTCGCCGTTTCGTGGATTGTGTCGTCATCCTGTTCCTCTTGATCGTTGTCTTCTGGTTCGGTCTCGGGAATTTCAATCGTTTCTTTGTCCATCGCTTCTGGAATCAATGGTCTGGGTGAGGACTGGGTAGCGGGTTCTGGATCTGGCTCCCTGATTCCTTCGCGAGGGACCGTTCGTTTTTCGCTACGGGGAACCGGGCGGGATATCTCCGTATTCATAAAGTCAAATAAACTTTCCTCGCCTCCTTCAAGCTTGATTGGCTCGGGAGATGAGGTTGGAGCCTCTAACCCGCTAGGAAGCACGGGAAGAAGATCATACTGCAAGCCGTTGAATGATTGGGTATGGAAGTTATTAAATTTGTCTACCAAACTCCCAGTAAAAGAAACGTCCATGGGTGAACGTCGTGGAGGACTTGGTGGACATGGCGAACTCAGGGTTGCATCAACAATGGGCTGTGACGCGACTGCTTCAATCCCCTGAGCTGTAAGACTGCGCTTCTTATGGAAAGGAGACGAGAAATTCGCTAGGAAATAATCCTCATAGCTCATGCTATTCGAATCCTGAGATACATGCTCTTCGAGGTAACGAGGATAGCTTTGAAGATGCATGATGATAAAGTCATCCCACAGGAATGATCGTGGAAGTTTCCCTTGTTGTCTGAACGCATGGAGCTTCCGGCATAGCAATGTGAAGTGATCAAAATCTCCCCCATAGGATGAATAGTAGCTGCAGAACTGCCTGTAGACATCCTGGGCCTGGATTTTTGACCCTGCATTGCTGATGAAGCCCTGTCTACGAGCAAGCAGCTGGGCACTCTGGGTATTGGCTGTTGGATCCATTGGGGGTTCAGTATCTTGTGCTTGCTCCCTAGACTGAGGGCTCGGGCTTTGTTCATTCCTTGCACCTTCTGCTGATTGTGTCAAGGCGACTTCAGGAGAAGTAAGAGGGTTATCGGAGGAGTGTTTGTCCGACGTGGAAAATTGTGTCTCTTTGTTTGGAGAAAGTTGGCTGGAATGCTGAGGACTGGTCAATACAATTTGTAGAGGCGATCGTTGTGTAGCGGCAAGAGAAAAGTCCTGGTGGCGTTGTGCCGGTCCTGAAGAATCTAGGACAATCTCCGGCTGCGATTGATTCAGTATGTCTCGAGGTTGAGATTGGGATTGAGATTGTGAAGCCATACTGCTGGCTTGCGGCTGAGTGAGAGGAACATCCACCTGAATTGGCCTGTCTTGACTAGGCTCATCGGGGTTTGAACTGGATTGCATATCTTCGTGGCTGTTACTGAAAGGATATGTATTGAGGATACGGGACTGAGAAGATGATTTATGACCTTGTGAAGAGCCTTGGTTCCCATCAGAACGCTCAAACTGGGTTGGGCTTTTATCCACTCTGTCGCGATGCAACCGACTGGTGTCCACCATCGGGGTCACAGCAACCTGGATGCATTCATTGCTGGCTCCTGGAAGCGATAGACCCGAGCTGGTCAGTTCCTCTTCCACCAGACTAGATTGCGTGGGGTCTGGAATGGGTTCACCGAGTGCAAAGGGCACAGATGTATCCATGACAGATTCATCATCTGAGTCATCTTCTTCAGCGGGAACTGGATTGATAGGAGATGTGGACGACCTTCGGCCCTTTTCTTGATTTGGTGCTGGAGTACCATTCATCTGGGATAGTGGTGGAGGATTCATTTCTCCCCTATGTGATGGCGAGCGTCGATGGGGAGTTCGATTCGATGAACCGGCTCGGGGGGAAGAAGGAATCTTGGGGGATTTGTGTGGTGCGGTCGCCTGGGAGCCGTGACTTTGGCGTTTTTTATCTGGAGGTGGTCCCAGAGCCGCAAGCTTCAGGCGCATTCTTTCTTCCCTTTCTTGTCTTGCATTTTTCTCGTCTTCTAGTCGCTGAAGCCTTGCATGTCCAATCGCTTCTTTCTCGGTTTCTTCATCTTGCAGTCGCTCAAGCTTTTTCTCTTCCGCTTCTCTAGCCCTTTTCTCTTCCAGCTGAAGTCTTTTCGCCTCCATTGCTTGCTTTGCCTTTCTCTCCTCTTCTAGTCGTTGAAGCCTTTTCTCTTCTGCTTCTTTAGCCTTTTTCTCTTCGAGTTGAAGTCTTTTCTCTTCCATTGCTTGTTTTGCCTTTTTCTCCTCTTCTTGTAGCTGAAGCCTTGCATGTTCAATCGCTTGGTACTCCAATTCTTCATCTTGCAGTCGCTGAAGCCTTTTCTCTTCCGCTTCTTTAGCCTTCCTCACCTCTTCAGATTGTCGGCCTGGGGTTGTCACATTCCGAGGAAGTTCATTGAAGTTTATTTCAGACTGTGAGGCTACAGCCAAGCCATCGGTATCCATCAAGGTGCCCCCATCATCCAATGCTCTGCGCTTTGGACTTCTAATAGAGGTCGGTCGTAGCACAGGACTGGACGGTGGAAGACCATTGACGCGAGAGGGCGGCGCTCGGTCCGGACTGGAATCCCAGGGAAATATTTCCTCCTCACTTGAGCTACTTTCCTCACTTGAGCTACTTGCAATCGATTCATGGTCGCTTTCTTGGCTTGGGCTGACGGGTCGCTCCGAGGCCGCCCTAGATGGTTCCGCATCCCGATGGCGTTGCTGAACAGCATTGTTCCACGCCTCCAATAGTGGTGGCGGAACATGTCCCTGAGGGAAAGGCTCATTTGGACAAGGTGGGATCCAACATAGCGGATCAAAGAGCTTTTGTTGATCTTTTGGAATGACAACGTCGCGGTTCGAGATACGTTGAAGCCCTTTCCAGGGGTTAGGTCGAGGTGCCACAACCTTGTGTGATTGCGACGGTGTAGTGACCATTGTAACTGGACTCTGAGGCTTGGGAGGCGAGATTTCTGCTTGAGTCATGTCGATTTCAGCACTTTTTGCTAATGGTTCTGTTGTACCACCAGTGCGCTGCCTCTTGTGAGGCGACATATCCGTCTCAAGCTTGAGACTTCCGCTTTCATGAATAGCCGGCCGAGATATGTCATCCGATGCTCTTCGGCGCCGCTTTTTGGTAGGAGACTGAACCCCATGGCGCGCAGGCTTTGTTTGAGCTGGAGACTTTCCCCCCTGGGAATCAATGGAGCCTTCGTTGTCAGAGCTTGAATCTCGCGAGCGACTTTTGATCGGAGGTCTGGCTACAGAGCTTGGAGTTGAGCGGTCGCCTGTGTTCGACGTTGGTTTAGGGGTGACTTGCTCTGTACCCACCGTTGAGTTGAGTAATTTCATGAGTGCCTCCCTTGAATCATCGCTAGCGAGAAGCGTCTGTAGTTGCTGTACGGAAAATGAGGTGTTCTGATTCAAGGTCCCTGGAGAGGTGGGTCCTAGCTGCTGAAGCAGTTCATTTGTATTGTGCAAGCGTGTAGCTGGGGCTTGAGCCAATTGTTCAAAGGGATGCTGATTGGATGGCATTTGCGAAGAAAATCCCTGCGATCCAAATTCACCCAAAGGCTTGCACTGTGTTTGAGTCTGTGTAGGTTCGATGTTCCTCACTGCATGGTCCCTCAAGTTCCCATGTTTGGTAGTCTTCGGCGAGCCTTGTATTCGTTGACGCATGGATTCCATCAATGACCTCACGGCTTGATTCTTCAGGAGCTTCTTCTTGGGAACGGCATTCTTGGACTTTCCATTCTCTATGTCGATAGAGAATTCGTTGATGAGCAGATGAGCCTGAGGAGGAGTTGATTTGTAGGTGAAGACTAGCTTGAAGTCCAATAGCTTAATCAGGTGGTTTTTAAAATCGCATGGTGCCTTCTGATGTGAATTCGAAGTGGAATCGTACAAAGACTGTGTACCACGGGATAGAACGGCGTCGATCTGGTGTTCTGAATCCTTCAACACTGCACCATGCTCAGAGGGTCCCACACCCCACTGAGAGATCAGTTAGCCAATTATGTAGTTGATTCTACGGTTTCTGAGAATAAAAATACCTCTTGCACAGTTGCTATGTAGACTTTTCCATTGTTGCTAAAGCTGAGACGAGTGCCATCGTCTTCCACGGCCTGGCTGGGATATTGCGAAAAGGTCTGCTGAATAAAGGATACGATCCAGGGAGTGTCTGGATTCATTGTGCGGCGCGAATTCGGCGAAGTACTGACGACTTCATCACCGAGGTCATATTTGACAAAGGGAGTCGAAGGTAATGAGAGCTATTCAATTCAAATTTAAAGCGTGATCATACTAGAGTCAAAAAACGACTCGAACCCAACGATAACGATAAGACGCGACCCAGAACGCGCTCACCGCTTACTCAGCTCCCCACCACGTCATTGGGTAAGCATCAGATTGCGGAGAGCAAGGGCGATCGAATATTCCCTGCTCAGATCATTCTTTATCGTTTTTAATTTTTGTTTTCTCTTGCTTTGTCTTTGGCGCCCGGTGGACTCGAGCTATTTTCAAAGAGCTTGGTGTTATGCTATCTCTTCAAACCTTTTCCATCTTTTACGGCTCCTGTATGACTCGCTCCTAGCAGCTCTTTTGCACTGTGCGGGGATGATCTACGAACTGACAGCCTAACCTTGCAGCAGCCATAAAAAATGGAACCCAGATCGCATGAAACACCGAGCCCCTCTTCCTCGTCTGTATTTCTGCCTTTGAGTAGACGCAGGTCGAGGGCATCCATGGCTTCAACTCAAACCGAACGAGAAAATATGAACGCAACCCTCGATCAGATCCATACTGCGGCCTGTCAGTCTGACACCCTTACGCTTTTCAACGAATTTACTGCACCACCTGCGCCGGCATCAGCTACAGATGAGAAAGGACTATCGGAAGAGCTGCAGGGCGGACTAAGCGGACTGTATAGCCGTTTTAGGACCTCTGTTGGGGGCATCGTGAGCGGTGGATCGCGATCTACAGATAAAAGCACAGCGGATACTCCTCTAGTCAAGAGCCCAGTCTCAGAACAACACTCGCTAGTCAAGTCTGTGTCTGATTTGGCCCATGGCTCGGTTGATTATCAACAGTCGCATCCCAACTCTTCTCAAGGCTCACGGCTGCATTCTCCGGTGGCGACACACTTCCAGATCAACCAGGAAGCTGCTGCTACAAAAGGCTCCAATATCTCTTCAAAAAGCCCAAGCGTGTCTTCTAGAAACTCTATCTCTGCGTCTTCAGGAGCGAAGCCCAATATTGCTCCACTGACAAAATCCACCGGTAGTACAATCCCCGCAGATCCTGCCATCATCCAGCTACATGTGAATGCACTCAGTCAGAGCCGACGGTCAAGAAGCAGCTCAGTCAATGTCTCTCATTCAGGTCTCAAGAATGCAGAATCTGCCAGTATTGGTAGCAGGGAAGGCCCCATGGATATGTCTTTGAGCCAAAGCTCCTCCGTGTTGAGTCAAAATATCTCGCACTCCCCAGTGCTATCTACCAAGACTCATGACAGTGTTCTTCACGATGAATCGCCGTCTTTAGAAGGGAGTGACTCATTGCCGCCTGTCAAAAATGTCTCGGACATCCAGCCAAGGAAGTCTGTCTCTTCGGCAGATCAATCAAAACCAGGGGATTCGTCTTCCACATCGATTGCGCCGCGAAGCATAAAACCTGTCGAGCTTGCTCAAGATTTTGAACCTCAAGGCAGAACAGGAAGATCAAATTCACGGATTTCCTTTGGTCATGACGACTCTAAAGTGGCCCTAGCTTTGAGCATTCCTGCCAATAATGTACCTCCAAGCAGCCACGTAGCATCGGACGCAATGCCTTCAGCGCCTCATAGTGGAACGGAAGTCCATGAGATGTCAAAAGGCTCCATACCCCCAAAAGCCGTTGAAAAATCGAATCAGTCTCAGCCCAGGAATCAATTACCAGGCTACAGGATGTCTCGAGCATCTACAGCTGAGACTATGACGACCGTCTCATCACTGCCTCCGTTGAATACGGCCGTTGGTCCTATTAGTAGTCAAATTCCACGCGAGCGTCACGAAGGTCATTCTCGAGATGGCAGGCTATCGCAACTGGGGAGTAAGCTGCTCAGCAAAGATTTTTGGATGCGTGATGAAAATGCCAAGGATTGTTTTCACTGCGCACAACCATTCACGACATTCCGCAGAAAGCATCATTGCCGTACCTGTGGCCAAATTTTCGATTCGGGTTGCACTTTGATTATACCAGGAACTCGATTTGGCCAGGCAGGCACTATTCGTGTCTGCAAGCCCTGTGAGGCAATGATCAATGCGCATGACGATGACTCCTCGGAGTTTTCGGACAGTGAACAGAGTCCTATTGCCATGAATGCCCGTGTTTCTGAACTGAGCTGGAGCAACAGCGCCCGTCAATCTGTGGATGATGATGACTCTTCCTCGGTTGTATCTCAGTCCATTGATCATGTGCTAAGAACCCCAACCATGGCAATTCCAGCGACAAGACGTGCTGGTGAGGGTCATAATCGCCGATCGGCTATTCTGGAGATTCCCGACCGCTCTTTAGCTAGGCCGACTTCGTCTCGATCCCTAAGATCTTCGTTTGGGGCGAGGCCACATTCAATGGGACATACAATGAGCCACAAAAGAAACCCATCACATAAACAGTACATTCGAAGCTTCAAGCCATATCATGATGATCGAGCGCCCTTTCAGCGCCGCCACGGAGATGACCTGGGTGCAGAATCTCGACTGCCTGCCTTCCACAAAGATAACATCATTGATCCAGAACTTGCCGAATATCTATCAGATGATGCTTCCAGTGGCGATGAGCAGCCAAGTCTCTTATCGGCAGTTTCAGAAAGCCAATTCTCGAAAAGTGTTGGGGAAAGCGAGCGATTGGCTTTTGGGGGCCTTATTGGAGCCATGAAGAAAGGCAGATCTGCATTTGGAGATCGAAATACTCCTAGTATCATTCAGCCTAGTCGAGACGCAGATGAAGCCAGTATCAGCAGCTCAAGGGCAGTGAATCTACCACGCTCCCGTCGCCGGAACCTGAGCGTCGCGAGCAGTGTACATCGGCAATCACCGCGAGCATCCAAAGACCTGTTTCTTCTTCCCGATGTTCCTATAGGTAGTGTACCCTTGACCGTTCCTTCAAACCAGAGCGGATTCAAGCAAACTAGGAGTTCCTCCATGAAAGGCAGAGGAGCACCGCCAGTTGAACTGAACAAAGCCAGTTTGGAACATGTCCGAAAGCTCTTACAGCAACTCCTGGCGATGTCTTGTGTGCCAAATGCTGATAGTTGGGAAAATGCTCTCACACCAATATTGTTGAAAGCAGCCGACGAAGTGGACCCGGATGTCCAGCGAGGGGATGATATGGATATCCGTCATTATGTGAAGTTGAAAAAGATTCCAGGTGGCAAGCCCGGTGATACTTCATATGTTTCTGGCTTGGTATTCACTAAGAATTTGGCACTGAAGAGTATGCCGAGAAGCATTAGCAGTCCGAATATTCTGATCATCACCTTCCCACTTGAATATGCACGTCAACAGCACCATTTCATGAGTCTTGAGCCTGTCATACGACAGGAGCGTGAATTCCTCGAGAACCTCGTCAGCCGAATCGCAGCATTGCGCCCTAAACTTCTGCTGGTTGAAACCAATGTATCTGGACTTGCGCTTGGCCTTCTTGAGCAGGCAGGCATCGCTACTGCGTATAACGTGAAGCCCTCTGTTCTCGAAGCGGTCTCACGATGTACACAAACCAGGATTGTGACTTCTATGGACAAGCTTCTAACGACGTCTTTGCATAGCGATTGCAGCAGCTTCGACGTTAAAACCTATGTTCACTCTGGTCGGAAAAAGACGTACATGTACATCTCCGGTTGCCCCAAGGAACTTGGATGTACGATTGTCTTGCGTGGCGGAAATGAAGAAGTCCTTGGGAAAGTCAAAGAAATCACAGAGTTCATGGTCTACGTGGTATACAACCTGCGGCTCGAGACCTGCTTGATCAGGGATGAATTTGCAAAGCTTCCAACCTCCTTCACTGACGATACGGAGCAAGCTGTGGCTAAAAAGAGGGATCAGAGTAGCTGTTCAACTGCTGCTCCTGCCGAAAACCCATTGTCATCTATGACGACGGTGCTTTCGCATTCACCAACTGCAACAATTGAGAACCTGGAGAACAAGACATCCACAACCGCGGATGGTATCATCGACGTTCCCGATGATGTTCCGATGCCATTATACTTTGCTGATATGGTACATGATCACAAAACAAAAGTCCTATCGGCTTCGCCTTTTGTCAAGTTTGAGCCTCCTTATCTACTCATGCGTACCCGGGAAATGGAGCGACGTTTGGCCTATTTGAAACGTCTTCGTGACCAAGATGATCATTCTGAACAAAGTCTCGATGAAAAAACCAGGCCTCAGAAATTCACTCTCATTACCCCAGAGATGGTTCGTCAGTCTCCCAACGACGCTTCTCCACAGGTGAAAGAAGTGCTTCGAGCTGCTCATGACGCAGAGTATGATAGAGTTCTTTACCACTACCAGACTCAGAAGCGACAATGGGAAGCCTATGTATCTGGCATTTCCAACATGTTTGATCCCTATGCTCATCAAAACATTGTTGTTCTCTACAGTCTCGTGTGTACCACAACTTCTATTCCATGCTCTGGGCCCGACACATTTGCCCTAGAGTTTTACAACGAGCACGGAGATGATACAATCTTTGAACCTGACTGCACGATGGGACAATATGTCGAAGATATCTGCCATACAGCAAATGCCGTTTGTACCTCCAATGGCTGCGAAAAGCGCATGTTCGAACATCACCGTCAATATGTACACGGTGATGCGCAGATCAGCGTACTGGTTCAACCTTACCCTTCCAAGCTTCGAGGAATGCAGGACACAGTGTTGATGTGGAGTTGCTGCAAGATCTGCGGCAATGAGACCCAAGTCACGCCCATGTCTGAGAGTACATGGAAATACTCGTTCGGAAAATACTTGGAAGTGTCCTTCTGGGGCAGAAATCTTCATGCCCGTGCTGGAGTGTGCCCTCACGACTTGCAACGCGATCACCTTCGCTATTTCGGCTTCAAAGATCTGGCCATTCGCATTCAGTATGATACCATTCATCTGCTAGAGGTTATTGTGCCTCGGCCGCGGGTGACCTGGAAAGTGGACAATGACTTGAAGATGAGAAATGAAGTCTATGTGCGCATCGATAGACGTCTTAGCAAGTTCATGCTGTCTGTTCATGCGCGCTTAAGAGGCATCAATGTCAGAAGCATAATCCCGGAGCTGATTGAAGAGTGCCAGAAAAGCATTGAGTCCTTAATCCATAAGGCAAATGAAGACCAGGTTGCCTTGATCCGACTTCTCCAACAGAAGTATAGTGGGTCCCGCTACTGGGAAATCATCCCCTTAAATGAGGCTTTCCGCTCGGTTCAAGAGAAAGTTGTTGAGTGGGACATTATCTTTGCGGAGTTCGAGCAGAAATTTTTCCCCTCCGAGAAGGATATCAAAAGGCTTGCGACACTGCAGCTCAAAAAGATTTTCCTTGACAAGGATGCCACTTCAGTGGCCCCAGATGATCCGTTGCACACCCCAACTGACATGGATGACGGGAGCATTCAAGAAAATGAAAAACCAAGGGTCTTGCGCCGTATGACACTATCTCCAGAAAAGGCTCAAGATGTCTTGGTCTCTGTGGTCGAAGAGCACGCAGGTAAAAAGCACCGTGAAACGGAGTTAGAGGGGAGTGAGTTGCCTCCTTCGCTCGCATCCGCTGATGAACCCACAAATGCTGTTGATACCGCTGGAGATAATCTATCTACTTCACAAGATGAAGGGATTTCAAAGGAGGAGGAGGAGCACGTCCGGCATCTTGACCTAGCTCTACCTTCCGACCAATTACAATCACCATCATCTAGCTCCAAAATGCCCACTCGCAATCCCTTTGCCGAGTCGAATACCCAACCTTTTCTTCCTGAGCCCAGGAGTGGTGAGGTCGCTTCTGATTCCATGTCTCCGCCATTGTCGCCCAAATCACAGGCCCCTGTTCTGCATGAGAATAGTAGAATGAAGCAAGATATCTTGCCTCGATCACCAAGCACCCCTCCTAACCGACCATCAGCGATACCGAGGCCAACTGAAGGTGTCTCTAGGCGATCTGGAAATGGGAAAGCTGGCTCTCCTCCCTTAATACGTGCACATTCTCAACCTGCACATCTTCTTCGGGAAAAATCAAGTGGTGTTTCTTCTATGGGGTTAAAGCACATTGCATTCAATTCAAGTGCATCGTTTGATACGCAAGTCGACTCTCCCAAGGCTCCGGAAAGGAAACTCACAGAGCGGCTCGGTCTTACTGCTGCTCTCAAGAATGGTGGCCGGTTCAACCCAGCACACTCGTTAATCCCACGCTCTACACCTAAGTCACGGAACAACAATCATGTGTCAAGTCTTGCGAGGCACTTTGAACAATTAAGCCGCGAGTTCGAAAGGGAAAGACAGCGGGAGAGGCGACAGCGAGCTGCACGAATTCCACAGTCACGAGCATTTCCATTGGCGTCCTCAAAACCCATTGTCGAGGTCTATAGAAACGTTCGAGAAGCCGTCGAAGAACGTGAACCCCCAGTCGACGGAGAAGATTCCCTGCCATCTGTGCCGCACCTTCAACAAGAGGAGTCAAGTCGTATCAGTGAGGGTTTCGCTGATCAGATCAGCCCTGAAAACCCAGACCCGAGTCCAAGCTCCCAAGAAACGCCACCTGACTCATTTGAGTCCGGGGGCCTGCTTCGCTCCGACTCCCAGCCCATGTCTGAGCCTGAGCTAGATGATGGTCCTAGTGACGATGACCAAAATACTACCGAGCTTCATCAAGTGGACTCTTTAGAGGAGACAAAGCTGCCTTTGGAAGATGATAACATGGAATACAAGGACCTAGCTAGGCACGAGCGCACGACACTCCTGAAAATGCTGACCAATTTCTGGTCTGAGCGCTCTGCCAGTGGATGGGCTCCTCTTGATTATCCTCTCAGTATTATGGACCATGTGTTTGCAGATTGCGACATCATTGTGCGGGAGGATGAGCCCAGCTCTCTTGTTGCATTTGCGCTAGACTCGTCGGACTACAAAGAAAAGCTGGAAAGTATCCAGAGACGTTACGACGAGACGGAAAAATCTGCCTCGGGACCTGATGCAGACCCCGAAGCTGCCAATGAGGCACGAGTGGAGCATGCACTCTTACGGGCCACTGGTACTCATCTGAAATATCAGTTTCAGGAAGGCCAGGCCAAGATGCTTTGCAAGGTGTTCTATGCAGAGCAGTTTGAAGCACTTCGCAAAAAGTGTGGTGTCGCGGATCGCATTGTTGAATCCTTGTCTCGTTGTGCCAAGTGGGATTCCAAAGGTGGCAAGACCAAATCTCTGTTCTTGAAGACACTAGATGACCGATTCATCCTGAAGTCTCTATCTCCAGTTGAGACCCAAGCTTTCTTGAGGTTTGCCCCAGCATATTTCCAAATAATGTCTGAAGCACTCTTCCACGAGCTTCCTTCAGCTATTGCAAAGATGTTTGGTTTCTACCAAGTCATCATCAAGAACCCGGCGACCGGCATAGAATTCAATTGGTTTTTGCTACTTATGGAGAACCTGTTCTATGATCGTCAGCCGAACCGGATCTTTGACCTCAAAGGTTCGATGCGAAACCGCAAGGTCGAGAGCACTGGTGAACGTGATGAGGTTTTGTTAGATGAGAACATGGTGGACTTCATTTATGAAACCCCTCTATTCTCACGCGAGCATTCGAAGAAATTGCTGAGCCAGAGCGTGTGGAATGATACCCTTTTCCTCGGCCGCCAAAATGTCATGGATTACTCGCTCATGATTGCGATTGATGACAAGCGTAGCGAGTTGGTGGTTGGAATCATTGATTGCATCCGCACATACACTTGGGATAAGAAGCTCGAATCATGGATCAAGGATCGAGGATTTGCTGGTGGTGGGCGTAATCGTCCAACTGTCACCAGTCCCAAGGAATACAAGAGTCGATTCCGAGAGGCGATGGCGAGATATGTCCTCCAAGCCCCCAGGTAAGTTCAAAATGATCTAGTATCCAGCATTTTGCTCAACATGATAACTAACTATTTTTTTATTTAGCTGCTGGCATCAGTTGCAGGCCAATGTAGTTTATCGATACCCTCAAGGTGAGGTGTCTCAAGTGACTGAGTTAGACATGGATGGAAATGCCCCGGGGGCCGAATCCAGCGTCTAGAAATACTCGTGCACATAGTAGCGATTTCTTGATTCATTCAGCGTGGTACATGCATTCTTTTTTTGCTTTTCTTTTCGGTTTTCATAATGATTGATGACTTGATGATAACTTCACTGTCCAATATTTGTGTCTCTGGAGATGCAACATTCACCATATGTACTTACATTTGATTCAATCCGAGTGCCTTTGGGGGCTCAATATGTGTACGTATACCTAGGTAGTAGTGTACACAATGACTGCCAGTGCATATAAACTTACAATTCATAGGTTCCTCATCTCAAAACTCTCTCCTTTGCTCTCTATTCTCATCCATGAAATCTATATCTCTGCCTCATTTATCAGGCTTGATACTTTACCCACAGTCGGCAGAAATCGGAATCAACGGGAATAAGATCGGGAATTGTGTTTAGCCATTACAAGCAGATTGATCTAAGATGACAATTTGAATCTTCGAAATAACTGTTCCACTTTTCTTTCCTTTTTTTCTTTTTTACTTTTCTCAACTTCTTGTGTTGAAATTGGTCGCCATCGCATACCTGGATCATTATGGTCATTATGCGGGATCCTGCATACAACATAAGCCTCGGCCTCGGGCATTTTCGTACTCGAGTGATATCCCCGCAGTTTGACGACTTTGTGCCGGATAATCAATCAATACCCCTCTGGATCTTTTTCTCATCTTCTTCCCTTACGTCTTCTCCATTTACAATACTGTTTTGTGTGGATTATATGACTGGGTTGCTCTATGATGATAGACGACACCCGGACTATATTGCGCCTCAGCTACCACGACTCCGAGTCCCAATTACAATGCGCGCAGACTGCAAGACTTCAACTTGAATGACAGCCATGGATGAACTTGAATAGAACTACAGAACTTGAATACAATGAAGACAACCTTGGAACTTGCAGTCGAAAATAACTTGAACTAACGTGATGAACTGCAGCAAATCCCAGGTCTATTCAACTTTTTTTTCCAGGAAAAGTCTAGGCTAAGTAACAACGCACTTGACCTAAAGGCATTAAATTCGTCTCATATACACGATAAATGCATCAACTTCGTCCCGAGACATAGCGATTGTCCAGATCGCACAGCAAAACATGAACAACATAAAAGAACGAAAAGAAAAAGGTATGTATCCCATCCTCGCACCAGCGATTAAGAAGAAAAGAAATCCGTGAAATCAAATATTTCGAGTTGTAGATCCGTACAGCTTACCATCTTAGTTTGCGTACAGATCTACATTTACTCGTCGGCCAGACCAAGGTTCTCCTCGGCAGGGACCACACGAACAGTGTTGGTGTGACCCATACCACCACGCCAGCCCTGAACACAGACGATGGGGTCGCCCTTGTTGATAACTCCGAGCTTGAGACCGTGATTGATACCCCACTTGAGACGACGGTCAACATCCTCCTGCCAGATCTTGACGTTGAAGTCGGGCTTCTTCTCGGGGAAGTAGAAGGGCCACACACCACGGTACAGGTGGGAGTACTACAGAAATGTTTGGTTAGCATTGATCCGACTTCCTGAGTCTTGATGTGGAAACTTACGCGAGCGGCGGTCTCATTGCGGGTGACCATGAGAATGGGGCACACGGGGCGGTACTTGGAGAGGAGACGGGCAGTGCGACCACTGCAAAAAGAAAGTTGTTAGCACATTGCATGATCACGGAATGGAATGCTTTGACATACCTGGTGGTCAGAACAACAATGGCACCGGCGTTCAGCTCCAGACTGGCGCTGACAGCAGCCATGGCAATGGACTCGGAAGTCTCGGTGGGACGAGGGGCAAGGTTGCGCAGCTCGTCGAAGATACTGAAGTGAGGAATGGTGACCTCAGCCAGCAGACAGGTCTCGTGCATCATCTTGACAGCCTCGCAAGGGTAGTTACCCTTGGCGGTCTCACCAGACAGCATGACACAGTCCGCACCGTCAAGGACAGCGTTGGCAACATCTGAAACCTCGGCACGAGTGGGACGAGGGTTGTATGTCATGGACTCAAGCATCTGAGTGGCGCAAATGACAGGCTTACCCTTAATGTTACACTTGGCAATCATCATCTTCTGGGCAATGAACACCTTGGGGGCGGGGATCTCGATACCAAGATCACCACGGGCAACCATGACACCGTCAGTCTCCTCGAGAATCTCATCAAAGTTGTTGACACCCTGCTGGTTCTCAATCTTGGCAATAATCTGAATCTCCTTACCCTCCTCGCCGAGCACCTCACGGATGTGCTTGATGTCACTACCACGGCGGATAAATGAAGCGAAGATCATGTCAACCTTGTTCTTAACACCAAACTTAAGATCGCTGATGTCCTTCTCCGAGAGAGCAGGCAGATCAACGTCAGTGCCTGGCAGGTTCACACCCTTGCGGGAGGAGATGTTGCCGTTGTTCAAGCACTTGACCTTCAGGGTCTTGTCATCCACCACCTCAATAACCTCGAAGGACAGGATGCCGTCATCGACATAGATGAGCTTGCCGGGGGAGATCACGTTGGTGATGTTCTTATAGTCGAGATACCTGTTATCATGGGACTTTGGTCAGCTCCGATTTTTGAGAAACCCTCGTTCATGCCACCGAGCCACTTGTCACGCATTTCCCTGTTTTCTTTGATGATGGAATCTTACATGTTCTTATCATCACTGGCAGCGGCATATGCGTCATCAGTGGTGATGTTAAGCACATGGCCAATGCTAATAGGAATATCCTTATCGCCGACAGTGTTACCAGTACGGATCTCAGGGCCCTTGGTGTCAAGAGCAATAGCCAGAGGACGACCGGACTGAACACGAGCAGCCTCGCGAGAGTGGTCGATCACAGATTGGTGGTACTTTGGTTTGAAGTCAGTGATGTTCCTCACCGCTTCTCAGCTTGAGGGGTGGGGGGAAAACTACTCACCTCGTATGAACCGTGGGAGAAGTTCATGCGAACAACGTTCAGACCAACTACAAGGATGATCAGTATACACTTGGGGTTTTTGTTTGAATCTGGTCAACCTACCTGTGCGGAGAGCGTTGATCTTCTCAACGGAGTTGGTCTTAGGACCTGGAGAGAAATTGTGTGTCAGTCAAAAATGTTCACAGACGGCCAACAATATATCCAGAGCCAATCCAATTGGATCCGGATGTATTGGGGGAGTTATTTGATGCCATACCGATAGTACCGATGATGGAGGTACGACGGAAGTTCTTGGCCGGAACCATCTCAGTGTTGAGCTTGGAGTGCCATTCCAGCTTCATCCGGTTGGACAAGTGGTCGAGGGAGGTACTGGCCGCCATTTTCAAGTGATTATTAAAGTAATTGAATTGTGTAGCGGGGAAAAGAGGAAGAAAGTGAGATGGGGAGAGAAAGTTAGGAGGGATGGAAAGAAGAGGATAAGTGAGGGGCGGGTGGAAAATGTTGGCCGTCAGCTATCTCCGCCTTGCCCACCTTGGGATCCCCTCAGGTTGCCCCGGTGTAGAAAGATGGAGATTTCATTGTCCGATTTCCTTTTTTTTAATTGCTTTTTTTCCAAAAAGATGCGTATATTATTTGATAGACTAGTCCATAGTTTGTTTCATTCTTCACTAACTCAAGTATAATTGATAATTGGTTTTCTATTTATTTTCCTAGTATATCTATTTGCGGCTCTACGTGCTCCGAATGCCCCTCGTTTGAAACCATTCGGTAATGGCGGGATCTCCGTATATAGACAGAAAAAAAAAAGAAGAAAAAATAGAAGCCATAACAACGCCAAAAGCGGAGGGGACCGTGCTGGCCTGCGCGGCGTACATTAGGGTCCTTCTATCGAATTAATGTGACAAATAGAGACACCCAATTTGCCCACCTGGGGGGGCAATTTGAGCCAATTCGAGCTGACGGTGACCGGCCGTCCGTTGGAGCGAGTCACTTGACCTGCGAAAATGGATTTCGGTGGGATGTTCTTATCGATAAGGATTGTGTAACATTCATATAGGGCTGATCTCGTCAACTGGTTGGATCCGTCAACTGGTGTATATACTATACCTACACTATACTACTGAGCATCTCAGGGTTAATTCCATAGTAAGGTGGCGAGTGTTGAGTGCAAACATTTGAGTATTTCAAGTTTCAATAGATCTTGGACTCGTTATGCTCTATTATTCTATATGTTGAATGGCAAAGATGTACAAGGATCCGTTGGCTTACAAGTGACAGAACACCCTTAACGTAATTCCCGCCCGAGCGAGACACCCGGTCGAGCGAGACACCTCAAAACACATAGTAAATGCGATAAATTACTACTTTATATCTCATCAACCACAATTTATTTTACTTAAACATCAGGATCTACGCTTATCTTAGTATTTGAAATATTATAACTTATTTTTTAAGTAATCTAGATGATTATTTCGATGCTTTACCATAAAATACGGCGTAATCTTGACATATGGAACATAAATATATATATCTTGTCTAATATTTTGAGTAATCATTCTGTCTTTTACCAGTAGGTTAGTAATACTATTTAGATTATGTACTTTTAATCTCTTATCATAAATATATATGGACGTTGAGATTTAAAGTAGTAATTTATCGCATTTACTATGTGTTTTGAGGTGTCTCGCTCAGGCGGGAATTACGTTACCCAATCCTATCAAGGTTAAACCTGAGGCAATGAAGGAAATTACGACATATCAATATCGGACTCATTTTCGAGTCAATCGGACAGCAATCTTTATTCCAAACTCGCCCATCAAGTCAAACCTTATACTTTGAGATACCTCGAAAATTACAAGATTCCAGCATCTATCACTATGGAGTACCAGATCTAGAACTCCAGGAGAGTCTGCAACCTTTGAAATAGAGAGGCATAAATACCCCCATAATAATCGGTGTGAGATTCAATCCCTTTCAAAGAAACTCATCTGAACTGAAACCTTCAGCACACGAAAAATCCGAGCATCAAACTTGGACTCAGCACTTGAGTGGGTATACACCGATTAACACCTATATTGGAGCCTCGGAATTCGGAATGACTTGAACTCGGCTAATCTCTGAAATCAAACCCCCAAGATTGAACATCCCATTAGGGCCCCTTCAATACGATTTCAGCAATCCTTGTTCTCATCACTGCCGTGGCTACTCAACTCTCCATTATATCTGCCAGTGATGTTGCCCCTGATCCAACTATATTAGATGAAGAGCCCCTTCCATGGACGATTGAGGGCTTCAATGTTCCGCAATGCTCCGGAGTGCCCACTTTGAGTGACAACGGTGATGGTGCTGAGGCTTGTGCGGATGTGAGCCACATTACCATCACATGGTGGAGGGCCACACTCCATCAAGCACTGACATTAAATCTCTGTAATAACGACGTGTGCGATCCCGCTGGCTGTGCACCAACTGTTGGTACTGGGCAATCTACCGGATGTATTCAGGGTACATTTGATTCATATGAGATAGCATTGGCCCCCCAAGCCTCTTCCTCTACTTACAAACCAAGGTCACTCTGGGTTGTAAGAGTTGGCCAATCTCAGTTGCTTTTGCCAACAAGAGCTCCATGGTTGAAATTCAATTATAAGAGTTCGAGTGTATTGCAAAGTTTAAGGCATCAAAATGGAATGAAATAGGATGAAATAGGTTGTGTTTCTAAGAATTTTCTTATACTGCATGAACTATATAATCATTCCTGAATTCTGATTGGTCAGAAGCGGGAATGGAATGACCCGACGTCATGTGAAATTGAAGCCACGTGATATATTTCCCCCGTCTCCTGCCGCGGATCATCTGCCCAAGTACTCGTGATAGACATAGCTCACACAACTTTGGATCTGCCAATTCTCTCCTCATACTCAATATTCACCATAAACCGGCACCATGGTATGAATGAGAAATTCTACCCTCGTCCTGTGAAGCTCAATAGGCTTTTTGGACAAGATTTGAAGACATGGGCTGACCGACACTCTTCAATACAGCTCGGCCGTCTTACTCACTACGCATTTGATGCTGTTCTTTGTAAGTGATATATTCGGGTATAAACCAAATACTTGGACACAAAGCTAACATGTCCATTCATTAGTCTCCGCCTTCCTGGCTGGTGTCAAGCGTTCCACAGGCCTAACGTAACTACATCCCCTCCAACCTTATCCTCCGTTGCTTTGCTTGGTCTATATATGCACTTCTGCAGATATGAGCCTCGCATAAAAAGTTTCCAATATATACCCAAGAGAGGACCGACTTGGCTAACTCTGTTGACCCCCGCGCCACCCTATCGGTCGGGTCGCGTGTGTGCGGGGGCCGTTCATAGCCCCAGTGTGAAAACCGAACAGATCTCCGACAACAAAGATGTGAAGAAATGGATTGATAACTACCTCGGTGTTGGCGAGTGGGTTATGGATCAATCAGTGGCTGTCATGGGATCCTCCAGCTGGTTCGAACGCAGACGATAAATTTACACCTACATATTGACCTTGCTGGGGTGACTGCGATGGATTCTACCTTGATTTGACCCGGACTCTCATCTGTGAAATGGCTTGATTTTGAATGTTTACAGGATCGACAGACTTTCCATGGCTTAGGTGGTTTGCAATAGGAACCAGTGGTTTTCCTATATCCGGGCCTTGAGAATGATATTTACCCCCTTCACAGCTGGTTTTCACGAGTGATGACCGACTTTCTTCTCTGCGCTGCTATCCTCATCTCTTATCTGTTTTCAATATGATACTCAGAGCTAAGGCGTCTTTGAATTTTCTATGCGAATACCTTTTTGTCCACTATGTCGGATGTATATCATCTCTGTGCTGAATAAATTCCATTATCAATATTCTCAATACATATACCATGACATTGGAAAGCTGCAGTAACCTGGGAAGGTTGAAGGGAATTCTACAGATGTGAAGCTCAGATTTCACTTCGAATATGGTCTAGTGGATTCAAGATAGTGCCACCACGAACAAGTCAATTTGCGGGTATGATCCATGTAGGTACGGTATGCATATGAGCACACAATACCACATGTGCAGTAATAAAAGAGTCCAAGGCGCTTATGTCTGAATCAGAGAATCTATGTCCACTCGACGATAGTAAGAGACATGGCCCATCACTTCCCAGTAGTGGGCTATGAAATCCGGGGAAATGAGAACGAGCTGAGAGGGGTTGAATGAATCTAGAAATTGCTAAATTAGAAGACTGCATCAGTTACATAGTGGGACGAGGACATACCATCTTGGAATCCAATACCAGCAACATGGCCCGAGCAATGCACAATGCGCGCATTCTCGAATGGCTCATTGGAGTCCACTCGAACAAGGCCCTTGGGCCCGATATCCGCGGCCACAAATGATACTTCACCACGTGGAACATTTGGGTCACCTGTGAGCTTAATAGCCTCTAGGCTTCCCTTATGAACCACACTATCGGGATCGTTCTCAGTTTCTTCTGGGTCCTCCGCATCCACGGCGCCTTCTGGATCCCGTTGAATGAACAGTAGGAATTCACATCCATGAGCGGAGTAGTCACCAACCCAAATGCCTTGATAAGGCTTCTCTTTCGTTGGTAAGTAGAACTTCGGATCGAGAGTAGAATATGTTGTCATTGCTTCATTATGGCCCAGAGAGAGCACCAATCGGAAATTCGCCCATCTCCGAATGCGAAATGCAAATTCCGAAGCCTGAGACGAACATTTAGGAGGAATTATTTGATTTGTTGAGAGATCTCTTTGCGTGTGATGATCACTCGGAATTAATGGTGGTGGCCAGAGCTGTTCTTGCCAGGTGTCTTTTTCATGCTCCTCTGGTTCGCGGGGTTCTTTGGGACATAATATCAACGAGCTGTAGACATGTTGAGCTTCAGCCGGCATGGGCATTTGACGCTCCAGCATCCAAGTCTGAGGGGTTGCTGTGGGTCCTTTGGTATCTTCGTCCTTCTCTTTCAGGAGGAGAACCGGATCGTCCAACCATAAACGGACTTTGGGGTCGAAGGACTGGATCATCACATCGGGATTTGACTGCCAAATTTGCAGGCTTGGATTTCCTCGATCTGCTACCACTCGATAGCCTTCGATTACCCCTCTTCGGTTGTCATAGCGAGCCAAAATCAAATTACCGGTGTGTTCGTTGTCTGCAAACCAGATCTTATGCTGGGGAATGAACCAGTAGGAGATATGTGTGAGGTAAAGATGACGATACGACGAGAAAAGACCCGGGTCATCGATTGGTGTTGGCAGATGTGAGTTGACGAGTGCGGCCCATAGTCGGTCATCGTTGCAATGCTCGGCGAGCAATCGACAGGTCACGGACACGCGAGCGAGATCTCGGGCGGACAGGTAGGAAAGAACTTGGTGGAGAATCTCGGCAGGGAGTTTATCAAGAATGGATGAGGATTCTGAAATCTGGATCCATGACTGATCATGGAGGATCTCATCGATGAGCTCTTGGTGGTCTTGGGGACTGCGGTCGCCCGACTGCTAGAACATTTGGTGTTAGCTGAATAATTCTACCATATCAGAACTTGGAAGCCAAAAAGCTGAGAACTGGGAAGACAACTTTAGAGCCCTCTGATAAGGGCGTCACACTCCCCATTTTTTAAAATGCTCAATTAACGAAAAGATAAGGCGATGCAAGCTGTGCGTTGCTCAACCCCTGCAGTAACGCAGATGACATCACTTCCGAGCGCGTTCAGGAGACATGACCAGTTTGCTCTGTGAGGGGGTTTGGATGAAGATGAGACTAGGCGGTGACATAATAGCCTATCGACTATGATACCTAGTCTCTGAATTGCTTCTCTAAGTCATCCGTTCCGCGCGAGGCGCAGCCCTGGAGGAGGAAAGCGCGGTGGGTCGTGTCGATAAGAGATAACATGAACTCCGCACTTGATCGGCGAACCAAAGGTTTATATTATATGATGCTATCTTCAGAGTATTGGAAATATGGGATGGAATGAAGTGATAAGGGATACTGGAGATGCTTATGGTCCAGCTTAAAGGGGAAAATTAAGCAATTTATACCGTGACCCTAAAAACCTTACTACTACCTAGTACGTCGCGATCAGAACCACTGGCAGATTTGACAGTCTTGAAGGGCTGAATGCTCTACTATATATCTGAGAGTTCGCCCCACTCCGAGTCCATGCGTAGTACCATCTTTCACAAAGATTGATTCACAACCTTCGAATCTCCATCCATGGATATCCAAGTCCTTTCCCTTTAATACTGGATTCTCAGAAGTTGAAACAAATCACCTCCCCCTATATGAGTGGTTCTTGACGTCACATCATTGAAGCTGGTCCATAACATCTGGTTTCTGTTTATGATATCATCGAGCTGTCTCAGTTTATTTAACCTCTAGCAAGCTTACCTGTGCAGTCTTTGACCACGGGAAATCAGAGTATCTTCAACTTCCACCTGGGCATGAACATGGCGCGTATTTTCATTACCGGTTCCAGCGACGGGATCGGCCAAGCAGCTGCCAAAATCCTCGCAGACCAGGGCCACTCAGTCGTCCTCCACGCACGAAACGCAGATAGAGCTGCCTCAACTCATGAAGCAGTTCCCAAGGCCGAATCAGTCTTAATTGGTGATCTACGTTCCATCTCCGAGATCAAGAAACTCGCCAACGAAGCCAAAACGAGCGGCCCCTTCGATACTATTATCCATAACGCAGGCATTGGCTACGGTGCTACATCTAGCAGGGAGATCACGGCAGATAAGATATCTGCTGTATTCTCCGTCAATACTCTTGCCCCATATATTCTCACTTCCTTGATGGATAAACCCAAATCACGACTCCTTTACATGAGCTCGGACAGCCACTACGGTGGTGATGAGTCTCTGCGCAATGTGACACGGTCGACTTCGTATGGAGACAGCAAGTTACATGATGTAATGCTGGCCAACGCGTTTTCCCGCCGCTGGGGTGATAGTATTCAGGTTGTGAGCATGCACCCGGGGTGGGTCAGAACAAAGATGGGAGGTTCAATGGCCCCTGGTGGAATGGATAAACCGGCCAAGGCGCTGGCTGAGTGGGCTATTGGGGAAGGGAAGTTGGCGAGTCTCAGAAGTGGAGCATTTTTCACGACGCGAGGTGAGGAGTCGACGCACCCTGGTGCTGGTAATGTGGCCAAACAGGAGGAATTATTGAAGATTTGTCAGGAGGTGTCTGGAGTATCAATTCCGGAGTAATACTATGGAGGGGCCGAGTACGGAGTACTTAGACTTGCACCATATCCCTCCAAGTTCATGTTTATACATATAATGAGAAGTGTTTCCACTGAAAGTCAGTATTATTGGACTATTTGAAATCCCACATTTGGAATGAGAGGAACTCGCCATGTTACATGCACATTGCGAAACTATTTATGACCTGTTTCAAAATGTTCAAAATGTTGCTCCTTATTGCAGGCCTGCCGCCTGGTATAGTGGGGCCGACACGCCAAATTCCGGCGCGTTAAATACTGAGATTGTACTCCAAGTTCAAGGTATTTCCTACACTTCATCTTGCTGATTAGAGCATTGTCTGTAGCTATAAAACTACTAAAATTAAATAACTTATCGTAACTCCTTAGAACTTATGAATATCAATGCTGAACTTGTTACAGATACACGTGATGACCCAAAACAGCAGCTTGTTTACATACGCCGGATCGGGAATCATGCAGTACGCGCAAAACGCCTCTGCTGCCTACAGGGGACCCACTACTTGTTTGTTTGTTGTGAAGTATAGAAAACATCTTTAAGGCGCTAATCGGCTTAACCCTGGCTGTTTATTTTCCTCTCAAGTTTGTCCCACCTTGTTCCTGGTACTTTGGTTTCTCCCCACTCTATCATATACCCACAGTGACACTTGGGCATCTATAATTACAACTTGTGTTCAATAATACCAAGAAAGAATACTTGGAGAAGATACAGAAAAGGAGCCTTGAAAAAGGTGGATATTTCCGCTTCCAAGATGGAAACAAGACAGACTACCAGAAAACGACGAAACAGCTCCGTTTCCAACTCAAGGAGCACGTCGCCTGTGTCGCACCGCACCAGACAATGTGTGTCTGGATCATCCGGGGCTGAGCCTATCGTGGCCTCATCTGCACCTAAGCCTGCAGTAAGCACCCCCAAAAAATCAAGAAAGCGGGTTCGGTTCTCAGATCCAGGCCCACAACTGCTTGGAAATGGTTTCTGCTCTACCGGGTTAACACCCGCCATGCAACGCACTTCCTTTGATGGTGGTATCTCAGCTGGGGATGCTACACCTAGCCGGAAGGCCCGACGTCGTTCAGCCCCAACACCACGTTACCGACGGCGGTCATTTGACCCAGTCGAGCCTTTTGATGAGACATCATCGGAAAGAATTGTCCAGTTCACTCCTCTGCGTCAGATTCTAGACACAAGAACCAAGCGAAGAATTCGGCGCATTGGACTGAGCGATGAGATCAACAGCATTCAGCGCGAGAAGCGCGACGCTGCAAGTTTTGAGAAGACGTTGGCTACTCTCCTCCGGGAGCGAGATGCCTTGCAACAAGAGTTGACCTCTATGAAGCAAATTCGGGGAGCCTCAGAGGAGCGAATGCCATCTTATGAGTCCTATTGGAGGTCATCCCAGATCCAAGTGAACGACTTGGAAGAACAGACAACTATATTACAAGACCATATATCTATCGCTTCCAACTCTGCCGCGGAAGAACATGAACCATCTGTTCAAAATGACGGGGATACCTTCATGATCAATGATAGTGCCATCCTTACTTCGGAGTCTCCTGTTTTTCGAGGCCAGCGCCACATGCGTTCACCAGTACCCGAACAACCAGGTCTATTTGACGATTCCCGGCTCGACGATGGTCCCGGAGACACTGAAATTGACGGCCTCAACCTCGATCTGGAGGCCGCCAGAAACGAGAAGAGAGATCTCTTTGATGCGTGTCGCTCACAGATATCCGCATTTGAGAATTCAGAGCTGGGCGATATCCTCCAAAAATCATCGCCGCCTGCAGACTTCCTCGACAACATCCTGAATACTTTAACTACTGCTCTTTCCCGTGCTTCTGATGCCATCAAGACTCTTGAAGGCATCAGTCAAGAGTGTTCAAGCTTGGGGTTCTCAGGAACAAGCCTTGATGATGTTATTTCCAGCATGAGAAACGAATTCCGCTCCGCGCGCCTAGAGCTCGAACGTACCGTTCCGGGCGAAACGCCTGGTGGCCTTGAGAATGGCAAGGCAACATTAAGTGCCTTGGTGAAGCGAGTCAAGTCGCTAGCCAGGGAGCTCAGATCGGAGCGCAAATATCACTACGGCTCTCTGGGACGTGAAAAGGCCCTAAGAGGACAATTCGACAACTTGCTTTACCGGTACGAAACAGCAACAGAGAAAATCAGCACACTCGAAAACTCCATCGCATCTTCCGCAAGTGACATGATTCACACCCGCATGCGGATGCAAGATCTTGAGAGTGAAGATCAGGAAAAGACCGTTGGGATTGACAGGTTAAATACGGCACTCGACAAGTACCACGAAGACGTCAAGGGTCTTGAAGAGCTGGTCAGCAAGATGGAGGACGGAAATGTTTCTATGAAAGCCAAGTACCGCCAACAGATATCCGCACTTCGGAAGGAAGTCGCTCATGAGCGCGAACAAAGATCTGCGATCGAGCTCTCTGCTACCGAATACGAGTCTCGTATTCGAAAACTGGAAGAGACTGTTGAGAAAAACCGAATTCAGGCTTGTGCTCTCACTGCTGAGATGGAGATTCTTGAGAAAGAGCATGAAAAGGCTCTTGATCAGAAAGCACAAGAGCAACTACAGCATCATGAGCAAGAAACGGGGATCTTGAATGTTCGAATCTCTGAACTCTCGACTTCTCTTGAAGCTACTCGATCAGAGACTCAACGCCTTCGAAGGGTCAACAGTGGTCTCGAAGAGCAACTGCAAGTGGAGCTGGAGGCTCGCGATGATCTACTTGATAAATGGGCTGCTGAACAGGCCCGCTCCTTTGCTCATATGAAGGAAGCTGTTAGTTCTGAACGACGGAGAGCTAAGGTTCGTGCGGCTAATTGGGAACTTAAATCCGATGATCTCATGTCGGATGGAACCACGATAGCTGGAAGTGAGCCTATTACCCCGGTGAGCATGACACGGTTTGTCGATGTTGAAATGGGGAGAGGCAAGGATCGTCGACGAATCGACAGCAATTTTGGGATTTTCACCAATGAAGATGAGAGTGAAGACATGCCCGATATCCAGCATCGCCTGGATTCTGACATTGATTTGCCGACTTCTGATCTGATTGCATGATTATCTTCTTTACATTATTTCCTTTGTTGATACTTTGTACATCTAGAGGCTTTCGGACCTCATTCAATATTTGAATTTTTATATAATCTCAAGTTAATATCTTTTGCAAAATTGGCGCCATAAAGACGATTGTTAGGTACTGAAATGATGTCAATTTGAACGCAGATCTATAGAATGATAATGTTCAAGTAGGTATCTGACAGGTGAAAAAGGGACACTAGAAAATGAATTTCAAGGCAGGCATCCATCCATGGGTATTGAAAACAAAAATAAAATCGGTCCGGGATCACCGCTTCACCGGCACATCACTCTGGGCAGCAGGCCCCTTCGTGGTGACAATAGATGGCGTAGCAGTAGACACACGAGAAATACTCTCTGAAGAGGACTCCGCAGTCTTGCTCGATTTACCCGAAACAGGGTCTGACTTGTACTTCTTATCGTGACCAGGTTCACCAAAGATAGCACCCACAAGACTGAAGATGTTGTTCATGCGTGTGATCATACAGTATGCGAGCGTCATACCAGTAATGACCATCTCATCTCTCAAGCTCTCATCATATGCCGCCTGACCCATCAGTTGGATCTTGCCCAGCTTCTTGATTCCCCACAGATTTGCAGAAAACTTGGCTACGGGCATTTGTTGCTCGTCAACGCACACGAAGTCCCATTTAGAGAGACCGATATCGCCAGTCCAGGTTAGGACCACAGGTTTGTTGTCGTGATTTTTGAGTACTCCAGAGCGGTGGGTATAGAGTGTGCTGAGGCGCTTTTGCGCGACGAGAGTATCTTTACGACCATGGCACTCATAGTCTGCGTCAATGTTGATTATGTGGATGGATCCTGTGCCAATAACGTCCTGTGTAGCACCGGACAGGTAGACGAGCTGTTTTTGGGAGAAAATTTTGTATTTGACCATGTAAAGAGGTACTTCGGGGGTTTGAGTGTCGCTGATTCTGGATGTGAATTTACCCCATTTGAAATCGATTTGGAGGGTGACATGTTGCTTTGTTGTCTCTGATGACTGCATTTGGGTGGATTGGGACAGATGTGGTTGAAACTCAGAGGGTGCGACTGTGGAGACTTCAGACATGTTGGTGGATGTCTTCGCGATATGTGTAGATGCCATGATGAATGGTTTATGACAATTCGGAGTCAAGTATATGACCTGGGAGGTATATGGAGTCTTTGAATTGTCGGATAAGATGATGGTTTCTTTCGAGCTCTTGAACCAGGGACTGAAAGGATCTTTATATCCGGCCATAGGGCTCTAATACGAACACCATATGGCAGTGGACCCTTGACCTCTTGGGGCGCAGTTGACTTGGCAGCATCAAGAACCCGATGATCCACTTCCGATTCGGGGATTATGAACCGCTAAACCAATCAACAGGCTTGGAGTTGAGTGGACGGGCTGATCTCAGCATAAGGTTTCTATGAAAATGATGTCATGGCCCCAAAAAGACCCTTTGCCCCATAATGGATTATCAAGATCCGAGAGTGTATTGTGGTGTGATTCCATTGGAGTAAAGACGAGGTGGAGATGATTTTTTTTATAGTGCTGATCATGATGGGACTGTATAGTCCTGGAGATTGGTGTCAAAACAAACATTAAACAAACTTGAACGTGGTGATAAACTATAACCCTAAACCTAAGTATCATTTTCGGATTGTTTGTTGTTTGATCGAGTGCTTGCAAACATTGTAAGAGTGACATGCCCTATGGCCACTGTCACTCGAAGACGTTTCCTAATTGGGAAGTGACACTCACTTTCATTCACTCCACGCGACACGCGACTTCCACTCCCACCACAACTCTGGTCAACACCGTCTTCGCCTAAAATGGTTTAACACAACTCATTGCCAGAGCTGTCCCTCTTTTTATTCTTTTCCTTCCCCATTCTCTTCTTCTTTTCTTCTTCTACTCCCCACCCTTGGGGTCTTCAATTTCTTGCGGTCTTCATTTTTCTGCTGCTTCCAAGTCACAATCCTGTCATCCATCTATTGTTTCTTGCAGTTTTCCTGAGGCAGCCTTACAAGTTTTGTTTATCTCATTCCACTCTCATCTCATACAGGTGTCTGATATCTTGCATCTGTTTTGGTCGCCATACATCCACAAATCTTGTTTCTCCTCCACAAATCTTGTTATTTCTCCTCTTCATCCTTACAATCTCCACTCCCTCTAACCAATATCTTCCCATTGTGTACTTGCCACCTGCACCATGGATTCCGGTTTCAAGCCTGATCCTATTCCTCCCCTCCAGCACCCTGATGGTGTTGCTTGGGGCGATGTCTACAAGCTCAAGGCGTCCGCTGCCGCCAACATTGAAGATGCTCTTCAGGCTTTGCCCATCAACGGCCAAGCCATCCACCTGGATGGAGATTGGGCTTCGGTGAACGTTACCGTCCGTATCAAGGACCATGACCGTATGTTACTAACATCCTCCGATTCCCCAAAGACCCGATTCCAAACATCAAATACTAACATCAAAAACCAGAATCCGCCATTGGCCACCATTACTTCCAGCAGCCATGGACCAAGAAGAACAAGTTCTCGATTTCTTTCTCCATCGTTTTCCACCGCGATGTGAACGGCAATGATCTGGTCTGGGGCAATGAGTTTGACCACTCAATTGCCAAGAAGCTGCCACGAGGCTTTGATATCATTGCCCGCTCCGTCAAGAAGATGGTCGAACCCACCATGGAGCTTGATGCCTACAGCGACAAGCCTTCGATCTTCTGCCCTGCCCTTGTCAGCTGGTCTCAGCTCCGCATTGGAAGAGAAGCCCCGACCGTCGACCAGATGCTGAAAGGATCTACTTTCGTCCAGGAAGGTGCCGACAATGAACGTGCCCTGGAACTCCGGAACAAGATGGGCATGCCTGAATCGCCCGAGGCCCGCAAGGCCCATTACCGAAAGGAGTCGAACCGAAAGGACTTCTGGTTCTTTGCCGGCATCCAGCACTCCGTCGATTTCGGAAACTCGTACCTGGACATGCAAGGTAAGTTGAAAGAAAGAATCAATCACTTGCTTGATCACTTCACTTTACTGTTTCTTTCTCTGGGATGTATCTGAGCTAACTATCTTTTTGTAGAGCTGCGCCTGAGCCTGCCGGGGTTCAATTTCCCCGTGTACCACCTCGTCGATGAGGAGACCTGTGAACTCCGGTTCACCTTGAAGAACAAGGTGACCGGCCAGGTCTACCTCATCGTCGTGCTGTCCCTGGACCCCGGAGCGCGGGTAGACGAGTTCTACCGCGACCGCCAGCAGGCGGTCATCAACAGAAATGTGGGGATGACGGAGGAGGTGTGGATGCGCCAGTTGATGGCGGGCCAGTAGGGGGGGCCCGGGGAGGAAGAGGAGGAAAGGGGAGGGGGGGGGGGGGCTTAGTCAATTTGATTTTTTTCCGTTCTCGCTTTCCTTTCCAAAGTAATCCATAAAAGAAGCCACCTGTGTAGTTTGATTCAATGACTGCTGGCTGTCATTATCTATAGAGCTTCACTTTACTTGCCGTGTAGATGTGGGCTCTGCAGGCATTCAATTAGCCTTTAACTTAGACCCAGGTTATCAAGGTAGTAGAATGATCTTTATCCAAGAAGCGGGTTGTATAGAAAGAAGTATTGAAAGCGATATCGATACCAATTTGGATAAAGTCTTCAATTTTTATGTTTGTTTCAACAAACATCTACCCAACACGCAATGTTATATACAAGTAATTTCTTACAGACGCTTGAGGACATCCTCCAGAACCTGGGTAGTAGTAGCCTTACCACCCATGTCAGGGGAAAGGAACTTAGCCTCATCGAGGTTACCGTCAACAGCAGCGTAGATCTTAGCAGCAGCAGCCTCCTCTCCAAGGAACTCCAGCATGAGAGCAACACTACGCAGAGTAGCGATAGGGTTGGCAATACCCTGGCCCTCAATATCGGGAGCACTGCCGTGGCAAGGCTCACCGATAGCGAAGTTATCACCGACGTTAGCGCTAGGAACCAGACCCAGAGAGCCAACGAGGGCAGCAGCACCATCGGACAAGATGTCACCGTAAAGGTTAGGAGCAACGATAACATCGTAGTACTCGGGCTGACGGAAAAGCTTGTAAACCATGGAGTCGACAATCTGCTCCTCGACGTGGATGGAGGAGAACTTGGCGGCGGCGAGAGCCTGGCGGGCAGTCTCACGGAACAGACCATCGGTCTGGGAGAGGACGTTGGACTTGTGGGTGATGGTAACCATAGGCTGGGAGTGAACGGACGCAACGGGGGAAGTGGAGCGGATGTTCTGGCGACGGAGAGCAATCTCTCCGGCAATGGTGGAGATGCGCGATGAGGCCCGCTCAGAAATGCGCTTGATAGCCTCGGCGACCTTGCCTTCGGGGGTATCTCTGGTTGTCTCCTCCTTCACGTAAAGATCCTCGGTGTTCTCGCGGACAATGACAAGGTCAATGGGCTTGCCGTTGCTGCTACCGGCGGTGGTCTTGACGGGACGGACGTTGGCGTAGAGGTCCAACTTCTTGCGCAGAGCAACGATGGGGGAAGAGTAACCGGCCACCTTGGTGCTTGGGGAGCTAAGTGCGGGAGATGAGTTAGTGGATGTGTAAATATGGGATATGTGTGCTATAATTTAAAAAGCTTACCTGACAGCACCGAAGAGAGCACCATCACACTCCTTCTTGAGAGTCTCAACAGTCTTGTCCGGCAGAGCACTACCGGTACGCTGGAAGGTCTCGAAACCAGCATCGAGGTCAACGAAGTTGAACTTCAGGCCCAGAGATGAGGGCAGAGACTCGAGAAGACGACGGCCGGCCTGTTCACAAGTAATTGGAGCTATAATTAGTGAAATTGTCCTGTTTCATTGTCCTGCACAAGAATTACGTACCGGGATGACCTCCCGTCCAATACCGTCACCGGGGATGAGACCTGCACAAGATCAATTAGCGTCAATTCGACATCAAATGCCATACTCTGGATATATACTGGTCCTTACCAATGCGAAGAGTACGAGCAGCAGCCATGGCGATTTATTCAGAGTCGCTTCCTGAATTCGAGCATTCGCCGTCATCGGAGCCTGTGCATTTTGTATGCGGCATCGGATTATCATTTGTCCGAACATACTCCGGACCCCGGAGTCTAACGCCATCAGGGTTTTGTTATGGAGTACTCCGTACACGGGGAACACTTTAACTTGAACACAGTACGTAAAAAATTCATATCTAAATGTTTTAAATCAAAATACAGCTGAATGAGAGAATGGTGAGTTCCTTCATTATGCATCACGGACAAAAAAAACTTTAATTCGGATAAAATTTCCAAGGTTACAAGTATAGGATCTACAAGCATTGCCTAAAAGGGACCTGATCGCGAGCTGGCATTCGGTGGCTGAGCTACTCACTTTTTTTTCTCTCACTAGGTGCAGACTGACTCATAATTCCCGTAGCTCGTTGTTTTTGGTCATTTTGGGTCATTGATCCATTCAGTTTTATGGTTCGACCCAGACAAAAGCACGCTAAACCCAAAGTGGTCTTTGACCGCGATGTGTTCCACATGGTGAAAGATCTGTGTACTTCGTATAGTAGATGAGACTGAAGAAAAGTTGCTGGTTCTAGGATATTTAAGGAGAGGAAATTCCTGTATTCTGGGCATTAATAGCAACTTGAAGAATTCTATCAATCGATCACTGTCATCTATCATTGGGACTCAAAGGATTCATAGTAACTCATATTAGAGTACAACATCCACCATGATTATGACCATTTCGTCTCGTGCAGCATATGCTTATATCTCAAATGGACTGCATAGCGTTGCAATTGCGCAGGTTGTACTATTCTCCATTATCCTCGCAGTCCAATTTCCCATGAGGTATATGCAAGAATGGCGCTACTGGCACCACAGCAAGAGGCAAAGTCACGCACGTTGTGCCCTCTATTCTTGGTGGAGCATGATTGGCTTGCTATGCATGAGTAAGTAATATTCTAGAACAACAAGTGAAAAGAGTCGGTTGGCAACTTGAACTAACAAATTCAGTCCGCATTATTGGCTCTGCTATGGTTATAGCTACTTCAGAGCCAACCGAGTCCATGCTCACAGCAGAATTGTCCTTGCAAAGTGTGGGACTGTCACCCCTTTTCTTTGAAGTCAGTTTGCTTCTTCTGCGATGGTATGTTTCCTCCCTCTTCAGCTCCAGAATAGGGGACTGACACTAATCTGGACAATAGTGGACAGGCTGGCCAAGATGGTCCCGGTGATTCGAAATATCCGAAGGCCTTGCGTATCACATTGCATGCTTTCCGGCTGCCAATTATTATCTCAATCGTTCTCGGTGTTGTTGGCAAGATCATTGACATGAAGGCGCTTGGAGAAGCAGGATCTATTCTTCTGATAGTGACTTTCGCTGTTGTGTGTGGCATCGTGTCGTGGCTTGTGGTGAAGTCTCGCTCCATGCTCTCAGTAGAGGGCCACCGGGCCGTCCTGCTGGTAGCGCTTGCTCTACCATTTCTCTTGATCAGAGTCATCTATTTCATTCTGCAAGAAATTGGGCCAGCTAAATTCAGCCTTGCATCGGGTGACGTGGGTATCCTGGCGGGGATGGGTCTGGTCATGGAGGTTATTATTGTTTCTTTGCTCGTAACAGCTCGCGCCGTTGCAGAGCCAATCTGGTCCACCGAGAAAAATATTTCTGATGGTATGGAACGGGCTTGAGCTATTGTGACCACATGTGGAAATTTCCATGCTTGAGTTTTGCAGAATTGAATTAGAGTATCGTTATTTTCTTGAAGTTTGTTCGTGGCCAATCTATATGACTGTCGTGAAATTCTCTGGCTTGGCAGCAGCGTAGGTCTTTGAGAACTCCTGCAAGTGGCTCACGAGCCAAGCCCTGGTCAAAGGATCTGCCGTTTCTATCGCAACTCGCACGGCAAAACCCATTCGATAGGGACCCAGAATTCCGGTAGTGGCGTACTCAATCGACTTGCAGATTTGGTCGCGAAAGAAAATAACCATGGCTTCTTGGGGACCTGGATATCCAAAAGTCTTCAAGGCTTCGTGAATAATTATCATATATGCGTAGTAGCCACAGTAAATAGAGGCATCAAGCAAGTCCGCATACACCAGAACCATCGGAAACAAAGCATCGCCTGTGGTCGAGGGTTTCTCAACTGGCGGGGATGAAATCTGAGACCAGTTCTCATACCAGGTAGCCATGTTGGTTTGCATATCGAGTACTTGATCCAGGGCATCTGAGAGCTGCTGTAAAGTCTCTGGCTCTGAGAAATCTCGGTCTTTGAGGTCGTAGAGATTGTGCACGATTCTCGGGGAATGGGTGAAATATGCGAAAAATTGCTCAATGCAGTCATTGTAACCTTGTGGCCAGTCTGTTGTGAGTTGGTGTTGCTGTCGCATCATGTTATGCCATTCTTCGTCGGCTAGAAAACAGTCTTCTCCTGAAAACATTGAGTGCATGACCTGTTGAACTGTTAACAAAGCGAGTTATAGCGGTGGTAGGCGTCAAACGATTTGGTTTCTGAGTGAAAAAGTGTAGGGAAATCACATACAATCAAACCTCTGGCTGATTTGAGGAGCGATATATCAAGTTGGTTGCGGTAACACTCAGGTCCTCGTACTTTGACCAGTTGACCAAGCCCTTTTGCGTGTGTCATCCAAGACGCGGGATCCTCAGCATTTGCAAAAAGCTTCGAGGCCATGTCAGAATGGCAGCGATTAGAGAGGCAATATGGGCTCCTACCTCATACATGCATAGCAGCACAACAGCACAAAAAACATTGGAGGAAAGAGATTCCGAGGGGTTCATTAGAGCCTTACGAAGCCAATGCAAGGCTTCTCCGTAGGCTGATTGTGCGTAAAGCATCATTTGCTGGTTCTGCAGATTCTGACCAAAATGATGTGCAGAAAAGGATTTGATTGCGGCATCTAATGCTCGGTTCTGCCCATAGATGGATGGCAGAAATCCAAACCAGCTGCCCAGTGCAATATTGGAATTACCTGAAGTATTGGAAGAGGTTGTGAAATCGGAGATGAACACGCCCAAACTTTGGATGACATTCACGTCTCCTGATATAAGAGGCGCTGGAATTGCGACTGTCCTTTGAACTTCCAAACAAGTCTCTGAACTAGAATCGCTGGTGTTCGGGCTTGTGCTTGGTCTTGGCGATGTCAAGCTTGATGTCCTAGCACCTCTATCTTCTGTTTTGGTCTGAGCCCGACGAGTTCTGTAGGGCTTGGACGTGATAAATTTGAACCTCTCGCCATAGCCAGGACATGGCTGTCCGTATGTTTCACATCTAGCACAGCCTGGGGTCCGTTCATCGCACTGTGGCGTTTGTTAGTCTTGAGATGGGTATTTCTCCATGGAGATGCCTACTTTGACCCGGCGATTTACACATAAGCGACAGCCAGTGCTTCGAGGCATACTGACCATACTACTAGCACTTGACCATTTCGAACCATACCTTTATGAAGAGATCGGGGCTCATCGTATTCCTGAGGTCCCCTCACCAATCCTGACATAATCCATGTGATGAGTCAGCATATTTGACAGAACAAGGGTGCAGAACTAGCCCAATTGGGTTAGTTCAAACCACTATTAAATGGAGAGCTCCGATTGGTCAAACCAGGATGGACTACATGACCGATCAGGTGATCTCCAGGCAGAATTTATGTGCGTAATTATCAGAATGAGAGAATCAGACCTGTTGATACATCCCATTGCGACCGCCTACTGCATTAGACATTGTAGTCTGTCAATATTATTGCAGCCTTAGAGCCTGAGGTAAGCTTGTCAGATATCATTTATAGTTACTAACTAGTAGGTGTGCATTGTTAAATAGGCATACATATGTGAGCTCATAAAAACATAGTTATAGCTATACCCAAACAATATTCCTCTATAGAAATCCTCAGCTTCGATTTGAACCTAGAACATTCTGATATGTGGGGGGAAAGCGCCATGTGCATAATAGATGACATGCCGATAATACCGGTTCCCCACTGTCTAGTACAGAAAAAAACGAACAAGAGACATGAATACCTGTCCTTCTCTATAAATAACCTGGATTTTTACAATTTTATCCCAAAAGTTGCCTGATAGTGTTGTGTACTTCATAGGATGAAACACAGTATTTATTGGTGGGAAGATATTTGTATATGGGAGGACCAATCGAACTATGGATTCACACAATAGAACTCCGGATCGCCGATCGTACCCTGCAGCTAGCTTTGTTTTGTTTTTATTCTTCTTTTTTTTTCTGCAAGGAGCTATTGTTTTTAGTTGTAAACTTGGAAAGTGACTTGTCTAATACCAAAATTGAAACACTCAGGACAATCCTGAGGTTTTAATTATATCGGTGGCCACAGGAGATTATAGGTAGAAAGAACAGAGTAGACCATTAGCAGCCGAGGCAGTCGGAAATGAGCAGGAATATGGAAAGGAGGTGAGTTATGAGATCATGAACTAGGCCGAAACATAATGATCTGAAATTAATGAAATTATTGGATAATAGAAATGGCGTATGCCCCTGAAATATACAAAGAGGAGAGATTGTGTACTCCGTACGGAGTAGACACTGTACTGTGTTTCACCCCCATTGGATACGCTAATTAATCACTAGCGCATTAGTCTCCTGATCGACCCTTCTTCACACCTTCTCTCCTTCCATAATCTACAATTGACTCCCTAAAGAAACCACCGTGTTTATTGTGACTTGTCTACCCCAGGAGGGGGCTCATTTGGGCTATATCCTGTCGCCTCTGAAACCCTGAACGCGTCTTATTGTGTGCTACTTACCGACGCGTCCATCACCCTTCAAATCCGCCTCAATCCGCCGTTTACCCCCCCTGACTACCTCAACCGCCCTTTTTGCTAGAATGATGTCGGACAACAATGCCCACCCAGGTGTTCGCAGCCTGCTTGCCAAGTTTGAGAACAGCCCAAGCCAGGTGAACTCGCCGCCCTCGCGGGGAAGATCGCCTGTTTGCTCGGATACCCCAGGTTCTACCCGCCCGCTCTCAAAAGTTCGCGCTAGCTTTGTGACGGTGGATGGAGTGGTTCAGTCTAACCCAGGCTCGCCATTACGAAAGACAAGTGGACGCAGTGATAGTTCTGGGATCTTTGGTCCCAAGATCAATGAACAGGCTGTGGAAGCGCGTCGCCAAAATGTAGCGACCCCAACACCGGGCAGTCCAAGTGATAGCCAGCGGGGTGTTCTCGATCAAGTGGCCAAAGCTGTTGTATTGGAGACAAATGCGACCGTGGTCAAGAATTCAGACAACAATGAACCTACGCCTGCAGTGAACACCGCATCTCCAGGAAAGGAGACACCACCTAAAAAGACTGAGAAGCGCAGCCCAGCTGCATCTACACCTACACCTGCTACAGCGGCTTCAGATAAGCCAGCTGCCAAAGTAATTACAAAGCGCCCATCATCTATCAATGCCACAAAGGCCAGTGTTTCGCATAAGCCAGCTTCGCCTGCGGCTTCCACTGCCTCTAAACAGCCAGCCACCACAGGAACAAAGTCTGCCAGAGAAACGGCCAAGGAGCGTGCTGGTACTCTTGCTACCAAACCAAGCCGTGCCGCATTGAACTCAGCAGTCAAGGCTGCCCCCAGGACCACCAGGGGCTCGACGCCTTCGCAAGAGAGCTCAAAAACCTCTCCCCCGAATAGCGCAAAGGCTCAACCAAGATCCCCCACTAAGCCTGTTCGTTTGCCGGCTTCTATGACTGCACAGACGCAAGCATCATCTGCCAAGGTGGGAAGTACAGCACCTGCTACCGGTCGCATTAGTGCTGCTACCTCAACACTCACAAGAAAGCCATCATCTCTGAAGAGTGCAGCTGGTGCGGGACAGACACGATCTCCTGTGAACGCCACAACAAGTGTGCGCAGACAACCATCCCGACCTTCACTTCCCTCACAAACCAACTCAGAGCGGCCCAGCTCTCGTGTCAGCAGTGTGGGTACCAGCAAGCCTGCTGTTAACGAAGGCTTCCTTGCAAGAATGATGCGTCCAACTGCCAGTTCAGCAAGCAAAAGCCATGAGAAGCCAGATGAAAAGCCTGCTCAACCTTCCACCACTGTTCACAAATCCCCACGGGCATCATTGGCACGAACTCCAGAGCGCAGTGTTCAGCAACCCAAGGCTAAACCTTTGGCTTTACGTCCTCAATCAGAGAAGACTCCTGCATCCAACAAGGAGCCGCTTTCTAAGAAGGAGCCTAGCAAGCCCAAGGTTACTCAGCCAGAGCAGGACAGTGAGAAAGAGAATGTTGAAGATCAAACACTGGTTATTCCGGAAGAGCCCGAGTCTACTGACGCCCATGAAACCATTGAAACATCCAAGCCTGAAGCCCCGGTGGAAGTGCCTACAGCTGTCGCCAAGGAAGAAGTTAATGAGCCCGCTGTTGAGTCATCGGCAGATGCAATTGAGCCTACTGCCATTGAGGCCCCAGTGGAGCCTACTCCAGCTCCTATCGAACCTACTGCCGAGAGTATTGAGAAGGAAGAAGCTCAGGAATCTGCCGAGTCCACCGAAAAGACCGATGATGTTGTGGCCTCCAGTGAAGTCGCAAAGGAATCCCCCGTTGAAATCTCAACTGAAGCTATCACCGACGGGGATGCCACTCCTGAATTTGCTGACGCCCAGACCGAATCTACCGAAGAGGTCTTTGGCACTCCTTCCGACTCTGGCTCTGAGAAGGAAACTGGTGCTGCCCACGCAGAAGATGCTGTAGCCGAAAAACCCAGCGTTTCCGAAGCTCCTCCGTCCCTTGATGGTCCTACCGATATTGCCGACGAGGTCGCTAAAACCACCAATGGCGCCATTGCCGTCCCTGAGGACTTGACCAAGTCCGAGGAGAAACCAGCTGGCGATGATTCTGTTGCACAAGAAGTCGCGCCCGAGGCTAAGCAGGATGTCGAAGAAATTGATTTCGTCAGCCTTGCACTCAACTAGATGGATGATTCCTCTCCTACATCCCTATCCTTACACCCCGAGACACTATTTTAATCTTCTTTGCTTATACCCTTAACATTTCCACTCTGGGCGCAGTCTGCCCCAACCTGCCCCTTGGCGATTGCGCTGCGGCGTTTTACTCTTTTATTCTTCCCGCTTCTTTGGAGCTTATTGGCTTTTCTGGCTTCTATGGTAGCATATGGCCATTCATCCTATGTTTACCACGGCCTGTGTTGACATTTTCCTGTACTGATATCGAGAGCATAAGGTTTTCTTGAGCGATTAATTGCATTCGGGTTGAGCATTGTACTTCTCTGTTACTTATTGTTTACATTGTTGCATTAGCATTTTATACGATAGAAGAAATTACTTCACTTCCTCGGGGTCTTTTTTCATATTGTGCTTCATTCAAAGACATAGAATAAACTTGAATGTCTTTCGAGGATAAATATCGCCCGGTGAATGGCTACACATGTACTAGTACTAGTAATGCGGCCAACTGAAGAGATATAGTAGGTCTTCGGTTGTACGCAAGTGAGATCATGATGAAGTCATTTAATGTTAGGATAATTTCATACTACAAAAAAGAAGGACATTCACTTTCAATTTCATAAACAACAGCTAAATCGCTCAAATTGCCACAGCATGCATAAACTCAAGGTTTCAAACAAAAGAAACACAGATGAGGAGACAATCAACAGGAAAATAACAATAAATCCAAAAAAATCTAACCCAACTTCTTCTCCAATCGCTTCAAAAACCGATTCACTCCACCTTCCATTTTATGCGCCTTATCCTCGATGCCGTGTGACCGTTGTCCTGGAGCCTTCATGGCCTTCTTCGCCATTTTCTGTGCATGCGAGTTCACCTCGTCACTAGTAGGTCGATACACCTGAGCATGGATATCATATTCCGATACACTGCGCTGCACAGGTTGCGGCTGTTGCTGCTCATACGGGTAGTTCGAGAATCCCACCGGAGCCTGCTGCTGTGGCATACCGTATGCCTGCTGTGCGTACATATAGGCATTTGGGTCATGCGACGGCGGTGCAAAGGACATACCACCAGCCTGAGGAACAGGATGACCCGTAATGAAGGATTGCTGGTATGTTGGTAATCCAGGGCTGTGTAATGGGGTCCCACCCATGCCGAATGAATTTGCATGAGGCAGTCCTGCACTTGGAGGTGGAGAGGCGTAACCCGGAGGTCCTGCAATGGCAGTGTTGTAGGGCATCCCTGGCGTTGAAGTGGGTGGAGGTGCGAAAGAGCTTATCCCGACATTGGGGGGTTGGTGCGGCGGTGTATATCCGAGGCTCATGCCTTTCGCTGCTTCTACAAGGCCTGTTCCTTGGGTGCCGTCTTCTGGTGGCGGTGGTGTCTTCTCGCGGTGTTGAATTGGTTCCGGGGCCGCTGGAGCAGCAGGATTGTATGGTAGTGGTGCGATGCTCTCGGGTTCTTTCGGTTGCTCCGGAGAGACTTGACGCTCTGTCACTGGTTGTTGCTGCTCGTTCGAGGGTCCGCTTGGAGGAGGTGGTGGGAAACTGAGGGTTGCTGGTGCAGCTTGTGCTACTGGCGCCGCCATAGGCGGTGGCTCGAATCGTGAATCCGGAGTCTGGCCATTTTGGTAGGCCGGGTCTGTGACTGCGACATTTTCCAGTTGTTGAACTACCGAGCTTAGTGGTTCATCGGACTGTTCGGGGCTGATATCCCGATCGGTTTCCACTTGGTCGCTATCTAAGACGTGACCAGCAGCGTCTAAGAATTGATTTGAATCGTCTAAAGACCAGAAATAGATATCGAGTGTATGGATTCGGATCAAATCAGATGGTCTGTCCAGACTGGGCAGTCGCCAGTCATACTGAGATGCGCCGTCCTCGGGCTGTCCAGTAAACCCGTCTACGGTAACTGTGCAAAGTGTCGGGAACTGAGTTGAGTGCTGTATATGCACATTGTAAAATGATGCTTGGAAAGCATCTTGATCCTGTGTTCCTGCGTTATTCGCAATTTCGATTCGCACGGTATTTTGTGCAACATTTTGATAAATGTATAGGTAGGAGCCTTTCTCAAATCGATCATGAAGCGATCTCGGTGCTGGAGCTGTGAAATAGTAATGAATATCGGCCAATCTATTTATATCTCGCCGAATTAGACTCTCAAGCTATTGAGGATGCCATGTGCGGGGAAGCATAGGATCAACCTACACGTTCACCAATATTTCTTCACCAGGCTGTGGAGGCATGATTAGTATGTAGTAGAATGCGGAGAGGGTAGTATGGAGGAGAAAAGAGAAAGGGAGGGGAAAATTCGAAAGCCTACGAGGACATTTTTAATGATACAAGGCTGCATGGAGGGGTCATCCTGGCCTGTAAGATTTGATCTCGAGCCGCCGTGTCTCTCTAGGCGCTTATAGTTAGTGTGATGTGACAGGGTGAATTAAGTTACTTATCACATCTAGTTCTAGTATGTGGGGCATGTGACTGTCAACTGGTGAACAAACCGGGGACGGATTGACGGGGATACTGTTTATCCGAAAATTTCCATCGCGATCAACTTCAACATTGTGACGGGAGCTTGAAAGACGTGCTCATCGTTCATTCCAGCCTTGCCAATTTTTGGTGCTATTTAGCTCCTCTATATTGGTCTGTTCTTTAGCATCAGGATAGTCCTGCATTGACTCTCCGCCAAATCTCTACCATCGGCTACTATCTCGAACCTCTCCTGCCTCTCCGCACTTTTTCCTTCCGACGGCCCTTTCGAGTTCAATCGACTTCCTAAGCCTACAAAATGTCTCTTGTCAACCTCGCCCATGTCTGTTCTCACTTGAACAACGCAACCAAGGCTCGTTTGGGTCTCACTTCTATTCCCAACAGCAACCTTCACCTGAAGCTCTGCACAGCTCTCCAAAACTCGGGCTACATCTCCTCCGTTGTCCGCGGAGGCCCGACTCCTCCCCAGCGCACCCCATCCTTGGAATCCCAACAGCCAACGATGAAATCGAGGGTGTGGAACCCATCACTCGAGACAATGTCGCGTCGAGACGTCTCTGGCTTGGTCTGAAGTACTGGCAGAATGAGTCTGTCCTGGGAAAGATCAGCATGATCAGCAAGCCGAAACGACGCATTACTCTCAACGTTGAGGACCTGCGTCTGATTGTCCGAGGTTACGAAGGAAACCATGTCGCTGGTCTGCGATCCCCCGGTGAGAGTCTCTACCTCTCCACGGATCAGGGAATCCTCGAAGCCCGCGAGTGTGTGGAGAAGAAGATCGGCGGCCTGGTTCTCTGTCGCGTTGCATAAATCTAGCGGCCGAAGTGATGGTCGGTTGAGGGATGCGTTTTTTCTAGGCTGGAGAGCGTGTACTTGGATACCTTGGTCTTGTTTCATTTCTTTTTTGCATTTACCTCTGGAGTTTGTTCGGTTCGTCGCAGCGGAGTCTCCTCTTGAGACTCATTTTCCTTGTTAACTATTAGGACGTTTGTCCTCAGTCAAGGATCTGTATATTAGATGTTTGCGTGTATCGCATTTCCTGTACTCTACTGGAGGGTTGTTGTGGAGCTGTTGTGTGAGCGACACAGTGTATAGATAACGACTTGGAAAAGAAATACAGCATATCCAGCTTCTTCACTGCTTGTTCGATACTCTGTGATAGTGTTGGTCCAAGATACCGATTGCACTATGTACTATCCCAAACTCCTGCATCTTTCCAAGGTTTGACTAGGTGCTGCTACTACATAGTAGAATGTGTCAAAGGTACATGACTACGAAGGTTCATTACCTCACCAATTGACCATGAAGGTTTATCGATATATCCCTGTCGTTCAGGTGTTTACTAAACGCCTACTATGCGTTGGGCTCACATGAATGATCTTCATCTCCTCTGGAATGTCAGGTTGTCCACTCTGGGTTCTGCCGCACATCCGAACACCTCCCAACATCACATCATGGACGCAAAAGCCATCGACGATATCTTGGCATCGAAGAAAGTTCTCATATCTGGAGGCACTGGTTTTGTTGGCTCCGCCACCGTGCATGCCCTGGCAGGAAAGCATCCCAGGTGCGCCATCACCGTCATCGACCGCAGTCCCCCTCGACCCCAACATGCACTACCAGAGGGCATTTCATGCATGCAAGTCGACGTGACCTGTATGTCCGAGGTCAGCGAGGCGTTTCAAACAATTCAACCGGATGTTGTTATTCACACAGCTGGTATTGTCCCCGGTCTAGCAGACCGGTTCGGTCGGAGGCGGGAGAAGGAAGTTTGGAGGATTAATGTTGCAGGAACCCAGAATATGCTGGATGCAGCCATAGAGAACGGGGCCGAGGCTTTCATCTACACCAGCACCTGCTGCGTTGTCACCGACGATATGCGATCATCCTACGCTAACATTGATGAGCGGTGGCCCACTTCGTCTAACTCCCTCATCTATGGAGAATCCAAGGTCATCCCCCATGACTGCCTTGTGCAGTGGTATTTTCATTCCAGCTGAGAAAAATTAGCGAAACTGACAGAATTTAGGCTACAGCAGAGGCTCTGGTGCTCAACGCGTCCAGCGAGAAAATGGCCACTTGTGCGCTCCGCCCCTCTGTGCTATGCGGGCCCGGCGACTACCAGCTAGTACCAGCCATCCATGCATGCATTGCCAAGTACGAAACACCGTTCATCATTGGTACTGGCAAGAACTTGTGGGATGTCACGCATGTGAGCAATATTGCTGATTCCCACATCTTGGCTGTTGAGAACTTGGTTACCTCACGTACAGCGGCAGGCGAGGCTTTCTTTATCCAAAATAATGAACCTATCGCTTTCCGGCATTTCTGCCTAGCCATATGGGCCCATTTCGGGCATATCCCACCATTTGAGATCCAAATCCCCGAAATTTTAGCTTATCTTGCAGGGTTGCTGTGTGAAATAGTCACTTGGTTGACTGGCACCACGACGACCCTAAGCAGAGGAAGTGTACGAGATGCTTGTGCCGTACGATATGCTTGTGGTGACAAGGCCAAAGAGATTCTGGGGTACGAGGCTCGCATAGGTATTGAGGATGCCATCCGATTGAGCTGCGAGGTAAGTGGAGCGATTATGAACTTACACTGCGTCACCCCCGTTTGGATTCCAACCACCTAAACGGTCAGTCGGTGACTGACTTTTGAAACTGGTAGGAGTATGCCCACCGTATCGGGGTAGAACTGCCAACCTAGGTGTAATGAATGTCAAGACCGATGGAGCCTATGACTGTTGAACATCAAGTTAAACTTTCTGAGACCAAATACTCGCTCAAGAATAATAACCCTGCAATTAAAACGATCATTATGGAAGCCCTTGGCTTGAGAGGCGCTTTAAATTAATTGCCACCTGGTGGGGGCCCATTACAATTCCATCAATTGTTTGTTATTGAACATGGGTCGATCTTGTCTTGAAATTACTATATTCTATAGGAACAATCTTGGAATGTAAGACATTGGGCTATCCATTGGGCTGCGAAAACATCCAAAGGGGGTTATACCTCGAGCGGCTCAGGGCCGAAAATAAAGAAAAAATAAAAGAAAAAATCAAATATTATTATTAAAAAAAGAACGCATGTTGATCCTTGTTGACCAAAGATAATCAACGGAAACTTGGTCCATGCGTTGATTGGGCCTCCGGACTTCTACCTGCCCGACAAGTTCACCTTGCAGAAACAACTTTGGAATCTATGGACCCCCATCAAATGCATCGAACTTCATCGAAGTTGAACTATAGGGTCTCGTCGATGTCACAGGAGTGGTATTGTGCTCCGCCTCCACCGTCAGGCTCACTTTCTCATCGCGTTCTTGCAGATCCTCTCTCCCACCTGGGCAGGTGCCTTTCCAGTCGTCATCAACCAACAAGAAAGGAGAGCCTGACCCGGATTCATGCTCTTCTGCCCGACATGCTGCCCAACAATATTGTTCTCAGCTCAATCATTGCACCAGGGTAAAGTGGCGTGGCCTGCAGTTGGTTCCCATGCTCTACCTATGAAGATCTGAGCTATGGATATTGCAAAATCCATCTCCATTTCGAGGTGGATATACCTCCACCCCGAAATATTCCAGAGCCGCCCCATACCTCTCTGCCATAGTCGAAAAAAAGTACGCCTTACGTACCGGGTTTTGCCGCGATCGAGATCGGGTTCCCGTTGTAGAAAGACCCCGGTGTGGCACAGGGGCATCGAGGACATTCCCTGTTATTATGATACAGTCTATCTCCGCAAATGAATAACGACTAGGGCAAGGATGCATAACTTACTACAGAGGCGTATCGCCCCCTACTCCGAGGATGAAGATTCCAGCGCGGCTCCCCCGTCCAGTTGCGGGATTATAGATGCACGGTCCAGGGAACAGGCGTCAGGCACACCTACCAGAAAGATTTCACCCGGATTTCCTGACCATATAATACTCGGGACTTGACCACATTACGCCCTTTCGTATCACAGGACTTATTGACCCCCTTTTCCTTTTTTTTCTCTTTTGAAACGTCTCCAACACCCCTGCCTAGCCAATACTCGCCTCCCATTTCAAGTCCGAAATTTCTTTTGGACTATTTAGTCTTTGACATAGCCACCTTTCTATTATTTTGTCTCCATGATTCCAACTCTTGTCTCCCCTCTTCCGGCTGTTCAAGCGAGCTTTCAGCCATTATCTGCTCCAGCAAACGTCAGGGCTCGCACGGGCTCCATAACCAGCAAGCTGGATATTCTATCTCGCCCCAGGTTAGCACTAATGAACAACTCTTTTGCCTAATCCTCTGTCTTAATCTTGGTTCTCGTCAGATTTGATCGTGTTATATCCAGCTCACATATGATTACAGCGCCATGGCTCATAACCCTATGTATGGGTCCCCTGGGACCTCTCCCATCATTCATCGGCAAAGGTACTTCTATACCATGTATAGTGGTCTTTCTACCCCTAATATTCAAACTCATTGCACCTTACATTACTATCGCTAAGTAGTACAAGGGCACCCTCGGCTCCTCGAACATACGACATCATGGACCGTCCGGTCATGTTAGAATTTGAACAACAACGTCCTCGCTACTCTGGAACACCAAGCCCTCTGGAACCCTATGGACCTAATATGATGAGTTCATCCATGGGAAGGCTGTCTTACCCTCCAATTGGACAGCCCATGCCTCCAGTGCCCGTTTACCCTGAATGGAATCGTCCTGCCCGCGAGCCACTGCGGCAGGATGTTGGACCAATGAATGCCCCGGACAGCCCAACATTCACCGTGGAAAGAAACAGCCGGCGAGCTGCCGATGTAAACCGAGGAAGCCCCCAGTATATTCAGGTTTCCCAGCAGCGGCGATCATCTCTCCGTGGTGATGAATTTGATGGCCCCCATCAGATTCTGGATCCACCATCATCTAGAGGTCTTCCCACCCGGGAGGAAGAGCTGCCCCAGCTCCCCACTAACCTAGATGCTGCCGAGCAGGACAGAATCCTCCACCAAGTCAATGATCGTCTCTCACAGTCAGCATACGATTTCTTTGCCGCATATCAATTCCCAATTCCCTTGGAACAAGACAAACGCCCCGTCCAGGTTCCTTCAGACCGGGAATGGAATGAGTGGGTACACTTGCTGAAGAGACTTGCTACCCGGCGTCGCATCCCTCGGCATGCTCTTCACAATGGCCAAATCAAGCAGCTCATCACTGTCCTTGAAAACTCCCTGGAGATGCGTCATGCTGCCAAGCATAGCTCGCGACCCGTCAAGGATGATCGTAATGTTCTTCAGCTCATCTCTGCAGGAACACAGGTTGCCAAAATCTTCAAGGATTCTAGCGCCATGCAGTTCTTCGATCGTCTATATGTTGACACGGAGAAACTGATTAGTGATCGACGCCGCCGCGTCAGATTTGCCAATCCCTGAAGACTTCACTTTCAAAAGTATGCCCGTTACCACCTTGCTCTGTTTTTCTCAAACAGCCCCTGGATACAGCCCCTGGATGATTTCTTCCGTGGATATCATTTCCCTGGACCTTCATGATTATTTTGCTTTTCTCTCGTTTTGATGAGCCGCAAAGCCATGGATTGCTTCATTATTACCCATGGAAGACCGCAAAGGAACGACTATGTCGTGCGTGACGATTAATTTTCCGGCTGGCTCGGGATTCGTTTTACTTTCCGATCGTTCCCATGTAATTTCCAGTTGAAGCCACGTCGGTCCAGCAGATAAACATTACGACACTTCAAGATGGAACCTTTTTGCCTGTTGTGCGCTTGGTATCTTCATGTATGAGCTGCAGATGATTGGGCTGTTTATCTTATCGTCTATGTTAGCAGCTCAGCGGAGGTCATTGTCAGTTACCAGTTCAATTTTTTGCCGATTTCATGTCGCTACTGGGACTCTCTTTTGGAACTGGCTTCCATCTACCTGTTTCAAGTTACTATGTTTTCGCTTGACTATTCTCTTTTCGGGCTGGCTGTCTCGTTCAACTTGTGTTCCTGTGTTTTGTTTAATGCTCATGTTGTTATGTTTATGTGTATGGATGGCTTTTTGCTTTTCTGTGATGTTTCTATGAGTCATGCTTTTTATATGACATGCTTGGGATCTGTCTATCTTGAGAGGCCCAATATACCGCACTATGCCCGCCTTTTATCTGTAAAGAACCTTGGAAGATGGGTCAAATGTACTTCTCCTTTCAAGTTGCAACCCACCCCTGGTTTTTTGGATGAAAGACATTTCCTTTGATGGACAACTGGATCACATGGGTACAAGAATATTTACACGTTGCACTGGTTTATCTTCAATCTATATTTGGCTTGAAGCCACGACCTGACCCTTGGAGCCGACCGAGGCTATAGTGCCCACTGACAAGGGTTGATCGTTAAGGTGACTGACGCCAACATTTGAATTCAACTTCAAGTTCTTCAGGATCACTGGCACTTTCTAAAATCACTACTACGTACTCGTAGTAGTCCTTTTGAAGTTAATGATACTAGCACTATCGTGATGAATAATTTTCTCCGAAAGAGACTCCGGAAAAGATTTCAAGCTGAGTCTACCTAATCGATATCACCCGCCTATCGAACTTGTTCTGTTTGACTTCACTTCAAATAATCTGAGTCGCGATAATAATAAAATTAAAACTATTGAAGCTCCAAGAAACTAAGTGTTGAATTTCTAGCTAAAGATAAAAGTTGTCAGATCAATTGATTTATTAGGAAAGATTCAGCCTATGTAGCTCGAGCGTGCAAATCCAACATGATGATCCGATAACCTGACATTGAAACTCAAACATTTGAACAAATACATATATCATAATCAAAAATTAAACTTAATAATCAAATAATCAAACGAAGCAATGTAGTAACTCTATAATTATAGCTCTTCTCAAGCGCAATTCGAATGTCTCTCATATAAATGCCCAACTAGACGATCAAAAGGAAGTTCAAGTTGATCGAATCTATGGAGTAGGGACAGGAGCCGAGGTCCAGTCAGCGACAGGAGGGTTGGCAAGGACATCATCAGTGTAGGATGGGTAGATGATCAAGCCATCCTTAATGACAGAGAACTGAGTCCAAGGAGGGTTCCCCTGTGCGTAGTTGCTGGTAACGGTGTAGTCGCCGCATGTTGCCGCCCCGCTTGCAGTAGGTCCAGCAACAATGTAGGTACAGGCTGTCTCTGTGGTACCATCGAAGATACCGAAGGTCCAGGTGCAGGATGTCTCAGCATCGTTGCAGTCGCGAGTCAGGTTCTCGATTGTCCAGTCTGATGTTGCTGTGGAGGTAGGAGTAGGAGCAGCTAAGACAGCTGAGGCCGCGAAGACCATAGCCAGGAGAGCTTGAGTGGCGTACATGTTGAAGTTGTTTTGGTGGATTTGGTTTTGAGAGGAAAGCTGGTGGCTTTGGATTGAAGATTGAGATTGAGGCTTTGAGATGCTGTGAATCTGTTGATGGATATTATCATATTCGGCGGGAGGATCAAAGCTATTTATGCTCTTTAATCCATCGATGAGCTGATGATCATGGGCTTCATTGTAGGCTTAGACTGAGACAGAAATTCGCTGGACCAGTATCGGTGCTCTATTGAGAGTTTGGGTGGCCTGCCCAGGAATGTGATCTCTCTTGGTAGTGGAGAGGTGTGGTCCAATACTGGAATAGAATCTGAGATGCAACCTAATGGGAAGACTACTGCTGCTGCGGCTTCCCCAGATGGCCCCATGCACATCCATGGGTGTGGCTGGCCTAATGCCTTTACAGCCTTTCGGGCCGGACTAAGCACGATGTGGAATCTTCCAAGGTTCCAAAGGTTCTTTATTTTTGTTCCGAATAAAGCCAAATCGGATCAATATTCCGACGATCAGCCCTATCGAGGACGCCTTATTTGAACCATGGATATTTGTGAGTAGGTACTGACCTCTGATGTTGAGAATATCCACTTCAGCCTTGTAAGGCTGGTAAAATGGCAAGACACAATCTAGTAGAATTTGGCCTTCATTTTGTCACTCGAATCCATTTTAACCATTCTGTATGATCATGGATAAGGTGTTCTTGGATTATGGTTATGGCGTTGCGGCATGGCGGAGACCCTGAGATCCCTGCGGGCCTGACCTTAGCAAGTGAGAGCTAAGGAAATGTCATGAATCGAAATATGCACATGGCCTAAATAAGGCTGTCACACACGGTGTAGTTCATGAGAGATCGACGCGTAGTATCTGCCAAGCATTATACAGCCTGAAGGTGCCATCTATGGTCATGTTACTTTCGTATCTAAAGATAGGTAGTGTTTCCGCCACGACATATTGCTTGCATGTCCACTACTACATAGTGGTGAGATCAGTGTTAAGCCATGCTCACATACTCCGAGTCAGGACTGCAATGACTGGAGTCACATGAGGGAACTCGGAAGCTCGAACTTGAAGGCGATCGCATAGCTTCAATTTTCGAGTCTCCATGTATACTCTACTGGAGATGGGAGTCATGGGACATCCATTCAAACTTGATTCTCTCCAAGTCCTCAAGATTGCGATACCTGATCACCTGCCAGTGGGCGGATGTGGACCTTAGAACTTGAACATCCATGGTGTAGTTTCTTCTCAAGTTGGGACAGTATATATCTGGTGATATTTATCGGGTGATGTTTATGAGAATGTTATTCCGTGCTATAGTCAACTGATATAGTAGATGCGGGACAAACAACCCTTGGACCCGCTCTGAAACCTTGGGACGGACAACGGCAGATTCTGTTAATTACAATTTTGCCATCAACTGCCAGAGCCTATGATTTTCCCTTCAAGCCATCCGATGGTTATGCCTCGGTATGTAGGATGAGAAAGAAGAGGGGACTAACAAGCATAAAACAAAGAGCTAGACTATATTCATAGTGTCAATGAGGGGTAATGGGGATCGGCACTGAATTTCCTAACTAGGGTAAGAGTCTATTGGGTTCTAAGAGAAAGAAGTCTCTTAAAGGGAAGAAAGGCTCCTTTGGCGCAGTTGGTTACCGCCTCCGTCTTATACATGGAGTTCCTAACAAGAAACACGTATGACGATCACGGATGATCACCAGTTCGAATCTGGTAGGGAGCACTTTCTCTTTTTTTTTTTTTTTTTTTTTTTAATTTATATCTTAGATAATCCTCTTCCACTAACGTGATTCCCGGTCGAGCTGCGCACCCGGCCGAGCTGCGCACCCCATCTAAAATCGCGTCTTTCTACCACCCTACCTAATTCAAACACCTACCATGCCACCAATTCGTAATATTTCGGCCGAAAAAAAATGTCGAAACAAGAGGGCAAGGTTTTATTAGCCTTACAGGCTATTCAAAAGGGCCAAATCAAGTCTCTTCGCGCAGCGGCCAGGCTATTTAGCGTGCCTGAGTCCACACTACGCAGTCGCGCGCACGGCATTCAATCTCGCGTCGATACACGCCCAAATGGCCATAAATTGACCCAGTTGGAAGAGGATTCGCTTATTGAATGGATTATCTCTATGGACTCCCGTGGAGCGGCGCCTAGGCCAGCTACTGTACGAGATATGGCCAATATTCTACTAGCTGCGCGTGGTAGCCACCCCCCACCAACAGTTAGCAAGAATTGGCCATCAACCTTTATAAATCGACGCGAAGAGATTCGAACACGCGTCTCTAGGCGATATGACTACCACCGTGCTCTAAACGAAGACCCTAAATCAATCCAAGCATGGTTTACAACTGTACAACAAGTTATCGATAAGAATGGGATCCAACCTGAGGATATTTATAACTTTGATGAGACAGGCTTTGCGATGGGCCTTATTTCAACACAGACGGTTGTAACACGGCAAGAATACTACGGTCGGCGAGCTATTTTACAGCCTGGGAACCGTGAATGGGTGACGGCAATTGAAGCTATCTGTGTAGATGGTTATTCATTACCACCATGTGTGATTTTTAAGGGAAAGGTTGCTATTGCTAGTTGGTTCGATAACCTACCAAAAGACTGGCGGTTTGAGGTCTCAGCTAATGGTTGGACTACCGATGATATTGGCCTACGTTGGCTTGAGAAGCTGTTCATCCCATCAACAAATTCACGTGTCCGTGGCCGTTTTCGGCTTTTGATTCTTGATGGCCATGGAAGCCATCTCACACCTCAATTTGATCGAATCTGCTCAGAGAATAACATTATACCTCTCTGTATGCCACCGCATTCTTCACATCTTCTACAGCCACTAGATGTTGGCTGTTTTTCTGTGTTGAAAATTACCTATGGTCGCTTTATAAGTGATCTTGCACGTACAGGCTATAACCATATTGATAAGCTTGATTTCTTAGCTGATTTTCAACGTGCCCGGCTTGAAGCTTTTAAACCAGCTACTATCCAGAATAGCTTTATAGCTACAGGACTAGTACCAATTGATGCTGAAAAAGTTCTTTCTAAATTGAATATTTCGCTACGAACACCTACACCACCAGGCACTCGACCAGGCAGCCGAAGCAGTCAATTTTCACCTAAGACACCTAGAACTGTGGTCCAGCTTCAAAAGCAAGCTTCAATGCTTAAAGATCTTCTAAGACAGCGATCAAACAGCCCTCCAAGCCCATCGAAATTGATGCTAGATCAAATCATCAAGGGACACTGTATATCGCTACACAACACTGCGCTACTAGCACAAGAAAACGCCAATTTACGTGCAGCGAACGAGAAGAAACGACAGAAGCGCAGTCGGTCAACTAGGCAGGTGCCATGTGAACAGGGCTTGACTGTTGAAGAAGGCCTGCAGCTACTCACGCAGCTAGAATTGCCAGTAGAAGCACCTGCGGTCGAACCACACACCCAGGTTGAATTGCCTATTCAGCCGAATCAGCCAGCCCCCAGGGCTCAGCCTAGGTGTAGTGGATGTCGAGAGGTTGGCCATCGGATCAATGTATGTAAAAATCGTATTTATAACTGAATTTATTCGCATTGGGTTGAAATATTTGAATTTGAATTTGTCTAATGGTGGTGGGTGCGCAGCTCGGCCGGGTGCGCAGCTCGACCGGGAATCACGTTAACTAGTTAGTTACTTTTCATTTTACTAAAGGATCAATTTCTATAATCAAAAGTGATTGACATGACTAGCTTATACTTGTTCAACTTTCAAGTCACCTTGGAGGAGCATACTATACACAACTCAAAAGAGTAAACAAGATATCTCTCAGTTCAGGCACTAAGTGCTACTTGATTACAGCCAGACCTGCAATACTGAAAATTCAACAGGTGTCCTGTTATCTCTAATTTCATTCATGCATCACCATGAATATTCAATTCTCTCCTTAAGGGTCTTTATTGGCCCCCTGTATACAAGTCACTATCTTTAAATGAGTCACAACCTTTCACAGCAGTCAGTCCCGTCAATATCATTCAAACTTGGAAATCGCGATTTCCTTCCATCTCAGGTGCTCCAAATCCTCCATATATCTGGCTGATAGCATGAAAGTTCGGGTCATGACCTGGCTAGTTTAGTTCCCCTACACATGTCTTCACTAGGCTGCTATCTTACGTGGACTTCCGTTTGGCCCCTTCTGCCTGATTTTTATCCGCTACTAGGAAAGGAGCTTTACCCAAGTTGATAAAAGAAACCTAAATTTCTCTGAATTAGGACACCATATCCTCCGAATGCATGTTGTTTTGAATTTATACTAATGCCGATCGTAGACTCAGCAGCCAATACGACGGCTGCACTAGGCGCCACAGCATGAACGTGAGTTCTCAACGAGCCCAGGCTGAATTAATCATCCGTGATCATTCCAATCAGAAGATTGGAAATATAGCCTATCCTGCGCCCTGGTGACTGACACACCTGCAGTTGATATCACCTGACCTTATGTCTTAAATAGCGCTCGTCCCCCTCACCCCGGCCTTCCCTCCTCACGCCTGCCAGAGTGACAAAGTGCACCCCGTCAGTCTCATCTTGGGACTCTCGAATGCAAAGCCATAATCCGAGATTTGTTTCTTACCGTCTCTTGATGAAACGGGGAAACTATTTCGGAGGAAAGCTTCAATACTCTTCTCACATGCTCGTGTGATCTGCAGCGTCAAGTTTTCTTGTATTTCTTTTTTGTTATTGACCAACTCGTATCGCTCTTTCTGATTGTTCAGAGTTCCTCTGTCAATTTCCCGCTAGTTCCAATCTGATATTTATCGAATCTGCAATACTGTCATGTTCAAACGCTCCTTTACGTCGAAGAGCTTCACTTCGAAAAGCCGGGCGGGTAAGACTGCCAAGGCTAGCAAGAAGAAGTACGACGAACAAGCCAAAGAGAAGATGCAGGAGAAAGTAGAGAAAGTGGATCACCCGCCGACGGGAAGGTGGTAAAATGTCATGATATAGTTTCGGGATTCCGTGAGGCTAATTTACTCGTACACAGTGCACTGACTAGTCCCATTATCACGATGGTCGTGGGACAAGAGCAGCGTTTATTCGCCGCTCACGAGGATGTCCTATCCATCTCTCCGTACTTTCGGACCGCTTTGAAGGAGAAGGTTATGGACGACGATGCAAAGCAACTGGCTCTACCTGACGAGTGAGTACCTCAAATACCGCAGCCTCCCTGACAGAGTCCGCAGAAACTAACACTCAACTAGGGAGCCCGAGGTCCTATCATGCATCCTTGAGTTCTTGTACAAGGGCGACTATTACCCACGTCTTTTTCGTGGTAAGCGTCGAGACTCTTGGCACCTCGAGAATGCCCAGGATCCTCAGCAAACTGGCGGTTGCGGGTCGAGCGAGCCGACAATGTTCCACTCCGGTGTGGGCGATGTCGTGCTCCGGGATACGGTGGTATACTGTGCTGCCGAAAGATATGGCCTGGATGAGCTGAAGCAACTTGCCCTTCGTAAGCAAGGACTTCAGACTGGAATTCCGGCCGATGTAATCTTGCGGTCTGCTCGCTATGCCTACGATAACACCCCGGACACCGAGTCTCGACTGCGCGCTCATTACTTGGCTCTCATTATCCGAAGTCGCAAGACCTTCAAGAGAAGCGGGACCATGCAGATGGAAATGGAGAATGGTGGCAAGTTGTTTTTTGATCTGTTCGTGGCAATGTGCAACCACATGGACGATCTTGCGGAGATCCGGTAGGATTACTCCTAGCTTTGTGCTTTAAGGTCTTGATTTGTTTTATATCATCCCGTTGCCGAGTGTTCGCATTGATTCTGATATTCTCTTTCTGCAGCAGTTTCAAGCGCACTACGCGATTTTTCTAATCAGTTGTCCTATTGCCATGATCGATCGAACGATTTGCGAATTGGAAGTATTGGGAGGCATGTTTTATTTCAACCAGAATGGTAATTTCACCACTGTTTGCATTGAATTGGTCTAGGCATTTTTTGCTTGGATGACCACTCGACTTCTTCGCTTCTTATGAGGTTGGCCGCCATTGAACGGTTTGAACAAACCGCCTTACACGCTTTTAATTGAATTGGCGTATGTTGACTTGCATTCATCGACCATCTCCTTTCTTGATTATGCAACTTGTTTCTGTATGCACTGCCTTTCTGGTCTGTGGTACTTGCTGTTCTGCCTGTTGACCTGTCATCTCCGCTCCTTCGCTTGGTAGTTATCTTTGTCTGTGTGCGATTATTTTGAGCCCTACGCTCGTTGGTGATTGAGAGAAACAAGAAATGAGAAATCCGGCCGCCTCAAACAACTTGCGCAATTACATAGTAGTACCCCGTATGAATCCAGTATCTATAGGAATGACCAATGTACATCACTTGAAGCGGTGAGACTTCAAATGTTGTTCAACCTTGGAAGCACTTGAGAGATCTCCAGGGCTATATCCTGCATAGAGATGGGACATCCGGACTTCGGGGTGAACGTATCATTTAACTGGAGGATACCTATGTCTGCATTTGCTTTTTACTAAAGCAGCCCAAGGCTGGTCTACTATGGAAAATATAGAAACTGGAATGCAAGTTTTATTCTCAATTTGGATGATGCAAAAGGTTGAGCGAAACCCACATGTGTAATAACTTTTCATCCAATTCGGACACTCAGAGGTACTCACAGGAGAAATCATATAAAAACTTGAATCATTAAAGAAAACCCACGAAGGTTGCCATTCTCTGTATGTAAAAGGAGAAAAAGAGAAGAGTACTCAAAGACTCAAAAGCACGTAGAAGAGTTCAAAATCAAACGCAGACAATTTCAGATGAAATGAAATATCAGATCTGATCAATTCCTCGACTGCTAAGCAAAACGCGAACATCACTATACCTCCCCGGAAACCTGACGATGAATTCTGCTCTGAGTTTGGTAACTGCATCAAACAGATCTGGCAAAGCTCGCATAGCAGACCAATACTTTTCAGAGCAATCATGTAAGAAGAGATCCATTGTGTCTGCAATGAAGTTCAAGATCCAGTTTTGTAGATAGTCCTTTGTCGTCAATGAGAAGTCTTGACACACTATACTAGCAACGTCTAGTATAGGCTTGAGCTGGCATAGACCTGGATAAGAATTCCATGCAACTTGAAGTTTGATTGCAATCATCTTTATCAGTTTCGGTTTCTGAAAGCGACGAGCATACTTGTAGAGATGTCCAAGTGAGACGATCTCTTGTTGAAGGGTGTTTGAATCCCTGACGCTTTCAAGTTGCAAAATGCGACCCTTTTCTAGGTAATCTCCGAGCAGTTTCCCAGATTTGTTTTTGTTGGCAGTGTCGTTGCTCCAATTATTTGCTGGATTGTTAATTTGGCTTAGACGGGGCGAAAATTCGGAAGTTTGCATGAATGATTTGATTTTCGCAGATTCCGGTTGGCGTTGAACTTTCAACATCTCATGAAAGATCTCCAAAAGCTCATTCGCCCGTGGTCCCTGAACCAATACTCTTTCGGCTACTTCAGACATGGAGAGTTTCCAGATATCCTCATCTGGTTCCTGAGCTGCATTGGATTTGGTTTTCTTTTCTCTTTTCAGCTTGATCGGACTTAGGGACGTGAGAGGAGGTATGTTCTTCTGAACCTCAACGGAGCCTTGTTGAGTGCTAGTTTCAGAACTTGTGGTTCCAAAAGACAAACCTGGCGTAGAGGCATAGTTCAAAAAAGATGAACTCTCGCCCGGGAAGCTTAGGTGCTGAACAATTTGCCTTTTCTCTGCTTTTGGCAGTTTATCACCTGCTCCAGATACCTTTATCTCCCGAGACACAGAGAATGAGGCCGTTCTGGCCTGTACCTTAGCTGGTGGCGGTGATGCGTACCCAGCATCAAGTTCCGCTGGACCCTCATCGGTATCATCTAAAAAACAGAGTATCAGCATGTCTTTCTAACCGTGTAGATTCACATTTCAGCTTACATCCAGCTACTTCCTCTGCCTCTGAGTCCGTCAGGATATCTTCATAACCATCTGGCAATGTCAGTGAAGGGTTGCGACTCCTTTTGCCCTTCAGCTGCATCTCTTTCTCTGCCATTTTCTCCCAAAACTTGCAATTAGGAACTTTCAGCGCAATCCTTTGCAATTTTCGGAACAAGGACACATTGTCACGGTCCTTTGAATGGGCAAGGAATTCAGGAACACTTTCTCCCAAAATGTAGATATCCTTGATAAGGATCCATCGACTAAAAAGCTTTTAGCCACAGATCCAAATGTACTATTTTCACTCTATATCCAAATATTCAATAGAATGACACTTGACTTACCAGTCGTTGCGGCCGGGCATATAAATCGGGTACATCCGCTCATTCAATGGCGTAGTCCATGCACCCTCAGCAGGCTTTGCTCCTTTTGGGCGCCCATGGCAATGCTTGCCTGGTCCGAACTCTTCTGTGAGAATGACGCAAAGCCAAATGTCCGTTTTATGCCCAATGAACGAACTTTTGAATCTGGCTATGAACGTTTCGCCGGCTCGAAGCTCGCGTGTCATGTTGTTTCTCACCAAATTTTGTGTGGGACGGGGGTTCTCTGGCTTTTTATCCGGCGTTTTGACCGGCATTTTGAAGGCGTGTTGAGAATGGAACTATGACGCCGGTTAAAATCGCCTAGGACAATTTTAAGAGCTGGAAAATGGGTAAAGATAACCTTCTGTGAGACAGGTATGGAAGCCTGTAGGTGAAGGTGTAGAGGAAAGGTTGGAAGGAAGGAGGAATGGCAGCTAAAGTGAGCTTGGTGGTGGGCAGGGTAAGGTTGGGGGAGGGTAGAAGGGTAAGGGTTTGGAAATGAAGAAGTAAGGTTGTTGACTTGTGATCAATGCAAATGTCAGTAACTTTTTCACATGAGAAGATGGGTAGTAGTAATGAGGGCTCGGTAAGGGTTCACGATGGATAGAAATGCAGAAGAGTGGAAAGCGAAGATATCAAGACGAGATAAACCGTTGCTGTATTGGATGGTCTCCAGCGTGAGGTCGGCTGAACTGGCCGCCCTGGAATCCTCCATGAAATACACTGACTTAATGAACTAAGAAGCTGTATGCATAAGGATGAGCTTTCTTTAAGTAGTAGAAAGACCCTATGCTGCCAAGCCAGTAAAGTGCTGTAACTTTGGAGTGGATATCAAATCAGTCAGACCAGGTGATCCAGGTAGAGCTGTGTACTAGTTCCAGGTAGAACTCAAGGATAACAGAGGAAAAGAGATAATATTGGAGGAAAAAAATAAGCCCTGAGCGTGTAGTTGAACAATGGACTCAAGTTGATAGCGGTACTATCATACAGGTCTGACTGTTCCTAGGATCTTAGGAGGCTTCATCATTGAAATGCTATATGTATTGCTTGGATATAGCTTAACAAAGGCAAACTTCCTTGAATGAAATCTGGAGATTGTTATCAAAGTGCCAATGAACCCTGTTGACTTGAGCTACCGGGCCAGATATAGGAATGATACCTCCTTCATGAAGCTCATGGTATGTTGAAATAACTATGGGAGCTGATTCCAAGGCTGTTTGCCTATTATGAATGAGCCAGATTCAGCAAAGATAAGCAAGGTGCCAATGGAATTGGAGCATTGGAGTCACATCCATGAACTTTGAGGCGAGATGTATGTGATGAAGCAATTCGATCCTGGAACCAGCGAGCTTTTTCGACCTGGGTTAGATTGGAAGAATTGTAATATGCAGACAAACTTGAAAGCAGGAATCAAGATGGAGTCAAACAAAAGTTGAATAGTCAACAATATCAAACTTGTAGTCTCAAGGTTCGATATACATAATGAATGTGGCGTATGTGGCGCATAAGGCTATAAGGTGGCGGTGCAGTTCCTGATATTAACAGGGGTCCAAGTGTGGGGGCGTTCCACTTGTGATATCATCAAAGCAGCTGAGATTAAAGCTTCCTTTTCCTTTACTCAAATTTGTCTAATTTACGTGTTTTCCGTGTTTTATTCTCATTGCCCAAGTCCAAAGACTTGATTCATCGGTACCTGCAGCTGCGCATACAAAGTGATCTATCAACTGGGCGCGTGCTCAAACCCCTTTCAGTACGCGCCGCCTTTCACCTGTTTTCTGTGAACACCACTCCTCCCTTGCTTTTGCATACCCAAACAAAAAACACAAATAGGACTCAAACTGAGCAGCACTGATGGAATACATTAATCAAATCAAGAATCGGCACCGCTCGTCGCAGATTATGCAAGCTCCAAAACCGGTTTTGAGCGAGGAGGACGAAGCTTTTCTACGACAACTCACCGCGCAGTCGGAGAATGGACCCAAATCGGTGGGAGAAGCTTCCGCTTCAGCTACTGATCCTTCCCCGGGGGCTCCTGAGAGCTCTGTAAGCCCGGACGCCGTACATGTTCCTCTCCCTGCTTCGCCAGGTGAGGAGTTTGGAAAGGCGCTTGGTGAACAGGGTCGAAGAGCGAGCCACAAGTCCGAAGACTTCACTCCTGCAAAAGAAGTTGAGCCCGTGAAATCCCAAGATAAGTCAGGACCGGAGAAGAAAAAGAAGAGATGGAGCGCTATGTTCTGGAAGAAGAGTGCAGATGCCAAGAAGGTGAGGCCCTGTTGTCTCAACACCAAACTACAAGCTTCAATATGCTTCTATAGGATACTAATAGATGTTTCTTATGATCTAGGAGAAAGATAAAGACTCGACCAAGGATGGTAAATCCCCGGCCCAGCCCCCCCTCGACGAGTGCAACACCGACCGGCAACATAAGCGAGGCCGAGAAGGAAAAAGAGGATATGACAGACATCCTGGAACGATTGAATCTAGCCGCCGATAATAATCGCGTCTTCTCTGTCAGCGACGAGACACAGGAACTTCTGCGAAAGTTCAAATTGATTTTCAAGGATCTGATCAACGGTGTTCCGACAGCCTACCGTGACCTCGAGATGCTTTTGACTAATGGGAATCGTCAATTGCAAGACACCTATACCAAGCTGCCAGGCTTTCTCCAAAAGCTGATCGAGAGACTGCCCGAGAAATGGACAGAGACTCTGGCACCAGAGATGCTTGCTGTAGCTAGCGAGCGTGCCACACAGAGTGGTATCAATATGGAACATGTCGGGAAGGCCGCTGCTGCGGCGGAAAAGATGGGTGTCAATATACCCAGCTTGAAGGAATTGGTCTCCAAGCCCGCGGCGGTGGTCGGAATGCTCCGATCCATCATGGCCTTTTTGCGGGCTCGATTCCCGGCTGTCCTGGGAATGAATGTGCTTTGGTCACTTGCATTGTTCAGTAAGTGATACGTTCTCATACCATTCATTTCACCCACTAACCCATATTCTAGTTCTCCTCTTTGTTCTGTGGTATTGCCACAAGCGTGGCCGAGAGGTTCGACTCGAAAACGAGCGCCTCGTAACGGAGGAAGAAATCAACAAGATGAATGAGGATTCCTCCGAAACCAGAATACGTCCAACTGAGACATTAACAACAACGGCACCCCAGGGTGCTTCCTCGCTGGAAGTTCGAGAGGGTGTTAGGAAGGTAGAACAAGCTCGAGCGTCCTCGGCGTTAGAAGCTGCCGCCTCCGATCCTCAAGTTTCTGAAGCTCAAACTGAGACCCAAAGATTCGACCTCTCGCCCACCTACGATGCCGACTCGTTCGAAGTCTCGATTATCTATCTTTGGGAGATCGAAGACCGAGTCAACTCCCTCATCGAATATTGCCCCTTACCCCGGGACATGAGCGAACCAGGCGCTTGCGTATCTCTGTCATAGACATAGTTTGCTGATAACATACGAGTACGATACGCTTTGTGGAAAGCACTACGCCAATCATTGCTTATGAAGGAATAAATGTAATGATGATAATGATGTACCAAATCCTGCCCAAGTGGCGGTCATGAATCTATTGAGAAGCTGGAATTGTTGCATATGTACGCATGTGTGGTGATTGAATTCAGAGAATGGTCGGATAGTTCAAAATAAATGTTTCCTCCAAGTCGTCTATGATCGTGTCTAGTATCTGTGATAGTGCAACCTTGGAAGGCAAATCCCACATGTGCACCTGGCAGACGCTGCCATGGAAGCCAGCCCTGGGACTTGGTAAAAGTAACTAGGCACCTGGGAGAGACGGAGTAGTAACCTTGGAAGAGCCGGCTTTAAGTTATATGACGTATAGCCTTCTATGCCGTGTGCGCTTTTCAATAGGCCATTTCTGTGACTACTCTCAAGAGGATTCTTCCATGCCAGTGGCCCTGACCCTCTCGCAAGGACGATCCTGTTCTTGAATTACACAGCATCTTGCCCAGGTGAACACTACATTGGTTTTCATAGGACCTACTCCGATACTATACGACGAGAGCGTAAGGAAGCAGCTTAAGATCATTTAAATGAAGAAAGATTCAAGGCTACATCGGTATTTTCTAGCATCTATGTCGACGGGCTGGGCTTGATCGGCTTGAGACGCTCGATCCAGTCAAAGGGACCACATTGCTTGGTCAAGCAGACGTCCTCAGGGCCTGCAGCTCCTCTCGGGTGAGAAAGGTCGAACAAAGTGCCACTCAAAAAGCTATGAGGGAATCCATGATCAAATTCATACCCAGTCTCAATCTCCTCAATCTCATCCTTCGATAGCGAGACGGCCAGGCCGGGAATACTGCCTTTCAGATGGTCGACAGTCCGTCCACCAACAATGGGAAAGACATATGGCGCCTTATGACAGATATACGCCAGCGCGATATTCAACAGTGTCACACCTCCACCCTTCTTGTTGGCGATCTTCTCCAGAATAGCGGCAACTTGCTTGTCCCGCGCACATACGGGAATAAAATTGCGCCCGTTATTCGACTTCTCGCGGGCTTTGTAACCTTCGGCTGTTTGAAAGTTGCCAGCGTTCAAGGTCGCGTACGGGGCCAGACCCATTCCTTCATCAGCGCACATGGGAACGATGTCTCGTTCATGGTCTCGCCTTGCGGCATTCCACTTCCCTTGATACACCGAGAATTGGCGCAGCCCATGCTGGCGGGCATACGCGTTCGCCTTGGTCACGACCCAAGCAGGTGTATCCGAAATGCCGAGGTAGTGTACCTTTCCTGACACGACCAAGTTGTTGAGGCTTTGCATCAATTCCGGGATCGAGGTTGTGTAGTCCCACCAGTGGACGTAGAACAGATCGATATAAGTGGTCTGAAGTTTTCGCAGAGATTCATCCACGGAGTGGTTCATGGATTTGGTTCCGGTGCCGATAAAGTTGGCCTGGATCTTGTCTCCATGGTGCAGCATATACGGGGAGGTATACTTGGTGGCTATCACAAGTTCATCGCGGTTCTTGCGGGAGGCGATCCATTCACCCAGCCAAACTTCGGACTGGCCATCTTGGTAGGAGTTTGCTGTGTCGAAGAAGTTGCCACCGTTGTCGTAGAAGAAATCCATCATTGCAAAAGCATCTTCTTTGCTACACGCGCCGTATTTCTCGGGATGCGTACCGCCGAATGTCATTGTGCCTAGGCATAATGGCGAAACTCGCACTGAAGCAGAGGGAGCCAGCTGGCGGTAACGACCCAGAACGCTCTTTGGATCAATAGGCATTTTGTCGGGCAGAAAATGTACGTGGATTGATCGAAAAGGAAGTGTGGATTGAATCAGGTTCTAAGTCTGCCCACGCCTTTTTGTAAGTAAATTGGATAAAAATGGACTCGGAATTACCGAGTCGATATGAGATTTTGACTTTGATCGCAAACGGATTTAAACTGATATCAATAAGATGCTGACATGACGTTGTCCACTCCTGTCATCAAGGCCATTTAAACTCCAATCTCCGACGGATTTAAGGAGTGAGGTGTGGGGCAAACCTTTTCTTGGTACGCGCGGCTCAATATTTAATTTTGTCAGCCTTGGAGGGGAAGTCGGTGAAGACACAACAATTGATTGGAAGCCAAACAAACCATATAATGTGTGAGGATCTCACGTTTCTGTAGGTAAAAAGCGAGCCTTTCGAACGATTGAACAACATTGAGAAGGATATATTCGACAATGGATACAAGACGTGGTGAGAGGAAGCGGAAAGGAGATAGCTTCCTCACGTTCAAGAAACCGCCTCTGATATCAAGACTTCTATGACCAGGCTGGAGACTCGGTGCGAGATCGCAAGACAGTCCCGCTTGTCATTGGTGATAAGCCTGCTCGGTATTTCACACTGGCAGCTGCATGCATGATTGTTTGGGGTTTGTTTACTCTTTGGTATTGGTGATGTGCCGGCGGAGGCATGGTGTGTGACGTCCTGCATGGCTTCAAAATGTTTGATGTGTATCTCCCCCCTGCGTTACCCAAGGGCATTATATTCAAGTTCATTTGTATCCATAACGTAAGCCACGGCCGTTCCGATCACCCCATCAAAAATCGCGTCTTTCAGCCAAAACATTTACTTCAAGCCGCTGCCATGCCACCAGTTCGTTCCAAATCTCGGCAAAAATTAACCAACCAAGAGGGCAGGATCTTATTGGCACTGGAAGATTTAAAAAATTGCCGTATCACCTCTCTCCGCGCAGCAGCGAAGCTCTATGAGATACCCTACACTACACTCCATGCGCGCGCGCATGGCCTATCTTCATGGCATGATAAGCGTCCATCTGGCCATAAATTGACTCAACTAGAAGAAGATTCGCTTGCTGAGTGGATAATCTCTATGGATACACGTGGAGCAGCACCTAGGCTATCTACTGTAGGAGAAATGGCTAATATCCTTCTTGCTGCGCGTGGATCAACCTCTTCTTCTACCGTTGGTGTTAATTGGCCGTCAAGCTTTATTAAGCGTCGAAATGAGCTCCGTACACGTATCTCAAGACGCTATGACTATCAACGTGCTCTAAATGAAGATCCAAAGATCATACAAGAGTGGTTTACCACTGTCCAACATGTGATTGATGAGAATGGTATCCAACCTGAGGATATTTACAACTTTGATGAGACGGGCTTTGCAATGGGCCTTATTTCAACACAGACAGTTGTAACACGACAAGAATACTACGGTCGGCGATCTATTTTATAACCTGGAAACCGTGAATGGGTGACAGCAATTGAAGCTATCTGTGTAGATGGCTATTCATTACCACCATGTGTGATTTTTAAGGGAAAGGTTGCCGTTGCTAGTTGGTTCGATAACCTCCCAAAAGACTGGAGATTCGAGGTCTCAGCTAATGGCTGGACTACTGATGAGATTGGTTTACGATGGCTAGAAAAGCTATTCATCCCATCAACAAATTCACGTGTCCGTGGTCGCTTTCGGCTGTTGATTCTTGATGGCCATGGAAGCCATCTTACACCTCAATTTGACCGAATCTGCGCTGAAAACAATATCATTCCGCTCTGTATGCCTGCACATTCATCACATCTATTACAGCCATTGGATGTTGGCTGTTTTGCGGTATTGAAACGTACCTATGGTCGCTTTATAAGTGATCTTGCACGTACAGGCTATAACCATATCGATAAGCTTGATTTCTTAGCTGATTTTCAACGTGCCCGGCTTGAAGCTTTTCAACCAGCTACTATCCAGAATAGCTTTATAGCTACAGGATTAGTACCAATTGATGCTGAAAAAGTTCTTTCTAAATTGAAATTTTCGCTACGAACACCTACACCACCAGGTACTCGACCAGGCAGCCGAAGCAGTCAATTTTCACCTAAGACACCTAGAACTGTGTTTCAGCTTCAAAGGCAAGCTTCAATGCTTAAAGATCTTCTCAAACAGCGATCTAATAGCCCTCCAAGCCCATCGACATTGATGCTAGATCAAATCATTAAGGGCCACTATATATCGCTACATAACACAGCGTTACTAGCACAAGAAAACGCCAATTTACGTGCAGCGAACGAGAAGAAACGACAGAAGCGTAGTCGATCAACTAGGCAGGTGCCATGTGAACAGGGCTTGACTGTTGAAGAAGGCCTACAGCTACTTACGCAGGTGGAAAGGCCTGTTGAAACACCTGTAATCGAATCACACACCCAGGTTGAACTGCCTATTCAGCCGAATCAGCCAGCCCCTAAGGCTCCACCTAGGTGCAGTGGGTGTCGAGAGATTGGCCATCGAATTAATGTATGTAAAAATCGGTATATTTAGCTGAATTTATTAGTGTTGGTTGAGATAATCGAATGTAAAAAATTTCTAGTGGGGTGGGTGATCGGAACGGCCGTGTGATCGGAACGGCCGTGGCTTACGTTATCAAGGTACCCCGCTTAGTCAGTCAACGGGAACTCTGTCTGCATTCCAACTGTATTTGACATTTTCAATGAGATCAAATATCAGGTTTGAAATGATACGTATTGGACCAAGCAAAAGGATGATTGAGAGGCAAAAATCCTTTGATACCGGCCTTCTGCAACTAGAGGTCACTAATTTTTAGAGGCTGGGGCATATCAGGCCAAATGTTATTCAAGTTGTCAAGGCTGACAATCAGAGTTTGCCTTTGCTGTAGGTCGTGACATACATATGCCCAGGTGGTAGTATATTCCCCTTACATACCTCAAATTTTATTCCCACTGGCACTCCAACATTTGTTTGGGTTCCATAGATTGATCAATTTCAAGGTGCACATGTGATCTTTAGATAACATCAGATAAGATAAATCTGGGCATTGACATCAATGGATCTGGACGCAGTGTTTACTCCTGGGAGTCCAAGTACTTTTACTGATCTTCGGGAGACTTCAAATGTTGGTCATGAATTCTTGATACTGCTCCATGTTGAAAATTCCCTTTGGCATACCGTTGGGCTGCAAGCCCTCCAGGGCTGCTCATCCATCAATTTGTCGCGGATTTTCATAGATCGCTTCCAAGCCGGGCGCGATTCCATGCGCTGGTGCCAGGAGAGGACATTAGGGTATTTTTTTCCAATGGGTCCGCGCCCAGGAACATGTTCAGACGGCAATTCCCAAGCAGAAAAGCAAGATCAGCAAAGGTACACTTATCTCCAACAAGCCACTGCTTTCTCTCTAGTAGGCCGTTTAGCACTCCTAGAATGCGATGGGTCTCATCAAGATAGCGGTTTCGGGCAGAGGGCAGGTCTTCATGGTGAAGATGGGCGAACCTGGGAGATTGTTAACATTAATGGCAGAGAATAAGATGGATAAAGAGACTCGGAGCCAACGAACCATCCCGCCTGGCCGAAGTATGGCCCCTGTCCACTCATTTGGAAATGTAAATACTGATTGAGTAGGTGTTTTTCGTTCAAGGTATCGTATGTGAGTCTTTTCTCGGTGATGTAAACCTCCTCTAGGTACTGGATAATAGCACAGACTCTCAGAGTGTCAAGTTTGTATTTGGGTCAACAATTGCTAGGTACCATTCATAAGTATTAGCCTGGTTGAATGATTACCAGCGGCTTGAGCCATCGGAAGGAATTGGTATAGTGTTGACAGGACATTGAAGCTATTAGTTTGCTTACCAGGAGCCCGCCCATTGGGATTGACATCAATAAAAGGCGGCTTCTTCACATCGTCAAAGGCACTTAAGTCTTAGGGGCTGCCCATTAATGAAGAGGCGTGATAGAGCAACCACCCTATGGATATTCTCACCGCCCCAGGGTCCAATTATTTCCTAAATAGGTATGTAGAATTCCCGCATGTTTGCCTTGTTCACACTCCCCATCTAAAATCCTGCCAATTTCTTCTGCCACATATATAGTACAACTTCCAAGTACAGGATTTAAGAAGTTATTATAACCTTGGAATACTCCTTGGTAAAGAGCTATTATTCTTCTAATGATAATTAAACTTGAAAGTATTAGTAGTATCTCTTATGACTATAATCAACCCTATAATTAATACTAAAATAATAACTAATTGTTAATAGCCCTGGAGGTACCTAGTTGTGATGTATTATTGTAACCAATCCTAATCCTTCCAAGGTTCCTAATCTTACTCGGAAAGAGTTCACACTAAGGGAAAAGAGATTTAGTCCAAATATGAAATCATTTATCATAGTGCAAAAAACAGAAGCTAGAAGCTACAGTAGGTATTATGAAGATGATCTAGTTTCTTGACTTATCCAGAGTAAAATGGAGAGGAAAATGTAGACCTGGGATTTAGATGTATCTTTTTTGACCGCCTATACACCGCCTTTAAAGTGGGTCTTAGGGGTGGTGGGAATATCCACAGGGTGGTTGCTCTATCACGCCTCTTAATGAAATAGCTCTAGTAAAAGTAACCAGACTCTTGAGTCGGGCTATCCGAGAGAGATTCAAAGTGTTGCACATCAGCTGACAATGATCATGGCCCGGAGGTCATCTCTCGCTTAGAAAAGACAAGGTTCATATTGCCTGGAGTTGCAGTGAATTGATCTCTCATCTGCCTTTCAACTCTTTCTCGACTAATTCCTCCATCAGGAGGAAAGCTGACATGGTACTTTGAAACCAACAGGGCAATGACAGTGGCCATTTTGGCCATGGCGATATCTTTACCCAGGCATGAGTAGCGACCTGCTCATAATCATTTCACGACTCGGAAGGCCTAAACTGGAGGAGATATAGTATGTCATACCTTGAGCGAATGGAAGAAATGATCGAGAGTCGTTGACTAATTCAGGCTGGGTGCTTCATCGTTCTGGTATCCATTTGGTCGGCTTTTCATAGCAACTTTCCACTTTTTTTCGAATGAGCGTCAGCAATTTATTGATTTTCACCACAGTCAAATATGGTATTGCCTACATCTGTTCAAGGTGTATCGCGGTGCGACAATGCTAGTATTGCCAGGAATGAAAGTGCCACCAATCGTCATCCCCTCGCCGGAGTATCACGATATCCACCGGTGGGAACAGCTGGGTGTAGACGCAGAGTTTCTGTAATAACATCGTGGAGATAGCCATAACTCTTGAGAGACATTGCTCTCAAGGTCAAAGTCACGGACTTCCTCGTAGAGCTTTTCGGCCTTCTCGGGGTTCAGTGCTAGCTCATAAAAGATAAACACCAGGGTAGGTGCGACAGTGTCACTGTTATTGTATTTAGTATCGGATATGCCAATCTAATCAATGATAGGAACTTAGAACGGATATTTGAAGCATACCTTCCCGCCACAATGGCAACAACAGAATCAGCGATCAGAGCAGGATGCTCATCACCATGAGCTTTCTGTTTCGCTTCATCAATAATAGCCTGTGCCAAATCGTTGGAATCCGGCTCCTGCTCGGGATGTCAATCATAGTTGGTTCAAATGTTTACATAAACAGCATAATAGGAGCGGCAAATTAAGAAGACGTACCAGAAATTTTTCTTTCATCTGCTCCGCACAGAAAGAAATCATGGTGTGCCAATCTTTGATAACCCAGTAGCCATGGAGTGCCCAAAATCCAATACGGGCAAGCCAGGGTACTGGGGAAAGAGGACCCAAAATTCTCATTGCACGACGCATATCTCGAATGGCGTAATGCCAGTCTTCTTTTCATAACATGTTAAAGGGGCGAGGAAATGCAAAGTAGCCCATTATATCAAAAGAAAGCCAGTAAATATATGTTGAAAAAGAAGAAATGGAGCTTGTTGTGATATCTCGTGAGATCAGACAGTCGAGCTCCTTCGCATGACTTTTGATCTGTTCTTCATAGCGAGCCATCGCACCTGTGGAGACACGTTTCATCCAAAGACGCCGACGTTGGTCGTGGAAAGATTGATTCCGAGTGGTGGTTACCCCAACATGAGGTAGAAGAAAGTCATACCAATCTGACTTCTGTGTTTTGCTTCCTGGGCCATCAAGCTTTGCCAGCACCTCTGGGTGAAAAAAAAAGTAATTTCACTAGGCCCGGTTCGAACAAATTCACCGTACTCATTGTGAAGTCTGTCAAGTAAGAGATGGTTTTGTCCACTCAAACAGTGATACATGTGCCAAAGCTTCGATACGCCAGCGAGCGGTGGGCCCGGAAATCGGCGAGTTCTGTGGGCAAAGGCACGATAAATGGCAATACTTCCGAGCAATGAAGTAACAAAGCTAGCAAGGATAAGTGCTGCATGCCAACATGCAATGAACTCCAGCCCTCTTCTCAGCTCGAGGAATACAAGCATAGGATATATACCAGTAAAAGACTGGATTATTTGGGGAGCTTGAATATGCCATTCATCCCTCTTGAAGATGAAATGATGAGCTGATGGCCCCAGAAGACCCGCAAAAATACATTGCACAAGTAATCTTTTCCGTAGAAAAGAGTCCATAGCAGCCGTCGCTTAGAAATTATTTGTTCAACAGAAAATTTGAGGTTGGGAAATCTGCGAGAACTTTGAAACAACCTAAGTGCTTGGATACATAAGCGGAATACCGGCCTTATAAGTCCAATTTGGAGTGGAGTTGATGAGCTACTAGTGGAGAAACTGGAGAGCTGCGGGCTTCGAGCTGACTTGGGCAGGACGTATTCATTTTACATCATCCATTCTTTCCGTTTTATCCTATTTTTCTTTTATTTTTAGTATATTGTTATTCTTTATCTCTGAATATTTCTTTTCAATTTAAATTACCATTTATCCTCCACTGAGCGGGGAAGTAAATGCAAGTCTGAAGGGCAAAGAGACTAGTCCTTAGGTAGTGGATAAAGGACGGGCTGAGGGGAGCTACTGCCGACTGCGTCGTGAGATGACGTTTGTGAGATATCCATATTCATCCACAAGCACTAATACCGGTAAGTTCTAATTTTGGATGATCAGCCCTGAATATATGTATTGAAACTTCAATATTGACCTCGGGAATATTATACCCGCGGACCGTGATCGTGACGCCGTACTGCCAGTGATTATGCTCTCTTTTGGACCCCGATGCTGTATATAGTATGGCATAAATTTGACCAATTCCCACATCATTACTGCCTAGGTATCCATACTATTTAAAGCTGGTCGTTTCAAGATTCAAATGTTTGATTACTTTAATCACCCAGAGGAAAAACCATTATCTGACACGATGGCCACACCCACTCCCCTTCACCATAGGAGCACTTTGCCTTTCAAGCTTTCTTTTCAAGCCCTTGATCACCATATAAGACGATTTGGATCTGGATCCGCTTATTTTGTCTACTCAATTTGGCTGTTCACCTACAGCGATCTCAAAACCATAATTGCCACCAGTCTCGGGTTTGGTGAACTCACTGCATTGGGAGCAGGGGCCTTTGGAATCAACCCTGAACCTTCTGTATCTATGACTCTCCAACGGCTCCCTCTTGTGCTTCTATGAGCCTGGCTTAACCTACTTCCTTTCGCAATCAACAATCAACGACAGCCAGAAGCCATCATGGAAGACTCTATCAATAAGCCTTGGAGAACAATGCCCGCCAAGAGAATGAGTCAAGACCAAGCAACGGGTTTGATGTATCTCTTCTACGCATTGGCAGTATACACAAGCAGCAGGGTTGGTGGTCTAGGTCAGTGCCTGACGCTCATTTTTCTTGGGTACTGGTACAACATTGGAGGAGGTGGTGATACCAGCTCTGTTGTTCGGAACTTCATCAACGGCCTGGGTTTCATATGCTATACCTCAGGGGCATTGCAGTTGGAACTGAGTCCCTCTGAGTGGCAACTCTTCATCGATCCCAACGAAGTAGGCCTGCAATGGCTTGGAATTATTGGGGCGATTGTCTTCACAACAGTTCAGCTTCAAGACTTCTATGATCAGGCTGGAGACTCGGCAAGAGATCGCAAAACGCTCCCGCTTGTCATTGGTGATAAGCCTGCTCGGTATATCACAGCTGCGTGCATGGTGATTTGGGGTCTGTTTACCCCTTGGTATTGGGGATTTGCAAGCGGAGGGATGAGTTTTGCCGTTTTGCGTGGCTTTGCAATGTATCTCGCTGCTTTAGCTTGGATTATTTCAGTCCGAATCCTTATCTTTCGCAGTGTCCGGGCTGACAGATTGACTTTTGTTCTTTGGAATGTTTGGCTAGTCAGTCAGTATGCTTTGCCGCTCTGTGCAAAACTCAGTCAAACTCGACCAGGCAAGGCATGCTAGAATTGGAACCTTGGGAGTATGATTGGATGTTCCATTACCTAGGTGCATGTCCAGGTGGAAAATGCAATTTATTACAATGCCGAAAATTCCAATTTTTTGTTCACGCGGTGTTTTATTTTGGTATTGACCAGGACGAACCTAAAATGGCGCTTGGGCACCAGTGGGCAGTCGGGGTTGTCGTGTGCTCATGGCGGTAAAAAAAGGATCTGCCACCATTTTTGCTGCCTTTCAGGAGTATTCGGCCACTACTAATTATTCTGCCGGATGGAATTGAATGAACTTAGTCAACTTTAAACCACCCATCATTGCATACCATCCCTTCTATGGCTGGGTCCTATGTAGCATAATATCAGCTAAATTTAGTTTGATCTTCGCTTTCGATAATGCGTTTGCGGTCTTCTTGGATGTCTACAAAGGTAAGTGGCATATTAAGACGGGATATGTCCAGTATCACCTTCCAAAGTTAGAACGCGGTAGAAATCCGAGTCGATGGATACAGCCCTGGAGGTGGGCGCTGTATGTACAGTACTTAGGTAAAGAACCTTGGAACGCGACGCGGTAAATCTCGTACGGTACCTGGGTATTTAACTCTGGAGGTATTGATACCTCGGCCCCACCTAGGCGCTAGATATGGATGGATCCCGCTAACTTGCTAGTAGCTGTGGGGACCTCAGGAGTGAGCATGGCACGGCCGCACGGGTATATTATGCACTGTTTTATTTCATTTTCAGGAATAAACCGGGGAGTTATGCAGTCGGTTATGTTCAATGTTAATGGTCCTGTAGGATTCAGAGATAATCCAACAACACCTGTGGACCCACTTAGGCACATACAAAGCAGCGTTCAAGTTTAAGATGAAAATATGCTAGTATGGATAATATGTATGTCTTGGTGGAGTATATGCTAGGTTTTAGGAGCAGTATCTGCACCTGGGCACATGTCTGCACGTAGGTGGCTTCCAAGTTTACATCTTGTACCTACTCTACAGTCTATAGTGCCTTCAAAACTTGAATATCTCCTTAAGGTATCTTAGATACCTAGTACATACCCAGTTTCAATATTAGTACCGCGGATGGACACCCAACACACATGGATGTGCTGTTTTTCCCCAGGTCACGCAGAAGCGCCTCCACTCTTCAAGCCCTGGAGGCGTTCCGTCTCGCCTCTGAATAAAGCTAGTACTCGCTAATACTAGCTTGAACGGCCCCCGAGGCCTCCAATATTACTACTCAGATACTCCAGATGTCCTAGCCCTGGAGTAGGTGTGAACTAGACTCATCAAAAAAACTTGAAAATATATATCTCCAAGAAATTGAGAGGAAGGCCCTGGAGAAAGATGTTGGGAGTCACCGAATACCCCTGCCAGTGCCAGTGCACATGATGTGGATGTACATTCTGGTTCAAAAGTCTGTGGACACTTCTCCCGCCCCCACCAATTTTCCGACTTGGCAACTTCAAAAATTTGCAACTCGATCAATATGGACGCATTTGGCACCGCAATTAGTGCAAATCGTTCGAAAAATGCAGAATTATCAGATGTTCGGCGCAGTTCGATTATTACAGCTTATAAATTAGGTGATAAACCTACTCAAATTGCCCGCTATTTTCAAGTTGCGCGTTCAACTATTTACAACACAATCAAGCGATTTAATACATGCAAAGATATGCAATCAAAGCCCTGTTCGGGTCGCCCGCGCAAGATTGGTACTAGAGAAGAGCGCTATATTTATCGAATGTGTCGACGATATCCACGTATGAGCTGGGGTGCTCTAGTTGCGGAGGTTACAACTGGAGAGATTAGTATCTCAAAATCCACTATTTATCGCGTGTCACGACGATATAAATTACGCAAGTGGAAATCTCGACGCCGAATTCTATTAACTAAGGATGATACTCTACGCCAATGTCAATTCTGTCGAAAATGGCGGAATTTTAAGAAGATAGAGCGGTTAATCTTCTTAGATAAATACTCTGTGTAGTGACGATCAAATTCAACTAATGAATGGGGTTTTCGACTATTATCTGAAGCGTATTGCCAAGATTTAGTTAATTCAACAAATTCAGGGCGTGATATCGTATAAATGGTCTAGGTAGCTATTTAGATTGGTGGTAGATCTGATTTGATTATTATAGAATGTGATCCGGAGTCCCTAAGAGGTGGGTTTTCAGCAAATTCCTATCAAGACGCCCTACAAGAAGACCTATTATACTATTATAACCTAGAGATAATATTCCAGTAAGATAATGTACCAGTAAGATAATGTACCAATTCATATAGCTAAGAGCTCTCAGAAGTTTATAATATAACATAGAATTCATACAATGGATTGGCCTCCGTATTCCCCTGACCTCAGCCTAATTAAACTGTATTGGCGCTTACTTAAACTCAAGCTTCTAAAATTAACTAAAGCCTAATTTTCGACATACCGGTCGCAGGTTAGCTGCATGGGACGAATTCCATACAATTTTACGACAAGCGTGGTGGGTAATACCACAGCATACAATAGACAGCCTTATTCGATCATTTCCGCGCAGAGTTGAAGCTGTACGCCGAGTGCGGGGATATTACACCAATATTAGTGTAATTAATCATTATCAATTAATTTATTCAAATTATCAAAAAATTCCATGGAATTTGGAGCAAAACTCGATTTATTATGGATTTTTCAAATTGGTGGGGTGCGAGCTGGAATATGGAGTGTCCACAGACTTGAACTAGTACTTCTGTACCCCGGGGCCCTACCTAGTGTAAGGTACTAGGCGGTGACGTAGGTACTGTTCCATACCGTACCTTACCCGTCACGTTCTTGAATGTTTACTGTACATACAACCTTGGAACCTTACCACCCGCATGGGCGTGGACCTGTTCGCAGGTGCACAATACACCTTCTTATCCCAGCCCAATGCTTGTCTATTGCGTACTACCGGTAGCCAGTATTTATTTGAATGACTGGTTGGAGTTGGATCCGTGCATCCATGAGCGTACTGTCCAGGCTCGGAGCAGTCTTATTTTCAGGAAGTACCTACTTTTACTAGTATGGAGTATTTTTTCCAAGGTTGTGTCCACGGGTATCTAGATCTTGATGTCCATCCTGGAAGTTTAGTTCAAGTTGCAGCATCCCGCTTCTTTCAGAATTGCCACTCTCACTGCCGTTAATTTCAAGTTTTATGACTTTTGTCCAATCATTACCTAAACTTGAATTTACACCCATCTGACCTCGGGAGTCGAGATGCCCGATTTTACTACATCCACCGTGACGGGTACACCTAGGCATCCACCGTTGAAAATAATAATAGTAATGTCAGCACTTGCGTGTATGTATACTGTTCAATATTGAAATTACTCGTCTTCGCTCCACATTTCGAACGCAAGCTAATGGGATACAGCCCTTTCCAGCCTTTTCCAGGTGGTACTTTCATGTTGAGGCCATGCATTGGTATAAATAACCTTGGAAACGCCCTTTTGGAGAATCCCACTTCAAAATTTCTTTTCTAAAACAAAATATTCATTGAGCCTTGGAGTGCTTCCCGAAGTCAAAGACTACTGACATCACGGTCCGGCTTACTTCACCTGCAATGTCTACCCCAACCATAATAAATCATGGTGGCTTCAGGGAGGTGAGGAATTCACGGGACAAAGATTACTTCCCCAAGTCATCGACTATCATGCCCATGAGAATCCTACTCGCATATTTGCTTCTTTCCCGAGAACCGAAAATGTCGCGGATGGATTTCGAGATATTGACATGAAGACAATGGCTACCGCGGTTGATGCGATGGCGTGATGGCTGGATGATCTTTCCAAGGACATCTCTGGAGAAAATGTTCTGAGTTATGTTGGCGTATCGGATGTCCGATATCCTATTATTTTCTTCGCAGCAATCAAAGCTGGATGGACGGTAACAGGCCAAAGGATCCCTCCGTTGGACATTGAGCTAGGTTCTAATTTCTTAGACATTACTGATTTCGCCTCGGAGTCCTCATCCCCAAAACTTGAACTTGCTACGTGAGGCGAAAGTGAAGTTTGTGCTTTACGCAGAGCCCATGGAGCCAGTTGTCAAAAGTATTGTGCAGGTTGATCCCGCTTCTTCGATAAAATCTCTACCGGTCCCGTCGCGAGATGATATGCTGAGCGCGCAGTCATCTCCATACATTTTTGATGCTTTGTTTGCGGATGTCAAGGATCATAAATGCATGGCTTTGCACTCGTCTGGATCCACAGGTATGTTGTGCACTTGCAACCTTGGAAATCCTGGTGGACATTTTCTCAAATATCATTGAATTTCCAGGACATCCAAAGCTCGTTTATTTTACACACGCGGCTTTCGCTTGTACCGACTCAGACCGAAATATACTTGTCCCAGAGGGACGTCGAGCACAGAATGCTAAACAGTTTGATTTTGACACTCCTGGGCGATTCTATTGTTGCTTTCCGCCGTTTCATGTACGAAACAACCCCGTATACATATTGCCTCTTGGTTCAAATCACTAATGAAAGATTTTACGCTTGAAGTTAGCTGGTACAATGGCATTCATCATTCTCCCCGTCTTCTACGCAACTGCGACTGCCGTTTGGGGTCCCGCAACCGTGCCACCTAACGGTTCGCTGATGAGCTCCATTATGAGAAATATGACGATTCGAGCCCACTATCTGTTTCCTTTCATTCTTGAACAATGGGCATCTGAGCCAGGTGTTTATAAGCAGGCAGAAAGTTTTGATTTCGTGTTATATGGTGGAGGACCTCTAGCTCCTGGTGTTGGACACAGACTCAGTGAATATGCTGACGTTTGTCAAATGTATGGCTCACTTGAGATTGGTCAAGTCCAAATGCTCGTTGCTTAGCCGGGGGAATGGCAGTATCTTGAGCCAAATCCCGCTGAGGAGTGTGATATGCAAGAGATAGAGGCGGGCTCGGGTCTTTATGAGATGGTGCTACACCAAGATGAAAGATTCCGCGATCGGCGCACCCTTTCACACACATTCCCGAATTTGGAGGAGTGGCGTACCAAGGATTTGTTCACTCCTCATCCTACGAAAAAGGGTCTCTGGCAGTTTCATTCCCGCACTGACGATGTCATCGTGCTAGGCAGTAGCTATAAGGTGTTTCCTCTTCCTATGGAGATAGTTTTCCAGGCAGACCCAAATATCTCTGGCGCCTTAATCATCGGGAAAGGACGGCCGGGTGTAGCTCTCATCATAGAGCCGACGCCGTCTGTAAAAAACCTGAGCAAAGATGATCTTATGGAAAAGATTTGGCCCTCAGTTGTTACCGCAAATGCTGGTGCAGCATCCTTTGCCCAGATCCAGCGATCTCACATCATTCTGACAGATCCTGACATTGGATTTCTAAGAACCCCCAAAGGAACTATTGTACGCAAACTTTCTGAGGCACTTTACACATCCACCATTGACTCCATATTCAATGGTATTTGGAATGATGACCGTGAGGCTGGTTGTCTTGAAAAGATCTGGGCTCATGAGACCAAGAATTTCATTCGGTCGGCTATTCGCGCTATTCGTCCGGACTCTGAGATTCGCCTCAACGATGATGCTGATTTTTTTTATCACACAAGCGATGGACTCACTCAATGTAGTTGAACTAGCTCAAAAGCTTAAGCTGGCGCTGTCGAACAGCATGAGCGGTGATGGTGATACATTGACCATCTGGAGACTCGCTATTTACGAGAATCCCACCATAAATGGCCTCAGTAAGGCTGTACTCAGCTCACACTTTGATCAAAAAGTTTCAAAGCCAACAGAGAATCTCACAGCCGATGATCTCGTTCAAGAATTGAAAGCCAAACTTCCAGAGCGAAACATGCAATCACAGGAACCATCTTCATCATCCAAGGGACAGCATATAGTTTTACTCGGTGCCCGAGGACGTCTAGGGCCATTCCTTGTCAAGGCTTTGCTTGGTAGCCCTAGTGTTGCTAGTCTTACCTGCCTTGACCGTGCCCGGGGAGCGAGTCCCAGCAAAGCTTTCCAGGAATGTGCTGACAAACTGGGCATTTCCATCGACACTGCTGACCCACGACTGCAATTTATCACTGTTGATATTTCCAAGACGAATCTGAACATACCAAAAGAGCAGCTCGATATCATCTTGGAAAATGTCAATGTGATAATCCACAATCTCTGGGTTGTGAACTTCGCTTACTCGCTGGTGTCCTTCCAGTCCGAGATGTTCAAAGGATTGTCTTCCATGATTGATATTGCGAATAACGCATCTTCTCAACCTAGACTGGTGTTCAGCTCAAGCATTGGATCTGTTCAGAACTGGGCAGCCAGGATCTCATCTACCATCCCATTGCCGGAGGATTTGATCAAATCCCGGATCTTGCGGCAGCAACCGGGTATGCTCAAGCGAAGCGAGTCGCAGAAAGAGTCCTCGCTGCTGCAGGGAAGAAGCTCCAGCTTCCTATCTCTATTCTACGAATTGGTTTCATCGGAGGTCAAAGTATTGGTCCTGTTAAGTGGCAAAGCAAGGATACGTTACGGAGTCTCGTCCTTCTCTCGGAAGCCACCAAGCTAGTTCCGAATGAGATGGGTGAGGTGGATTACATTCCCGTGGACGTCCTTTCGAATATCATTCGCGACGTTGCTTTACGAGAAAAGGGGGAACTCGGTGCCCAGTTTTATAACTTGGTACACCCAAAGCCAGTCCCGTTCTCAAGGCTTGCCGATGCCCTACAATCTTGCATCCCATCTTCGAAGAAGGTCAGTTTTGCAGAGTGGGTGGACCACCTGTCCAATCTGCCAGATCAGGCTCTCTCCAAAGACTTGAAGGCTGAAAGGGTCGGTATGTTGCCATTTTTCCAGGCTTTGAGAAATATGGAATCGCCACCTCTGCGGGTGGATACGACGAAAGCTCAGGCAATTAGTGAACACCTAGCAAATTTGGAGCCTCTGGGTCCGGAGTTGTTGATTCGGTGGTTCAAGGAATAGATCTGAATATTTGCATTAATGAGATAGAGATCCAGTCAAATGTGTTGGTTAATACTAGCACGTTGATCATAATCATGAGCCTGTGGAAGGATGACTCGCAACTTCAAATTGAAGTTCAATTTCTCCCGAAACATATCCATTCCTCCAACCTTGGAACTTGAAGTCAGCAAATCCACCCCAACGCATCGGCAAGTCCGGTTTTGTAGACTCAACACAATGCGGCCAAGGAGAAAAAGCCGTATTCAATCCGTAGGCAGCATCCCGATAGTTTGCACTGATTCGAGAGTTGAGATCCACATTGCATGAAATTCAGCCCATAATGAGCGGGGTTCTGAAGTGGTGAGGTAACCAATTCCCCCCGCATCTGACGATAACCACGACAACATTCGAAGGTAAACAAGGTTCTTCCAAAAGTACTAGTGCGATGTGGTTTGGTCTAAATTAACGATTGATTCATCTGATGTACTGCATACTACGGAGGGTACTGCGTATGCTCTCTTGGTATATCCAACGATGCAACGATCTGAGTCGCAGTGTGTAGTGGGGTATGCAGATCATATGAGTCCCAATATTGCTAGTATTATCGACCAGAATCGATAACGAAAGAATAGTGCGTGCCAGTGTATATCGATCTAACTTCAAGTTGAAGCTGGTCCTCTACTATGAAACACCAACACTGGTAACAAGTTTTTCTCTTTTACCCGGGCACGGCTCTTGAGTTCCCGGCAGAGCAGTTGAGTCATGCCGCAGTGGTGGCGGCTCGGGAGTAATCCGACGCTTTATATGTTTACACCAGTTGACACTGCACATGTGGCCACTTTGAATGCATCAATCTTACGTTCAAAGTCGGTTGGAATATTTCATAGTGGCGTCCTCAGCGGGTCGAGCTATTGAAATATCAGGTGAAATGACGAGAAAATGTCGAGGTGGCACGAGACCCCAGGAATGCAATTGACTTCGATGCAGAATGAGATAATTGACTGGAAGTATGCAGATCGTAGCCGCACTCAAGTGCTCAAGGCCTTCAGGTGCCCAGGTGGAGGACTACATGAGAAATCTTCTCACGCCTGTATCTACCCGTATCTCATCTGCCAGTGGGCACAGGCATAATATTAGAACGGAATCCACGGTCCATTCCAATATTCCACTTTTCTGTCCCAACAGTATAGTTCCACGTGGAGCAAAAGAAAAGCTCGAAGAGAAAGCAGAGAAAGCATTAATCCCGAGGTCCAACGGTTTTTGGTCTAGTCTCGTGGGGCTTGAGGAGAAATTTCTACTGGATCCACTTGAAGCCACTGCGGGGCGTAGATGATCTTGCAGGCACGAGATTGGAAAAAAAAAAATCGATATCCCTTGCGGGAGATGGTTTGGGGGGTTAGCTGCATACCCCTCCAAGGATCATAGATTATCAGTTTATCTATGGATGATTTCAGCGCTTGGACATGCATGTTGTGATATCTGGATCTATCTCATGCATGATGCGGCCACAGTTCTGTTGTCCTTACTTACCGCCTGTTAGTCCGAAGATAGAACAGCCCAACCTGTGATGATCTGTATTTCATTCTCATTCCTTCAGGCTCAAACATTGTCTTCTGGTAAGGGAGGAGGTTCTGGTCTCTTCTGGGTACGGCCGGAATGGAGGGTCCCGAGTTGCCACCGCGGGAGAAAAACCCAAACACGATTCTTAGGCCCGACCAATGGAACTTTTCCTTGATGACTATGACTTGGAATATGATTCATCCCATCATAATCAGACTCAGAGGCAAAGATTCATTTTAAACATTTTGAAGCTTGAAGGTTTAGGCGTAAGAAGCTTTGACATTAGAAGGATTCAAGTGCCCGATTCAGATAGTAGTCGGGTTATTTTTACTTATACCATTAGCTCAAGTTCATTGAAAATTAGGGGGGGTAAAAACGCTGCAGTCATACCACAATGGACCCGCAGGATTGCCGGGTCCCAAAGATGCTACGTTTGTCCAGTCTATTCGTAATGCAAAGTTTTTTTTTTTTGCTTATTTTTAAGTCCCCCCTAACATTTCAAGGGAAAAAAGAAATATCATAAACTGCCCAGATAGAATGAAGAATAATCTACATCTTATATTACTAGAATATTTAATATATTCTCTCATATAATTAACAGTGTAAGAAGAGTAATTGTAATGTAATTGCAGCATATTGCAGTGTTCTCATTGGCTCGAAACATGCGGTGAACTGACGCCAATAGAGGTGGGCTCTGACCAATCACCCCACTCCATTTCCCCTCCGCTTTTGTATGGGAAAATTCCCATTCATTATCCCTTCGACTTCTCTCCATCAACAACTCTTAAGCTGATAAACTTCATACTCTTGATTCTTCATCTTTATTACACACCCCCCTCCTCAGATATCAGTCAAGAATTTCATGCCAAATGGCTTTCGTGCAGCTGTAAATCTCTCGCTGGGGAGTCTGTCCACTGCCGACTCCCCAGTCCAGCAGCTCCGATTTAACAATTCAACTTGACGATATCTGTTCCTCTTTCGACGCCTCTCACTAGCGTCGAAATTGCCCCTCAATACACTTCCTGAACAAGCACTTTGTCCGCCGTGGACAGGAGGTGCTTTCGAGATTTACGATTCATACTTTTCTCTCCTATCTTACTCCTACACCTTTCCCCCGCCCTTGAGAAGAAGAAAAAATCACCTTCAATCCTTGGGATCTTCACGCCGACCTAATACCAACTACTTCTTCAACCGAACCGTCTGGAACCATATCTTGTGTCCATAAAAAAGTCATTCCCGTTTGACCGGATTTCATCGAACAAAAGTCCGGCCTAAAAAAGTTTACCAAGAAAAAAGATCAAAACCGAATTTTGTCCTGTCACAACAAAATCACAATATGCCGCAATCCAGCCCATTCTCTTCTAAACGGACCCCTAATAAGGGATCCAAAACAACGCACCCTCCTTCTACCCCCGACTCTCACTCCCGACGCCTCGATATGTCTCCCCGTGCCAATCAATCCAAGAAGACAACGAACTCCCGCAACAGTGGTGGCTCGTTTGACCGCAAAAGACGTGCATCCACTTCATCCGTTTCCAGTGTTTCCTCTGTCTCTTCACTTGAGGAATTGAGCGAGGAGGCGGATGATTCTGAGGATGATGCTGATGACGAGGAGGACCGACCACTAGCTCATGCCCCGTCTTTCGGTCGTCGTTGGAACAATGCCCGGAAGGCGGGGCGTCAACCGGTGAAGAAACAGAGATTACGCCTCTCGGATGATGAAGACTCTTTCAGTAGCTCCAGCGATTCCGACGATAGCTCCGACGATGTCTATGCCGCTGTGGATTACATCTCGGATGCCGAAGATGAAGAGCAAGATGTTGAAAAGTTGGAGGAAATGATGATCATGGAAACCGCGAGAGATCATCGAATTCTGCCCACCTCCGAAGCCTCGCATGACCAATGGAATGAGACCGAGTTCTTTGGAGACTCGATGATTCTCCCCGCCGCCTCCTTCTTCGATGATGAACAATTGTACAGTGCCATGGAAACCTTTGGTGAAACTGATATGGCCAGCGAGGCTGTCGAGACCCCGGTGGCTCGACGAGTCCACTTTGAGGAACGATCAGACTCCTCGTCCGATAGCGATTCCCACACTGAGGATGAGATTCCCAGTGACTTCCTTCAGCAAGATTCTCTGGACCCTCAATTGCGCCGGATGATTGAGAACGACAATGAGAACCACCGTAGCCACCGTCGCCAGTCTGAAGAGATTTTCGGAGATGCAGACTATGGCCATGCAAATATCTACCACGTCGAGTCCGATGGAACATCGGAGGGTAGCCTGAGCGGCTATGAGAGTATGCTAGCCATATTTCTGAACTTGTCCTACGTTTCCTTGCTAACCTGCATCCAGCCGATGATGGAGATACTACAGATGAAGATCTTCCCCCTCCCGCCACTATCACCCACCCCCGCTCCCTCCTTCGACGGGACTCGACCGACTCGTTGGTTGCTCCCAGTGATGACAAAACCGTCAACCTCCCTCGTCGGCGTGGCCCGATCATGGGAACATTCGTTGCGGATCCTCACAAACCTGTCGCCTTGGTTGACTGCACAGGAAAGCACCTTGTCATTATTCCCGCTTATGCCTCTTCTCGCCACGACTGGTTAGAATCAGCCGCCAACAGTATGCCTGGCACAGCCAACAACAGTCCCCGCCAGACAACTCTGCAACTCATTGACGAGAGTGACACCGATGCCATGGCATCTCCGAACCACATTGACTTCAGCCCCATGTTGGCATCCAGCGCCAACTTGATGATGACAGCCCTTGGCAACGATCTTACCCCAGGTGGCCAGGTTATGGGCCCTCCTGAAGCATTCTATCCTTCCCGTGATTTCGCCATTGACAGCTCCTTTGAAGACGATGAGGAAGATGACCCCGAATCAGCCCTCAATGTAGATGACTTTATTGACTTCGGCAATGGCTCTTCCGACGAGGAAGATATGGGCAACCTTGATGATGAGGCGCTCATCTCCCCCCATGGCTGGTGCATCATCCATGCCAAATCTGGGCACCCCAACTCCCAAGCGTAATTCGGAAACTCAACAAGACAGCAATGCTGAGCGTTTCTTGAACCACCTTGACAAGGGCATTGTCACTGCATTCCGCCGCAACCACAACCGATACCAGGCACTTCTCCGTCTGCCTCAACACCGCGAGTTCATGCCCGCCAACTCGCCCGCACGACCCGCCAGTGTCTTCCGACACGCCAAGCACACCGACCAGCGCACGCCGACTCGAAAGCGCAAGTCAAGCGGATACGCAGGTGGCGAGGCAGTTCGACGTAAGCTGATGGATGCGCATCGCCGCACTCAGGTGCCTTTCTAGACCCTCCGCACTTCCACACCCCTTTGCCAATACCGCCTTGGGCTGGGATCGGAATGAATTCCTTGCTGGACATTCCCCTCTTAACGATTTGACGAAGTTTGGATTTCTTTTATTACAAAGATCGCATGATACACACGGACGCTGTTACACATTTACCGAGTCGCTGGCAGACTTGCGCCCTCGGGAGACTGTTGATGATATGGTGGCTTTGTTGATCTTTCATCATTTAAGGTGAAGATCTAAACAAAGAGACATGGATCATTTACACAACCCGCATTCTATGTTCTACAAGGTAGAGATCGCTGGCGGTTTGGAGCCAAAAGTTGATCGATTCTTGCATTTTTATTGCATCGAATGTTCTTTGCCTTGCCTTCGCTTCTAAGATGTTTTTTTTCTTGATTTTTTTTTCTTCCCCATGGTCTCTCGCTTCTAGTGGGGGATAGTGATACCTAAGGGTTCTATGGAGTTACCTACTTTTGCCTGCGTTTCACGAGTGATGGATGTATTTCCCCCAAAATTCAATTTTAGCAAAAACATTTGAAATCTATCTCCTTCCACATTCTTAGTTGATACATCGACCAGTACTATCAGTGGCATCTAATTTCGGAGGCTCTTCCTTGGTATTTCTAGCAGATTTACGGAGTGAACTCAATGCCACTAAGATGAAACATAGGACACTTCACATCCAGCTTCTTCATTCAGGACCCAGGGTCTCGGGAGTGAGAAATGTTTCATGAAGCGGGGATATGGAAGCTCCGTACACACTAGTAGTATAACGCAGCAAACATCTTCTATACCATTCAAATGTTGAGCCCTGGAGGCCCTGCCAGTGAGTGCAGAGGCACAGATAAAATGGAATTTCCACGTTGGAGCGGATCGGGAACGAAGAGAAAAAGAAAAAGAAATGGTCCCAAGTCCAGATTCCTCGACTTTGGCGTTATCAGCACCGTGAGCACACTCTAACCAACTGAGCTATGGAACCGATTATATCATGATACTTCAGCACAGATTTTCAAATTATGAAGGCAGTGGATCATGCAATATAGGCTCCTTGAACGCCACAACCTAGGGAAGCTCAAGCTTCCAGGTCCAAGGTCCAAGATCCTATGCCGGTGGCACGTTCTACACTTCCAAACCTGAAACCGGGACATGAATCTCAAGCCATATTTGAAAGCTGCGGGGTCAAAGTGCAACGCTACTACTGGAGTCTTTTCTATGCTTTTTCTTTTCTCTTCACCTTGAATGATTCAAGTTCCAATGTTCTAACCGCTTCTATCCCCACACGATCCATGGATGTGACCTTGTACCGCGAAATGTAGCTGCATTCTGCACTTCATACTCCGGATTCGCGGCACGGCCAAGTTCAAGTCCGTGCCGAAGACCGACGCGAGCTAGGAGTGGCTTTTCTTGTTTGGCGCTGGGGTATATTGAGTTTAGGTTGGGCAATCGTGCGACGGGAGGAGACCAGGGGCGTTAATTAAGCCAGTCGGGTGAGCTATATGGTTCATCCGAAACACTTAAATTAATGCACTAACAATTGGTAGGTCATTTCAGTCTTCTTGAATCTGATTTCAGTCTGTTGTGAAGAAGTTGAATATTCAATATTTGGAATATTAGGTGGGATTTGGAGCTCAAGTGCTTTGACTGCTTGGTTTGTTTGAATCAGAGTCCCTCAAATGTTTGTGCTACATAGTGGCCTAAACTCAGCCTGAACCACATGGGCATACTACGCAAGTACTTCAAGTTCAAATGTCAATTATGGTCATTTCAATAGTATTAATTGTGAATTCTATCCCATTTTATCTCAGAGCTTCAATATCCAGATTAGGCTTTTTGTACGAAGTCGTAACCGAGTGCCAAGTTGAACATTTGAACATGACTTGGATGTAGTGGCTACATATTGTACCGAAACACTGGTGCGCAGGTACGTACGCCACACGTCAGAGATCGTAGAATGAAAGAAAGCGCTGGGCTGTGCTCCGTGTGCTCCGTGCAGTACTAGCAATAAGATGAAACTGGTGACAGGGGACGAAAATAAAGAAAACAGATTCTTGGAAGCTGATTGGCCACTGGATGAATATTAGGGGTTTCTGTTATGTGATTGGTCAAGTGGAGTATATCCTGGCGCTACAAATCAAGATTATAGTAAAACAAAACCACAGAGAAAGAAACCAAAATAACCAAAGCATAAAATCAGGCAGGCCACGAACTGTCTGATTTTACAAGTTCGTACCTAGAATATGAGCTCAAGTCAGGTGGGGAAGGTGTTGACCATCTTGCAGCAACATACCCAAGCGAGACGCCGGCGCTAAGCTTCGTTCTTCACACTGCAGAAGTGGAGCTTGCAGAACCAAAAAAAGATTGACAAAAGGATGACTGATCCTGTTCTGGTGGTTTGCAATATGTTGCAAACAGTAGTACACGCAATATGAAGGATACACTAATTAACTAGCCTGGTCTTGAGTATGTGTCATATTGAGCAGTGGATCATACTAGTACTAGTACTCCGAGGTGGAGGCGAGCTTGGATCAAGACACTCGGCAATTGAGAATCACCACGGAGTACTCCGTACAACAACAGCATTTGAAGATCAGCCTCAAATTTGTTTATGCATGTATGTGAAGAAATTGAAGATCAGAATAGCAGAATGTATACGTAAATGTGTGTTGATCTGGCGCTGAGATCCTATTTTTAGGGAGGTCTTGGCACCTTCCCCAGACCTTTCAAGGTTTTAATTGGTTAAATACTGTAATCGCCGACGGGTGTCACTTAACAGAACTCCACTATACATCATGCATTACAAGATGAGCATATCACTTACTTCATTAGTGTTTACTTAACCGCCCTGGACCCTGGTCTTTATGTGTTCCTGCACTAGTCCCCGCTTTCTATCCTCTGAATGGATACCGTCATCTCTGTTATAGAGATCCTTGTTTCATCAGGTACAACAGACTAAACCTCATTGGAGGATCCAATGCCAAGGGGGGTTCGGTGTCTTACAAATGAGGAAAAGAAAAGAACAGGGAGCTTGAGTGAATTCTAGATCGTGAATGGGTGGCGGTTTCACTGAGAACAATGGAATGGGGCGCGTATATTAAACAGATCCATGTCCCATCAAACAAAAGGTAGTCGGAGAGTCGTGGTAGAGCAATCGTTCACTTTGTGTATAGGACTGGTTCCTTGACTCATTCTTTTTCATTCTTTTCAAGTTCTGCCTAAATTTCACGCCTTCACTAATTTCGTCTGATATCGACTGTTTACTTTTGATACCTTTGTTTGGTGTTTTCTTTCAACCACCCACCCTCCTACATCTTCCCTCTTGCCTACTCTCGATCGTAAACATTCGTTTCAAGGATCTTGATTCTGCTCTTGCTTCTTCAAAACACTCAGAACATTCGTTCAACCTTTTCAATATCTGTTCTTTTTCAATCTCAACCAACGATATCCTACATATCCAACCGGTCTGATCAACTACACCTTCGTTCCCGTGTCACGCGATGACACTCTTCAAGATGAAGGGCCCAATTCCTTTCGTCATTGCGTGTCTATTGATTGGCGTCTTTTTCGTTACTTTTGGTACAACTGCTAGCGTCCCATCTGCGGGTGCACTTGGCAAGCGTGACTATTCGGATCCTTCTGGTGGTATCGGATCGAATGGCGGGGTTGCCTCTGCATCTGTCAATGTTGGAGGTACTGCTCAGATAACCAGTGCTGCTGCGGATATGAACAATGGAAATGGAGGATCTTCGTCGAGCGCGGCTGCTGATGCTGCTAATTCCGAGTCTGCCAATGCAATTGGCTCGTCGCCTACTTCTTCTACTGCTGTTGGTGGTGTTGAGGTCATTCCTTATGATTCTTCTGGCACTCCCGCTGCTGAATCTCAGTCAAGCTCTAGCAACCCTGTTATTGTGGAGCAATCAAGCACTTCGTCCAGCTCCCCGGCCTATTCGAACCAGGCGAGCCCTGCTGATTCTGCGACAACTAGTGCTGCCATCAATTCGCAGGCAGTTCCCGATCACTCAAGCTCTGCTATCAATGCCGAGACCTCTCCAGCAGGCCATGGCTCTGCTAGTTCTGCTGAACTCACTGTACCTGGTAGCTCATCGAGCTCTGCTCACATCCCCGCAGAAACTGGAACCGCAAGCTCGCAAGGATCGTATGTGCCCTCTGTTGCTGGTGGTTCATCAGCTGCAGGTACCACATCTGCCGCTGTTCATGGTCGCTTGACAACTTCGACTATCTACAGTACCAGCGAGATTACGGTTACTAGCTGTGCCGCAAGCATCACAGATTGCCCAGCGGATTCTACACTTGTAGTCACTTCTACTATTGCAGTTTCAACCACAATCTGTCCTGTTACGGAGACTGAGGCTGAGACTACCCCGGCAGCTGCGACAACTCCTGCTGAATCTACTCATGCTACCAGCTCGGCGGAAGTTTCCCCTGTTCACTCATCCAGCTCCTTGTCTCCAGTGGTTTCGCCTGCCAGTTCTCATTCATCCTCGACATCCTCTCTCCCCGCTGGTGTTGGGGCTACTTCTGCTGGAATTTCTTCCGCATCAGTCACCGCATCACCATCAATGAGCAAGTGGACTACGTCAACTGTTTACTCGACTAGGGAGATCACAATTACTAGCTGTGCCGCTACGATTACTGATTGCCCTGCTGATTCTACTACCGTGGTCACATCTACTATTGCCGTCTCTACAACTATTTGTCCAGTGACGGAGACAGAGACAGAAACTTCCTCATCAACTAAGGTAGTCTCTGCAAGCCCTGGCCCTAGTGGTGTTTCTCCCGAGGCCAGTACTGCGGTCCCTCAGGGCTCTGCCTCTGCTACGGAGTCCCCCAGCAGTTCTCATGCAAGCCATGCTGTGTCTCCGGTTTTGTCCCCTACTGGCTCTCCTGTCTCGTCGAGCTCTACTTCTAATGTGACCTCGGCTGTAGTGAGTCCCTCAGTTAGCAAATGGACCACATCGACTGTCTACACAACAAGCGAGATCACTATCACTAGCTGCGCTGCTACTGTCACGGATTGTCCTGCTGATTCCACCACTGTTGTCACTTCTACTATTGCAATCTCGACTACAATCTGCCCGGTAACAGCGACTGAGACTGAGACTGCCACTAAGAGCACTTCGGCATCTGTGGGGCCTAATGGAGTCTCTCCGGCTTCATCCCCTTCAGAATCAGTCTCGACTGCAGTTCCTACTCACTCAACCTCTTCTGGTGTTGCAACCTCGCCAGCTGTGACCGCAACTCCGACTGAGTGGACTACATCTACTGTGTACATCACTAGCGAGATCACCATCACTAGCTGTGCCGCTACAGTGACTGATTGTCCTGCTGACTCCACTACTGTGGTCACCTCTACTATCCCTGTCTCGACCACAGTACGCCCTGTCACCCGGACGGAGACAGAGACCGCGACTTCAACCCCCGTTGCACCCCACAGTGTATCTCCGGAATCTTCATCTGCTGTATCGCCGTCACCAGTGGAAAGCCCAACTGGCTCATCCAGTCACTCTGAGTCTAGTCACTCTGGAACTCCCATTGGGGCTACCTCACCTGCAGTGACCGTATCGCCCACAAAGTGGACTACCTCGACTGTGTACAGCACTAGTGAAATCACGGTGACTAGTTGTGCTTCTACTATCACTGACTGCCCTGCGGACTCTACTACTGTGATTAAATCTACGATCCCCGTATCAACCACAGTTATCCCGGTCACGGAGACGGAGACTGCAACTGCGACCTCAACTCCTGTTGCCCCTCATGGTGTATCTCCAGAATCTTCATCCGCTGTCGCATCATCGCCAGTGGTAAGCCCAATTGGTTCATCTAGCCACTCAGAGTCTAGTCACTCTGAAACTCCAGTTGGTGGTACCTCGCCTGCTGTGACTGCTTCGCCGACGAAGTGGACCACGTCTACTGTCTACAGCACCAGCGAGATTACTATCACAAGCTGTGCTGCTACGATTACAGATTGTCCTGCCGATTCCACAACCGTGATTACCTCCACAGTCGCTGTTTCGACTACTATTCGCCCAGTTACTGAGACTGAGACAGGTGGTCAGTCCACAGCTACTAGTACGCCTACTCCAGATGTATCGGCTGTTGGTTCAACTGCCGCTGGATCCACCGTCACCCACACTGTCTCTTCGAGCACTCATTCTGGAACTCCTGTTTCTCCCGAGTCGATTGTCACAGTGGTTACTTACGAAACTACGACTTGGTGTCCTGTTACGGCCACCGAGACTTCTGGTGGTTCCACTTACACTACTGTGAGTAGCAGTCTGTCAACTATGACGGTTACGGCAACTTCCACCGTCCCTGTGACTTCTACTGCTCATGCCACAACCCCTGTTGGCGTCGGTGCTGCTTCTACTTCCATCACTCCCGAATCTACGGTCACTGTAGTCACTTACGAAACTACGACTTGGTGTCCCGTTACTGCAACTGAGACTTCCGGCGGCTCAACATACACAACTGTGAGCAGCAGTCTCTCAACTATGACCGTGACAGCGACTTCGACAGTTCCTGTGACATCGACAGCCAAGATCACCGAAACTGAAACAAGTACTGTTGGGGTTGGTGCTCACTCTACCTCTGTGTCTCCCTCTGTGTCTCCAGTAGTCTCGCCTGTCGGTTCAAGTGTCACGGAGTCCACTACCACTGAGACTATTTCCTCGAGTGCCCATTCAGGTGCACCTGTTTCCCCAGAGTCAACTGTTACTGTTGTAACCTATGAGACTACAACCTGGTGCCCCGTCACGGCGACCGAGACATCAGGTAGTTCGACATACACCACTGTGAGCAGCAGTCTTTCGACCATGACAGTCACAGCAACATCGACAATCCCTGTGACCTCCACTGCTCATGCTTCAAGCCCTGTAGGCGTTGGTACTCATTCTACCTCGGTGACCCCTGAGTCAACAGTTATCGCTGAGACTTCTACTGCTCATACCACTGAAACTAGCCCTGCTGGAGTCAGTGCTCATTCCAGCTCGGTGATTCCTGGGTCTACAGTTACTGTAGTGACTTACGAAACCACAACATGGTGCCCAGTTACAGCTACGGAGACATCTGGAGGCTCAACCTACACCACCGTAAGCAGCAGTCTCTCGACTATGACAGTTACAGAGACCTCAACAATCCCGGTGACCTCTACAACTCAGGTCGCAGTCACAACCCCTGTCGGTGTTGGCGCTGCCTCCTCCTCCATCATTCCTGAGTCGACGGTTATTCCTGAGACCTCGATTGCTCGTGTCACCGAAACCAGCCCCATTGCAGTCCCATCCACATCAGTGGGACCTGGATCTACTGTGACTGTAGTGACTTACGAGACCACAACATGGTGCCCTGTTACAGCCACTGAGACTTCTGGCGGTTCTACGATCACCAAAGTGACCAGTACTCCTTCGGCAATTACAGTTACAGAGACATCGACAATTCCTGTAGCTAGCACTCATCAGGTTACTGAAACAACTCCTGTCGGCGTGAGTCCTGAATCCACTTCGGTCACACCTGAGGAATCTACCACGACTGTCATCACTCACACTACTGTCTCCACCCACCCTGTGACCAACACGATCACATCAGGTGGAGTCACGAGTGTCCAGACTACTACAACTGAAACCACACTCACTTTGACTAAGACATCGGTAATTTGTGCCAAGTGCAGTGCTGGGTCTACCACAGTGCCTGGCATTCCTGAGGCCACAGTTCCAGCTGGAACTACTTTAACCGAGACGTCTACTGCGGAGACTACCAACACTGCAGTGTCTGTGATTCCAGTCATTGTCACTCCCGGTGTGACCGCAACCTCTCCGGAGTCAACAGTGACAGTAGTTACCTACACGACAACAACCTGGTGTCCGGTCACAGCCACTGAGACCTCGGGCGGCTCTACGATCACTAAGGTCACAAGCAGTTTGTCGACGATGACAGTTACTTCGACTTCAACCATTTGTACCGAGTGCTTAGCTGGCGCAACAACAGAAGCTTCAGGGTCAGCTGAGACTATCACTGCTGAAACTACAGTGACCGAGACTCATCCTGCGGGAGCCAGTGCAGGTGCAAGCACGATCATTCCCGAAGAGTCTGCCACAACTATTGTCTACTACACTACAGTTACCAATTACCCAGTAACCAGTACAATCAGTTCCGGTGGCTCTGTCAGTACCTTCACTACAAACACAGTCTCTACTGTTACCCTCACCTCGATTTCAACCGTGTGCACAAAGTGCAGCGCTGCAGCTAGCGCAACGACGACCGCCGTAGCCTGGCCACCTTATCCCACAACTGTTCTTCAGTGTATCAACAAATGGCTGAGTACCGAGACCAACTGTACCTCCAACACAGACACAAGTTGCTACTGTCCCAACTCGAAGTTCACTGAGAAGGTCCAGCACTGTATCAAAGCAAACGACACATCGAAGACCGCTATCCAAGATGACCTGTCCTACTTCGCCGGTCTCTGCGCAAACTGGATCCCAGAGAATCCAGGAATTGTGACCAACATTCCTTCCAGCATCACTCTGATTGCAACAGTCTCTCCCACTGCACCCGCAGGTGTGAGTGCCGGGCGCACCACTGCAGCCCCATCATCTCCTATCCCTTGCACCACAGTGACGTACTCTACCTACACCGTCACCTTGCCACAAGTTAGCTTCGTGACTTCAACTGTTTGGGGCAACATGCCAACCCGAACCATGAACCCAGGTGGTATTCGAACCCCTGCGTCATCCATGTTCCGATCCAAGAGTACTCCTAGTGGCAGTGCAGCAGCTTCTCCAAGCTACACTCCTTACTACAATTCGGCATCGAGTGTGTCAAACTCAGCTTCCTCAAGCATTTTCCTTGGCTTAATTGCCTATCTCTTTGCTATGTTTTTCTAGAAATGTCTTTCCGCGGGCGGTTTGCACAGAAGCGAAACGGGTTCATGTTTTTTTTTTCTCGCGGATTTCATTTCTTTTTCAGATACACAAGTGTGATCGCTTTTTTTTTTCTTTTTTACAAAATTTACGTTCTTGCAGCATGGAGTATGTATGGGGCTGCTTCGGATCTTTTCAGATTTTCTACAATGACTTCACGGGGTCCTTCAATGTACTTTAATACCATTTTCGATCACACAATAGTTAGTTAATGAAGGTCAATAAACCTCGTGCATATGTGCTTACCTGTAAGTCGATTTTATTCAGAAGAGTAACACTGTATAATACCTATGAGTGCCCGGTTAATTTTATCTGCAGGTGATTATTCACCGACTCTTGACGTATGTGAGTACCTACAGGTGTACCTAGAGGGATACCTAAAAATGCCCGGTGGGCTATTCGCTATAGAGTAGGATACACTGGCAGATAACTGCCAGTGGCGTTAAAAATGTTTGCGTTATGATTTCTACCGCCTTTATTCTGGCGCATTTTCTTTCTGCCAGGACATCCAGTAAATTCAATAACCTGAATACCAGCCATAATTTATAGAACTTATGAGTCTTTAAATCAAATATCAAATCAAAGAGCAATTAGATATATCCAACATTGATATAATTGCACGCGTCGCTATCATTTTGTCTATCCCTATACTTTTGAACTAGCCTAATCTAGAAGGCGGGGATAAAGGCGGTAAAAATCATAATGCAACCATTTTTGTATAATAGAACCAGATCGGCAATCTGGCAAGATCGTATGTCTTCGCCGCTTCACCTTCCTCTCCTTCTTTTCCATGTACATCTGCCTTCCTCCATCTCGTTGCGGGTCCCGCACAACACCCCATTTCACAGGTGATAAAGCTGCTCGCTCTATTCAGGATCATCGAAGAGCCCGAAAAGGGGCCGAGAATAGGCAAATTTGCATTTTTTGCACGCTCGGCACTTCGCGTTGAGAACTTGCTGTTAATATCCCATCTTGATTAGCCCCGTGTTCTTGAAATTTTTTTCCCCCCCCCTCCCGGCCCGGAGTTAAATAAACCACTTACCGCAATACAATTACATTCCAAACAATACTCTGCGTCAGGCTATTCATATCCAATCTGGATTAGCCTCTATCCTTAAGCCTCGTCTTTTAGAGCTTATCGGCCACTTACTCCCTGGCGTTTCTCTTGGGTCAGCTGGGTATCAGGCTCTTCGACAGGTAGTGCAACCACCATGGCCGTAAACATGACCGGAAAAAGAATGGTAAAAATCTTCATATTTTGTCTGGTTTTCAAGACGCAGGCAAGTAGTTGACAAGAGAACAGATCAATAATAGATAAATGAATTTGGAGGAAGTACGTCCTCTTTATATCTAGAAACCTGCCACAGAGTGGACTCTTTCAAGGTGTTTTCGGAATTCAAACTATCGACGATCATTGCTTGGTGGCGCAGCTGAAACGGACAAAACTTTTCATAACGAAATGCCGATCACTCCTTATAGCGTTGCTTATAGATGCTCTGAATCGGAGACTAATACTGTATATGTGGACCCTGCTTAAATACCATTTATCATGGTTTTGCGTTAGGTTGCGCCATAAGTATGAGGAATAGCTAGGTGAGTCAGTGATCGACATAAAGATCGACATCATGATGGTGATCAACATAGTAATCGATTTAGGTGGGGCATGTTTTCCAATAAATGCTGTGGGGTATAGCCATGATAGCAAGTGATATAACAGCATTAATCACTAGAGCATACGGAGTAAGAGCGAAATCAGCGGTCTATACCGTAGCTTCGGATAGAAGGAAAAGTAAGAGATGCCGAGAATGAGAGGGTTATAAACTAAAAGAAGTTCCTTCTATTATACTATAAGAAGACGAAAGAACTTAATTAAACCCTATTATTTTGAAACACTATCACTGAACTAAACCGATCTAATATAATAGAATACTCTTACACTTACTCGAGTATTACCGATAAGGATTCCAAGGTTCACTATATGATTTACCTCAGATAAACTATCACCCTACCCTAATGGTCTAATAGGTTGACTCTTACTTGACTTCTGACTACTGCCGAGGTCAAGTGCTAATGTCTTAGAATCTGTAGTGAAGAGCTAAAAAGAAATCCAATATATTGATGCAAAGGACTTCAGCCAGAGCTATATAGTAGTGCCAGTAGTATACTGGTGTCCACGGGTAGATACGGTAAGTGATATAACTTGTAAACTTCTTCCGAGGTTCAAATGTCGAACCTCCACTGGCAGATGTCACATTTGAAAGTTAAAGCAAAACATTCATAGATACATACTAGTACCTCCGACTTGGAGTCAGGACTTCCAAGTTTACTCCATTCAATTGTTTCCAGGTTTAACCTGCTCTTAACCCCGATTCTCCGTCCTCTCCTGGTATAGGGTACGTCCTTGTGAAGCTGATCTCATAGTAGTTAGTGGCATTTTGAAATTGAGATATCCTTTGAGATATCCTTTGTGAATAATTGCAACTACATTGGTAGCAGGAACCCCCAAATTGTTGTCTGACTGACTGCACGAAGCGAATAAGTTCAAGAGCACTTGTATGAGGGCAGAGCATGATTCTTTCTTGACCCTGATATGGTGAGAATTTATCCAACTCGATCCCATAGATGAGGTGAAAAGTAATGGAGCCGTTCTGATTAAGAGAAAGAGAGATGTTCAGCGAACAAAACAATTTCCCGCATGGACTAACAAACTCGCATTGGTGCCAATCAGGAATGCTCCTCTTGATATCATCACTGTCAAAGCCTGCTTGGGAGAGCTCATGACCTAACCGTATTAACTTCTTTGATGACAATATTAGACATGGAGCAAGTATAATAATGCTGGGCCATTTGCAGCGAAGGTTTCGGACATGATCGAGATCCCATTCCCTAAATTCATTCCTTGGATGTAATTTCAGACATGAATTGCAATAGGTCCAACAGGGGAAGTGGGCCTAGACCAGAGTCCTCTCGGAGATTGTAGCCTGCTCAGGAATTGGCTGCGAGCCTCAATATTGATTTCGCCGTTAGGGTAGCGGGGATATCGAAACATTGGCTCATCGAAAATGTAGTTAAATTTTTGATACAAACTTTGGCAGCTAAGTGCAAAGCAGCCTTGCGAAATTTGTGGAAGACATTCAAAAATGTCTAGTAAAATCTCATTTGGAAGATCTATGATCTTTTTTCTTTGCGGACGATGCCCCAAGAACATCACGAGCATTCCCAGGATCCAAGACAGCTGAGCCATTAAGCCCTGTATCAAAGACATGGTTCTGGGCAGGTAAAATTCAGTGAGAAGTTGCGTCTAGATGAGAGAGTTGGAAAGGTATTGTAGAGGGATAATTAAGAGGGATGTTTAAAAACGACTTCTCTACACTTATTATCAATGAGTAGCTCCGTAGACTACTCTAGCAGGGGTAGTATAGTACCATGAATCCATTAGTAGATCTGTATTAGGTAGGAAAAGGAAAGAGAAGAAATGGAAAGGACTGAGCTTGAACCGTGGACCTGTAGCATCCGAAAGTGTGAGACTATTCCTTCCTGAGAAAAAGACAGCCTTAGCCGCGGCCTAGTTAGGCTTCTGGGATTCATCGCCACTTTCATAAATTTCATTGGACTTTTGATCTTTTAGGTTCTCTTATCTTATTCATCGGGTGCACGAGATCTAGAGGTCCTAAGCATTGTCGACAGGCATCGTTATTCCCATGTGGCAGATTGATTATGATTGGAGAATGAAAGTATCCGTTCTGTGGCCATTATTTCTTGTCAGCGCTGGAATAGATGCAATAAAACTCTATGAGTCCATTCTTCGGTCTCTATTTTCATTTTTGATATCAGATAAAATAGGCCGTGCACTTGATCTCCACGATAATCTCCTCCCGTGGCAATGCCCGCACTTCCACAGTCGTTCTGGCCGGGGCAGTAGTCCGATCAGGCCATCTTTTGTTCCATTCCTCGTTCATCCCAGTATAATCTCTTTTCATGTCTGTCAGGAATATAGTCGCATCCACCACATCGCGGATAGTCGCGTAGCCATGCGAGGCGTGCAGGATAATTGCGTCGATATTTGATAGCACGGCTGCGGTTTGCTGTCGGATGTCGAGTGCTAGTGAGGAATTGCCTTCGGCATCCTCGGTACGAGTGGCTCCGACGAATGTTCCGTCACCACGACGAGATGAGGTTCCGGAGACGTAGATATAGAATCCTTTGCCATCGGGCGAGGTGACGGTACGCGCATGAGGATAATTTGCAAGGCCTTGGGCATGCGCTGAGTCTCGAAAGTAAGGTGTGCTTCGCGACATGCTGATAGATAGAGAGAGTGGAGTAGGACTTGATTTTGATGAATGGATAAACGAGATACCAATAGAAAAAGTGAAAGAGTTGATGTGATTTCCTCGTACGGAGTAGATTTACTTTACTCAGCACCCAGTCAGGGGTCCACGATCCACGGGTCTCGGATAGATCCGAAGGGGTTCCAGTGTCTACGTCATGACAAAAACAATCAATACGCGTTCACAGGCTCTAAACTTTTAACGGACATGAATCGTACGCAAATTGGTAAAAACATCACGGCTATGAGCGCCTCCTTCCCGACCAGTTCCAGATGCCTTCATACCTCCAAATGCCGTACCCAGCTCTCGGACTAACCAGCAATTGACCCACACCAATCCGGCATCGATCCGTTCCGCGACGCGGCGCATCCGCGATACGTCTTTCGTGAGGAGAATGCTCGCAAGACCATTCGGATTATCATTCGCCAGTTCAATCGCTTCTTCTTCGGTGCCAAATACGGAGATGGTAACAACCGGTCCGAAAATCTCCTCGCGCTGGATGATGCTCTGGTCATCCACATTACTTAACACTGTTGGCGTGATCCAATATCCATTCCCGGAAGTCTTCGTGGGAACTTCACTTAAGAGAAAAGTCACATTCTCCGTCTGCGCTTGTAAGAGATATGTGCGGATTTTGTCATAGTGCACCTTGGAGACAACCGGGCCAACTGTGTCGCCGCATCGATAATGCTTCTGCACATATTCCACAAACTCCGAGCAGAATCTTTCGTAGATATCTGCATGGACGTAGATTCGTGATCCACATAGGCATATCTGTCCGTTATTTTCGAATGCTGCGGTTGCCGCAAGTGGTACGGCTTCAGCAAAATCCACGTCGTCAAATATCAGAGTTGGATTCTTTCCTCCTAGCTCTAGAGATAGATGCTTGCCGATATCTTCTACAGTGTCTTGGCGGATACGAATGCCTGTCTTCGTCCCACCAGTAAATGAGACACCGCGCACCCGAGGGGACTTCACCAGCGCAGATCCGGTTCCTGGGCCATCACCGAAGATGATGTTCATCACTCCCGGTGGAAGCTTTGCTTGTCGGAATACCTCACCAAGCACTATTGGTGGTTAGTAGCTTTCTATTGTTGGTTGAAATGGACTCTAGAACGTACAATAGGAAGTAATGCTAGTCACTTCGCTAGGCTTTGCGACACCTGTACAGCCAAAGGCGATACAGGGAGCAATCTTCCATGTGAGGAGGTACAGGGGCATGTTCCATGGTGAGATAAGTGCGAAGACCCCGACGGGCGACCGATGCTCGTAAGTTAAAGTAGAAGGTTGACCATCAACAAAGCGGACTGAGCCTTCCTCGTGGAGGATGTAGGTAGCGAAATATCTATCGTCATTAGTTTCCTGCTTCAAGCATGGTCGTGGATGGCGCTTACCGGAAATTCGAGATAGCACGATCCACTTCCACCCTGGCCCGAAGGAGTGTTTTCCCTTGATCAAGACTTTCCCACACGGCAAATGTATCTCTCTTCTCTTGTATGATTGACGCGATCCGAAGTAGCACATCTGATCTCTCCTGTCGTGAAGATTTTGACCATAATGGGAATACCCTTGAAGCGGCCTCGACTGCGCGATTCACCTCGGATAGACCACTCTGAGGTGTCTTGGCCAGTATCTCGCCGGTCCGGGGTTGTGGGAGTCAAGCCACTTTTCCGGGGGATGCTGCTCTGAGAACTGACCGTCGATGAAGTTGTGAAGGTACAATTCATTGCCAGGCAGATTACCCAGGTAGCCACTGGCACATTCGAACGGGTCAAGCTTCCATAGCTTTGAGATTAAAGACATGATTAATGTTGGCGCCCATCAAAAATCAATATGCTGAGTCGCCTTGATGATAGAGGGGACGAGAGAGAGATGAAGAGAGGATGGGAAGAAGAAGAGAAAGAGAGGGCGCCAGCTAGGTGAGAGAAGAGGCATTCCAAGTTCGTGCCTACGGAGATCAGACGACTACAGTGATCCAATCTTTCACACTTCAGAGCATTAAAAAATTCCCAATGTGTTCTTATCTCTTTCAGATTCGAGCGTTAAGACCCAGTCCGGATAGTGGTCCGATAGGTTGCAGTTTGCGGGGTAGAATGAAGTCTTCACACAATGTGTGTATTTGAGGTTCAGATTCTAAATCATATATTTCTCGAATTCAAAAAGGGATATCGCGGTGTTGCTGATTTATTGTACACTAAATTATATGCCATATCTCAATGTTGGGGTTAAATGTGGTTCAATTTTGAGACGAGCGTCCGCCCAGCTACATCCATGCCAGCGAATATTACCACAACATTCTTATTCCTTTTTTTCTCTCTTATCAATCTCCCGGGCTGTCAAATGTGTTTAAATCCATTCTGCTAAGGACAAAATTTTGAAGGCTCAAAATACAGTGTGGGCTCAATCACTATGCAGGGGGACGGCCACCGCGTCTGACACGTATTAACGTCTGGTCTGTCGCCCCTTTTCAAATACACAAATGCCATCTCACACAAGTCAAAAGACCAACTTGACCTTTGGAACTTGAATGCTGGATGTTTTGGAGTGCAGTGACGAGCACCAGATGGATCTACCCTATGAGAAAGCAGATCTGATTCCCGAGGTCTCTACAAACCTCCTTTAACGGAAAATCTGGGCCGAGGCTCTACCTCATTGATCGCAAGAATAAGACCAGGTGTTGTCCTAGGGTATTTAAAATACCCTAGGTTTATATGGTGGCATACCGAAGCAACAAGCAGTCACTCTCTTGTGCAGAATGTCAAGCGAAGTTTTGAAGTTGAAGAGAAGCTTTTGGATTTATTAGGCACGCACCCAAGAATAATACGGTAGGTGAGCTTTTAATTTCCTTATGCGATGAACGAGCTAAACTAATATGTATTTTTATAGCTATCTCGGTGTCTCGCATGAGCCCCGTGGGCTTCTGTTCGAAGAGGCTACTGGTGGTAATTTGCAGGCTTACATTGACCAGCATCATCCTAATATCGATCTCAATCTTCGATTGAAGTGGTGTTCCCAGGCAGCCGAAGCTGTCCATTATCTTCATCAAAAAGGCGTTATTCATTCTGATCTCCGACCAGAGAATTTCCTATTATACTTTGACTCCTATGACACGCTCGATCTTTTGTTATGTGATTTTGGAGAGTCAACGAGTGGTGATATCGATGGTGGGCATCTTCCCGACCCCGGATTTTTTAATCCCTCCAGAGGGTGGGCTTCGACAGAGGCTGTAGATATCTTCAGTCTAGGCTCAATCTTCTATACGGTAATGACAGGCCATTGGCCCTATAAGCCTCTTGGGTCTTTTTTAAGTCTGCGGTGGAGAAATCCGACTATGATGTGATGGTAGATGATCTTTTCTCCTGTGGAAAGTATCATCCTGTCAACGATCTATTTGTGGCTGCATAATACAAGGATGCTGGAAAGAACAGTATAGCGATGTTGGTGCGCTTATTCAAGATTTGGCTTGTCTTTTAACAGAGATAGAATAGCAATTACCAGTGGACTTCCATTCCGCTAAATATTCATATTGAGGTCTCAATCCATTTTGAACATTTTCTGCAGTCCTAGAAATTCAATCGCATTCCCAGAAAGCATTCTTGCTCTCGCATCTTGTGAAAAAAGCTCCCTCACTTGCTTATCATCTGCTAACATTTTACCTGGCACTGGCATCTCTCCTAATGGGAAAGGATAATCACTGCCCATGATAATCCGATCGGATCCAATTTTCTTGCAAATAAATTGCAGTAGATCCGGATCATGCACCAGGCTATCAATCCAAATGTTATTTTGATGTGACTGTAGGTAGCTCTCTGGAGATAATCCATGAGAACTATGGGCCACCAGGTCGGGTCGACAATTATAGCCATGTTGAATTCGTCCAAGAAGTGGGAGGTATGCTCCACCGGCATGAGCAAAGCAAAATCGCAATTTGGGATGTCGCACCAAGATTCCAGAAGAAAGGATCGCGTGGATCGCAAGGGCTGTCTCGCTTGGCCTGAAGATACAGTGAGTTTCAGACGAGTTAATCTAAGACCGATCAAGGAGATACCACAAACATTCCAATCAACCACGCAGACCAGTACTTCCCCCAGCGACTCTTGTTCTCTCTTTCGTATTCATATCCCAGAGGATGGACAAATATAGGAACGACCAAGTCCTCACACACTGACCAGAATGGGTCAAAGACCGCATCGTCCAAAGATCGGCCATTGATCTCTGTACCAATCTCAACTCCCTTTACCCCAAGAACTGTTTTCGCGCGTCTCAATTCATCGATCGCAGCAGGAATGTCCTGCAAGGGCACCGTTGACAACCCTACAAATCGACTAGGTTGGCCACGACAAACGCTTGCAATATGATCGTTCAAATAACGCGCCAAAGCCACGGCGGCCTCAATTGGCTTATCATATGAGAAGAGAATCGGGACTGTATTGATAACTTGAACGTCCACCCCCGTTTCATCCATCTCTGCCATGCGTACCTCAGGATCAAAACAGTTCGGGTCAACAGTTCGGAAGAATGTATCACCAAGAAACATGTCAACTTTCTGGGAGGATGAACGGTTGACGTGACCATTTTTGGACTCGGATGTTGACGAATGCGTTCTGAGTGTCATCCAGTCTTCGCCATTCTCTTCGGGGTTTCCATGGGACTTGGAGAAATCCGGTAGAGAGGGAGGCATGATATGCGTGTGCATGTCGATTCGAAAGGGGCCATTTGGGTCGACATTCTCTCCGTTTGCTCTTCTTTTCATATCAACTGTAGAGCTGTCGCAGCAGTTATAATTGATTGCCATCTTGAAGTTGGTCAATACTGTCAGGAATCTGAAGAAATGCTTGTAAGGAACCTATCGAAATGAAGCGAACTCATACTCCTATCATGATTATTATAAGATACCTACAATGACCACTCGGCTCTCTCCATTCCTCTTGGTTTCAATGCTGGACCCCATAACCATGGAATTCCAATCAATAATCGTCCTAGATACAGTCGATGTGGGTCATCAAGTAATCGGATCGACCCGGGAATGAATCGGATAGCGATGCGGGTCGGATAGTCTCCATATACTGTATGTAATGCATGAGAGTAGGTATTGTACAATGGCCTCGATCAGTCAACGCAAACTGGTTATCCTAAAATTCATTTAACCTTGTGCTATTTGTCTCATTTCTACTAGACACTCACTCAAGATAACCGGATCAAACCTCCTACAACCATGGAGATCTCTATTCCTAGTCCCTTTTCTCTAGCCACGTGGATTTCAATGAACGCCGAGAAGCTCAAACCACCAGTGAATTATTCTTGTCTTTATTCAGGAAAGGACTTCATATTGATGGCTGTTGGTGCGCCAAACACGAGAAATGATTATCATAGTAAGTTCAGTTCGGAGCAGACCAATGGATTGAAATGCAATGCACTAAGCTTGAAACTCTGAACAGTTAACGAGACAGAGGTACTACTCCGAGTCATCAGAAAAGAGCATTGTCAATGATATAGGACAACTCTAACCTCACTCTAGGAATGGTTCTTTCAGATAAAAGGGAATATGCTGCTAAAGGTTGTTGAGAACAAGACCAATTTCAGAGACATCATAATCAAAGAGGGGGAGATGTTTCTTTTACCAGGTAGGTATGCTCTATTCTCAGATTCTGGAAAATCTGTAATACTAACTTTTTATCCAATTTTCTAGCGAGCACTCTTCACTCTCCAAGGAGGTCCAAAGATACAATTGGCCTTGTTATGGAACACACGCGCCCTCCCAAGTCCATTGATCGTATACGATGGTATTGCGAGAATAAAGATGCTCATAAAGGTGCACCAGTGATTATTCGGGAAGAGACATTATATTGTGAGGATATCGAGAGACAGCTAAAAGGCATCATTGGAGACTGGATGGGAAATGAAAATGGCCGGGAATGTAGTGTATGTGGTCAGATTGCACCGGCGCATTGAGGTTAAATTCTAGTGAAGACCACTATCGGTTTAAATGATTTATTTCAGACATGGGACTCTCCGCCAAGAAATAATTGATTCAAAATGTTCTTAATGAATATCAGTCACTGGGATAAGACATGAATTGTTCGATAGAATTCAACAGTGTTGAATCACCTAAGGGATCCGCGGTGAGATGATCACCTAGTAGGGATAGAGGAATGTCGGAAAACTCGACATTCATTGATAAAGAGTGATTCTCGTGATAATCTTGATGCCCCCCAAGATCTGGCAGCATTTCCAAGATAGCTGTCGGATCACATGGAAAGAAGGACTCTGGAGTCAATCTTTGACGCTTTGGATTGGGCTGCATATCATCATATTCCAGGCCAGGTGTTGAATGGCATATTCGTCGCTTAGGTGGCGAATTGTTTGGACCTTCATCGCGAACGTTTGAATCTAGATTCAGGTGTCTAGATGCCTCTTTATTGCGAGCTTGGTCAATCTGCAAAGTCGGCGATACTTCATGTACATCGAGTCTTGCGTGCGAAGTTTGCCCATACCGATCAAAGGTTTGGTAGAACAAAGCATGCTTGTTCAGTTCACTTTGCGTGGCATGCATATCCGCCGCGGTAAGAGTCTGATACTTCTTGATCTCAGGCCACTGGATCTTAATATCTCGCAGCATATTGAAGCCATTTTCAACCTCAGACCACGCTTTATTTGTAAAGCGTGGATTTTGAGCAAGACGCATACAGTGTAGAAGAACTCTGGTGCTTGCATATATTGCTCGACTCTGCTGGATGACAAAGTGACTAGCAGGAACGGTGGCGATGACTTGAGGAGTAACTTTGATGCAGTTCGAGGCGGCCTCAACACATCGGAGAAATATTTCTGGCTCTGTGATATTGTGGCGTTCGATAAATGCTCTGTATAGGAGAACAATGCCGATATAATATGATGAGATGGCGATGGTTTGTAGTGCAAGAGGTCCTATCTGGCGATTGGGTTCCTCTATCTTTGGTAAGACTTGAGTTCTGTAGTATTTCTCCAGCTCTGCGTCATGTTGTTGCACGTGTGACTTGAGTGAGTCTCTCAGCTTTGCGCTTTTGGAAGGCTCTGATTTTCGAATCCGTCGCACGGATCTGTATATTCGACCCATGGTGACGTGGAAGTCTGCGACAACAGAGAACCAAGGATCCGTTCTTGAGTCTGTTGATGGTATTTTATTTTCCTCGGAAAAGGACTCGACGTCGCTGTCTGCATCGTCTATGGCAAGAGGTTTGAGTAACGCCGTCGAGAGAGAACGATCAAGAATGTATAGGCACCACCAGAGCTTCTTGTGCTCGTTCCGAGTATCTTCTGCTGCTGAATCCTCGAACTGATCAAGATCTAGGCCTTGATACAGCCGTATTGCATGACCGACAGTAACCCATGCATCATTAACGCGGCCATTTTCTGTGAGGTATATGCTGAGAAGGCCCTGTGAAACGATAGGATTTGTGGGAAATATGGCATTTCTGTCGCGTGGCCGTCTGGGATCAAGTCTGGTTGCTTGCGAGTGAAGCAAGTCTGCCAAGTCTACTGATTTGTAAATTTGCAGACCTGGCCGCTCAAAGACAGCGTGAGTTTTGGGAAGCATCGAGGCAGCCACTGCGAGCAAGGCGTATAATAAACAGGGGAAATCATCATCATTTCCCTCATAGCTATTATCTCCCCGCCGTGCAGCAAGCCAGTGGTCATATTGAGACCTAAAATTTTGACTGTGAATGATAGGGCAAATTGGGTAGATAGAGCGATAGAACAAATCAATCAAGACTTCTAATATGGGCTCCTCTAACTGCGTTACATCAACTTTGGTGGGCTCTGATATTGCTCGCGCATTCCTTTGGGCGTTGGAATCGTCGAATTCGTTCTCCATTACAAAGTTTGAGTTATCATCAGCTCCATGAGACACGTATGCTGGCAGGTTTTCTGGTACCTGGGCGGCTGCATCGATTGAGGGAGCACATAGTAGAAAGTCAGTAGATGGGTCAGATGCACCGGGCGTCGGCTGGGCGTCATCTTGAATATCTTCTTCACTGAAGCCAGGATTTGCCGTTGGAGAGTCTGCAGAGCTTTGTACTGATTCTTCAACTCTGAGATCCCGGTCAGAATGATGTTTCTTCATCTCAGTTTCCATCTGAGAGATGCGATTTTCTAATTTCTTGACATATCTAATCAAAATGAGCAATTAACTTCATAAGCAAGGAGGATTATTCAATGATCAACCAGGTGTAGGGGTGTCAAGATTCAGGTATACTTACTGTGGGTCCATTAGCCTCATATTGCTATACGCCTCAAACACACACTCGCCATTGTTGCGTGTACAACTCTGACATGGATGTTGCCCGTCGCATTTGACTTTCTTGCGACGACACGCTTGGCAAGCGCGCCACACTCTTTGACGTTCATACATCGTGTCACCTTGGAATCATGCAGGGGTCTAATTGAGGAGATGTGAGAGTCCAGTGTCGGTAATCCGAACCCCGCTCTTTGGCGGAATTGTTCCAACTTCCGACTATTGTGGGGTAGCGATACCCGGTATTTCACCTGGGCAATCACCAGGACCTGAGCTTACTTATAACCTGGTCGTGAGTGAGAATGGGAATGAAAATGATGATTGTCCCATGGAGAATTCATCGATAACATATCTACTCTGTCCACGGATGAGCTATTGGTCCACACCGCGCACGGCTGACAGTGGCATCCGTGACTCCGTGACTCCGTGAGTACCATATCCCATACAACCAGGAATTCGAACTTGAAATCTGAGAACAAAATGATTATATAGAGTTGAAAAAATGAGTGTCTCTCGATTACAAAGGATATACCGAGTCTTGACTTGATCGTATCACGAGCGGGCACTCGAGTGCCCGGGTGCTCAAGTGGGCCCTAGGACTCGTCCTCACTTCTACTACGTAGTATGCACTTTGCCCGACAAGAGTACGGAGTGGTGCGCCTGATATTCACCACTCATTATCTCCTGCTTTCCAGCTTTGCTAGATCAAGTGACACTGGAAAATAAATTTTCATGAGCTCGGAGGTCAGATTTGACATTAGCTAATTCCATGATCAAGATCCCTATCTCAGCCCCTATCGGTCGCAGGAGCCAACGCCACTTCTTCAAGTTCAAGTATCCCTGACCATTCAAGCTGAAACTGCAGAAGGATGGTTCAGGGAATCTATACATATGCAGACCAGCGAATAGTTGGTCTTAGCACGCCGTTTATCAATCCAATGAGCATGCAATACCGAGTTGACGGCAAGGACCGTTGCTGTCATCCTATCAGGAGAGATGACCAACGCCACTGAATAAAAAGAAAAGAGTTCTCAAAGTCCAGCTTTGGAGACTCAATCCCTATCCAAGTTACTATAATTTCCCAAGGGTATGGGTATTATCAATGATCATTGCCTCTAACTCATGGTTTACTTTGGCTAGCAACTAGCGGCTTGCAAACTTTGAAAGCAATGTATTTGACACGCCTTGATAGAGAGATCCAATTCTGAAATATGCAACATGTGATATGAGTCTATTGCAGAGTGTCCAGGATCAGACGCCTGCAATAAGCCACAACAATGCGGGAATTTCTCCGATCAACTGTGAAAGTCATGATCCATGAAGAGTGGGAAGATCCATTGTAAATCACGGAGCAATTTGTATAGCAATGCATTGCATCTCTACTGAATTAATGTACGTCATTCACGCCGTTAGTATCGGTTCAATAATCCCTTTTCATAACTATGATCCCCATAAAAAGAAATGGTTATCACAGCGCGGACCGCGGGCACCTGGGCATTGAAGGGCGCACAGCCCTACTATTACGGAGTACCCAAAGTAGTAGCTCCTCCACTTTTCACCACTCAAGATCAACGGAATGCATGAATGATCCCATTCTCCAGCAGCCTAAAAAATCAAATGGCAGAAGGAAACAATAAATAGTTTGATCAATTATCGAATCTCCTTACAAGAGGAAGATACCATTGTAGAGTATGTACTATTAAGGAGCAGATCTCCGCTTATCTCGGCAGAACATGAAATAACCACTGATAAGCATACGGCCCGAGATTGGTTCTAAGACAATGCATTATATCTGCTTATGGTCTTTGATAGTCTATTCGGTCTATTCTGGTCTATTATAATCATTATAATCCTAGTCAAACTCGATCGATCATTTCTTGGCTGATGCATTTCGCCGCATGCCGACTGAGCTGCCATGCGTTGGCCCATTCTCCGGACTATTGACCCTCTTCTTTTCTTCCCCTTGCGGAGAACAAGATAAGCCTCTCATTAACCAGTCAACGTTCAGAAATTCATCCTTGAACAAAGTTAACCGTTATGACAAGGGCGATGCGATTTTCACCTGGGCATTATGTGGGTTTCCGATATTATGGACCCAAGCTCTATGCTCCGTTGATATCCATGGAGATGCGCCATTTTTATATCTAAGGTAGTATCTCCAGGCTATCTCCTTGTGACTCCGACGAGTCCCACTGGAATTATCTCAACTTTTTGAAATGCTTCTTCTTCTTTGATACTAGTCATGCCACTGACAGAACCTCATCATGGCACTTGCACACAATCACCATGATCTCACCTCACTGTGGTGGCCCGAGGAGAGAATCAAAGCCACTCTCAATACCAAGTATATCGTCAATCAACTCCAACCAAATAATGTGCCTCGGTTGTTTGACCTCCCGAAATGGGGTGAGGGATTGACCAGCGAAACTTATATGGAATACATCTTAGTTAAAGCTGGTCGATTATTCCTCATCCTCAATGAGATCGGAATTCCCGATCGCATCTTCGCGCTAGTTGACGAGTCATGCGATGACGATGATCTACCTGTCGCCGAGCAAAACGTTGATCAATTACGCTTATCGCCCAACGGCGATGACCCAGCCCTCGATTCCAAATTCTTCCACACTCAATGGCGTTACTCTGTTCGTGGAATTGGAGAAGGCGAACATGTTACATATACTGGCAATGAGGGTGTACCCGTACAGGTACTGCGTACTGGTATCGCTCATGATCTTCAAGATCGCGATGATACAGTGGATAAAGTGGTCCTCGCTGGCTCGGTATGTCGAGTGCTCATGCGAACACAAGTCCAAGTCGGCGGCGCACCATACTTCTTCTCATCAGAGGAAGTCCTCGCTGAGATCAAGGCATTGCGCAAACTCGCACATCCACATGTCATGTCCATCTACGCCTCATACTTCGTCGACGATAGCGTCTGCGTCCTCTTCACAGGCGCAGAAGCAGATCGCACTCTGAACAGCTTCCTCACAGACGAACCACCAGCATTCAAGCGTCTCCCCAAAGAACAGCGCAGGCAAACCCTCATCACCTGGCCGCATTGCCTGATCTCCGCACTCTCCTGGCTACATAGCCACGGCCATTTCCACGGCTCCATCCGACCCTCCAATATCCTCATCGACGCCGATCTAAACATCTTCCTCGGCCAATTCCACGTCCTAGACTCCCTCCTCACTCCACCCCGCGTCAACGATCTCGAATCTTACCAATACTCCGCACCAGAGCGTTGGGTCCGTACCGCTGCACCGGTCCAACCCATCGTATCTCAATCCCGCACTCTCCTCCCATCCGGCGGTCGCACAGCACGAAGAAAGAAACCACCTCGTCTAACTCTCTCCCCTCTAGACGAGAGTCCCCCCAGTATCACCAGATAATCCACGCCCAGACTCCGCGGCTTCAAAGGGAACAGTAATCCGCATCGGACGAACAGGGTCACCATCGCGATTCAGTTTCGCATTCTCAACATCCTCATCCTCATCCTCCTCCGCAGCTTCATCAGCAAATGCAACCGAGCTAGCCTCACCTTCAATTTCATCCGGAAGTACAGGAACCCGATACTCGCGCTCGAGTCTATGGAAAAGACCCAAAGCCCTTATCCCAACACCTTCAATAACATCCTCGAAATCCTCTTCTTCCTCTGGTGCATCTATTCGCTCAAATCCCTTAACACCACACTCTGTTTCCTCAAATCCAACACTATTGACGAATTGGCAATCCACACAAACAAATCCCGCATCTTCGGATTTATTCTCCCTGGCTGCTATCATCCTTGATATTATAACTCACCTCTGCAAACGCTCATTATCTTCGTTTGCTTCGCATCGCTCTGCGAGGAATAGATCAGCAGGTCGTGGTGGTGGGATGGCAGATGCATCGTTTCATCTTGCGAGAAATTCAGTGCAGGTTCAATCGTGGATCGCGTTACTAGAAGGTGATGCGTTAAAGCGTTGCCGAAGAGATCGAGGAAGTGATCAGGCTTTTTATGCGGTGCCACGCATGTTGATTGTTGTTCGAGCTATGTTAGCTGCGGAGCCGGAGAAAAGACCTAGTGCGAAAAGGGTTAGGAAGTGTTTTGGTGCGGCTATTAAGGAGATTCCGGTTGGGAAGAGTGGTGGAGAGCCTATTTTGGTTCATTGTGTTGATGAGAAGAAGGAGAAGGAGAAACCAGTTGTGCAGACGAATATTAAGATTCGGGTTCAGAGAGAGGAGAGTCAGAAGGAAGTTGATGTGCGAGGCAAATCAGGGAGAGTGAGGTTTGGTCGCTCGAGAGAAGTACTTCCTGCTCCTACTGATTCTTCTTCGGTTTCGGATTTTGATTTTGGGTTCTCCGATGGGGGAAGTGATAGTGAGACCCTTGGCGATGAGATGTATAGGAATGCACCCTCGTTGCTTGAGGAGGAGGATGAGGATGATGTTGAGTCTGTGGTACAGGTGGACCGTGTTTCACCGCAGCTATCTTTGCCAGAGTTGGATATTCATCTAACTGGCATTGAGGGTTTGAAGCTCCATCAGTAGATCTTACTGTGGACACGGGTATGTATGAACTTTTGTTTCTCGGTTGGTGTAATTAGGTCGGCGCATTGTATGAGTATAGTATTTGAGCCCTGGCTCAAGTTAATATTTAAAGTCTAGTAGTAGTGTCATCTACAATCTACGAATTTCGTTTGTTCATTTGTTCACGCTTGGATCTGAATAATCTGTATTCTCCACTGAACCTAATTCTATAATTTGATAAACCAATAATCATCCCACGTCGTGTATGAGCTCGAAAATGAAAGGACAACAATAATCACAAGAAGGAAAGGCTGGTGTGCAAAGTAGCCTCTAAGCTGAACCCAAACCCGAGTCTATTCTACAATCCACACATGCAACGATGCATATTGATACAATACCCCAGAAATCACACTCTATGAGTTCAATCAAAGCCAGAAGGCGGCCAAACCAACAGCACCAGAAAGGAGCATAGAAATAGCAAACAATCGCTCGGTAGCAAGGTTGCCAGCAACCATGACGGAGTTGGCCGCACTCTTGGTAGAGGTAGAGGTGGAGCCAGAGGAGGTAGCAGTGCTGTTACTGCCGGAAGTACCAGTACCGGTGGAATCAGCAGAATCCTTGCTGTAGGTCTGACCCAGAGTGGGCAGAGATGAGCTGGGGTCAACAGCCCAACCGTCTGCAGTGGAGCTAGGGCAGGTACGAGCGGTGATGGTTGAAGTTTCCGCTGTGTAAGCCGAGAGAGCAACACCGGTCGGGTTCAAGGTAGCCCATTGAGACAACAGGTTAGAGAAATCGGGCGACACGGGAGTAGGAGTACCCTGGCGAGTGTAGCCATCCTCAACGAGAGTGTTGGTGGCGGCGGCATTGGTGACATAGGCACCATAGCTGATCAGACCATAGTCGTTGGTTTCCTCGATCCACTCGTAAATGATAGCGCCAGACCAGGTGCCATCCATGTCATCGCCAAGAATAGCGGCTTGGTCGTCAAAGGTACGAGGGGCTGGGGTGTTGCAACCGGTCTCGGAGAAAAAGATGGGGATGGGGTAGCCAGTAGCGTTCTTCTGCAGCTCATCGTATCCCGATACGGTGTAGCTGGACTCACCACACCACTCATAAGCGTTCAGGGAGTAAAAGTCAAGGCGGTCGGCAGCCTTGGGCATGCAAGCCATGTAGTTCTGAAGCATAGGACGAAGCGACGCAATGTCAGCGGCGGAGTAGCCAACCGGGATCTCCCGGTAGCCCTTCTCATCACGGTAGGCCTTCATATCACGGGCAGCAGCCAAGACATAAGGAGCGGCAATTGAGCCCTCTGCGGTGTCCAAGACTTCATTTCCGACGAACACACCGGCGGTGTTGTTGTATTGCTGGAACTCATCGAGCACCTCGCCGAATCGCTTGTACTGGGTTTCATTCCAGTGAGGGGCGGTCTGATTTCCATGTTAGTATTGCTCATGTGGTCAAGTTTCGGTTGATTATCCACTGACCTGGTCGATAGCGGTGGTGAAAGTATCCAGATCAACGAACAAATAGATTCCGGCGTCCGCAAAAGCATCCATGCAGCCCTGGTGGTCCCCGCTGGCATCCACGTGGTACACCCGGATCGCGTTGGCGCCCAACTCGGACATACGGACGATGTCGCGCTTGCATTGGGCCTCATCGGTCAACGGATCATCGGGGGTGAGCTGATAGGCGACACCTGGGTTATCCGTCAGCCCGGAGATGTTCCGTCCACTCGACACGATAGTGAGAGAAACAAAATGAGAAAAATAAAAATAAAAATAAAATAAAATGAGACAAACTCTCACTCACCTTTAATGTAGTACTGAGTTCCATTCTCGTAAAAGAACTTGGCACCAACGGCAGAGATGGTCTGGATGGCGTCCACAGAAACAGCCTGTAAGCCAGCCAGCAACAATGGGGCTGTAATAGCGAGAGAAGAGAACATGATGGAAAGATAAGGTAATTTGTACCCTGTACGTTGAATAAGATGTAACACAGTAAAACCAATTGAAGAATAGCTCGATCGCTAAGGAAGAAAAAAACTGAACCCGTAGACAACGAGAGAGTCTTTGGGGGTTAAAGAAGCCGATACAGAAAGAACGACTGAGTATACAACAAACGAAAATTGAAGAGAGAGTGAAAAGGAGGCAAGTTCAACCAGACCAAAAAAAGATCAAAAGTTCCTCAAAACCAGTTCTAGCTAGCATAAACCAATCAAGCATTTTAAGTAAATTCCAGTAAATTCCTCGAATTTTGCTTGGCAATCCAGTAAATTGCAGTGCTAGCGCGACAACGCGACAACGCTAACAATTGAAATGGGGTTCATTCCGCCCCATTCCAAGGGATTAAAGGGGTCTTTAGGGAGTATATGTCAAACATGATGGGTTGAATATTATTTCAGAGTTATGATATTTCAAGATGAGAGTGTAGCCTGAGGTAGTATGAATATTCTGGTGTATAGAGATGAATGAATGAATGAAATTGTGTATATCTTGGCATTCGTGGCTTTTCATGTACAAACTTGAACTAATGTAGAGTCTGCAGGTCAAAAAAACTTGAAACATGAACTCACCCATGGATCCATCAATCATTCATCAATCAACCAATGGATAAGATTGATCGAAATCCTCTCCTATCTTTATATCATCCAATAAGATTAAGAGTCTCCACGCGGAGTCAACCGTTGGCTCCAGCCCTAACCCCTAACCCCCCCAATTAACCCCCAAATCGCATATCAATTACCGAAATGAGATTCGATTATTTCATACATAGTGGAGGAATTAAATGCGTTAATATGTGAGCTTGAGCTTGAAGCTAGTGGGATCTTCAAGTTTATGTTGCCATAAACTGTTGGAATGACCATCCCTACTCCGTATACTCTGGAGTATTCCAATGTTATCATGATTCTACACTTGAGTGTACTACGGACAAGAATAGAAGCACTAGTAATGGTCTGGCTCGCCTGAATCTCCTTTTACTCCGACCTCGCCGGAGTCTGCCGACATCTGGAACATTTCCCCCTCTTTCCAAGGCGATGGATTCGTCAGGTTTATAAACATGATACCGTTAAAATTGGGCACGTCACATACTCAAATCTACTTCCAAGGTCGACTTTTCTAGAGGCTCGTACAAATGATGTATTCGATCGGAATGTAAGACCACACCCACATGGTACCCAATGTACTCACATAGAACAACTTGAACCCTTGGAAGTATTCAAATATTGATGGCATTCAGAAAAAGAAAGAAAGAACAAAAAAACAAAAGAAAGGCGAATATATCCAAAATCATGCGTGGTTTATAGAAATATCTCAAATATGATCTCAAATCTCAATTTTCCAATGTTACGACAAAAAGAAACCCTATCATCTCCCAAAAGTTGAAGACCCCCCCTATTGAATCTCCACTGGTCACTGACCGGGAACGATCTACTCCTCACCCGCTTCTCTTTGTTCCAGCGGTCAGATACACTCTGGGCTTGGGCCGCTATGCGGAACTTGAATTATCGGCTCAAGTGCTCCTTTTTACTCGGAATTCCCCTGGGAGAATACTACTACATGTATGATGGATAAGAGGTACTTGATACCTCATACTAAATCTGAGGCACTATGAGCGAATCGTTAAAATCAACTCCACGTCAGTCTCACCATTTTTATCTTTTTTTGAAATCACACAAAAAGATGACTGAACCATGCTTGTGTGTCCATTCAACGAAAAAAGAAACAGTCCAGACTCTTGTTCTAGTCTCCACTAAGCTCCCATTCCGACCAAGTCCGCCAATAATCGCCGCCACGCTCGACTGTGTTCGTCAGCTGGTGGAGCCACGATCCATTACGATCGACTCTCTTTACCCTGGACCGGTACGAAGAGGCAAAGGCCCTGCACGATCTGCAAGTCCCCCATCCTCGTTCCCATGACGTTTCCGCAAAGGGGGGAGGAGAAGCAAAAGATTCCCCTATAATAAAGTCCGCATCCGGCCTTTTTCTCTCCTTTGCCCTGAATTCGTGCCTTGGTTTCTTCCCCCCACGTTGCCATACAACCCTTTTTTTTTGGCAAGTTCCATCTGGGAATTTCATTTGAAAAGAAATAACAACTCGTCCCTCCATGATTGAACTGGTGTATTCGGCATGGTCCTCTAATTTGGCCGGTTATCCAATTTATCATTAGTTCATATATTTACTTTTTTTTTCTATCTCCCTTGACAAAACAAAAAAGACATGCCACAAATCATGTCTTCCGAAACTCCTTGTCCATTCCGCGTTTCCCTTCGCGACCAAATTGAATTGGAGCGTAATGAAGCCTTCCAAGCTATGCGGGAACAACTACGCCGCCAGGATTGTGGTATGGAAGGTCCAACTTTCTGCTCTACCCACCGCCATGAATGCGATTCCACCGATCAGGAAGCTTTCCGCCTTCATCGCGATATTATTCACACCCTTCTCGTCCCCCTTTTCTTGATCAACCACCAAGCGGAACGAATCGCTGCACGAGCCCTGCCGAGCAAGAAAGGGGCAGAACCCGAGCGTGCGTTCCGTGGGGAAGCCCGTAGCGCGTTCGCATGGCTTCATTGTATCTTGATTGAGGAACACGACTGGTACTTGACCGCCCGATGCCCAGCTTGTATTGTCCTACACGTCCTCCATTCCGAACCTACGATCCGATTCCTCACCGTAGCCGCTCAACTCGCCGGATCCCGCTCCGGTTTCGACTGCTGGCTCTCTGCGCTGGAAACCGCCGTCTGTGAAGATCCCTTCTGGGGCGATTCTTTCTGGCCCGAGATTGAGGATCGCGCTTCTCGTCTTACCGATGGAGTCCAACAACTAGTCCGACAATGCCACGAGCTCCGTACCAACCTGGATAGCCCTACGTATGAGACTCCCTCGCTGGCGAAGGCGTCGGTGGAATATGAACGTCCATCCTGTACTATCGCTATTAAGCCGTCGAGCTTTGCCCGGAAACAGGTTAAGCTTAGTCGCGAGGAACAGCGCTATCGATCTTCATTGGTTTGGAACGCATGGAATTGTTCCCGGGAGATGCGCCAGCCATTAGGCGGTAATACCCCGACCCAGTCCCGACGACGGTCCATGACCTCGTGAATGAGATCCGAAAGGATGGTTCTATCCATATGAACCATTGGAAACTATCTCATGAAATTCTACCATCATTCTGGAATCTGATATGAAATCATTTTCCCCCGCTCCCATTAGTCCGGATCGCCACCCTTGGGTAATTTTGTTCCATTTTGGATTTATCCAAGGGTAAAGAGCGAACAGAAAAACCGGTCTCAGAGCTCATTGCAGACTATATCCATGGTCGCAACCCCGCATCCCGGAAGTATCTCTCACGCGACCGAGAGAATGATCTCCAGATGCAAGGTACTCCGGAAACCTCCTTTGGCACAAGCCGTACTCTTGTATCAAGTCTACAATATACGGAGAGACACTACATAATCCCGGTGCGGGATATTTGGGATATTCAAGTTTGGGATATTTTGAGAATCCGGGGAGCCCCGATCGATCCTAAAAGGTCGAGCTGCATGTACATGTGGCATCCATGTCCCGTCCTTCCGAGACGAGAGACGCGTCTTAAAGAATTCTATAATTATTAGTTACTTAATTCTAATTTACTTCCCGTCTTTCAATTCTCTTCTTCTAAATGTTCACTGGTTCCTTTTTTTTTTCTCTCTCTTTCTGGGTTTTATAATTTCGTAAGAGATGACACGTTCGAGTCGTCAGTGGCAAGATCACACTCTATCTGTGACTGGGGTCCACCCGGGGAGATAAAATGGATGGTGAACCAGATCAAAGTCCTCCATGGTGGAAATGAGCTGCCAGTGGGAGGACATTATCCAGTCGGGTTAAGCCCTGATACCCAGGGTCTTCAGATGTCACTAACATTTAAAATGCACGTAGAACGTAGAGTATAATAAGACGAATTATGATCTTTTCTATCGGATATTAATCATATTATTCGTACATATCACTAGTAATAGACCTGATCTTCCACGTTCTGGATTCTCTATGCATATGTACCGACAGAAATTTTCGGTTACATTTTGCTTCTTTTTCTCGTATTCCATTTAAAGATTGAAAATGAGAAATATGAAAATATTCTTCAAGTACTTTAGAGTCCAGACGCTCCCCAGATCAATTGATTAAACCCTAAAACCTCTCTCGATGGGCCCAACCCCTCAGTGGCGTGGTGCCCGATAGCCGGAAGCGGCAGCGTACAGGGTACATAGGGACAAGTAGTGACTAAGGGTAAGCCAAAGAGAGACTGAAGTATCGGGTACTTTGTCCTTACTTTTTTTTTATTCCTTTTTATTCCTTTTTTTTAATACTAGATTATTCAGGTTCTTTTTTTAATTCCCTGGTTTGGGGGCTTACTTCATCGGGATCCATACAGATAAATGGAGTAACCTGGAAGCCCTGGAAGTTGAACCCTGAGACTTGATTTATGTGGTTCTACTAACTTAGTTATAGTACATAATTTCCATAAATCTTTTTTCCCTCTATATCATTTAATCTGATACATAGAATCTATGGTACCTTTGATGAATGTTAGTATCCTCACGGCAAGAAATGAAAAATTCATCAACTTGAGAAACCGAGAATGATCGCCGTGGGGCCTAAACAGCCAGTCACGCTCTAGAGCTTGGGCCGCCGACCGTCTAGACTCTGCATTTTAAGCACTGCACAATCTTGACTAGAAATCGAAATATTATTAGTTTGTACTCTAGGGTTTAATATGGGTGAATATGAAATTAATACTCAGTTCATTCTTTGGTTGATCAAATATTAAATATTAAATGAAACTATCTATAAAGAATAAAATAATAATCCACTGTGTCCAGTCCAGTGTAAATCCATAACTAGAAACTTGAAGTGGGTGCGATGACTCGACGACTGGTCTAGACCTTCAACTGTATGACTTTTTGCCTCCCGTACTGATTTAACTGGATTAACTGGGTACTGTACTGGGTACCACTCCTGCGCCAGCCTGTCTCCATCAGCTTCTCGTACCCTGTACTTCTTTTTCCCCCAAAGACCCCTTACTCCCCCCCCCCCCCATATCTTATTCCCTTTCCTCTTTCATCTGCCATGGACTGTGGCCTCCCGATTTCAACTTGATCATGCCTTCCTCTACCACCGTAAAGGTCGATCACCAGCGACGACTCTCACAGCATTCTCTCCCCGATTCATCTTCCACAGCCCCAAAGCTTCGACGACGAGCCTCACAAGGTTCTCTCCGCACAAAACCGTCACCTGTTTCTCGTTTTCTCTCCAAGGGTAGTGTGGCAGTTCATTTCCCTTCGTGGGAGCATCGCAGTTCTTCCCCCGGGTCGCCGCTCCGCGTAGAATCTCGAACGCGGTCGGCCGACTCTCGTCTGCGCCTGTCCACCACTGTGTCTCGCGGGCCGAGACCTTTGACAGCTTCTTCTTCCCAATCGTCACCCTGGAACTCTCCCAATTCGAATTCGTTCCAGGGAGACTACCCCACTACTCTGCCACCAACACCACCGGATGACGACAGCCACATTGCGTGGAACCCGCAGTCGGAGATGATGTTGTTTGAATCACATTCACACCACCATGGCTCCGTCATGGTGGACGGTCGGGGTATGGATACATCACCGACCACAGGCCCTTCAGATACTTTGAGCAGTCCTTCCGATGGGTTATCACACGGTTCATCCAGTTCAGGTGGGAGTCCAGGACCTCATGATGAGATGGATTGCCAACAAGATGTTGGTTCTTGGTTAGATCATGGAATCAACGTAACTGGTAAGTATTTGACTAAACCATATTAGCAACAAACGACTGGCAATTTTTTCAGTCTGTTTTTCCCCTTAGTACCATTTGCTGATCGTTCGTTAGTGTCATCTTTGGGAATCTCAAATCCACGAGGTGACGCTGTCAAAATCGTCTCCCAAACTCTTCCATATCCTCGAACCTCCGACCAGTCAATTTCGATGCCAAGAAACGACAGCGTCTTCTGCTCCATGGTCCAGGCTGTACACACACACCTTCAGCCGGGTCAATCTCCTTACATCAATGTCACCCACGCCGTCCCCGAACAATTCAGCTTGTCCAACCTCCCTCACTCTCCTCCAAGTACTCCCCGCTCCCCCACTGCCGCCGAAGATTATTTCAACGCAACCGTTTTCTCCAGCGCGGCGGTAGTGGGTGCTTACCATGATTTCCGTGGACCTCTCCAACGCCAACTCTCTCACGCTCCCATGCCCATTGTCCCTCCTCACAGTGTCCACATCTCCGTTCTAGAGCGATACCTCCCTCCTCCTTCAGCACAAGAATATAGAGATGTCTTTTGTCCCACCCGCCCCTCTTTCCTTGTCGACCGTCTCTCCGAACTTTCTCCTAATGGAGGCTCTCTGCTCTTCGTATACCCGACCAAGAAGGGAGCCTCGACCTTCAAATCACAATACCTCGGTCCAATCCTCGACCCTCTTCTGCGACAACTCGTCGTGGTGAATGGATTATCAGCGGACGTCGGTCGATACCTGGGTAAACTGTCAACGGTATCCCAAATGGATGATTTCGCTACCATGAAGGCAAACATCGTATCTCTCTGTGAATCTCTCAGCTGCCCCGCATCTCGATTCGAGATTGCGGACGCTGGTCGCGCAAGCGCTCATCTGGACCGAAGTCTCTGGGTCGAATGGTTCATTCACCAGGAGAAGGCTCGGATGAAGGAGGTTCTCAGCCTGTACTCGAACAACAACCGTCGTTTACCGGTTAACAAAAACATGAACGCTGGTATGAGCGATGGCAAAGAAGTCACCTCGGCCATGCTTCTGACCGAGATCTTCGAGGGTATCCGCAAGCGACCCTATGGCGATGACAGCGAGCCTCGAGATGGGGTTGAACTGGGTGTATTCGTCATTCGTCGAACTCATTAATCACCTCACCCATCGACTCCTCCCTCATCCCTCTCCAAAATTCCCCCTCTTCTCTTCCTCTTCCTCTTCACCCCCTCATACATGCTATATCCTTTAAAATTAGTTTCTCCGCAGCTCCTTTGTTGACTGCAACGATGTCTAGGACCCGGTGTAACGGTGTCCTTGGAGTTGGTCTTAATTTTCGGCTGTGATTATATTTGCTTTGGCCGGATGGAAATGATTGTGAATACCCATGACGTTGGTTCTCATTGTTTGGCGAAGATGTTCATGATCTTTCTCTTTATTCTTATTCTTATTCTTATTTCTTTTTTCCCCTCTTTGGATAACATACGAGTCAACTCGAGTTCAATGTATAAATTTCTTAACTGGAATCTTTTTCAAAATGTTTTCTTTCTCTCCTTGGTCAGGCATCATCAGGCACTAGTGCTTCACCGACTCTCCAGTTTCATGTGATTGGAAGATGATAGACCCAGCTTGACTTGGATCACTATTAGGTCTGAGCATATGATATTATGAATCTGGTTACAAATAATATTTACTCTGAGATCGAGTTTCAGTTGGTTTCAAGTTCTTTAATTGTGTTCCTAGTGCTAAACCCTGGGGCTGCTTCAAGTTGGGTATGCTAGGTAAGCTTGAGTCACGTTGTAGACATGAATAACCTTAAACACAGCCCTGGAGTAGCAAATGCTTTGTATCGATTGATGTCGTTTATTTCGCACTAGTCGCATTTTAGCCCAGGTTCCTCTGTGGGTTCTGTGCCACCAGTTGACGGCCACCAGCAATAGCTGGGATTCATCCCTGCATGACGTGCCGATGTTGATCCAGTACCTGAGAGCTTCTAATCCTCAGACATCATTGAAATTTGAAGCTGGTAATTGTACAGTATAAGGATTGGAGCATTTATTCTCTTTCCTTGATATCCTTGCTAATCAAATTCTGAGTCCTCTGCCTTGAACTCGGTCTGCCATATTTTGAGTCTTCAATTAAGTATATTCTCGCTGTGTTGACTGTATTAGCGTGAACTTGAAACTTCGATTTCTCAATTTTTCTAATACTACCCAAAATTGCCCAAACAAACAACAGCATTGGATTCAATAAAGCACCAAAACAACAAATCCCACTGGAGATAATCATCATCACTGGCCCAATACAGTAATTGAAGTGAATTCGAATGTTGAAGTGAATACTTATGCTTCGGTACGGAATAAAGTTGATCCCTGACTAATCTAGATTGGATCCGTACTACAAGCGTCGCTTTTCTGACGACAGCGGCCTTTCCATTCACCCTCGAGGTCATTCACTGTTTATGTCCCTGTTTTAAATACCAGGATCTTCGAGCGCTTCGAATTCTTATTCTTCTTCGTCAACCATTTCTCGTCTCCCATTTCCTGCATCCCCACATACTTTTTGCTCTGCTCCACCCACTTTCACCATTATCCAACCCGCTCAATACAAAAACCGGTCAACTTGAGCATCATGGCCTACTCTCCCCGCGCTCAATCTCCTGGCACTGGCTCCGCCTACCCTGTTGGCACCCTTCCTCGCGGTCGATCCGCCAGTCCAGGGGCTGCTGCTACAGGCCCAATTTCAAAGCGCGACAAGCGCCGCTCCGCTCTACAGGACCGCCTTCAAGATTTGACTGCTACATTTTGTCAGAACCGCGATGCACAGTTTCGCCAGCAGTTACACTCCCTGCAATGTGATATGACTCTGATCAACAATGCCGATCCCTACGTGGATGGTCCGCTGGCGGACTCCTCGGAGGACATCGCGCACCTTATTGAAGATACTGTCGGAGGAGGCAAGTTTGCAAAGGAGATGGCTAGCCTGTCCGGCACTTGGTATGCCAAGTTTGTTCATGATGTCAACAACATTAAAGAAAAGCGCGATGCCGAATTGGCACAGCTTATGGTATGTCTTCCCTTCTTTCCTTCCCCACCTACTCTGCGATCGCTCTTTCTAATCTTATCTCCCGGGTTTAGCACCGTCACGAGAACAGCCTCGAGCGACACCGCCGTGAATATGAATACCGCGTACATTTTGGCATGGAGGAGTTCAAGCAAATGTCCAGCACCCTCCGAGAGCGTCTGATGCAAAGCCTCGACGCGTCACGCGAACGCCTGCGCAAGGAGCAGGTCGATATCGCCGACATCAATGCCGCTACATTCCATCCCAACCAGTACAGTGTCACCAACCCTACCGCCAGTCCCGGAGGCATACAGAGCAACCGCAAGACCCGTCACACCCGTCACCGCGTGGATATGGATGACCTTGGCAACGGAATCACCGAGCTGAACAAGCGCAAGCGCAAAGCTCCAGACGGCGATAACGGATCTCCAGTACGAAACCCGACTGGTACCTCCATGGCCGAGCGCACCAAAGCGCAGCTGAAGAAGCAAAATGCCCCGGTCTACTCTATCAACTCGCTCTTCACAGACAAGGAGCTTACCGCGCACGCCAATGATGCGCATGTCGCTGCCCTCCACTTCTTCTCCACCTCCCGCCGCGCCGAGCAAGGCTCCGGCGCTATCACCAACGGCAACAACACCGATGCCGAAGATACCCCCGATGGCACAGGCCACGAGGACAACGGGACCCCGAGCGCTACCGACATGGTCCGGACCGCAAGCCACAACTTCCATGCAACGCGGTCTACGCGCACAACAGCTGCGCAAAGCGCTCTCAGCGCTCTGACGGACCTGTCAGACAAGCCGGCCCGACGCCCAGCACTGCCATATCATGTGCTGTCGGGGTACACCGCCCGAGGAAACGGGCCCGCGCCAACCCTGGCCCCCCTCCTCAACGAGGAGGTCGATGAGGACTTGGCTCGTATGGAGCGGCTGCACAATCAGCCCTCCGGGTGGATCGATTCCGCCCTCATTCAGATGGTGACGGCGCCCCTGCCGACAGAGCAGGAAAATGGCCACGCGCCAAACCCTGACCGCTTCTCTGCGGTTCACCCTGACTTCCCCGCCGGCCTGATGCAGATGCATCAGTTACGCCCACAGGCCGGAGAGCAGATGTTTGCGACCGGTGGGGAGGGTGGCCGCAGCAGTAAGCGGTCCCGCCATCACTAGGCGGAAGGGTGCGGCGGTGGTTTGGTTTTTTGTTGTTTGGTTTTTTTCGTTTTTTCTTTCTTTTTTCTTATTCTTACTTTTCTTTTATTCTTATATTTGTATATTAGTATGGGTGGCGCGGCGTCAGGCGCCTAATCAATTTTTATTCTTACTCATTCTTCCTCTCACATACAACTCATTTCTACGTACTCTGTAATTTCAATTGGCTTTTACTTGGCCTCCAGATATCTTCTCGATTAAGTTCCAACTTGAGGGTTTTATATCAGTCTTCTCCAATTGGACTATGCCTTTCAGGCACATTACTTTGACTTCAACTCAAGGGTCATCAAAAGCTCAAGTCCATCAGTACACTTCTCAAACGAGCCTGAAGAAACATCACCCTAAGTTTCAGATATCCACTACTACATAGAAACACAAACTTTAGGATTCTCTCAACTTCAAATGTGAGCTTCTATGCATTCTCATGGAGCCAGTAGGTATGATAGTCTAGAACAGTATCAGCAGTCCGATAGCCTTGTAAGCTCTTTTGATTCTCACATCAAGTTTATTTCAAGATCCAACTTAAAACTAGTGACAGCAAAGACCAAATAGTAAATCACCTTGGAACCTTCTCACATTCCAACCTTGGAAGGTGAGTAATTTCAAACTGGTACCAATTTCAATCTGCTAGTACTAGTAAGTATTCGAAATGTTTGATCAACCTACACATGTGAGTTAAGATGTGAATTAATTTGAATGTTAGTATATAATTGAATATTTCAAGTTCACAACCTCCATCTTTTCAACTACGCTGAACTTCAATTTTTCTTATAACCTTCCAGCTACTCCGAGATTCAACCTACTTCCTCCACCCAAGTGCCTTGACTTGAACCTGGAATCATCCCCCTTCCTGCAATCTCATAAGCAATGCACTTCCAGAGTTTGCGGGGTGATAGTCGATTCTTCACCTTGTTTGAAGTATTCGCCCCATATGAACAGGCGAACAACCTTGGAAGCTGGACGCTCTCCTTTTTCCGCTACACCTTTCAATCAAATCAGACAGCGCAGGACAAAATTTTTGCACGCCCTTATCACCAAACCCAGCTCCCCTGCCGATCTCCAGGGCTGCTTCTGCTGTTGCATCGGTTGTGTCTATAAGTCGGGGATTAGAGGTTTCAGAAAGGTGGACGGAGCAGTAGGCGGTTTCATAACCCTCATTGAGCTTTCACATGGTCAACCAGCCATGCCAAGAGGACTATTGTTCTCTTCAAAATACTTCAACTTGGGCTCATATACCTTCATACGCAGTTAGAGGCATGATAGCTCTATATTCCTCCATCTACCACCCGGTTTGGAATATTCGACAAGAAGAATCAACCTTGGAATTCAAAGGAACAAATCTCTGAAGAAGTTGATACTGATTCTTCCTCTATGCCTTTCAATCTTCCGACAACGAAGAAAAAGAAAGCTCGGGCCTATGTGTTCCACCCACACTTTCTGTGCAAATCCAAAACCATCAGTGCCATTCATGAAGTACAAAGCAAGTACTATGGGTTCAATTTGGTATCACTGATGAGCCCGACCCAGGGGCGTTGTTTCAGAAACCTGTATCACCGTCGAATGCACCCTTGACAGGAGCATGCCCTGGCGCCACGCCCGGCACCTCACCAGTTCATCCGGCGACGCCAAACCCTACGAAGTCTTGTTGAGGTAAAACGTGAGTCTAGCAAGGAGATACAAGTTTGGAATTCCTGGTAGGGAAGGTCGGTGAAGAATTAAGCGGTCTCGCGCTCATTAAGACGGAAGGGCGGTGATTTACTTTGTTTCATTTTTTTCTCTTTACTTTCCTCTCATTATTCGTTTTTACAATATCAGTACCTAGGTATGAGTATGATGCGCGCCTCGTATGTTTTTAATTTTCTCCTTCCCCTCATTGAAGTGATTTATTCGATCTCGAAGTAACAAAGACATGCAAAATGGAATCATCAATGCAGACACTATCAATTTCCCAGCTTTCGAGGCTTTACAGACTTGTTGATTCTTTCATCATTAGCTCCGCACTCGGAAACCGCCGTACTCTATAAGGAGTAGTTGGAAGCCTTATACAACACCTGGCGATGGAAGCATGGACATCTGGATGGTCAACATTTGAATGTGTTAGTAGGTGCTGGGTTATAGCCAACCCCTACTAGAAAAAAATGTTTTCTCACTGGAACTCTAGCCTCATCTCTCGGGCTGATAGCCCCATCCGTTCTCCTACTGATGTACTGTCCATGGGTACTGACGAGTACTAATTAGGTAACATTGGATGAGATTAGACATTGCAAGATTAGTACTGACGACTTAGCGTCTAGAATGATGGAATACAACGTGTCTCCTAGCCCCAAAACGGAAATTTGCGGTGACAGTTGAGGCTCTGAGGTCCTCTTTAATTGAATATCCCGCCCCGGGGAGTATTGACTTATTGCGCCCCGAGGAAATCTATCATGATGATAGCATTCATATGTAGGACGAGGAGACATATGCACCTGTGCACTGTGTTACACTGGTAACTGCAGGGCTCAGGCTTCAAGTTGATTACTACATATATCGATCCAAAATTGAACCTTGGAACTATGTTGATTAATCAATCTGGACATGTAGCCTTGGAACTTAATCCACGAGGCCGTTCAAGGTTCTTGACGAGCTGGAGGAGGGCTTCAATGTTTGAACGCAAATTTCACACATGCACACCACTGGCAGGGCATGCATACGCATGTATGTATTTCAATGTTACTAGTACTACATAGTAGTAGTACATACTCATGTGCTCCATACTCATGTGCTCCGTACTCCATAGGTACAAGTCACCCGTGGACCTCATTCAAGTTTAACTGAACTGAGGCAGAAGCCACGAAATTATTGATGCAAACCTATATCATCATGCTTGGAGAACAAAATGGTTCCTATACATGGAAGCCCCGGCCTACACAGGCATAATCACTGCAGATTTCACCGAGTATAAGCCTCTTCAAAGTATAATCGGTTCCATCTTTCCCGGAGCCAGGTCCACAGATGGTGAATATATCTGTATGGGGTTTCATCCGATTAGACTTAAAAATACCATGATACAAAGTTTTAACCAAGCCAGCACTGGACGAACTCACTTTCCAAGGTTCAAGTTCAAGTTGTCCTCCAGATGTCTGGTTTGTCCCAACATTGAACTCCGGTCGCTTGCATAATATAGACCTCGGGGAATTTATCATATCAACCTTGGAAGAGCCCTGTACTACCCAAGCCTTCCGAGGTTATGATTCAAATGATGTCCACGAGGCTGAACATTACTTGATAATACATGTATGATCGAGTCATCAATTCTGAGATTGCGTATATAGGACATCTGGAACTGCCCAGAGATTGAGCACCGGGCGTGAGGGCCCATTGATCCAGATGTCATGCACATGTGTAGACCCTCACTGAGGATATCTGAACCTTGGAACATATGTAAAGAAACTTGAAATGCTCTTAATAATATTTATCATTGCAATTCGCTGCCATAGATCCCTCCAGATGTTCAAACATGTGAATTTACAGGGCTGGCGATCTGAAGGGATCCCCACGTCAGTGTATGCTTACGGTTCAGCAATAACCTAAGGTTCCCATGTTGGAAGCCTGATATGACTAGATCGACCAAGACAGGTAAGCATGTATGTAATAGTCCGGAGATCAACAGATCCAGATGCTAAATACATAGTCTTTTCCAGGTGGGCGCTACACACTACTAGAACTTGAATAATCCTAAAGCTATTCTGCCAGTTAGACTATCTAAAAATTGGAAGTCTAGGAGATGTTTGGTACCTTACGCTACGAAGCGAGAAATGAAGATGGGGAGTTTTTGCAGCATGAAGCGGGAACTGCAGGTCGCCTTCAGCGTATGGTATGCGATAATTGCCGAGTGAAGAAGGTAAGTGCGTCTCTGGCTGCTATATCTCTAAAATGAATCCTCTAATACAAAGGGAAGATTCGATGCAGTGGTCGGCGGACAGGGTGCTATCGATGCACAACGCTCAACGTACCCTGAATCTACTCCAAGTCAAGTCCTCGAAAACGACAGCCCAAGAAACGGCTGGCATCTCCATCCTACGACACCAGCGGAGGCAGCGAGGATAATCAAACTTCCAAGGAGCTTTCAAGCGAGAGCGCAGAACAGAAATCAAAAGATTATTGTACCGCCTATCATCAATCGTCGCTCAACCGATCCACGATGCGCGATAAAAGTGACAGTGACGCGCCTCTAACCCATTTAGGCGGAGAAGAATTTCAAGAGGAAGACGAGCAAATGTTTAACAACTTTGACTGGTATTTGGGCGAGAAACACAGTTCACTTGCGTCACCTTCGTTATTGACGGCTGCTCCTACCATCGATCTTCCAACAGAATCAGATAAACGGCTCTCAACGAGTAGTATTTAAGTTAACGACAGCAACATAGCTGAGCCAGAGAGCGGTACACCCCAGGACAAAAGAACAAGCCACGGTGCACCTCATATATATTCTTCAAATCTGATGGACGATCATATGGTTCTGGATCCTACTGTGCTTCACACCTCTCCATACATAACGCCCACCCCCAGTATCAAATCACAGCCACCATGTGTGATACAACTTGAATCATCCAGCTCATCCACATCACCCAAATCCTTCAAGTTAGTCTCACAGCCCCCACAGCCAGCAGTAGCCTCCCATAAGATACACTGATGCTCCTGCCTCTCTACAGCCGTTTTTCTCCTAGATGAACTCGAAGGCTCCAACGATGCTGGTGTGCACGAAGAGAGAAAAACACTCGACTCCCAACCAAGTTCTTATCGAGAAGTTTTGTCACGATGCGAGAGCATACTCCAATGTCCCCAGTGTCGCCGAAGGCCTGAGAACATGACCGTGCTGAACCTTGTTCTAGAGCGCCAGACGAGTCTCGCGAGTAGCATTATAGACGCATATCTCGTCCTAACGTCAGCAGATAGTGACAACTCCACCACAACCATAGAGAGCGTTGTACAGCCCACTTCAACAAGGGTGTCATCAATCCCCACAGCGCTAGAGCCTCCGGAAATGTTTCTTGGAGAGTACAGCATCGCCAAATCAGAGTGGAAAAATATGGTGCGTGTGTTAGTACTGACTCAGATGAGTGCTTTTGATCGTCTCATCGCTCAGATGAAGCAGGTTCCGTTGCTGGCTCAGCGGCACTCCCAGATGACTCGCCTACGCACTTCGAAGCTGCAGAATCGGCGGATCGCGCGACGTCTCTGGCCCGACTTACCTGATACATTTACGCTGTCGGACCCGGCAATATATTTCATGTCATGGCCTAAATAGACAGGCTTTCTGTGATAAGGTCAGAGTTGTCTGGCTTCTCAATTAGGTCAGCTCGCCTGTACTCAGTAGACAACGCTGCTCTCTTTTGTGTGGTGGTCAATATGTTCAAATATTGGTGTGATAACTTGAAGCATCTTTAATTGAGTTTTGCGTTGCTCTTTGGCTATATGGTATATACCTATAAAGGGCTGGTAATAATGAAGAAATACACCTGGGCAAATCATATCGATATCATAGAATCCCAAGGTTTGTATTTATATGTATTTCCAAGTTTCAAGAAGGAAACTATTAGGTGGTTTTGCGGCGACGAATGCGAAACGGGATCGGCTCAGCCGGGGGCATCGCGCCTACTCCGTAGAATCGCCGATCCGGGCGGGGCAGCCAACCCCGAGGCCGATCTATCACGAGCTCATAGTAAGCCTGGAAGACGGCCACACTGCCCAGAATCTCCTGTTTGGCAAAGTGCCGCCCGGGACACATGAAATTTCCGCCGCCGTAAGGGATCCAACCACCTGACAACCCGTCGAGGGAGAACTGATCGCGCCCCATGTCATCTTTCACTAAAAATCGCTCCGCCCAGAACTGACTCAGTGGATATTTCCCATCCTGCGTGTACTTTGGGCCCCAAACCTTGTCGTCGTGGGCAGCATGCTGCGAGCTCATCAATATGAACTTCCCACGTTGCAGGTGCCACGGACCAAATTTGACCAGCGCTTGCACTGGCGTTCGATTGAGTAGCATAGCAATGCGCATCCGCAAAACCTCGGCGTAGATCGATTGGAGACGTGGCGAAGTGACCAGAGCCGTAATGTCGAACTCGGTTGGCTGGGCTGCGGAGGGGGATCTACGGATCGCCCGGTCGAATTCCGACTGGAGACGCTGGTGGAGATCCGCGTCGGTGTAGATGTGGATAAGATACCAGACCGCACTGAGAATGGCATTGGCGTTCGCCCTAAAGAGAGAGAAAGAGAACAATATCCAATGATTAGCATGAGATGAAAGGAATTCTCACGTCCACGAGAGAGAAAAAAAACACATACGCCGTCAGCAAGGTAAGATCCTCCGCCGCCAACGCATCATCATCCATACAGCCACTGTCTTGCCCAAATTGCTGTCGAACTTTGAGCCAGGCTGAGCCCCAGTATTTATCCCAGTCTGGGTCGGTCGAACCATTCCGACGATAATCAGAATGCGCGCGCGCAAAGCGATGCCAGGTCTTAACGGCCGTGAAAACTCGATCGCGCGCAGCATACGCTGCGGGGATCATCCAGCGCGGCAGCCCCATCGCCAGCATCGGGATCACATCCATATAGCTCCAGAAGTCTTGCTCAAAGCCCGGTGTAAGCAAGGTGAGATAGAGCCCGAACAGAGCATACATGGCGGCGTGGAAGACACGACTCTTCCAGAAGGTGTAAAGATCTGGTAGTTCCACCCAATCGTCGTCTGGGCAAATCGCTGTGTCGTTGTGAAGCTCCTCGCTGAGAACGCGCATAAAACGCTCTGTCATGCGGCGGAGCGCATCTCCCGCGAGAAATCGATGAGCAGATCTGTGCAGATGGTAGTAGATGCGGTGCTCCAGGGCCACGTGCGCGCCAGGCAAAGGTGTCGAGGCAATCCCGGAATCGTCCTGGCGGTACATCGGCATGGCGCTGGCTGGGGTGCCGAACATGTTTTCCATCACCAGGGCAATGAACGGTTTGGGAGTCAGATTACGGGGTGACCGGAGGAGCGTATTGATCGCTTCGGAGCCAGCCACGAAGTATGCTCGAACAGGACCCAAGACGATTTCCACTGGGAATTTGTCGCCATATCGTTGCTGGAGCCCATCCAAAAATGCGCCAGGGTTCTGAGTGAATAGGATTGAGTGGCCGACGAGCGGAATCCAGTAAGGATGCACCGGGGGTTTTCGGCTGTCGATTTTATAGAAGTGAAGCGATTTGATAGAATGTAGTGCCAGGAAGAGACGCGCGAATAATATTACAGTGATCAGGGCACCACCTAGCCATGCATACCAAGGCTCAATCATGATGGATGGGTTTTTTTCGTCGTCGACTCAGGTGCAATATTCGCAGCAAGATGATGATAGCTAAGTATAGTTCCATTCCGAGGCTGTTATCCCCATTATTCCCAATTAGGCAATTCTCCAGGACTTTTTTCTCTATAGAGATCATCAGAAATAGGTAACTATCCGAAAACCTACAAAGACCTGGAGCACTACACCAGACTATGAAATTGTAGATTATAGGCTATTGTTTTTTACCTTCTTAACTTCGTGGCAAAAATGAAAAAACCAAGCGACTCAAGCAGCTTAGTGCAGCCTCCACCATCCATCTTCCAGCCAGTGTGCCACCCTCGTGTGGAAGAAGTGACCCGTGAAGTAAACAATTATTTTCTCGCCCACTGGGATTTTCCCTCAAAGAAAGCACGAGAAAAGTTCATCGCCGCAGACTTTTCAGGGGTGACATGCCTTTACTTCCCCAACGCGTTGGATGACCGCATTAGCTTTGCCTGTCGGCTTCTAACTGCCTTATTTCTTATTGATGGTTCATTTCACTCTTCCCCATCCCGAGTCCCGGCTTTTTCTTTCTGACTGATATGCATTTAGATCTCCTCGAATTCATGTCTTTCGAAGAAGGATCGACGTACAATGAAAGGTTGATCCCTATCTCCCGCGGCCATGTGCTCCCAGACCGATCCGTGCCTGTGGAGTACATTACCTACGATATATGGGAGAGCATGCGTGCCCACGATCGTCCATTGGCAGATGAGATTCTAGAGCCTGTTTTTCAATTCATGCGGGCTCAGACTGACCGCACGCGCACTCGACCGATGGGACTGGGTAGCTATCTGAAATATCGTGAGCGCGATGTTGGAAAAGCGTATGTTCTGATCCTTCGGTTCTCCTATATTTGCTAACAATTTTTATTTAGGCTTTTATCAGCTCTGATGCGCTTCTCGATGGGGTTGCACATTAGCACGGTGGACATTGCTCTACTCCAGGAGATTGACGCCAACTGCTCCAAGCATTTGTCAGTTATCAACGATATCTATAGCTACGAGAAAGAATTGCATGCCTCAAAGACTGCTCATGCTGAAGGAGGTGCGCTATGCACCTCAGTGCGTGTCCTAGCTGACGAGGCAGCCGTCCCTATCCAAGCCGCAAAGCGCGTGCTGTTCTTCATGTGTCGCGAATGGGAGCTTCGCCACCAGTCCTTGGTTGAGGAACTATCCGCCAGTGGGCACCAGGCACCGTCGCTGGCGGCCTATCTTCAGGGATTGGAATTTCAGATGAGTGGTAATGAAGAGTGGAGCAAGACCACACTGAGATATAACATTCCGATCCAGTGAGGTGCTCGATTTCATCTTTTCTTAGCCAGTTTTGCCTAATTCGGGGTTCACTTGTTTTGCAAATATGTGATATTGATGTATCCTCAGATCCAAGAATCAAGATTGAACTGACACGAAAGGGAATTCTGAGTTATTGATGATTGTTTTAGCGTATTTGAGTGTATTTGAAGTTAGTAATCCCTATTATTAGATGATTAGCAAAAAAATGCAAGCTAATGCCAGGTGCAATGATCCTGCGATAACCGGGACAACCATTGCACCGTGTCGAAGAACTTTAGAACAAAATGGTTAGTTTGATGTTCCGCCCCGGCGTCTTTCCCTTTTGGGAAGTATGCAAATTCCATGCTCTTCCACCTTGTGAAAATATTCAAATGAGGGTTTGTTCTCTCATATCTAAGCCTAAAGTGAAAGTTCCCAAAAATAATCCCAATCTGTAGTTATCTGTGAGAACCAGATTATTGTAGTCACCTGATCCCCCGCGCTGGTAGCACATAGTTGTTTATCTCTCACCGCGCCAGCGACCTCTCTCTTCTCTTCTTTCTTCTTCTTCCCATGTTCCCTCATTATCAATCTTCCATTCTCTAGCATCCTGCACTTTCAAAACATTCGATCCAAGGTTAGTATTTGTTCTCTCATCTCCAAACTGCCCTTCTCTTCTCCAAACGGTCTATATCCAAAGTTCCCAACACTAAGGCAGTTCCCAACACTAAGGCCATTCTGAAGTTATTATCCGACAGACTCCAACATCCTCATCATGTCGGCAACTACCTTCAATCCTGACAAGGACATGCCCGACATGTCGGGCAAAGTCATTCTCATTACCGGCGGTGAGTTATCTAACCCGTTACTAATTCGCTCTATCATCAAAACCACCTAGACAGAGACTAATGGATGTGAATCAGGCACCGCGGGTCTTGGGGCCGAAAGCGCGAAGCGACTGGCTAAGAAATCACCGGCGCACATCTACATCAGTGGTAGGAACGCCGCCGCTGCGGACAAAGTCATTCAGGAAATCCGACAGGCGGGCAGCAAGACAGCGGTGACTTTTCTCAAATGCGACCTCGCCTCGCTGGAATCGGTTAAGCAGGCCGCAGAGAAGGTTCTCAAAAGTGAATCTCGCCTCGATATCCTGATGTGCAACGCAGGCATCATGGCTGTGCCGCCGGGGCTCACGACAGACGGGTACGAGATCCAATTCGGTACCAACCATCTAGGCCACGCGCTACTCATCCGGAAGCTGCTGCCACTTCTTGAGGCGACCGCAGCAGCAGCAGATGTACGAGTCATTATTCTCACCTCGGTGGGGTACAAGTTCGCCCGAGGCATCAACTTCGACGAGGTACGCAGCCGCCAGGAGGGCACACTTGGTTCGTGGATGCGCTACGGTAGAAGCAAGCTGGCCAACCTGCTGTATGCGAGCGAGCTGGCACGCCGCTACCCGGCCTTGACAAGTGTGTCTTTGACACCTGGAGTGGTCAGCACAGGCCTGGTTGACAACCTCAGCCGATTCAATCGTGCCTTTGTCTATGTGACGAACATAGGCCAGGTTGTGAAGCCCGAGAAAGGAGCCTACAATCAGCTCTGGGCTGTGAGCACTTTGAAGAATGGCTTGCAAAATGGCCAGTTCTATGAACCGGTCGGGGCACTTCCCAACAACCTATCTGACGCGGCCAAGGATGCGAAGTTGGCTAAGCAGTTGTGGGAATGGACCGAAACGGCCATAAAGGCATATATGTAAATCTCTTACTGACCGATAGCCAGGCCGTTGCGTGTTCTGCCCGTCTCTTGGTTTTGCATGGTTTTGCATGGTTTTGCCATGATTTTGCCATGATTTTGCCATGATTTTGCCATGATTTTGCCATGATTTTGCCATGATCTTTCCTGAGTTAAATACTGGGTCCGTTGAAGCCGATGATATCCTGCTACCCTTGAATTTACCCCCCTCTTTGATGTAGGTACCTTTTACAGCATCTATCCTGAAACTGAATTTATTCTTCAAAAATGTCTTCCTCTTTTCAAGGTTCTAGTGGTCTGTGTCTCAGAATCTGGTTGACCTATTTTGCTGTTTTCTTCCTGCCCGGTTTGGTTATCAAGGCTCCATCTTACCAAGCCCCGACATATTAGCCCTGGAGCTCTTCTTTAACCACCTTCATGTTTTAGGCCGTTTTTTTTTTTTTTGGCTATTTTGCCCTCTCGTTGTTACGATCCTGTTACCAGGCCCTTCAACGGGTTTTAATTATACGAGTACTGCGAGAGGTAAATTGGCTCCAACCGTAGTTTGTGAAGTCAGTCTGCCCGTAAAAATCTTTTATATCCAAGGGAGGCGCTAAAGTGACCTGGAAGCCTCCACCGTGCAGACAAATCTGGCGCTCCAACTCCCCGGCAGCGATCGACCCGTCCACCAATTCAAGCCGAGAGTGACGCAATAACTGGGCGAAGAATGCCACAAATTCGACCTGAGCGAACCGTCGTTCGAGGCAAGCGCGTGTACCTTCATTTGAACGTCATGAATGTTCCACGGCGATGAGATGCCATTGGTCGAATGGGGGTGGCCGAGGGATTGAAAAGATCTGCCTCTTGCTCGTGGTTTAACGAGGTAGTAGGGTCAAAGGTGTTCAGACTGGACGTTAGCCAACGTCGAGGTTCGATTATGTGAGGATGTGGCCAATTGGCTTCGTTATGATGGATGGCTGTGTTATCGACGATAGTGAGCGTTTGGGCTGACAGGATATGTTTGCTACTATTGACAACAAGGTCCTGGTCAGTGACGGCTAAGCGGGTGATAGGAATGACGATGGGAAAGACCCTCATCACCTCGTACTGCGGAGCATGGATCAGGATCAGCTGGGCGCTCGCCTCGTTCTCGAGCGCTATTTTGGTCCATCTTACCTTGAATGCCAGGAGATAGCGGAATTTAGGCAAATCCTCATCATAGGATAATTCCGATCGTCCGGCCTCTGCGGCCTCACGATACACCTGGCGAATTTCGGCAATGACGGAATCTTGGATGGAGTCATATAGAGTCAGGACGATGGATGAAAATATTATTGTATTGGCTGTGGTATCGTATCCTGGGCATGAGTTAGTTCCCGGCTTACTATTAGCGGTGCCCTTCTGTACTCTGTATAGGATCATGAATGGCGATTACGAACCTGCCAACAGGAAGATGAGAAACATTCCCTTTCACTTCAACATCCGTCAATTGAGTGCGGCCTCCGGGGCCTGTTACTAAGTCTCGGGTTTCAACAGGCTGTTGACTATTGGCCTCAAGAAGAGCAGTAAGCAAGTTCCCCTTTGTTTTGGTCGATTTGATTTCATTCCGACCATCCATGGCGGCATTTCCTTGGTCCAGAAGCTCGTTCATGTATAACTCTAGCTCATTATACGCTGTATAAACCTTTTGTGCACATATCCGGATTAGCCAAGCAGGGAGCAGCACAAATATAGGCAGATTGGTGACGACCTCGAAGAGCGATTGAACAAGCGATAGACTATGACCGGGTGGTGGAGAGACCAAGCTCTCGGTTCCATTTTGACAGGACTGCCCAAAACCTGCCTCGGACATGACATTGACTGTCAAATTGTACACCCCATCCCGGAGGGAGCCGCCCCCTGAATGGGCTGCCCAGCGTTTGGCCAGTGTTTGGGTTTGTTGCAATGTCTCTGCCCAGACGGTTCGATGTACAGCATCGCCTAAAGAGGGAAGAGTGGTCCGAAGATGGAACGTCCATGACTCACCATTGGTGGAAACAACATTCGGTCCAAAAGGCTCAAGCATCTCTGAAGTGGTTTCTCAATTAGCCCAGGGCGTGAATCCTGGATTGTGATTTGCATACTCATTTTCTCCGGGGGCTTTATAAATACTTTCCAACGCATGCACACTGACAAAGCTGTATCTGGATCGGCAATATAGCAGATTAGGCCAGCCGGACTGACGATGAGGAAGACCGGACCATACTCTCGATGTGCACTTCCTCGGTCCTCGTAGGTCCAACCTTTAATCATCAACCGTGCCCATCGGGGCCATCCGGATCCCAGCAAGAGGTGGCCACTAAAGCACCATCTAAACAATGGATTGGTGAAATATGCCCAGAACTCCAGCTCGTGAATGGGGATCAAGGCGTATGGGAGCCCGGTGCGCTTAGCCTTTTGAATATTTTGGCACCAGGCTACGCCTTTAGAGCCAAAGAACACGACAAACAGACTCAAGCTCCATAAGGTAATGGGAACTGTGCTGGGCATTTTGTCTCAGTAGTATGCTTTTTGGAGACTGTAATCTAAACAGAAGCCTCTTTACCTTGGAAGAGCGGAGCTAACTCGGGGAATTTCTGTTTTGGGAATATGCCAGATGCCCAGATGCATTTAGCAGAATTGAAATGCCACCTCAGAGATGTTCCAATGTTTTAATTAGCATTGAAGTACCAAAATATACCTGCAAATGTGCGTGACTTATGACATACAACACTAGCAAAGCGCGTAAACTCTGGGTCTCGCTCCAACCGGTGCATTTCATCATCGACTAAGGATATGAGAACCTCACAACCACCATGACTTTGCAAAGGAAAAACAACGCATCGACGAGAAACAGCATCAAACTCTCGGTTTGGGACCCGAATAAACTCCGGACGCCCCTCATTGGCAAACATAGGCCCGAAATCAATATCAAAAAGGCTCCAAGCGAATCCAGGAGGTAATGCATACTTCAGCCCCGGCGAATGTGGCGAACGGAAAAGTCGACTTAGAGTATTGAGGTAGCGAGGCGGCCAGAGTGAAAGCTGCGTGCATCTGAGAAGAATCAATCTTGTCGGCGGCTTGGCGGATCTCATGAGCTATAGAACGTAACGAAGTCGTTGGGGACATGAGCTGGGATCGTAATATCCGAGTGGTACGGATGAAGATGAGACTCGCCATGTAAGTGAATGGAAGATCTGGAGAGAATCCCAGTCGCCCGTCGTAGGTGGTGTCAAGGACAGCGTCATCTGTATTGGTTGATGATTCTTCGTCATAATCATCTGGAAACCGCGCGCGGATGATAGCTCTTCACAGTAGAGCCATCAAAGCATCGTTGGTGCTCACACCTGCAGATAAACTGTCTGTGCAAACTTTTTTCAACTCCTCTAAAGATTAAGGGGAGAGATAGAAAATGGTGGACTGCATCGAGCGGCTTTCGGGCCCCTCTAACTCTGCCATGAACGGTGGTGATGGCGTTTTATGTACAGAGTCAAGTCCTAATAGTCGCCACAAGCTTGGATCATCAGATCCTCTCGCATTAGTCTGCAGCTCTTCAGCTGTGAGTGAGGTGTATCCCTGAGCATGCCAAAGCTCTTCCAAAATTCCCGGATCTGCACTTCGGGGCAAAATCTGTAATAGAGGTCTCCCGTCTGATAACTTCTGTAACTGGCGGGTATGCTCGGCCCATTTCTTCATTAACCACTCACAGCTTGTGCCATCAATTGTAGAGTGGTACATACCGACTGCAAGCAAAACCCCTCCCATCACGAAATTAGCTTGAGCCAGAAACACCGGAACGCCTTTGTTTGGATCAGGCCACTCCGTAGTAGGTAATAGTCGATTGGGATCCAGTAGGTCCTGCGGTAGACCATCCTCAACAAGCTCATCATAGTCCAGTTTATCGCGAAGATCATGGGCATGGACAGTGGGACATAGCTAGGATGTACACGTATTTCCAGCGCAGCCTTCCGATCTTCAGTGACTGGTATAGTGAAGACCTTGCCGGCGATACTGGGGATATCTGTACTAGTGTGGTGAAGGCCTCTTTCCAGGAGATCCCTGACTCTTAGATCGTCTTGGTCTGCAGGGCAACGAAAGGCGAAGATGAGCGGTGCATAAAACCGGGGCATGACATTGTTCATGGGACTAAGGGAAATGTGTTTCATATTTGCCAGCATCATGTGGAAATGTGAGATCTGTCGAGTTTAAAGTTTGAAGCACTGAGTTGATTTCAAAGGGCATAGTAGCAGAACCAATATCATATGTTATGACAGATCGTGAATCATGATCTTGCTTCGATCCGGAAACGCCCCGAACTTCGGGAAATGACCCATTTGGGATTGCTCAATTACATTGCTCAATTACCTCTCTCTACAATTGGACATATACCATGTCTCCCCAGGCCTAGAATACCAAGTAGCTTCAGATCAAGGTAATTCTTCATAGTACTAGTATCAACATTTGAAGCAGTGGAGAAAGAAAACACCACCATGAATACACTTCAAGGAACAGGAAGTGAGTTAGTCAGAGACCCATGGATATGGTTGCAAGCCACAGCAGTACTGGTATGTCCACTCAATGTTCCCAGGACATTCACTCTTAATTCCTTTATACTCATTGATAAAGATAGTTGGTGTTGTATACATTGGGATATCTATTATACAATGTTTACTTCCACCCGCTGGCGGCTTATCCTGGCCCATTGTTGGCGCGATCATCTTTGGTATGGCGTTTCTGGTACACCATGCAAGGTCGAAGCCATCGAAAAATTCAAGAACAGCATCTGCGCTAAGGTATGAGGCACCTCACGATTGAAAAAGAAATAGCCGGCTTCTCTAACCAGCTAGGTTCCGTCTTCCGAGTGTCGCCCAACGAGCTCTTTCGCCTCGATAAATTCCTGGAAACAAATATATGGGGCTCCGATTGCTGCTCGATCGCACTTCATAAAAGGCGAGCTTTATGAAATTTACGGGGCAGGTATCAGAACTGGCTGCATTGATAGTGAGCGGGATCCAAAGGTACATGCAGAGAAGAAGAAGAACCTCACCCCGACCTTTTCGACAAAAGCCTTACAGGCCCAAGATCCAATTATTCAGCGACACATTGATCGGTTTGTAGAGAAACTTGGGTTCTCTGAGTACCCAGCAGGGACTGGATGTCGTCAAATGGTATGAGATGATTGCGTTTGATATTCTGGGAGAAATGGCGTTTGGCGAGAGCTTCCATTGCGTGGAACGTGGTGAGTAGAGATCCTTTTGTTGTGAACGAATCCCGTTGCTGAGTTCTGACTATGAGTCGTCTAGAGGAACATCATTTCTGGATCAAACTGATTCTGGACCATCTTCTTGAGATAACGTTGGTAGATAATCTGCGGCGTTTTGGATTACTGGCGACTCTGGGAAAATTTCTTTCACCCCGACTGACTGTTCAAGTACGCAATCGTCATTCAGGATACAGTCGAGCAAAAGTTGAAGAGTATTATTCCATCTGATTTTCGTGGAAATGATATGCTGACATGGAGCAGACGTCTGAGCAGTACCTCCTCTCGCCAGGACTTTTTCACAGATCTTGCTGAGAAGGTAAAAAGTGGTCAGATTGATAAGGAAGAAATGACGGCCCACGCATCAACCTTGATGTATGTGACATTTTGTTCCAATAAAAGGCCTCCATTGAAATATTCTAGCATTGCAGGAGGAGAGACGGTCGCCATTTGTCTTGCAGCAGCGACATATTATCTCCTCACGACTCCGGCCGCATACGCACGACTGAAAAGGGAGATTCGAGGACGCTATCAATCGTATGAGGAGATAGATGCTTCCTCAGCTTTACAGCTAGACTATTTGCAAGGCATGATCAATGAGGCACTCCGAATTCTCCCACCTAGTTCCCAAGGTTTTCCGCGTATCTCACCAGGGCTTGAGATTGACGGATATTACGTTCCCAGTGGAGTGAGTGTTGGTGCTATCTTTCAAAGGTCCATGAATGCTAACCTCTTGCTAGACTGAAGTATATACCAGTGCATGGACAGTGACTCATGATCCGCAATACTTCAAAGATCCAGAAACATTCCGACCTGGGCATTGGAGAGACCCTAAGTGTACGGACCAAAAAGAGGCCAGCCGGCCATTTTCACTGGGGCTTCGAGCATGCATCGGTCGCAAGTAAGACATTCGAAGATCTTGTCCATTCGCAGAGGAATTTTAACCAAATAGCTTTGCCTATATGGAACTTTTATCCATATTGGCCAAAGTGATCTATAGATACGATCTAGAATTAGTAGAAAAGGCGTTGGACTGGGAGGGTAAATCTCACTGTCATATTGTGTGGTGGAAAGCGCCGATTCATGTCAGGTTTCAAGCACGCAGAGAGTAGTCTCGTCTAGAACCAAGAAGATTTTATTTTTCAATTTTATTTTTCCATTCAAAGGCCCCCACGAGTCGCATCATTGAGTAAATTAGCCCGAAGAAGCAGCTTGCCGTCTTCCTGTGCTTCGACAACATCCGGAGCCCTACCCGAATAAGCAAATCTCCAGAATTTTCGAGATCGAGGAGCGTTTTGCTTATGTGACTCTAATCTGGGTACCTGCTTAGAAAAACACAAGGCATCGTTGTCGTGCAATCTTGTGGGACTGTAAATAGTAGTATAAAGGGCATCATTCTTCTAAACTGTGACCTTCAACACCCAGCGATCTTGTTCCATCATTTACCACCACGCAATTGTCACCATGGTTTCCGGACTCCGCTCGTTGCTGGCAAACCTAGCAACTAGCCTTCTGGTGATCACGCTTTTAGTAGAGGCATCTCAGATCAAATCGGCCGGTCATGCTGGAGGCGCCGCGGCCTGTGGTGAATTAGCCTCCAAATTCCCTTCCTTGCTCTTCCTCCCCAATACGACTACGTATACCTACCAAAGTCACTTGCCGTGGTCGGAAACATGTCTGCTATCCCCAACCTGCGTCTTTCTCCCTCAAAACGCCGCTCGTATTGCGGCTGCACTTCCTATCATCCGGAAAGCACGATCACCATTTGCAGTGATCAGTGGGGCCACATGCCCGTTCCAGGTGCTTCTTCCACATCGGAAGGCGTTTTGATCTCCATGAACCAAATGACACAATTGAAATTTGCCAATTACAGCAGCACTTTTGCTCAAGTTGAACCTGGCAATACATGGAAGCAGGTCTATGACTGGCTTGAACCGTCTGGTCTGGCTGTGAACGGTGGTCGGTACGCGCAGGTGGGAGTGGGCGGGCTGCTCCTCGGGGGTGGGATTGGGTATTTTAGCAGTAAAATGGGATGGGGTGCCAACTCGGTTGTGCAGTATGAAGTCATGTTGGCTAATAGCTCTGTGGTGCTTGTCAATTGCACCTCACATCCTGACCTCTTCTGGGCCCTCAAAGGAGGATCGAACAATTTCGGCATTGTGACTCGCTACGATCTTACCACTTTAGAGATTGGAGATGCATTTTCCAACGTCATGATCTGGTCGTCGGAAGCCACCACACAATGGTTTGACGCTCTCAACGCTTATCTTGCGCCAGGCGGTGGTGTTGAAGATGTAAATGCTGCCATTATGCCCATAGTAGCACTCACCCCCGCCGACGGCACATATGAGGTGATCAGTCTAGAATTCTATTCCGAGCCCGAGGAATCACCAGCCGCTTTTGAGGCTACAATCTGAATGCAAGAAACTCAAGTTGGATCTTGGACCTTCCTCGCCGAGGCTTTGGATATACCGGCGTATGCAGCCAGGGATGAAAGGTCAGTCATATCATTGACTTCAATCACTACCACCACGTAAGGCTAACAACTCAGACAACTTTTCTGGGCCATTAGCTCCCTGCCAGATCCCCGTGCAATCAGCATTGCTAATCACACAGTGTTTGATCGAGCACTGGTGGATCTGAGGAATGTCACCGGCTGCTCCATAACTTTGAACTATCAACCAATTTCGAAGGCATGGCTTGAAGCATCGAAGGCTCTGGGTGGGGATGCAATCAATTTGGACCCTCACGATGGACCATTTATTGGTATGGTCTCTCTTCCCTTACGGTACAAATTACTCGACTAACAACCACACCTCAGCCGGCTTGATCGCTTCAACCTGGACGAACGAAGACGATGATGAGACAGTTTATGAGTGCTCTCGAAATGCCGCCGACTCAATTCGCCGTCAGACTGAGGCTTTGGGTCTACACCATCCGTTCATATTCTCAACGATGCAGCCAAGGGACAACAGCCCTTTACTTCATATGGTGGTGGAAAGAGTTTGAAGCGACTAAGGAGCATCCAGAGCAAATATGACCCCGAAGGGCTGCTGAAGAGTCTTCTAGCTCATGGATTTCCCCTGTGATATTTATGGTGAGAGACAGCTATGATCGTTATTACTACATTCTAGATATATACTAGACAGTTGGCCTCGCGGTTGACGCTGTGGGCGCGGTACCAAGGTTCCAAGTAGGGGTTCACTTCAAGTTATCCAAATACCTTTATAGAGCCGAACGCAGCAAGAGGACAGACTTGGCTCAACGAGGCACTTCCCCAGAAAACCATATGTTTGAAACATTTTGAATGACATTCAATTTCATTTACAGACAATTGTGACTGCTCAGCATATGGCTGTTGTGGCATGGAGAGTAGCGCTGTCTGGTGTCCAGCCCGACATCTGGATTCTTGAGGCATAGCACATACAACTCATATTTAATATTTAACATGTGTGAGTTCCAACTTCCAACATTTGAAGGCTGCCAGCAAAATTGATAAATCAGAGCGATAACAAGGACTGCGATGGGAATGAACTTGGAGCGTCGTGTTACTTCAACCCTCCACTGAGTTCCTCTCGTTTATCAAAGATTATCATTGGATAAGGCTCCCAAGGTTGTTTTGATTCAACGAAAGTCCGTCGAAGCCTGCTGCAACCGGGTCAATTTAAGATTCTCTCTGCCGAACCAGAATGGCCGAAGATCCGCAATGGGCTCCTCCAGCTCAGTATAGCATTCTCCTAGCGTGAGGATAACCCGCCCATTCCATCGTTCCGGAGTAGTCGCGTAACGCTGTGCCTCCGTCTCTCTGCCGTAGACCTCCACACGGAGTGACTGACGGGCCGTCGCGGAGTATACGAGGGCCAGCCCCACGAAGTGGGCCGAGCTAACCTGGAGCCCTCGGGCGATGATAGGGGCGACTAGATGGTCTGGGAGAAGGTTGGTGGCTGTGGCGGCCGGGGCGACGCCATTAATGGTAATGCCGTCTTGAATGATCACAGACCGAAGAGAGTGGATGAGGCCGACCAGCTTAATTTACCGCAGAGAGAATCAGCTTCAATGCGGAAAATGTGGAAAAGCGAGATGGGGAGGAAAGGAAACAAAGATTCATAAACTTAACTCCAAGAGGAAGAGAAACTGCTTGGTGGAGCACTTACAGCCAATTTCCCTGCCGCATAGACGGGCAAGGACTGTTCCGGAGCATAGGCAGTAGCACTGGTAGTGATCACGATGCTCCCTTGGATCTTGTTTCTTTTCATGGAGCTCCATGCCAACTTAACCACGTTCAGTACGGCGTGGAGATTGACATCGAGTACAGCGTACGTTGGCTCTTCCAGTAGCCCGGCTGTATCCCATGTGTCGCCAAAATAGTTCGTCGACTCGAACACGCCCGCGTTGGCGAAGACAAAATTCACTGGACCAATAGTGTCAAATATCTCGCGGAGATTGGCCCAGTTGGATACGTCGCATTGGTGCCACACTAGTTGTGGGCTATAACGATAGCGCTGATTATTCGGGCCGTTGCGATCGAGGATGTGGACGGTAGCTCCTTTGTTTGTGAGGATTTGGGCGGCGGCGTAGCAAATTCCAGATGACCCTCCTGAAAGTATAGAAATGATGAATGATTAGACAAATGGAATCATACAGCAATCTGCTGTCTATTCACCCCATATAGCACATACCTGTCACAATGGCTACGGTGCCCTCTAACGAGGGAATGGACTGTTCGGTGATCTTCAACGAGGCCATGTTAATACTTTCTGAGGGAAGAGCTGCATACTGACGTAGGATATCTTTAAAGTAGATCTAAATACAATTCATATAAAATAGATGAATGTATGGAGTAACTGTCGCATGTTTGCCCCAATAGGAAACTTCCCGTCTCGCTGGCACCTCCTACTACGCCGAGCCCTGACAGGGGAATACCCGAACCTGTAAGGGAGGCTTTTGCCACAATGTATGCATCTGCGAGTCTCTGTGCCAATCTAATCCCTCATCCAGCAATTCAAAATCATACCTGAACAACAGTTTGCTAAGTGTCGTACGCAATTCCATCCATCCAAGACTGTCATTTTGATTAGATCCGATAATCATCAGATTTGGTCCGGGGAACGCAGAATCACTTACTGACGACCTATACAGCCTCTTGGTCCGAGTGAAAATGGCTGACTAGCTTCGAGTATATCGGACTCATTTGCACCAAGCCACCGCTCCGGCTTGAAGGCATATGGTTGCTCAAAATTGGCCGGATCCATGGTAGAAGCGAGAGGGTTTGTAGATACAATGGTCTGCTGGTTATTTAGCAAAGTCACTAAGCGTGAAAGGAATATTAGCATCAAACATACACCCTCTGGTAGGAAGTGGCCGTCAACGGTATCGCCACCTTGTGGAACAACATGGGGAAGTGCAAAAGGCAATGGAGGATAGATCCGCAGTCCCTCGAGAATGACCGCTTGGAGATACTTTAGACGTAGTGTGGAAGATGCCATGATTGCTTCATAGGATGAAAACGTCCCTCGGCACTCTTGTTGTGACCGGGAGAGTACCGCTGGATTGTGGAGGAGGTGATATATTATGCACGACAGTGCTGTCGCTGTCGTATCACTGCCCGCCAGCACAAAATCAGAAGAATGTGCCGCAAGCTGCAAATCGGACACCTCCTTTGAATCCCGTTGCTCTAGGATACGTGTCAGGAAATCTTTGCGGTTAGTCTGCCGCTGAATACGTCGCTCCACGAGGCTGATCGCCATATTTTCATTCTGTCGGGTTTGCTCTGTGAGTTTCCGGATCTTATTCGGAAAAAGGAAGTTGATCACTGCGGCCACAGTGGGGAATCGTTTAAACACGTCAATCAAGGCGCCCTGTGTCAGAGCTCCCAGAGTGATAGAAATCCATGGGTGAGGCTCGACTGACTTTGCATTTAGTATAGATCTCTTTTCCTGATATGATGCACTGTATGGGTTACTGACAGGTCTCCACACCGCTAAATGTCTCCCCAAAGGCCAAATCTCCGATAATGTCAAATGTCATCATTTCAAACCCCTTACCCAGATCCAATCCTTTGGCCCCCTTGATGCCAATTTGCTCGATAAATCGATCAATAGTGCCAGCGATTAGAGGCTCCTGTTCAGAGAGGGAGTGATCGGAAAAGGCGTGCGCGAGGTATCGCCTCATGATGCCGTGGTTGACAGGATCACGCTCGTTGACAATGGAGCGAACTTGATCTGCGAAACTGCTTCCATCGTAAAAGTCGCTTTTCATGAAAGCTTGCCGACCCTGGCGGAAACCATAGATATCTTTCCATGATTGCGCAGTGTTAAATGAGAGCTCATTCGGAGCGGTACGAACAACAGGGCCTATTGGAAATTGACTGGGTTAACCTGCCATCCTTCCTATTGTGTAATTCTTCAGATACCATATTTGAGATGGAGATCAAGGAGCTTATATGGCTGGCGACCACTCATGAACCACACACAGTAAGGTCCCTGTTTGTCCGTCAGCTGGGCTTATCCACGTCTCATCTGTTGTTAGTAGATTTTAGTTCCTCTGGAGTACATACATTGCTAATCGCCGCGAGCTTTGGACCCGGAAAACGAGCAAGTGGGTGTTGGTAGAGGTTATGAATTGCTTTCCACACCCAGTGAAGAATATGCTGGAAGATGGTTAAGTAGGAAGTTGCAGTTAGTTACCGTCATACATATTGCTATACGGCTGCCAGTGACTGAATTACTTACCCCTCCTACCCAGATGGTCACGAAAGTGTACATTATCACTGGGATTCCCAGAACACCCATTTTCCTCTCCGATATTAGGAATCAATGATTGAATCTGGGAGGAATTGATCAGAAAAGAGGGGAAGAAGTACATTGAGGGGAGGCCTGATGGTCGTTCGAGAATTGCCCAACTTGACAAGTCTCCGAAGAGCCCTGGAGCTCCGATACTAAATGAAACAAACACCCGTGGACATCATGATGTTAGAAATGCATTTTCAAGTATAACATGCTAGAATGTCTATTGTAAATCGTATATTTGTGCATTTCCTATCGTTCACAATTGTGCTTTCTGTTTATATGTTCTCACTTCATCTAGCTCAACTTTACCGATGCAGCGCATGATTGCGAGCGTCTGATTTTGACTCAAACTTGAAGCTTCAATCCTTTGTCATGGGAGACACAGAGCATGCTATGGCAAGTTAATCTTATCAAGATGTATCGTCCCAGATCATCCCAATCGCTATTGTTGGAATGGGATGTCGGTTCGGGGGTGGCATAACTAGTCCCGAGGAACTATGGGAGTTTGTCGCAGATGGTAGAAGTGCTTGGACTGAGATCCCTCAAGATCGATACAATCGGGAAGCCTTTTATTATTCTAACTCTCCCAAGCTGGCAGCTGTGAGTATGAATCCAATTCTTAGGAAAGATTGGTCGCTAATATTCGCAGTCGAACGTCAAAGGCAGCTACTTTCTGCAAGAGGAGGTTGGCTTATTTGATGCCTCATTCTTCAATTTCACGGATGAGGTGGCCGCAGTCGTGATCTAGTTCAGTTACTAATGTACTAATGAAAAGATAAGTCAATGGATCCCCAAATACGTTTGCTTTTAGAAGTCACGTATGAAGCCCTGGAAAGCGTATGTTCCATACTCCCCAAATCTCATTAGATGATCTAGTTTTTATTGACTGATAAATCATAAGCTGGGTTCACAATGCACCAAATTGCTGGAACAAATACATCCGTCTTCACTGGGTCCTTTATTCGCGACTATTATGACTTGTGAGCAGGGACCCCGACACTCTAACACGCTACTTCATGACTGGTAACTTCATGGCGATGATGGCCAACCGAATCTCGCACTATTTGGATCTGCGAGGTCCGAGTACGCCTGTGGACACAGGGTGTTCGACCTAAATGACAGTTTTGCATCTCGCCTGTCAGACCTTGCGCTCCTGGGAAGCAGACAACGCGATCGTTGGAGGAGCATGCATCATGCTGAACCCGGACAAGTTCTGTCAACTGTCCAATATTGGGTAAGAAATTATCACGCTTTTTGAAAACGCTGGAGCAAACGCCTAATTCGTGAAAATAATTATCAATAGATTAATTGGGCCGGAAGGCAAATGCTTCGCGTTCGATGATCGTGCCCAAGAATACGGTCGAGGTGAAGGAATTGCAACGTTGGTCCTGAAACGCCTAGACGACGCTCTTCGAGATGGTGATCCTGTCCGTGCTTTTATACGGGAAACTGGAATGAATCAGGATGGTAAAACACCTAATATCACCTTTCCTTCTCGAGAGCCTCAAGAGGCCTTAATGAGGGCCTGTTATAGCCGTGCCGGCTTGGATCCCGCCGATACTATGTATGTCGAGGCGCACGACACGGGAACCAAAGCTGGTGATCATGTTGAAACCGCCGCCATTGGGTCTGTGTTTGGGCCCGGAAGAACCTCACAGCTTCCACTTTTGATGGGTTCGGTTAAGTCGAACGTAGGCCATACTGAGGCTGCTAGCGGCATAGCGGCAATAATCCAAATGACCAAATCGTTTGAAAAAGGTCTAATTCCCCCAAGTGTCAATATAGAGCAGGTCAGCGCTTCTTTGGATCTTCAAAATGGTAGGCTGAAGGTTGCACAGGCTCTGGAAGCTTGGCCTAATACCAAAGTTCGGCGAGCGTCGGTTAACAACTTCGGTTGGGGCGGCTCTAATACCCATGTCATCATGGATGATGCTGCAGATTATCTTATGAAGCATAGCAGTCAGGGATTGAACACATCTCAAGACCCTCGCTCCGCCTGGAAGGTGTTCGTTCTAAGTGCTAAAGATGAGAATGCCGCCGAGAACATGACGAATCGCCTTTTGAGATACATCAAAAGCCGTGGTCCATCGCTCCAGGCTCTCTCGTTTACTTTGTGTCAGCGCCGTTCTCGGTTCCCTTACACAATTGCCTTTTCGGCCGCCTCAACTTCAGACCTTTTAACAAGTCTGGCAGATTCAACACTAGTCCCGACTTATGCGGCAGAAGTCCCTAGAATAGGCTTTGTTCTCACCGGTCAAGGTGCCCAATGGCATGGCATGGGCCGAGAACTGATGGAGGAATACCCCGTCTTCCATCAAACACTTCGAGAAGCAGACATAATTTTCCAAGGATTTGGTGCACCATGGTCGTGCATCGAAGAACTCAGTCGAGACTCATCCACATCGCCTATCAACACACCTAGCCTCAGTTTCCTTCTTTCATGTGTGATCCAATTAGCACTCGTTCGTGTCCTTGCCTCCTGGAAAATTCGCCCAACTGCCGTAACCGGTCACTCCAGTGGAGAGGTCGCCGCAGCTTATGCATCAGGAGCTCTGAGCTTCAGAGAGGCTCTGGCGATTGTTTATTTCCGCGGGTTGTTAACGTCTCAACATCTTGCCAAATCCACCTCCTCTGGCGGTATGTTGACTGTTGCTTTGGGACAGGAGGACATGCAGCCTTACCTCAACCGCCTAACGGCCGGTATAGTTGTCATTGCATGCGTGAACAGTCCATCCAGTGTCACAATCTCCGGCGATCTAGCAGGTATTGAAGAGCTTCAACAATATCTCGACGGTGATGGAATTTTCGCTCGTCGCCTTCGGGTTCAATCGGCTTACCACTCTCATCACATGCTTCCACTAGAGCAGGAATACCGTGAGATTCTCCAAAAGCATCTTAGTCGTGATCGTCAATTCAGCCCTGATATTTTCGTCTCTTCGCCCGTTTCTGGTGGAGTAGTGGATGAGGCAGAGACTCTAGGACCCGAGCACTGGGTCCAAAACATGTTAGTGCCTGTGCTGTTTGATCAATGCTTTCAAAGAATGTGCATTTCGGATGAGTCCACAGACACTCCTGACCCCAGGGTAGATTTCATAATTGAGATCGGACCTCATGGCGCCCTTGCAGGACCTATTCGCCAGTGCCTGTCGGACATGACTAGCACAGCACTGTCCATCACTCACATCTCCTGTTTGACCAGAAAACAAGATGCCGTTCATACAATGCAGAAAATGGTATCTAATCCCGTGGCCCATGGTCATCCCTTCGACCTTGGCCAAGTCAATTTTCCCCGTGGTGAAGACAGAGAGCTTCGCCCAATTCCAGATCTGCCCTCGTATCCTGGAATCATTCACAGCGATTTTGGGCCGAACCTCGCGTCAGCCGCGAGCATCGGTTTAGAAAGCACCCACATAATGAGCTCTTGGGCACCAGGGCACCTGGTTTAGCGTCAAGCATTGCCCTATGGCGGTTGTGTCTTCGCCCCAGCGAGATGCCGTGGGTTCGTGACCATTTGATCCAAACAGAGATAGTCTACCCGGGTGCTGGCTGTCTCACCATGGCGATGGAAGGCGTGCGACAGGTCGCATTCTGTGATTCGGCGCATCCAATTCGAGGCTACCGTTTGCGTCACGTCGAGATTACCCGGGCACTCACCATCCCCGACACCACAGAAGGCGTTGAGGTTCAACTTCTCCTCAAGCCTCAAAGTCCGGGTAGCTTGAGTCCCAAATGGCGGGAATTCCACATCTCTTCCGCTACTGTAAATGGGGATTGGGTTGAGCACTGCCATGGGCTTGTCGGGCTCGACACTGAAGAACCGAGTGACCAAGGCCCGAGGCACCGTCTTTCCTCAACAGCACGGATCAATTTGGGCACTAAAGGGGGAGCATATTTTCGGTCCATCGAGTCAGCAGATATGTTCCAGGCTTCGCGCAATATGGGCATAAATCACGGTCCCTTGTTCCAGAAACTGACCTCCATTCGCGCCGGATCCAAGAAAGCCATGGCTTCCTTTTTGCCTGTGGATTCAGTTGCGACACAGTCACCGCAATCTAGCTATGTTGTCCATCCCATAACAGTGGATTCAATTTTTCAGGTAGCCTATGCTGCGCTTTCGAAGGACGCTCAGTGGGAAACAGGAGCCGCGATTCCAAAGTCGATCAAAGAAATCTACGTGTCTGATCTCATCAGTAGGGAGACGAACCACAAATTTCAAGCCTTTGTTAACCTTGAACAATGGGGTGCCAGAGGCTTTGACGCTCTCCATTGCACTGGCAGATGATTGGCAGGACAGCTACTAACCGGTGCCGGTGCTGGAAATTGAGGGAATGCATTTCCAACGCGTGGGTGATGCTTCCGATAGAGCCGATCTATCGCCTTCCAATGGTAATCAACTTTGTTTAACAACAGAATGGAAGGAAGACATCCTTTTGAATGACCCTGATATTATTCGACAGCGGCTAAGAAGACCGGTGGAGGCAGACCTGAAGGCCATCGAGGTTGAGCTAAATCGCGCAACTTATCATTTTGTGCACCAGGCCCTGGTAGCTCTGAAAAACGTTGATATTGTGAATATTCTGCCTTGTTATCGAACTCAATGGATGCAGGACCTTGAGGAGAAAGCTTCGCAGGGTCAACTTGCACCACGCAGCGCCCGATGGGCAACCGCCAGCGACGGAGTTAAACAAATGCTCTTCGATCGTGCTGCCGCTCGGAGTGCGAACGGAAAGCTCCTCTGTTCTCTTGGTGGTAATTTATATGCATTGCTCCGAGGTCAGATGAATTCCTCGGAGGCCGCCGGGGATACTACTGCAGTTTTAAGCACCTTTCTGGAAAATATGCTGCATAAAGCCGCGGCTCTCAAGCAGCTCGCCTGGATCGTGGATCTCCATGCCCATCACAATCCCCGTGTCAAAGTTTTGGAATTTGGGACCAGCCCTGGGGAATGTGTTGAGTCGGCGATGCAATATCTGACAAAATATGGAGCAGATGTGGCATCTCCTTGGTTGAGCAAATACACAGTGACAGGTCGGTCCTCCGATGGCATGGCTGCTGAGAGGGTCTCTGCATTTGCGCCCCTGGTTCATTATCAATCCTTGGATTTGGAACAAGATATCACTCTTCAAGGGCTTGAACTTGGATCATATGAAATTTTCATTACACCGTTGCTCTCCTATGAGGCTAAAGACCTTCGTGCAGCGTTGGAAAATTCCCGCCGGGTGTTGAAAGATGGAGGCAAATTGATCATTATCGAAAGGTTACGAGAGACTCTTGATGCAACTTTAATTCTCGGAATTTTGTCACAACGGTGGAATTCAAGTATTCCTATGGCCAGATGGGAGCAGATACTCTGTGAGACTGGCTTCTCCGAAATCGATTTGGAGGTTCCTGAGTGCAGCGACGAAGAGGAACAGTGCTTCAGTGTGATTGTAACTACTGCTGCGGCAGCCTCCAAAAATTCCACCCAATCTGGCTTTAACAGTAACATCTCCGTGGTGTGCTCAGAGAAACCACCACCTAAGGAGTGGACTGGAAGCCTCATCACTGCGCTTTCTTGCTCGACAGATGCGGCTGTAGCTTTGGAGCAGCTTCATGAAATTGACCCCCAAGAAAAGGTGATTGTATTTGTCACGGAGATGCTCACTCCCTTCATTCGTCGAATGAACGAAAAGGATTTCACTGCTGTTAAAACGATATTTTTTAAGGCCGAAGGCATCGTGTGGGTAACACGGTAACACGGGGGTCAGATATCAATAGTGAGTTTCCAGACCATGCCTTGCATGCTGGAATGCTTCGGACGTGTCGTGCAGATAATAGCAGTAAACGATACATCTTGCTGGATCTGGACCATAATGAAGAGCCTTGGACGTTGTCGAGCATCGAAGCTATTGGGCGCGCTGTGCAAGCAGCTTTCAGCCAAGGCACATCATCTGCTTCGCATGATTCCGAATATGCGGTACGAAATGGCACATTTCTCGTTCCACGAGTCGGGTATGATTCAACTACGAGTGAGGTAGTGAAGCTATCACAAAGGTCTTCTGGCGCAGAGCTGCAGCCATTTTTGCAAACTGAACGATCTCTTCGGCTCTTTATTCAGACCCCAGGGTTGCTGGACAGTCTGGTCTTCAAGGATGACCCCGAAGCACAAGAACCATTGCCCGAGAGTTATGTGGAGATTGAACCCCGTGCTTTCGGCCTCAACTTTCGTGGTATCATGGTGGGCATGGGCCAGATGGAGGAGCCTCAGATGGGCTTGGAGTGTGCAGGTGTCGTCAAGCGGGCGCAGGGGAGCGCAGCCATTCACTTCAAGGCGGGTGATCGAGTATGTGCTCTTACTGGTCACGGCCACTGGGCGAGTAGTACGCGTGTACCTTGGACATCTGCAGCTCGCATCCCCGACCAGATGGGCTTTGACATTGCAGCCTCCATTCCCATGGTTTTCGTTACCGCATACTACTGTTTGTTTGAATGCGCACATTTAGAGCCAGGGGAGAAGGTTCTAATCCATGCCGCCTCGGGAGGTGTCGGCCAGGCCGCCATCGTGCTGGCGCAATGGAAACAAGCGACTATTTTCGCTTCAGTCAGCACCCCGGAAAAGAAGCAGTTCCTAATGGACACTTACCAGATCCCCGAGGATCACATCTTCTCCAGCCGTGATCCTTCGTTCGCTCGGCACGTCAAGGCGGCCACTATGGATGGCAGGGGAGTGGACGGTGTGCTGAATTCTTTGGCTGGCGAATTGCTGGACGAGACCTGGCATTGTTTGGCACCGTACGGACGCTTCTTGGAGATCGGGAAGAAGGACATCCAGTCCAACAAGCATCTAGAGATGCGACTTTTCAACACGCAGTGACCTTCGCTTCCTTCGATCTGGTCCAGCTGAGTGACTATCGAGGCCCAGTCCTGTTCCGAGTCCTCAATGCCGCGGTGGGCCTTCTCGATCAAACAGCCATATCTCACATCAGTCACATTACTACCTACTCGATCTCCGACCTCGGACGAGCGTTCAGACAGATGCAAGCAGGCAGGCGCATTGGGAAGATCATCGTGGTTCCACGTCAAAGTGACAAAGTCATGGTAAAGCAAACAGCAATTCCTCCCGAGTTTTAGCATTCACTAATAATTCGTTTTGTCTCCAGGTTTCCGTTGGTCACAGGCCGGTGAGGCTCTCCTCTGAAGTTACTACTTGGTTACCGGAGGTTGGGAGGTATTGGACGGTCAATTGCTCGCTGGCTGGTCGAGCACGGGGCGCAGCATCTGATTCTAATGTCACGCAGTTCGGCGTCAATCCCGGAGTCTCAGACCTTTATTGATGAGCCCCAGGCTGCAGGGTGCGATGCTGTAGCGGTAAACTGCGATGTATCGCGATCTATAAGCCTGGGGCAGGCCTTGTCCGAGTGGCAGGAGACAATGCCGCCCATCCGAGGCGTGATCCAAGCGGCGATGAATCTCCAGGACTCGGTCCTCGAACAGATGTCATTCACACAGTGGTCCAACAGCATCGCCGCCAAGGCACATGCTACGCGCAATCTTCACGAGTTCTTTGGGGATCGCCTAGACTTCTTCACCATGTTGTCCTCTATCGTTGGGGTGGTTGGGAACGCTAGTCAATCTAATTACGGAGCCGGGGGATCATATCAAGACGCACTCGCGCGTCCTCGCGCCGCGCAAGGCCTGCCCGGTGTCGCCCTCGATCTGGGAATGGTCCAGTCGGTGGGATGGTTGGCGGATAACGAAACCGCGAGGGAACGGCTCCTCCGCCAGGGATATCGGCCCCTGGAAGAGGAGGAAGTCCTTCAACTTGTCGAGAGCGCTATTCGTGACCCGGTACGTTCACCGAGAACTAGTCAGGTTATGACCGGCATTGCCGACTTCACACCCGAAGCTGCCACCTCTGGTTGGAGACAAGATTCACGGTTTGGTGGTCTCCAGGTGCGTGCTGGGGCCCTGGGGGAGCCGATGGCGGTGTTACCGGTCGATCAGTAACACCATCGACACGTCGCTTCCTCAAGGATGCAAGTGCGGAGGCTGCATCAGCAGATGCAATTCCTCCGCTCATTACGCAGGCGGTTGTCGAAAAAGTGTCGGCGATGTTCAGCATGCCTGTTTCCGAGATCGACCCTTGCATGCCATTGTCGCGCTATGGGGTTGATTCCTTAGTGGCCGTAGAACTGCGCAATTGGCTGGTCGCTCAGTCAGGGTGCGAAATTTCAATTTTTGATGTCATGGGAAGCACTTCCATGTCTGCTTTGGCGGAGAAAATCTCTGAGCGTGTGCAATACTAGCTGCGACACAAGATCCAAGTCCCTGCCAGTGCCTCATTCAAGTTGTTCTTAATCAGTAACTCCGTGTTGTTGCCATCCGAACTGGCAACACCATCCTTCAAGTTCCAGTATCAACAATTCAACGCTGTTGAAAGTTCCTTAAGCCGTGTTAAGCTTAGATATAGTATTTGTGTGTTGAATATTCTATCAACCAATTCGGAACTATTCATCAATTGTGCCTAGCAATTTTTAATCTATTGCAAACTGAAAATCAGCATTAACTACTTGCGTAGAAACACCAAGTGTATACATGTAGATGGATCCACGAACTTGAAACACTGGCATTTGAAGTATCATACCAGATACTCCTAGTACCTGGTAACTGTGCACTAGCAGACGTCACGGTGCAGTTTGAATATTTTGGCCCGTGGTAGCATCATGATTTCATTATACAAACACCTGGGCAGACTACCTTGGAAGTTTCCACATCATGACTCGGATGAACATTTGAATATACATTAGACGATAGTGGTGGCCTGTCTAGTCAAATCCCTTAAACTCAACATCACCGCCCGCATCTTTTGACTCAGCCGCAGCAGCTTTCCTAGCCAGCCGTTCCTCTTCATTCATTGCCCGAATAGACTCCACCATCCGTTCTGTCTCACGAGCCTTCTCCTTATCAGCCTCAGGCAATTGCTCCCATCTCTCCTGCTCCTTGCGTGCCTGCTTAAACTCCTTCCGCTTAAGCTTCTTCTCTCTCTCCTCTTGATTCTGGCTCCAAGCCACTGGCTCATCTGCACGACGCTTCCGTGACTCCTGCTTAGTGCCCTCTCCAGCTGCATTCTCCGCTATCACCTCCTTGCGACGCTTCTCTCGCTGCTTATCCTTGTAAGCATAGTTATCCCAGTCATTGCTCACGCCCAGTGACTTATCACCAGTGAAACTCCGCAGTTCAGGCATTTTGGGTAGTCGGAGAAGTCCCCATGCTTTGCCCAAGGCTTCCCAGTCAAGATCTGACACACGGAAGATACTGCTTGCTTGATGCTTGCTGTAGCTGCGAAGCCAGCTGACAAAAGCCTTCTGAGCCTTATCGTGAATAGCACGGTCCTTCAAAGTCACGGCGCGGACAGCTTGAGTAGCCACGGCTGCATCCACGTCCGAACTTGGAGTTGGAAGATTGAAATGTGCCACTGGGGTCTTTCGCACTTCTAAGAATGAGACATAGTCTTCTTCTCGTCCTGGGTGTAAAAGCACGATACTAAGACCCTTTCGACCAGCGCGACCTGCTCTGCCGCAGCGGTGAATAAAGGTTTTAGGGTCTGAGGGTGGATCAATCTGAACAACTAGGTCGACGGATGGGATATCCAGACCACGAGAGGCGACATCGGTAGTAAGGAGAATTGAGGGGGTGGTGGATGTGGTGAAGCGAATAAAGTTCTTTTGGCGGACATTGGCAGGGTGTTTGCCATGCAGGGGGACGAGGAGGAATTCATCTCCTAGTATAATTGGAAGAATCATGGCCAAGTAATCGACACTGGAGCATGTTGATACGAAAAAGATGGTTTTCTGTGGCGTTGGCTGCACGGATAACAAGATTTGCTTCAGGATGGAGAATTTATGAGCTGGGGGTGTTGTAAGATAAGTCATCTGTAGACTATTTTAAAGTTAGTAAAATGCAGTATGAGAAGAACCGTTATCAGGAAAACCAACCTCGCAGGAGTGCGCTTGTCTTCTGCTCCAGCTCCTCCCTTAACCTTGACGGCTACCTTAACTGGGTTACGCAGTCCCACGCGGACAATTTGATCCACGGCTTCACTGATACTGGCACTGAATAGACCTGTCCTCCTCTGTTTGGGTAGATGGCGGAGAATCCTCTGGAGATCGTCCTTGAATCCAAGATCCAGCAATCTATCGGCCTCGTCGAGAACAAGCATTTCGAAGGAAGACTGCGGGCAGTGCACATGAGGGGAGGAAAGGAGCTCCAACAATCTTCCTGGAGTGCAAACCAGAACGTTCGGTGATTTCTTGAGGAAAGTGCTAAGATCCTCTGCGGGCGATGTAGTTCCACCGAGAAGGAGCTGTGGGACGACCTTTAGGGTTGAGGCGGAGGCCTTTGGGCGCGGTGCGTCGTCTTCTTGGGGATGGATCGCTGCAGCGGATGCTGGATGGAATTCTAGTAAAGACAAGAGGACTTGGTAAATTTGCGAGGCCAATTCTCTGTGAATACATGTTAGTAATATGTATCTATGAGTAGTTCGTGCAACTTAACGTACCTAGTAGGAGAAATGATAATAGCGCCGACATGGTGCTTCTTGAGAGGTTCGTCAAGGCGCAATAGTTTCTCTACCACCGGGATCAAGAAGGAGAGTGTCTTTCCACTTCCAGTGACTGCTTCCACAACCACATCTTTATGCGCCATGAAAAGCGGAATTGCGGAGGCCTGGACTGGGGTCATTCGAGCAAAGCCCATCGAGGCCACGGCATCCAAGGTCCATTGTGAAAGGCTGGGATTAATACCATCCCATGCCCTCGAGAATGAAGGAGGTTTAGGCGGCATGACTCTCCACTTGGATTTAAGAACAATCTTGAATCTTATATGAATGTTTTTTTTCCCTTGAATCGCAAATCGCAAATCGCGAAAAGAAAAAAAGCTGGGCGGCTTATCGATTAGCTATCGCCACGTGATTGACGGCATTGGGCGGATCGCGATCTACTTTTTCCCTTTTCTATACATTGCCTAACTCAGCCCTGGCAGTTTAGTTCAAGTTTTGTATCTCTTTATATATAGGTACTATGCACTGCGCCCATACTTGCCTCTCCTACCATCTGTTCCAAAGTCAATAAGAGCTCCGGACTCGACCACTGCCCATCATTGAGTCATTAGCAAGACCCTTAATACCTTACGGCAACCTTGCCCAAGACAGCGCAAACCCCTGTGCGCGGCCCTTATTTGGCCTCATTCGGACCCCAATACTCCCACCCTTTGCTGTCCGACTATCCACCATGCCATCCACTCCTAGTACAATCCCAGAGACAAGAGTCATATCTCCGTCACCTTCCCTGACCGATTCATCTGACGCACGTGATGGCTACTTTGCGCCGACAACTCGATCCGCAGCGCGCCGGCAACAGCTTTCAGGGGTTGCTGAGGAGGGTTCTGGCTCAGGGAGATCAAGAGGCTCCCCTGATGAAACCCCTTCAAGAAGTTCCACGCGACGTCGTCCACCTCGTCGATCCAACCCCATGATTCCAGCTTCACCGCCGGCCGCCAACGGCAGCACATCCAACGGCTTCCTTTCACCTACATCGAAAGTTTCCAATGCTTTCCGTGACCTCTCTCGATCGCCGTCACCCCTCGGTCTTATACCTTTACATACACGCTACCGTAGCTTCATCCACCGTCATGAGATTCCTCGAAAGGTCCTGCACGTGTCCATTGGGTTCGTGACCCTCCACCTCTACAGCCGAGGTATTCAAGCTACTCAGATTACGCCGGTACTTTTCACCGCCCTTGTCCCCATCGCAGTGACCGACATCGTGCGACATCGTTTTGAGAAAGTCAATAAATTTTACATCCGCTGCGTGGGTGCGCTCATGCGTGAGACCGAGGTTTCGGGATATAACGGTGTGATATGGTACTTGCTCGGCGCATATATCGTTTTACGTTTCTTCCCCAAGGACATCGGAGTCATGGGCGTTCTCTTGCTCAGCTGGTGTGATACAGCGGCATCCACCTTCGGCCGTCTATATGGTCGCTACACCCCTCGTCTCAGACAAGGCAAGAGTCTGGCTGGCACCATGGCTGCTTGGTTGGTCGGCGTTGCCACTGCCGCTGCTTTCTGGGGATGGTTTGTTCCTCATATGGGTGCATTCCCTAATGACCCCGAAGGCTCATTCATGTTTACCGGCCAGTTGAGCTTGCTCCCAGACTCTGTACGGGGTCTCCTGGGCTGGGAGGCTGCCAGTGATGCTGCCACCACTATCACCGGTCCATTGGCTCTTGGAGTTATGAGCGTTGTCACTGGTTTCATCGCTGCTGGCAGCGAGTTCATTGATCTATTCAGTTGGGACGATAACTTCACAATCCCAGTCCTGAGTGGACTCGGGCTATGCGGTTTCCTGAAGGTTTTCGGTTAAATATATTTCGACATTTCTTGTGTCTTCGCGTACAGCACGTTTTTACATACACATCCCTACTCATACCTCTCTGTTTGCTTTTTAATGACGTTTAGATGACCGGATGTTCTTCTGCTTTCTTACGCGTGGCATTGCATCAGATCTGGGTTCTGGCATAGACAGGGCGCATAAATCGCTTCTCCAGCCAATTTTCTTCGTTCCCCTATGATTTCTCGGGCGTTTCATGTAGCTCCTGCTTATTTTGGCAAGTTTCCTCCGAAATAACACAGTTGAAGCTGCAGTCTACCCCTGTTAGTGATGAATATTTACTCCTGCTTGAAGTTACTGTGCATCTTGAATGTGCACATTGCTGAATCCACACTAATTCCTACTACGTATGGCACCATCCTAAGGTACTTTCAAATATTTCAATGATTAGACTCTCAGGCTTTTAAAAACATTGAATTGCCAGTGGTATTCATCCGTTCAGCTACTACTATTAACACTCGTGGAAGTTTTGAATCGTTATCATTTCATGTCATAAGAAGCTAAAAAAAACCAACGCCCGCCAATGCTTGATCAAATTGCCAGCTCAAATTCAATGAGAATATGTATAATCCGATGTTTGTCCTTTCTGAACGCCAATCCTTCTGTCAATCAATCCAAATGTTGAAACCAATGCAAGCTTTGAGAAAAAAAAAATCAAGTCATATCAACAATGCTGACTTGGGAAAAACGTTTCTTTCTTGCTTTGCTCTTTGGATTAGGTTCCGTAATTGCGTCTATACGACCATGGGACCCTGAATTCATTTCAAGCGAGTCCGAACCAGCAGGTTCGTCAATTGACCAGAAACCATTATATGTTGAGATATTTTCAAGGTGCCCAGATGTTTGCCTGGAGCCTGATTTTTGTGTCTTTTTGACTGCTTTGAGCTTGTCGGTAGCTTCCTCACTCTTCTTCACGCAAGAGGTTCTGCTTGTTGGTGCGGGTTTCTCTGACGAGTCCTTCTTGTCCTGTTGTGCTGATAATGACAAGGCAGACACAGCCTTCTCTAAATCCACAACTTCACGGGGGGGTTTCCTCGATATCGATAGGTTTTGTTGCCTTCTTCGCTTTGTCGTAGGCCTGCTTTTTGGGCGATGATGCTGTTAAGTTCCGCGCAGTGACCTTTGCATCCGAGGTCTTAGAAGTGGAGACCGAATAGCTTATCTTGAGCCCCTTTGAGAGCGGGGAGTCCAATTGATCCAATGGATGAAAGATGCGGAAGCCGGGGTCATCAATATCAGCTTCCCCAGTGGCAGAAATTCGAGTCCGAACTGGGGCTGGGGTTTGTCCTGCCAGAGGATGTCGTTTAATCTTTGGCGGTGATGTGGTAACTAAGGAGGAGAATGAGTCAATGAGATCATCAACATCATGGGAGGCGTCGTACGTTTGCTGTTGGGAATACATGCGGGGAGGGAAATCAGTCTCCAAGTCGATGCTTTCCGCAAATGAAGGTGGCGTCTTGAATCCAGGTGATTCCTTGGCCGAGACCACTGACGATTGCGAGGATGCTGCTACAAGCATATGCTTCTTGTTGGACTGCGAAAGCTCGGATTTATCCTTGGTCATGGTTCCATATTTCAGGATACTACCATGCTTCATATTCGGGTCAATAGGCCCCTTCTTTCTGGGGCCTGTGCGGCGTGTAGTTGGCTTTTTAGGCTTAGACGCAGCCTTGCTGGCCTTTGCTGCCTCCTTTGCGGCTTGTTCGTCATTCCAGGCCTTCACAACATCAGGGACACCGAGTTTGGCAACTGTCTCGAAAACCCAGATCTTAACAATCCCAAGGGGGTCATATCGGTTTCTCGCGGGGGTCTTTGAAGGCGTTGAAGGGGGTTCACCAACTGCGATTTCGGGATCATCTTCATCATCCTCTTCAAGCACCTCTTCCGAAGGACCGGTCTCTTGGACTGGAGGGAGAGGGGTCGGTTCTTCGGCGAGCAAATCAATGCCAACCACATCGATCGGCAGCATATCCGTCTGTAGCTCAGTCATACCATCAGTACCAAAAGTGGCTCGACTTCGATAAATCTTCTGAAGCCAAGGGTCATCACAGTCAGGAGCCAATGTGTTGCCACTTGAGAGCCCTGAGACAGGCCGTTGGAGACGGAGCCTGTAAGAAACTAGAGGCTCAGCCAAATGTTTGATAATCTTCCTGGCACCCGAACGATAATTCCATTCGAAATGCTCGGCTGCATAGGTCCTAATGGCGAAGGTATCAATTTCTCTATCCCAGGCTTGTCTCAGACGACGCCTGAGAATAGACATTTCCTCCTCGGTGGAGACTTTTGGCTCAGCATAATACTCGAGAATTTGTCGATCGGGGAAGTCCTCGGGGATCCGAACTGCCTTGTGCTTTGTCGTGAAGTAGCCGCTCTCGTTTTCATCCAGTTCGTATTGCAGTCGCTCGCGCCATTCACCAATACGTGTCTGGATATCTGGAGAATTAGAAGCAAGCTCTTGGAGCAGATCTTCACCAAAGCTTGCTTGGGCAATCTCCTTTGCTAGTTTAGCCCCACACTTTGGGACGCCTCCGGGCAGATAATCACCTCCGCTAAGCATGGCGAATAAAATCATACCTGCCCGGCCTAGAGGCACGTTCGAGACAAGATCCCCAGTTCCAATGCGATAGCAGGTGACATGGGTTGCAGCAGTAGTACCAGTGCCCTTTTCCTTCGAGAAGTTCATGATGGTCCACGTTGAACCAAACATGAGCGTATCAGCATCGTTGCTCATCACTGCATCTACGATCCCAGCCTGCTGCAGTCTTGCGCATTCGGCCTCAGCCTCGCCAGGGGCCTCATGCCATGGAAATTGGAAACGTTCAATTAAATCCTTTGAGCGCTGGATGATTGGCGCATTGCCATAACTGCGCGCCGAGACTGCCTTCCCCCTTTTGAAGGGAGGTTTATGGCGACCATCGTAAACGAAAAGTGGGTGAACCGGCAATGCGAGGAGCTTAAGAAGTCGAAAGAACAATGTACGTAGTTCTGGATTCTTTCCGCCACGGCCAGCTTGAACCTGGAATAACCAAATAGAGATATCAACTGCGACTCGGATCGGCCTTGCTGTACGCTCCAAGTGAGAGACTGCTAATTTCGAAAGGGAGACTCGATCGCCTTTGCCAAGGGCATTGATGAGACTAGGATATCCATGTATCAGCGAACCCCGCTCTTCAAGATATGATAAGTGCACTTCGGCGGGTTGCTAAGTGACAGTTGAAGAGATCGCAGTAAAACGACAGACATACCCTGGGATACCCATCCGGTCGGTATTGACATTGAATATTCACCAATTCTGCATGGTCATAAGAATATGTAGTTAGCCATGTGGCGTTGGGGATGATTATTGTAGCTGCAGTTGCAAGCACTTGAGTTGTTGACGAGTAAATAAACCACGGCCCGATGTAGATCCGTTTACGACACAGCTGCTTCCAAACCCGCGTTGTTTGCGCGATGTTTGCGCGATATCGTCACCAGGTTCAATTGGAGCTCCTTCAAAGATATCCCAGCTCTGATTACGTATTTCTCTCATTACCCTTGCTGCTACATTTTGAATACATATTTGCTCATACTCGCTTCGCATGGCGCTGTAAACGCATCGGCGCATTGCATTGCTGAAGCGGGTCCTCTTTCGCCGCGGATTTCGGTTGCCCCGAGGGGTGACACTCCAAAACACACTCACGATTTCGCAATAGCCGACGAAACAACCCAAATCCAACGCACTATTTGCGAAATGTCTACATCTAGCTTGCGGAATTCAGTGGCCCGACCGGGCTCGCCTCATACTCCGCAGCAGCAGCTTCGTTCGGCCAATACCTCCTTCGCTAGCACCACGTCACCGGGCTCAACATTTCGCAACGAAGACGATGCAATCATATTTGAAATTGGCGCCCGCTGGCTCCGAGCTGGATTTGAGGGAAGCAGTGCGCCTGTTTGTGTGGTTGGCCTTGGACCAGAAGAATCCCGGCGGGCAGGGGACTATCGGGGATGGATTGAAGGCGATTCGGGTGCACGACCACCATCTCAGCCTATCAACGCAGAAGATTGGACCCGTGAATATGAGATCTGGAGGTTAGATTTACGTCAAACGGATATCGGCTTGGTGGGAGATAAAATTGAACGTCTATTCCGTGAAACCTATAACCAATATCTGTTGACCGACACAGGGACATCCCGCTTAGTCCTGGTTCTACCTTCTCTTATGCCGCATCCATTATTGTCATCGCTTCTCTCAACACTCTTCAGCCGATGGCGTTTCCCTACTATTACTCTTTTACCCAGCGCCCCTATGTCAGCGACTGCTGCGGGATTGCGATCAGCGCTAGTGGTGGATCTTGGATGGGCGGAGACTACTACGACTGGACTCTATGAATATAGAGAGGTCACAACAAATAGAAGTACGAGAGCGATGAAAGCGGTTGTGCAGCAAATGGGTCGACTTCTCAGTAGTCTCGCTTTGCAAGATAGCCAAGAGGAGGTTTTATTAGAAGATATCTCCGTGGGATTCAAATACTGCGAGGAGGTAACCTGTCGACTTGCTTGGTGTCATCCAGATACAGAGACGGAAGACACCGAAGAGCAATCCTCGTCTGTCTCAATACCGCCTCCAGGGAATCCTGAGCAGGAATTTATTGAGGTCCCATTTTCCCGATTTGCAGAACCCGTCGAGAAAGTCCTCCTTGCTCCAGATATCTCCGAGCACGATCTTGACGATGAAGAGAAATCCATACCTCTTCTAGTCTACAAGACCCTTCTCGACCTACCTCCCGATGCACGCGGAACATGTATGGCACGCATCGTGTTCGTTGGTGGTGGAGCTCGGATTCCTGGCTTGCGGCAGCGGATTCTTAAAGAGGTCTCAAAGTTGGTTGAGCGATATGGATGGAGTCCGATTCGAGGAAAAGCCGTAGAGCGACAACGTGAGCGTTTAGCGGAGCTGAGGATCTCGACTCAACCGAACGGCGAGAAGTCACCTGTGAAGGCCACAGCCACAACGGCCTCTCCTGATGATGAGAAGTCAGATCCATCAAAGGAGGTACCAGAAATCGATTTTGTGGAGCAAAAGTTGCGTCGTCAAAACAAAGATACGCCAATTCCTATCCAGGGAGTCTTGCGCGAAGTCGAGTCTCTCGGGGCTTGGGCTGGTGCAAGTCTAACAACTAGCTTGAAGATCCGAGGAATGGTGGAAATTGAGCGTGAGAAATTCTTGCAGCATGGGCTAGCTGGTGGTACCCGGGATTCGGAACATCCTGTGCCTGATCGTCGATCAGGGCTGAGAGCAGGTGATCGCTCGAGCTGGACTCTAGCAGGATGGGCATAATAGAAGTCTGTACATTTACTTGTTTGACATATAATAGATACCCATTTCGCCTATACCCGATGCCCGGTAAGCTGCATCACCTTGGTAGCTTCTTTCCATGTTCTCGAGTTTCATAGAACAAGGCTCAAATCCTAGCAAGCTCTAACATTGAATCCTTGAACTTATGGTGACTCCAAGTCGGTGCCCGCTCTTATTCCCTTCTCGAGCTTAGCTATACTCCAACCGTTACTTGGTTCCACTTTCATACTTGAATCTGGTTTATCCCAGCTTTGGCGTCTGGTTTCTCCAAATTCTTTCTAGGATTGCGAATACTCCCGTCTGAGTGCCGCGTAAGTCCGTTCTCCCCCCAATCCTGAATCCCCCTCTGTTTAATTCCAGCATGAAGGCACAGCTGTATGGCTAGAATATTGTGAGATAGAGATGAAAGTGTGTTGTTTGTCTCAATCTATGCTAGTGCTAGTCACCTGTTGCTAGGTATAAAAATACCTCTCGATTCTCATCTTCCTTCAAGTTATTCCTTTTTCTATTCATCATTCTTCCCCTTCTCTCATCACCAAAAAATAACATTTGAATTCTCAACTTCAAAATACTTTGTCATCCTCCTTTCTCTTAGCAAAGCTACCCCCGTCATGGCTGAGCTGAGGGCCCCACTGCCAACTGAGCTTGGCCGTCTGCGCATCCTTTCACCCACTGCCGGTGTGCGTGTTTCTCCATTGCAACTGGGGGGGCATGTCTCTTGGCAATGCAGATGGTTGGGCTGATCGTATGGGCTTTATGAATAAGGATTCCGTATTTGACCTCCTGGATCACTACTATGAAGCTGGTGGGAACTTCATTGATACCGCCAATACCTACCACAGCGAGCAGTCAGAACAGATGATCGGAGAATGGGCTGAGGAACGTCAGAACCGTGACTCACTGGTGTTGGCTACCAAATTTAGTTTGGACTATCGTAGCCATGCTATAGGTAGGGGACCTCGGGCGGCTAATTTTTCGGGCAACTCGCGTCGCTGTATTCATGTTGCTGTGCGTGATTCACTGAAGAAGCTACGTACTGATTACATTGGTGAGTCTCTACTATCAACTATCTGCTGTCGCCAATCTTTCAAGTTGTTGATTTATATAACCGATCTCAGATATCTACTACATTCATTACTGGGATTACACTACATCGATCAAGGAAATCATGGACACTCTTCATATTCTTGTTGAGCAGGGTAAGGTCCTGTATCTAGGAGTTTCGGATACTCCTGCCTGGATTGTGGCTGCCGCCAACACCTATGCTATTGAGAATGGAAAGACTCCATTTAGTATCTACCAAGGACGTTGGAGTCTTCTGCATCGTGACTTCGAGCGCGACATTATCCCTATGGCCCGTCACTTTGGCATGGCTCTTGCACCGTAAGTGCCCACAAACTTGACTATTGGTTTGAAATTTCGATAACTAACATTGATCATTGCTTGATAGTTGGGCTGTGCTCGGTGGAGGCAAATTCCAATCTCACACCAGGACTGTATCCCGTGATTACCGTCAGGCTTTTCCGTCAAGCCCTGGTATGCCAGTGGGGGGTACTAGAAGTTCTACCGTTCAAAGCGAGGACGAGATCAAGATAAGTGAGGCTTTGGACAAAGTCGCATCTGAGCACGGAGAAAATGTGAAAGGTACGGCAGTTGCATTAGCCTACGTCATGTCCAAGGCCGCGAATGTCTTCCCTGTTGTTGGTGGCCGTTTGGCTGAACATTGGAGCGACAACATTAAAGCCCTCAGCCTCAAACTCACTGACGAGCAAATTAAATATCTCGAAAGTATCAAGCCTTTCGACCTTGGATTTCCGCATAACTTCATTCCAGCAGACCCCAATATCACTGGATCCTCATCCTTGATTGCCAAGACCAGTGAGCTCAAGTTTCCCAACGCCCGGACTTTCACCTCACTGTGATATCAACGGCATGGGAGTTACCCCCAAGACTGGAATATTTCCTTGAGTTCTGATCATCTTCTCTCTATTTGACAACATAAGATTCACTTGAGCCAGAAATGCAACATGATTCTCAAATGTTTGGAATCACACTGATCTTTCTTAATTATAACCTCACGAACTGAAATAGAAATAAGATATTCTGCAGTCATGAAAGTATAGAGCTTCATGTAAAGAAATCTACATCCAACGCCACGGATAGAACGGCCCGTCCCTTTGCCAATATTCTCTTTTCAGTCATTCAGTACCTTTGGCACTAAATTTCCCCTCACCATGAAACGCCGAGATTATGTTGATGCTTATAATTGGCTGAAACTTGAAAAGGATCACCGAACCGCAATTGGATTTGATTTGAGTCCAATGATATTTGAATGTTTGTGACACCTCGCCAATTTCAAGGTGCTTTCCCTTCTCTTTTCATTCATTGGAATTTGCATCAGTCATCATTACCTGTCACTTCCAGAGGTCATCATTAAGACTGGAGATCACGGTGAAATAAGCGCTTGCTACCCTCTCAATCTATTATACCGACTGCTTCCTGCAGCAAATTGTCTTTGAAAATGAGTGCTATCGAAAATTCTCATTCTGTACTCCCTCCGAACGTTGAAGTTCCGGCTTCCTCGTCGACAGTCGATGTGAGAGTAATCGATACGTAAGACAACCCAGGATGAATAGGTTGCGCGTTCCTTCTTCTAACCCGACCATAAATTCTATCAGCAACACACGTCTATATCTAAAGCCAGGAGACTTCTGGGAGCCAATACTGCCAGGATTTGAGGGGACTAACTCCCCAGTATACTGCTTCCTCATCTCCCATGGTGACCGTCACATCGTTTTCGACCTTGGTGTGCGTATTGACTGGGAAAAGGCCCTTCCTCCAAAGATTGTGCAGCTTGTCAAGGCTACTACCACAGTACAAGGCTGCGATAAAGACGTCGCATCTATGCTGGACAAGGATACCAGTGGCCTGAATATTCGCAGTTCCGATATCGAGGCTGTGATATGGTCGCACAACCATTTCGACCACACAGGCGATCCATCCCGATTTCCTTCTCATACAGAACTCGTTGTCGGACCAGGTGTTAAGGGAATCTCATGGCCTGGGTATCCGTCTATTCCAGATCGCTCCGTTCTGGACAGTGATGCTGCCGGTCGCACTGTTCGCGAAATCAATTTCGAAGACTCGGATCTCAAGATCGGTCGCTTTGATGCATTTGATTTCTTTGGTGATGGCTCCTTCTACTTACTCGACGCACCAGGCCATGCTCCTGGACACATTTGTGGTTTGGCGCGCACAACAAGTGATCCACCCACTTTTGTTTTCATGGGAGCCGATGCATGTCACCATGTTGGTGTGCTACGACCTTCGCAGTATCTTCATCTACCTCAGCCTGTACCAATGGCTCAGATTAACAGCTTCGGTGGATGCCCTGGTGATCTCTTAATGCAGCTTGCGTCTTGGAAGAGTGCCGATGAACCCTTCTTTCAGGTGGCATGTGGACCTCTATTCTCTGATCATGATGCAGCTATGATAACCGTCTCTAAAATCCAGGAGCTAGATGGTGATGTTGAGGATAATATTTTTGTTATCCTCACACATGACGATTCATTGAGTGATCATCTCCCACTATTCCCCCAGCGTATAAATGACTGGCTAGCCCAGAACTTGCGGGAAGAGACGCGATGGATCTTCTGCAAATCAATGAAAAATGTTGTACCATTATGATGATTGACGCAGGTCAGGCTTTTTCAATTTTGAGGGCATGCTTCGAATACATATAAACGGCTCCTATCAACTCCGAGTCACACTGGCAGGTTCTCCCGCTTGAATTCTTTCTTTTCCAACATTTGAAATGTTCGTTGTTATTAACGTCGTGAAATTTACTATTGATAGTATATATTTGTCTTATCATTTTATGTTCCATAGGAATGACATCTGAACATCTGGACTTGCCGAGCAGTTGAAGTGTTCAAATGTTTTAATTCTTACATATTTGAAAATCTGTACTAGCTAGGTAGTGGGCCTAAAGAGAGGCTCAGAGAGCTGCACATGTGAGATGCAGGTACTACCAACTTGAATTGGTCACATTTCGAAACCAAATTTCTCATGCTTTCAGGCTATATCTTTTTCTGGCGGAACTGAAAGCACAAATAGCCTATAACTATCGTTTATCATCTAGTGTGGAATGCCAGGGCCTTGGATCAGGGCCCACCTCATATCCCGAGGTTCCCAGATGAGTTGTGCGGGGAAGCTCCATCCGGATTTGAGCACTTGAGCGATTGATAGAACGCGAAATTGAAAAGTCATCAAAACAACAGCATTCTTCTGAATGATACTATCATTAAAAGGAGCAAAATGGCCGATGTACCCACATTTCGCAACCTCTCTTTAGAGAGACATGGGAACGTATTCGTTCTGACCATGCAAAAACCACCGGAAAACCGTTTGAACTCGTGGTATTGTCAGGAGATGATTCGAGCATACCGCACAGTCGAGAAACTTCTAGGACCAGATTCCGATGGTGCAGTTATTACCAGAGGAAATGATGCCAAATTTTGGTGCACTGTGCGCAAAACTATTCAAAATACTAAAAAGCGCCAAGTTACTAATATGTTTACTGCTAGGGATTGGATTTAGATGAATCAGACAACAACCCATTTGCCAATACAGACGGCTTTTATCCTGTATGTATGCTCCTTAAGCTCTTGAGACTTTGACTAACAATCGAGCCAGCTAATTCATACAATTCTCGATTTTCCATTCCCGACAATTGCATTGATAACGGGTCATACCTTCGGTGGAGCCTGCCCTCTCGCACTTGCACACGATTATCGTATCATGAACTCCCAGAGAGGGTTCATATCAATGCCTCCAGTGAATTTGGGATTGCATTTTGACGGCATCGGATCTTTGCCTAGACTCAAACTGCGGCCTCAGATTGCACGCAAGATGCTTCTGGAAGCACACCGATGGACTGCTAGGGAGGCACTCGAGGATGGAATTGTGGATGCCATTGCTGAGCCTGAGCAAATGCTTACTGCTGCGCTAGAGCTTGCAGAGAAGCGGGCACCTAAGGCGAAGATGGGGTATGCTCTAATCCCCCATTAGTGGATTGATGGTCTCAGGCTAACGGGAATCTCTAGTGTTTATGCTTTGTTGCGACAAGAGCTGTGGGGTGAGGCTATTAAGAAGTTTCAGCGGATAAGCTATGTGCATAGTCGAGTTACCTCTGCGCCTGCTAAGGTGAAGATTTGAGCTGGATGAAAGAATCAACTTCGATTGCGACTAAATATCTTGTCATTCCAACGCCTGGGCTCCGTTCAAGTTGATGATGGCTAATAGAGAAGTGGCACAATTTATGAGGATGAGGAAACCGAGTCAACAGTTGGCTAAAATTGCAGATATCATTAAAAACCTTGCACATGTGAAAATGTCAAATTTAGTGAGATGTAAAGGTATGGAGATGATTGATGGCCCCCAATCTCAATACTAAGCGGAAGAGCTTGAAATGGATATACTCCGGACCCTTGACTCTCAAGACAGTTCAAGACTAGTAATAATCTAGGAATAATCTATCAAATGGATCTCTTACATCATTTCATCCTTTTTCTTTGGAATTCAAACTTCAGCTAAAAAAGCAATTGCTCATTTCCTCCAATTGACAACAGAGATGAAGCTGAGTCAGTGATCGACACGGAGGATTTCCACATTTTTATGAATTTTAGGTGGAGACCATCAATATTAAGGGACATTCCTCACTTTTCTCTCTTTTCTCCCACCGGAGTTTTGCCTCTCGCTTTGTTGTGGGCGTTGCATCCCTGGAAGAAAGGTCACATCTGACTCGTTTTCCTTGTAGGCTTACAGCTCTTAAGGATCCACCTTGTAATCTAGCCCGCCTTGTTTACCCCGTGGGCTCGGATCTTTCCCCTCATCACTCCGCTCGCACTCCAATGGTTGGTCCAGATCCCCTCACGTTACTGCTTTCGGATAATTCGTGATCTATCGATCCTATACCCCGGGTTTTTTGCTGTACCCCTAGCGTCGGCCCATGCGCGAGCCGAATTGGGCGTTGTTTGCGGTGGTAGGAGCTTAGCTCTTAACATAAAATGACCATTCCCCTCACTTGCTTCCGTTCTCTGTTCTGCCCTGCACGCTTCACTCCTAGACTTCTTCTCCTTTACTGTATCCTATTCTTAGCTTTGATAGCTACATTGAGTATCAGGATGCATTTCAAATCTTACGTCGCAGCTGCCGTCTATGGGCTACCTGCCCTGGCAAACGCCATTCCGCATGCCACCGCGAGCGAGAGCTCAAGCAGCGCTACTCCAACTGGAGTAGACGCTGCTCACTTCAAGGAGTACACCATTGAAGCAGAAAACATCACCGTGACCATCATTCCTTACGGAGCGCGTTTGACTTCTGTCTTGGTTCCAGACCGCGACGGCAACGTGCAGGATGTTTTGGTCGGTTACGATAACCCTCTCGAGTACCTACACGACAGCGAGACTAACCACACCTATTTCGGTGCCGTCGTCGGCCGTTATGCCAACCGTATCAAGAATGGTACTTTCACCATTGACAACAGCACATACCACATTCCCGAGAATGAACACGGTGGTCTGGACACCCTTCACGGAGGCTTCGTTGGCTACGATCAGCGGAATTGGACACTTACTGCCCAGGATACCTCCTCCATCACCTTCACTCTCTTTGATGAAGCCTACCAGGGTTTCCCTGGTGATGTGATCTCACACGCTCAGTTCAGTGTCTCCACCGAGAAGTCACCGGAGAACCCCAAGGGCTTGCCTCAGCTCACCACCAAGCTCGTGTCATTGGCTCTCACCAAGAAGACCCCCATCATGCTTGCCAACCACCTTTACTGGAACCTGAACGCATTCAAGGATGAGACAATCCTTGACAACACCTACTTGCAGATGCCTCTCTCGGGCCGCTTCATTGGAGCCGACTCTCTTGAAGTCCCCACTGGCGAAATCCTTGATGTTGACACTGCCTATGAGGGTGCCCTGAACTTCCTGGAGCCCAAGCTTATCGGTCAGGATATCAACAAGACCGAGGAACTCTGCGGTACTGGCTGCACTGGCTATGATACTTGCTGGATCATCGACCGCCCATCTTCCTGGGGTGCTGACGACGCGATGGTCTCCTCAATATCTCTGGCCTCCGACACCACCGGTATCAGTCTGGATGTCGCCACCAATCAGGCCGCTCTGCAGATCTACACTTGCAACGGCCAAAACGGCACCATTCCAACCAAGGCTTCGCAAGCTAAGCGTAACCTGGAGCAGGATGGAAGCGCCGGAGCTGGTTACGTCAACAAGTACGGCTGCATTGTCATTGAGACCGAGGACTGGATCGACGGTATCAACCAGCCCCAGTGGGGCCGTGACGAGTACCAGATCTTTGGCCCTGATGATGCTCCTGCTGTCAACTGGGCTACTTACCAGTTCGGCACTTACTAAAGGCCTTGATTTCTCTCTTGCTGCTTAATGCATATTTGCATCGATACCATAATTTTGCGTTATTTCGTTTATGACTTGAGCTGTCCTCAATTAGAGTGCTCCGTAAATTTTGGGAGGTCTGCTTGTGTACATAAACAAAGAATATATGCCCTTGTCAACTAATTCCCCACCTACATTAAGTCAGTATTCCATTCAATTGTAGAAACTGCATGCGCGATCGATTTTATACTAAAGTTCCGAATTACTCGTCGAGATCCTACAGTCTAGACAAAATGCCAGCTCCATCATCGCCAGACCCTTTAATGATCTCATCTTCCCAGTAATTCGGATTGAAAGTCATCCGATTTAACGGATTCAATCGATGAGCCCTGTTGTAAAGATCCTCATACACCCGTCCATCATACCTCCCCAATGCACTGTTGAGATTCAATAACATTAGATCTTTATCGGTGTTTCGCAATGCTGGAAATTTAACTTACCTGTCTAACAAGTAATCGGGAATCATCCATGAGTCCACCAGCTTCACAGAATGTGGTCGAATTTTCCTCATTAGATCCTCAATCCGGGCTGGAATAAGATCGATAACTGATTGAGAGACGGCACCGCAACGCAAGACTGAAGAAGTTAGTTTAAGTAACTTGGGAGACAGGTATTGATTCTAGAACGCACATTCATATGCTTCATTTTCCATAGTATAAAGCGCGAAGAGACGATATAAGTCCAACAGAATATCCTTGAGGGAAGGCGAGAGAGTAGTATCCGTCCACAAGGCCTCAAAGAACTTTCCAACAACAATCGATTGGGATTGAGCTTTAGCCTGCGTCAACTGCCGTCGTATCACTTAATTTCATTCCATAACTTACCCTTGCTCAGCTTGTGAAGCTGAATAAGAAGGCTATTCCAGCTTCTCTTCTTAAGGATTCGTTGTTCATATGCATTATATGCCTTAATTATCAGTATCACGGCCTTGAAAATCTCAGTAGTGTTTGAACTCAACATACAAGGGTGGTCGCACGTAGCTCAAAGCTTTTCACTATTTCCTCGTCGCTCTCTAACACCAGATACCCTGATGAGGGAGAATTCTCCCCAGCTCGCTTTCCTCGAACATACTCCTTGAATCGAACCTCGACCTCATAATTGCTGGGAGAGTCAGTCGCTTTCACAGCAGAAGCCATTTTCTTGATAAGCCAAGAGGCCAATTGCTGTGTAATCATCCAGTCATCTCCTTCGACTGTAGGCTTAGACAAATAATCATTGTTAAGCTCGATAAGTCCACTCCCACCTCCGAAGCCATGTCCACCCAATGCACGGCGACAAGTCTCAATCCCATCCGCAGCGAGCATAGTACATAGACTTTTCAGACCAGAGGACATACTGTGCATATATGCCAAAGAATCGAAATTCCCTCGCTCAATATCCTGGCGCGCATTCTCGTAGATATTCCGCATAGCTAGACCGGTGTAGTGTAGCGCAAAGGTGGTTGCGAGTAAAGGCAGGATGCGAATTTGAACAGTGGGGTAATCGAGTACAGATAATTCGGGTCCACTTCCATCACTATCTCGGTCTTTGAACTGTCTTCGGATTGCTGTGTACCGTACGGCTACCGTTACAGCGCGTGCGAGGACTAGTCTGGCGTGATGGACTATTTGCGCTCGAACGTATGTTAAGGATCCGTAGACTGTCGCTGGTTGCTCTGGTTTCGTATATATCCCTGTGTCCGGATCAACACTGGAATATCGTGAGAGCATAGCAGAATGAGGGATACTGAATTTCAGTTAGAGATGCCCATCATAAGATACTTTTCCTGGATACTTACCGGAAATTGTTGAAAAGCATATAAGCATTATCCATCGTGATATAGCCATATTTCGGCCCAATGTCTCCAACAACCACACCATCCAGTGGCAGGTGCGTATCCATATCTCGCACTTGAACAATGAATGGATGTGGACCATGAGACACGCATTGGTCTGGAGCATCGTATTTAGGAAGAAGTAGTTGAGCAACAACAATAGCATAATTCGCAATCCTACCCAAGCTTCCATTCCACCATTTACTAGCCGTGAGCGTGGGACTATGTAGAATGAACTCCTTTGTTGTAGGATCCCAGCGTGCCTCAAGCTCTAATCCACGAACATTACTGCCATGGCCAAGCTCTGTTTGTGCATACGCTCCAATGATCTTCCATGAGTCGATCAATGGCAGCCAATGAGCTCGTTGCGCCTCGCTACCTTGTTCCCGAACAGTGGTGACGAACATCTCCAAGTGAAGAAAGTATGGTGACACATCGCTCACTAGGTATTCGGCCATTTTGTAATCTTCATGACTCCATTGGTGTTTATCGACCAATCGCCGCAGAAGCTTTGCGCGGGCAAGGCCTAGCTTGAATCTTTCAGGTCGAGATAGATTCTGCTGTTTATCTTTTGAGAGAAGGGGCTCGCGTTGCACAATTGGCAGGATTCGAGCTTGTCGTTCGAGAAATCCATCAGCTGAGAGGAGATGGTGCCCCAGCTCTTCGGTTGATATGCTAGATTCTGCTCGCTTGCGTGCAAGAGTTGTAGGTCCATCTGGCTGGCTTGGACGGAGCTTATCGGCGAAGTCAGGCATCTCAATTGGGGTTTCTTCTTTCTCTCTGAAACTGTCTGGATAATTTGAGATGATCTGGTTTATTCTTCATTTATTCCACCTTTATCTCTGCATATCTGACTTAGCGTGGTTCCCCATATTCTGACCCCATACTACCCGAATCACCGAGTGCCGATTGCCGGTATGTCCCACGCGGGGAAATCGCGGGGAAGTAGCCGACTTGAGGTTCATTCTGTGATTCAGAAAATGAGGCGGACTAATTCAAACGGGCCATATACTCCCTCTTTACGTTAAATTCTTACAATATTTCATGCTCAGTGTTTCTCACTTGGTGGAGCAGAAAGGACGTTGCTTGACAGTTGCTGAAAACAATGGATGACAGAACACAATTTGTACCATCCCATGTGGGAAGCAATGTTTTCCCTAACTTGCCTTTCTTTCACAAACTTCTACGATATGCCCAACGTAGATCATCTCGAATCTCCATTCGAGACGTGAATGCCGGCTTCGAGAAGACTTTCCATAATGTGCTATCCGATGCATTGGCTCTTCGTAGTGAGCTAGAAAAGAAACTCAGTCCTCAGACGTTGCGAGATTTGGAGCAGGATAATGAAGTTTATATTGCATTGCTCGCCCCAGGTGGCTATGAGTACACCGTGGGTTTCGTCGCCATTCTAGCATTGGGTGCTGCGGTGGTCCCGATGGGTATGTCGACCCATTCCTCACCAAAGTCACCGAAGCTAACACTCAACCATTACACAGCCGCCGGTCTTCCCGTGGAAGAAGCATCATACTTTATTCTCAAGGCACAATGCGTGACTGTATTAGCTGGAACAACCAGCGCGTCCCTTGCCAATTCCATCGTACACAACATGAGCGAAAAGAATAACTTCCAAATTCCCTGCATTTCGCCTATCGCATCCTTCTTCAGTGAAACACCCAGTCCAGCAGAGAATATGCTCATTTCATCAAATCGAGCACTCGATATGAATAATGCTGCCGCAGTGATCTTCACTTCGGGAACAACTGGCCCTCCCAAGGGCGCTGTTCAGCGCCGTACTTGGCTAACAGGCAATGCTGAAACCGATGCGGACTTTTATCGCGTCACAGAAGAAGACGTAATACTTCACGTCTTGCCTGTGCATCATGCATCAGGTTTGGGACTTACGTTCCTTCCTTTCCTTACGGCTGGTGCATGCATAGAATTTCGAAGTGGCGGTTTCGATATAGCGTGGACGTGGGAGCGATGGCGTCAAGGTGGATTAAGCTTCTTTTCAGGTGTCCCAACCATATACATGCGAATGATGCGGTATTTTGAAGAAAATATTGCAACTCAATCCCCGGAGATTCGTGATCAATATATCAAGGGAGCGCGTGATATTCGCACTATGCTCTGTGGTTCATCAGCCTTGCCTGGGCCTGTTCAGGACTTTTGGGAGACACTTCGTGAGAAACCGATGATGACTCGTTATGGTGCTACTGAGTTTGGTGCAGTCATCAAGACTGATCTCCAGACTCACGGAATGCCGAGAAACAGTGTTGGGCGAATTGTTGGTGGCGTCTCTCTAAAGCTTGAAGATGATGGACATCTATTGGTCAAGTGCCCATATATGTTTTCCAAGTTTGTACACTTCTTTGCAACGCAACTTCAACATTCTCTTTAGCTAATATCATCTAGATATCTCAATGATGAAAAAGCGACAGCCGATGCACACGATAAAGATGGCTACTTTAAATCCGGCGACATCGCTCGACAAGAAGGCGATTACTTCTTCATTCTTGGCCGTGCTTCAATCGATATCATCAAATCCGGAGGCTATAAGATTTCCGCTTTGGATATCGAGCGTGAAATTCTGGGCTTGGATTATGTATCCGAAGTGATGGTTGTTGGAGTCGAGGATGCAGAATACGGTCAGCGAGTAGCAGCCAGTATCAGTCTGAAGACAGATCAGAGCACGACTCGCAAGACTCTTTCTTTGTCAGACTTACGAGAGGATCTTCGAAGCAAAATGGCAAGTTACAAGATACCAACTATCTTACGCGTGGTCAAGGGTGAGCTACCCAAGTCTGGGACAGGCAAAGTCCAGAAAAAGATTCTAGGACCGGAACTCTTCCCGTCCAACTATATGGATCTTCTTGAAATTCAAGTTTGGAGCAAAGATAAGAAATCGAAGCTGTAGTAGTAACTGGTCATGTCTAGTCTCTGGACCTACATTCTGAGCGCTACTGATATCATCTGGCCCTCAAATACTTGTCAATTTTTTAGAACTACAGAGAATTATCATATAGAAGTACCGTTCACAAGCATCAAGAGCCATCGTCCTATTTCTTTCCTTTGATCTAACTATTGCACAGTTATAATTGCTGATTAGTAGATATAATGGGAAATCTTCCTCGGGTCCTTTTTCAAGTTGATGGACATCAAATCCGAATATCGCCACTTTGCACCTGCATAACCTCAACGGCACGTCAGAGAAGAGCAGACACATGTGTACTGGTCTACCTATAATCCCATCGTTTTGAACAAGCAATAAGCTTAGGGATTCCTTGAATAACATATTGCAGGACCCAAGGTCAACGTCACGATGGAACTTTCGTGATATCGCATCATACACCCAAGTATGAGCGAGTGCGAATTTGACCGAGCATCGGAAGGAGGATGCGAAGATCTCTTCCGCGATATTGAGACCCAATTTGAGCTATCTGATATTGCCAACGACAAATGGTACCTCACGACCCTCAGCGCCTTAACCACAACTCCGAATCCACACTTGGCTGATCAGCTCTATCTATATCTGATCGGCCAGCCTGCATATTCGACACCCGCAGCGCGTCAAATACTGATCCAACGAATGCGCGAGACCCTTTTCAAGGCCATTGCACTAGTTGGCCTCCCCAAACCGACCGAATCTCTTATCGCCATCAGTCGAGTTGAGCCTGTTGATGAAATGGACCCTTCTTTCACCCGAGAAGGTTGGCAATGTGATGACACCAATCGCACTCGTGGGATGAACTGGCTACATACGATATATGCCCAAAATGTCACAGCGCTATTTGATTTGTTCAGGAGACACCGGGATTGGGGCTTCTGGGTTGGTGAAATTGCCTATGGATTACATCTGTCTGATCGCCAGGTTCTTGACGATGTAGACACCGAATTGGTTGTTTTACCCGCAGTGATGGGCCAGAATCTCCCACGAATGACATATTGGCATATTCGAGGTACTAGAAGAGTTGCGGTTTCCAAAGAGGATGTGAAAATGGTATGTGACTGTGTACATAAAGTGGCACGATTTTGTGGCGTTGAGCTGGATCGAGTTCCTTCGGTTGATACAGTGGAAGCAGACATGTAAATCGATTTTGGGCACAAAATATGTAAAAAGCAAAAATATGATATATAGCCACTTGGTCCGTATCGAACTATTCAAAATTTTACCTCGTATTCATCGGATATTGCAATATATTAAAGTCAACTCATCCAACCTTGGAAGCTTTCGTCCATAGTTATCGCTTATTAAGCCAACGGTCACGTCGGCTGTGGTGACCGCTCGTGCCCGCTTCCGGTGGTTTGTTTATAGCTTGCCCCGCGGTTTTTGCTTAAGATTCATGATTTACTCGATTTGTACAAATTGCTTTTTTTATCCGACCCATTGATTTTCCAATCTGACAACATTCCACGGGTTGCGACTACCTCCACGCCCCCTAGCGGCACGCGTGCCGAGAATTTGTCGCAGCAAGTCCTCCCGCAATGTCAAGCACGTCGCGCAGCCAAACCTCATCCCCCGATATCCTTGGCCCTCCAGGCGATGCCGAGTATTTGATCTCGTCTCCAGTGAAACAATTCTCTGGTCGTCAAAGCTGGATGTCTCCAGCTCTTGTGAAACGCCAACAAACGCCGGCCAAGCGACCGCGCGCGAGCCTTAGCCCCGGAAAAAGCGCGCACTCGATACGTTTCGACGATGTTCTCCTTCCTCGTTCACCGGCGATGAAGCTGGATGGTCGCCATCGCTCAATATCACCGGAAAAGATACTACAGGATGGCAATGTTAGTCCGTGGCGCATTCGTGTTACCCTCGAGGCCACGCAGGATGAAGAGAACCAAGACCAAAACAGCCCTTCGCGAAAACGACGACGACCCTCGACTGTGACAACTATGGTTCCATTGAAGGATGAACGAAGCCCCCTAATGGAGAAAACACCTCCAAGGAAACGTGGTCGACCTCGGAAATCAGATACTCAGCCCCGGAATGGATCACCTTGGCCAGGAAGCCCCGGACATACCCCTGGGCCAAACGAAGCTAGTGGTCAGAAAAGGAAGCCAGGCAGGCCGCGGAAGAGCACACCAAGACCACTGAGGCAGGATTTATTCGATATCGACAATGCGCCATCCCCAGAGCCTCAATCGGAGATGCATATGAGCCCGATGGATATGACTGCAGATGTTGCTGCTGAGCCTGTGCGACAATGGAGTCCCATAAACACCGATGTGTTTGACGAACTCGAAAGCGACTCTTTGGGTGCGGATGATTTACCAGTTGCGGATCTTCGTCCACTTCCTCCGGCCCATAGCCAGACTTGGGATGACAGCAATCGTCGGGAATATGGTAGAGCTACATACGACACGCCTGTCATCGGAGAAACAGAACACCACTTCCAGGACAATGAGGAGAGCATACATTCTACTCCGTCTAAGATGCCATCACCAACACCACGTGAAAGACTGGGCTCATCTACTCGATCCTCTCGGCTCGGTGGTAGCACTTCTTCACCTGGTACCTACCCAACACCCACCCCAACTTCTTCGCTGGTCGAAGGAGAGAATCGAGCTCGGGAGAATAATGAACAGGTTGCATCCCGAGATACTGTACAGCCGCATCCTACCACCGATCCACTAGCCGATCCAACTGAAGATCATGAGGAGTTCGATTCTATAATGGAAAGCGAGGGCTTCACAATGGTCTCATTGGATACCCTTCCTTCTGCTAGGCAATATGGTTTGGGATCCGGAGCCAGGAATGCTACAGATAATGCTGCCAAGATCTTAAGAGACCGAGAAGACGGTCGCATCGGGGACAAGTTGAAGCGTAGACTACCAGGATCTATTCGTGACCTCCGAAGCGATACACATAGCTCTGCGCGACCGAGTCCACTGGCACAGGTTTTCTCTCCTGGACGCGCAAGTCTCTCAAGTCAAAACTTGAACTCATTTGACCAAAGATCCCGGCATTCTGCTGACCTGGTGTCGTATCCCGAACTTCCGGAAACGATGTCACCTGAAAAATCACCAGATCATGAGCCTAGTCCACATGTCCGCGAGGAGCCCGATTATTTCCTAGATGGAGTTGAGGAATCTGGAAGTCGAATCTATGAACAGGAAGAGGAGCAGGAGGAAGAAATTGAGGAGTTGGAGAATGAATATGAAGAGGAAGATGAAGAAGAACCAGCCATGCTGGAATCGCCACAGTTATCAGACAGAAGTCCGCAACAATACAATCCGGCAGATCTCAGACGAACTAGAGAGTCGCAATGGCAAATGGAGCGCGAAATCGTCAGTCGACAAGCAGCAAATCCTGTGAATTCAAACCAGGTCATCTACGTCGAGAGCGATGAAAATACGCCTGAAAGCGAAAACAACGAGAATGAAGATTTATTGGAGGATTTGCCTCATTCGGATGCGCAGCTGAATTACGAAGAACAACAACCATTTGACCAGCATTCTGTTGATGAAGACTATTTCATCGAAGAACGCTTCCATGAACAAAGTCAAGATCGCATGCCGCAGAATTTATCAGATCCATTACATTCTTCTGGCCGAAGGTTTGGGGTAGAACAGGAGCAGGAGCAGGATAATCATCATGAGCATGGGCAGCAGATTCTGGATGATGACGACGATTCTGTTGATATCTGGCAACAGGAACAAAACGATGATCGAGACGACGAGGTTGATTCTCAGCCTGAACCTGAGCCATATCGCTCTGCTTATCGAGAAACCCATGTGCAAGAAGAGATGGGCGTCGGCGAGGAGGAGACGGAGGAAGGATTCGACGACATCTGGCAGCAAGAAGCCCGAGATCATAGTTTCCTCTCTCAGCACTCAGATGATGATGCACCGCCGCCTGTTCAAGAAAGCACTACTCCTTGGAAGAAGATAGGTAGTGCTGCGACGCGTCAGAACAATTTGAGCTCATCTCCAGCCTATGTCGCCATTGAGCATGATGGGACGAAACATTTGGAACAAACCCACATTCAAAAGCTACGTGACCAAGAAGTCGATCTGTCTGCTATTCTGGGCGAGGAGGATACACCTAATCGGGCTCGATATTTCAATGGTAGCAGCACGCCGAAGAGCATTTTGAAACGCCGGATCGCCGCGCCATATTCCTCTATCAATGGATCTGGCGTCAGATCAATCAAGTCAGAGAAACGGGTCCGCCTACAACCTATCTCTCAAAGTCCGGAGCCAGATTTTCATGCTGAAATCAACTCGCCTCCAGTGCATGAGAGCCCTCACGTAGGTTCAGCATCTGGGCGGGTCGATTACAGTGATGCTACCCATAGCCCTGAAGTTCACGATACCCAATCTCTTGGTGAACAATCCGCGATCACTCCAGAGCACACGCGACATGCCCAAGAAGGAGAGCCATCCTCCTGGTTCCGACGAATCACTAGTCTGACCCCTCGGTGGCTTAAGGCTCCGACCAGGTCTCGGTATGATAGCTCCAGCGATATCTCTGAAGACGAGCCGGACGATTATCAGAGTGACCAGGATGAGCCTGGGAACGATGGCTCGGCACACGACATCCGTGAAGATCCTGAGCACGAACCCCTTCGAAGCCCATTGAACGAATATTCTACGGAACAAGTGGACGAATCGGCAGGCGCCCCGTCAATGGGCGAAGGTCACATGTCATTAATCGAGATGGAAGAAGATCAATTCGCTGAGCAAGAAGAATCTGACGACGCCATTGAACCCGAACCTGAAGCTGTGGATCTGGTAGAGAATAGCCATGATAAGCTACAGAAACCGAGACCTCTTGCGGTGTTTGGGTACTTCTCTGATGCTCATTATACACTTCTTCGGCGCGTTTACCGAATGGCAAAGCGACATCCTGAACGTTTCCCATATTTTGATGCGCCGGGTCGTGCTGATATCATCGGCGACTGGATGTGGACCTCAGATGGACATCACGGGGTTCCGATTACGGAAGTACAGTTTGCTGTTATTGATCGATTTGTACATGAACTTTCACACGCGGACATTGAGTACGGAGGAAGTGGACAGGTTGATTGGACTGAGGCTGACCTGCATCGAAGACTAATCAGTGTCATCATTGGTGAACAAATCCGAGAAGAACGGAAGTCTAAGACGGCCCGAGGAATGTCTGTGGATACTTGGCGATGAGCATGGATTACTCCAATTATTGGATCATTCAATGTTGTTTTCACCCCTCATTATGTTTCTTTTTTTTCTATTTTCTTTTTTCTAATCGGCGTATACTTGTTGAACCTTTGGCGGAGTCCGCGGCTTGTTTTTCAATGCGGCTTTGGAATTGCCCATTTATGATTCCCTCATGATTGTTGGATTGGTTGTATGGGAGTAACTGAACTGTTTTTTTTTCTTTTTCCTTTCAAGCGAATATCTCATTCTTGTTTCTATTCACATTATGACGTGATAACTCGGACTCATTGGGTAGGAGTACCTACTTTTACTATTTGTGCTATACAATTGAACAAACACTCATCACATTCAAGTGCACATGTGGATACCTTGGGCTTCCCTGCAAGGATTCTTCTGTTCCCTTATTATAGAATAATATTGATGATGGATAATGCATGTCTACCAGACGAAATCACCCAATTACTAGTAAATCATGCACCTAAGAATCATTCGCCTTGATTTCCAGAACCTAGATAATGGAAGACTAGTACTTGTATATCCTCAATTTCAAATATCGTTGAAATGTCACTATGTACTTGTAGTCTTGAAGGACAAGCCATTCCAGGATCTCTTATACATAGCACCATAATGATACTCGTCAACTGGTAGGACAAGTCATTTCTATCGGGACGATCTTTTCGTATTTAACCCTCTTCAATCTTGGAATCAACAAGGATGTATCATCAATGTATCCGTACAACCGCTTTATTCCTGTGAGGTACACGAGTACACGAGCGCGAAATCCGCGCCGTAGCCGAGTTGAAGTCTGGACCGAGTCTGCAGCCATGAATAGACCCCGGGCCAGATCGATTAGGGGAAAACCGGCGGATGTACATGTTCGTGTATGGGTCCGCGTGGCCAAGCAGAGAACGTATCTGATGTACATTGGTCTCGCATTCAGACTCTCCACTTTTGTGCGAGGCCGTGCTGCAAGTTCGTTTTCGCTTTGGGGAATTTTCAGTCCGTGTGGAAACCCAAAGTACTACAATATGATGATGTATTGAGGGGAAAAAGGTACTCGTACTATCTATTCGGTGTTCAAGCCGCTTCTCAGTCAATAATCCTTGATAGTATGGGGAATTCAAGTTGCCACCAACCTGACGAGACTTTATATACAAAAAGAAAGCCCTATCCTATCTTAGCTGTTCTCCATCAATCAGTCGTGCACGTTTCTTGATTTTCCTTTTCTCTTTTCTCTTTGCTTTTCATTTCTCTTTTTTAATTTTACTACCGATTCTCAAGTGCTTGTTGAACTCTTATGGTGTATACCAGTATCCTCTCCATGTCGGTCTTTACTTTCGTCTTCCGCGCCCTGCCTTTCCCATTTGCCTGGAGACGCAGGTCTTCAACAAGTAGCAAAGGCAAAGAAAAAGAATCAAACCTAGACCCTGACTCGGTATGGGATCTCGATCTTCATTTTTCCGAGAAACCACTCGCCACCCTGCCCTCGGAACCCAAATTACCACTCACATCCCTGCACCGTGACGTCTCCCACACCCTGCATATAGCGGTGAAGCAAAGTCCAGACCAAACAAACCCCCACAACCTTGAATCAGAACTCGGCTTCTCATTCGAATACCCGGAAACAAACTCAGGTTCGGTTTCTCCCCGCTCTCGGGTGAAGTCTCGAGCGGAATCCCGTCCCTCCGTGCTGGCTCGCGAGGTCAGCTGGGCGAATATAGTTCGCAGTCGATCCCGCTGGACAAATGAACAAGAAAAAGAACTTCTTCGAGCAGAGAAGCAATTGGCCCGGTGTCAAAAAGCTTGGAGTTCGGAACAGGAGCTTTGGATCTCATATGTATGTTTCCTCTTCCCTGTCGCGTATACTTTTTCTACCAGCTTCATCAGAATAAACACAGAAACTGGCTACATTTCCTTTGCCTATTTTATGTCTTTTATTTGGCCTGCATGTTCATTTATTGATCATTAATACTAACCCATCATTTCGGTATCTAGGTTCAAGACCTAAGCGAGGAAAAAGAGGCTCATGAGAGCTTCATGTCCATGAGAATGAGACAACAAGAGGATGAGCGGAGCCAGTTCCGCAAGGCATGGAAACGACGTCGATCCCTGGAGGAATCGCTCGCACTGAAGGAAAAACAACTCACTCTTACCGTAAAGAGTAATCATAATGGCCCTGGGCTACCGATAATACGTCGATTTACACTACCCAGCTATCTTAATCATAGTATGGTTGAGACTAACCCACCGGCATTGACATGCAAGGTATAATATTCTTTGTATCTAGAAGATTGAAGATTAAATTAGAAATACGAAATGAAACACGAAATGAAGCTTGGACGAAATCATCTATGGATAATTGTGTGGTAGCTATAATTGTATGGTAGAAGCTGCCCAGATGGTGACATCTATGGATAAACTTCCCATTTATACACTCCAGAGACCAACCATTCATTTCATCTGACCTTCCAATTTTTGACTGGTCCCGAGTAACTAAATACTCTTTTCACTCTCACCATGATGAGGCCACTTCCGGAACAAATCCGCAACCATATCAACCGGCGCTGTCAACAATCCCACAACTGTTTCAAACGGCGGTTTACTCGGAGAAAGCGGATGCGATCTGGACGGTATAAACATCCTCGTCCTCTTCAATAAGCCCGTCAATGCTTCACTCTGTTCAGAAGATAACACTTCTTCCAATGAAACCAAATCCTCTGTCTCTTCCCTATGGGTATGTGTTTGTAGATCGGCAATCAGAGCTTCCAGCGTCGGTGCAAATCGCGGATCTGTTGATCGAAGACCCTGGAACATTTTCAACTGTTCCTTGATTTCTTGGTGCTCGGTACGATTTCTATTCGAGATGGCGTTTCCACCGTGGACATGTCTTGCGATGGCTGGATAGATAATCAATTCTTCGCCTATGATGTGGCGGGCTAGTTCCCATGTGAATAGGTTTTGATAACGGGTTTGTTCGTCCGGGTTCAATGAGATGAGGATTTTGTTGCTGTGGGAGTGGAGGTCCGCGTGTTCGTTTTTTATGGCGGGAAGGATGCGCTGTGAGGCATTTGCGGAGGCATTGGAGAATTCTCGACGTAGGAAAACAGGCTTCACGAGGGTTTGATAGAGGTTTATCCGTCGTGGTTGGCTTGGTAGACTGTTCCCTGTATATTCCCTAATGATAGGGCGGAGATGCCAGTGGATGGTGCGTGTGTGATTAAGCATGAGGAGAGCAATATTTGAAATCACAATATTGATTGTTTTAGTCGATATATGGTCTGATCTCGAGGTTTTTTGATATCAATTCAGATGGCAAAGTCGGTCATTACTCCCGACCTTCAAATGTTGTCATAATGATATCCGCTACATCAGCCCTAAAGTGCCCTTGGATTAAGGTGATCTGATTAGAAAACTATGCACGCTAGGAAGAAATTAAGCTATAAATTGAAGCTTAAATTGACCTTACAAGGTTATCCTGGATGTTCACTAAATAGATTCTGCAACGGGAATGTACCTGTTTCATTAGGTCTATTTCGTCTTATGAGTGCATGTTTCATGTCTTTTCTGAAGATCCTGAATTATTCATCTCTTCAAGCTCATATTCCATATTTCATATTTTATAAATTCATCTGATCTCTAATTTATCATCTCTTTTCACCTTAAAGTTCCTTTGGTGATACCTCGGCATGTTCCAGGGTTGCCACCTGACCCTTAGGCTTTGTAATTCCCCGCACTCCCTATATCGATTTGACATTGCAGATGTTACATAGAAGAGCTTTAGTTGATTATAAAACAGAGTCGGAGTGAATTGAAATAGAAACATGGTATGAATGAGGTGATCTGAGCCATAAATGGGGTCATCTCTTACGTGCATTACCGTTGAGTGGCCGCTTCTCCGCAATTCTCGGCGAGATGACAAATGCGATAATGACGCTATTCTCGCGGAATTGATCACTAATTCAAACATTGAGCAAGCTTGAAGACTTATTTGAAAAGCTTTGAATCTATATAAGACTCCCGAAGCCCTTATACTGACTCTATTATTCCATCTTTGTCCAGTCCATCCATCTGATCTACCTGCATCAACTTACTCAAGTGGAGATCTGCGGAGTATACACTTCTGCATAACTTGAACCACCCACAACTTGAATTCTATACCAGCAACAAGTTTCAAATTTTATGATAAGCATACCTCTGAGATCATGTCTGCAACTACAACAACCACCACTACTACTACCATCACCGCACCGTCCACCGACTCCTCCTATATTCCGCGCGGTCTAACAACCGCATCTATAACCTTCTATGCCCCACCACCAGACAACAGTGCCCCATTTAATTATGTGGAGCAACCACCCGCGGGTCAACCCCAACGCAACTATGGGGAACATGAAGCAGAGGTCTCTTTAACAGACATCCGAGCCACTGAAACAAACTATACCCTCGATAAAGACTCCTTCCTCGCTCTACAGAGCGTCTCCACGAAGACAACCTACTCAACCTTTGACTCCGACTCGGAAGTTAAAGAAAATTACTACCCAGAAGTCGAATCTCTGCTTCGATCTGCGATCCCAGAAATCCACAAAGTGATCATTTTCGATCATACCATCCGTCGCGGATACGCCGACGCACCACGGCAACCCGTTACTCGGGCACACGTTGACCAAACTGCCACAGCTGCAGCAGAACGTGTCCGTCTCCATGTATCGGATAAAGAAGAGGCAGAGACACTTCTCAAGGGACGGTATCGCATTGTTAATGTTTGGAAACCATTAAGTTCCACAGATGAGCCCGTCCAGTCTTCTCCGTTGGCATTCGCTGCGGCTGGGAGCGTAGATGCAAGTGATCTGGTGGCTGTTCAACATCGGTATCCGCATCGAGTTGGGGAGACGATGGGAGTCCAGTTTAATGAGGGTCAGAAGTGGCATTATTGGTCTGGAATGAAGACTGATGAGCGCTTGTTACTTAAGTGCTCGGATTCAAAGGGATTCAAGGATGGGAGTGTAGCGCAATGGGTGCCGCATACTGCGTTCTGGGATCGTAGGACTCCTGTTGGGGCAAGACCTAGGGAGAGCATTGAAGTCAGGGCTTTGATTTTCGGCTAGATTGCCACTAATTGAATCTTTCATGGTTTTTACCTTTGATTTTGTTACCTGGCATTGAGGAGATTTTAATAATAGTATGTCAACATTTGGAAGATCTTTTCTACTTGGTACAGTTCTTGTAAGCCTTAAAGAACTTACAATTTGTTATTCAATTCAGCCCTTGAGGGATCTTATCCTGAGCAGCTGTACCTCCAAATTCATATGTATGCACCCATCGTAGACCGGGTCATGAAGAGATGTCTAATCCCTCTATCTTCCGGGGCACGTTCCAGTGCTGAATAGACGCAATCCTTGAAGCTAGAGATGGAACCTGGGGCACGTGTGGTTATGATGAAATTGCCCAGATGACAGAAGTGCAATATAGGTACACTTACTACCTTCCTCAGGCTATACCGTATCTTGTGAACCCAAGTCAGGGTGATCAGTTCAATCCGACATATCAATCGATTGATCGAAGAATCGAAATTCACGCTGTGTAACCCAAAATATCATAAAAGACAGGAAAAGAAAAGTCAACAGGGCAATATCGCTACTATCCTGGCATTGTTTCCCGCTAAAATGGATTCAATACCGCTGGGCCATAAACATCTAACGGAAGATTTAACAGATCACGATGACCAACCTCTCCTAGATGACTTCGAATCGTCAAATCTACAATCATCCCGATTCCGTACCCCAAAGTGGCTCTGGGGTCTGCACATTCTTCTTTTCATTTTGTCTTTCACCATTCTGATAATATCCTGGCGTCAATCTTATCCTACTGATTCTACATGTGCAAAACAATTATCAGCATATTGTAAGTGTTTCCTCCACTCTCCGTTTATCTCAGCAACACTCACGCTAGAACTGACATATAGCCCCCTTCACAGGTCTAGTGGAATATGAGACTCGTCGGTTCCACGGGGCGCTTTCCGATACAAACCCATACAAAGGACCCCCAAATCCTCGACTGGATGCCGAGTGGAAACGTATCACTCATAGTAAGACATCAAACCTCCCTTATCCATGTTCCTATTACTAATTAATCTTAGTGGGCCAGCTGAAAATTTCAGCAAAGGATATGACGGGTTTGAGGAAACCACTCTCCCAAGTCAAGGTTGTTGAGTCAGAGGGCGATGGATATGCGGTTGGCATAGAAGTGTTTCATCAGGTTCGTTCTAAGGTTCTTACTAACTTGGACGAAACATTTTGTCTCAATATTCCTTCATTGTACTAATTTAGACCACAGCTTCACTGCCTTAATCTCATTCGACAGTATGTCTATTTTGACTACTATTCCAAGGAGGAAAACAAACCAGCGGAGTTTTCAGACTCAAACCAGACTGTTCGACTTCACATTGGTAAGAAGAGACAAAAATGGATACAGAATACTTTGCCCGACATTTTTCTCACAGGTTTTAGATCACTGCATTGATATTTTGAGGCAGGTTATACAGTGCAACGGCGACGTGGGGGTTGTAACTCGAAGCTGGGTGAAAGGTCGCACTATCAACTACCCAGATTTCAATGTATGGCACAAGTGTCGTAAATTGGAGCCCATATTGCAATACGCAATGGAACATGAGATCGAAGCTGAGCCTGTGAAAAACTCGGATTCAGTCGAGCTTTCTGAGCCACCATGCACGAATGCTGCGCCGGGTGAAGTCTGCCCGTGAAGACGCTAAATTGAAATGCTCAAAAAGAAAATTATTATTTCGCTAGATGGAGTTTACTTTCAAAGTTCCCATTATTGAGATATCTTTTGAACTCATAGCTCGGCCTCGATTATGGATGGTCCGTCACCGTCAGGATGGCAAATCAAGTTCACAGTAAGCCCCACAGACTTCAGAATCGTAGCCCATTGAGACTTTGTTCGCACAATACCAGGACCAACAACCATCAATATCATGTCCACCATTGAATGAAACAATCCTGCGTTCTCATCGGGAAGAATAAACTCTTCGATCAGGATCTTAGAATATCCTTTTTTCATTCCCTGGATGGTATTTTGGAGAATCTTAATGCAGTTGTCATCAGAGAATTCATGCAAGATAAATTTGAGAAAGTATACGCGAGCACCTATCATGATTGAGATGTTAGTTTGAAAAGAGCGAGACAATTAGATCATCAGATTGTGTAACCAACCTTCAACAGGCTGGCGATCGAAAATGTCATGCCCTATTTTCTCAAGTCCAATATCGTGGGAATGGATGGCATTGAATACCGCTGGAAGATCTTGGAGAATCACTCTGCCAGTTAAGTCAGGGAACTTCCTCTTCAATGCCAGCATATCCCGACCACTACCACAGGCCATATCCACAATAAGCGGATCACTTGGAGCTCCGGTATAGCCATTCAAGATTCTCTCCTGCACCGGAAACCAGTCAACCCAAAATGGTCGACTTTCTCGAACACCTTGCACATAATTGTGGAAGCGCTCATGAACGGCTACATCCCTGGCTAGCCATTCGAATGTGGTCATTTTCACGTTATAGGTATATTGAATCGGTCCGGCTGAATGATCTTCAGGGTTCTGGTAGTTTGTTTCGCGCAGAAAGTCTGGCGTTTTCACAATGGCTGGAGCAAAATCAACAAATCTGAATTTACCACGTTAGCTCGGAAAAGGAGAAAGAAAGGGACCATTGTAATGAGGGTATGAATGGAGTTATAAGTCAGTCATACAAAGTATCGACAATGCTACCTGACTTTTTGTCTGTCATCTCCCTGGAAAGGGAAGTTGGCGAATACATTCCAGGTCCTTCTTCTTGCGCAAAGTCGATTGCAACAAGAACTCGCATGATTCGCTCTTGAAGGCTCCCATATTAGGCACTCAAGGTTGGATTCGAATGCTGGGATTGAGAGTAAGTAGTCAAATGAAAGAGAAACGAACCAACTAGCAGTGAGTTTGCGCCGCTTTGATCGGCCAACTGCTTGCAAGAGGTAGTTGTAGCTGCACCAGTTAAGATCGCAAAAATTCCAAGGTCATGAGCAATTTTGACTGCCATAGCTTGAGTGGGCTAATGAAAGTAAGGATGATGGCTTTGAGAGATCCCTCAACTTTGGTATAACTTACAGATAGGAAAAGTTTGAGAACCGCATCTTTGGGATGTTCAAGAGCCTTGATCAATTTCAATGATTTCTCAAGTGCACGGACACGGGCCTGTTCGGATTTCGTGGCCTCAAATTGATCGACCGAGCATTTTATATCCTCTAGAAGCGATTGAATTTCAAGTTGCTGAAGCTCTCCTGACATTGTGAAGTCACAGGATGGATCAGGGTCGAGTGTGATACTTCTGAAATTTTGAGTAGGGGGATTTAAATCACAGAATCAATTTGGATTAAGTACAAAAAAAACAAAATTATCATGAAAGAACAATTTCGTCTATTGGTGTAAGAATTAGTGGATTTTATCGCTAAATGATTTATTGAAGGGCTAGAAATTTAGGTAGTAGCACGGGATGTTCGGGTACAGCCTTGGGCCTTGGCCCCAGTCTCGGCCTCTAAGGGCTTACCCCTGGGCAGCTAATACACACATGCCGACCTAAGTAATTTTATTTCAACTGGGCATGTCTGATTAAACAATGTCATTGAATGGAGAAATAGTAGACGACGTCATGTTTGCTTGAAAATTCCAAGTTATCTATTACCCATTTTTGAGGATCTGAACGCACATGTGCAAGGTAGGACGATATAAAAAGAAAACCATCGGACCAAACCGCTCCTGTAGATTGGTCCGAAGTGTCCCGTAGATAGCACAAACCGAGATGACATCCCCTTCTTTCTTTCTCCATGCCACCGCCGCACAAATTTCGCTTCCCTCCTGCAAAACCCAAAAGCACAGATACATGGATGCAAGTATATGACATGGCGATGTCGTGCAACACATGCGAATCAGGTTTTTGATAGGATTCAAACCATCCAACTATAAGAACAGGGTAGCCAGCCGTCCAAGCTTGTGATATTCCTCCATGGTAGCACCGTTCGTCGACAAAACGATTTCTTCCACATGTGCATTTATTAATCATAAATTTGATTGATGCGGCCATACGATACACATATTTGTTTTAAGCTGTTTGCCTTCGCCACAGGCAAATATGGACATCCTTTGGCTCAGGCTTCACACTTCCCCCAGCTCGAGTTACGAAGATGCACGTTTGGCTAGATTGTTCAATGCAAATCGACCCAATTATCATCCCACAGCCATCGTACGCGCCAGGACACAATCAGATATAATTAAAGCAGTACAGTTGGCCAAGATATTAAACCTGCAAATCAATGTCAGGTCTGGTGGTCACTCATACCCAGGATGGAGTCTAAGCGACAATTCTATTCTCATTGACCTTGTCAACTACCGTGAACTTCAGGTTGACGTCAGTCAAAAGGAGGCTTGGGTCTCTTCTGGAATGCGAAGTGACGTTGATCTGGAGCTAATGAAAGACTGTGGTTTGATGCTGGGGGCTGGTCATCATCCAGGTGTTGGGATTGGGGGATTCCTGCTCCAAGGAGGACTGTCATGGAATTCCAGGGTGTGTTTTCAGTTAAATTTCACTCAGACCCGATTTGACTGAGTTATTAGATTGTGTATTTGCTTTTGTTAACCACGATATATAGAACTGGGGTTGGGCCTGCGAGCGTGTGAAAGCGCTTCAAGTTGTAACTGCTGATGGGGATCTTGTTAATTGTTCTCAAGTTGAAAATAGCGATCTATTCTGGGCGGCACGCGGGGCGGGACCTTGTAAGTATGCCAATATTCCAGTGAATCGTTTTCTCATGATATTACAACAGATTTTCCAGGCATCGTAACCCGCTTCCTAGTTCAGCTTCTTCCAGCACCGAAGATTTTTCGGTCTTCAGGCTACATATTTCCTCAATCCATGTATCAGGAGGCTTTCAATTGGATCATTGAAATCACCCCAACATTTGATCAAGATACAGAAATTACTGCTGTATGCAGGTATCTTGATGGCAGTGATGAGATCTGCTTCGCGGTTTACTTTGTCACTATGAAGGGGGAGACTGAAGAGGCTCGTAAGGCCTTACTTCCTACGCACGAAACCCGACCAAGAGGTGCAATCCAAGAATGGTTTTGTCAGGAGGACAGCCTTCAACAAGAGTATGCGAATGAAGTCAGTGCCTGGCCAGGTGATCGACGCTGGTTTGCCGACAATTCCTTTGTTAAAAATGATGTAGACGTCGCTGCTATACTCAAAGAAATCTGCATGACACTGCCGGACCGACATTGCATTGTTCTGTGGTACCCGTTGGCTCCACATAGCCGCCGCAACTTGCCAGACATGGCCTTCAGCTTGCAGTCCGATCACTATGTTGCTACATACACTATATATGAAAGTGAGAAAGATGACGAAAAATACCACTCATGGATCCATGCAACAGTCGAGAAATTAAGTTCATTTCGTCTCGGTTCCTTTTCAGGTGAAGCCGATTTCAAAGCACGAAAGGTCAAATGCTGGGGTGATGCTCAATGGAAGAAAATCACTCAGATCCGACAAAAGTGGGACCCTGATGGAAGAATATGCTGTCCATTCAAGCAGAAAAATAGTGAAGGGTAGCACTACAGATCATAATATAGCTTAATATTCAAATGATACTAGTAGAAATGACTTTCGTTTCATATCAAGGGTTCAATGTTATCGCATTTCCAGTAGTGGGTACTGCTAGCGCTTCAAGTTGAGTAATGACCTAGATATTGGAGCATCCTGCAGTCCAAATACCAACATTTGAACATTGAATGGGTTACACAAAATGTATTTTATTATTTTATTTCACGATGACGAGGCTTAATTAGAGAAAAGTCAGATTAAGGTACACATGTGCACGATTAGCGCCTATTATGAGGTAGGGGCCAGATGGCTATGCCCTTTTGTTTCACAGCAGAATGAACAACTTGAATATGCGCAAAGCTGAAGTAACGCACAATATCCTGACTTATCCCTGCCACTCTCTAATTCTGGAGCAACGTTTGATGTCCGACCAAGACCTCTGAGAGAATACCCCCTCCTCCCAGCAATCTAGCTCTATACTGTATAGAGGTGGCGACATAATCTACCTCGAGGCATCATGTTCTTACACTCAATCTAATACGAGAGCCTTTGAGTTCACCAAGGATAAATTATACTGTCAAGTTGGGACAGACGATACCTCACGGGATCAATTGATGTGTCACAATAACCCAATTCCTACCGATATCTAGTCTGAGTACATTTGACTCGCTAGGCTACTTAAACCCCACATATGGCAAGATGACAAAATAATACCTACAAATTACTTTTTACACATACATTTATTCACCTAATCTTAGAGACCTTCGGACAAGAATATAAATACTAATGCATTCCCTACTAGTGGATTTCGTTTCTCCCATGATCGTCATCAACCTTTAGGCTCCCAAGCTAGTATTCCTCCATATCCCACGATTCTTAACCTGAGTTTATACTGTAACTTTACAGAAGATGAAGCATTCAAACGCTGTATTGATTATTATTTCCACTCTTTTAACAGCAAGCAGTGCAGCACCTATCAAGGAGTATGTACTGCTATTTGAACACTCAATGATTCCTTTCATACATGACAATAAATATGCTAACTTAACCAATAGAGCTGTCTGCGCTGTTGAGGCCTCTTCTAATTATGACTGGAATGAGCTCGATGCTCGCTCTATCGACTTGACCTCCAACTATGACTTAGGCAGTCAGAAAGCACGCGCTGTTGATGTTAGTTCCAATTATGATGTGAACGACAATCAAGCTCGCTCGGTTGAAGTGACCTCCAACTATGACTGGAACAATCATGAAGAGCAAGCTGTGGAACTTAGTTCCAACTACGATTGAAATGAATTCAAGGCACGGAGCAGAGCACTGGCAGGATATTTGGATTATGACAGCGAACGAGGCACTTTAAGGGCTGAAGAATGAGGGTTGATTGATATGTCACAATACATTAATTACATTAAATTTTGATCAATTAAATTCCGGTGCACAGAAATTTCAACATTATCGTGACTCCGTAATACAATATGCGCCTTTCTGATTGATCCCGGCGATAACTTCCCTCAGGCTTCCACATGCACAGGTGTTACTTTTTCCTCATGCCACAGTGACATATGAAAATAGATGTTTGTTTCATGATCATTTCATGTCAATTGATTGCTGATAGGGTTAGGCCTAAGTTAAGCTAAGAGGCTGTGCTTCAGCTTTCATTCAACAATAGCATACCACTTCAATTCACGACCAGGCAGTAGCTTTATGGGCGGCGACAAATCCTCTTCTTCAGATACATGACCCCGAGCTTCAGCATACAGTTTGTGATTGGGCTCGCTCTCGTCATTAATGAAGTATGCAATAGGTGCGTTACCCTGCTGTCCAAGTGATCCACTATTGAGAGTGAAGCCAAGCAAGTCGCCTTCTTTGACTGTTTTGCCGACTGGTACTTTGAATGTGAGCAAGGAGTTTTGCAACGTATCATCCAGGCCGACTGAGACCGATGCTAACGTTTCCCATATGTAGTCTGCTCCGTATAGATGGGTTAGTGACTAAGATACATAGAAGATATAAGAATATGGACACGCACATGGTGATAAAAGTTTCTCTTCACTGGCATAGCGGAAGACTTGAATAGTCATGGCAAATGTTGGATTAGGAGGTTGAGATAACTGATGCCAATAGTAGTGAGATTTCCGGGTTTGGATGAAACCCAAGTCTGGTAAAAGTTGGCGTAGGGCTGTAATGTATTTAGTTGAGGAATTCAAAAATAGTATCACCAATCATGAATTAATACGCACAACATCATTGGCAGCAGTATAGTTTCCCATGTTAGGGGCCTTATCGGTCGCTTCTGCGTAAATGCCCGAGAGGAAATCAGATTTGCCTTCAGGGCCTTCGACGGTATATTTGATGGATGGGTCACAGGACAAGGGCTTGATGGATCCATCTTCATTGAATGAAAGAGTGAAAACATTAAACCCTTGAGTACTTGCAGATGAACTATATGGAGGTGATAAGTACGCATCTGCGCTGAGTAGATATGTCGAGCCAGATTTTCCATTTGGACTTGGAACTGTGGCCACGCCGTCTACCTGACCACCGCAAGTGAAACTGGACTTCACAATCTGACGTGTGAAGCGCCCAGATGGGTTTTTGGATCGATAGGATATAATAATTGACTGATTACAATTATCACAGGTGCCTGTAATGAAGTTAGCAGTCACTTTCATAGAAGGGATTAGAAAAGTATAGCTTACTTGAGCCAAGGGCATAGTAGTAACTTCCACGTTTGAAAAAGTCATGCGCTTCAACCTGGCCATCAATAATATTGGAAGAATTCTCATAGATAGGGAATGACCCCTGAACCACAGGCACATGGTGCCGGTGCCGTTGAGGAAATCAGGTGTCAGCTTCTGTAGATGCAGAGTTTGAATAAAAGGCGGATAGATGGATGAGTATCCAGCCAAAGCTCCGCGGCCGACAGTTTCTGTATAGTCATACTGAGTCCAGATCACGTACTCAGTCCCATCAATAACACTAAGCCCCAAGTCTTCAACTGTCCAGTTCTGAGGAACTCCTTTGACGTGGCTATATCCAGCAAATGTATAACCAGATGTCAGAGAATCAGAAGTAAAGACTGGGATCGTTCCTGGGGCACTCAGCCGCGATGCGAACGAATATAAGACGTGTTTTTGGGTTTGACCGTTATAAACAATCTTAGGTCGCCCACAACCCCCCATACTACCTGTGCATGCCGCTTTGTTGATGGGATCTGTGCTGTTGAAGACTAGAAGGGTTTGATATCAGCTTTGGAGCAGTGGCTAAAAACTCAAAATAACGTACGGGCACCGTTGGAATTCCACGATTTCAAATCAGGGGATGTCCAGGACCAAATGCCGCAATTCCCATTGTTGTATCCAGGACAGGCTAGCAAAACAACATCATATTAGTGGATGGATATAGTTATGTTGGTGATATTCTTTCCTGCATGTATACTTACAAGCCTTCTGGCCATACCAAACGTAGTAACCATTGACATAATTAAGTTTTCCATTGCTTGTATCAATAGGATCGCCATTGACGTCAAAAAAATAACGCTCAGTGGGCGTGAATGTTCTGCTAATTGAGTTATTTGCCTTTTTCATGCTTGCATCAACCTTCACCAGCAGCAGGAGCAGTAAAGCAATAACTGCCACAGGGGATAGTGGAGAATGCATTAAGATTGTCCCTCGATTCTTGATACCAATGGAGATCTAGGAAACTTGAAATAATTACTTGGAGTTTCCATGAGTGAAGGAATACGCTCTTATAGGTAATCCTTTCAGTGGAGACCGGGGTCAGTGCAATGAAAAATGTCGTCATATTTCATTCGCTATCAGATTCCGGGGTTGAATGTGGATGATCATAATCTCAGGCTTTCGGTTAACTCTCAAGTGCTTCAAATGTTGCCTTTTATTTGCTGAACTTGATTGACAAGTAATCACCTTAACAGGTCTCTCACACCATATATCAAGCATATAATTATCAGACAGCAGCCAACAGCAGTGCATTCCTTACAAACACACCATGATGGATCGTCATGCTACTCCATGATGTCTGCGTGTTTTCGCGCTAGGGACGTGCATGAAGTCCCATATGAGACTGCCTATTCTGATCGGAGCAGACACCGTGTCATGGATTGATACGGTAAATCCGGGGCGTCATTATTCTTCATCGGAAACTGTGATCGGTAAATGCGAATATCGTGGACCACCTATCCAAAGTTCTTGGGCCCCTCAGTTTGCTATGCTACCCCTCGATGTTCAATGCAATTTCACGCAAGTCTAATTGACCTGTAGATATAAGAATGGCATTTGAAATTGATCTCGATGCACCACCATTCTTTATCGGTAATTATGATCGGTATATACGAATATGGTGAACCGCCCATCCGAGGTCTGGAGATTCTTGGTGCCCTCTGTCAGATGCCAACATTTGAATGTCGCCCCTCAATTTTTATTGCAATTTCAGGAAAGTCTAGTTGCAAGCTTGAATACCCGGCGACCCGTATGGCTCAACTTTCACATATTCTAGTTGACCTCTGGATAGGTGAATAAATCTCAAGCAATCCAGTAATTCAACGAGACATCTGGACACATTCAGACGCATTCTAGGGTTTCTGGTAATGGTTTTCACTTTGTTCTGTGGCACACCTCATACGAAAGTAGATTTCGGTCTTTTCTGAGCCCCTAGTACAGTTAACATGTAATGCAAAGCTCTCGTTTGTTTTTGAGAGCAACTCCCGCGTTGTTTTGATTCGAGTGCTTGTTGAAAGACACGCATGACTCCGGCTCGATCACTCAAAGGCACGTTCTCGCCAGAAGATTTTAAAAACGGCACACTTTGACCAGATATCATGAATCTCTGTAGCGCAGCACCACCATACTCGCCATCCAAGAGGAAGGCCGCCCCAGTTTGGTTGGTTCCCGCATCTTGAATCAGAAACTTCGTAGGGCGCAAAGTGCCCAAGGCCCATAATGTCAGGGCAGCAAAGTAGAGACAGGTAGCACAAAACGCAGAGAATGAGGAACTTGGCATGGATCTCGCAATGCGTAGTACTTGACCGGCATGCCAAGCCGCCCTTCGCAAGTTCACAGGGCTAATATGTTGAATAACGGACTGATATATGTCGGATGACCGTTTCTCACCATCTTTTCCGGCGAAGGATTCAAGAACTCCAGGTGGCATATACAACGACAAGGAAACCATTTGGTAGAAACATGGCAATTGCAGCGGCGATAGACGCGCCATAGCTTGTAGAGGCGTACCGTGCTGAAATAGTCATCATAATCATGCATAGACACATTCCTGCTCCACTAATGATAAAAATCTTTCGACGTCCAAGAGTATCAATTGTGGCGAATGCAACGAATGAAAACAAAGACTTCCAAGTCCTACAGCACGCTGCAAGGATAGCAGGAAGATCGCCTTTCAATTGCAGGTTTGTTTCAAATATAGTCTTTGTGTATGTTGCGATGACATTGCCGCCCACAAGCTGTTGCATAAATTGGATAATTATACTGGCTTCGTCTTGTTTGCTGAAAAGATCTTTCAAAGGCGCCTTAGGCGCCGCCTCTATCGCGCTCTCAATACGAGCTACCTCAAGCTGGATGCTTGGGTCGTCGACAGTGAGGTCGTTCAACCAAGCGAGGGTCTTGCTGGCTTCTTCAATGTGGCCCATTTGAATCAACCAACGTGGTGATTCAGGCAAAGTGAAGATCGAAAAGGTAATCATAAGAGAAAACAGCGTCGGCAGGGCTAAGGGAACTCGCCACTGTACAGGTTCGAATGCGACTAAACCCAAAGTCCACCCAACTAGCCAGGGCGAATCCGACGCAGATATAGATTCCCGCAGCAATCACTCGTCGACCACGTTTATCAGAGAAAGAGCATTCTGATTGCCAGACGGGGCCGGTGACACTCAGCTGGCCAATTCCAAATCCCAAAATGACACGACCCACAGCGAATTGAGCCAAGGAGAAGGAGGTACACTGCAGTATATGGCCGATTGTGGTGAGAATACCCGCGATAAAGATTGTCCTCCGTCGGCCGAGGATGTCGCCCAACTTTGAGCATGAAAGGGCTCCGACTAGGGCACCAAGCTGCAGTGTTGCATTCACAACGCCCTTGATTGTCGAAGAGCCGACTTGGGGAAGATACTTCAGCATGTCCGGGAGAGTGAGGAGTGATGAGAGGCCGGATTGATTGTAGCCATAAAGAATAAATGCCGGACCGACGATGAGGAAAACCTGCAATGAGTGAACATTGCAGAAATTGGAAAGCATTGTGCCAATTTGAACGAATTCACTTCGTTCAAGGAAGAAAATTGGCTGGAATTGGTCTGGGGATTATCAAGAAATTGCGGGGATGAAGGAAATATGGGGGATACTTCTACCCCGGAGAAGTAAACTTTGCCATCGCATGAAGTCTTTTCACGGAGGGTCAACCTCGCCTAAAAGGGCATATGAAATTGTGACTATGCTTTCCCCACAACTGGCATGATTCAATCAAGCGCTAAACCCCCAGGAAAGTCATGCCATTTTGATTTTGAGCTTCCGATTGGCTTCATCTGATGTCTTTCCATCCATTATGAATGGATTAAGCTCAGACTTAGGAGCTCAGTAGGACACAAAACTTTACATTGGAGTTTTTGCATACTATTACTTGGACACCGGAGGCCCTACTCGTAGAAATTTTGTGGGGAAGTTTCCAAAAGATTTATCCTCTACGGAATGTTGCCGATTAAAAGCCTAGTAAATGATGGACCAAGCTCAACCTTGGAAGATAAAAGAAGCCTGTCTCGACTTTCTCAACTTGGAGGGCTATTGACACAGCCTTAGAACACTCTCAGGAATGTGATACTGGTTGTCTAGTCTTAAAAGTTGAGAGAGAGCTCTCATAAAGAAATGAAAATCATGTGGAAGGCTTGTCTATTTATGCAACAGAAACTTGAGTTATGAAATTAGTGCCACATTCCATCTATCAACCAGAGACTTGAAGTCGGCTTCCTTCCGTCGGCGGATCCGATACTCGGCTCAGCCGATGATTTTTATGTACCCATGACGAGTTTGTGGATGTCGAGGTGCCCCTTTCCACTTCCTTTTCATTCTAGCGAAATTGCTATTTGGCTATGGCTTGGACCACTCGGCTTGGGGCAGAATCCTGACTTGTTGATTCAGCATTTGCCATTCTTTCCGTGTTGAGCTGTGGGTCAACGCCCACCTGAGCATACATTGGAATTTAGCACCTTTTTCACAGACATCTGGAGCCTTGGAAAATTCAAATGGCTGAAATTTTCAGATTAATGCTACACGTGCACTGAAGGATTCTCACTGCTCAGAATGATAATGCTAGTGTAGTGAGTCTCTGCTATGTTTGAGACCCGGACTACTGGGCCCTTATGCTGGTGGTTATTCATATGCAGATATTGAGATACGTAGACAAGGGAAAGTCCATAAACCCCGTCAAAATCCTGAGAATCACCTACGTACTAGGCAGCCCTGGAGAGAAGGAGGCTATGGAATTATTCAAACTCGGCTCGATATGAAACCTGAACTTACCACCTGCACATGTATACGTGTGGTCTCCGAGTCTTATCGCAGCACAATATTATTTTGCGCCTAATGAATTCTCATCATTCGTTATCCTCTGAATTCCTCACAAGCCTCTTCAAAAGGCATACCCACCTTCATCGCAGCGCTAACCTGCGAGTCGACCTTCGCCTGCTTTTCCATCAGCGGTAATGCTTGTTGGGCGAGGCTTGCTGGAAGGACAACTACGCCATGCAGATCGGCCATCAAATAGTCACCAGGCTCAACAATCTCTTCCCGTCCATCCACCTGGAATTTGACAGGTTCATTCACTGCGACTATCTTGACGGTTTCATATGGGGGTGCCGTGCCGATATCGCGTGCGAATACCTAACAGAATATAAGTTTGAACCCGAGTATTATCTTTCAAAGAGATCCTTACTGGGAAGTTTTGCATTCGCTGCTCCTCCAGATCGCGAAATCGGCCACCAATGACAGCCCCAGCTGCCATATTCACAATGGCGCGAGTTGACATCAATCCACCGTATACCGCATTTGGAGTTTGTGGGCTCGACACGAAGATTACAGCGCCCTCCGGAATGCTGTCGATCTACAATCAACCTTCAAGTGCTTGAGCCGGTATGAATCAGGGTTTTTATCATACATAATGCGAGGGAAATTTGGGTCTTGGATCATCCAGAGGCACATATTTGACTGTGTATGCTGGGCCGACGATCTTCGTCTCTCCCTCCTGCCGCTGTGGTGACCACATTGTAAGTCCGGGAAGGAATCCACCATGTTTAACTCTGCTGGAATTGATTTTAATCAGGGCATCGCATATATCGCATCTGAAGTTGTGTTAATGCTGTGCTGCAAAGTGCGCTTGGATTGCATATACTTACGTCGTAAACTTCCGCAACTCCTTCACTATTCCATCGACCGAGGAAGACATCCTAGTAGCACTTGAGGTGGTCAGAAGCAAAGATCAATGTAATGGCACAAAATAACTTGAAGTATTCAAATTTTGCTCCAAATTTTTAAATGAATCAGAATGATTCCAAGGTTCCTCCAGAGCTTCAAGTTGTAGCCTGATTGCCTATATTCGAAAAGCAAGAAGAAACTCCAGTAAATTCCTCAGGAGGTGAGCCATCGGTAATGAATATATCCTATTTTTGCCCCAATCGGCGAATTGGAAACTTTTACCTAAATTGCGGAGCAATATCCCCGACATTGAGCCCCAGATGATGAATTAATCCAACGTTCGGCCCCGTCCCGAGATGCCGCTCGGATGACGGATGCGGTCCGTCAACCTTATAATTCCGATTAGGCCGTTGAGTACTCCTTGCAACTTATGATTCTCGTCAGGGAGGCGGAAAATTCTCTCTTTTCCAAATGTCTTCAATAAGAGCCAAGCTTCTGCCGTTTCGTTCATCATTTAGCACGATGTCAGGTGGTCTACGAACGAAAAAGCAGCATTCACTCCCAGCGGCTTACTACCGCGGAGGCACATCTCGCGCCGTCTTCTTCAAGGAAGAGGATCTCCCACAGGCCCGCTCAGAATGGGATGTCATATTTCGTGGAGTTATTGGCAGCCCGGATCCCTATGGTCGCCAACTTGATGGCCTTGGAGGTGGTATCTCTAGCCTCTCCAAGGTGTGCGTCATAGGAAAACCGACGCGCCCGGATGCCGATGTCGACTACACTTTCATTTCTCTTGGCGTAAGGAACACAGATGTGGACTATTCCAGCAACTGTGGTAACATGAGCAGTGCCGTTGGCCCCTTTGCTGTTGATTCTGGGCTATATGCGCTTAAGGAACCTGACAATGCTGTTGTTCGCATCCACAATACCAATACAGGAAAAGTGATTCACTCATCCTTTCCCGTTGTTGATGGTGAGGCTGCATCAAGTGGAGACTTCGCTATCGATGGGGTAGCAGGACATGCTGCTCGCGTTCAACTTGACTTCCTTAGCCCCGCGGGATCAGTAACCGGGAAGTTACTACCTACCGGCAATACAGTCGATACCTTTGATGGGATTGAGGTAACTTGTATCGATGCGGCAAATCCCTGTGTATTTGTCCGTGCTATTGATCTGGGGATCCCAACAAATCTCACTCCGGATGAGATCAACGCGGACTCGGTTCTCCTGGAGAAGCTGAACTCGATCCGCCGACAGGCTGGGGTTAAGATGGGCATTGCGGAGACAAGATCTGATGTGCCCGGAAGTATCCCAAAGATTTGCATGGTCGCTTCTCCTTCTGCTTCAGATAAACGTGACGTAGAGCAGAAGCAAACTTCTTCCGATGTCGATCTGCTCGCTCGTGCTCTTTCAGTGGGCCAGCCGCATAAGGCCGTCCCGATTACAGTGGCTTTAGCTTTGGTGGCTGCTGCTCACCTTCCTGGCACTACCGTCTCGGATGTCGCCAGTGACAGTCGAGTCGACCCTGCTGGTCTCACTATTGGCCATGCTAGTGGGAATATCTTGGTTGGAGCGAAATTCGATGCAGACGGTGGCCTAGCTTCTGGGACTGTCTTTCGGACAGCACGTCGTCTGTTCGAAGGAAAGATTTTCTGGAAGAACGAATAAAATAGATTAAAATTCACAGAACCGACACAATCTGCCAATTAATGACAAATCAAATCTCTGCTTAAATCACATTTTTGTCGAGTAGAAGAAAGAAATCTCCCTTGGAAACTGTGCCGATGCCATATTCCCTGTCGTTTTAGGGCTGCGCTGCGGCTACTCGTGCCCCACCTTAGGCCCAGCAGAACCCATAGAAGCAGCAGAACATCGAAGCTAGAAGTAAATCGATAGCAATCATATTGTATTAATTTGAATGATCACGCATTCACAAGAGAGAAAAAAAGGCAAAGTGGTAAGTCAGCAGAGTCGCTGCCATGAAGATCGAACCAGGACCTGGCGAACCGTGACTGAATCACTGAACTGCTTTTATAATTCCAAGCTGAGGTTGATGGTGAGATATGTCGTCGTCGTATAGTATCATGAACTAGTACCGTGACCCCATCAATCATGCACACATGTGTCAACTGGTGTGACACCTGCCACTGTTGCTTGATGTTTGCGTGGTCATATACTATTTCCAAGATTGGCCTCTTATTCAGATTTGGTGGAATCGCATTTAATATCTCAGTTGTTCAAAGCCTCGAAATAACTTGAAATAACTTAATTTTCTTGGAAGAACTGATGTAGCAAAATGGTTAAGTATGTGAGAAAAATTCTAGAGTTGAAATAGGAAACAGTATCATACTAACTGAGGGATAGATAAAGGTTTAGATCATGATAACTTTGTTAGTATTGATTCCCATGATAGTGGAGGGAATCTGGATTCGAGTGCTATGGAGTGGATGCAGAGGATTTTGAAAAATATTTCAATTTCAATTTGAACACAGGTGTAGTTCTCCTTACTAGCGGGTAAATCCTGTAGTATTTGGAGCGATCGGAGCAAGGGGTTGGGGCACTTGGAGTGATTGGAGCAGCATCGTCAATTGAAGGGCAGAAATAGGTATCAATGCCAAAGGAAGGGTAATGGTGGTAGTTGCGGTCGTGAAGAACGATGTTCGGATCGAAGTTCATGTCAGCATGCTCCAGTGGCACCAGACCTGTCGCTTCAATTGAGTAAAAGAGGTCATCGTCCCCGGCTGTTGGCCATCTGAAGAATTTCTGCTGGTCCTGGCTGAGTTTGTTGAAGTCGTAAATCACTGCATCCTCCATGAGCACAGCGGATGGGAAGACGTGGCCCAGCCAAAAGCAGTGGTCCCAGGTCGCCTTGGTCGTGTAAGGCCAGGCTTTACGGTTGGTGAGACATCTCTCACTTGCACATGTGTTGTAGCGAGGGCTCCGAGTCCGCAGAGTTGCAAGGGACAAGTGTAGAATGGTTCTACATAGTCTGTTCAACATTTCCCTCTCTCTCCCTCTGATTTTTTGGTCTTCGCCATGGATCAAAGGTGACCTATATACTCTTATGTCTGCTTCATCTCGTCGTTTATTTTCCGATAAATCACAAGTCAGTCTCTCACTGCAGGGAAATGTGATCTGGGTCTTTAGTAGAGCACCCAGTACAGTTTGTCTCGCAGTACCACCACTGGCGGACCTTGAGGGTTCGGGTCACGGTGTAAGCAACGACCGGGACACTGTTGAAGTCGTTTAGCCAGCACTCATACTTGTACGGCTTTCCAGTCATGACGGCATGAAAGACACCGTTGTCGGGCAGCGCCACTCCGAAGGTTTCCATTTTTGGTTTCTTCTCACCCTCGATCGCCTTCCAGTAGGGCAGTAGTGGCTCCTTTTCGCCAGCCTTTCGTCTACTATGTCTACCCTCTCTTTTTCCTTTTGCTGAGTTCTTTGCGCTTATCGTAACGAGGGGATTGATTGCTGTTGACTTATAATAGGCTGCTGCTATAGGGTAGTGCTTAAGGAATAGTGAAGCACTAAGCAGGCCGCAAAGTCCCAGGCGGTTATTATCAAACAAAAGCAGTGAGAGTTGTCTGAATTAGTGGTTATTAAAGGAGAAAGGAGTGGCTGTAGCGGTGGAGGACCTTTTCGGTTGAGAAAGCGTCGGAGTATTTCTTTTTCGGGTTGGGGCTGGATTTGGGCTTGGAGCTTGAACATTGTCATCGTCGTTCTTGTCGCTGGCTATGTGGTCAAGCGCGGTATGGTAAGCAGCCAGGGTCACGGTAAAAGTATATATGTAGTAAAGAGGGGAATGCTCAAGGCAGTACTAGTACACACACAAGGTACTAGTACACCGGTCCAGCCGAACAGACCAACCACCAACTTGAAATGATCCATGGATTCATTTTCAAATCAATCATCAGTATCTCTTACCTCTCTTCTCTCCTGTCTCGATTCTCCTCCAGATCTCATTTTCTAGCTACAGAACTAACGTATAGGTATGGTACTCTCTAGTGCTCCAGCTGTTCAGTTGGTAGAATTAGAGAAGAGCAGCCTGAGTGAATATAAGGGTTTCGTTTCTGGTGACCATTATATGATACTACTACCAGTGGTATAAATAAGATGACTTAGTCTCATCCAGTCCTTTTGAATTGAATATTTCAATTTAAATTTCAACTGCATTCCTTGAATGTTGTACACGCTTGTGATCTTGTCGCATTTAGATATTAGGCGCCAATAATGCCTGTCTCTGTTTCCTGGTCCCAGTAACGATATGCGATGTCGGGAGCCTCGCCATCCAGGCTCGTTGCCGGCCCGGCACCATTTGCCGAGAAAATACCATGGAGTCTAGTCTGCGAAGGCCATTTAAGGCTGCCAAAGTTCCCATCGGGACATTCGTAAAGGAGCCATTCAGTACCCATGTCACCACTCTCCTCCATACCAGACAATGAGTCATTGGCGGGGTCAAACTCAGTTTCGGCGGGTTTTATGTAGGAGGACCCATCAACCGACATGGAGTCATTACCCACGAATGGGGAAGTACCGAGGCGTGCATTATGAGGGGAGTTGGTAGCGACAGCGGGGCTGCTTGAAAGGGGCTTTTGACTAGACAAAGGAGTTGCCTCAGGTGCAGCACGAGCTGCAGCTGGAGCTTTTGTGGCGGGGACGGGGGCATGAAGGAAGGGGTGGGCATCGTGAAATGTATGCCGAGGTCCGTTGTTGGGAGAGGCTGTTGCGGGACTCTTCATAAAAGGGTGGGCTTCACGAAGGCGGCTCGGCGTCTTAGGCTTGAATTGCTCGGCCTTATTGCGGGCCTTGCTAAGGGGAGATGGATCATCGGCAGTTTCATTGTCTGAGCCTGGGAGAATTGTCGTAGCTTTATCCATAAAGTCAGCTTCCGTCATATATGTGATTTACAATCATACCTAAGGAACGCAAGAAACTCCGCGCATTTCTCACCACTCCGGTGAGAGGGCTCGAAGAAATGCGACTTGGGGTTGGAGGTGAAACGCAGATCTCCGGGGTCTCCATCGTAGTAAGGGATATGAAAAATGGGGGAGATGAGGGGAAAAATCCTGGGGTCCCCGGCGTAAACGTACCATGTGGGCTGACGGCAGCCTGAGAGGGAGTGTCTGGCTTTGCAGGTGTTTCGTTCAAAACAACAGGTTGTTCATCCGCGGGTGTTTCATCCAAGACGGGTTCATCGGACGAAGCTGAATCCCATCCCGGTGTCTGGAAGGTGCCATGAGGGTTTTTAACGATCCATCCTGCCGTGTTCTGACTGTTCCGACCGCCTCCTCGTACAATAGGGCTGCCTCCAGACGAGGGGTCGTGAAGGAATTCACTGGATTCCACGGTAGGCAAAGTCGTAGGCCGATTCAAGCGATGGGGTCGATTGCGGTCGTATCCGGGACGTTTCTCTGCTTTCCGGGGGGTGTTGGCATAGAGAACATGTCTGCGACGATTCGGAGCAGACTCTTCAACGCGCTGTTTTTTAGCGGCGGGACCTTCAGTCTTCTCAGTGGCTGATTTATCCTGAACAAGAGCATCTCGGCGAGCTTGTTCCTCTGTGGCCCATTCTTCATCGTCTGAATCAAATTCAAAATACTCGTCATTGATTCCATAACTACAGCCCGGCGGGTTTGGAATAGTTTCAGGAGATGGCGGTCGTTTGCGCTTCTTTGATTGTTCTTCTGATCCCAAATCCATGTCTGACGGTAGTAGTCCCGAGCCCGAATTAGAAAAGCGACGAACTCGAGCAGCGACCTCAGCCGGTGGCAGAGAGGGGAAGCACTTTTCAATAAGTTCTGCGCTGAATCCAGCAGGACGGAGAGAGTACGCAGTATTAGTTGTAGTTGTAGCTGCTGATCGTATGTGCATTCGCCGAGAGGATCTAAAACTGCTTGGACTGGATGAAGGTGACTCAGGTTCTGTGCTGTCCTCAATGACGGGGGAAATGGTTCTGTTCCTTGGACCAGTCGAGCTGATTGCGCACCAGGTGCGCTTGGTTCTCCTTCGGTGGGCGCTAGCTGGGAGTCATGAGCTTTATTGAAATCAAGTCGCCCGCGCATAGTCGACCATCTCCGGGAGACAGAATCAAAAATCCATCGGCTCCAACCGGGCGATGAGCCAACTCTGGCAGCAGGCGCGGTCTGGGGAATATTGGAGGCAGTGAAATTCTTTGACACCGGAGTCGTAGGCAGCGCAGGGTCTGACTCGGGATTTTCTTCGAAGTGAGAGGGCCTGGTTTCCGGGGATGGCTCAATGAGTGCAGCCTGGTTAATAAGGTCTGGCAGTCGGAATAAAGTCTGAGACACATGTCCACCGGCAACACTTCGGCGGCGACTTGCAATGGTGGAGTATGGGACGCGGGAACGGCGTACAATGAGAGTTGCGTTCTGTGCGCGCAGAGGAGTTTTGTGCCGAGAGGGCGTTCTCGGGGTGACCTTGGATGGTCGAGTATTTCCGAGACCAGATGGTAAGTCATGCTCAGTTGTTTTCTTTGGCGATTTCGCCTTCTTGGCAATGGTAAATGGCGAAGTTGGCTCCTGATCTGAAGCTTGGGCTGATTTCTGCTTGTTATTATCAAGACGAGATGGCGATTTCTTGGGAGTCTGCTCAGAACTTCGAGCCAACGGTTGCTCATTTGCGGCGGAGACAGTCTCTTCAAGAACCGAGTTTTTAGATTCAACAACTTCGGAGTCACCGTCGGTCTTCTTGGTCTTCAATATTGTTAGCAATCGTAAAGTTGTCTCTGCGGGATTGGATTTCTTTACTTTCTTGCGCCCGACAATTTTCTTGGCTCGCGGCTTACGACCACGAGCAGTTGACTTGGGCTTCTCCGACTTTGTTGTGGTCGTGGTTGTGTTTGTTGGTTCGGTTACAGACGCACTTCGCGTGGCACGGCGGCGACGGGGTAGGTCGTCAAGCGACTTGAGACCTCCAGGGGAAAGAGGTTGGGATCGCGTACGCATCTTGGGTGGTACGAGAGAGGAAGTTAAAGATGATGATGATTTTGAATTTGGAGGTGAAAATGGAAGAGAGGTTGAAGGGTTAGAGATGGTTTGGAGCGTGGTGGGAAAATTGTGAGGAGGGTGAAGAGTGTTTGTTGACGATGTTGAATTATTATTTGTTGATGTTGACGCGTTGCCAGGACTAATAACCATTTGAGCAAACAAATGATCTGATCTGGTCTGATCTGATCCTCTTCTGCAAATCTGGGGAAGGAACCTTGACTTTCGACCCGTAATTGGAAGGAGCGATTTGGACCAAAAATTGTCGGCGGCAGAATTACAAAAGGCGGTGAATTAATTTATATACCCTAATTATCAGGCATCAGGGTTCCCCGGCCACATACTAGTCACACATACAAATCGATGTCCCGAGGTTCACATACATATGAACCATCCCCATCTCCATAATTACATATCTATATCATGATGGATGCCAATGTAAACAAACTTGTAGCACACCTAGCACACCCTTATCACCAATTATTACATGTTGCCTCAATAATATCCATTTGTTGATGTAAGGAGCTACTCGGATTTGAATAGTACTGAGAATAGACTCGGACTGCGCAAATAGCACTGCGGCAGTATAGGTAAAGAACATTTGAAGGTATGCAAGTTGTAAATCACTAGAACACAATACAATTAGTGCTGCATAGGTACATCCAAACTCATTCAAGTTCAGGCTCAGGCTGGAGTACTACAGTAGTACTATGTCTTATCAAAGCTTCAAATGTTGACTCCGAGTCTAAAGTCAATGATTATTTATTTCAGTAGCCTAGGAGAATACTAGCAGAGGCATCTGCATGTGGAGAACTTGAATATTAAAGACTTCTAGAATCAACAGATGGAATTTCTGGAAGGTATATTGCCCAATAGAGGCCAAATCAGACACAATAAATAAACAATGATATTTGTACAAATGTTACCAGTCACTCGAAGCATGAGAAATCTGGTAGTTCAGGTCCAAAACGTAACCCCACAAAATCCCTGGGCCAGTTCGGTAACATGGAGAAACACGCTGATACTCAATAAAAGACACCCAATGATGACCGAATTTTATAAGATGATACATTTCTTCGCCCCCAAGATCCCTTAAAGAGCGATCTCTCCCTTCCACGTAGCCTCGGATAGACCCAGCTTCTCCATGAGGTTTGTCCACCGGGGCCCACCACGCTCCTTCTGGCGGACGTATCGGAGTAGCTTTTGACGCTTGTGCACAAGAACCTGCAGGTTCCGCTTGTTGTGTTTATCCTTGTTGGCAGTCTGGAGGTGTCGGGAAAGGTTCATGATCTTGACGGTCAAGATAGCTGCCTGAACTTCAGGAGAGCCGGTGTCGGTGCCAACGCGAGGAACCTTCTTCAGCTGCTCAGAGGAATTGGGTTGCTGCACACTGGCGGGCTTAGGCGACAGGATCTCGTCGGTGTTGTGTCGTCCGAACTCCCCGATACACTTCTGGATGTTCAATCGCATGCGATCCTTGGTATTTCCATTGCTGAGATTCACAATACGCTGAATCGCCTCCTTGGCATTCTGGAATTCTTTCTCATGCTTCTCTAATGCTTCTTTCTCGTGCTGGGGGTCTGCGGTATCCCGGTCTGGGTTCTGAAGGGGCTCGGTCAAGTTCTTGGAGAATTGCAATGCGCTGTCGAGCTCATCCACTTTCAAGTAGTAATTGATACCACCGGTCGACGCAGAGACTTGAGGCTCGGTTGAGACGGCCTGTATCTGTTTAATAAAAGGTGTGGACTGGCTTGCTACCGGGTCGCCGAGAGAGGCGTCACGTTCCTCCTGGAGAACCTTCCGTCGAGACAAATTGGCAGCTTTTCGCTGGCGGGCTTGCGCGGCACGGAAGAAATCGGTTCTCTTCTGTGTTTGAGCCTTGGTAGATGCTGCTCGGGCAGTCGCTTGGATCGCGTTGGAGGATGTGGCAGCCGGGCTCTGTCCGTACAAGGTGCCTGTTATACAGCCGAGTATCAGCATTGGGATCAAGAAATTCACACTTGAAGCAAGTCGGTAAGAGCTTACCTGTCAAGGCCTTCCAAGAAGGCTGGATTGAGAAACGCGGAGGCATGATGCAGGCTGATACAGAATTCCTGACCTCCGACGACGAATGCGAAGTTCTTCGTATGGCTCTTTTGGCCAGGAAAATCATGCGGCCCGGACATTAGTACGCTAATCTAAATTGGGAACCTAGTACTTTATTCATGCCTCAGGCATTAGATGCTTATGTCATGCATGCTGGATTATGTCATGCTTTACAGCCCTAGCCCTAACTCACAACCGTCAAGCGAAATTCTCCCGGAGTGAGGCGTGGTTTTCGCGGTTCGGCTTGATCTCTTCCTCCATCACCACGACAAGAGCCAGACGATTGATCTCTCCAACTCGTCAATAAATCAATCGCCCACCATGGCCCCCTCCCAGCTCCCCCCCGGTTTTCAACCCTACCGCTCAGGACATTGAGATGCTCCTGGCTGCTCAGTGCCACCTGGGTTCCAAGAACCTGCAGGTTCACATGGAGCCCTACCTGTGGAAGACCCGTCCCGACGGTGTCAATGTCATCAACATTGGCAAGACCTGGTATGAATCGAAAGAACCTGAGATTTCCGACGGGGAATATGAATGAATAATGGGGGAATAATTGGTCTAATTTGTATGCGCAAAACAGGGAGAAGATCGTTCTGGCTGCCCGTATCATCGCCGCCATCGACAACCCCGCTGATGTCTGTGTCATCTCCGCTCGTCCCTACGGTCAGCGTGCTGTCCTCAAGTTCGCCGCTCACACCGGTGCCACCGCCATTGCTGGTCGTTTCACCCCCGGTAACTTCACCAACTACATCACCCGCTCTTTCAAGGAGCCCCGCCTGATCATCGTCACCGACCCCCGCACCGACGCCCAGGCCATCAAGGAGGCTAGCTACGTCAACATCCCCGTCATTGCCCTCTGCGACACTGACTCCCCCACCGACTTCGTCGATGTTGCCATCCCCACCAACAACAAGGGTCGTCACTCCATCGGTCTCGTCTGGTGGATGCTTGCCCGTGAGATCCTCCGTCTCCGTGGCACCCTTGCCACCCGTGAGACCGAGTGGGACACCGTTGTTGACTTGTACTTCTACCGCGACCCCGAGGCTGAGGAGAACAAGGAGGTCGCTGAGGAGGCCAAGGCCCCCGGTGTTGAGGAGATCGGTGCTGGTGCCGTTGAGTCCGGTTTCGCCGGTGACAACTGGGACGCTGCCGCCCCCGGTGCTGGTGCTCCCGGCACTGCCTTCGCTGCCGCTAGCGCTGCTGTCGGTGCCACCAGCTGGGAGGCTGACGGTGCTGACTGGGCTGCCAGCTCCACTCAGCAGACCACCGAGTGGGCCGCTGAGACCGCTCAGACCACCACCACCACCACCACCAGTGAGGCCAAGTGGTAGATTCGCTCTACAGTGACGGAGATAGCTGTTGAGAGGAGGGGGGAACTATGATCAAAATACCCAAAAAGTTTATGGCGATCCGGGATGATTGGGCTGAATCCCGTGTCCATTTGAGGCACAGGCGAGACGAGTAAATGCTCTTTTTTTTAACCTACGAATTCATTGACAACAGTGGAAAAATGCACCAATCTCCCGAAAACAAAAATTCCCTTGACATGTCTATCTTAGTTTCTGTCCAGTGTCTCAAAAAACAAAAAGAAACTGAAAAACAGCAGAAGAAAAAAAGAGCTTTCACACCGGGAATCTTCACGTCCTTTTGCATCAGTGGTCTCACCTACCAGCACTATTTTGATTTCTTTGTTTGCAGCGGGGAGGAATAGCGATGTCAATTATTGACCTGGCGCTTTATGAGGGAAAGATATCCAGTTGTATTCTGCAACTGGGGGAAAGCCCTGTGCTGTCAATCTACAAGGTGGACTTAATCGTTACCTTGGTTTCTCCCTGTTTGTATTCTAGTAATTGGAAGAGGATTGTGCTTGGTATCGTCCATCTTGATTCCGTAGATTCTTAGATGAGTAGTACACTGGTTAATATGCCCAATGCGCCCCAATGGTTTAGCTTGATGATGGATAGTACTAGTGAAGCCATCTCCACATGTATTGCGCCTGGACGTTGGTCCCACGGGTACATCGACCATTATCCACCAGGCGAATAGAAGGAGGTATGCCTTGGTCGGGTGCAATTGCACCATTCAAACCAGGACCCGGTCTATACCTGGCAGTTGAAGCACAAGCCTAAGCGCCTAGAGCCTTCATGTCCAGGTGGATTCTCGTTCCAACGTTAACTATCATGCATGGTCTCATTAATCTCAGTTGATAATATGTAACAATCATTTCATAAAATACTACATCCCCCGGCAGTCTGTCCACCCTTGTCCGTAATTGACATCCCCGCCAACCTCGCAATATCCTCAAATGTCTCCCCAAGTAGCTCACCCGTCAGAGCCGAACATTCAGCATACCTATCACAGCGAAGTTCTTGAGCGATGCGATAGCTCTACATGTCGATTAGCTGAAGTTCATATATATTGCACGTATGTATGGTTCAAACCTCTTGTGGGTAGATGATACCCTCGCCCTCTTCTCTCAGATCTCTTTTCAACCCGAGCATCATCACCGGGATGCGTTCACCGTAGCCATGCTGGAAATAGCGTGTTATATCGCTTCGCCACTATGAACTAAGTCAGTTTAATTCTACCAAGAGATATCATCTTGATGATTCTTACCTCCTTCAACCCAGCCAATGTCTCTCGATTTGAGATGTCGAATGCTATAACAGCGACATTGGGGCTTAAAGTCGACCAATGCTGGTTAGGATAAGACGTGTCGTAGACTTCTAGTGTGAAGCTTTTCTTGGAAAAATGAATATCGTAAATGAATGGCTGGTCGCTGTCTCGGAGATGATCAGGCTGAGCTTCTGTATTGTCCAAGTCTGTTTGAGCTTGCGTCCGCCGCCGAACATTCTTCAGCCGACTATCCTATAGTTAGCCATTCAAGCCCACTGAGTCGTTTTAGAGCCAATCTTGAATGACAGGAGATATCTCTGCGGTCTCTCATGGCATGGCGCATCACGATGGGATAAGGGCGAGCAATTCAGCAGTTTTGAACTCACGATAAGAATACGGATTTCCCACAACCCGGGTCGCCCAGAAGTAACAACGTTACTGTGGCGTCTGGCTCTGTGGTTACCGCTTCTGTCATATTGCCGGTTTTCCAATGTCTCTTTTGTTATTTTATGTAAACGGCAAATATTTGACATGTATTGGAGTGCCGTGGAGTCAGATGCAGTGTAGTCAAAGTATTAGGATAAGGTTGAACCAGGTGTGGTGAGCAAGCCGCAGATCGTCAAGTCCAAAAATATACTTCGGTGTCAATTTCAAGCTAAGCCATAACTCTATCGTCCTATCTTGAACATTTTTATAGGGTGTATAGATTAGTCCGATTCATTCAAGTTGCAGGGTATATTTCTTAAAATCAAAGCAAGAACAATTTCACCTATCAGGCACAGATATGCTGCCCATATTGATTTTATATTCAACTCCAGTACAATACGATACTTGTATTTAAAGCCGCAGTCAGTGTTCAGTCAGAGTCAACTGTGGAAACTTCGATACCTTCATGTAACGTGAATACGTACCAATCTCTCGCGGAAACACTCGTGACCCAATTTTCTATAGTGGGCTGAACTCACCACTGGCACCAAGTGATCTGAATTGACCCTGGGTTACTTGAGTGGTATGCGGAGGCAACCGAAAAGTCTGAGGCTCCCTCGATCTCGCTGGTCCCCATTCCCTAGTTATAACCAAACACGATTTCTTCACGGACAGAATCCCCCTCCGTCGCAAAAAATGGTGGGCACCGACAATCCAGAGCAGCCCGACTACACAACATGGAGCAACGCTAGCCTCGTCGAGCGAATCACCGAGCTAGAACGTCAATTGAAGTCTCAAACCACACAATATACTGCACCACCCACAGAGCTTCGCCTTGCGCCTATTCCTAGCGATGTCCACGAACCCGCGATCCCCACTCAAGAGGAAGCATCCGTGCAAACGAAGCCTGCGCAACTTGCCGAGATCGATATCGTGCATGCGCCTGGAAAAAAGCGAGCGCTCAAAGAGCAGCGAGATTTTGATCCCTCGAAATACTCCACGCGGTTTATTGCTCTGAAATTTGCCTACTTGGGACAAAGGTATAACGGTCTGGAGCATACCAATGGCAATCCTACACCATTGCCTACGATCGAGGAGGTGATATGGAAGGCTATGCGCCGGACAAGAATCATCTTCCCCGAAACCAGTTGTCCCGAGGAGGAGCCAAATGATACTGTGCCTCGTGCCTTACGGCCGTACTCTATCTACTGGGATGGGTGTGATTATTCCAAGGCTGGCCGTACAGACCGTGGAGTTAGTGCGTTTGGGCAGGTAATTGGTATTCGGGTCCGCAGTATGCGACCCATGCCAAAGGCTCCTGCTGCAGCCTCGGAGCAGGAAGGACTACAAGCGGAGAACGGGGATGCGATGCAGGTTGAGGAAACAGCCATGGATCAAGACTGGGATGACATTGCGGATGAGATTAACTACGTTCAAGTATTGAACAGGGTGCTTCCGGAAGATATTCGTGTCCTTGCTTGGTGTCCTAACCCTCCTCCTGGATTCGATGCCCGCTTCTCCTGTAGAGAACGCCGCTACCGCTATTTCTTCACGCAGCCTGCATTTTCGCCTACACCCGGCGCATTTGGATTCGAGGATCGCGTCAACGCTGGAAAGGGTCCAAATGCAAAGTTCCGCGAGGGATGGCTAGATATTGAGGCGATGCGTGAAGCTGCGAAGTCTTTCGAAGGAATCCATGATTTCCGAAACTTCTGCAAACTGGATACAAGCAAGCAGATTGAAAACTTCGAGCGTATCATTCATTACTCTGATATTGAGCTTGTGGACCCGAAGACCATGCCTTTGGGCTGGGTGAATCGAGCTGGCTTTCAATCGCAAGAAAATTCTGTGTCTGATGAGACTATGGAGTCGCCAGAAACGGCGGCCTCAGCTACACCCCAGGTGTACACATTCACACTGCATGGGTCTGCATTCCTCTGGCATCAAGTCAGACACATGGTCGCAATCTTGTTCCTAGTTGGACAAGGGCTCGAGTCTCCGTCGATTGTCCCCGAATTATTGGACGTGGCTAAGAATCCGTGCAAGCCAACTTATGAGATGGCTTGTGACGCGCCCTTGGTTCTGTGGGATACCATCTTCCCCGCAGAAGGCTCAGGCAGCCGTGAGGATGCTTTGGACTGGGTCTACGCTGGTGATGTGCGCCTTAACAAGAACCGGAGTGCCAAGGGTGATAGCAAGTTTGGCATGAAGGGTGTGGTCGATGGGCTGTGGACTGTTTGGAGACAGCGGAAGATTGATGAGATTCTGGCTGGTGCACTGCTGGATTTGACTGTTAGTCAGGGCACTAATAGCATTATTGATCACATGGACGGGAAGCGGGGATCAGGGAAGAAGACCAGTCGAGGTGCAAAGGTTTGGCTTGGAGATAATGACGCCCGCGTTGGAGGCAGATATGTCCCAGTCTCTAAAAAGGGAAGAACGGAGCCCGTGGAGGTCCAAAACGCAAGGTGGATGGTCTCCAAACAGCGGAAATTGGCAAGGAAGCAGGAGGCCGCAGACAAGATGGAAGAATCGTGAAGAAAGTTGTAAATACTACTCACCTTGATCTCTTTGGTATGCTAAAGGCACGGTACTGCTTTGGTTTATCATATATACCCCTTATATCAGTGGATCATGACTTTGCGTCGTAAAGACAGCGGCGAGACCCACGCCACACCTCTTCAAGAATTTCTCGCTTAGGGAGTAAATGCTGGTCATTGAAGTTCCAGTTAGCCGAGTGACACGAGCAGGCTAAAGACGTAACCTACCGGGAAAACAACCAAAGCGTCCGGCTCTCCTTCCACGATCACGGCAAGATAAAAGCGAACTTCGAAGCCCTTGAATGCTTCATGAATCACTATGTCTTGGATTTGTGTTGTAGGAATAAACCTTGTTGCTGCGGACGAGAGGTAGGTGGAAGCTGATGTTGAAGTCTGAATTCCGAAGCCCCGAATGACAAGAAGCGATTCCTCTGGACAGAATGTGAGCTTGTGTATGAAGGATGGAGTCGAAAGCAATTGCACTATACGTACCGGTATATCCTCTTCGGAAAACTCCATAGACCACGACTGCGCATACCGCCGTAACTATCCATGGGTTGTAGGGGTCCACCAGAAGATACAGCTGAGATCCCAACGGAGTCTCCCAGACGGCTTGCCAAGGTATAATTTTCGTATCTGCTTCGTAAGAAATATGCCGCAGTCGTGTTAATCCAACAAGAACCACACAGCAGAATAATAGGGCACGCAGGAGGATCTGAAAGCCAAATAGTATCTTCGCGGGGGAATTGGAGCGTCGCGGCGCATTCGATACGGCAAAGCTAACGGTGGTCGGAGAGGGACGCCGAACCCGGAGTCGACCTGGCATCGTGAAATCTAGTAATGAGCAGTAATTTGGATGAAAATCATGAATTGTCGATTTCCCTTTGGAGTAAACGAGATGAATTGAATCTCACGGGGCTCAGAGCTCCAAACTCGCGACCAACACACTAGGCCTATTATGTATTAGTGCCATGTACCTCTAGCCTGAGGACCCCAGTCCCCAGGTCACGTGTATCTTTCAGCTCTCAACTCTCCCGGGGATTGAGATCGAGACTGACTTGTTGCTGCCCAACACCTCTCACTTATCTTTGGTCACAGCCAATCCATAATGGGTGACCGATCACGAAGTCGGTCTCCACGCCGACAGGAAGGCGATCGATCGCGCACAAAGAAAACCGGAGGCTTTCGATGGAAGGAGAAGCGCCGAGACGACGATACCCGCGAAGACCGCAAGCTAGATCGTGGATATCGCGAAAGAGATGAGCGTCCACGATCACCCCGCAGAGACCGTGACAGCGATCGTTATGGAGATCGCCCTCGAGACAGTGACCGGGATCGACGCCGTGACGATCGGGACGCCCCGCGGGAGGATCGCGCGGAGAAGAAAGACAAGGAGAAAAAGAAGAAGAAGAAGCCGGTCATTCCACAGTCTTCAGAGCCCATGATCGTGGTCTTTGTGAATGATCGTCTGGGCACAAAGGCCGAGATCCCGTGTCTGGCCTCAGATCCCATCAGTATGTTGACATTCCGTGTTTCTGTGAAGCTATCGCTCCAAGGGATACCTTCTAATCTATATGCCTACAGAGCTCTTCAAGGCCCAAGTCGCTGCTCGAATCGGACGCGAACCCCATGAGATTTTACTTAAACGACAAGGTGAACGTCCATTCAAGGACCAGTTAACGTTGGAAGACTATGGAGTCAGCAACGGGGTGCAGCTTGACCTGTGAGCTTATTTACCATCCCCTCACCCGTCAATCTACTTGAGATTCATATACTAACTTCTATTATAGGGAGGTTGGCACTGGTGACTAGAGTGGAGTTCATTTACCAAAATTTCTTTGGAGTTTTATTTCTCATGGGATATTCTGGCTTGGTGGGACTTCAAAATGGTCGGTGTTTTTCATATCAAGTATCAACGGAACTTGGAGCAAGGGAGCGTGCATAATTATGCATGTATTTTTTTTTTCTCATTCTCATTCTCATTTCCATTTTTTTTAATGACCCTCTTATTCCCAATTTTTTTTTTTTTGTGTTTTTTTTTTGGTTTTCGCCCATCATGTATCATACCGGCGTGAGGAAAGAAAAAAAACAATGGAAGTGCTGTAAAGCGGTTTTGCCCGAGAGGAGCCACATCCCCACGGATTGCTGACCATTTGCTGGCGTCTCTATTAATTTTTTTTTTCTTTTTTTCCGCCGTTGTCGGGGTTCTCGGGTTTACTTGGCTTTACTGTGCTTTACTGTGCTTTACACATTTACCTGCGGGGCCATGCATTATTACCTGTCCCAATATGCCCGCACTATACTCAATCCGGTTGGTATTGACACCTTAATGCCTCAGGCATTAATACTTACAGCCAACCCGAGGCCATTACTTGTTCCACTCTCCAAAAGAGGCTTTTTTTCTATCGCGGGACTCACACGAGCTTCAATTCTTCCTCTTTTTTTTCCGGGCCATTGTCCGGGCAAATCCTCGACTTATTTCTCCCTCCGCAATGAGGTAGTCACTTGACTCTCCACTCCAGACGTTTATCTATACTACAGTTCCTTATTTTCTGAAATTCCCGATATCGCCTCCGCAGATTTTCCTCTCCAGATTCCTCGACCTCCCCTCCACAACCGCACTCGATTCTTCCGTTTCCCTCCACCCCCTCTTCTAATTCCTCAAACTCCTCAGACAATATGGTTCGCAATCTAGTTGTTATTGGGGGTAATTCCCACCCACAGTTGACCGAGACCATCTGTGGCGTACTAGGGATTCCTCCGGCTGATGTGCTGTTGTCTAAATTTGCTGTCGGCGAGACGCGGGTGGAGATCCAAGAGTCTGTTCGTGGGAAAGACGTTTACATCATCCAGTCCGGTGGTGGAAAAGTCAACGACCACCTTATGGAGCTCCTCATTACGATCTCCGCCTGCAAAACAGCCTCGGCCCGTCGAGTAACTGCCGTTCTGCCTCTGTTCCCATACTCCCGTCAAAGCGACATTCCCTACGACAAGGCAGGAGCTCCCCTTGTCAAGTCGTCTGTGGTGAACAAGCCCAGCAATGGTTACACTTTTGAGAGCACTCCCCCGACTCCCGGACCTGGGAAACCCAAGGGTCTCGGGTTGATGAATGGCATCGACAACCTCCAAAAGAGCCTTGCCAGAGCACAAATCGAGGAGAGCAACGGCAGCCCCGTCAAGCGCCGTCCTGGTGCTTCCAGTGAACTCGCTCGAAGTGATACTACCGACTCTCTGAAGTCCTTGGGCAATAGTGCGATCCCCGAGGACTCGGCTAGTGTCACTTCAACCGTCTCAAAGATCAACGGCTTCCAGCCGCGTCCTGGCTACAAGCAGTGGGTTGCGCAGGCAGGTACCCTGGTCGCTGACCTGCTGACTTGCGCCGGGGCGGATCACATCATCACTATGGATCTGCACGACCCTCAATACCAGGGATACTTTGATATCCCTGTGGACAACCTCTATGGACGTCCTTTGCTGAAGAGCTATATTCAGCGTAACATCCCCAACTACAAGCAGTCTGTTATTGTCAGTCCTGATGCTGGTGGTGCCAAGCGTGCTACAGCTATTGCTGATCAAATGGGTATTGAATTTGCTTTGATCCACAAGGTTCGTTTTCTCTCTTTATTTTATTTTTGATTTACACTGCATAGCCGAGTGCACGCAAATTTTTTTTTTTGCCGTGTTTGAGTTTGCTGACATCCCCCTGCAGGAGCGCCGCCCCACAAAGATCACAGACCGCCAGAATGCCACCATGATGTTGGTTGGCGATGTCCGTGACCGGATAGCTATTCTGATCGATGACTTGGCGGATACTTCCAACACTATCACTCGTGCAGCCAAGTTGTTGAAGAAGGAGGGTGCATCCCAGGTCTATGCTTTGGTCACCCACGGTATTCTGAGCGGTGACGCTATTGAGCGCATCAATGCCAGCGCCCTTGATAAGGTGGTGGTAACCAACAGCGTTGTTCAATCCGAGCACCTGCGCCGATGCCCGAAGCTAGAGGTCCTAGAGGTTGGCCACGTTTTTGCCGAAGTAAGTGTTATGCGTTTATATTAAATGCGCCCATTGCGCCCGGGCCATGTCCATGCTGACCGCTTAATGCAGGCTATCCGTCGTGTTCACCACGGTGAAAGTATCAGCGTTCTCTTCCAGTATGACTGATTTTATACTGAGCTCTAGCTCTTACACACCCCCAAGAAAAAAGAAAATCGTGGCTAAATATGGTCTATCGAATCTGGCATGCTACATGAAATTTTGGTGAATTTACAGGCGTTGTTGCTATGAAGATGATTTTTTACTTTTTTTTCTCTTCTTTTTTGGTTTCAAACCGCACAATTACACTGTTCTCCAACTCCAATATAGATTATTGGTCAAAGTAGACTGGAGTTCCCGAGAAGACGCTGTGTTCGAACTACGTCTTACTTCTCGGCATTGGTGTTTTATATTTGCAATTTCTTTCATTTGGCTATTTGAGCTATTGCCAAATTTTGCACATACGAAGATCAAACTACAATGAAGACAGCACCTGGTATATCAAACTCGTACCGGGCTCATTCAAGATGATTTTTTTCCTTTTCAATCATGATTATAAGCTTCGACAAGATTGCTACTTCAACTGAAGCATGTGCACAGTCCTCTAGGGCTGGAGATGGAAGCCTCTCTCGAGAGTACTTGGATGCTTTTTCTTTACTAATACTACACAAGTGCATACCACTGGTACTAATATTTTTTAGGTATTTACCTCGAGACCTAGAGAGTCATATCTTCCAAGGTTGGACTCGGACTTTGCCTATTACACCCGGGGCCATCTTACCAAAAATTATATGCTGAGTCCCGCACCTGCATCTATGTGCGTCTGAATAACCACTAGTACTGCACTAATTCCAAGGTTATGTCGATTTAGGTTGATAATAATAGGTTCAAAATACTCTCTCCCTTGCTTCCACTATCTGCAGTTGGGTGTAAGGCGCTTTTTGCCACAGACTCGGATCCGATCCATTTGGCTAACCCGGCGAAGCCTGAGAGGACCTGGCGATTTGTTTAATGAGTTTGGTCATTTCGTCTAGAAGAGAAGCTATGAGATTTTACCCATGCAAAGTGACGTATCCAATTAGGTAGATGCGATTTATAACCAATAAAGAGTGCCTTCAAGTTGTAATACATGTGCATCCATAAAACTCTGACTTAGCTCCTTCTGATAGAAGAAGCCGTAGAATACTACTACCTGGTACGCCTAGGATGTACCAGTGCTAGGCCTTCCACCTAGGCACCAATAGTACAGGTGCCACTTATTACGACAGCATACTCAGACCTACATGCTCAGCTACTGAAATTGAAGTATGAACAGATTATTCAGCTAAACTGTGTACTGCCTTGACCAAGCACCGTCTGCGCCATAAAATTGAAAACACGAAAAAAAAGAATAGCAGATCAACCTTAGATGCCCCCGAACATGCGAGCAGGGTCGCGACACAAAAAGAAAGTGATATCATACAGATCCGCAAAAAAGAGGCCATCCATCACATTGCACGAAACTTTTGCAAAGAAAAGCAAATTCATAGCTTACTCGCTCTTGCTCTTCTTCTTCTTCTTATCCTTCTTGACCTCGTCCTCGTCGGAACGCTTGCGCTTCTTGCCATCTTCCTTGTCGGCCTTCTTAGACTCCTTCTTAGCCTTCTTCAGATCCTTCTTGCTAACAGCTGTAGGGTTCCCAGAGGCATCGAAAGTAATCTCTCCACGCTCAAGCTTGCGCTGGTAACGCTTAACACTGAGACCAGCCTTCTCAGCCTGCTTCTCCAGCTCGGTCTTCTCACCGCTGGATTCAGAGTCATCGGAATCGGAATCGGCATCCTCCATATCTTCATCTGAGTCGACCTCCTCGACGAGCTTCTTGTTCTTCTTTTCCTTCTTAGCTGACTTGGGCTCCTCGGAGTCAAGAGCATCGGCATCGGGGTTGTACTTGCGAGCCTCCTTGAGGTCGAACTTCTGGGGCTGAACAGCCTCACCGTTGGGGGCAATGTTGACACCACGGGGCTTAACAGGCTTGCCCTCCATACCGGCGAGCTTGCGCTCAAGGTTGAAGCGAGCCTCGGTACCGAGAGCGGCCTTGTCCTCTTCGGTAACATCCTCATCCCACTCAGCGAGAGCATCCACACGGATACCCAGGGAAGCCTTGGCGGCCAGAATACGGGCCATCTTACCCTTGTTGCGGCCGGTGGCCTGGCCAATCAGGGAAGCGTGGTAGATCAGACCGTACTTAGGAGTGTCGTGCTTGGTCTTCAGGGCACGGAAAAGGGCCTTCTCAGCACCGAGAATCTGGAGGGTGGAGGCGGGGCTCTTGGAAAGGCTGGTCAAGCTACCAGCGTGGGCAATCAGACGGGCACCAACAAGCTCACCGACAAGGGCAGTCAGGTTAGGAGCGATGGCGTTCATACGGGATGTCAAGTAGCTGGAGAGCTGTGTGCGGTAGTCAGCCAGGGAGACAACCTGGTCGGCCAGAGCCTGGATGTTCTCGAGATCATTCTCGCTGATCTCAGTACCCATGGAACGATCGGCAGCGGACTTGACGGCACCCTCAATCTCCTCAGGCAGGATCTCAGAGAGATCGACAGTCTCCCAGTTAGTACGCATACCCATCTTCAGGACGAGTCTGGCGTAGGCAATGTTGTCGTTGAGGATCTTGGCGAGTTCGGGGAAGTGCCAGCCGTACCATTCCTTAACACGCATGGCGTAGGTGTTCAGCTCCTTGTCCATGTCGTCCAGCAGACCAATGGCCTGGACGATCATAGTATCGATCTTATCGGGGGAGAACTTGAGCTTGTGACGGGCGAGAGAGTGGGACAGACCGAGGGCCATGGTGGACATGTCACCAGGAGCCAGGCTGGGGATGAGAGCAGAGAGGTGCTCACGAATAGCACGGAAAGCATCGGCGGTGGTAGAGTCGGCAATCAGCTCAACAGAGAGACCGGGCAGCTTGCCAATGGCATTTCCTAAGGGCGACAGAGTTAGCAATTGTTTTGAGAGACTCCTGTGCAGTCTGAGTTGGGAGACATACCGAGCTTAGGGTCCGCAACAGCGAGGGAAACCTTCTTCTCATCCTTGATTCCGTCCAAAAGCGAAGCGAGGCGGGGGGTGACCTTGCCCTCAATGATCGCAGTAGCCTCCTCAACAGCGGCGGCGGCACTGTCGAACTTTTGGAAAGCCTTGAGCTTGAACCTGTGGGGTTTGTTAGCATTGCTGTGCCGCAAAGATTTTTTTTTCTTCAAATGGATTCAATGCGCGAATTGAATCTTCCCCGCTCCACAGAACAATTGTGCGGTTTTAATCTTATAGGAACCAGAAGTCACACGTACAGGTTGGTAATTCCCTCGGCGGTGTTAGCATCCTCGGGGAGCTGGTCGCGCTTGAAAAGCTTCTTGTCCTTGGCCTTCAGCAGGGCATAACCGGCGCTGGTCTCGGTGAGGATGAACAGCGACATTTTGGCCACTAATCGGGGAATGCAAAGAAAAATAAACCAAATGTAAGAATAGAAGGCCCCGTTCGATTGGCGTAAAAAAGACGGAGAAGAAAGAGGGGACCGTCGAGGCGTGTACTGTTGGAGAAGAAATCTAGAAATTTTGCAACGGGAAAGAAAAAGTGCAAAAATGAGATTCAGCCACATGTGGCTGGTGGATTATGTAATGACCCGCCGCGCATTCACTTAGCTGTATGGTAGAGGAAACCAGCTCACCCCAATTCAACTACACCACTTCACTGTCGTCGCAATGGAGGGTCTTTACTTCAATGTGAACTCTGGGTAAGCTTGGTCCTTCACTGGGATTTTATAGTGGTGCTTATCATTCCGTCGTTTTCTAGATACCTTGAAGGCATTGTCCGTGGGTATAAGAACAGCCTTCTGACCGGCCAGAACTACTCGAACTTGACACAATGCGAGTCCATTGATGGTACATAAATTTTAATGACATTTTTGACTGTTATTAATATCTGATATTAATTTTCTTCCAGATGTTAAGCTTCAACTGGGTCCATCCTATGGCGATTTCCTCGCCTCTCTTCCCCGAACCCCTCCACCTCCGCCCTCGCTGGCAGGATGACCGACAAGCTGGTGTCAGAATTCCGATACTTGGTCGCGCAGTCAACTGGGTCAACAGCCAAATTCTTAAAGTACCTAACTTATGGATACATGATCGACAACATCGCTCTCCTCATCACCGGTACTCTGCATGAGCGCGATACTCGAGAACTCCTGGAACGATGCCACCCCCTCGGCTGGTTCGAGACCTTGCCTGTGCTGTGTGTTGCCACTAATATCGAGGAACTTTACAACTCCGTCTTGATTGAGACCCCGCTAGCTCCTTATTTCAAGGGCAGCTTGAACCACCAGGATCTGGACGAGCTGAACATTGAGATCGTTCGCAACACCCTGTACAAGAACTACCTGGAGGACTTTCACAGGTTTGTGAACACAGACTCTGATTTCAACGGCCCGACTCAGGAAGTCATGTCGGAGATCTTGCAGTTCGAGGCAGACCGTCGCTCTATTAATATTACCCTTAACTCATTCGGCACGGAGCTATCCAAGCAAGAGCGGAGGAAGTTGTACCCGGAATTCGGAAAGCTGTACCCAGAAGGTAGCTTGATGTTGTCTCGGGCAGAGGATGTCGAGGGTGTGGCCCTTGCTGTCAGTGCTGTTGCAGAGTACAAGACCTTTTTTGATGCAGTTGGCCTGAGCCAAGGCGGTGGTGGTATGGGTGGCATGGGTGGCAGCGATGGAAAGAGTCTTGAAGATCTGTTTTACCAGAAGGAGATGGAGATGGGCAAGCTCGTTTTCACCCGTCAGTTCACCCCAGCGGTGGTGTACGCGTGGATGAAGCTGAAGGAGCAGGTAAGATTTCCATGTCAAGAAAAATGCAAAACAGAAATCAACTAACAGTTGCTAGGAAATCCGGAACGTAACCTGGATTTCGGAGTGCATTGCTCAAAACCAGAAGGAGAGAATCGGCAACTTTATCTCTGTCTTCTAAGCTTGGATATCTTCATGACTTTTGTTCTTTCCATTTGTTCTGTATTTAACCCCATTTGGCTACATGGCCTTGCTTTGGCGGCCATTTCTGTTGTATAGAGTACCCAGTTCGTTTCTTGTTTCTCAGTATTTGAAGTGAGCGCATCGATTCCCCGAACCGGGGCAACTTGCCACTGGTTTCGGTTTCTTCTCTCCTTTCCCAGCTTTTCAGGCGTTTGGCAATTTTGATCTCTGTGAATAGAAGCGCAAAATCTATCGGGGCAAATGGAGTCCTTGAGTTATAGAAGGCAGCAGTGAAGCTCCACAATCCGAGTATCGCAAATAGTATACGGCTGGTGGAATATCATTTTTAGGTTGGCATTTCTAAAGTGCTCTGATGATGCCGTAAATGTATGCCAGAAACCTTCGAGTTGGAGTAGGGCCCGCGCCGCATCCCAACCTTGAAATAACTCATGCAAGGTAATGTCTACATCGAAAGCAGAACAGACAAAGTTAGACTTTTCTTCAAGAATCTCAGGTACTCGAATCAGAATTCCTTAAATAGGTTAATACTGGGTGAATTGAATGGTGTATCTGAATCCGACCAGTGAAGCGGGCTGAGATCTATAGTAATTGAGACCGCCTGATATACCGCCATTTTATACAGGCAAAATATGCAATTTTCCCTGCGGTTTGAACTTCTACCTTTTGAAGAATATCTAAACATCTCACAATCCAACACAATGAGGGTAGGATTTTCTGATCGAATGCTATAATTTACAGTATGCTGATATATACCTTCAGATCATTGACCCCCAGTCTGCTGTCCTCACCAATATCGAGGTTCTAGCTTATTTGACATCCAATCCACCCCGCCGCTCCCCGAACCCGCCATCGAATGCCGATCGCCTTTGGGTTCCTAGCCCTGACCTAAGAGATCATAACACAGTCGTGAAAGAGGTAAGCTTGGCGACCTTACAATTGCTTTTTTCACCCAAATTCTATCCTAGGCAGAGATCGAGCCTGAAATCAGCCGAATCCTTCCCAGAAGAGAGAAAAAAGGCCCACCGATATCTGGAACGAGAAGCTAACAATCTCATTTCACTCTATTAAGATTCACAATTATGTCTCTCGCATCTCACCACACATCCTCAAATATCCTCGCTCCACACCTCGCCCTTCCTCCTCGCAATCTGCCTCTGCAGCAGCTATGATGGGAACCATGCGCCCAGCAGCTGAAAGCAGCGACATAGATAACAACGACCCCTCCAAACCTTCAATCCCTCCTCCTGTCATCCCGTCTGAGCAAACACCTATGGATCATGCCCTCCGTGAATTGATTATGAAATTGCAGCCCTACGGCTTGACCAAGGCGGAAGTGGTTATGATTCTCAATTTGGGAGTTGGGGCTTCCAGCCCCGCGGGTCAGAACGGCGAAGATGTTAATGGCAATGGAGATGCAATGGAGGTTGACGAGAATGGTGTTAATGGAGAGGGGGAAGAAGGCGAGGAGGATTTCGGAGCGCTGGCGCTTTTTGAGTCCGTTGTTGAGGAGAGAGAAGCGCGCATCTCGGATGAAGATGTGCAGATTGTGCTGGGGATTATTCGAGAGGTCTTGAGTAAGAATTATGATTAAGATCTCAAAGACTATCCCTTTTTCTTTGCCATTTTGTTTAAAAAGATGTATGGTTTTTCTAGTGCTTGATATCCCGGCCGTTTTGGCCTTTGAATACTACTGTATAAGTCTTCAAGTTATGCTCAGTGATGAAAGTCATACTACGGAGCCAGTAGTCACTCACACCTATACTCATCAATAGACATACTTAAATAGTTAAATGGTTGCCTACTACAGGGACGTGTAACTGGTGGAAATCCATATCAATCGCTACTGATAAATTTGTAGAGACCACCTGGGCAGCAGCAGAGCTTGAGGCATGGAATACATGTACTGCAAAGAAACATAAGAGCTTAATGAGGGTGTAATGAGAGGTAAATTCCTCGTGGGAGCACTCAAGATTCGAGTCAGGGTTAGCTGAGACATAATTTGATATTATAAGGTTATACTTCTGAATTGTTTGACCACAAGTGATAACCTTGGAAGTGAGTCACCTATTTGTAGGTGAGTAATCACTCATACACAAATTTCTTGAAAGTTTGGCGGAACATCCATCATGATCGTATCATTTATAAATGGTACATGTAAATGAATCCATCTCTTGAGCTATTTACCTCAGCTACTCCTACATACCATAACACTATCATATAAAATGTTGCCTGGATGCTGGACTCAGAGGCGGCACGTCCATCGCGTGAAGCCTACCCTTCCCATCAAGCATCCAACGCCTAAGTCACAGAGGCTCGCTTAGTCTACTGGCTACAACTTGAACTACAACGCCTTGATGCAGCAGAACAAAGCACTGCCATGTCATGCACCCTGATATCGATGGATGGACTATTATCCTCGGCCTGCACGATATCCATACCTATACGTCGAAACACATCCAGGATAACCCTGGATTCTGTGTCATAGCGACCTAGTCTTCACCAGAGGCCTGCGCTTTGAAGTCCATGACATTGTACTGCGAAGAAATCAGTATGCTCAGGACTCATGATGTGTCGGTTCCTCACGTACTATCTCTCCTTGAGGATCCGCTCGAGTTCAACACTTTAACCTATGAAGATACGTTCTACTAACAGCTCCTGGTGGATGAGTATTCGAGCATTGTAGAGCGTGTCTATGATGGCTCCGACACAATCGAAACAAATTTCGTGCAGACCTACACGCCGACCTTGAAAGAGCTGTTGATAGTGCAAAGCACTGATCGGGTCGAAGATACCTACATCAGCGGGGTCAAATCCAATTTCGCTACTTGGACCGCCACCACTTGTCTAGCACTGAGAAGTGGCCAGTTTACCTCGGTCCATGGCTTGCACCGGAAGGCGTCGTCGTCCTCTGAACTCAATGAGACGCAACTCCCGCTTCGGCATAGCCTATTGGCAGTACACACTTTATACAGAAGATGATTTATATGGATAGGGCCCTCAAGCTAGGTAAGTCTCCCTTGAATCCATTGTCTTGTTCCAAACACCAATCTTGCTCACACTCTGTTGACTCCTTTGGCAGGAGTTATAAATCCTCAAATGAACTATGTTTTACATGGCAAAGAACACATACTTCAAGGCAATGAATGGTGACATTCTCGGATACCCCAAAGAAAGCCTCATGAAAGCCAGCACCACGATGGACATAGAGCCACAATACCATGCAATTCATGCCTTGCCTTTGATGGGCCATTTACAACTTGCGTGAAGGTCAAATGGCACCCCTGCACCCAAAGATATGGCAGAGAGGATAAAGAGCGGCATCCTAGAGAAATTCGCGATGCCCTTGGCTGTTTGTATAGATCTCGAGGCATGTGTAAGCACCGGTCGAGTCTTCCAAGTGGGCATATGTGACCTAGAGGGAAGGAAACTTTTGAATTGCGAAACAATCCTAAGTCGCGAAGAGACACGGAGGACGTCAGCAGACCCGGGCAGCATGAAGGAAACCCTACAGGTCACTTTCGAGCGCAAAGCTCGCGCTCTGTCCTCGGCAAACGGGTATATGTATGTCGAACAGGTGGGTGCTAGGCTGATGAAACTCTTTCCTCGTCCCGAAGAGGGGATTTTCATTTCTTGGGCCATGTGATTGGAAATCTTATTACTTCCACCTCACTCTCTCGGTTTACCTCAGTCCAGTCCAACTTTTCTAATTGAGGCCTCGAATAGTGGGCTTTTGCTACCAAGCCCCAACTCATCCATGAATATGATCAAATTAGCTACTTAGCCACCAAAGTGACAACATAATGAACATCTCCTACCAAACCCGCTCACTACATAGTAACGGATTCTCTTGAGTTGAACCACTACCGCCACCACCACATTTAAGTCCCCTGCTGCTGCTGCCGATGCCGATGCCGCATAGCGAGGACTCCTCTTCCAGCTCGGATGGCGCGTACTGCGAGGACATCGATTCGACAAGCGCAGAAGAGGAATCAGATAACGAGTCTTCGGGTGTCGGTCATAGCAGACCTTCAGCTCTTCCTTGAACTAAAACTCGCTCAGCGCTTCGAACAAGGCTACTCGGCGCAGATAGTGGCGCATAGAGCGCGTCTCCTTTCGGTTTTTCCTTTTCATTCGCTTGGGTGCTTTTAAATTTTGTCCTATAGTTTACCATATGCGGCGCTTAGTGCGATCTCCGCATCCCAGGTATCTGTTCACGATCTACGTGGCAGCTTCTCTCAAGTTTGAAGCGAGCGAGTCAATTTTGTTGGTACTCAGAATTCAACACTCAGACTTGCCTTATTCCTCTGGGAGATTGCACACCGACTCGGAAGTCATTGACCAACCTCAGAGCTGAACAATAACACTCTCATACTATGTATATTTTATTGGATATCAAATCACCTTTCCAAAATATGACAATATTGAAATATTCTTTGAGCTAAACCAGTTGTTTGACAGTTATTTACGAAGTAAAGCACTAGTAACACTCATACTGACACCAGTAAATCAATTCTAATCACAATATCATATCTATAGTAGTCCGTCAAGGCTATGAACATGGTAAACGACGGAGAAGCCACCCAATTAAAACGCCTTAGCAGAATGAGGTACAGAATCCCATAGCATGGCGATCTGATAATAGTAAACCCGAACAGAAAGCAAAAAACACAAAGTGGTATCAAGCTCAGCAAAAAGATCATTGGATCTCATGGCTTCGAACGCAGAAGCAAGTATATACATAAAGCTTCAAAGCACAACATCCGATTGCACATCAATATGACAGCATCATTCATGTACACAGGAGCAAAGACATCAACTCGAGATGAGCAACGCTAATTAACATCAAAAGACCTCGAAGGAGGAAGAGAAATTGAATAGAGGGATTACCACTCTTCCACATCCTCGGCTGCCTCAGGTGGTTCTTTGCCGTGAATGATGTTTCCAAACTTGTTGTAAACAGGTTCATCTGGATCTCCATTCTCTTTGGCCCAAGGTCCTAAGTCATCATCGAAGAGATCTCGCTCTTGGCCTTCGCAGACTTCTGATAGTGTGACCCAGTTCTCTTCGTCTGTCCACACTCCACCTCGTCCTCCACGCATATCCCACCAGTTCTGACCACCTAGCAGCGCTGACTGTGCGGCGTCAAACCCGTGGGCAACACGGACATATCGACGGAGAAGAGCACGGGCCCAGGGGAAGAACCACATCTTCTCCCACCAGGCATTTCGGAGTTTCTCATCTCCATTCAGATGCGCGAGGACGGGGACAGTAGCGGAGTGGGGGTTGGTCATCAGAGGTGCATTATGCCATGAGTGCTGCTCCGGATTGGGCAGCTTATCGAGCTTAGCATCCCATTCTGGGCGGGTAGTTTGGTCTTTGGCGAACCGACTCTGGTTGTATGGGTTCGGGAGAGCGGCAATGTCACTAGGGAGAAGAAGACGATGTTCACGAGGGACACCATATTGGGCCTGGAGAATCGATGTCTTGGTGATGTTATTGAACTTGATCCACTCGACATCATCGCGAGCGAGGATTTGGTTGAAAAAGAGCTGCGATTCAAAATCGACTCCGATGCCGAACTCGTACCGACGACCCGTCTCAAGACGAAGACTGATGGTTGAGATATTGGAGGGCTCGTTGATACCCAAGAGTCCCTGAAACCATTCCGTGATACCATTCACAGTGCGACGTCGTTCCAGTTCACGAATAACCTCTTGTCGTCCATACATCTGCGTCAATGCCTGGTAGTCACCGTGTTTCTTACGACGCTGCTCGAGAATTCGTAGAGCCTCATCATATATGAGTCGCAAGTCTGCCGCTTGTCCAATGACAGCACCAGGATTCAACCATCGAGGCCTATTCAGGTGTCCATCGGGATAGATATCTGTCTTCCAGCCGAACACATCTGGAGGAAGCGTTGACTGCGGCACAGAAATGCACCCCGCATCATCTTCCAGAGAACTATAGCACTTTTTGCTAGCGCCAAAGAGAACACGCTGCGAGTACTTCTGTACAAGATCTGGTGGTGCGCCCTCAGTTGTTGACTCCACTGTGCCGACTCCGTACCTCTTGAGTAACTTGCGATTGTTCTTCCGCAGGATGTCTTGAAACCGTGTCACAAGAATATCAGGTGGAAGTTGGAAGAAAACATCATCGGCATCCACCATCAAAACGATATCGTGGTCGTGGACTACCTTGCTCTGCTTCAGATAATCGCGTATGCGGGTCATCCGGTCCACGGTCTTCTCGAAGTCCGTCGCGCCGGTCGTTTCGTGTCCGTATCCGACGAGGGTTGGTGGTGGGTATCCTAGGATCATCGCTGATGCCAATGCTCGACATGTGCCGCGCGAACCCTGTTGGGCTGGTACCAAGACATGGAGTTGAGGGTTGGGTTTGTCCAGGTCATGAGGAAGGGTCTGGTTCATGAAGATGTCGGTCCGTTGAGGGAGTGCAACCTGCGCATTCTCGGGGGATTCTGGAAAGGGGTGAAGGGAGGGGAATTTGGCCCAGAAGTCGGGTTCATTTCTCTGTGGACGTAACAATCGTTAGTACTTTGGCGTTTGTCTCTTCTCCTTCGTCTTTCTCGTTCGCAGCGCTACTGAACCGGTGATCGAGGTATGCCCGTCGAGCGCACCCGTGGAAGTCAAGGGAATGTCTTCAAAGAACTCACCCTTGATGATGAAATTATGAATAAAAAGAAGAAGAAGGCAATCGCAGAATATGCGATGGCTTTGGCTCTTGGTGTACGAGGCCTTTGGTGGTAGAACCGCCACAACATGGTAGTAGTGGCTAATTTGACCTCCTCGAACTGTGGCAATGGCGGGCTCGAAGGCGCCATGCTGAGGAAGAAAAGCCGGAACGACCTCAGATAGAATTAAAGAACGATTTGCACATGTCGTGAAACCCTCGTGGTTGACGACGATTCATTCTATGGAGCAAAGGCCACGCGGGAGGTACGCAATCGATGCAGGTGGAGATGGAAACGGCATATTAATCTGGGACTTGATCGGCATTTTCCCGTCACACAAAGGATTACAAGCACTGTGGTAGTTCAAGTTTTCATATAGAATAAATAAAAGTAATCCTTGAAATTCAAATGTTTCATATAAATTGAACTTCTTTATTGTATAAATTGGTATGGTTTTTTTATAACTTGAATCTACTCCAGGTAGATTTCTTCCTTTAATCGCTGCAGGTTGCGGAATAGCCCACCTCCTGCTACTCCACTATCCCCATCTCGTCTTGGTTCCGATCTTGACTTTGAGCCACGCTGGCTTTGCTCAGCCATCGCCTTATGATGATCAAGATTGCGTCGCCTCTCATCCACCAGACGACCGAGATTGTCCACAAATCGCTGACGCGCCTTCTCCTCCGCCGAGCCTTTCCATACAGTTGCCAATGTCCGTAGTGTCTCCACACGGCGGGTGGCTGCATCCAATCCAGCACGGCCACTCCCGGCACTGTCCAACAGTTCCAATATCTCTGTTCGTAGCTTCTTCATAACCTCCTGGCCTTTTTCCTCTTGGTCACTGCCATCTACAGTGATGTCGGGTCCAGAGACAGATATAAAAGATGATGAGAAAGAGATTTCCGAGGGTGGTAGAGGCCACTCCATAGCGTCGCCGAAGGTTTGAACCACGTCCTCTAGTCGCGAGCGGACTTGATTCAGAGTGCGTAGGTTTGTAATGTATTCCGGGTCCGCAATCGCATCCTTCTTCTGTACAGGTTCTGTGACCTCCACCTCGTCCTCCTTGGTAGATGTAGTATCCTCTGTCGCAGCTTCGGTTGCGGTCTTCTCGGCAGTTGAAGGGAGAGTTGTATTTGAGTCTGGAATGAACTTGGTGATATCGTCTCGCAATACTTCGGTCAAGGTTTCGGACAAGCCAATAGTTTCTCCTCGTAATACTTCTACCTCGTACGCAAGACGGCCACCGCTGCGCAGAATTTCATCGCTCAGCTGGGACAATGTGCTGGATAAACGGACGTTCTGGGCGCTGATCTGTGACAGGAGCGACTGCACTTGGGCTGATAGTTCAGTCAACGGCACAGAGCCGGGTGTTCGAGAGGCATTGAGTTGTGATGAGGCGACCGTCAATGGAGAAAGGGATTCGTTGAGGAATTCAGCTGGATCGAAGCTTGAATCGGCGAAGTTGGGGGTCGCGTCGGATACATTAGGGGATTTAATATTAGCTCGAGAGGTCGAGGTGTAGCTTTGAGAAGCCATAGTCATTAATGTCAATGGCTCGAATTTAAGCGGCCTTTGAAATAAGGAGCTTAATAGGAGTCAAGCAAGTCTGGGGATCTGTTGGCGGGGAGAGTTGTGTACGGAGTCTACTGCGGACATAGGCGGTGAATTCCCTGTGCTGTCAACTGGTCACGCCAGGTACATCTATACAATCTGACATCTGGAGTCTCGAGATGTCAATTACAATAATTATCACTGTTTTTCAAGTCAATAAAGCCTACATCGTTGCCCTCTGGTATGCAGATACGCTTCTGATAAAAAATGTGATAAGAATCATAAAAATACCAATAGGATTTATTACTGCAGGCTCACCATCCTGAAACGGTCCTACTCCTATAGAGCACCGTGACATCATGGTGATTGACACTTACATCCTATCATTCAAGTCAAAGCGAACATTGAATCAAGGAAAAATGCATATTTCTTAGCAGGAATGTATCTCAATTATACTAACGTAATTAGAATATCCAATCATTGAACAACAAGCAACAAAAGAGGGTGGGTATCGTCATAGATCCAGTCGCATCAAGCCATAATACAGAAACATTAAAGCTCACAGGGAAGACCAATCACCCGTATTGATCGGGCAATCGGTTCAGTCCTCGGTAAAGCAATATACATGAAACAATAAGATAAAGTCCATATCCTCTCAAGGGAATAGCTGAAAAAAAGACATCGCAAAGACACAGCAATCATGAAGAAAACATCTTAAATGTTCTCAACCACGCGCGCATTTATGGCCTGCTGGAATCCATCATCAAACTGGCTGTTTGACTGACCATGAGTGCTAGGACCCTCTCCGGCATTCTCAGCCGTAAGCAGCTGCTGTTGCACAGTCTGGTTCATAGCAGGCAAGAAGATAACCTTGCTGTTAGCAGTCTTAGCCATGGACTGCATGGCTTCGAGGTAGCGGATCTGCATAGCAGGAGCAGAGGAAAGAATATCCGCAGCTTGACGCATCAACTTGGCAGATTCGACTTCGGCGCGAGCGGCGATAACCTTGCTCTCACCAATACGCTTGGATTGAGCAGCCATGGAGAGTGAATCCTGGAGATCATTGCTGAAGATGATATCCTTGATGAGCATCGACTCGACTTGAACACCCCAGCCAGCGGCAACTTCCTCGATGATCTCGGATGTAGATTGGGCGATCTCCTCGCGACGCTCGATCACGTCTTGAAGGACGCGAGCTCCAATGACATGGCGCAAAGTAGTCTGGGTACGCTCGACGAGGGCTTGCTTGACGTTGGAGATACCGAACGCGGCCTTGTGTGGGGAGGTAACTTGGTAGTAGATAACGGAGGTCAGGTTCAGAGTGACGTTGTCCTTGGTCATGCAGACCTGGCGCGGCACCTCGACGATCTGGATCTTGACATCCACAGTTGTGAGGTGCTCGCTGAGAGGGTTGACCTTGACCAGACCGGGATCGACGGATCGCTCGAAGCTATAGAGTAAGATATTAGCAAAATAGATCTTTTAGAAGTGAAGCTTTGGTGTGCATACCGTCCAAATCGAGAGACCAAACCAACTTGACCTTGATCGACAGGCTTGAAGGGGTTGGGACAACAGATACAGCAGGGAATGGCACCACAGAAACCGATGCATGCGCCCAGATTATGAACTGTGGTGGTTTGATATTAGCTATTGCTGCCCTCGTGACTATGTCATTTCAATATCAAGTGTGGTAATATCAAGCTATACTTACTCATCTCAGAGTACCATCCATGCGCATCGGGGTTTTCCGAATCATGCTCAATTGTGGCGGCATATCTAGGCTGCAGATCTCCCAAGCGAGCAGGCTGGACCTTGACTAAACCGCGGTTTGGGTCGCGTTGGGAGGTAGGGTCCTGTCCTACAGGAGCCTTACCAGTGCTTGCACCGTTCAAAGACATTGTGGGTATGTAATAGTATTGAGATGAGTTGAGTTGGAAAGAAAGACGAAAAGGAGACAGGGAAGAAAGTATGACAAGATGAATGAGGGGAAATCATAAGGTTTTTAAACGTCCCATTGTAAACAGAGCTTCCCGCGATCAGCCTTGACCAACCGTACAACTTCAACATTTCACATATGCCCAGTTCTCCGCAGTGGGGCGCCCTACATGGCTTCACCACCAATTATAGTCCTACGCATTTTCTTGCTTTCTTCTCAGGACTTGATCACTTTTTTCACTTTCTAAGCCTTTGCTGAGCCCCCCCGGGCGCAAGGACCTTAGGACCAACAGGACCTCCCCCAGGTTACCTCAGGTATCCACTATGACTGAATAGATTGGTTGAAAGAGCTGCCGTCTACCCGGGATCCAAGTCACTTGGAACCTCGTCAATGAGTCGATGATCTAACCTGCCGAGTCTTCTTTTACTATTTCGGGTTGGCCCCAACCAGACGCGTCCAAGCAGCTTGGCTTTGAGAATCTAGGAAGACGACTATTCTACAAGCTCACTCTTCACGGTATACAGAACTCGGGCATACCGAAGTATGTACGGCTGCACCGGTGATTTAGCCCTGGACCGTAATGAATACCACGGTGCAATCCCTTTTTACTCATTCCTGGACTCTTCTAGGGTGCTTGTTGTGACGATGGTATGCAGGGCTGTCTGCCATAGCGATCGGGACATTCCACACGTGAGGCCCACACTTTTCCAGATGGTTTCTACGGAGCAGTGGACCCTTCTTTGAGCCAAGACCAGTGGAGCCTCTAAAGGGGGCGAGGCTGACTTCCGTGCACTCAGAACATTGAGGGCCGAATGATCTCAAAAAACAGTACAGTTCGGGGCGATGCAGGTGTCAAGAAGATAAAGGCCCCAGGTTCTCGGAGATTATGACTCAAGACGATCTAATTCAAGTTGATGATTTGTTCATGTGTCGGGCGCTAGCATGGAGTTGGCTAGCATGGAGTTGGGTTGCCCTGACGTAAAGCACCAAGACCTCCGGTTCGCCCCCATGATACGGGCCAGGTGATCCACTCGGGCCACGGTTTAAACTTGGGGCAGTGCTGAGGCAGGGTTCAATACCAAGAGATCCTTTGTTTGGGGGATAAGTGTTTCAATATTATCGTCAGTGCCATAGCTGTAGAGAATATGAAATCTACTAGCTGTAGTCAGCAGACAAGATGAATGAGTTGTGGAGGATAATAATCGCGCAAAAAAGCCACAAGTGGACTCTGTATGTCTCACTAATTTAACAACAATGCACTAAACTGATCTATTCTCTATGAACCAATTGTAAAACTTCCGTGCCCCGCGCTAACTATTATGGAGTAGAAACAAAATAAAAAAGGCCTCACTGATCACACGATATGGACATGCCGATTAAGCCGGAGTCCAAAATAACCAACCAACTCCTGCACAGAATTTCAAAGCAGCCGCAAGCCATAACACCAACGCCATACCTCCCTCCGTACGACTTAGCCATCCTCCCACAATGGCCCCAGTCAAAAGCATCACAACCCCTCCAATCCGACGATTGCGCTTCGCGTTCTGAGAAATCCCATCAAATAACCCAGCATCCGACGCAATATCATAGTACACGCTAGTCAAGACGACTCCGGGGATCTCATTAAATCCCAACATGCGAGTTGAGTTGATGGAACCCGCAGATTGAAATGCCAACAGCGCGATAGGAACCAGAGTCAGAAGTGGCCGGTCCAACGTAAACTGTCTTCCACTCTGAGTTTGAACCACATCTGTCTGGATCAAGACGGCTGCGATAATGATCAGGAGTGCTTGGAAGCAGAATGAGAGGAAGAGTGTTCCACGACGACGGGCTCCAAGTGCCTTTGTGCATCGGGCGAAGGTCATAGCGCCTATAACGAAGGCTGCGATTGATACGATAGATCGAGCCCATCCATTGGGGGCTCCTAGTGGTTGATGGGAAGCGCCTAGTCCGAGGACAATGGTGTTTCCTGGGATCGTTAGCTTGATCATCATGGAGCGAGAGATCTGAAGAGCTGGCATCTTACCGGTTTGCATAGCAAGGAAACAGGACCAGGCATTGAATGCGCAACTATCACATAATCCGGTGTTCAGGCAAAGAAGAAGGCAAATTAAATCTGTGAAATTGGTATCCACGGTTTCTCCCCATCGCTTGTTCAATCTTGATCTCCTGTTGAGGGGAGGTGCCAATTGGACTTCATCATCAGGGATGTCAGCTCTCTTTTCAGAAGACATGGTGCAATCTTGCAGTCAACCTTGCAGTTGAAGAGATAGAGAAAATTGCCTGGAGGGAATTCGAGAAATTGTTACAGGACAAGCTCGGAACCTCGGTTCAGCCCTAGGGTAAAGAACGGTATTACAGTGTGGGCCTCGAGAAGATCAGATCTCATCCAGGACGGACCTATAGGCTCCAGAATTTCAATAGTACGAAAACCTGGGAATTATTCAGAACATTTCTTAACTAATCATGTTTTTCCCGATCACAAGTAAGAAAAAGTAGCATCCAAAACGATAGACTCGAGAGTAGTTCGAGGTACCTATGAAGAATGTATTCGCGACCTTGAACATAAGTTACCTACAGTGTGCTCATGTGACTGAATGCATTAGTTCAAGTTAATTCCAGGTGTTCGGTTATCTCTTCTGACCTCGCTATTTCCGATTATTTGATGAGAACCTTGGGATTTCAGCCATCTGCAGACCCCAGCTAAGGTATGCAGTCTCATCCTAGTCTCATCCTAGAAAAGCCAATCCTGCTTAACCGAACTGGACTCCTCTTCTATAATTTCTAAATTCACGCGACTTAATAAACTCAATCCTCTCCTCGAAAAAGCAAGAATCTCCGTGGAATATCCTCTTAAATCGCGCAAGGATGAAGATTGTGCCTCCCACTGGCCCGTCGGCTCACGACACCAATCAAGAGGAAGACCTCATGGCCCGGGCGTCATTTTGAAGAAGGCCTCAGCGACTAATTGAGGTATGTCACCCGACCTGCTCAAAGCTTGTAAAAGCTTGTTCTAAGTCCGAATGTGCCGTCTACTCCGCTTTTTCTTACTCGGAATTGGTCTTCTAATCGGAAGTGAACCATTGGTCCGAATTATCCGAATGCTATTATGTTCAAAGCTCACCGTGCATCTCATTTGGGCTATATCAATATATAAGCATTCATCTATTTTATCCAACTAGTCCTTCAAATAGAAATAATTAGTGCATTTTGAAAAGGAAAAGGGTGTGTAAAATCTCTTAGCTTCTATCTCGAGCTCGCTCCATTATTTCCCCGACTATCTACCAACATGTACGGGAAAAAGGCAGAATAGCCCGAGATCTACACCCTGAGTCGGCTAATCGGCAACCCTTACAGTAATATTGCAAAGAATACCTATTCATCTTTGAATACACATCTGGATGGGTCTATCCAGGCAACACCATTACGGGGATCCACTATCAGCCCTATAGGGCGTGTGGGGACATTCGCATGTGTAGTCATTCTCTTCATAAAGGGATTGCATATGCCGATCAACATAGTTGTCAGGTCTCTTGTTGCTGTAAGGTTGCTATCAATAGCCAGTTTGACTAACAGGGTTCCAATCCTGTTCATGCACTTGCAATTTTGATTTTGGTTTATTTCCCACTATGGAATGGTTTAAAATGTTCGATGTTGAACTTGAAAATTTGAATATGACACGCAGAAATCGATAAACAGTTTGAATAATTCAAGTTGAATGGAGGAAAATTTCTTTTCTACTACAGAATAGCCGGCATTGTTTTTCTTTAAAAATCCAGTTCTGTTAAATCTTATTATCCCATTACGAAATATGGGTCTATTTAGAATAGAGATCGAAGTGAAGTGTAAGCTAGGAGGTTTATCCAGATGTCTGTAAATGATTTCCAATGCGTCCGCATAAACCTCCCGAGTACAACTGTCGAGTAAATTCTTGAACTTACATAGTGCGGACCCGCACTGTTGCTATTTAAAAAAAAAGGATCAATTATGAGAACAATGACGCAGGCATGTTTTAGCGGAAGACCATTCAATGATGCTGGCTCAACTCTAACTCATTTTCTCTATTCGACGCCAATTCAACATTTGCAAAATCTTGAATATGAATTGGAGAGCCTGGGCCCCATGATCTTCTGCGAGTTCAATCGATTTTAAACTTGTCGGGGTTGATCAAGTTGTGTCTAAAATAGGATGAGTTCGATGCCTTCAGACTAAAGAAGAAGGCAGTCAAAGTTTCGCACTGACTTGATCGTCATTAGGTCGAATTGAGGGGTTCCAAGCTTCTTTTTGGTCATTTTCATACAATCTTGGAAGATGCAACAAAATACATGCAGCTAGTTGGATCAACAGATGCATATGGACGTCAGCACTCAGCAGTTGGGTGCCTTACATCGGGGTAAATACTTTTGCTTTGTGGAGAACTTTGGAGGTGCCTTGATACCCCTCATGGTCTGAGTCTAAGCTGGCGGGGGCTTATGATCATATATCTCTCCGATGAGGGTATAAAAGAGTCACTCGGGTACCTCTGGTCTGTTTTCATATCATCCTCATTCTGAGCCTTGAAACACATGATTCATCTGTGTATACTTATCATGACTCGCACTTTTATGCTGAGACTGTGTCTCCCCATTTTCATTCTCTTCAGTACTCTCCAGCGCAGTTATGCTCTCCCTCACAGTTCCACTCCTTATGGATGGGCCTCTGCCGTCGGCGATGATGAATCATCCGTAAGGACACCTCTGCGGGGGGCTTCATCCCTCCTTGGCGTTGTTGAAAACGAAGTGAATTCCAAAAGCAGCGGGGAGGTCTCCCAGTCTGCATTTGAACTAGGCCTTGGGCAGGGTGCCAATGCAGATATAGGAATCCCATTCACCTTCAAGGACGTTGAAAATCCCCAGCCCATTCGTGGTGATCTCGGCTCTACAGACCCCGGTCCACGGACATATGCCTATGATCGCCTGAATCCCAACACCTTCGCTCCACCTGGCTCTGACAGTGGTGAAGTGACGCAGGGGAAGTGGCCTCTCGGTCTTTCCCATAACCGTATTCTTCCAGGACATGCAGGCTGGTCTCGACAAGAAAACACCGATGATCTGCCTGGCGCCACAGCCATGGCTGGGGTCGACATGAAGCTGGCTCCATGGGCCTACCGCGAGCTACACTGGCATCAAGCAAATGAATGGAGCCTTGTCTTGAACGGAAGCGTCCGCGTTCAAACGATGAACGAAGATGGCGAAACATTCACGGATGATGTTACTGCCGGTGATGTCTGGTATTTCCCTTCCGGTGTACCTCATTCACTACAAGCACTTGATGAAGGCGCAGAGTTCATGCTCGTCTTCGATCAAGGTGATTTCAGCGACGGCGGGACAAGTTTGATCACGGAGATGTTCCTGCGTAATCCTAAGGAGGTCTTATCGAAAAATTTCCAAGCTCCGCTTTCGGATTTCGATGAAATGCCTCAAGATCAATTGTACATCTTCAACGGAACACCCGCTCCCAAGAATTTGAGTGAACAGATTGTTCCTGGACCTGGTGGCGTTGCATCTGGCAATTCAAGCTATACGTACCACTTGTCTAAGCAAGAAGCATATGAAACGCCTGGTGGAAGCATCAAGATTATCGACCCTATAAGCTTTCCGATCGCGAAAATGTTTAGTGCAGCACTCGTAACCATCAAGCCGGGAGCAATGCGAGAGATCCACTGGTATGCTCTTTGGTCTGTTCAAAGAGATGGTTGCGAAGATCAATCACTAATAAAGGTTTTCTTGTAGGCACGGTACCAGTGATGAGTGGGGATTTTTCCTCGCCGGAAATGCACGAGTCAGTGTCTATCAAGCACCAACATCTGGGGCCACAATTGATTTTTCCGCTGGAGATATTTCATATGTGAAAGCAACCGCAACACATTACATTGAAAACACAGGAGATGAGGATGTTGTGTTTCTTGAAATGCTCCAGGCTACTCGGTTCACTGATATATCTGTGGGACAGTGGTTGAAGCTCACTCCGAAAGAGATCATCAAGGATACTTTGCATGTGCCGGACAGCTTTTTGGATAATCTTTCTGCCAACAAGCAGTATGTCATACAGGGGAATCGGAACTTGACAGCCTTGGCGGATGGGTCGGGAATTGCGTAGAATTGAAGCCTGAGTGTATGTATTGAAGTCTGGTTGTTAGATGATGTGTGCTCGGTCCAGTCCGTGTTAAACACTTCGGCATTCTGCAGTCAGGAATACTAATAGCATCTAAGCTTACAGGTTCAAGAAGCCTTAATTCACATCCCTTACATCAACTAGCATCATTGGTCTAGTGGTAGAATTCGTCGTTGCCATCGACGAGGCCCGTGTTCGATTCACGGATGATGCACATTTCTTTTTTGTCTTTTTGTTTCTTTTTCACTGTCTCCCGCATTGAAATATGTTTTCTCCCTCTTATTTTTTTGCTTCAAATTGAATTGGATTTTTGTTCTTTTTCTTATTGCAATATACTGAATCAAAAGTTTCAACTAAGTTTACCACATGTGTCTTTAAAGTTAAATAAACTAAACTAAATTTCCAAGGTTGTGGATTCATGATCTGAGCCTTGGAACTTGAATAACGTAGTATACAGTACCTAGGTAATACATATATATCAGACTCGGACGACTCGGATATGATAGGGATAGCCATTCATCCCAGTCCCATCAAATATTCATCCAAATTATCTCTGGCCCGAGAGAGAGATCGACCTTAGAACCGCATTTTTTTTTCTACTACTAGTAGTCCTCTCCACACATTCAATGCTGTATTACGACAAACTTGAAGTGTCTAATCCTACTCTATTCAATAACAGTACTTCAACACCATACCGGGAACCTTGGGAGTTCAGCTAGATGTTCTCAGTAGTCCAAACTTGAAATCCTTCTCCTGCGTTCCAAGGTTCAGGTTCAATGGATCTAATAATTTAAAGCGAAAAGTATTATCTCTGAATTTATATCTCTTAAATGGTGAAAACTATGTAGAAGCCTGAGAAGAACCCTTAGAAAGTAGTACGCGCGCGCCCGGGCGGGAGCATCACTGACCAGTTGGAATGTAACGAGGCCGGGAACCACAACGCCAGGACATCCCGGACTTCCAGGGATACTAAATCCATACTGCCGAATATCACATCCACCAAAGCATAATTTCAGCCTGCCCCTCATATCTACCCCTCTCCAAAACCATCACTCGGTCGAGAAGATGGTCAGCTCCGCCTGCGATACTCTGCCGATGCTGACGCCATCAGACTCCAATTTCGCGTCTTGCCAACCCTGCACGCCATGTTGTAGCATGTGGGCTGCGGGGTTACTCAATTGAAGACGTGATGTACTACTAGCACTGATAAATATGACGAAAAATCACGAGCTTACAGTGTCAAAAAAAGTCCTGGAGCCGGGTGAAATCACCAATTGTTCTCTCAAGTCAATACACCCTGCGACATCAATTTGAACCAACCATCAGCATGGGCTCAACAGAGAAAAAGCAGCTCATAATTAACGCGTTTGCAATGCACTCGCCGAGCCACCTGAATCCAGGATTATTCCGATACCCTAAAGACAAAGGCGCCGACTACAAAAACATCAAGCATTGGATGGCATTAGCCCAGAAGCTCGAAAAGGCCAAATTCCATGCGATATTCTTCGCCGATGTCCTCGGTGGCTATGATGTCTACCGAGGCCCCGCGAATCTAGACCCAACCATTCCAGCCGGCGCCCAGTTCCCAATAAATGACCCCCTATACAGCATTCCAGCCATGGCAGCCGTGACAGAAAGCATCGGATTCGGAGTGACCGCATCAACAACCTATGACGCCCCTTATGCACTCGCGCGCCGATTCTCAACCGTCGACCACCTCAGCAATGGACGAATCGGCTGGAACATTGTTACCTCGTACCTGGATTCCGCGGCCCGGAACTTTGGTCTAGATACACAGGTGGAGCATGATGAACGTTATCGCATTGCCGACGAATACCTCGATGTCACCTACAAGCTCTGGGAGGCGTCTTGGAGGGATGATGCTGTGGAGTGGAATCAGAGTGATGCGACGCCCGATGGTGCGATCGAGGGTCAACGGTATGCGGATCCTCGTGGCGTGCGCCAGATCAATCATAAGGGGAAATATTTCCAGGTTTCAGGCCCTCATCTCTGTGAGCCTAGTCCCCAGCGTACGCCCTTCATTTTGCAGGCTGGAACTTCAACTGCGGGCAAAGCATTTGCGGCGAAGCATGCCGAGGCGGTATTCTTGCATGCACAGAAACCCGAGCTAGTACGTCCGTCTGTGGATAGTATCCGTCAACAGGCTGCTGAGCTGTGTCGCGATCCTCGAGAAATTAAGGTTGTGGCTGGAGCTCTGGTCGTCGTTGCGGAGACAGATGAGGCGGCTCACGCCAAGTTCGATAACTTCAAGAAGTATGGGGACACGGAAGGTGCGCTGGCTTTGTTTGGTGGATGGACTGGATATGATCTCTCGACCTATGCTGAGGATCAAGACTTCCGATTTGTGGAGCAGCCTGCAGTGCGTAGCATGGTCAACCACTGGGCGAGCACTGTGCCTGGCACAGAGGGAAAGAAGTGGGATAAGAAAACTATCGCTGAATATCTCACCCTGGGTGGGAATGGAGTCAAGATCATCGGCAGCGTGCAGACAGTCGCTGATGAGCTGGAACGATGGGTTGACGTTGGCGATGTCGATGGCTTCAACTTGAGCTATGCAACTCTCGATGAGACATTCGATGATATTATCGATTTGCTTCTTCCAGAGCTCCAGAGGCGTGGGCTGTTCTGGTCTGACTATGTTGTCAAGGGTGGAACGTTCCGAGAGAACATGTATGGAAAAAAGGGACAGTCAAGACTCCCTGATGCTCACCCAGGAGCCAAGTACTTCTGGAAGAAGGGTCAAGAAGTGCCTCCGTACTCATTGACAGAGTCACAATAAGCGCCCAAGGCGAGTTGTGTGCATTCATATCGAATGAAAATGATAATATCATATGAAAATAGAAAATGCAATTCAAATTCTCTCCACCAAAACTGAAGGCGATCCACTTTTCGAGTAAAATTTAGAGGCCAAAGCGATTCATTTCTGTAAATAATATAAAATTGTTTCTATGAAAACACCGAAATCTAAGTAATACTTGTCTACTTCAAACATCCCACCACCCTTCCATATGTTTCTTCAAATCAACCTCCTCAGGGAGATAGAGATGCGGCACCAAATTAGCATTAGGATTCTTCTCTCTCGAAGTCCAGCCATTCTCAAAGTACGCAAAGCGATTGCCACTAGAATTGACATAAGTATACTCCCAATCCTCCCAGCGAGGATCTCGACGGATGTAATTCGCGGCAGATGCACTTCCAGGGAACAAGCCATGGATACGCGAGCCGGGTTGACCACCGTTATACCATGAGCTGCAGTTTGCCGACCATACAGTTCGCGGATAAAAATTGTCACAATATTCAACAAAATCATCTGTCGCCTGCTTTGATGGTGCGATAGTCTTGATACCTTGACTGCGTATCTTGCGCAAGACCTTAGCCACATAGACGATCTGGTTCTCCATGCTGTTTGGAACGGTTCCACTGTGACCTGCAGCGTAAGGACCACCAAGCCAGAAAAGATTGGGGAAACCTGGTGTCGAAAATCCAAGGTATGAGTAGGGGAATCCGAATGTACCGTCTCTCTTCCATGCGTATTTGAGATCGATGCCGTTGGCAATGATTGAAAATGGGGGAGCGTGGTCTGTGTTCGCACCAGTAGAGCATATGACAATGTCAACGTCCCTTTCAACACCATCCTCGGTGATAATGCTTTTCTCAGTGAAGCGCTTAATCCGAGTCCGGATGTAGTCCACATTATCTTTGGTCAAGGCCTCAAGGTATCCAGGTCCTGGAGTGGGACGACGGCAGTTTGGTGGGAAATCAGGGAGGATCTGGCTGGCCAATTCAGGCTTATCGGCGATGCGCTGTAGCATAAGCTCAGTCCATTTTTCCTTGAGGGCCTTGTTGTCGGGCGCATCTTTGAAAATCGCACTGAAGCGTTGGAAGTACCCGCTCTCCACCTCTTTGCGGTATTCCAAGTATTTCTGAGGGTCTTTGAAAGATTCCAATTGCTCCTCTGAAAACAGGTTTGGCTCAAGACGACGGACACCGTTATTTCCGCTGCTGAATGAGTCCGCGATCCAAGTTGGATTACGGGTATAATGGTCGACATGACTGGCAAGAGGCTGTATTGAGGGAAGAACTTGGAGTCCCGAGGCCCCGTTTCCAATAAGTGCAATTCGCTTCCCCTTCAGATCAACATTATGCTCCCAGCTGGATGAATGGAAGAGAGCACCCTTGAAGTTGTTGATCCCCTCGTAATCAGGAAGTTTCCAGGCGTTGAAATGACCTATGGCGTTGATAAGGATATCCAACTTCTCTTCATAAACCTAGAAATGGAATCAGAAACGATAAATTATTTCGACAAGCTGAAGTATGACTCTCTCACCTTGCCAGATCCATCTAGATGTTGGATAGAAACCTTCCATTTCCCCTCTTCATTCAGCCACTCCGCCCTTTGCACTTGTTGCTGAAACCGAATATACTGATAGACATTATACTTCTTTGCAACACTCTGCCAGTAGTCTCTAATTTCTGCTCCCTGGGCGAATTCTTCTGTCCACTGTGTATTGGGCGAAAATGTCGATTGGTATGCATGTGCGGGTATATCACATCTCACACCAGGGTAGGTGTTCTCAAACCATGTCCCTCCCTGATTTAGAATAATCAGAGAAATTTTCATTTGAAACATTGAAAGAGAGATTCTATTCATACCACATCTGAATTCTTATCGTAGATTCGTAAATCAAGCCCGGGAAGCTTAGCCGGTAGCAGTATACCCGCGTTGACGCCCGTGAGCCCAGCACCAATGACGCCTACTTTAATAGGTCTTACTATATCAACAGGGTGCTCTTCAATAGTAAAATTAGATTTTAACGCTTGAATACCGGAATCAAGGTCGTTGAGAGTGCTTTTTATCGTCACCGAGGGCGCTCGAGCTGGATCTGAAGGAGCTTTGACTGGCTCTGAATGTGACACGCTGGGAAACGAAGGCAGCGCCGTAACATGAGGGTTCTCTAATAGAGTCATGGTCGAATTTAGATTCAAGTGTTTTAGTCTGAGTCCTCGACTGGAAAGAAACAGGAAATGGGAGAAAAGTATTACTTTGCTGATAGCTTGAATTTGGGCTGTTCATGCTTAATGTATCTAGTAGTATCCTGCACGCAATTTAAACGGTATTACACGCCACATATTTCGTAGCTTACTGAACAGAGGGACTGAAGTTAAAACACCACTCTCCTCATAATTACCCAGCGCTGAGTATCTGGTAATATTGCATAATTGCCAAGACTGATTTGTTGCAGGTAACATCATCATTAACTGCGATTGCGTGAGGGGATGTTTCCCGTCAACGACACCATAAACTCCACCCAAAACGCCATTGTGGGGCAACGAGTTCTACATGCAGAGTCTTATGCTCAGTATTGGGGTCAATGGTACCTTTGATAGGCACTAATTATAGGCAATTTTTAAAAGAGATCCTTCTGGTTCTATGCATGGACTCTGTCTCGGCCGATACCGTGGTTTTATCACAATCATATCGCGACGGATCACAGAGAAATTCATTTGAAAACCTAGAAAGACGCAAAGAAGAGTAAAAACAACAGTCATATCTACATACTGGCATTCATGCTAAGTACTGGACGGGTGTAAAGGGGCATTGGATACAGGCACCCAGTCGTATGTGGTAGACAAATGCCCGGGTGGAAGTTCCAAATAATATCTTGCCCGGGCGTGGTTACTTTTGTTAGATGAGGCATTCATGTTACTGGAGTAGGTAGATCATTGAACACAAGTCCTCACGCCGCGCTTCGCGCGGCACTGCCAATGACTCGGAAGCAGCGAGCATTTGAAAATGGGAAATGTAGGTATCCATCCATGGATGCACATGTGTCATCAGCACGCGAGTGCTTGGCCAGATGTGTCTACATCCATTTTCTCAGACAGGGATGCTCACATACTTAGGTACAGGGCTCAGTCTGAGTCAGTGGCATATATAGGTGAGTGATGAGCTACACCTCTTTGTATGTAAGTACCAACGGGGTTACCTACATGATTATATGGAGAGGAAGGCTAATAACTGCTACTATATAGTTGGATATAGGTAACTGGCAACCCTAGAGATATCTAAAATGAGAGATAGCCGATGTTAAGAGATATCCAAAAGGAAGAGATAGCTAAATTAAGAGGGACCTCGGGACATACTCATGTCCAGATGGAATAAATAAAAGAAAAATCTAGTCTATTCGTAAGTCTGTATGTATTCTGCCAGTGAGGAAACTCGAAAAAAACCACTGCAACCCAAGTAAGAAAAGAGGTCTATATTTAAGGTCTACTATACTACAAGATGAATTCAAATTTGTCCTAACTCAACATCAGGACCCTGGGCTTTTCTCAGGCGGAATTTTCGATTCCGCGTCAGTCGAGTGAGCTGGTCATTATAATGGGAACTCACAACTTCCTTCTTTTCGGTGCTCTCCACACGTTTGAAGTTTGTGTTTCTGTCACTGGAAAGACGTTTTTGATGAAAAGAATGCGAAAAGAACGCTGATTTTCCCACATGATTTTCATTGGGCCATATGCCAGGGTGCCAACAACCAAGGGCACAAAAATTGCAACTGAGATTCCATCTATTGGCAGGTAAGTTAGTCTCAACTTAGGCTACAACCATATGTCAGACGAAAACGACTTACAGACTCGCCAGTATATCCAGCTGCTTGGAAAGCTGACATTGCCATCAGTATGAGGGAAAGTTTCAATATTAAGCGCAAAGAAAGAAGAGAGAAAGGATAGTGGAGCCTGTGAGGTGATGAGATGATTTAGCTATGTATGACCACGAAAAAATTTGAAAGGTTAGTGAGAAGGCCTCTTACAAATACGATCATCACAATTGTGAAGACCAAGATCGTTCGCCCTTGGTCGGCAGTCTCCTGTGTCTGTTCGCGAGCTGCCTTTGCTTCCATGACGTTCGCATGTTTTTGCTTCAGATCCAAGAGATAATTGATCTGCAAAATAGTGGTTTGAGTAAGAAATCCAAGATCATAAAAGATTCACAGGCATCAACTTACCGCGTCATACGAAATTTTGGCATCTTCATCCATCTTCTTGATTCTATCCAGGCGTAGCCCGACACCGGCTCGTTGCTGATAATATTGTAAAACCTGGTCCTGGAGAGTCTTCGTAGTCGTGCCGTCTTCTTGTTTTTCAATGTCAAATAGCTTGAAAAGGTTCTGTGTCAAATCCTCTTTATCATCAAGAATACGCTCAAGAATATTGAGTTTGTCTCGAATGTCTTTGATCTCTTCTAAGAGTTCAATGTCGTCGTCAAGGTCCAAATCGCTGACGTCTCCCAGACGATCCTTGAATGAGTTGAAAAGCATGACTTCCTTATCAGCCTGCGAATAAGTGTATAGAAGGCACATAGATTAGCTTCAAACTCCCCGATAACCTTTGAGCTTTCATGCTGGGGTTGGGTGAAGTGGCGAGGTGTAACAATCCATGGCAAATTATTTCTGCTTTCACTTACAACAAGACCTATAGACTCTGCGAACATATCAAACAGTGTTTCTTCTCCATTCCCTATCCGTGCTTGGCATCTATCAATTGAGCTCGCACAAAAACTAGTGATCAATGCTGCAAGGTCGTAGACATTTCGTATCTGTGGGCGCATGTCTCGATTAATATGATCACAGATAAGAGCCAAGGAGAACTTTGACGATTCCTGTCTTGATCTCCAATCTCCTCGGTGTGAGGAAAACTTGTAATGATAGTTTCTAGGGAACAATGTCAGCTTCATACAAGATTTTTCCAACTTCACGATAAAGCTTCTCACTGTTATCAAGAACCCACAACCACAGTTGATCCAACATACAAAGTTTGAATTTTTCTTGGTATCTCATATAATTTTCGTTCAAAGGGTACTTAGGAGGCTCGTTTGTTTGTCTATCGCTGCTCTGAGCCTTATTATTTGTCGTTTTATTGTTCTTGTTTGGTGGCGGCGAAGCTGCGTTTTCCCCCATAGACGAGCTGTTCCCATAATCCTCTTTATGCGAGTAGCGTTTTTTTGCCTGATAGCGCACAATCACTTGATCTGCATCTCGCCTGACCGTATCAGGCAAAGAAGAGTAGAAATATTGATCCAAGGTACGTGACTCACGGCGTTGTCGGGTCTGTGCTGCTTCACCCGTTCCTTTAACCCCCGAGCCAGAAGAGCCATCAGTCTGATTGGTGGAATTGGCGGAATCTTGAGACTGAACTGCACCCAAAACATTGATCGAGGGAGAATTTTCCTCGCTGTCTCTTTCGGAATGACTATTGTTAGCTAGGGCAAGTGCGTCCATGAGATACTCGATCGCCTGATTCATATCAGTAGTGGATGCTTTCTTCTGGGGACTGCCAGAAGATTTTCTCTTCCAGAAATTGGGCCAAAAAGCGAATCTATGAGTCGTGACAGAGGATTCTCCACCTTGATTCATCGAAATGAGATGACTTTTTAATAGCCTGTGGGCCCTTTCAGCATCCAAGCTCTGACCGGAGGCTTGGTGATGTCGTATAGAACATTGGATGGCCTTAAAAATCATCTCTTGACTGAGTTTGCTGCAAGGTGGGAACTTCGACTCAAGCATTGAAACAACAGCTATACACAACTCTTTGTATGTCTGTTTTGTGTGATCTTTTGGATCTATTTCACTCGCCACATTCTCCTGGAACCCTCGAGCTCGGGTAGCAAATTCAGACTGTGCGATTTCTCGTCTTCTCTTTCTTTGCACCTTCACAGTTTGAAAGGTAAGAAATGGCATCTTTTCATAGTTTATACGGCGAACTAGGGAATTCTCACATAGAGCGCCACTTTGCACTTCTTCAACTGCTTCTTCTGTTCAATGGTAACTTTGGAATGTTCACGACCGGGCTTTAGGTTGAGTAATGAGCTGGGATCAATAGCTGTATGTTTTAGATGTTTTAGACTACGATTGCCAAAATTCTTAGGATTATAATCTGTCCCTCTTCGGCTAACAATCGATTGGTTGTCACCAAATGTAGAAGCCGCATCATCTGCTTCATCATCTTGCGAAACTTGAAAATTCGTTGAATTCCGCTCCCCTGAGCCTCTTTTTTCAAGATATGTGGAGGTTTGATTGGCATCAAAGTTGGTTTCCTCTGCAACTTTCTGGAAAGCCTGTTGTTCATTCTGTTCTCGGCGTGTGTCGAGTTCACCTTGCCTAGTTAAAACACCACTAGTCCCATCTACTGAAGGAGAACTAAGCGCTGATTTGAATTGCCCATTCCCTCGAGGTGGAAATTTCTTATCCTCTGGATCCAGTTCGTTTTCACCAAGGTTTTCACGTTCGCCAGGCTCATCAACCCCTGGAGCGTTCGACCTGCTCTCCTTTTTGATAGAGGTATCGACCAAAGGTGGGTCTCTATGCTCTGCATCCTCGTTCCCTCCTGCAGTAGGACTGAGAGGCATGTGGTCTTCCGTCTTTTCGTGGCTCGCTCCTCCTTCAAATGTCGTGGTTTTCTTGACAGTCTTGCTATCATCGCTACCAGGCATGGGTTCTTCTTTTGGATTGATACTCCAGCATCCCTTTTCGTAGTTTTCGCCATTTTATCATCTCTTGCATTGCTCTTATGCTTGTCTTTCTCCTGGTCTTCATTCGCTTTCTTGTCCCGTAGTTTTGCTATCTTATCAAGATACTGAATCACCGTAGAGCTCTGCCCCGAGCCATGATCTCTTGTTTGAAACTGTTGTCGTATTAGTCCTGGAAATTTTTACAAAATTCGTTTCTTTCGCTTACGTGAAATGCAGGATACATGAAGCTTGACTGCGGTGACCCAGTATGCTCCTTTTGAGTTCCTTGAACAAAAGTCTTGCAGCGTGTATATTCAATATCAGACGAGCCCGCAGTCATTTCAAAGTAGATCGAATCAATTAGATCTTGAGCCAAGTCCCACTGATGAGGAATAGTATTTTAGCGGGTATCACTGAAATTCTCCCCAAGAGGGAAAAAACTCACATCATTCACAGGCAGATGAACTCACCTAAAGTCAGGCATTCTCGAATCATCCGTTGGGAACCACTCATTCCATGAATCTTTCATTTTCTTCGCAACTCCTTCTGTATAGATGACCTCATAGCATTTGCTTCTTCTTTGCAAGGTATAGAAGGCCTCATCCTGGCAATAGAAGTCAGAGATAGTGCATATATGCTTGCTGGCTGCATTATCTTGCTGATTTTTGATTTTTGGCTTTTGAGGCGCTTTCGGACGCGGAGGTACTCGAATTGGACATTCAAGAAGACCCAGCATGTCATAAGTTTTGTTGCCATCATTTTTTGAAATTTCATTGTGATAATCCATTGCCCATTGAAGAATAGTTTGACCGTTGTCTGCAATCGAATTTAGGCTTGCACCATTCATAAGCAAGCGTCGAACCACATCTCTCGCATGTTCGCTCTTCCATGTTACTGCCCAAAAAAGCCCAGTCGGAGCTTTTTTTATGGGTACATGCTCATCGATCCTGATACAGCAAAGCAAATATTGAACAATAGACTCGTAGCCAGCAAAAGCAGCAGCCCGAACAGCTTCTATGGTCTTTGTTTCACATCGAACTTCGTCCCGATAGGCCGCTGTGATGTTAGCAACAATTTCTTTCTGCTCACTTGCAGAGGCCCAGTAAAGAGTCTCTGAGATGACTCTTTTCCTTTAATCCGAATCGGTCAATTTAGTAAGGCCATTATTCACTAGGTCTTCTGCGCCATTCCTGGCAGCCCAGAAAATGATGGTCTCGGGTAGACCTGAATCTAGAAATAGGACCTCCAACTTCTTTGCAATATACGTGACATGACCAGGGTCAGTGCGAATAATTTCTGGCCAGGATTCCAATTGACTATCCTCAACATCCACAGGGCGCCTAAAGAGATCTAAGAGGAATTTACTGCAAGGATCCTCAGTCGAACCTTCACTCGAATCTTCACTCGAACTTTCGCTCGAACGTTCTCGAATCACATTCTCAACCGCAAGGGACAAGATAGACTCGCTCTCGTTATTCCTTCTGCACCTGGCTCTCAGAGACATGTTTTTCATTAGAATCGATTGAATCTCAACTTGGTCACTCAATTTGTCGAGTGCAATATGCAATGGCGTGTTTTCCAGGTGATCAACTTCATCAACGATGGTTGACTTGCAGAACCTCAAGCAACATTCGATTATTAATGGCTCGTAATAATCGATGGCCCAGTGGATGAAAGTCATTCCGTAGATATCAGTCCTGTTTGGATCCAGGGCTTTTCTTTGGTTTAGGTCAACATCAGGAGCTTCACGGATATTATGGAGCCACTCTATGAAATTTGAGTGCCCCCAAGAAGCCGCATGGTGAAATGCCCCGCGGCCCTCGCTATCGATCGCATATATGGCATTTGGCGATCTATCGAGCAAGAGTTTTGCAACTTCAACATTCCCGTTTGATGCAAACATCAGAAAGGCTGTCGTTTGACCTTTGTTCATGATGTCGAAATTGGCATTCTGCTGAAAAAGCCATTCCACACAGGATATCACCCAGCTTTTGCCGCAAACATCAATGGTGTTTCGTTATCGCTTGTCATCGAATTGACGTCAATTGGACACTCATTTCTCCATTTGAATAGATCCAGAAACTCCAATGTCCTATATCTAACAGCATGGTGCAGAAATTTTTCTCTCTCATTATTGGCGATTCTTAGATCCGAGTCTTCTTTGAGCAACTTCTTGGCGATTTTGAGTTCTCTACCTCTTGCTGCCTCATAAAGAGGTGTAACTCCATCGCTGGACCTCTTCATATTGATATTTGCTTTGTTTGCCAGCAGCAAATTTATGATCTCATCGCCGCAACCACGGTATGATGCAATGTGGAGGGTGGCACCATCATGTTCAACTTCGAGATTAGGGTCGGCGCCATGTTCCAGCAAAAGTCGTGTTACTTCAAAATTCCTGCCCTCGACAGCCTTGGAAAGGGGCGTCGATGAATTGAATTGTTTCTGCAGATTCACATTGGCCCCTTTTTTCAGCTGTAGCTGTAGCAGATCTGTGCTTGCATTGTAGTATGCCGCATGGTGTATTGGTGCACCAGAACGTCCTGACTCAAGATTTGGGTCGGCTCCATTTTCGAGTAGCACCTCCATTATTTTTAGATCGTTTTTCTCGGTAGCGATTCTGGCCGCCTCCATGAGAGCTGTGTTTCTATCTCCGTCTTGGGCATTTGCATTGATTCCATCTGCCAAAGCTTGTTGAACCCTCCTAAGATCATTTGCATCAATGGCGTCAAACAATGCCTGGTTTGAAATTTCAGGCATGTTCCAGATCTCAGGAATTAGTACTGCCCATATGAATCAAGAAAAGGATGTTTGAATATCGAGGTTATCAGTGTCATTGAAAGTGGTGATAATTGGGGCTAACCTTGGAAATTGACATATGGAACTTGATTCGGACACCAAACCTCGACAAGACCCCTCAATAATGAGATCTAGCCTGATCTGTCCGTGCGGCGTGTGTCTGTCTCTCCACTTAATGGGCCAGCTTCAGCTCAGTCGCAAGGCGTCTCTGAGAGCCAATCGTTAGTAGGCGGCATGAACATCTTTAGGGTATTTATACGGAGAACAGAGAAAAGTAGGCATTATTTTGTTTCTGAGCTCCACGTCGAAGCTATCGCTAACTGCATCATTCCAAGGTTGTGATCAAGGATGCAGTGGCTCACTGATGTCAGCCATATGCCCGCGCCACAGCGATAGCAAGCTGCCTCAATGGTTGGCTCCTAGTTACGGCGGCCGATAGTGGCCAGACAAAATTAAATCTCAAATTTTAAAACTGACAGAATTTAAATTACTGAAATATCTCAGTATAGGATCTAATATCGGCTAACCTTGGAGACTTGAACTGATGCGGGTGCTTGAAATGACTCATTCACTTCAAATGTTTTAACCTTGGAAGTTTGGGGGTCAAAACATTTGAATTGTCTCTCAGAGTCTCAATACATACGAGTTTTCCATCACATCTGTTTATCTCCCATAGATTTCAAATACACAGAGGAATAAGTTGACTAGTTTGAGTGGATTCTCCATCGTATTCCAAGCAATCTCTCAACTAGCAAGACTCATCACTATGGCCTTCACTCAGCCAGCTTCCTGGATTACCCCGCGCACATGGTCACGAGACAACAAGGAATTCTTCGTATCGAATGATCCAGCATTACTTTCTGTGGAAGCAGTCAAAGAGGCATTCGCAAGTGATTTCATATATTGGGCCAATGCCTCTATTCCGGATGATGCTCTACGACAAATGCTTTACGGCTCTATGAGCTTCGGTGTTTACAAAAGGACCCAGTCGCAAGGCAACACTGCACCTTCATCTACAAAAAATACAGAGCAAATTGGCTTGGCGCGCATGATGACAGATGGTGTCTCTTTTGCATATCTTTCGGACGTTTATGTTCTTCCTCAGTACCAAGGGAAAGGCCTGGGAACATGGCTCATTGACTGTGTCGCGGAAATATTCTCCAAAGAGAATATGCCTTACCTGCGCCGCATAATGCTGTTCACAGGGGACCCGCGCACAGAGGAGATGTATACAAATGTTTTTGACATGAGAGTACTTGGACACGAGGAAAGACCGGATTTTCCACATGGGCTCAACTTTCTTTGTGCGCGACCAAATGCGAAGGTTGACTGAGATTTCACAAGTATCGAGCTGAGTCTCCCTCATAATCTCCTCACCTACCACGGGAGCTGCAATGGGGTTGGCAAGTCTTTACCAAGGACACTCTCTGCAGTGCCAATATCCCTGTACAACAATAGTGATTAGCAGTGATGTAACAATCACAGATCCATAGACCCAATTCCACTCACCCTGGTCCTCTTGGGGCCCAGTATTCTCCAGTTTTGCTCATGTCAAATTCCTCAATGAATGATGCAAGTGACTGAGCTGCTTCATCAGGAGTCACAGCTAAGAGATAGACTCCGACGTTAGCCGAATATTCAAAGAGCTTGCTATATTCAAGTCAAGAAATAGCCCACTTACCACCACCAACATCCCAAAACTTGTCAAATCCAACTCCTTTAGTCATTTCAGTCCGCATAAAGCCAGGATGGACCAAGCCAACAGCAATCCCTTTAGGCTTCAGGTCCAAGCTGAGCAATTTGCCCACCATGTTTGATGCAGCCTTGCTCGCATGATGACCATAATTTCCTCCACCCTCTTTCTCATGCCGGAGAGTGATACTGCCGCTCTCACTACTGACGATAATGACCTTACTCCCTTCGCTCAGGAGGCCAGCTTTGACAAGGTGATGCACAAGAAAGACTGGCGCGATAGCCGAAGTAGTGTACATTTTAACCTCTTTCTCCCAGTCTGGATCATCGAAGGATTCAAAGCCAAAATATCCAGCTGAAAGTATCGCTGTTGAGAACACTGTTGAGGCCGGAATCTGCGAGACTAACTTTTGGCCTACTTCAGGATGAGTTAGATCAACATTTGTCAACCAAGTGATCGCTGACTCTGATTTTGGGACGGATTCCGTTCTTGTGGTCGCGAAGACGCGCTTGGTGGAGTCTTTTGAGTATAGATCTCGGAGACAGGCTCCTAGACCCTTCGTTGCTCCGATCACAAGGGTATTGCTGCGCATTATGTTCCAATTTTGGATTTATTTTTTTCGAGGAGCTCAATATTGGCGCTGAAGTTTGCTGAAATTCAGAAAGTTTTCGATAAATTATTTGCAAATATCAAGTATCTGACGCAAGAGGTGAATGACGTAATTGTAACAAGGGATGTCGAGTGCATAGGTCTATCTAGACAACCTTGGAAGGTAGTCCTCTGTATTGCAACTCCTTATCGTCTCTTTCTTCATTTAGCCCAGCACACTTGAGATACTTTTCACAGTAAAATGAGGAGAAAATATTGGCTTCTGATGGAGGTGAGTGAGTCTGCTATAGTCTAGAATTTGTCAGACATACCATTTTCAATTTTGCTTTGGAGTTGACTGAATTATTACTATGTCTCCAGGACCTAGCTTTCAGAGTCTGGAGGTCCATATAAAAGACAGTGGTATTCTGTAACGACAGCCAAATTTAATTGGTTCAAACTCTGAGAAAGGAAGACGACTTGGAGAATTTGGTTATCGATATTGCTTCTGAAAACATTGGGCTTCGACCCCTACATCTGGGTCCAATCTCCAACTCACAGACCCGAAATGACCATCCTTAAAATCTTTGAAGTTGATGATGAACGCATTCCAATCATAAAGATGACCAGAATAACCATTGCGAATACACTCATCACGATCTTTTGGTAGAATGGTCCATGCGTCGTGATGGTAGTGGTATAGATTAAATGTTTGCTTATGACAGTTGTTGATACGCAGCTGCAGCTTCTTCGAGTTCAGAGGATCAACCCTATGCCCAGGAAGAGAAGTGATTGATAGCCTCATTGCAAGTCCTTCGTTCTCGAATATACCGTTGTAGGTAATCGTGTCTTTTGGCTGAGTGCCAGAAATCCGATTTGAAATCCATGCGGTAGCCACATTATTCCAGCGTGCCTTCGCATTTTTGACAACATCTTTTGCGATTGCGATGAAATCAACTTTTGGCTGCAGATCAAACAGCGCTTGAGTGATAGCTTGTGCCACTATATTTGTCGGGTCTCCATTCAGTTGGAATGAGTTACAAAGCACCACGACGGAACTTTCTTCTTCTGGAAATGTCCAGTATGCAAAAAGGTATCCTGCAAGCTCTCCGGTATGATCAACAACGGATATCGGTACGGACTTCTCTCCAATGCGGTAGAGGTTTATGATTACATCCGCATTGGTCACCGTGTTCATTTCTGAAGTGGGTAGCTGAAAGGTAAACAATCCTAGGCCATACGATTGATTGAGATCTGAAGCGAGGGCGAATTGAGGAGCCTGCACTACCTTCAGTGCCTCAAATAATTCTTTTAGGATTGAAGCATGATTGGAAGTTGAATCGTGAGTAGAATCGGGATTCCTACGAAGCTGACATTTGAACCGCGTCTTCAGCCACGAAATAAGGCCGGCCTGTTGGGTTATATTCTAATCATCACTGCCAGATGCAATTTGATGAAATGCCTTCCATGCAGCCATCAAAGCCTTAGTCCAGAGAAGAACATCCCGGACACAAGAGCGAACAGAGCCAGAGCTATCGAAAGCCCGCTCATCGACAAGCGTAGGCAAAGAGACAGCCTCGAATTTTCTCTCATCATAGATGAGATATGGTCTTGCATAGTTGTCATCTCCTTCAGGATTAAAGCAGGAGGTCCACCTCATATTCAGCGAGTCAAATATCTCTTGTCGAATAAGTTCACCAAATGATGTACCTGACTCTTGTGTGATAATGAGGCCAGCAAGCGCAAACATCCAGTTGTTGTACTTCCACTCAGAACGGAACTCAGCTTGTCGCGGCAGATGGTTACAAATTTGAACCAGATCATCATGCTGGACAAAAACAGACCCATTTCTACAAATGACCTCATAAGGTAATGGAGATAAACCCGAACAGTGCGAGAGCATATCTTTAATTCTCATCTTCCGACTAACAGCTGGACTGTTGACAGTATTGAAACCAGGCAAATGTTTTGACACCAAATCGTCCAGTTTGAGCTTGTTTTGCTGTTCCAAGATGCCGAAGGCAGTGCCTGTAATTCCTTTGGTGCATGAAGCGATGGTATAGATTGTATCCTCATCAGGCACTCTGCGATTTTCCACATCGGCATATCCAAAACCTGCCGTTTGGATGACCTGACCGTGGTACATGACACTGATTGAAAACGATGGCGCCTCAAAGATTCTCAAGATAGACTGGATATCAGGCACAATAGCACGAAGTCTGTTTTGGTGTGACGTGTCAGTAAAATTATGGATCACAGTGGAATCGAGAGACTCGGATATTACTGGGCATCTGCCGCAGCCCATTCAGGCTGGTCTTGAGTTGAAGTATCTCTTTCAGGCTTCATAACGGAGCCTTCCACAGTTTGTAAATTGGAATATGAATAATCTGTAATAGCTTGCTATCTCAGGATACATTCAAGGCAGAAAAGAGTTCACAATGAACTTGAATGTGGCGAGCAGAAATTGAAAGGAAAGAGCTTGGAGAGGGGAAGATCTATGTAGCACCTGGGCAGATACGGTGGTAAGGGCGCAGCACTTGGAACCTAACATTATTTGACTCAATATCTCACGATCCCGGTATTTACTATAAGATGCCCAACCTATGGCCACGGTCAAGGTCATCTCGAGTTTCAAGATTTGAATATGATCTGAACTTGAAATCCTGGATTGATTCAGGAAAACAGATTGCGTTCACTTAAAACTGAATTTAATTGTAGACCTATGTACTAGGGAAGTGTTAGAGAGTGCTGATAATTGAGGATCCATTAGATTACTTAGTAGGTACATGAGAGCTCTTTTGGATTATGAAAATCTTCACAGCCTAGTCGTAAAATTCCCCAATCTCTCAGCAACTGTTTCAAGTTGAATTTTGAGCCTTGTTGAATGGACTCCATTTACTACCTATACATAGACCTCGGACTCTTTGTGCCCTCACATAGGCTTAGTCTGCAAGCCATTATACGTGAATAAACGTCACCAAGGTTGGTATATATAGGGAGTAATTTCCAAATTCACTCTAGTATAACAGTAGGTGCCGAGGTAGTCGTTTCATGTATCTACTTATAGATGGATATAGGGGGGTTAGGCAACCAGTGAGACTAACCGGCGGGGGGCAGTATGTACTCTTTAGAATTGGAAGAAAGTAAAAACATGCGTTTGCCGTAGAATAAACTTCTCACCCGGCGATGGGAAATGCCTAGGTAAATACATACGGAGTAGATATTTGTCTGTTTGAGCTGTCTATTTCAAAAGGCTCCCAATGTTAAACTAATAGAACGTCATGTCTCCACCAAGACGATCTAGGCAGGAACCATAGGGCTTGGCAATATTTTCCGTGCTTAGTCAAATCTGTTGACGCCCGCTGTTCGAGGCAACCTTGGAAATACAACTTGTTCTTTGTTTCTCCATGTGGCCTCCTGGAGCTGGTCGGTCCATGTGGTCTTGAGCCCCAGGATGACTGGCTTCTCCAAAATCTTGCCATCGATTCAAAAGTTCCGGGCGGCGATCCAAAAGAGCAGAAAGGTTGGCATCAAGGATCAATCCGAGCGCAACATCTTTGGATCGTCATCCACTATTGGGTGAGCTTGTCTGCCACTAAGAACCTCCAGCTATTTTTCACTGACTTTTCCTCCTTCCCCTCGCCTTTTTATAGTCTAGATGTCGCCAATCCTCTGCCGCCGTGGGGCCTCCCCGTTGAGATCCAAATCTTAATCTTCGCCCATTGCGGGACCGGCGATTTCCTCCCTCTTAAGCTTGTCTGCAAGTCCTTCAATCAAGTTTTGAGCTCTCAAGAACACGAGATTGTGAGAAACTACCTTCGTCAGCGTCGACATGGCACTCTGCCTTCGCCAATAGACAATGATCGCACCTATACACGAAATCCCGAAGACGATGTGGTACTCTTGTCCGACTTGTTCCCGCCGTCCAAGAGCGCCCGAGGCGGTCACTTGTATACGTTTAGGTACTTGTACAGTTTGCGGCAAAGACAACGACTTTGCTCAAGACTATGCTATTACCTCGCAGACAGTGTGATGAATCGGTATTCACAAGGAGAGCAATGCTATCCGGGTGATATGAACAAGACACATCGGAATGCGTTACTGAAACGAGCGAAAGAAAGAATGTGGTTCTATCTTGCGCCTATAATGTAGGTCTTTATACAAGAATTATAATCATCATAGGTAGTATACTGATTAGCGACCATAGGTATTACACACTGTACTATCTCGAAACATACGCATCTGCCCGACGTGAGCATACCAACATACTCCTTCGAGACTTCGAATCTGGGAATTTATCGGCTCCAGTTCCCCTGGATACACGCCGAGCGATGTACAAAGAGTTACAGACTCGGATTCTCCGCGAACCCCCCCTTCACTAATACCGCGACGTTGATTGCCACTCACCATTGCATGCATCTGCTGGTCTCGAATATTCGGCGTACTATGGCAACGGAAGGCGAACCAGATGACTCTTGGATAAGCTCTCTGCTCGCTTTGTCCCCCTTCGCACGCATCGTCGAATTCTTCTCGGCAGAAATTGGCGACGGTGGTAATCAACGGATGCAGCGAAAAGATTTCATGTACAACTTTTACCATGACATGAATGCACATCAAAAAGATCATATGAACTCCGTGGTATGGGGAGGTTCGGATCATAACGTCCAACCTGTTCATAGTTCAGTGCGGGATCTGTGGTTTGATGCTGCGAAGACTGAATTGGAAGCTAGAAATGCGAATCCCCATAATATTGAGGAGGTTTTCAGTTGGAACGGGGTTCCTATTCTCTTTGGATGTCTGGATTGCCACCGTACACGAGGATGGCTTGCGTGATGCATTTAGATTGAGCATTTGCGGCGTTATTAGGGATCGATACCTCCTGATGTGTTTTCTTTTCTTGATTTAATGATAATAGAACAATTGAGCCCTTATATTTGATTCATTTTCAAATCTCGAATTTACTTCTTACACTTGATTTATATGACACTAAGCCAAGATAGGAAAGCGGGATTCGGCATGTTTGTCGCGTTTGTATGCGGCGCGTCGATATCGATAACAGTAAAGCTTCAGGCACTCTAAAGTTCACCTAATGTATTGAAATCACTAAGAAGAATTTGAGATTGAAGCTTCCACCATGGAGCCAGCATCTTCCTGGCAGTTATTTAACACATCGTGGACTTTACACCGTCTCTCGCCCTTGCACCACAAGAAGGATTGCGAAGCCCTTCTCGACAACCAATATGCCTTGAATACATACGCCGCACGCTTACGTGACCAGTTGACCGGCGATGTCTTAGCTGGCCTTCAAGCTACAGCCAGTGCAGCAGATGATGATGCACTGTCCAAGACAGGCGCCCTTAAAGAATGTACATGGAGGTCTTTCTCAACGAGTTCACCCTCAGGCGACGCATCATCAGCGTCGGATAGACACGCCTCTTTCCCAGGCATTCTGGTGACATTGGAATATGAAAACATCACCTACAAAGCCGCTTTACTCGCAGAGTCTAGCTCAAGCTCTCAGCGACCCTCTCGTGCAGGATCGACCTTCCTTCCTTTATTATTGACGAAGTGTCCAAATGCCCTACGTCAAACCCTCATTTCTTTCCTATCAGCCAATTTCGACGCGTACTGCGCTCCTCTCCGTCTTTCATCAGCATTCCTTTGCTCAGGACTTGAGAAATTTGTTGATGAACTGCGCACCGGGTCGGACCGCACTGCATCTGATGATATTCTCGAAGAAGTAATCAGGGAACTGCAACTTACCTTGGCGTTCTCAGCGGCAATTGCACCCGCATTAAAATCACTGAATGTGAGCATTGCACGATCATCATTAGCTGGATTTATTCACGATGGAGCAAATACGTCAAAACGAACTCTGAAGCAGAAATTACGCTGCCCCTTGATTCCTAATCTTACTTCCTATCTGGAGACCCATCTAGCGATGCAGCTTGATTTGGATGGCTCATCACCTAATCAAGTGGCAAAGCAACATGTTCGTTTATCCAAAGTTACCTGTGCGGCGTTCGTGTTGGGAGGCGATGGACGAATGAAACTCGTTGTGAGTGCTACTCGATCAGAGAATCAGGGTCAGGATGAACGAATGGGGAAAGACGAAGCCGCTCTACGTGCGAGTGAGGCCCTGCTACATGCTGTCATTGGCAAGGCTGTTATTAGTGACCACCAAACGGCTACATGAGCTTATCAGACTTTGTCGAAGAATTCGGAATCAGGAAATAATCTGAAGAATCGAAGATCACCACTAAAAGTCCACAGATATTTCGAGTGGCAGTTGGAACAGCCTACTATCATGCGTGGCTTATTGATTTCGGTCTTTATCCAGCCCACGATGGAAAATAGGTTGGGGGAACCTTTACCGTCGTCTCATGGGACTGCGAAGACTACGGCTTTATTCTTGCAGAGAGGGGGCTTCAAGTTCCAGTGGCAGCTCATCTGGGAATCGAGAAAGCAAACCACGATTATTACCCTACGCCAAATGCTAGTAGTAGATCAGGCATCGCATCCCACCACAAAGTGGCTGGTTATATTGTTCATGTCCACTATTTCATGTCTCACTTAGAATAATGACAAGTGAAATTCCAAAGAACGTTACAAAGATGGTATCGATTTTAATCGCTTCAAACAGACGTCAAAACAAGGTAGGACCCCGACAGTACATACAGAGCGGTGTCATAATGTCGTATGATTGTAGACTCCAGGTCTAAATAAGCATCACATATCGGCACATGTGGCAAGACAGATCCCTTGGCATAGGTTTCCAATTTTGGTTTACTCCCAGCGTTCCTCTGATTCGGCCAGGCGTAGAGCCTCATCGACGCTTGGCACAAAATGAGGCATTCCACCACACTCTTCGACAATGCCACTGCGTTCAAACATATTGAACACCTTCTCATTGGGTAGTCGGCAGAAGAAAACCCTGGTCCCATCCTCCGTGTACGCGCGCACAATCTCCGAGAGGACCTGGGTGCCAGAGCCATCGATACTTGTGACGCCATGAACATCAAAGATGATGTTCTTATTATACTCAGCAGGGCGCATTCGGGGAAGAGACGGGTGTGCTCGGCTAGTTCCATAAAGTTCTAGTCGACGAAGACGGTTCTTCAGGTCACCGGTGTTGGCGAATGTCAACGGCTCGGGGATTTTGACAATCAGGGCGCCCTCGATTATCTCAACGGCTTCCGGTCGGAGTTCGGCATTCTCGAAGCGAGAGGTTCCGGGAACCTTTCCAAGGATTTGAATGCGAGGTTGAGTAGCATGGCGAATAAGAATGATGACGGAAACAGCGATACCGAGGGCCATTCCCAGCTCGAGGGAATAGAAAATAGTTGCGACAAAAATTAGGGACATGAGCATGAGTTCTGTCCATCCACGAAGGCGAATGAAGAAAATGAGGTCATGGGGACATTCTTCAACGAGTGAGAATGCTACCACAGAGATCATGGAACAGAGAACCGCTTTCTGGAGCAAGGTGTTAGTAGGATACTAGAGAACAAAAGAGTGTGTATTACTCACCGGAAGGTAGTAGAGGTATGGCAAAAGGACAAGAATACCAATGAGTGTGATAATACTAATGAAAACACTACTCATCGGAGAACGGGCACCAGTTTGCACATTGAGTTTGCTTCGACCATATCCTCCAAAGGCTGGGAGGGACATGAAGCAACCACCCACTAAGTTAGCAACACCCAGCGCCACCATCTCACGGTTCGCACTGATATGCATGCCCTGGATTCCATCGGATTTAACATCGCCTAGACCTTTTGCCGCTACTGAAGACTCAAAAAATCCAAGGAGAGTGATAATGAAAGCTTTGCTCATGGCTGTCCGGATATACTCCATGTACTTGGCTTGGAATGGCCACTGGAATGTGAACAGTTGACTTGCACTGATCTCAGTGTGGCCCAGGAGTTCGAGTCCTTTGTTTTCCCAATCCAGGCGCCATGCCAGAATAGCAGACAGGATTACAACCAGACAACGGTCAGGAATGTATACTAATTGAGGATATTTGGGTGTCAAATACTTTTTCAGCGTCCTAGAAAAGATTAGCTAAGTGCATTTCATTAACAAACTCAGGGCACCTACCGGAAAAGCATGATGCTCGTGAAGCTCACAAGTGAAACGAGGGAGGTTAGTAGCTGACAATCTCCAGCATTTCTAATGATGAATGTCAACTTGGCAGCTGTGGTGCCATGGCTAGCACCGGTTTCGCTTGCCTTGCTTGAGAGGCCTAGTTCCGGGATAAGTTGGTCCACAAAAATCACAAATCCGATAGCTGTGATGAAGCCTCTTAGAAAGGGACGACTAAGCATATTATCGAGAAATCCCAATCGGCTCAACCCAGCGATAAGAACCATAGTACCTGTCATCGCAGTCGATATACCAATCACCATAGCACTCTTCACGGTTATGTCTTCTGGAGAATCGGTAGGCAGGATACTGGCCTTCACGATCGCGCCTGTAAGGAGAGATCCGGCCGCCTCTGGTCCCAAAACGAGGAGTGGACAACTTCCAAGAATTGCATAAATAAGAGGGTGTATCACAAACGAATAAAGACCGTTAACTGGGGGAGCATGAGCAAGATTCGCAGCCATAGACAATGCCATTGGAATATAGACTGAGCAGATGGTCAATGCTGCTATGAAATCTCCACGCAAGAAGGACCATTGGTACTGGCTAATCCAATTGAAAAAAGGAATATAATAAGATATGTACCTATGAAGAGCTTGTCAGTCCCTGTTTCCCTTCGATGCTTGCTACAGCCTCTAGATCAAATATGAAAAATCGAGCTTACTGCTTCTTAGAATCGTTCATGGACAAGGCGGTAAGAGAGGATTTCATTTGCGGTGTGTATTCTGAGTCCTGGCGTGAATGTGGAAACTCGTCATCTCCACGAAGAGGACCAGATGCTTCCCCGGCTTCTCCAACCCCATTCGCTGCAGAGTGTCTATTTGATGAACCCAAATACGAGACTCCTTCAGTGCTTTCAACATGCGGCGAGAAAGTCCCATGGCTGCAGCGTCTGTCGCCACAGGCAGGGTCCGAACGGTCGTACGACTCCAGTAGTCGGGTTCTCGCATCGGGTTCACTCGTGATTCCCAAGCCTCGTGCAGATCGTACCCCGGCCTCATCGGGCTCGGTTTGAGAAAAAGGCCTTGAGCGGAAAATATCAGCTAAGCGATCCCGCAAGTTGCGGGCGTCGTCGGCATCTTCGCCGATCAGCGGGCTAGAGTCGGACATAGAGTGTGCTTGAAGATTGGACCACGCGCTAATTCCAAATATGAAATACAATTGTAAGCCCCATCCGTATAAATGGGCAGAAGAGGAATAGACAACGGACTATTGGGGAAGGAGAAGAACCACAGTAAGAAAAAAAAGTAATTATAAGATTGTCGTGGCTGGCTAGCAAGGGCGGTGTCCGCTAGGGACTGATAAGCGGGGACCTCGAGCTACCGGCTCCTCTTCATGCAGATCTAGCCAGTAGGAGTTGCTGGGCCAAAATGTTATAGCGAGTGGAAATACAGCCTAACCAACATGAACAAGCATGCGATCAAATGTGGCCGTTGATTCGTCTGTGCCACCTCCAGACGGGACTAAGATAGGACTAGTGGAGTCGGCATATGTACACATAGAGATCATCAAGTGACAAACGGATATGCCGCGGAGCCGGGGCGGTGAGTCACGTGTGCGGATTGAGAAAGTCGGAGAGTCATGTGACCAATGTGGGTTTTGAGCCCGCCACAATAGTGATTTGAAGCGATTGTGCTTCCGTCCAACGACCCTTTCAGTCTCTCTCCCCCTCGATCCTCTTGATCTACTCGGAAACTTGATTCAGGAATCGAGTTTAATTCTGCCTCTTGGACTGCCGTCTCATCAGTCCTCTTTTTCCCCCGAATTTCGTCGTTGAAAATCACAGCGCAACCCCGCCAAGATGTCTTTAACAAATTGCCGTTTTTACGAGGACAAGTACCCTGAGGTGGACAGCTATGTCATGGTCAATGTCAAGCAGGTAGGAATTGAAAATCGCATTTTTCTTGCTGCTCAGGAATGCTTATTGGTTTTCCTCCGGATTTGATAGATCGCCGAGATGGGCGCATACGTTAAGCTGCTCGAGTATGACAACATCGACGGCATGATTCTGCTCTCTGAACTGTCCCGAAGACGTATTCGTTCTATCCAAAAGCTCATCCGTATTGGGCGCAACGAGGTTGTCATTGTGCTGCGTGTTGACAAGGAGAAGGGTAAGAAACCCTTGAGTTCACTTCAGAGACCTGCCGACTGACTCATATGGTGGTGTAGGTTACATCGATTTGTCCAAGCGTCGTGTTTCCCCCGAGGATGTCGTCAAGTGTGAGGAGCGTTACAACAAGAGCAAGGCCGTGCACTCTATCCTTCGCCATGTCGCAGAGGCTACCCAGGTTCCTCTCGAGGAGCTATACCAAAAGATCGCCTGGCCCCTGGACAAGAAATACGGTCACTCCCACGATGCATTCAAGATCGCCATCTCGTACGTGCCTTATATAACTGTCTTCGCCAAAATTGAGACCGTGCTCACCACTGACTTGTCTTTGATAGTAACCCCGAGGTGTGGAACGAGATTGAGTTCCCCAGCGAGCCTGTGAAGAAGGAGCTGCAGCAATACATCAGCAAGAAGCTCACCCCCGCCCCTACCAAGGTCCGTGCCGATATTGAGGTTACCTGCTTCAGCTACGAAGGTATCGGTGCCGTCAAGACCGCCCTGCGCACCGCCGAGGCCGAGAACACCCCCGAGAACCAGATCAAGGTCAAGCTTGTGGCCCCTCCCCTTTACGTCCTGACTAGCCAGTGCCTGGACAAGACCCTGGGTATCCAGCAATTGGAGGCTGCTATCCAAAGAATCGAGGTCGCCATCAAGGCTGCTGGTGGTAACTGCACCGTGAAGATGGCGCCCAAGGCCGTTACTGAGCACGATGATGCCATTCTGCAAGAGCTCATGGAGAAGCGCGAGCGGGAGAACCAGGAAGTTAGCGGCGATGAGAGCGGTTCGGAGAGTGACGACGGTGTTCCCGAGTAAAGGACGCAATCTAATTTGGAATCATGGCCTGGCGTACATCGGCGTTGTCGACTTGTGCAAGAGGCAAATGAGGAGGGAGAATATGGCAAAAATGGATAGAGAAAAATTCACGCACATTCTACACGATCTATGAGAAAAGAAAAAGGCTTGATGGCTCTGTGCTACTAGGCATGATTACAGTCAGAAATTGCCTTTCCGCCAGGGACAGTTGCCTGCACCTCGAGTCCGGAGGGTGTTCTATCCACAAGCAGGTGCAATGTGCCATTTGGCAAAGTCCTCCCGCTCCGTCATTCTATCTGCATGTTCGGTTCGCGCGAGGTGCAAATTCTGATGTATATATGGTATGATGCCACCGAGATGTTCAATGCCAATGATGCTTTTAGAGCTCCCCCGGTTCCTCCTCAATACTAGTAGCACGTTCCTAGTAGATATGTTTCGCAGAATGGCTTAGATTTCTTTTTCTTGTATGCCAGTGCTTATCGTCTAACACTAATACGTGGAAATGTCAGGGTTTAGACCAACAAATTTCGAGATTGCTAACTATCATCGCCGGTTGAATGGCGCGCAAGTCGGGGTTCCCTTGATAGATAGCTTGGTACGATAGCGGGGACTCGGATGGCGCTTGGATCCATTTTCCCGACGATCTCACTTCCCACGACCTTCACCGACCTTCAAAACCAACCCTACTGTCTTGTCTCTAAGCTGGGAATTCTCCAGTATCCTCAAAATGGGCCATTGGGCCGATTTCTTTTCATTTGACCGGCGCCGTGCCCGTCATCGCTCGACTGTAGAGCGTCGCAGGCGTACGTCATAAGTCAACAAAGACCGTGTAACCCAGCTGCTAACCCAGCCATAGTCCTGCCCTCATACATTGCGGACGAGCCACAGCCCTCCGATTCCTCCAAAGAGATTACCAAAGTCGCATTACGGTTGAAATACCAAATTGAACACGTCGTTTGCTGTGAGGTGGAGGAGAATGTGCTGACTGACCCAAACAGCCGTATCATCAACCAGGCTGTTATTGAGACTGCGAGTCGAGCTGGTGGCGAGGAATATAGGGCATGTGTTGTCTTTTGCCTGCTGGTGTGTTTGAGATGGTTCAAGATCCAGGCCTCTGTCGAGCTTTGGGATGCGGACCTCCACGAAGTACGAGCCGTGGCCTGCGAGGTTATCGCCAAGCGCATGTAAGTTCAAGCGGTAATGAAACATATGTGTTTAACCTTCACGTCTTACTAATTTGTTACACAGCATTGAAGGAGAGAAGGATCAAGACTATCTTCTTAAGAACGTCCTCCTCAAGCGTTATTCTATCTTCTCTGAGGGCTTCGAAACTGATCCTGCCAATGTGATCGAGCGCTCGGTGGATCTCCATGCACTGAGGATCATTGGTTCTGCTGGATATCAGAAATGTATTCAATTTTTATGGTGTGGCTGGATTTGCCAAGAAGAAGGCAATCCAACCAACTTCGTCGAATATGAAGGGAAGTCTGATACTGGTTATTGGGCTCATTTTCACCCAGATCGGATGCGAACACCTCTCTACCAAAATGTTTGCCAGATAGTATTTTCTCTGATTTACCTTGCGATTTATACCGCGGTTATCAATACCGTCAATCCTACGGGTGATATTGACGTGGCTGAAGGTGTTCTGTATGGTATGACTCTTGCATTCATCTGCGACGAGGCAATCAAGTTTTGGAAAGTGGGTTGGAACTATCTGGAGTTCTGGAATGCCTTCAACTCTACCCTCTATGGGCTACTTGCCATTTCTTTCATCTTGCGTGTTGTTGCACTTGCTCATTCGGCTTCGGATCATGACTCGCGGCGCGAACTCTTCAACGGATTGAGCTACAACTTCCTAGCGTTTGCAGGTCCTATGTTCTGGATGCGAATGATGCTCTATTTGGACTCGTTTAAGTTTTTTGGCGCAATGTTCGTGGTTCTTCGCGTGATGATGAAAGAGAGTTTGATCTTTTTCGCTCTGCTTTTTGTAGTTCTGGTCGGTTTCTTCCAGGCTTTCATTGGCATGGCCCAGGTGGATGACGATATACCCGTCACTCGGCTCATCATTCAGGGTATGGCAAACAGCGTGATGCAGAGCCCTGAATTTGAGATTTTCCAGGATTTCGCATTTCCATTCGGAATCATCCTCTATTATGTGTTTAATTTCGTTGTCATGATTGGTATGTGATCCCATATTGCTCCTGTTCCCGGAGATTTGAGTACTAATCCATCAAAGTTCTTCTGAATATTCTCATCGCTCTATACAATAGTGCTTATGAGGATATTTCTGGCAATGCTACGGACGAATACATGGCCATATTTGCTCAGAAGACTATGCAATTCGTCCGTGCCCCCGACGAGAATGTCTTCATTCCACGTAAGTTATAGTTTCCTTCTATGCCACGTCGTACCCATGAGGAAATTCGATCTAACCTGGAATCCAGCTTTCAATCTGGTTGAAATTCTGTTTGTGAGCGCTCCATTTGAATGGTGGCTCTCACGCAAGCACTATGCCAAGCTCAATGACATTGTTATGGGCTTCATCTACTCACCTCTTCTTCTCGTAACTGCCTGGATCGAAACCCGCCAAGCTGAGCAGGTCCGGTGGAATCGTCGACATGGAGAGGAGGATGAGGAAGATCAGCAGGAGTGGGAATTAGTGGCCGAAGAAGTGGATTATGAGTTGGATGAGACCTGGAAGGAAGAGGTTAAGCAAACTACTCCTGACATCAAGGTTGATAGCTGCACTCTTGAGGTCCGTCAACTTCGAGAACAGGTGGCAGCATTGACGGAATTGGTGAAAGGTTTGAGTCGAGAGAGAGGCGCAGTGGTAGTTGACGGACTCACATAATAATCATCCATCCATCAATGGATATACATACATCGATGATAGTGCGATGTCGGGTTTGGCCATGAGGAATTACCACTGGCATCTACTACTACTATGTTTTTGGCCATTTTGGAGCATTTGAAAATTCCAACCTTGGAACTTGAACTCAGCTGCACACATGCATGTACTTCGACCTCGGGCTTGGCAATTTTGACCGCGAAGTTTGAACATTGGGAGGTTTCAAGTTATTTAAGATCATGATGTTATTTCAAGGTTAGTAGTACCTACTAGTACTATACCTACATGTGGTATCCATCTGTGGTCCTTATGTATGTATTCACACACATGCATAAATATATAAAATTGAAGTCAACCTTCAAGTTGTACAATGGCTCGGAATTGATTGACGGACAAAAAATCAAGAACCGCGAGCATGCGTATATTCGTCGGATTCATAATTTATGTTGTGTTCATATATACTAATAACTATGGATGAAGTTTGCTTAAAAAAAGAGAAGATGAACAACTTGAACATCCCAATTACATTCTTGGAGAGGGAAAAAAAAGAATTCTCAGGTTTTTGTTTGTAGGAATAGCCGAACGGGGGGGGTCGAACCCCCAACCTTGAGATTAAGAGTCTCACGCTCTACCGATTGAGCTAGCCCGGCAGGGCTGGTTGATGGCGGATAAATTTGTGGTTACATAAACCAAGAGTTCCGATTTGTGGAGTGGGCTGTGGCGTTTCGCGATACGGACATTACATAATCGTTCTAGCGCGTCGGGGAGTCCGGGCGAACCCAGTGGAAACCAAAATTACTTATCAAGGTGGCTTCTTCTGAGCTCTCCCTCGAAGTGTCGTGTTGTCTGGTTGATGCTTCATTGATCTGTTTGTACCCCGACCCTCTCTGTGGTCATCTCGGCTGCCATCATGTGAGTTCTCAGAAGAGCGTTATATCCCCTATTTATGCATGAGCAGCTTCAATCTAACCCATATCAGGGCAAAACTCGCGGACGACCCCCAGATCCAACATGCATCCCTGCATAATCCTCTCCCTCTGCAATTGCATACCTACATTTGGCCTTTTCTGATCATTTGGCCCGCTTTCTTTGCCTTCTATCTCTCTGAAGAGCGCTATGATACCTATATCCAAGGCCAGGAGTGGACCTTCGTTTTTGCGGGGTCCATTATCACGGCCCAGTCACTCCTGTGGCTGATGACCAAGTGGAACATTAACATCAACACCCTGTTCACTAGCACTAGTGCCCGATCCATCGATACTGCTCGCCTGATTAAAGTGATCCCAATCACCAATGCCGGCTCTGCGGAGATCTGTACCCTACTTCACGATAATTCCGGTGGCAAGAAGACCCTCTCGTTCCTGTTTCAGAAGCGTCGTTTTCTCTACTACCCTGAGCGTCAAACCTTTGCGCCTCTTGACTACGTCCTCGATGCAGAGCCCAAGCCTGCTCTCAAGTACTTCCAGCTAAGCAAGGGTCTGACCACCAAGGAGGAGATTGAGAGCATTCAGCACCACTATGGCGACAACACCTTCGATATTCCTGTTCCCACATTTGTGGAGCTTTTCCAGGAACATGCAGTTGCGCCGTTCTTCGTCTTCCAAATTTTCTGTGTCGGCTTGTGGATGCTGGATGAATACTGGTACTACTCTCTGTTCACTCTCTTTATGCTTGTCATGTTTGAGAGCACCGTTGTGTGGCAGCGACAGAGAACTCTCTCTGAGTTCCGTGGAATGAACATCAAACCGTACGATGTCTGGGTTTATCGCGAGAACAAATGGCTGGAGATTACTAGCGACAAGCTTCTTCCCGGTGACTTGATGTCAGTTAACCGCACCAAGGAGGATGGCGGCGTTGCCTGTGATATTCTCCTTATCGAGGGCAGTGTCATTGTCAACGAGGCCATGCTCTCTGGTGAGAGTACCCCATTGCTCAAGGATTCCGTTCAGCTGCGCCCTAGTGATGACTCGATTGAGCCTGAGGGCCTGGATAAGAACTCGTTCGTGCATGGTGGAACCAAGGTTCTCCAGGTCACTCACCCTAATGTCCCCGGCGAGGAGGTTTACAAAAACTTGGCCTCTGGTATTACAGCCCCTCCTGACAATGGCGCCCTCGGTGTTGTCGTCAAGACCGGTTTTGAGACCAGCCAAGGTAGCCTTGTCCGTACCATGATTTACTCCACCGAACGTGTCTCTGCCAACAATGTCGAGGCTCTGCTTTTCATCCTTTTCCTTCTGATTTTCGCCATTGCTGCCTCTTGGTACGTTTGGCAGGAGGGTGTGTCAAAGGACCGCAAGCGATCCAAGCTGCTCCTGGACTGTGTCCTGATTGTTACCAGTGTTGTCCCCCCCTGAGCTGCCCATGGAGCTGAGCTTGGCAGTCAACACTAGTCTGGCTGCGTTGAGCAAGTTTGCCATCTTTTGCACTGAGCCTTTCCGTATTCCCTTTGCCGGCCGTGTTGATATCGCTTGTTTCGACAAGACTGGTACTCTGACTGGTGAGGACCTGGTTGTCGATGGTATTGCTGGGCTCACATTGGGCCAGCCTGGTGCTAAGGTCGAAGCTGACGGCGCTCATGCCGAACTCGCTAAGGTCGAGGCTGTTGGAGCCGAGACTACCCTGGTTCTCGCTAGCGCTCATGCCCTGGTCAAACTAGACGAGGGCGACGTTGTTGGTGACCCCATGGAAAAGGCTACTCTCCAATGGCTTGGCTGGGGACTTGGCAAGAACGATACTCTCATGTGCAAGAGTATCCCACCAAAGGTTTCTTCTCGCCCTGTCGAGTCTGTTCAAATCAAGAGACGTTTCCAATTCTCGTCTGCCCTGAAGCGCCAGAGTACCATTGCCACCATTACTACCAATGATCCAAAGACCTCTAAGAAGACCAAGGCTACCTTTGTTGGTGTCAAGGGTGCTCCCGAAACCATTGGCACTATGCTGGTCAACACTCCTTCCAACTACGAAGAGACTTACAAGCACTTCACTCGTAATGGTGCTCGTGTGCTTGCTCTTGCTTACAAGTATCTGTCGTCTGAAGCGGAACTTTCTCAGAGCCGCGTTAACAACTATGTCCGCGAGGAAGTTGAATCTGAATTGATCTTTGCCGGTTTCCTTGTTCTCCAGTGCCCTCTGAAGGATGACGCTATCAAGTCCGTCCGCATGCTGAACGAAAGCAGTCACCGTGTTGTCATGATTACTGGTGACAACCCACTTACCGCCGTTCACGTCGCGCGCAAGGTCGAGATTGTTGATCGCGAGGTTTACATTCTTGATGCCCCTGAACATGATAACTCTGGAACCAAAGTTGTTTGGCGAACCATTGACGACAAGCTGAACACTGAGGTTGACCCGACTAAGCCCCTGGACCCGGATATTCTTCAGACCAAGGATATCTGTATCACCGGTTACGCCTTGGCGAAGTTCAAGGACCAGAAGGCCCTCCCCGATCTTCTGCGCCACACCTGGGTCTATGCTCGTGTGTCCCCCAAGCAGAAGGAGGACATTCTGCTCGGTATGAAGGATGCTGGTTACACCACCCTGATGTGTGGTGACGGTACAAACGACGTCGGTGCTTTGAAGCAAGCTCATGTTGGTGTTGCTCTTCTGAACGGCTCGCAAGAGGACTTGACCAAGATTGCCGACCACTACCGCACCACTAAGATGAAGGAGCTCTACGAGAAGCAGGTTGGCATGATGCAACGCTTCAACCAGCCTCCTCCCCCTGTACCTGTCAACATCGCCCATCTCTACCCCCCCTGGTCCTCGTAACCCACACTACGAGAAAGCCATGGAACGCGAGGCCACCAAGAAGGGCGCTGCTGCTCCTGCCCAGCAAATCCCTACTATCACTTCTCCCGGTGCTCAAGTTCTCCAGCAGAGCCAGACTCCTCAGCAACAACGCCAGAGCCAATCTCAAGCTGCCGCGGCTGGTCTTGCTGACAGGCTCACTTCTTCCATGTTGGAGCAGGAGCTTGATGATAGTGAACCCCCCCACCATCAAGCTTGGCGATGCTTCCTGCGCTGCGCCGTTCACCAGTAAGCTGGCCAACGTGATTGCGATCCCGAACATTATTCGTCAGGGTCGTTGCACTTTGGTTGCCACCATTCAAATGTACAAGATTCTTGCTTTGAACTGTTTGATTAGTGCCTACAGTCTGAGTGTCATTTACCTGGAGGGCATCAAGTTCGGCGACGGTCAGGTCACCATCAGCGGTATGCTGATGAGTGTCTGCTTCCTGTCAATCTCCCGAGCCAAGGTTCGTTATATGATCTTCCCATCTTCAAAGTTGTTGAATACTAATTATTTGTAGTCTGTCGAGGGATTGTCCAAGGAGCGCCCCCAGCCGAATATCTTTAACCCGTATATCATTGGATCCGTTCTTGGTCAATTTGCTATCCACATTGTCACCTTGATCTACCTTTCTAACTATGTCTATAAGATTGAGCCGTATGTCTTGAAACCCCCTCTACCACCGAATTTTTTTCACTAACAAACATTACAGGAGAGGTACCGATATCGATCTCGAGGGCGAGTTCGAGCCTTCTCTTTTGAACAGCGCGATCTATCTGCTTCAGTTGATCCAGCAAATCTCCACTTTCTCCATCAACTACCAAGGTCGTCCCTTCCGCGAGTCTATCCGCGAGAACAAGGCCATGTACTGGGGTCTCGTCGCAGCCTCGGGTGTCGCTTTCTCTTGTGCTACAGAGTTCGTTCCTGAGATCAACGAGAAGCTACGCCTGGTTCCCTTCAGCAACGAGTTCAAGATCACCTTGACTGTGCTCATGGTCTTCGACTATGCTGGCTGCTGGGTGATTGAGAATGTGCTCAAGCACTTGTTCAGTGACTTCCGTCCTAAGGACATTGCTGTTCGCCGCCCCGATCAATTGAAGCGGGAGATCGAGCGCAAGGCACAGGAGGAGGCTGAGGCTCAAACTCAGAAAGAGCAGCAGAGAAAGGTTTAATTGTGCTGCTGACTTGAAGACTTACAAGTCAACATGTAGTAGTACTGTATACATAGAACGGTTGAGGTTGAGTTTCATAGAATTGCAAAGAATCTCATACATGGTTCTTAACGTGATCTAAATTCGATTTTTTTAATTCAATGCCTGAATCATTCCAAATAATCTCAATTGTAGTTTTCATTGTTCCTAGAACAAGGGCCATACTTCAAAGGTTAACGGGGTTGTCCCGAGGCACTTGATGTATGTCCCCACGACAGTATCAACCTTGGGATTCCAAGATCTTATCCTTGGGATGACCTATACGCATTGGAATTGATATCTGCATTCAGGTGTCCTACAGGGTATTCAATCGCGACAACGTTAGGGACTTACACTGACTCATACTGCACTCGGCATCCCTTTGTTGCGAAACATCATCCCGCAGACAACCCCACTTAGTATGATCTCATCGGCTTTAAGGCCGATGAGATGCAGACCTCTTCTTTCCAGTTCTTACTTCTCAAATACAGCATTCGCACTCTTCAAATCTGCTTGGCACACGATGGCTCAACATAATATTCAATCAACCCATAAGCTGCTCTCAGGTCATGAGATCCCGGTGCTTGGATTTGGGGTACGTTGACCTTCTCTATATGATCCTCTTGACGCAACTTTGCTTGTCAAGTGTGAAAAAGCGCAATAAGCCACGAAGAATACTATGGCTAACGAATTTATGTGCTTCTAGGTCTACATGATGTGCGTATGAAATGTCTCCTTACAACATGTTAACCATAACTAACTGATATAGCCCCCCCACCCAGCACAGAGAAGGTAGTCCAAGAAGCCCTGAAGGTTGGCTTTCGCCATGTACGTATTGACGGTGAAGAACCACATAAAATCGAAACTGGTAACTAATAAATTGCAATTCTAGGTCGATTCAGCTATCATGTACGGCAACGAGAAGGGCTGCGGCCGCGCTCTCCAGAACTCGGAGCTTGACCGATCCGAGATATTCCTGACAACCAAGATTCCACCAGGATCAATGGGCTACACACCCACCAAGCGAGCCATAAGAAAGAGTTTACAAGAAGCCGCTACAGACTACTTCGATCTGTAAGTTTTGCTATTCCCACAACTCTACCCAGATTCTGAAAACATCTACATCGTAACATAAGAACTCACGCTTCATGTTACTAGAATCCTGATCCATGCACCCTACGGCGGCCAAGAAGCCCGTATAGGCTCGTGGCGCGCATTAGTTGAAGCTCAACAGGCAGGATATGTCCGATCCATCGGTGTATCTAACTACGGTGTCCACCATCTCGAAGAACTAGAGGACTATATCAAGAATGGGGGTGGTGGCGAGATAAGCGTCGGACAGTGGGAGTTGCACCCCTGGCTAGATCACTCGGATATTACGGCTTGGTGTCATAGTCGTGGAATAGTTGTTGAGGCGTATTCGCCGCTTGCGCATGGAGAGCGACTGGATGAGCCTGTGTTGGCTAGTATAGGGAAGAAGTATGGGAAGTCGCCGGCGCAGGTTATGATTCGATGGAGTTTGCAAATGGTACGTATGCTTTTGGTTGATTCTGGTATACATTATAGTACACACCTTTATCATTTCACAATCAGCTGACCATAGTATGAAGGGATTCCTGCCTTTGCCGAAGTCCAAGACTTCAGCGAGAATCCGGGAGAATGCGGACGTTTTTGATTTTGAATTATCAGAGGAGGATATGGCACAGCTTGACACAGGTGAATATGCGCCTACAGACTGGGATCCCACTGTTGATGAGGATTAGAATAGATGAGAATCTATCATGATACAAATAGAGTAGAGTATAAGTGGATTCTCATAGAACCGTGAAATTATCAAAGCGGGAATTTTGGATTTGTCAGGCAATTCCGGGTTTGCATTAGAACATCGAATCGCGGGGTTGTGAAACATTTTCAACTTCTTATCTTGACGACTTGACGATTTGGCCACACTCATTTCTTCTCCTAAGACATTCCTTATAGAATTCTTGGTTCCTTACAAAGAACCTCTTTTATTCTTTAATATTCTTATTGCATATCTCCACTGATCAGCGCCACCATGAAGTTGATCCTCTCCACCTCGTAAGTGTCTTCCCACAGCGCATTGCTTTTAGGACCCCGCAGTTCCTTAAAATGGAGAAGATTGAAGTGGACACAGAACAGTGTGACTAATTCGATTATATACAGCAATATCATGCAAGGCGGCAGGCCGCCTGTCATCCGCCAACCAACGCAAAAATCCAACGTTGAACTCATCAACGCCCTGCATTCGAATTTCCTTGCTTCGCAACATATTGATCTGCCAAACGGAACCGAAGTCCACGTTAACGGGAATGGTGTCTCCAACAGCACCGCGAAGGGTTACCAGTCTTGGACCGGAGAACAAGACGGAGCCCTTTACATCCCCGCAATTGACTTCTCACAGCCCGGACTGGCGGAGGAGCGGTCTCAATACGATATCACCGTGAAGCTGTTCTATCTACCAGGGATCCCAGTGTCCCGACGTTGTGCGCACACAAGGGAGGCAATTGATCTTGTATTGAAGGAGCTACATGTGGATTCTATTGATCTGCTGATTGTATCGTTCCCGGGTCTTCTATTCGATGCGGACGATGACAGCGATGAGGAGGAAGCCGGGGCTACTGGAGAGTCTGATGACTTCGACAGCATGGTGCAGACCTGGCGTGTACTGGAATCATTGCATGAACAGGGCATGATCGGTCAACTGGGTGTCGCGGAATTTGGCAGCGAACGGCTGGCGCGATTCTTGCCGCACACTCAGGTAAAGCCCTCAGTTGACCAGATCAATCTCAAGGACTGTTGCGTTGTTCCCAAGTCCTTGATTCTCTATGCGAAGCAGGAGCAGATTCAGCTTCTCACTCATAATGATTGCAATGATATCCTTCCCGTGGGTACAACAAGAGAGCTTCTCGGCCCTGCGGACAAGGGCGTTGGTATCCTGGCTTCTGCTCCCGACGCCGATGATGGTATTCAAGGACATGTTGAGCCTCAATGGGTGGTCAAGTATACCGCAGTTGTGAAGGATCGCGGCGTGGTAGAGAACAAAGGATACTTCGCTCTGGCGGATGTTGGTAGCTGTGTCAAGCCGCAGTCATGAAAGTAGAGAACAGATGGAGAGGCATGGCTTTTGAGTCGTTAAAACATTCATATTTCATGATCCAGCGTGGCGTTTCTTCTTGTTTTTTTGTGTTTTTCATTTTGTGGTATTTTCTCCCTCTGTCAAGGTCAGATGAAACCAGGAACCAGGTAACATCCAAGCCCATTCTCTTCGAGTCATTGAGAAAGTAACTCATCTTTATCCAAGCATACTGCGCTTGCGACCCCGCAACCGCACATCCTCAAGTCTGCGAATGGTAGAAGTAGCGCCCTTATTGCCCTGTCTATACCCAACCAATAATTCCTCAAAGAAAGGCTCTGACAAGGGATGCGTACTTCCCATCGCCCGCTCCAACACATAAAGATCCACCGCTCGATCCTCATCCTGTACACTCTGCGACGCTAAACCAAAATCAATAATCACCACCTCCCCCTCTATAGCAGTATCTTCCTGTTCCGACTCGCTTGTTCGCAGCATCAGATTACTCGTCGTCAGATCTCCATGAACCACACCAGCTTTATGCAGCGCCGCAATCGCCGCTCCAATCCGTCGCAGTAATGCCCGCACCGGCGCTTCTGCGGCCGCAATCTGCGCCTCATCCATTGTACCCCGATTCGCCTTGAACCATGTTTCCCACTTCTCAAGTACAACTCGTACAACGGGCCCTTCAATCCACTCCATCATTAACCACGCGCCTCCCCAGCCGCCTTCATCACCACCTTGTCCTTCCCAGTCTAACGCTAATACCGCAGGAACGTTGACGCCTTCACGGACGAGTTTCACAAGACATCTCGCTTCTTGAATAATGCGTTGTCGCGTCAGTTTTCGGTCGAGAATTGGGTGTCGGTATGGTTTTGAGGGGCGGATCTTTAAGGCAGCTGGGATGGCGGGGTTGTTGGAGACGGTTTTGTAGAGGTGAGCTTCGGCGCCTTGAGTAAGGAGAATTGGTGGAGGGTTGGTATTGGAGAATGGGGCGGGAAGTGCTGGGGGTTTATATTCGGTGGCCATTGTGATAGTTGGAGCCCTTGGAATGTGAGATTGTTGGTATTGCTAAGGCTCGAAGCTGGAAAAAGTTCCGCTTTGGTGGTGGGGCTAGTTATAGTTTGGTGATTACTTAAGGTATATACTGTAGGTAGCCCTGACATCGACTCTTCATGATATTGAGTCTATGGATTTTTGATTTGACTCTAGGTTTTATTTCTGAGATTGGAAGGGCATCATGGACAGGGTTCAAATTTAATATTCAAGTTGGTTCAAGTTCTTAAGTATCACTGCGACAACATTTGAAGATGAGAACAGTGCTAAATACCACATACTATCTCTACAAAAATGATCTGAAGTTCAAGTAGGAGCAGACTCAAGCGTGGACATTGAGTCGATACTATAAGTACATAGGAATTTAGATCTGGTAGATACCTTGAAATGTCATGGCGTTAAAGATAAAAAATGTGAAACTCCCCGAAACGAAATGTGGTATAAATTTCTGAATATAATGTAATCCAATAATCAAGATTCTTTAGAATATATCCCGAAAGCACGAAACCAAATTCTAATGCATATAGCCAAATTCTCGGACCTGCATAAATCTTGTAAATGCCAGTGGGATCGAATGGCATAGATAGCCCACTAGAACATTTCCAAGCAGAGCTCACGCTCTACTGTAAATCTAAATGTCGGAGATTGAATTGGTGCAAACCAGCATTTCTGACCAGAGCCAGAGGTAGGATGGGCGCTGTCTCGAGATTTTGGGCGCAACGCACCCCTCGATTACCACATCAGCTGTGCAGAAAACTAACAGAAATGTGTCTCATTGGTAGATCCTCACCGGATACTGCCTTTGAGAAACTTCGAGCTTGCTCGAAAGAAAAGAACCGCTTAGCAGAAGCAAGAGAGTTCCCTGTGGAGGAAACAATACTAGATATCAGCCGCTCCGGCGATGACGACCAGTAACCAGCCAATGTGCAAAGCATCCCTGCGGAGGCTTGAATAGCACGGGATATGACGGTTTGGATCATTTCGCCTTGGCGACGAGTGCTGTCCACGGTCTGGCCGTGGACACGAATATCCCTGGAAGGTGCAGAGCGATGGATTTGGAGTGAACCGTCGCCATAAGCGGAGCTGAGGACCACTCTTGTTGGAAGAGTAACCTTCGGCTGTATATTTTGATTCTTGTAAGCGTCCGGCTGACCGGAGCGGTTCTGCTCGGATCTGCTCGCACGATCGCTTCTGGTCTGCAGAGCGTAGCGCGTCTGAGATGAGATCGAAACTGACGGAGTTTGATTCATCGAAGTCGACCTCATCTTCACAGTACTCGAAACCACCTGGCTTCTCGACTGGTAGACTTGCAGGCTGCCGTTCGTGACAGGTTGCTCAGCCCCAACGCTGATAATAGTCCTACGCCTAGTGATCGGCGCTGGTTTAACAACGGTACCTTCGCTTGGCGCGACGGGGCGTAGAGCATGATGACCTTGTCGTTGAGATATAAACCCTGACGGTCTTCCAGTACCGAGACCACCTTGAGGGTGTCTCTCGGGAGTTCGAGGGTCGCATGTCGAAACACTCCGCTCCAAACGAGGCGCTGGATGAACGTGGCGAATGAAGGCATCGGAAGGTTTGTTGCTCGAGGTAGCTCCCAGGGCACATCCACGCCAGGTAGGTACGCTGGTACCCTTGCCGCTTTGTTGGGATACCGTCGTTCCAGATACATGAAGACCTGGATCGTGGCCAAATGAACGTTGGTTTTTGCTGGTCTCGATGACCGGCGACAGTACAAAGCTTGTACTGTACTGTGGGTCGTGACCAAGGCCTCCGCGAGTAACCTTGGTTCTCATCCTTGCGGAGGATTGCAAAATCGACGGCTCTATGCGAATCGTGGGCGGATGAACCACCGGCGAAGTGCTCGGGACCCTCTCAGTCACGGTGATCGTAGGTCGAGCGTTCGTTATGAGTTCTGGGCGATGTCCAGGAACACCAGAAAGGCGTGGCGATGGGACAACTGGCATCTTGACCACTGGTTGTTGTATCCGATCTTTGTAGGAGACATCAACGGGGACCTCACTAGCACCACAGCGGGCGGCAGCCGCAGCCGCAGCCTTCTCCAGACAGTTGCACTTGAGGGGGATTAGCTATCAAAATCGTAGTAGTGAAGGTCGCTAGGTCGAATAAAACTTACTCTCTTATGCTGTTTCTTATGTTTCTCGCAAGCTCCATACTTTCGAGCCTTGATGTAGTTCTCTTTCTGTGCTTGAGAGCGAGGCTTCTGCTTTTTGGGGACGTTGGTGGTAGCATTCATGTTCAGGTCAAGGACCAGCTCCATACCTCCATTTCCAGAAGGGAGGGGAGCAGAAACTTGCTCTGGGCTGGAGCTGGAAGATCGCGGGGAAATGCTCTCTCGCATGTAATCCGACCAGCATGGTGATGAGAAGCTGGTATTGGAGTCGGAAGATATGTCCAAGTCCAGAGCGGTGGTATCACACAGTCTTTGCAGGTGCAATGCGATTGCGGCCTCACGGCGCTTCTCTTTGATTGAAACCACACGAGTGTCAGCCGCAGCCTGTGCCTCGACAAGCGGTCGGAAGTCCAAAGTGCTGTCGTATGGGTGGTAGCTATTGAACGTAGCCTCGTCAAAAACTGGAGCCGAGTCATGCATCAGGCCCAGGTTTAGAGACTGCTCAGCAAAGAAGTCATTAGGGGATAGATCGTAGTTCGTCATGTCAGGGAACCCAGCTGGACTGAGCTCTGGCAAATCATTCGTGAACAGGTCCGCATCGTAGGGGAGGGCCATGTTCGCGGAAATAGAGTTAGCCGAGGCGGAATATTCATCGCTATAACTCGGCGAAAGATCAAGGAATTGATCAAAATCCAGCCAATCCTCAGGCTGTTGGGAGGCGTCCAAGAAGAATTGATTCTCAATTGATGACATCTTGTCGGGGGGTATCACAAGTACTTTTAGGGGGACTTTTCTGTCCAGAGGGGAGAGGTTAAAATCAAAAGGATAAAAAAATGAAGGGAATTTAGAGTGATTTAGGACCTCGAGGGACCTGATAGAGTTGAAAAGCGTAAAATCAACGAAGACCGACCAAGGGACTCGAAGAAAAAGGAAAAAGAACCTGAGGCAGGCTGCCATTATCATTGTATATACGACTCGTGATCTGAGAGTAGTCCATTCCTATTTGGGGTCCCCGACATACGCTAAACTAAATTAGGAGCCCGACACTGCCATCTTGCGACCCTGTTTGTTTGGTTTGTTTAGTTTGCATTTGATGGTTGGTGAATGACGGGATTAAGTGGATTCTCTTAGATATTCTTCATCCAACTGGAGTTCGTGAATCACTGTGATATGTCTGACTCATAATGGGGCTTAGATCGACGATAGCGGGGCAGATTACACTCTAGAGACTCTGGACCGCTTAGAACCGACATGATTCCAAGGGTGATGTGATCACTTCTGGGGTTTTCATTGTGGAATGAGCTAGCTTTTACGTTTCTTCAAAGCTATGAATCATAAACAGAGATTGCTTGTCCCCACAATGAATAAAATTTGTGTATACGGACTCCGGAGTAAATATCCGCTGGTATACCTCGGTATCCACAAGCATTTGAGTGCCCGAGTGGCTAAGCAGGGGCTTAAAAGACATGATCTCATCTGAGTAAGATTTGTACCACGCTCAGCCCCCTTGACAAGAGTGTAGCCTCAATCTAAGAATGTTTACTCCGTACACGCCAAGGAGCTATTAACTCATGGCGACTTGAACTGATGTGCCATGGAGAATCCAACTTTTCACTATATTCAATTGCTCCAACAACCCCACTCAGACCACACCACTACCTAACCACTGACACCCAGGTTAGATCACTACGATTTCTATAATGAAGTCGTCTCGTCTCATAGTGATAGAGGAAAATTATGAATGATTTGTTTGTCTGGTCCAATATTTTGGCAGTATTTACACCAGTCCATGCAACAGGGAATCTTTGACGATCTGCAAAAACGCATCACCCTCTGCGTTGCTATAAAATGCATCGTTGAATGCCAAGTTCAGACAAAGCTGGTCTCGAAAAGTCCACACATGACACACGACCTGTCTATTCATCATATCCAACCCGCCTGAGATTCGATCGATGCGAATTCCCCGTTCTGCAGTTCCCTTTTCTCTCGCGGTTAGCATCTCACACAAACCGAGGCTACTGATATCCACGTCGGTCGGCGAAGGCATATCCTCCGGCAAACTACGAAGAAGCTTGCAAAGCCCAGTGGCATATTCGAGATGCGCCGAAATGTATGAATCGCTTATACCTTTACGGTACTCTTCATGGTATGCCTTGGCTCGGTCTAACCATGACGACTCGGATGAAACTGGGAACATCCAACCAGTCGTGAAAATTGTGCTGGCACACTGGCGACCAGAGTATGGCTCTGGTAGATATGGGCGTAAGCTGTAGCGTATCGTACTTGTATAGTGTTTCTTCTGATCACCAGAAGTAGCTAACGCATAGTTGGCGCCAGCAATTGACGCATGCACTGCTGCTATTACAGAGAGCTTTCGATCTTTGCAACCCTGCACTACGGCATTTGTCTCTGCTTCTGTGAGATGCAGACGCCTGATGCACGCACTACCTGGGAGAGTCTCGACTGGTGCGGGAGAGGCGATTCCGATTGCCCCAGCGGCATGGCCAAAACTTGCAACAAGCTCTTGGCCTAGTTTCTTGTCTTGCTCCTCCGACGTGATAAAATTGGACGCCGCTTCTTCAACAGATGGCGCTAAGCGAACGGTCTATTCACCCCAAGGCAAGGAGGAAGCATCTAAAGCACCCTGCACGGCAAGATCGAGCAAGTCGTCCATCAGAATCAAGCCGCCCACACCATCCGTTCTCCAATGTTGCGAGTGACCCAATAGCTCACCCGTCTTAGGGAAGAAGGTCATAGTAGCATATGGAACACGTGTGGCAGATGCGATAACTTCATCGATCGTCTTATCTTCAATCACCTGAAAGGTCTCCGTCGCCCATTTCTCAAGTGCTGCAGTATCGGGGACATCATAGACATATTGGGTCTCGTCTACGATATAGGCGGCGATCGTGGGGTGTTTAAAACGCAAGGTCCTCCATGCATCGCGGAAGAGGGAGGCTTGATTTTCCTTGGCGAGTGAGCCTAGCGGGGTCATGGAGACAATGATGTTCATAGCCCAGTGGTCACGATTGAACGGACGAGCGGCGTCACCAAGGATCTTGATGAACGTTTCATTTTCACCAAGAGGGCGCTCATATCGTTGTTCGCTCACTTTGGACCATGACATATTGAATTCTTCGGGCTTAGACAAGAATGTTCCAAGATCAAATTACACAATATGATCAGAAGGAATGAATTGTACAATGCAGCTGATTTATAATCCTTGATTCAAGTCCCCCAGGGCCGCCCCTGACATCAATGGGACGCATAATTCCAAACTTGGAAGGTTAAGCTAGATAAGATCGCCCACATTCGTGGACGTCATTCCAAAGCACTCGAGAGCGCTTCAACTGATTTTCATAGTTTTTACACATACATTAATTCTTAAATCTCTGCAGATTGACGTTCAAAGAAGCACCCTAGTATATTTCAATCTTGATATCTTGAATTGATTGTTTCAAATATTGAAGCACTCCTTACATACATGTGCATGTGCCAAAGGCCTAAGGCGTCCCGTCCCACCCATGAGTCCATGACCCCGCGCAGAACATTCGGTTTGGACATCATAACTGCATCCGTGCACATATGCAAAATTCCACTCGAAAAAAGCCCCGAGGCTTAACGATATTCAGCTTACCCTAGCAGGTATCAATTGGATTTTGATGATCAACATTTGGATTCACTACTAGTGGTGAAGCACTTCAAAGGTTTCTTTGAGCTAGATTAAGAGGTCAATCTCTTTCGCTCTTCGAAAAGGAAAGCGAATATTGACTACCAAGTATCAAACAATCACCATGCTGGACAGTGTGGTTAGGACAGTGGTGTTTTATGGCCTTGACCCATGGCTTATGGCGACTACCGCCTTGCTAAACATTGTGCTTTTCATCCTTTACCGATGCTATTTCCATCCGTTGTCCAAATACCCTGGCCCATTTTTAGCCAAGATGAGCGAAAATTACATGATTTACTTTGCCATGTGTGAACGGAACACATATGCCCGACATGAGCTTCACCAGAAGTTTGGTCCAATTGTGCGTGTCGGTCCAAATGAGCTGAGTTTCTCTGATGAAGCTTCCATCAAAGATATTTATGGCCAATCAACAAATCCTTGCCTGAAGGCTCCTCAATTTTATCGAGGATTTACAATGACTGGAACGGATTCTGTCTTCAGTACGAGAGATCGTGTACTTCACGCACGAATGCGCCGGCTCTTGGCCAATGGATTCTCTCAGAATGGGGTACTCCAGTTTGAAGAAGAAATCGCTCTGATAGTCCAACGATATTTGGATGTGATTCAGAAATCTACATCCGAGTCCCAGCCGGTGGAGTTTCATGATCTGACTCACAGCCTGTTTGTTGATATAACCAGTACCTTGGCATTTGCTCAGAATTTCGATACGCTCAGTGGTAAACATAGTCAAGGAGCTACTGATATTGATACCTGGTTTCAAGTCTGCCCTCTCTTTGGATTATTTCCCTTATCAATATATTTCCCATTCGGATTATTCCGTACTGCTCAAAACGCCCGACCAAGAATCCTTGAGGCAACTCAGTCTTGGATTAATCAATTTCGAGATCGGATTCAAAGTGGAACAGCAGAAAATGGCCTTCTTCGCTCGATGATACAAGCAAGAGACATTGAGACAAATACAGTGTTCAGTGACGCGGAGCTGCAAGAGAACGCTGTTATATTTGTGCTCGCTGGCACTGGCACCTCGGCGACAACTTTGCTTTATTTCATATATGAAATGGGCATAAGACCTGAGATGCAGCGCCATCTTGAACGAGAAATCCGCGAAGCATTCCCAGATCGAAATGTCATGCCTGATTACAACACAGCAATGAAACTGGTAAGCTCCTCAGTATCCTACTGGAGAGCTGAAACTTGTGGTTTCTGTAAAGTCTTTACTGATATTCTTCCTAGCCCTATCTGAACTGTGTTCTCCAAGAGGTCCTTCGTCTCAGAGGGCCCACGAACTCCGTTCCCCTGCGTATCTCACCAGGAAAGTCTATCGGCGGCATCTTTGTACCCTCAGGAATGATGGTCAGTAACCTTCCTTACACGACGCATCGAGACCCCGCGATCTTTCCAGGGCCAGAGAAGTTTGAGCCGAGTCGGTGGGAGAATCCTACAACAGAAATGAAAAACATGCACAGACCGTTCAGCGTCGGACCAAGAAACTGCCTGGGCGTGCACCTAGCCCGTGTTCAACTTCTCATAACAGTCTGTGCACTTTACCAACGCTTTGATATGTCGATTGATTCCTCGATGACAGCATATTTAATGGAATTGCGAGATGTTGGTCTTATGAGCCCTATGGGCAGAACCTTGAAGGTGCAGGTTAAATCGTCTTGTTAGAATTTTTGTGAATGGCATGATCATCACAGATGAATCAGGTATTCTATCCGAGGGAACTGGGTTCTCGACCTTCACAGAATTGAAATTGATACTACTATAATACATCGTTTTCGCAGCTCTTCACGCTTCAAATGTTAAATCCATGGATTAGATGCAACTAATTTTTACTTCGATGTGATGCATAGGTGGCTCTGCACTATAATTTCCTATAGAATAGCACAAATATGATATATTGATGATATTCCAATCTCTTAGTAGGAAAGTTGCTAACATCTACGTTTTCTGAGTACCCTGTCAGGCACCGGCACTGGTGCACGTTGCGGCCCGGTGTACTTAGCCCCACCCGCCCCGAAAGAGTCTCTCACGCCTTGACCACAAGGCCCCCTCCTCTCCAAGATCATGCAGTTGAAGACTCCTAAAATGACACAGTCAACCACATTCAAGTTCTCCGCTGTGCCTGGATTCTTCCTTCAGGATGAACCAACCACGGACCCAGCCACATTTGACTATGTAAGATTCAACCTCCTGTATCCACAGGAATGCTTCGCTTAAAAGAACAATCTATTCATACCTGATACAGGCAGCGTCTAATTTCGGGCTGATTGTTCGTGAGGACAATTCGTTACATACCCAGTGGCAAAATTTTACCCAAGAAATCCAAAAATTGAACGCTCTTGGAGGGGAATCGGTTTGCTACAAAGTGCTCTTCCTTGGTCGTCATGGAGAAGGTGTCCATAACGTCGCCGAGGTTCGGTATGGGACCAAAAAGTGGGATGTAAGCATATCCTTCCTTATGATACTCCATCTAATTTTGAGACTGATCAATCATATGTGAAGGAGTATTGGTCCTTACTGGACGGAGACGAGTATGGGAGTTGGGTTGATGCCCATCTTACACCCGTAGGCAAAGCCCAGGCCCAAACTGCATATGATACTTGGGCCACTCAGATCCAGAATGGGATTCCATACCCGCAGTCATACTATGTGAGCCCGCTGCATCGGACTTGTGAGACAGCACAGATCACATTCCAGGGCTTGGACATGCCACTTACTCGACAATTTCGCCCTCTCATCAAGGAGGTAAGAAAGGATATGAATTTCCAATCACTATCTCTCATCCCCGCCAGTCTGAATACTAAATGATATAGTTACTTCGAGAGACGCTGGGTGAGCATACCTGCGATCGCCGATCTAAGGCATCCGAGATCAAAGCAGACTTCCCCGAGTATCAATTCGAGGCTGGCTTCAGCGAAGATGATCTACTTTGGGACCCGAAAATTAGGGAGACCGATGAGGATCGAGATGCGAGACTTACTGAATTCTTGAACGATATCTTTGCGACGGATGATAATATTTTCCTATCTTTGACGGCGCACTCGGGTGCCATCACGAGTATTCTCAATATTGTTGGACACCGAGCCTTTCGCTTGCAGACTGGGGCTGTTATCCCTGTTGTTGTGCAAGCGGAAAGAAAATGATGGACAGCACTGAGTGAGGGTAGTACACACACATTACTATACCAGTTGACTACATAAGTGCCCAAAATTTCCACTTTCATAACTTGAACATACTACATACTACCTATTTCTGAGTTACAAGCATGGTGGTAGTATGATACCTCTGTCAAGGAGCAGGCAAAAGTGGAAGCTAAATGATTGGAAAAGTTTCATGAAAGGTGTTCTTGAATATTGTAGGTATTGTACATGGGCGACTAGCCCGCTTTCTTCTACATGCAGAATCTCTTCAAACCCAACCGGTCAAAGACGAAAAGGAAACAGAATAAAGGGAGACAACCAACACACATGATGGAGTCTTCGGGTGTTAAAATAATACAAATGCAACGCCAAAGGGAGAATACTAAGCATAAACCACACAATTACCAGCTGTAGAACTGGTTTTGAGCAGAGATCTTTCGGTCCGGCAATTGGACCCAGAGCTGCTCCTTGCGCTTCCGCAGGGCAGTAGCTTCCCGCTCCTCCCACTGACGGATACGGGTCTTCTCCTCTTTCAATACAACCGAGAGACCAGTGGCTGGGGGACGCAGCTGGTTGATCTGACCACGGGCACGGTGATCCATACCGTGTCCATAAGGACCACGGTTGACCCAAGCTTGCTCAATATAGATGTTTGTGGGGTCGGTGATCTTCTTACGCTCACCATCCTTCAATGTGACGGTGATAGGCTTAAGGGCTTCATCATTCTGTGACAGGCCCATGCCGGCACGGACCATGGCGACGTTCTTCGCGTGCTCCAAGTGACCAAGTACATCCTGCGCAGCCTTCTTCTTGCTGAAGCGCATCTGCAGAATAGCCTCGTCAATGTTCTTGCCTGCAATCTGGCGAGCCAGAGGACCCAGCTTCTTAACGGAGGTTTTGAACCAGTGTGACTTGGCAAGAGACTCGCGCTCGGTGCGCTTAATCTGAATGGCCTTGGGAACACGGCCACGCTTCCGAATCTCCCGGATGACCATCTTCTTCTCCCATCGCAGCTGCGCCTTAGGGTTGGGGTTCAGACCCAGTTGCATATTAGCCGGAGTACGTTCTTCGAGGTATAAGGGACCCTGGCCCGCTGTCTGTTGCTGAATGTTCTTCTTCTTGCGGGTCGGTGCTGGACCAGACGTGTTGGCTGTATCTTCTGCGAAAATCGAGCTTGATCCGAGTGAGCCTTCCCGAGCAGGGGGTGCAGCGGGAGTTCGAGTAACTTTAGGCTTTGCGTCGGAGTCTCCGAGGACCCATTTCTTCATCGAAGAGAAGAGCGAGTTGGACTTTTTGGCGGGCTTCTCATTCTGGGCGTAACGAATGGCGGTTGAAGTCAATGTACGCTGGGGGATATACGCGACACGGGTCCGGGCCGCTAAAGAATTGGAGTGTTAGTGATACATGAAAAAAACTTCCGCAAGATGATCAATTCGTAGCATACCAGACCGGACTAGCTGCCCATACGGTAATACTGAGCCCATTGTGGCCGTTGAAGGGAATGTAATGTAGAATCGGAGATCGGGGAAGCGAATTGTAGTAAGAAAAAAGGTCAAACTTAAGCTGCGCAATTGGTCTCTATGCCGTCCCGTGACTAGCGTTTTGGCCTCAGGCCACTAGATGCAGGTCGCGACGTGATTGATCACGAACAGTAGAACGACTAGAAAGGAAAAGATAGCGACTTCCCCCACCCGTGAGGTTTACAAGCGATTTGTTTTTTATCCTTTTGGATAGCTTGAAACCATCCGGGCCTCATGGGGCATTCGACCGAACCTATCCACATTGCAGGTCTTCCCTCACACCGTCATCTCCACAGTGAAGATCCACTAGCCCTCATCTTCCCTCACTCAGGGCCTTCAGCGCTCTCCTTCCCGGTTCTTGCTCTTTCTCTTCCTCATCGGTTCTTTCCCTTCCTTCATCCTCCCTCCAACCCTCCCAGGCTGCTCGCCTGTGGCTTCTCTTCTCTTCCTTCTCCTTCCCCTCCCGATCCCTGCTTTAACCTAGCTGTTCATTCCACCCGGGTTTGTTCAGCTTTGGGTCCCGCTCCTTCGGCCGACACGTTCCTTTACACACCACGATATTCATCTACTGGGACCAGCAGAGCTCCTCGGAACAAAGAGCCTTGGTTATTAAGATACGAGTCGCGCAAAGCCCTCGGCGAAACCGAAGATCGGCACGAGACTCGGACCAGCAGTATCTGTCCTGGTTGATATAGGGATGGACTTGTTGTTAAGGCATCTGGTCGCCTTCTTTTAACTTGGATCTCTGCTCATTTAGCACTATCCGTCGACGACCTACTCACCTTGATCGAGTTTGAGAACTAGATCGCTTTAATTTCACCTCTTATCTCTTCCCTCAAGTGGGCTTATCACAGCACGCTTTTTTTTATTAATTTTTATTCTTGCCTGTTTCTCGCTTTGAGTTAGCAGGATGGATATCAATTCATTACTTTCCCCGGACTCCAATCCTAAGTCTGGAACTTCGACGCCAGTGGCCGGTGTCACGTCAAAGAATGCACCCATCCCGACTGCAGGGCCATCCCCCCACAAGGCACTTCAACGAACTCGGTCTGGTTCCACTCGCAAGGGAAAGACTTCCTCACCTCTTGCACAGCAAATCTATGCCCCGACTGGGCCGACTGGACCTGGGATACCGGAAACTTCTCCGACAGCAGGGAACCCACCCGTCGGTGCTAACCCAAGCACTGGCAATGGGTCGTCTCCCGCGACCGACCGACCTTCGTCCTCAAAACCTTCAACTCCCGGCATGGACACGTTAGCCGATTTGGCTGCAATGCAACATCATCAGCCACAGCGGCAGAATGCTCAAAGTATGTTGCGTGGCACCGAGTCGTACGAGCACCAATTGTCACCGTCCACAATCCACCCTCACGTGAATCCGATCAACCACAACACACCCATCCCGCGCACATCGTTCGACATCGCCATGTCTGAAGGTCCTCGCGAAAGTGCGCGCAGGAACTATACTGATACATCCCTGGACCCGGACGCACAACGATTGGCGACCGATCTTTTTAACCAGATCCAAGAGAATCCTCATACCTACGATGCGCATGTCAAATTTATCGGCATTTTGCATGGCGGATTTGTGAACCATGTCTACCCGCCTAACAATCCTGAACTTCACGGCGATCCCCGGCGTTATGACCTACTCAAGGATATGCGGATAGCGCGAGAAGAGATGGATAAGCTTTTCGCCATGGGTGAGGATCTCTGGGCGGAGTGGATTCAAGATGAGAGCATGTTAGCCCACTCAGCGGTCGAACGCGACGCTGTTGTAAATTTGTGCCGGCGCTCAGTTGTCGAAGAGTTCGGTAGCACTAAACTCTGGCACATTTATGGCGAATGGGTGCTGTACCTCTACAGATCAGCCGTTGGGGAAGGTGGTGGTGCTGGCCAGTGGAATGAGGAAGACCGGCGGAGGTTCACCTGGCAGTCCGTCCTGGATGTGTGGAAAGAGGCTGCTGAATCAACCCGCTGGAGGATCAACAACAGTCATTTAGTTTGGGACCGGTACCTTGAGCTACTCTCGCAAGATATTTCTCGATCTCCATCCCAAGAGCAAATCAATCACCTCCGTGGCTTGTATGATCTGCGACTCAAAACACCCCATGCAAACTGGGATCAGACCTTCCAGAGTTTCTCTGGATTTGTCTCGACGTATTACGAATCAAATTACGAGAGTATGATGGCAGAGACTGTTGCTCAGGCCTCAAACCTGAAGGCAGTCTACTCAGCACGCGAGGAATATGAGCATCGACTGAGCAAGGTTGAAGAAACCGGTGATAGATCCTTGGAGTACAACGTTTACACAGAGTACATCGAATGGGAGTTGACCCGTAATCGCCGCCGACGAGAATTTCACTTTGAGCTGGCTAATGCCATTTATCAACGTGCGGTATTGCGTTTCCCCACTGATGTCACTCTTTGGGAAGACCACGTTATGTTCCTCCTCGGAGAATCGATGCATAATCATGTCTCTACGACTACGATCTCTACCTTGGATCGTGGGACCCGTCATTGCCCATGGTCTGGTAATCTTTGGTCGCAGTACCTGTTGAGTTCTGAACGCGAAGGTCTCTCATTCGCCATCATCTCCGAGATCAAGCATCGGGCCACGGCAACTGGATTGCTTGATGCTGGTGGCATGGAAGAAGTGCTGAAAGTCCACACCACTTGGTGCGCTTATCTTCGGCGACGCGCTTTCTTGTCCGACTCAACCGATGAAGACCTTGATGTCGCAGAAGTTGGAATTCGGTCGGCAATCGAGAGCGTTCAAGAGCTAGGCGAGAAGAAGTATGGGCGAACCTATCAAGGAGACCCTCTGTTCCGCCTGGAGCGTATCTATATTCGATATCTTAGCGAAAGTGGCAGCTGGGACAGTGCTCGTGAGACCTTCAAGGGTCTTGTGGGTCGTCGTGGTAATAGCTATGAATTCTGGCTCACCTACTACTCATGGGAGCTTATCTCTTGGAGCAAGTTTGTTCAGGGTGAGGCAACTGTGGATGCTGCGAGACGAACCCCGACACCCAGTTATGCAACTGCTGTTCTCAAGCAAGCTATCAAGAGGCAGGACCTTGACTGGCCTGAAAAGATAGTGCAAACCTACCTCGCTCATTGCGAGGATTACGAGGACTCGGATGAACTGCAACTTGCTGTTATCGAAACTCGTAAGGTTATGAGGGCTGTGAATGCTCGCAGAACCAGAGAGGCGCATGAAGCGGCCTCGGCCCAACAGCAGCATATGGATGCAGCAGCTGAATCTGCCTCTTCGTCGGAGAAGCGAAAGCGTGATGATGAGGTAGATGCAAATGGTGCACCCGATGCAAAGAAGGCTCGTAGCGAGGAACTTGCCCAGGAGGTTAACCCAGAGGTCAAGGAGGAACCGGTGGAACCCCACCGTGACCGTGAACACTCGACTGTAGTGGTTAAAAACTTGCCTCGGGACACTTCTGAGCACCAGGTCCGGCAGTTCTTCCGACACGTGAGTACACCACACTGGCTCTTTTGTAATGGTTCGTTTACTAATTTGGAGAATAGATCGGTACGATCAATGCTGTCAAGATGGCAACTGCTGAGAATGGTGATTCTCAAATTGCAGTTATGGAATTCGACTCAAAGGAAGATGCTCTTGGCGCTTTGACCCGCGATCAAAAGTCTTTCGGCGAGAACACTATCGATGTGCAGCTTGAAACCGGATCGACTCTATGGGTAACCAATTTCCCTGCAACGGCTGACGATGGGTATATTCACGGTCTCTTTGACAAGGTATGCTACGATGATCCCCCATGATATACTCCTCCACGCCACTAACATATTTAATTTTCATTAGTATGGTCGTATTGTTGATGTTCGTTGGCCATCGCTCAAGTACCAGACCAGCCGCCGGTTCTGTTATGTTCAGTTTGACTCTTCTGTCGCTGCTCAAAACGCAACTGAACTGAATGGAACCCGTACCGAAGATGGGTTTAACCTGTCTGTGAAGATTTCGGATCCCTCACAGAAAAAGAATCGCAGCGGAGCTCTTGTGGAAAAGCGTGAGATCTTCTGCGCAAACCTGAACTTCAAATTAACGGCGGACGACATTCGGAAAGAGTTTTCAAGATTCGGCACCATTGAAAATGTTCACCTCCCTGAGAACGTTGATGGCAGTCGCAGAGGCTTTGGCTTCGTGGTCTTTTCTACCAACGTAAGTTTTCTACCAATCAACTTTTCGTGGGCCAAATGCTAATTCCAAGTACAGGAGGAAGCGATTGCTGCGCAGGCAATGAACGGCGAACTACTCAGAAACCGCCCCATTCGAGTCACACTGGGCTCCAATTCCGGGCCGAAGCGTATGGCTAGTACCATCATCTCTCGGGTTGCTTCGTCAGCTTCACCTATCCCTGAGACTAACGGTGCCGGTCCGGATGTTGTAGAAACAGTTGGCGAGCGTTGGGACCGTACTCTCGGTTTGATGAATGTGCCTGATACCGTTAACGATGCTCGCATTCGTGCGTTGGTCGAGCCGCTAGGACGACTCATCAAAATTGTCCTGCGGCCAGATCACCAGGGTGCTATTGTTGAATTTGCCGATGTCCACGATGCTGGCAAAGCATCATTGGCACTCGAGGGCAAGGAAATTGTGCCAGGTCGACCACTTCACATCGGTACTGTGGAAGAGTTGAAAACCCTCCAGGCAGACTACAAGGCTTCTCGAATCACCTCGATTAAACCCGAGAAGCCCAAGAACACCCTTCAGCCGGCGGGTCCCATCAGGCGCCCACAACAAGCCGGTTCCCGAGGAGGCCGCCGAGTCGGACTAGGAGTGAAACGAGCGCCTCCTACGTTCAGCTCCGGCAGTGCCTCCAATACGGGTGATAAGATGGACACTTCTACCGACGATCATGTTGGTGCTGAAGGCCCGTCCAAAAAGAGCAATGATGATTTCCGAGCGATGCTGCAGCAGACTCGCAAGGAATAAAGTGCAACGGCAATGAATGTTATCCGGCGCAGCATCCCTATGTTTTTTTGAGGCATGAATATGGCTGGCGTTTTCTGGTTGTTTTCCTTATTCTTTTTTTTGTACCTTTTCTTTCAATGTTCGTCTTGCTTTCTTATATTTGCTGGTGGCTTTTCTCCGATTTGGGATTCCACCGCAAGATGGACTACGCAGGCCGTTTTATGTGCCATGGTCGGTTTCTCCTGAGTTATTCTTGGTATTGCTCGTGAGGTTGTCAATCTGCTCGCCTCTGTACATTATGGCTATGTATTGCTGGGTTCCCTAGTTCTAATGATGACGGCTGTTCAGAGACTCGCTCTGTCAGGGCGAGTTTCCCTACATATTGTTCCCTGGGCTGATGTGTCCTGTGTAAAGTCACACTAATTTTCATGTAGTCTGATTAGTCCGAGTGTTATTATGCCTAGTGACACTGTATCTGTGTGATGCTTCGTGAATTACTGTAAGCTATTCCTAGGTTCAATGTTAGGTACGGAGTAGAGCAGTAGGTGCTGTGCCTTGAATGGTTCAGATGTTAGATGGCATATCTCCGTACCTAGTAGTATATCAGTCCCTTTTGGTACATTACACATGTGTATAGCTCATCAGGGGTTTATCTACCCACATTGAAACTAGCAATAGCTTTCTATGCATGTTATATCCATAATGTAGTAAGATAAGCCCACCTATGAAGATCCTTTTTACAAAGTTTCAATTGAGCGGGGAGATAAGTGGGACAAAGTGGGTCAAACCCCCAGAAAATCAAGTTAAGCTGCATGTTCAAGTTCACTTGACCTTGACACTTTATGGCTTGATCCTTTGGGTCTTTGACTCTTTCATTCCTTCCTGAAATCATCCATAAACTCTCTATTGGGAGAATCTCTCTTCGACACACGTGAGAGATTCTCTTATCTCCAACACTCAGATCCCTGTTGCACGGACCAAATCCCTCATATTAAACCCTCCGTCGCAACCTCCTCCCTTCCTTCATTCCAAGGTTACCAACATGGATTTCCACTTGGTGCCTCGAGGCACAGATCGAAATTATACGGGATTCTTCACTAAGACAATTGTATACGTCGGTACTCTACTAGTCTTCCTAGTTTGTAAGTGCCATACCAGGACAGATTTCAACCAGGCAACAACGAAACATGAACCTCCAAATCACACAAAATGCTAACGACACTTATCCATAGCCTTTGGTCTGACAATAAGTTCTATAATAATCCCAAGATGGGTCAGCTATCATAGCGAAAAGGTAAGTGTATTATACGAGATGCTTTCTACTACGCGACCGCAAAGATCACATTATTAACCCACGTGCTTCTGTTCTAGCCCGCTCACCATTACTCCTACGGTTTACATCGTCGCTGTTCCTCCTTAACGGATACCTGTGAAGGCTTTCCGGCCCGTGAAGACTGTCATGGCGAAGACCGATACTTTTGTTCGATGTGGCGCTCCGTTGGCTTCCTGATGTCCTTTGCCGTCGTTTTACAGGGTATGAGTATCGTCGCATACCTCATCATCTTATCGGGTGGAAAGAGAATTCGGGAGAATGGTTGGCGGATTCTCAGTCTCTTGATTATATTGTCCGCGCTTATCCAAGCGGCGAGTATGTCTATTGTGGTAAGTAATTCTCAATATTTTCAGCCAATGGAACGTGGGAGAAAGACTCTGGAAGTGATCTGATGTTGATATTTATAGGCATATTTATTCGATAACGAAGATCGGTTCTTCGTTGGCTGGCGACTTGATGAATCGTGGATCTTTTGTACGGTGAGCTGGTGTGTTAGTCTGTTCTGCGCTGGCGCAGTTATTGTGGCGGCTCAGATCTTACCGTCCGAGGGTGGTTATGAGTTGATTCCTGATCATGATGCGCTGAGAGTTATCTAATGAGATTTCTTTTATTTCTCACTTCTGACACACAGGCGGCTTTCTTTGTTATGTGATATATACGCTCTGTTGTCTACGAAGTTTCGGACGTGCTGGGTGGAGGCTTCTTTAAGCTGCCTTATTTCTGGATATCTCACTGATGTATCTGTATTGTCTGGCGGCTGTGTCTGGGTTATCGAGTTTTTATATTTCATGGCGTCACGAGTTGTATATACTAATTCGAAGGTTTTATGGTCATTTCAACGGCTTGAGCCTACTACCTATATCACCTGGGCAGTACACGACCAATCTGAATAATCACTAGTTATATCATAGTTTGAACTTGAATTTTTGAAATGATAATTCCTCATCTATTTTATTTTTCGAAGAGACACCACACACACAAGAAACCGCGGAATCGATCATATCTTCGCATCGCGAGTTGACCTTTAATAAGCAGCAAATCAGACCGGATCAACTAGTACAGTCTGAACAATGCAGAAAGGGAATTGGAGTAAACAGAAAAGAAAATAGTTCATCAACATTCATCGCATACAGTAATACATGACAGTGGGGTTTTATATAAAAATGATTTCATAGGTCAGGCATCGGCCACCTACCACACAATATGCTTTCCATTGATTCCCTCAATACCGGGAATCTGTGCTCGCAGCGCATGACCGTAGTCACCGGCGTTAGGAGTGCGCAGCAAAGTATGAATGTGGAACTTCTTGGGCTCCTCGTTGTTCAAGAACACACCGGAGTGGTGATCGAACTCAACAAGGATAACAGGGCTCTGAATGCGGTAGTAGAAAGGATCCTCATCACCGTATCCACCAATCCAGCAGAAGTAAGTCTCCGCCTCCCAGCGACGAACTTGCTCCAGCTTCAGTGCCCGCGACTTAGCAGGCAGGTAGAGGAGGTACTGCTCCAGAATTCCGTACATGAGCTTCTTCTGCTCCTCGCTAAAGGTCGACGCGAGGATACCCTCGTATGGAACCTCACGGTTATCCCGGTAGGCACCGCAGACGTGGCGCTGGTCATCCTTGTTCCAGCGACCAGGAGGCATGGCGGGATCATTCATAAGCTCGAAGACACGAGCCTTGGACTGCAGTTCCGCAGACAGTGACTGCATAAGCTCCAATCCGAGCTTCTCCTCAACCTGCATAATGCGAGTTCCGGCATAAGGACCCTCATCGATCTCGTTGGGCTCGGCACCGGTGAACCAGGGCGAGGCGATGATCTGGCCCTTGTACAGGAAGACGTTCAGACACAGGTGGTGACCGTAGAAGGACCAACCCCAGGGTCGGGTAGCGGAGGGACGACCGAAGAGGACGAAGTTGTAGGAGAACTCGTTCATCACGCGGGGAGACTTGACCAATTCCCCGAGGAAGTGGTTGATGCGCATGGCTGCGACGGCCTTCTCGTAACCCTCGGGTGAGAGGGTCGCCTTCAGGATGTTCATAACGGCGTCGCGCACATTCTCGGTGACCTCGTCGAGGCGGACACCCTTGTGTGCGAGGAGAAACTCGGGGTTGGACCATGTGCGCCACTGTGGGGAGTCGATGTGATAGCTCACAGCTTCCTTTTGCTTATCGTCTAACAGGCCGAGGAAGGTCTGTGTTGTGTCGACGATCTGTTGGATGGGAACATCTTCATCTTGCAATGTGAAAAGATCGGGTCGGACGTGACCTAAGAGGATTGGTTAGTGAATGTGTTTTCTCTCTTTTTTTTGCAACTCGTTTTCTATTCCACCCCACTTCGGATGATGATGCAATGATTCTTACCATCGGTTGTAACACCCTTGAAGGGCTCATGCAGCAGATCCAGCCAATGCATGTAAAGCGCATGCAACCAAGGAGGCTGCTTGTTTGTCTTAAAGTCATCAGCATACTCGTGCGCGTCCTGCGTGCACATAACCTGGAAGCGCTTGAGGTTCAAGTCTGGCAGGTATTGGCGGTACTCGCCAGTCGGCTTCTCGAGAGCAGCCGAGTTAGAAGCCATTGTGAAGGTGGTATAGATTAAGGGAGGAGAATAGGTAAGGGAAAAAGAGGGGAGGTAGAGAAGAAAGAAATCAATTGAAGAAAAGAGAGAAGGGAGCAGTAACAGTATTATAATAGCTGCACTCGGTCAAACCTCACAAACCCCACAGATTCGGAGTGAGGCGGCATCCCCACGAGAGCGTGGGGAGTGGATGAGATTTTATCCGCCTTTCCCATAGTTAAGAGGTGGCGAGGGGTCCTGTTATAGCCAATCCGAAGCCGCCGGAAACACATTTATGAGGACTTGTAGAGAAGCTGGGAAATATCTTTTGAGGTGGAATTGGTCTGTTTCTAATTGAATCTCTCTTTCGGTTGTAGTAATACATAAGGAAACATAGCGATGATCATGCCATCCGACGGATGAATGGAATTGTGGGCGAAGTGGGATGCTTATTTCCCCGGATATGAGATTCGGATTTGCCTTGGATTTTTGCCTTGACTAATTCAAGTTTATATCCGTTGAATCTGGGCTATATTCAAGATCTAGTCCATTCTATTCAGACTGATCACTAATACATTTGAAGATAGAACTTCAAGTTAAAGGTTAAAGGTTGAAAGTATGTGTGGGGTTTAGTTGATAAGTAGCAGATCGAACCAAACAAGCAAAATACTAGTAGACAACTGTTCAATCTTTGATTACTACGGAGTACATAGAACTGACAGACCCTGCATCGATCAAACTCATAATAATTGAAAATCCGAGTCATTTGAACGTACTAGTATCCATCAAAGTGATAACTTAATGGGATGAAGGTGACTCAACTCCAAAAAATCCAGCTACGGTACTCTGCAAGTGACGCGTACTGACTCTACTGAGTGCCCCGCATTAATACCCCGCTATGTGCTTACATAGGGGATGCTATGATATGCAGGTAAATTAGGTGGACTTGCAAAATTAAATTAATTATATTCTGGGGAAGTCTAGTCACGAGATTAGAAAAATAATACATCTCCATCACCTGACTCTCGGCTTTTCCTACTTTCTTCTTCTCAACTTTTCAAATTCAACAGATTTCGGCGTTTGTAAAAGCGCCAAGCTCCGCTGACTATTGAAATGACTGTCTGGTATTGGTCTTCCAGGGAAATGGCTGAGAGTCGAATCCACCCATGGATAATTTCCTGGGGAAAGGAGCAAATCAGAATCAATCCCCAGATCACGAAACACAGGCAGCAACTCGGATCTTCCGACCATGACTTCTCCGCCTCGGATTGAAGTCCCCCGCATGCCGAAAGCTGGAGAAGGCCGAAAGACTTTAAAACTTGGGAAGAATCCCGTCAATCCCTTCTCGATTCTATAAATTCTCTTCCGAACATCTGAGCTTAGTTCTATTAAAACTCGAACTTTACAAAGCTTATCTTCACAATGTCTCTTCCATTTTCAAACGAGCCCCCGGCCGAGCGTGTGCCATACGCTATTCCCCAATTGGAGGGCGAGCGCATCACTATTCCCGGCAGCAAAGGAGTCTTCCGCATCTTGACTTCCTCAAAACAGACCGATGGCCTTATGGCTGTGTTCACCAGTGGTGCTGTGCTCTCTGATGCCCCTGGTTTCCACTACCACAACGAAGCCCACGATGTCTTTCTGGTGACGAAGGGATTCCTGAAGCTGTACAATGGAGACAAGTGCCGAATCATGGGTCCAGGTGACTTCGCCTATATCCCACCGGTATGTACCTAGGCCATAATTATGTGTATAGCAGATCTAACCATTATCCTCAATAGAAAGTCATTCACATGCCAGACATGATCGGCCCGCACACCGAGCTCCAAGGCCTGATTACACCAGGTGACTGGGTCGATTTCTTCCGCTACGTCTCCGAGCCATACGAAGGTATTCTCGTGCCCGAGGGTGATGACCGAGACATCAAATCCCTATTGATCCCGAAGGTGATGGCCGCGAAGGGCCAGTTCGACGTCGTCTTCCAGCCTCACTACCAGCCACCAGATGTTGGTGAATGGACCAAGGAAGATGAGAAGCTGCCCGAAGGACCCGAAGGATACTTCTTGCGCTCCAATACCGGCCCACGCTGGATGCTTGGAGGTGTTATGTCACGACCATTTGTGACCACAAAGCAGAGCAGTGGTCTCTGTGCGATCTCCAGCATTGAGTCTTCCAAGGAATATGGCGAGACCTTCCTGTCTCAGTACCTCACTTTCTCCAAGGTTGATCACTGTTTCTGTATTATGGAGGGTGCTTTGAAGGTCCGCCTGCAGGGTTCTGGGGAAACCATCTTCCGCGAGGGTGAGACAGTGGTTATCCCTGCTGGACAGGCCTTTGCTTTGGACTTTGTGAGCAAGTATGTTAAGATTCACTCCTTCACTGATGGTGATGGTATTGAGTCTCTCATTCATGAGCTCGGTAGCCCTCTTGAGGCTGTGGTCTTGCCGGAGCAAGCTCCTGAGTGGGATGCTTCGAAATTGCCCTCCGTGGCTGAGAAGTTCAATGTGACTTTGTAAAGTCGTCAGCGTGTCAGAAAGGATTTTTCACGACATCATGATGTTAAGTAAATAGATTGTGAAACTGTATATAGCAGCCTAGCGAGCATTGGAATTTATTTTTTTGGACACTATTTTCTGGGATATTCTTTTTTCCCTTTACAGGACATTAGAGTTAATCTATTTTGGGTTGCGCCACAGGTGTCCTCCGAGTCCGAGTCCTTCCAAAAATCGGTAACCAGAAGAAATCATATTTCAAGTTCAAGCTGTATTCAGTGAATCCGGGGCTGCTTGGACGTACCCACATGCGCTGGCATGGCTGCGACTCTTTGGAGTATTCAATGTCAGCTAAAGAGATTTGATAGATATTGAGTCTGAGCTATTCCTCCTTGAAGTTAAATATCTTGGCGTTGGCGCCGATCAAGCCCATAGATCTAGTGGATCTAAGCCACAAATTTCAATCACAACCAGCTGAATACGGGGCTAGATACTGCATAGCAGTGCATGGTGCATGGACTCGGTTGGGGTCTTCTGGTGCCACGTCAGACTCGAACCTATCTACTACTCCAGATGTCTATTCAAGCCTCTGAGATGCATGACAAATCATGAAATTATGGTACCCGCGTTATGACAAGTTTTCTTTAGTTCCTCGGAGATGCTTTCTTTCATTTTATTTTATTTAAAAAACCGCCTAGGAAGAGACAAATGTTATCATCCACATGCAGGCTGATGCAGCTACTAAGACTTGAGTTGGGAAAAAGCAATCAGTGTTCATTGAGTCCAATAGCACTAGGTTGGCCGACTAGTTTCATCACCCTTTGTCAGTGCATGAAAGTATTTGCGAGCTGTTTCGTTGAATGTGCCGCCCCCAAATACCATCTTCCCAAGGTGATTCATCAACTGGGCTTGCGAAATGATCCCATAGCGAACCACGTCACCCATCATTTTATACGTCCCATGAGGGGAGATACCCCGCTTGATGCGTCCTGTATGCATATGTCGTTAGCCTGGATACGAGTGTGCAGGTGGGGTACAATTCACTTCTGAGAGGCCGATTTTGTGGCTTGGCGATTTCAACTCTGTAAACTTTAACGTCTGACTTGCGATATTTCGTCGACAGATGAATTTCATGCCCAAGTGTTCGAGCAACGTGGGTATGACGATGATCCGGCTTCTTGGGCTCGGGCTCGGGCTTGTCAGAATCAGAGCTGAATTTCGCATTGCTGATCAGTGAATCTGGGATACTTCCCAAGCTGTCCTTGGATGCGTTAGGTGATATCATGGACTCCGATTGGAGGGTTATGATATCTTCGTCAAATTCATCAGCCGAATCATAGATATGCTGGGAACTGTTGTCATTCAAGTTGGCACTTTCTTCAAGTTTTTCCTCTGGTGATTCTCTCGCCAGAAGCTCTGCCAGTGCCTCGGGTGCGTGCTGATTGAATTGCTGCAGGAGACGTCTGTCCTCTGTAAAAATTAGTCAAGCTCCTGGCTAGGTGGTGTTAAGACAGTGACATTGATACTGTAGAGGATTATTCCACGTTCAAACTGAGCGTTTTCTGAGTATACGATCACAAAAAAGCAATCCACAAAACCGATCAGTCGAATTTTGCCTTCCCATCTTTTGCCATTGATTTCGATATCCCATGGATGAATATCTCTATGATTTCTTTAGCTCTCAAATCCTAATGTGATAGGTAGCGTTCCGGAGCCATGATACTGTACACGTACAAGTCACATTCGAGGGTCTTGTCATTTATGGATCGTCCGAAACTCTGGAGAATACGGTGGTAGGAATAAGCTGGCATGATGAGTTCTGGTCAGGAAGATAAATAGTTGTATGATTCCAATATTCGCGGTTGTTCAGCCCAAAAGCTCGAGTCAGGTACTCCGAGTTAGTAGATATTTAATTCAATCACAAAAAATGCCGCAAGGTACCCAATTTCGTAGCCTGATGTGCTTAATGTAAACAAATAGGCTTCAGAAATTATTTCAGTACATTTGTACGGGATAAGTGAGAGCTGAACTGGAACATAGCCACTGGCAAGCGGGGAACTTAAACTTGCAGAGATTGTGCATGTTCATGCATGCTCACCCGTCTCTCTTTCCTATATGGTGCTCTTGCATAGTTCCCACTTCACACCTGGGCAACATCCAGAGTACTGGGATTTGCTGCATGAAGAGAGGACTTCCAGGAAAACATTGAATGCAGCATCCCGCCCTGAGAAGGGAGGTGAGAAAGCGAATCTACAAATATGATGGGAAAGGCCCCCTACGCAGCAACATTCGAACAAATCAACTTCCACTTGAATTACAGTCTTGAAGCCAAATTCTTCGTCTATACCCTCCTTATATCAACTTCAACTTTGGGTCAAACCAGCTACCAGCCCCAAGTCTCAAGATGATGAAAGGACTCTCCCTTGAAAGAACAATGTCTCGTGACTCGATTGAGACGACAAATACAACAGAGGAAAACTTCAAAAAACTATACCGCCTGGCTGACCTGACGATCGATGAGCCAAGTAAAGAAAGAATACGTAATTGGCTTTCAAAACGTCTTCGTATCATCACTCTTCCACAGTTTTGCAATGATGAACTTGAAGATGGGATATCTGACTCGAGCAAATCCCGTCCCAGTAATCCGGCTACAATTCCCATAGAGAATTTGACTTGTCCACTACGTATGTTCGATATCGACACCATGAACATAGTGGAAGTATCACGTCTCGATCCAGATGATCGCTATTGTGTGCTGTCGCACAGCTGGAAAGGTGCTGAGATTGATTATAAATATTTCTGTCGAGCCACAAAACGAGACGATCAGCGCCCGGAGCTCAGACAAAGCGACATAAGTGATGTTGACATGCTTGATGAGCAATGTGGACTTGATCTTGCGTGGGTGGTGACGGAGATGCGACGAACCAGCACACTTCAACTGGATCAGCGATTTCAAGAATATTTGCAGGACAAGAAACTCAGAGAGGATCTGCGATCAGCTGAGCAAACTGAGGCTGAAGCAAAGAAAAATAGAGCCACTGCAGTCGAACAGCAAGAAAATGCGAACAAAATCTTGATGGGTATGAAACATTCTGCCATCGAGGATTGGGTGGCTGTGGCAGAGGAGTACGTTGAAATCGCGACGAATATGCGACAAGTGGTGCAAGGGGAAAGGGCTAGATTTGTACTTGAAAATGGCAGTTCGCGTGGAAATGCCATGGAGAGCCTTCTTAAGTGCCTACAGCGAATAAGATCGCTACGCAAAGTGAAGGAATCGATCTCCAAAGCGCGAAATATCTTTGATACCCGTGAATTCCCCAATTTTTCCAAGCGATACCTTTGGTTGGATACATGTTGCGTTGATAAGAGCGACTCTGGAGAGCTCACAAAGTCACTGGCACTCATGGGAGAGTGGTATGCCAACGCGGACTTTTGCGTTGTTCATTTGGATACAGAAAACGCCGAGGATGACTGGATGGAAGAGTGGAAGATTTACGATATCGATTTTACGACAGAGAATTGGATGGATGACTGGAAGACTCGCATAAATCAAACTCCGGCTTGGACTCATAAAGCCAATGTCTTAGAATTCAATGAGATCAAAGACGCGAATATAAGATGGGCCACTCGTGGTTGGACTTTGCAAGAACTAGTTCTCAGCAAAATGACGTTCTTTTTCAACTCTCAATGGGCTGAACTTAAGAGAACCATTGACCAACTCGGACCCTACTACTATTTGACTCCCTTCTTGGATCATTACTTGAGGCATGCAGACCTTCCATTTGGTAACGCATTGATTGAGCTTCAGCGAATGTGGCAAAGTCTTTTGCCTGAAAAGGAAAATAATGATGAAGTAAGAGGAACTCGAATCCTTCCAATATTCCTTCTAAGCTAACCCTGGAGCCCCGTCTAGGATTTCATGAAAGTGAAGATTGAGAAACTTGTCTTCTTACTTCGAGCTCTTCAATTTTTTGTACCGAGGCATCTTAGTGTTCAAACATCGGAATCTCAAATAGAAAAGGCTATCTGGGCCTCTTCTGTGGACAATCTCCGTGCGCAAATTGGACACACGACTGAGATCCCCCCCGTGCGATGAAAGGGACTTGATCATTTTCATCTTGATGAAGCTTCAAGACATTGCGCAACGACCTATCAGACTCGACCGCCAGGAAATATCTGGATTTAGTAAGATCGCGACACTGAAGAACTGGACCCAAGGCACATCCCCAACTGATAACTCGGCATATAATGTCCTGATCGCGTCTTCTATCCGGAACACAGAAGTCCCGACTGACAAGGCCTATGCCCTGATGGGTATTCTCAATGTCAGGTTCCCCGCCTTTCCAGCTGAAGGATTGCCCAGGGCTCTGAGCCGACTATTCGATGAGAAAATCATTGTTTCCAATGATATATCTATCTTCAATTGGTCTGGCAAGTACTTTGGCAGTGCCATACAGGGTCGCTCGCTGTATCCTTCTTGTATTGAGGCATATCAAAACCATGCGGCGGTTGCGTCACGACCCGGGGATAGAGACATTAACAAGCTGGTGCTTGATATATCTGGGAGTGACCGACCAAAAAAGGAGAGGATTATCAAGTTGATCGTCGGGATACTATTGAATGACATGTTTAAATTGGTCAAGGCGATGGATTACAAAGCTCTTCATGATGGATTTATTGAGGTTTTCGTTCAGCTTATCACATCGATAAGGCTACTGCCACTTGATGAACTTGAAAAAGTGAATGAGGAGCTAGGAGATCTTCAAAGCAAAATCATGGATTTGAGCGAGAGTTATGAGAAGGAGAAACGAAACAAAAAGCAGCATCGACATGATTCAGAGGAGAATATTTCAGGCAGCCCCAATGAGTGTCAGAAAGACGAGGTTCGACCACATGTGGAAGAAGAAGAGTCACAGAGAAATACTCAATGTGAGATTCAGCCTACTGCTGAGAACAATGCTTCATGCAGCCCCAATGAGTATCAGGAAGACAACATCGAGCCACCCCGGGAAGAAGAGGGTTCACAGAAAAAGGGGAGTCGATTGGGGATCAGAAGGAAAGTAGCCAAAATGACCAGCGAACTTTCCGCGCCGATGAACAAATTAGTAAAAAACGAATCGCCTTTATCGCTTCTTGATAAGCTGAAGGCCAAGAAAACACCTGAGACCCCCAAGGAGCCCAGTGAATTCGAGAAGAAAATGTCGGTTTTCAGAAATGAGTTAGAAGAGATTGAAAAACGTCTGAATGGGATGAAAAAAGTGTCACCTGAAGCAGACGAACACAGTATCTCATTCACAGTTACCGACTCCATTCGCAAGCCTCTGGACTTTACTGCGCTTGAATCAAAATGCCACAATCCTATTGTTATCAGCAGCTCCGGGATAAGTGGGACATTTGACATCCAGCGTATTTTTGTGACCATGCTAGATCCAAAACAGCTTCGTGCACAGATCAAGAAATCAGTTAGCGGCCAAACTATTGAGGGTTGGTGCACTGTCAGTACGGGGTTTGCCTACCTTCTTGTCAACTTCAATTGTGAAAAGGATATCCTGGAACAGCAGCTGGACATGAGCGAGGTCATTCAAGAGACTCTTCTGAAGGACCCAAGGACAGAATTAATTCTTGATTATCCACTTGATGAAACATCCAGCATTATAACATCAACTCCCTTGGGCGAAACTATGGAAAAGGTCAAAGAGAAGCAAAAGGAAAAACAGGATGACTCCTCAATCTCTGGAGAGGCAGGAGGAATAAAAAAGGAGCAAAGTGACGCCCAGAGACTTCTCGTAAAGTGCATCGATATGATTCAAGAACCAGACCTTCATGCTGTGGCAGGAGAGTGGGTTCTAGCTCGATTCTCCGATGTCCCAGCAGCAGAATGGTTCTTGGGTCGACTGGAGCTGGGTACAGGCAACAAATTTTACGCCCGACGAATTTCAACCGATGGGTTCACATTTGCAAATGCGATTCCGTCAAAAGGTCTTACAGAGTACTGGGAGCAGGTGATGATGGGAAAGAAGGATATTGCGTGTGATGCTCTGCTATATGCTATGGAATCAAAGCGTATGCGTCACGATGCAGATAATTACGTCAAGGGTAAGGAGCAAAAAGACACTGAAAGCTCAAAAGGGAGTGATTCGCAGGCTCGCACATCTTTGATTCCTACCGTCATTCAAAAATTGGCAAAAGGCGCTGCTCGACTGGGTGCCTGGAGTATTCATCAAATCGCAGACGATATGATAGAAAATGTCGATTCCTACTCGCTGAAGAACGTCCCTTCTCAGCTACACTCTGCTGTTTTAGCTCTGGGCTCGACAGATTTGGAGGGATTGAAGCCGGCTATGTTCCGTTCTGGAATTAACATCCATATGTTCTGATTTCTGGAAATCCACTACATTGAGTATTGTGTAATGGAATTTCTTAATTCTTATTTTCCACCTAGTATGAGAGCTGTAGTCCTTTATAGTTTATCCATATAGTCTTTTGGCTTAGTTAGATTGGTCTTCCTAGAAATATCCATAGATACCTAGTGGATGACTTATAAGATTACCTATTCCTCTAGGTCTCTACTTATCCTTCCTTCCCAGGTACCAGGTGGTAATAGCCTTAAAAATATAAGAGTCAAATCAGAGTCAAATAAGAGCTAAGTAAGAGTTAAATAAGAGTAATCAAAGGTAAGAAAGATACTGCTTATAATAGTCCTGTTATATATTAATAACTATGAAAAGGGCTTTCCAAATAACAATTAATTTAATTAATCAGAAAATCAATTAGGACAAGCTACTAATAGCGCAGGATACAGTATTTGATTTATATATAGATTAATTTAAATATAAATATCTCCTAAGAACCCGGACTGAACTTCTTTTGTAAATAAAAGAATAGGCCTTATCTATAAAAGATAAACCTATCTTCTGGTTAAATAGCCAAGCTGGAACGGGAAAATCAACAATCTCCCGTATAATAGTAAGATACTTCCACAATAGTAACCTCCTTAGAGCGAGTTTTTTTTAAGAGGGGAGAAGGAGATCGAGGAAGCGCCAGGAGATTCTTCCCAACAATCATAAAGCAGCTTATGATTGTGATTCCTTAGCTTGTCTTAGCGATTCAAAAGGTACTAGCTAATGAGCCTGAGATTGTGGACAAATCTCTCCAAGAACAATGTGAAAAATTACTCCTTTAGCTATTACAGAGTTTGAAGGTATTAGATACCGTACCTTGAGTTGTGGTGATAGTGCTTGATATATTAGACAAGGGTAAGCCAGATATAGAGATGTGTTGTCTACTTTAATTATTATAAAGGCTGTGAGATATACAGTCCGTTTCTTACCGAGTCTTTCTGACAAGTAGGCCCGAGTAGCCGATTCTTTAAGAGTTTTCCAAGATCATAAGCCATAAGTATAAAGACCTGATTCTTTATCAAGTATAAGAGTTAATTATACATCATGATATATCGTTATTCTTGAAGTACCGAATTTTAGTAATTCGAGCCGACCGCTCTTTACCTAAGGATTGGCCGGGGAACGTAAACTTTGATACCATTATCAAACTATCCATTCCTCTCTTTATTTTTGCCGCCACTATCTGCCGTATATTTAAGGACTATCGTTTAGACCTGGAAGCTAGCCTAGCTGAGATCCTAGTATATAAGAACGATAGGTCTGAGTTTGATGTAACATATTGTCCTATACTAGACCGATTTCTTTGGGGCCAGAGTAAGAGCAAGAAAAGGCGACTTATTCAGGAGTTTCACGAAATAATTGGTGTGATTGTTATGCTTGAGAATCCTCTCTTAGTTGGCTCTCTATTGAGGCTTCTTGATTTATCTGAGAAGCAAATTAATATTACTTTTGACTTATTCCATTTAGTACTAAATATCCTAATTAATGTAACTTAGCCAGTGCGAATATTCTATCTATCTTTTCGCGATTTTCTTCTCGATCCTGAAACGCGCAAGAAAACCCCTTTAGGGTTGGATGAGAAGGAGATTTATTATCGTTTGACCGAAAAATGTCTGCTTATATGTTAAAACTTACAGAAGAATATATGTGGACTTAAAAGCGATAGAACCTTACACGTAGATATTGATCGCCAGACCATTAATAATTACTTCCCCGCCAAATTATGATACTCCTGTCGATACTGGGTATATTATACTACTTAGTATATGGGGAATAGTGATATTATCCCTTAGGTACTTTTATTCCTTAAGTTATATTTTCTACACTAGGTAGAAGTTATAAGCCTATTAGGTCTAATATCAGAAGTGGTAGGGGCGATTAATCTCCTCCAGTCCGTTCTACAGGTAATCTTTTCTTAAAATCATATCTAAATCACACTAATAGATACAGGGTGATCAGTACTCCATATTATCCTAATTCCTTTCCGATGCGAAGCACTTTGTTCTTAAAAATCATCAGATAACTAATAAGGCGCCTCTTTAGCTTTATTGCGCGGGACTGATTTTTACACCTGAAACAGCAATGATCCGTCGAGAGTTTGAAAAAGAGCTTCCTTATTGGATAAAACATTTACCACAGGTCAGCAAAGGATAGAGTAAGCAGATATAGACGCTCGAGGGCTATATAGATTTAGTTAACACAGTGGCCTTCTTACCTAACGGCCGGCTACTGGCGTCTGGCTCCGGCGATAAGACCGTACGGCTCTGGGACCCGGCCTTGGGTACTCTACAGCAGACGCTCGAGGACTATACCTTTGAAGTTCTAGCAGTGACCTTCTCGCCTAACGGCCGGCTATTGGCGTCTGGCTCTCGCGATGGCACTTTACGGCTCTGGGACCCAGCCTTGGGTACTCTACAGCAGACGCTCGAGGACCCTACGTCTTCAGTTATAGCAGTGGCCTTCTCGCCTAATAGCCAGCTACTAGCTTTTGGCTCTTACGATGACACTGTACAGCTCTGGGACCCAGCCTTGGGTACTCTACAGCAGATGGTCGAGGGCCATATAGATTGGGTTGACACAGTAGTCTTCTCACCTAACGGCCGGCTACTAGCGTTTGGCTCTTCCAATAACACCTTACAGCTCTAGGACCCAGCCTCAGGTACTCTAGAGCAGACGCTCAAGGGCTATATGGCTAGGGTTACCACAGTAGCCTTCTCACCTGACGGCCGGCTACTGGCGTCCGGCTCCGGCGATAAGACCGTACGGCTCTGGGACCCAACCTCGGGTACTCTACAGCAGACGCTCGAGGGCCATACGGGTTCGATTTACACAGTGGCCTTCGCACCTGACGGCCGGCTACTGGCGTCTGGCTCTGAAGATAGCACTATACGGCTCTGGGATCCAGCCTTAGGTACTCTACAGAAGACGCTCGAGGGCCATACAGATTCGGTTTTCTCAATGGCCTTCTCGCCTGACGGCCGGCTATTGTATCTCCGGAGATGCTCTTCCAGATCAAGACGGCACGGCTGCGGTCACAAAAAGACTAGACTTTGGCAGCGAAATTTGAAACTGCGACGTATACCTGGATGAGAGCCGTCTTAACGTGTTGATCGGTATTCGGGTCCTTTTGATATTCGCCCTCTACAAAGCCATATCGGGTGAGGATATCTGTAAGGAATGCGCTTGATTCCAACTAAGCTACTTTCTAACTACGATAGTTTTCCGTCATCTGAACGTAACTGTCAGTTACTTGGCCTTTGATTTTTTAGGGTGGAGATAAACAAGCATACCGTCAACCCCAAAGACACAATTGCCCAGACGCTGGTGATAGTGCCTGAAAGATAGTTTGGCCCTACATATATATATTATAAAGATACGTAGGCAGATTCAACTTGAAGTTCAAGTTAAGGCTAGAGACCATCAGAACCTCCGAAATAAAGATAAAACCACTCGTTCAATGTGGAGTTACAGTGGGAGGAGTCTTGAACTTCAATTTTCCAAGGGTCAAGCTGTACATTCCAAGAACTTGAAGGGGACAGGATAGAATACCAGCATTGATATCAAGTGAAGAAGGTATTGCAAGGGTTTAACTAGAATAGACTGCAAATTGGAGCTATTTTACTTGATTTATCAAGTGAGACGCAAGGTATCCAGGTACAGCTACAAGTTCCCAGGGAAGGAGGAACGAAAAAAGTCAAAATAAGCCATTCAAGAATTTTCTAAAAATCAGAATTGAATTTCCTCCGCCAATCTCCCCGGATAGGATATGGAGTCGTCCTATCTTTCAGCATTCAAAACAACAATCTTAGTGACAACGCAGCCAAGAACATAAATACAGACAAAAAGAAGAAAATAGAGAGGCGCAGATGAGAAAGAAGGGGTGACAGTATACGACGCATCAGTCCCTTTGAGAACTCAGGAAATTATTGAATGATCACTTGCGAGGGGCATCTTCCGGCTTTACGAACCCTTTGCCCGCAAGATAAACACGCCCACAGGCAAGAATAGTGTAGACCCAGTCCCTCTCGTCCACATATTCATATTCTTTGCCCCTCTCAAGATTACTCCTTCCTCCATACCCAGAAAAAAATAAGTCAAGACTCCGAGGAGGCACAGTCATGTACCTGCAGCGGACAGACCAGATCACAGGCCACAAAATCATCGTAGTTTCTTGTCCCTTATGTAATTCGACGGTTGAATCATCAAACGGAGTATTATGGCCATCATGCCCGCCGAACCACCACCTTTTTGTGTCACGTATACCCGCCCTGTTAGGGTATTCCGGTAGTGTGTATGGACCTATCTTATTGATTTTCTCGTCGAAACGGATTACCGATCCATCGCTGACCCACATCTGGACAGCAAAGTCGCAGGCCTGCTCATAGCATCGACGCAGCAGTCCATCACAACAGAAAGGGTGCTCGGTGTCTAGCTCCTTCTTAGGATCATGGTCCAGTAACATAGGCGAAATGAGACTGAATCGATCCAGCATGTTACGAACCAACTAATTTATATACCTCTGCCTAATATTCCAGCTCCGTATACCAGTACTACAGTCCTATGCCTCAACAGGCCATATAGGATCTGTTTTTGGCCTAGCAGTAGGCTTAAGATACCTATTCATCATTTGAACTATGGAAATACGCCACTTCTCCGCACTTAACTCATCCACTAGAGGATAAAAGAATTAGCAGACATCATAACAGACCAGTAGAATAGTATCACCGACGGAACTCACCGCAAAGAAGCTTTTGCTAATATTGATATAGCTCCTTTCCATATATAGGTGGAAGAGTCTCTAAGCGTCCGTCCCAATGATTGTCTAAATCCATATAGTAGAACGGATTCTTGACAAGACTCTGAAAGATATCCTTCATGATGACGGCCTGGGTGAATGTATGGAATCGAAAGCGTTGGTTGGGAAATGTGGCGATCAGCGAGTCCCAGTCATTGTAGAGGCACCAATCTCCCAAAAAATCAAGTACAGCTTGCTTCTGCTCTGCAGTCATTCTGTTTTCGATGTCCTCTGAAGATCCACAGTAATCGTTGACCCAACGTTCTATGCCGGAAGTCATACAAGAGACTTTATCATCCGGCTCTGTGGGAAACATATAATCGCAAAATCCCTCAAAGCTTCTGTAGGTATAGGTAAAGTTTGGAAGGGGTAGGACTTCCTGTGGCTGAACATATGGGTCTTTTATGGTGAAGGGGTAATCAGGATGAAACACGTCCCGGGCAGCAGGACGGGGTATTTTTTGCCACCCCGACCTCCGGTCTTTCTCAAAATAGCTCTCGTCTGTGTCTGAAGAGCTCTCTTCGGCCACTGGAGATCTGTCTCTATACAGGCAACTCTGACGTCGGACAGACGGTAGTCGTTCAGATTGATTCGAAGTAGGTGTTGATTGTTTCGACTTGTGCGATGACTTATCATGGTCCTTAACGGTCGAGGAAAGGGATGTGTCATTTTCCAAGGGATTCATTGAGAATGAGCAGCGATTCTGCGTGTATAGAACAATTGTTAGTTCATTTCATGGGACATGCACCAATCTTGGAATACCTTAGATGATCTGTCATGATCTTCTTCTTCATTGCTGGTCTTGACTTTAACGCACCCAGTGTCCAACTCAGAACCCGGTGTAATGGGATCTTCAGCCTATATGTGATATTCAGTCTTTCTTATCCTCTGTCAAAAGTGGTCGGAACAGCTTCATTAAACCTACCATCTCCGCCTTTGGGCTTGGCTGCAGTTTAGTTTGTTTCGGAGTATTGCTCATTTGAGATTTCTCTCTTTTACCCATCCTGCTCGCTAGGAACAGTCACCAGAGATGGGACTGGGAAACACTTCGGACAAAAACCAAAAAGGGTTGAAAAAGTCGGGAAAGAGAGAGATGCCACACCGAGCGACAGCCCTAGAGAGCGCCTGAGACATTCGTTCAAATATTGAATTTTTGTATGCCATCATTTACGCCCAAGATCAGAGCAACTGGGTGTTTCTTTCTTTTTTGGGTTTTAAAATAGACTAGGTGGCGTTCAAAGCGTCCTTTGTGTTCAAAGAATTCGAGAGAAAAAAACGCCCTTACTCCCGGAGAAACCCGTGTCTCGTTTGTTGAAAACGAGATATCAAGAATTTTTGAAAATGACCATCTAGAGTCAGGCCTAGAATTGAAAGTGCGGTGTGTTAGATTACTGAATCCTACACACTATTGCATCTACAGACGAAATACTCTTCCCAGTATTAGAGGGATATACATATGTAACAACCGATATGAACCCCTGTATATTTTGGATGTGGCTTGAAGCCCGACATTTCAAATATTTGAAGACATTCGTATTCGGGATTTTGAAGGCTGTCGGGATTCACAATATCCATGCACCGCCCCGTGAACCAGATGATTTAGACCGGAGCAATGAGAAATGAAGAAATCTAACAGAAAACCCCTACTAATTAAATACACATTCTTGGCCAAGCCATTAACCTTGATCAGTGAAAGCATATTTCTGGGAATGGATATATTTTCCTCCATTCTTCTTTTGATAAGAATCTGAAGTCATAGACTAACCTAGTGCCGCGTCATCTATACATAAGCGCTTCAAGTTAGGAATATAAATGGAAGCATCATAAAACACTAGAGACTAGAATAGGCAGCCCCGTGAAACATGTTAACCATGACCTCTGAGTAGAGACCACCTCCAGGTCTCCATGATCTTAGATCTCGGATATAGTGCATCAAGTTTGCCTCCTAAAAAGAAAAGGATCCTTGAAACACATTTCAAGATTTATGGAAATGAGTATGAGTTCCAAGGTTGACACTATGGCAAGCTCATAGAAACCAATAGAATATTATTCTTAGACATACCCTTAAAATAAAGACAGGGTCTTCATTTTGATGAATCCAAGACACAAGGATCCCTGTTGTTTCCTAATTAGCATATAGTAAAGTTTTCAAAATGTCGGTGAACATTTGACGGTTTCAAATACGACAACACTCATGGCCTGAGTCAACCTTTGAACATGTCGCGGAAACCGACAGTGGTGGGAAATTACAGATGGCTGAAGCTGATGATTCTTACGCTTCTCATTGATTCAATTACACTTTTGAGACGAGGCTTCCCGTTTCTTACCAGTCGATGATAATAGCCACTGTGGACTAGCTAGGTAGAAACCCCTTAACCTATAGGTCATAAAAAGAAGCAAATTCCCCCAAATATTCTCGTGGACTCTAATCTCTTCCAACGATTATCATAGACAATCAACCCTACACTTGCAGACAACCTCGATCATCCCAGAAAGTTAGTTCTCACGAATTATTGTTCATCATGCATACACCCAAGCACGATATTGTGGTCGGAGTTGACTTTGGCACTACGGCGTCTGGTAAGTCATGATCTCCGAGAAAAACCTATGGTTACTTTACGAGTATTCTAATAAACGCTTCTAGCCATTGGCTACTCTAGTATTTTGCTAGGTAGCCCCTATTATTATCCCAGGTTGATCAACCAACTTGACGATAAGACTCGTCCCAAAAAGATTCTAAGTGTTCTTGCTTACATTGAAGACAACCCCAATCTTCAGGAGAACCAGTGGGGATTTCCTGCTCAAAAAGAACCTAATATGATCTCTTGGTTCAAGCTGTTCTTGGATGATGATCTTGAGATCGAGATCGACAGCTGGAAAGCGGAGGTAATGGGTTGGGTAGGTTCTCGAGGGATTATGTCTCTTCCAAGAGGGAGATCCTTAATTGACACGATCTCAGATTATCTGGGCGCTCTCCGGGCCAAGATCTGGGACTATCTAGAAGGAGAATTTACCAATGCGAAGAAGAGCCTGGAGATAAGCACCATTAAATTCTGTTTTACTATACCGGGGTATTGGTCCACAGAAGCCAGGCAGGATATGCTTGTTGCTATCGAAACAGCGGGTTTTAGATTAAGGGAGTGTGATGATGTCTGCCTACTTATAGAGGCAGATGCTGCAATTGTCTTCGCTCTGTCGACCTTACAAGATTATGCAGGAACCTTACCTCTCAAGGTATGTTACACTCTTATCAGTATTTAAGTTTGGATTTGGACTTAAACACTGACAAGGTTTCAAAGACCGGAGACGGAGTCCTAGTCTGTGACTGTAGGGGAGGAACAGTTGTCAGTTACCCTTTAGGAGCTTGATTTTATTTTGTTTATATCTAATATTACTATCTAGGATATTGCGAGTTTTATGATCTCAAAGTATAATCCTGTTGTATATGATAAGCTTGCTCCATGCTTAGGTAAGGTCCTACTTCCAGCATCCCTGAGATAGAATTGAACATAGGCTGATCAAATATTAAAGGGAAACTATACGGGTCCACTTCGGTGGATAGGGAGTTCTACAAACTCATGCAAAAAAGATTTGGTGTTGTGTTTTCTAGCTTACCATGGTATATGATTAGGCTCACAAGTAAATTCATGCAGGATTTCATGGAAGTTAAGTGTGCGTTTACTGGACATGAAAATGCGATTTTCTAACTCCCCCTTGAAATGAACGTGTCGCAACCCTTAAACCCAGAGTGGTATAATCAAAGCATAGGAAATGTAATACTATCCAGATAAGAAATCCCCTGTACTCCCTAGGTCTATATCTCATAAGGGAGATACTAAAGTTGACACACCTAGTGCCGATCTTCTCAAGTTATTCCACCCCTCTGTCGGCACAATCGTCAATTGCTTGACTAGCCATATGAGTGAAGCCAATGGTATCAAAGGGGAAGCCCCAGCCATTAAAGTATGTAAGCTTATAGAGAAAGATAGTATTAGGGATATACTGACGAATTTTAGAAAATTTTGCTTGTTGGAGGATTCTCTCTTTCGCCTTTCCTTCAAAGTGAGATCATACGTACATTTCCCAATACGACCATCATCGTTGACCGTCAAAATGCGTATGTATATATGCATTCTCTTGATTCTGGCCAGAATTCTTCTAACAAGTCTTTATCAGATTGACGGCTGTTGTCCAGGGTGCGATCGCATGGGGCAGTGGCAAAGTTGAGCTACGAAGCATGCGCAGTCCGTGCCACTTTGGGTTCTCAACTGTGAACCCAGTCGATTTTCACCTTCCTATCAACTTACGTTTGGGCTCTACTTTCCAGAATGGTCCAATTGACTGGCTCGTGAAAAAGGTAGCATTTCCGTGATTCCCGAACCGTTCCAAATTACCCATGTTATGGAAATTCCAACTAATCACGCGTATATTCAGGGAGATCGCTTGCGAATGGACGGAATGATCCAAGGCGTAGGTGCTTTAATCCACCGAGAGGGAGAGTCCCCTATGAAAGTCATCAACATCTTTAGCTCAGGCAGAGCTGATCCTCCCACCGGGGTCAGTGAGCGAGATATGTTAATACAATATAATCTCTTTGCTAAGTTAACTCTCAGAAGCTAAACCATGAGCCCCTTGACAGGTTCCTCGAAGATTAGCACCCTGGCAATCGACATCTCCGGGATAGACTTCTCCTACTGCGAGCGCTATGAAGGCGGACCCTCTGTCTGGAAGGTTATTTACATGATAACTACTCGTTTGGGAGATACTAATGGTACTATCCACTTTGATGTCTACTAGGAGAGGATCCATCTAATAAATTGGAAATTCAAGCCCGGTTTCATTCGGTATTGATTCTGATAGATATCTACATCTTACAGGTAGATGGTTTTTGAGGTTGGCTGCCCACTGAAAGAAGTCGCCGAGGGGTTTGATTGTACGGATGGGGGATTGGAAGAGATTTTTGATTGCAATTAAACGATGTTACTTTAGGACTTGTTTGTTTTTAAGGGCTGAAATTGATGCCGATGGAGCCAGGCGGAGCTGGTAGATCTGAAATTTACTCTTCTGGATGATTTGGCTTGAACGATAGTGGCACATCTCGAGGATCAGTCCTTGTCAGTTAGAGTGGCTACTATTGAAACCTTGAGTAGACAATCAAGCCCACCGAAATGGGTCCTTGGTTCTATAATCATAGCTGCTCCTAGGGGATTCCCCCTATAGTGGGTCCGAAACACTTAAGTTACAGCTTATTTATAGCACCTTAAAAAAGAGAAGGCAGTATGGCATCCTGCAGAGCTTCCTTCTAGAGAAGGTACTCTCTAAAGCCCTCGATTGTAAGTTCAAGCAGTTATTGTAGGTATATTACCACTCTGGCCGGATTAAAAGGTGATGATCATTTTGTCTTTGAAACATGGTTAATGCGAATGACAACAATTTATCACAAGGTAACATACCTCTTAAGTCCAATCTGTTATTTCCTGCCTTCTCTCTCCTATATGAAGACCTGCCTGGATAAGACCCTCTGCATTGATTCCCTGTGAGTATACCGCCAGACTAGGACCGCTGGCTTTTGGTAAACCTGGTAAATTTCAGGAGAGTCTCTAAGCAGCACCATAGGCGTAGATCTAGACAAATCCTCATTGCCAGTACCTAAGCGGCTCTGGTTTCATCTCTTGCTGTCAAAGTCGAATCCAAACAAGCATTTAGTGTACCGTGGATTGTCGCTTTTCCAATCTGAGAGCTGCTCTGGAGTTCCTTGGACTTTACCTCTATATACCTGACACGCCATAGCTTGAGAAGTCAGTCCTATTGCAACCTAGTCTCATGTAGACTTATGTAGTAGCTCTTACCAAAGGGGCCCTTAGCTTTGACTGATCCGTATCACCTTCAGTTTTCTCCTTATTCCATAGAAAATCCATTAGCTTAGGCTAACCGTAATTTGTTGGTTTTGAGTAAAGGGAGTGGAGACTGGAAAGTGGGTGAAATAGGAGGTAGGAGGCGGCCAACAGGTTAAGTGGGCGGAGAGGAGTTGAATCCTACTTGCAAAGTGAAGTCCAAGTCCAGTACTAAAGCTATCCAGTACTATACTGCCCGTATAGCTCTGAGACTTCACACTTTATTAGTTAGCCCTCGCCAGTACATAAGTGCTTTCTTCACGGATCTCTGCGGAGAGGGACAAACTCACACGGGCGTTGGAGGGATAAGCCAAGGGCCATGACGCGACAGACCGAGGGCCATAACACGTCAAGCTGAGCCATAGTTTGAAGGACCAAGGATCACGATACGGCGTAGACCAATAAGGAGAGGTAGCATCGGAAATATAACCTGAGATGCAGAAGAAAAAAAGTATATCAAATATATACATATAGTAAAGCGATAAAAAGATGAAAGCTTGAGAGGGGTAGATGAGCTTGTCAAACCGCTATTTAGTATGTGAGTCTAGGTTGATTGTTTGACCCAGGTTACGTGGCTGGAAACTTCCGCGGCGACCTTGGTGTGCTTTGGTATTTACCATAGACAAACATTCTGAAAAGCTTTAAGCTAAAGAGAGATGCTATATATAGTAGTACATTATCAGAGACTTGCCACCTACAATCATATGACTACGCCTATGTCGAGATACTATCTAGATGCGCTTCGGGCTGCGCGGGTACTGTAGGATGAGTGGTCCGTAAAGACACGAGCACTAATAGCTTCTAGATATAAGTCCCAAGCTTTATGACTAGCTCGTCAACGAGTATTTAAATAAGCTGCTTCCCAGTAACGGTGAGATCTACCGAAGAATCCAACAGTACTAACATAAGGGGAATATGTATATATTTTGAGGCTCGGTCGGTGGCGCGACTATGAGAAAACAAAGCCAGGTGGCTCAGAAATTAAGTTGCCCCTATCTTTAAATAGATGGTTTTACGTATGCCCTTTGAACAACATTTTGAAGATGTTCAACGTATCAGCATTTTCAACTAATTTCAGACACAACCTTAGACGAAGTTCCTTTGGGTGGGGTACAAAGATATTCCGAATCATGGATATTACATGCATAATTGGAGCTTGGACTTCAACTTCTAATTCTGTTGGCATGTTGAAAGAAAAGAGATTGTGAGATGGAATGTAACGACGCTGTTGGAATGTGGCTTGAGCCTATAATGCTCTAGATCGCATTCATCCGGCATACCAGGAATGCTTTCAGGGAGCACAAATTTGAGGCATTTGAAATCCTCTAATCTGACCTGACATGCCCTCCCTGGAGAATGAATGCCCTGGCGACCCGCTACATATCCAGTGCAAAAAGCCAATTTTGGCCGTTGAGAGCTTTCCACAGGGTCTCTTTCCCCCTCACTTCCCCCATTCACTTCATACCTCCAAAAAGATGAGATGGGGAGCCCTGGCAAAGCGACAGCTTATGTCCTGATCTTCCTAGGTGGCGGACTGGGCGTGTTACTTCTTATTGTATTAAGCATAGTGTATGTTTCCACGGTATCAAAGATTAATGACGGGCAGCTGTTCATCTCGACCCTATTTGTACTCCCTGATACTGCTACGGAGCTGTGTAAGAGATACTGACTTTGAGCAGCCTGGCGGTTTATACTCGTCGACAAGGTCGTTTGAATTTATTGTGGGAGACAAAAAGGAAGCAAGAGTTAATACGAGGGTTGAATGGAGTCTCACGCCTCTATACCCTGGAACAATGCAGAAGTGAAGAAGATCCCGGGACAGATCTGACTGTCCTTCACTGGTAAGCTATTATTCATTCCTTGTTGTTGGTTTTTATCGTTCCGTTTCCTCAGTGGTTTCCTCAGTGATCAGCTAAGGAAAAGCTATGTACTGAACTGAAGGTTTACACCAGTGCAATATGCTTGGAGCAATTATGCGGCTCACACGTAATCCGCGAATTACGTTGTCTGCATTCATTTCACCGCGATTGTGTGGATAAATGGTTTTTAAGAGAGCACTTTGACTGTCCTCTATGTCAAAAGCCATATTTTCCTTTAGCGTCTCGAACCCGAGATCGCGACTCTCTACTGCAGAGCTTCAGGTACATGTATACGATGCAAGTTTCGTGCTGCACCCACAATGCCAGACGAGAAGTTTGCGCAAGCCAATGCATGATGATATGATCTACTGCCTGAAAGATCAATTTTTAAATTTTATGATTGGCTGGGCGGCCTCGACAAGCGGTTGAAAATAGTAGGTGGTAATTACGTTATGAGAAATGGGTATGCAATCATCTGATTGAAGGTGACAGACTACAATGTCTAATGCAGTAGGCGGTCGCCAATGGGATGTATCAACAGGTCTGGTTTTCTCATTCTGATAATTACGCACATAAATTCTGCCTGGAGATCACCTGATCGGTCATGTGATCCATTCTGGTTCGACCAATCATAGCTCTCCATTCAATAGTGGTTTGAACTAACCCAATTGGGCTAGTTTTGCACCTGTGTTCTGTCAGCAGAGCTGACTCCACTAGTATGTCAGCCAGAACCGGTCTAGCGGGATCAGGTGACCCGGCAGAATTTGCATGTATCTAAGGACGCGTTACGAGAAAGTAGAAAACCAGACATATCGACATCATCAGTGGAACAGACCGCCTACTACAACCAGACAGCGAGTCTGACAATTGTGCCGTAGCTTAAGTAATCAATAGGAGAAAGTCACAGGCGTGGCAGACAAGAAAATCTACGTATACAGTAAAACCTTCGTATAACGAACCTGGTTGTAGCGAATTCCTGGCTATAACGAACGCACGGCCCGTAAAAATTAAATTTATCATATATATAGCGAATATCCCCCCTACTACGAATTCGTCTGTTTTTCCCCCAATATTCGTCTTACACAGGTGATTACTCATCATTTATCCCTTTCAGATCGAAATCTTAGCGATGTCTACCAAACCGCGCTCCGCTATCTCTGTTGAACAGAAGAAAGCACTACGAGCATACAAGCGAGACAATCCTACCAAAAGTAACATTTCCATCAGCAATTGGTTTAAGAGCACCTTCCAGCGACCTATCGCGCTTTCCTCCGTTTCCGAGATCCTTTCAAAGAGATACGCCTTCCTCGATGAACAGCACCAGCGACAACTAGCCCAGCAACGTTTCCGACGTGAACATTGGCCAGAGCTCGAGGACGTTTTATTTCAGTGGATACAGCATGCAGAGCGACATATCACTATAACCAGTGCTACACTCCGTGAGAAAGCAGAGTTCTTTTGGAAGAACTTGCCAAATTATGAAGACCTAGAGATGCCTACTTTCAGTAACGGCTGGCTACAAGGCTTCCAGCAACGCCGCGGGATCAAGAGCTTTAAGCAATTTGGTGAGCTTGCTAGCGCAGCAAATGCTGAAGATGAGATGAACTCTATTCGACAAGCTCTAGCAGGGTTTCAGCCACAGGATATATTCAATTGTGATGAAACTGGGCTATTTTGGAAACTTACACCTGATCGAAGCCTTTCTACACACTCTTTACCCGGTCGGTGTAAACAGAAAGCGCGTATAACTATTCATTTTTGCACCAATGCCGATGGATCTGAGAAATTACCTTTATGGATAATTGGGCGAGCTGCAAAGCCACGAGCTTTCCAAGCTGCTCGGATTAATCTCCAAGCTCTTGATGTCTATTAGCGGTCTAATCGGACTGCTTGGATGACTGCTGAGATTATGAAAGAGTGGCTTTATTGGTTTGACCAACGTATGACTGGGCGAAAAGTTGTCCTTTTGATGGATAATTTCTCTGCTCATGAAGCTGCAGCAGATCTGATAAAACACTCTCAGATTCCGCTACAGAATACCTTGATAATATGGCTTCCACCAAATACGACGAGTAAATACCAACCTTTAGATCAAGGTATTATTAATACTTAGAAGGTCTATTGGCGCAGAGAATGGGTCCGCTATATGCTTTGGGAATATGAAGCTAGAAGGGATCCTTTAGCAACAGTAGATATCTTAAAAGCGATACGCTGGGCTATCAAGGCATAGGAATTTGATATTAATGCCTTGGTAATCACCAATTGCTTTCGCAAAGGTCTATATGATTCAAAGGACCAAGTGGATACTCCTCTGGTACACCAAGATATATCGAGGGATATCGAACGCCTTCCAATCCGTGATGTGATGGATATTAGCCAATTCTTGAACCCAGTGGATGAAGAGGTTATTGATTCACACGACACTATTGAAGAGCTTATTCTGTCCCAGTTCCAAGGGCCTAAAACCCAGGATATTGAGGAGGAAGACACTGGGCAGGAGATTGAAATGCAGCCGCCGATCACGCTACCCGTGGCACTCTCCGCGATCCGAGACCTTATCTCTTTCCACGAGCAGCAGGAAACACCTGATGTAGCGTATATTAGGGGCCTACGGCGAGATGAGATCGAGATGCAGAGGAAAGAAGTCGAAAACAGAAAACAGAGCGATATTCGGGGGTATTTTCATGTTAATAGTGGATAATTCCATATAACGATTTCCTGTATATAACGAATTGAACTTGTGTAAAAATGGTTCGTTATACGAATGTTTTACTGTAGTCGGTTCTAGATACAAGACGTACTGCGACAGGAAGCAGGTGAGCTGCACTTTTAAGAAAACCTTCGCCTAATCGGGATATTACGGACCCACTTTGAAAGGTTTTCTTTATTATGGTATTATATATTCTCCACACCTTCTCTATCATCTTTTCTTGCACTATCTCCTGAGTCCTTTGTTGCTTTAATTCCATTCAAGATCTTTTTATTATTACTGTTAAGCGCTTTATAAGTGCTAAAAATTAGTATTATAGTCTTTATCATAGGTAATATCCTTAAGAGTCTTTTTAAATATTAAAAATTATTTTATATTTCTAAGTTCTATTTAGAATTATACAGTCATTAGCGAAATCTGCTTCCTCTCTAGTGAGAGATCTTCTTTCCTCGGCCCCCACTGTGTGGGCCTTGGTGTAGATTCTTTATTGACCACCCGTTGGTAAGTTGACGGCTGTTGAACAACGCATATTGTATGGTACTGTATCTTCTTCTGTATGATTACACCTATTGCTGAATGTTGGGTGGTGAAAGTTGATAACAACCGTAGTGGATAAATTTTTTTTACGGTGGCCCTCAACTTTGCGCGGGCCAGTAAATAGAGGATCTACGCTAAGAGCTTGGCAGTGGGCCCCGAGAAAGGGAGTCGATCATTAGGGAGGAAGCAGATTTCGCTAGTGACTGTAACGTGGCGACTTTGGATGGGTTATGTAACGAGTTGAACCCGACGAGGGCTTGTCAATCCTCGACAAGCCCAAAGCCATTCATCCCGTACGATCACGTTCGACGACGGTCGACTTTATTACGCTCAAAAGACAAAGAACAAGGGTTCATCAGGTTCTTCTGATGAACCCTCACAGGCGGCCCCACTCGCGTAATCGTACGACCCCACACGTGACCCACAGAAGGACTCATAACTCCCCAATCATGTACATAGCTTCCTCTTCCTTAAGCATGAATGTAAACTGCATGTTGGCCTATATCGTTCTGCTTCAGTCTTTATAGAGCCCTTCACATATTCAGGGCCTCTATTTAGCACAAACAGTAAAATTATTTTCATGGTGGGATGAGCAAGGTATGGGGCGTAATCAATTACATGCGTATACACCCTGCCATAGTGTATGGTAATTTATGTAAGGATTAATACAGTGTCCTTGACAAGTATAGGCCGGATTATTTCAAATGTGGACTAGTACCGCTTAGTAACTGGGGTTCAGGAAACAATCGAAGGTGCACTAGTTACGGGACGTACTGTACGTAAAGAATAAAGCAAGCCAACGGTCAATACTTGCTATCGTATCCGTCTCATTCAAAATCAAGCTACAGCGGTGCTAGGGAGGCAATTTAACAACAGGAGCGGCAATGGGCCATGATAGGCCGTGACAAGTCTCTAAGATCCTGTCAGGAAGTGGGCGAGGACAGAAAGAAATCCCGCACGGTTCAAACTGGGTTTCGCATATCAAACTGAAGACATTTTTTAACAAGAACCTGGCTGGATTTAGGGAAGTAGGCGAGGCATTGGGTCACCTTACATTGCGTGCGGAATTTACTTTGCCTATTTGGTAACCGCTGCCGCTCCTGGGACTCCCTCTCTAGCTCTTCCACCTACAATCCTACCTCAATGGAGCGTTATTTTGGTGGTCTCGCTTTGTGACGTAGCAAAGAATACCGGGAGGTTCAACAAATACTTATTACAATGCTGGTTCTAGAAAGTCTGATCTTCGAAACTCGACAACATCAAATTCCCGAATTCCAGACCATCAACCTCTAGGCCTGCAAGAAAATCGTCTTTTGATGCTTGGAAGTGGAAGCGAGGTTTAAAGGCAGTACAGCCCTCAATATGATTCGCCATCGCCATGGGCCTCGCTCAATACTTTGGTATTTATAGATTGGATTTCATATCACGGTCATCAAATCTATTCACTATTGCTAAGGACCTCGGGACACTTATCTAGTCAGATTATATAACAATAATAAATAGGACATAGTACATGCATTCAAAAGATAAGTAGACACAACCTTAGTCTTCTGCCTCCCTCACTACTCAAAGCCATGTTTCCTTCCAATTTCCCTGAGAAACGCCACCGCCATAGTTTCAGCTTTCCAGTAAGGGAAGCAATGATGAGATCCAATGTTTACCACCGACAAACCTAGATCAATCCAGTTTCTCCCACAGTGGCCCAAACTGCATGCTGCATACCGCGATTAGACGATCTTGATTATGACTCAGGGGCTGGTAAGCTAGAATTTCGTTCCTCTCCGAGACTGACCCAGGAGCAAAGAATTGAGTTCGAATATAGGGTTGTCTCGGCGTAGAGGAGGCCCTCAGAAGATAGGGTCGCCTCTGTCTCGTCACAATAAAGTTCTTCCTGAATAAGATTCCATCCTTTAAAAAAGTGCCCTGTTCGGTATTATTGAGATGTAAAGCGCTTGCTTTGGATTTCCTGTTGATCTTTCTCTTTATCTCAACTAGTGGGTAGTCTAGGTCAGAGCTGATACATGTACTATTCACGGAATCACTCTTGAACGCTGACAAAAATAGTCTCAAGTGGAGCCTGGAACTAGACTTCTCCAAAACCCAATTTGGGTCTTGGGTCCAGCACCTAAAAACCCAACCCAACCCAAGACCCAAGCTGGGTACCCAATGGGTACCCAGAAAAACCCAATTTTGCATAAAAAAGAGGTCTTGGCGTACATAACTCTGCTCAGTCATCAATTTAAAATACTGTTTTTTACCTGTGTTTTGCATTTGTTTTGGTTTGTCTATTAGAATCTTATATCTTTACATGTAGCTATAGGGAATTTTAAATATCTATCTTAGAGATAGATGTTAAAAAGTAATTGTTGTGACGGTTAGCGGGGCGCCAGAAATGGCCCTGATTGAACCATTTATATGCCGCTATCTACCGCCTGCTTGATTTCGCCATATCCCTGCCCGTTCGGGTACTGCAACCCACCCCTGACCCGCTTCAGGCTTAGCGCCAACGCTGGCCGCTTTTACCGCCCCCCGTCATCTGCCATCCATCTATAAAACGCCGCTCGCCCATACCTTTGAACTATCGACGCACTTCTTCCTCTCATACACTCTGCTTACCCTCCTGGCCCCTTTCTTTTTCAGCCCCGCTCTCGCCTGCGCATTGGCTCTCGCCGCAATGCAATGCCCCTTTCATCTCGCGGAAATACCGCTGTCTCCGGTTGCCTAGGACTAAAATCGCTCACCTAGTTCAGTCTTCCACTGCAATTGTCAGCTTGATATCATCTAGTTGCCCCGTCTGGTTGCTTAAAAATGCTGTTTTTTCCATTCACTTGCCTGCAAAAGGCGTCATTGACCCTGCTATAACACATTACGCGATTCTTCTTGTTGGCGAGGCTTGCTTGTTCCCGTCGGTTGCGCCTCAATACTTAATGCTCTACTTCATTCGCTATATCTGATGCTCTATCGGATGTTACAACAAACAAACCTTGGTATTGCGGATCTACTCCTAGAGGCTTCACAGTTATCGTCGTTATCGGCCTCTCCGACTGATCTACGCCTAATTAATAAACCTTAACAGCATACAACAGTGGTATAAACTAATAGCGAAAATACCGTATATTAGGCTACCCTAGTATTATGCCCTATTATATATTAGATATCTACTTTTGTTATAGTAGGACCCTACTATCACTCCGGAAATAAGGTAAAGCTAGTGGATAACTACTTATAAACTATTAGTAAGAAGCGGAGAATCTGGGTATGGAAATTGTGTATCTTTGTAACTTATATAGTCACCTAGGCTAGAGGAGTTAATCTTTATGTTCTATATGGTAAAGGAGATCAATTCCTTTAGTCTATAAAAGGGACTACAATCCTATTAAGATAGGGAAACTACAATCCAACTCCCCTGAATTCTCCCTCTTCATTATTACAATCTGCTCTATTCACTACTTTACTCAGTACCCTACCCAAAGTTCCGATCCTATCTACTATATTTGTATAAATAAGACCAATCCCCTTATCCCGTAAATCTAACTAAGCCGCCCTATTTACACAATATATCAAATAGTAGCTTCTGTTTAGAGTCCTTCCAGCTTTAGAAGCCTTCTCAGAAAAAAGCACAGGCTCTGTAGGATTCTCTTAATACTTATCGCTATCTAAGTCCAGTCTTGATCACCACTATCTTGTCTCTCTCCGGCTCTTACAACCTAGTCTCAATAAACCCTAATGTTTAATCTTATAACTATGAATAATACCCTTTGTCTCTATGACTGCTAGTGGAGGTTTGTATAAATAGTAGCCTATAATATGAGATAAATATGTAGCCCTAACTTGCTGTGGAGGATTAGGTGTTAGACTTCCGGGATACTCCTACACTATAGGTTTTATCAAACCTTCCAAAAATTGACTATATAATGGTCTGTGATAATCTAGGTAAAGTCTCTAAGTAATTAATTGGTGTTGAGTTAAACCAATCGGGCGTTTTATAGCTCTCTTATACTATCAGCCAGTACTCTTATACTGGAAACACTAGAAGCCCTGTTCTAAGTGGTGAGTATCCTGGTATAGTAATTAATCTGTAAATCTTAGATCACTTTTATTCCTGAGATAGTGCGTAGATATCCACAGATAAAGATATTTCTGAAGTTATAGTTATGTCCCCTTCTTTTTATCGGATACATCTACTCATAGCCATTCTGTGTATCTAAATCTGCGGAAGGTAATAAGACCAGGGCGACCATAGCCTAGAAGAAATAATCTTTCTGTTATTATAGACAATTATCGCAGGAATCGAATTGGCCGGAATCCCTAGGTAGGTAGTCCCATTCCAATACCATCTTCTTATCTATAGGATTAATTCTTTCTACTCCCGGTCGAAGTAAAACTTAAGTTCTTGTCCTGGCTGTTTCAGGGTACTATATCTTAATATAGCTACACTATATTGATTGTAAACTATACTTCGGCATTAGGATTGATCCCGGAAGACAAAGGAACTTTAACTTTTAAAAGAGTCCTAAAAATGGAGATATTTTTTATATGTTTCCTAAGGTAATTTCTAAGGCTTTGAGGCCTGGGTATATGAAGCTTTACAATTAAATAGACAAGCATAGAAGTGTAACATAATTGGTAGAAGAGCCATTGAAGGTTACCTACACAGAGCTGAATATGTCATGGGGTCCAAAAATACAAATCCTCTGCCAGGATTCTCCAAAAGACCAACAGTCATTGTGGAAACAGCGATTTCTGAAACAGGCACAAAGCTATTCCACGATGTCGAAAAATGGCTCGATACCAACCATGGCCATGAAACGGTCGTCACTACCGCAAAATCAGATCGAAAGAAGCCCCATATCACAATTGAAAGATGGGAGTGGTCACAAAAATGCAAACAATCGAGGTTACTGAGAGCAAGAGTGGTGACCAAGTGCATGTTGCTGGTACACCTTTAGTGATCCCGTTTGATCTTCTTTTCTTGAGGCCTGCAAATATCAATGGCACTCCCAGGGTGATATCACTATCGGGAGGACGCGCCTCAAGATTATTGCCGAAACTATCATGATGTACTAACCCGTGGACACCTCCGAGTTTCCTATTTTGGAATGAGCGGAGATGCATCGGATAAACTATTCTTCCATGATATTGCACCTGACACGCAAAACTCGGGAAATCCGGCCCTCGGCTTTTGTTATCAGCTGCAACTAGCCAGATCCACCCCCAGGCATCCCCAGATTTCGCTTGCCGCCGTGGCATGATGTCTGGATAATGCAGGAAATTCCCAAATCGCCCGGGTTGGAGCATCCAGCGCCCAAGCGGGCCAAACGCCCTCGAGCTGCACAAGCTTGCGAACGTTGCCGATCGAAGAAGTATAAGTGCGACGAGCAGTATCCATGCGCGCACTGTAGTAGTAAGTTAATCCGGGGTTGGGTTTTTTTAATGCGGGGTACCAAGCTGATCGCGTTTCAGAGAGTCGCCTTGAATGTGTCTACCAGGGAAACTACAGGGAGCGCGAAAGCGGCCGGTCTGCAAGGTGTGTATCACTGCTATTAAATCGCATTTTATCCACAGCGTCCAGTAACGCGTGAATGTGGAATGGCTAATAAAATAGCAGCTATGTCGTCGATTTGGAAAAGAAGGTGGAGGAGTTGGCCTCAAAGCTGCATGCAGCTGAGGCGCAGATGTCAACATCTCCGCTACCCCCGAATTTACCGATCGCGCAACAGGTAGCCCCGCGGCCAATGGACACAACGCCTTGTTCCATGCCGCGAACTGGATCTACTCCCGGTGAAACAACTAAACTACCTCCCAATCCTAATCCTCACGAGGAATCAGGAGAAAGTGCTGATGACGAGATCAATGAATTGAATCATCATACTAACGGAATCGAATTTCATGGGAGCACTTCCTCGGCAGCTGCTATCAGCCATTTACAGAAAGCAAGAGAGCCTAAAGTCCACGAGACGCGGTATCATCCATCTGCAGACTTTTCTTTAATCTCCACGTTGCATAACCCAAGCTTTTCTCCATCAACTACTGGCCCTGGCCAACTAAGTGCCATCGAACACCATAATTACTATTTCGACCAGGCGCATGTGTTCATGAATGGATATTTCGAAAATATCCATTTCATCCATCCTTTCATTGACAAAGACGATTTTTTGATCCGTGCCAATGATTTGTGGTTTAATCGAGCAAATACGCCTGAGCCCAGTTTCGTCGCATTATATTTGAGTGTGCTATCGTTTGGAGCGTTAGTACGAGTTTGGGATGAAGATAATTTGGCTGGTCTGGGTCGCTTTGAATGGAGTCGCAAGTTGTTTGGCGAGGCTCAAGCATACTTGAACTACTTGCGATTTTCAAATGACGTTGAAACTGTTCAATGCCTGTACTTGATGGTATGTGAAAACAATATCTGAAAATTCCAAAAGGGGTTGAACTGACTTCACCGCAGGCTAAGATTTGTCAAAATGAACTCAACCCTAACTGTAAGTTCCAAATTTGCTCAACCATTTACTCCTCATGAAGCTAATTTTTTAGTGGCGTACATGTATCTTGGTCTTGCAGTCCGTACTTGTTTGTCAGCTGGGTTTAACCGTGAAGTTCGTGGGCCTAACGATAAACGTTCGGGCTGGATCTCGAAGACCTGGTGGTAAGTGGAAAGGCCAAGAAACAGACCATCATGATACTAATCTCTACCTCTCATTATAATAGGGGCTTATTTTCCCTGGAAATGTAAGTGGCATATACCCCTATTCAGTCTGATATGAAAATATATTATCACAATATCTAACTCTTGACAGCGAAATGAGCTTTTCAGTTGGCCGACCGGATACATTGGGAATGGATGAATACCACAACCGAGCTATCCCAGAGCGAGATGACTCTGAGTATGCCATCATTCCCTGGATGATTGACTTTGCCCAGATCATTCGACGTGTTTCCGTTCAGATATACCACTCTCGTATCACCCTACAAGAGAAGCTCCAGCTCGCTCTTCAGATTGAGATGGATATGGACCGTTGGATCGCCCGACTCCCAGACAAATTAAGACCTGACGTAGGCAATCACAATCCATCCCGCGGCGCCCTTCGTGATCCAAAATGGGCTAGAAGACAAAGACTTGTGCTGAGAATTCGTGAGTTGCTCTCCAAATATTCATTCTCTTTCATTCCTGACTTATCACTTCCCTCAGGATATTATAATGTCAAAATGCTTTTGTTTCGGCCATTTTTGAGTCACTTCACTCGGAAACTGCGACATCCCCAAGCGAGCTTGAGGAAGCAATTAACAAGTGTTTGGATGCTGCAATGAAGACAATCGAAGTGATTCATGATATTTACCGAATTCACACATTCTTCCGATGTTGGTATGTTACAAATTATCTTGAACTTTGAAGAGCGACCATATATTAACCAACGAATCATCTTTAGGTGGTACAATACTACATATGTCATGTTCGCTACCTCGACTCTTCTTCTACCAATGTCAAAGTTGGGAATGTGCAGTGAGACAATGCCACATCTTCGATCTGTAGAGATGGGAGTCGAGATTCTTGAGGCTATGGAAGAGTCTGTGGTGGCCCGGAAGTCTGTGGAACTCATTCGACAGTACTTACGAGAGTTCAGAGCATCTGGAGCTCAACCTGGGTCTGGATTCGGCGAAGGTAATGAAGGTGTGGGTGTATCAACCGAGCCTGGAGCCACTCAGTCTGCGTTTGAGATACCAGAGTGGGCCTATGGCTTCGGATTCCCGGATTATTCCTTCGAAGGAATCGCACGGTTGTTCGACGATATTGGCGGATTACCCATGTTGGATGGTGAGTGAGTAGTTATCGTGTGACTCATGAATATACTTCTATTTGTACATATCTCAATGCTTTGCAGGCGTTTGAATAGCATTTGAATCCTTCAAAGGAAGGTTTAAATGATCTTAGTTTATTAGAGTCCTTCCTATTTTGACTAGTGGCCCGGGGTGCTCTTAGTGCTGACGGCTAGGATGATCCTGGACCTAATCTTTTCTTAACTCCGTTCTTTCCAAGGTTGTCATGCCCAGGTGAACCTCCAGGACTTGGAAGATTTTAATAAAATTTACTGTGAATTTGGGACATAAGTGGGTTAAATTTGGATTATTTTAAAGTTCCACGATTTTGACCATAGAAATAGTGTGTAAGGTGAAACCTAAAACCAGATGAATACAGAAATTTAAATCCTTTTATGCAATCGATTAATTGCCAGGTCTAGGTCCGTGTAGCTTGGTAATATTTCCTCAATTCAACCTTGGAAGTTACCATCCCCATTCAGCACGTGGATTTCCTTTGACCACCGGATCAAAAACCTCCCGGGCTCCATGGCCTCTGATATCATGGTTCGGATACCTCTTCACCGGATGCACAGGAAGCACAGCTCCACCCGCATATATTTAAAGTGGGGAGTCACTCCTAGGTGATGGTCAACTCATGAATCAGACATCTTCAAGTTTCATCAGATAAACAGTTGATTCTGAATAGCCTATTTCCCTCACTGCCTCTATCACAATTCTCGAACTGCAATGCCTTTGACACTTCACCACATGGGCCTGTCCCAATCCGAGCGCATCATCTGGCTCGCCGAAGAGCTTGGCCTCGACTACCAATATGTCCATCACAAGCGTGATCCTATATTCGCCCCGAAATCTCTCAAAGACCTCCATCCTGCTGGAACTGCCCCGGTAATGGAAGATGATTCATCTCCTGTTACTGGCTCAAAGGTTGTGCTCGGGGAATCTGGCGCTATCTGTGACTACCTCATCGCTGTGCATGGAAACGGCCGTTTAGCACCCACACCGAAAGATGGAGCTACCTACACACATTTCTTGGAATGGTACCATTTCGCCAATGGTAGCTTTCAACCAACTTTCCTTCGAATCATGATGACTCGAGGAGCGGATCCGAGCTCTCCAGTTGTGGTGAGCACGATGGCGAAATTGGACCAGCATCTTACCATGATTAATGTTCGTCTTGCTGAGACAGGGGCATATCTTGCCGGCGAAGATCTCACTGCTGCAGATATCATGATCCTTTTCAGTCTCACGACGATGCGTGGTTTCATTCCGGTGGAATATGATACTGAGAAGCATAAGCACCTTCTTGCATACTTGAAGCGCGTTTCTGAGCGACCGGCATACCAGAAGGCTATGAAGATTTGTGAGGGTGAAGAATTCGAGCCTTTGATTGGAGCAAAGGTTGAACTGTGTTCCATCATGAGGAAACCGACGCTATAGGATGAGTCCATGTGACACGTTCATACACCTTGTAAATTTACTATAGAAGTCCCGTACTCCGATTTCCATGTATTATTAATATATCTTCATTCAGTTATGACCATGGATAAAAATAGTATAATAAAAGACATAATATTCAACTCTTTGTAATGAACATCTTAAATTACCAGGCTATGGAAGGTTGAAGTTGGCAATCATTGCAAATTTGTGTATCGCAGAAAGGAATATGGAAATAATAGCGCCGCGACCCCTCAGTTTGCCTTATAAAATGGTACAGAACGACTTGAGAGACTTAGAAGCCTGGGCGAATACGTCTGGGTTCTGGGCCACGGCTTTCTCAACCTCCTTGATAGCATCGTATCCATACAGCCAAGGCTGAACCTCTGGACATGTCCATCGACTAGGGAATGCGCCCTTGATCTCCTTTCCGATTTGGGACAGGAAGACTTGGTCTCGCTTTTCTTGCTCTTCTCCATCTTGCATGTGGAAGTCATGACGCTAGTAATGCATGAGTCAAAATGCTATTTCGTTTGTAAATGTGATTGGTGTGTCTTACCTGCTTGAATGTCTCACGCACAATAGCCTCTCCTCGGGCTTTGCGGAGGCTCTCATATACTCGAAGGATGCGAGGCAACTGTTCCTTGTTTGTCATGTGGCCCAGAAGTAAGCCGAGAACGGCACCATCTTCCAGGGAGGAGTTGGCGCCTTGGGCTAGGTAGGGTAACATGGGGTGACATGAGTCTCCACTGTAAATAGCGTGTTAGCAAAGAGATTCGATGGATATGTCTTGATATGAACTCGGAAGGGACTTCACATACATGAAAACGAGATTAGACTTGTCATTAACCCAGTTCTCCATTTCACCGTCTGGATTTGTCAGCTATTGATACCACTTGGCCCATTCTGATCTGGAAACTCACGATGCATCAACTTCCACTTATCAACAGTCTCCACGTAAGTCAAGAACTTGTTCAAGCTAGAGTATGGTGTCAGCAGAAATGATAAATGAAAGATGGCAACTCGGTGCATGACTTACATTGGATCCCAGCCAACGAAAAGTTCCTTCATCTCATCCACAGAGCCAGTCTGCTTTGAGACACCTGGTGGAAGGTTGTCTGGCACCAAGAGGACGATATTATACATCTGTCCTCCACGCAGCGAATAACCCACAGCATGAGCACCAGGTCCGATCCAGAAATGAACCTCAGGATTCTCAACCAAGGCTTTCAGATCCGGATCAGAGATCTGGTCAGCAGTCAAAACAATCCGGTAAGCCAAATCACCCGTGGGAATAGGCTCATCCTTCTTGCCAACGAATGCCTCACGACACTTAGACCACAGACCATCAGCCGCAATAATAAGATCTCCCACAAAGCGCTTTCCAGCGACAGAGTGCACAGTCGTTGTCTCAAAGTCGATCTTCTCGATTCTCTCACCAAGGTGGAAAGTGACACCCAGGTCTTGTGCTCGCGCATACAACGATTGCTGAAGATCTACTCGGTGCAGATCGACAAACGGGGCATTATACTTGGCGCGAATTCCCTTATCAAAGGCATCATCGTGTGCGAGGACTTTGCCGGAGTACCGGTGCACAGTCAACTTGGTAGGCTCTGCAGCTGCCTCCCAGAGAGAGGCAGGAAGCTTCCAGTATTGCAGTAAACGCGAAGCGTTTGGTGTGATTTGCAGACCGGCTCCTACCTCGGCGAGTTCCTTCGCTTGTTCGATGACCTCGACTGAGTGTCCTGAGAGGGCGGCTGAGATTGCGGTTGCGATACCACTGAGACCAGCTCCGACGATCACAACGCGGAGACGAGCTTCTTCGGGGACCTAGTTGATGTCTGGAATAAGCATTGGTCATGAACTGCGGGGGGCTTGGTTCTTCGTTACCATCTTGGAACACTTGTTGATATAGACGTTTAAAGCACTGGATTTCTCGAGGATAAGCTTGGGAAGAATTGTTTTCAAGAATTCAATGAGAAGGCAAATATTTTTGTCTTGAATAATTTGAAGCTCCGCAATTATCAGCTGTTCGGAATGGCCGAGTGCGCGTCCCCCGGATCCGCCACGTTATCGGAATTGCCGAAACTCGGAATTCCCATTCGCTTTACAGCGCTACCCCGCGGGGAAGGCATAATTGTGGGTATTATCTCGCTTGATTTAACCCGAGCGAAGTGTCAGTAGGGAATGTGATCTGGTCAGCTGGACATTTGTGGATCTGGATGACATCTAAGCAGTCACCGGTGCCCAGACCAGTAGTCTAAAATCATTTACTAACGTAGGTGTCATCTGGTGGCTTTGTTCGCCATTGGGTATTAGGAGTGACATCTCTTGGCCAACATGATCGTCATACTCTATTTAAATGTAACTGTACAAAAGAGGCGCCCTAAGAGCCTTAGGCCTAAAATCTTGACCTCGCTTGATCGAGAAGCTCTATAGACTCATCGCGCATGGTAAGATGCACAGTCTTGAAAATTTGTAACCCTGATCCTCCCTCAGCCGGATCGATTATAGGATCTTCTTCCCGCTCCCAGCCTCCTACTCCCTGGACTGTCGTAGAAGTCCGAGAGAGCCCGACGTTGGAGAAGATGTTGGCCGAATGAAGTTTCGCAGACTTTGACCTCGACCTTGATCCTGAAGCGCCTTCAGTATATGAGATTCCATTTTCATCGACGTAAACATCAATAAAGGACTTGACGAATGCGGTGACAAGGCAAACTATGCTGAGGGCGAGGTAGATTTCGGTAGCGACGGTAGCGAAGGATCCGATGAGAATTGGGTGGGTTGATTCCAATTGTTTATTCACATAATATAAGCGAATAGCAGATAGAGCGATTAGTCTCAATTCAATATTATTGTTAGTTGCATTGAAATTTGTATCGCCGGATGAGGTAGAAAAGTTGAATAAAACTCACAGAACTCTGCTCTCTAGAGCTGAGAAGACCATCAACTTTTTACATTTTGAGATTCGGACACTGTAGATGGCAGAAACAGAGTAGCAAGATAGGAGTATTTCAATGAAGATGTCAAGAGCCGTGATAGCTTGCCATTGAGAAAACTTGGAGTGGGTTAGCAAGGATGAGCTTGAAGGAGTGTCCAATATTCTGAAATTCTTACCAGGCCGCTACACTCACTTCTGCTGATATTGTACCAAGGTCGCTTGCTGCAGCGAATAGAAACAAAAGGGATACCAAGCAGCGTCCATATTATGATTGCTCCAAGTATTGAGCCAATATATCAGCGTCGAACCACTGGCGAGAAAAGTTTATCGTAAAAAACACAGGCAGTGACTTTCGACAAGCCAAGAACGAGAATTGAAAGAATATCGGCAGTATAAGCAGCCTAAACAGTCATGTGTGAGCTCCAGATATCTTACTATTGAGTCTCTCGTACCTTGAACATTCCATCGGTCTTAGCCCCAGCGAGATTACCCCAGCCAAAGTGGACCGACACAAATACAACGACTCCCTGAATAATGGCAATTATCTTTACAACATATCAGTCAATCAAGGAAAATCAAGAGCATTGAGGAGTCAACAATCCCTTACCGCGAGAAAACTGAATAGATAATCATCGGTTTGTACGCTTCGCCTGTGCCATAAAGAAAATGCGCGTGCGGCTACAGATGCCAGTATCAAAACCAGATAAAAACCAGTGAGAACTACAATCAAGCCACTGCGATTGTTTTCATTGTCAACTGTAAGAGGTGCACTCACCCCTGACGGCGACGCCGACGGAGCAGTCGACATAGCCAGGCGCAGGCTTCAACGATTGAACTTGGATTGCTTAATGCATACCAGCGGGAACTAGATTGGAAAGATTCTTTCTCAATAGCTTGGCATTTTTTCTGCTCTTTTTCTTAACTGGAGTGATACATTCTGAAACTGAGGTAATGGGGCTAGAAATAACGTTCACAGTTGAATCTTGGAAGAAACACCGATATTAGATTAATCATGGGGCTGGACAGCCCTTAGTGCCCCTTATTCGTACTTCGTAGACAGAGCTAACCTATCTAAGTCTGGTGATGGGCATTTTTTTTGAAGATCATCGCCCAGATGAGATCGCACACAGGATATCTATCAGGGTTCAGGATTCAATCCCCATAACTTCGGAGTTTAATCGGCAAAAAGGGGAATAGTGCCGATCAGACTCCGATCAAAAGATAAGACAATTGCAGATCCCATATGAAGCGATTATAAAACCTGTTACCATCCATGGATATTTCGTGCTTTTGCATACCCTAGTGAGAAATGCAGCTGAGGAATATGTACTAGTATATGTAACATTTGAACTTCCAAGGTTGTGGACTATTTAATTTACGTATCAATATGAAGTGTAAGTGAACTTGGACGGAGAGTCCCCACTATGGAGAGATCATCGACCATTTGAACTTCCCCCAATGGTTAGTTTATGAACTTTTGTACTCTGAGGTACGTGTAAATTTAATAACCCGAGGCTCCACATAAGCATGAGATTTCAATCTACGGAGAGCACCGTTGGATGGTAGAGCAGCCTTAGTGTGATTGCTAAATTAGCGCGTCTGGGCACTTTATCGATCCTTGTCTTGATGTCGCACATAATTTCATTGTTAATAAAGTGTGGCTGCATTCCTGAAACGAGTTTGATGGTTCATCTGTTCTAGGAATGAAATTATCTTTATCCGAGTCGCACGAGGCTGGATTCCCACATAAAATCAGGTGGACCATCAACGGGCCGATGGCCGAAATTGGCCCAAGCATTCAAGAGATCGGCAATCTCCACTACCCAGGATGGTCAATTGTCCAGCTAGCCTTAACTCAAGTGCTAGTGGAGATTTGTTTCGGGTGTGTGGGTTTCCCTCTCCTTCGAAGTAAACATTGCAGATTAAACCAAGCCCATGTATTGGCCCATCCCTCATTCACGTTCGAAAAGTGGAGAACTAATACAATTTCATTCTAGTTCCTCGTCTAGAAGGCCGAAAGTGAGCATGTGCAGATAAAAAAAACTTTAATACCTCACTTTGGCCTGTCTATCGCGGTTTTCCTTTCAATTTTCAACTTGCTTCAATCCGAAGGTTGTTTGCCCATCCGCATTATGCAGGAACCTGGGAAAGCCCCAGGGCTCCATTCAATGGATATAGAAGATCCATACCACAATAAAGAAGGGGTCGAGGGGACCGCCGTTGATGATAATGACATGCAACGGATGGGAAAAGTTCAAGAATTCAAGGTATACTATATCGACTGAGCCTTATCAGATCTTCTTCTCATATTTCACTCAGCGAAACCTCCGACCCGTGGCGGCTCTGAGTTTTGCTTCAGTATTGCAAGCAACCTGGGAGTTTATTCTCCTGTAAGTAGCGTCTGAAGAAATTCTCATAAACAAAGCTAAATCTGGAACAGTTCAGACTATGAGGGACTAGAGGATGGAGGACTCCCTGGAATGTTCTGGTCTTATATTTGGACTTTCATTGGATTCGGCTTCATCATTGCCTCTATCTCTGAAATGGCCTCTATGGCCCCAACATCTGGTGGACAGTATCACTGGGTCTCTGAATTCTCATCACCTCGATACCAAAAGTTCATGAGTTACATTACTGGATGGATGTCAGTACTTGCATGGCAAGCTGGAACCGCGTCAGGATCCTTTCTGACTGGAACCATCATCCAGGGTTTGATCAGTGTCCGAAACCCAGACTACAATGCTGAAGGCTGGCAAGGAACATTGCTTGTTTTTGCCATGGTTTTGGTAATCTACGTTTTCAACGTTTACGCCTCTGACTTGATGCCTATTCTGAATAACCTCCTCATGATTCTTCACATTCTATCGTGGGCAATCATTCTCATTGTCCTGTGGGCAATGGCACCTCACAGATCAGCAGAAGAAGTTTTTGTTACCGGATGGGAAAGCTATGGAGGGTGGTCTAATATGGGATTGGCCGTGATGGTGGGCCAAATCTCGGCTATCTACGGATCTCTGAGTATGTTCACCCCCTTGCGTCGATTTCAAATATGGCGTTTGCTAATATCACCAAGGCTCTGATGCAGCTGCACACATGTCAGAGGAGGTGAAGGATGCCGGTCGGTATGTTCCTATCGCTATTGCGTGGGGATACTTCAGCAATGGTATCATGGCTGTCATCCTGCTGATTGCCTACCTTTTCGCCACTCCGTCTGTGAAGGCCTCTCTTGACGACGATACCGGCTTCCCATTTCTCTATATCTTCAAACAGGCCGTATCTACGGCTGGAGTGAATGGACTGACATCAATCATTTTGGTGCCAGTCATCTTCAGTAACATTTTCTTCAATATGGCTACTTCTCGCCAAACCTGGGCCTTTGCTCGCGACCGGGGTCTGCCTTTCTCAAATTGGATTGGCAAGGTGGATGAAAAGAGGAAGATCCCCACTAATGCGATCATTCTATCGTGCATTATTAGCTGTGCTCTTTCCCTTATCAACATCGGATCGGAGACTGCATTCAACGCGATCATCTCCCTCAACGTGGCGGCATTGATGTATACATATATCATCTCTATTGCCTGTGTTATCTATCGCAAGATCTGGCATCCAGAGACACTTCCAGTTGCTCGATGGAGCATGGGTAAGTGGAGCCTGCCTGTTAACATCATCGGGCTACTGTATTGCATCTTTGCACTTTTCTGGTCATTGTGGCCCACCGAGGTTCCAGTGACTGCAGCCAACTTCAACTGGAGCGTTGTGATATTTGTTGTTGTTTTCATTATCAGTTTAGTGATGTATGTTTTCAAGGGGCGGAAGGAATATGTTGGACCGGCAGCTATTATCCAGACCTCGGGAGCATTTGAGCCTGAGGTAGAAAGTCGAATATAGACAGCCACTGCCATGAGGGATTCAGATTCCTGGTAGGCAGGGCTATACTTTTAAATGTTAAAGGTCAACTGGTCATGGTGATAATGAATTGGGATCAATGTTTGGAAAGGAATCTAAATTTTCGGTAGTAGGTGCTAGTAGTAGTAGCGTAAGAAACCATCAATTGATTGACATTTATTATTTAGGGTAATATCTCTGCAGTGGTTATACTAGTAGTAGTGACTTAGAAAGAATGACTTGTATTCTTCAAATTTCAGAGACTCAAGGTACTATGTGATCGATCAATAGATTATTCAAATGTTTCAACAAATAGAGTAGTACGTAGCAAGTTCTCACGCCGCGCTTTGCGTGGCACTGCTAATGAAGCAGCGAGCATTTGAAATCGGGAAAGGTATATCCTCAGTATGTGAGTGCTTGGCCAAATGTGTCCACATAACTAAGTAGTACAGGGCTTATGTAGTCTGCCAGTGAGTCAGGAGCATCTATACTAGGTGCCTAATGACCTATACCTCTTGATATGTAAGTACCTACAGGGTTACCTACTGGGTTACCTATATGATTACCTGAAAGGGAAGGTTAGCTATTATATAGTTAGATATAGACAGATATCTAAAGTAAGAGGTAGCTAAAGTGAGACATACCTAGTGTAGTGGGGTACCCTGTCCCCTACTACACGTACCGTGCTAAGAATTACCGTTTGGTTACATCTCTGTTTTGTCATGTTTTCAGTCCCGTCTTTGTACGTACAAGAATGCCCGTCGTTATAGTCTAGAATACACACTCCTACACATCTCTCATCCCACCCCTACGGGGTAGTCCGGCCACAACGTACATGTTGGTTGGTGTTATCCATTCATGCTAGCTGGATCGACCCGTGTATCTAGAATACACTGCCTAACGGTTCCCCTCTTCACTAGGTATCTAAAGTAGAAGTGAGATATATCTAAAGTGAGATATACCTAGGTATCTAAAGTAGAAGTAAGAGATAGCTAAATTAAGAAGAATTTATTCATGTTTACTAGAGATAACTAGACGTAATAAAAAAATGAAAGTCTGTTTATTTGTGAATCTATGGTTTGACCTTGGAAGCTATGGGTTCTGCCTCCTTTAAATTTGTCCTTCTAGTCTGATGCCCTGCAGGTTCCAAGGTTTGTGTGATATTAATTCTCACACTTCAATGCTCTGATCTGCTTCTTAATCCAGACATGAACACCTGGGCTCCACTGGAGAGAGAGGATCTGCCAGTGTGTCTGCAAGCAAAACCAAAAAGGCTACTATTCGAAATGGATCGATTGATCAAAGCTACAATCGGATGTGGAAAGTGTGGACAATATTGATATACGATTTGCAAGAATCGGAGAACTGGAAAGCAAAGTCAAGGACGACCTTCACGATTGTCAAGAGGGTTTAGACCAGATCCGTAACAGGAAGGTCAAGAACGATAATCTCGATTTCAAGTCCACGAAAAGCAAAGATTTGGAAGATGAATTGATAGAGCAGTTGGCGGAGATCAAATGTCAGCTATCATCCTTCACAAGGATCTTGACTTTAGTTAAGACCAAAGAGATAAAATTCAAACAAAATATAAGAAATTTCGTGACTGAGAAGTCCTAGGTCATCACAGGAACATATCAAGAGAATGCTAGCGAAATTTGTCAAGATGAGAAGAGTCGATCGAGAGCAAAGAAAATGATGTCCTGCACTTGAGTGGATCAACATCAGATGACGCTAGAGAAAACTGCACCATGTGGTGCCCAGGTGATAGTTCCAAAGGAATTTCAGGATGCCGACATTAGTGCCGAAATCTTTTTAGAACTTTGATTTGATTATTTCGATATTAAAAAAAAAGTATGGTGTCGTAAGCGATTTGTCGGATATGAGCACTATCACTGACTCGGAATACACTATCGGCCCCACGCAGATGAGTTGCTAAACCCTGCATTGAATACGAAACCTACGTCTATTGCCCCGAAATTGGAGTCAATAACAAATATAATTCCACAGACCCACTCTCTTTGGCAAATCATTCTAATGGGATTGGTTTCATTTTTGATAATCATTTTCCAATGATCATTCAATAAGATGGACCCTGAGGCATATTCCAAGATTCCCAAAGAAGCGCAGAGCCTGGTGTCATTAGCCGAAAAGGAAACCTACTATCGCTAATGTCAAAACTGGAAGAAAGCACGGACATCAGTACGTTGAATAGGGACAGAGATAGTCTGCTTTCAATATGAAGGGCCAAAGGACAAAGAGCTTGTCATTGAATTACTTGATAAGGGAGCAAATCCTGGTCCAATAGGTCATAAACAGGAAGCGCCCATTGTCCAAGCTGCCAGATATGAGATAGGCGAAAATTCAATGTCTTGAGGTCAGATTCATTTGATGCTTCTCAATATCATATAGCATTGGTTGGGGCTGCGGAGAATGGTAATGAAGAGATTATCACTTTACTCTCAAGTGCTTGGACCGTGGAGTAGATCCAGATCCAATTGATGCGGGTGATGAAAACGATAACATTTGAACACGGCACTGCTTAAAGCTGCGGATAACGGCTATGCAGGTGTTGTTCACCTTTTACTTAAACGCGGTGCCCAACCGAATATACTCAACTACTGGAAAGAATCTGCTTTTTTGCAGCGTGTCGATCAAAACATGAGCTGGTAGGTCGGCTTCTTATAAAGAACGGGGCCAACTTCGATTCAAATGCCCTGGAAAGCGCTCGCAAGGGATCTTCCTACAAGTTCTATTTCACCCTTCATGAGAGAAAATTATTTTGAACTTAAAGCAGCTTGGAAGCGGATAAACCTCAAGCTGCGATATGGGACATAAGGATAGGCCAAATTACACTGGCGTGGATATAGTAGTGCTTCTAGTAGAAGAAATTTACTTTTGCAACATTTGAAGCCTTCAAGCTTCTATCAGCTTAACGGTGACCTTTGAAGACATTAAAAGTCTACTACGTATCTCAAAGTGCGCTGCTGAATTCAATTTGTTTCAAGTTGAAGATCCTACTAATGTGCGTTCTTGCTATCGGTGTAGGTAGTGAGCTCCTAATCTTGGAAATATGCAAACCCCTCCCCCCCTGGGCACCTATTAATGACTCATTAATATCTGCAGGTCACCTGAGAGACACAAATGCGCAGTTGATGGTAAAAAAAGTCCAGTATTTCACCCTAACATTCGCCCCCTATCAGTGGGGAAGCATCGCTTAAATGCGCACATGTGGTCCCGAGGTGTATCCGAGCTCCACCGGCTTTTCCGGGGAATTGATATAGTGCTTCCCCATGGGGCCAGCGAATTAAAATGCTCACGCACGTGGGTTTATGTGCGGGGAATGAGTCTAGTTCCAAGTCTAGCTCCTTTCAAATGCTGGAATTCCCATGGTGGCTTGCTCCTTTCCCGACTTTCGGTGCCGAAAAGTTGTTTATATGCGTCGCCCGCACCCTCATCGTCCCATAATCATACGATTTTTTCTCAGACTGTCTCCTTCACTTCTCAGTGGTTGCCCTTGTTGCGAATATGGTGGACATCAATCCTAGAGTGAGTAGCGTGTTGTTTATCTGAATTTTGAAACTATCTGGAGCTTTACGATCTGACCAGTCATTGTCCACAGCTTTTCCCTAACCGGGTGCGATATGCAGCCCTTATCACCGTCAATCTCTATGTTTTCATGGGCAATATGTACTCGGTAAGATCCTTGCGAGTCAATTCAAGATGATGGGTCATCGTGGGCTTACGAAGAATGTTTGATATTAGTCCGGCCTGGCGGTTGGCTTCGAGGCCCTAGCAGAGTATTTTGAGATGCAAGATTCTCAACTATCACCTCTTATCACTTACTCAGTCTTGTCTATGGGACTGGCGAACTTGGTTTGGATGCCCCTTGCATTATGTTTTGGAAAACGACCAATCGTCTTATTCTCCATGGCAATGTTCCTATGTGGCATTGCATGGAGCGCGGTCGCGAATGACTTTCACAGTCTTCTTGCATCCCGAATTTTTGCTAGCTTCGGTAAGACTTCACACCCGCTGCGATATGATGAACTCTTACTAATTCTGGGAATAATAGGCTATGGTGCCATTGAATCTCTTGGACCTAGTATCCTAGCAGGTGTGTATCCCCACCAGCTCCACCATAAAAAGTGCATCATTCTAATCAAAATGCAGACCTTTTCTTCGAGCGAAACTATGCAAGTGCAATGGCCGTCTACGCTGCCTCCTTGTCTGGTGGATCTCAGATTGGCCCAGTCATTGCCGGATACCTCATTCAGGCTCGAGGCTGGAGATGGTTCTTCATCCTCTGCGCAATCATTGCAGGTGCCAACTTTGTCTCCACCATCTTCCTTCTACCAGAGACTACCTACGAGCCCGAGGAGAATTCCGAGCGCAATGATGATGCTGATGATGCCGATGATATTGAGAAAGATAATAGCAGTCACGTTGAAGCCGTGCGAGTCAATACTCAACATGGCGACCGTGTCAAAATGGACTACGGTGAATACTCGAAGGGATTGTTCACTGTGAAGATGACGAGGGCTGCAAAGGAGAAGGGTTTGTTCAAATACTTCGCCTACCTTTTCGTCCTGCCATTCCCACTTCTGATGGTTCCTGGTGTGTTGATCGCATCGATCATGTATGGTGTGGTTCTAGGAGGGTAGGTTCCTGTTCTCTCTCGACTTGATGTTGAATTTCGCATACTAACTGAATCTTTCAGTATCGTTGCTATTTCAACCCTCGCCCCGGATATTTTCGCTCCACCACCATACCTCTTCACCTCCGCTGACCTCGGTCTGTTCACCCTCGGAAGCTTCGTCGGTGTCGTCGTCGCCTGGCCCATCGCTGGTCCCTTGACCGATCTTCTCTCTCGCTGGATGCGCAAACGCAACAATGGTGTTCACAAGCCAGAGCACCGTCTACCAGCGCTTATCCTCCCCTTCTTGATCTGCCCTATCGGTCTGATTGTATTTGGATATACAGTCGCGCGGGAGCAGAACTACCTTCGTCCTGCTGTTGGATCCGCTATCTGTGCAGCTGGACTAGCCCTGGTTCCCTCGGTGATGCTCTCATACGTCGTGGACTCGTACCCCCGAGTCGCGGGAGAGGCTCTTGTGTTGGTTAACACATCGAAGAATGTCGTCGCCTTTGGACTCGCCACGGGTGCGTACTCCTGGATGGAGGAGCAAGGCGTGGAGAAGATGTTTTACGAATTTGCGGGAATTGAATGGGCAGTGCTGGCACTCGGATTGCCCCTTTACTTTGCAGGGCCATGGCTGCGAGCCCGTACTGAGAAACTGCTTTAAGCGCATCCATTCCCATGTTATATATGAAACTATTTTTAACTTATGATTAATCAATATTCAAGAGCCTTATGTGTATATCGATAAACCGTTAAATTTCTCGATCTCAAGTTTTCTATTTCTAGGGTTGGGACCATGTTTTTGTGTTAATCTGGCGAATCGTGTGTTCGTCTCAATCCTACTGCTTTGATCCGATCATGTTTCGTTTTTTCTAAATTAATTCATCACGTCATAATTTTCTTTTTCATCTCATATAACAAGGTTCCATAACTCAGTTGGTTAGAGTGTGGTGCTAATAATGCCAAAGTCGAGGGTTCCCCTCTGGGACCATGTCTTTTTTCTCTTTTTTGATTGATTTCTCTTTTTTATTACTTCTACGATGGCCGTGACTGGATCTTTAATGCAATCAATAAATAGCCTTCAAATTCTGTCGACGCCTAAACCCCCATATTACAAAAGGGCCAGGATTACCATCACGTTCAAACGAATTCAGCGCGACTCGGACGCATGGGGCGCGTGTTTCTTGGTGTTATTTATTCGAAGCATCACCCCACTATGCCTCCCGACCTCGGGAGGTCCTGTAATGCTGTCTTTCATGCTTCCCATACTTGCATATAAATCATCCATTGTCTCCCATTTATGGAGGAAATATATGCATTTGCAGCTCTGGAGAAGCTGCATCAATTTTTCTGTTTTGTCTATGTGTCCTTCTACATCTACAAACAGCGAGCTGCGGACCACCCGCCTTGTCCCAGCCCAGGGCAACGGAGATAACCTTGGAACTACTGCAGAAGTGTCTTGATACAGTCACTAATATGAAGCGGTTCGTCTCATCAGGTATGGAACCGTGGAAGGCCAGCTTCTGGGGTGCACCGCGAGAACATAAAGGAATGGCTTTGTTGGGGATTTTTTAAGTAAGAAATCATATACCAGCGATAAAGATCAGGAACTCGATGAATACGTTGATCGGATCGAAGATCGCCTAGGATATTCATTGCCAGTGGGCAAGGATTCTTCTAAATCTTTGCGAGTGACTTTGGATCCAGTCAAACTGCAACATCGCCCCTTGCTGTACTATGTGGTATCTTATCCCTTTAACCTGCTCTATCCATTGAATTTGAGTGGTATAAGCTGATCGGATCCAGTGAGGGGTTGGTCTCTTCGATATTATCACAGAGTTTCAAATGCGAACATTTGCAGCGCAGGATATCAGCACTACATTACACGCAGCTGGTTTCTATGTAAGCTTCCCATTTCGACCTCAGATGCGTCAAGTTTTCAGCAAGTATCATTCTCCGTCGAAACATCTTTCCTACTGGTATCGACCATATAGACCATCAGACAGTCTTCCCATACTGTTAATTCATGGAATTGGCCTTTTAACTGCATGTCTTCCCGTATTTGATAAACTCTCAGACCTCTGTCAAGGAAAGTCAATAGAAGATGATAGTATTGGTATCATCGTCATCAAAACACTACCTGTTAGTTTGCGGATATCACATGGAGCGCTACTCCACGACCAGCTTTGTTCAGAGATACGTACAATTCTCGATTATCATGGCTGGACGCAATTTGTCATGATGAATTTCTCGTATGGAAAGAGGATCTGTTTCAATGCCTAGAATGACGACCGTCATTTTGGGTGAGAAGGATAAAATTTTTGATGCTAAGGTTGTAGGCTCTTACTTATTCAGTGGAGGAAACCACAATACTCAAGCGTGGAGGAAGAAATGGTGGATCGGAGGAGCTATTGATGTTCTGTAGTTTGACGGAATTGACCATGAGGGAATATCTAACAGCATGGATGATTCCCGGGTGCTTGTCGGTTGAGATTTCCTCAAACTACTGCCGTGAAGACTCGGAGAACCGACCGGTGGCTAGGAGAGGCTTCAAATGTTGAGGATCCAACCCAAAGTTCATATAGCGATTCCTTGCAATCATTAGAGCTTAATATTGATTTACCATCCCGCAATTTGATTGTACGCCCATATCAACTAATGATTATTCACTGAGTGTGGAGACTGTCCCGTATTGAGCCAAAACGAGGTTCAAGGACTCGAAACCGGAAATGCAATATTTATTCAGGAAATGCTTCAGCCAGGCCGGAAAGCCTTCAGTATATCACAAAAGAAACCAGTAGACTCAGATGTAAGGACGAACCGAGAGGGAGAAGATAAAAAGAAACAGTATCCTCGAAATCACAGACACAAGCCCAGTTGCTCTGCTCTAGCCATTCTTTTATCAAACTCAGCCGACAGTGAAAGGAAAAATGTACAAAATATAATAATCCCCATAATGGAATAACAAATCCAGGAACAGCGAGGGGTGCCCAAGGAAAGAAGACAATATGTCACGAGAAATGAAAGTAAACAAGAGGTTGATAGACGTCCCCACACCAGGTGGATAGAACGCATGCAAGAAACCCAAAATGGAAACCCAAAATGCGGCTCAACAGCTATAGATTGCGTGGTGTGTTTGTCTCAACACGTCCACAACCCGTTCCATCTCGACTACCCCCGCCAACCCGCTTCCATGCCTGTGATACTCTGGGATCTGGGAATGAGGTAGATGGGCTTCGGCTTAATGAGCCAGGAGAGGACGGGGCCGATGATCCCGGTGTTGTGTTGGCTGTCCTTGAGGAGACGGCTATGGTATTCGTTCGAATAGAACCTGTAGACCAGGTGGTTGTTCGGATAGGAGTTCCACCTCCAGCTGGATGGCAGTGTCCACATAAGAATAAAGTATAACCAAGACCGGCACAGCTAGTGCAGACGGAACCCCTGGGGTAAAATGATTAGTATCTTGGAATTTCTGGATATGATTAATGTGTAGAACTTGGACCTACCTTGGGGCATTACCAGCACAACTGCGGCATGTTAAAGCAGTTTTTCCGGCAACGCAAGATGTGTGGGTTGGATCAAGGCTCAACAGAGAGTTGTTTGCGGGAGACATGGTGAGGGGTTTGAAGACTCGGATGATATATGGTGGGGTGAGATGGCGGCAAGATAATGCACAATGCTAGAATCGGCAAGTGCTGCAAGAGAAACTTGGCGAAAGAATATGCGCCACTCAAGAAGAACAATACAATAGAGTACTTGAATAGTACTTCAGTATCTGAGTCTTTGTTCCTTGGGATAAACCTTCGCATAAACCCTGGGATATATGGAAGAGATATAGGAAGGTTCTGACACTTTATCAAGTTTAACTTGAATCAATTACACTCGGAACAAAGGGAAAGAAGGCAACGTGTTGTCTCCAAGGATCAGACTAGGGTTAAATCCTGCCCAGGCCGAAGTATAATGAGACCGGAAATGGGAAACAGAACAAGGTGGACTCTTATACGCGCGAACACCTCGGGAACAGGTGGCACACCACATCTCAGGTTAAATGTTACATTTGCCGAACAGGATACGATGACGGCCGAAGGGAAAATCACTATGAAGACCAATACAACTTTGGCGAATCAGATGACAATCCGTTGCAACGGTGAGTTATAATGCAGCTGAAATTGGATATGATTCATACAAGGTATGAGCACCTGAACAGGTGAACTCGCTTGGAGGCGACATATTTCTAGGTCATGATCTACCAATAAGAAGACGTTGACTAGATCTAGCATGAAATTGAGGGAACGGTGCATGTGCCGTCTTTGGTTTAGTTTAGTCTGGTTTAGCGTAAGCCCCATCAGCACCTGGGCATTGATGAGCGTAAGCGTCGAAAAAACGACACGCAGTACTTCATCTAGCGCTGTTGGGTCGGACTAACCTAACAGCGCACGTTCAAGGTTGCTGAAACGGGCCGAGAGATAGTGGGGTACACTAATCATTACGAACGTCGATCAATCCTATCCGCGGAGAACTTATCATGAGTGGCTAACCTTTCTTTCAGGTTCAAAAGAAGGGTTAGTTGTCAATGTCACCTAATACCGTCAGACTGCAACGATGTCCTGGGTTATGTGGCGGTTCAACAGAAGGTAGTTCGAACCAGGAAGAAAGATGAACTGGACAGGGATGATTCAATGGGAATATTCGGCGTACACAAATCAGGATCGGATTCATTGTCAAGCGGATCGTTACCCAGACCTGGATTCGGTGTTGCCTACGCGGAAAATAACTCCCAGCCTCATGGCAGCCACCACAGCCCTGTGTTACCAGGGGTTATAGTATGTAAGCGGGAAGTATTATGGGGCCAAGAAACCCACTCTCAAAAGGCCGGACAGACACGGCCACAAGGCTTCAATTTCAGGGCAAGGGAGTGGAATCATTCGGCTCGGGATTTGTAGGATCTAAATGGGGAAATCCACGGGAAGTTGCATTAAGCCATGCGAGGATGATCTCATTTCCCAGAGCATGAGAGGAAAGAAGCAACAGAAGAGCGAAAAAAAGTCAACACGCACGTGGATGAAAATGATCTTTGTCAGATCAACGCGCGTCTGGATGACTCTGATACAAAGGAACTTCGATTTCGAGATATGATAGTCTTTTCATCTCGACGGAATTGAGAGAGGTCAATACGAGTAGGATGGATGTGACCACGCATCGGACTGCCCGCTGATGGCTGATCATATGCGGAATGAAATGAGATTAGATGGAGAATGGAGCAAGACTCCAAAGATCTGGGACTCGCGTGCATTCGAAAAAGAGAAAGAGGACATAAAGAGCCGGCGGGGTCTCATGCATCACTCGACATATAGATTGCAGGATCACTATGCGAACTTGCAACAAAGTGCTAGTGATGACGACAGTGCACTGTGATTATCAGCTGTTCAAGGGCAATATTGATCGGAACATGCGGACATGATGATAGCTCCCTTTTTGGGAGCATTTCAACACGGTTCTGGGAAACCAAGGAATGCACCTTCAGTCGAGATCAAAATAATGCCGAGAGCTGCGTAGATTTGTTCGAGAAGAAAAAGGGAAAGATAAAAAATGAAAATCATTTCAACCAAAGAAGGAAAAGAATTTGAATCCACGAATTGAAATTAAATGACAAGGAACACGTCCCACTGACGTCCTGTAGCCAATCGCATCATGCAAGAATCATCGGTAAGATCGGCGCACTCTCGAAGCGCCGTGGATGCTGCGACCTGGCAGATACCTCCGTAGTCTCAGATGCGACTAGCCGTCAAGCACCGCATGGAAGGGCCCGGAGATATTACCACGCCAGGACAAGGTCTTGAGAAAGATACGTTCATTCATCCTTATCCATCTACATTGCCCCATCCTGGCTCGAGTTGCCAGGAATGCAAGGGGCCATCGGCAGCCGTTGGGGTCCAAAGATGCCGATAATAGCATAGTCAGCCGGAATGTCTTCCATGAGTCACTGTGAGAGGTGTATATTCTCCGCTTATTGTTGCTGCTGAGCAGCCAGTAAGCACTCAGAAAGGTGCCTGGATTCGTGGGACGATATGTACATCGTATTTTCATATGCGAGTCGAGTTCGTTCAGATTTGAAGCGCCTAGAAGTGAGTTGCATACTCTCATAACAGAGAAGTTTCCCCCCATCAAATGTGCTCATTGAGCTAGGTGGAGCGGGTTGTGGCCATCCTGCAGCTACCCCTTGTCCCATCACGCGCTGCTGCTATGCTCGGGATTTCAACATGGACTGGGAATCATGGTCTCTTACTGCGGCAGCATGCGTGATGGTGGAGCCACTCTCAAAATGCGAAGCCACGAAAGGCCTGGAAGCGCTTCAGGGTGAAGATGCGCCCAGAAATTCAGCATCAGTGGGAATTTTCTTGTTCGACGTGCTGTTGTAACACCCCGCTTTGAGAGAGGTTCACAAAGAGAGGATGCTGATCCCAGGGGTACGAACGGGCAACTACGACGTCTTCAGTCAGCTGACATCGAGTCTCAAGGATTGAGCTGCGGCCCGATTGATGATCCTGATCCTTTTGTCTCCGCCGCCTTTTCATCATAAAATCGACCCTCTGATTCGGTTATGCAATATTGAAAAAGCAGGCCACGGGCTATTTCGCCGTGGTCCACATTTGAACCAACCAAATGGCGATCTTCCTGATTGTTGGTATACCGCACCTTTTTTTAATTTTTTTTTTAATTTTTTTAATTTTTTTAATTTTTTATTACTTGTTCTCAATTTTTCGGAGCCTCGGGTTGGCATGATGGAGAATCTCACTCCTGAAATTTCACGACTCTTAAAATTGAGCTGAGTTCGGATTTGGCGGACTCTTGTTGACCGGGGAGAACTTGTTTCCTGAATAGAACTGGGTGCAAGAAACCTACATACCGCCACAAAGTGAAGCTTGCACTTACATGCTTCAGGAACCATTTTTGTGGCGTTCACCCGTGGACACTGACTGAAATACGTTGATTCCTCTGACTTCCGGGCCTTTACAGCGGGGTCTGCTCACAGTATACTGAATCGAAGTCTATCTGTATTTTGAATCACAATTGCTGCAAGCTTTGCATTTCGGTCAAATGACATCATAGAGAAGCTTTGAAATGAGACTGTAATGAGAGAACAGTGCCTGGCAAGTATAGAATATCCCGTGGAGCACTGAGCAGGTCACGCGCCCATGATCAGATAGCAGCAGAAGGATCTGTGGTGAATGTATTCTACAGCTGAGCCAGGAACCGAGCTCATCATACAGTCACGGTCGAACAAATTGGACTTAATTTCTCTTATCAAGGTGTTCAAACCAACAAAAGAGATTGTATTCTTGCTAGTCATTATGGTCTGCCTGGCTATTGATGGGTTCGGTTAGAGATCACAAGCAACGCGAGGCGAAGACTAGCCATAGAGGAAACCCCAAAATAAAAGTAGAAAGGGCAAAGGCGAAAAAAATGAAAGACAAGCAGAGCCAAAAGCGAGAAAAAATAACCTCCAAAGCAATGCTAAACTCCGAGCCTTAAAAACACCCCCACGTCCTGTGATGCACACGCAATCATTGGAGTATCTTGCCTTCAGTGGAGGGGTTCACGAATAAGGTAGATTATCTTAAAGAAAAGCCACAATCTGCACGGATTGCTCCAGGGAGACATGGGGAAACACAAGCCATTTGTTTAGATGAGTTGCAATGATCCGATTTCACTGGAAGTACTCTGCTGGCAAAGAGGCCAGAAGTGCGATGGTGCCCAGACCACCTAGAAGAGCGCTAACCACTGCCGTGGCAGTATAGCTGGCCACTCGCGACGAAGAGGAATGTGAAGACTTGATTCGCTTGTTGGGAACTTCTACCTCGGAAAGGGCAGAAGTGATCGCAGCGATGGCCTGCGACTCGTCGAGTGTTTGGAGACTCGGCTCTGGTGATGGCAAGATGGCGTTGTCATCAATCTGAGCATCTTGCAACTCCATCTCGCAAGCCTTGCGCTTCAGAGTTGTAGACTTGGAGTTATTTAGCCCATTGCACTCAGAGTTAGGGCTCACGTCGTTGCAGAAAAATGGCCCGTCGTAGTAAGAAGTGGTGGGACAGTCTGATTCTTGATTAGAGGGGTCGATTGAGAGATCGTAATCAGAGAGCATCTTGGCACGGTTCATCGATTGTGGAATCGGGCAATCAAGAAGAGTCGTTATTGGGCAATTCAAAGTGCGTGAGCGCATGGCAGTTGGTTTCGATGTGTGGTGCTTAAAGTCGTTGGGCACTGCGACTCGAGTTGGCTCCAGAGCATCGACCTTACTTCCCACAACAGACTGGCCGGGTCGAGCGTCTTTAGAGTGGTCCAAGAGACTGGGGTCGATGCAGTAGTAAGGCTCGTGACCATCAACGTCATCTTCAGAGTCCTCCTCATCGTAATCTCCAGCCGCAGACTCGTCCTCCGAATTATCCGAACTGTAAGATTCCTCTGACATACCAGATACGTCCGAGATGTAAGGTATATCCGAAACATAAGCGATGTCTTCATGATCACTGTTGGCAGCGGAATCGCTGTAAATTGAATGATTTGCGAGTGGGCCATATCCAATCTCCTCATCATACTCATCGTCATATTCATCCGCGCTCAAACCATCTGAAAGTGACAGCTCTCCCTCCATCTCTTCTGCATCATACCCATCAACAGCTGACTTGACGAAATCTTCAGACTGTGGAGGTAACTCTTCATCAGCTTGCTGATTGGTACTTTCTGCATTTGCTATGGCCTCTGCTTTGGAAGAACATTCCTCGATCTTCGGACTCAGGTTTGATTCTGGGGCATCATTCCTTGAAGACTGAAGCGGGATGTCTTTGGGCTCGACATCATCTTCTAAGGTAGGCATGCCGTCAAAATCTTCACGTTTCTTGGAATTTCCCACAGGCATATCCTCATTTTGCGGGAGAGGAATATTGGATTCAGTTGGCAAAACCTCCTCAACGTCACTATCATCTTCAGGAACACGGAAGGTGTTTGTGGAAGGGCTCGGTGTTGCCTTCGATACAGATCGGGTCTCGGAATCAAGTGGCTCCTTGACGTCCTCCCTTTGAGGGATAGGAGTGAGGTACCTGGAAACGTAATCAGCGGAAGTGTGGGGAAGCCAGGCAAGGGGAGTCGCATACGCCTCGCCCGACCAGTCGATTTTGCACCGAACAACGAGTGCAGGGAATGCTTCTGTTCGATATATTAGCCAAGATCAATAGCTCAGAGTATGTGTAAAGACGGACCGTCATCTCGCTCAACATCCACTCCAAATCGCACGATATCTCCAGTAGTCAGGGCCGATGGATCTCCGAAAGGCAGTCGGGTATTATTAATCCAGGTTCCATGGGTTGAGCCGAGATCATCGATATAGACAATCTAATAGAATGAAAATTAGTACAGTGAAATGCGGGAAAATACTATAACACGGGAACCATGCCTTTTTTGATTGATCAATCCATATCTGAGCATGATCCCGAGACATCACCCGAGATTCATACCACCCATTTGCACTGTCGGGAGATCGGTGTTTCAGGCCACGCTTAGATGAACGTCCGATTATGATAGCACTCTTTGCGGGGGTGAGGACGAGGGTACGTGTCAGTGGGATTTCGGGCCCCAACGGCGTGAGGGTTACAGTCACTAGCAAACGGTGGAAATGAGTATAATGAAGTAAATAGGAGATATGTGATGACTGGGTCATAGACTTACCTTGTAGACCAGACATTCTGACTGAGGAGTCAGAGCCAGATAGTCCAGCTAGAGGAGTATGAAGGTCGGTGAGGCTGCGGACGATAAGCACAGACGTAATAGAGGCTGACTGGTATAAGCAGATCGACCTACACACCCCCGGTTATTCAAGGGAAGAGTTGAATGTGAAAGGAAGTATTCAAATGAGAAGAAGGAGAGAAGGATTTGTAGATGTAGGAAAGACGGTGTTCCAGGTGAGGTAAGAGGGAAAGAAAGGAAGCGGAAGAGGGGTAGGATGATGAATCAGGTTGCAAGGCTTCAACAAACGGGAAGTTAAGGGTATTGTAAACCTTGGACTCACTATAGTAGGAACCAAAATTTAGACACACTGGTTACTTCCGTTAAATTCAGGATAGTTTGTCTCTTCCCAAGGAAAGTACAACTGATGAATTAGGCAGATAAGACGATGATGCTATAGTTGGAGTGGGGCATCTCTTATCACTTGGTCAGGCTCCCCGGAGGCGGTGGATCCTTTTATCCACTTATGATCTTGATCATCCCGTGTTAGACGAACATCTGGAGATGAGAGAAGTATTTATGAGAAGTCGTCTACCTTCAAGTCCAAGGGAAGAGAGTGATTAGCTCCATCTACCTACTTATACTCTCGAAGTCCTTGGTTTCGTTCCGCGGCATCCTTGGGCTTAGGACACCAATACCACCAACCTCCAACATGGAAATACAGTGCTTTACCAAAGATGATCACATATCAGACATCGGGAAACATTCACATTCACCTCTATGGTACACAGATTACTTTCCAACATGCTCACATCCACCATGCAATGGGCATCAGGACGATACAGCCTTGACCCCAAAGTTCTCGGTTGACAATCTATCTCGGGATCTCTCCGCCACGCAGCTCAAGATCATAGTGGAGGGGGAAAAAGGGGGGAGGGGGGAAAGAGAAAACAAAAGTGGAAAAGAGAATATGTCAGGAGGGGATACTAAATACAAGGGGAGAAAAGATAGCCAGAAGACCTGCAAGACTAGCCGAGAAAAGCCAAAGGCCGGGAATCATAAGACAAAGGGGGTAACTCGACAATAAAGCCCTGACACAAGAATTTGGGAAGACACAGGTCGAAGGTAAGAAAGAGAGAAGAGGGTAGAGGATAGAAATCGCGACCGCAGAAAAAGGGAGGGGGATAAAAGAAACATTAGTCAACTTGAACGATTTTACATGGGAGGAGCACCAGGACCCATGCTACCACCCATAGCGTTCAGGCGGGCAGCTAGTTGAGGGTACTTCTCCTGGACCTCGAGTTGGGTGCGGGTGGCCTCGGCGTAGGAGATGGCGTTAATGATCTCACCCTCGGTGCGAGCAAGCTCAGCAGCGCGCTCAAAGTACTTGAGAGCCTGAGAGACCTTACCCTGCTGAAGGAGGAGCTGGGCCATGGTGCCAACGGCGATGTCACACTCGGGGTCGACTAGATAACTTGTTAGTACTCGACAGAAAAGACAAAAAGAGTCGGTCACATACTGATCAGAGCCTTCTGGCAGAGGTTCTCGGCCTCCTGGAAATCGTGCTTCCACTGGAATAAAGCAAGAGCCTTGTTGATCAGAGGCAGAACGTTGATACCCATGGGCTTGCTCGCCTTCTCCATCTCCACAGCCTTGTCGAACTTCTCAATAGCCTCAGAGTAGTTCTGCTGGTCGAGAAGAAGTTCACCGTAGTAGTTGTAGACATCAGGAACCTCCTCAAAGTTCTTCACTGAGCGGCGGAAAGTGGCCATAGCGGAGGCAACGGAGCCCATCTTGTACTGTGTCACACCGAGCTGGATGTGGGAGAAGATAAAGGATCGGTCGAGGTCAATTGACTTCTGGTAGTCCTTGGCGGCTTCAGCAAACTCGCCGAGGATAAAGTGAAGCTGGGCACGGTGGTAGTAGATATCGGGGTCCTCTTTGTCGTTGTTAATAGCGAGCTCGAAGTCATCGGCAGCGGCGTCCTTGTTTCCTATTGAAGAAATACGTTAGCTAATTGGTCTCGGGTGTTGGTGTTTCATGTAACTTTGCTCACCAAGCTCAAGGTGCAAGCTAGCACGCTTGATGTAGCTCTGAGCCAGAGATGGCTGCAGCTCAACACTCTTGTTCAGGTCCTCCAGAGCGCCTTGGGCATTGCCGCCAAGGTATGTGAAAGTGGCACGCATGTTAAGAGCAAGAGCCTCAAAGTCACCCAGATCGCCAACCTCAAGAGCCTTCTCAAATGAGGCAGCAGCCTCCTCATAACCTTCGCCAGTCTTCTGAGCCATAGCAATGAGACCCTTGCGCAGGAGAGCCTTGCCAGAATCCTCAGTCAATTCAGCAGACTCCTCCAGACCCTCAGGCAGGGGCTTGGGGCGGAAGCTCTGCAGGTAGTTGGAAACAAAGGTGGCACTGGGCAGCTTCTTCTTGCGAGCCTCAAGGATAGCCTGGCTCTTCTGTTCGGCGACCTTCTTCAGCAGGCGCTCGAGGGAGTTACGGCTGACATCGTTGGAGAAAGCATCGATAATGCAGCTAGCAGTGAAGTCGAGAAGAGCGTCGCTGAACTTGCCGAGGTTCTCGTAGGCGATAGCGCGGCGGTTCAGGGCCTTGACGTATTCGCTGTCCATGGCGAGGGCGGCGCTGGTGTCCTCGACAACCTTCTCCCAGTTCGACTGGACATTGTAGCAGGCAGCACGGTTCGAGTAGAAAACGGGGTCGGGCTTGCAGAGGATAGCCTTTCCGTACAGGTCAATGGCCTTAGGGTAGTCCTTTTCGCCGTAGGCCTTGTTTCCGGCAGCCTTCAACTTGGCGGCGTAGGCCTTGCGAGTCTTTCGCAAACGGTGTTAGTATGCATGATCCGAGGCATTACAAACGCGTCCAAAATCTAGAACTCACCTCCTCATCAAGCTGACCAACAGTGGCTTCATCAACCTCGGGGAGCTCCTCGGGCGCATCGGCCTTCTTTTCGACGACAAACTCTGAATAGTGATGTCAGCTATCAATTCCATAACCATCGTATGATGCAATTCGTTACTAACCTTCTTGCACGGAGGCAGTCTTTGTCTTCTTCTCTTCCTCGGCCTTCTTCTTCTCTTTCCGCTTCTGGTTCTTGCTCTTCTTCTGTACGGGAGGAGTCGAAGGCTTGCTGGAATCGGACAGATAGTAGACAACTCCGGCACTGGTCACAACAACAGCAACACCGGCAATGGTGTAAACCAGAGCCTTGTTCTCTGAAACCCACTTAGAAACGCGATCCCAGACTGATGAAGCACCCGCAGGGGGAAGCTTTGCAGTGTCCAGCACCACGTTCTGGGTGGGTGTTAAAGGTGACTCGCTCGACATGATGTGTGCAGGAACCGGGGCTATAAGACTCCTGGGATTCTGAGAAGGAAAGAATTAGGATCGATAAGACAATCCGCACAATGAGATAAAGAAGATAAAACAACGAACCGGTCCTTTTTTTATGAATTAAATGATGACGCCAAAGGCGAGAGAAATGTGAGATAGGGAGGATGGAGCTTCTGGAGGAAAAGTCAAGAATTCGATGATCCCGTCAGTGGCCAATCATGCGCAACGCGACACCAAGTTCTCCACCCGTTTCTTAACATCAACCCGGGCACCACCGGGAAAAAGGGATACTCTACCCTGCAACAGTTCCTCGAGGTACTTTTTGTTCTCTTCTCTACTTACTACGCTTCTTTTGTTTGCTTTCTCAGTAGACAAATTCATAACTAACTACCAGCTTTACATTAATCGACTTCCAGCAAATTTAAAACAGCCCAAGAATCCACCTGGAAGCCCTTACCATGTCGAACTTACCCCTCACGAACCATGTCAATCATGTTAATCATGTCAATCATGTCGAGACACCCTTTGATATCTTTTCCTCGCTTCGTTATGATCCAGAATTACCGCGTTTGACCATGGAAAACCCGGAGAGCTATCCCGAACCACTAAACTCGCCCTATTATCTGTTAGCCTATCACCTGGACCGTCTAATAAACGCTGCACGTCATTTTGGCTGGGAACGAGCTTTTGAGGAGGGTCCAAGTTGGATGAATGGGGATCTGGATAGCCTGGAAGAGTTTCTAGATTCTAGAATACCAGACAAGCACCGGCCATGGCGTTTGAAGCTTGTGGTTCATCGCAGTGGTCATGCTTGGTGTGAGGTAGCCGAGGCGGGTGCTCTTGACCCTCTCAACCTTCTGGTTCCAGGTTCCCACGCAAGATCAGATACCTTTGTCTGGCGTCTGTATGTTGACTCAGAGACTACAGCTCCCTCGGGATTTACAACTCACAAGACGAGCGCTCGGGAGGACTACAACGCTGCCCGTTTACGATGCGGTATTACCTCTCCTACCCAAACCGAGGAAGTTCTACTGGTAAACCCTAATGGTGAGGTTATGGAAGGAAGCATTACTACTCCACACTTTCGCCAGCGGGGAGGTGCCGGTTGGATCACACCCCCTTTGAGTTGCGGTGGCAATGCTGGCACGACTAGAAGATACGCTTTAGCCCGAGGGTTTTGTGCGGAGCAAGTCATCGCTGCCTCAGAACTCGTGGATGGAGAAGAATGTTGGCTGAGCAATGGCGTTCGAGGTTTTATTCGTGCAGTGGTTGTTCTGAATCGGCAATCGGCTTAAATAATACCCAAATGCCTATTTGCCTATGATGAAATGTGTACATGAAACATAATCATTATCATACCCAGAATGCCACGCTTGAATTCTTTTGCTTGAAATATGTGAAGAAAATATTTGTTCATGAGTTGCAGACACTTTTTAAGTCTCTATTTCTTCTCCGCGACGACTGGGTTGGGGTTTCCCTTCCATTCAAGAGGGCGAGGTCGCATGTACTCAGCCACAATCTCATCAGTGACCTTAGCACGACGCTCCTGGAAAGCAACAACGTATTTCTGAAGCTCGTCGATACAAAGCTGCTTCAGCTCTCCAGTCATCATCTCACCCTTCTCGTAGGCAGTGCGGATGCGTTCCAGCTCCTCATCGTCCTCCAAGAAGAAGGTCAAGTACTGGAATGGAACATCGACCTTACTGTTACCACCGAACTCACGGTGCAGCTCAGCAGTCGCACCACCACCAGAGAAAGCAAACTTCTTGATCTTGTTCTTGATCTGGTTAGGTGTGTCGTTCATGAAGATAGCAGAGCTATCAATACTGGCAGACATCTTGGATCCAGGACCCTGGAGAGCCGGCAGGAAAATAGCGTGAATGAGCGAGGGCTTCTTAAACTTCATGCGCTCGGCGTGTTCACGACATTGACGGAAGTAAGGATCTTGGTCGATAGCGCAAGGAATCAAACAAGGAATCGAGGCAACCTTCTTGCGATCAGTGCCGAAAATGTGAGGGAAGCTAGTCGCAAATGCGGTAGCAGATTGAGTGGCGCAGAAGTGGAACTCTCCAATGTTGTTGCTGTCGTTGAATCCGAATGTACCACGGATCTGGTTAATTGTGATGCGCTTGGCCATCCGGCAGATGTTTTCGTAAAATGCGCCGCCGACGAAGTCGAAATCACTGAAGATAAAAGTCTTCTTCATGTCGAAACCAACCGCAACAATATCCTTTGCGTTGGCCTTGGTGAATCGCTTGGCGTCCTCGACCTCGATCTTCTGGGAGTGCATGAACTTCTCATCATCGGTCATCATGATCACGAGGGGTACGTCGAAGACATCCTGGAGCCACCTATAGATCAGAATTCTCATTAGCAGCTTGTTTCCATTGGCGGGTATGGGGTCATTCATACTTGGTGAACTCGAAGGGCACGGTGTGCCCAACGTGCATGGAATCACTGCTGGGTCCACGGCCTGTGTATAGATAGAAAGGCTGGCCCTTCTCATGGCGATCCAGGATCTTGTTCAGCTCACGGTGACTGAAAACGATTCCACGGCGCATAAAGCGGTGCGGGCGGTGGCCGGTGACCTTCTCAAAGCGCTCAAGAATATCCGGGGTCAAAGGTGTAGCACCAAACTGCTGGACCAGCTTATCATAATCAACAGGCAATAACTTGCCAGTCTCATCAACACCACCGGAGACATCGAATGGTGTCACAATCTGGCCAGTAGCCTTCTTTTCGGGAGTCTGGTCGGCAATGCTCAGATCAGCGATCGCGGGGGGCTGGACTGGTTCGGCGGCCATGTTGTAGGATTAATGGAGACTAGATAAGGTTTCTGTCAGTTCACATGTCATCCAGATGATTCAAAATCTCGATTTACGTACTCTCCGGTGTGTATTGACTGACTGCTGAGACTACAATGAAATTCTTCTGCCCCTCGCGGCCACGATAATCGGATGAGTCATGCCGCTATCAATGTGCATTCTGATTGGTCAATCTGAGACGTCACATGGTCACCCCGCACTATACAATAAAGAAGCATAAAATGAAGTATAAGATCGAGTACATGTATAAGATGATAGATGTTTGATTTATTTTTATTGTTTACATTGTTTCTCCTGATTTCAATATTTATTTGAAGCCCACTTTTAGTTCAATCTCCCCATTCCCAAGCCTTCCGCAACTTCTCGGCCAACGCGTTCGAAGGCCAATAGTTGTTGTCTCGCACCGAGTTAATCACGATGTCCATTAATGCCTCCTGCTCTGCAAGATCTGTAAATCTGTCTCCGCAAATTCCAATAGCAATACATGCTGTCAGCATGGCAGTAGGTTCTTGTCGGTTCGAAAGTGCAGTTCCACAAATATCCAATACAGTAGATTTGAGTCGGGCATCTGTTGACTCCATGGCAATTCTTTGACCGGGTCCAATTCTTGCAATATTTGGGTCATAAGCCGTTACCAAGATTTCTATCAAGCCAATAGTCTGCTCAGCAACGATATGGCAGTCATTTAGGAACCATTTTTGCGGGAAGATGAGACCCCTTTCTCGTTCGGGTGGTTCGGAGTAAACAGGGAAGAGTGCAGGTGGCCTTCTTTCTAACCAACGATTACGAAGAGTAACGAGCTCTTCATATTTCATATGAACGAAAGGATCATTGCTCTTATAACAATATTGAATCACATGGGCTGCGATAATGAATAAGCGATTGACGAGAACGTGATCAGGCGCGGGATCCCATGAGAGATACGTATCACAGATGTCGAGAGGAAGGCGAAAATGCCGCTGTTGAGAAAAAGCCATATGAAATTCTTGTCGAAATCCAACCCAAAATGCAGCATATCGAAGTCCAGTTGATGAGAGAGCCAAGCTGGCCTGTGCTTCAATGAACACATGGAGTCCAAGGGTAGCAACGTCGGTAGGTATGTCGATAAATGGTGCTATGGGGGCATATTAGATTCGACAATTCAAGAGCTCCGGCTGTGTTTATCAATATAGGTCTGGTGACTTACAGTCTAACTCTTCATAAAATCGAAGGACCACTGCAGCTGCTAGCAGATTCTCATCCATGATAGCATCAGGCTCATTGGCAAGAAATCTCAAATGAGCAATACATCGACTATGATAATCAAGAACAGCAGCTTCACTGATTATCAAATCTTGTTGTAGTCCCAACTTGGTAATTTTTTCTTTTTGTTTGTACTCTGGCAAAGTTGTGAAATGCCTAGCTGATGCGGACAAGACCGCATTGAAGAGAGGCTGGCAAATCCGTACTCGCTGGGGAACAACCACTGCAAAATGACGATCTGGGTCACAGATGTCGAACTATAAATGTCTCAGTATCCTTTCCGATAGATTATCGATTCGCCCTACCCATTTTGCTAGTTCTTCCACAAAATATCGTAATAAAAAGGCCTCTCCGAGATCGACTTGGTATGGAGAATCCAAACTTCCTCTTCGCGGAAGTGGCAAATGCTGATTCCAATATCATCAGTATGCCACGGTGATTGAAACTTGAAGATGAAAGATTGAATCTTTTGCCCACCAAATCTATCTGGGAAAGGGAATTCAACTCGGTCGGGCAGGCTGAATAATCAACTCACAATAGGTTTTCGTTTATGAACGGAAGGCTGTCGTGAAATAACCCTCCTTGGAGACTCAACCTGATTCAAGTTGAGGCTGCGATGATCTGGAATAACCTCAGTTTCCGCTAGTACATCTCGAACTGGGGCACTGCACAGTCTTCAATCTCTTGAGGTCCTGTATATTTTGGTGTTTCGTCAATATATCGAAGCTCTATTCCGTATTAGCTAAACTGTTTGAATGTTCAACCTTAGAAGTTTCAGGATTCGATTCCAAGAGTTGAAAAGGTGCAAGAACGGACCTCTTTCCGGGGAATAGCTAGGCGCGTGTGTAGATGAAGCGTGGCGAAATCTGAATCTAGTTTGATGTTGACGAACGCATTCACGGCCAGCCTTATCGCAACGTGAGCACTTTGGCCTGACACCATCACCTGGATTCGTGTTAAGATACACTATGTATCACATTGAGGTGACTCCCCAATTATTCAGTGCTTACATTTCAAATGGTTTTCTGGAATTCAGGAAGAGTTAGCTGTGCCCGCACAAAGAAGCCAAAAAGGTCACTAATAGTGCGTACTCCTACAATTATCGCTAAGTATGATTGTTAATTCGGGCGAATGATAGTTATCCAAATTTTCAAGTTATTGGGTACCATACCATGGCTTAGCCCTCGGTGTCATGGCTTGGTTCAAGTTCGACTCGTAGGTGGACTGGAACTAGACTTCGCTCCCCACTCGGGTCTCAACTTGAAGCCTGAAGGTCGGGAAAATGCATTTTGTTCGGCTCCGAAACGGAACATGATGACCAGATCAGCTGACTCACAACACTGGCATTTCAAGAAGACAACTTGAACCTCGAAATATTTGAACATTCAAGTTGAAATCTCAAATTTTGCATGGAAATTTAGCTTAATCACTCGAGTTTCTCCACTGTTCTCAACCCATCTCGTAAGTCTCACGCATACTACTAGTACTATGGAAGGTTATAAGGGCCACAGCTCGCATGCCTGTTTGGGCCTAGTTTTGGCCTGGCAGAAAAGAAAATTACTGGAAATACAATTACACACTCACATCCACCCTGTAAGGTTGGTAATTAAGCTTGACCATCCAAGGGATTATAAGCCAGATAAAATAGATCCTAGGAAAGACGGGTTATAGTAATTAAAGCTATATGTATGCTTCAGATATTATGACGGAGAATAGTACTGTGAAGATAGGTTTGAATGGGTACCTAGGTATTATGTAGTAGTTATTGAAGGGAAGACCTGAGATGGATCCATAGATGGATAATTGGCAGAATATTACCGCCTAAAGTATGTACTCAAGGTTTTCTTTCTTAATATTTTCATAATTCACTTTTAGTACTGATTACTCCAAGAACTAAGCACATCTTTCAAACTGATTATACACAACCTTAGAAATAGCTATAAATCTAAGGTAATTCAATAGAACCCAAAAAAATAACATATACATTACAAAACATGTAAAGGCGGTGCTGGAAGCGGTCTAAAAACTAGTCCCAAAGAGGCATGCGAGCTGTGGCCCCTATAACCTTCCGTACTAGTACGCTCTAAAGTATGTAGTTGAGATTCCCAGATCTCCTCTGGACCTTGAAATCTTTTGTATTTTGTCGATTTTGAAACTTGTGATAACATTGACTAATGAAAAATTAGGGCAGGTGTACACCGTGTACTCTGAGAGACAGAAATGTTTCTCATTTAGGCCCTGTGGTCACAAAACAGTTTTCGGGCAAACCTGAAGACTCCCGATCAACCTGGCCACCCTCTGAATATTTTGGCCAATTCAATGCACTAATTTGCGCAGCATCAGAGGTACCAAAATCGGCAACCAAAATAGTCTTTTTGGTGATGTTCTCTTGAATAGTGAAGATGTTGGTTGTATTCGGCTTCTTCTTTTTCGCCTGGCTGTTCTTGTTGTACTCGTCAACCATCTTCGAAGCTGCAGAGACAAAGCCCTTCCAATCGGCTTCTTTCTTCATCTTTTCATCATCAAACACATCTCCAGCGTTTAGAACTCCTTCTACCACTCCAGCAAGGCTTCCACTGAGTATACCCCCGCGACCTTAGCGACACTTGTGAAAATTGTGAGGAGTACAGTCCAACCATTCAATGGCTCTTGTGTCAGTTTGATCCCTGTCACATAATTCAACCATTCAGTGTCATATATTGGGGCACTAGTGTCCACCTCAGTTTTGACATAGGTCATTCCACTGGCAGCCCACATGTATTTGTAGGCCCACAACGCTGCCCCTTCTTTTATCATCTGGTTGACCATCTCGAAATGATGTTCGCCGATTTTATTGTTTGGACTTCTGGTAACAAATTCATCATAGAGTTTCCTCTCACTACCGTTGGTCCCGTACAGTTGTTTGGGGAAGAGGGTCACAGTGCGATCAGTTATATCGGCGGGACCATCCTCTTCATACCAGTCGTAACCTTTGTTCAAGTTGCGTTGTGCATAGTCGGGAAGCAGTCGATTGGTAGTCCTCACAGCGATAAACTTGTTGGTATTGTTTTTGGTCGTTCGAAGAAACAGGCCAACCCAATGAAGGCAGGCAAAATGTCCCCTACCCTTGACTGTGATTGCTGGATTGTCCATCTTAGGACATCGGACTGCCAAAAAACGATCAAAGTTTCCGTTCTTCTCTTCTTCATAGACAAAAGTCGTCTTAAAAACGGTCTCTTGCATCTGGCCTGTAGGGTCCTCCCATGGGAACGTGGAGTAAATCGCCTCGGTTTCTTTGTCGGACCACTTTTTCCAGTTAGGCTTCGAATTCACTAGAACTGGGGTCTCTCTCCTCCAATCGCAATCTCAAACTCGGCGGCATGAGAATGAATGTGAAACAACCAATAGTCCTCCTTCTCCGCAACGAACCGCTCTGATGGTCGGCCATACTGCTGCCCCAGATACATTTTGTTGCCAGTCTGCCCCATGTATCGGAGAGTCTTGTTATAAATAGGAATATCGGTACCGTCTTTACTCTGAAGATCCACATCCATGATGTACTCGACCGTCCACCCCGGAGTTGCGGTAGATACATCATCGGGCTTGGCAGAGCTCGTCATCGCTATGGCCTTTCGGAGTGAGGAGCTCAGTAGCTGATGTGGAGGATATTTCTAATAGGGCGATGAGATGGTCCGGGTCATAGGACACGATGGGTTCACTGGTCAAAGACGAAGGCTCGGAGCGTGGTAGAAATGGACTTTTCTTTCCAGTCACAGAAGCTCTTTCCAATTTAATATAGTTATCCGAAAAAGATTCCGCAGTAATGTGACCAGTTGACATGTGGAGACCGTGAGGAGAGGGCGAGACGTCACATCCCTTAGACCCCTCCAGGGCTCGTATTCCAAGTTTTTAACTTGGCGATGCATGAAAGTAGAGCTATCCATGTAATCTGTAAATGCAAAGCTTGGTCAATTTCAACCAAATCACCTAAAGGCAGTAATTGAAGGGACCAGTTCATGCAGCTTGCTTAATTAGTGCACCGATCAACGGCTCTACGCTCAATGATACCATGATAGGCGAAGAATTGACTTGGTCCAAATCTTCTTGTTTAACACTGGAAAAATCATCCGACAAACGGGACTCCCAGCTTTGACCGTATTTTCTTCCCAGAATCCCCTCCGAGACCCACCTAAGTGACGTGTCTGTTATGATTTATCCTCTCCAGATTCAAGTTTCTCGAGCTGTTCCCCTCTTCTTGATGAAATTCCAAGCAATTAGACAAAAGTGAGAATTGAAGTTCAAGGCTCAAATCTGCAAAAGTGTCTGGGCGTGATTCTACTCAGTAGGTTTGCATGAAATATCGGGTAGGATGTTTGGATGTTCTCCTGCATATATTGACTTCAATGTTGGGAAGTAAAACTTGAGTGTGGATTATATCATCGGACTGACACGTATATGTAAAATTCAGCTGGAAGTACTATGTACATGAAATCAAAGAATTAAGTTTGGGCGATCATTCTCATAAAGACACACTAACATGTGTAGCCGGGCGGAGGTTGACTTTATCAACCCTTGTTAAATTTCAAGTTATAGTCCATCGTCAGGGGTCCAGAATTTGAGCCATCTTTTATCAATACTTGGCTCACTCTTTTCATAGAATCTCAGATCGGTACTCAGGCGAATTCGGCCTGTTGGGTCCTCGTTACGTCCACTCGCATGAATGCTATGTGGGTCATGGAACACCACATCACCAGCTTCATAGTTCGTAACAAGCCATTTGTGTGCCCCGTGGACAGAATGAAGGCTCTGGAATTCTTGAGGAGAATGAGAGATCATACCGCCACCAACAACCATATTGACATTATAAGCCGAGATCCGTTCTTCCTCCGTCATATATTCCGCGCGTCGGTTGAAGTCGTCTTCGATTGCACTTCCCAGCGGCACAGAATTTTCCAGATAGCAGAGCCCGCCGCCATTGATAGCAATATCACCTAGATTTCTTAGTTAGTATGACCATAGTTGCAATATTCAAGAATCTTCTCCGTCTTACCAATGGGTACCCAAGCAGTCAAGAAAAATCCCTCTCCGCCCCTTAGAAACAGCTTATCATAATGGATTCCTGTTCCCAACCCAAACGGGACATTATGACGCAGCATTGTGCGACCCAGTAGTTGATGTTCTTGCCAACCCATGATGTTTCTCACAAACCCTGTCAATGCTGGGTTCTCAACGAAGGACCGATATTTCAGCTCTTTGTGGGCATCAATGAGGATCTGTGCTTCATCTCGGTTTTTTGGCAGACCTTGACCACCTATACCTTTATGAGAGTCTGGGTTGGAGGAGGAGTTAAAAATTCCATCTCTTGGCGACGATCCAGGTTCCAGAAGGGAGGTTTGCATGTATTGGCCGAAGTAACTGGGATGGAATGAAGTGTCAGCTATGCTTTTTTCGGCAGTCATGAGGGTCAAGGGTAGAAATTACTGCTCTCGTGCATCCAGGACATCCTCTCGTGGGACAAGACCCTTGACAAACAGGTAGCCATCTTGTTTGAGCCGTTCCCTCATTTCCTCAATAGATGTAGACAGGGGCGTCGGCCGTAAAAGCCCGATTCTATCCGTAGGTACCCTTCCACCATTCTGTCCAAGTCCATCGGGAAAGACTTCCTGGATAGAACCGCTCAAGACTGGCAAGTACACTGGTTGTTGGACGGCCGCTGTTGCCATGTCGGGGAATAGTAGAAGGTACGAAGAAATGCAAAGGGATGAAAATTTTCATCCGTTTTACCCTGGGACCAAAGAATCACATGAAGCGGATACTTCCAGCTTCCTTTCTTGTTGGAACCTAACCATCCTCAGCCTAAAAGTCCGAAGCCAATCAAATTTGGATGATCGTGTGAAGAGAGGAAATATCTCCAGTCCACAGACCATTTATGGAGTACGCAGACTCCACTTCTCGGCAGTACCCGAGTTGCACTAACCTTTTTTGTACCCATTTTCGCCGAATTTGAGCCACTTTGAGATTAATTCGGCGACGCTAACTGATTAGGGAAGGTAAGCCACGTTCTTTGGCTCTTCACTGATAGGCATGCTCAAAATGCGGAGATAGTTGCGTTTACACGTAGATATCTTGGTCTTCAATATGCAATGGCCTAGATGAAATCTACGAGAAGTGTCAAATTAGTCGTGACCCGTGACGGAAGATCAGAGGGGAACAAACGAACACATCCTTGAAACAGTCGTAGTTGAGAGTTTCCTGATATGAGCCAAATGTTATAAGAGGAATGCAGACTCCTCTACTGATCAGAGAAATTATACAAACATTTGAAAACTTGTTCAGGATCCATACCTCCAGGGGTATCTTCGCTGCCAGTGCTGAAACAAAAATGATCGGCCTTGCATTTTTCACTTTCTCATTCATAGCATTTCTCTTGTACTTCCTCATTTTCCCCACCATCAACTACTTCCGCGACCCAAAAGGATTACGAAAATTACCACAACTATCGATATGGTCCGGGATATCAGACCTCCCGTACATGAGAGCATCCCAGAGAGGGTTCCGCTCTCATACTGTTCTTGAGGCGCATAAAAATCACCCAGTTCTTCGAATCGGGCCCAACTCGCTTTCGTATAGCGACGTCAGGGCAATTAAGGACATTTATGGACATGGGACGACGTGTATCAAAGATAATTTTTATGTTGAAGTTGGAGGCACCCATACTCATCTTGCCGATGTTGTTGATAAATCGGAACACGCTCGCAAAAGAAAGGTTCTTTCCAACGCATATGCCGTGAAGAACCTGGAAGAATGGGAGTATAAGGTCTCTGATATGACTGATCGATTGATTAAAGCTTTCGATGACCTCTGTACCTCACCCTTGAAAGAAGGCACATTAACAGATAAGAGTGACCTCATAGTCGACTATCGCATGTGGAGCAACTTGTTTACCATTGCTGCTATTGCGAATATTGGCTTGAGTGAGGATATTCGCTTTCTTGAAAATGGCGATGACCTTATCGCATCTGAGAGGATGGACGGAGCCATTAAAAAGGTACATTTCCGAGAGTGTCTCTACAATACAGCTGTCGCCCAGTCTAATCTAGTCTGGTCTTATGACTGGTTCAAAACTCTTACCAGAATAAGCAAAGTTGTCTCTTCTTCTTACCGCCAGATGTGGCGGCTGAGCGATGACTGGAGTGGGGTTGTCTACAATCGTGCTACTACTCGAATGAAACGATATGAAAATGGAGAGAAACTGGACGACTTCTTCTCTGTTCTCATGAATGATAAGAATGGGCAGCCCCATAATCTTGAATGGGGTGAGATTGTCTCAGAAATCAGCATCATGATGAATGCTGGATCGGATACTACAGCTATCGCTACAAATGCCACATTGTATCTTCTCTTGAAGAATCCAACCTGTCTTCAAAAGCTACGGGACGAGGTTTCATCTGTTCTTGACCCCAATGAAACAGTTGCTGCTTACGATAAGATCCGTCACCTGCCTTACTTGCGTGCTTGCATCGATGAAGCCCTGCGCATTTACCCTCCTGTCTCAATGAATCTCCCTCGTCGCACGCCTCCGGAAGGCGCAACAATTCTAGATGAATTCGTTGCCGGCGACACCTCTGTGAGCATTTCCGCTTATGTGGTGCATCGAGACCCGGCGATTTTTCCCGAGCCTGAGACATATCGACCGGAACGTTGGCTTGGAGAAGCAGGGAAGGAGCTTCAGCCTTACTTTGTGGCTTTCAGTGCTGGTGCTCGAGGTTGTATTGGTCGGAATATCAGTTATCTGGAACAGACCGTGCTCCTTGCGTCTTTGGTGAATCGGTTCGAATTCGCGCTTCCTTCACCGGACTGGAAACCTACGATTCGGGAGACTACCAACCTGAACTTTGGTCCTATGCCCCTGAAAGTATGGCGTAAGACTATGGCCTGTGCTTGAAATCCATGATTGAGAACGGAGAATGTCCTTCGGAAATTTGTTTCCGCTGGGAGAACAGGGCGTAGAGGATAGACTGAATCTTACGTCGGCCATTTTATGCTATTCTACTCTTACATAGTCTACGACGCAGATATAGCATCCATCTAAAATGACGCGTTATTTTAACACGCTCTTCCCACTTTTCACTAGTTTGAGAAGACCGAGACTGATTTAGTCTTGTTGCCCATCACGCTTATAGATTCAATCACAATTATTAGACAAAAAGGGGGAACCCAGTTAGATGGATATATCATAGTCCAAAGTATTCAAGTTTGCACAGTGTACTTTGCGTACAGTAATAGTCTTGATATTTATCAAACATGGATTTGAACGAGTTCAAATAAACCCGGGCAGATATGTAATAACATCACTGATACGTGATAGTAGTATAGGTAATGAAGAGTTCAAATGCAAGGGGTACCTAGGTACGTGGCACATCTGGGCCTCGTGGGGTATTGGATCAAGAAGCTTGGAGAAGTGAGAATAAATGTTTTTCCCGCAACTTGAACTGCCGAACTGCTTCACTGACTCCTTCTTGCCCAGGGCTGACCGGGCAGGTTCCGCGAGAATATCAGCGTGGAGTGCCCAATGATGTCAATTGAAGTCGCAAATATCCGGGGTACCCCTCCAATGAGGTGGTGATCATTTCACTAGACCATTTAAATCAAGGTAGTCGAGATTGGCGGATAAAGGAAATAGGTTTCCAGAACTCCATAAATTAGGAAATTGTGTAGCCGATCTCGGGGAAGACAAAATTGCCAAATTAGGCAGGAAGCGGCGCATGGATAGAGTTTTTGGTATCATGATCAGCAAGGAATCGCTTCTTCACCCAATTACCCCATATGCGGGCCCCCGCATTCCGGCTGCGGCTTTACCCCGGATCCAATAGAGATGGTTCAAAATGTTTAACCATATGTGAAATCCTGGGGATACTAGTAATGGAACAGGGTTGACTGGAAATCCAAATCCAGGTGAATCAATCATAAAGAGTCAAGTTCCCACTCAAGACATTGTGATGCTCAGTAGTCAGAGAATTACATCTGAGGGTGTATTTCCTTCCTGACTTAACATATCATATATCTTTTCCACTTTTCAATTTGTTCCATTCACGGGTCATCCCTCACACATAATGGCGACGATAAAGGAATTCTTCCAGACAGGAACTGAAGATGCCCGGCGCAATTCTGGTGATTCTAAGTCGGAGACAAAACACTTCGAGTCGGCCCCAAACACTGATTACACACATGACGCAGATCTCGAAAAGGTCGGTGCCGTCACCAACATGGGTGACATAGCAGCCAGTATCGATGATATCCCAGTCAGCTGGTATGTGTGGCTGGTAGCCTTGACAGCATCCACAGCAGGCTTGCTATTTGGATATGACACAGGTGTCATCTCGGGGGCCACCACATATATGGGTAGTGATTTGACTGGTAGTCCCATCACTAGCAATCAAAAAGAATTGATCACATCACTTTGCTCTGGAGGGGCATTCTTTGGATCAATCTTTGCAGGTGCTACGGCTGATCGAGTACGTCAAATCCTCATGTGTTATTTGCTTCACCTGTCCCAAATATGATCTCTCAGGCTAATTTAACTCATCAAGTTCGGCCGTAAAACGTCAATCTATTTAGGCTGTGCTCTCTTTATCATCGGGGCCGTCCTACAGGGAGCTTCCTTTACCATTGCCCAAATGGCAGTCGGACGTGTTGTTGTTGGCTTCGGGGTTGGAACAGCGGCCATGGTCCTGCCGTTGTACGTTGCCGAGATTGCGCCTGCCAAAGCCCGTGGAAAGCTCATCGGATTGAACAACATGTCTATCACGGGTGGTCAGGTTATCTCATACGCAATTTGCGCAGCCTTTGCTAGTGTGGATCACGGATGGCGGTATATGGTAGCACTAGGTGCTGTCCCGGCCATCGTACTCGCCGCACTGTTACCTTTTTGTCCCGAGTCTCCTCGTCATCTCGTATACAACTCTCGCGAGGAAGAGGCCCGAGTCATCTTGCAAAAGATCTACAAGGGGGCCAGCGAACTACAGATAGATGCAGTGCAGATATCAATTCGAGGCGCCTGTGATCAAGCTCGTGAGATTAACGAAAGTGCCACTGCATTTGGAAAAATAAAGCAGCTTCACACCGTTCCCAGCAATTTACGTGCTTTGATTGTCGGTTGCGGATTGATGGTGGTTTCACAACTTTCTGGATTCAACGGCCTGATGTACTACAGCGGAACAATCTTTGGGACTATTGGTTTCAACGACCCAATGGCTGTGGGTCTGGTTGTTGCCGGAACTAATTTTATGATGACCATAGTGAACGCTCTGGTGATTGATAAGGTGGGCCGCAGACGCCTTCTTCTTTCCACAGCCTGGGGTATGTCAGCTGGCATGATAGCGATAGCAGTTGCATTCCATTGGATTCCATTCGATCTATCGTCAGGAACATTCGAATCAACAAACGGCATATCGGGTGCCTCGATTGCGCTAATTATATTCATCATTTGGTTTGTTGTATTCTACGGGGTCTCTGTGGGAAACACAGCATGGATGAGTACCGACTTCTTCCCACTGGAGGTACGTGCCATGGGTACCATGTGGCTTACATGCTCCAACTGGGGCAGCAATGTAATCGTCTCCAGCTGTTTTCTTTCTATGATGGAAACCATGACACCATCTGGCGCTTTTGGTTTCTTTGCAGGAATCTGTGGAGTGGGTTGGATTTGGATCTACTTTTTCTATCCAGAAACATCTGGACTCCTACTTGAAGAAGTTCAAGAGGTTTTCGAGCATGGCTTTGGAGTAAAGTATGCTAGAAATTTGCGACGGGAACGTAGAAAACTCATTGAAGAGCGAATTTGGAGCCAGGAAAAGCCCGTGGCTATGGGACATTAATGTTGGAAAGAGTCACTCACTGGCTGCTCATGAATGATTTGCCAGTACTCAGCTAGACCTCCTCAATTGAATATTGGAATACAAGATTGACACATGAACCCATCTGTAAAACCATAAATAACAGGAACTTCGCACAGTGTTATACCTCTCTTGTATACTTGCCTACTCTTCACCTGAGCCTCGTGGATCAAAGTGGGGAAGCTTGTCAACTGTCACTCAAAATGGGCAAGGTTATGTATGAGTCCCCTTCGCTATTCGATCCGCAATGGACAGTGACGACACCATCTTTATTCAAATTCTCCAACCCCTGTACAGTTAATGTGCCTTGGTCGATTGGAGGGAATACTGAGGTGTTGACGCCTGATACATGAACCCGAAGAGCTTCACCGGCTGAAAATTCCATTCCAATTGGAGTCAACGGTGGTTGAAGAATAACAATCTCGCCATCTTGTACCGGATTGTACTGCTTCATATCACTCATTTTGAAGCCGGGAACCGCATGCTCTTTCTCGAGCATTCGTCGAGATAGACGAATCTGACCCACGGGACCTTTGTAGAAAAGTACATCGGTATCTGGGGCAAGTCCAGAGCAATTTGCTGCTCGAATCAGGTATGACTGGTAGGACTTTTCGTATGGAATTTTGAGCTGTTTACCAACAGCGCCGGTTTTGGTCACTTTTTCAAATGTGATAAAAACATCGGTATCCGAAGCTCCGTCTAGCGATACGGCTAGTGACATATCAATAAGGCCACATAGAACTACCGCCTTAGGGAATGTATATGAAAAAGAAAGTCCTCCTTTATTGGCGGAATAGCTTCCCTGGCACGATTGTGGGTAAACAGGAGACAGGCTATTGTCCGATAAGTCGAGGAAAAGTTTGAAAGGAGCAGCCTCTGGTGGCGGGAATGCTGTAAATGTCCTGTCCACTCCGGTTTTGGGCAACGGCTTGGCTGTGTCTAAAATCTTTGCCCGGATTTTTGGAGTATGTTCCCATCCATTATCAATTCCCCTAGAGATGTCAGCACCATGTTGACCCTGAAACGAAAATTGAATTGTCCTTGTACCTTCAAATAGAAGTCGAAAAATCGATGTAGGTCAGACCGATTTTCTTCCTCATAATAATCGGGCCATTCCTTGAAGAGAGTGTCAATATAACTTCATTCCTCCGTGTTTGGATAGGTAGCGATCTCACCCAAGTATCATGTACTCGAAGCCACTTAGGAGATCTCAGTTTCATGTAGCCACAGAACGTTCCAAAAGTGTGAATTGGATTTGACCAACTTGCAACGACGTAAGAGGGGACATTGATGTTCTGCAAAGCATGAGAGTCATTGATCAAACAATGAGGTAGGAGCATAGATCCAAGGACATACCTCGATTTTGGCCCGTTTATCATCATGATAAGCGCCAAAAATCTTATGATCAATCGCCATCTGCGCGGTATTCTCCCATGAGTTTTCTCCCGCATTGACTTGGAGGATTTGAAGATTGAAATTCATGGCGGGTTCAGTGAAGACGCCACCTAAAGCTATCCCTTCCCTGTAAAGGTCTGAGAAGCCTTCCCACTAGACTCCGAGTGTAAGTAACTTGATCTCAACTAGATTAACACGCAAAATTTGGATTTATTCATACCGGAGCGATCGCTGCAAGGTATTTGGGATTCTCGGCTGCGATGTACCACTGTAATGGGTGAGCAAGAATACCTTCACCAGAGCCACATCTATTCACAACCCTACCTGAGAGATTGAGAGATACGAGTTTCCACTGAGGGAAACTTTGCCCGAGCACCATGGTTGCTCACCAATCCAATCAACAACATCTGCTCCATCACGACCCTCTTGAGACCCAAATGAATAAATGTCACCTTCACTTTTGCCAACGCCTCTAGGGTCAACGTTTGCAACTGCATATCCATACTGAACCCAATATCCCGGATCTGGTGCCTCCCATTTCTGGAGTTCCGAGAGCTTTCTCAGAGGTACACCCATACGAAATGGAAAGTCGTCGAGAACTTGGTTTCCGCGCCCTCCCTGTTTGCCATACGGAGACCATGCCAGAATAGCTGGGCATTTTTTCACGTCACCCGGAGGCCTATAGATGTCTATGTAGACCGTGGTGCCATCACGCAGCTGGCTTAATAGTTAGTCACATTCATTCGATTAGACAACAGGCATTTCAAAATTTTCGTTTTCTCACCTTAATTGGAATATCACGATCAAACAAAATGTCACAGGGTAAGGGAAGGCACCCTCTGCGTCTCACATAACCCTTGGGAAGCACCTTCGTTTCACGACCGAACTCGCCCCACCTTGCCTTTGGATGGGACAGCGGAAGGGCTTTCGGCTGACGACTGTCGCCAAAAATGATATCGGTATCACCTATACGGGTCGCCATTTCCTGAATGTGTAACTTTTGGAAGGCTCGAGTCAGTATAAATTGGAGTTCTGAGAGAGATGTCTGACGTACTTATACGTAGTAGGCTTCCAGAACGACTTGAACCCGACCGAGGCTTAACTTCAAGCTGATTCAAGTCCTTCCCATTTTTGCCCCACTTTCAAGCGTCATGAATTCCCGAGAAAATATATAAAAATGACTAATCGCATTTAACGGCAACAATTGCGAATCCAGGAACATCGACATCGTTGTTTAAGGAGGTAGTTCGGCTTTTGCGGCCTCGGGGTGGGGAGGTGGGAAACGTGGGGAAAGCGGGGACAAGGTTGCCGATCTATGAAGGTACTTTACGCCCAAAGAACTACATAGTACGGTTTATGACCTCGGGAGTTGACATGGGCTTCGTGGCACTGCTGGACTCACAGCAGGCTTGACTCTGTTAACCGGTATACTTCCAATTATAGTGCTTCAGTTGCGCAGGTAGAGATGCCGCTCCTATAGATCATGCTAATCAAAAGCAGTGACAACTTGAAGATATTTTTGAACTTATTTCTAGTAGCTTCAGAATACTTGTCTGTCACGATACATCGCTACTACATCAGTCTTTACTACTCAAATTTGACTTGGGATTTAAACTTGGATTTTCTAAGCCGCCTAGGTATAGGCATCTTGGACTGATTCAATTTTGAGTAAAGAGCATTTGAGCAATTGAGGTATTGACCTATCCACATGTGCATATCTCATTGTAGAGGGGAAATCCCCAGTGTCTTAAATACAAATATAAAAGCCTCCCATTGACACACCGGTCGCTATGCTTCGAAATGATACAAGAAAAGGAGCAAGAGGGAACTGAGCCAGTCCCAATCATGCTATAAAAAGAAGGATCAAATGAAAGAGCTCATCGACTTTCCTTCTACTTCCGGAAGGTCAGAGACTTGCCACTCTCATCGCGCTTGAGCTTGCGCACGCCTGAGGGGGCCTCCAATGCCTTCCTGTATGGGTCAAAGGTCTTCTTTCTCTTTGGTTGAGCCTCGGCGGCATGTGCAGAAGAAGAGTTCAGAACAGAGTCGGCGGCACCATAGTCGAATGGAGTGGATTCAGCCTGGGCCTTGGCCTCTTTCTTGGCCTTTTTCTTCTCCTTGCGCAGTTTCTTGCGTCTCTTGGCCTCAGTCTCCTCATCGTATATATCATCGTCGCTGGGTTCAAAACTTAGAAGGTCTTCAGTCGGCTGGTCAACAGGGGTAACCTTGCGCTTCCGAGGACCACCGAGTTCCTTCACTGTGAACACCTTCTTTTCTTCAGGCTCAACGGGAGCTGGAGCAGGTGCAGGTTGTTCAGCTGGAGGTGCAACGGGAGTGGATTTTGAGATGCGCAGATTCTCTCGGACCTCTAGAACAGTAGTCGGCACTGGAGGAGAGGGGAATGCCAGGCGATGCGCCTCTTTAAGTGCTGCCAGGGCATGCTCAGGCGAAATCTGCTTCGTCGGCATGTGCAGAGGTTCGCCAAAGAACGTGGTTTTGAAACGTTCGGGAATGAGGAAGTCCTCATCTTTTGACTCAGTAGCAGCAGCCTTAGTGGCCGTCTTTGGTGGTGGTGCAACATCACGCCACTCAGGACCATTAGCTCCTGCGGCCTTAGCCTCTGTAATGACATCCAAGAGATCATCAGCGCGAGCCTTCGTGATCGGTGTCATAGGAGAGAGTGTGCGGAGTAAAACTCCCATGTCAGGGGGCATTGTCTGAGCAAGTCGGAATAGGACATGTTTGGGGAAGACACATTGCACACCCTCATCTTCCGCTCGCGCCACTTCGTCGCGCCATTTGTGTGCTGCCTTGAAAACGGCAAATTGTTCTTTGGTAAGTGTGCCCGGAGTACGGCACAGCATATCATACCATCCTCCTTGGCCTTGCCCATTTGCCTCATCGTATACTGGTCGCTCATAGCGTTGCAAGGCTGCATTTTGTGACCGCTCGTTAACCTGATCGATAATACTTTCATCAGGAGTTGAGGCCTGAATAAGTTCGTTTCGTAGATGGTCGTAGACAAAGAGAAGGTAATGGGTATCTGAGCGGGCATAGTCGAACATGCCGGAGGGAAGTGGGCGAATGCGCCAGTCGGCCATTTGATATCGCTTATCGGCTTCGAAATTAACGAACTTCTGTAACAGGAATTTCAAGCTTCGCTTCGGGTAGCCCAACGCATTTGCAGCATGGAATGTGTCAAACATGCCAACCACGTACAAGCCGAGATCGCGCTGAAGCCAAATGATATCCATAAAGGATCCGTGTAGGACTTTCAGGATCTTCGGGTCTGTAAACACTTCATTGAGAATCTGCAGCTCTTCTCTCCAGGGCTTCAAGGTATCCACAACCCAGTCCTTCTCGCGTGTGCTGATCTGCATCAAGGAAACAAGACCGGAATAAGAATGGACATCGTGATGTTCCAAATCAATGGCGATCTCCTTGGCTTGCTTCAATTCTTTCAGCATTTCCTTGACCCCGTCCAATGTATCCACAAAGGTAGCAGTTGTGCTTTCAAAAGGGAGGTAGTCGACTGGAGGTGATTGTTCATAGACAGACTTCGGGTATTTCGCGGTACGGATCTCGCTCTCGTAGGGGGTTGGGTAGCCCTCTCTGCCATCTATCACTTGTGTCTTCAAGGAATCTTCAAGTGGTACAATCGCATGTGGCTTGGTTTTGAGAAGAGGACGGAAAAGCTCGGCGGTGGAGTTGTCAACCTTGCGATCGAAAAGTAGCTGTGGTTTTGGGATCTTTGATGGGCCGTAGTCGTAAATGGTCGGAAACTTGGGGGCTTTTTTCACCAAAGGCGCTTTTTCTTCCTCTGATGGGCTTAATTTCTTGATCACACCAGTGAACTCGTCGAGACACGCGTCTGCTCTTTCCAAAACCGAATCAATCACATCGACGACGTCGCGCCAATTGTCCTCGATCGAATCTTCATCTTCAAGTGTTGGTGCGGTTTTTCCTGTTTCGCCGACGGCAATCTTCAAGACTTTGGTGGTTAATGCAAGAATGCGCTCGCTCTGCTCATCGATCGACTCTGTGAAATCGGCGTTGGAGGCACGGTGGAAGTTCAGATCTTCCGAGGCGAGTTGATTAACATTGCGAGACACCTGCACCAAGGCGGCGGTCAGCCTATCCTGTACTGGTTTGAGTTGTGTGGAATCCATGATATTCCCAGCTTGAATAACAAGATTCAACAAGACTGGCAACCTCGGAGGAGTTGAGAAATAATTCAATAACTTTGAAAAAAAGTTGATTAGAGAAATGGGTAAAAGGCTGACCGCCTTCCAAAAAAAGTTGCTGTTCACCGCCTGCTGAATCAAGATAATTTGGGTGGCGATTTTGATTGGCGGAGAGACCAAGCTTCTTCTCTCCTGTGACGCTTCTGATTCTCTAATATCAACAATCACAACTTATTATATCTCATATATCGCCTGGATTTTTCATCTTTGGTCCTAAAAGATTCAACAAATTCAAAATGGCTGCCTCTATTGCTCCAGAATGCAACGATATCAAGGAGTAAGCTACATTCTGCTTCCTTTTTCACCTGTCTTCAAACGTGTTCCAAAGTCCAGGTCGACTAATATTCAAATATAGGAAATACGACACTTGCTTCCTCAAGTGGTATAGCGAGAGTATGTTCTTGTGGCTGATCTCTTCCTACGAGACGATCATGTGGCTGACTATGAAACAGAGTATCTCCGTGGCAATGGACAGTCCAATGACTGTGATGAATTGTTTTCAAAATACAAGGCATGCTTACACGTAAGTACTTATATGGGTCTGATTTATCATTGATTGTATCTTGGGCTAAGTTATTTGCTCGCACAGAAATCTCTAAAAGAGAAGGGCATTGACAGCATGCTGGATGACGCTCGAAAGAGCAGCAGCGAAACAGATGCCGAGTTTCTGAAAAAATCCTGATTCTTAACTATAACTTCTTGTTTTCCATAATATCTCCACTATTCTGTTTTGTGTCTGAGCGATATCATCTTGTACCAGAATCAGGCGTCAATGGTCATGTACTATACACTATCATCCGGCTCACTCTCCATTCTATTATTCAATCTCCAAGGCTGCGCGAACTTGTTCATTTGGAAATATTCTTCAGATGTTTTGGGGCACCTGGAACTTTTCCTCTGCATACTTGTACCAATATCCAATCACTCCCCAAAACAACGATTTCAAGTTTAACAGACTATGTAGGTAGTTCAATTCTTCGTCAGAGCAACTCTGGAGGATAGTACTAGCATTGATAGTACGTATTGTGTATACAATATAGTCTCGATTTCATTTGTTGCCATGCAGACTGCAATCAGCCCTATTTGTGCAACAAAGATGCAGTCATCATCTTGGATTCAGATGGCAATTCAATCAGCCTAGCTTGTACACGTACTCCTCTCTGCAACTGGACGAACACCTCCACATCCCGAGGTGGGTATCGGTGCTCAGTGCACCCGTCAGCTACTTTAGGAATCTTCGCCCGACCCCCCTCTATCTATACCCTGTCCATCTTTCTCTTGTTCCTTTTCTCTTTTTTCTCCTCTCATCAGAGATGAAATCCACAAAATGCATCTACCCGTTCATTTACTGCTGATCCTGGCGCTTGCTCTTCTCGGTGTCGCCCACCCAGATGAAGATGAGACACCCATTAGCGAAGCAAAGAAGCTTGAGAAACGAGCATACCATTCCAATGTCATCGAAAGTTACAGCGGATGTGCTAAGAAGCTAGCGGATTCGGGCGTTATTGAGCGCGCTGATCTTCGTCGTCGCAATACAGTTGAGCGACACCGTCGGGATCTTGTTGCTCGTCGACAACAGCAAGTTCTCGGACCTCGCCCAGATGTTAGCGAACTACCCGATTCACATTTCCAGCTACCCGAGCAGCTGAGAAAGTCTCATCTCGTAGCAGGTCCAAATATCGGTCCAGAAACCCCAGAGAATGAGCTTTTCGCTGACAACGGAACTTGTGTTCTCAATCCCGAAGGCATGATCGGCCCCTTCTACGTTAAGGGCGAGCTTATTCGCTCCGATATAACAGATGGACAGACCGGCGTGCCTATGATTATTGATGCCCAGTTCATTGATGTGGAGACCTGCGAGCCAGTAGAGGGTGTCTGGTGGGATGTTTGGAGCTGCAATGCTACGGGCGTCTATTCTGGTGTGCTGAAACGGGGTAACGGAGACAAAGACGATACATCAAACGTCAACGCCACGTTCTTACGCGGTATTCAACAGACTGACTCCGAGGGTGTGGCACAGTTCCAAACCATATTCCCGGGTCATTATAGTCACCGCGCCACTCACATCCATGTGGTTGCCCATGTGGGTAACGTTACTCAACTGCCTAATAACACTATTACCGGTGGGACTGTAGCGCATATTGGGCAGCTTTTCTGGGACCAGGATCTTGTTTATGAGGTTGAAGAAACTTATCCATATAACACGAATACTTTGCCTATTACGCCTAATGCTCACGACCGGTTGTTTTTCGAGGAGATTGACGGGACTACTTCTGACCCTACGTTTAACTTTGTTAAACTTGGAGATGACATCGAGGATGGAATTTTTGCGTGGGTTTCAATGGCTGTTAATGTTTCTGCTAGCTTCGATCCAAGCTATAGTTGGAGACTGACCGATCATGGTGATATACCAGAGTCGGGTGGTGATAGTCCTATATAGAGGCAGTGCAACCTTGGATGACACTTTTCATTCTACAAATCATTCCTGAAACATAGCGACTTGAAGATATCCATTAATTATCATTATCCGAGTCTAATGGGAGACTTGCAATGACTCCAGGGCTCCCTCAATATCTATCACCTCAACTGCTGTAGTTGCAGGGCCGCCCCACTGCACGCAACCTTCGGCATCAACTGCCCAATAGCCACCACCCTGCCATCTGCTACCACTTTCCGTTGGTCTGTTCCATATTCCTGTTTCTTTTCCCATTTTCAAAATGGCCAGAATACCCACCGGGTTGAGAACATGACCCCAGGACACAGTCCCTAACCCCCACTTTGCATAGACTTCACGGTCGGCGTCAACAACAACAGAAACCGATGCCGATGAGCCTGTCTCGCTTGAACCTCCAACAGCTTCAAGCCACTTCTCTGTGGACTGTTCGTTGCTGTGGGATATAGCAATAAAGTTGATATCTGGCTGGTGCGCGGCTGCTTTACGCATTGCAATAAATGACGCTTCGGCGACTTCATGGCAAGAATAGACGATTAATGTAAACTTTTATCTTTCAGCTGAAAGGGTGTAAGTGGTATCGACTATTTTCATACCTGGACACCCGCAATGTCGTAGAAATGCGACGACGGTTGGCTTCTTATTTTCCGCTGGCAGGACTAGTTTTGGACAGAAAGGTGCTATTTCTCCGATCTGGGGCACTTCTGCTATCTCTATAGGTGAGAGAGATCTCCATGATGATAGTTCCTGAGAAATACCCATCTTGTCGAGTCTGCGGTGATGGTTTGTTTTGTTTCTCCTGCTGCTGACAGGGATAACCATCCTTAGAAATGATTACTAAGAATTAGAAAGCGGAGAATAGGCTAAAAGGTATCGGACAAAAAATGTATTCAAAAATAATTCAATGTATAAGGTGAAATATAGGGTAAACAGGATGGAACTTGAAGTGCTCCGCTTGGAACTCGACCAGAATCTTCAAGTTGCGATTACTACTAGATATCCCTTACTAGCCCATAGAAAAAAGAGATGCATCCATGAAGATATTATCCATGCTCGGATCAGTGCTTTTATCCGATATTATGTAGGTTTAATTCACTTTAGCTCCAAATTTTTATTACACTTGAGTATTGTACATCATGATGTTGAGCTTATCGTGGCGAATGCACTCTATCATTTCGATTAGGTACCGATTGATCAATGTTCGAACAAATTGAATTGATATGTTATTTATCCATCTAAGTATACAGGCTACAGACACGAATACGAGTACTTTCATTCTTCGCCAGCTCTCTCGATAAATTCCGTCGCCAGTGCATGTCCTGCACGAGCAACCTCCTCCATGCCGAAATCCTCTCCCCAGGAGAAAGAAACATGAGGACCATTTGGGGCTTCACGCAATTCAACATCATTACCCTTCTCCTTCATATTATGCGCAAACTGCATAATATCGTCATACAAAACCTCTGAAGTTCCAGCCTCAATGAAAAGTGGGAGACTCAATTTATACTCGTTGCCTAGTGGAGTAAAGTAGGGGTTTTTCTCATCCCAGCCCTCGGGAATGTAGCCAGCTGCACCCCATTGAACAAATTCATCTGGAAGGTAGTCCGTTTTGTAGTTCGGGCGATTCTTCAGCTCTCGCAACGATTTCTCGGTCATATCAACCCAAGGAGACCATAAAAGCGCAGCGCGAGGAAGAGGAATTGATGGGTTCTCCGTGTCGATGTGTCGCAACAGAGCGAGAATAAGATTTGAGCCTGCCGATTCACCAGATAACACAATTTGTGATGCTGGGATCTTGAGTGTCTCGAGCGCATAGACATAGGCTGTCATCAAATCTTGAAGTGCTGCAGGGAATGTCTTGTATTTATCCCAGGAGAGTCGGTATTGTATAGAAAGCACGGGCCATCCAGATATTTCACCCAGGCTTGACGGCCCCCATCCGGGCCCATCACTGGGTCGCGCACCAAGCATCACAAAGGCACTTGAGTGAAGATGGATGATAAGTCGTTTGATTGGCTTTTCGGCTGGTTTCTTGGGGTACCAGATAGCTCCGATGGGGATAGGCTGGATTTCTGGGATTGATGAAAGAATTCCTGTGTAAACAGAAATTTCTGTGTTCTCCTGATCTGACTTTGAAATTGTCTTTTGTGGATTGAGCACAATGAACCGGTCTCCTTCGGCACCTGGCTCCAGCGACTTAGGAGTTTGATATCTGACTCTTGTGCGATATCGGATAAAGAAACGAAAGATTTCTGTCACAACTGCTGTCTTATATGACCAAGCAGGGTTGGCGCGATTGAATCTGGGGATATTGGAAACCAAGATGGCTATCAACCGCACAGGAAAAGTGGCGAATGTGTACGTACTGTACAGAAGGAAATAAAGTGATGGCATATTGATATGGTGACACCCAGGCCGGGGTTGTTATTAAGGAACAGGCCAGGGATTTTGTACGAGAATCACTTGAGGTTGGGAATTGGGGCCTATTTTATATGCACAATATTAATGTGGTCGACTGGTTCATGGGGGCGAAGGGGCCAAAACAAAAGTTACTAAGTATAATGCACGCCGATCTCTCGCACATTGGCAGCAAGTATCCATCAATCTGACTCGATCCAACGAATAATATAGCCTATTTACCTAAGAATAGTGCAAAATGTTTACTACTTGACAGCTTCAAATTGACTGTATGACCTCAGGCTACACCTGCGCAACTTCCAGTGGAAAGTTTCCTCTCCACTGGCAGCTTACAAGACCACAACATGATCCAATAACCATCCTTCTATCATGAGCATCTAATAATTCATATCTACTAGCAACCAATTGACTCAGTTGATATTCGGATGACCGCACATGTAAAAACATGGACTCGGATGAGTTGTTCCAGATGAGGCCATTACGGCCTCCAGATGTCAGTCCGAGTCCCCACAGCGGGTGTGGCTGCTGAAGAGCAACATTTGAATACGAATGATACATATCAGCCATTTTGTGATTCAGTGGAAAATATTATTAAGTTAATTCAATATTCCTGACGCTCTCGCATGAGCAAATCAGCAAATCCGAGCACTACATATATCATCTCCAACAATCCGGGAGCGGCTCTCGACGTCTATTCAGATGAAATACACTCCCCCAAAACCAACCTCGACTCCTCATCAAACGAAACATCAAAACTCGCCCACTTCGCTGGCCCGACTCCCAACCTCGAATCCCCAGTAACAAACTTCATAAACCCTCCATGTGTCACAACAACAATATCCTTCCTCTGACTTCCCTCCATCTCCCGAAACTGCTCTTTCATTCTGCTCTGTAAATCCCATCCACGCTGCTGCAAAAATTCCCATTGAGGCGCATACCGGCCCGTCTTTGCAGGAAATACTTCATCTACCTCGATCGTATCCCAGGGTAAATCGGGAAACTCTGCTTTTAGCACAGACCATTCTGAGCCTGTATCGCAAGGTCGAGCTGAATGCGCTTGAACATCTGGTTCAACGAGAAGCTTTGCGCCTTGCTCTACGCCGCTTTGGTTTGCGTAGAATTGCTTGTCGAGACATTTCTCGAAGCCTAGTAAGGCTGTTTTGAGGGTTCGGCGTAGAGGTGATGCAATTACTAGACCCACGTTTTCTTTGAATGGGAAGTCGTGACACAGGGCTTTGGATTGTTGGATGCCCGTTTCTGTTAATTCTGGGTCTAGAATTGAGGTGTCATGATGAGGATTGTGAGTTCCTTCGGCATGCCGAATGACATGCAGACGGAAAGACATGGCTGTGGTTCAAGGTTGGTTTCTGTTTTTTTTCTCTCTCTCTCTCTCGGCTTTTGGGGGGGATTTCACTTACTGAAGAGTGAATTCAGGTTATCGGCACTTATATTCGAAGATCAAAATAATCAAATAATAGTAGTATAAAGTGGATCGCCAAGTATTGCTGACGTGGGTGTTGACGCTTTATACTCGTAACTTGGATATTCGAGAAGACGTGGAGATCCCGACACCAGTACTTTAAATAAGGGAACGGGAATCCCACACGACTTCCAGTCATGTTTTTTCTTCCGCTGCGCCTCATAGCCCCAATAATAGGGCTGTGAGAGGGTCCTGAGTGGATATTTCAGCTGTGTAGATGGACATTTTCGGTCCTATCCACACTCAAAAGAGGAGATTATCTCCGAGCAGAACAGTATCGGGCAGAGAACGCAATCGGGCACGGTATTGCTGTATGCCGAGATCAAGTGGGACTAGGGTCGGAATTCGGAACGATTGTTGCAAGTAAGAGCTTCTCTAAAACTGCTGCAATAAATTGTGCTACGATGCAGGATTTCGAGTTCCTCACATCATGTGTGCCGGCAATCGAACGATCCCGAAGCATGAAAGTTTTTAGCCGCTTGATATACACTTTACCCGCTCAGGGTCCACGTCGGGGTCGGAGTACACAAATAATTCAACTGATAGAATCTGTACTACGGGGGCCGGTGGCAAGATTTAAAAATAAATTAATTATGTGATATATGCTGGGTATAAGCTATCACCGATGACCCCGTCTTCGAATATCTCCTTGCCCAAAATTCGGCGGCACTTTCGGGACTGGGTGGCTCAACGTCCCCATACTACTTGACATTGATCCGGAACTACTACCTCCACTACCACCTTTCTTAGGTTGAGTAAGTAGCGACCATACCTCGCCCATTCGTGCCCGTCGTGCAGGCAGCATACTATACTGCATGCTGTACAGGTTACGACGGTGAATGGGAGGTACAAAGCGGCCGGTGACGAGACAGAAAATGACGCGAGGGGAGAGATAGTGTTTGCGGAGTCGGTGACCGAGCTGGAAGTATTGGTCGAACATTGCGCGGAGAGGAAGTGGGATTGACTATAGTGTTCATGTTAATCAAGGGTGCCCGAGGTCAATGTTTGAGGTTGGTTACTTACCTCGAGATGAATGTAGGAGACTGTAGAAGAGGTAGCCTCGGTGGACTGCTTATCTAGTTCATCTCGAAGCTCAAATCGAATGCCACCGGGCAATCGTCTCGAGTCTTTCACGCGTAACATCAGAGCGAAAAGGGGAAAGTGATTCAGGAATGCCAAACAGGTGTCGAAGCCGGCTTTCATAGAGATAATCAACATGCGGGCCGATGCAAAGGTGAGGTAAAAGACAATCACGGTAGGTAGAAGGAAGAAAAGCACGGTGAAGAGAATGGTGCCAAGAAGGAGTTGGTCGAGGTCATAATCACATGAATCTATTCGGTTGCGCAGGACATTTCGCTTTTTCCCTCGGAAGAGATGGAAGAGCGATATAATTATGGTGAGTTGCCAGTTAAAGATACGGGCAGACGCAATGTAAAAGGAATAGATGTGGACGGTTAGGATGGAAAGGAGGTCAGAAAAAAGGGCGATTGGCATGCTAGCCCCCGCAAAACTGGAGCAGCCAACAATGTAGATGACGTGAGGAAGATAGGGCTGGAGGTTCGCAATGCATGCAGCCCAGTTCTCGATAACCCAAAGGAACAAGTCACCGAGGAAAGCTGCAAGTTCGTTGTTAAGCTTTAAGCCGGCAGGCCAGTCCATCAGCCATGAGATGGTGCGTTGCAATCCTTCCACAGTCCATCCTGTGAGAACGGTGTTGATTTGGGAGGCGACCCAATTGGCATTATCAATGATGTATGAACCAAGGGCAATTCCAATGATCACATCGTTAGCCACGAGCCACAAACTGTTGTAAAACCGGATGTAATCTGGGTGACTGGTAGTCACACTTTCCCAGTTATCCTTCCTTTGACGCAGTTTGACATATTGTATAGGCCAATAGCAAAACTGCTGGAGGCGGATATCAACTTGCTGAGCCGTTGCCGAAATATCCTTGATGGCTGCAGCGTCTGGCCGAGCCCGCCATTCAAGAATCTTTAGCACCACCTCCGCAACTGACCGGTGTCCCACGAGACCTATAACGAAGATTCTAGTGACAACCGGCCAAATCCACTGCCAAAATATGTGCGCAATGAAAAGGACGAAAAGTCCCCAGAGAGTAGTCGCCGATTCCACCACACGTTCTCCAACACTCATGCTGCGTTTTGCTCGTACCCCAATCAAATGACAATTCTTATGCATCAATTGGCTCATTTCATATGCACAGTTCACTTGACTGATGATCAGTGGAAGTGCCTGCTCCTTTTGCGACGGAATATGCTTCACCACCGTGTGAAGTTTAAGCTTGTCAACCAGCACACGATGTCGTGCCTTTTCTTTTTCTTCTTCCGACTCAATCGTCCCAGATAACGCGAAGCCATTCTCTACATTCGTCACCTTGTCGCCCAAAGCTAAGGAAATCGGATCCAAAGACATATACTCCATGCGTGTTGGGTCCGGACGATGAAACATGATGACCTGGACCGAGAGATTCGCTTCTGGTGGACAAAATATCCGCGGGAGTTGGCTTTTCGACGGCGGGTGCGTGGTTACATGAAGGTGAGACGGATTGAATGTAGTGTCGGGAAGGAGGGAATTCGTCGAACCAAGGACATGCATCTGGGACCGACCGCAAAGCGTAAAGATGCGAACAATGGGATGCGGGCTATTTCGAAATAGGATTCCAGCCCGAAGCGCATTGCCCACATTTCGTGGCTATCGAAGAGCACAATTGTCAGCGCACAATTCCTCGTAAATTAAAATGTATAGTTTCTGCACTTTAACATACCTCGACATCTTCAAGGACCGTAAGTACAACTAGGTCCAGCTCCGAGTTGCGCCATCCGACTATCACACCCGGCGCTGAAGATCGCGGGAGATCATATGGCCAAAATACTCGCAGCAGCCCATCACTCATTATCATGTTGTCATCCTCCGGCGCCGTCTAGAAGGAGCCTCGACGGCGCAACTGTTCCCGGGCGGACACGCCGAGGTTTATGTGACGTGGATGCTATTCGAAGTACGAAGAATTAGTTTTGGGACAGTTCCACCTTGCCAAGCAGAGATCTGTTGAAGCTCCTCGAGTACTTGGTATTTGGGGAGGGCTCACCAATTGACCCTCTCTCGATGCTAAATGATTGATAGGAAGGACGAGTATGAAAAAGAATACGGAAAGAGATAGGAATCCTTTCAAGGTTCGAGTCTATATCGAGGGGTATTGTAAGCAGATTATTCGATACATGCGCATTGAGTTCGGTGCGGAGGGGAGGGGCCACGCAAGCGCAGTACGAAATAAACATACCACGACACCGTGATCCCACGCAAAAATAGCAAGTTCGTAAAGCCGAGTTACAAGGTCCCACCTAGCGGTGATGTAGCCCGCGACGAAGATTCCAAGAGTGAGGATGGAAAAGGGGTGCATGAATCAGGGTGCTTGAAGCGGTACCGCGATTCAACGTGCGCGCATCGCTGTGAGGGGATTCGGATTGGAGGATTGTTGATTATCGAAGGTTTCAGGAAGTAACTCGATGATCTGACGGGACTAATATTCGCTCAATTGATTGCGTTGATAGAAGATTAAACGAATGGCAAGTATGAGCTTAGACGGCCCGTTGAATGTACCCCGTGGTTATGCTGTCTAGACCATTCAAAGGTAAACCTGGTGGATCACGGGGTCTTGTTAGGGGTACCCAAAGTTAACGCTTATGTAAGCCACCTCAATAACGTAATCCACATGCGATCCGTACACCCCACCAAGAGTCGTGTCTTTCAACCATCCTACCTAATTCAAACGCCTGCCATGGCACCAAAACGCAATATTTCAGCCGAAAAAAAGCCAATCAAGACGGCAGGATCTTATTAGCCGTCAACGATATTCAAAATGGCCGAATCAAGTCTATACGCGCAGCTGCGAAGCTACATGAAATACCCCATACGACCTTGGCCGATCGCGTGAATGGCATACAAGCACGCGTTGATAAGCGTCCAAAGAGCCATAAATTGACCCAATTGGAAGAGGATTCACTTACTGAGTGGATTATCTCTATGGACACACGTGGTGCAGCGCCTAGGCCTACGACTGTAGGAGAAATGGCTAATATCCTACTGGCTGCTCGTGGTAACCATCCTCCACCTACTGTTGGTATTCGCCGTCATGAGCTTCATACACGCCTCTCAAGACGCTATGACTACCAACGTGCACTAAACGAAGACCCAAAATCGCTACGAGAATGGTTTACAACCGTACAGAATGTCATTGATCAGAATGGAATTCAACCAGAGGATATTTATAACTTTGATGAGACAGGCTTTGCAATGGGCCTTATTTCAGCACAGACAGTTGTTACACGACAAGAATATTACGGTCGGCGTGCTATTTTACAGCCTGGAAATCGTGAATGGGTAACTGCAATTGAAGCTATCTGTGTAGATGGCTAATCATTACCACCATGTGTGATTTTCAAGGGAAAGGTTGCCATCGCTAGTTGGTTTGATAACCTACCAAAAGATTGGCGATTTGAAGTCTCGGCTAATGGCCGGACTACTGATGAGATTGGTCTACGTTGGCTACAAAAGCTATTCATCCCATCAACAAATTCACGTGTCCGTGGTCGTTTTCGGCTATTGATTCTTGATGGCCATGGAAGCCATCTTACACCCCAATTTGATCGAATCTGCACTGAAAACAATATTATCCCACTCTGTATGCCTGCACATTCATCACATCTTTTACAGCCACTAGATGTTGGTTGTTTTGCAGTCCTTAAACGTGCATATGGTCGCTTTATAAGTGACCTTGCGCATAGAGGCTATAACCATATCGACAAGCTTGATTTCTTAGCTGATTATCAACGCGCCCGCCTTGAAGCTTGTCAACCAACTACTATCCAGAATAGCTTTTTAGCTACTGGTTTAGTCCCAATTGATGCTGAAAGAGTTCTTTCTAAATTGAATATTTCTCCACGAAGACCTACACCGTCAAACAGCAGGCCAGGCAGCAGATCTAGTGAGTTTACCCCTAAAACGCTTAGAACTGTGGTTCAGCTGCAGAAGCAAGCTTTAATGCCTAAAAATCTTCTAAAACAGCGATCAAACAGCCCTCCAAGCCTATCGAAATCGATGCTAGATCAAATCATCAAAAGCCACTGTATAGCACTACACAACACAGCGTTACTAGCACAAGAAAACGCTTTTACGTGCTACAAATGAGAAGAAACGACAAAAGCGCAGTCGATCAACTAGGCAGATACTATGTGATGAGGGTCTAACAGTTGAAGAGGGCAGTCCCCGACAAGCCCAAAGCCCCGTACGGCCCCACACGTGACCCACAGGAGGTGTCAAGCATAGCGGATCACCTGATAAGGCTTATGTAAGCCATACTGTATTTTACATGCGAGAGATAGAAGAATTTTACACCACATACACACATATGAAGCCTCGTTCTTATTGGGTGCCCAATATTGCTGAATCAGCCTAGATTTGACAGGAGGACTTATAACTTCCAATCGTGTACATAGCTTCCTCTTAAGCATGAATGTAAACTGCATGTCGGCCTATATCGTTCTGCTTCAGTCTTTACAGAGCCCTTCACAACGGCCGGGTGATCGGGACGGCCGGGAGTCACGTTATTTATATCTATAATACAGATCCAGGCATAGATCAGTCTATGGCACCAGTGTTGACCTCAGAAGCATCTGTAAACTATGAAAATCCTCCCAGTGAATCATGTGATGACCAGGGTATACCTGGGCAATCAGTGAGCGGTATTTCTTGATGACTAATCAGATCCGGGCAGTCCAGGCATGATCAAATATACTCAGTGAGCAAAAAGCGGCAAGGGGTGAGCATTAAAGCGGAAATGGAAGTTGAGAAAAGTCCTAGAATTTCCTGAGAATATGTGACTTTTGGTGGGGTGTCCAGCTCGCTTGTGTGTCCAGCCCGCTTGTTGATTACGTTATCCATTGAGATGAAGACAAAATCATTTTATTTTTATATAAAATATTTAATTGGTTGGATCGGATACCTCATTCCCTAATACCTTTGAGCGTTCCTAGTAGTTTTTAAGCTATTTTGGGTGAGTGGGATGGTATAGTAGGTTAGGCCTGTACTTAGGGCTTATCAACTACAGTGCTTCACCAGTTGACGAGTGTTAAACCAGTTTCAATTAGGAGCGAACATTGAAGTAGTATGTCCAAGATTCTCATACTCATTTTGAGCGCGCTTAACCAACTCGTCATCCCATATATCTGGGCCACGCAAAACTTGATCTCCATCGCCAGGAGAATGTGAATTTAGGTATATGTTGACCTTGATCATTATGTATACCTGTATACCGGTCTTCCAGCTTGGCCCCGGGGCTGATCTCCACTTAGTAAACAGCATCTTTGACTATCATAATTGCAATGGCGTCTAGAAAGAAGATAATATCTTACAGATATAAAAGAATAAAATACAGATAATTGTGGAACCCGAAATTTTGATTGATGATGTTCGTTAAAGTGACTCGATATTTCCCCCGTAAACGCCATGCTCCACCATAATAGTCCCATTTCAAACCATCCCAGTATCCTTACAAGGTCTTGATGCCCTGAAATACTTTATTTGCTTGCAACTTGCTATCGGCATTCACCAGGTCACGCATAATCTGGCGCTTCTGATCAGATGAGAGATCCTTGCCTTCAATTTCTGCCTTCCACTTCAACAACATCTCCTTCAAGAGAGCACTACCCTCTTCCACCTCCTCCGCGGAGTATTTGTCAAGAGAAGGTGTAGCTTGTTGCTTCTCTGCAGAATCAGTACTGGCAGAAGTAAAGTCTTCCAGTTCCTCTGCCTTCTGACGAGCCATGTTGACTACCTTGTCAGGGAAACGGACCAGTTCGGCAACATGGATACCGAATGATTGATCACAGATACCAGGCTCCACACGGTAAAGCAGAGTAACCTGGCGCTTCTTCTGCGCGTCGGTCTCAGAATCACCGTCGGCGTCTGTTCCATCCCCAATGAATGCAACGACGTGCAGGTTCTTAACTGATTTCGGGTATCGGTCTGACAACGCGGTTAACTCGTGGAAGTGAGTTGCGAACATGCCGAAGCATCGGATCTCGGTGATGATATGCTCTGAGATAGCCCATGCCAGGCCGAATCCATCGTAAGTGCTGGTTCCACGACCAAGCTCGTCGATGATGATAAGGGACTCGGATGTAGCGGATTTGAGGATGTTTGCCGTTTCCAACATCTCTGCCATGAATGTGGAGACACCCTTAAGCTGGGAGTCACTGGCACCTACACGGGCCAGAATGCAATCGAAGATTGTTAGCTCGGCCTCAGTACATGGCACAAAGCAACCAGTCTGTGCCATGAGCGCGATCACACCGATCTGTCGAATGTATGTGGATTTACCACCCATGTTAGGGCCAGTGATAACGAGGAAGGAAGATTCGTCACGAATTAAGGAGACATCGTTGGTAATGAATGAGATGTCGTCTTGCATTTCCATGCATGGGTGACGGGCTTCCTTGAGCACAGTGTTACCTGTACCACGAGGGTGCATTTTAGGACGGACGTAGCCAGCGGGGGCATGAACAGAGGCATGAGCAAAGCTCACAATAACATCGAGATGAGCCAGTACACCCGCAAGCTGCTCCAGAACAGGGCAGTATGAGGCAGCGACATTGACAACTTCGCTGACGAGTCCTGTCTGGGTACGGTTGTAGTTGGAGGACAATTGGTCGTGCTCACGACGCAGGGCCTGCATAGTAGAGGTAGTGAAGTAAACACCGTTCTTCTGGGTAGAGCATTCTTGGTAGCCCTTCTTGTTACGGATACAGCCGGCTTCAGCACGAGTCACACGGAAACACCAGCCATGTACTCGGTGGTTCTCCAAGAATAGCTTCTTCTCCATATCCTGATTCAAGTCGTCGGCGACATGGCGGTGCTCCATATCCATATCGTAGCGCAGCTTGTCAAGCTTCTTCCGAATAACCCTGAGACTGTCATCGAATTCGGGCTTGATGATGAATTCGTGGTTCTCGAGAGCATCCAGGTCAACTGTGGTTTCAACCATGTCCTCCAATCTGGAGAGGTTGTCTGAGTAACCTCGGATCTTTGTAGTGTACTCTTTCTCCAATGGCGCCTGATACGCCTCATCCATTACATCTTCCAGTGCATGCACAAATCCGGGCAGACGAATGGCAACTTGATAAACTCTCACAACATCTTCCAGATTAGCCTGCTTCTTCTGGAATCGCTTGGCCAAGCGGTAGAGATCTGGAATGGCACGGAGGTGCTCCTCTTGCATAGTCTGTCGCAACTCCGTGTTAACAACAAAGGCTTCAACAAGCTGTTGACGTTGCTCAATAGCCGCAAGGTCCATCAGCGGCTGCTTAAGCCACTGAGCCAACAGACGACTTCCAACAGGAGTTTTGCAGTGATTAAGCAAACCAAACAGACTCATACTCTTAGATCCATCACGAGGCCCAGGCATCAGGTTCAAAGCTCTTAACGCAGAAGCATCAAGTTTCATGTACTGCGATAAATCATGCTGGTAGAGCTGATACTGGCCAAAGTTAGTCGCATCAGACATGACACCCAGATACTTAATCAAAGCAGAGGCAGAGCCCATAGCCAGCTTGAGTTCCGTCTGTGGCAAAGTTCCAGCTGAACGCTCATCGCGCAGCAGTCTCAGTCAAATCCTGCTCGATATCCCGGACGCCGAAATCAGAGGCCGGTCGCTCAGAGATCGCAATACCACAGCTATCAGCAATAGCGCGGATCTTGCCGAGCTCAACATCTTTCTTGGTGGAATCCATCACAACGAGACATTCTTTCACGCCGAGTTGGATAACCAGGGACTCGAAGTTTGAGTAGACGTCGTTATCGAGGAATTCGCTAACACCAAGCTCCCGAACGCTCGCATCGGCGAAACACACTCCAACGTTTCGGGCTTCAGAAGCTCGAGCTGAGATCTTCACGGCGAGGATGATTGGAGAGGAATCCATAGACAATGCGCCTACGCTACCGAGCTCCTCTTCAACATCTTGTAGGTTACCTGGACTGGCTTGCTTGGCTAATTTCCAGTTCCCCTTGCCTGTACCACCAGAAACCCAGATCTCGATACGCTTGTTCAGCTGGAAGAGGGCTTCACGGAGGAAATTCCGGAATACAGTTACTGTCATGGTGACAGAGGCTAGACCGCTACTCTCGCTGCGGCCAAGGTTTCGGAGGACGGAGGTGGTTTTGTAGACGGTGCGAGCGATGAATTCGGCATTGGAACCGTGGGCTGAGTACCAGTCACCGCGATCGAAAATACGGAGGGTTTCATTGTCGTCGGATTCAGGGAGGGACTTGTAGAAGCGGATGAATCCGACTTCATCGTCGACCTGTTACTAATAGTTAGTATAGATCAAGGCTGGAAAATCACAGATTGGGGAATGTCATTACCTTAAGATCTGGTCGAGAAGACATCTTGTCTAACTTTCTCTAAAGACAGATTCAGCAGGACAAAATTGTCATGAAGCCGGGGAAGCCGAGTTGCAGAGAGATGGAGACGCGCCGCACAACGCGGTCACGTGTGACGCGTCACGCGTTAAGTGCAGATTAGATAGATCTAACGAATAACCTTGGAAGCTATCTAGAGTATGATTTATATGCACTGAATTGTTTCATGGTTGTAATTATTATTTGTGAGACTAATGACTAATTTAATGGTGCCTTGATATCCAAGGTCTAAGACATGTATGCTAAAGTACAGGGTATCATCAAAACGCTTATGCAAGACCGCGAGCAAACCCGGCTACACGGATGGGGGAATTCGAGAAATGAAAAGAAAAAAACACGACGCCAGACAAAGACCGATAACAGGGTCTTCAAATGCTCAAAATAGGGGCAGACACACAAGAGGTTGTCTTGTTCTCCCACTCAGCTTTCAACACAGCCACCTTGGCGACAATCTCCTTGGGCGCAATATCCTTGCAAGACTTCAACACGACAGATTTCATCCCATTCACAGTCACAATATTAACCCAATGACCAGCAACACGGGCATCTACCAGGATCTCAAGGCAAGCCTCAACCTCATCCACGGGAATAGGGCTGCGGGAAGAATGGCGCACATGTTCGACGATGGTCTCAAGCTTGAAGGGTGTGCGTTGGTTCGCAAGCATAGCTTTGATACCAGTTCCGACGTAGCCAGCGGGGCGGAGGAGTGCCAAGATACTAACAATTTCCTCCGCACGATCAGCTGCAGAGCGACGGACCATTTCTTTCTTTGAGAGTGGAGGCGGGAGCTTGGACTGGCGGAGTTCCTTGCTCTTAAGACGTTCCAGTAGACCCTGGCGACGGTTGTTGGTGGGAATCGAAGGCTTGGAGTTGGTAAGGGTACCCTCTGCGCGCAAGGCTTCGGTCTTCATGCGAATGACACCACTTCTGAGATCTTGCAGACGCTGCTGGCCCTTCTGGAACGCGGTGAAAGGAGTAAGTGATTCGTGGATACAGGCGAGACCCAGAGTTTCGATGAACATAGCAGGACGCTCCTCTTCGTTAATTTGGTTCAGAGATTCCTCTGTTTGCTCCCAAAGTAAATCAAAGGCCTGCTCAAACGCATCTTGCAAGCCTGAGGCGGTTTCGTCGATTTTCACAGTTCGTTCGAGACACACTTTGCCGAGTCCATAGTTGGCGAGGCGGTAGCACACGTCCTTGGCATTCAAGGTGTGATCCCAGACCCAGACCAAACGTTGAATATCCTTGGGCTGAACCTTGCGCTTCTTCCAGATCCGGGTGACACTGGGGAGGAATTCTCGGAAATCGGCAGGGGTGATAGGACCATTGTGCGCGGCATGAATGGCGAGGGCTTGAACGAATGCAGTGTGGAGTTCCAGGAAATCAGAAACACAAGAGACTCGGGGCGCGAGAACGGGTTCTTTGAGAATGAGAACGGGTTTTTCAAAATTGATAGTGCGCTGCTTCGAAGGGGTATTGGGAGTTGAGGGGCTCTCGGCGATAGTTGCAACACGCGATCGGCGACTGGGAGTTCGCTTTGGAGTTGCAAAGTGACCACTTCGTGGAGAAGAAACAGACAATTGGCTAATTTTCAAAGTCTTCGAGGGAGTCTCGGCTTCCTCCTCTGTAGGTTGACGACCCGGACTTTCCACATTCTGAAGTTCCTGCAGCTTTCGCTTTTTCGAGGGTGAAACGGGCAAAGATGCGACAGTCCTCTTTCCGGGCAATTGCGGTGTAATGCCGGCCTTGGTTGCCGTTGTGAAGATCTGAATGGCGGGTTGATTTTGAGGAAGGCAGCTGGACCTTGTGAGACGCGGCATCGCGGCTGCAAATTTTTTCGCACTTGCTAGACTCGAGCAGGTTTTGGAGGAAATCGCGACACGATAAATGCACACTAGAAGATAGTCAGGGTAAGAGATACCGAGATATCGAGATATTATGGAAGTTGGGTAAAGAGGAAGGCTCGTGCAGGAGAGGAAAAACCGGGGGTAAGAACGGGGTATTAAGGGTTGAAATTGCAACGCGTCGCGCGTTTCGGGTTAAAGTGAGACGCGTCGGACACGAAAATCAATCACGGGAACGAGAACACGCTAACGGAGTATGAGTTTTTGATAAAAAAAAAAAAAGAAAGAAAAATCTTTTAGGATATGAGAGGATATGGTATTGAGAATGGGCTTTGCAAGAATAATATAGAGACACTCAATACCCCATTTTCATAGTAATTTGGTCGCTGCGGTGATCATGCGGCATCGGAATGTTGCGACCTGGGAGATGATCTCCGCGTCTTATCAGACCAATGCTTCATCTTGAACCAGTTGGCAGTTCTCAAAGCCAATGCGGTCGAGAATTGTTAATCCCAGCATATCTCCAAGTCAATGATCCGAAGTCCATTCATCCCACTTTCCCACATAACCAGAAACAGTCTCATATCGAAGATTCATCCAACAATTGCATTACTTGCATAATAATAAATACCCATACAGCGCCTGAGATCAAAAAAATAACTTGAAACAGCGAGAACAAGGTCGACTTCAAGTTCAAAGAATGATTCGAATCATGAACCAACCTTGTCTCTGATCAAGAATGACACCCCAAGCCTATTTCTATTTCTTTCCACCAAACCAACCCGACACCGTCCCCTTCGCCTCAGCCGTCTTCTGCTCAACCGAGCGATCCACCTTGTCAATCTCCGAACTGATCTTATCCCGTGTCTCCTGACGCAAATCATCAAACTGCTTCTTTCCTTCTTCCAGCTTCTCCTTTCCGTTCTCCTTCATCTCGGGGATTCTCTCATCAAGCTTGAACTTGGAGCGGGCGTTATTGATCTAATCAGGTCATCGTTAGTATTGATATCCACATACTTCGTAGTTCCCACGGGTATAGTAATTGTGGTCAAGCTCTCCGGGACGCTGGTTTTCGAGTCCTGGCTCGCCACATAGAATACTGGGAGCAGATACGTACAGCCTCATCAACAACAGCCCCGGCTTCCTTCCCGGCATTTGCTCCCGCTTTCTCGGCGCTTTCACCGCGGGGAAGCTTCTCGCGTGCCTTGTCGGCATCAACTATACTCGGGTTAGTATGAGGATCATGAATCACTGGCATTCAAGTGGACGATGTAGTTGTAGCAACTATTAGATTGATCAAGGATCCTTGGGATAAAACGTACTCTTCATCTCCTGCTTAGCACCTTTCACATCGCCGCCTGCACGGTAGAGGTAGTATCCGCCTGCACCGGCGGCGGCGAGACCCAGGTAAACGCCGATACGACTCTGCGACATTTTTCAGTTGATTTGAGAGTGTAAATTAGGGTAGAGAGGAATAAGTAGAGTAGAAATGGGTTTATGTAGAAGGAAAGTGGAAGGTCAGGTACAGTCAAAAACTGGAAGTAGAGATGAGGTCGACAGGTTTAATACTTCCAGTTTTTTTTTGGCTCTAGAACCGTCACCAGACTATGACGTCTGTCTCGGGTGTTTTACTTTGGTGCATGCGTGAGCTCGGATCTTCGATTAGTCTATAGCGGGGTTTGAATGAATTGTCTGAGTTGAATGAAAAGCATTTGGATATCTCTTGGGAAATTCTTTTATAGCTACCTAGGTACAAACTTGAAGGTTGTGTTGGGTGAACTACGCTAGGAGAGTATTTGTCTCTACTATAAGCCGGTAGCTCTGACACCTGTAGAGCTTCCGGGGTTTGATCGTATACTTTGATTCACTCCCCAGTTTACAACATTTGATATCATCTGATATCGAAACAAGCTGTAGGATATGAAAATAGCTCGTCTAACACAGCTTTAGTCCCAGTGTTCTATTTCATATTTCATTGTGTAGTGCATCTTGAGTTGCATTGCTTCCAAGGTCCAGGTCTAGTTCGGTTCTATGGGCCGCTGTCGACGTCACCGGCTAGTCATGGTTTCATTCTCAATGAACCAAGATCCGGAAATCATTTAGAATTGGCCACTCACGAACTTGAACTCCGATAATTTAAACTGACGCACTTGAAGATGAGGCTCCATTCAATGGACTATTCATAGTGCTGGATAATAAGAGGCTGGGGGAAGACTTCAGTATGCGGGGTAAACGTCATGACTACTTGGCACTAGCAGATCAAAACTCCCCACAGAATGGAAATTTGAAGTCCAAAACTTGAATGTGTCAACTGGTGTTTGCAAATCAATTACGAGGAAGAATATTCATGCAATTTGCATTTCAGTCATATTGGCGTTGTGAATATCGTCAAGAACAATGGAAAGGCCGTAGACGGCATGACATGATCCACCATCATATAAAAAGTATAGTAAAACAACGACAGGAACAGTAGACGTGAGGAGGCATCCAGACATAAAAATTGAAACGGTCAAAAAGAACCACCAAAATGAGAGGGATGGATAATCGAGGCTAGGTCACGATTAGAGGGGAAGGAGTTTATGAGATGAGGAGAATGACAAACACCAATAGATCGAGGCTTGGGTATCGTCATGCACACGATGCCATCCATACGCTCCCGCGCACAGAAACGCCCAGGAAATGCAGCGGAGGTCCGGCAACCCTGTAACAAATCAAATAAAGAAAAACCAAGAATATACTCCCCAGCGTAAATTGAAATCACAAAGTCCAAAAGAAAGCCACGGTGAAAACCAATTTCGAGTTTTCCGTTCATGTATAGTTTCATAACGTCATCAATTCATCAAGGGCTTGATATGAGTCCCCAAAGATAAGAGTTAGAGGGAGAGCGAGGGAGAAGAGAAGGAGGTGTGGAGAAGGAGGTATAGAGAAAGAAAAGGCGTCAAGACCAGGATTTCCCACATTTCATGACGTGGGTGGAGTAGATGCGGAGCTTCATCTGTTCGAGGGAAACGAAAGGGGAAAAAAATATAAAAGACGGTATATAGGATCGTCAAATGTTGGATGAGTCGAATACACAATTTACAAGAACAACTTTGTAGCACTTTTGTTCTCGCTGGTCGCGACCGCCACCAAGGCCTCAAGGCGACCCATGCCGGAATCCCGGACAGAGGAGTCGTTGTAGCCGGGGTTTCGAGGCTCTTGCTCGGAATGGCCTGGGTAGCCGTCGGATTGAGAATCTCGTTGACCACAAATCTATGACGGCATTAGTAACCGAGGCGAGAGCCGTCCGTTCGAAGAGGAATTCCTACCGGTTGGGGGTGATGATCGGATGACAACGAGGAATCGTGCGATTCAATATATCCGCTGCTGTGTACAATTGCCGGATGGTATTCAATAGATGCGGTGGATGGAGTATGTACCCCCCTCGCTACTGCTGGAATCCTCGGGGGATGTATGTGCGGGTCGACTTCCTGTAGAAACACTAGGAGCGTGACCATGGCGGTGCTCTTCCGGGCTTCTTTCGACTGTTGGCCCGAATGTAGGGTGGTAAGATGAGGAGGGTCGGGATGAAAGGTTTTGAAGTTCAGCAATCGTCTGCTGGCTCCATTGAGATGCGTCCCTTGAAGATCGTCGATCTCGAATATCAAGCCCTGTCAGGTTGGTGTGTAAAGACATGTCCCAAGAGACATGGCCTCGGCGGTGACCTGGGCCAGAAATAGGTGGTGCTGGACGAACGGATGGCGCATTGTAGTTGAAGCCAGCGGCAAATGCATGATTGGGCGGTGGTGCTGGTCGGCCGTGTCCATCAATGTGCATCGGGCTTGCCTTACGAGTTGGAGGCGTCAATGGGCGATGTTGAGAGACAACTTTGTCAAAACTCTCAATTCCGGGCAGTCGAGGTGGCTGGTCAGCAGGAGTATTGTTATTGCTGGCATTGCTACCGAATGACGGCTGAACAGTGTCGGGGGTATGATATTGGCTTAGACCACTAGTTGACGGGCGGCCAAATACAGGGTATGTTGAGGGGTGCCATGTTCGTCGTCGCATCTCAGCCTCAGCCGCACTCAGGGTACTTTCGTCTCTTGAAGGAGGATAATTGCTGCTAGTAGGACTGGCAAAAACTCCCGCCGCATTAGGATAATGAGCACCGGCTGCAGAGTTAACATAAGGAGGATATCCGCTATGTTGAGCCAGAAAAGGATTACTGCTGGTCGGTACTGATAGCCGCCGGGCGGCTGTCTTACCCTCCCAAAAATGACCTGCTCCAGACATTGGTGATGCGTACTGAGGGCTGCCATTTGTTCCATTGGCAAACATGTTAGATGGAGTATACGGTGAACCACTTGCTGACGGTCCTGGGTATCCACGAATTTGGCTAGGCGGCGTACTCGGAGGCTCCCCCATCGGATCGAGCCCCAATCTAGCACGACCAGTGGGGTCGTTGGCCATCATTAATGGCGGAGGACGACGCCGAAGCTCGGGCGGTTGGCTGAATGTCGAAGCAGTTGAAGCAATGCTAGAGGTTGATATATTGCGGCTGTGACCACGGCTGTGACCACCTGCGCTGCCGGCGGTGCCTGCCCGCGCGCGACCCGGTGGACGCACACGGTCCGTTCGTACCTGGCGCTGGAACCGAGTGCCGGTGGCCGCCAACGAGTCTCCCGGGATCTCCTCATTTACATGGACGGTTTGTGCGTGTTGCCGAAGATTGTCGAGGCGAGAGAAACGACGGGAGCAATGACATTGAAAAGGTCGCTCTCCGGTATGCTTGCGAATATGACGGGCTAAGTGCTCACTCCGGGTGAAACTGAGGTTGCAAGGAGGGAAGTCTGTGCAGAAAAAGCGTTGACCCTTCTTCTTCTTTGATGGTGGTGCGCTACCGGGTTCTCCCTCGTGGTCAGATGCATCGTTCTCCCCCTCTGAATCGTGCATCGGTTCATCAGACATTGATGCAGTCCTCGCGTGTCCTACTGAAACAGTTGTGTGCGAGCTTTCGCTTCCTCTGCTGGTCTTGAGCCCATCCGAGCGTTGTTCTGCGATAGGAGATCGATCCGGCGAGGCCTGGACGCCGTTAGGGTGAGCGCGGGGTGTTGTCGCACCGTCCATAGTGTGGTCATCGGTCGCGGCCGAATTGTTCACAGGAAGGAAGGAGGCCATATTGGCGACGTAAGAAGTGGAGGCGGGTGATGTCAAGGTCTCGGAGGGGGAGGGGGGGGCCAGAGGCAAACCCTATCCGGTCGCAACGCCGGCAACCCGATCCGCTTTTCCCTTATGGACCTCCAGAATCCCGGGAGGTTGAATAATTTGAAAGGGGATGGGATTGTAGAAAGCGCAAGGCTACGGGGATATCGGGGGGCGGAGTCGGATGGCCAGGATGACTGTCAACATTGCACACAGTTAGATCCGCATTTGGTTTCTACATAATAAAAAAAAAAAAGACCCTTAAAGATAAAAAAAGAATCAAAGGTCATCTTTGATCAACCATTCTTGTTTGTCCTTTTTTTTGTTCTTCACTATAAGAAGAGAAAAATATCACGTACGATTTCAAGTGGCGCTTACACGAAAAGCAAGATTTCGTCAAGGACGCAAGGGTGGAAGGAGATATGTAAGAGAGAAAGAAAGAGGGAACCGACTAGCCGATCATCTCAGGCACGTTAGGGAGACCGCCACGCGAATCAGGATGGTGGGGACCTTGTTTCAGGATTTCCGATCTGATTCTGATATATAGATTCAGATAAAAAGGAGGGGAAATGTAATAGATGTAAAGAAAAGTTGAAGGTTGAAATATTCAAGCATAGAATAAAAAGAAAAAAAAGTTCAAAAAGATATTCCCCCCAGTATTCAAGATATTTCTTCTCCTTCACCAGGGTTTTTTGGTTAAGGGTTCAAGGGGAAAAAATGGTGACGACTAGAAAAGAAAGAGAAAAAAAAGAGGCTTATCGGAAGCGAGGGGCAAAAGAAAAGACAGCTTACGAGGTCAGATTGAAGATCCCAGGAACTTCAAGGACTTCCGGGGCTACCGAATCAATTCAAGTTTCACCAGACCCTATGCGACTATAACCGATACTAAAAGGCACCAGGCACCCGATGTATGATTCATTTAAGGACATAGTTCCCGTGGAGTATTGACGTTAACATACTTCTAGACCCTTCAATGTTATCCACAATTTTTTGGACTTTTGGTATACTTTGGAACTATTACCTAGAGTATTACTTTATGGATCCCCCAGTATAAAGAAACTGACCTATGATTATCCCCCTTGCATCTGGATCACATCCTCCGAACTCAAGCTCCGTCATACTCTCCAGGCTTTTCTAGGGTATGGTTACGCGGGGGACCATTCCGAATGGTCCGTTTTGATACAATATTTCTTGTCTATCAAAGAAACCCCCCAAGTTCTTACAGGTACCAAATAAAAAAAAGGAGGTACGAGATAGGAGATCCTCAAGTACTTCCTAATCGAATAGCTCTGACAGGTGTATCTGATCTAGATTTCACAGACTCACAGACCTCGGGAATTATACGGGCATTGACCCCATTGATAAGAGGATCAGACTTCCATTATTGTACATACATAGGTAGTATACATAGTATACGCTGTACAGTACCTTAGGTATTTCTTAGATGTTCCAGATCTCGGTTTTCCCCCCATACTAGTACTGATACTGGCGGCCTTACTCCAAAAAGGACTTGAACTACATTTACTAGGTGGCGGCTATATTTCACTCAAGCATCTGCTCCAAGTTATCCTTTACTCCATCATTTCTGTACCAAATACAAATACCCTGAACCTCGGACCCATCATTCACCATCCATCATTCGACGATCCGACCCCTCCGCCCCCGCTGCGTTCAGACTCTCTAATCATCCAAAGTTCATCTTGAAACCTTCAGGCCCCGGTTGGCACCGACTGGCCCGTTAAGGATTCACTGTGCCTGCGTCTCCCGTGTAATAAATTCAGGTAAACTTTTTTTTTTCTTTTCCTTTTTTTTCTCCTGGATCCGTTTGTCGTAGATGGGCTGCAAACGGTAAAAGCCAACGGGAATATGATATCGTCGATCGGCGGGTCAAAGTAAATCGGCCCACGTCGTACACTGGCCCACCTGACAAACTCGAAGTAGATCCCATGGTACGGAGAATGTATGCAATAATTGCTAATGTTAATTCAATCTTTTAAACTCATTATACTAGAATATTCTTTCTAAATTATATAATTATACTACCATGTGCATGTAGTAGCCCTGGAGATTTGACTGTTTGGTTCAAATGTTCAAGTGTTTGGTACTCGAGATCGAGACCTTTTTTACTCCAAGTTCTTTCTTACCCCGGGTCCACGGCTCCAATTCATCCTTGAACTTTCTATAAACTTACCCAATTCTCCTATGTTTCCCTGTGGGTTCTTTACATTTCTTTGGTTCCTCTTCGCCTATACCATTACTCCTACAACTTGAACTCTCAATATGATCCATCTTACACTCTATTATACGATTACATTATGTAGGCGCGTGCTCATACCATATGTGACGCCACTGTTCAAATGAATGATGTGCTCTACTTTGTGGATTTCCCCCCTCTCTCCCCGCCCCCATGAGACTCGAACTCCCATGGCCACGCCATCGGGGCAATCTGGAACAAGAGAGGGGGGCGCAGTAGTCGATTGTCTGAGGATTAAAGAAGCGGATTGGTGCAAGCAGCGTTTGGGATACGCGCATGCCGAGACAATCTAGGCCGGAGAATTCATAGCTGAGCACTTTTCCCGGTTTCATGTTTGGAGAAAGAAAGAAAAAAAACATTTTGAAAATGTACATCTAGTGGAAGGAAGAAAAATCCGCTCACTATGTATCCTGATTTAAAATGATCGACGTTCCTTTTACCCCTCCCCTGTGTACCTATTCCAGGTTCTTCATGGTGCAAGTAATTCGACCCATGAGGGGAAAAGAGAGGGGGAGGCAAGATATTATCGTAACGATTGACATGTCTCGTCCTTAAGATAAATCTGATTGGTCTGAACTTCCCGTGGGAAGGGTCAACTTGTACACTGAGATGCGTAAGGCTTGAAGAGGGGCAAAATGGGTCATCGGGTACCTGTAGGTACAACTGCAGGGCGCCACCACGACGATTGGGGAAGCGCACGACCAGGTAGTGGCAGGTACCTGCAGGGCTTTATCGATCATCCTGGAACCTGAATCATGCCTTTTTTTTCTTTTATTTCCCCGATCGGCGCATCCACGGGTGAGGATCCCCACTTGGGTATTTTCTGACGTCGTCGACTTTTTGTTTAGTACGGAGATGGCGGAGATCATTGAAAGGGATTCTCCTCGTATGAAGGATAACAAGGCGAATATCCCCATCAATCAGATTCATTTCTGACAGATTTCATTTATTCAAAGTTGTGAGTCATGGATTTTCGCCCCTGGATGATCAGTTTGCCTTCTTTGAAGCGGTGTAGGGAAGGGCTGATATACATCCAGTGTGGTACCTCTTGTAACGTGGAAGATGACAGGTCGGTTTTTACTTCTCCCGATGTCTTATGTACATACAGTACTTCGTAACCAGGCACACAATTCAAAAATAACACATGCATGTGTCTATAAAAATACATTTCGAGAACTTGTCTTGATATCCCCGCAACCAATCATACTAGTCGCCGAGCATCACCATCCAGGAAGACCCATGTATACATCCCGATACTCGCAAGAAGGATGCGTACCTGGGGTCCTGGCCACGTATGTACATGCACAGTTCAAGAAACGAAACATCAAAAGCAGGAAATAATAAGAGAGGGGGAGAAGAAAAAAAAAAAAATACACGGACACATGGATCCCAACTTATCCCATGATCCCCTTGTTGATTGGCGTCGTACAAGAAATGAGGCTACTCGGTCCACTCCGACCAAATCACCATGCATTCTACCTATGGGAGAATAAATCACAATTTCAGATCGGACGATGAAGCACAACTGGAATTTCCCTGCTTACTTTTTTCTGAACCCTGCACCTTCGTCGCCAAGGTTCTCATTGGATTGGTTATCGCTGTACTCCGTTAAGGCAACCCTGGGTATCATGCTCAGACTCATGCTACAGTGCACAATACACAACACACCTCAGGCCCCCGCCCTGGACTTGATCGATCTTATGCAAGGAGTCATCTGACAGCCTTCCAACGGTAAGCGTTTTGTAAATCTCCGAGGTGCGGAGGAAACATGGGATTATTCTGATCTGTAGGATTATTTTTACTCTTTTTTGGAGCTTGTGCGATTTGGCTTTGGACTGATGCTGCTGTGGGTTTGCCCTTGTTGTTGAGCTTTATTTCCAGTGGTCTGGTGTTACTATTGAGCTTCCCAAGGTACTACTCCTGTTCCTAATGCCAGGTACCTGGGACTTGGATCTAAATTGAACTTATCTGGGGTAGATTGGTCCGTGTGGTCGATGGTGTTAAACCGTGGTGATAGCGATAAAGAGTTTGTTATGAAAACTTTGACGAATCAAGGGTTATTTAGTCTGTATTCTTTATTTGGTTCCTCTTATTATCATAATTTCTTTTTTCATTCCTGCATAGCGCTATTCTATCGTAGAATCCTCGAGTGTAAATCATTACTCCGGGTAAATATAGTCAAGACTTTCTATAACCAATACAAGAGTCTCATCTGAGCCTATTATATTATCCCTTATGCTTATCGACTCAGTGGTCCTACCACTGAGCTAACCATCACTGCTGCTTCTCGTTCCCAATTACCCAATACCACTGTATCTGTCCCAGTTCGACCCTTCTCAGCCAGATTACCTGTAGCAGAAACCTGGGAGGAACGTATCACACAGTCTTTGATTTCAGCCTTGAGTCGATCGCGGTTGGATCTCAGGGCACGGGCAGAGACACCCCCGCGGTTCAAAATTTCCTGCACGCGGGACGTGAGGGAGGATGCGAGTGATCGCCAGTAATACGAGGGCAGGGATGTGGTATCCAGGGCCTGAAGGAGGGGCTGAAGGAGGTTGGCCTTGCCTGGTTCTGCATTTTCGGAGTCTGGGGTGGGTTGTTCATCGCTGGGAGTAGATGAGAGAAGTGGGTGAGAGGGGATTCGAATGCTTCGCAAGATTGATTCCAATGCAACGATATCCTGGCATCGGGCAGAGATCTCGGCGAGGGCACGGTCCATGGTGGGGAGTTGGGAGAGGCCCTTTGCGAGGGCGTTTGCAGCTGTAATGATGGAGGTCTGCATATACCCTTGCAAAGTGGAAATAAGGAGTTCAGGTTTGTAGTTTGATGTGGTGACAACATCCTTGGGTATGGGTGAGAGGAGATATAAGGTAGTTGCAGCTGTGGAAAGGCGGGATCGTGCATCGCGAGCCTGTTTGTAGCTCGATGGCATGGATGACTGGCCATTGGTGGTACCGGTACTTGTCAACGAGAAGCGATTGATGCTTTGCTGTGCCCTTGACTTCACCATGTTCTCTGCTGGGATCACAAGCTCATTTCGTAAGGTACGAGTAGCCTTTACTCGCATCAACCCAAATCCTTCCTCTTCCTCTAATGTTGCTGAAAACATTTGTCGCAGATGTAAGATGGTAACGGCGGCCCGCTCCAGTGCTCGAAACCCTTCCTTTCCAGCCGGCGAGTTTGTTTCAGTCCCTGGTCCTGGAGCCTGCGTAGAACCGCGCCCGGTTAACTCGGCTACTTGACTCTCCAATTGTCGACCGAGTGTTAAACACCGCGCGACAGCTCGAGCGAGCCGGACTGTCGCTAATGAGTTCTCTGCTGCGATCCGAGCTTCTTCCGCAGCTTGCCATTTTTGCAATACCTCCTTCTCCAGCCGTTCATAACCTGAAGTTACTGATGCGATCTGCGTCCCTGTTTCTTTCAAGATGTGCTCGGCGGCTGCAGTTTGGTTTCGGGTGTGTGATAGAAGAGGCAATGCGGACTTTGTAGTCAACCCGTGAATGTGGGTGTCGATTTCTTGGAGATCAAACAGTACTCGGGAGAGTGGAGTCGAAAGATCCAGGGGAGTATCGGTGGCATTGTTCGTACTGAGCACGAGTGAATTGGCGAATCCGGCCGGAGAGAGAACTCGGGGTCTAGGAACGCCTCATAATCGATGTATGAGGGCTCCCCTGCAGACATCTTGATAGTCGAGGTTTTTTGAATAGAAAAACGATTGAATGACAGCTCAATGGGAATTTGCTTTATCGAGGACGCAAAGCAGTAACAATTGGGTATCGATGCGCTAGAAAACACGGATGTGTCGAACGGTGTGGAAGTATTATATCGAGTTATTTCGGAAGGAAAGTTCAGGGGACAAAATTTCGAATCTGATGTCTCTCATGCTATCGCTTGTCAATCGTGTCATGAGATTATGGAAGGAATCATGCGACTGATCGGGCTTCGGGGAAAGACAACTGTCGAGAGCTCCCCGGGCTGCGATAATCCCACATGGCGCCGATAACAGATTACACGTGATCCAGCTTAGTCATTATCAACAGGGACGCCCGCATGGGGGCCCTCGGCAGTCCTAGGCACCTCTAGGGCTCCAGCGGCTGGGCCTGTGCCCCTATGCCTCCAACGTTCCGGGGTTAACTCCCGAGTCCACCCGCATATCACAAAGTCGGTTCAAATATTTCAGTGCCGACGTACCAAAAAATTGTCATTTAACCACTAGACATTCAAATTTTCTGTTAATAAAAGACTCGCAGCTAATGGCGCCTTTCTCTTATGTGCCTATGACAGCCAATGTGCTTATACATGCGGAATGCTACTATATCTCACTTTCAGATGCAGAACATTCAAATGTTTGTATAATTGCCTAGGCGGTGGCTCTTTATTCTTCTGAAATCCCAAAAGCTGCCTTCAACTGATCATCATATCCCTTCCTATCCTGTTTCTTACGTGCCGCAATTCGTACTAAATCTTTGGACCAGTACCATGGCATAATCTCCAGGAAGTTCTGGTAGTTGTCTGTGCTATGATGACTTGGGCAAAAATCCATGAAGCGTGGCTGTATCTGTTTATAAAACACAGAAAATATTCCAGTCGGGCTTGCAAGTACAAGAGAAAACCAGAATGTCCCAGTTTCCCAGCTGCGGTTCATTATCTCAGAAAGACTGATATTTTCCGAGGTCAACTCAGTCAACATCTCTTCATTTGCCATGATGTCGATAAATTCAGACCTGATTTTGTTATATTCACTAGTATCTTCAGCAATCTCGTCACAGGCTTGGTTCGTAAGCCATGTTGGTGTACGAATCATTTCAATCGGTCGGGAGCAAGCCCATTCAAGATCAACAAGACAAGTGATATGCCAATCGTCATCAATAAAAATGTTGCTTTGATGCATATCGGTCAGGTTGAAAACAAAGGGACCTCGAAAAAACTCGCGTCGGAAAAGTGATGGGAAGGTAGCTTGCATTGCAGTCAAAGCTGAAACTTGGTAGACGTAGTCTCCTGTATGATTGATTGCATTCGGTTGGTTCACGATGCGATTATTGTGGTTTCCGATCAGATCGACAATGTAAGATGGGACAGTTGAGTATGTCTCACATCTTGACATGTTGATCGGAATTTGGTCATTTTCCAGGTCCTGGATTTCAAGGGAGAATGGTCGATTTTTGAGTTGCAGATACCCATGGCTATCGATAATGAAGGATCCAATCGATGAAACAGGCACACAAGCCAGACTGAGTAGTATTCGAGAGAGATCACGAAATAATTTTCGACGATATGTAGGCTCTTGGTGTCATTCGAGCCATGTCGATGAGAGCATTTGGCCTTGAGTACTCTCGATGAACTCTAAGAGTAGATAGCCTGATGAGAATCCATCGCTTTTAGGAATCAACGTTGGTGGATGAGGAACGAGCAAAGAAGGAATTGGCTTGCCGAGACAGGAAAGTAGAAGTCGGTGAAAGTAACTGAAACATCGCCTAAAGAAAGGCAGACCATGTAGGTAGGTGAACTCAAAAAAAGAATCATTAATGCAATCCCACTATCAAGGTGACTTGAGAGATAGGTAATGGTGAAGAGGAGAATGAGTATGGAATGCAAAGATGCTTTACTAGAGATTGAATTATATGCCACCTGCTCTCAAGAGAAGTGACTTTCAATGGGAAGGGGACATCTAGTTGTCAATGGGGAACTTGAAGTGGGCCATCAAAAGGAATTGAACACAGTCTGTCCATCTGAAGTAGCGAACCCATATAGTTGAGGGATGGGAACATCAGGACAATTTTCCTGTAGCCAAGCATATATTCCTGCTTCACACCGGATCTTCTCGTCCGAATTCCCAGGACGAAACTCTTCACCTGTACGGTATGGAAGAGGCAACCGAAGGAGAACGCGTGTACCAGAGTGCTTTCGTCTACCATCTACGCTGATGGTCACTGGAATGCAGACATTGAAGCTTCCATGGAGCCAGTCTTCCACATTAGCGACCTGGCAAGCATTGGGAGACGGGAGTCCTAAATGATGGACTACAACAGCTTTCATCCAATTGCCATGGTTAGAGAGACGGGTAAAAAATTCATTTTGTTGATCATAGTATTGAATCCGACGTAAGATGTTAACTTCTTCGGTTTTTGCTTCAGAGTATCTTATCTCTCTCCTCAAAAGACGCAGGGCTTCGGGCATGACGGCGATTAGCCGATGTCTGTAAATCAAGATCTTGAGCCCTTGAAAGTAAGAAAGTAATCCAGTACACTACCTTCAACAGGCCTGTAAACCAACATTTGGAATCTTATTGAAGAATAGTATAGACAAGGAACATTTTGAAGCCATATCCATGAAAATCCAGTGAGTTTCTAGTTCAAAGGTAGTCTTTGTGTGCATCAATCAGCGGCTCTGATTTACTAAAAGAAAAAGTGGAATACCCCAAAATATGGAGCAATAGCGGAAAAGAGTCCGAAGCCCTCCTTTAACATGCCGCCTTCCAGTGACAACTACGGACTAGAGCGGGGTGATTGCGGGTCACCATAGATAAGGATTCTTGGGTATAAACCACCAAATCCCTCGAATTGAGTTGCCATCTAATTATCATTCCATCAGTTCTGTGATAATCGACCCAAAATGTCGACATCTACTTCCGTTACAACAACCCAGCAGCATGAGCGATCCGTCCTCCTCGCCGGTGAGGACGAGCTGTCTAACGCAGCCAATGATACCAAGTTCCAGTCTCTCGCTCGTGGAAACCGCAACGGCACTCTGAAGCTGCAAGGAATCCCTACATTCTCAGACCCGCTTGAGAAACGTAAGTGGATGAAGGAGCATATGGCCGCTGCTTTCCGATACTTCGGCAAGCTGGGCTATGGTGAGGGTGTTTCGGGTCACATCTCAATGCGTGGTACGTACAATAAGTTAACAGGGTACATGGAATATTCTAATTAGTAGCTAGATCCCATCTTGAAGGACCACTTCTGGATGAATCCTTTTGCGAAGCACTTCTCTACCATCAAGGCTTCTGATCTGGTTCTTGTCGACCACGAGGGATACGTTACTGAAGAAGGTGCTCAGCTTCCTATCAACGAGGCTGGGTTCATGATCCACTCCGAAATTCATAAGGCTCGTCCTGAGGTGATCGCCGCGGCCCATACCCATGGTATTCATGGCAAGACATGGAGTGCTTTTGGAAAGCCGATTGAGATGCTTACTCAAGGTATGATGAACTAAACCTTTTATGAAATACCTGAAGCTAATCTAAACTCTGATAGATGCTTGCAACTTTCATGGTCGCCTCGGCGTTTACCAGGATCACGGTGGTGTTGCCCTCTCTCAAGAGGAGGGCAAACAGATTGCTGAGGCGTTGGGTAAAGATAATATTGCCTGCATTCTTAAGAACCATGGGTAAGTTTTCGGCGTTTCCACTGTCTACCTTTTTTCGTTCTTCTAACTAATCATCCCGCAGTCTTCTTACCGTGGGTCGTACGGTCGATGAAGCCGCGATCTTGTACTCTATGCTGGAAAATGCTTGCCACTCTCAGCTCATGGCTGAAGCTGCCGCGGCAAACGGTATCCCCAAGCAGATTATCAGTGATGAGATAGCTCAGTACACTGCTGGATTTGCCCAGAACCCTGTAAGTCTTCTGGAAGCTCAAGTCAAAGAAAAAAAACCTTACATATGCATCTAACTCTTCCTAGCATAACTTCTATACCGAGTTCCAGCCAGAATTTGAGCTGCTAGTCGAAGAAACCAATGGCAGAATGTTGCAATAAGTGATGTTACAGGGTGGTTTAATTTCAGAATGTTTCTTCCAATGTTACAGATCAATGTGACCTGTCATTTCAATTTAAAATTCCAGATTTATCAATGGTACCAGGTATGTTGACGAGCCTGAGTTTCAACATTGAATGGATGTCACGGTTTTAAGTCATAGTTGAAACTTGAAATATTTGAAACTTAAAGCACTGCACACCTCCACCTGGGCTGGCATATGTGCTTTAGTATTCAAGTTGAGGAGAAAGGTTGAAAGGGAATTCCTTTCATCAGATCTAAATATATATCTCATCTTCTGCCAGTAGATCACAAGGTTACTAGTTTATGTGCTTAGATTCTACGTTGGTTTTTCTTGATCTTAAAAATGTATCTAGTAGCTGCAGACTAATCGTTGGAAAATTCTGAAAGGCGCCATCAAGTTTCTAGAATTATTTTTTTAGTTGTGATGAAATAAAAAATATATGAACATCGTTTGGATGAAATAAAAAAAGACAAAAAGATAACTCCGAATAGGGGAATCGAACCCCTGGCCTCGGCGATGTTTTCTACCAGAAACAGGTGAAAAGCCGATAGGTTAGCCACTACCCCAATTCGGATGAATTGGTGACAGGATCTCCAAAAAGTAAATTATACACCCCAAAGTTTTACTGAGGTCGATGTACCAGTAGTTTGAATCCATAGTTCCACATTAACTACTCCATATTCTATGTCCATGGCAGTTAATAATCTCGAATATTGAATATTTGATATCTATCTATTATTTGATCCCTTATCTGACATATTTCGTTTAAATATTGCGACCGGCCGTGCTCAAAGCTTACTTTCGAGCTGGACTGTTTCCTCAATACTCGCCCTGCTCTCTTCACGTTTGATTGTAGCAGTCAAAGCGGCTTCAACATCGTGTTCAGATAGCCACTCTGTATCCGGTCTGTTTTTCATTCGTGCGACCAGCTTTGCATCTTCCTCCTCGGCTGTTGTAAATCCAGATGTCTTTGTGCCAATCTGGGTATGCACAATGCGAAGCAACTTATCGGTATGCGGCTTTCTCGTCTCGGTGTATAGATATAATGACTCTTTGACCCGATCCAATGAAAGCACATTGGTAGCGGACACTTGAAATACATGCTTAAAGGCAAGACCAAGCGCCAACGCATCATCTAATGCTAGAGATCCTCCTGCTGCGAAAGCGCCACCATGGGCATGGGCAGCATCCCCGACAAGAGTGACTCGCGATCCAAATACCCATTTCGGTAACGCATCTCCAGCAAAATTTGGGTAAAGATTAGTATAGGGAGTCACCTCAATTAAGGCTTTTATAAGAGGATTCCAATCCTACGTATCCTCAAGTTAGAATCGACATGGAAAAATGTAAGAGTGAATCAAAGTAGCACCTTGTATCTCTCTCTCAAAAATTGCACATCTCCCTTTTGGTCCCAATCGACGCTCTTCTCAAGCTCATCGGTGGTGCGTGGGTCGCTATAAGCACCGACAGTAGTGAACTGACCCTTGCCTAGGTTCTGTCAGACATGGACCACAAAAAGAATATATAACTATGGTATCATGTTTTTATTTTCGTCATACCGAGTCGAGATGCAAAAAAGTTGTCATTTGGCCCCCACTGTTGTCCAATATAAGCAAAAATCATAGAGAATGACGAGATTGTGCTTACTTACCCAATGCAAAGAGTCAGCGGGTAAATCAGGAATTTTATCCTCCACCAACGAGGCATCGAAAGTTGATCTCATAAATATCTTCCCACTGAATCGCAGCTTGTATTCTGGAACAAAAGACTGGCGGACTCTCTATCAATCCGGTTAGAAAGCTGTATTCATCTTTTCCCAGTATATGACGACAAACTGATTTGATTCCGTCTGCCCCGATCAAAATGTCACCGTATGCCTTGGTTCCATCTTCAAAATGTAGTGAGACTCCATTGTCGGTGATCTCCGCATTTATAATCTTTTTGCCTAGATGAATAGACTGGCGAGGAACATGCTCCAGAAGAGCAGAATGCAGATGGCCACGATGAAAGCGGGTAGTGTGATGACGAGGATCAGGAACATTTGTATGTGTGTCAACAGAGATGACTTGATCTGTCTTCCAGTGCCTGCAATTATTAGTATAGCCAGATATAATAGCAGTGGAGCTGTGGTAGGCTTTCATCATACCGAAATATTTGGGGAATTCCACTTGGTCCTCTAAAGCCAACTTCATCTGAGAGGGCGTTGGTTACACCAAGCTTTTCCAAAGTTCTCATACCCTGCGAGGATCAAAACGGTTAGATATCGAGTGCTTAATACTCAAAGCAAAGAGGTCATACATTTGGACTGAGCGCGATGCTGGCGCCAATTTCCAGAAGCTCAGAGGCTTGTTCATACAGCTGGATGTCAAGATCCGGGAGAGTTGATACCCGTGCGAGAGAGATAGCTGTTGCAAGCCCTGCAATCCCAGCTCCTGCAATGATGACTCGCAGTTTGCCAGAATTTCTGGACATTGTGTTGAATCAATTGATAATACCAGGTCCAATCTAAACAGTGAGGTGAAGAGGGGGAAAGGCGGGGAGATAACTTATCACTCATTTTGAACAGCTATAAGTAGGTCGTTAATCAAGCACGTCAACGCTGCATTTTTGACGCGACCCTGACTAGCGAATCTACAATATAATTATTACGAGGTAATTATAAACATTTAAATTTCCATGTTGGAGCTAGATATAAAAAGCCACCTGCAGTGCCCAGATGCTTCTAGGTTTATTACCTAAGAAAAGGATATTGTTAGCCCTGGAGGTAGGTAGTCGCCGCATCTGCAGCCTCAGCTAAGCACTCCTCGAACCAAAACAGGATCCAGGCTATAGGGGCCTATAACAGTCATACAGCCCTGGAATCAACCCCTGGATATTCTATATGGCTAGAAAAAAAAGAAAACTACACCTAGGTATATATCTATCTTAGTCAAATTATCTCGTACTTTAGCTATCTCTCACTTCAATGTTGAAATATCTCTCACTTTAGATATCTCTTACTTTAGACTCGAATATCAAAAAGTTTGTATATTATTATAATAAATTAACTATTAGTGAGCTACCTAGGTCCTTAAATTCATTATAGAAAAATGGGGGTTGGCCGTGCGGCCGTTATAGGCACATGTAATCCAGGCCCTAGCACCATTTTGTTTGATAATATCCACCCAGTCTCAATTGAGACAACGCAGAAGACTATCTTCAGCTCCGAGGTCACAAAATTGGAAATAATCGGTCATTCAATTTTCAATTTTGCGAGTCACAAGTTTTATCGCCGGATTCGCCGCAATTACTCTAGATGTATACCGGAATTAAGGTTCTGCGCCCATTAAGTCCGCGATGACATCCCGCTAACCGTTTTAGGCCAAATATTGTCATCAAGAACATCAATGGTGGTGGCTAGGTACTTGAGTATATGAAATGGGGCGCCTCAATCGTGGTAGAATGGATGATTGGAGGCACCATATACCCTCCAGGGCTGGTGATGCCCAGGCGGATCGACTCCGTGGATGAGTATATAAAGACGCAAGAATCCGCTCAATTGACCATGCCAAACAAGAGCTTCAAAGAATCTACTCATCAGATACTACTCCACGCACATTTTCTTTTTTTACAATTTGATCGCTTGAGCTTGAATTCTGCAAAGTCAACACTCTCAACTACTCAACATGTTGGACTCTACCAATGTTTGGTTCAGTATGTCTCATCACAACATCCAATCCCGAAGTCCAGCTGCAGATTTACTACTACAGCTCGAAGTAGTGTATCACAAGGCATTCAAAAAACAACATTGAAGACTCACAAATCCTGAAATAGTTACGGGCTGCTCATCCGGTCTGGGCAAATCTCTTGCTACTACAGTCCACCAAGCAGGCCACAAACTCGTCGCAACAGCCCGCAATATCAACTCTCTCAGCTACCTTCCCGACGAGCCCAACGTCCTTAAACTCTCTCTCGATGTCACATCACAAGATGACATCAAAAGCAGCTTCGATAAAGCAGTAGAGAAGTTCGGACAAATCGACATCGTGATCAACAATGCTGGATACGTCGTCATGGGTGATACGGAAGCCATTCCTGAATCAGATGCACGACTAGAAATGGAAACCGTCTTTTGGGGTCCTGTTCGGATTACCCTTGAAGCCGCAAGGGTCTTTCGAGAGGTTAATCCTGCCGGAAGAGGTGGGACTGTTATTCAGGTTTCTTCTATTGGGGGGTATATCACCTTCCCTGGGAGCTCGTTTTATCATGCAGGGTAAGTCGGACCTGATATTGATTTGGTATGCTGGACAGTGTCACTGATTCTTTTCTAGTAAACATGCCATTGGGGGATTCACTCAATCCTTTGCCAAAGAGCTTGATCCGAGTTGGAATATCAAGTTCATGGTCGTGGCTCCTGGTGGACTGAAGACCAATTTTCCTGCTAATGCACAGCTTGGAGGCAGACATCCTGCTTATGATTATCCAACTAGTCCGTTGAATCAGCTTATGGAGTTTATGATGAATCCGGATATTCAGAAGACTTTCGCTGAGCCGGATGATTGTGCGAAAGTTCTTTTTGATGTAGTAGTTGCTCAGGATGAGAGAAAGTTACCGACGAGGTTCTTGATGGGTGCGGAGACTGTTCCGATTTTTGAGGCTGAGTACAAGAAAGATGCAGCCGAGATGGAGGATTGGAAGGAGGAGACGCTGAAGTGTACCCAGAACGAGGGAGTAAAGGACATCCCTGGTTTTTAATCTTGTTCTTGGTCTAGGATTCAACCTTGGAAGTTGTGTATGATCAGTTTCAAGGTGTTTTTGTTACTTACGGCCGCTGTGTTTTTGTACATGATTCGCACAGAATGTCTGCACCATGATATAATGTCTTTATTTGATCAAATCGTTAAGTGTCATTCGAGGACAAGGACCTCCAGTATTATAATAACAAGGCTGTATCTGCGCATAAAACAAGTATCAATTCCCTTCGTCTCCAGGACAAACGCCATCTATACAAAAAAGAATGCAACCGTGGCGGGGTATACAGAGATTAAAAGAAAAGAGAATAATAATGCAATGGAGTCTTCACAGAGTCGACATCAACATCGACAAAAAGAAATAAAACAACAAGTCGTAGCTCTAGGCTTGAGAAGAGAAAAGGACCCGGTCAGGTATCAAGACGACGGCCAATGCTAAAAACCGAGTCAAGCCGGGCAATAATACAGAAAAGAAGAGAAGTGGACGGATACTGCCTATACAGCACGCTCACCCACCTCATTCATCTCATACTCCTGTACACTGCGCTCTCGACCTCGTCCCCTCCCAAAGCTAGATTCCTGCTGTGAATCCTCAGCCTGCTGAGACGCGGTCCGCTCAGTGCTCGCATGTCCACCAAATGTAATCGGCTTTAGCTCACGGTGCTGACATGCCCACATGCCAGTGAAAGTCATCATAGCCGCGCTGGCGAGTTGAAGAGCCCACCACAGAAGATTCGCCGGTAGAGAATGGGTGTATAAGATTGTGGCAATGAGATGCAGGAAGTGAATCGTAAGTGCAAAGTCGGGGACCAGTTTTGATCGCGAGACAAATAGAAGTAAGAAGATCACGCTGGAGTACAGTGGATTAGCGAGTGCTCAAGCTTAAGTTAGGTCGTAACTAGTAGACATACCTGATGAAACAATTCAACATCCACACTAAACCTAACATCCACCCCACTGTCGTATCTCCGCGCAGCTTATCCCATCCGAAAATGAGATCTAATGAGAACGGCGTACCGTAGACTACCGTTGTGAAGAGGATGAGGATTGTTGCGCAGACATAGTACGCCACTTGGAGGAGGAGGATCTTGCGGATGATTTTCAGTGGCGGGAGGTCGGATCGCGACCCCGCTGGAAGGCGCCGGCGCCCGGGCATCAACGAGAAGGATATGGGGAACTAGTTTCCCCTGTGAAGTCGAGATTGAAGTAGATTAACAGGAGGGAGATTGAGCGTGGCGCTCGAAGTGAGGTAAGCGGATGAGGATATTCGTGATCATGCGACTATGAGTAGAGTCGAGGGATGTTGGAAGCTATGAGATGAATGCAAGAGGAGTTTGGAATCGTTATTTAGAGGGTATATGGTCGTAAGTGAATGTAAAGAATGGGAGGAAAGGAGAGATGTTGTGGTTGAAAGAAATCATTAGGAAGGACAACGTTGAGGCCGAGGGATCAACAGTCTTGGCATCCGTAACCAACGCCGCATCGGCTGCTTTTCTGACCTTCTTAAATCTACCTCCAAGCTTGTTTCACCACCACGTTACTCTATCCTGCCCTAACTAACTCCCCCCGGAGCTCATTTAAATCACTTCCGAGATTCATTCCGTCTACTATCAATATGGGCTGGCTCCCGTGGTCCTCTGGTGACTCCAACAAGGCCTCTGACGGCGGCCGCATCGCGCCGGATCGGACAAGTCGCGCACGCTGCTGGGAGGGCAGGGATCTGTTTTTCGCTTGTCTGGATCGCAATGATATTCTTGATGGTATCAAAGACGACAAGGAAGCTCGACGGAAATGCGGGAAGGAGGTTGAGGAATTCGAGGCAGCTTGCTCGTCGACCTGGGTACGTAGCTTCTGCATGGATATGCTTACGCTTTCCAATCGATCATCTGAAGATGAATTTATTTTCCTTCATTTTATGCAAGTACTAACATATTCGATTCTCCAGGTGAAATACTTCAAGGAGAAGCGTGTGATGGAATACAACCGGGACAAGACGATTGAACGAATTAAGAAGGAAGATGCGGAGAAGATGAAGGAGTTGAAGGCTCAAGGCTGGAAGTCAAGCTAAATTTCACCTTGGAGACTCAAAATTATTTGTTTTGTACATTATGTACCATATCCACTCTTGTCATGATCAATCTAATGTTCCGGTATACCCGACAAAGATGTAAAGCAGTATGTTCCTCAGTGCTCCAGTACTACGACTCAGCATGATAATAAATGTAAGAGTAAAGAATTCTGTGTAAATTCCAAGCCAGGTTCATGCACACAACTGTGTCACATTATATCCACCTTACCCAAGCAAGAGAAGGTCTCGAGTACATAACTCGAGCTCAAAGCCAAAAAGATACATGATATACCATCCTAGACACCAATTCACCCTGATATTTAGATTCTTGTCGCCCTAATGAGCGCAAGAGAAACCAAAAAGAAAAAAAAGTAACAAAGAAAATAGAAAATAACAAAACGCCTATTGTTGCAGTGGCTGGGTAAATGCCAGCATGATAAAGGGGACACCGCCGTAATAAACAATGAGGGAATGAACACCAAGCTCCGCAGGGAAAATGAAAAATCAATAACAAAAAGGGCGGATAATTCGAACCTGAAAACCCGAACGCAAGTCACAGTGAGGAGATTCGTTATATCATTGCTTCCACTTGGCCAACTGATTCATCAAGTTTTGCACATTAGAACCGATAACAGGTTGGCCCTGCGGCTGTTGATTTCCAAGACCCTTGGCAAGTATAGAAAGCAAATGTGGGTCGGAAACAACAGGCGCATGTGGAGGCTGAAGATGGAATGGAGGGGGAGGGATAGGTTGTTGGTGAGGTTGTGGGAGCGGAACGGGTCGACTCGCATTAGTCAAAAGACTAGCCAGGTCGGCTGGAGGGGGTGGATTAGGTGAGGCAAAGGGGGATTGAGTAGTCGAAACAGGCTGTGATTGGGGGGGCTGGACGCTGTTGCTGTAATGCGGACAAGAGAGATTGGAGACTGGGCCCATCCAGAGAACCGATCAAATTCGCAATGTTGGGAGGATTGGTCAGTGTAGGAAGAATAGGCTGCGGCATTGGCACCGCTGGTACAGGGGCAACGCCGAAAGCAGGATTAGGTACGAAAGACGTCGGAGCAGGACCACGCTGCATGGCATGGGCTTGGTGAAATATGAGCTCAGCAGCAATGTTTGGGTCAACTTCAGGATAGTCACTGAAGCGGACATTGCCTGGCCCTGCGCTTCGATCGAAGATTTGAAGAGGGATCTTGCGGGAGAATTGATTGGGCCGAGAGAGCCGGACAACCGCAAGGACACCTTCAACATATTGACGATGAACTGCGGCGCCGAGTGGGATGCGAGGGCCAAGCACTAGGACATCAACCCGCAAGCCACGATTGCGAAAGGCGTTCTCGACATGGAGAATGAAGTTACTGCAGAGAAAATTAGTGGAGGCCCCTAGCTTAAAACTAAATGATGCTTGAACGTACCGATCAACTTCCTCTAGCACAAGAACTTGGACCTCTGGGACGTCGCGGGGTGCTCTGCGAGGAACAGGAAGGTCGGCTTCTCCCTCGTAGACGCCTCGAGGCCTAGGACTGGGGCTACGGTACCGACGGTCTCTTGCGTAAGGAGAACGAGGTGATCGTGGTGACCGAGAACGCCGGCGTTCACGGCGATCAAATCGCTCTGGAGTCCGATCCCGCGATCGGTACCCGTCTCTGGTTCTCATGGGACGGGGAGAAGGCGACCGTGGAGGACGGTAATCATCTCGTCTGCGATGGGACATGTCATCCCGAAAATCGCTGAACGGGAGTCGGCTCGGCTCATAAGGTCGATCGTATCGGTCACCCGAGGAACGTGGATTAGCTCGGGCAGGGCCAGAGCGGCTGAACTCTGGTGATCTTGAGCGTCGAGGCGGGGGTGCGCGAGATGGTTCCGCGGGCGCGGGGCGGGTAGAACGTTGTGGCTTTGAAATCTCGAGGTCTGAGAGAGAATTAGTATATAATTATCACCAGCGGTTTTGTATCCAGCGTAATTCAAGTCCGACTCACGTATTTTTCTGCCTCGAACCAAAGCCCCTTGTTCGGCCTGTAATGACGCACGGCAGGCGTCCGCCTCTAGGAATTGTATAAAACCGTAAGCCTGCTTGATCGAAATCTGGGCAAGCTTGCCATATTGGTGGAAAATGTGGAACATGTCTCGTTTTGTGACTCTCTCGGTGGGGAGATTGCCTAGAACATTTCCAGTCAATAAAGTCGCTCTATTGTTCGAGTTGGAGGACATTAAACAAACTCACCAACAAATAACCGCGATCCGACCGGAAATCGATCCCAAAGTCCCTCTGTCACGTAAACTCGTTCATCATGAAGGAACTCATCATATTTCTTTTGAACTTCTGGCCCCCATGGAGCATCATCATCTGCAGGCTTAATAGGCCTTCCTGCCTGCTTGTCGATACGGGGTTTCCTTGATGCTTGGGGCCCATCCTGAGAGGTCTGCGACTCGCCGCCTGTGGAAGGGGTTTGCTGGAAACTGGCAATAGGTGGGGGAGACAGGGAGGGTGCACCGGGAACAGTCCCCGGGGCTCCGCCCGGGGCCATGGATTGAGGATGAGGCTGGGCATTGTTACTGGATTGCGTAGGGTAGGCAGAAGAAGTGACAGGGCCTGCAGGATTTTGATGATACGTTGCAACGCCATGGGATGTATAATTAGGTTGGGTAGTAGAAGGGTCTTGGGGCCGAGTAGGGAGGCCCTGGGATTGGAAAGAGTCGTCAGAGAGTGCTTGGTGGAGAGACGAACTCTCAGCTAAGGTAGTAGCTTCGAAGGTCATTGTAGGAGGATGGGACAAATTGTCTAGTAAAGTCTGAAAATTGACACCAGTTGTTCCCGACCCCGCACCCTCCTTGCTCTCATCTAAGCGCTCTGGTAACTGGGAACCATTGTCCCGGTTGCCCGCGTTGTCTACTTCGCTCGCAGTGGCGAAGCCCTGATGGACCGGAAGGACCGGAGGCGCATGGGTATGGATAGGTTGAGAATAGGAATTCATGGACACCTCCCCAGATTGCTCCAGGGGTGGGTGGGAATGGTATAAGTCTGTCGAAACAGGCATCTCATTCATCATCACAGGGTCCCCTGGCAACGAGCCACGCAATCTACCTGAATCCTGCACCTGGCCTCCACGACCCTGAAACTCTAACCCTGACCACTGGTAGTCATCATGTGTTTGAGGGGGTTGTATATATACCGAACGTTCATAAGTCGAGGTATCGTTGAAGACCGGGTCCATCTGATTCTCAAGGACCGGGATATTGGATGGCTCCGGGATATGTAACGGACGGGGGCTTTCCGGAGTCAAAGTCTTTCCACGAAAGTGAAGCGCTTCATCTAGGGGACTGGGCGTCATGTAGACAACGGGGGAGGTGGAGGTTTCATTTACAATTTTCAAAAAGATGGTGAAATAAGAGGGAAGGGGGGGGGAATTATTAGTGAAATTTCTCGATCGCAAGCTAAGGTGGGGCGATGAGAAAAAAAAGAGTTGGGTTTTTTGGGCGGTCAGGGTCCCAGGATAGGGCCGATAGTGTTAAAATCAATAAACTAAACTGAAAAAAAAAAAAAAATCTTAATCTTTTTGATATAGGAGTAAAAAAAAAAGAAAGAACTAGTGGGAAATAAAAAAAAAAAAATAAGAAATCAAAGAGGTTCAGAGTTTGAGGGCATGACCTTAACGTTAAAAGCCTAAATACGGGGAAGGTTTTTTGTTCAGGTGGTTACAATGCAGGACATGCAGTACGATGATGATGATCAGTACTGCTAGTACAACCTAGTATTTTCCAAGGTTCGAGACATTCATTGTCTTCAAGTTCATTGTTTTATATTTGGAACATTTGAACTGATCATTCAGATATCTGGATATTCTATCATTCTAGCATTCAAATGTTATAGTAGAGGAGAATAATAATTTACTATGGAGTAGTATACATAGATCGTTTTCTCAAATGACCTACCTAATCAGGATTTCCCCAAATATAGAGGTCCCACCAATCAGATTAATCATATCCACTTGCATAGTACATAGTGTTAAAATCCGCGTTACGTAGTACACTGGAATTGTTCTAGCGCCGAAATTCCCCTCTAACAGAGGGGCCAGACCCTCTCTAATAGTCTCTATAATGGTGACCGAGATATTTTAATTAGTCATGCTCCACTTTACTCAAGTGGGAAACTGCGATGAAGGATCCATTCCTAATTCTGGTACTTGACTCTTGTGTTGTATACATTACTCTGGTGATTCTTTCTCTTATGGGTAAGACTAATCCAATTGATACATCTTCACCTTCTCTCCACTGTTAAGTGCTTCTAGAATTACTTTATTCTTCTTTTCTTCTCTTCCTGGGGAAAACTATCTCAATTTCATATCTTGTGTCTCCCCTCTCGGCAGATTTTTATTTTCTTTTTTCCCTTTCTTTCCGAAGCTGATGGGGCTTCGCGGTCTGGGATTCTGGGTCAGAACGCCTTGGTTACGCCGACACGCCTCAACAAAGGGGTCATCTGACCATGAACTGGAGCTAGCGAGGACGTGGCTGAAAACTTTCAACTCCAAATCCATTCCCCGTCAGATCGGTGAGCTTTCCTTCAGCCGCTCAAGCGGTCCCGGAGGCCAGAATGTGAATAAGTCGGTGCATTTCCGAAGTCGGGTTTCATGTTCCCGTTTTATACATGTACAATATCGACAAGGCTAATGGTGGGGGTTCCGCAGAGTCAACACGAAGGCAACCTTGAAAGTCCCCTGGACTGACCTCTTCCCTTTGGTACCGTCTTTGCTCCACTCACAGCTGCGCACATCTCGCTATGCCTCCGAGCGCTCCCAAACCCTAGTCATTCAGTCCGATGAATCCCGGAAACAAGCAAGCAATGTGGATGCATGTTTTGACAAGCTCCACCGGTTGTTAGAGGACGCGGCCAAAGCCGTTATTCCCGGGGAAACCTCTCCAGAGCAAAAGGACCGAGTACAAAAATTGTATGAGCTGTTTTTTTTTTTTTACCCCCCCTTGTCTTTTATTTTTGTCCTTTTGTTTGTCCACCTTTGTTTCGCCCGTTCCGTTCCCCTCCTTTTCTCGTGCATGAAGTTATAGTATTGGTTCGAGTACATTTGCTACTCCACTGGCTTCTCATCTGACCACATTCTGTCCAGACAACGTGCGCAGAATGAGGCCCGCATCAAGGCAAAGAAATTACATAGCAGCAAAAAGGGGAATCGCCGCGGAAATAAGTACGATGAATAATGCAGGAGAACTAACATGAGTGCTTCTTAGTTTAATTACCAAGAAGATACGAAGAAGAATCTTGAAGAAAGAAAGGAATCTGCTTGAACCTATAAACATGCGAACTTATGGGAACTTTTTTGGACTTGTTATCCGACCAACGCCTCGCAAGTGCAAAGAAGAGCATGAAATATCAAAGTTATGTCATGTACAATATTACTGCAATGCTCGCTCGGCATTGCGCAGTGTGGACATAATAACCATCTTCAATGATGAATCCAGATCCTCTGTCTCCGCTACCGGCTTCAACCATTTCACCACCTCTTGTGCAAGGCTGGCATCCAGGGGCTGGAACTCCTTCAGACGAGCAAGCGAGCTACCCAAAGCGCGAGGGAATTCCGATGATGTAACGCGGACTCCCATCGTGGGGAATTTGATGTAACAGATGCGTGTGCGAGAGCTAGTAGGTTGGTTGGCCTGCAAGTTCTCCACCACGTGGCCAAGGATCTTCCGCAGACACGGCGCATCCTCGAACTCCGACACCATCTCGTAGAATTCAAGACCAAATCGGTCGTCGTTGTTGAAATTCTTCATAGCGGAGTCAAAGATTGCCATTGGGATCGCACCGCTAAGGGCGGGTGTGGCGTTCAGTGTCTCCAGGGCATTCTCATCAACCTCATCACCCTCCATAGTCGGGTTGATATCTTCTTCGGTGATCGCAGGAACTGCAATCACGTCAGCGTCAGGATCTCCCAGTCCTGGTCCCTCGACAGCTTTGGGTCGCTGAACGGACTCATCCAGTCCCAAAATCCGTTGGCGAGCCACCAGTTTGGCAATATAGATTAATTCCAGCTTGGCGTATTGAATCCACAAGTTGCGCGCACTCTTGCAAAAGCGGAGACCTCGTTGCATGTAACTCCGTGCCTGAGACATATCCGCATGGTCCTCCAGAACGTATTTGGCCGCGTAGACCCATAACTCGGCGTTGGTTGGGTGTAAGCGCACGGCATCGGTAATGATTGAAGTGAGCTTCTTGAAAGCCTTTTGCTTCCGGGTATATTCAATGTATTGAACCCACAGGTTGATGTCGCCATGGAATCTGCGCGTCGCACGGTCCAGAATGAAAAAGATGCGACGCTGACCGTTATGCCCCATAGCCCGAATTCCCATCCGCTTCACTCGCTTTTTCCGCAGGGTCTCCAAGTTGATCTCGTACTCGACATATCGGAGAAAATCAAGGGGCTTTGCGCCTCGCGCATTGACTTTATGTTCGAAATCCGATCGCTTTTTGATTATGGAGGTAATTTCATCCTATGAATTTTTTTTTTTTAGGATAAGTGGATCAGAGAGCATGGGGTGTCGCAAGAATCCTACCTTGCTGAACAGCTTCTTCTGTTCGTACTCCTTCAGCTCCGGAACTGACTTCTCGAGAAAGAACCGAGCTTTATCTGTAGCAGCCGACATGATGGAGGTGTTCTTGTTGCAGTTCTGCAGCAGTTGATGAAGAAAAAGTTCATGTTGAAAACTGTCGATCTTGCCGCGGAGGATCTAAACCAAATCGGGTTAGTCATCACGACCCCCAAGGCCACTCTGGATTCAACCGAGGGACCCGACTGTTTTCATCCTCAGGGGCCATTGTTTTCTACCCTTTTGACTTCTTGACGCTCTTTTTTTCGACTGGGGGATTTATTTTATTTCTTTTTCTGTTTAATTTCGTTTTTCACTCTCTCTATAAACCCTGGTGCAGGGTTCCCTAATTTGCACCATGGCTCCCAGATTCAAGGATGGAGATGCCGTGGTTGCCGTACGTGTTTACAATCTCACGCGATAAATATATTTGCGCTGACATTTCTATTTGACATGTAGATCAATGGCAAATGGGTTGCTTGGACTCACACCGTAGTTGCATACACGGCTTTTTTCAGCGCATTGATCGTGGGTGTAGCTTTACATTATCACAAGATCGTCCAGAACGAACACTTTGGCTATCCCGATGAATGGTTTCCCTCCGTATCCGCGACAATCGGCGACCGTTACCCCGAGCGTGCTTTCTTCCAGGTCTTCATTGCAATCACCTCCGGTCCCCGCTTCCTCCTCGTTTTCCTGTGGTACGTGCTCACGGCGCGTCCCAATTCCACTCTGCCCAAGTTAGTCGCCGGTGTTGGTATCTTCCGTACCTTGACTTGTGGTGGTTGGACTTATGTCACATCTACCGATGATCATGACTGGCACGATATCTTCATGATCTCTTACTTGGTTGCTACGCTGCCGTGGACTCTCGGTTGCCTGGCACTGAGCCCTAACAACCGCCGCGCCGTCAAGTACCGCAAGATCGCAGCTAGTCTGTTCTTTGGAACTCTTGTGCCACTGATCTACTATTTCATTCAGCACAAGGTCCACAAGGTTCCTGGTGGTAGGTTCTATCCATCTGATTTGCTCTATCACACGTAACAGAACTCGAATTGATTGATATGCTCGCTTCTAGCTTACACCCGCTATGCCTTCTTTGAGTGGTCCTTGATCTTGTTCGATGTTGGATTTGATGCTATTACAGTGCTCGACTTTGAGGGTTTTGAATTGGTGGTACGCGATGTGAAGGGAATTAGCAGAGGGTATGTACCGTGGCTTCCGAAATGACAACCCACGACAAATGTATAGTGCATAAGTTACGCTGGATATGAGACAAAAGCACAATTCTAAAAATGCTTCCTCTTAGGCAGTTGAAGACGACTGCGGACTCTGTCCTTGAAAAAGAGTGGGTCCAACCCTATAATCAAATTGGCCCCGTCTTTCCTTCGGAGGTTAACTAGTAGTTTAGGAAGGGAAAGCCCGTGGGTAACACCTTTGGCGAAGGGTTCTTCTGGACGGAGATCCTTGATGCTGCCGCCGACGTTTACAACGGATTCGTCTTCTGGACCATTGTCACCGGTCTCCCCGTTCTGGTGTGGTACTTCCCACTGTGGCACATGGGTATCTCTGGCTATGAGGTTGCCATTGTTGCCTGTGTTTCTCCTCTCCTCTTCGCCATTCCCTCCTTGAGATCCGCTGCCACCAAGAACCTGCGTCTTCTTCATCTTACTTCTCTTGTGGCCCTCTTGGCCTACAAGTTTGAGGACCCTGCTAACCGGTTGTTCATCACCGCGTTTGCCTTGTCCAGCACTTGCGCCGCATGGGTTGCTAGCTTCTTTGCCGAGCGTGGAAACACGCCCCGCCTTGAGGCCCGCATCATGGGCTGGGGTATTGGTCTGATCATGTCTGTTGTTGCCAAATTCGCCTGCACTACCAACAACCCCCTTTGGCCTATCATGCACGGCAACAACGGTGGCTGGAACAAGATCGGCCTCTTCCTTGCCGTCCTTGCGGTCTTGCGTTCCCAGAGAGGCTCTCTTACCAGTGGAAGCGACTATTTGCCGGCTGGTAGCAAGAAGGGCTCATCCCTCTTGGCTGCTATTGGATTTGGAGGTCTCCTCTTTGCTATTGTTTCGCTCCTGACTGACTCTAGCACTATGATCTCCTGGGTTTGGGAAGGTTACCCCGTTCGTGGACCTATTGCTGTGCCTCACGGTGCTGTGACCATCTTCGTCATGGGCGCTGGTCTGGTTTATGGTGTTTTCCACCCTGCCGTAGCCGGTAGCTGGACTGCTTATGGCATTGGTTCTGTCGGTGCCGCTCTTTTGACTTACTACCACCACTGGACCGGATACTACGGTGCGCTTGCCTTTGCCTTCTATATCATGGCTGTCACCCCCGTTATTATTACCTCCGGCGTCCGCCACTCTCCTGCCAGCACATTCGGCATTGGTTTCATTCTCTACGTTTTCCTTTTGCTCTTCCATGTCTGGGTTGTTGCCTACGCTTTCGTACCCGGTGGTCCACTCGTCCGTGAGCGCACTGACTGGGTCATGATTGTGACCATGTTGTCCATCGGTGCTGGTGTGTTCTCCGCCGCCACCTCCAACTCCGGCCGCACTCGCAGCAAGCCCGTCAGCCCTAACAGCAAGCGTCAACGCTCCTACTACATCTACGTGCTTGCCGCACTGCAGCTCCTTTCTGTCTCTGTGGCATACCTGCGCTTCCCCACCAACGACTACAAGCCCCACCACCCCGAGGAGAAGATTGTCACCGCTGGTATTTGGACCGTTCACTTTGGTCTGGACAATGACATGTGGGCTGCAGAGCGTCGTATGCGCGATGTCATTGGCGAACTTGAGCTCGATGTCATCGGTTTCCTGGAATCGGATAACCAGCGTATCATCATGGGCAACAAGGATATCACCCAATATATTGCCGAGGACCTTGGCTACTATGCTGACTTCGGTCCTGGTCCCAACAAGCACACTTGGGGCTCGGCTCTCCTCTCCAAATTCCCTATTGTCAACTCGACCCACCACCTTCTTCCCTCGCCTGTTGGTGAGCTAGCCCCCGCCATCCATGCCACTCTGGACATGTACGGCGAGATGGTTGACATTGTAGTCTTCCACTCTGGTCAGGAGGAGGATCCCGAGGATCGTCGTCTTCAGTCCCAGTACCTTGCGAAGCTGATGGGCTCATCCCCTCGTCCGCTGATTCTGTTGAGTTACCTGGTCACCAAGCCTCTTGAGGGTAACTACAACACCTATGTCAGTGAACTGAGCGGAATGAACGACATCGACAACACCGACTGGGAGAGATGGTGCGAGTATGTTCTTTACAAGAAGATCCACCGTACCGGATACGCCAGAATCAGCCGTGACACTATCACCGATACTGAGATTCAGGTAAGAACAAAAAACCCCATGAAACTACCCAAAATAAAATTAAGTACTAACTCAATAACTATAGGTCGGTAAATTCGTTGTTGGTGAGCCAGAGCCAGAGAATGAGATGCGTGTCCCCGAAGAAATGGTCCCAGTTGGCCGCCGATTCCCAGCCTTGTTCCGAGGCGATGGTGTCCGTGGTCATCGCTACCACGTCTTCGACGAACCCCGTTACTGGCAGTAAACAACACAGTAATCGCACAGCAAAATGCGAGCTACTGAAAAATGAATTCCTTTTCTTGGTCTCTTTCCCTAAACGGTGCAAATCTCATGGTTTCTTTTTTTCCTTGTTACATGTGAAATATTTTTGGCTTAGAAGGGCGACATTCCAATATCCTTGTGGCTGAAGTCGCGGACAATTAATTGCTTTTTTCCACTCTCAAGTCAATGCTTGAGAGTTTTGTATTATTTCTTCTTTGAGACTGCTTCTCATTTGGGACGAGAATTTGGAGCTAGGTATATGTGCTGTTTCACAGGTCTTCTTTTGTGTCCACCATAATACTACTAGTAATATCCCACGAGTTGACCACTGAAAGAAAAAATTATCATGATGGTACCTCCAGAGCTGCTCAGACGATTTACTCCTACTCATGACCTCAACCATAGCACTGGACCTCTATTCAAATGTCGATAGCAGTATTATTGCAAGAACTAAAAGAGAAATCAGACCATAAGGGCTTCTCACAAGGCTCCATCGAGCTGACTACCGAATTCCTTCAATTCATCCCAAACATTCATTGATGAATTCCCTCAAATAAGTTACAGCCATGACTCCTACTACAACTCAAGTGGTTGAATCCGCCATGAGGTATTTCGGACTCCGAAGTCAGCGATTACTAGTTAGTAACGACTCGGACCATGTGGGGGCCCACCAGAATGTTAGCATGTGTCATTATGACTCCAGATTGGGTCAGGTCTTAGCTCCAATCCCCGAATCCCGGCATTTGGTGGAATGTACGGAGTACGGAGTGAGAATGTGAGAATTTAGGGTAGCCCAGCTGAATGGGACTGAAGGGTCTGTGCGTAGATGGTCGGAGTTTCATATTGGCCCTTGTTGAGAAGATTTTTTTTGATCCTTTGATAATTAAGATGTAAATTAGGTATTTTTTGGGATCAATCATGTTCAAATGTTGAAGTTGCGAATAAACTTGAATCTCTGTCAACCTCAAAACTGGCAGGCATCAAGCCTCCAACTTGAAGTCCAGGGCTACGAGTAACTTGAACTTGAAGTTCTACATACCAGTTGACCTATATATTTACTACTACCTAGGTAGTGTGTACATATATCTTGAAACCTCAAATGTCACGGTCCAATGATCCGAGTCTGAGTGTTATGGATGTGATATCCATCCTAACTTTCTAACATTTGAAACTTCGTACCTACGTACTATTCAAGTGCTATTTTGTGTATGGGGACGTGAACCTTCAAGTTGGAAGTTCTTTTACAGCCTTGGAACCTTGGAAATATGGTAGTCAGACATCTGGATTTCAAGTTTGTCCACTATTCCCCACATGCAATAAGAAATCTTATATGCCTAGCAGCGAATTAAACTGTCCAGAACATTGAAACTTGAACCTTGGAAAAGATTTTGAACCCTTAATATCTTAGTATGTAGTGCCAAATTTATCTAAGAGAACAAGTTGGCAATCTGGGCATTTGAAGAACAGGTTGCGCATCATAATGATGTGATATTGTCATAGACTCGAACCTAGTATGGGACATCGGAGTGCTGAGATAAATCCGAGTCTCCAGTATGCCCATGTGGCAGGTGCTATGATCAATTGGTGCCATTAAAGACCAGTTGACACATAATACATTTTCAGTTTAGGGCTAAGTCCATAGGTGGCAGAGTAGCACGGTCACATTCCAGAGGAAACAAGCTAATTACCTGATTTGACAAACGTTAGGCCCAAAGCCTGCACGGACACTACATCACTTAACTTGATCTGCGGCCTTTGATCGGTTCTCCGATGCCGAGTGCACAAAGAATCCCCCGAAGAATGTGTGTGGTTCTCTTTGATGACAATATAGTCATGAACTCTAAGATAAGGATGCGAACCAGTTTGATGTCACAAGCAAACTCTTTAGGTCTATGAGTCATGAAACACTGGTTGAGAATCTTCTTTGACGTGAATTATCTCTTTCTGATGAAAGGTAATGATGTATCTCAGCCCTATTCTACAACAAAGTCTCCCTTTCTAATTCTCAGCATCTGGGGATACGTGTCGATCCTTCTCCAGAGAGTATCATTGGACAACATGTGGAGTGACCGTGCACAGGAATTATATATTTAAAGACAACTTAAATTTCTATTTCGGGCGTAAAGAAGGCAAACATTGAACCAGCCCAAAAGTACTGAAGAGATCCGACGGAAGTCATCTTCGGATTTATGTAAGTGCTCCAGGGCTGTCATGAGACTTTTGCATAAACTTTATAAGGCAAATCGGATTAATAAAGAACCTGTTCGCTTTTCACTTAGACCTTGAAAGTGACCCTTGTGGAAAATATTACGAGTCAAATATTTGATTGCTAATATTGCTTCATTTTTGCGCGGGGCCTCCCTTGTGGATTGTTGAATCGCGGGCTGTAAAGGACTGACTGGTCCAATTTGTCAAGCCTTTGCATCCACTTGCAGAGTTTTCTTTCTCATGACACTGTTTTATTGTGTTTATTGAACCGAAATTTCTCTCCTTCTGCTAAGACTTCAAAACATCATCAGCCTTCACTTTATCGAGGCGGCGTTTCTTTGAATAGTTTTCTCTTTTTGTTCTTTGGTCTCGACTGAACGACCTCTATGCAAGTTCAGTGGAGCCCAATTAGAGCTCAAGCAAAGCTCAGCCGCCTCTTTCAATTTGGAGGCAAAGAGGACTTTGTTAGAAAGAGACGACGAGATTCCAAAGACATTTTTGATACTGGTCCAGCTGTCTTTGTGTATGTGCTTCTGATGCCTTGTCTGAAGTTGACGCTAATCGACAAAAATAGATACAAAGGAGCCCTGGAGTCGAAGCCTGTTTGAGTTGGAGAGTTTTTACTTAACTCCGGGTTGGAACACTCATTCTAAAATACAGCTTTCGATTCTGTGATTCTATAGGCGATATACCGTGAGTATGAATTCGAGGAAATCACATTTGAGCTCAATGGTTATCCAACTAATCCAATGAGGTGCAACGGATAGGAATATCAAGTCTTCCAAAAATGCCTCGTGACCGCTTGAAACGCAAAACAAAAAAGCCCAAGGGCGAGAAAGAATCTACTAATGAAGAGGTCTTGCCTAGCAAGCGGCCCAAGTTAGAGGCATCTGTTACGACAGGATCGCCTAGTCTAAAACCACCATCGGCAAGATTTGCGTTTATTGAAACTAAATCCAAGGTCAAGAAAGCCCGTCGTCGTGCACATAAAAAAGCAGACGTACTCGTTCCTCGTGTGCCTTCTCCGGCTTTAGTCTCATCCAAACCGTCTTCGCCGAGCGATGTACCAGTCCAAAATTCTAGGTCTGCTCGGACCTCTGTGTCCTCCTCAAAATTCACATCCCCTCTCATTACGAAAAAGGGGAGAGATGGAAAGAAAAATTTGGTGGCGGGAGCTACTCGACTTCAAGCAGCCCGTGAACGGGCTTCAGAACACTGGATTGAAAACGCCGGGACGGATCGCCCAAGGGGACTTACTAAGTCTTTTGTCGGCAATGATGAACAGAAAGAGATTCTGAAGTTCCATGCTACAAACAACCTGGGACTACGAGACTGGCCAGAGATATCCCTCGGCCAGTCTGGACCAATGCCTCGTTGGCGGCTTCGAGAAGTCGAAGAAGATCCAAAGGATGGCCGAGATCTCCACAAGGATCTAATAAGAACACATAGAAAGAGAACACACATTAGGAATGTGGACCAGGATGATCACCCTCGATCTGGTGATTCCAGTGTCGGCCTTGGTACTCTTTGCTGGATATTCGAGCCCGGCCCGTCTACGTTATGGAAGGGATTGACTCAGGAGCAGCTATACGAGTTTGCATATCTATGTCTTCTGGATGCTCTGAATGACTTTAGGAGCCGAGATTTCATCCGTGCAACGATTAAGCGTGCCAAGTTGAAGTCCATTCGCAACGTGGAAGACCCATTGCCACCACCACCTCCACCACCGAGAGTAACATACTTTGGACCAAGAGCTGGCGTTGCTGAATGGCCCAAGATACCGCCTCAGATCAAAGGTGACCTGGACCATTACTATGGCATCCGATCCGCTCGTCCTTCGTTGGCTGTTCGAGAGGGATCGAATATTCCGAGTCAGCCAAGAACATACTACGATGTCGATATGATGAGGCATCATATGAAAGGCACTTTGAGAGGTCCTGGAGAGATCTCTGACACCTTTGATCCTGTTGCTTTTCCTGTGCCGCAAAGTGTGTCTGAAGGTGGACATGGACTCCGAAAATCATCTCTGTCCAAGGAATGGGACCCGGAAAAAGATGCAAGAGAAGATAATAATCGAAATCCTCGGCTGGGTGAGTACAAAATTTTGTATTTCATTGTGATTCTCATAATACTTTCCATGTTTCTATGTCTTTTCCTGTATGCTTTCAGAATTGTGAGGTGATGTAATCAAGAATGTGTCAATGCCAAAGCTCCGAGGTCTTGGATGAAGGATATGTCTTATGCAATTATCGCGGAGGGATCAGATATCAAACCATATGGCTTTTGCCATACAAATGATTTAAGTTCAAAGAAGTGTAATTGGCTTCTGAGCTATAATGGACTATTTGAGGGCTAAAGATCTGGCTAACATTCTTGATATCCCTTGCGTGGATTCCTCATTCTTCATATCTGCTTATGGGAATAAATTTATCAATTTCTTTTATCTCTACATTTGCTGACCGTATTGAATAAGGTGAACAGAAAATTAGAAAGGAAGATATGCTAAGAGCTGGAGGGAATGCTTCAAGACCTTCCCACCATGCATCTACTCAACAGAGTGCTTCGTCCGCTGGGCAAAGTGCTTCATCTGCTAAGAAAAGTACTTTATTTACTCAGTGGAGTACTTCATCTGCTCAACCAAGTGATTGGTCCGTTCAACCAAGTGCTTCGTCCACTGAGCAGAGTGTTTTGTCCACCCAACCCCCTTCACGAACTCCTTCCCCGGCACATAAGGATATGATCAAGTTGAGCAAACACATTGATGCTGGTAGAGCTTATTATAATAAATGTAAAGCAATTTGTGAGGATCCGGTGGAGCGACAGAAGTATTTCCCTGAACCGAACGGAGTCAGAAGGGTTAGAACTTGGGGTGGCTCCAGTATACTGCCAAGTCAAGCAAAGAAATGGAAGTTGCCTGCAACTGCTATATTGTATCGGCCTTTTTCATCCTTGAAAAATTGCCGCGTAAGTATTGCATCCTATTCTGCGTTTTTGAAGTTCTTCATTTATCATGATATCTTTTTTCTGTTATGGTTAGAAAAGGTCAGGACTAACCAATATTCAGAAGAAGAGTTCCTCCAAATCCCAATCTTCAGGCAAAGGAAAGGGAAAAATAGAAAATTCCACTAAGAAGAAAAATAGAGAAGAAAGAGAAGAAAGAGAAATCTAGCAAGAAGGAGGAGAAGTCCCCGACACCCTGAATCCTGCGAGTGACAATGCCTATAGTGCACATGCGAAGGCCGGTAGACAAGCAGGCAACTTGAAATTTTTGGAGTTGTTGGAGAGGCAATTATTCTAGTCATTCATTCCTTAATCATGATATTCAGTACTTTTATATTCAAATGATCATAATATTTTAATCCCTAATCCTCATGATTGTTTAGATCGATATAGTATATTTAAGCCATATGATTGGTAGATGCATATAGGTCACGTGAGCGCGAGCACATGAATGCAAACTGCACAAACATGTCCATTGTCAGAGTGAAGCCAGTTGGGTCAGCGACATCAAGAGCTCTCTGGTCAATTCACTCCTCACTTCGCTTTGTTACCCTGATTCACTCTTTAAAGGGAATTCTCAAACATAAAATGATTAATCCTTGATATTCTTTTGAACCCATAATCTCTGCTCGATTGGACTTGGCCTCTGCTGTCGCGAACACGCCCAACTAAACGCAGTCAAAGCCAGTTTCCAGAGAGTTAAACTACAGCACGCGCCCACGATGTTTACCTTCACTCCATTGCTGGGAGCGCAGTCTTCATCTTCCAGAGCTTCTCAGTCAATCCTAGAGCTGGATGGTGGAATTAAGATCTTAGTGGACGTTGGTTGGGATGATACCTTTGACACCCGCGACTTAGCAGAGCTCGAAAAGTTCGTTCCAAACTTGAGATACAGTGCAATTCTGAACTCTCCAAGCTAACAAGCCTCATTTTTAGACATATTCCGACACTTTCCCTAATTCTCCTCACCCACGCAACTCCGGCACATATCGGCGCTTTCGTTCATTGTTGTCAAACGTTCCCTCTTTTCACTCAAATTCCCATCTATGCGACAAGTCCAGTAATTGCCCTCGGCAGGACAAGTTTGCAGGATCTCTATTCCTCCGCACCTCTCGCAGCTACATTCCTGCCAACAGCATCCGTGTCCGAGACTGGTGCATCTTCGGCAGCGTCAGCTGTGAACTCCGGAGGGGAGAACGAAGGAAGCACCGAAGCTGCAGGCAGCACAGGACGGATCCTTCTTCAGCCTCCAACCGCAGAGGAGATTGCCCGATACTTCTCTCTCATCACGCCGCTCAAATACTCACAGCCTCATCAACCTCTCCCATCTCCATTCTCGCCGCCCCTGGATGGGCTGACTCTTACTGCTTATAATGCCGGACATACTGTTGGTGGAACAATTTGGCATATTCAACATGGATTGGAATCTATCGTCTACGCAATGGATTGGAACCAGGCTCGCGAGAGTGTCATGGCTGGTGCTGCATGGTTCGGTGGGTCAGGTGCCAGCGGTACGGAAGTTATTGAGCAATTGCGCAAGCCGACAGCCCTGATCTGCAGTACCAAGGGAGGTGATAAGTTTGCAGTCTCTGGTGGTCGCAAGAAAAGAGACGACCTTCTTCTGGATATGATCCGAAGTAGTCTTGCAAAGGGTGGCACTGTGCTCATCCCCACAGATACTAGCGCTCGGGTACTTGAATTGGCTTACGCTTTGGAACACGCTTGGCGAGATGCATCGTCAGATGAAAAAGAGGACGTGCTGAAAGGTGCGGGCCTTTATTTGGCGGGCCGCAAAGTCAATACTACAATGCGGTTGGCTCGAAGTATGATTGAGTGGATGGATGAGAATATTGTTCGCGAGTTTGAAGCTGCTGAGGGTGCGGATGGGGCTACTGGTCAACGCGCCACAGGCCAGAACCAAGAAAAGGCCAGCAAGGGTGCTGGGCCGTTCACTTTCAAGCACCTCAAAACTGTTGAGCGAAAAAAGAGACTCGAGAAGCTTCTTTCCGAGAAGGGCCCTAAAGTTATCCTTGCTTCTGATACATCACTTTCTTGGGGTTTCTCGAAGGAAACTCTGCGCCGAGTCGCCGAGGACCCTAATAATCTGCTGCTATTGACGGAGTCATTCCGCAAGCTGACACCTACTCGAGAGTCTCCATTCACAATCTCTCTCGGTAGCACAATCTGGCAGTGGTATCAAGAGCGTCGAGACGGTGTTGCTCTGGAGACCGCCTCGGATGGTGAATTACTTGAGCAAGTCCACAGTGGCGGTCGAGAATTGACATGGACAGAAGTGGAACGAGCACCTCTAGATGCTGGCGATCAATTGATCTATCAGCAATACCTGGCCACTAAGCGACAGCTTCAAGATACATCCCAAGTTCGCGGAGGTCAAGAAACACTTGAAAATGCAGCAGACGCTCTGGACGATCGATCTAGTTCAACCTCCTCGGAAGACTCAGATTCCGAGGGACAAGGTCGTGTTCTTAATTTCTCCACATCCCTCGCCCACTCAAATCGAAGCAAGTTGGCTGTCAGTGATCAAGACTTGGGTATCAACATTCTTCTACGACGAAAAAACGTTTATGACTATGACGTGCGTGGTAAAAAGGGACGTGAGCGTATGTTCCCATATGTCGCACCTCGAAAGAAAGGAGATGAATACGGCGAGTTCATTCGCCCCGAGGAGTATCTTCGAGCCGAAGAACGAGAAGAGATCGATATGCAGCAGCGACGATCAGACGCACAAACAAAGCTTGGACAGAAACGACGATGGGACGAGGCTACCGGTGTTGCTGGTCGGAGACATTCCGGTGGCGCTGGAGCTCGCAAGCGTCAACAGCTGACCAAGGATGGTCAGAAGGTAGATTCAGCAGGCGATGATTTTAGTCTTGCATCTGACGACGAAGACGCCGACGCCGCTGTATCCTCTGAAGATGAAGCCGACATTCAGTCCTTCGAAGGTCCCGCTAAGGCCGTGTACAGCAAGGCCACTATCACGATTAATGCTCGAATTGCCTTCGTTGACTTCATGGGATTACACGACAAGCGTAGCTTGGAGATGCTGATTCCTCTTATTCAACCTCAGAAACTCATTCTTGTTGGAGGAATGGAAACAGAGACTGCTGCACTTGCGGCTGAATGCAAGAAGCTCTTGGCTGCGAAGGCTGGAGTTGATGTCTCTGCCTCTGCAGCTGAGGGAGCTGCCATCATCTTTACCCCTGGCAACGGTGATGTCATTGATGCTAGTGTGGACACAAATGCATGGATGGTCAAGCTGAGCAACAATCTCGTCCGCCGCTTGAACTGGCAGCACGTCCGCAGTCTCGGTGTTGTTGCTCTGACAGCCCAACTGCGCGCGCCCGAGCCGATCATGGAGGAAATCAATACCGCCGAAGTAGCTGCTAAAAAGATCAAGTTGGGCGAGGGAGAAGAAAGCTCATCGGCTCCTCCAACTGCAAGCGCTCTTGTCAAGTCCGGAGACAAATCTGATTCATTCCCACTCCTTGATACCCTGCCTGTCAGTATGGCCGCAGGAACCAGATCTGTGGCGCGCCCACTTCACGTCGGTGACTTGCGTCTTGCTGATCTTCGCAAACTGATGCAAGCAGCTGGACATACTGCCGAGTTCCGTGGTGAAGGAACACTGTTGATTGATAAGTCGGTCGCCGTACGAAAATCGGGAACTGGCAGGATTGAGATTGAGGCATCAGCACAGGCAGCGTCGAATCAAGCCTCGATGGGTCGTGGTGCTGGGAGCTTCCTTGCGGTTAAGAGGAAGATTTATGAGGGTCTAGCTGTTGTGGCTGGAAACTAAGATTTAAAATGATGATCTGTATTAGTATTTTACAACTCGACTTGAAGCTTTACACTATGTATGATGGAGTGAAATATCACTTGAGTATTATGAATATCCGAGTCCAGACCACATTTGCAGTGTGCTTCACTAGGTATCCATCCACCTGAGCAGCTCCAGGTGGCCCTCGCCCTGGAGGCCTGATGGAAGGCAGGCGGTGTGAGATTTGGTACGTTTTCCACCTCCCGAGGTCGGTCTCATCCCATGGAACTGAAAATACAAGGACCAAAAGTGTGCAAATAGAGGTAAACACATGGCCCGTTCTTGATCAGTCGCCAATGGAAAAAGGGTCGCGTGAAAATAGAGTCTGGTTCAGCGTGGCATGGGAGTGGATACCCAGGGCTATGCATGCACCTCAGGCTGCAGGAAGATGATGGAATCGGAAATCTACCCCTCCCTAGCCCAATATTCTCAGAATAGACTCTTGATTCTCCCAACCAAACACAGAAAGTTAACCATTTGGATGTATTATTGGTGAAATATGTCTGAACGTCTGAAGAAACTGTTTCATTCACGTCGCAGACTCAACAAGACCGGGAAAACAGAATCTGAGACAAACCAAGCGGATGACCAAGAAGACAACCCAACAAACACTAGACCGTCTACTCATAGCCAGCCTGCGTTCGAATCAACCCAGTCGATCGAGACCTCCAAGCCACAAGATCTATGGCAAGCTGCCTACGACCAGCTTAGTAGCGAGCAGCGCCAGGGTTGATCAAGCATCCAACCTTCCGGGTCAAGGGATAAGAATGCTGCTCTCAGAGAGCAGATTGACGAGATCGTCAAAGCGACAAAGCAACAATACGAGAAATACCAGGAGAAGTCTGATGAGACAATTCGGAAATCCTCACGGAAGATCATCGACGCAGTACTATCTTTCAAAGACATTATTAGCGCGGTCGCTGCACTTGACCCAACACAGCACGTAGCTAGTGCATGGACAATTGTGTCGCTTGGTCTGACAGTATATATTACCTTTAACTTAGAATAGACCAGCTGATTTATTAATTAATATGCTAGATGACCTAAACCCATTATGAGGCATAAAATGCATTATTTGAATCATCTGAGTACCTTGCTAATGTCCTTGCACAATGTGTCTTCATCGAACAACGGGTTTATCTAAATAGGCATATAGATATCCGCAATCATATGGGAATCGTAATTAACTATCGGACTCTACTTAGTAATACTATGCTATACAGGCCAGATTCAGAAGGCCCAAGAGTCTAGGATCGGAAGGAATCTCTTAAATTCCGTTACTAGGAGTCCACTTACAGCACTTAAAACCTCAGTTGAGAAGGAAAGAGATAATCTAGCTAGATGGGTTAATTTAGCTGGATACCTTCACCATGAAAGGGAGGCAGAAAACATCATTCTCAAAATTGATGAACTGGGTGAATCTATGGAGTTTCTCCTCCAGAAGTCTAGTCTACCTATCGTAAAGGAAGCATTATATGACAGTAATGTTCACGAACATGAAGATTTTTGTCTTTCAGGGACTAGAACCAAGCTTCTTTCAGATATCACAAACTAGGTGGAGTCAGATGATAAATTCATATTTTGGTTGAATAGGATGGCAGGGACCGGAAAGTCTACCATTGCACGAATAGTCGCACAAAGGCTTAGAGATCGAGGGCTACTTGGCGCCACATTCTTTTTCAAGCGCGGCAAAGGTAATCGTGGCATTGTATTAGGTCTGATCACCATCATATCACAACTGGTATCTAGACATAGAAAACTGGTACCTGAAGTGCTGGCAGCCATTAAGGCCAATCCATAGATTACATCTAAGTTTCTAAAAGATCAGTTTGCTGAGCTTCTCTACCAGCCCCTGCTGAAGCTACAACCAGACCAACCTACCACGATTGTGATCGTGATTAACGCCTTGGACGAATGTGATAGGGATGATGATATAAAACTCTTACTTTATCTCTTGTTCAAATTATAAGAAATCTAAACAGTGCGTTTGCGAGTAGTCTTGACAAGCAGACCTAAGCTTCCTGTCTGTCTGGGTTTCCTGAAGGAGGACAACTACCAGGACATTGTTCTCCATCAAATTCCTGCTCTAGTGATCAAACATGATATTCACGTTTTCCTGTAATACAAATTTTCAGCAATTCAACGTGACCAGTCACTTCCCTCTGACTGGCCTGGAAATGAAAAACTTGAGCAACTGGTGCAGATGTCTCTGCCTTTGTTTATCTTTGTAGCCACTCTTTGTCACTTTGTTAGGGATAAGCACTGGCTTCCCAAGGAGCGTCTTACAGCTATTCTTCAAGATGAAGCAATATCATCGACCTCCAATATAGAAAGGATGTATCTGCCAGTATTGAACCAACTCCTTAAGACAAAATCTGACACTAAGCGTGACCAACTCATACAAGACTTTCAAGATATAGTTGGTGTGATCGTTCTTCTAGCCACTCCGCTTTCTGTAGTTAGTCTTGCACGGCTGACCAAGATACCTGAGAACAAAATCACTCATCGTTTGAAGAAATTTCGCTCTGTCCTCAGTGTACCAGCCAATCTTGAAGGTCCGGTCCGAATTCTATATCTTTCCTTCCGAGATATCCTACTCTCTACGAAATGTGATTTTTGTATTGACGAGAAACATACGCATCGAAAGGTAGCATGAAAGTTATGTGAAACAGTATAAGGATGTCAATCCTCAGCTTATCCAGCAGCGTCTCCCAGCTGATCTACAATACTCTTGTCAATACTGGGTATGTTATCTTGAGCAGAGTAAAGAGCTCTTTGTAACTGCCGTTTTAACGTTTCTAAAGAAGCATTTTCTTCACTGGTTGGAAGCGATAAGTTTAATGGGGATAGCCTCAGAGGCTATTAGGATGATAGATAGACTACTAGTACAGTCGATTGAAGAGGTGAGTTCTTTCGCAATTATTATCGAGCGAGATATTAACGTTGGAATTGTAGGGCGGCCTAGATTCTGAGCTTGCACAGTTTCTAAAGGACGCTCAACGATTCATCCTCAAAAATCATCATATGATTCAAATTGCTCCACTTCAACTTCACTACTCGGGACTTGCATTTTCACCAACAGAGAGTATCATCAGAAAATGATTCGAAGAGGAAAGACCAAAGAACTTGAACATACAAATCCACCTGGAATGCGGAACCGCAGACCCTCGAAGGCCATTCAAAGTGGGTCTATTCTGTGGCATTTTCCCCAGACAGTCAAACGGTAGCCTCAGGCTCGGCTGATCAGACTATCAAGCTCTGGGATGCTAAGACTGGTAAAGAGCTCCAGACCCTTAAAGGTCATTCAGGTCCAGTTCATTCTGTGGCATTTTCCCAGATAGTCAAACAATAGCCTCAGGCTCAGGTGATATGACCATAAAGCTCTGGGATCTTAAGACTGGCAAGTCTCAGACCCTCCAAGGCCATTCGGATTCAATTACTACTTTGGCCTTTTCCCCAGATAGCGAAATAGTGACTTCAGGCTCACATGATGACACTATCAAGCTCTGGGATGCTAAGACTGGCAAAGAGCTCCAGACCCTTGAAAATCACCCTATGTCGACTAGGTGTGTCACTGGTCAAAATCCATATAAACTCAGCTTACAAATATCTTTAAGAAATGAGTGGGTCGTCTGTAGGAATGAGAATTTGGTATGGATTCCTGATGATTATCGTCAGTTGGATTGCTCGGCTATACAAGGAGAGCTCCTTGTTCTTGGGTACGAGGATGAAAGGCTTCTTATTGTCGGTTTCCCCGCCACTTAACGCTTCTTCATTGATCGTGCTATATTAAAACATCAAATAGTCCAATCTGACCACAGTATCCTATGGGAGTTCTTTTTCTTTTCCCCTAAATTTGATTCAGCTCTGGTCATTCCCAGAACACTCCAGAGCTGGAATATCAAGACTTACGAATAAGCGGTAAAATAGTCCACGGGTGGTCATTGCACATGTGGTTGTTTGGTTGTTTCATGTACTTTGGCCTATGGTTACTGCGAGTAAAACGTGGCGACCATCTTGGCCTGTAAAATGCATGGGCACTACAGTATCAGGCTTACCTCTTCATCATTCTCTAGATCCCCGAGCACATGCAGTGGGGTTGGTATGCTGCGGAGCGCGTCATCGACTCTCTCTACAGCCTGAGCTCTCGATGCAGCCCTGGAGGCTCCTCAGTGAAGGCCCACGAGTAAATACTATACTACTACTAGTACTGCCAGTGCTCAGGTGGTAGTAGCCACATTCGCCTGCTTATTGAATATGTCGTTACTCTAAGTCATTGGCACGTTCAAGTTCGTGCTTTCTGTTCCAAGGTTCACAGCATAGTACTATGTTCGAATGGTAATCGACAAGATATTCGAACTTGAATGTGCAACTTTTCCTATTAGTTTCTCAACCTAGATGCACCCGCCAGCGTGGACCATGAATCGCCTCAATTGATTCTGAGCGTCAAATCAACTTGAAATGGCTCGGACAAGACCCAGTTCAGATACAGTTCAGATACAGCAAAATTTGAATTCCATGTTACCTGGGTAGTAGTCTCAGGCTCTACTAGTAATTCCAAGGTTATATTCCTATGCAAAACACTAGTGATAGTGCTGGACGGTCTCGCCCTCCAAACATTTGAAGATACGGGTAAAAACCTTGGAAGGCAGCCGTCTTTGCACATATGATATCAGAAGTCATTCAAGTTACTACCTAGTGGTATTTTCGGCGTCAATTTTACAGGTCCCTGCATCATGATATGCATATTCTATGTAGACGTTATATTTGAACGTATGAAATGAGGCATGCTTGCCAATTGTCAATGTCTTCAATGTTAGACAGTCCCATAGGTAGTCTCCTGGCCATTGTGTGCCTCATATCCCGGGTCTTCGCTTGGGATCTCGCGAATAATATCATTAGTCTGAGGACCTGTGTATTTTCTAGAATTGGAATTATAGTTAGTACGAGTGATCCGACGCAGTTCAATGCAGAGTCGAATTATTACCCTCGAGCGTCGGCCCACCACCAGACCAAAGCAAACAAAGCAATAAAGGCTGCAACACAAATAGCGTAGTTCCTAGACATCAGGTTAATAAATGCATCGAAACCCTTGTCGTATCAGAGAAAGATCCTTACATGTTGGCCCTCGTCACAGGAAGCTGAGTTGGGAAGAAGAGAATCGTGCTGATGAAAACTACCCAAGTGACAGCAACGTAGTTGATAGGTGTTCCCCATTTACCAAGGGTAAATGGCCCCTCAACAAACTTGACCTTAGACTTATAAATTTGATGGGCCAAGATAACGGAGATATAAGAGAGATCAAGTGCCGGTGCGGTCACGCTAAAGATGGCCGTCGCAGTCTCAGTAGAGCCAACAGCGATACAGTTCAAGGCAATACTGAAAATCACCACGAACCAGACTGCGTTCACTGGAGTATGTGTCTTAGGATTCACTTTGGAGAGGAGCTTCGAAAAAGGCAATGCGTTGTCTCGCGCAAACGCATATGCCATCCTGGTATCAGCCAGCATGGCTGAACATCCAGTGAAGAACTGCACTAGAATCGCAAATGCCCACATAATTGTACCACCTGTTTTCCCTCCTGCGTTGAGGAAGATCTGCGCAGCTGGCAGACCGGTGGGCGAGTTGAGGATGTCTTCAAAGTCTGTTAGACAGAAACACATACAGACGGTTAGTAGCCATCCGAATACTCCACTGACGAAGACGGCGGTTCTGATGGCGACTGGGCCTCGAACGGCAGCATCGTGGGTCTCTTCTGACATGCTGGGATAATGTGAGCGAGTTGGTCATTATACTATGGCTTTTTTGAAGAACATACTGTGTTGTACCATCGTAATCCGTCATCGTCCAAGCAACAGACAAGAATCCCAAGAAGAAGGAGAAGGTCTTAGAGCCCCACCCAGACCCATCGGTGAAGTGGGTAAAGACCCACGATGCGGGCATTTTATCTGGGGTTAGGTATAGTAATGCAATGCAAATGGCGATGGTGGCGGTGACTATATGACATTAGAATAAGAAGGTCAAGCTTAAAGCTTAATTATGAGACACATACTATTAATTGGTGCAAACCAGAGAATAATCCGATGAAGGGTTTTGGTTGTCAATGAGCAGATCACGCCGAGAATACACAGTAGGCCAATAGAGACCAATACTGTTTGGAGTGCAGTACTATACGATTGTTGATTAGTATTGCAGACGAGTCGTTTTAAAGACCGGCAGTGGAGCTTACGGTGAATATGAGTACTGCCCATCTTCCAAATCCGAATTCATACTGACACACGCCAGTAGCATCTGACTGACAGTATACGCCACGCTAGACACACCAGCTGTCTGTCCTAGTAGGTTGCACCATCCTTGAATCCACGAGAAAATAGGGACTTGGTCTTTCGGCACAACATGTTTTGTGACAAAATACATTCCACCTGCTGTTGGGTATGCCGATACAAGTTCTGCCACGGAACTGCCAATGCACATTGCCATACAAGACCCAATCAACCAGCACCAGACTGCTGTTGCAGGTCCACCAGCCGCCAAGGGCGAGCCGAAGGTTGCGGGGACCGAGCCGAGGACCCCGAGGATGGAGATAGCGTAGGAGACAGTTGACCATTTAGAAAACTCTCGTCGAAGTTCCTGTTCCACGGTGATAAGGAAGAGGATTAGCAAACAGAAATGTCTACAGCACATAGATTGAATCTATTGAATTGCGACCACATGTGCACGGGCGCATATACCTGTTTATAGCCAATGCGAGCTAATAACAGCTCATCGTCATCTTGAATAGTCGCCATTGACGAGGAACTCGAAGGAATAGGGCGTTGATGAACTTGATCTTCTTTCAAGTTGGGTTTGTGATTAGGATCCGGGTGGTCTATAGTTGAATGCATCATCGTGAGATAGGATCGCGAGTAGTGCCGATCATTAAGATAAGGGGGGCAGGAATGGAAAAAAAGCAAAAGAAAAAACACCACTTCAAGTTCCACTAACGCATATGCAAGGAGGGGAGGATTTTAAAGAAAGAGAAGACTATTACGCCACTTACCCTACGTCTTTAAAGCGTTATATCTACTTCGGCACGGAGGACGGAGTACGCAGTGACGCCAGATGGAGGGGCTAAGGTCCGATCTAGGAGCATATGGAAAGGGAAAAAAGAGACGGTGAAGATAGAAAACAAACTAATGCGGGAGCTTGTTCATTTTTGTGCATGGGTACTTATGTGGATAGAGCAATCCGATAAGCGCAACTTGATTGATTCGTGACATTCGGGATGGATCCAGTTAGGGGAATTGATAGGAGATCGTGAATGGATGAGAGGATATCGGAAGGCGAAAATTGTCTAGCTTATATGCAGGGGAAGTAAGAAACCAAGGAAATTTTACTCCATTTGATCAAATAAATCCAAGTTTGGATCATGATCGGATTGTCAATTGGATTTGAAGTATTTTTTCGGACGTATATCGGAAATCATGAATAAAATCCACTGGATCAAATAGATCCGAGTGGACTGTTGGAGGATGGATGCCCAGGCGACGGAGTACTAAGTGGACTTTCCCCAAGGTTGTATAGCGCCGAATGGCCGGCATAACAAAGAAAGTGATGAAAATGATGTGAAAATGATTGTATGGCGCATAAGCGAGCTTAATAGTACCTGATATCCTTCTAGAATATTGATAAATTATACCATAATCTCATGACTCAATCCACTTGATCAACTTGACCAGAATGCAATAGTCCGCAGGTATGAAGAATGTCAACAGTCCTAGAGGTAAAGAGACAAAAAAGTGTACCACATAACCCTTGGAAGGACGGAACCAAGTAAATCCGTAGATACAATGCTTCGTGCCCAGGTGTCTCCTGTTGATTTGTTTTGTAGATGATTCTATCGGAACAGGTGCCAGGTGCGTAGTGTAGTTTGCCCACTGTGGTCCGAAGGCTGTCCCTGCAGTGTTTTAGCTCCGTACATGTAGCCTTTCAAGGTTCTTACCCTATGTACGGGGGCCTATAACGCCGAAACTAATTTTCCTAAGAATTTTGACCTAACTTAGCACTATTTATTCTATTATCATATGTAAAAACTTAAACTTGAATAATAAGGTTAAAGTAAGAGATATCTAGTTCTTTTTTTTTTCTATTTTGGCCACATGGCCCATTATAGGCATACCCTATGCCATCTCTATAGTTCTAAGGTTTCTTGCCTCCTTGTAGCTGATAGCTGACTCCTCATGGCTGATCCATACCTACACAACATGGAAAATTCGACGATTGGAAGAAGTCGCGAACTTGTTAGACTTGACCACTGGTTCATCTTCCGGATATCATCTCACGCTCTACCATCTCTCCCTTCCTCAAGCCAGCCTTCCCTCTCTCAACACGATCAGACCACGCTTTATCGGATACTGGCATGGACTGACAGAAATACGAAAGCCTACTGGATTGGCCGAACTGCTCGATTGATAAGCAATTGACCAGTGGTATGTATTACGAGAGTGTTTTTTTGTGGGTTAGTCTGATCCATGGATGATTTAGTAGGAGGGTGGCCCAACTATCCGGTCATTTCTAGAATCGAGATTGACAAAGAATTCAAAGAGCAACGAGCTGAGATTCGTGTCGTGAAAGAGAGCCTGCAAAACTGATTCTAAATCAATTGCGATTGCAACAGCGAATAGGCCTAAGGCCAAAGTATTTTAATAAAAACAGGATTTTACTACCCTGAGTCTCAATTTGCAAGGTTTCTTCTTTCTCTCTGAGTAATATTCTGTCGTAGAATCTGTGAACCGAATGAAACAATATGAAGAATATGAATAATATGAAGAATGTCAACAATCCGAGAAAAAGGGTGGGTTCCACGTGAAGCACGGAACCAAGTAAATCCGTAGGTACAGGTGGTCAATCCGGTATATCATCAACATCGCGGGGTTTCCCTTTGTTACCTCATAACAGGATATCCTGATAATGCTTCGTGTCTCTTGTTGATTCCAAGGTTGTTTTACATGATTCGTCATGGCTGACCCTTCCATGTATCACATGGCCCAATCTGCTGAGGACCCTTCTAATCAGCACCCAACCGGCTATCCTCCTACGGCGCCGCAACCTGGAGCTGTTAACCCCAATGCCTCGCCTAATCAGTGGTCCACATATGGATCTCCGCAATCGCAATCGCAACCACTACAGCCCTACCCCGGTCAACCAGCCGGCATGTATAATGCCGCACAGCAACCAATCGCTGCTACCGCCGACCCGAATATGGCGGGCTTAGCCTCTCAAATGGGTGGGTTGGGGATTGCAGGAGATGCTGGAGCTGCAGCTGGCGGAAGAGCACACAAGAAGAAGCACCGTCATGCCTACCATGATATTGGAACAGGATCTGCCGCTGCCGCACAACCTATGGGCGGTGCTATGGGGGCTGGAGTGGCCGGGGTTGCTCAACCCACGTCTCAATTCCTCAATACAGGCTTGAACCAGGCTCCTCAGCCGGTGGCTCCAATGGGAGGCGCTCAGTTTGGACAGCCCGGACAACCGTCAGCAGGATTTACTTCGCAGCCCGGTCTTCAGGACGGTGCTGGATCGGTGGCCACACAAGGTCGAGTTGACCCTGAGCAGATTCCCAGTATCCCTCGTTCACGCGACATCCCCGCCCAATACTATTTCAACAATGTATACCCGACGATGGACCGACACCTCCCTCCTCCCGCGGCGATTCCCTTTGTTGCTCAAGACCAAGGCAATTCCTCACCGAAGTATGCCCGCTTAACCCTCAACAACATCCCCGCAACATCAGACTTCCTTTCCCAGACCGGCTTGCCACTGGGCATGATCCTACAACCGCTTGCGCCCCTCGACCCTGGCGAGCAACCGATCCCTGTTCTTGATTTTGGGAGTGATGGTCCTCCGCGATGCCGACGATGCCGCACCTACATCAACCCCTTCATGGCCTTCCGATCGGGCGGCAGCAAGTTTGTTTGCAATATGTGCACGTTCCCGAATGATACCCCTACCGAATACTATGCGCCGCTTGACCCAACTGGTGCACGCGTAGACCGTATGCAACGACCTGAATTGATGATGGGTACCGTGGAGTTCTTGGTGCCCAAGGAATACTGGAACAAGGAACCTGTGGGATTGCAGACTCTGTTCTTAATTGACGTGAGTCGCGAGTCCGTTCATCGGGGCTATTTGAAGACCGTCTGTGATGGTATCGCAGAGGCATTATATGGCGAGGATGGTACGGCAGATGGCACTGAAGGAGGAGAATCCCGGAAATTGCCAGCTGGATCGAAGGTTGGCATTGTCACCTTTGACAGAGAGGTGCATTTCTATAACCTTACGGTATGCGACCTTTGCCTCTCAAAAAATAGATGAAATCTTGCCACTGACCAACGTCTAGTCCACATTTGACCAGGCGCAGATGATGGTGATGACTGACTTGGAAGAGCCATTCTTACCATTGAGCGAGGGTCTTTTCGTTGATCCGTACGAGTCAAAGTATGTGAAAGTCGTATCGGTGTCATCTATCAGTTACTAACAACCCTACGCAGGTCAGTCATTACTTCTCTATTAAGCCGGATACCTAGTCTTTTCGCCAATATCAAGAATCCCGAGCCAGCCTTACTCCCGGCGCTGAATGCTGGTCTTTCAGCCCTGCAAGCAACGGGTGGAAAGATTATCTGCTCGATAGCCAGCTTACCCACGGCGGGTCCTGGGCAGTTGACAGTGCGCGAGGACCCTAAAATCCACGGGACCGATGCGGAACGCAAATTATTCACCACAGATAATCCTGCCTGGAAGAAGACAGCCAGCCAACTGGCCGAAGCTGGCGTTGGCGTTGATTTCTTCATTGCGGCACCTGGTGGAGTGTATATTGATGTGGCGACTATCGGTACGTTGGGCCTGGAGAAAGAATCCTAATGATGTTTACAGACTAACTCTCTGACAGGACATGTCTCGGCTACTACTGGAGGAGAGACCTTCTTTTATCCCAACTTCCATGCTCCTCGTGATATTGAAAAAGTACGGAAGGAGATTGCCCATACTGTCAATCGAGAGACAGGTTACCAAGCTCTGATGAAGGTGCGCTGCTCCAATGGTCTCCAGGTTTCCTCTTACCATGGAAACTTTGTGCAGCACGCTCTGGGTGCCGATCTTGAATTTGGTGGTGTCGATGCCGACAAGGCCATTGGTGTGATCTTCAGCTATGATGGAAAACTCGATCTCAAGCTGGATGCCCATTTCCAGGCTGCGCTGCTGTACACATCTGCGGATGGCCAGCGACGAGTTCGTTGCATCAACGTTGTAGCTGCAGTCAATGAGGGTGGCATGGAGACAATGAAATTCGTGGACCAAGATGCTGTGGTTGCAGTCATCGCTAAGGAGGGTAAGTTGATGACATTTCCCAGATGACCTAGTCTCTTGCTCACTCTATATGTTTTATACAGCGGCCACAAAGACACTGGATAAGTCACTCAAGGATATTCGGGCTAGTATTTCCGAGAAGAACGTCGATATCTTCAGCGGATACCGAAAGGTCTTCTCTGGGTCCCATCCTCCCGGTCAGATGATCTTGCCAGAAAATTTGAAGGAGTTTTCGATGTACATGCTGAGCTTGATCAAATCGAGAGCATTCAAAGGTAAGCCAGAAGTATGAATTGCAATAGATGAAAATTTGAGACTAATCGGCAACTCTTCTAGGTGGCAACGAATCATCAGACCGTCGGGCTCACGACCAGCGTTTGCTACACTCATTTGGTTGTACCGAACTCTCCCTTTACCTCTACCCCCGCATTCTCGCTATCCACAACATGCAGCCGGAAGATGGGTTCCCGAACGAACATGGCCAACTTCAAGTCCCACCAACTCTACGTGCCAGCTACTCCAAAATCGAGGAGGGCGGTGTCTACTTGGTAGATAACGGACAGGCTGTGCTATTGTGGCTCCACGCACAGGTCTCGCCCAATCTACTGGAAGACCTGTTCGGGCCCGGTCAAAATGATCTCCGTGAACTCAGTGCCAACATCTCCTCTCTCCCAGTATTGGATACTCACCTGAACGCTCAGGTCCGCAACCTTCTCCAATACTTCGCAAGTGTACGTGGGTCTAAAGCCGTGACCATCCAATTGGCCCGCCAAGGCATGGATGGTGCAGAGTACGAATTCGCCCGATTGCTCCTGGAAGACCGGAATAACGAAGCCCAAAGCTACGTGGATTGGTTGGTGCATACCCACCGCCAAATCAACTTAGAGTTAGCCGGTCACCGCAAGAAGGAAGAATCCACGAGTGAGGGTGCGTTGTCTAGTTTATCGGCAATGCGAGCGCCATATTGGTAAGCAGTTGAACAGCCCGCCGGACCAAGCATAGGGCGGTTTTCCTTTGGGGGTTTGACCAGCCAAACCATTTCCTATTCCCTCCGAGCGTACATTGGGCTGCAGGTACCCTCACACTTCCACTTATTTGTCCACCACACGAAACAAAACAAAAAATTTGCAAGAGAAAAAGAGAAAAAAAAAACACCCATACGAGGAAGGTGACTCCAGTGGCTGATCTATGGAGTCCAGAAGTGGACTAAGACATCGGAGAATTCAATTTAATCTAGTTTCCCTCTTTGTACATATGGGAGTAGCGAGTAAAGGAATTAGCATCTCGACCTTTCGCCCCCTCATCAGTATGGGGCTAGATCCATGACCTATGTACCACCACACCCCCACTATGAACTTGAATGACCCCCAATGCAAGTCAAGCCTAACATTGAACCCACCGAGTGGATATCACGAAAAAAGGGCCCCCCCTCTAAACCCACCCCAATCAAGTAAACTAAGGCGCAGGTACCAACCGAGAATCTCTAAATAGCGGTCTAGAACGATCACAAGATATTCTGGAAAAGGAAATCAATTGATCGACCAAAACTCACCAAAATGGGAGTTTGTGTGCCCCTCCCACTTAACTCTACTTGACTTAGTCCTGGTCCACAAAGGGCATTAAGGTACGATTCGGTCGGGGAACGCGGGTTTAGCCCTGGGCTAAGCCTAGCTAAAGGAGACTAAATGGTACAGATGAAAATGATGTATACTATGTATTTACGGAGTAGTTGGTAGTAGTACTCCGTACTTTGTTCAAGTTTGCGTAACGAGACTATTGAATTTATTCTGATATGAGATTGAGGTATTGCAGATAGGGATCAGGGTTTAGTACTACTACTCCGCACCTATTACCTAGGTACTATTATAATGATTATTATTAATATGAATTTGAAGTTTTCACCGAAACTGTGAGCATGGACCCCATTAATCCTGAGAGAAAACCACGCATTGCCACATTTCCGGACCCTTTAGACCCATAATTGTCTGATGGGTTCCAAGAAGTCCAGACTCTGATCGACAGGTACCCAAGGGCACGGACGACGTCAGAGGCGGTGGGGAAGATGAGAGAAGTCTTCTTGAATAATCCTGGATTCTATGGTTTACTGGTATTGGCCACATTATGTGGATTCTGTTCTGGGTTCAGGTACAACTGGCATTGCACGGACGTACGGTGAACATCCGACTTGATTGTTGGACTAGTTGGAATGATGCTGGTTGGTCGGAACAGTCTGCTATTTTACTGATTCTTGTTATTTTTTAATTTATAATCCCATTATTAATGAACTTTTAATCAATATGTACTGCAACTAGTACTTTTTCAGAACTTGAATGAAATTTCTCATGTCTATACTCATATTAGCCTCATTTTATCCATGGTCCATGGCCCCTCGGGTGGCCAATATCTGTAGCCAACCTTGCCGAGCTGCCATGGGAAAGCGATGTGCCGCCTTCCAAATGTCTTCTTTTTGGTTCTTTTTTTTAAGGAATTTTAATTGGGGCATTTTGGATTTTTTAGGGATTTTTCGGGAATTTTTCTAATTGATTTTTTGGTTTCATCTCAAAATGACGTGAGGTGGTGGCTATTGCCACGTCGTGGCTTGCATCCATTATATGGAAAGTGGCAGCAGAAGAGGCTAAGAGGCGAACCCCACGCACTTTCCATAGACCAACGCACTCATTTTTGCCTGAGTCCTATTCTCTCTCTACTGATAGAACTCATCCTTGTACAATTCGAACACGTCAGAAAAACTTGAAGGATTGCATCTCATTTTACAAGGGTTTCCCGATCACATCCGAATTATACGGTGAATTGGTCCTAATAGTTCGTATAAATACGATCCTAATTGGACTCGTTATACTATCAACGCTGTGTGCCCTGAGTAACTCTTTTTCTGCAGCCTAAGGTCAACCAAATCAGAATGCGACGTCAGGCAAAAAAAAAAACGCTCTGTCATCCACTCCTGCCCCATATGATTCGCCGTCCTGAATTCTCCACTCTATTTTTGCCTTTGGTAGGAGGGTCCACTGGTACCTCAGACCGATCCATGGCTCAGAATCTGCATGGGTTTGCCAACACGTTTTTTCTGGGTCGGTACCTATCTGGGGTCTTACCAGAAATCCTCCAGAATTGAAAGGTATAAAAGGGGCCTAGTAGCCCTTCAAAAAAAAGGAATCATCTCAATTCAAGTCTCTCATTGAAGACAGTCCTTCCCTTTAAACTTTCATTCCTTTCTTAGTCTGTTGATCAGACCAATCCTTCTTTACTTTCCAATTTCAGTCTTCATAACCACTCATTCTCTTCAAAATGATGTTCACCAAGACTCTCGGCCTGGCTGCTGCCTTCGCTACTTTGGCCTCTGCCCTTCCTTCTGGCACCGTGAAGCGTAATAGCACCGAGCCCGCTAGCGGTAGCGTCCTGATCACCAACAACCTTAACAAGGACGTCTACGCCTGGTCCGTCTCCAATGATGTTGGTCCTATGCAGACCCTGACTGCCAATGGTGGTACCTACAGCGAGGCCTGGAAAACCAATCCCAATGGCGGTGGTATTTCTATCAAGCTGTCCACCGATCAAAACCAGACCAGTGTCCTGCAATTCGAGTACACCCAAGCCACAGATACAATCTACTGGGATCTTTCCTGCATCGACATGGAGTCCAGTTCCGAGTTCACCGAGTACGGTTTCTCCGTTCTGCCCTCCGACGACGGAAGCAATGCTAGCTCTTGTCCTAGTGCTGTCTGCAAGGCTGGTGATAATGCCTGCTCCGCTGCTTACCTCCAACCTACCGATGACCACGCTACTCACGGTTGCCCTATCGATACCGGGTTGGCTTTGAATATCGGCCAGTAAATGTATTTACTACGTTTTACTGATCGATTCGATCGTGACCCGCACAGTCTTTCATTTAGGGTCTTCTCTTCGTCTCACCGATGGTGATCCTCTTTTTCTGTCTTCGCCCTAGTTGGTGAATATTTTTTGATTTTTTGGATTTGATTTGATTTTCGATTGGACTTGTTTTACATGTTCGGTTGATTCGACATGTTCGGTTTCTCATGTGCGGTTGACCGCCGGGATTGAATGTCGTCACGAGCTATGATTTTTTGATGTCTTTGTTGAATACCCCCCTGGATGAGGAAGATGAGGAATGAGAATTTGAGGAATATGAGAATTGGGGACGAAATGTTTATAGATTATAGAAGGGTTGAATAGTAGCCCAATTTCACTCACTTCATACAATACTTCAAATTTCTTGGTAAATTGCTAGTAGGACTTCACAAATAAAAGAACCTGGCAGAGCGTACTCCCTAACCTAGAGAATTGGATATTTCATGGATTCAAAATTGCTCAAGCTTTTTACTAAGAGAACTTGGTAAAACGTAAAACTTTATGATTTGTCGACCTCTACAGTGAAGTCCACTGAATCCTAAGTATAGGGTCTAAGCCACGATCCAGAACCAAAAGAAAAACTGATAGACAGGAACGAAGGCGATTCCAGTCAAGATCAGCGCTGAGATCTAAAAGGCTTTCAAAGAAAGAGACAAGTGCCAGGGTCATAACCGAAGTGGATCCCATCGATCCATTCCACTTTTATTCGACGCCTCATGTCGATCCTCTTAGATTAAGGGCCTGGACCCTGATTCCTTTCTAGTTAATGATCTACTGTTGCCAGTTGACGAGGTGTCAGATTGTTTGAGCGAATAAGTATCGGTGTTAGGCACTAATGCCCAAGGCTCTACCAGTTGTTCTCACGTTTACTCTTGTGACTCAATTTTCAAAATTTCAAAATTTATTAATCCTTTCAAGTTGATTTAACATTTAAACAGAGTTTTGGATCCACAGAGAAGTCAGTTCCTGAAAGAAGACTCTAAAATCACCAATTGACATTGAAGCCAAAAAATAAAAATCCCAAAGAAAAGGTACAAAACTTAACTTGCCAAGTGATCCATTTCAATGAATATGTTGGCCACTTGTATCACTGGTCCTTGATTGAACCAGTGGTTGTGTAAAAAGAATGTGTGCTTCAACCAGAGAATACACTGTGGTTCCGCGAATCATGATACAATTCATATGTTCGGGTAAATGGGATTGTACCAAAAGATGAGAAAGTCCGGGGCAAATGTATTAAATTTATGAATATGAATAAATTGCCAAGAACCTTGAAAGAATTATGCTTTATGCTGGGTTGCCCAGATGGCCCGATTGATCTTTTGGCGAACTTGGCGGTCTCTCTTGAAGTTGCTAATTTTGGTCCTCGAGTTGAATACTAGTAATGACGCGGGTTTGTGTGAGAATAATTCATCGTGAATTTCGCCTAGATAGACGGGATAATGGAGTCAGATGTAAGGGCATTTGCCTTGACTTGGATTGTGTATGTTTTGTGTAACACCCATAACGCTCTGAAAACTGTGGCTTTCAAGTTCACGGTTCTATGATTATACTCTCAGATACTGACTGGTCAATTAGTGAAGAGCAAGTCATGATACATTCGCCTAGCTATTTAATATTACGTGAACTCAGGCTCCTCGCAGATTCAGAGATTGCTGGCGCCTACAATACAAATGTAGTCCTCCCAGTGCAGAGCATATTTCAACTTCATCAGAATAGCTTGGAAGGCTATAGGTATCATAATCCAACCACATTTGCCTTGTTCTCGGAGTTTCAGCATCTGCAAATGGTTTTCTGTGAAGTGCCATGGTTAGACAAATTCGAGGATCGATAAAAGCGAACTTGAACTTACTCATTGTCATTGAAGACTCCAAAGCCGGTGGAAATAATAAGCACAGGCCGAGCAAGATCGGCGATAATCTGCTTGACTGGGGCGGCAGCAAAGGGTGATATTATGATCGATTCATCGTCAATTTCCGCGAATCCTCCTGCACCGTGTGTTCCAACAATCTTGAATTCCTTCTTGGTCAGGATCTCTTCCGTGAACTTTGTATAATCTGGGTCCTGAGCAAGTAATGGCAATGTTTTATTGCCATGACGACAAAGTTGAGCGATAGTGAGAGCCATTGAATGCTGGATCATACAACCCACAACATTTTCCCCCTCAGAGTTCTCATCCCAAGAGCCATGCTGCCATTTGAGCCATTCAGGCGCGGAGCGGCAAAAATCACCAAGCCCGAAGCAGAGAACTTTCTTCACAGTGTTTGTACCGAGTGTATCTTGGACCAAGGCTGCCAAGTCCTTACAGGTCTTGCTATTCTGCCACAACAAGTGTTTCTCGTTAAAGACTTGCATAGGTTGTGCTGTAAGCTCTCGGAAGTTTCGTGCAGTCTGATTGCTCCAATCCACAATGTAAGAGCATAGGTAAGTTTCAACTGGGCCGTTGGGTTGTGTTTTCACAAGTTGCCAATATTCTTGGTACTTCACATAGGGTTTCCTAAGGAAAACTTCAAGTTAGATCACAGGCTGGAATGGGGTCAGAAGACCATACCCACGTACCAGATAGGATTCTGTACTTGATACATGGGATTGGAAATTTGGATTATACTTCCATCAATTCGACGGACTGAAAATCGCTCCATCGCATGGGATTGGCGTAATTGTTGTTCTATGTCTTTGAGATCCTCTTTCGTCCAAAGCCTGGTACCAGAACTGTACAGATCTGCGACTCTTTGGCTACTGATCCGCCAATCCGTGCACCCGTAGTCGAGCGGTCTTAGAGTTTGTGGCATGGCCTCGTAGCTGCTGATCGAGCAAAAGTGAGGAACAAACCAAATGATGAGTTTTCGGGAGGAAAAATTTATTCGTGTACAAGGATTATCACTGATGGGTGCTGGCGGTGAAGAGCCGGCTCCCTTGGAAAAGTTACGGGTGGAAAGGCGGCTGTTTTTGGCGTCAAAGGCTGTCATCTCGGCCTCATTTTCACAGGCCCCATATTCTATGTTTAAAATTATGTACAGTAAAGAAGCATCATGGATGTGTCAAAAACATCAGCCTCCCCGTCGAGAACGACGCCATTCACGCCATCGTTCCATCGTACGTTGTGATCGCATCAGCTTTATCAAAGCATATGCGACGAAGCGGTAGATTATGGTGCAAACTCCCAACGCCATGATATTCATCGGTCCATTCTTATGAAGATTGTAGAGTTGCAGTACCTGCTCTCCATTATCAATAGGACAGCTTCCGTCCGCGAGTTGCTCAGCTGCAGAACAGTGGAACGGCTGACCATGCATCGAGTAAGGAGCCAAGTTGGCGATAGAGTATTTGATAGGCGAAAGATGATTGATACCCTGCAAGACGTCGTTGACATTCAAACTCATTACACCACCAAGAATAGTCGAGATAGATAGGAGGATCGATGTCACGTTGACGGCGAATCCAACGTGAGAGAATAAGGTGCAGAACATGATTCCAACCGATTCTCCGCAGCTAATAATGCAGAAACAGTTAAAGGCACCGATTAAGAACATCTCTGCCGTGCGCTTCAGGTTATCTGCGAAAGCTGCTAGGACGCCAAAGACGAGTGCTGAAGCTATTTCGAACGGAACTTCAATTGTTGTGTACGCGAGGATGAATGTCTCTGCGGAATAGCAGTTGTCTGCTTCTTCGCGGTAGAACACATCGCGCTCGTTTGGGTATATTGTAATATTTTGAAGCATACCTACACAGTTCTGTCAGCAAGATTACCCAAATATGAAGTGGGATTAGTGACCTACCAACAAAGTACAATGCTGCAAACTCTTGAACAAATCCCATTCGCGATTGAACAGCGGCATAGTCATTTTTCAGAGGTGCGAAGAACAAGGCCATGATTATAGCAATTCCAACAATCTGCATCGACCGAGCCATGACTAGTGGCGGCTGGCGCCAAAAGTTGATGAATGAGCGACGCAGTACCAGTGGAAAAGTTACACGGAATGGGAGCATTTGTCGACGCAGACTACCAAGCTCAGCAGGAGTCGCAATTTGCGATGCCACACGATTAAGCACCGAGGTTTTATTAGACCAGCAAGAGATAAGATGTCTAACGCGCTCACGGGTAGTCGCTTCCCGATCTTCTTGTTGGAGATCCACGGTGATAAGGTCCAGAACGAAATCTGCTGGATTGGTTGTTCGCGGACAGTCGTGGCCTAATTCTGCGAAGTGTGGGAGCATCTGTTGTCCTGACCCAGCGTAGACTGGGTATCCACCTCGAGCTAGAAGTAAGACCTGTGAAAAATGACCGAAAAGGTCGGATCGCGACTGATGAATGGTCATGACCAAGGTGCGGCCTTCGGCTGCGAGACTCTGTAAAACCTCAATGATGGACATGGCTGTGAAAGCGTCTAATCCAGAGGTCGGCTCATCCAGAAGCAGAACTTTGGGATTCGTGAGGATCTGGATGGCGATGGTTACTCGCCGCTTTTCTCCTCCACTGATACCTTTGATGAGCTCGCTTCCGATGAGATTATCGGCACATTCTTTCAGCCCCATCTTGAAAAGGACTTCCTCCGCTCGTCGATTCTTCTCATCTCGGGTCATCCAATGTGGCAACCGGAGCCCCGCTGCAAATCGTAGGCTTTCGCGCACAGTCAGCGATGGCATTAAGGCATCATCATCCTGAGTAACAAATGAAGTCACTGAGCGAATCACCGTTTCCGATGGTACTGCACCATTATACAGCATTTGGCCTTTGACACGATACTGGGTTCCCAGAGAGCCATGTAGCCTGCGAGCGATAGAACTAAGCAATGATGTCTTGCCACTGCCGGAGGGTCCCATGATGATATTTAGCTCTCCAGGAAAGAATCCCGCAGTGATTGGTTGTAGGATCTTCAGCGTCTGTGCTTCCTTGCCAGGTCGTCGGCCTTGTCGAATTTCCAAGGCATATTGATCCAACGAGATAGTCAATCTTCGAGTCTCCTCAGACGGACGAATTGTCAGTTTTGCTTTGCTGGCAGAATAGTCGCCTTCTGTCTTCCGGGCTTGAGCAATATCGATTGAAAACCGATTATATTGTAGCAATAGGCCTGCTGCTAGATAGTGGCAAATGGCAAATGCAACTAGCACCACGATCGGTCGCCAAATCCAATTAGATGGAAATCCTAAGCTGCTCATAATGTATTTCCCTGTGTACTCCTTGCAGGCTGGATCATGTGGATCATCGGAATAGGGACAATCGTAGAAATGACCCAGCTCCGAACCACCAGTGCCCATGAATTCATTCGCGCATAACGCACCAAAAATGTAGAATGTGTAGGCACACCATTTCAACCATCTGACATAGACCGGTATCTGATTTGATTGCACAAAATATCCACAGGCAAATGATTGTAAGGTGAAGGACAGATTGGCCACAAGACTTGCGCCTGGGAAGTTCCTGGACACACCAATAGCCACTGCAGCAAATGTCACGGCAATGTAATGTGTAAGAAATGTGAGAATGAAGAAGATAAAGAACTGCCCTACCTCAACGCGATATCCAACCATGAAGTAAAAAATTAGTGAAAATAGAAGCGGGACTGGGAGATCTTCTAGGGGAAATCGTGCAACTCGACGACTGAGCAGGAATGCTGGAACACTGACAACACCTTCATTTCGCTCACGATCAAAGAGCCGAATATCAATAGTCAATCGATAGGTCTCATAAAGCAAGATGAGGTAGCCGTTGAGACTGCTGGCTGTATACAGGCTACCTTCTCGCGAGCGAATCCCTGCCTGGGTTTCACCAAGTTGCAGGAAGATCCAACCATTGATGACGGCCATACCAATCGCTTCCAGTAAACTACCCGCAACGCCCATCGGATCGCGAATAGTTGTGATGAAAGTACGTGATGTCAACACATTGAGCTGGCGTCGAAACGATACCTTCTTCATAGCACTTGTATCGACACACTCCAGCATAGGTACCACATTTGTCTTCTTTTCCTCTGCCGATGGTACTCGGTCAGCCTGTTCTGAGCGCCACGCTGTACGAAGATTCTCAACACGAGCGTAAGATGCAACTTCTAAATCACTGGTTCGGTTGTCGATGGCAGCTAAGTCAATCAGAAACTCTGCTGGGTTCACGAATGGCGGTATAGCATGACCGCATTTTTCGAAGTGGGGTAGCGCCTCGCTCGCGGGACCATTATACAAAGCAGATCCTCGCGCCAAGATAATTACATTATCAAAAAGGGTCCAAGTCTCAGATCGAGGTGCGTGGATGGAGACAACGACAGTTCGACCATCTTGCGCAAGTCGCTTCAGTGTACGCATGATCTGAAACGCACTAGTTGCATCCAAGCCCGTGGTCGGTTCATCACAGAATAGCATGGATGGATTAGCCAACAATTGCACGCCAATGCTTGTCCGTCTCTTTTCTCCACCACTGCATCCTTTATGTGTATTTGTACCGATTCTTGTGTCAGCACACTCCTTGAGTCCCAGCTCAAGGATGACCTGCTCCACGATAGCATGACGCTCTTCTTGCGTTGTCGGTGGCGGTAATCGAAGATCAGCCGAGTAACGCAGAGTCTCTCGCACAGTCAACGTTGGAATGAGAACATCCTCCTGCATGATATAGGCGCTGCGCACACTTTCAATATTGGCGTTGCCATTGAAAGTAGTTGATCCCGATACTTTAGCCTTGGAAAGAGACATTCGACCGGCCATAAGGTTGAGCAATGATGTCTTCCCTGAGCCACTGCTACCAAGAATGGCTGTTAAGCTACCACTTGGCATTTCTGCACTCACTTCATCCAAGATTCTCTTGACATTGCTTTCGGGTTTATGGCCACGAATCCGAAGCCAGACTTGCGAAGGCGCAGTTTCCCATAGAGGAGGCGTCGTATCGAGATCAAGTGAGAGGTTTTTCACGGTAACATCGACTGGGTTCACAGCACGAAGCGATAAATTGTAAACGGCATCTTGGAGAACTGAACTGAGTCCTATCTCCACTTTCTCCGCGTTAACCTCGGCAGCGATTTCGTCTTTCTCCATTGTAGAGGAAAGCTCTACCAGAAGTGCTTTCAGCTCCGGCGCTTGGCCTTAACTCCCATGGGGGCTCCGAATGTTGTCCTCTGAGGATCACTGGAAATTAATTAAGACCAGATAACGGGCCGAGTCGAACCATATCAAATGATGGTGAAATGACGATGTTGGTTCTGAGAACAATGAATCGCCCGGGTAGTAATTTGGGGAGATAATATTTCATGGGCGCATAAAGAATAGTTTGATCAATTGTTCTCCCAAGGGATCATGATCGAACCCTTGCAGACTCCTAACTTGGTCAACCTTTTAGCTCGGTCCCCGACTTGTAAACGAGTTGTATAAACGAGGCCTGGTAAATGTATTCTGATTGGCTCGGATGGCCTTTTTCCCGAGATGAATCAGCACATAGTAGCGCCTTCCTTGTTTTAAGCGACCTTCTACACCTTCCTAATTAGGAAATAGACCTCTTTCACTACTCGAGTTTTCTCGACCGCCCGGCAGAATACCAGGCGAATGAGAGGGGCAGAATCACTCACCAGCTGCCTACATCTAAGTTGATCCAACTACTACTGCCGCACGGGAAGAAGGGTTACTGGACAATAGAAATTGATGGCAATCTGTACTATGATAAAGATCTATCCATTATGAACCTCAAATGCTTCAAAATTCAACCCTCTTGCAGGAAGCTCAACTCTGAACATTGCATGTTGAATGTCCAAATCTGCTTCAAAACAGACAATGAGAACTACTTTCCTACCATACTCTTCGCTGTATCTCGCTTTGAATGCATGATGCGGCAAAAGACCTAGGAGATCGGCCAATTGTGTCACCTCGAGAGTAGTTTGATGCCTCTCCTTGGTCGGTATCTTCAACGCTAGCAGGAACATTGTGTGGCTTGCAAGTGGCCTTCCGACCGCAAGAACTGTTCGATCATTTCGCGTGGCTACAATTTGGGACACAAATTGGCTTTTGACCTCAAATTAGCGAGGTGCAGGTCGCAGGCTCTCTTTGAGGTACAAATGCCTCCCGATTATAAAGGCATAGGTCGAAGGGTCACCGTGAACGGGCGATAATGTCCTAGCCCACTGCGCCATACTGAGGTCATCCGCTCCCTGCAATCACATTAGACAAATACATCGCTTTCGCTTTTTTTTAGCATACCATTTTGAGATCAATCACCAAGGATCCAAGTTGGCCAGCTTTCTCCTGTATAGACGCATGGAAAATTGACATTTCGCGGTCTTGACCGTTTCTATCGGACCTGACAACGTAGTAGAGACTGTCACTGATGGGAATAATGTATGGATGAGATCGGTCACTGAACAGGTGAGTCTGAACAACTTCCGACAAATCGTAGGTGAGTTCACCGATGCATGATAGAAAGTTCCTGAATTGATATTTTCTGAATTTTCGTGCAGAATGAAGAAGAGATTCTCGCTGCTCGGGCAGATGGCCAATCTGAAGATCTCAGGGAGATGACTGTGCTCCACAAGATAAGGCTTTTCCAACCCATGCCGTTGCATATTGAAGATGTAATACTGTATGCAACAGAGTCAGGATTACGCTGAACAGAGATGGGGCGCAGGTATACCACTCTCACCTGGAAACTGCCTGTCGTTGATGCTATCAAGTATCTCTTTGTCAAACTGACGCTGTTTAGCATACGTCCTCCGCTGGTTGCATTTGGCGGTAGATTCCAAACACTGGCGCAGTATTTCGTTGTCAGACTGACGCTGTTCAGCATACGTCCTCCGCCGATTGATTTTAGCAGTAGATTCCGAACAGTGCCGCTTTTTCTTACATTCCCCTCCGCTCTCAAAAAGTCTGTCCTGCATAGCACAACCTTATTATCTGTCCAGAGGGCGAAGACATCTAGGCCCGGAGATATATCGCAGCCTTTGAATGAACTGCCCGACTCGGCTGACAATTCCAAGCTTTCAACTTGAACTCCTTCCTTTGCTCAAGGAACTTGCCATCTTGTGTTTGGGCGACGAAAGAGGGGAGTGACCAGGGAATGTAGACGAGATGACTGCTTGTCAACTTGTGGTAACAGCGTAAGCAGCCTGATAACATTCTGATGCCCATTCTCGGTAGCCCATGATAGTGGAGAACGGCCAGAGCTATCCTGTGTGTTCCTATCTGCACCTTTATCAAGTAGCAATTGAACAGTATTATCACGCCCATTCTCAGCAGCCCATGAAAGTGGAGATCGGCCAGAGCTGTCTGTTGTCTCAAAATCTGCGCCCTTCCCCATAAGCAGTCTCATAACATTCTTGCGGCCCATTTCAGCTGCATACGACAATAAAGACCGGCCAGAGCTGTCTGTTGCCTCGATATCTAGGCTCTTTTCAATAAGCAGTTTGATAACTCTCTCCTGCCCCCTTTCAGCTGCATATGACATCGGTGCCTGTTTCACTCGGGGGAGAAGCTCCTCTAGTTCGTCAACTTGCAAAAATGGCCGTGCCTGTTCAGTATTACCTAGTCTGCTGTTTTCACATAGCACCGCCTTCAAAAAGCGGGAAGCATTCAGGAAAGCTTCAGCAAGGATGATCAAAAGGGGCTCTCGCTCTAGCAGATAGTTGCAGATCTGGTTGGAGATGATGAGCTCTGTAAGACCACAGATGGATTGATCTGGCACGCATCAATACCCGCTGCCACAGCGTCGACTTGATCCGCCCGAATGAATGTACTCATAACATCTTCAAATGTGACAACCGGAAGAAGCATGCTTTGAAGTCTTTGTGCTTCCCAGTGTGAGCCGTTCTCCTTCAAGGTCGTATACAAGTCAAAGAATCCAGACCATCGCAGTGATTCGATAGCTGTCCATGGTGATTTTGTGTACCTCTCTTTTCCATGGAGTAGATTTGAGTCCAACTTGAATGCAATCAACAAAATGCCCAGATATATTTCAATCATATGAACATGGACTGTGTTAAGATGAGGGGCCAAGCTGGTAAACCTCTCATTCAGACGATCCCAACACTTTATTGCGCATGGCATTAGCTCTTCCGGCTTTCCGTTTAAGCGAAGATTGGCAAAGGTTTTCATGAATTGAAGCAAGTCCATTGCGTCAGTCATGCTTGTTTCACCCAGTGCAATCAACGAGCTGGGGTCGATATCATTGAGAGTTTAGCCCAAAGATATCCGCCCAATATACAGTACGGCCCAATTTTGACGCAATGGTACCACGCCGCGGTCTTTTTTCAACTTTACGTGAAATTTTGTTTGGGAGATACGAATTGGATCCGCGTGCGGTGGACCTGGGAGAATACGACTTCCTTGCAGTGACGAGATTGGGGGACGTGACAGTCAAGTGTTGCTACAAACCGTCTTCTCAATGGGGATTTCTCACTGGAATCTGCAGAAAACATGATAGATGCCCTGCGTGGCGCTTGGTCATGAGCTTCGAGATTGAACAGCCCTTTGGCAAACTTGACTATGCTGCGCTGAGTGTAGGTTTTCAATCCAGCACTCAGGGTAACCGGCCCCAGCATGGTGTTGTGGTAACCAGTGATCACGGATCTCGAACTGAAATGGGCAGTAATGCCCGTGGAGTTAATATTTCAACGTCCATCGGCGGACAAGGAGGCGATACGCTGCGTAGGAGCATAACATGGATGGTCAACCAAGCTTCAAATGAACCAAAACCATTGCTTTCTTGGGAGATTTGGGTGACGCTGAGACACGATGGAGATGCCCTTTTTATCATCAGTTCAGATGTCTCCTGTCAACTGCAGGGACCGAATAGAATATGGGCATTGTGGCCAAAGAGCCCTATTCAACCGAGAACTGTCCAACCACAAGAAGACCAAGGCACAGAGCTATTACGACAACTCGACTTCAAGTTTGAAACCGGGGGTATTGCAACAAATTACTGCTGCCCCGACTCAGATGCCCTCGTTTCCGACTGGGTTTAAAATGACAGTTAATCATTCAACTGAACCAGCCCTCTCGGCATCTTTGATTGACTCTCAACCGGCCCTTCAACCTCCTGAGTCGTGCGTTACTTTCATTCCTTTCATTCACGCCCTCGTACTCGTACACGATGGACCTAACTGTTCACAGAAATCATTCAGCGCAAGTATGGCTCAACAATTTGAGAGGAACAATCTGCGATACAACACAGATGGGTCGACGACAAGGAGATAGAGCGGTGAAGGTTGCTGTTCTTGACAGTGGTATTAATCTTGAACATCCCAGAATTAAAGAGCATCGGAAAAATAAAGGCTCCACCATAGTGGACTGCCGAGATTGGACTGAATCCCATAGTATTGAAGATCACGTTGGCCACGGTACTGCAGTGTGTGATATCCTCTTCTACAGATTGCCAAAGTTGATCTATTTGTCGGGAAGGTATCCAATCAGGCCTGTTTCAATGACAAAGCACCTGAAATAGCAGCTCAGGTAATATTGGAGCCTACATGTCATGGCAGTAAGACTGACTTTACCAGGTGATCAATCGGGCTGGTTCAAGGACCGGATGGGACGTTGATATTATTGTACTATCACTCGGATTTAATCGCAAAGTTGATGCCATTCGCCAGGAAATACTAGACGCGTTCTCCAGGGACAAGATTTTTATAGCGGCTGCGTCGAATTCAGGTTCTCTGCATTTGGAGCATCGAGTGGCGTTCCCTGCCAGAATTCAAGGACAAGTCATAAGCATCCGATCTGCCACAGGGAATGGTAACAGATCTGATATGTTGCCCAAACGCTCGGACGGTGATGACAATTTTATGATTATGGGCAAAGGAATAGAAGCAGCCTGGCCCCGAGACCTGCATGGAATTTCCGGAACGTCTGTCGGTACCCGCTATGTCTCAGGAAGCTCTTATGCGACAGCGATAGCCGCAGGGGTCGCGGCTCTCGTCTTGGAATGGTCAACGCAGAGAACCACCCGGGGGCTCAACGTATCTGACATGGCAAGAAAGGATTTGTGGTCCTATCGTGGAATTAGACGGATATTTCAATATATGTCGACCGTCGACGACCGGAGTATGGACAGTGATTGTCGCATGATTGCTCCTTGGAGACTCTCCGATACCGATCGTGACTATGATGACTTAGGACCCGAGATTCAGAGGTTGATGAAAACCACATAGTGATGCTACATCTTTGTCTGAGTGGTGGAAATGGGGTGGAGCTCTATTACAGTGCCGGGTCCACAACTGCAATGATTATGAAATTATTTGTTTGCCCATTAATACGTAAAGATAAACCAAGTGTCATTCCGAGTCCGAGCTAGTCGTACACCTGCTGGAGGACCTTGAAAGGTGTGGTTTGGAGACTACAATTTTGCTCATGGGACGATGGGGCTAGTTCATGAGTCATGTTACTCATGTAGAGTTTTTTTTATCATTGATGAAAGAGCTGGTCATGGCAGAAGATGAGAGCGCCCGCGGGCGTACCTTGATTTATCAAGGATCATGCGAGAGGTTTTACCCAATTTCTACTAGTATTCCTTCAAATGTTCTGCCATGAGCGTAAAGCTCAGCTCCTATTCAAACTTGAACAACTTTCAAGTTACTTGTCGTTTATCTACCAGCACGTCACCAAAGTCGACTCGCTTGCTCCAATCACCTCTCACCACGTCTCACAGAGGCCTCACAGGACTCGAATTCAACCAAGTTTGAGTCGTCGAAACTGATTATAAGCTGACCCGCCCTAGTTCCTGAAAGGATCCATACTCAATTACTACTCAATTACAAATATGCCAAAAAAGACATAACTGCGCCCTGCTAGCGAGGACTATGCACCAGAAAACAATATTCGACTTGGCCATGTTTGGCGAAGCCCGCGAGACCCTGGCTCATTTATTGGAGACCCAATTACTTTCCCTAGTGAGATGAAGACCAACCATACTAGCAAGGATTCTTTCACCATAAACCTGGGCCATAACTCCCACGGAGACTCAGGTTTCTGGGCTAAGGTCGTCCAGCTGCCAATTATGGCAGCCGCTGGTACCCACTGGGACAATGCTGCGGGTGGCGCCTACAAAATCTCCACGATGGACACATATTCTATCGAGCCGACGCCGGAATACGTTGAAAAGAGTGTTGCTTCCGTCTCAGCGGAGACTCTCAGGGCTGGATCGAACCTGTACATGGTCACGGGTGTCAAGATTGCACGGGGAGTTACAAGCCTTCAGTGCCAGCATCCATGGAGGCATTAATGCCTTCGGTGCATCGTTGCCAGTCCAGGTTGGTGAGCAGTTACACTACTCTAGGGACGCGCGCTGTAATCAAAATTTTGGCTCAGTCGGCGATTTCGTCTTCGCGTATCGCATAAGGGAGATAGTTTACAAGAGGGGCACCTTGAAAACAAGGGAGTCCACCAAGGGGCGGTTCTTGGGAAAAGTTCTGGCCCTGTCCCCAAAGCTGAAGAGGAATCAAACCTCGTTATTACGGAAGCTGGTATTGATGATGAGGATGTCGAGGTTATCGGAGATTCTTACTTTTTCATGGATGATGATGGTGAGGATTGCAAAATGGTATTTTGAGATGATAATTTACTTACTGCACGTACCTGGGACGATGTATACTCAGGCCGGAATCATACATCAGCGTCAGTCTGAGTGTCGGACAGCATCTATACTTAAACGCCAGTGAGGGCTCTCTATATTTGAAGATGTTTCTCCTTTCAAATGTTGTTATCATTCAAGTTTTCGCTGTCTTGGTCATTACCAGTGACACCTGTAAATTTTTAAGCCCTTTGAAACCATGATACCTCAGGATCGCAGTTCTTGTGAGAAAGTGTGCTTCATATGGCAAGCAATATTCTATATGTTGTGAAGCATTACTACTACTAATACCGTACATAGTAATGAGCAAAAGTTCGGCTCGAAGGCTGTGAGTGCTCTGGTCCGAGGTCACGATGTAGAAGAATATCCAAGTGACTTACGAGACGTTCAATATTCCGAGTCAAACATCTTCAATTTTATCCTCAACTCCTTTTTGACACATCTGACCGGAGGTACCTATGAAATGCTCATTTCAATTCAATTTGCAACTCTTACTCCTAGAAGTACCTAGTATAGGTAAAGACTCGAAACATGAAGCATGGCCATTAGAATCATCACTTAAGGCTAAGGTGGTAACCAACATCGGATCAAAATATTTGATCACGAGGCACTATGTAAGACTCGGACGTTCCTTCATTTTATCTTTGAAAATAATTCCCGATGCTAAGAGTCCCATTGCAACAGGAAAAGCGAACTTGGATATGAAAGATCTAGCTGGCGGCTCAGCTGCTTCCTTTGATGAAGCTCGCTCTTCTAATGCCCTAAATATTGAAGATTAATGACATTATCTTTGGTACGCTCAAGTTAAGGGGACAAATTACACTTTGGGTAGGAGTCCAGAGGGATTCCTGGCTAAATTTCGAGCATTGTTCCCAAAGTGGAATATGTTCCTTCCTGTCAGAACTTCGGAAGGCCAGTCATGATAATCGAGTGTAGCTTTTAGTACTCTGAGGAGGGTAACATCTGCGCCTTTATGTCCTATCAGAGATACAACGATAGGCGCGCATTCGATGTTTCCAGATACTCGTGACTCGAACGGGTTCTGACCAACTTCATTATTATGATCAGTCAGAGCCTATATTAACCAGAGATGATAAAGCATTCACTGACCTGGAACAACCACTTGAGGAGCACCGATGATTGTTGAGAAATAGATTGGACTGAAGGTTGTTGATGGAGGACCAGCTGTAGCATTTCCTACTGAGTCACGATAGTTTGCTCCGGGTCTTCCTAATGGAAGAAGCATGATAACTTCTGGTGTTAACACCTTAGAGTAGATCCAAGGAGAGAAAATTTCACATTCTTGAAGTCCTCGATCTCGCTCTTCTTTGGTTATGTCGTTTCCTAGTTGCCTTTCACATTCATCAAAAATCGCATTAGTCACTTCATTCCTGGAGAATAAAAGCAGTAGCATCACAGCATGGAGCCAAAACATACCAGCAACTTGTCATAAAGGGAGATGTGTAGACCTTTTTGCTGAACCTTTTTTGATATCCAGAAATGAACTCGTCGTAGACATGGTGTCCATCATAGAAGTTTGGCCAATAGCCAGACTAAATATGGGCCAAACGTCAGTGGCCTCAAGATTTATGACGAGCATATCACCGGCTTACCTTCTCGAGGTACTTATCCAAGGGAACTGTTCTGGCATCATCAGGCCCTCCTTTAGTCCATTCCTCAGCGAGGCTGATCCTTCTATGCTCGACCTCAAGATAAGACTCGAGTGCATGTAGGAATTCTTCAATCATATGTTGCTGTTGATCATTCTTCATTGGGAAGAAATCAGTGGGGTAGACAATTTGAGTCGGTTTCTAAATCAATTTTAGCGTATTAGTTATGCTGAAGAGCCATAGACAACCAGACTGACCGAGTATTCAGACCCAATCTTCCCAGCGGCGCGGTACACATTGAGAATTTCTTGGGAAGTTCTCGCCAGTATTCCGAGCGTATCAAATGCTCTACATTTTCAAAGTAAATCATGTGTCAAAATTCATCATTCGGGGCTCCCTTACGGAACACTGGGCATCACGCCTTCCAACGAAAAGGCAGAGTGAGTCGTTCGTATCCCCAATACTCCATATGAGACAGCAGGTATGCTAATACTTCCAGTGGCTGTCAATTAAATTAGCTTTCTAGCACAACACAGCTCCTTTTTTATGGCTTCATAAAAGCCCACCGTCTGTCCCGAGTGAAATATCCACCCAGTCATAAGCTGCGATTGATGATCCAGCACCACTGGAGCTCCCAGAGAGACCTTGGTACCCATCACCTCGAAGATTGAAGGGAGCAAGATAATCAATAGTTTTCTCGGGAGGTACTTCAGATCCGGTGTATGCAGACATCTTTGTTTTCCCCACGATCACTGCCCCCTGTACGATGAGCTCTTTGACAAACGACGAAGTCTCATTCTGTGCCCTGTAATATGATGTGTATGATCGGCTTCCCATTGTTGTGACCACCCCTGCAAGATTTAAATTGTCCTTCACTGTAATACACTTGCCATTCAGGGGTCTTGTTTCGTCGGCTCTAAAAGAAAATCGAGAGGGAACGGCTACGATGGGATATAGACCTGTATACGCGCTGACAGGAGCTGGCCGGAAACTGTGGCTCAATCTGCCAGTTAGCAATCACTCCTTTCTTGGTATAATGTATTATGTACCGGAATGAATCCTGGTCATGAGCAATCACAGTTGTGATGAAGCTCAGGGTCTCATCCTCGTAAAGCCGCCACGCCTGGCGGAGATGATTGCCTCTGACAAAGTAAGGTCCTTCAGGAACATCCAGTAGACCTTGACAGAAAACCAGAGAGGTGGAATGAGAATCTAGGAACTCTTTCAAATCGTCTGGGACTGGATCGTCGCCACTGATTTCACTCTCAGTTGGAATAATGATAAGTCCTTCCTGAATGAAGCCTGTCTGAAACACATCATCCCGCGCGGCAAAGTCACGGAAGGTACTCTCGAGATGCTGTAAAGTTAGCTCAGTACCACAGAGTCTTGAAACAACCGCAGAACGAAGGATCCCAGCCAGGTCTGGGATAGCTATCACAGTATGCTAAAACAATATCAGTGTCGGCATCGATAAAATCCATGACAAAATGCTTGTGATAGCATGGCTGAGATCATGTTCTCAACTTGGAGGATGAATCAATCTTACCGATGGTGAATTTGGAACATAGTATGCCACTTCGCCAATAGTAGCAACGAGATGCTCTTGAGCGAATAGCGTACTAGTACTAGGAGTACTCATGCTTCACTTGCTTGAGAGGATGCGAAATAGAAGGATCAGAAGCGCAAACACTCCGACCAGAGGAATTTAGTCGAGATTTATTGGGAAATTAAAGCCCCCTTCGGGCACCAAAATAACAGTTTGAATTAAAGACATCGTGTTCTGATTCCGGAACCCCCCCTGTGTGTACATGTATAGTTGGGTTTGATAATACTTACATCGAATTAGCACCTGACGTGGACATATGATCCAAAGATAGGTACCAATACCAGCAGTGATCCCAATCTATTCAATTTCAGGTTCTAACGGGTGCTCAGGTTGGTGAATTATACTGTCCATGGATAATGGAATTTTTTGCATACTAGTGGACTTCCAATAGAAGCCACAAGTAGATAAGACCATAACCTTGGAATGGTGAGGGGAATTTTGTATTCACAAGTGCTACTATGGAAAGCACATCAGATTAAAGTGTTTTACTCCCAACGCTACTATTCAAATTTAGATGGCCATATCAGCCTCATTCAGGGTTACCAGTGCTATTTCCTCCATCGTAAATGCCACCAGTTGACTTCAGGCTCAGTACCTCCCAACTTTAAAGCTTGAATTAGCCACTAGAATCTGCTTCAGGACCTGATCCACGGCTATTACTCTGGTTTTCCTATTAGTATTCTCAATTTTAATCTGGAAGAGATAAAGATGTAGAATATTTTCGGCATCGGCATCGGTCCGATTGTTCAATGTTAAATTCGGCACTCGGTTTAATGATTCCCGAAACGTGGGACCTTCCCCAAGCTCCCCCACGACACCCCTCTTTTACTATTTCCAATCGCACTTGACATTCTTCTTTCTTGACTCTCTTTCAATCTCAAAATTTCTGGAAAAATGTCCTTCACCACCGCCATCAAGTCTAGCCTTCAAGGCTCTTCTCCTGCATTCGGCTTCTGGCTCACGTACGTACAATGCTCTGCACGATTTCCCCGGTTTACCCCCACACGCGGGGCGATGTGACTAACCAATTGCGTTCCTGTGCAGACTTCCCAGCGCTGCTGTTGCAAAGACCATTCTACATGGATCATCAGGATCCAAGACCAGATTTAGCTGGGTTCTTGTTGATGCAGAGCATGGTTTGATCTCTGATCAGCACTACTACGAGGTTCGTACCAGAACTCTCTCCAACTGCCCCAATTTATTTTTAAAATGGGCAATATGTACTAATTGGCTTAATTCCAGCTTGTCAACGCTATCGGCTCTGAAAATGCGAGCCCTATCATTCGTGTGCCCTGTGCAGAAGAATGGATGATCAAGCGCGCACTTGACGCTGGTGCTCATGGCATTATGACCCCTATGTGTCACTCAGAGGTATGGCGGAATTGAATTCCTGGGAAATACCAGCGCCAATAAGTTTCAATACTAATTAACCCATTTTCTTTGCTATAGGTGGACGCTGCCAATATTGTTAAGTACACAAAGTACCCTCCTGTCGGCACACGAGGCTACGGACCCATGTTCGCTCCCCACTCAATGCCAAATGTGGAGCCCGGCACTCAATACGATGATGGTGCCAACGACGGCATCACTGTCGCTGTTCAAATTGAGTCAAGACCTGGTGTTGAGAATGTGGAGAAAATTGCCGCTGTGCCTGGAATTGATGTCCTTTTCATTGGACCTTTTGATCTGGCTAAGCAGATGGGTGTTACCCGCTGTGGCGAGGAGCACGAGGCTGCTATCCAGCGTATTTTGGCTGCTGCCCATGCATCTGGCAAGAAGGCTGCTATCTTCTGTATGTTTCCGATCCTTGGTTTCCCCTCTGCCTTTGATTTTTCATGAGTTCTAATGGTGTTTCCAGGTACCGATGGTAATGACGCCCGGGCTCGTGCTGAGCAAGGCTTTGATATGATTTCTGTCATCACTGATGTTGGTGTCTTCCGCACTGGAATGCTGAATGAGCTTAAGACTGCCAATGGTGAGAATGTCCAGGGTGGCTCTCGCGAGGGTTACTAAATTGATGAGTCTTATGAATATGTACAAAGTGATGCTAGCATACAGTGAATATATAAACTATTCATGGCTGTTTTTGGCTTTAGAAAGCCGATTTTTCATCCTAATATGATGTTTCTTAATGAATCTTTCTCTCATCCAGCTTGCGTCATCTCGATTGATAATCAATTCCGATCAAAGCTGACAAATACACTCATTGTGCCTTAGGTACTGATGCTCAATTTGAGATAATAAATGAAGAAAAGATCAATGTCCTCCAATTGAGTCCCAGCCCTCCGCATTGAATGTACCTGATTATCCTCGCTAAACAACCTTTGAACTCCAAACCCAACGCCAAAATGATCCTCGAAGTGTACACCCGAATCTTCATTCCAACCAACAAACTCACCGAGACCATCGATTTCTATAAATTCCTCCTAAATGGAGAAGAGACACTCCATTTCTCATACCCTGAGAAGAACCTCGAAATCGCCGCTGTTTCATCACCCAAGCTATCCGTCCTTATTATTTCAGGCTCGGATGAATCCCTACAGCCATTTCGTTCTACACAGTTGACCATCAAGGCTGATTCTTTGGATGCGCATATTGAGCAACTCATATTAAGTGGATGTGAGCAGTTAGAGTCTGTGCAAAAGACTCCTGTTGGGCGGAAGACTAGGTTTAAGCATGTTGATGGGGTTGTTGTTGAATATGTGTGTCACGATGTTGATTAGGCTTCTTCGAGATCAGACTATTTTAGGTTGGGACTGAAGGGCTGAGCACTGTGATAAATCGAAAGAGATCTGAGATAGAAATTTGACGCTAGGGACTGTCAGTTTGAGCACTTGAGTTCTATTAACTTGAATATCGTCAATACTACTCAAATGTTACTTTATGTGCATACACTGGCATCTATCATATGCGGGCCGTAGCTTTGGCCCGTAAACATATCTACTACTACCTAGCACTTGAGGTAGTACTCCGTATTGATGGAAGAAGATACAGCATTGAACTTAAATATCAAATCACTTGGCATCGTGTTCTGAAACATCAATATACTAAATACAATGAACATTCATATGGATATGTACAATACAAGTCATCCAAATGTCCAGTAACTATCAACCACTGGCATGATGCAGACAAACACCTACTATCATCAATATAGCCCCTAGGGCACATGTATGGGACTGGGACCCCAAATAGAACATTTGAAACAAGAAACACCTTTTTTCCTCAGCCTTGACATCAAGTTGTGCATATTCCGTGGTACAGAATCGGAATGTACGTATACTCTCTCCAGAAGATCCACCTGACCCCGGATTCCCCCCATTTTTTGTTTTTTTTTGTACATGGTTCTGTACCTTTGTTGCTCCCCCTTACTGCTGCATATGACACATACCATTTGTGATTGCCAGCTGAGATATATAAACACATAAAAACTGAGCCCTCCCCGCCAATGCAGATGCATGCCCAGAAAAAAAAACAGAACGCCACATAGTACAGCCTTCAAGAAGCAATGATCATCATGCTCGTTGGAATTCAAATAACACGTAGAAAGGAAATGGATCATATGACTCAGTTGAGGGATTTCGACTGGTAATGATTTCAGGTTATGAAAAACGGGTATCAAAAAGAAAACAAAAAAGAAGAGAAAGTAAAATGTTGGAGAAACGTGGTTTAGGTGATGAGGAAATCCATGTTCATGTCATGGATGATCTTCTCCCAGTCCCAGCTGTCTTCCATTTTGGTATCCATGATTTCCCATACTCGGCTCACAACCTTAAAGGCAGGTTCAATGTTGCGGAGATTTGAGTACGCTTTAAGCGATTCAAATCCTTTGGAAATGCGTTCACGCTGTTTGGGCAGGAATGCAGAGCAGCCTAGGAGGAATAGTGGCATAAGGACAATACTGTAAGCACCTGCATCCTGTGGCAGACGATCTAAGTAAGCCAGACCATCATCAACGACTTGGGCGATCTTTTCACTGGGGCGGGATGGTCGGATTGTACGAAATAGGTAGACCCAGGTAGACTGTCTGTATAGTTGGGCCAGACACCAGTTCGATGAGTCTGATTCATGAGATGTCTTCCATGTTCGGATGGCCGTATCGATTTGAACGGCTTGACTCAAGGTCTGGTAGTCCACAGCTGGCTCGTAACCTTCATTGAATCGTGCACGGATACGATCGCGAAGCTGGGTTACCTGCGAGATATAGTTGAATAACCCATCGAACACACCCACGAACATGCCTGCCTGCACACCGGGTACGAATTCTGGGATGCGCATCCCACCTGGCTGAGAGGCTGGGCGGCGATCCAGGGAAGTGAGTGAGTTTGAGACATCGTGATACTCGAAGAACTCGACGATAAACTTTCGGAACTTCTCATTGCGTGGCTGCTGGGACCCTATGAGGTACCGTGCGGCGTCCATGTGGGGTCGGTATTCACCATTTGTTTCACCCTCACAGATAGTGTTCAAGCTTAGCGCAATAGTCGAGGCGATGATGGGGTCCTCCACGAGCGCTTGGTGATCTTCTTCCGAGGTTGGGGTTTGTGGCGATGTGGATGTGGATGGGGATGATGTCGCCGTGATATTTTCCTTCAAGTCCTGGATCGCGCGATGGAAGTGGAAATATTTCCGTTCCTTCAGCTGAGGCTCTGGATCCATACCTGACAAGTGTGAACCTGACAGACACATCAAAGAATGCATCAACCCCCGGTGTTGAGTCGCCATGGGCAGCAAGATCTCCTTGAACGGATTCGAGTCATCGTTGATGAGGGTTAGGACGCGACTAAACCCATAGACGAAGTGATCGAGGAAGCGACGGTCAATCTCGGTTTCGATTCCATCGATGAGGATCGGAAGGTTACGAGGCACGGAGGTCAAACAGTGTGTTCGAACGGCTGGAGTGGGGGAAAACCAAATATCAGTCAGGGATCTAGGATGTTTTGCGCCCGAGGGAGCACAAGTCCGAATTCAAATTCTTGCGTACCATCGGCCATCTTCTGCCTTCCACTTTTCCATATCTCCTTAGGTGGGTATCCTTCACATACAACGGCATTCTTTTGACAGTTGAGACATCTACAAATGCGATCGCATGATTAGTTAATTGTTACACCATCGAGGGAGGAGCAGGGTTTACCCGACTCCCCCGATAATTTTTTTCTTTTCTTTTCTTTTTTTTTACTCACGCAGGCTTGGTCTCGTCGCATTTCTTCTTCCGTCGTCGACAGGTTATACAACCAGTCTTAGACCGACCCTTGGTCACCTTGGCTTGACCACCAGGGATAGGGAGTGGGTGTTTGCGCGGGCGTCCACGTTTCCGTGGAACGGAAGCGGGAGCACCCGAGTTATCATGATCATGATCATGTTCATTCCCCACCTCGGATGATTTGACACCTTCCATGAGTTCATCCTCATCCAACTCTTCCACCTTGGGTGGAATATCCATGTCATCAATATGTATATGCGGACCCAACATGAAAGCGTGAGATCGAGGGAACTGTTTGTGCGCGTCTAGGTCCGGCGGGGACTGACCGGCCCCGGCATTCCAGTCCGGCGAATCGGTGGAGGTATCATCGGGACTTGCGCTGGTGCTGGCGCTAGAAAGACTGCCTCTCAAGTCAAGCGACTGAATATTTGAGGGGCCTCCGGAGCAACTATCATCCTGCAGCCCCGATCCAGGTAAAGGGTGGACGATATAAGGGGAGTTGAGCATGGACAACATTGAACATGAGCCCTTCAAGGGTGGCCCAAAGAGTCGCCAGTATAGTAGGAGTGGGGATTTTCAAGAGAGGGGAAGAGGGAAAAGGGAAGGCGGGCAAACGGGTTACCTATATAAATGGGGCGGGGAACTAGGTTAACTAGTTTAGAGGGTAAACGGAAAAATTATTAAAATAAGAAAAGAAAAAAGTACAACAAGAAATTTAGGGATTAAGTAGATCATTCCGATGGATTTAAAAGGGGGGGATATTTTCTAGTGCATTTTAATTCTTCAATAAAAATGCGTAATAGAAACTGTTCTGAGGTCATACTACTCACTGTAAACTTTTCTATTGCGGGGGAGGCTGCCAAGCGGATTCAAGGTCAAATGTATAATTATTATTTATTTTATTTAATGAGATTTGTTTGGAAGCAGATGTTCTAGCACATTCTGAGTCTATTTTTTATTCTTTATTTTTAATAACTTGCTTTTTGGGGGGTTGTGAGTGACAGGTGTATGCGAGGTTTAGACTGATCAGCCTCGATCAGTACGGAGAACTGTGTGCATAGGTATGGGTAATTTCTAGTTAAGGGACATCTGAACATAAGTATACATGTATAGTATCATCCATATTACTTCAAGGCTCAAAGTATTCACAGAACTTGAAGACTGATTGGGGTATCAATCTCCGAGCTGGGTCGGTTTCTCCACGGCTCTTGGAAGTCCGATAGTAGGAGGCACTTAAGCTGGTCTATTTTAATTATTTGGAGATTTGCATCTCACTTGCAGGGAATAAGAGATCCATGGTTCCGGGTGGAAAAAGAAAAGAAAATACAAAACCCATTGACATAAACCGATCCCCACCTGGAGTACAGACACGAGATGCCCACTATGGGATTTATGGGACAATATGGGGCCACAGGAACAATGTCGAAGCTCCAGATGTCTAACTCCAATGAGGATCTAAACCAATGAAATATCTTATAGTAATAGGAATTCATTCCCAAGGCGCAAAATGGACACTTTATTTCCGGTTTCACGAACGCCCCAGTTAGCTCCCTTCTTAGCTCGAATCGCGCCTTGTTACCATTCTCGGGACGGCAGAGTAAGAGAGAGAGATCAATGTCTCGAGTCTCCACGGAGATGTCGGGTCTAAGCGCTGATTTTTTTTTTTATTTTTTATTTATTTTCTTCTTTTCTTTTCTTTTTCAAGGTACAGGATCGGCCTACATTGAAACCTATTACGCAATTTTTTCCCTCTTTGTACGACGCCAACAATCTGGGGTAAAATAAACCGATGTGGGCCAGATCTTCTTGTCTGTGCTGGTCTGCAGGGAATGGGTCTACTTACAGCTACCTTGCCCAGTTAAGCAGTCGGTCGTTTGATTGAAAAAAAAAAACAAATTACATGAAACCTATCCATTATTGGTTTCTTTCTTTTCCCCTTACTTTTTTGTACTTTGATGACTGATGGAGCTTTAAACTTCAAACCCGAATTCTTGGGACATACGAAGGTGGGAAGTATAGTTACCTTAGGTATAGAGCCTGTGACTACATGAGAAAAGGGTTAAGGAATGTTAAGTGGATTTCACCTTACCTATTTGGACTTTACGGCACAACACTTGCAGCACAGGACTCCTAGTCATCTGCCGGAAGACAAACAAGGTAATCGGAAAGTTATGACCATGACCTCGTACCGAAAAAAAGAGGGGAGGGGGTGGGGGGCTAAGATTGAATTTGAATAGTTCCGGTAAACGGAGACAAAGAATAAAGAGTATAATAAGGATAAAAACGAAGCAAAGTCCTGGAAATTTAACCGTTTAAACTTACTCTCTTTCTAGCCTTCCAAGGAAGAATCAGCTGAGAAAGCGGGTGACTCCAAGTGGGAATCCGCGGGTGAAAAGGCAACTAGCAAGGATCGCTCGGGCTGAAACCTTCAACAATTCGAACTCCGTCACATTTTGGGTCCATTTGGGTCCAGGAACCGAATGAGTTAATGCATTACGATGGAGTAGTCAAAATTAAGGCAATTTCTCTTCCGAGCGGATCATCTATGGTGATCAGACACTAGTTGAACCAATCCCTGATTGCCATCTTTGTCGCAGAATTTTCGTGCATTTCTCCAGGAGGGGGAAATCAGGACTAAAAAAGCAATTATGACACTACATCATAATAGTCATGCGTTTTACTACTTAGTACCTAGGTAGTAGTCTTGGTATTTCGTATACGAATACTATAAGTGTTTCAACTCGAGTTATAACCCAACCTTGCCAGTGCCCCAGGTGGAAGTGCTCGTATGTTGGGCAATGGGGCGGCTGCTCCCGGGTGGGGAGAACCACCGGTTAGAGCCGAGACATACTACGTAGTACTCTATCACTGTGAGTATAGTAGGAATGTTAACTACATAGGTATGGTAGAATAGTCGGTCTCGCTCATGTGTCATGCAAATGTTTCTCTAAAACCGGGGCAAGAATGTGGGGGTAAATGAATATCACAAACAAGCATAACACCTCCGTACCTGGCGCTTCGTGCGGATCGTCCAAAACAATCATAAAATATAATCTAATAAACAATTAGAATAAAACAAAATAAGCCGACCCACATGACCTCGTGTACTAAGGAAGTAGGTATGCCGAAAATCCGAGGATCTACACCTCGATTGGTTGGGTTGCAGAGGCTGAGATCTCTTTGACCTCTTTCTTATAACCAATCAATCTCTCCTTCAACCGAGATTTCCACTATGGAGACATTCGGGGCTAGAATAGCCCTTCTTGGCAGTTCATTTATTTATTTATTTTGTATTTTTTTTAATCCTATCTCAATATGGAAAGAGGCTTGAAGCCTACTGCAGCCAAGTGCACCTATAATCGTTCGCATTATAACAACCTACCACTGCATAAGCATCATCCGTCTTCCACCGGTTGGTTCCGGGGACCTGAACTCCGTGGGCCTAATGGGCTTATGGGCTTCAATGGGCTTCAATGGGCTTCAATGGACTTAATGGACTGGACTCCGAATGTTCCTGACCCACTTCCAGCGATCGTGAGAGGGAAACCTCCTCCCGTACATCCGTATCAAAAAATAAAGGGAAATTTAACGATGAAAATATTATAGAAAAGAAAAATCTAGATATAGTAATATCCACGCCCCGGCTGAACGTTTCCAAAGCTCTTAGGTTTCAATGATATCTCTGTTGAATTGGTCCCGGCTCAACACTTAAACACGGTCAACACCGAACGCCAATAACAAGAAAGCTATAGTCATGAAAAAGGTCCAGAATCGTCACTCAGATCCCCAGGACCCCCCAAATCTCTTACACAACCATGAAGATGCCCATCACCGACATCGCTCAACATTTTCTACACGGACCCATCATTCTTGATCCAATAACAAGCCAGATAATGGTCAGGCGAGCAGGCGCCGGATTCCAGGACTACGAGTATCCCCTCAAGATCATGATCTACTGATCGATATCCAAGACAAAAATTCAAGATCAGACTACACCACATCGTCATCAGACTAAACGGAGGACTCCGTACCGATGGCCGTCTCCGCTCAGGGCTTCGATGCCTATTATCCGATCGAGTCCTAGTAAAGGAAGTAAGCCGCCATGCGCCCGGCGGATACTACTTGCACGGTAATCCATCCGCTCCAGATTTATCCCATCTTACCCCCATCTCACTGCGGCATTTTCAGAAAGTTCTAGCCAGGATCAGCAAGTGACAAAGTACGAGTGCTTTCAAGTTTGCGGAGTATTGGGTTGGAAATTATTGGCGGCTGCACTGTGCAGTGTAACGCGTGGCGATGCCAGGTGATGGAGTACGAAGTAGTACTGAAGAGGGGGCTAGACTAGACTTGAGAGACCCTGGTAAATACCGATCTTTATTATGACTTATGAGACTAGGATATGATGGAACAGCCTGGATTGTCTGGGTTGTTTTATTCAATGTTTTGTTTGGTCTCCTTTCATTTACATACTAGGCAGGAAGTTCCTTCAGGAGTGATTTTTCGCAATATTAGACTTGATCATCATCCAGATCTCGGAATTGCCAAGGTCGATCGCTTCTAGTGCACACGTTAGATATTTCTTGGAATCTTGTCAATGGTTCGCTTTGCTTTTGTGGCAACCCCCTTGAAGGATTCGATTAGGTGCACATTTTCCAGAGTGTTGGGTACGGAGTGCCCGGTTCATTCAATTGTGATGAATAGTAGAAATTGTGGTGCGAACAAACTGTCGGGTCAATAGTTTGGGTTGACGGGACTACTTTAATGTGTTGAATTTCCGCGGCGATGTTCTTATCGCTGCTTTTAAGATGGTTATGATTTTGTAAAGCGAATGCAGATCATCTACTATCTGGATTTTTTTTTATTCTGTATGAATCCTAACTGCGAGGAGGCTCAGATCTTCACACGTTATAGTGCAGAGATAATTGCCGCATTGTTCTGAGAATTGCCCGAGCACTAGCAGTGTACTAGTAGATTTGATCGTATGCCAGATAATAAAGGCTTTGTGTCAGTGCTGTGTAATGACGTCTTTCCACACCTCGTTAAATTGAGTACATTGCAGAAATGCAGCGGTTTTCAAATATGGTTGATTTCTGCATCCACTAAACTTGAGTGAGGGGTTACGCATTAGACAGAATGGTTGACGTGTAGTGACATGGAACCAGTTGACCTCCAGGGCACCAGATGTCTTCACTAATGATATTGGACAAGAGCACTTAAGAAGGATCACTAGTCTCTCCTTTACTTTACGTCTAGATATAGCATAGATCCACAAATCTACTAATTCCCAGGCTTGGCTTCAAGTTTCCGTTTACTATTATTGCAAACATGTAATTGCCAATATCCTTCTATTATTTCGTGATCAACCTCTTGGTTCAGAGCCTGAAGAGGATATTCGGGCAATAATTCTGGATAAAGAGCTTGTGCCAGTCGTTTGTAGATCAATAATCCATGCAGGAACTTCACCAGCGACCTTAAATTATGGATCCCTGAGGATCATTATGGTGTTAAGCACGGTTTACATGCTGATAAGTACTTCCAAGGGCATTAATTCTTGCATATGTACTGAGTACACTTCGATATCTTTGTTAATTGGACCATTATGGTGGAATAGATAAGAGATTCAACGCAATGCACCTATCAGTGGGTACCCGGGCAGTGTCCAGATGATAGCTCATCCAACTTGAAGAATGACTTGCGCTCTCGAGCTACTTTCCCTTTCTATTTCTTACGTACATTTACATATGTGATAGATTGCCACTGGCAGTGAACCGTTGATACGACTCGGAGTCCATGTACTAGGGTAGCTCAAGAATGTTCCTGTAATCAGTATCCATACCAGAAAGTGCCGCCTAGTAAGATGTACTTCATGTCACGGTTGAGCCCCCATCTATTAAGAACTTGAATTAGATTGACCATACCTAGCACCTATTCTCCACAAGACTGCCCAGGTGATTGATTTTCCATATATTGAAACATGCTTAACCTGGAAAGCCTTTGCGCCCGTAGGTATTCCCTGTGGAGATGTTGTTCAATTGCTGCATCTCTTGATCCCAAAGGTTCTTAGGTTTGCTATTAGTGAAGTTCGTGACAGATGAAATATCGCTTAAGGAGAAACGACCTACCCAATCAATGAGATCGAAGCTAGATAAACTGGTAAAAGTGTCCCACATAGCCGCTTGCGAGTAGTCATCGTAGCTAAATTGTGATTCATCCAACGACGCTCCTTCTTTAGCTTCCTTCTGAATAGTTGACAGTTCCGAATGCCGAATAGCACTCATGTCAAGGTTACCGATGATATTCAACATATTCCCAAGGAGCTCAGCAGCTTTCACGGTCTCTAAGGATGGACGAGGGCAAGACATCCACGAGTCGTAAGATGACTTCAGTGATTTTATGAGTTTCACGGACTTTCTGTGCGCTTGCAGTTCATTTTCCTTGATAGAGGTGATAATCTCAAGATATACCACCATAGTAGCAGTCAAACAATCACATATCGAGCGCGATACACCAAACCATGCTTGATATCGATATTGTGGTTGGGAAAAGGCACTTTGATACATTTGGATTTGGCAGTCCAGGATTCGACTAGCAGCATCCACGCAATCAAAATGGAATATTTGATGCGAAAGATAGTCTTGTCGACTTGCTAGGTATGGACGGTACAAGATGCAACGTGCCCTTTGATAAGTTATCTCAAGTGTGGAGATCTTTACCATAGCGCTTCCATCATTATCCGAGGTATTGAATGACCTCAAAGTAGAAGGGACCTTGCTCCAAGCTTCGTCAAGCTCCTGTTGCAAGCTGGTTGTATTTTCTGGCGATTGTTGCCCGTCTGGGAGGTGAGCGATCTTATTCGCAAGAGATAGCATCCGCTCTACAGCGACCATATATGTGATGTTGCTGAGATCCGTAGTTTCCGACCGGGAAGGGGGTAGACGCTTTGTTGCAGGACCAAAATCTTCATCCAAAAGGTTGCGTGGGTATATGGTGTCTCCCCTTCCTTTCAAAAGGACAGGAGGTAGTCCGGTCTGCCAGGCAACCAGGCAATCCATTACTGATAGCGAAAGCCATGATCGTCGCCTCATCTCTCCACCGAAAGGGGAGATATGGGAGTAATTCTCCGGATCTCGGTGATAGCCCATCATCGTGGCCTGCCATGATACCATTTCAACAAGCATTGAGATTCCAGTGGTTGAGCTGCTGCTTTGAAGATATTCCATTCCAGCGTAAATTATGGAAGCTTCGACTTTGTATTTTCCTGGAGTGGTACAGTTCGCACTTGCCATAGAAATGGTGCATTGGGATCGATAATGGAAGAACTCGTCATGCGGGGCGGATGTAGCTTTCTCTGGATCTGTTGAATGCTGAATCCAAACTGCGCACCCCAGAACCCCAAACAACAGAGCAAGCCATGTTCGAGATGCACTAGTCGGGTTTTGCCAAAACTCAGCATACTTCACTTGGAAGTCAGCAAGCATAATTCCCCAGGATGAAGGTGGTCTGAAGGAGGTAGATAATCAGAGAAGCCTTACCTCGTGTTTGAAAGTAGGTGCATGTATTATCACTAGACATTTGTTTAGAACGTGACAATTTCGCGGGCTCAAGTACTTCAAAGCAAATTAGGGGACAAGTAGTCAAAACATACTAAATGATGGCTCTCCAGAGTCCAGGCATTGTGCAACAAGGGTATCAGCATCCTGTCGAGAAGGCAGGCCTGCTATTAGGTTTTCAATGGGCGTTTGATTAAACAGGCCGAGGAGAAAAGTGGGGGATTGAGTGAATGTAGCTGATTCGGCTTTGGTTTCTCTGTCGGCAGTGCTTGCTTTAATCAAATCTAACTCAGTGTGCTTTTCAAGAAGATGGCAAGTCAGGGATCGAAAGGGTGAGAAGTGGGAAGTCTGGATGATGATCTCTTACAGCACGTCTCATTATTACACTTCAGTGATTTTGATTTAAAGATAGGCTGTATGTCGGGTTAGAAAGTGTAAGCTCCACCTCTGGCTCATTGGAACATGCCATTGGACTGGCAATGGCAATGGCTTCTTTGGGCTCATTGAGATGGGACGAATGAAGAGAAAACAGAGAATTTGGATTTCTCTGCGCTTGAATTATCGCTTCCAGATGAACAATTCGGCTTTCAAGGCTGCGAATTCGAGCCTCACGCTGAATATGTGGATTAGAATCATCATGATGTCGCTGGTCAGATATTGTAATATAATGACATTCTGGTTCAACTCCACGTCTTATGCAGTTGTCACAAGGGTTTCCACGATTGCATTTTAACCTGTATTTGATATAAAATCGTCAAACGGCCAGGTTTCTCTAGAAACGACCTAAGTGGCGCGTTTTAGAACAATGTAGCGCTCAAATTATACTTACTTTTTGTCACGGCATGAAGCGCACGATAGTTGGACTCGACGCTTTTGATTGCGTATTTTTTGGCCAGCTAGTAGCCGGTATCTTTCATCTGGATGGGACTCCATTAACCGGGAAGCGCGGAATTCGAAGCTGTTGAGAAGGCCTAGATTTTGTAAGCTAATTCCGGAGATCTCCATTGGCCAAATATGCAAGTTGAGTGGATTCGGTCGAGAACTCAATGCGACGGACAACACCGCTTGACCGGGGATCATCGGGGTGATGTAAACGACGATATACATTCTGCTCGCGTATGATACTGTCGATATTCACTTTGACATCGGAATCGGAAGACCAAGGGTATCTTAGGGGTGTTTTGACGGCCACCCCGTTCTGGAGGAGAACGACAGCAGTGTTCCCGTTTCCCAGTATTTGCTCTGGGGGGATTATATTGCCTTGGGCATCGAGAAAGGGTGACGACATTGCGTAAAAAAATGTAGAGGATGCAGTTCTGATCCAAGCTGGATAAATTCTTAAATAATTTTAGGTCCAAGGAAAGGGATGTATAAGATCATTACTAGGTAGATGTATGTGCCAAACGTCGCGTATTACATGGGATATCCACGGGTCAAGCCCGTTCCCACCAATTAGAAATTTTAGTAGGCAAATTTTTGATAGGCTTACACTGTAACTAGCTAAAATATCAAGGACTTGGAGTTGGGAAATCATACTCACTCTTCTACCTGCCTTGGTAGTTAGATTTCTGATAAGCTGAGCATAGCCAGTGTATATAATGAAGGATTCACATCTGCATAGACCTCTTAACATCTTAAATGGTCCCATTTTGATTGTTATGTAATGACCCCTCACGTGTCTTATCAACCTTGGAAAATGCCCCTCCCCCTACGACAACTCACCACTACCTCTTCTACTTCCTTTATTGTCCTTGGCTTTTCTCGTTTGTATTGCCATTCTGTTCCCCAGATCACCCCGGCTCCGCCAGTCTGTTCTAGGCTTGTCCTCTCTAGACTCCACTCGCGATAAGGATCACTCTCTATCTTATCGTCCTACCCCGATTTTGCGACTGCATACAGACTTGCAATCACTTCCAAGATACAGAACTACAGAGATAAATATCCCTCTATTTCTGATTAGCGAACTGTGAGCCTTGGAAGAGAACACGGAAGCAGGGAGTGATCACCGGTCGCAGACATGGCCAGCCCGGCCCTGTGCTACTATTGTTTTGAGAGCCTCTCCGCCTCATTCGATGACCGTGAGCCTATCAACCTCGCAGCAGTAGAAGGTCTCTGGGAACAGCATGAACAATTCAAGAAGCTTTCCACTCTTGGATCCCAGGCCAATCAATCCGGTGACTCCGGCGACGAAGGGGATGTCAATGATGATTCCCAGAAGAGCCTGAAACCACCTGGTGTCCGCCGTCTCCAAAGCCAAACTTCCTCTTCCGATTCTTCTAGCATAGCAACTACCCCTTCTAGTGCTTCTAATACCTCGTCTAATTCCCATCTGTCTAGCTCTACAGCTGCTACAACTCCACTGGGATCACAGGCAAAGACTACAGAGCAGAAGTATCCACTTTTTGTCACATGGAATACTCTTTCACGGAGTGGTCATAAATCTTTACGTGGGTGCATAGGTACCTTCGAAGCGCAGGATCTTTCTTCGGGACTGAATCAGTATTCTCTAACCTCGTATGTGATTTCATTTATCCTACCTTTCATTTTGTCGCATAGCTGATATATATTCGGCAATAGGGCTTTTGACGATACCCGCTTCTCTTCAATTCCTAAATCCCTTCTACCGTCCTTATCATGCTCACTAACCCTGCTGGGATCCTTCGAACCATGCACTAATGCCATGGACTGGACTCTGGGAACACATGGTATTCGCATTTCCTTCATTCATCGTGGTAGACGACACGGCGCAACATACCTCCCCGATGTCCCTGTTGAACAAGGTTGGACCAAGGAAGAAACGTTGGAGAGCTTAATGCGGAAAGCGGGCTGGGATGGTGGTGTTGGTAGTGTGGCTCGACGATTACTACGTACTGGAGCTGCGGGTTCTGGGGCTACGAAGCCTTGGGATCAGGTTTCTGAGTTTCGCACTATTAGGTATCAGGGACATGGGGCAAGTGCTTCATATGCCGAGTGGCAGGAATGGAGGAATTGGGTCCTTTCCCTAGAAGATGGTGCGAATATCCTTGGCTCGACTTGAGTTAAAGGGTAAGAGATATTCTCTTTCCTCATTTGCTAGATGCTGTTTGTCTATCACGGATATTCGGCTTGATGACTATCACGACTTTACGTATCTCTTACAGAGAATTTATGATTAAGATACTTTAGTTTTTGTTTCATGTCATCGAGTACCAGTTGGGTTGATCTGAGTTGAATACAGCAATTTATGCATGTACTAGCGTAAGAAGTGGTGTGCTTACTTCAAGGAATTCCAATTACTTCTTACTAAACAAGCTGATTCATCAATCATTGCCAGCCACCTGGGCATTTGGTTATGATAAATTTCCACAACATAGATACAAATGTGCACTTCAAACAGCGCCTTGGCACTGCCACTGAGCAATACGAGAGGTCGATAGAACAACAAGGAGAACTATTCCAAGCGTACAGCAAAAGCCTGAGCAAGTCATGCTATGCTCTTATCCACGACGATCCCTTATTTAGCATGGGCACCCCGATTCCACAGTCCAGCCATCGTCTCTTTCACCCGGCGTTCCTGTTCCCGAATCTGAATTTCAGATTGTCCCCTCCCATTCCCTCGACTATCAATATGCATAGGACTTCCAGCATTCGAGGTCGGCGGGGTAGCATGTCCAGTCTCTTCAGTGATCTCCTGTCCATTCACACGCTCAGGCTTAGGATCAATGCTCATAACACCATCCATCATGAATCCACCACCCTCGCGGAGCTTGTTAATAGCGCGCACAGTATCGATAGCGCGGTGCAGTGTGCGACGAGCATTGAAGTTCTTCTTAACTGTTGGCAATAGATCCTCGCCAGATCCAGTGCGCAAGGCCTCGTATGGCGGGTTGATCCAGGTATGTTGAAGTGCCTCGTGAGCGGTCATGCGCTTTGTTGGGTCGATGGTTAAGCAGCGGTTGATGAAGTTGCGGGCTTCCTGAGAGACGCCGCGCCAGTATTCTAGAGGTGTGAAGGAGTAATCGGCTGCAAGAATTGCTTGCATCTCTTCTAGATTGGAGTCCCGATCAAAGGGGGTATATCCGCATAGAAGGAAGTATGTGATTACACCGATGGCCCAGATATCACTAGTATATGTGTTAGAGCGTATGCGCATTGAAAAGAAAGGGCGTCTCGGCACTTACACTGGCTTGCCGTGTCCGCTCTTCTTGAAAATCTCTGGTGCCATATATCCCGGTGTTCCGCATGTTGTAGTCAAGACATGGAATTGCTCCTCGTCCATGATTCTGGATAGTCCAAAGTCCGCAATTAAAAGATCCGCATTATCCTCTGGTGTGCGGAAAAGTAGGTTCTCTGGCTTCAGATCACGATGAACGATCCCATGATCATGCAAGTAGGCCACAGCGGACAGAACAGCTCGAATTAAGCTCGCTGCATCAGTTTCGAAGTAACTGCCTTTTCGGCAAATGCGATCAAAGAGCTCTCCACCTAGAGCAAGATCTGTGACCAAGTATACTGCATTCGATCCATTATTAGCTGACTGCCCTGAGGGGGGGTGTATGGGTAGCCAAAGCCCCGCTGGATCCAAAGATGAGGAGCTGTGACGTACAGTTGTTCATAGTTTCAAAGTAGTCCACCAGTGTAAGGATATTCTGGTGGCCCATAGACACCCGCTTTAGCACGGCAATCTCATTGCGAACCTATTACACAGATTATATGTTAACCTCCTAATCGTCTCAAGTGTTGGTCCCATCCTACCATGTGTTCGCGGCCCGCCATCAGACGCTTATTGATCACTTTCGCCGCATAATAGCGACCGGTGTCGATATGCACACATTCCTTCACGACAGAGTATGAGCCAGCGCCGAGCGTCTTGCCGGTCTTGTAGCGACAGGGCTGGACCTGAGGTCTCGGGGGTTGCGCCATTAGGACCAAAAGCGGAGGTTCGGTATGCGGGGAGAAGGATAGGTGGTCCTGAAGGGTTCAGGGGTTGCGAGAACCAGCGTCGGGGAGGGAATAGGTGGTTATTTAGAGAGGATAAGATGATTTGCGCCCGTATGAACCTGTGATTATTTAGAGAATCAGCCTCAAGCTACGCAATGTGCTACACTGACAGTCCCAAGCGCGGTGTTTCAGCCCCGCCAACCAACCATATGAGACAAATACCCACCGAGTTTCAAGTGCTTTATTTGGTTGCCTGAGCTCGGCTATAAAGAGAGCTTGGAAATATTTGAAAGCTTCAAGTGTAGGGACTTCTTATTGGAGAGTGTATTTATAGAGTGGTAGACCGGAGTGGAAAAGGAAGAAGAACTTGAAGTGTGACAGATAAAATGAATTATTGACCAGTTGATTGAAAGATCGTCGACGGGTTTCCTATTTACACACTTGCGAAACACCATACCATGCAAAGTAAAATAAAAACTCCTCCGGACTCCTCCATATATCCTTAAACATGGGAATGGTAATAAAATGAATCAAAACAAAGAAAGAAACGCTAACATCTGCCCATTACATCCGGGCCAGAACATCGTCGACCACCTTTTCCAATAACTGCAGGGTATGGAATTTGGCCGCACTTTGGAGAACTTGAAGCTTGCGCTGAGTCTCCTTCCGATCAATTGTCGGAGCCCAGATACCACTGCAGGAGCAGTGTTCCATGAACTCACTGACTTTAAGACTTTGACATTTGGAGCATTTGAGATCCTGAGTCTGCCACTCCACCACAAGACCATGAACTTGACCAATGAGCAATTCTTCCTGAGCAAGTCGATCATACTCCGTCTGACAGAATGGACAGCGCCATGGTTTGGGAGTTTTGGTAAGGTCTGTGCCAGGGTCTGGCAGCACATCTTCGTCGCGGCAGAGGTCCAAGTCACGGATGAGACAGCAGGAGTTACAGGTTAACTCCGTGAGTTTCAGATTGGTGCTCGGGTTCTCGAATCGACCTTCTTTGCTGAACTCACGCACTTCGAACAAAGCTAGCAATTCGCGACGAAGTAATCGTGATTCAAGTGTGGTGATTTTGGATAGGCTGAGGACTTGCATGAGTAACTTAACCAGCTCCAGTGAAGGATTGCGCCTGTCGTTGGTTGGATCAACCAGCACACCTGGAAGTACTGGGAAGGCATAGTCGGAGGCAAGCTCAGGGTGTAGCAGCTCGTCGCGCTGACGACGAATCAGACCAGAGATCTGCTTCTTCAGAGGCTTGGAGAACTTCTCTGCAAGAATAGCAGCGATTTCTTCGCTTTCCTTGTCGCTGGGTTGTCCAATTGGAATCTGAGTCATGCGAGGGGTAGACGACATGTTACCATCCTGGAGATCAGGGCGTTTCAGTGAGTGCATCAGCTCGATGTACTCGACCACCCAGTCGTTGAAGATAGCTTGCATGGGTGTCGGCAGGAATCGATTGAGTTGCCAATGCATAACAGTTTCCAAATTCTGATTTTCAGCTTCTACGACTTCTCGACAGCCCTTGCCACCATAGTTGTACTCGTCATACCACACAAGGTAGTCCCAGTATTCCTTAATCTCGAGATCGATAAAGTGGAACGATGGATTCGCCCGGATTGATTTCAGGACATACTGACTGTAGGCATACGCATTGCCCACCTCTGTCTTGGTAGTCTGAAGCAAGAGACGAGTTGAGCTGGCAAAGATAACATTAGAACCGACCCGCCGGAATTCAGCCATCAACCTCTGGAACGACTTTCGCGAGAGCAACCGAACGTAGTTGTGCAATGATCGATCATAGAGACATGAGACTGGACTCTCTACCCATCGGATTAAGTGCTGGACCATGATGTCGGCCATACTGTTTCCTGCACAGGCTTCTGTCCACCAGTGCTTGACCATTTCTCGCAGAACATGGGCACCAGCAGATGCGAACGCTTTTTCAGAGTACAGTACACCAGTGTCCTCGCCGTTTCCTGAAGCCAGCAGACTGTTATCACTTCCATCCATTTCGCTGACAATGGAGGAGGTAAGAATCGTGTTGATGGCGAGATTTCGAACATCCAGCTCAATGCAAACAGTGGTGTACGCATTCGGAGTGTTGACAGCAGGCATATTCACCTTCTCCAGTGGTCCCATGATATCGTCCTTTTCAAATCCAGCATGATCTGGTCGCGGTCCTGTTGACCACCATAGGACGACGTTGCTTTGCTGAAGTCGTCTGGCGTATGAAATATCAATCAAGTACCGGGGGTCATCGGTTTCCAGATTACAGAGAGGGACATCTCCATATCGGGCAAGCAGAGTCAGGTGCTGAATCCAAGCAGACAAATACAAGTAATGAGTAACCAAGCGCCTGGCAATAAACGACTGCCAGCCCAATGGTGGCAGGTCCATATCAGACACTTCAGGCTTGACTGATAGAGTGGGATACTCTCTGAGGATAGGGATATCATGACACAGCCGGTCCTTTTGCTGGGACTGGATGACGAGGACAGTCGGCTTGGTCTCGTCATTACGAAGCTTTCTGATGAGATCACCGACTTCCAAGTGAGCCTTTCTCCGGGTCATCACCTGGGTGGTCTTGAATTTAATCTTGTCCTGGTACTGGAAAGCGTTCTGCGAGTCATCGGCGGATGCATCCTGAAGTTTCCGGGTAAGGAGCTCTGAGTAGATCTTGTCCACGTTTGGAAGACCCTGGACGTCTCTTGTACGGTTTAGAATGACAATGTGTGCCTCGTTCTTCGTTGTTGAGAACAGCGCAAATACCTGTTTCTCTCCAGAAGCCACATGGTAGAGGTAATGGTATGCCAAGGGCGAATCCATCAAGTAAGGTTGATCAGAGGTGGTATGAAGCAATGTAGATAGATCAAAGCCCTTCTCCAGTCCATCACCCAAAACTCCACGCTGCTCTTCATCGAAAGTGCAGTGACTTCCCAGCTTGAGCACCGCCCTGACACTCGGAGAAATGTTACGCTCGTAGACACCCTCAATACTGGGGTGTTGGAATAATACGTCCATCTTCTCCGACTCTTCAATGAATGTGTCTTCTGATAAAGATACCTTGAACAGGTGAACTGAAGGATGGCCGTTGGGCAATGTATGGTTGACTTTTTCGACTTCGCAATCAGGCACCTCAATATCGGGCAAGGAATCTCGCTTCAAATTGACAAAGAACTGTCGCGGAACCTTAATATTGAGGGCATGAACCTTTTGGTCGATGAGAACAAAAGCCCGCACGATTCCTGGTCGACCTGTTTCGCACAATTGCAAAACCTGCCAGGTGCTGATGTACAGCATCTGCGCCTGGTTGCGGAAGAAACCGCTCAGGGAGTCTGAAGCAATGTTTGATCGGTCGCCAAACAACTGACGGCGGCGAATACGTGCTTGCTTCTGGATCTTCCATTTTTGCTTCTGATATCTGATGAAGCCCTGGTAATCATCATCGATGGACGGCATCACCGCCGGAAGGCTGGCAAAGGGATCAAGTGATGTTTTCTGGAGACCTTCTGGGTGCTTTCTTTTCTGAGACACCTTGGTCTCAGGCGTCACGTCTTGGGTTGAGTTGGCAAGGGCCTCATCCATGTCACCAGAATGTTGGACACGATGTTCCAGAATGTTGGTCGGTATTGATGAGAGAGGAGCCTTGTCGGATTTCGCAAACAAGTCGGTCATCTTCTTCTGCTTGAACTTGTCGTCCTGCTGGTTAATTCGCTTCTGTAACCAATCGGGGTGAGCAACGCGAGGAACGGGGTTTCGAAGCTTCTGCAGCGCCGCTGGAATTGTGATAAGTTTTTGAATGACGGACCCCAGACGCTCAAGATAGTAATCCCAATCAAGGAGACTTCGGGGATCCATATCAGTAGGCTCTTCTTTGAGCCACTTTCGCAGGAAAAATCTCTTGACAGCGGGCTCAGCAGAAAAGATGGCGACAGGAATGGCTCTCTCAGTGACTGGGGCGTTCCTTGGTCTCGAAGAAATAATGTACTTGCAGTTCAAGCCCTTATCCTTGACCATTTGCTCGCCCAGGAACTCCGCCAAACGTTTGGCGGTGGTGATAGACGTGGATTTTTGATTTCCATACTCCTCCAGGGTTTTCGCCATGCTTCGATTCTCTGAAATGAGATCGATCAGCTCCTCGTCGGCCAGTGTGGCTCCCTTCTCGTAGAGAACATCCAACCATCGATCGGCGACTCGGGCAACGGCGGCATATGTTTCAGCCAAATTCTTGCCTTCCAAAAAGAACTTGAAAATTTGCGTCTGGAAAATCTTGATCAATTTCAGCTCTCCTCGTCGTTTGACTTCAAAGCCCTTCAATTCAGCCAACGATCCATCGTGATTGAACACAGCGTATCGCTTCTTCAAGTTCTTATCTTCTTCCTTTGAGGTTGGAAGAATCATGGCTCGGTATGGACCATCAACCTCGAAGAAGATGGAATTCTCACTGAAGGTGTCATATTTGAAGGTAGCAGGATCTACGAGCGCCTGGTATTGGTGATTTGTATACTTGGCATGCACGAGATGGTTAAGCATAACACAAGGATACGATATACCCAGCTTCTTGCCATTCTTCAGCGTGAACGAGAAGTTTTCGGGAAAGGTTCCGGGAAGCATGCACCAGATACCATCAGTGTCAAGTTCCAAAGGTCGACCAATACGTTCAACAAGCTCTCGCGCCATCTGAATGATGTGGGCACCTGTCAGACAAGTAACACCGGCCATCTCCATCGAATACCAGCGAGAACCCTTTCGCATGACGTAACCGTAGAAACTGTTCAAAATGACTTTGTGGGCGAGCTGAAGCGAATCAAACAGAATGATCATCTTCTTTGCTTCGTCAATCTCGGCAGCTGAAGCGCCTGATGATTGCAAGGCATCTGCTTTGTTCTTCCAGACCTTTTGTTTTCCCTTGAAATCGTATCGACGATCACGGAAACTTCGTACGGTGTCGACATAGAACGGATTCTCTCTCTGGCAGATGATAGCTTCGCGGACCATGGTTTTGCTGTCGTGGATTTTATGGTAAATCTTCTTGCTGTAGTCTTGCAGTCGCTTCTTAACTATACCAGCTTGGTCCTCGATACTGAGTTCCCCGAACGATCGCATGGGGGCATTCTTGTGTCTTCCAGGGAAGCGCTCATTTCCAGTGGCTCGTCGAATCATGTTGTATTCGTCACGCTTTGCTGGCAAAAATTCACCACGCCAGGCCCACGGCATTCGCCTGTCACAGGTCTTGCCAGGTCGATTGAAATCACAAGCAGCACAATTAGATTCCTCGATCATAGAGTCAGGTTGCAATCGATTCGTAATCATGATATTTGGGTACATGGAAGCAACATCCAAATGGTAGATGAAAGGAACCTCATGTCTGGTTGGGTTGTCCCTGAGGTCAACCAACTTTTCCAAAATCTGAGCCTTGACCTGGTCATAATTCGTGACATCGTCGATAGACTTCTTCTCTTCAACTTCGACACTAAACTTGAGCGCATGATCGAGATCGCGAATAAGTTCCTCAATCGCGGCTGGATCGATTGTGAATGCCACAGGAATGTCACTCCTGAAAACACCAGCTTCAATACTTTCGACGTGGCCACCAACATAAGTTTGGGACTCCAGCAGATGACCCTCGTAGAATGACTCAGGCGGTTCCTTGTGCTTGTTGGGAAGGATGATCTCATTTCGGTACGCTTCAACCATGAGAAGCATTTCACACAGTGTTCCAGTTCCCTTTCGTAATGTGTCGTCTGGATTGAGCGGAATGATTGTGCACAGGGAGAAGATAAAAGGGTGTACATATTTCATGTAGAGGTAGTATGTCGCAACCGCATCGGAAACCGAATATTCAGCAAGAGTTTGAGGCCTCTCGCTTGCATATGGAGTCATCAACTCCGGATCAAGCTCATCGGGATCATAGCCAAGCTTTGCAACGGTGACGGCTTTCAAACCACGGCTTCCCTGGGGAAGATAACTGTCACGACTGACCCACGCGAAACAATCCATGTGTACACAGTGGTCAGCTTGATAGATATCTTCGCTGTTCTTTCTGAAACCGATCTCTGTGTACATGTCAATTCCTTGAACACTTGCTCTTGCTTCGACGAATGGCCAATCGAAAAAGTCACCGTTGTATGAGGCAATGACAGTTGGCTTGGCAATCTTGATGTGCTCAAAGAATCGCTCTATGAGGGCTCGCTCGTTTGGCTCGTTGAAGATCACGAAGGGACCGTTGTATTCCGGTTTAGGCGTGTACTCGAAATCGTTAATGTCTTCGGATACGATCTCTCGATTTGTGATGAGAAACCCTTGTCCGTCGATCATGTACGAAATCATCATGATTTGATCGAAAAGGGCATCAGGGAACTTGAGTGGCAACTTCGTCGTCTCAATATCGAAGGCCAGAACAACAGGGTCGGCACGTGTAAGTCGCTCTTCCAGGCATGTCAAGGATATCACACCTTGCCTCGACTGCACATTGTACCACTTTCCAATTCGAATATCTAGGAACAATCAGCAAACGGGGTATATATTGCCTTGCGTTTGAAACCACAAACCCTTGTCAATCGATACTCGAACATGATATGGAACGTCGTACTCTCGAATATCCACAATAAAATCACTCGCTTGCATGTTGGCATTAGGTCGTTGCTCATTAATTATTTCGTCATCAAAAAGGTCGAAACCGGTTGGTGCGCTGCAGAGTATCAATTAGCAGATAGTCGGAGATTCCTTGTAAGTTCTTGTGACAAACCTGATCACTTCAGCAAATGCGTCCATCTCAGTCGCATTCTTCTTATTCTTGTCCACCAGAGGTAGAAGTGTTCGTCGAACCTCGAGCAGGTTGCTGACATTCGCAAAGTTCAACCTAATGAATGTTCTCCGGTGTCCGAGAAGGTGGTTCGGGAGATCCAAATCTTCCTTATCAAGTCTCTTGAAGTTCTTGACCAAGCCTTCAAAGTTTCGACGACACCATTCCTCCACTTCCATCTCATGGTTCTTCTTTACCACAATGAGAAAGTATGGGTCGTACTCGACAGTGGCTTTGAAGCTACCTCCGTCGTCTTGAAGGAAATAGTAATCCACACCAGCACGACCTCCTGGCACATTGGCATCTTCTATTGTCGTACTGTGCATGTTGATGAGCCAACCAGCTCTGGTATCACCAGACTCAAAACGTGGAAAGCCGAGAGATTCATCGATGCTGTTGGCCAGTCGGATGGACTCGAATTTCTCATCTTGGGAAGTTGCTTCTGTAGAACGCAGGGAGGAAAACTCGACAGTCTTTGCTCGACGTGGATTTGAAGACGCTGCACTTGATCGGAACTTGTTCCCATACTTGCTGGGTTTTCGCGACGGCATTGTGAATTTGGGACCCAGTCGGGCTACTCGGTATCAGTTTTTTGTAGGCAGGATGGTTCGCGTTTCGACGTGCATGAAATAGAATTGAGGAGATTAGGTGGATAGGAAAGTTGTATGTTTTGTTAGCCACAGGCACACGGGCGGCACAAAGGTGAGAGGTCCTGCAGCCAATGTCTGTAGGAGGGTCCGGTCCTATTAGCCCTGCTCCAATCCAGTCGGTCGTAATGCACTATTTGGACGCGTTCGCGTCTCCCGCACGCGTGAAACCCTTAGTCATCAATGAGTTCGGAATAACTATCCAAATACAGCATGCAGCGGATGATCGATATACCGCGGCGATATTGACTATCACTTCTTTTGCCAGCTCGCGATACATAGACCATACGATCAATAGTGGTTTCTACAATAATATGACGGACAATTCACGAGATTCCAACGCTCCTCAGGAGCCCGGCAGCCATCTTCCTGCCAGCACTCCCAACACCGACCCCACCAAACCAAAGCATGATTTCCCTCAGTCGCAAGTTGGAAAGCTATGGGAGGCTTTCGGAAACCCCGAAGATCAGGTGAACATGCTCTCCAATGCCTCTTATAAGCCTCGAGGCAAGGACCCAAAAGATGTTTCATACTCAGAGGTTGTGGGAGACGTCTCTATGTCCGAGATCTCTACATTCTACAAAAAACCATGTGCACGGGAGTCTCTATTGACCGGAATTGGTGCCGGTTTTGGAGTTGGTGGTGTTCGCGCAGTGTTCGGAGGTATGCTTCTAATATATGACTGCATTATATAAATCATCTCAAAGTTCATAGACTAATTGGTTATACTTTTAGGAATGCGGTCATTATGGTCTGCCGGAAACTGGGCCGTCGGAGTATTCGCAATCACATCACTAGGAGCTTACGAGTTTTGCCGCCGTCAACGAAACGAAGAATTGCACGGAATGAAACAGGCCGTTGAGTTGATGAAGGAGTTAAAAGATAAGAAACAACGTGATAAGGAAAAGGCTATGGAGGCGGCAGCGAAGCGGGCAGAGGAAGAAAGGCAAAAGAAGAGCTGGACGAACCCTTCGAACTACAAATTTTGGTAACTTTGCTCGACCATGAGCCGGAGTCGCGGTGTTTGTGTGATTATATCAAAACTGTATATTCTGATCCCGTATGAGGGGTGATTGGCATCATATCATGAAGTCATCTCTGTGTATCATAGCGTCCCAATTTCCAACCAATTCCAAACTTTGGTCAAATGAACCAAAAACAAAGGTCACCATGCAGCATGCTCCTATACGCCTGAACTTCTGGTCCAAAAGAAAAAAAACCAATCGCAATCGCAATCGCACTCAAAATATCATGAGATAACCAGGAAGAAAATGCGACCAATTGGCCTACATGTCAAACCTAACTCTCTTCTGGATAGACCCATGTTGAATGCCGTGGATCATTCCAAGAGGATCCTTTTCATTCCTTCGCTCTCTTCGCTTCTCACGAGCTTCGCGTGCCTCGCGATTCTTCCATTCGGCGACTTGTTTCTGTCGTTTTTGTGACCGTGCCCATGCCATGGCTGCAGTAGGCTTGAAGCCTACTCCATTGATTCCGTAGCCATCGTCTGTTGGATCCGTGGGATCATGACCTGTTATCTCATGATCATGCCAGGTAAATGGGTCTTCTTGTGAGGCATCTCCTAGGGGTGGCGAAAGTCTTTGCTTTCGTTTCGACGGAGAGCTGCGCTGTGGTGATTTTCGGGGGCGTGCAGATGTCTTTTTGGAAGGTGTAAGAGGTAGTTCATTAGGAATGTCATGTCGTGTGTCTTGAGTCAGAGGTACGGAGGCTGATCGGTAGCTAGGATCTTCGTTCGGCAGGTTGCTGTGGTTTGGCCAGGCCTCGGACGCTGTTCTGAAGTCTCTCGCGAGGGGAGTCTCTTGTATCGGTACGGTTGATGGTTCTTGCATGGTATGATTGCCATTTGGTCGACCCAAGTCTGTCAGCCCCCGAATTGCGAGTTGCTTGAAGCTGCCCGCAACTGCGGCACGAGGGCTGTGGCGCCCTGTCTCGTCTTCCTGAAATCTCACTTCTTGAAGACTTGCAAGAGAGACAGTCGATGTTGGAGATGTTGAGGGACTATAATATTCGGATTCCGAAGGTTCTCGTTTGCGCCTGGGCGAGAAATATGGAGGGAGATCCGTGGTCATCATCGTCAAACTCGGAGCCGTGTAGAGATCAGAAGAATCCCGAGAATGAAGTTGTATTTGAGCTGAAATAGCCCCCGTTGAACAATCAGGGCTAGAGGGGTAAATTCATTCTGCAGCGATCCCTATACTACCTAGGGTGCGGAGATCAGGACAAGTGAGGGGCAAGGTCATTGGACGCTCGGGTGTAAGATGTGTAAGGCGTGGTCTGGATTTGCGGGACCCAAAATCGATGTTTAAAATGGAATATTCAGTCTTCACGGTTCCACGGTTCATCTTCGACCTGATCTATTACAATGAACAAGCAAATTCAAGTTCTGCATCTTATTTCAACGACAAAAGAAATCCTACAGTGGTTTATAAATCAGGTAGTAAATGAAATAAAAAAAGGCATCTTATTTGAAACACAGGATAGAGCAAATCTTATTGCCAATATTTGGCCTAAATCGAAATAATTTACAGATCCCCGATCCTATCGAGTCGTGAACAAGATTGAACGTATATGAAAAGAAAACATTAAAATGAAATCCCAACGCCATGACAAAGACTCCCAGTTCCGAACAAACAGCGCTTTTATGCCTTCTGCTTCTTCTTAGAAGGCTCCGCATCGGTGTCGTGCTTGCGCTTCTTCTTCTTCTCAGGCTCGGCCTCAGCAACATCAGACTTTCTCTTCTTCTTCTTGTCGCTCTTATCGCTCTTCTCCTTCTTCTCTTTCTTCTCCTTCTTCTCCTTCTTCTCCTTCTTGGGGGAGGCATCCTCCATCTCGTCATCACTACCGTCAACGTCGGCATCCACATCCATACCGGCCAGAACGGCATCCATGGCGTTTTTCTGTAATCCGACTGTTAGCAATTATTCAAGAATAGATATAGTAAAGAGATCATCGTGAACATACCATGGCAACTTCGTTCTTAGTAGGGGCAGCACCAGTAGCGTAGAACTCCAGGCGCTCCTCAACCTGCTGCTTCAGAGCCTCACCGAACTTGGTCGATGGCTCCTCAGAGAAGTTATCGATACGGGAAGCAATGGAACACTTGTTGGCAAGGAAACGAGAGATGCGACCCTTGTTCTTAGGACCAGCACGGCCAATGAAAGAAGAGTGGTACAGCAGACCGTACTTGGGGGTGTTGCCCTTAGTCTTCAGAGCACGGAAAAGAGCCTTCTCGGCACCGAGAATCTGAACAGTGGAGGCGGGGTACTTGGAGAGGTTGGTCAAGCTACCGGCGTGGGAGATCAGACGAGCACCAACGACCTCACCGATAAGAGCAGCAAGGTTAGGGGCGACAACGCTCATCTTGGAGACTAAGTACTGGTACAGAGACTTGCGGTACTTGGCAAGGCTGACGACACGCTCAGCGAAAGCGGTGACGTTCTCCATGTCGGCGTCAGAGATATCCTGACCCATACTGTGCTTGGCGGCATCAATGATGTTCTGGGCGACATCCTTGTCATCCTCAACAAGAGCAGCAATGTCATGCAGGCGCTCGTCGTTAAGGTTCTTCTTGTCCTTGACGAAAAGGGCAACCTCAGCGTAGCGCTGGTTGTCAGAGACAATCTTGATCAGCTCGGGGAAGTGCCACGAGTACCATTCACGGACACGCATGGCGAAAGTGTTAACAGCCTTGTCGAGCTGGTCAAGAATGGCAATGGCCTGGATAATGTGGTTGTCATCGCGCTGGACGGAGAACTTGACCTTGGCGCGAGAGTAGGCGTGACCGAGACCGAGCTGAGCGGTGTCAATGTCACCCTCGCGGAGCTGCTTCAGCAACTTGGTGAAGTGCAAACGAATACCACGGAGGAGATCCTGAACAACCTCGCTGGTATCACCGGTCTCACAGTCGACGAAGTCGAAGGCGGACTTGATGCTTCCTGCAAGAGCCTTGTCCAAAAGACCCAACACAACCTTCTTCTTCTTGCTCGGCTTGGGGAGGTTCAATTCCAGGAAAGAGACCAAGGTCTCGGAGGCGACACCCTCGGAAATATCGTTAATTTCACCGAGAGCCTGCTTGTTGTTCCTTGATGTGGGTTAGCAAATAAGGTCTGGTGAGAAAATAAATTCTGTGGGGCAGAATTGTCGGTTTGAAACATACTCGAAGGGAAGGAAACTGGCAAGGTCAATCATCTTTCCAAACTTGGCAAGGTCATTGACACCCTCCTGGACCTCCTTCAGGCTGTTGCCGACAACATCGCCCTTAATGGCGACCTTGAAGAGCGAGTAGCCGATAGGGCTCTCGAAAAGAAGATAATCGGCCATGGCGTTATGAAAATTGTGGTCCAGTAAAACGCGAATTGACCGGATAAAGGCGAATTACAGCAACCAAGACCCACGAAGGATTCGAGTGGGCGACACTGTGGGTGGTTGAAGCGGTCGTTCTCAAGAGCGGAAGAGAAGTCGAAAATTGAGAGCTTTTTTTCGCCGCTAACCCGGAATAGTGCGACGACTCGGTGACGGTAGGCAAAAAAATACCCCATTCACCGCCTTCCTGTTACGTCACACACTATATGGTCGCGGCAGTACTTGCCGCGACTGCGGGGAGACTACCAGAGAAACGCCTTAATCAACCCCTCTACCAAAGCTTCCACGAGTAAGGACGAATGAGATTCTAAGGTTATTCTAAAGCATTTCAATTTTCAACTTCATCGTTGCTTTGCGATTAATACAGTGTTCATTATCATCAAATCAGATGTTACATTATCGTACAAGATTGCATTCAGATGGTCAAATCAGTTTTCCTCTGAGCCACTTTCCTCATTTTCAGACAAGCTCCTGGACTTAGGCATCCCCACAAATCCATCTTCTTTCACAGGGTCATCCAGTGAGAGATGATGCTTTTTCGCCCATTCCCACACGTCTGATTTGCGGATCATCATCTTGGGACCCTGTTCAGCTTCCGCTTCGCCCATGAGCCGACTCATCGTACGTTTCTTCTCAGGCTGGGCAACATTCATACTCTTGACAGCAGTAATCACGTCCTCTGTCAACATTCCAGTGGCAAGGCCAATCTCTTCAACGGTCATGGTTTCACGCTGTATTTTCTTCCGTTTTGACGGGGTGCTTGGGTTTGCATGATTGTTCTCGGACTCTTCTCCACGTTTTCCGCGTAGTACGTATCTCGCGATTCGCTCAGCCCAAAACCGATTGTAACTCTTCTGACCGAGATCACTCAATGGTTTCTCTGGACCACCGATGTATCCACCAGGTGAATCCCATCCACTGAGTTTGTAGCTTACCCCCATCAGGAGTTTACCAAGTTGTCTGTGTTGGTAAGGCGGAAAGATACAAATACATGCGAGATTATTTGCGTCCCAGGATAGTTTTTCTTTGGAGAAGAACCCGAGGACATGGTAGTTGTCCGGGTTATCAGGGTCAGTGAAAGTCAAAATGTAGTAGAGAAATGTCGCAACGTCAAAAAAGACTGTCTTGTGATCGAGGAAAAGTTTGGCAAAAAGCGACAAGTTCTGCCCAAAGAGCTTGTATTCCTCTCCGTCAACCTCCCACACCGCATATCCACCATGGTCGTACACTTTGGTACCAGGTGGGGTTGTACAAAACTCGCAAGCCGAGGTATGAGTTGCAAAAGCTTCGTCGTCACAAGAGTATCGAAAGCACCAACGACAAACATAGAGACAATCGGCGTCTTTGGGAATCAGGTCTTCTGGATAGATGGACTGGTACCATGGTTTGAAGAGGAGGTCTCCCAGCACAACATTTTTGAGATTTCGGTCGCCTGGACTTTGTAGCCGCGAAGCTGAGGCGCTGGTCGCCATTTAAGGACTTGAGGGTTCGTGAATCGACGCGTTGATTGCGTTGATGACGCGCGGGAGCTAGGGTTCAAGGGAGGGGACCAGCGGACTAGCCATCAGCATCACCGCGCCAGCCAAGCTTTTGTATTGTAGGGATGGTAACAGCTCACTTTTACACCCATTGGAGAAAGATGCATAGAAAGTGGTGTCTAGACCTTTGCGCACCGTATCCCCAAATGGACAAGGGAACGAAAATCGAGTGCTGAGTCAGCAAAACAGGTGACCTCAGATCGACTTGAAAGTGGAGAGCTTTTATCTTATCCCGCTGTTGCCTGCTGATGTACTTACTCGTATAAGTAAAAGGGAGTTGTGAAATCATCTGCAACTTATCCTTGCTTCTGACATTTTGCCCCCCCTATTCTCCTTTTTAAACCTTTACTCTTGTAGGCAACAATCATCATACTTTCTATGATATCTACCCTGATTCCCGTTTGATCGTGAAGATCGACCATCTTCCGTCAAGTACCGCAATATCCGCGTCTTATCCTTTTCCGTACTACATTCCCCACTTCGCTTTGATCATCCAACCTCAAACAAGCCTAGGTATATCATCTACATTAGCCATGTTGAAACCTTTTCAGATCCGAGATCTACATGGGTCTTCGCCTTCGAATCCAGAAGAGCCATCTAGCTCTCAGGGTGTCGTCCAACTTTCGTCCTCAGACTATGACGACCTCGCCTCAACCCATCCTCGGGCCAGGTTAACATACATAGATGATGATGATGGCGATCAGATTACAGTAAGCATTAAGTCCCAATGTTGAAAATATTCTACCGCCAGACAACTAAACTCTTTCCTCCATAGGTCGGGTCTTCACTGGAGCTTTCTGAACGCCTAGATGATCCTGTAGACATTGCACCTCGACTTGCTTCCATCCATATCTCTGATGATACACCTGTGCCGATGCACATATTTGACATTCGCCGATCAAACTCTGTGACTGAACTCTGGCGGCGATTTGAGACTCAAACTTCCAATGACAGACAAGTTCCTGTTTTAGGAAATGATACGCCGGCTGTATTGGAACCTCCTGCCAATGCAGTAGATGAGATTCGCCATGAAGAACCTATATTGGCTCATACTAGTGCCAGTGCTGTCCCTGGGCCTGATTCTCAGACTCTTTTGCCAGCATTTGAAGCTGAATTGGCAAGCCTTTTAGGGTCTACAGAGGAACCTCCAGAAAGAGCTCCGCAACCTGAACCACAACATGCCGCTGAGGGTGTTAACTTGGAAGAAATTCCTGCGATTGTTGCAGATCTTGCTTCGCAGATACTTCGTCATATGTCAAGGGGTGCAAACATGGTGCAATCCGAGCTGCGAACAAGACTACCAGAATTACAACGTCAAGTCAACGATGCTCAAAGACACCTGCCTGAGAACATGGGAGCGTGGTTACAATCCCTTCTTACTACTCTTGAAACCCAGATGAAGACAGTTCTGAACAATTTGCCTGAGAATAGAAGGCAATGGGCTGATAATGGACGGCAATGGGCAGAGGAAGCCATTCATGCTGGCCGACCCGTGGCCGAGAACGCCGCTGAAAGTCTACGAACAATGGCATCTGAGCTGAATGAAGCGGGACGTACTTTATTTGCGGCTTTTGAACATGAGTTTGGGCGACCTGCATCGCAGCAGACGAATGTCACGCCCGATGGCACTACTTCCGGCGGACCTAGTAGCTCACACACGGCAGTTCCGCCCGCCGTAAACAATGCAACTGCGGCACCAGTCAATCCTGAGACTGCTATCCCGCAGTCAGTGGCATCTGACTTGCGTCAGGAAAACATGCCGCGTAGTGACCAACCTCCGGCGCCGGGGTTAGGAAACTCCAGCTATATCCCAATTCCCACCCCTGGCAATGTCAGTCGAGGTCCGGAAATGGGATGCGCGATGCCTACCTTGCCCTCTATGCCATACATACCCAGACTTAATCCCCATCTATCCGGTCATCCGCATCCTTCCTACCCCGAAGTACCTCCGCCACCTCGTCTCATGCGTCCTCACGATATGAATAATTGGTATCCTCCTCCGAGGCCTCCACTACCAACGGACCTAAGCCATGGTCACCCAACTCCACCTTCTTTCTCTCAGCTTTCGTCACTTTGGAACCTTTATCCTAAAATACCATCCTTTGGCCCTAATGCCGGCTCAAACAATGTCGATGTTGCTTCCAGGACAACCTCCTCGGGGGGTATGCTAACACATAAAGACGCCCAGGTAGAGGAGTCTGGAAATAAGACACTATTCATTGGAAATGTTGGGTTCAATGTGACAGAACGAACTGTTAAAGACGTGTTTGCTTCCAAGGGGTTCATTGTCGATGTGGATCTTCCATTGGATGCCGTATCGGGGAAACATGCAGGATTTGGCTATCTCCAGTTCCCTTCGATTCACCCAGCCCTTGCCGCAATGAATGCTCTGCAGGGTGCCCACATAGATGGCCATGCCATCAACCTTGAGCTCAGTGATACTGCACCCAATGAAGATATCAATTCCCAAGGAATGACTCTCAACACCAGTCAGCCCTCTCTGCAATCTAACACCCCCAAAGAAGCCACCAACTTCCCGGAGTGGAAGGACAAGCAGAGGGCTTCAATCAAGCGCCGGAAATCAGTCTCCTTCAAGGAGCCTCTTCAAGCTCATTCAGAACCTGCAACTTTCGAGTCTCAAGACGCAGAACCAGCTACAGGTCAAGCAACGGATGTGGCCCAATCGTCTCCACTGATCGATCTATCGGTTGATGAGTCTATTGCTACTCCACAGCCTCGTCCCCAGTCTGAATCCGAGAGCTATTGGCGGGTTCCTGGAGCCAATGGGAATGCTCCCGAGTTGTCTGTTAATCTGAACCCAGAATTGGAGATGAGCCGGTTCCCACCTGTGTCCCAGCTGGAGGCGCAACTCCTAGCGAAGCAACGACGACACGACCCGGCGTCTGCTGCTGAAGGGGCAACCACTAAGCCTGCCAACCAGAGTGCTGCTCTGGGCTCCCCATTCCATGCTCAGACACAGCCTCTCCTCCCGACTCAGACCCCATATGTTCCATATCGCTCAGGTCCGGAGGAGTCCCTGCAGAGATCTCGAACGATTTCGCATGCCGATAGCCGAGGTAACTATGCCGACTCTGGAACAAGCCTGCGCCGTGCAAGAACCCTCACGTCTGACCCCTCGTTGGGTGAATCACGAAATAATTCCAGACAGTTCACGGAGGCCCCGTCCTCGCGTCTGAGGCGTAGAGCAAGCGAGCGTCAATCTATGCGTCCCACTAGAGAGTTGGATACATGGGCGAGACTAGACAGGAGAGAGCGCGAGCGATCTCGGCCAGCATCACGGCAAAGTATTCCTGGAAGTTTCCCTGTTGAAGATCCACCCAACCCTCCGCTTGATACTCATGCCAATAATGCCAAAGCCGCTGATATTGAACGTTGTATCTCTTCTCTTATCGACATGGGGTATGGAACGGCTGAGAACGGTGGCCGAACTCGAATGGCAATCTATGCCGCCGCATCGAACGGTAACTTGTTGGATGCTATTGAGATGATTGAAGAAGAACGCAAAGCCTATGCCTCTCATGGCCAGCAGTAGGATTGGTTATTTTTATCTCGTTCGCTCATCATGTATTCAATCTGATTTCCTGGAGTTGAATCTTCGCTTTTTTTTATTCGGATTTTGCGCGATCCATGGCTTTTTATGTTTTTGATATCGCGAAATTCCCCCTCCCTCTCCCTCTGTTCGAGTCGATAGTATGCTACCTAGTTCAGATTGATGTTTATTTTTGCAATTGATCGCTATAAGTAGTTTCAAGTTTACTTACTTGCCTGCAGACTGTGTCCACGGGTAGTTACTACTTCAAGTTAATTAAGCATGAATCTTCCGAGTCCTTCTATATGTATAGTATTTAGAAGTACCCGTACTAGTAGTACTATTCCAAGGTTCAAGTTAATACTAACATTTTAATGCAGGTTCAAACTTGAACTCTCTGGTTCAATCAAATTCAACTTGAATTTCCAACTTGAAGGTTCAAGTTGCTATATATTTGCGTCACGGTATTGGTCTGATTGCGCTCCGAGTCTATCATGATGCTATGGAAGAGCCTTTGTTGGGCTATACCTTACTAGTAGTATTTAATGGTAAAGGCATCAAATAATGAGAACAATATACCTATTATCGTTTCTAGAAAATCCTCCAATTATACAAATACAGACTCTAGAGTGAGGCAAAGTATGTCCGTGTGGGGTGAACATTGAGGCCGATCGGACCGGGAGCTCCCCAGTTTTTCCATCCCGCGCGACTTCATTCCAATTCCACCTTTAAAGCAACGCGCCTCACTTCAACAATGCAAACATGGCGGCGAACGTTCGCCACGTCTGTCGCCAGACTTAACTATGGCGCAACAGCAGGACCTCGACCTTCAGCGCTGCGATGCGCTCAGATCCTTCAATCCAGCAAGAGTGATGGGCCCTGCAAGTTGGAGAACCAGGAGATCAAAGTAAATGGCTTCATCAAGTCTGTTCGCAAACAGAAGCGCCGTGCTTTCGCGGAAATCTCAGACGGCTCGACCATTGAACCACTGCAAGCGATCTTAACCCCAGAACAAGCAGCCAAGTGAGTTACAAAGCCTATATGACTCTTCGCACCTTATCTAATCATAAGATCTTCTGTTTTAGCCTCTCAACAGGGACAGCAGTCTCTATATCTGGAATATGGAAGGCTTGTCCACCGGGAAAACTGCAGACCCATGAATTGGAAATCACCGACGTGGCTGTCGCCGGAGCATCAGACCCCGAGGTAGGTGACTTTCCCAGCTTTCTCGAACTACGCGGCTAACTGTCTTCGAACACAGACATTTCCTATTCAGAAGAAGTATCATAGTACTGATTTCTTGCGCTCAATTCCTCACCTTCGCATGCGAACCCCCCTTCACTCGCTTCTCTCACGATTCCGCTCCGAATGTCTATTCCAGCTTGGCAATGTTTTTCATTCATACCCGCATGGCGGCTTCACACAAGTTCAGCCACCTATAATCACATCCTCTGATTGCGAAGGAGCAGGCGAGACGTTCACTTTACTCCCTCGCGGCGGTGCAGCAGAAACCGAAACCGACCACTTTTTCCGAGCACCAAAGTACCTCACCGTATCGTCGCAACTGCATCTCGAGGCATACGCTGCAGAGTTGGGCAATGTCTGGACATTGACACCTGTTTTCCGAGCGGAAAAGAGTGATACACCACGTCATTTGAGTGAATTCTACATGCTGGAGGCGGAAGCCAACTTCATGTCTGATTTGGATGCGCTCACTGATCAGGTGGAATATCTACTTCGCGATCTGACTCGCCGTTTGTACGATACGGCTGTTGGTCAGGAAGTCCTTTCGATCAAGCGCACTGGGGAGCCGGGACAGGAATTTGATCCTGAGGAAGCAGAGAAGAGCGTTCGTCAGCGATGGTCGGCTTTGATGGATGGTCCTAAGTGGCACCGTGTTACATATACCAAGGCTATCGAGATGCTACAGCGTGCTGTTGTTGAAAACGGCGCCTTATTTGAGCACGTACCAACCTGGGATGGTGGACTACAGCTCGAACATGAGAAGTACATTGTCGAGGTGTTGTTCGATGGCACCCCAGTCTTCGTCACGGACTACCCTAAGGCTATTAAGCCATTCTACATGGCTCCTTCGCATGCTGGCGGCGATGTGCAAAGCAGCGCAGCTGGAGAAACTGTCGCTTGTTTCGATCTGCTTTTCCCTGAGGTCGCTGAGGTTGCCGGTGGCTCTTTGCGTGAGCACCGCTTACCCAATATCATTCAAAACATGCGTGACTACGGTCTGATCAAGTCCCGGGTACCTGCTGATTCTGATGTGGCTTTGCCCGAAGAATCATTGTACCCTCACCTCACCCCAAACGAGGACCTGGGCCATCTTCAATGGTACGCTGATCTCCGAAGATGGGGCTCAGCTCCTCATGGCGGGTTTGGACTTGGGTTTGATCGGTTCTTGGGCTACTTGTCTGGTATTTCCAGTGTCCGCGATATAGTATCATTCCCCCGATACTTTGGACGAGCTGACTGCTAAGCTTACTCAACCTGCCGAGAAGTGTATTATATGTTCCAGAATAATGTACTATATAGACGACCAAGACAGAAATACTACGGTTCCAACTCATTTCAACAAGTTGGAACCCTACCCAATTCTCACAACCACCGTCTCTACCTAATCCTGCCAGTACTCACCAACTCCAGGCTGAAGAGTTTCGATGCTAATACCGGACAAATGCCTAACCTTGTCTTGCTGAAAATCTAACTTTAGATCGTATCAGCCCCAAATGTCATATGAATAACTCCGGTCATCATGATGCAGACCCCTGCAGACATGACTGGATCCTTGGAGAATCTGACTCAATATTTCGTACTCCGTACTCCGTGCAGAACCCCAATCTTACAACCCCCAAATCATAAAAACAAGGAAGTCTACAAAGGCCTCATGCACGACTTCATTAAAGCTCGCACCTTGGGGGGCCGCATCGACTAAAAACACGGAAACTAGCGCTTGATATGCACAAGCATCGCCCCGGGGGGGTTCCGCCGGGGGTTGGGGCCATAAATGAATACTCCGATAAAGGTGCAAATGGGATAAAAAAAAACTTGAAAATTAATTATGTACTACTAGTATTCGAATCGGCCCCCTTTCTCCCCGACAGGGATGTCAGCACTTTGGGGCCGGAATCGGGAAGATCGTGGTTAGGGATAGTGTGGGACCTTTGGAACTTGAATACATGTACATTACAAGCTCTAGGGCCAGACTAAGGAGTAGAGCTCGGAGTCTTTCACTAATTGAGTGTATCGGATATGAGATGAATCAACTCCGTTACTGTGATTCCGTGCTCCCTGCTTCGTAGCGAGGAGGGCCCCCGGTTGATCTTGCAGATCGAAGGATGGCCTTAACTATATTTCTAGTACTTACGTACATCTGTGAGGTCAGCTAAATGCACGGAAGCTTCGGTCTGGTTCACTGGTATGCACCTGGGTTCAAGTTTTTGATAGTAGGTTTTTCCAAGTTCTCGAATCCCCCAAGGGCTTACTATGCCCTGGAATAGTAGCTTCAAGTTTAACCCTAGGGGCGGAGGAATGAAGGAACGAGGCGTCCAAATCGTGGATAGCCCTGACGCTAGAGCCTTGCAGACGGCAGAAGCTTACTCTAACTCTAACCTTGGAATTAGTTCCGCCGAATTTGCGCAATTTTGCGAGCTCTGCATACGAGAAATTGCGATTGCGAATCTTGAACTCACTTTATGAACTCAAGTGCTACTAGTAGCGCATGTGCATAAGCTTAGAATCATATTATTACTAGTACCTACTAATGCCTCTTTCATCTAGTATGTTATAGTATTAAGACTATTTACCACAAGGTGTTAAGCTATGAGGCGCAGGAGTACATAGGTACCTCTAATAATATGTGCCTGTATACCCATCCTGGTTAGTTCACCGGATATTGACAGGGGAGATAGAGACCAGAGACTAAGCGGCACTTGGACCGGTTCTCGGAGAAGCCAAGCACTTAGCGTGGGAGACGGCCGCAGTCTAACATAAAAAATGGGGCAGAAGTTGAATCAATCTTGACTTGGGATTAATGTGCTCGCTCTTATGGAGACCATGTACAAGTTCCCACTGGCACATGTGCACTATGGAGTTAAACGCCACTTGGAAGGATCAAATGAGAATAGAAGCGTCAGAAAACGTGGTCCGTGGGTCTGACTGAATTAGGAACACTTTACGGTCTCGATAATCTTGATAATATACTTTAATTTTATTTCTCTTTTTTTTTTCTTATGTATGGATATTATGGATAAATATTTATGGAAAAAATTGATTAATAAATGTTCCATTTAGGTATGTTGTTCGGTCAATTGCGGAGCTCGCCTACAGAAGCCGAGCACGCCCTTGGCTGTCTTAAATCGGGTTTAGGCAGCTTAGATAGCAACTTTGTGGATTCCGGTTGCTGTCGGCAAGTCAGATTTTTATTATTTCTCTTTAGGTACGGAGAATAGAGGAGTCCGGACGGAATACTCCATCATATTATTCAATATAATCCACTCTAACGGAGTATAGAGTATGAATATCCCGGATAAAGATGGGAAGTTCAGGGCTGAGTGGATTACATTATTAATTCAAGTTTATTATTCATCAAACCGGTAATGTTATGACCTCGGATAATCTAATCCTAAAGTAGGAAGCGCTAGTGGATATGAATTATGCTTGCGTGGCGGTACTTTTAAGATTTAAATGTATTCTAAATGTACTCATGTACATCCATACAGCTTCACAGGATTGGAATGTTAAGAGAGGGGCAAAAAAGAGGGAGGAACCACCAGGGTTAAGAGGCTCGCGCACAGCCTTAAAAAAACAAAAAAAAAACAAAAAAAAAAACTTGGAAACAGGGCAATAGCTTTTTTTGCCTTAATCTAATAGACTTTACCAAAGCTGAACATCAACCCCATGCCAATCAGGCGGCCAAGGATCGGCGGGCCAAGGGGACCCAACCTTACCGGGGTTAAGCATAAGCAAGAGATGTTCGGGCTTTGTCCGTCTAAAGAATCAAAACGAGTCATGCAGGAGCCGGGACTATCCCTGCCTGACGTATCACATTGTCGTTCGATGACCAGCATGCGCTATTATTATTATTACTCCGTTAGTGATAATACTATGACTACTTTAAGAATTAAAGTAAGAAATCACATCACTTAGACGCCGTGTTGTCATCTTGAAGTATCACAATCTTAAACCATGAATTTGGTCAGTTCAATGTTGATTAGTACACACATCTTACTAACGATATGAACCCCCATTCAAATGTTCATGACCAGCCCCAGTTATAATTCCCCTCCCCTTTTACCCCCTTCGTATTCGGCTGGATTAACTCCCCGATGCATAAAGTCCATAAAGTCAAAAAAGAACCGTGCGCCACATGGTTATGCTGATTCATGTGAGACACTGGTCTCTGGTCGGCTCATTGCACCCGTTTTAGGGAGTTTCTAATTAACAGAGTTAAAAAGTAAAGTAATTTAGAAACATAGAGTGCGAGACTAAAGATAAAAGAGGATAGTCCTCCACTTTTTCCGAGGTTGTTTTTGTCGTATTAGGTCCCATGGTTCTTATAAGTCAAAATGGCTTTTAGGCTTGCGGGTGACAGTTGCCACTCTTGAAACTTGGCGCCTAGAGGACCCTTTTTTTATGATTACTATGATTATTATTATTATTATTTCGGGATTGAAATGTTTAGCAAGGGGCCATGATCACGAGAGAAATTCCTTGGTTTTTTCTTGGGAGAGGAGAAGGGGCTGGGCATTTTTTTTTCAAGTTTGAGTTGGTCATAAGAAGCGCGAGGGTACAGAGTATTACTCCGTAGTATGTATTTGACTTAAGGCGACCTGATGCACACTACAAACAGGTTTAGGCGACCAACTTGAGGTTAACTGGGGCAATAATAATCACAAAGTACAATGATCTTCGACTTGGGTTAACATTTCAAACAAAACTAGGTGTATGGTAAAGTGAATGTTTATTTATTCTTATTTTTACCCTAGACAATTCTATTTTAATTTTCCTTTTGCCTGATCTTCATCACCTGCACCAGGTACTTCAAGGATTCATACTTGTCATATTAAAGTTATGACTACATACGAGATTCAAGAAAGAGTCCGATAAGACCAAATATGACAAATTCAAGGGGGAAAAACATGATTCGATCAAACTTCTTGAAATCATTCCAACACATTCCCCATTCAACCCATAGACATCATACCTTAATTATGTTAGTGGAGATAAGCTCGTGCGACGTTTCACGGAATCAAATCTTGGCAACCTTTAATTCCAGGGTTACAACCATGCATGACAATACAAAAACCGCCTCGCAACTATAAAGTTGATCTTGAGTATACATTCATCCGGAGTACGTACAGTAAAAGAGTGTTTCTATGCAAGGGCACGTCATCGGCCCCAGGGCCCCAAATGTGGGATGAGAAAACGCCCTAGTAAGATGATCGTACGTGTATAAACGCTTCTAGGCACTCGCATAGGCCAGCTGCTTATCCACACGGCTGATAGTCTTAAAAATGGATATTTCTTTGTCGACGACTCCCGAGGTCAGGTAAGCCACTACAAAGTGCTGGTACTGGGTACTTCAAGTTTAGGCGATCAACACGAGTCGGAGATTATTGATCAGAATGCAGGATGTTCATGTCTTCAAGTTCTGGTATGGAGTATGTACGGGATATTGAATACAACTATTAATAATTGATAAAGAGAAATAGAATAGTAAGACCATTCAAATGTTAGATCAAATCAAAAACAAATAATTTAATAACCGTAGGATATTATTCATGTTACTCCGTACTCGTACCCCATAGACGCCTTAAGAACTTGAATTCCACATAACATGATTTGAACCTTCGAAGAAACAAGGGGAATTGAAAAGAAAAATCAAGACTTTCTCGCATACCTAAATCTACCCTTGAGGAAAAAAAAAAAACTAAAACTAAAACTGGAACTGCCATACTTCGTATACTTAGTCCATATGGATAATCGGCTGCACGTATATGCGCCTATCACCGGGGTTAAGACAATAATGCGGCGCTACACCCTACCAAGGAATGAAATGGAGCCCATTTGACAAGCAGAAGCAAAAAAGAAGCACAACGCGAAACAAAGGACTCCACACTACCTAAAAAGAAAAGAAAAAGAAAAAAAAGTGTCGGGCTGACCCGCAAGGGCTCGCTCTAATCAGCGGTTACGAGCGATATGCTTTTAGCGAGGAGTGGAGTTCAGCCCCCACAGGATGAAAAAGGAGTCGGATGATCGGATAGACCTGGGCGGCACTGACCGGGACCCCGAAATTTATATTTTTTATTTTATTTTATTTTATTTTAACAATGTACAGGTACGGAATATTACCCAAGTTCCTTCATCCGAGTCCGGTAATTGCTGGACGAGTTTAAATCCGCCCGGAGTGACCCAGATTATGGTAATGTACTCGCAGATACTCCATTATTGTATCCACTTAGAATTCTTCTGATTATTATTTTCATTCATTTCAATTATTTATTAATTTTTTTTTCTCTTCACCAGCCTTGTGGTTGAACCTCGGTCCTTGTGGACCATCTTCATAAACTAGAACTTCCTCGGGTCACCTGCTCGGATGGATTAAGCTGTGACAGGCACTATCCTCATGTGGTAAAAAGCGCGGGAAGAGGAGATGCAGGTGCGGGATTTGGGACGATCATCTTAAAGAATACGAATGCCACTGGCAGGGGTCTGCGTCTTCGCACAGGGCATTTCAAGTTGACAGATCTCGCACATGGTACATTAAAGTAAGGGTGCCACATGTGGAAGCTCAATTCAAGTTCTTGACATTGAAGATTTGAACTTACTGCATTTGATGTAGAATCAACTTATACGGATTCCGAACATTTTGGATAAAAGTGTACATTACACTACAAATAATAAATAAATTATTCAATATGGAATTTAATTTCAACTAAAATTAAAATTAAAATTGATTTGGTATTACATTTCTAGTTCAAGTTTGATCCGATCTTGCGGCGCAGTTCGATCGGCCCTGGACCCTGAACAGCCTTGTTCCGCTAAAAGGTTATGTTAAATTAAAGGTTACCCGTACTATGTACTGATACTGATGTCTAGATTGGAACATTTGAATATTCATTCAAATGTATATTCTCAGTTGAAGACAATTACGAGAAATGTATCAGTAACATTTGAATTAAAAAGTTAAAATCTTCTATAATGATCTCAACTGCAGACTGTAGTCCTATTTACATTCCATTCAAATTATCTCACAATCTCACAATCTCACAGGCTCCAGGTTTCTCAGGTCTCTTTTCGACAAGGCTAGCAAGTAGTGCGACACCTTCTCACGCCGCCCACCAGGTAGATGGAAGTTCAGGTCACCACAGTGATGTCAAGTCACACTAGTCAGCGCCATGTGAGACATCTAATGCAGGCCATGGTCAAACGCCAAGTTTGACAGAGACGCCCTTGGACGATCATGCTCGCCTGAAATCGACGAATTTGAACATATCTCCGCTTCCAATAGAATGCACTATTATTACTTTTTTTTGGTCTATAATTTCTTTTTTCTATGATCTGAATATTCATCAGCTCGGATCCATTCAGCCTCTGAAACCCTATTAGAGTGTCAGGCAGGTATTGTCGTGCAACCGGTCTCCGTTGGCGATACGCTTTAACTGGATCTTCAAAGACCGGCCCGTGCGTTAAGCTCCTTCAGGGCTGGCCTTTTAGATCCAAAAAAAAACATTTGAACCTTGGAAATTGTTACTGGGCGCTTCGGCTATGCGGCTCCACCATTGGACGCCGAATAAGTTCCAGAGCAAAAGGTTGTTTACTAGTACCATACAATGATGGAGATTTGAAGATTAGCCACATGCAAGGTGGTCGATAACCTTGGAAGGCTTTTCCATCCCATGTCTGTACATGTACTCCGTGTCCGTACTAATGCAAATATTAAATAGATTTAAAATAGAAAAGAAAAAGGGAATATACTCCGTCCTTGAACTGTAAATTTAGTTCTATCCTTATCTTCAATATTATCCATATTGTCCATACGAGCAGTGGCGTGTACTTTCAAATCTTGGTTTGTGAAGCGGGTGAAAGTCGTATGTCCCAAGCCCGTTAGTGTAAATGCCTAGTCTTGACCCCCCAGTCATTATTGCCGATAGTGATGATCGCTAGGTTCGTGGAAAGAGACAAAAACATACATAAGCACCGAAGCACAGATGTTATTACGTGGCATTTTTCGTTTCAGCTGTGTCTCCCGCGTCAACTTGTAATCAAGTATGGATCTACTCAGATGAAAGTAGCTCGGCAAATCCCTGAATCTGATACAAGTGAATTTATTTTCATTTCAAATGTTTGAAATTTCCATTTAAATTTTTTTATTTTCTTGTTGATCCTCAAGTTTTGGATCGAAACTAGGATCTCATCAAGCTTTGTTTTCCCGCATACTTAAAATCCAAACCATGGCCGCGTCAGTAAAGATACGAGTACGAGTCACGAGGATAAGGTAGTGACCACAGTGGCTTTCTCACTCCGATATCCTATTGTAAATTAAAATAAAAAATAAAAATAAGTGAAAAATAAAAATAAAATAAAATAAAACTTGAATAAAATAAAAATGATAGAAAATACTCCGTAATAATAGTGAAAAAAGATATATCCGACTGGCTAGAACCTGTCTCTCCCAACTTTCAGGAGATGTTGCCGATACACCCGCACAAGTCGCATAATTCCAATGTAATCAGGTGGGGGTCGCGGTTTAGGCGTTTTTCCTTGGTTGCGTGCTAAATGCCAATAGCCAAGTGCACATGTGGATTGCGTATCTGTCCTTTTTTGAATCCTTGAAAATCATGATGTTCAAATATTTTAAATTCCAGGTTTCCAAGGTTCAGACCAGTTGAATTTGTAGTACCTCGTATTTAGTTTTGATTTTTCTGAAATTGTCACACTATATATTGATCTGATTGAATCTGATGTCGCTCTTCTCCGAGCGCTAATCTATGAACCATGGAATTAAATCATCGGGATTCTATATGTCCGGGCTCCGTGTATTAGCAATTATTATACTCCCGTAGTACCCGGATCCATGGGCTTAACGGAAATAAGGGAAGCAAAATTAGAGAATCAGAATCACAGCCCTGAGATGTTGAACTTCTCCACTTGCTGAAATGCATAATTAAAATAATTAAAAAGCAATATAAAAGAAATCAAGTGTTGCCTAACGGGGATTAGTCTTTGTGCCAAGCATCAGGAATTAAAAGAATTCAATGTTAAAAGCTGAAAATGGACCGGGTGGATGCAGTCTCTCTAAGCGAGCATAAAGTTCGTCTTCCTCGTGTCGGATTAAGCTTAAGCTTCAATGAGTGCGCACTAACCACTGCTATCAGAGCGCCACAATGTCTGAGATCATTGTCGTACAGAGTTAACTATTAGAATAGCATTTCTTTTATGATTACTCCGTATATTTATTTAAATGTTTTAGATTACTGTAAGTAACATTTGATCTAACATTATTAATAATCTCTTATGAATACCTATGAAAATAAAAAAAATAGTTATAATTATTTTTATCTGGAATGGGGGTGCCTTGCGAAGAAGGGGTTGAAGCCAAGTCTGCCGATTAACCTTACTGGGTCTTTGCCCCCCACTATCCCCATCCTGGTCAAGCCACCGTAAGCTTAGCCAAGGCCTTTTCCAAGAGCTTCCAAGAATGATGACTCGGATTGTTCTGTGGGACGTCAAAGGCTAAATAATTTAAATCTATTCCAGATTCTATGAAGTACTCCATACAAAACTAGAATGTCTTGTCTAGTCTTTACTACTGTTCTTGGGTCACAATCAGAACTTTGACCTTATCCATGTACTCCGAGCGCTAGCTCAAACAAATTGAACATGACTAAGAAGTTAGTTTAATGGATCAGTTAAAATACCGAGTATTGAAATATTACTGCATAATAATAGTACTTATGACCTATGTAGATATAATCTATGTTTCAAGGTTCCTTTGATCTAATGTTATACCATGTGCCACACTCGCCACACGCCCCTGGTCCTATTGATCTGAATTCTATTTGCTCTTGTTCCAAGATTCCTATGCATAAAACAATAAAATACCCGTGGATTTCAAATCAGATATGTGCCAATAACTTGCATTTTATGATTTCTTTTTTTTCCGTTCTGCCTATCATATCTAAGATCGCCATTCGCTCCTCCAACCTTAGTTGGTAGTCTCCACCTAACTCTGTTTTCTTCCCAGGCTATTGTATTACGGGGAGAAAAAAAAAAAGAAAAAAAAGAAAAAAAATCCAGTTTTCTTATGAGGCGTTTTATTTAATTTTGTTTTATTCCATTCTGATTATTCCTTTGATCCCTGTTACATGTATTCTGATTCCCTGGATGCTGATTTGATCAGACTCTCGGCGTTTAGCCAACCTCCGAATATCTCTTTGACCTGTCGCCCTTATTTAACCTTGTTTTGATGATTCTCTATTGTTTTCTCCCCCTATTCTTTTCTCTTGTTTCACGCCCTTTCTTAGTACTATATGTTCTACGTATATATACTCTGCACCTAGATTCTCTTTACTCTGAGACACAGTATGTAGAAGGCCTAAGCTCACTCCCTTGTGGGGTCCAAATAAGTTCCACTTGAGCCTTTTTTTTTTTTTCCCTTGTGTTCCTGTCGGCATTCTTTACGCCTACTCAAACCCACTGCCCCACACCCAATCTCTGCAGGTTCTTTTTTCCCCCTTTGGATCCCTTTTAAGTAAAAATAATTTAAAAATAAATAATAAATAATAAAATGAAAAGAAATTTCATAAATTCTAATTAAAATAAATTCAAAATTACGAACCCACTAACCCTGTTAGGTGACGTAAAAAAGCTCGGCCTTTACCCACCCTAAACTCAGCCTACCCCATACCCGATCATCAACTCGGGTTCCTCTTATATGGGACCGTTCCTTTCCTACCTTTGTTACTTTTCCTCTTTTCCTTCCTCTCTTTTCCCCCGCTATTCATAATCATTTAAAGAGTTCCTGTTGGTTCCACTTTAAAGGTTTCTGGGAAAGAGTTCTGGATTCAGAACCAAATACGGATTAACCTTCTCTCCAGATCGGATCTATTCCTATCGTGACTCCCCAAGTGAGAGATACCGCTTTGGAAAGGAACAGCAAAGCTTCATTCTCAGCCACTGGTTTGAGCCTCAGATCTCATTCCAACCTACAACTCTTCCAACTTCCAAAAAAATCAACCAAAACACCAAAACACCATCCTTCACTAGGTTGTTCAACTTACCTGATGGAGACATACTACGGCCACGTCCGCACCCCAGCGGACGCTATTATCTTGTTCGAGGCTTGCCGAATTGGATTACTACCCCGCGTACAAAGGCGACTTTCAGAAAAAGAACGTCAATCAATCCGATCCGGTTCAGTGTTTGTCTGGGATGAGCGCGAAGCGGGTATGCGACGATGGACGGACGGCAAATCATGGAGCGCCAGTCGTGTATCAGGAAGCTTTTTGACATATCGTGAGATGGAAGGCAAGCGAGGTGGGGGCAGCGTTTCACAGGGTTCAGTTCCTCGAGCAGGCAAAACACCAGAGAGTCGAGGTAGTGATGAAGAGCGGGGAGACGGCACTGATGAAGGTCCAGATGGATACCGATATAAGCCCGATGGATTGATGAAGCAATCATTCAGTATTACAACATCCACCGGTCAACATCTGCACTTGATCAGTTATTATGCCCGTGCACATTCCTCTGCTCTTTCACTACAACAACCTACCACCGATCCAGCCTTGCGTCATGTCCGTCCCCAAAAGGGTCTTTATCCAGAATCAACGGTCAATGACCAGCAGAATCTCCCTGTAGTCACGCGGGGTCCTATGCCAGGTGCTGCTTATCCCATTACTCCTCACCCTCATCCTATGGCAGGATACCCTCGTGCTACACACCAACCTCCATATCAACCTTCTTATGCTTGGGGTCCACCAACACCTCTAGCTACACCTCCAACTGTACCAGTTCATTATGGTCCTGGATATCTTCCACCTGTTTCTGCTGCTCAGGGTCCTCCACCTGCTTATGGTCCACCACAACATCAACCACCCCACCCTCACAGTCATGGTCATGCTCTACCTCCACCTCCTCATGGAGCTCCCATATATGACCGTCCTCACCATTCCGAAATGTCTCATCCAGCCGGTCCTCCCCCAACCGGTCCTTCACTCTACCCTGGTCGATCTCCCCGAAGCATGCACGAGCCTTTGCAAGAACGAGGAAGCCCGCGTGGCTACGGCCAGCCCATCAATGATCCCCGTGATCCCCGTCTCGCCTCACCACGGGTTGTTCCCGCACCAGTTGTTCCACAGCCAAACGGCATTGCTCACAGCCCACATATGATCAAGCGAACCCCACCAACAACACTCCAGCAACTCGGTCCCATCGGTACTCCCCCAAAACCCGCAGAACAGGGAGCTCCCGGCGCTGTTCCTGGTATTGGTTCACTGATGGCTAGTGCATCTCTCGCACCTATCACTGTTGCTCCTCCCAATGGATCAAATAGTCCAAGTGGGATTCGAACTGGATCTGTAGGCGAAGGTCCTCGTGATATTCCCAACGAGAAGATCGGGTTCATTGGAGAAGATATGAGAGCTTTACGTCAGTTAGACCGTGTGTTTACTGCGTAATGATTTCTATATCTTCTTCTAAAATTCTTTGACGTTTTTGTCACTTTTATTTGACTTTTTTTTTCTCTCCCTCCCCCATTTTATGCACTTTGTTCCTTTACGGAGCTGGGAGTTCTACTCATGAGATATCCATTATGTTTTGTTTTATGCCAATTGTTCTTAGCATATGCATGGGTCGGGGGCTATCTGCATTTTTTTTTGTTTCAGAACTGGTTCTTGTATCGGTATGGGTTGGGCTTATTGCCCCTTTTAGTTATGCATTGGGATCGGTCTACACGGGGAAACGGTTCCGGTTATACAATTGACTTTGCTTGTCTTCGTCACTTTTTTTTTCCATTTGTAACTTCAAATTTTTCAATTCTGCTGTAACTGTACGGAGGACCTACTAGTAAATGGATTAGTTTCAATATTTGTGAATGAGTGATAGTAGATAAGAGAACATCCATTGAACCTTCAAATATGCTAGTGTGCCCCACTCTTATTATTTATCACCTTCGGGCTATTACTATACTCACCATCCTTATGTACCTACCGTTGGTTACTTTGATCGTGATAAAAAATAGCAGATTAGTAATTATATAATTAGCAGTGGTAACTCAGTTAGCTAGAGTGTAAGATTGCAAATCTTGAAGTCCCGTCGACTCACGGCCACTGCTACCCCATTCTTTTTCTTTTTGGTCCTTTCTCCTACCTATTCCTGCGCTTAATTAGCAAGCGGTAACTACCTATAAGATATACTTAGTGAGCACTGAAGCGGAAATGGAAGTTGAGAAAAGTCCTAGAATTTCCTGAGTATATGTGCATATGTGATAGTCAGATCTTGAGTTGACCCGTGTCTGGGAACTTTGGAGTTTACATATGGTTAGTTGTTCGGTAGAAGTAGTATATTAGTTTGTTATATGTTCAAATGTTTTGTCCTCAAGTTAAACTTTGAAAGTTGGTGCTGGCACATGCCACTGATGCCAGTGTGCAGTGCTTCCAATAACTGGTAATAAACGACTAATCAGCCTTTAAATATTTTGTGTTTTGTGAATCTTGGGGTTACCTTGTCGTCCCAGGCACACTGCCCAGGTGATATAATTCTCCTTATTAATCGATCTCTTTAAGAGTGGGATCTTTCCGTGATTCCATCATAATCAGTACTCTATTCAATGTCAGCCCGATTTTGGAAAATAGAAAATCCATCAAACAGATGTTTCTCTGGGATGAAGGGTATGCCATAATCTGAACTTCACATGTGCAAGTTAATAACTTGAAATAGCCGTTCTAGTTCTTCCACCCAAAGCTACAGCCCTGGGGATCTCTAGTAGGTACTGTAGTATTTGTCAAGCTTCGATATTTGGATGATTTATGAAAATTCAGTCAGTTCTCTGCCCTTTTATATTGATATATGTTGTCTCTTCGAAGAGTTATCCCGAGATTGACATCTTTCATCCTTTGAAGTGTTTTCCACAATGTCCCATTATGATAATAAAATGCAATTGATTATTATAAGAACTTGAAGCGTAACAAAAATGATCATGAAAGCAATCTCTTCATATTGCTATTCTTGTGACCCGAGTTTGAAGGGCATTCATACATTTCCACAATGGCGCATTGTGATAGCGCACAATGTCGTTCAAGTTGACTTTTACAGTCCTGAAATAACTTAAAACCACTAGTGGACAACGAAGATCATCATCTGGGCAGTTCCAAGGTTAAGGCAGTCTTTCAGCATGGCTATTTTTGTGGTTCGAGTTCAAGGGGTGTCTGCCTCATTGATCTGATTCATTGATCCGATCACTTTCACACAATGGCATTCCAAGGTTCTGGTCATATTTGAAATTTCATTCGCGATTATAAAAATTTGAAACTTGGCAACCTTGAAACGAAGATCGTCAAAGCACATGTGCAGCCTCTCGGTATGAATTGCTCTCGTGACTTGAGCCTAAGCCCCAGTACAATTATGTTTAATTTGTGCTTCATTTAGAAGCAACATACAGCCTGAGTATCGAATGCTAATTAAAGATGATTCTTTGTTAACAAATATCTTTCAAACACCTCTTTGAAAAGAAAACCCCTTTGAAAAGTTATGTTTGAATGTTTTCAATCAAAAAACAAATATAAAGATGTACTCGATCCAGATGATAACATTTGCTATCCCATCAATCAATCTCGAGATCAACTTCAAGTTGAATACACCAGGGTCAGAACTGTCTAGAGACTCATACATAATATCATAAAGTAACACATGTACTATTCGTCCCATATTTATACAGTCAGCTACTTTTGTTTGACAAAATGCATCGTCTTCGAAATATTTGTTTCTGTGGCCTAATGAGTTGTATCTGTGGAAATGACTCTCGCTCTCCCACACCGGATGAGGCACGCCGGTTACTACAGGAAGAACGAGACGAGCGGGAGGAACGAGGACAGCAAGAGAACCGAAGACGGCGAAGAGAGCAAGAGGGAACGCCTGCGCCAAACGGAAACGGTACTCCTGACCCTGATCGACCCCACCCACAGCCTGCTGACGATGAACTTGGGCCTGCTCCACCTGCGCCTGCGCCTGTAGTCCAGGAGGGGCGTGATCCTATCCGTGATCGCAAATGGCTACAAGATCGCGGAACCCAAGTGGTGGAATGGATTGATAATCCCGATTCTCCAGACTGTTTTGTAAACGATTCCTTCCTGACCCTTCAACAACTCTCAGAATATCCAGATGCAGCTTTTTCTAGCGTCGGACCCCCAGATGATGCATATGCGACCTACTTCGCTTGGGCCACTGAGCCGGCTGAATGGATGCATTGGGTTATTTGGTTTGGGATGGATAGCTGGAGCGGCATGACTGCTAATGGAGTGATTGTCATGGGAAGTATTAGCCGCACAGAAAACTCGGACCATCCTTTTACTTCAGATATTGCTTTAGCGCTTTATGCAAATCAATTTGAGTCTACGGATTCTCTTCGGCATATATTGTTTGATGGGGTTGTTAATGCTCAGACTAGGAGTCTTGTCGCTCAGCATTTGTACCGTGACGAAGATCAGCTTGGTGAAGATATTCGTCAGTGGGAGCATGGTTCACAGGAGTATTTCGAGCTTATGGGAACTCGCATTGGACGCGTCGCTGCGTATACTGTTCTTAGTGCCTTCCCGCGTGGAAGTCATCGTATTAGTAGGATTGTTACCGACTTTGAACCTGGTGCTCTTTCTGTTGATATACGCTTTGATATTGAGGCTGTCTCAAATTACTATGATACTGGGCCTGTTAGTCCACTGCCGGTGGATACTAGTATCTGAGGTCAACTGGATTTTCACTCTTGCATCTTGTGGATATCCATGCAGCATTGGTTCAAATGTTGGATTGATACATAGAACGGCCCAAAGGAGTTTATGGGGCTACTATTGTTTTAAACTTGAAGTTTTGAATTGCTGAATATATTGATATATATGAATTGTAACAAACAATTGAATAACATTGATTGTGTCTACCATTACTAGTATGTAAACATTTGAAGCTTTAATGCGTAAAATTCGAATCTATCAATTGCACATGTGATCCATGTAGTATGTAGATGATCAGGTACCTAGGTATGTATAACTTTATGAAGTAGACTCGGACAATCCATTCCCAGGTATATGGAAGTCTCTAGCTAGACGTGACTTCCACAGCTCTTCCCATTCTCCGTACGTGAACACCCCTGAGGACAGGGATAAGAAGGATCATACTGCCACAGAAAATAAGGATCTGTCTCATTTGTAAGAACATTCCCAATCAATCGAGATGAATAAGGAAGATCAAAGGAGGCCTCGAAGACATCTATCGATGCGATACGGATCTGACCCCATCCTTTCTCGGTAAGTTTTGATATCGATGTTCCGTAAATATATTCTCGGAATCCGGCCCACCGGATTGCGGATGCACACTGCATACTAATAGTCAGCGCAAGTAATGACATGTATAATTCAAGAAGAGTGATTCATTCTTACCATTGGACAACTTTCGGCATTCGTATATAAAGATAGATCGGCAAATGCGGCTTCTGCTTCGGTAGCTGTGAGGCGAAAAGTCCCGTTGGGATCGGTAAGAATATTCGTGCAATTTGTAATCGCGGCAATTTCCCCTATTATGGCTTTAGTAAATCGTAGACTTGAGAGATAAAGTGATGTAGTGTGTTTTGACCATGTGAAGACGGATTCCCTGTTTTGCTATTTTCATTGACACCCATGCAAATAAGCTCGCCAACATCGGAATCAGTGTGGTTCACTATCACGGTTCCAAAGGCTGCAAAGGGACATGGTGATCCGCTCAGTTCTCCCAATGCCTGATTTGCCAGACGCATCCAATGAGCTCGGGTTTCGAATGTTACTCCATTTACCATGAGTGGTTGCTCAGCCAGTACTTCTTGTATCCCTGTGCTTGATGACACTGGTAGATAAGCGGAGAGGAGGGCAAGTAGGTAACCTGATATTAGCCTCATTTTGATATTTTTACTCGGCAGAAGATATATGGAACAGGAGCTAATAGACGATAGAAGCTCTTTATATACCTTCGAATCTGATGTTGACATGCGGGGAACCCCGAGGTTTCGGTGTTTGTGAGAGGTATGATAGATTGTGGTGATTCGGCCGCAGTCGGCCGAGCAACGGGGTCAACTGGTGTATCTTTTGATTGACGATCACCTATAGTGCACCGGCACCAAGTCAAACTCCGATAGCGGGATTTGAGATACGACTTATATGCCTCATAGCAATGAACAAGAGAGTCAACTCTGTTATGTTGTATTGATTCTTAGAAAGCTGAATATTTCATAGCGGTGTGATATACAGCACAATGAAACAGCAAAAAAGCCCACACGCCACATTATGTTGAACTTTTGGTCTCCAGAAGATGATCACCTCTCGCAGTTGAAGAAGCGATGAGGTATAAAAGTGGTTCGTCTCACATGATCGGAATCAACAAAAGAAAAGATAAAATAAAACAAATAGAAATTACCAAAACCCGAATGTCCCTAAGGTTGAAAAAGCAGACCTGTATATAAACCCCAAATAACGCACCATATGATATTTTCGATCTCCCAACGCTTTCATAGTTGATGTTGAACTCGCGAGATCTCTGCATCTCTCTTCGTAACTGTCATATCTAACAATAAACTTCATCCCCTTTCTAGTGTGGTATTGTTGGAAACCACTTAGACGGGCAGGGGGTAGGTGCTGGCCCAGGCAGCAATCTCCTTGCGGAGCTCCAGGATCTCGGGAACAGTGTCAGAGGCAACCTTGGCCTTGAAGTCCTTGAGCTTGTTAGCCTCCTTGGGAAGCTCGCTCTGGACCTTCTTGCAGAGGTTGATGGTCTGGTCAATGTAGCGGGCAATGCGCTTGAAGTCCTCCTCGCTCATACCACGAGTGGTCATAGCGGGGGCACCAATACGGATACCACAGGGGGTAAGGGCAGACTTGTCACCGGGGATGGAGTTCTTGTTGCAGGCAATGTTGATCTGCTCGAGAACGGCCTCAACACGGGCACCGTCCAGGCTCTTGGGGCGCAGGTCCAGGAGGACCATGTGGCTGTCAGTGCCGTCAGAGACGAGCTTGTGGCCGAGAGCCTTGAACTCGTTCTCAATAGACTTGGCGTTCTTGATGACCTGCTCCTGGTACTGCTTGAACTCAGGAGTGTCAACCTGCTTAAGGGCAACAGCCAGAGCAGTGATGGTGTGGTTGTGGGGGCCACCCTGGTGACCGGGGAAGACGGAGAAGTTGATGGGGTTCTCCAGGTCGTACAGGATCTCCTTGCCGGCCTTGTCGTGGCTGCGGACACCACGGCGGAAGAAGATCATGGCACCACGGGGACCACGCAGGGACTTGTGGGTGGTGGTGGTGACAACATCGGCGTACTCGAAGGGAGAGGGGATGACACCAGCGGCGATGAGACCAGAGATGTGAGCCATATCAACGATGAGGTAGGCACCGACCTTGTCGGCGATCTGGCGCATGCGCTTGTAGTCAATCAGACGGCAGTAGGCGGAGGTACCGGCAACGAGACACTTGGGGCGGTACATCTCGGCATTCTTCTCCAGGGTGTCGTAGTCAATGATACCGGTCTCAAGGTCAACACGGTAGGGGAAGGTCTCGAAGTAAGTAGAGACAGCAGAGATCCTGTGGATATTTGGTTAGTATTAATGCAACTTTTTTAACTGGATTCTTGGATTCTTCATGGTACTCACTTCTTGGCGGGGGTCTGGTAACCGTGAGACAAGTGACCACCGTGGGGCAGGTCAAGACCCATAAGACGGTCGTGGGGGCGCATCAGAGCCTGGTAAACCTGCAGGTTGGCAGGGCTACCACTGAGGCACTGGACGTTGACACCCCACTTGGCGGGGTCAAGGTTGAAAGCCTTGAGAGCACGGTTCTGGCAAGTGATCTCAATGGCATCGATGTGCTGGTTACCACCGTAGTAACGAGCACCGGGGTAACCCTCAGAGTACTTGTTGGACATGGGGGTACCCAGAGCCTCGAAGACAGCGTGGGAGGTGAAGTTCTCAGAGGCAATCAGAACGACTGACTCACGCTGACGCTGGATCTCACGCTCCTATAGATGATATGTCCATTAGTCCCAATTCACATTGCAAAGTAGCTTGAAGATGCTTCAATTGCCACGAGAAGCTCTTGGATGATTTGATACATACCATGATGGCGGCGATCTCAGGGTCACTCTCCTTGAGACCATCGTGCATTTGCTGTATATAGTCATGAGTCACAGATTCAATACCGAATTCGATTCATCATAAGAAGGTACTCACAGCCCGGTGGGCGTCAGACAAAGCGTAAGACATTGTGAAGGGGAAGGAATTGGATACAAAAATTGAAGAAGTATGGAGAAGAAAGAAAGAAAAGGGAAAGAGGGAAGCTTATTATAACGCGGGTGAGAGAAAAAAATGGTGGTGGGGTTCGAGGGGTGGAGGGATCGACGGGCCTCAGGCAGAAAATGTAAGACGATATCGGAGACTTTGACCGGATCGGGTTGGGACCTAGTACCAACCTTGGAAGCTTTGTATAGAGCCAATTAACTTGATGGTAATTGATATTAGGTCTTTTTATTAAAATAAGGAAATGTTTCACTATATAACTTACTCTAGACTGAAAAGGCGCCGAATTATTATCTTATTTCTACTCCGCATACGGATCAATACCGGCGTTTTACGTTTTAACCTTGGAGGCGAATTTGCAGGGGAGAAAAAAGAAATGAGGGATAAAAAGCCAAGAAAAAAACAAATCCAAGCTATTGGGTATTCCTGTCCATAAACACCGTAGGCAATATGCACCTAAATAGGAAAAGAAAATAACTCAACGCTGCACGAATTATTGATATGTACGAAGTACTATGTACTCCGTACGCGGGCCCAATATTTTTGGCATTCTGGGGAATTGCCACTATTCTCATGCAAAAGAATTGGCGGGTGGGGAAGGACTATGACCACCTTGGGGACGGCCATATAGATGTCGAATCTCCTCTAGGCCAGTGCTGCAAGGCGTTTCAAGTCTGAGATGACAAATTCGAGCCGGGACACTTGGTCCTGAAGCTCAGCAATCTCTTCTTCTTGTTCTTCCACTGACCGGTCGATATCCGGGAGTCCCTCCACCACTGCTCGTGCCTTTTGGATCCGGATCTTCACAGAACTGGTCTCGGTTGGAAGATCCTTTACATCGAGAGGTGGGTGGGCATTAGGATCGAGAGGAACTCCAGGTACAGCTTGTGATGATGAACCGCCGTTGGTTCCATTGCTAGCAAGATTGGCAGATGATTGCTGATCTTGTTGATGTCCTTTACTGGATGTCCCTGGAGCACCAGAGGCTTCTCCAGCACCTGAAACGCCATTCGAGGCTCCCTGATGTGATAATAATCGAAGAAGTGTGCCGTGGAGAGGTGGGATTATCTCAAATGTTTGTGGTGAGGGAAACGGCACGGTTTGAGGAGACGCGGTCGCGTCTTTGGAAGGACTCTCGGGCGCGACAGAGGACTTCGGCAGCGGAGTAGCTGCAGTCGGAGATCTAGAAGCCATTGTGATGGGTAATTCCAGGGCAAGATCGGAACCCGGGTAATATTGTAAGGGCCCGTGAAGAAAAACCAGTCAAATTGAGCCGAGACTGGGGTAAGTGTTTAGGGAAGAGTCGGAACGGCACGGTGACGTCGCGGGAGGACTAAAAGCGTCACCGGGAAATGCCCCTCCTTCACCGGCCGGCTACTTTGTGTCTTGTCTCTACGAATCCCCAGATTCTCTCCTCTTTTCAAACCATCTGGAAAGGTAAGTAACTGTTGATATTCAATTTCAGGGAGGAATACATCCTTAGTTCAGCCATTGATCTCGTTTTTAGGTGTGATTATCATACAATAGCTCCACCCCCACCATGGCTGACCAAAAAGTCGCTTTAAGTATGATCAACATGGCCACTTAGGTCCCCAAAATGTTTCGCATGTAATGCTAACGCAATTCTGCAGTTGTCATTGACGGCTGGGGTATCGCCGGTCCCGACTCCCCCGCGAACGGTGATGCTATTGCCGCTGCCGAGACCCCTTATATGTCCGGCTTCGCCGAGGCCAACTCCAAGACCGCTCAGGGTTTCACCGAGCTCGATGCCTCATCACTGGCTGTCGGTCTCCCTGAGGGACTGATGGGAAACAGTGAAGTCGGTCACCTGAACATTGGTGCTGGCCGTGTTGTCTGGCAGGACAGTGTCCGCATTGATCAGACCCTCAAGAAGGGCGAGCTGAACAAGGTGGACAGTGTTGTCAAGGCTTTCACTCGCGCCAAGGAGGGCAATGGCCGTCTGCACCTGGCTGGTCTGGTTTCTGACGGTGGTGTTCACTCTAACATCACCCACCTGTTTGCTCTGCTCGATGTTGCCAAGGAGTTCCAGATCCCCAAGGTCTACATCCACTTCTTCGCTGATGGTCGTGATACCGACCCCAAGAGCGCTACCATCTACATGGAACAGCTTCTGACTAAGACCAAGGAGATTGGTCTTGGTGAGATCGCTACCGTTGTTGGCCGTTACTACATCATGGACCGTGACAAGCGCTGGGAGCGTGTCGAGGTCGGCCTCAAGGGTCTGGTTACCGGTGAGGGCGAAGATAGCTCCGACCCTCTCCAGACCATCAAGGAACGCTATGAGAAGAAGGAGAACGATGAGTTCCTGAAGCCTATCATTGTTGGCGGAAAGGAGCGCCGCATCCAAGGTTTGACATCCCACATCCCAGGAACCAAAAGATTATGTTCTGACCTTTTAAACTCTAGATGACGACACTATCTTCTTCTTCAACTACCGCTCAGATCGTGTTCGTGAGATTACCCAGCTTCTGGGCGACTACGACCGTTCCCCCCGCCCCGATTTCCCATACCCTAAGAACATCTCCCTCACCACCATGACCCAGTACAAGACCGACTACACCTTTCCCATTGCCTTCCCCCCCTCAACATATGGGTAACGTCCTGTCTGAGTGGCTGGGCAAGAAGAACCTCCAGCAATGCCACATTGCTGAGACTGAGAAGTACGCACACGTTACTTTCTTCTTCAACGGTGGTGTTGAGAAGCAGTTCCCCGGCGAAGTCCGCGATATGATCCCTTCGCCTAAGGTTGCCACCTACGACCTTGATCCCAAGATGAGCGCCGCCGCTGTCGGTACTAAGATGGCTGAACGTATTGCCGAGGGCAAGTTTGACTTGGTCATGAACAACTTCGCTCCTCCCGACATGGTTGGTCACACTGGTGTTTACGAGGCTGCCATCGAGGGTGTTACTGCCACCGACAAGGCCATCGGTGAGATCTACGAGGCTTGCAAGAAGAACAACTACATTCTCTTCATCACTGCCGATCACGGGTAAGTTTATAATACATACATTAAACTATGCACAGCGCTGATTTTTATTTTCCAACAGAAATGCCGAGGAGATGCTCAACGAGAAGGGTACTCCCAAGACCTCCCACACCCTTAACAAGGTTCCTTTCGTTATGGCCAACGCCCCTGAGGGCTGGAGCCTCGCAAAGGCCGACGGTGTCCTTGGTGACGTTGCCCCTACCATCCTTGCTGCCATGGGTGTCGAGCAGCCCGCTGAGATGACCGGCAAGAACCTGCTGGTCAAGTCATAGATAGAACATATTTTCTCACATAGACATCTGCTTATGAAAATGATCAATGAATAAATAATTTGGAATGACACAGATCTCAGATGTGTACCTTGGAGGAGTTGAATAGAGTATGAATCAAGTACATATAAAAGTCCATTTGAAGTGCACTATTTACTAATTTTTAAATATCTCAAGAGTACAAGGATAGAAACAAGTTTACATACGATATGTATTTAATTTTTTGTTTTCCTTTTGATTTAGACAAAATTTCATTGGGTATAATTCTTTTTCTGGCAAGTCACGGCCTACCAATTTCGTGCATCATAGAGACAAGATGGAAGATCAAATCTTAGAGGATAAAAGCCACGCTTGAACAAAAATGTCAGACACAAGGAGATGGCGCTTTCCTGATATTCTGTCTCACTTTGAATATCCAAGTTGCAATGGTGCTGGCCCACAGCGAACGGTATCATCCAACTCGATTTGTCCATAATCACCACATAGTATATGCCGCGGCATCCATCTTCGTCTGAGAAGCGGTTGCTGAATATTTAGCTTAAGCGGAAGCGGCAGCAGCTTGTTGCTGCTGTTGGATCTGGGATTGGAATTGCATAATCTAGACATTCAACATCAGTATATGGCCATCGCAAAAAATGTGGTTTGATCCTACCTCGCCACGCTTCTCCTCACTCTTGTCCTGCTTCTCCTCGATTTCTGTCTCAATACGCTTACTGCAAGGCATGCGTCAGTCATAGTCACCCTAAATCAAGATCAGGCACACGAACATCTCCTTCTCAATGAATTCCAACCGGGAATTGACTGCCATGACAGCCTCGGTCTTCTCCTGCTTCAATAAAACAGGTCCAACCATCTTGTAGATATTGGAATCATCGTCTAATTGGGCGAATTCGCTCTTAACGCCTTGGTTCTCTTGCTGCTGCGACTCGAGCTTCTGGCGCGCATCGACAAGACCCTCGAGCTCTACCACAAACAATTAGCTATCACTTCCCGTGGCATATAAATTGTGCTTATATTATTTACCAGTCTGCAGCTGCTGGAACTCATCAGTGAGTGCCTGGTACCTTTTTTGGGCGTCCATGACGAAGATTGGCGGGGATGTGGGAGGAGGGAAAACCGATCGACGTCTGCCCGCCCGTCAACAACCTCCCTTCCCCCTCTTAACTCCAACTCCAGTCACCCTCCACTATCCGCACAAGACCTGTGAATTCCTCCCCCCAAACGCCTTCTCATACCTTTAATATCTACCCTAAATCCTGCCATACTCTTCGATTTCGTCTCCGAATCTTGTTTTCAAGTCGCTGCCTACAACAAACAACGCCCTTCTTGCATCCTCGCTATATCCCCGCTTTAACCGCTCCGCGGTCAATTTCACACGCCACCCGAATCGTGACGAAAAGGTCCAGAAAGAAGATTCGCCAGTATGAGTAACACGGATTTTCTGGGGCGGGCGATTGATACGGTCAAGAAGGCTATCGAAAATGACAACGATGGCGAGTACGAGAAGGCGTATCAGCTGTACTACTCCGCATTGGAGCTGTTCATGCTGGCCTTGAAATGGGAGAAGAATCCTCGGTCCAAGGAAATGATTCGTGCGAAGACCGGCGAGTATATGGATCGTGCGGAGAAGCTCAAGAATCACTTGGCTTCTGATGAAGGGCGGAAAAAACCGAGTGCGGTGGGTGCGAATGGGAAGGTAGCGCAAGGAAGTGGGAAAGGGTAAGAAGATTGCGTTCTATGAGCTCTTATTAAGCTTTTCTATTTGAAATGGCCTGGAATTTCATATTCCATGCTGTTATGGACCTCCTTGTAGATGAATACGGCACTGACGAGTTACGGTGGAATAGGAAGGAAGATGACGATAACGGCGAAGATGCAGAATCAAAAAAGCTGCGGTCTGCCCTCCAGGGTGCTATTCTCTCCGACAAGCCCAATGTCAAGTGGGAAGATGTTGCTGGTTTAGAGAACGCGAAAGAAGCATTGAAAGAGGCTGTCATCCTTCCTATCAAATTCCCGCATCTTTTCACAGGCAAGCGGCAACCGTGGAAGGGAATTCTGCTTTATGGTCCCCCTGGTACCGGTAAATCCCACCTTGCCAAGGCCGTTGCGACAGAGGCGAACAGCACATTCTTCAGTGTTAGCAGTAGTGACTTGGTATCGAAGTGGATGGGTGAAAGCGAACGGTATGCGACTATATTTTACACTGCAGCTTCAAGTTGTTTCAGCTGAACATGGAGCTAACATTTTCCCAGTCTTGTCAAGCAACTCTTCAATATGGCCCGTGAGAACAAGCCCGCAATTATCTTCATTGATGAAGTCGATGCGCTATGTGGACCTCGTGGCGAAGGCGAATCCGAAGCATCTCGGCGTATCAAGACCGAGCTCCTTGTACAAATGGATGGTGTTGGCAAGGATTCCAAGGGAGTTCTGATCTTGGGCGCAACAAATATTCCCTGGCAATTGGATGCCGCCATTCGACGACGATTCCAGCGCCGAGTGCACATCAGTTTGCCCGATATCAATGCACGAATGAAGATGTTCATGTTGGCTGTGGGCTCTACACCATGCCAAATGACCCAGGCCGACTACCGAACATTAGCTGAAATGAGTGAGGGATACTCAGGTAGTGATATCAGTATTGCTGTTCAGGATGCCCTGATGCAACCCATTCGCAAGATTCAAACAGCCACCCATTACAAGAAGGTAAGCCATTCTTGCCCCAACTACTAGTTATACGTTCTCTGACTAATTCTGCTTCAGGTCGTGGTTGATGGAGGTGAGAAGCTCACTCCCTGCTCACCGGGTGATGCCGGCGCAACGGAAATGTCCTGGCTTGATGTAGACGCGGAGCAACTCCTTGAGCCCCCGCTTATTCTGAAGGACTTCATCAAAGCAGTCCACAATTCCAGACCTACAGTCAGTCAAGAGGATCTAACAAGAAACTCAGAATGGACTCAAGAGTTTGGCAGCGAGGGAGCGTAACCGACAGCCTCGCAGACCGTCTTATGCTTCTCGGTTCATCTCCCTTTTTATTATCTGGAAGAGTGCTTACTCCCAGAGAGACGGGGCTACTTTGAGATGAATGCTTCAGATGCCTCCGCTTCCTCGCATCTTATCCGTGATTGGGTTTCTCTTGGCTCATTTCAATATTTGGCCACAATGCTCGATTTTTGCTAGGGGTTAAAGAACCAGGTGTTTAGTAAACGGCAGTGACTTTTTTATTTTGTTTCTATTTTGTGTCCAGTACTTTCGGCAATGGCGAGGCGTTTATTGAGCAAATATCCATGTGTTTTCTGATTTGATTCTGGAGGATCTTCTGTCCAAAGCCCTCACGAAGAAGCTATGATACATACACATACTACAGACCCTCGATTCTTGATCTTCTTTCAGTGGGCTACAGTGTCTTATTGACTAAACTACTGCCTACTAGGTGCGTCTTCCGAGCTACCATTCATCGGCCCGAAGATGATTGGCATACAACTTGAGTAAATCTAAGACTAGTATTGTGCTTAGTTGGTGATAAAAGCCGTCCTGGAGCTCTTCAATGTTGTGCCCAGTATTGGTAATACGATAAGAGAGCCCAAGACTAAATGAAAAGAAAATTTGAACGATCTGAAAGCTCTGAAGAGGGTATTAGAATCATCAAGATTTGAAATACTCGCATTCGAACTTGAAGTACTACGTAGTAGTTGGAGGATACTACTTATGCATCATGTCGCCTCGCTGTACTTCCGAGTCCCTCCCATCCCTCAAGTGCTACATGTATTAGTCCCCCTCCGAGTCTAATATTTTTGAACCTACAGGCAGCAAGAGCACTCAAGTGATTTGTGTGGAATCATAGTACTTTGGCCTCAGACTTGTAAATGATAGTGTACAGGCCTGGAGAGTGACCTCGGGACTCATATCTGTACTACTCAGCTTTATGCCTTGTACCCGTGGACACATTCTATCTGTGTATGGATTCCGAGCCCAAACATTTGAAGAATATATAAGATTATATAAACATTAAATTGATTAAATAATAGCGGCACTTGACTTTTCCAGCAGGCAGTCCGCGCAAGCCACTGCATTCGCACCAAGACACAGGGAAAAACTGCATGAGAATGACGGAAAAACCTGCATCGAAGACTAACAGGAGCGCCTGAGCGAGAGCGAACACTGCATCTATTCCAACAAAGAGCCAATCAAGGGAACACCGCGGAAAGCACAGAAACCGTTCAGAACTCCGGCCAGGCCACCGAACATACCACCTCGGTGGTACTCTTCCGCGTTGTTCCAGAGACATTCGAAGAGGGTGCAGGTGGTTTCGCTGTCGTCCTTGCCGTTGTCGACCATCTTCAGGGCCTTCTTGGTGCAGTCGTACCAGTCGTCAGCTTCGCTTTGGGTGACTCGTGTGCCGACGGCAGCGGTGGCCAGAACTGCGAGGGAGATCAGGGAGAGCTTCATTTTCTGTGGAAGATAAGATGGTTAGAAACGAAAGTTAGGAGTTATTGAAGCCTGTGGGCAACTGCTAACGAGTCTGGGAGGTATTTTTGAGACTGATCATAGTAGATAGAGGAGTGGTTGATATCACGGTGCTTCAAGTTGATGCTTGTCTGAGGCTGTTGGCAGAGGATGGTCGGGTTTATAAAGGCATTTCACTTCAAATTCTATTCCAAGGTTCTGAAGTTCTAACATTCGAATTCAGTGTTACAAATTGTTTTGTACATCATGTTCTTGTTTGTAGATCTGAGAGTTGTACGCATCATGGAAATTAGCTTGTTGAGAGGCTTCAATGCAACGACTTCAGGAGTTTCACGGCTATGCATTGAGGAATCTTCATGACGACGCCAATAGTATGACCCGTGGAATCTGTATCAAAATCAACAGAGTCCTGCATTCAGCTAGTATCTAGAACGAGCTTTACCTTCCATTAAGATCCAATGGACCTTGAATAGGATTCCAGAAACTTTGAACTCCCCGAAACACCATATTGTGGTTAAGACGTATGGATCGAAATCGAGCTTGACCCATGTTTCTGCGTCCTTAGGTAGAGATGCTTAGCTGTAGTAGAATTTGGGTCCAATATAGACACCACTTTTAGTTAATTACCTTGTTGATCCTACTGGAACGTAGTATGACTCGCCAAGGTGACGACAGAGGTTGAAGACGAAGGGCTCCAAGCCCGAGAGGTAATCTACTATGATGAAGGGGGATTGTCCACATCCAGTACGAATACCTAGTTGTTTCTCGCTACATTTCAATAGAGGTCTACATGCAGATGATAGAGTACTAGTGATACAGAATGCTTGTTGGATTGTAGCAATGAAATTGCACATGTAGTATCCGCAAGCCCTAGAATATAAGGAGCGGCATCCTCGGATCTGATCGCTCTTCAGCCAGCCACCGTCCTGGGTCCACATAGTGGAAAATTCTAATTATTCAAGTTATTACCTAGAAGATATTACTTTTGGTAGAATGATCACTGTTAATAGGGACAGATAGACTATCTCCTCGGAACTACACATAGTGGAACTTAAACTTGAAGGTTCAATTTTGCGAGCAGAGATCGCCTCATTCTGCGATTCAATACAACATCAATCCTGCCCAGAGATACCTTTTACTGTTTTTGTGAGTAAAAAGGCGAACTATATTGAAGGTTTCAAGTAATGAAGTTCAAGTTTTCACGCTAAAGGGTCGGCTCGCAGTGGAATGGAGCTGCCGGGGAGATCCTGTCCCAGATGTCGGTGGGTCATATATCCCTTGTATCACATGGTTAACGAATCAAAAAAGGCATTCCAGCCCTGGCAGTAAACTTCCAGGGTTGAAAACTTGAACCTATGATTACTACTAGTATTTTCGAGCTTACTTCATGCACGTGTGGGTAATTGTACTCCTCCCCGGAGCCCTGAGAGGAAAAGAGCCCTGGAACATGCCAGTGATATTTCCTCTCATCAATGACAACATTGACTACCAGAGACTGCCCAGGTGTAGCAGCTTCCAGATGATCTATGGAATTCCCAAATTCGGTATGTACAATGACCTCCACATCTAAAAGTTAAAAGTGATGCTGCATATCACTGGTCACTTTAATCTATGAGACTACTATGCAATGAACCGCAACCGGGAATTAACCACTGACCCAGGATACAAAGGTACTGGGAGCACTTGAGGTCTCGAATTATCTAAATCTTGCATCATTTAGTATCTTCAAATTTTAATTGATTTCCAAGGTTACCTCTAATCTAACGTCGTGACCCAGGTGTACACACGTGCATGTCTTTGTTACATCAAACCTAGTCCACTTCAACTTGAACTTCCTATGCCCAGACATCATGCTGCACGCTACTAGCAGGTGAATATCAAAGAATCTTGAACTCAATGGATGTTGAAGAATCTGGATACATCCCCACCGGGCGATGATAGGCTCTATTCCTTTGAAAAGGGACAATCGATGATGAAACAATTACTCGACGAGAAATCTTGCACGGCACGATAGATCCGATGACAGCACAGGAGTGTTGGACTCGAGTTTTACTAGCAGTATGTAGTAGAGCCGGATTAACTCCATCAGCCACTGAAGCCGGAGGACTCCAGATGTCGGAAACATATAAGTATTAGTGGTAGTATCCGCTCAAATCTGAATACGATCACAACTTGAACCTGAACTTGACTATCTGTCTTTCAAGGTTACCTTTGACTCAACATTTGAATCACTTCTTCCTACCTTGCACCCAAAATGCTGGGATCTAACCCAGTTTCGGGGCTGCTGCTAGCGTCCCTGGTCCTCTATGCACCTCTCGCTGCCAGCCGCGGCGCATATGATGACGCAGCTTCTGTTCAAAACACCAATATCGGTGATGGCGCTGCCACCGAAATCAATGGAAGGTAAGCTGATTCCATTCGAATGTACCAAGTGTACGCATAATGTTTGAAGAGTATCCTCTTACGATAATGTAGTGGTCGATACTGCCACTGGTTTTGCTATTCTACTGAAGACGGTGGTGTCGGGGGCTCAAAGTCCAGTGGCGGTAGCAAATCGCAAGCCAGTGGTAGCGATGACTGGGATCAAAAGGCGCCTGGTGGTAGCGGCTCTCGCGATGGTACCACTGGAGGCTATGGAAATCCTGCTATGTACGACGGCTCCAAGCCTAAGGGTGGCTATGGCAGCGGCGGCGATTCCTGGGATAGAAAGAATCCTGGCGGTGGTGGCTCTGGAGGAGCCCAGTATGCCTTCGGCGGCGACAACGTGTCGACTGGTAGTGAAGGCAAGTACTGCGGTTGTGGTGCACCTATTCCTGGTTGAATCATGCATCCAATCTCTATGTTTCGAAGGTTGGGGGTGGGTCGAAGGGAGATTCGGACTCGGATCGTAATGGCTCTAGACCGCATTTTAGGTCTTAGAGTATCTGTTCAAAAGCATGGATGTAATTGAGTTTCACTATGTAACGCTTGATTCTTAATGCTTCAAATTTTCAATTTGACAAAAATTGGCTCCCGTGAATTGACAGTTGAAGTTCAGATTCTAAGGTTTTGGCTAGAAGCTTTTAAGCGGCGGAACGGCCCGAGCGGATATCCGTGAGCACGGGTCATGCGCCTGGAGATAACCTCCAGAGGCTTATTAGTTGATACATACCTGAGAAGAAAGACCCTTGGAATGTGAGAATGTTGAAGTACTGGATCCAGGCATTGTACTCCATATACCCGTATTAAAATTTTTGGATGCACTAACAAATTACCTAGGTTGGATTTTAAATAGTATGGTTTTGATATTTGGATAAAGTACTCCGTACAGGTAGGGTTAAAAACAAAAGCACTTGAAGGGGTTTTATCAACAACCTTGGAAGGTTAAAGGTAGTGGAGAAGACAGAATAAGAAAGAAATGAAGGGAGCAGGGATCGAACCGCGGACTTCCAGATTTCGCGATGCTTGTGTCAAGTGAGGCTTCAAAATGAGAAGACGATGCCAGCTTCAACTTTCAAAAAATCATAACAAATCCAATAAAATAGATAAAAATATGAAAATGATATCAAAAGAAAGAGCAAAAAAGAAAAAGGCTCCGCAGAAATCTTTCACATAGTCCGCTGCATGCTTTCTCACGGTGGTGTTCCACTTAGGCAAGTCTCACGCTCGCTGATGCTACTTGACAACCCTCAGTCCCAGCATTCTAGTCTTATGGTATCATAGTGTCAAATCACATCGGGACAGACACGATAGCCCGCTGAGCTACTACGATGCGGATGGTTATCTTGACTCCCAAATTTACCCCTATAACTGAGAACCCATATCAACACCAGGATTTACAGGCACCCACCACCAGTTCATTAACTATTTCTAACTACTAAGCCGCCTACCACTTTTAATTTCTCTACTCATAGGCACTCTCTTGTTTTTCTACTACCATAAAGTTAAGTTAATTTTATTTCCAGCTACCTGTCTATGAAAATCGATGCCTTTTCAAGGTTGAAAGGAATTCTAGGGGGAGAACCCCAGAATGCATATGTTGTACAACTATTATCAGCGATCCTGGCATGAACAACTTCAAGTTAAATGCTCGATGCTAATTTCTAGTTTGGTATAGTATCTGGAAATTGAATATTCAAGCTCTTATACATAGTGAGGCCGGCCAAATATACTGATTATGTTACGATGGTTTCGAGATTAGGAGAACTCATACCACCTGCAGATGCATAGGTAAGCCCAGGAGAGTCCATACAGCTACATGCTAGCTTGCATATGATGTGGAAGCACAAGGACACACGTTGGAGATTCTTCAAGACAACTTATGTTTTGAGGAGTACTGAAACATTCAAATCTCATTTGATTCGCGCCAAAATGACTATGCTCGGCAATGCCAGAATCCCAGTACAATGATAACATCAAGTCCCATCACTTGGATCAGAGTATGGCCCAAAAACGCCCAAAGCAGAAAAACAGTACAAAGAAATTCAAGACAGAAAAGGAAAAACCAAGTGTATACATGACATGTCGGGGAATCTCTCGTGGCAGGGGGTTAATGTGAATGACGCTGGAAATAAAGAAGCCATAATAAACAAGATAGACAAATCAATCATTCTATGCACCGAGTATACTCTTGCTTGAGCTTTCGCGACGCTTGAGCATCTCACTCTTAGCTCGCTTCAAGCCTTCGCCAAGCTTCTTGGTCTTTCGCCATTCTTGCCCCATCTTTTTCATGCGAGTGGCGGCGATTACCAAGGAGATTGCTGTGCGGAATTTGCCAAGTGGTGTTCGGGTTGGATTACGATCACGAGCTCGGACACCCATTTCGTTGATCATGCGGAGATCAGCTTCGTTACTAAATTTCGATTCTCGTTAGTTGATATGCTCATCACTCGAGTTAGTAGGGCGAAAAGATTAACGAACCATGCTACACGAACGCGTTCACCAAGTTCCATAAGACCCTTACTCCAAGCAAGGTCACGACGGAACTTCTCCTCGCGTTGTAGACGGGCACGAAGCCAGATAATCTCTTTGCCGAGACCACGGATCTCTTTCTCGTGTCGGCTCTTGTTGGTTGATTTGCCTTGTGACACTCTCTCGAGCTCGACGTAGCGCTGTTGTAATGTCTCCAGATCTTTTAGTGCTGCCTCGGCTTTGCGGACACAAAAAGCGCGCTCTTCACGGATGCGACGAACTTGAGCCTTAAGCTCATTCAAACGCGAGTCCCGCTCCGAGACCTTCAATGCGAGGGCTTCGGCTTCCAGAGTAGATGACTTCAGCAATTCATGTAAATCTTTCTGATCCTCCTCTTTCATGGCCGCACGCTCCAAGTCACGGTTCTTCACCTTCACTTCCTTGAGAGACCGGTGAGCCTCGGAGAGCTGCTTGCGGAGGTTCCTTAATTCTTCATGAAGCTTATTAGATGGCGAGTTTTGCAGGGAATTAGAATCCAATTTGTTCATCATAGCATCGTGAAGGTCTTTTTCGAGGTCGGAGATCCGCGATTTCAAGTTACGTGTAGAGCTCTTGTATTCAACTTCACGTTGTTGAAGAGACTTTTCGCGCTTGCGGGCGTCTTCGAGGCTATGACGAAGGACAGAAAGATCACCGTGGATAGCTGATGGCTCCTGTTCAGCAGCAGGTTGCTGAGAAATAATGCTTTCCAGTTCCTGTATGCGACGTTCGAGTCGTTGCACTTTTGTCTTTGCTGAAGTGAGTTCCCTGTCCCTGTTGCCCGAGCCAGCCAGCAGCTTGTCGTGAAGACGGTCGATTTCAGCTGATAGACGGCTCTCCTCTTCTGTTGCACGTTCAATTTCTGAACCGAGCTGGGTTTCAAGGGTTTCTTTTGCTTCCATCAAGGCCGCCTTGTCGTCCCGGAGACGTTTCAATTCATTATCTAAGCGGGTTGTCGTCTTTCGAAGCTCCAGTTTCTCGCGATCAAATCGAGTGGTGTCATCGCCAGTCTGCGCTCTTTCAATCTGAGCTTGGAATTCGTCTCGCTCAGTCTCCATTTCAACCATAGACGTTCGCAGATCATGCAATTCAACATGGGCATTGGCAAGCTGGTCACGGAGAGTTTGTCTATCAGCAATAGCTTTCTGCAATTGAGTATCAACGTCAGGCGATCCCTTCAGGGATCGACCCTTGGCATATTGTTGCTCATCTGCCAAGCTAGACTGCAAGACCACCACTTCATCCTCCAAGGCTTGGATCTTTTCTTGAAGAGAGTGCTCCTCACGTCGAGAGATTCGAAGCTCCTCTCGCACAGTGAGAAGGTCACTGCGCTGTTCATCAACAATATTCCTCTTCTGTGTGACTTCATCACTCAAATCCTTGATTTGGCGACTAAGGACAGCTTCCTCCTGGGTGTGGCGATGCTTTTCACTGTCGATAGCCTCTTGAAGTTTGAATTCTTTCCCAGAAAGAGTGTGTTCCGCTTCCTGGAGTCTCTCGATGGTTCGCTTGTAGCCCGATGCTGACTCCTCCGCTCGCTCTTTCTGGGCCTGTAATGTCCGCTTTGTACTCTCCCAGCGATCCTGTTCCAGTGCGAAAATGCCTTCTTTGTCTTCGATTTCATGCTGGAGGGTTTCGATTTCAGTTTGCAGTCGATCAACTTCCACCTTGTGTTGCCAGCGGAGGTTTTGGTTGTCTTGTGCACGGTTGGTAGACTCCTCAACGGCTTGTTGAAGTTCACGAATTCTTGACTGCGCTCGATTCAATTCACCTTGCAGACCACCTGACTCATCAGTGAGAGCATGGTGCCGAGTTTTTAGAAGCTCCTTTTCCTCGGTTCGACGCTGAACTTCTTCGAGAGCCTCCTGCAAACGAGCAGATGTTCTCTCATGCTCTTGAAGTGCCACATCTCGCTCACGTCTCGCCGATTCCAGCTCCTCGCCCAACTTGCCAGTATTGCTCCTCAGGTCTTGCTGAGTGGTCTGATAACGCTCCTCCAACTGCGATATCAATCGATCTTTACTGTCCAGCTCGGTTTGAAGTGAATCATTATCTTGTTGAAGAGCACGGATCTCCTCCTCGAGTTTCTCGCTTTTCTCTTCAAGCTGTCGACTAAGCCCCTTTGTTGTGAAGGACTTATTTGACATCTCATCCTGCAGCTCTCGGAGATCCTCCTCAGCACGATGCTTTTCGTCCACAGCCTGTCTAGCAGTGTAGGCCGCATCTTCCATATCCGCTTTTGCCTTCTCGAGGCTGTCTTGAAGCTCTTGGATCTGTTCCTTTGCGCGGTCGAATTCGGCTTGGACCTCGGCAGCGGCCTCATTCTCATTGTCCTTCTCTCTCAGCTCCTCCAGCCGTTCATCGCGCTCATCGATCATCCGATCCTTTTCTCGGACAGCTGCCTCCAAGTCCTCAACCTCATCTCGAAGCTTCTCGACTTCTTGGGATTGGCCGTCCTTGACGAGTCTCAGCTCCTCCCGCAGTTCTCGGATCTCTCTGTCGCGGGAATCGACCTCTTCGCGCATCAAATCCATCTCTTGTTGAACCTCTTCATCGGTTTGTCTCCGCCGAGATCTCTCCCTCATCTCGGCGAGCTGTTGCCGGTAGTCCTCCAGGTCGCGTTCTGCTTGGAGCAGGCTCTTTTTGTACCGAGAAATATCGCGTTGCATCGTCAACCGTAGGACTTTCAGCTCTGTATTCTCCTTGAGAGCAGCGCTGTTGTATTCCGGACCGGCTTTCTCCAGTTGTTCTTCGAGGTAGTGAATCTTGAGCTTGAGGTTCCAGTTGTCTTTGTCAAGTCGGTCGATAATCTGTAAAAGTCAGTACACGCCGGATCTCAGTCTGGGAATCAGAGGGAAGCAAACCCTCTCTTGTTCTTTCAGAGTCATGTTCTGCCCATCTCCCAAAACTCCTCCACCGTTTCGACCAAGTCCGGGAAGAGGTGTGCTCTGAACACTACTGCTGGCCGCTTGTGGAATAGGAGTCGGCTCATCAGCGGTCGCATCCTCCTCATATATATCGGACATATCGATTGTAGGTAATCCAGGAGTGTGGGCGATCCGACTCGTCTCACGCATGTAACCCGGAGTCTTCGGTCCGTCAGTTCCTCGCGCCGTTGAGGCGTGTCGGAGATAATTGTTCTTTGTCGCGCTTCTCATAAGTGGTGTGAACTCGCCCTTCGCTGGAGCTGCTGAAGGAAGGTGTCTTAACGCGCTTCGTGTCGACTTGGGGTTGTTGCTGGCGCGCGGGGTGCCGAGCTTGTTGGTATCGGGGACGCGTCTCCTCCCATTATCAAACCCTTTAATCACGTCATTATCCTTTGAAGGCGTATGAAATGAGTTTTCCACCGAATCTAGAGCTGATAAATGTGTTCGTCCCACGCTACGAAAGCCGTTGGTGAGATAAGTCGCGTTCCCGTCGATTTCGGTGCGCGGCGTGTCGATGTAGGGAAACGCCATTGTGCCGGGACCAAGTGACGGACGTGTCAGGAGCGTTCAACGCGCGACCATAACTGTCCCAGAGAATCGGGAGTAAAGTTGGGGAAAGTATTGGCAAGAACGTTGTTATGTTCACGTTGCGATGAGAGTCGAAGACTGTTGATGTCTAGCCGCTTATGGTTTAGCGTGGTCACGAGTGGGTCCAAAGTTTCGCCGCTTTTTCTTTTTTCTTGAAGGAATGCCATGAGGTCATGATCGCATTTATCTTGAACACTTCAACACTTCTTTCAGATCATGGCGACCGAGGAAGATATCGCGTGGTTTAAGTCCACTTTTCGTCCTATCCCTAAACCTGAATTGCCCGATGATTCTGTGGAGTATTTCATCTACTATCTACCCTCCCCCGCCCCGCCGTTATCGATGAAGCGGCTGAGACTAAGGGCCCGATTGCTCGAAGTGCAGCGCACTGCCGCGGAATTGACGAAAGATCTACTGAAGGGTTACATTTGGCAACGGGAAAGTTTTCGCCTTGAGATTAACAAAGATGATGGTGAGTAATTTTGGAAATCGATGATTGGTTGTTCTGTACTATATATTTTGCTAACAACTGACGATGATCTACAGGAATGTCATATCTTAGCGGTCGCACCAACTACGGTGACTCAATTGAAGACGAGTGGGTAGTTGTGTACATCCTTCGCGAATTGACAAAATGTCACAAAGATATCTGGGTCAGGGTTGTGGATAGTGATGGCGAATTCCTGCTCATCGAAGCCGCGGGCACGCTTCCTGCATGGTTGGAGCCCGAGGTCGCTGACAACAGGGTAAGATACCACCCCTTCAAGTTTCCGTTATATACCACAGGTTCAGCGACTCACTGAATAATGATTCTTTCCAGGTATGGATCAACCAAGGAGATCTCAAAATAATCAAGCCCAAACAAGATACTGGAAAGAAAGTTACCGAGAAGCTGTCTTTCCCTCAAGCTCGAAAGATCATCCAGGAGGAACCAACTTGCTTCATCAAATCTACCATGATCCAAGAAGAGGCATTCTACAGACTCCGCAACTATCCCAAGCAAATCTCAGAGAATCTTCACTCCGCCCTGGTGACCATTCCTCGCAAGGTCGCCTTTCTACTTCACCAGAAGCCAGCATATATCTCATCCGCCGTTGAGGCATTCTACGTCCGTGATCCTATCGCCCTGAAGCCTCTCCGCGCCAAGGACTCTTCCGACCTTACTTTCAAACCAGATGACATGGTTACGGTCAGCGTTCGATTTACTCGCGTGGGTTATGCCCAAATGAAAAGTCAAGAGTTCCCTGTTCCAAGCAGCTGGGCAGGGAAATTGCCGCCGGTCGACATTGAACCGGATTACACCCGTGCGGAAACTGGAATGAAGCTTGCATGTGGATTTGAAATGCTACTCTATGATCCTCACCACCAAGACAAAGCAGCTGTTCGAGAGATGAAGCTAGTATTGGAGGATGTGGAGACCGGCGACGAAGAACTACCAACTAATGAGGAAATCGACAAGACATGGGATAAGAGAGAGGATGATGAAAAATGGATGGATATCAGCTTTGAAGATCTGGATCGGGAGTTGAAAGGCAAGGGCAAGGGCAAAGAGAAGGATGGAGGGAATTTTGGCGATGCAGGTGCCCAAGAAAATCTACAAAGAATCGTTGCCCGTTTTGAGGAATTCTTGAATGATACCTCGGCAGGTTTTGATGGGGCTGAATTTGATGAATTTGATACCGACTCTGACGTCGACATCGATGATGAAGAAGACGAGCTCAGCAGCGACGGAGAGGACAAGGAAGCTTCATTTGATGAAGAGGAGTTCTCCCGAATGATGAAAGAGATGATGGGAATACCTTCTGCTGGTCAAGGCCCATCCCTTGCAACACCGTTACTGAACCGAAATCGCATTCAAGATCTCGATGCGGACGAGGAGGAGGATGATACCGAACAGATCAAAGAACTCTCTCGGCAGATGGAAGCCGAACTGAAAGGCACCGGCGTATTGGATCTCAACAGAAAGAAGCTCCAACAGCAGCTCTCGTCTGGAAGCGATGCCTCTAAAGGAAAGGTCACCGAAGTGGATGCCAACGCCGAGGATTATGATGACGATGATAATGCTAATATCAATCTCGCCAAGAATCTTTTGGAGGCGCTTCACGGTCAGGCTGGCACTGCCGGACCTGCCGGAAATATGCTGTCGATGATGGGTCTACGTATGCCTAAGGATGACCGCCACTAAGTTTTCAACTATGGGGCTCTGGATGATTCCTTAGCCTCCATGATGAATCTTGTCGCGTATGCTCTTACGGAGTACATTCCCTTGTTCTGGCCGGCTATTCCGCCTGAAACATGTTCAGTCTATTGAGACATTCTTCGGTCTAGCTACCATGAGCCTCGGAGATGGTCCAGCGCCCCGCCACTGAAACCACTGAAACGACCAGTGCCGACGCCACAAAGAATGAGGATAGCCGAGGGCCACATGCGTGAGCGTGAGCAGAATGCTCAGCTCTGGCGTACATACCACTACATACCACGTGAATGTATTTCGAATCATAACAATCAGATTGTGACGATTTTGGGATATGAGAACCAATCAAGATGTACAGGAACACATATGTTATCATAACAATCATTGATAATAATAGCATTGGGCCTCCCATGGTTCCTCCAAACACCAAGCAATACATTTGTTCCACATGAAACGCAGTGCATAATCATAATGGATCTGTATGGTTCCTCGCGAAAGATTAATACTCCACGCATGCGATACTCCACGCATGCGATACTCCACTCGCGGTGTACCTAGAGCAGTAGGTCAGTTGAAGAGTTTCCCCTTAGGGTTTGTCCGGACCCCCATCGGACCCCCATCGGACCCCCATCAAGGACTAAAAGGACTAAAAGGACTCCACCGGAACACGATAATCGCGCAGACCCCCGATCCACGCAGAAATTTTATTTGGGACTGGATGATGATCAGCGGACATGATTTTGCGTTGCATAAACCCCGAAGACCAATAGCTTTGCTTTAAATGGTTGGAGTGAGGTGCATTTTTTATTCTGTAAATCATGTGTTTTCATACATGCAGACTGTGAGACTTGAGAATCACCACGTGGAGAATCTGATCTAAGAATGAGTAACTAGGTACCTACATGTAGGTAGTTACTAGTTACTTTATATAGCCAATTGTATTCTCTGTAGTTTATTAACTATATGCACTTCTCTTGAATTGAACTCCATAACACTTAAGTCCACCTAGACACAGTCTGGGTTGTATTAATAACACAGCCTGACATTTGTACGTAAGAACCCATGGGAACATCCCGAACAAAGTTACCCGAATAATTTCACCCGTGTCCATATCGAGTTGAATGAACAGATCGGGGCAAATCATAATATAACTTTTTGAATATGAATGGGTCGGTAGAACGGAGGGTATTTCCTTCAATGTTCTCCAAAAAGAAAGGATGTACAAGTTTACTTCCTCTACTTGGGAAACAGTCCCCATTACGGGATGATTGGGATGGATTTCTCCTCCAAACGGCAGCCCTGGAGCTAAGTGGATAAGTGGATTAGGAATTATTAATATCGGCATGGCTCGACTCGGCCCCAGCCACCGTTAAGCTGTCGTGTGCCTATGGAGTTTTTTTTTATGGAGTAAACGGAGAATGTACCGTTCTCTCCAAACTTTCCAAACTTTCTGCTTTTAGACTCACTCCGCTTGTCGCGTGTCTGGGTGGCGGGAAAGCGGGTAAAGGAAAGTTGAGATCACTGGTATAACGGCAGTTCCTTTTATTATTATTTCAAGGACTCGGATTATGGTAGAACCTGGAGACGGTTACCATTCTTCTACTCCGTTAGGTACTTCATGTCCAAAATTGAAAATTGAACCTAGACTCTTCCAAATGTTGTTCTAAACCCTATGAAAATCTAATCTTCGATTGGGCAAGATCATTACGCTAGGTAATGGTCGGATCCATGGCTTCTGCAGAGAGAGGACTCGGCAGAGATTTAATTTCAAGACTCCGTAAATCCCTCATAACATTGTTTCATATGATTATTATGATTATGGAGTATGATAATTATAATTATAATTTCATGGGAAATAATTAATTATTTCAGAATGTCCAAGACTGCGATTTCGGGGGGTTTGAGGAGGGGGATGTGGAGAGTATCCAATAATACCTATGGTTATTCTGAATAATCATGGGACGCGGAACGGGTCGAGTGGAAGAGTGATGTTCCCTTTCACTCTTTCATAGAGGAGGAGAGGACTTGAACTGAAGCAAGGATCCGGGGGAACTTCCCATCCTATGCCGAGACATCGTCACGGTTAACGCCACCGAGGGTCCTATTATTCCTTCAAGCTCAAACGGGAAGGACGCTAAGCGAATAGCCACATCTACAGCCTTGAATCCCTATCCGCGGCTCTACCGGTAAAAGAGCTTACCGAGAGATGTGTACGGAGTAGTGCAATCATAATGCGACGGATGTAAACTCCGAAAATATTGGAACGCCGATCGGAGTGCAATTAGGAGTGCAGGAGTAGGGTGTACGGGGTACGGAGTGCTTCAAATGTGTACATCGTAATGGAGTACACACATGCACATGCCAGTGTGCAGGGAGTAAGAGTGATGACGTTGGAGAATACCATGTAGATGGTTCAACGGCTTGTGGATTTGTTTTTTTAATTCCTTCTTTAACATTTTGAATGGATACAATCATCTCTCATTCGAGGATCATGTATTCAAGGTTTATGATCCCTGTCGATTCTTCGACGCCTTCCGTCCATTAAACCCCATATTCATTTCGTGTTTTCCCGAGAGCGAGGTCTTAGCCCATACGCACTAGTACTTGAATTTATGCAGTGATCCGTTCAAGTTGCTCTCTACGGAGTAGTGCTCTCAAGTTGCTCTCATTTTCTAGAATGCAGCTGGTCATATCCGTAAAGTTCTGGAAGTAAATGGGGGGAGATCGGCGGATGATCGAGGGGGGGGGGGGCGCATGGGAGATTAATTTTTTTTTTCAAACTGTATCAGATGTCTAGCCTTGGAGAACTTGCGCTATTGTTTTTGAGTTTCCGGGGGGATAATATAATGTTGTTCCCAAACAACCGCGCGTAACAAATCGGAGCACTGGGAATCAGCTTTTCCGGTGAGTTTTACTATACAATGTGGAAGCTCCAGATGCTCTCCGGTGAGTCGATTCAAACTTGAACATTTGAATGTTATGCAAATAGAATTCAGTTTCTCGACAGGTGCTATCAGCACTTGAGTGCTATTTACATATCTAGTCCCAGTTAGAATCTATCATTCCTTATCCTTGAATCCTTGAACAAAAAAAAGAGAAAGTGATCGGCCCGTCTCGGACAGGTCCAGCTGATACATCAGAACTGTGTACTCCGTAGCGGTGTCGGGGGAAGAATCATTTTATTACTATGTATAATTATAATTATTTTATTTTACAGATCGGAGGTCCATGATCCTTCAAGCACTTGAGCTATTAAGAACAAAAGTGAGAAATCAGAAAATCCCAAAAATCTAATTGAATAAATTCTAAATAGATCCCCCCGGCATTCGGGCCCCCCCTGGTTGCAGCCATTCCCCACTGTATGAACGCGGCCCTCGGTTCCCTTCAGGCGGGACTAGAGCACGGGAAATTTAGAAAAGAAGAAATTATAATATTATATTCATATTTATAATTATCATAAAAAAGGGGGGAGGTACAGAGTAAAGGAATGTGAAAAAGATAAGGCTTTGTATAGAAAAGTAAAAAGGAACAGTGAATGTGTACATGTTAATGTTTTAGAGAACCTTGGATAACTCCCAAGACCTTGAATAAGTGCGTGTCCGGAATAAGATCGTAAGTAATCCAAAAAGCCGCAGTGGGCCGGGCATTTGTTCTTTGCTTCCATCGGGCTTCCAGAGTTCCACTCGGTCGAAGACCGAAGCCGACACGGTAATCCTAATGTAACTTTGGGCCGTGGCAAAAGAGTTATAGAGAGAGAGAGAGTCTTCTTCCCCCCCTTCCTTTAAACTAGGATATAATCTACCCTTTCTTCCCTCCCTTATCAAACTCAATTTTACCTTCACTTCCTCTTGAGTGGATCTCTTACCTTTACTCTCTGGCCATGTCGCAATAATGGACTGAACTTCCTGGTGATCTGTGATACAATCCCGCCATGGATTTCATTGTGAGTCGCGATCTACCCTTTGCCAATAACCTGGTAACTGGGTTATGAGTTACTGAATGAATCATCCCTCTAATCAAATTCTCCAGCTATCTTTAACGCACTTTTGTGAAGTGCATGGCCCAACATCTATTATCTGTTCTCAGGTCCTTCCCTTCTCGTGTGCGCAATGTCATGCCGATGCGGATCATTCCCCCGCAACTCCATCTCATTCTCCCCGTCCACGATCACCTCCCAAATCTCCCAACAATACTGCTCCTGAATCCAAGTCTCCAAAAATCGAAGATCACCCTTACTTCTTGCGACCTCAGCCTGCTTCACCAGAAGAACGAAACCGTGCAGGCAACGTCGATGGAGACACTTGCGCCAGCTGTAGCCTCTCTCTTCCAGAGGGAGTGAGCAAGCAGCTCCCCTCTCCAGGCCGCGATGGCAAATCCAACAATGGCTCAAGTCCTGTCTTGCGCTCCCGTGAAGTCGTCTACTCCTGTGGCAATAACCACTCTGATATGGACGAGACCCCCGACCCTCATGCCCACCCATCTCCGCCCGAGTCTCTACACTCTTCCTCTATCGCATCCGACGCATCTTGCCACACACACATCTTAACCTACCTCTCACAACATGGCCCACCAAACCCCACCGATTATGCGCTCTTACGCCGCTCCTCCATCCGCACTTTGAGCTGTGAACTCCTCCCGCGCGGCCTATCCGCCGGCCCAATCTGTTTCGGTGATTCCGTAGCAGGCTACACTATCGCTTACATCTTTCGTCTTCCCGATCCCATGGCGCGTGGCAAACGTCGCAGTTACGCCCTGGTGGCACTCGCCGGAAGAGACGCCGGAAGAGCATTCCGCGCCTGCCCCATAATCTGGCGCGCTTTCTCGCGCATCGCAACCAGCATCGTCAGCGCAGCCGAGCATTTCCAGGAAGAAGAGAAGAAGCGCGAAGAGAAGGAGAACCCAAGTAGACCTGGTCGTCAATACACGCCTGTTTCTTCTTTCTTGACTGGTCGAGCCATGGATCCGGCCGGACAGCCACGCCGCATGGGACCTATTCGGGCGCGCAACTTGGCTGACATCGTTGGAAATGAATACATCTTCGCGGAATTGCATGCCAATTTCGTCGCGCTTCTTCAACAGCTCGGTTCTATGTTTGGTGGTGTGCCGATCTCTGAGGACCAGTTTGTCTGCAGCACTGTCGGCGATGATGACGCTAGCAGTGCTGAACCCGTCCTCGTTTCCAGTGCTGATCGCTCCAAGCGAACCTCGGCCAAATATGAGACCAGTGATCTCGATATGTCGAAACTGGATATCTCAGGCCCCAAACCTATTCCTATTGCCACTCGTCGGTCCCTCGTGGCTTAGACATGGTCTTTTCTTTTTTCTTATTCGGCTTTTTTTTCTCGTTTCTTTACTATTCCGACATCTGCCATCTACCTCCTTTGAGATACCCCAGCCTGCTTGTTTCCTTTTCCAGGCATATTTCAATTCGACCATTCTTCCGCCTGCACTCTGCTTTTTTCCTGCTTACAAGCGATGACAACAATTTTGTGGCCTTTTTTTATCTTCTTCGCTTGCATACGAATCGGGCTCTTTTTTTTTCTTTTTACTGCAAGATGGATACGGGGCATAGACTATGGCGTCTCACAGACACGGATCGGAGTTTATTTCCTCGGGTATTTTCTTTTCACTTCTATTTTCTCTTGAATGTTTCTTTTACGCAGTACTTCTGCCTTGTTTATTCATGGTAGAGGACGGGAATTTGATGATGCAACGAGGCATTCAAGAGATATGTATTCTATGTATCATTGACCACGATTATGGTAGCCTGTGGGCTGAATCTCATTTTTAATATTTGACTAGTCATTTTGTGGCGCTTCGATGTGTCCATTTTCTTTGTACTCCGAGTTCGTAGATAAGACTCAAGGGCTCGAGCCTCATTCAATGGACGCCCTAACTTAAACTGGTATAAACTTAATTGTACTAGTAGATTTGACACATGCAGTAATATGCTGTCTATTGAAAGGGCCTCTTTAGATCACCTGGCTGGAGGAATCCTCCATAACTCCTTCTGATCATTTGGATTCATGTTTTATGACGCAGACTTGGAGATATCTTTCTAGCCTGTCAATAGATTACTGGCTCGTTTCAACGCGACAGGAGTGTTACTAGGTAGTATATCACGTGTGGCCGATATAGATCGGACCAACGTGCCCTCGTGATAGCTCTCGGCACGCTTAGTAGAACTTCCCCTCCTCATACTTCCGTACACATGCTTTAGTTCCACTCGCAGCCTTTAGTTCTCCCTCAACAAGGAGACATCTCGAACTTGAACTCCCTTGACTGTCAGTTCCCCATACCCATACTCATCACATCATCACATGATCATCTTCATCGTGGAGCCCCATACCACGGGTACGCTAGGCCCAATTCAAACTAGCTCATCCAATAGGACCACTGTGACGTACTATTGCTGACCCACCATTCACTCAGGAAGCCCATCTCTTACTTGAAGTTACTTCTACACTTCTCACGCTTCAACCAGCCCACTCATCGAAATTCGAACGCTCTTCAAGCCCCGTCTTTCATCAACCTCACCTTCAAAGCAACCATGGAGTCCAGATTTTCCTGGTTCAGCCAAGGCCCTATGAAAGGGAAGTACGTACCAGGTGCCATCATCAGTACCCAGCGTCCCACTCCCCTTCGATGGAGGATACTATGGATCCTGAGTGAGAAACCTTTCCTTTATCACAACTCGACTACAATGTTGCCATGAGGACACCCCTAGGACCCGTGTAGAGATCCGCGTCTACCTGCAAGTTCCATGAACCGGTACGGAATTTGAACCTCCCCAGGTACGTGCTCAGCAAGCGACAGAATGTGATCCACCTGAGTTTTGGGCCTACAGAATCATGAATGCCGATGCAAAGGTTTCTCGCTTTATACCAAGATTGCTTGGCTACGAGAAAGCAAAGCAAGGGCATGGAGGCTACGTCCCAGGTGGGTTCCATATTACAATCGTATGGGAACGTGTTCCTGGAGATAGACTTGGTCCAAGAATCAAAATTCCAGATAGTCCATTCTGGAAACTCAAGAGATCCCTTCGAGATGAAATCCGGACTCAGCTCAAAGACACATTTTTGTAAGTTACCCATGATGGAAAACCATGAGAATGATCTTCAAAGAACTTTGAAATACTAACAGTTCTAGGAAAATGACACAGCTAGGCATTTATCCGCCACACCTAGGCCCACATCACCTTGTGTTTGACAGGGCTCAACAGCGTTTGTAAGAAGTTCCACCTAATTTTACTCCCTGCGTGAAATTCACTAATAATGGATAGGTACTGGGTTGGCTTTTAAAATGCGCAATTCGTGGCCAAAGACAAAGTCAGATGGTCTGACACCGCTCTTGTCAGCCATGGCTTTGCAAAACCACCACGCGATGACGTGAGTTGGTGTCGGTGCGAATGGTCAGGAAATACTGAAAAATGGAAGTTTTAAACTTAATACCGTGACCCTTGCTAGCTATATATATATATATATATATATATATATATATATAGATATACTGTCTATGGGCGACTAAGGAAGGAGAGACTAAGCCCTCAGGCTGGAGAGAGAGCAAGAAAAGAAAAATAAGAGAAAAATAGCCATATCGGCCGCTTATATATTCCAAATACCATATTTGGTGTCAAATACTATATAAATACGGTAGGGCTACGGTATTAGTATTTGTTTGGGTATTTGATCAACTACGGTATTTGGTGAAATACTATATTCGAAAAATGTTTACCTCGGGGCAAACTTTTGACGCGTCGTGCGAGTCGGTGCGAGTCGGTACGACAACAAACCACGACAAATCATATCAGACTCTTATAGATATTAATAGGAGAGAAAAGATTAAATACACTAAATAGCCTAGGGATTAACACAACGATAAACAAATCTCCAAGTCCTCTGGTTCAATTTCTGAGTAAAGCATTTAAATATAAAAACATAAAGTAAACATATAGAATATCCATATAGACACAAAGTAAAAAAAAAAAGAAAAATAGATGCGTAGAATAAACAAGTAGAATAGGACAGAGTACCTAGGTAGCACCAGGTAAATAATCCTTTTAATATAAAAAATCAAGTCCAAATACCCTTTGAATACCGCTGAAATGTGGGTATTTGACCAAATACCGTTAAACTACCGTCGTGGTCAGGGTATTTGCAGGGTATTTGAAACATATAGATTGCCGGCATGGAGGTTATGGCTACACTTATAAACTGAGACTTTTCTCTAAGACTTCCTTGGGGTAGGTTCTACTCTTGATTTATTCCCTTCAACTTGAATCTAATGAAGCTGAAGTATATAGATACAAGTCATCACACCGCGCTTCGCGCGGCACTCCTAGTGAAGCAGCAAGCATTTGAAATTGGGAAATGTATGTCCTCAGTACGCGAGTGCTTGGCCAGATACATATGTTCACATCCTCTTAGACAGGGATATTCATATACTTAATTATAGGGTTCAGTTGGAGTCAGCCTGAGTCACGGTAGCATCTACAGGTGACTGATGACCTACACCTCTTTATATACAAGTACCTACAGGATTACCTACAAGGTCACCTACATGATTACTACCTAGGTAGAGGGGAAGGCTAGCTGCTCAAGTGCTACTATATAGTAGTTGGATATAGGCAACTGGCAACCCTAGGGATAGGTATCCCATGTAAGAGATAGCTGAATTCAGAGGGATATACTCATGTTTAGATGGAATACACAAAAGAAACATTGAAAATCTAGTCTACTCGTAAATATGGGGTCTAAGCTATAGGCTGATTCTGCCAGATGGCGAGAAAATTCAAAAAACCACTGCAACACAAGTAGAAGAGAGGCGTAAGGCCTATTTGAAAGCCAAGCCACAGAGGAGCAATCCCTTTGCCTGTTCCCAACTCTCTTCCAAGGCTCTTCTCAATAATTGTCTACCCATGAACCAAAAGCCTTTTCGCATAGCGCTATCATTTTCGATGCATGAGGAGAATTCCCAACTGCCACTTTTGGTTGTAAACGCTTTGTCTTAGAAACAAGATATCATCATAAGTCGACATCACCGCGTGTTTCAATTTGGTTTCCCACATGTAGTCGGAAACTTTTCCTAATTAAACATCAGTAAGTCTGCGAATCAATTTGCAGGAATGGCTATAAATACCTAAACAGTGTCGAAGGTCGTATTCCTCCCGAGGTCGCCCTGATGATAGCAGGTGTTGATTGCCTCATCATGACGTAAGAAGGTGTGCTCACTAATCCAGGGGACTTTCAATTCACCAACAATGAGCAGCTTTGACCTTGCATCAATGATCCCCAAGTCTGGGGTATCTAAAGTGGGTGACGTCGCAGCCTTTGAGTCTGCAAAACAGATTCCCATTTGTTCATTCTCAAAAACTCGCTGAGAATCTGACCGACATGCTGAGAAAGTCGCCCCTGTACTCCATGTTCGTCGGCGACTTGAAAGAATTTAGTGTTGAGGGGACCAAGTGGACTGTTGTGGGCTTGGAATGAAAAATGTTGGTTCGAAAGCGATATCCGTTAAAGGCCTGATCCACTTCGCGGGGAATCGCAAGGAGCTTATCAACTTCTTTTTGTACCTCTGTTATTGAAGCCCGTTTCGCGCGGCGTTTTTCATTAACCACTCGTCTCTGTTTAATAGTCAAATTTTTGTACCTTTGACGAGAATATAAGTTAGACCTCAGCTGATCAGCCTTCATACCTGATGATGTGGAACTTGTACCTAGGTATGGTTGGTAGTGAGAGCTGGAAAATGACGGTAGTTGTTTCAATTGGGAGATGAGGTAAGAGTGGGTGTTGGAGAAGAAGATGGAACACTCAATGATTAAGAGAAGTATGGTCAAAGCACTTATGAGCTGGATGTTGTACCTGAGTCTCCATTGCCCGCTTTACCTTGTCGATCTCCCAAAGGAGATCATTCAGTGCAGCGTCTCTTGACACTACATGTGCGCTTTTCAACCACCATTTGAGGGCCCGAGCCACACGTCAGACCCTGATCACTCAAGTTGTATGTGTCAAAACCAGTCCAGGGACAAGCTGATCGGCAAAGTGTAGATTTTTGACAGCGTATCTCTTGGTCGTATTCGATGCTCGCTTTGGGTTGGGTAGAGGCTTTTGTGGGACCTCACAGGTGGTCAACGAAGCAGTTCTTTTAACGAGGGTTATTTAATCAGTTATAGCAAGTAGAATGGAGGTGAGAAATAGGAATATGAGGAGAAGCTAAGAGAGTAAAAGAGGATGAGCCCTGGAGAGTACCAGGAAGGGAGGATATGGTGGAAGATGTATGTATGTGTGTCACTGCCAGTGGGCTGTGTGATATATGTAGGAGTGAGGACTTACTAAGAGGAGGTGATATTTATAGAAGAGCTAGCAACTTAAACCAGGATTAATATAGCCCTTAAAGTATGAGCACTCTCTATATCTCCTTTTTAAGCATCAACCTTAAAATAAAGGAATTTTAGGCTTATGGAGAGTTAATAAATATATCCTAAATGTTATGATTAGTTATATAAAGACTAGGGAGAAGAATCAGAAGATTTAGGAATAGGGCCTTGATAGTTTTACCTAGTAGGTATTAGGTAGGTATTCACTAGTTTTAGTAGTATTTAAAATATTTTATACTAATATAGGTAGTGATATATACTATTTTACTCTTACTTACCTCTTACTTATCTCTTACTTATCTCTTCCTTTTCTTCTACTTTTCTTCTCAAGCAACTCAACCTGGGTAATTATTGAGTTAAGAAACATGGAATTAAAACTCTTAAACTGACTTATCCTCCCAGGATATATATATTAAGCCAACATAGTCGCTTTATCCATGGCAATATACACCGCCGCATTCGCCAAGAAGTCTGCCAACGCAGCCTGATTTGCTAGGGCAACTACCGCGCCATATGAAGCAATAGCTAGAATATCATTAGTATTTAATAAAGCCTTCTCAAGAGGGACAGGTATGAAGAGAACATACTGGTTGGGTCATTCCATGTTGTAATTGCCTCATTGGTGTAGGTTTTGAACAGAGCCAAAGCGGTTGCCACCTGGTGATCGATATCGGCATTAATGATCTCCTTGAACGCTGAGAGACAGGAGCCAATATTAGAAAATGCGACTATCAATTTGATAACTAGAAAAGATAGCTTACCTCCCACATAATCGTAGCCCGCCTGAGCTAGCGGGTGTGTTGAAAACAACGTCCTTTAATCAAAGAATTAGTGATGGTTAATCTTCAAGGACAATGAACTTACCAGAAGGAGATGAGCGCTCTGTATGCGGCGTTGTAGGACCCGGCCGTTTGAACGTACATGATATAATTGAAAGTGCTATTATGCTTATTAGTAGGCATTTTCTTGATAGATTATATTGGAGGGCAAAACATACTCAATCACATCTGCGAGAAAGGCCACTTGTTCGAGTGGGCCAAGATTTCCAAAAGCAGTGGAAGCAATGAAAGCGTGGGCCGCCGTAATCTTGGTTGAGAATTAGATATTGGTGCTAGAAAAGGTAAAAATTTGGTGAGTAGCTCATACCTTTGCTTTGATGGCGTTCAGATCCGCATCGCACACTTGAAGGTTATCATAATTTGCTGGTGCCTGAGCGTGTCCCAGGGCTCCAAAAGCCGTGATCACGGGGCTAGTTCCCCAGCTTGGGGTCAAAGTACTGGGCCAGTCATCGAAGAAGATCTTTAGGGAATCATAAGTCAGCTTTGTATCGCCGTCAGGAATAAAGTTTACTTACACCCGTGGCGTCAAAGATACCGGTAACAGTAGCCGCCTTCGCTGTGAGGGCACCGCCGCCGGGTAGAGTCCCCTTCGCCATATATTGAATGGCATTCCGCAGTGTCTGTTTCTCAAAGACATGTTCTGTGACGAAGGGTGTGTTGGCCGGTTGAGTGAGAAAAGATGTAACGCCTAAAGCTCCACAAATGGCTGGTTTGGCAATGGTAATCCAGCCCTTGTTGGCTAGGCGGGCAATAGTCTTATATCCGCTATAGGTTTGTGGATACATGTAAGTAGTGGGTTGACCCGGGGCGCAAAATGCAAGAGCCGCACTCTTGTCAAAGGTGCGCTTGGCTAGCAGATGCGCTTCTCGGGACACGAGAGTGTGATTGGATATTTCTGCATCGTGAGAGTCAAAGCTAGCTTCCCAGGCGGGATTTGGATTATAGATGACGCTTCTGGCATTGTTGAGTCGCTGAGCTTCGAGTTTCTGCTCCCATATCTTGATGTCATCAATTGTTACAGAATCAAGGTCGCGCTTTGTGGAAGAGACTGTAGTCAAGCCGTAAAGCGTGCAGTCGGAGTTGAATTCCTGGGATTCCAAGTAAACACCCGTTGAGCTCCCATCAGGATCGGGTTCAGTGCTGCGGCCGTCAATGTTAGGGGGCGATGGGCATAGAGATACCTCTTGCGGGGTAGGGAGCTACAAATCAATATTCAGCATGTAGTATTTCAAATTGCATCTCAATGATTTGGGGGCCTGGGGTGCGTACGTTGGGAGCATTAGGGTTATCACAGCAATAGTAGGAGTAGGTTCCTGGTTGACAACTTGTGCCATCTCTGTAAAGTATGATTAGAATTGAGATACTCTTGGCGGTAGAGAGATGGATCTTAAACTTACGTGGCAATGGGAACTTGACCACTTGGACATTCACCCTGGCAGTCTCTTCCGAAGATAGGCGCTGTCACACTTTGAAGAAGGCCACCTGCAATCCAAGACTGCTCCCAACCAGTAAAGGAATAGTCCGTGCCTTGATGCCAGGCACAGTTACTGTTTGCCCAGGGATCTGGATCCTCACAACAGTAAGACTTCCATCCGCCATCGTAAAGGCACGGCTGCTCGCCACCAGAGCCATATTTGGAGGTAGTCTGCTTGATAGGGTTGCTCGAGGGACATGTTGCAGAGGTGAAAAACACAGCAGGACTTAATAGAAAACCGGCAGTTGTGCAGTACGGTGCCGAGCCAGACCATTCTAGTAGACTTAAAGTCAGTATCCAGGAGAACGACAGATTTTAGACATAGATAGGGTTACAAACCACACTTGTCGATTGTCGCGTCAGAATCCGTCTTGGAGCAACACAGCGACTTATGACCAGTCCAACAGGTGTCGCCCGTTGCAGAAGTACTCGTCGTTACTTCCACTTGATCACTTGAGCAGCGACCTCCAGAGGTTGCACCACAGAAAGGCGCTGAGCCCTTCCACTCACAAGAAGGCACACTTCCGGTTGGGCAGCAATAGTATCTGCTCTGCCCGCTATCGCAGCCATTGAAAATACCTGCATATCCACTGACTTTACCACCAGTCCCTGTTGCTGGCTGGAATCCCGATGGGCATCCAGCATCACACTCACCCCAGACACATTGTGCTGCAGTGGCTCCAGGCCACTTGAATAAAGCTGCCTCGGTAAGAGTGGCGCGTGCAGACACGCCGGTGAGAGCTTTGATGGCACTACCTGAAGTGTCGTCAGTAGAAGCAGCCCAGATCTAATAAGCGTTAATATATAATCTCTTTTCTCCTTCAAGGAAAAACCTACCATTACTCCACCCAGACACTTGCTACTTGCATAGTCCATTTTGAGCTTGAGAGTGTCATTATTATCGTATGAGACCCACTGGTTCTCGTCCCTATTAGACCCGGTTATTAGCTCCAACATTGGCATAGCATACTTAGGCAAAGAAATAATACATACCAAGTAACAATGGCAACAGCAGCATCTGGGTCCTCTACGACCGTAGCTCCATTTGCAATGATATCCTGGATCTCAGAATACATCAAAGTACCCGCAGAGGCAGAACAGCTTCCAGGATTGCCACCTCCAGAGAATGGGCATCCAGCGGTTGTGCAAGTGGGATCAGAGAGAGTGAAGCTTCGTCCGTAGAATCCCATGCCCATGACAACCTTGCTGGGATCGATACTGTTTCTCCACATGAGGTCCAGCGTTTGAGTGATTTCAGTCAGGTTAGTGTGGGCTAGGAGATGAGTCAGTAGTTTATTGGAAGTCAAGCGGAGAAGCCTTACCGTTGATCACACTACCAATATAGGGATCGGTAGAGTCCCTTCAAAATTGTCGAAAATTAGCAACAGTTCTCCTCAATTACCAGCGACAAAAGAGCAAGTAGAAGGAGACGTTTCATACCAGGTTCCATGCAAATCGTAGGTCATGAGATTGAACCAGTCAACATAGGATTCCAGAGACTTGATATCAAAGTTCTGCATATACCAGTAAGACGATGGCAATGTAATAGTCAGACCATAGTTGTGTCCATCTGAGCCAAGCGCATTCTTGAGATTCTTCAGGAATGAGACATAGTTGGCAAAGTCTGCAGCCTGTCCACCACGCTCTGGTGCCACTGGGTATTCCCAATCTATATCGACACCGTCAAAGCCATAGGTAGACATGAAACTGACCAATGACTTGAAGAATGCCGCCTGGGCACTCTCAGACCCAGCAAGGTCAGAGAAAGTGGTTACAGTGGGTTGATCTAGGTCATTCATGGACCACCCACCAACGGAGATCTCTTAAATGGATTAGCAGCAATCCCAATGAAGCTGTCAAAAAAAACTCACCCATGTTTCCAATCCAGGGTTATATGTCTTGAGAGCTGTGAAACGAGAATAGAGTGCTGTATCTTCGTTTGACATAGGTGCGATCTCAAATGAAGTTGGGTCCACAAAGGCAAATGCGTAGTTCAAATGGGTGTAGGCCGTTGTCAGAAGGTCCTCCGGGTACACTAGAGAGAAGCTCAAATTAGAGGCCGAGCCAATTCATATGATTTTGGTGCATTGAGAGCAATATTCAGAGTACTTACTGCCTCGACACGCCCTGGTACTAGACCATCCCTCGTAGTATCCAATGATTCTGTTGCTCGCACTGGTTCCAGAAGAGCATGATGGCTGGGTGACTGTTGTGTTTCCACAGAATTCGCTGGTAGTACCACAGAATCCAAATTTACTGAAACCGTATCATTATTAGTCTTCTCACCCAGAACAATACACATGGGAAATGTCATTTCTTCCCTACCTGCAGCACACGTTCAGTGGGCAAGTCTCGGCAGTCGACCATTCGGAGCCCCAGCCTGGGTCGCAATCACTCTTTGCATCGCATGATGAGATACAGACGTCGCTACCGCAGAAGTCTGGACCGAGACCTATTCATCCAATGTTAACCTGGGGTCTTCACCAATCAGTCATATTGCTATTGTGCCACTTACCACAAACGCCTGTATTAGAACAGCAGCCAATTTTACATGGAGATGTTGCAGAGCAGGAATATGGATCAGATGAGGGGTCGTCAGCCACGACACGCGAGGCAAGTGAGATAACAATGGCCCATCCTGCGATGTGCTTGAGAGACCACATCTGGTACAGCAAATCGTCTGTCCAAGACTGCAGTCCAAAGTATTCTTGTCCTATCCTCAGAGGAAAAAAGAGAAATTCAAGAACTCAGAGTACGTCTTCGGAACAGGGTCATAGGGCTCACTCCGATCCATCAAGGCCTCCTTTTAACTCTTAGCGAGCGTGATAGTGATACTTTCGGTTTCCACATTCTTCCTTGCTCTAACCGCCATGAAAACCCCCTCAGATGCGATATTCGGAGGAGCTAGTGAGTATTTCCTCACCCTTTCAAACTTGGTGGCTGTTGTATAATCAGAGTTGGAACAACCATGAAGCAATGCGAGCCGATGCCGATATACTACCCGTGGACCCTGACCCACATGAGGTCCCAAATTTGGGCTTTGACTCCCATGATAGGAAGGTGGAATCTTCTTCCTCCCTTTGCCGAGATTAGCACTTGATCACTTGCAGTAACTTAAATATTTTAGGTCTAGCGTGCAGGTGCCCAAGTGGTATCCGTGGCGTATTCATGCTTATGCCAAGTTAGGGTGGACCCTGAGATCCTGTCCCCACAAGGGTTCTATAGGTGCCGAGCCCTGCATACGCTATTTATACGCTAGAGAATAACTAGCTTTGGAGTCCTTGACTAAACTACAACCCCGCTCTGCATCCACCGTGACCCATGTGAAGATGTCAGCTTCAAAATTTTTCTATCTCCAACCAAATTTCCACCATGCACAGAGTGAGAAAATAGTCACAACGTTTCAGCCTCCAAAGAGCTACAATGGAAACCGAGATTGCTTCGTCCACTAGCTTCAGCTTTGGCGCCCTTGGCAGAATGTCAGCAGAGCGCAGAGTCCGATAATCGGGGGCATCGTGTGGGAAAAACTGGACGATTGGGGAAATACCAGTCATGGTAGATTATGGCGGTGTTAAAATTCAAACACCACCTCCAAGTCAACGACAATAAGCTGATCCAATTTCAAGTTCCCAGATTTTCTGTTGGTCTTCCAGGAATCAAGACTCGGACACCTACCATGGCCTGGTATATCTGGGGTGTTGTAGCTTTAGCTATGAGAGGAGTGGCGGACAGCGTGAGTATTATTTCCCTCCAGGACCCGTTCAATCTGTACTATGCTCGATTATTCTGACCAGGCAACGTGAAGTTCTTCTTCAACAACACAGATTTCACCTCACAGACAGCCGATATATCGACTGCCTGTGCGACGGCGCTTCAGGCTTCATTGGATTGTGATCCCTTCTTAACCTATGTTATGACCAGCAACTATTATTCATCTATCGGAAATACTACAATCCAAGATGAATTCTGCCGCACGGATTGTTCTAGTGATTTGGCGAGCTACCGTGAGGACGTCGCGACAAGTTGTGCCAATGATCCGCAGCCATTTTCTGGATATCCCGCAACATATTGGGCGGATTGGGCTATTTCTGCCTTTGACCATGTCTGTATGAAGGACGCAGATACGGGAGAATATTGTGTTGGTGTGTTTTTTCAACTTCCATATTTTATGGCTATTATTGTTGCTCACATCCTACTGCTCACATCTAGATGTCATTGGGGAGTACTTTCAAAACCAAACTGTTGAGTCGGACGGAACGGACCTCTCAACGGATCAATTGTGCTCCAGCTGTGTGGTCTCTCTCTTTACCTTAATGCAGGGTACCCCTTATTCAAACTACGACCCTACTTTGGCCAGCGTATGGAGCAACATCCAGAGTCAATGCTCCTTGAGTCAGTCAACCACAGTGCCTACGCTGGACACCAACCTGACGAAGCCTGGAGGATTTGCACTACCCGGATATTCCACATCCTCAGCGCTGTGTCTCTCTGGGATCACATATACTGTGGTTGGTGGCGACAACTGTGAAGCTATCGCTGAGAATTATGGCGTATCGAAAGGCACGCTTATCGCGATCAATGATCTCTATGCTGACTGCACCAACTTGGGGATTGGCCAGGTAGGTGGCTTTTATCTACTAGTACTCTCTATCTCTCATTCTGGGAAACTAACGTAAACGTCATGGTCTATCTGACGCTTAGGTCCTTTGTATCCCGCCTAGCTGCACCACATATATTGTAGAGGGTGGCGACACCTGCAATACGATTGCGAATAGCACCAGCACCAGCTTCCAGCAGCTTGTAGCATGGAATCCCTCCCTGGGCTCATACTGTACCAATTTGATCTCGGGAGAGAATATATGTGTCAGTCCTCCAGGTGGTGTTCAGAACCTAACCACCATTGCGGGTGCCACCGCTACCCAGACGGGCATTTATGCAACAACCATTGCTTCTCGACCGAGTCCCGTTGCTACCGGAACGACAATCGACTGTGGAAAGTACTATCAGGTTCAGTCAGTAAGCGGAGAGGAGCGGTACTCTTCACTATCAATAAGCTACAAGTACTAATTCAAAATTCTCAACAGGGAGATAATTGCCAACTTATCTCGCTCAATCAGACCATCTCCCTTGACCTTTTAGAAGAGATAAATCCTGATATCGACTCAGTCTGTTCAAATCTCGAGCTCGGTGTCTACTACTGCATTCTGCCTACAGAGGACTGGAATGCAACCGCGACCTCTATAATTGTCACGGCCCCGACCACGACCCCGGACGGAACGACCTCTGATTGCTATCAGTGAGTTATTTGTCCTAGCCCCATTCTGAAACCCCGAATAAATAAAGCTGACAAGACTCATAGGTTTTATGTGATCCAAAGTGGGGATTACTGCTCGCTTATCGAAAGCGAATTTGACATTACCATGGCTCAGCTCCAGCTCTGGAATCCAGATCTGCTATCGGATTGCTCTAACCTCGCGCTTGGTGAAGCTTACTGCGTCAATGGTGCTGACCAGGCTTCCACTTCTACTCCTGCGACAGTATCTGCGACTGCTACGGCTGTGGCAAAAAGGGATGTCTCATCCCCGGCTACTGCGGCGTCTCAAACGACTGCGATTTTCCAGGCTGGTGGTGTGCCATATGGGTGGCCTGGGTTAAATGCGCCAAATCTGGCAAGAGCGTATGCAGCGGCGACGCAGAATGTAGCCTAGTTAGACTGGGCAGGGGAACGGAGACGAATGGGGTAGCATAGTAGGATCTACAGTTTGAGATTGGTTTAGTATTGCTGTGCAGAGCCCTAATTTGACATCATGAGCATTTGCTGTTATCCACTGCTCAGCTTGTGTAAAGGTACTCCTAGTAATAATTTCAATTATCTGCGAACTAAACATCTTACGATTCCTCGTAATATTGAACCCCCCACCGATCACTTGAACACCAGATATCCTTATAATGGCGGAATTTCGTCGTCAGTGTATGCAGATCCATCATCTGGAGCGCGACAATTGGGTAAAATTCTTCCAAGATAGTCTCCACGGCCACATTAAAATACCCATTAAATTCAGCGCCGGCCGCATCCTCATCACCTGAGCCTGGCAAGGGTGAAAGATGCGGGGCACCCGCTCCCTTGGATACCGAAACAACAAAGGGAATTCTTTGGCGCTCACGGCGCGGCGCAGAAGATGGAAGTGCACAGGAGAGAACAGACTCCATGGACGCTGGTGTTACCATCAGACAAGCAGAAGTGGCGAGTCCCTGCGGCAAGGCCATTTCATTAAAGCGTCTATGTACGGTATCAGCCTATGAAGATCAAAGTCGCAAATCAAAGTCGAAGAGACATACCTGGCCACATGCGCAGCATCTACGCCCTCTAATTCAGGCTGTTCCACCCACTGAAACTCGAGTAAATCAATCGCCCGGTCTACCTTCGGCAACGAGCCACGATGCGGGGCCAAACCCTCCTCGATAATCGCATCCCACCGTCTTCGAAATTCCGCCCACTGCGCCTCATGCTCACCCCGATAGGGAGTCGTGCGAAACACCACAAATCCCCATTTCCCCCAGTTCTCAGTCTCTGCGTTTTGGAAGACTGAGCTTAGAGTCTGAACAAAAGGTGCGAGAAGCTCCCGCTCTTGTTGCCTGGTTTCCTCTGACTTGGCGGCCTCGACTCGGGCTCGATAGCGGCGACTCATCTCCTGCATGATTTCACGGAAGCCATCCTCGCCGTGAGCGGCTTTCAGACCGTCGAAAAGAGTAGTACGCTGGGTTTCTGAGAGAGCCAAAAGGTCTTCTCCGCTGGCGTTGAGGAGCCGCTCATGCGTCCAGCCTTCTGGGTAGAAAGACATGATTGGATTTAGGTTAGGCTCGTGTTGTGGTGAGGTTTACTTTGGCCAGATGGGAAGACTATGCGCCGGGCAAGGTGCCACAGGTGCCCACCTGGGCAGGTGGTTTGGCATGATAACGTAATTCACCACCAAGCCGCCCCGGCGTGCCCCGGCGCGGGCGCGGGCCCAGCCCTGATCAGCCTGAGCACCCCAAAACATCAGTTGACCCCGGCATAGCAGATGCAATATTTGACAACTCAATTTTCAGGTGTTTCAACATCTGTTGCTCAGTGTGATTGATTTCCAGGCCTGTATAAAAGACTTTAAGGATATTTCACTTGGTATTTATCCCAAAAAGAGTAAATACTAAAAAGTACTGTTAGGTGTTGATTAGACAGTGTGCTAAAGATAAACTACTAGCACTTGAGTAGCATCTTGACAAGTCTTCACACCGCTCTTCGCGCGGCACTGCCACATGTGCAGTGAAGAAGTGAGCGTTTGAAATTGGGAAATGTATGTCCTCAGCACTCGAGCCCTGGAGTGCTTGGCCAGATGTGTCTACATCCGCTCAGATACCTAGGAATATCTGCATACTTTCTACATACATAAGTACAGGGCTCAGTCAGAGTCAGCAGCGTATGTATATAGGTGAGTGATGAGCTACACCTCTTTATATGCAAGTACCTACAGGGTTACCTATATGATTACCTGGAGGTGAACTTGAAGGCTCACTGGTATCGAGGAGCTGGATATACATAGACAACTGCCAGCCCTACATATATCTAAAGTAAGAGATATGTAGGTAAGTGCTCCAGATGTCCATATCGCGTAGACACCTCCACCAACTTTCGTCTTATAGATGCACTGTGTCATGTTTGCTGGTAGATTGCTGAATCTTCGCAGTCAAGCTCATAAAATCACCATCCCCTCAGCCGGAAACTCTACCTTAGTCTCTGATTGAATCTTCTAGAAGGCAAACAAGATAGAGAAGAGATAATTTCAAGGTTTCTAAAAAATAACACAGAATACTCTTGAAGCGGGATATAGATCGGGGCGGAGAAACCATCCAAATTGGGTTCTTCCGTTTACGGGCCACAATCAAAAATCCCACCAAAAAGAACCTCACAAAGACCCGCCTCAAGTGATCTCTAAACCCCCTCATCAATCAAGCAAGATGGTCGCCTTTGACAAGTGTGAAACCCGACCGGCCCACATCGACGCCATTCTTAATGGCCTCGATCGGTACAACCCCGAGACCACCACCGTCTTCCAGGACTACGTGGCCCAGCAGTGCGAGGACCGGACATTTGACTGCTATGCCAACTTAGCTTTGCTGAAGCTGTGAGTCGCCTCTCAACCAGTGCCCTATTCGAGGAGTGTCCTCAAAGCCCCCGGAAGTTTGGTGTCTTATTGTGATGAACGAACTTCTTCAATACACGTTTCCTATTACCTGACCACCCGTCGCGAATGGGGTTGTTGAGAATTTCGAAGCCCTGATCATATATCTCCTCTTAATTCAATGCAACTGCTATTGCATATGATATGGAGCCCACCAATCTTCCATTTCAATCTTATGCAAGATAATATTAGTCCTATAACTAACAAGCGCAACTCCTCGTGAATTATAGTTACCAGTTCAACCCCCACCTCCTCCAGCCTGACACCGTCACCAATGTCCTGGTCAAGGCTCTGACCGTCTTCCCTTCTCCCGCTTTCTCGCTTTGCGTCGCCCTGCTCCCCACTCACACTCAGCCTTTCCCCACCACTCAAGAGGCCAAGGCCGCATCCCAGATCTCCGACTTCGTTGAGTCCGTACAGAAGCTCTCCCAACTGTCCACCCTCCTCGAGTCTGCTCAGTACACCCAGTTCTGGTCCACCCTCAACTCTGACGACCTGTACGCCGATCTGACTGCTGATGCTGCTGGCTTCGAGGAGCTCGTTCGCATCCGTATCGCCGTTGAGGTTGGCAAGGCTTTCCGTTCCGTCACCACCGAGTCCCTGCAGCAGTGGCTGGATCTGCGCAGCGGCGAGGCTCTCGAGAAGTTCGTCACTGATGTCTGCGGCTGGAAGGTCGAGGGCTCCGTTGTCCGTGTTCCTACCAACAAGGAGAACGAGGTCCGCAGCGAGGTGAAGAGCGAGCGCGTTGGTGTGGATATGTTCGGTCGTGTGATCCGCCGCGGCTTCGAGCAGGCCGCATAAACGACCCAACATATTCATTTCTATTTTCATTTATTTTTTTCCACCTTTGATATTATTTTCATCCTCCGTCCCTTCGCTTCTTTGGCTTGGAATATAGCCAGGAGAAAAAAAAAGACATGAGTTCATGAATCCCCCGATCCGTGACGACGGTGATAGATTTCGCATGGAGGAGGCTCGAAGATGAGTCGGGATCTGGCGCATCCGGCGTTTCTTTTCTCCCTTTGTATTGGATTGTGTTTTATGCTTGAAATGAGCGGATGATGGGGTTGAGAGAGATGCCCGTGTTCATAACATACCTCCTATGCCGAGCCAATTCGTCTGGCTCTAAAATATAAAACATACCGAGCAACTATATTCAGTAGATGTGTATGATCGTATAAATTGTATATCAGCTGAAACCCTGAATTCCAAGGTTCAGCGTGGGTGGTCATGGAGATGATCTGATTGCGATGCAAAATTCAATGAAATCTATAGTATTTTATGTATAACTTGGACTAAACCCAAGTTTCAGATATTGCCAGTGGCGGAGATATATCAACTTGAACTCCCTGGGATCATTTCATCTCCTCCCATTGCACACCAGCCCACTCTTCTCTCCATCCAAGCTGTCCAATAGTTTGAGGTGTGCAATCCTTCGCACAAACACCCATAATAATAGTACTCCATTCCATGCCCGAGTCATCCTTTCCAAGACCAACACCCGCACGGCCATCCTCTAGCACACTGATAGCATGCGGCACAAGTTGGAACTCGAATACACGCTCAGCACCACAGTATTCACACCGAGGCATATGGCCGCCACCAGTTGTAGTCACACGACCAGCAGAGTGCTCTGGATGCAAACGCTTGCCCACCTCATCCGCGTAAGAAGAAAGCAGCGCCGTACCGCGGTACTCGTAGCGCAGGACTTGTTCAGGGTTGTGAGAGAGACGAGTAGAGAACTTCATGAATGCTTTGTCGAGTTCGGACTCGAAGGCATCTTTAATGTCTGCACCGCCACTACCATCTTCGTCCATTGGCTCGATTTGCACATTGTCGGGAACTGTTGGTGTGGATGGTCGCGAGAGAGTCTCGTATTCAGCGTCTAAGTAGTAGTTTTGGTATGGGTTCGGGAATGCAGATTGAGCAGGCCAGGGTGCGAGGGAGCCTTCCGATTCAGGTGTTGCTTTTAAACCTGTAACAGCAGGACTAGCCGATGGCTCTGGAGACGAGAGTCTGACCTTGTCGGCGAAGGATTCGGCGAGCTTGGTGGTGGAAGTTTGAGCGGGAGTTGCTGATGGCTTAGGTGTCGCAAATGGGTTATCTCCCGCAGAGGAAGAACCGACGTTGGAAGAAAATGGGTTGGCGTTTGCAGATACGCTGCTCGTCAGAGAGGTTGCGCCGAACAGACTTGCTCCTAGGTCTTGTTTCGGTTGTTGGGGTGCAACCTCCTCAGGCTTGGTCTCTTTCTCTTCTTCTTGCTTTGGTGCAGCGCCAAGGCTGACCTTACGGGCTGAACGGTATGCGCGAATACTTCCTGGCTTGCGGTTGCATGGTTTTCTAGGGCAGCCGAACAGATACAAGCGGCGCTCATCATTTGGGAAATGGTCGGGCAGATCACCATGCAATTCAAGCAGCAGCAGCATTGGACTGTTGCATACCTTGCAGTTAGCGAAATCTCCCGGAGGAGGAGTCTTCTCATCTAGCCATGCCTATTAAAGAAAAGCTTTTTGTCAGCGTGATCGGTTTAGGTCTTGATCTGTATGTGCCACATACTGGCAAACCACCCAAATGGCTAACGGTATCCTCGATAATCTCCTCCGCGGAGTACCCGAGAAGAACCCCGGTATCGGTAAAGTCCTCGTCAATACTGGAGTCGCTGTCGTAGGGATCCATGATAAATTGGAGGAATGTGTAAAGGCGTAAAAAACCCCGCGGTTCAAAAAAAAGTTGCGATAAGCGATACGGCTGCCCCACACGTGTAATATTACACCGTCATTGGTTCAGCCCCGACATCATTCCATCCCCAGCTCTCGACTTGCAGCTCCTTTCTCAACCTCTCGTGACTTCATATCATGTTGTCAGTCATGGGCTCACAAGTAATTCTCGGGGCTCTCTTACTCTATCTGAATTTGTTCATTACTCACAGCAGTGCGGCTCAGCAGCAGCCACTGCACACTGTTATAGATGCCGCCCCTAAGCGGGTCGCCGTCATCGGTAGGTTACAGATCCAACCCAAAACAACATGCAAGATGATCAAGGTCATAGGAGAGAATGAGACTAATGTAAGTTTTGAAGGAGCTGGAGCTGGAGGTTCATTTGCAGCATATGAGTTGCGTAAACTCGCAGATGCCTCTAACATCCCTGTTAATGTTACCGTATTCGAGCGGGCCTCGTATATCGGTGGTCGTTCAACGACGGTCAATGCTTTCGACGACTCCGCATATCCAATCGAGTTAGGTGCCTCAATATTTGTGGAGATTAACGAGAACTTGATGAATGCATCTCGCGCTCTTGGTCTTGATATCCGCGGCGCGGATCATTTCAGACCTAAAGAAACCGAGGAATCCATTGGAATATGGGATGGCTCCCACTTTGTATTTACACTGAAGAACGACTCTAGCTGGTGGAACATCGGCAGGCTTATCTGGCGCTATGGCCTGGCACCAATTCGCACCCAGAATCTCATGAAGAGTGTCGTTGGTAAGTTCCTGAAACTATACCAGGAGCCCTTATTTCCGTTCCGATCGCTATCGGAGGCTGCGGAGGCAGTGGACCTACTCGATGTTACTGCCTCACCGGGCGATGCATTTCTTGAGGCAAATTCGATTTCCGAATTATTTGCAAGAGAAATAATTCAAGCCAGTACGCGAGTGAACTACGGGCAGAACCTGCCCTTAATCCACGGGCTAGAGTCCATGGTTTGTATGGCGACAGATGGTGCGGTTTCTATACCTGGTGGGAACTGGAGGATATTTGATGGAGTTCTCCAAGCTGCCAAAGCTGATGTTCGTCTCAATACGACGGTAACGGAGATTGTAAAGACAAACAATGGTGCTGTGCAGATAAGCTCCAAGCCAACCTCAGATCTTGACTCGACAACTCCGGACGAATCGGAGTTTGATGAGGTCATTATCGCTGGGCCTCTACAGTACTCTGGTATCTCGATATCTCCACCTCTACAGCATATCCCAGATGATATCCCGTATGTCAAACTCCATGTCACGCTGTTTGCGTCCCCACATCGGATCTCGCCTGAATTCTTCGGACTTCGCGGCAAGAACGCTCACGCTCCGGAGACCATCCTGACTACCCTTCCGGAGGGTCATAATCTTGGTTCAAATCCCAAAGGTGTTGGGCCCGCTGATTTCTGGAGCATCAGCACGCTCAGAACTGTCAGTAGATTTGTTGAAAAAGAGGATGGCGAGAAGCAGCGTGAAGATCACTATGTTTACAAAATCTTCTCTCCGGAAAGGCCTACTGCGGAGTTTATCGCTCAAGTGTTTGGGATTGAATATTCTCATGGGACATCTGGCTCAGTGACTATCGCGCCTGATAATACCACCATTGGTGATCTTCCGAACGGCGAGATTAGCTGGTTCCACGAGAAGGTCTGGCACCCATATCCTCTGCTTTATCCTCGCGTGACATTCGAAGATACTCTCTTAGCCCCCAGTATCTGGTACACTAGTGGGATTGAGAGCTTCATTTCAACAATGGAGACGAGTGCACTTATGGGGAGGAATGTGGCAGCCCTTATGGTGCGATCATGGCAGAGAGAGAAATATGAGAGGGGAGTAACTGGGAAGATTGAACTATAGTCCTAACTTGCACCGAAAAGTGTATATGTATCGGTGTTAATTTGAGTAGTTATATCAACATTTGAAAGTTCTATCCATTGAATTTTCTTGGAACATTATAATTTGATTCACCTCCGATATAAGCCCATTCAAAATGTTTGGACAGTTCCCGAGGTCAGCGATCCAAGCTGATTCCAGTAGTACCTGAGACAAGTTCTCATGCCGCGCTTCGCGCGGCACTGCCAGTGTACATAGTAGCAGCGAGCATTTGAAATCAACAAAGATATGTCCCCAGGACTCAAGTGCTTGGCCAGGTGTGTTCACATACTTACGTACAGGGCTCAGCCCGAGTCAGTAGCATCTACTGGTGACTGATGACCGACCCCTCTTTGTGTGTAGATACCTACAGGGTCAGCTTGAGGGGTAGCTGGAGAGTTATCTGGAAGGGAAGGTTAGCTGTTATATTATTGGATATAGGCAACTGGTAGGCCTAGAGATAAGCTGGGCAAGTAGTAAAAGAGGTCCACAAAAACAAGTTTTGAAAATTTGAAGCAAAGCAACCTTGAGCCTGAGATGAACTCCCGTGTGCATATGGATCTCTCCTATTCGAGATGGCATAATGTGAGTATGTAGAATTGCGCATCGACAGCTCAGAACCAAGAAACGAGCCCAAACGTCGGCCCCGGAGGACCGTGTCATCCATTCAATCATGATGTTTGAGGGACATCTGGATTGCCAGCTTGCACATGTCAGTGATGATACCACTTCAAGTTCTTGGATTCAAATCATGATGTTATGTGCTACAAAAAACTTGGGTAAGTTTCTCACGTAGGCAGTAGCATTCAAGTGTCGACTTGAACTGTTTATTAAAATCTGGGTGTAGTTTCAAATTTTTAAACAGAACATTGAATACTTCATGTTCAAGCTGTGCTGCAGGTGCAAGTGGATACTACTAATTTGGCGATAGAATCAACTAGAATCAACTTGAAACACTGAATTTTTTGACTTGCTGTCACTGACCTTTGAGCTTGACCACTGCCAGTGGCATGATTCAAAATGTTCATTCCCGAGGCCCATCAAGCTATTACTAGTAGAATTTACATATTAGGGTCACGGTATTTGCATATGTGAACTCTTACAGGTGTATAGATAGTATCAAGTACTAGTCGCATTGAAAATTTCCAAAACAGACATTTAAAACTAAAATAAACATAACTTGAACTCCATATCCATGTGTAAAAGACGAAGTGATCAATGGAAAGTAAACATGCACGTAGAGAACTTGAAAGAACCTTAGAATGAGGCGCAGGATCGCTAGGTAGTAGGCATTGTCGTAGTACCTATGGATCTCATGCTTTAGCATGGATATCATAACCTTGGAAATATTAGTACTTTCCCTCTGCCATTGTCTTGGCCCTCAAACTGATCCCGAGCAGAATTTCGCCAATGCTGTTCATGTCGGATAATACTTCTGTATCCCATGGGCCAAATTGATGCATTTTCAAGAACCCAGGGTCTTCTCCCGGCTGCAATTTGTTGTTGAGATATTTGACGTAGTTTGCTTCATACTCAGCAAATATGATATAAATTTCATGTCGATCTTGAGAGACATGGAGGCGACTGTGTCTCAAGGCAATTTTCCATTAGTCCCTGGGTCATTTTGAGAAGATTCAATGATTGAAAGAAAGCTTGCCACCCGCAACTGTACTTTAAGTCAATAGGATCGGGATCGGTTTTAATCCAAGCAACCATTTGAGCTGCCTCTTGCATCAATATGGCCGCAGAGGAAGCCTCCTTATCTTTATCTGTTCGTATGACAGGCTTCTCCTCAACAATTGCATATATCTTCCCTTCGGACCCTATATCTCCAGGCATCCATCTGTACGAGCTTCGAATGAGTTATCCTTGAATTCAGCCTTGAAGGGCTTCCGATAGAGTGTCCACTGCACAGGCATATTCTCATGGATTATAAAAGCATTGAGAAAATCGATCAGAGCTGTATTGACAATCTGCTCATCCTTTGTCTTAGGATGAATTAGACCCAAAATCTCCTGAGGTCCAGGTGTTCTTTTATCAAGGGGCGTCTCTATGCTCTCAGACTCCTCGGACCCCCTCGTCTTCTTCGTCCGGTCCAAAGTTCAGTTCTTCATCAGAAAGGCTTTCAGCTGTCTTAGCACGGCGTCTAGGAGCTTTGCTTGGTGTCTCGAGTCCCAGTTCCCGTATACGTGAAATCAGATTGACTTGTCCACGCGTGCGATTGGACACGGGAGTGAACACAACATCGGAATCGCCGGGGAGTTCTGTAGTCTTTGGAACTTGGGCGGCCTGTTTTTGATAAAATCGAGGCAGAGCAAATGTTCCCTCTGGAATCTTTGCTTTATGAAAGCTTTCGCAATACTCCCTCCAGGATTCGTAGCGTCCCAATATGGGGGTCGCTTTTTGCACCCAGTCGGCAAGGCCAAATATGTTTGGAATGGTTTGGGATTTTCCACGCGATGGAATCTTCCACAACACTCGGAGTAGCAAATATTGAGTATCGCCAATCTTCGAAGCCGACCTCAGCTTGGCTTCGTGAATTGATCCACCGAGAATATTGGTGGCTTGGGCACGCCTTTGCCACTCAACTTCAGATGATGGTACTATGATCATCACTGGAATTTTGGGTAGGCTTTTGAGGGATAGGTGTATTTAGCAGGTATGTAGACTCGGAGCAATGGAGGTCGATCGAGCGTGGCTTAATTCAAAACGAATGGATGTGATGGGCATCATCGAATATCTTATACTTGGATGTTGGCACATGTGTACCAGGAGACACTAGCTCTCTGAAAGGCCTGGTTATTTGGTGCATGGGGCTGATTCTTCGAATTGAATGTGTTTCAGTTGGAGGACTACGAGTGCTCCACGGGGTATATGCTATGCATGATAATCACTTGGGTGGCAAGAGGGGAGGCCTGTGCAGCACAATCGGAAATCATAGAGCCCTGGAGGCGAGGAAAACCAATCATCATAACTAAGTCGACAACTTAGCGCCGGAATAGATCAACCATGTTCTTTGAGGCGTTAAAATTGCAGGAGGATGTCCTATCTTTGGATTGAGGGATTTGTTGTTGAATCAAAGAACAGATACTTCCTATGTGGCTGAGATGTACTTTGTGTACTCGTAAACTCCACTCGCACCACAGACATAATTGACACATATCTCTGGCACGGAGCACTCTGAGCCGAGTCTCAAAATTGCCAGATAGAAAAATCAAGGATAAGTACTGGCTATAATTAATTGTGAATCCCTGTCTATGGCTGTTTACCACAGCGCGAATGAACTGTGATGACCAGTTGGCGGGTAAAGAAGTGATGTGATTGGTGACTTGTTTACCAGGCAACCGTCTCCACTCAATAATTGCGCTTTGGTCACAATCGCGTCCCTTCGACCTACAACGGTTTCAATGTTCTTTACACCCCGACATATTCATTAAACATCCACCTGAGCAGCTCTTTTCCGAATTTAATTTCCCAGAGCACCTCTCTCTATCTTCAGTTCTTTTTATGCAAGGCTACTTTTCTGTTGGTCACCATGTCTTCGCGTGAGCTGTCTGACGAGGACAAGAAACAAATCATCACCCGCAACACATACCACCGGCATATAGGCTATACCTGGAATGCCAATCTCAAGGAGGACACAGTTTACATGTCACCAGAGTTTTGCAAGACGTGGAAAATCAAGATCAGTCCCCTCTCGATTGAGGAGGACTCTGATTGCAAGCCCTTCTTCTTCGCACCTTTCACGGGCAAACTAGTCCCCAGAGTTCGGGATGATGGCGAAAATGGAATCAAGGACGGAGACAAATATGACCCTGAACTGGAACCCTCCCGAAATTTGCGGAATTTCACCGGCGTTATTTACGACTTTGTAATCGGCTGCCATGAACCAGATTACTTTGGAGAAACAAACCCTCCTCCATTCTGGATGCCCGAGTATGTATCATCCTGGCAATTTCTTCCTGCAACATGATAAGATTCATTGAACAGCGAGGATATCGGATGCCGGGATACCAGTGAGGGCGTGGCTCAATCCAACAATAAACCTCCGTGGCAAACCAGAGGTTTCATGATTCCAGTGACAAATCCAGATCCATGGCGTCGATCCTTTAAGGGTCCGAATAAACCGAAGCCACATGTGAAGATTCTTATAGAGAGTCAGGCTACGGGGAATAAACACCTTCTTCGGTCGGAAATCATGATGATCACGCAGATCATGGTTCGGCGGCTCCATAAGAAAACACTACGTGACCACCTCATCATCCCTGTGAGTTTGTCTTTACTGAAATAGCATGGATCAAGAGCATTATTATTTCTGTTCCTAGTTGATGTTTTTTTCACTTACGAGCCCTTGGCATCTCCGTGTCGTTGAAGCATACTACGATAGTGAAACACTGCACGTGTGTATGACGAAGCTATATGACATGCGAGAGGCGAACGATGAGCTGTGTGAGGTCTTATGTCGATGGTGGTGGGGTCCTGCTGCTGGAAATACTAAGGAACACAATACTCCTCCTATTTGAGGACTGATTAAGATCAATGAGATATCTATGAAATATGATGGAGGGACGGGCTTGGTTTGGTATGGTCTGGCGAATAGTTATTTCACACTCGGCGTTATTGGACTTATGATTTCACTTCAGACGATTCAAGTTTCCATTCAATATGAATCTAATATCGTTGAACTCGTTCATACCTAGGAACAGGAACCAAAAGAGCCGCAACATTAAATTTGCTGCCAACTGTAGATGCCCAGCGTACTAGTCGTACTAGTCGCGGCGACTAAGAAGAAAGCCCCACTTGAGATGAGATTAATGTGGAACTACTCCGAGTCCGTACTAGAATAAGGTAAGAGTGACATGTAGTATAGGTGCATGATGAGGACAAATAGAATTGATGCAAAGGGATATTCAAGTTTTTTATTTAGTACTGTCTATATAGACGACAGGATCTGGCAGCGAGATACACTACCAATCCGTCTCGCTTTCACTACCTGGATAAGCCTTCTTCCTCAGCTTCCACAGAGACTTCTCTCGTCGCGCCGCCGCTTCACGTTGCTGCCGGCTATTATCCTCAACAACATTCATCCAAGGTACATGACTGGCACTTCGGATCCGGTCTCGGAGTAGGGAAAGTGTTCTCGCATGTTGATCCTCGTCACCAGAAGACCCACCACTCTTCCTAGCACGTGCAATTCGCTCCTGGTATCGTCGTTCAGCTGCTCGAGCAGCGTAGTACTCTTCGCTGACAGCCCAGTTCGGGTTATCTAGTTGACCGCGGACCAACACAAGATGGTGACCCTTTTCGGTAGCATCGCGCAGTTGTGAAGATGGGATAGGAGTAGAGAGTTCAATCTTGCGAGTGGTGGTATTGACGGAGCGGATGAGTGCAAGGCCAAGACAGTTAGAGGCATTGGGGTTCAAGGGTGTACAGCTTCCAGAACCGGTGAAGAGGTAAGGAAGCGCCTCAGGTGTTCGGATGATGTTATTATCAATGGAGAACGCAGGAGTCGCATCGCCTTGTGGGGCAGCTGAGTCCATGTCCATTTCATCGTCAATTACTGAACTGTTTTCATCTTCTGCATCCGGTGCTACCGTCCCATTTGTATCGGGAGATGAGCCACCTAGAATCGCGCTTGGAGATTCAACAGCCACAACACCGACAATAGATCCCTCCAAAACCTCCTGGAGCATATCAGGGCTGATCTGTGATCCCATAACCATGATGCCGAGAAGGCCTTGCTTGGGGCCAGCATAATCGACAGCAATTGGCCTCGTGCGTGATAACGGCATGTCTGACCAAAGTGGATTGCTGGTAGACGTGGAATGGGACGAATGAAAGTAGGATTGAATCTGCATTGAGCGAAGCTGGGCGCTTGATCGGCTCACGAAGTCGGTTGGTTGAGACGGTAGGATAGTCATCGGAACTCGAGCCTCATTTGCTGCAAAGCTCAACGGTTCCACAACTTCACTTGGTCCCTTCTCACTCATGTAAACGACATCAGAGAGACCAAGACTCTTGACTAGCCATGTAGCAACCTCCAAACCTTGTCCAAAGATCCAACCTGGGTAGTTGACGATCAATGGGCATTGAGGGTATTGGGTAAGCAAAGATCTATACTGATCTAAAAGATCCATTGTAGCCAATGCATAGTGATCGGAGTCTTCTTTCGGGGAGGTCGCTCCAATGTGATGCGCTCGCAATATTTGACCATCTTGAGAGTCGTGTAATGAGGGGTGGGTGAATGGTGGACCGAAAAATGGGGCTCTGAGATGTGCTAAATATACTTGGCCCATAGGCGCGAACTCAGGCTGTCCAGGGTCCAAGTCAAGGAAAGCAACGCCATCAGTGTTAGTGAATCCGTTCTCCGATTCTGGAGCTGGACTGAGAACATGGTTGAGTAAGTAGCGACTGAAAGTAGACTTTCCGGAAGCCTTTGGACCGCACACCAAGACTCGAAGGCGACCTTGACGCTGAGAAAGCGCCTTCATTGAGGCACTCCATTTCTTGTCCAAATGAAGAGGTCGAAGGTGACGGTTCAAATTATCATCCGCCGAGGTATAAAGCTGAGCAACAGTTAGTTTCCAGATATTTTAACCACAGTTGAAATATGTCAAGCGTAGATAACGCACCACTGAGAATGACCGCCGCGAATCTTTGGAAGCCCCCTTTAAAGTCAATTTATCTGCAGCGGTGTTTTGACCATTCCAAATCTTTTGGTATAAGGGAGATGCATCTCGAAGGCGGGAAAGACCGCTATTACACGACTTGATCTCCACCTCGGCCTCTCCGTCTACGCCGGAGACACATTTAATGAGGGGTAAGGAGTGAGTCGATGGAGCATAGACTCGGTAAACTCGCGGCGAGGGGTGCAGCTTTGCACCCATCAGACTAACGACGCCCCTTTTAACCCAAAGATCATACTGGCCCACCAAAGCCAAATTCTATAACCCAATTAGCACCATGGCATGTAACTTGACTGTATGATTTTCCATACCATCTTCTCTTTAATACGAATGCAAAGCGTATCCTCATCCGCATAGACGATATTATTCTTGTTCAATCGAGCCTTGGACAAGGGGAAATTCTGCAACTCAACTGGTGTCTCGGCGGGAGACTCGTACCCATCGGCATCACCAGCGACAGATGCAACCTCATCCTCGTCCATCTCTTCTGGCTCATTGGCAGCATCTTCCTCTGACTCTTCCTCTTTAGGCTCTTCCTGCACTTCCTCCTCTACAGGCTTGGAGCGTGTTGCTCTTCTTGGCCGCTCTGTAGTTGTCTCCGTTGCGGTAGACTCATTTTGCTTCTTAGAGGATCTTGTTTGGCGGCCTGTAGGCTCGGCATCCTTCAATTCGGCCTGCTCCTCGCCCTCAAGCGATCTTCTGGGTCGCTTGGAAGGTGGCTCTGCCACTGGTTCAGCCTCTGTACCGGTTTTTGTCACCGTCACATTTTGCGCTTGTTGCTGCCGAGCTCTGCGGGCGGCGATGGCGCTAACAGGACCTGAGCAGGGGGAATTAGCGTGAAATTTTGTAAGCTCGGACAGTTAGAAATAATGAATACCGGCAGCTTGTTGTTTCTCAGCCTTGCGCTTCATCATATTACGGCATTGACCCAATTCAAGACTTGAGGTTCACAGAGGGTCGATAATGCAGTTGCTAGGAGCTGATAAGAAAAAAAGTTGGCGAGTGGTCCGTGCGCCCGCGGAGCAGAAAAAAAAGATCCGAAACCTCCAGCATTATTCAACTTAACGTCGCAACGACTGTTACGTGCGACCCGTGCAATTAATCGATCCAGCAATTGCTGTGGTGTTATTGTGGTCGCGAATTACCCATATCTATCTCTAGATATTGGACTCCGAGGGCGTATAACCCCAATTCGCAAGCCGCTTCCTAGCAACTTTTACGTCTATAGTCGCCATGGCCGCCTCTCCTTCATCCGACAGCGATAGCAACTCAAGCCGCTCGACTTCGCCTGAGCCCGATAACAAGCAGAAGCAGACTTTGAAGGGCCAAGCCAAGTCAAAGGAGCAGGTTGAAGACTCGAGCTCATCTGGTTCGGAGTCCGACAGTGATGAGAGCTCCGATGAGATGGACACCAGCGAGGATGCTCCTCAAGAGAAACCGACTAGCAAGAAGTATGTCTAGAGAATGACGTCTCCTAGTATAAGTCCTAATTGTCTCTCTTCTTTTTCAGAATTACTATTACCGGTCCTCAGCCGTACAAGCCTCCGTCTGGCTTCAAGGCCGCAACCAAGCAAACCCCGCCATCCTCGGCCTCTTCTTCTATCCTGTCCAACTTAAAGGGAAAGAAAGTCATTCACATCACCGCTCCATCTTTCCTCCCCTTATCAAAGGTCAAGGAAATCTCCATGTCCAAGATCTTGAAGGGCAAGCCAATCCTTTCATACGAGGGCGCCACCTATGGAATCCCCGCCGAATCCCTTAACGAAGAGGACCCCGAGGGCAAATCCCTTCTTATCTTCGACACGAAAACCAAGACCTACCAAAAGCAGACCGATCAAATCCCTACCTATCACATTCAGGAATTAATGGATGTACCGGAGGCTGATCTGGCGGCCATAGAAGCCCTGCGGGATACCGTCAAGCCCGTTCGGCCTCAACCCAAGAACCTGAAGATGCGTTTCCGACCCGTTGGTAGCTTGCCGGCTCCACCAGAGACTTTGGGCTCGGACTCCGAGTCTGAGGGACCTTCATTCAAGGCTCCTGCTGCAGAGAAGGAGCGCAAGCGGAAGCATCATCACACCGAGGCTGAGTCTGGGGAGACTACCCAGGCCGCTAGTCTGCCTAGTCGCAAGAAGTCGAAGAAGCACTCTGCGCCAGAAAATGGCGAGGAGGAGAGCCATAAGAAGTCGAAGAAGTCCAAGGATGGAGAGGAGAAGAAGCGGAAAAAGTCTAGCAAGGCATGATTTGGTATTAAGGGTTTCATTCACATTTTTTCTTGTTTAGCTAAAAGATATCTTTGTTTCATGATATGCAGGTCCACCTCGCAATGTATTCTTTACAACATTCAGCTCTTGTTCCTAGAAGTACTATCGCCTACCAGGAAGCGCCATCGACTTTCGGTGGCTCAAAATTTGACTACTGCACATGTGGTTGATTTAACCTCTACATCATCACATTCAGTATTAAGAACGAATATTGAAATGTCTTAATTGAGCAATAGGATATATCAAATTAGCAAAGTCCAGACTGGAGATTTCAACCAATTGGACAAGCAATGGCATTTAAAGAACGCTGAGGTATCATTCAATGACCGCACTCGGTCAAGTCGGGCCCATTTAAGCATGGTGATGAAGGTTTGTGTGGAAATTCTCATGCACAGAAACCAAGTGCACCTTTCTCCCATTTGGACCCAATACGGCACCCTTCTCATCATCATCGGAGCTTCGCTCTGCGACCTCCCATTCAGTACCGGCAGCCTTCTCCAGGTTCTTACCACGAGTCTCCTTAACGAAGAACCAACAGAACACAGCAGCGAGGAAGTCAAAGCCCATGAAAATGAAGAAGGTGTTTGCTCCAAGGTTGTCGATCATGTATGGACTAGCAAAGGAGAAGCAGAAGGATGTTGCCCAGTGAGCCAGCATACTAACAGCCAGGCCCATGGCACGACTGCGAGTCGGGAAAATCTCGGGTACATATGCCCATGGCATTGGGCCCCAAGAGCAGTTATAAACCTGAGAGATGAGTTAGAGAATCGAGTGATTCAAGAAGGTAGAAGAAGGGGGTATCGAACTCACCATAATGTTGAGGTAAAGCATCGCAACAGTTGCACGTCCGGCAGCTGTGGCTTGGCCGTTGGCGGTGGTATGTGTTTTATCAACAACCACGGCAGTAATCAACATGCAAATGCCCATGAAAATTGAACCTCCGGTCAAAGCCGAGCGACGAGTCAACCGCTCAGAAAGGAAGAAAATGAAGAAAGAGCAAGCAATGACCTTCATGGCTCCGAAGAGAGCGGTCAGTAGCATATCGGAGTCACCACCAGCGACAAGCTTGAAGTACTCCGGCGCGAAGACTGCCAGCGCGCTACTTCCTGTAGCATTCTGGAAAATGAAAAGCATGGGGCCGACGAAGAAACGGAGACGATTGGCAGGCTCGAGGATCTCGCGGAAAGAGAATCCCTCACTCTCGGAGCGCTCCGCCTGCAGTCCCAGCTGCGTTTCGGCAAATTCCTCCTGAGTCTTCAGGTTATCACCACCACGAATCCAAGTAATCGACCCCCATGCTTCTTCGGTACGGCCCTTGGAAAGCAGCCAACGAATCGACTCGGGAAGAGTGAAAGTCAAGATAAATAGAGCACCTCCAGAAACCAGCTGCAGGCCCACGGGGATCTGCCACTCGCGCGTTGTACCGGAAATCGAGTTACTCTGTTCCACACCCTATTTTGGCTGTTAGAATCCATATATCCTTGGAAATCTGATTCATATGACCAATGGGAAATTCTTACATAGTCAACCCAGTACGCGAGGAAAACACCCCATGCATACATCCACTGATAGAAAGAACCGCAACGACCACGGATCTCCTTGGGTGTCATCTCTGCAGAGTACATGGGAATCACGACACTCTGACCACCCATTCCAAGACCAGCTATGACACGACCAACGTACCAAGCAGCCAACGAGTGCGTATTAATGACTTGAATAATGACTCCAACACAGAACAAACCCGTTGAACCGATGATTGTCCATTTTCGTCCAAATTTATTGGTGATTGGGTAGACACATGCGGCGGCGACGAAGGAGCCCATTTGCTCCAAGCCTACCGTAAGCGAGGATACCTTGGACTCATGTCCGGAGGTATAGCGGAAATCAGTCTCGAAGGATTTAAAAGTTAAGATACCACCCGCAATACCGGCGTCATAACCGGACAGGAAAGAAGAAATGCTGTTATGAGGACTATGTCAGCTATACCGGGTCATATATTCGACTTGAAATTTTGGATCGTCAGGAACAAAAACTGACAAGACAATCGCCGCCAAGTGATAGGCACGCCAAGTGCCCAGCCGGGTATTGAGCTCGGGGATAGTAAAAAACCCCATTATTGATTGGAAGCTATAATGTCCCAAGATTTCTTTTTGTAGCACCGGCGATCCTTAACCCTAGAGAGAAGACAGGGAGAAAAAAAGCAAAATAAAATCCTGAACCGGTCCGGAGCTTCGATATAAAAGAATTTTGGCTCGGACCATGTTGATACTGTCACGGTGGTGAGGTGCAGGGGTCATTTTGCGTGCTCTGGTAGTTACGCCAGCCAGATGTGTAGACATCGGGTTTGTTGGTGCGCACGAGCACGCCTTCACACTAAATGATGGTGTTATGGAGCCGACAGGCGAGTTAGTGTAACCATGCAGTCAGGAGAAAAGAAACTTGGTTGGAAGGATTTTAGTACGCGCGTTGTCAATGGACTCATTCAGCCCCAATCTTACCTGTCTTCTCTGATTTGGCTTGGCTGGTCGGTTCTCGGCTACATGTCTTTGACGGAGGGGGGGTCAAGGGGCAGATGGAAGTCTGGGGTTGGCTAGTCGGAGAATTGAGCATAGAATAGCTTGGATGGGGTGATTCAGCCATGATGTGAGTCTATTCAGTTTATCTTCTGATTCATTATTTTTTCCATGTTTTGTTTTTGAAAAAAGAAAGTTATCTAGAACTGTCGGTTCCATGTGGTCTTGTACTACGATCTGGTTACTCCGACGGGATCCACGATGCTTAGCCAATGTCGATCGATCCCCACATATTAAAGTGAGATGTGGGCTTGTATATACTCTGTCTGGAATGTTGATATTATAAGAATATTTGCTTCAAATATTACTATGATATGAGATGATTTCTGTGATTTCTTTGTTACAAGATTCTTTTACAAGATTCAAAGAACTCCATCAGCATCCATGGTTGTATGTGTCTCTTAAGGTTCTAATCCATATAAATTCAAAGTTCCGGGGTCAAAGATGAATTACATAATCACATATCACGTGATATTCAATATGGGAAATCACATGGAAACCATGGAAACCATATGACTAGTCACGTGATCGGATACCTACTCATGGGATCTTGGGACCTTAGTGGTGAGATGACTGCAGTGACTAGGGGAGGTCCTTATGCGCAATCTGTTTGATTGATAACTTTGAGATTTTGAGCCTTCATCTTGAAACCGTCCACTTCTCTCCTCTTCTCTGTGCTGTCTCAACCTCGATTGGTCCGTGAGGTCTAAGCTCCCTGATTCGCTTATCGTTCCCGCAATCCCCTTATCGATCCCGGGGGGTAGCCTGAGGTTGATCCGCCTTTTTTGAATGTTCTTATTGATTTGAATGTGAAGTCCGGAGGAATACATTGCATTCTCACATGTTGCTATGACAGCCTGGATAACATCGTTATTGGGCTGCCCTTGACCGAAGCCCGCCTGACGTGGCCATCCTGGATCGTGATCGCCCTATCAGGCCCAAGCTGTCACCTGCGACCCTGATCTTCCCGCACAGCTCCCTCCCTAAATCATCCCCAACTTGAGGCCATCCTTGCTTTGCATTCTCAACTATCTTCGATCATACCGACAGACCTTCGACCATGAAACCCTCAATAGAAACTGCCAAACGGCGAGCGGACCGAAAGATGAGTGCAAGCATGAAGGTTCCCTCAGCACATCGTCCATCTTCCGATCGGCTTCCCGAACGGTTCAAGGATGGAGATGATGCTAAGTTGGATTTCTCAGCGCCCCCAAAAGGCATGGGATCTCGAGATGGAAACATCCACTACATGCAAACATCTCTTTTTTCGATGATCGCCGCCGTAGGCTCTCGCTCCGACTTTCAGGCCCGATTCGACGATTCCAGCGAGGGTGAAGATGACACTGTTTCTAATGAGAAACAAAGAAAGGATGATGGATCGGACCCAGCCCACGAAGCATCCATTTTGCATCAACCTACCAGTGAGAATATCGGGTCCCAATCTCAATATCTTCCTGAGGAACGAGGTCGTCGTTACCGAAGAAACATAGCGGAGAATAAGTTGGTGCAGAAGTTGGCTGGACGGGTTTCCAAGGACGATGAGTATGAGGCCTCTACCCCTAGTGGGTCAACGCTCATGATACCACCCAGGAGAGCACGCAGTGTTACTCCACGGGCAGCTCCCATTCTTACCAGAATGGTGCGAGCACAGAATCGGTTTGATACAGCCTCTGTGCCCGAGAATCCCCCATCTCGGCCAGACACACCAAGTGAGGAGCAGCCACAAACTGCAGGGTCTGCACTTGCCTCACGGCTTATGGAGATGTTCGGATTTGAGCGCCCGGAAAAGGTATTGGTGGAATACGCCTGTGCATTGCTACAGAGTATGCTTCTTCAGGGCTACATGTATGTCACTGAGGGGCATATTTGCTTCTATGCCTACTTGCCGCAAAAGTCAAAAGTAGCTATCAGATCAGGGTATTTGTCGAAAAGGGGCCGACAGAATCCCAAGTATAACAGGTACTGGTTTGTTCTGAAAGGAGACGTCTTGTCGTACTATGCCGACCCCTCGAACCTCTACTTCCCCAGTGGCCATGTGGATCTTAGATACGGTATCTCTGCATCCCTTGTGGAACCAAAAACCCAAGACGCGGAGGTCAAGGACTTTCAGGTAAGCACTGACCAGCGGACTTACTACTTTCGTGCCGATAGCGCCACAAACGCAAAAGAGTGGGTCAAGGCACTACAAAAGGTCATTTTTCGATCTCACAACGATGGAGATAGTGTCAAACTATCATTCCCTATCCATAGTGTGATTGATCTAGAAGAAAGTCCACTGGCCGAATATGCAGAAACGCTCAAAATCCGGGTTTTGGACAGTAACGAGGATTATGCGATTGATGAAGTAAGCCTCCTTTGATCCGTGAAATGACGAACTATACTGATATTTTTGGCACTTAGTATTTCTTTACGTTCTTCAAGGAAGGTCAGGAGGCATTCAATTATCTGAAAAGCCGAGTGAGCTTATCCCCTGCAAGGAATTTGTCTGAAAACTCGCGAGATGCGAACCTTGAACTCGATGCAACCGTCGCAGATTTGAGGAAGCTCTCGCCTCCTGTCAATCAAGACCAAGGGTCACGAACACGGAGTGAGAGTATTAGCAACGATCAACAGGATTCCGCAGATTCCTTCGCTCATTCTGCGGATCAAGGAACAGATTCATCGCATATCATACAATCAATCACCGAAACAAACGAGTCGGCGAGTCAGATCCTGAATCACAGCGATGTTTTCCAATCACCAACTATGCGGTCTTTACCCAGACGCTCATCCGATGTTGGTGATGCCAGTCGACGCCGCTCTGATGATACGGCTCGATTTAATGTTGGTCGATTCGGCTCCACCACCCGCCAAGATGCCACTGGTTCTCCGGACCCAAGGCTTTATTCCCAGAATCAATCTTCCAACATTCCCTCAAACGAATCTGCTAAGCTGGGTACATATCCCTTGCAGCGCGCCGCTGGATTTGCCGAGTTCTTGAAAAGTAGATCCAAGCAGATGAGTAGCTTGCTAGCAACGGAATCCATGGGCTATCTTGAAAAAGTATCCGGCATGTGGATCGGAGGACAGAAGCATTATGGAGAGGCCGAAGGCGTGATATCGGGTGATCGGGGTCTTGACCCTGAAGGGGAAGAGGAAGGCAGTTCCACCCATGGTGATCGATTCCGAGCTCATTTTGCGTTGCCGTCATCGGAAAGGTTGCAAGCAACTTATTATGCTTACTTGCACCGAATGCTTCCGCTGTACGGCAAGATCTATATCAGTGAGAGAAAACTGTGCTTCCGCAGTTTGATCCCTGGTACCCGGACGAAGATGATCTTGCCTCTCCGAGACATTGAGAACGTTGAAAAGGAGAATGGTTTCCGATTCGGTTACCATGGCCTGGTTGTTATCATCCGAGGTCACGAAGAGCTTTTCTTCGAATTCAATGCGTCTGACGCTCGCGATGACTGCGCAGTGACACTCCATCAACATCTTGAATCGGTCAAGTCCTTAATGGAGTCGGGTCTACTAGCGGAAGAGGAACGCGACGAAGTCGAGGCAGCAAAGGCAGAGCATCGTATGCTGGAGGAAGCCCGGCTTGATAATCCTGAAGAGCATGAATCTCACCCGACTATTAATGAAGACTCGTCTGAGATTCGCCCTTTCTTTGATGATCCGCGTGCCTCCATCATTAACTTCAAGCCCCCTCAGCCCCTGAGAATCACCTGTCTGACCATCGGTTCTCGAGGTGATGTTCAGCCATACATCGCTCTGTGCAAAGGGCTTCTAGCAGAGGGTCACATCCCGAGAATTGCTACTCATAAGGAATTTGAGCCCTGGATTCGGAAGCATGGCATTGATTTTGCTCCCATTGTTGGTGACCCTGCAGAGCTTATGCAGATCTGTGTCGAGTATGGGATGTTTACATACTCTTTCCTTAAAGAGGCCCATCACAAGTTCAGAGGCTGGGTTGACGAGCTCTTATCATCTGCGTGGGCTGGTTGCCAAGGAAGTGATCTTCTGATCGAGTCCCCCAGTGCGATGGCTGGGATACATATCGCCGAAGCTCTCCGGATTCCATACTTCCGTGGGTTTACCATGCCATGGTCGAGAACACGCGCGTACCCGCATGCATTTGCTGTGCCCGAGAATCGTATGGGTGGGTACTACAACCACATAACTTATGTGATGTTTGACAACGTTTTCTGGAAGGCAATTGCAGGTCAGGTAAACCGTTGGCGGAAGAAGGAGCTGGGACTCAAAGCGACCAACTTGGACAGAATGCAACAGAACAAGGTTCCATTTCTGTACAACTTTTCCCCTTCGGTGGTGCCACCGCCTCTCGATTTTCCTGAGTGGATCCGCATCACAGGTTACTGGTTTCTGAACGAGATCTCAGATTGGACTCCCCCTCCTGAGCTTTTGGATTTCATCAAACGAGCTCGTGCTGACGGTAAGAAACTTGTGTACATTGGCTTTGGATCTATTGTGGTCTCTGACCCTGCTGGTTTAACAAATACCGTCATTGAGAGTGTTCAAAAGGCGGATGTTCGGTGCATTCTCTCCAAGGGATGGTCAGATCGGATACCTGATGCCTCTGGTAAAAAGACAAAGGAGATTCCTCTACCGCCATCAATTCACCGAATTAATTCTGCCCCGCATGACTGGCTATTCTCGCAAATTGATGCTGCGGTACATCACGGAGGAGCCGGAACCACGGGGGCAAGTCTTCGAGCCGGAATTCCAACTGTCGTCAAACCGTTCTTTGGGGACCAGTTCTTCTTCGGTGGCCGAGTCGAGGACCTGGGTGTGGGTATATATATGAAGATGCTCAATGCCAGTGTTTTAGGCCGGTCATTGTGGGAGGCTACGCATAATGAGCGAATGATTGTCAAGGCTCGTAACTTGGGTATTCAGATTCGCAACGTAAGTTGATATATAACTTTTTCATATATCATGATCCTAACGACTCACTTTTCATTTATAGGAGGATGGTGTTGCTACTGCTATCCAGGCTATCTACCGTGATTTGGAATACGCCAAAACGCTTGCACGACAACGCTCGAATTTCTCAGCCACTCCTTTCTCTCCAACTCCATCCGCTCAAGCATCGCCAGATCATGCCGATGATGATGACATCGATGATATCGAGGAGTGGACTTTTGTAGGTGATGAAGTCGATCTTTCAAAGCGAGTCCGTGATCGAGCTGCCTCGGCCGCTTCGGAGATCTAGCATGTTCCTTGGTGACTCCCCGCTACAGGAAATTCATAAGATCATTTCTCTTTTTCTTTTTTATGTTCCTTTTCTTTGAGCATTTTCAAACTGTTCTTCTGCTCACTTCATTGATTTTCACGTTTAATGACTCAATGCTGATTCCATGATTCATGAATGCATTCGCTCTGATTCTCGTTATGGAGTTTGGGTTTCATTTTGCGCTAATTATCTTTCGGCTTTTGATTTACATTTGTTTCTGATTTAATCTACCAGTTTTTCTACCCATACCTAATTCATGTTACTAGACGGCACCTACTTTAGCGATAGTTTTGAACTTGAAGCAACGCATTTACTGAAATTTACTTAGCATTCTCATTGCTGACAACCTTGCAAGTCGTAACGCCGCGCGAGGCAGCGACATTATGAAAGCTCTGTCTGGACACCCTACACTATCCTGATCATACCCAGGAATTTCACTTGCAAGCCTGGAAATTAAAGAGCCTGAGGTCAACTGGTTGGAGCTGCACATGTCTGGGACATTTAATAAATTATTGTCATGATAGGAATTGAAGCTCTAATGAAGTCACATCTAATCATCATAAGGGCACATGGGTCAAAGAGATCCAAGTCATCGCTCATTTTCTTGTTCTGTTCCCTGTGAAATCTGACTACCATAAGCACGATGTTGAAGCAGAACCTCAAACCCCAGTACCATCATCAAAAACTGAGCAAATCCAGTTGGGTTATCTTGTGGTCTTTGGCCGAAAGAAGGGTTCAGAGTACCGGTAGGTCGTCGCTCAACCTCTGATCTCGTTAATGTTACTTTATTATGTTTGTCTAAGAGCTTTTAGGACTCACTGTTGGATAATCTTGGGTCCTGCATGGTTTTCAATGTATATAAGGTCAAAGTTTCTCGGTTGGTTCAAGTTTGAAGTTGGATTTTGGTGTAGCCTCTAGGTGGTCTTGAGTATATCGGATGACTGGAAAGAATCCTAATAGTCAAACTTGATCTATGAATTCAATAATGAAGATACTGCGAGTTTTAGCGGGGAAACTGCCAGTGCTTTAATATGGAACATGTACCAGTATGGATGATTTGTATCCACGTACGTCATGGTGCATGTACAACACATGGCTTTCACTCGCATGGACCCCATGACTCGGATTTATGATCTGTTTGAATGTCATAGCTAACAGCTCATTCGGTTATGCCGCCCATTTCAAGTTAGATTGCGTACTTTGTTCTTGTACATATGGGGGCCATTGATCCTGCGATCACGGGGTCGAGTCAGTCCTCGATAAGTTCAAATGTTAGTATGGATCTCGCAGATCTTATGGTTTTCACTACTATTCTCCAGCTAAGGAAAGTTCTAACTTTAAGATTTGACTTGTTCTCACTCGATAAGGACTCCTCGTTTCAACTGGGCAGGTGTTCATGCGATGTATAGAGGCAATTCCGGTACATTTCTCTTCACCACCAAGTCTTTTCATAATAGACTTCAACTTCCTCCTCACACTTCCTAATAATTTCAAAAGGCGCATTTCGTAAAACCCTCTCAGAATCTCCATTCTCAGCCCATGAAACTTCCACCGAGAAGTCCGGAATCCAGTCCATCTTCATAAGCGGCATCAACAAATTTTCTTCCGTGGGTGATGGTAGCCCTTCCTCATTTTCAACGTACGCTTCTATCGTACATTGGAATCGCACTTTTAATTCGCGTAGACCCTTCATTTTAGCGACGATGTCCCACGTATGCTGTGGTAAAGGTTCTTTCCAAGATCCAGATGCGAGAGCGAGGTCTTTTCTGTGGTATTGGAGATAGCTTTGCATCGTAGTGAGGGTTATAGGTATTTCCAAAGACCTAATCGCGAGGAATCTTTCAGGTAAGAAGGTTTGTTGTAGTGATTGTGGTAAGGTGAATGCTGGATGATTATTGTCTAATAGCCGGATAGTGTTCCCGGAATAGAGAATATCAATAGCTTCGGAGTAACTGTATACTCAAGTTAGCGATACTCATGAAGATATGAATGGATAATTGAGTACATACATCTTTCGACAGGTTAAAGGGAGAGAAAGGTTCCCCGTCGCACTAATAATGGGGTCCGAATTCCGCCACCGATGCCAGCGGGGCATGAAACAACCGTTAATATTCATGAGACGCGGTAAAAGGTCTTCCGTAGGAGCAGATGTATGCTGGAATCCATCATTTGATCTCCAGATTCGAGTAGTCTTGTTTCCAAGGACATGAAGATAGATCTGAAGTCGGATTTCCGGTGGAAGATGATTCAAAAACAGACATTGGGACTGGTCCTCTGTTTTGGGTTGTTTCCACGATTTCCAGTTCCATCTCGTCCCGGTGTTCTCTGGTAATGGGAGAGTCAAAGCTCTTTTTCGAGGTAAGGGCGTTTCAATGCTCTGGAAGGGTATATTCCAGTGCTTGCCACGAGCGAGATCGAGTAAAACAGGTGAAAGGTAATAATAAGAAGAGACTAGAATATCGACGAAGGTATTAAGGGTCCATTTTGACTCGGACTCGGACACGGACACGATGTGTTTTTCTTTGGGTTCCATGGCCCTGTAAACTCGGAATCGAAGAGAGTAGTTTCATTCTCGAGCTATCAATATGGGCGCATGTGCAAGCACTTGAATAAAAAAAAAGGGGGGGAGTATGGGCGTTTTTAAGCTCTCGATCCTTAAGGACCCACATTGTGCCGTTGAGGCCGTTGAATGCGGGTCGACTTAGTCTCCAGATGGCCATTGATCCGATCGAGCGGATCGAACGGATACGAGGTTCTAACCGAAATTGACAAGATCATCTAGATTTATATTTATAAAGATAGGGGATACCAATATTTCTTCTCTTGGTAGTTATGAAGAAGATCAATGAACATTTGAAGCTGAAGAAATACTAGTTCTTCATCCCTTGTACGGGGTACAGCAACATTACATTTGAAACCCGTCGGAATTTACCCCTGTGTTTGTATTCCTTTAGCAACATTTGAATTTCATGTTTGGGGATCTGGTCATTTCCGATTCTCTATTTCCAGACGACATAGCAGCGACATTGGATGCAAAATGAACTAGGATTCACACATGGGCAAGTCTAATTACCACAAGCTGATGAGAAATGTGAATATTTTCATTCATATCAATGCATAACTTGATCGTCATTGCAATGATAGTTTGGAAATTTTTGATGTTTACTCTCTAGTCTGGAAGGTAGTTCTTATTTTAACCAGTTGGTGTGCTCTGCTCCACAGAGACTATGATAAATGTGTTTTTGGTCCTGGGTCATTCGCCCGAAACAAACCAGCTATCTTCTAATAGTTCCTTAGCAGAATGCCGATCTCTGGGGTCAAATTTCATGACCTTAAGCACAGACTCCTTTTCTTCATTGCATATCTCTTGTGAGGTCGTGAGACGGAAAGGCCTCATAGTGTTCGGATGACAATTTTGCATAACCCAAATGAGAACTGCTCGTCGTTCTAGGTTTGCTATTTCATCGTACGAAGCGGGAAACGGTCCGAAACACTGATGATGCTTCATGAGGATCTTCAGATCGTAATCTTCGTGATCAACAGGGACATCAGGTTTGAAAATGTGGAAGCCCTCCCCGTAGAGTAGACTTATAAGCTATACACCAATTAGATCAAGGTAGGTAGAAGAATGTTTGGGGATGGAAAGGCTTGCCATTGCTCCAAAAGATCATATATTAGTAGATGTATCCTATCTCATCTGTAGATGAGCCTCTGGGCTTCTGAAAACTGGAGTCACGATGGAGTCTCCATCACGAGCATGAGCAGAATCCAAGTGCGCTGTGCTTCCGAAGTCTGCTAATTGGACCTCTTTGAACCTGGGTTCACCTATTCCATAATTGACTAACACATTGCTTGGCTTGATGTCTGTATATGAATAAGTTAGCGAGATTCAGGATGTCAGTTACGAAAAACTTGCCTGTATGAACAAACCCTTCTTGGTGAAGAATAGATAGCCCCTCTAACACACGTCGAGCGATGTACTTCACTTCTGCACGGGCGAGACGTTTTCTATTAGATGCATGTAAGATATCACCCTCTAGATATCTCAGGACGATCGCCGGTAGAGAAGCAGGGTCTTGAATTTCATCTAGTAGGGGCCGTAAAATCGGAGTTTTGTGCTGAAACCGCAGTAGGACGTCTCTTTCGTTATGAATACGAAAATGGTTGGCACATTTGACGATGACACTGTCATTTTCTTGGTTTCTGTGGTCCGCAACGATTAGAAGTTAATCTCAACTAGACTAGTAAGAAAACATACTTTGCAAGCCAGACACTCTCGTGAAGTTGCTTAGTGATAGTATATTGGCCCGTTCGCCCTCTGATTATCTGCCTTAGGTTCATCATGACAACCATCAAGGCTGTTAACCCGACTGCAGAAGACCCGATGGTAGAGGAACAGATTTGAGACAAGTCAAAAGGAAAAGAAAGGAGGAGGGCACGAGAGAAGGGGTGGTAGTAGACTTAGTAGTAGTATTGTTGTTTAACGTCCGGAAAGGGGCCTTGGCGAAAGCCAAGGGCCCGGCACCTACATAATGAGATACTTACGTTTATAGTCTGGTAGAAACAAATCAGATCAAAGAAATTTTCAAAAACACAGAGAACCACTCAAGCAAAATAGTGTGGCATTAGGCCAGTTGTGTACCCAGCTTCCGACATGTAAAGCAAGGATACATCTGTCGATTTAGATATTCCCTTTACTGGGTTCATAGTGTCTGCAAGTTCTTCAAATGCATATTGAGATAAAAAGAACTTTGTTGTTAACTCTGCATTGCTTTAAATGCTCTGTCGAGCCTTTAGGCAATTAAAGTAAATATGGCAGTTTTGCTTCAAACTTGAATGTTGCTTGTTGCAAAAGTATACTAGATACCTGAGTATAAGGCAAAGGCCCAGAGTTACAGTGGAATGGATACTAATAACATCTCAAGAGTAGACTACATACTACTTACTAGTAGAGCTGGAGGAAGGGAATTCAAGTTCTGAAAATAATTTATTATCAATTCCAAGGTTATTATTCACTAAATAGTAAGGGTAATTCACATGCATATTCGACTCAGAATAGTCTCCAGATCAGACCAGACGAAATAACAATTTCGCTAATGGTCAGGAAATATCATTCCTTCAGGATTTCGGGCTGCTATAAGATAAAGTGTTCCATTTATCTTAAGTTGCTTGAGCAAATCTAGTGAGTAATTAGTACATACCCCTGAACGAAAGGCGAGGATTCACATTTACTCAGGCGATTCGGACACATCAAGTTACATGCTTCTGGCTACAGCATCGTTTTGTAGAGTATTGCATCCAGTGATAGTAAAAGATAACACCGTATTTTGAGAAATTGAATACCTAGTACGCAAATTTGTGATTTCTCTGATTTCTCAAATTACATACCACAATTATATCCATTCCATCACCGTACTGCTCTCTTAAAAGTCTATTCCTTGGTACCAAGAAATATTGAGGAACTTAGAAGTGATTATCATTTTATTCTTAGATACAATCAATTATCAGTATATCACGACTGTATCTCAACCAGGTCGCGACTTCTCATCATCATCATCTCCTTTGCCCTCAGCCTTCTCTTTCCGCCGTTGCACCACATCCCAGTTGTACACACGAGCTGTAGCAACTTCCAGCGTCTAAAAACAGTCAATATAACTCCATACACACATCATTCAAGAATAACGTACCGTAATCTGCTCACGCAAGAACTCCAGGTCCTCCTCGCAGTTAGCCAGACTCGTCTCCGCCGCAGAGAGCTTCTCTGACAACATGTTCTCGGCTTCATCCAGCGGGTACGCCAACATGACATTGGCTCCAAGCCAGAGGTAAACTTCTTCCGTATCAGCCGGGGAGATAGAAGCACGCGCGTAGAGGGTATCATTGAGTTCAAAGTTTGTTTCGATATCGGTATCCGGGTTGGACTAGTATGAAAAAATTAACCCTGTTGAGAGTATTGCTTTCCTGGTATTGCAGCTTACCTCCTTGCGCAACTTCAGGAATCGCACCATCTCCAATGTCTTCTTGATATCCGGGATCTTCTCCCGTAGTCCCTGCCCGCGCTTCTGGCTGTTCACCTCCATGAACTGGTACTTGGAGATCATCTCCTGGAATCTGCGGAGAGTTCCCTCAACCTCTGCGCGAGAGGAGACATACTCGTCGACATTGTCGATAAAAGGCGCGACGGGGATTCCCCGCGCGTTGGTTTGCGCTGTTACCGGGCTGTGATGATGGAGGGGTTAGTTAGGAGGTTTGGAGAAGAGTACGGGATGGGGAATCAAAACTAGAACAATGTCGTTCCTGATAAATAGAATTGAAATAATCTCAATGCGAAATACTTACCCTTTGGATTTGGAGTCTGCCATGGCTGGGCGCTGGGAGTGTGGTTGCAAGAATCCCAGAACTTAGAAGTGGGGAGAGCTGCTTTCTGTTCTGCCCGAGTTTCTCTTCCGCTCGTTTCTCCGCTGCAAGCTGCAGCTCCATGCAAGTTGCTTTCACCCCAAACAACTTGACATTTATTCTTCTGTTTACTGTATCCGATGGTCCTTCTTATCGCAACTGATCGTATTCTCTCGGCCCTCGAGGCTATCCCCGAGTCTCGTCGCGATGATCTTAACCTCCCTACCGCGCTAGATCTCCATGGCCCGATTGCTCATGATCAACTCCTGAGAATATCAAAGCACCTCCAAAATGATACAGAGTACGATTCCGCGGACTGTGGTGTCTCGGCTACGGATCCTACAATCCTGAGTGCTCTTTTAAGAGGAACAAAGGTCTACGTTCCACCACCACCAAAGAAACCCGAACCAGTATGTGTCCATCACCTCCATATTCCCTTACGCATTATACAATTGTACTTACAATTCCATAGAGTCCCGAATACCTCGCCTCAAAAGCGCGCCTCCTCGCCGCAGCCGAGAAAGAAGCCTACCAACGCCTCTTAAATCCAACATACAAACCCAATATCGAGTCCACGGATCCATACACAAATGGCCAGAATGAGGTCATCGCTGAAGATACATTAACCCCTTCGCTCGTCCTAAATATCTTCTTATCAGTCATTATCACCGGCTTCGCTGTCTACTGGGCTCTAACGAGTTTCGGTATGCCGGGTATCCTGGCCTCGATCTTTACTGCGTTAACGGGTCCGCCCGTTGGATTAGAAGGTGATATACGTGCGGCGAGAGAAGCGGTTGGTGCATCTGATGCTGTGAGAGTTCTCTTATCGCTGATTGCGGCGTTGAGTGTTGCTGTTGCGGAGTCTTTTCTATATGCTCTTTATCTTGGGAAGGTTGAAAAGGCTAGGATGGTGGAACGGGCACGTAAGGAGGAGAAGGTTGTTATTGGGCCTGTGGATGAGGATCAGAGTGAACAGACTGATGTGAAACCTGTTGAGTCTGTTGTTGTTAGTGAGAAGGAGGAGATTTGGGGGAAGGGTGTTAATGGAGGTGTGAGGAGGAGAGTTAGAGAGAAGTGGGAGAAGGAACAGAATGCCCAAAGTAAGGAGTCATGAGGGTCTTTTCTGTTTTCTAGATTTATCTTGTACATTACATTATACCCATTTAGGTTCATTTAGGAATCAATGTTTGAAATGCTTTTTGTTGATTTCTATGCTAAGCTACAACGCGCTGTCATTACTCTAACGGGTATGAATGCTGGTCAGTCATTAGTGTGCTCGTCACAACGTGACACCGAGGACGAGATGCAGGGTGGAATAAAAGATAAAAAATGAAGATGAAAAGCGAGGCGACGAAACCTGCCAGGAGGTCAACTTGTCCCAAATGGAGACAAATGAAATGCAGAAATGAAAGTTGAGATATGAAAAAAAAAATTCAAGGGTACTAAACCCGTTTCTCAAGGAGTAGCTTGCCAGCTGGGGCCTTGTCACCGAAGTTATGCTCACGGCTGAAGACACGGTCACCACGCAGCCAAGTCTCACGGACCATACCGCGCAGGGTCCGGCCCTGGTATGGAGAGCACTTGTTGCGGAAAAGCATCGTGCTGGGCTCAACAACCCACTCGGCGGAGTCATCGAAGACACAGATATCGGCGTCGAAGCCAGGGCGGAGGTCACCCTTGCGGGTCTCGAGACCAACCTGAGCGGCAGTGTTGGCACAGCAGAGACGGACGACGTCTTGCAGAGCGTTCCTGGTGTTCTCGTCACCAGGGGCAGGGGTCAAACCCTTACGACGGCTCAATTCAGTCCAGAGGATAGGCAGACCAAGACCAACGGATGAGATGCCACCCCAAGCGGAGAAGAAATCACCGCTTTCTTCCTTGGCACCCTTCACAGCGCCAGGCACGTGGGAGGGAAGTTGCTTCAAGTCGGGAGTGCAGGGGGAGTGGTCAGAGACAACAGTCTTAATAACACCATCACCGGTGTGCTTCTCAAGCTCCTCCCACAGACCATCCTGGTTCAGTTTGGAGCGAATAGGCGGGCAGCACTTGTGTCGAGTGTCACCATCACGCACCTCTTCGGCGGCGAGGGATAGGTAGTGGAAGCAGGTCTCTGCGGTAATCTTGACTCCACGAGCACGGGCTTCCCGCAAAAGAGGGATGGCTTCCATAGCCGAGAGGTGGACAATGTGCAATTGAAGGTTGGGGGCCAGGTGAGCCATGGACAAGATACTCTCAATAGCGCATGTCTCGAACTCCGAGGGGCGGGAAGCCAAGAAGGTCGAGTAGGCCTCCAAGGGACCAGCTGGGACAGCCGGTGGCTCAGAGATCTGGACCTCGTCACCCACGGACTTGGTGATGGGTGGAACCATCTCGGCGTGGAACATAAGTGTTGTGGGCTCATCTGATAGTTCAACCATAGCCTTTTGGATATCTTCTTGGCCAACAGCAGGGAACTCATCAACCTATTGGCAATTGTTAGCTACATGAAATAGTAAGCAATGAATACGAGGTGACTTACACCACTGTCAATCAAGAAACCCTTAAAACCACGGACACCCTCGTTCACGAGACCCTTAAGTTCGGCAGCGTTGCCGGGGATGATACCTCCATAAAAGCCAACATCAACCCAACACTTGCCCTGGGCAGCCTTAAGCTTTTCCTTTAAGCCAGCAACAGTGGTTGTGGGGGGAATAGCATTCAGAGGCATGTCAATGACAGTAGTAACACCGCCAAAGGCAGCGGCCTGGGTACCAGTGTAGAAACCCTCCCATTCAGTACGGCCAGGCTCGTTCAGGTGAACATGAGCATCGACCAAACCAGGCAAAAGTACATAAGGAGAGTAGTCGGTGTAAGGAGTACCAGCGGGGAACTCCGATGAAGGAATCACTGAATCAAAGACTGCAGTGATCTTTCCAGTAGTCTGAGAGATGACAATTGTAGCCGCAGTCAAACGACCCGAGATAACGGCACGCGATGAAGCCACCACGGCAATCGAAGGGATGTTAGCTGTCGCCATAGTAGTTCCAAAGGGAGCTTGATTTAATTCCTTGATCTCTCAAATGAATCCCAAATAGACTAGTAAATAAGTCTAGTGAATAAGTCGGGAGTGGCGGCAAATAGAATAGATTGAAGGTGGAGAGAGCCGAAGGTTCTGGGGAAGCTAAGTATATAAGAAGAATAGAGTGCAGATACAGTAGCCAATAGATAGGACTGGATAGCACACGATAACAGAGGGGGCAATAAAAAGTAAAGAATGAGGCTTATCTTAAAGCACTTGAGACAAAAGTAATAATAAGAATTTCACAAAGATAAGGGTGATTGAAGCGGATATAAATAACAGATCCCACCCGGCCCTGAAAAATTCCCAAATCCCTTTTTGGCCTTTTTTTGGGGGGGATGGGGGCCCCGGAGAACTGCGCGATCCACTCCTCTTAGGAAAATTCAAGCGGGTAAAGAAATGAGTTGAGATATCCACCTGGGGAGTTCCACCCCGGTATTGTGCCGAGTAGAGGTCCGGAACGTTGGTGATTACTCGATAATTGGCAAATTGATGGCTAATCGCTCAAAACACGAGCCAGTTAGGATGATTTATGCAACCTGCAGGACCGTGCTTCATGACCATTCGGCGAATACCTTCACCTTTACCTAATTTGGAGTCAAAAGGGATATATATTCCTTGTGAAGATCTTCATCCCCTCTTGGTCGAGAGTCTGGGTCAGGCATTGCCCAGGCATTAGATATACTGAACAGTCAGCAGAACAAGATATGAACCACGGTTCACCGCAACATAAAAATTTGAAAGGAGGCGAACAAGGAAAAGAATATGGTTGGACGAGAGATATCGGTTATCGATCAATATGCAGAATGCCAACTGGGCACCCGATACTTTGATTACGAAAAGCATCGGGCACCTCCGACGTTTGGAATCTGCAGTATCGGCGGCTTATCACTGGATGCTTGGATACCGAAAATCCTCTTTATCAGCCACCTTACTCGATCAAAACTCTCCGTGTTGCTCCGGTGGTTTTCTGTTACTCGATCAAAACTCGAAGACCCCGGAGTTCATAATTTGGAGGTCTGGATTCTTTGCCGTGTCTCCGAAAGCGCATGTCTCTCTTCTCGGCTCCCCTCATTTAGTCTTTGCTCTCCCGCGGATTTCACACTGCGGCGGCCTCCGATAAATGAGGGGCAGTGCAATTCTCATCGAGTAAAAAAAATGCCCCTCTTTCAACTGTGGCAATTTCAAATGATTCAAAGATCATCGCGGATGACAGTGATGGTGGAGAATATCATGATAGGATGATGAGGAAAGATCAGGAAGGACCACGCAAGACCAGGTGATTTGGCGGGGTTGAAGTACCCTTTACATTGAATTTGAGTGTCACCAAATCAAGAATCAGATGCTTACTGATTACGCCATTTCTGCCCATTTCTCGACAACTGTTGGCTGCTATGCAGAGATCAGCACTTGGTCATATCCACATCCTTCATTGCTTAATGCGACTGCAACTGGATTAAATCTGAACATTCTACAAGTCTTCGAATGATCTTATCGCAAATGTATACGGATTATCGCGGGTATATCAACTAATGGATCAAGACATACTCTCGACGAATATCAATCCCTGAGATCTATGGCTTCAATAGTACAGAATCTCCTGAACAGACTAACATTCAAATGTTCTGGAGCTTGAACTAACTAGATTGCAAATTGCATACTTATCATCTACAGCTGGAACCTTTGAATCATCAATTGACATTTGGTTGGGCTACTGCTTACGTGTATCTTGTACATCTTCATCATTCCTCAGATAACTGTATGATAATTAAACTGAATATCACTATTGGTCGCACTCATTTTGAAAAAAAATTAAGCTCCTCTGCCGATACGAATAACCAGAAGTTAAAGAATATGCCAAAAAAAACAACAACAACAACATCAGGATACGCGAGCTTCACGTGGAAAAGGGAGAATCACGCCACATTGGTATCAACGACCTTGAGATTCTCCATCTTCTGAGAAATATCCGCCGGTTCTTCATCGCTCTTCGCATTTTCATCCTGCTTGATCTGGTTGTCCGGAGCATCGTCCTTCAACTTTGCAGCGGTTTCCAACTCCTGCTTCCATTCAAGATCCTTAGCCTCAGTATCTTCCTCGTGATCCTTGGCCTGCTCTTCAATCTCGCGACGCATCTGGTCGTCCATGTCATCCGCACATAGCATCACATGCTCAGAGTGCTCCGGATCCTTGTAGAGGGTGTCAAGCCACTGGAGCATATCCTTCCAAGCGACAGGAATGATGCATTCCGAATTCAGTTTTTCGCCAGAGGAGTAGCAGTTGCAGCCATAAAGCCGGTAGCCAGCCTGGGTAGTGCCCAGGGGATCATCTGATACAACGTAGGCACGGCAGCGCGAGGCAATAAACGAGGTGAAGGACAGAGGATCACCAATTGTGCCCATATCGAGGTCAGAGTAGGTTGTCTGTTGTGGGTCACCGAGGCAGATACCGGAGATATAGGGCTGCCAGACATGCCCTAGTATACTTGGTTAGTGTTAATCAACCAATAATGTTAGAATGAGCATTTACAGTCTACCTGGAGGTACTTCAGAGCTGCCAGTCCACCCTCCGACATACCGATGACATCAATGCGGGTCTTCTTGCCATTCACATACGGCCATAATACCTTCTTGAAGACATACTGCACATGCTGGGACCAGTCATTGTTGTGAGGGATCTTGTTGCGCCAGCTCATGGTAGGTTGGCCCCAGTTTCCATAAGGACGAGGGCTAGCCAGCCAGGTTTGCTGGGTCACAGCGCGCTCCGAGGCACAATGCCAAATCAATTGTCCGGTATTCGCGATGATGAGGCCAACGTCATTTTCCATCTTCTCACCCAGGACAGCCTTGGTTAAATTGACTGCAGAGCCATAGTTGATGCCTTCATGGATGGACCGATAGGCCCAGATCCCGAGATCCTGGTTAGGCTCGCCGCAGACAACGATGATACGAGACTTCTTGGAAATATTTTTCGAGACGAGGATAGGCACAGTCGTGTCGTTCGGAGGACTGCAAAGTGGAAGAGGTAGAATTTGGAGACCTGCATCCTTCAGTCGTTCCAGGACCATGGGGCGGATACACTCTGGAGCTGCATTAGCTTGTTCATACCAAATTAAAATCCATGACGACATCTTACCATTGATAGCCTCACGGTGCTTGATGTTGAAGCGATCATTGCGGTTGACCTTGTACTTGAATCCTTCCTCTGGGTTGTCGATCTGACGGATTTGGTCTTGGGCGTTCAGGAAATACCTATGGTAATCTCCAGGTTATCATCAGAGTCATCGTAATTTGAAAGTAATACTTACCCCAGACTCTTGAGATCCACAGGAAACGTGGGGTCGGGAGGCAGATCGTCGTTGCGGTAGACGTACATCTCTGTAGACGATGTTCTCGAGGTCGAATTAATTAATGGAAGTGTGATTTCCAGAGGGGGAAATACGAACTGAGTGATGGGGTGAGAGAAGAGAAGAAGAAAAGGTTGAAGAAGGAATAGAAATAAGGCAGGTGAGTTAGATGGCGTTGCCTTTCATGTGCCTTTGAACTACACTGCTGAGGAAACAGCCTTTTAGTAATGACTGACTTAGGTAGTCAACTACCAAGCTGAAAACAAGGCAACAGTAGACTACTATTGAGTTAAGGTCTCTTATGAATAGAGCACTTGAAGATTATGAGTAAGAGAAAGAGCGAATGCAGAATGCGAAATGGTATGAGCATACTTTACAAGCTTCAAGCGAAGCAAAACAGGAGAACGCCACCAAACCCAAGACTTTCTAATAAACCACCTGGGCAGAAATTGTACATTCCCATTTACCAACTAGCCTTCTTGACACCAGGAAGATGACCGGCAAGTGCCTGCATACGGAATTGGTACTGTGAAAGAAATGCCATTAGTTCCAGTTCTCCAATTATAATAAAATAATGGCATTGTAACTCACTCGGTTGAGTCTGAAGTCGCGGATCACACTGCGAGCATGTCCTGATGCTACACAGCGGTTCTTAATCTGTGTTGGGCGAGTGTAGGCGTGCATCTGGGAGAGTTGAAGCTGGGCTTGAGCGCGCACACGGCCAGGAAGAGAGGTGTTGCGGATCATGTAGCGGAGGGCTTGGCTATAGTGAAAAATTGGGTATTAGAGCTGAAACAATGAATTGAGTGCCAGGAAAAGTATTCCCATAGCTGCGGGCTCGAGTCCGGGAGACGGCTTACCGTTCAGGCTCATTCTGCTCAACAGCCATGCGCTTGTTGTTGTCACGGATCACTCGGATGTTGGTGAATCCAGAGAGGTTCAACCTCTTGGGGTGGAATAGGGAGGCGACCTTGGACATTGTGGGTGGGATATTTGAGCAAAGGTCACAGGGCTGGAGAAGGAAGAAGATCGCGATGTTGCCAGGCGGAGTTGGTGAAAAGTCCTAATTGGGTTTAGCGTATATAATGTTGGAATATGCCAAATTCCAAATTCCAAACTCCATAAAATTCAAGATGATATTCAAATCTTCTTTTATTTGGAAAAACATATGCAGAATCTCTTTATCAGGACGGATTCATTCAGACTATGCAACTCTTCATATTGAAGTAATCAATAGGTAGAAGCATGAGTGCTGGCTATATGCCGAACTCCTCCGTGCTCACCCGCCATTCCTGTTGAGTGGTTAATTTGGAATTTTAAAACTGACTATAGCAGACTTAGTATTATGTACTTGAGTGTGAGGACTAATTGATTGTAGCTTTTCGGTCAGGACTTGAATAACTAGATTCAGACTGGGCCGCTTAGTTGGGTGTAACTGCCGACCTCGAGACCCCCGGGGCTATCTATGCATTACTATAAGCCCAGCCCTCAAAGAATATAAGAAAGTACTATAGTCCCAATAGAAAATATGATTCTTTTACCTTGAATATTTGAAGTGCTCCTATTGATTGTCATTGGCCTCTTGGTTCACCTGCTTGAATCAACTTTATCCAGCATACCAGTTGACCAAAATTGACCTCGCACCTCAAAGCAACATCATGACTAGTAAACTGCCCAGGTAATACCTAGGTAGTTTGAAATCATCATGATGCGATGATTGATGCCAGTGGGAAATTCTACTAGTATTTTGGCATAAGTAATATTAGTGTGACTTCCTTGGCTCTATTGTTCGGGCCACCAAGTGACTCCACAATCATTTGACGGCAATTTCCGTGCCGATATCACCTTGACATCTGGAATATGATACCCAGGTTTTTGGATCTCATAGCTACATTTCAGGAGCTATAGACCTACTCAATTTTTGTCATATAAGCGCCGGTATCACCGTGTGGTTATTGTGATGTGGTGTGATGTATCGAAATCCATGAGTAGTGGTACAGCTTGTGAATTGATCCAAGGCACCCAGTAGGGTATATTCTATCTGCTTGGAAAGGGCAAACTGCCCAGTAACATAAACACAAATTTGCGAGTCGAGTTTAACGACCGAGAACCATTTCCATCACACCTCCACAGTCGGTAGCTCGACCCGCTCCTGCTTCACACCACGCCCGGTGGCATCGCACGGCTTATCGTCAGAGACTAATTTAGTGGCTGGGCTTGCCGGCGTTGGGGTTGCGGGGGTCGTTCTTGAACTCGGCGGCTAGAAGGTCGAGGGTTAGTTGCTGGTTTCGGGAATGGGATTGTTGAACCGGTATTGGACTGCGGCTATGACGCTCTTGGAGCCAAGACATCACGACCACAATATCCAGTATTGAATCAAGTCGAATTTGCGCTGGGTGACTCACTGTTGGAGAGAACGTTCTGGAGAGAGTTGACGCCGTAAAGGACAATGAGACCTGGAAAGGAGACTTGTCAGAACAATAATTCCATCACGGAGACCTCGGTCGAGAATTTTCAGAGAGTAACGATGTCAACGATCATTTCGGGACCGAGTGATAAGAACAAGCTAGAGGATTTTATAGAGCGTACCGGCAGCGAAGAAGGGGGCCATAGGCTTGCCTATAAAGCAATGTGTTAGTCACGGGTTGCAGCGGTGCGCTCGCGGCGCCGGAGGAGATTATTCGAATTTGACATACTCAGGGCACCGGGGAACTTCTTTCCGAGGAGAGACATGGTGGAAGATGATGCGAAAGGTATGGAATTGGAGTTCGCGGGGGAGGTGATGCAGAAGGAAGAGGAGAAGTGAAGTTGGAGTTTGCCCGGTCCGACACGCCTTGCCGCTTTAGGCTTGGCGCTCTGGCCGCTTTACCCGATCAGTCCCGATTTGTTTACTCTTTCATAACCTGGAGCATCATCAAGAACTGCATACATAGCTACATCACATCACAGTGAATTCTAGAGTTCGTCTTTAACGGAAATATTGCTCAATATGGCTTCCTCTTTAGCCTCCTCTGTCTCCTCCCTACAGTCGTCTCTACAACTGCTCGACAATTCTATCACCACCCTCGATGAGGGCGTGAATGATTTTCCCCGCCTATGCAAGGTCCTTCAAACAACCCGAGTATGTCGCCAAATCCAACACGATCGATAGTCCATCAAAATTATCTAACTCTTTTCAATACAGCACTTCGAACTCCTACCTGAACCAACCCTACGAGAAGCTCAAAAGTCTCTCCTAGATGAAATTACACCAAGCATTGCCCACCTGCTCTCCCTCGCCTCGAACCACGTTGAGAAGCTAGCCCGTCGTGAACAAGCCTTGAAAGCTAAATGTGAATTACAAGAAGGCCGTCTTTCTTCAAAATCGACAGCACGCACCCAAGGACAGAGCAGCGGATCGCGGGGTGCCCTGGCGGGGTCGACCAGCAATGCGGCCTCAAAGGCAGCGGAGCTACGCCGGCTGGTTCAGAAGAAGGAACGCCTCAAGTATGCCGTTGATCGATTAGAGTTGCAGAAGACTCAGCGCCAGCGACAATTGAGGAAGAGCATGGCTGCCCAGTGATCTGAATGCATTGATAATTAGCAGTTCTCATTGCTGCGATCATTATTCAGAGTCTCTGCCGATGGTCTTATGTCCAATGATCATCCTCGAACATTAAATGTTGAGACTACAACCTCAAATCCGTACACGCGAAGCTCGAAGTTTGACTCATCCCAATCATTGGAACCGTTTTTGGCCATGGCTTGAACCACATCAGATCAATGACCTCGGGACTGATATGTGATCCACTTCATTTCTCCGTCTATCAAGTCAATCAACTGAAGCATCTCCATCTTCGCTTCCCGATAGTTTCAAGCTCGATAATATAGCCGGACCGCCCTCGGCACTTCGAAAAGGCCTTGACCAGTTAATTGGAAGAACATTGTGCCGAGGCCGCTTCAAGGTCTTGGTAGCCCTGATAGCGCAACGGGCCCTTGAGCAGATGGTCTTTCGCTCCGTCCGCATCACCATCAACGCCGATACTGCCGACTGGGACAAGAGTGATCTCTACAATACACGGAAGGATATCACAAATGATTGATTGAATTCAAACTTCGGAGTGAAGAGACTGTATTTACAGTTGTACATAGTGAAGGGAGACAAACAGTCTATAATACAAAGCCCCGATTCCATAACCCAATGCAAAATGCAAATTCCCGAAGGATCAAATAGTAGTACAAGATATTGATAGATGGCAATCATAGTCGCCCTCGATCATCAATAGATGTCGTATTTTCAACAGATCAAGTTCAAAGCGCATTGCCAGCATCAACTTGTCTCTTCAAAGCCTGTCTCATCTTCTTCTTATCATTGTGCTTCTTCCAGCTCGGGATGGTCTGTCCCTTCTTACGCAAAGGTGTCTCAGGAAGATCTGAGCGGCTGCGAACTTGATCGACCTCATCATCTTCATCGTTCTCCTCGTCACGCTCATGCTCTTCCAACGCCTCCTCCTCGCGCGCAGCCTTAGTTGCTGCTCTGCGAGCAAGACGCTCCTTCTTGCCTTCACCGTGCTTCTCGCCCAGATTCAACTTGCGGGGAATACGAGTCTTAGCGCCCAAAGCCCAGAGATCACCCCAGTTTGACTTGCGAGCGTCACGGTATGCCTGTCGACTGTACGAACGCGGCACTGTCCAGCGTTCAATTTTGCCAGCTGGTGTGCAAAGGTCGAAAATAACATGGCCACGACGCTTGAGAGGCGGGTAGACAGCACGCGGTAAAGCAAGAGGATGGAATTGTGAAGCTTCATCCATGTCTTCAAATCCTTCAAATGCAGCATCTACTGCTTCGGCGGTTTGCTGAATGCCACGCTCCTGACGTACATCCACACCACGTTGCACAGCAAGGTAACTAAACTTGATGTCCTCATGATTGCGGTCTTTGGCTCCCATGATACGCTGCAGGAATGCTGGGCGGATGTATCTCTGCTCGAAATGACAGTAATCCTTACGGCCTTTGGTAGGTCCTGCTGGATTGTGCATAGGGCAGGTTGAGTGGTTAGTGCAAGGAGCAATGATCATGCCTGTCTCCTTGGTCACGGTTTCGCTGCTATCCGGAGACTCGAGGGGGTTATTGTACTCCGTTGAACCGGGACTGGCAATATGACGTCTAAGAAGCATCTCACGGGCTCCGGCAATAGCCTCAAATCCCTTTTGACGTCCTTTCTCAAGAAGGATAAGAACTCCTCCATCGGGATTCAGAAGTGACCAAAGGTTCTCCACGTACTCCTTGCGCTCGTATTCTTCCTCAATTCCAAGAAGAGAATGTGGCGCAATGATGACATCGTATTGCTTGCGCTTGGGAGCTGCACGAGAGTCATCTAAGGTCGGTTTCTCGCGGACATGCACATAGTCCGGTAACCGAGGAAGAAATGTAGTGTTGTCAAGCATGGCGCTAGCGCGGAGACGGAGAGTCTCTGAACCAGTCAGAACGGTTGAGCGACCGTATGGAATAGGTGCGCCTTCGGGATGATCGGGGACCATCGTCTCATATTCCGCGCGCAAAACGTCTCTCCAGGCCAATATGCCAGCACCGCCACCGCCGGCATCAAGGACATTTGGACCACCTTCTTGTGAAAGCATGTTGCGAATCCAATCTGTTCCCAGGCGCTTCCGCACCTCAACTAGAACACTAAGTGTGGTTGCGTAGATACCGGGGTACAATACCGCAAGGTATGCATTTGCCTCCATATTTGCCATGTGATGCTGTCCAGAGTGGAGGGGAATTGGAAGTTGCGGCAACTGTGCTCGTGGAGGAGGAGTTGTCGTAGAGTGAGGAAGACCCGGTCCGCCAAACAAGCGATGGGCAGCTTCTGCAATATGCTTGTTGGAGAACTCTGACAGAATGACTGAGATGGGACCAATCATAGTGTTCTTCGGTAGATGAACGGTGCTAGGATCAGTCTGGAATTTACCCTCGCTCGTCAAAGGGTGCGTCCTCGGCACGGCGTCTGGGACAGCTTCATTCTCGAACTGTTCTAACATGATCTCGCCACCCAGTTGCTCGGCCACTTCTCGGGTTCGTTGCATAGCGATTGTCTCTATTTCTTCCGGGCCGACCTCCATGTCGTAGACCACGGGAATATCATCCTCAGCTTCTGCATCTTCTTTATATTCGACCTCCTCCCAGTTTCCTTCTCCATCCTCACGGAATAGGCGGTCGGTCTCGTTTTCGTCTTCTTCAACCGCTTCCTCGACATCGAATGTTTCTTGAATGATTGGCTCTCCGTAAAGACTGGTGTAGAGTCGAATCTCATCCTCAGCCAAGACTCCTTGCGGTACCGCGTCGCCAAACTGTTTCCGTACAGTGTGCACCCATGTTTCTAGCGTGTGCTCGTCTCGACTGTTCATGAACTCGACCAGGGGGTCGTCGACAACATCCACCCCGCCAACAAGTCTAATTCATCCATTGTTTGCGCCATCGCGTCTTCATTATCACTGATGAGCTCAATCAGGTCATTGATCTGGTCGACCGTGCGGAGTTCTGAGGAGTCGGTCGCTTGGGATTCTGCAGGTTGTGTAGTCGAGGAGTGCCTTTGTCCGGACACCCATTGCGGTGTGATGGTCTGGGGAATGTATGCCGGGCTAATTCGCGGGTTCGAAGGAGACAAGGAAGATCGGGACTGTTGACTGCTTTGTTTCTGTCGTGGCGCAATCAGGCTCGCAGCTCCGCGGCATGATTGTGTTCCTGAAAGACGAGAAACTCGGGAACGCAGCAGTTTTCGCGCATTTGAGCTGTTAGCGCTGGATGTACTTGGCCTGGACAACATATCTGCAAACCAGGCGAGTGCAGCTGAAAGAGTAAATCGAGAGAAAGAAAAACTGTGAGACGCAGCTCCAGAAAATTGATGCCAAGGCCCGTGGTCCATCACGAACTGCTGGTCATTGATTGGCTGGATAGTCATCCCCGTCTGATCCACTTGTTCATGATATCCACAACTTACCTATGTATCTATGATTATAGAAATGACTCCATACTACGGAGTAGTTGAAGAGAAGTCCTCACGCCACGACTGCAACAGCGAAATTGGGAAATGTATGCCCCAGCACTCAAGTGCTTGGCTGGGTCCACGGATGTGTTCACATCCTCTCAGACAGGGATGTTCACATACTTAAGTACAGGGCTCAGTCAGTAACATCTACAGCCTACAGGTGACTGATGACCTACACCTCTTTGTATGTAAGTACCTACGGGTTTACCTATGGGATCGCCAGGAGGGGAAGGAAGGATAGCCGCTACATGTACATAGTTGGATATAGCACTTGAGGCAACTGGCCTCCTGGATAAGTTGTAGGCGTAGGCCTCTGTAGTATATGCCAGGCGATGGCAGGGAGAAAAAAAAACCACAGACAGCCGAGTAGTAAAAGAGGTCTAGTCTATATTAGATGGAGAAAAATAGTACTTAGAGCCATTAGGTATTCATGTATGAATATTCATTTAGGAAATGGGTATATATGACAATAGTATGCAAGAATTTTGATAGAATGCTATGATTCACTCTCAGTGTCTTCATTTCCCATGAGTACCCGTAATGCACCCACCCAGCGCATCACTTCATGCTCCAAAGCAGTCAATTTGGCCATGACCGCCATTAAACTGGGGTCCTGACTTTCTACCCGAATCTTTTCCTTAACTCGTACCTCTTCGCCATGCCACATGAATACATCGCCAGCCTCGTCATGGACACGCTGTCGGCTGCCGAATATTCGATCTCGCAAGGAGAATCCAGTGAGCGAGATGTCTGTGGCAAATGCAGTTGGAGTCGCCACAAATGTGGTACTCTCCAGAGTGCGGAGTAGAAGAACAAGAGCGGAATCTGCAATAGAAAGGTGGAATGACACATAGGGTGGAGTTGCTGGATCGAATGTCTAATAGAAAAATATTAGTCGCGAGATCAGATTCCCAGAGGTATGAGACCTACGTTATCGCCGGCACTGGTATCCCACCAGTTGCCTCGCACGTCCCCTCTCCCTTCAACATATGGCGTGCCTCGCTAATTGTCTCATGCAGGAGATGCAGCTGGCTGAAGATGAATGTTGCGTCGAGGGGGTTTCCAGTATACGTGCTCACGTCCACGATATCCAAACTTTGATTGACTAAATTCCGCACCGACACGAGCTGTTGGAGCACTAAGCCAGGGGCTTGCGAAAGGGTCAATCGCGTGCTGGGTTGACCGCGTGGTGTAGGCAAGGAAGGAAGTCGAAGGTGGATATCCTGATATTTATGATTCGAGTATGAGTTTCTTTTTGATTCCGACTGGCGCATAAGAATGAATATTGTCCATACATACCCCTTTGACTACCTTCGTGCCGACACGAGTCACGAACCCCTTGACATTTTCTGATCGCAAAGACGAGAGAACCAACGTTGAGCCTGGCTCCTCCGGGGCTAAAAGAGCTGCACACTCTTGAAGCCCTTCCTTTAAGGCGACAAGGGAATCCTGCAGCGATTGTAGGAGCCACTCTAGCTCACGAGCCTAATTCGAAAAATGTGTTGGCGTCAGATCCACTATGATCCTTACAGGCGATCCTTTATGGGAAGGTATTTCCTCTGAATATCCACCAGGGACCAGGTCCACTGAGTTGCATCACTGGAAAGGATTGGGTATTGACGTACCAGAGCACTATCGGCCTCCCGGTTCAATTGATCGGGAGGTAGTGGAGGATAAGCCCAAGTTGCCATATTAGTCTAAGCCACAAAGTTGGGCTGGTATAGAGTTTTCCGGTAAGGAGAGAAACAGGCAGAAAGGATTTTGAGTTGATCCACGTCACTGAGGGGGACAGAGCTGCAACGTTGTTGCTGGTTATGTCTGTAGCTGCTGTTCGTCACTTCGTCATGGACCGCCCGCACTAACCAGATATAGTAAGTATTTTGCCACATTAGGATTAGCGTGGCAGAAAGTGGACGCTAATCCCAAAGCAGCTCCACAAATCAAGTGCAAGCATGACGTTATGATCCTCTTCCTCGATCTATGAAGTGCGATGATGCTCACACCGTGCAAGAGGGGAATCCGGATGGACCCGGCTCTTAACCAACGGGTCTCGCGCATATTTTTTGATCAGCTTCCCTGATTTCTCGGGAGACTTGAAAGGGCTCTTTTTCCATCCTTCGATCTCAACCTCGACCTACACGTCCAAGCTTCCTTCCCATACAAGATCGGGCATCAAAACAAAGCAACGATCTTCCCCAATTCCCATAGCGACGGGACACAGAAAAAATCTTCTCTGCTGACCTTTGGTACCCGATACAACTATTGCATAAAAAATGGCTGCTAGCAGTAAGTGCTCACGCCTTCAATTTGAGCATCATGGCTCTCATCGACATATACTGTGGCAATCAGATACTAATAACTTTACAGGAGCGTCATTGGGCCTCCTGGGCCTGTTCTTCATGGCCGGTGCCATTCTCCTCATGTTCCTCACGTTGCTGGGCGGCGCTCGTAACTCAACCCCGCTGAACCAAATCTACTTCCTCCAGGCGAACACAAGCAGTATTCCAGGCGCTGGAGATCTCTCGCGCTGGACTTTCTGGAACGTTTGCAATGTGACCGATGGCAAGAATGTCTGTGGTAGCTCTCACCCGGATTTCCCATTCGATCCCCCAGGCTCTCGCAACTTCGATACTACAGACAATGTGCCTCAGCAGTTCATCGGGTATGTAATTGAAACTGGCGCTATCCGGGCGTACATTTAGGTCCACTGACTGATAATGTCAATTTTTCTAGAACGAAGCACTACTACCTGACCTCCCGGTTCATGTTCCCCTTCATCCTCATTGGACTTTTTTTCGCTGTCGTCTCCCTCTTTACCGGTCTCTTGGCGACGTGCACCCGCGTTGGTAGCTATCTTTCTGGGTTCATCTCATGGCTCGCCCTGACATTCCAGGTGATCACTACTTGCCTCATGACGTAAGTTCCCTCGTTCTATGAACTAATTCCTTCATATCAATACTGACTGAAATATCAGTGCTGTTTTTGTTCAGGGTCGCGATGCGTTCAAGAGCAATGGCCAGACTGCCAAGTTGGGTGTCAAGGCTTTCGCTTTCATGTGGACTGCAAGCGCATGTCTCTTCCTCTCCTGCCTTTGCTACTGCCTAGGCGGAGCTGTTGGCCGGAAAGACACTGGTGGATACACTGGACGCAAGGAACGTCGCCGTGGTTTCTTCTCTTCAGCCCGCTCCAATAGCGTTCGTAGCCAAAAGAAGGAGGAGCCAGCAACGGCCGATTACGCTTAATTGCACTGTTTGCACCCCGAAAATATGCTTTCGTGTCTGCAAAGAACAAACCACAATCATCCAACGCCCGGCATTGTCCACGCGTTGACTAATCGATTGCCCTCGGTGCGCCTTCTGGAACGTGCCATATCGACTTCGTACACGATTTCTCCTTCTACGTTGATACTCCCCGAGAGAGGCCTCGCGTTGCGGTGTATCTCTCTCGACTTGCTTTAGCCATTATTGGTTCTGTTTGACGTGATTTCTGCTTCCACCCTCAATGTACAACTAATCCACTCGTTTGACGCCGCTACGAACTACTCACGATCATTACACGCACATTTGATAATCTACCTATGGTACCATGTCACAATTTATTTCCCTTTCGATGTCATTTCTTTCTATCTACCTATGAGTTCTTGACGGGCCTGGTGGACCAATGTTGGAAGGAGGCTTGGGTTTTTATCATGCCGTTTCCATACCATTACTTTAATGAAGTGTAATATAATTGGGTTGGAACAAGATGCAGATACTAATATCTATCCATGGATGTTTTCATAGTACGTTATTTTGAATTTTTACCTAGGGCCTGAGATAATCTTGGAAGTATGAGTAACTACCACTGAACATGAAGCTACGTGATCAAAATTAATCATAGGAAAATGGGTTTTGGCTGCGTGGCCGTTATACGCCCCCTATATCAGCATCTTCCATCTGATAGAGCATCATGATATCCGATGCCCTTCTGGTAGGCTGGACTGACTTACATTCAAAGAACTGGGGGTCTGTGCTTCTTTGGCATTTTCAAAATGTTTGAGGGCTTTAAGATGGCTTTTCTAGATAGTTTGGGCGGTTGATTACATATGTAGCTGGCGCTGAAAGGGTTGGGCCTTGGCTTCTGCAGAGCTATCCAGAGAAGGGTTGTGTACCTACCTCGGTACTATACTAAGTAAGGAGAAAATAGAGACTCTGAATAATTCCAAGGTTTCAAGTTTGTTACTACGTAGTAGACAAATTTGGTACATTATAAATACAAGAGGGGAGTATTTTCTAGTATCCACTTCAACTTGGAGTTCTGCAAAGGTATCTGTTCACCTGGCAGTCCGCGGGTTGATCATACTGAATTCACCTTCTTCAGCTGCCGAACTGTCCTGATAAGAAGACTCTGGGCATATAAGACGTGAGGTTCATATAAGAACCAAGGCATCTGCTTGAAGTCCCTGGTCATCTGGCCACCAGGATGCACGTCATAGCACTCCAGGGTGATGTATGTCACCCTCGCTGTCTCTTCTGAGATCTTTTCCACAATAAACTCTTGCCAACCACCATCCATTACTCGCCATGGTAAGCCGTAAGATGCGGCTTTGTTGAATGCTTTGAGCAGGTATTGGGGAGCTTTCCAATATATCACGGTTCCAGCAGTCTCTGGTTGAGAGGGGTCTTGAGAGGCACTTGCAAGAAGAGCCTCGTTGGAAGGGAAAAACGTTTTTGGGATAGGTGCATCTGCGGGTAAAACAGAAGGCTGGATTGAGTCCTTTAATCTTGAACTCCAGGTATCAAGCATAAAAGCAGATGCACCAGTCGAGTCTCCAAATAAGTGATTTCCGGGCACATAAGTTCTTGGCGGAAGGTTTCTGTCTAAAAACCATCCATCAAGCCCGTGCGAGTGTGCATCGAGAAATGCAGCGATTACGTTTCGTGCCAGACTTTCTGCAGTGCATGGCTCATCATTTGTTGTCAATGCGCCTTTATCAGCCTCACTCGTGTAAGATGCCAGAAGTGCGATCGGCACGTCCATTTGAACACCAGTATAAGATGATATCCAGCGAGTTTTCTTGTCGCCTGATTGAGCTTCTGACCACGAGGGCACAAGGCCTGACTTGTCTGCTCCCCATGGTTTTGGCACTCCTGTGCCTGGGGAGTTGGCACGAGCTGTGTCCACAAGTTGTCGACATGCACTTAATTGAGAGACTTTGTCGAAGGGTATCCTTGGGCAGGTGTGGTCGAGGTATTGTTTACTGATATATGCAGTCAGTATACCACTACCTAAAACCAGCGCACCCAGAGAGAGTCTGTTTGTCATTCTTGGCCGGTAGGGAGATGTGTGGCTCAAGGACGGGCGATAGGATCTGCCCATGGAGGAATAAGAGAGTAGAGTATGAACTGTTTGAAAGATATAAGCAAAAAGAAAAGAAAACACAAGACAGGAACCTTGGAAGGAATTGAATCGATCTAAATACTCCTAATATGACACACTTCGGAGTAAGCTCGGGTTAAACCGTAGATATTGTAGCACTTGAGTAGGCTAGTAAGACTTCGGGATCCCGAATGTGGATCTGATCGACTATACGAGTATAATGATTTTCAATCAACTCATGTGACTACTAGTATTCAAATCACATGTGCATGTTATTGACACGGGCTCAAGTGAAATATTTATTTTCTAAACAAGTAGGTTGGCATCTCCATGGGCTCGAGTTTGTTCCAAAGATTCAAGTCAAGAGTCGCCTGTGTTCAAGTGTTTGAGTAGTGGCAGCACTTGAGAGAACTTCAAGTTGGATAAATCACACAGCAGAAAATACTTTTAATGAAACGAACGACTCGGGGACAACATATTCATAAGATCATGTTCATTGGCCACCTCTTATTGAAGTCTATGTAGATGGGATAGAAACGAGATAAAAAAACGAAACCGCATAGGAAAATATCGCATGACTCCAAAAAGATCATGACGGGGAACATAACAAAGCCTCTATCAATCATTTATGCATCATCACACCATTAAGGGGATCGAAATCTTTTTTGTATGGGAAATGAAAAAAAGGAAATAATCTAAGCAGAGCCGTTGATAGCACCACGGACGGCAGTCTGGCCACCGACCTCGCGCACGGCAATCTGCAGACCGAGGTCAGGGTTGACGTGAACCATGACCTCGACCTTACCGCCGGCCTTGACGCCCTTGACGGCAAGCTCAGCAACGGGGCTCTTGGTCTTCCAGACAATCTCGCGGATCTCCTCCTCCTCATCGTCGGAGAAGTCATCGTCAGAGTCGTCAGCAGGCTTCTCCTCCTTGGCCTTGGGCTCAGGCTTGGTAACCTTAATCTCGCGGGAACCCTCGCACACGCGAACAAGGACATCGCCGCCCTCCTTGGGGACAGAGTACTGAGCGATGCGGCGGGCGGGAAGGGCGGTCTCGGCAGCGAGGAGAGGCTGGAAGTTGACATCAGTGGCAGAGGTGAACTCAACACCGATAGCCTTGCTGAGGTGAGGGGTAACAGTGACCATGGGGTGGATGGACTGCTCAACGTCCTCGTGGTCGAACTCCTGGACCAGAGAGGCCTGGACGGCGGCACCGCGGGCGGACAGTTCAGAGGGGTTGAGGGCGGTGGTGCAGGTGGAGGGAGCCAGGATGGTAGTGGTCTCGGGGAAGATGTTCTGGGCCAGCTGGGCAATCTTGGGGGTGTGGGAGGCACCACCAGAGAAGATGACCTCATCGATGTCAAGAACATCGAGTCCAGCCTTCTTAACAACCTGCTGGATCAGGTCGGTGAACTGAGCGAAGACCTTGCCAGAAAGCAGTTCGAAGCGGGTGCGGTTAACGGTGGAACCGTAGTCGATACCATCAGCCAGAGACTCAATGCTCAGCTGAGCGTTGGCGCTCAGGCTCAGAGCCTTACGGGTACCCTCACCCTCGAGCTTCAACTTGGCGAGGCCACGGGCGTCCTGGCGGGGGTCGGTCTTGTGCTTCTTGACGAACTCCTTGGCGAAGTGGTCAATGATAATCTGGTCCAGGGAAGCACCGCCGAGCTCGACGTCGTGGGCAGTAGCCAGGATAGTGTACATGCCACCGCGGCTGGCAACAACGGCCACATCGGAGCGGGTACCACCCAGGTCGGCAACAACAACCAGCTTGTCGCTAACAGTGGCCTCGGGGCGAGCATCGTAGGCCATAACAGCAGCGACGGGCTCAGCAATGAGCTGGAGAACCTCGATACCAGCATCCTTGGCGGCAGCAGTGAGAGCCTCACGCTGGGCATCGGTGAAGTCGGTGGGGACGGTAATGACGGCGGCGTTAACCTCCTTGCCGAGGAAGTCAGTGGCAGACTGCTTCAAGCGACGCAGGTGGCGAGTAGTGATCTCGGAGACGGTAACAGTGTTGGGGGTCTCGCTGGGGGTATCACGGATGGTGAAGGCCACAGTCGAGCCGCTCTGCACGGGGTGGGCAGAGGCGTGGCATTGGGTAGGGTCGATAGACTTGAATTCCTTGCCCAAGAAATCCCGGAAGTATGCGACAGTGTTGGAGGAGTTACGGATGAGCTGGGCCTTAGCCTGAGTACCGTGGTACTCTTCACCCTCGATGTAAGAAAGGATGGAGGGAATTTGACGGTCTAAGAGGGGAATGTTAGTTTGATCATTGCGGCAAAAATATCAGATGTAGAAAGAAAAAGGTTCAACCACATACCACCCTCCTCGTTGGCAATAACCTCAGCCTTGCCCTCCTATAAAATTTGTAAGTCACTTGACATCATAAGTAAATGTAGATTTTCCACATACAGGTGAGATGCGGGCAATTGAGCTGGATGTGTTGCCAAAAGAGATACCGATAGCAAAGCGCTCCGCCTCAGCAGCGACACCGTTAGTGTCACCCATTTCGAATGATATGTAATGTAAAAAAATTTAAATAAAGAAAATTGAAAAGGGATCCTCGACACACTGGACTGGGGCGAGTTTAAGGTGAGGGATGAAAGAGATGTGGCTCAGTGGAGGGGGGGAAATTGACTCGAAAAATTTGAAGATTTTCAGCGGGAAAGTGGCTAGTGCTTATCGATACGGATTGTGGTTGTGGCGGTACACTTCACCTTGCGAGCAAACTGTGACAAAGAACAGATGCTGAGTGACTATATAACAATTGTGAGATGATGAGGTACTTAGAAAATCACACAAAAGAACCTTGGAATTACTAGCATCTTATTTACTGTATCAAATTGTTTTACCTATTTTATATCATTCATTTTGGTCCCAATTCCACCCTTATACTTCGATTACTCACGTGCTGATAAGGAGATAAGCAGTTTTCTTCATCAAGTCGAAGCTTTCCCTCCTCCATAGGCAATCGACGACAATTTCAATTCCACCTTCTTCCGTGTCAAAGAAGATATACTCATTCCCTCCAATAATCTTGGGGCAGCTTCTATCATCACAATGACTACCCCTCTTATCCTGTTACCTGGTGACGAAGTGCCAAATGATCATCTGCCAACCATCAAATCTCATGCCAAGGCTACGCCTCTAAAAATTGGCCAGGGTCTCCGCCTGGTGTCACAACCTTCCACAAATAGTACACCACAGAACCGTGTTCTCAAGGCAACACAGGCCGGTATCTTGACAACAGATTCCAAACGCAAGATTGTCTCGCTTCTTTCCTTCCCAAGCCGCCGCTATACCCCCCACCGTGAACGACCTGGTCCTCGCGCAAGTCCACCACTCCAGCGCTGACTACTTCCACTGTGTTCTTACGCCGCATACCCCACATGCATTTCTACCTCAATTGTCATTCGAAGGAGCAAGCAAGAAGACAAGGCCGAATTTGAAACAAGGCGATCTGGTCTACGCACGAGTTCTCTCCACAGGTGTCGGCGCGAGCGCGGAGGTTGAACTTACATGTGTTAACCCGGCGACTGGTAAAGCGGAACCAGGAGGTTTAGGCCCTGTTAGTGGTGGAACGGTCTTCGATGTTTCGACAGGTATGGCGGCCAGGCTACTTTTGGCTACCTCCTCGCGCGCCGTTGATAATGATGATGGAATTGCTGGACTTGTCATTATCTCCGAGCTGGGAAAAAAGCTAGCGAATGTTGGAGGGTTTGAGCTGGCAGTTGGGCGCAATGGGCGGGTTTGGGTTAATTGTCCAGATGCTGAGGAACACGCCGTCCCAGCTATTTTGGCCATTGGGCGGTGCATGCAATTGACCGATGAGCACAATTTGGACCTAGCAGATCAGAAGAAGTTAGTCACTAGAACTTTACGTGAACTGAAGCTGGCGTCGTGAGAACTTGGTGCTCTATCAAGCGGTCTGATTCGAGGAGTCTGGGTTTCATTTTTGTCCTAGGATACCATGAGCAATGTATATTAAAGTTTGCATTCCCCAATACTATTGATCAATATTGGTTATTGAAATGTTTTTCAATGAAGACTATACTATCGAAAGTGGTACTACCTAGGTAGAAACTACTATAGTAATCATAATACTAGTACTAGTGCATTCAAGTTGAGATGCCCACGCATGTGACTTGAAGTATGTAGGTCTGCGACGAATTGCAACCTCATTATTGACCAAACACCTGGAATCTTCAGATTGAAAATCACCAGTATATTGAACTTGTGGAGTGATACACTATGCTAAATGCTTCAATTCTTAAATGGCAGTGCTGTCATGCCCTCCAGCCCTAGACTCTGGAGGCTCTGACCCAGTTACGTAATCCTTGAGGCGATGCCCAGATGGCCGTTGAGACCGGGCTTTCACATACCCGCCAGAGGTTCTTATATCTTTCAAGGCCTAAGCCACTTCAATGAATTATTGAATTTAATGGATCCTTTCATGCAACAACGAGCCACAAAGGCCTGGCACCGGATTGGCCTTGTTTCCTCATTGCCGGAACTCGAGAATGACGACAGCTATCGAATGGCCCCAAAGTGCAAAGCCTTCATGATTCCGGCAGATGGCTCCTCAGATCCACAAGCTCCAGAAGAAGCAGACCTAGACAGTTCAAAAAATTTGAAGGACCAGGTTCTTGTATTCAAATACCAAGGCAAAGTCCATGCCACTGATCATGTAAGAACTAATGGCCCGGCAACAGCTAACTCCAAGCTGACTCTCATATTTTATAGCAATGCCCTCATGCTTTATTTCCCCTTTCTCAAGGGAAGCTGTTTGATATCGAAGATTTTGGTATTAAGCTGAGTACTGGACTCACATGTCCCAAACATGGCTGGTCGTTTGATATTATCACTGGCAAAGGAGACCGAGGCAACTATAACCTCAAAGTCTGGGAAGTTCAATTACGCGAGCCCTCAGAATATTCCAATGCAGCCCCTGGTAGTGATGATAAGGAAGTCTGGGTAAGACGCAAGCAAAGAATTGGCTAAAATAGCTCCTTCGTTTTCTTTGTGATTCAGGATGAGCTAGTAATTCAACTAGCCGCCCGTCTGTCGCCAACGGCGCCCTGCCTACCCGCTTCGGCAATGAGACATCAGTCCATGCGTGCCAAAAACAGAGAAAGGTTATGCTCAAGGACCCCTGCTAGACTGCTAGCCGAGGTTTCTATGCATGCCCAGCCTGATGTGCACAATAACCTATAAGGACAAGGCCTTTGTATAGTTCTTTTTCCTTTTTTTAACCCCATTGTTTCTTTTTGTTCTGTACTATACCACAAACATCATTTACCTTCCTTCTTTAAAAATTATTTAGAACAATATCAATACATATCCTCTTGAAATACATAGAGTTATCGGAGAAAGATGCACATTCCTTGCATGGTATGCACAGGCGGTGGCCCCCATGACAAAGGCGGTATAGCTTTTCTGCCATGCAGCGCGACCTAATTTTTGGCGACTTGTTCTTGTGATCCAACCTCTCACTTCGTCCTCTTCACAAAGGTACGGACATGACAAAAATCATATCCTCACAGCCTCATGAGATGGAGATTGACGAAGAAGAAGGTATACCTTACCCCATCCCATGCCCCTTATACTCCGTTTTATCACGTTCCTCTAACTTTTTCTAGTCGCCCAATCTCCTACCCTTCAGTCCCCCACGGACAGCCCAAGGAAGAGAAAGAAGAAGTCGCGCAAGTCAAAAAACAGAGTCTCGTCATCTCCAGATCCAGACTCAAACAATATGGAGTCGTCACCCCCTCCAGGGGAGGAGCATTCAAGAGAGAAGAAGCGCAAGCGGAATTCAGAACCGGGCCAGAAGAAGCAGAAAAAACACCAACGCGAAAAAGGGGAGAATGGTGAAAACGGTGAAAACGGAGATGACCGTGACGAATCACCGATGGATAATATGAAGCTTGAGTCGTCTCAGGCCGAGCCTGAGCTTCCTGCATCGAAGAAGCCGCGAACATCTGCAGCAAACGGCATCGACGACACTCTCGACGACGAAGACGACGAAGAGTCCAACTTCTCTCCGGAAACTGAAGAGCTTGGCCTCACTAAAAAGGGGAAGCCCAAGAAGCTTCGCGGATCTCGAATTGGCGGAAAGAACAACCTCAGAGTCGGCTTCTACATCAAGGAGGAAGTTCAAAAACTGGAAGCATTCAAGGTTCACTTCTGCAACTTCCATAATATTAGCGACCATAAGATTTTCGACGCTATGGTGCAACACTCTGAACGCGACGAAAGTGATTGGCCTTGCCCAGCAGACGTCTGCACCAAGACCGACTTTTGGTCCGAGATCTACGCCCTTATTCCCGATCGAGATCGTCGATCTCTGTACCGGTTCATGCGAAGGCATTTCCAAGACTCAGCGCAGAAGCCACACGAGTGGACTGCCGATCAGGATGTGGAGCTTGTTCAGCTCATGACGCTTCACCCTGGTAAATGGGCCTACGTCGCCAAGCTCCTCGGTCGCAGCGACGATGATGTGACACAGCGCTGGAAGAACCAACTGGAGCACCGGGGGAAGATGAATCGTGGAAAATGGAATGAGGAGGAGCTGCGTGGATTGCTCGACGCTGTGCAGGACATCTGGAACAAGGTCTACGCGACCGAGGGTGACACCGCCGGCAAAGACATGTATGAGATCTCGGAGAAGCATCTCAGATGGGGTGTTATCAGTGATGCTCTTTCAAATGTGCGATCACGTCAACAATGCGCAGACAAATGGCGGAAGGTGCGAAAGAGCGTCGAGAACATGCGTGCCGCTGGAAACCCCGATGCGCAATTTGATCCTGTGGCCTCTGTTAACAAACCTACTCGATGGAGCGTTGGAGGATCAGCTACTCCAAAGAGCCAAATCGTTGTGTACGGCGAGGATGATGACGACGACGACGAAGCGGATATCAACAAAATTGAGGGCGAGCGAGATCAGCTGAACGCCAATGAGACACCGGCTGTTAATAATGGGCTTGGTATCTTCACAGGGGGATCTGAGACATTAACCCAGCCTCCCATTTCTGAGCCAGACTCTGACGCAGAATCTGATGCTTATGGCGAACCTGCCTCCCCTTCTATCCATGCTCCCAGCAGCCCGCCACACTCAACTTCCCAGCTGGATAACGGCGAGGCTGGCAGTCCTATGAACGAGGATTCCTCTGACACAGACGAAGACACCGAGACCAAGGAAGAGAGAAAGGCTCGGGAGAGAAAGGAGCGCCGAAAGCAAGAGCGCAAAGAACGAAAGGAGCGGGATCTCGTCGCTTCCGCGGCGGCTGAAGCTGCTGAATCTATTGAATCTCCTGAGAGTAGCAAGAAACAGAAGAAGCACAAGAAGAGCAAAAAATCTTTCGATCCTGCTACTGCCGAAGTCATTGCTGATGAGGATCTCACTTCTACCAACCTTCAAAAGAAGAAGAAAAAGAAGGATCGCATGTCAATGGGTGATGTTTCTGCAGCCATCGAGGACGAGGCATCTGCTGAATCACCCAAGAAGAAGAAGAAATCTAAGAAGTCGCGACACAGCAATGGGGCAGAGCTTGATAATGAAGTTGAGGAATTCGGTCAGGATGTCAAGATGGAAGGTGTTCTTTTGGATTGAAGCACTTATGACGATGTGTAAATAATATTATTTTCAGGATGAAACAAGACGATCACTAGCTGTCTGACTGTACGATGAAACCTTTTAATCGGGGAACGTTAAAACAATGCCTTTCTTTTCCAAGATCCTGTTCCATAAGTAGTAGTAATGTGCCAAGTTCCTTTCGGGATTCTTATACAAACGCAACATAAACGACATTTGAAGACATCATATTGAATATGAGTATGGGAGACAGTCTATAGCTCATCCTTGCGTCTTTCATCCTCATTTACCTCATCTACATCATCACTCTCACTTTCCGTTGAAATATCCTCACCACTCCGCACAAAGTCCACAACCTCCTCATCCACCGCCGCAACCTTCTTCGCCAACTCAGCAATAGCATCATCATAAACCGTCCATTCAGGAACCTGTCTCCTTGCCCTCTCCAACTTAGGCTCCTTAGTCAACGGGTTATTGCAAAGATCAATCGTCTTAGCACTCGCCAGATCCTCATTCGAACACCAAGTCTCACACCACAACCATTCTTGTGGAAGACTATGGATCGGGATATGATGCTGCATATGATTCGGTAAATCCTGATCCAAATTACTCAAACTGTTTGGATCGGCAGAGAGCATCTGGTACTGTCCTCTTAACCGATCACCTGCCGCGAGTGCACGGAACCGGTTCAGGTCAACCACGTAGAGTGCCGAGATATGGTATGGCTTGCCACGGAGATACGTATCCCAGTATCCTTGTTTCCAGAATCGGAAACCTTCCATCTCAGTACGGGAGTCACCCATTGGTGTGAAACCATATGGAGCACCTTCAAGATCGTGTGAAACGAGATCGTACATATCAGTTCGGACAATCTGGTCTGCGTCGACGAAGATTACTTTGTCAAGTGAGAGAGGGAATAGGACGTCCAGGAATAGGATCTTGTATCCCCAGATCTCGCGCTGTTTCTCACGCTGAGAGCGTAGCCAGTGCGGCCATTTGTAGGTGACCATTTCGTAGGAAAAGCCATATTCGGCTGCGAGGTGAGGGAGGAATGCACGGAAAGAAGGAGAGAGGAATTGTTCGATGAACCAGAATTTTACGGTATGTTTCGTGTGCTTCATGACGGAGACCATCATGATGTTTAACATCCGTTCGTAGAGGTGGCCACTTGCAACGGAGAAGATGTTGATATCGGCATTCTGCTCAGCGGGCTTAGAGCCTACGCCCACACTGGAGAGGACGCCTGATGCGAAATTGAGGCCCTTAGAGACAAATTGCATAGATCCAGACTGTTGACCTGTTTCGAGGACGTCTTCTGTTTCATAGCCTGGTTTGCGGGAGAGACGAGGGAAGAGCGTACGGCCTTGAAAGGAGAGGAGAGTAACTTCGTTGTTCTCGTCTCCGGCCTGAGGACGGTACCCCGAGCCGCCGACGCTCTCGAGCTTGAATAGCTTTTCACTGCGTCCGGGCTTGAGGTTAATCTGCCATAGACCGGGCTGAGCTTTGAACTGGAAGTAGCCCAAGTTTGCCATGATGAGTGTATCAGTGAAATGAGGGTTCTCCTCAGTGCCCAGAATGAGCTGCACGCCTCGTGGGGGAGTCTTGAGGGTGAGGTCTCGAGTATGTCCTTCGATCAGAATGTGCTCTAGTGCATAAATGGCGTCAACGTTGGCACCATTCTTGACTGAGCTCAGCTTGATATTATCCAGATCAACTACAGACTCCTTTGGCGCGACAAGCCATGAAGAAGGTACATCCATGCCCAGTGTAAGCAAGGCTTCAACTGGTACTCCATGGAAAGATGCTTCAGGGCGGGAGAGAGAGCCGTCACTGGTGAAGGAGGGTTCTGACTCCAGGACATAACGATAGAATCTTTTGACAGGTAGCTCTTTGATCTCCTCCTTCGGGTTCATGAAAATCTTCAATTTGACACCGGCCAATTCAGAAAGCACTTTGAGAATGGGAAGCAATCGCTGAGCTTCCTCGGAAGCAGGGTCGAGCACAACGGCAATGTTGATTGCAGGGTCCTCGGTATTGGAAACAGTAATTACGGAATGGTCTGTCCTCCAGTGATCAGACACATCCAGCCTGTAGTCTAGTGTGTTCTCCATGAGACCCTCTGGGACATCCGACACCGTCGACAGAGACACCAAGGAAGTAAGCTTGGCAAGGTCGAATGCTGAAGTTATCTTTTGATCCAATTTCAGGCCCTTTGAAACCCTTGCCACAGGGCCAATACGCTTGCTGTGCTCATATGTAACGAGTTGGAGCATCTCATCCACGCTCATTGTAAATTCTCCCTCAATGGGGCCTACTACCCTTCCGTTCACAACGAGACCCGCACTGCCGGCCTTGAAGGCGAGTTTGCCTGCCAGCTCACGCTGATGAACATATGTGCTTTGATCATCTGATTGAGAAACTTCAGCCAGATCATCCAAGGATGCAATAGTGACAAGAACCTGCTCAACATCATCGCCATTGGCCAGTGCGGTGTGAATCTTGTCAAAGTTCGAGGTGCTCTCAGAATCAGCAGCCCCATTGTGCAATAGGACAAGATCGACTTCATCATGCTCTTTGCGGAAGCTCAAAGCATCAGTCAGCAGGATCAAGCCCTCTTCAGATTCGAAGTCGCACACAGCGATGATTTGAACAGTTTCCAACGCGTTTTTGCTAGATGAAAAATGAATAACACTATCCAGAGCATTTTGGTCGGATCCAAAAACATTGCTTAGATCCACAATCTGTACACTTTTCGGGTCTTCAGGCATGAGGAAAGTGTTGCGTCTTTCAAATGCGGTCGATAGGAAGAACTCTGGAAGCCAGGCTGTCTCCTCAAAGATACCTTCGGCGATCCCCTGCTGAACCAGTTTCAAGTCCTTGCTAATTTGCATACTCATTTCCTGCATCCAGTTCCCTTCGCGAGAGATGGGGATTCCGTTGACAAGGAAATGAGGCTCATTTCCGCTGAGACTCAAACGGCGAAGGTAGCTAGCTGCCCGAGTAGCAATAGTCTTCAGGTGTTCGTTCTTGAGCACATCTTCAAAAGACATAGTTTCCTTATCAGTGCGTGGCTTTCGATTCTTGGTCACGGCCGTAAATAGAGACTTTTCTGGGTTCCCGGCCTTCATCTTTGAAGCAGACTGTAATTTGTCAGTATCAGCAATAAATTTACATAAGGCAAAATGATGTTTAATCTCACTTCTTCCAGGTACTTAAAAAGAGCTGAAAGACCAAAGGTCTCCTGTAGATAGTGCGCAACTTTGAGGTGTGCAATAGACTCGGAGATGAAGTGGTAGGCACCAAGCCAAACCGCACAGGGATCATCCGCTTGATGAATGTCTGAAGTTGCTGGATGACCAACAGCATATCTTCTGGGTTTGATAAATCGATAGGAACGACAATATTGTGTAGGTCGCGGGCCACTTGTGGCATCTGGCCTGGGTAGGCACTTTGGAAGTACTAAAAGAGCATAAGCAAATCGCTGGTTAAATAGGGACTGTTCTCAATAGACATACCGCTTCAAGATCATCAGACCAATCCTGATACCTGGAGTCTTTCTCGAGATCATTCAACCAAATGATGACCTCGCCGCCATCTAATTCATCTCTGAATTCATAACGCGGTGCGTCATCCTCTGCGTGAGATTCCGCAAGTAGTGGGTGTGATAGAAGCTTCACAGCCTCCTGAGCAGAGAGACCCAGGTTCTTAAATTTCTCAATCAACTGACGCTCCTGACGAAGGTGGCCAATGAGCGAGAAAGCATCAAACTGACTTTGATCCATTTGAACACCATTGATCCACAAAGCATTCGCACCTGCCGGGATCATTCGCGCTCGGTTAAGACGAATTTCTTTCTTTAACGCATCAGTGGCATTATGAGCGGCCACTGTAGATGAATACTTTGGGAAGTTCCGAGATAACTTGATCATGGTATCAAGAGGCTTCTCACTATCCATGATGTAAGCCGCCGTATTCCAGCCCAGTCTTGAAACCTCGGAAGAAGAAAGAGGTCGCAAGTCATCCGGGGAGTCTTCCTTCAATTCTTCCAATGCCTCTACTGAGATATCCTCAGCAACATCACCACGCTTTTCAGCGTCTCGGTCATCAATCACAATGTAGTCTGTTCGCTTCAATGCAAGCTCTACACCATAGCCGGAGACGAATAATGGGCGAGATGTCCAGTGCTGAGGAGGTCGGTACCGGACTCGGTATGAGATTTGGCCATCTTTCGCCATTTCGCTTAATGTCTCGTGGAATTCTCTGAACATAGGCGAAGATACATCCGCATAAAGAATAGTCGGAGGTAATGAAATATCACCAAGAACTCGATCGAACGGTAATTCCCTAGGATCTCTGCAAAGTAAATAGTTACCACAATGTAAGTCTTTGATCCAATATATCCAGCTAGACAATTTTCACATACAAATCTCCCTCCACATCTTGCTGCGCTCGTTCCATTGCCGAAGAGCAATACTGCTTCCCTTCAGAGTGAACCCACACAGGACAAACCGCATCCTGCGCTACCATCAACGAATGCTGAACAGATGTATTATAGTATTGATAATGTGCCTGAATCCGGGGCGCAGATGATCGGACTGCAAGCGATAATTTGAAGGAAGAAAGGGCCTCAGCAGTACGCAAGTGTCCATCTTCATGGACAACCTGCAAGAAGCGCTCATATAGCTCTTTTTCCGTAGTGGTATCTTCGAATGCTCCGTTGGCAACACAATCAAGTAATGGGAAATAGGATGTGGCATTTTCTTCGGCAGCAGACTCTCTATAGCGAATATGTTAGCTTATCTGCTCCAATGAACCTGTCTGTCTGATTGATCTCATTGCCGCTGGGTTATTTTGTCTTACAGTAGCTCCACAAGATATGGGGACGCATCGAATGAGGCCTGTAATGCCACATTGACCGATGGACTTGCGTTGGCCAACAAGCCTGGTAGTAGAGCACCAATGGCGGCGTACCACCTCCATGTGCTGGAGGATCTGGAGGACCTCATCCTGTGGCCGTGGTCCCCAAGCAATAACAAAACCAGTAGTATGTAGGGGACTGGGCCCCGAAAAGGTCTTTCAATCTGAGGTTTTAGGATTCAAATAGTATTCCTTTGAGATTGGAAAGGGTATTGAACATCACTGGCGACAGAGCCGCTGGCAACGAAACGCGGAGATCCCCTGCCGATCTGGACACTTGGTTACTATCGATAAGCAAGCTCCTACGGGCACCGAAGCGGCAAGATGCGCAGTCCGCGTCATACAGTCCAAAAGCCTCAAGATCCAGATCGCGATTGAATCTACTTTGTTTACTTGGAAGATCCAGTGAATTTGAACCTATTTTATTCCATTCATCTGTGAATGAAACCCGCGCACATAATTTGGTAAGAATAATTGAATTTCTGAGCTAATAATAGCCTAATTTTCTGCTAGCTAATAAGAATAACCATTTTTCAGCTTTTAGCTGTTCATCGTAAAGACATCATTCGTAAATGATTGAGAATTTTCCATGCGCCAGGAGATTTGCCATCTGTTCCATGCAAGTGTCCATACGCCAAAGAACTCCAAGAGAAGACCAAAAAAAGACCGACCGAAAAAGACAGAACCGAACCCAAAAAGCCGCTGCAGACAAACGCCTTCCATGCTGCAACCCCGAAAAACCGTGTTTTATCCTTTGAACCGACGCCGAGAGAATGTGCTGAGAAAAATAAGGAGGATGATAAGAATAAGGATCGAAAGAATAGAGGTTGAGTCCCGGCTCAACAAGGGCGACGTCAAGAGGAAAGACGAGGAAATTCAATGTCCTCTACTTCCTCGCGGCGGACTTCTTGTCGTTGGCAGAGGTAGGGCGAGGCTTGCGGCGCAAGGCCTCAGCAACCAGACGGCGACGCTTCTCATCATCGATCTCAAAGAAGGACCCTTCGTAGACGCTCTTGTTGGGCGAGGTTGGCACGGGTGGGCTCTGCTGGCTCCCCTGGCTGCGAGGACGCATACTAAGAGCGGACATGGACTTCATCTTCTTGAGGGTGTTGCTGCCAAGACCCATGCGCTTGATTTCCTTCCCAAGGCGCTCCAGAGATGATCCAACCGGCTTAGAATCCTCGGTGGGAGGAAGCGGGAAGTTAGGCAAAGGCTTATCACCACCAAACTCCGATGGGTGAATCATGCTGCCGGATCCAAAACTGATGCCAGAATCGACCTTGCGACCCTTGCGAGGAGTCACGGGCTCTTCCTGAACAGGAGGATCAGTGATCAGTTGGCATTCGTCGATCGTCTGGTTGACCAGGATCAAATATTTATCCAAGGTCTCCCAGCAGTCAATCCAGATGGTGTTGTACCCGGGACGAGCACCATAAGTAACGATAGGATCCAAGATTTTGATGCCATGGTCGTACACAGCATTGATGTACTTGAAAAGACCCTCACGGTGACCTTGGAGAGTGACATGATTCATATTTGCAGTGGGAATAAAGGTGTTTTTATCGGCGGGCGGAAACAGAGAGTTGAGCATGGCAATATGATTGGCCTTGTCCTTTGGATCAAGCATCATCGCGTTGACCAGAGTCCAGCGACGCAGACCCAGGTAGAGTTGGGTGTAGTAAGTCTCCAGGTCGCGGGCGGATGCAAACATTTTCTCAATCCAGGCCATGTTGCCAGGGAATCGTCGGGAGAGCGGAGAGCTGAGAGGGTCCACGACATCCCCACGAGTGATGCCCAGAGTATCCAACGCTTTTTCAAACTCCTTCTTCCAGCGAAAATCAAGGTCTTTCAGATAATCAATAGCATACATCGCGTGTGGGAAATCGACCTTCTCCACCTCAGAAACAAAGCAGCGGCGGATGTAAGAGATAAGCAAAGAGGGAAGAATTGTGCATGGCTGAGAAGGAAGATGGCTGATGGAATGAATCATCATGGCGCGGAAATCAGCTGCAGCATCAATGGTGGAGGAGCTCTTGGAGGAGCTCTTGGAATCTCTCTTGAGCTTGATTCCAGCATCGCGACGCATGATGGCCTCAACAACAGTTTCAGTTGGAGGGTTGTATCGAGGAAGATCATCAAAATTATGGTACTTTGTCGGCTCGTTGGGGTGAGAATTGATCTTGTACATCACAGCCATCGGGATTTCATACGTAGTCGGGAATCGTAAACAATGATCAAAAATCCAAGTCAAAGAACGCCCATTTGGCATGGCCAAGTCATACTTTGGAGCCATTTTGGATGGTCAAATTCGAAACGCGCAAATTTTGTCGAAATCGGGTTTGAAGAAATGAACGAAGAGCCAGTGGTAATAAAAAAACAACCTGGCGAAAGGCGAAACAAAACGGGTTGACACAGAGGTGTGGGAGACGAAGTGAAAGATGATTTACATCTGTTTTCTGCGCGATCAAAGCGGTGGCAAGATTGTGAGCGCGTCGTGATAGTCTCGTGACTTCGAAGTATCCAACTTCAAAAGTGACCAACGCAAGATACTTAGATTTCAACTCAACATAAAGAGTTCAAATCTTGAATTTCAAGACACTAAAAACCACCAGTGGCATACTCTTGGAGCGGCAAAAAAAAAAACAAAAAGGTTTAAGAGCAGAGTTGTTTGTAGAAATACCCTTCTAGGGGGAGGCAACGGTGTACGATGAGAGGCAACGGTGCACCACCACAATGAATGACTCGCAAAGGCAACGGTACAAAAGGATTCAGATACTATTGGTCCTTGAAAATGAGACACTCAAGGAGAGAAGGAAATTGAAGAAGAGAGGGGGAAAAAAGAATGGTTGGGCTAGCCAACGATGTCTTGTCGACGAAGTCCTGAATGGGTCAAAAACGAAAGGGATACCCCCAAAGGACTCGGAATTAGAAGCGGCGGGAAGACACAAGAGACATGGAGAAACAGATGCAAAACCAAATGAGGGGGAGAAATGATTATTATTACAACGGATCTCTGAAGAGTTCCTCTCCCACTATGGGGAACAAAGTCTGGACCGTGGGAAAAGTGGAGATATGATTTATTCTTTTTCATTCTTGATCCCTCCTCGTTATACTCGACTCCGACAATTTGGTTCAAAAGGTTTCGCCCGTTTCTTAAACTCCACTCCTGCATCCAGCCGGGACCACTCTTCTCTAGGGAAAAGACAACCGTTGGCCTTCCGCCCTTCCGGCTGGTCCACCCCTGTCCGGATATGATGCCGCTAAACCGCTTTTCCAGCTCGCTTGTCCTCCGGCCCCAGGGTGTTGGGTGCAAAGAGATGCTTCATACTGATCAATTTCCCAATGGGATTTTCCCTCATATGAGTCTTGTTAAATGGACACTCAGATAACCATGGATGAAATATTAATACTAATAGTTGGTTATCCCAGTTACTTTTTCTCAATTCCATGTAACAGGGGCTTCATTTAATGGGCTTAACGCTCAGGCCGGCATGTATTTCGCCTCCAGATGTCCAATATGAGCTCTCAATTAGGTCAGGATATACTCCATCTACAGAGTACGCCATCAGCCATGAACTAGTACTCGAGATGCAGACACCTATGCAAGATCCGTCGGGAAGGCTCCGTGTCAAAGAGACTCACAAGTTTCATGACGCCTCACAATCCACATCTTGACGACTCATGATACTTCCCCTCTACCAATAATGGTGGCTACCTTGTCTATGTTCATACTCAAGGTTTTTTTTTCTATCCTCCACCAAGATCGACAGGAGATGTAAATATAGGTCAACGATTTCTATTATGGTGAAGCATTCGTCAGTTCAACAAGATATGCTCTCTGATTACCTTTCTCTGTGGGGTGGACCACGCAATTGCGGATCCGAGCCTCGTTTACGCCACTCTGAACAAAGCCGTTGGACTCGCCGATTTGACTGAGCACTAAAAAACTCTGACAGGTAATTTTTTGAGACAATGTACGCAATCGACAAAAGTACGATCAATAATTTGGAAGAATCATATGTCTTCTCAAATGTTTTTTCGAGGTGTCAAAAAAGGCCTTTTGGCTAATGGCCACAATAAACAACCGCAATAAGCGGATTCATCCATGGAACTGCAAATGTCATATCCCCGCCCCAGTCAGACACCGAATTATGGACCTCGATTGTTTCAGATCCTCTCTCCGATCACTCACATTTAATCTAAATTTCAATCTTGCCCACGGAGATGGACAGTGCAGGAGATCCAGGATCTTTTACGGAGTACTCTGTACATTCAAGGTTTAAGTTGGAATAACATTTGAACCTCGATTTGAAATCCTGATACTTTTATGCATAAAAATCTGCAAGAATAGCTATTCCAATATTTTCGTGATTCATTGGATCCAAGCCCAAACCAAACTTTCAGCCCTTTTTCTCGTGGGTCCTTCAATTTGACCTGCCCAAAACAGCCATTGTGGAGACCAACTCAGCTCCTCAGTGTGCGGTCCAGACAAGATCGTCACTTTTCAATTTTGTCAAGGATTTCCTTAATTTCGCGAATTTTTTTTAAAAAAAAAAAATTGTTTCATTTGTCTACTTCCTACTTTGTACATGGCTTTGCCGGGTGGATACGTCAAACCCTGTCAATATCACGAGGCTTACAAGCAAAGCGAGCTAAATCACCTACACGGCGATCATGGCATCATATCCCTGAACATTAGATTGGGTTAATTCCCAGCTTCAAGGCTCTCGGGTGAACCAAAGAACATCGAAGCTCAGTCTCAATTCCAATGTCGATTTCTCAGGTTCCCGTGTTATTGTGACCCTGGTCGGAGATTACCCTAGCCGAGGCAGTCGTGGAACTTCAAGTTGAACTATTGTCTATAGTAGATCATGACACTGGATTTTACTATTGAAGCATGTTCCAATTGGTACTTAGTTCGATTTTTGAGTCGTATCCACAACGAAACATCCCGTCTTTCTGATGCATGTTTCTTTTTTGAGAGGAATTTCGTGCATACGGACGTGACGGCACAGCCCTGCCGAGTTTCCCTCGTTCTATTTGATTTTTGCCTTTTTTTTTTTTTTGCTTTTTTTGCGTTCCCTGTGATATCTGAAATTTTTTTCGATTCCTCGGCGGTCTCAAGTGATCCAATTTTCGAGTCTTGCAGCGGGTGATTGTCGAGCCAAGATCGCGGTGAAGGAGCACAAGACGAATCATATCTCTACTTTAGCCGGACTCTTGGTCACTGGATAGCTGCATCACTATTATTGCTTATTTTCCCGTGTGCTTTACAGAATACTGCGCCCTGCCAGGTGCTCTGCTGCGCCCACGAGCTGGCGGCAAAAGCGCTGCTTCAAGGTGCTCAATACTGCTCAAGACTCCACGGAGTACGTAGTGCTCCGTAGATTCAAGAGCAGCCTTGGAGCCCATGCACATGACCGTGATCATAACAAAAACTCAAAGCTAGCTGGGTTTGCTTTAACAGATAACGGTAATGAGCCAAAATCACCAATCGCATATCCTAAAACCCTATATCACCCACCTGCACCCTCAAGTCCAAATCGGTCACCGTGCGAAAGTCATACTTCGGATGAGCAGGGATGATGAAACTCGGTCAATAGCCGTCCTCGAGGTCTTTATTTTGGTGCCTAGATATCAGAGCACAGATCTCAACCCACTATATTCGACCCACAGGACACGAAGCTCCTCTGAGTCTGTTTCTTTGTTCACGCGGCCACCAGGGTCCTGTCAAATCGAGCTGTCGGCTATAACGCTTGATCGGCCATATCCCTTCACGGCATACGCCGGAGTAACCAATAGACAGAAATTTGGATGTTGGGTTGATCTGGATAACCAGATACCCTGTCAGTGGCGCTTAGATCTGCCCAAGACAAAGCAGCGCTCAATAGTGATTTGGGGCTTTCAATAGTACATGACTATTTTGTATAGACCAAAATAGGTGGGTCTCAATGACAACTTGAATGAACATACCAGTTCAAAGGACTATAATGTTGAAATTTACCTCGGCTCTACGAGGTTTATGCTTAAAAAAGGGGAATCGTATTCAGATGTCTGGTTATTAGAAATCGAAGACTTGTGATAGATCTCAATCGAAGGGATAGGTGGGTGGCCGAGTTCCGCCGGCCGAGTCATGACACAAACATTGAACATGGAAAATCGATCCCGATGTCAAACATCTACTAGCACTTTGAGTCCCGAGTACTGCCGCGTTAGAGTGTTTAGAGGTACCCTCTGCTTCAAGTGTTTGTGATGTGTTCAACTTGAAGTTCTTTCGAGTTGCCACTACCAAAACATAAAGTTTTTTGAAATCTTTATTTAGAACAAACACGAGCCATTTAGGATACTGCATTTTTGGTCATAAGGAGATTTACACTAGTATTTACCTAAAAGGCAAGAACTTGAAAACGTGTCAACACTTAAAGAATTGGACCACATCATGTTGTTGATTCAAATCATAGATTCATAGATAAGATAAGAAATCACATGGTCTATCTTATCGGGGAAAGAGGTTCCGAAATCTCCGTCTCTTAAGATCTTCCTACCACCAGGGTAAGTAAATTAGCATGTCCTCAAGTACACTACCCCAGCCTCAGAAAAGAGCATGTGATGTCTGTTATCATAGAAAGGTACGCTCACGAAGTTATTTACTCTGCTATATTCAGAAAATACTAAGTTTTACGATTGATTAGATCCAATGTGTCTTATCTGATCCAGATGGTCCGTGTGAATGGTGCACCCATCGCAGTCTTGACTGCACTTTTGATAGAGAGAGGCCTCGTAAAAAGCCACGAGGAACGTAAGTTCAATCTCATTTTAAAATTCAAAGTTTGATCCTGATGTAGTCTAATTTCTTCCAGTGCAAGTTCGAAGGAGCTTCAAATCCTTTCTAGACGTATTGATCAACTTGAAAGTGAATTAGCCCAGGTCCGATCAACACAATCTAGATACATCGCTCCCGAAAACTCCGATATTTCGCCCGGGAATGATTTACCGCAAGAACTTCCTCCACAGGGTACAAAAAGAGCAAGATATAGTGGTCATTCTGATCGCCCATCAGTCTCATCTGGATCTGCGCAAAGCCCCGCAGAGAACTCTCCTGGCTCAATAAGTGATCATCATGCGAAGATCACTAGATCTGCAAGCCAGCTGGGTCCAAATTGGTTCTTCAATAAAATACCTATACCTTCTGAGGCAGGCTGTCGATGGATGGCAGCAAGAACTGGCCAGGATGTCAGCGGCAATGAATTCGACATCCCTGGTTTTACGCCTCCTCCATCTAGCATTTTGTCATCAGGCTTACAGAATGGATTTGAGCTACCCGATCAAGATCTTCTTCGAGAAATGTTGAATAAGTTTTTCAGATCTTCATTCGGCCGCGAGTTTCCTGTCCTGGATAAAGACTCACTTGAGAAGACTATTGAGACTGCATATACGCCAGTGGATGAAAACGATATCTCTTCTGTGCAATTGTCAGCAAGGGCCTGTATTCTTGGTGCCTTCTCCTTTATATCGACTCAAAAAGAGTTTCGGGAAATGCTAGACCGTGACGGCATCTCTATCGACTTCGAGCGTTGTACGAGTGAAGCACAGCGTCTGTTTTTTTATATCCAAGGAGATTCGAGCCTGGAAACCCTTCAAACGGCTTTGTTCTTGGTACGCTGGAAATTAAAATTTGTTATACTTTTTGAAGAAGAATAAGCTAATATTCCATATCAGGTGTTACAACAGATCTTTCAGGGTCTTTGGCAAGATGCTGCACTCTATCACTCTATTGCCTGTCGTATAGTCTGCTCGTTGAAGGGACATATCCACCATTCCATTCCACATGTCTTCCCAGAGAACTTAGACGCAGAAGGAAAGAAAACCCGACACACTCGCGTTCTTTTCTGGCTATGCTACATGCTCGATAAGGACATTGCTCTTCGCACTGGGAATCCTCCTTATCTTACTGATGCCTCCTGTGACCTTGACCCCGTGGATTTCTCTGCATTGTATTCGAAGTATCCGGTAGAATCGAGTGACTATCCCTCGACTGGTGAAGTTATCTTCGGCGGTGATATTCAGTTCTTACCAGAAGATCCTTACCTTAGTCGCTTGAAGGAGACAGTCTTCTTACAACTATTTTCGGCTGGTGCCATGAATCAAAGTGACGGGCAGATTTTAGCTCATATCCGCGAGCTAGATGATGACATAGAGCGCTGGCGCTTGTCCATACCTCCGAATTTTCGCCCCAATCTTTCAATTCCTCCGAATGAGCTACCGGATATAAAAATCCCAGAACTTACAAGCTTCACCCGACGCATGTCACTTCGCCTGAACTATCATCATCTTGTCACTGTCATCCACACAACTGTTCGGAGATGCAGTGTTGAGTTCAGTGAGGAGCTTCATCATGTCGTTCATTCAAGCTTTGATCTCGCCCTAGAGGCTAGTCGGTCGACCATCTGGTGCCTCAGTACTCTCATCAAAAATATTGCAGAGGAAGCCTTTCGGTGAGTCAAATATCCTATTTCTCAGAAGAAAAGACTCGGACGTGCTGATTGACTGAAGATTTATCACCTCATATTTGACGACGGCCACAACTTCTCTCTTCCTCAATATTGTGATTCATCCACTTGATAAACAAGCACATCGCGATTTGGAGCTGCTGATGTCTACAGCGAATATGATATGGAACATGCCTATGGACTTGTTAACGCAGAGGGAGACTCATCGAATGCAAGAGACAACAAAATTCATCATGAGGCTAGTATGGCTTGGGAGCTCCGCAGTGACAAAGGCAGAAAGAGAAACTACGAAAAATCCATGAATCTTCGGATTCGCGCTTGCACACTTCAAGTAGCATCTACAGGTGCCAGGCGATCTGCTCCTCCATGTATGTAAGTACCTACAGGGGTAGCCAAAGGGTAAGGCTAGATCTATGTTGCATACAGACAACTGGTAGCTGTAGAATGATTCTGCCCCTCTCATCTGGTATTCTGCCACACGGTCAAAAAACCCGGTACTAGGTACCCGGGTAGACCTGCACTATATACTATCTTGCAGCGATTCTTGCCCGACACCGGATTGCTACTAGTAGTGTGACGTTGATGTACATGTCTTCAAGTTAACCGCGAAGGTACTCATCTTGGAGATTAGCGGAGCGAGAATGATCTTTTCGGCGTATTCGGAAGTGCCCTCTTCACTATGTATGAATTTAAGCCTAATTCTATTCAGCTCTACCCCCAAATAGTGCGGGGCTGCGGGTGGTGTGTGGACATAGGTCCCTGGTTTAGTGTATCCTGAGTCCTGACACAGCGGCGTTTTCGGAACTCCCAGACTCTCCGCGATATTCTATGACCTGACACTGATTCCGAGATTAGATCTTTTTTATAAAAGCACACCACCCCAAGCCTCTTCGTTTAATTTATTCTCACATTTAATACTGTATCCAATTCCGCAAACCACTTGACCACTCGCTCAAATGACGATCACCGCTCGATGCCATAAGCTTCTGGAAGCTGAGATCCTTCAGCGATCCTCACAAATTGTCTCAGTTATCAGTGACCAGGTATACATTTTCGGTGGAGAACTGCGACCCCGAGAGCCCCGAGACAATGATTTTCACGCCGTGAACTTGGAAAATGGTACGCTATGTTCTACAGTCGAACGTCCAATGAATCCAGTGCTGATAACTATGGTATAGCTACCTCAGTAACCTCTCAAGCCGCATCATCTCAAGCTCCATGCCCCCGAGTCGGAACAGCTTCTGCGACTCTCAACGGAAATATCTACTTATTCTCCGGCCGAGGAGGCGTCGCAATGGCCCCGATCGAAGAAACCGGCGCAGTATGGGAATATGACCCTTCCACCGCAACTTGGACTCTATTACAGCCCTCGGACACCTCAAAATCATACCCGGCTGCCCGGAGTTATCACTGCATGACCAGCGACGGCAAGGATAAAATCTATGTCCACGCAGGGTGTCCTGAAAATGGAAGACTTTCAGATCTATGGGCTTTCAGTATCTCCCGGAACGAGTGGACTGAGCTTGCGCAGGCATTCGATCCTCCTCGCGGCGGTACATCTATTGCGTTTGCCGATGGGAAAGTGTATCGTATGAATGGGTTTGATGGTAAAACGGAGCAGGGTGGAAACCTGGATATCTATACTGCTGAGACCAATTCTTGGGACTCTCATGTGTATTCACCGGATAGTCAAGATGGTCCATCGCCGCGCAGCGTCAGTGCTTTATTACCCATTTCCATCAACGGTCGGTCTTATCTGATTACCCTGTTTGGGGAGCGGGATCCTAGTTCTTTGAGACACCAGGGTGCAGGAAAGATGTTGGAGGATGTATGGGGATTTGATGTCGAGTACAAGAAGTGGGAGAAGGTGGATTTGCAAGGGAGTGAGCTTCCAGCTGCGCGAGGCTGGTTCGATGCTGATTTTGCAGGCCCGGGTTCTCTGATTGTGCAGGGAGGTCTTGGGGAGTCGAATGATCGACTTGGTGATGTCTGGAAACTTGATTTTGCATGAAGTTGAGGCAAGGTATTGTTAGTCTCTACAAATCTTGTAGATAGATCAGTAGATTGCACTGTTTTTATCGAATTGGCAAAAACGAAGTTCTGAAATAGGCTTGTATCTTGGGTCTCAACTGATAGCATTTCTCAAATGTTATCTCTCGAGTAATCTACTCCGTAGAAGTGGAGGGATTCATAGTGGAGAAACCCGGGGATCCCTTGGGCGATTTACTCGGCATAAAAATTCATGGCCACCGCCCGGCAGAAAACATGACGATAAGATCGTGTGTGCTCCAACTTCCAAGCTCACTCACATAGCATCACACAAATGCAAAATGGGGAAAGGGCCGTTGGAGAGAGAGCTCCAGTTTGAGAAAAAGAACGAGAACTTGGTCAAGTTACCTAAATGTATGGAAACACATCACTGCCATTACAAAATGAATAGCCTCAAGACTAACCGTTACGTACAGACGCGAAAGTGGAAAAGCGCCCTATACCCCACGCTCCAGTCGCCTCGCCCTATGCAAATGCCTCTCTGCCCAAAATTATCTACGTATCAAGTGGCACACCTTTCATGAGCGCCGTGAAGCGTGTCCAGAAGCTTCTTCGTCATGCCGAGAAGCGCGCAACGGCCAATATCAATCTCGAGGATACGCGCAAAACAGAGCAACAGAAGCTTGCAGAACTAGCTAAAGCTGCCGAGAACCGAGAAGAGATTTTTATCAAAGCTACTGGGCGAGCGATTGAAAAGGCGCTCAAAGTGGGCAAGTGGTTCGAGGAGAAGCAAACGGAATATGCTGTCCGGGTGAAGACTGGGAGCGTGCTGGTGGTCGATGACATCGTTGAAGACGAGGGGAAGAAGGAACGAGACGCAGAGAAGAAACAGCGCCAAGAAAAGAAAAATCAAAATGCCGGAGAGGATGCGAACCCTGAGAAGCAGGATAAAGAAACGAAGGCCCAGGCCAAGAAGAGAAAGCGCGAGGAGCCCATCGAGGCCGATGATGTCGATGATGCCGAACTTCCCGAGACACGGACACGGTGGATTAAAATGGTTGAAGTGACTGTTAGCCTCAAGTGAACACCGCAGCCCAGCAGAAGTACAAGCTAAGCTTTGGTTGCATATCCCACGACGAATGTTCGGACCATCTGTCGTGCCAGGAGCACGCAGGTAGTCGACAGCACGCCAGCAGTGATGGTGTCAACAGTTCCCTTAAAATGATTTGGAGCTAGGTCTATGAAGTTTACAAGGCTGTACGGATCATAGGAGTTATGATCCAGACAAGGCCAACTCGATACGATTATCACCGTCTAGTGCCATCTAACGCCCGCATTATGATCAACATGAGGCACATGGCTGGCTTTTCTTGTTCGTGATGATTCAACAGATATGCATAACCCGCCTCTGGGTACTTTACGGTGAACTCACTCGTGCTAGCCTGCTAGCCACGAGTGTTCTTGACCATGAAAATCATTGAGAACTTCATCAGACGTCTGAACAAGTCTAAAAAGACATCCCGTCTTGTGCGTTCTCAATTCACTACCTGAATCGAGGGCTTGGAATGATTGTGTCGGTTATTACTGCTCCTTTTGAATGGGAGACCCCCACCATATTGGATTCGATGTGACCAACCAGCTATCATGTGTGCAAAGCACTTAGACCTCAACAAATCTATCCTCGTTACAAAAAAATATATTTCTCTAGAGGTTCAAGTTCACCATGACTACATACAGAATATCACATTTTAAACCCGATCTAGTACAACTACATCAGTAATTCCTCGGGTGATTTTTCCATCACGAAAAGCGCTGCCTCGTGGCTTGAGCTTGCACTAATTTCTCCGCCCAGTGGATTCATCCAAGAGCAACTTGAAATAACGAGTTCCAGGGCGGTTGTTCAGGAGACGGGAAATGAGGCGTTCAGATGTGGACAATAATGCTTTAGCTTCTGCACAGGTGTATTCAACTTCAAGGTCATGCATGGCTTTGGCATTCCACTACTCTATTAGGCTATTGTGCTCAATCAAGGGATACTCTTAACCCCGAGAGGGAATTTCGGTATATTCCCCTGGATCTATAGCCTGAGACTCATGATTGGCTTGACACTGGAATATGTCCCCGAAGGCTTGAAATGTTCTATGGGTCTCGATTGAGCTATATGCAAAGCAATAGGGCAATTGACCCGGCTCAAATCTCCCTATTCTTCGGGCTTTGATCCCGACATTCCAAAGGCTTATTTTAAGGTACGACAGCGCAATCATTGGTCTATTCTACTTATTAACATAGCTAGGCAATTTGACATATTTCCATGCTTCATTCCATGTTGTTTATTGAAGCAAAATTGCAAGAAACAACAGCTTTTTCCAGGGCATTGTTGCCGACCACCTCTGGTATGCTTTATTTAAAAAGCCCCGATGCCATGCTATCATGATAGAAGTCAACCGCCAACCAACCACCTGTCGACAACATCGCCATTTTCGCTTCTCGTCTTTCTTTGTCTCACTGTGAGACTTGTTTTTTGTGATAACCATTTTAATCTCAAGTGGGAGATTGCTGTCATTCCTTGAACTTTTCGCAACTTTCACTACTATATTCTTTGCTTCATTATCTCTTCATGATGAAGTACTTGGGCCCAGTGTTGCTGTTCAGCACTGTAGCACTTGCCCACCCAAAGGGTCTTGTGAGAGCAATTCTTAGTTGACCAGTCTTTACGCATTGATACTGACTCTTACAGTGGTGGGGAACCGACTTTTGTTATCCAAGCCCGGAGAACACTGACAACCATTGCTCTCCATCTCAGGAGGCTGGGTTTGATTGGTCTCAGTTAGCCGATGGGGATAACTGGAGCTACGAAGGATTCAGCTTCAATGGCTTTGGGCCCAAGGATGGCTGCCGTGCTTCGGGAGTGAGTGATTTTATGATTATGATGATACTCTATCCATTCTAATCTTCCCCAGGGCAAATGTATTGAGGGAAGACTTTCCCAGGACGATGACTGGGCCCTGCAAATCGATGCTGACCAGGCTCCGTTCTCTGTCCAAAAATTCCACATCACCACCTCAAGGGACGTTGATTTGATCATGACCTACACTCTGGCAAATGGTAAAACATGTCACCAGGTCGCCTCTACTACTCCCCAAGGATCGGATGTTGTCAATGAGCAATGCGGTGGCGCGGTATCAGTCAGCTTCCAGCTCGCTGTTTTTAATCAAGTGGGTGATGTTGACCTAGAGCTTCATCAAGTTGGCTTCGACTGCTCTCCGGGACCAAAGCCTGCTGGACCTCTCGTTGAGACTCATTCTCAATCTTATCTCCCACCAACTCCCGCCAGTCATACAATCTCTATCGTCTACACCAAGCCTCCTCAGGCCCACACGTCTCAGCCAGAGGCTCATACGTCACCTAGCAAGCCTGTTGAGATGACCACTTCTACAAAGTGGATCACAGAAGAAATCACTGTGACTAAATGCCATCCTACTGTGACCGATTGCCCAGCTCACTCCACAGTCATCTCTTCACATATCATTCCCACAACTACATTATGTTCTGTGACAGACGCAGTTACACGACCTACCGCACCGGCTTCTCATTCAATCTCTCAGCCCGCTTCCACAGCCCCCGCTCAACCAAGCTCACCCAGCAAACCCGAATGCCCTGATTTGGTCCCTAAGTGCTTAAACACTTGGCTCTCTGTGCCCAATTGCAGCTCAAACAGCGACACGGCCTGTTTCTGTCCCTCTTCTGAGTTTACCAGCAAGTACAAGTCCTGTGTGAGCGCTTGGAGTACCTCCAAGGAACAAGAAGATTCTGCCTTATCCTACTTCGCTGGAATTTGCGCCTCATACATTCCAAAGAACCCAGATATCATCAGCCTGGTCCCTTCAAACACCGCTACCGCTCCCACTCATGTCCCAACTGCCGTCGTCCCTGCACCTACAGAGCCTGCTACGCCAGTTACATCTGAGCCAATGCCTCCTTGCACGACTATCACTTGGTCCTCTCATACTGTAACTGTTCCGCAGGTCCAGTTCAGCACCAGTACTGGTGTCTCTACCACTGTTGTTGGTCTTGTGCCTGGTCCAACAAGCCACTCTACTGTCCCGACCCCTACACCCCTGTCACACACCACTTGCAAATTTTCTTTCACAACTGTGCCCACGAAGACAACAAGTACGACATGTACAACCTCGGCTTCCACTTCTACTACTACTGTTGTTCCCACTTCTACCCCGACTTTTGTCAGCTCTAACTCTGCTTCTAAGATGTTCTCGGGTTGTGTATGGGCTGTCGGTGTTGCGTTCTTTATTATCTCTCTTCAGTAAACGACCTCAAGTGCTTTTGCGACTTTTGTATCATCAATCTACCTTACCCTATGCCAAAAGTACTGGGTAGTCATCCAGATGTTCTTCGTTCAGTAGTTTTGGGCATATAGGAATGATTCATCATGATGTTATTCAAATAAGATTACTCCTACTTAGCATTATGTGCTTCACCCTATGCATTGTATCATCATATACATAACTGGCAAAACCTTGGAATTAAACTTCCGAGTCCTGAATAAATTATATCATTATGGTACTAATTACTAGTATTTGACTTCCTGATCATTATAATACCATATGTATTACCTGACTCAGAGTACCATCAGTAATCAATGTGAGTGGCCCATATCAATAAAGGATGTTCATAGCTAAAGAAAAAGAAATGATATAAGCAGGGGTCGAACCAGGGACTTCCAGGTTTCGCGATGCTTGTGCCAAGTGAGGCATCAAAATGAGCAACACGATGACAGCTTCAACTTTCAAAAAATCATAACAAATCTAATAAAATAGATAAAAATATAAAGGTAATATCAAAAGAAAGAGTAAAAAGAAAAAGGCTCCGCAGAAGTCTTTCACATAGTCCGCTGCATGCTTTCTCACGGTGGTGTTCCACTTAGGCAAGTCTCACGCTCGCTGATGCTATTTGACAACCCTCAGTCCCAGCATTCTAGTCTTATGGTATCATAGTGTCAAATCACATCGGGACAGACACGATAGCCCGCTGAGCTACTACGATGCGGATGGTTATCTGGACTCCCAAATTTACCCCTATAACTGAGAAACCATATCAAAGCCAGGATTTACAGGCACCCATCACCATGTCATATCTCTGAACCCCTAGTGGCTAGATTTACTTAGGTTTACACTATTAAGATATTCATACTATTTTTAAGTATTGGTATATATGCTTATTGGTATATTCAAGAAAATTTTGAACTTAAAGGCCAAAAAGAGCATGATTCTTCACGCTTGAATTGCATCCCCATCACCACTGTAGACACAGTATCCATACCACGAATAAACTATGTAAGACCCCGAAATCTAATACATACAGGAAAATGCATACAATGCTATAACCATAGACAAAAAAAACGAAATAGACACAGATAAAATGAAAATAATGTACAGCCCACAATCAGCTTAAGCCTCGGACGCAGGTACACATGTCCCGCTACATCCAAAGCGCTTGAAAGGTAGAGGACGAATCATCTCCCCCGATGCACGCGGTCGTTTCCCGCCATTTTCATATGGAGTACAATCCCACCACTCCAGCCATTCTGTTCGAGGAATGACATACTCCCTTTGACAAACAGAACACTGTTGTCCACCTGCGGCCTGAACCTTCTTCGCTTTTTGTAGTAATGGAGCCACAAATGGTGGGAATTCTGCCGCGATTTCTTCATCGTTGGTATATTCCAGGCTTGGGTAAGCTTTACACACAGCGCGTAGAGCCAGCTCGCGGAGTGAGGATGGGGCAGATGCTGAGCTGAATCTGCATGCTGTTGTGACTAGACTGAATTTTGGATTCTCTTCGATTGCTCGGCCCTCCATGTCGAATCGGGTTATTGGCCCTGTGGCTACGTGAATGGCAGTCCAGGCACTTGGTGGTGGTACATCCTCATATTCCTCGAATCGAGGGGACTCATAGATTGGTTCTGGTTCACATTCGGATTCGGAGTCCAGGTCGTATCTTTCGCTTCTCGGCTCTGTTTCTTTCTGTATGCGCTCGCAATGCCATGTCTTGATGGGGCATTCTTCGATTTGTAGGAAGGGATTGGGACATGCGGTCAGGTGCTTTAGTTCGCCATGCTCGAATAATTTGAGGAGTTCCCATGGTAGATATGTCAATCGGTTCACAGATATGTTGAGAACTTCCAAGGATCTCAGTTTCTGGATTGTGTAAGGGAGCTCTTGGAGCTTGTTGTTTCGCACGCTAAGGACTTTAAGAATGCTCAACTCGAAAAGCTCGTTGTGAAGCTGCAAAAGTGCATTTCCAGAAAGATATATGCTAAGAAATGGTTGCAGAGAGCTGAAAAAGTTTTCGGCCAATGGTGCCGCCTTGGTCAAGAGCTGTAAAGGTGAAAGTAGACCTGCTGGAATAGAGCGCATGTTAAAGTTTCTATGCACGATATTAGTTTGTATCGGAGAATGGAAATTTACTCCTCGGATGAGAGCCAGCACATGGGATATTCATACCCAAGATCAACGATCTCCTCCCCCTTTTCTAAGCAATCGTTCACCACAGATCTCGCAAATCGGTGCTCCTCCGACTCATCAGGCGTCTTCAATATCGGCGATTGTAGAGCTGAAGACGCATGGGTCACATTAAGAGAATTCGCAAACGATCCCAGTGCTCCATAACTCTTCCCTGAGCTCTTCGGATCCAACACCGTCTTCAACAGATCTTCCCCCCCAGCCCGGCCCATCCTCGGATTGCAAAAGCGACTCCGCGCCAGACTCGTCACTTCCCATCCAAACACCACTATCCACATTTCTCTTCTCCTTGAAATCTGCCCTCTTCTTCTTCGGGTCAATCGCCTTCTCTCCCCACCAGGTCCCACGATACCGCCTCTTCCTCCCAACGCCAGTCATCGGCCCCGCATTATAGTTCTCGAGTCCCGATGCCGGGATATCATCGCTGGAGAAAAGCGCCGGGTCACTCGATGGCTGACTCGAGCAATCATCGAAGCGAGAGAGTCTGTGCGTTTTACGAAATGACGACGCGAGCGAAGTTGAGGGGGAGGGGCCGCGTGCACTTGCGCTTCCGCGCGGTGATCGGTGACGAATGCGCCGCGGTGGAGGAAGAGGGACCTCGTTATCCATAACGAGAGTTAAAGTCGTGAGCGAGTTGCGCGATGCGAGTTCACTCAGATCATTCAAGTGGAAGGTAGAAAGGAAGTTATTGTTTGGTTAGTTATCTCGGTTGCGGCGCGTTGTGGAGCCCGCGAAGCTGCGGGGGTCAACAACGCGCGATTTGGAGAGATGAATAGACACAATACTCGTTCAAGAAGAAAGGATCTAGAGTTGTGAGAATTTATAAGGAGTGTACTTGAGAACTTGGAAGAAGAAGAAAAAAAAATCAACTATTGAGACCAGAACTAGGACTTGATAGATAAGATCAGATCCATGCCGCAATGGGATGCCACGCGTGTGCACGGGCGAGTTTATCAGTTGACCCCGGAGACAACGGCTTGTCAGATCCACCAGGAATGTTTGATCGTCATTACGTCAAGAATATACTAATGGAAGTAATTATGAGAGGAATATAAACAGTGAGATTCATTGAGAAAAAAAGGTTTCAATTGGTGTTGGTGTTAAGATTCTGAGCGCAAAGCAAGGCGAATGTCGCATATAGATCGCGACATCCGTATAACCGGGGTTGTCCCTCGCTCAGATCCCATAGATACTATACATCAAACACAAATATGAACATGAGAAGTGAATAAAATGGGGTTGATAGAAGAAGACAGCATAAAATCGTGTCCACAAAAATGTCGTAAAAGGGGGTATTTGAAGTCCATAAAAACCGTTTCCTCTCCAAATTCGAGGTTCTCCAGCGAACCGAGAGTAATAAAAAATAGAGTCGAAGTCAAGAAGTGAAATTATAAATCCCAAAATAAAATGCAACCCCTGCTCTGCTGGAGATGAACGGTGAAGAGTAGGAAGAGCCATCGAGGCAGTCGCGCGCATCGAATGTTGAGTGAATGCTGTAGGTAATCATCTCAAGTATATGGCGATACACGGAGCTGTCGCGATACCCTTCAGTGGAGTTCGCAATTGCGATTACAGGGCCACGCCCATAATCAGCGCAAAGGATCCAGCAACCATAGCAGCGGGGATACCTGCACCCAGGTTAACTGCGCCGCCAGTGCTGGTGGCAGAGGCGACAGCAGAGTTGGATGAGGATGCGGTTACGGAGGTCTTGACCTTGGTAGAAGAGGCGACAAGAGGCGTAGAAGTCACGGTAGCCATGCTAGAGCTCGGGGTAAAGACGACGCTAGAGCTGGAGCTGGGAGCAGCAGTGACCGAGTGAGCTCGAATAAGAGTCTTCGTGATGGTCGTGGTAGTGTATGAGGTCGTGGTGGGGTCTGCGGCAGCGAATTGGGCTGCGGCCAGGCAGAGGAAAGAGGTGACGAAAGCAGTGATCTGCATCTTTGCGATTTTGTTAAGAGAGAAGAGAAATTGGATCCGTGTGAGGAATTGAATTGTATGATCACAAACAGTCGAGTTTGGCTGTGTTGTGAGAAGCGCTTGAGTTGAAACGACGATGTGTTTCGAAATAGATTGTTGTAAAGGATAGACTTGGAAGTATAGAACTCAAAAGGATTGTCAGGGAGCGCGGCTCAGGCCAGATGGCAGTATTGCAAGTATAAAGGAGTGTATAACGAGTGACTGGGGTGAATTTTGGGGAAGGAAGTCTTCAAGGCGCAAAGGAGGAAAAGAGAGAAGTATGACAGGGTGCGGTATGCGCCCAGTCTAAATACCACGAGTGCCCTTCAACCTGGGGAAAGGGAGTCTAGTGCCTGTGGCGCCTGGAAGAAATTTCTTTTCCTATTTTTCCCTTATTTTTTTATTTTTTCATTATTTAGCATTTATTTTTCTTCGTTATTTGGGTAATAATTAGACGAATTGAAGATCCTATTGGATCGACCATGCACGCGATCCTGGGACTATCCGAAATAGGGCGGACCCAAATCGAACTATGGAGCCCAAGTAATGTAAATTTAATTAAACCTCAACCCTAGAAAGGTAAAGTCGACGCTAAGGATGTACGAACAGGGTCTGAATTGGGATAACTCGCACGGACTCATGCGAGGGACCATGTCAACAACACTCACTATACACCGCGTCATAGCAATTGGGATGCAATTGGGATGCAATTGGGCAATACTGATTATAGTACAATGCACACTCCGTATTCTCAATAGACATGTTCAGACACGGGAACAGAATGGGACATTGCGGGCCCAATGTCGTCGGGTTCCAAGGGAACAACGCAGACAAATTTCTTACGAGGATACGTTCTTTCAGAGCGGCTTACGGAGTACACTCTGGCAGGAGACCCCCCGAGCGATTTCCGGCCCCTAGAGAGTTCATGGAGTGTGTTCTAGCCCTCAAAGGCTAAGACCAAATGGGAGTGAATGAGGGGGGCAATTCCCTAGCCAACAATAGTTGCCCCATCACCATGGGTTCCCCAAGTAGACCCCCTTTTTAGCACTGGGGCATGTTTCCATAAGCGCTGCAGTTCAGTGAAATGAGGATTTTCTCTCGACATTTGTTTACTGCATCCGCTCAGACAAGCAGTTTGTGTCTGAGAGAGACTCAATTTCCATACACTTGTAGATGACTGGCCTTGTGTGACCCCCTGGCGTCATGGATGCAGGAACGGAATAACACGGATCTCTTCAGGGCTGGATGGTTGTGATTCGCTCAGGGGCCCAAGCGATGGGGCTTTCTCGTTGTTCTGGTTCTCATCACCTGGTTTAACGGGTGATGACTGGATTGGCTGGCCGGGGATTTAGCCGAAATTGGCTGCTCATTTTTTTGTCTCATTTTGCGTTCGGGCGTCAGCCGAATTATGACCCCCACGAGGGATCACTGCTTTTTTCTCCCCTTGTTGAAAAAGATGGCTTTGCCAAATCTCCACTAGGTGAGTTGGCCATTGGGAGAATGGGGCTCTGTTGGCGACTAAGAAGTCTGTGCCTGAATGGACCCAGGGAACGCTCAGTGGACATTGCCCACCAACCATGATAGGCTTTTCAACTTCCCATCCCAGCGACTTAGTGATCTGACTTCCGAAAGTTTGGAGGTTCGAGAACCGATCTGATCATCGCACTCAGAGTTGGACTTTATTTCAGTATCATGATCTCCTTGCAGAGACGTTCAGATGTTCGGATGGAAGCACATGTGCCGCGGAATTAGCCAGGTGTCATCACACAGCTCACGCTAGTCTCGTATGTACTGTGTACCCTCCAGGGCTGTATGGTTCGTATTGGGGCCCTACTGTGCTGGCAAGTCCAATCAAACTGTGTCCATACCGAGGCCTTGAGTAGAATCGGGAGAAGGTTCTCAATTTGTCTGTAGTAGCTGCCGATCGGTGCTACCGCCCATAGTCACCGCTTTTTCCCGCTTGCCAACGGAACTGAAGATGATCATATACAAATAGAGGAGTCGGAAGTCAATATCGAATAATTGAACTTTGGAAGTTTGAAATTAATATATGTGTAGGGAGTAGCATCGCATTAGAGAATTTTAGATAACAACATTTGAAGACTATGATCGATGGTAAGGGGCTTTTGAGACTGAACATTTGAGAGTATTGATGTTCCAAGTGAGTCCGAGCTCCGCCGTTTTCGTCCGTAACACTTGAGATGATCAATGGTTAAACATTTTTGAATAGCCGATGTCTACCTAGTAGGTACTATATACGTACACACATGAGCTTGCACATACGAGTATTCGCGTCAATTGATTTAATCGTTAACCACCTGACTGGCACGACCCTGGGTGATTCCAAAATTTGAAGTTACAGCTCATGTGTGCATATGTGTGTAGTATATATAGACTCGGAGTAGTAGTAGTATAGCACTTGAGCACACATACACCTGCACACTGGCATGTGCCAGTGGGCATGGATCAAAAATTGACTCGGATACATATGTAGTATGTACTAGTAGTACCTGGGTAGGTACTAATTGATTTAAATGTTTGAACTTGAACATTGAATGTTCAACATTTGATTGAAGTTCAAGTTGGACTCGGACTTGAGCCCTGGAGTAGTAGTAGCACTTTACTAGGTACCTAGTCATGCGCTATGTAGTACATATAATTTGGAGCATTTCGAGTTCAATAATCAGCACGTGAGGTCATGTACATCAATAGCACGCCCGCGGTGACCTGAGATAGCTCAACATTCAAGTTTGAACATTCTAAGGTTTCTGGGTGCCCACTGGCAAGTACATACCCAGCTCCAAGGCTTGAGTGGGGCAGATGTATATATGTAGATAGTACTAGTAAGTTCAAATTTCAAATGTTGTACTGATTGATTCAAGTTGTACTCCAGCCATTTCCAGTTGTTATTTCTAACTTAAGGTGGAACCTTGGAAGTATCTCGTATCAGTTCAAACATTGAATTGCATTGATGTGTGCAGAAGTGAGCTGCCAGTGAGTATGTATATACCTAGGTAGGTGAAGGGTAGAGGTATCTATTAATTCCAGCCTTGAAAGAGTACCTGAGCACCTGGGGATACAGACTCTCTGTACTAGGTCATAAGTACTAGTACTAGTACCCCGCAACATCCATTTAGAGCGCTCCCAGGTTAGATCCATGCCCATAATGACGACATCTAATTACACCTCAAAATTTGCCTTCCGCCTGGCTACTAGTAATTGGGATTACCACGTCGTTCAAATGTGGTATTCTTGGAGGTTCATATATGCCGAGTTGGTCCAAGCTTGCCAAGGTGAGACTTGGGGCATGACATCAGATGCATCACCTCCAACCTTGGAAGGTTACGCATTTTTGTGACCACTGTGCATGTGTACCCAGATACGCCCAGTTGATGAAATTAACACCTATGTAAGTGCTGACTCAGACTGTCTTCCCACCTGGGCAGGTTCAATGGAATGTTTGTTGTACTTAGTCCCGAGCTGATGTAGACCATAATAGGATACACCAAAACGGTAGAAAACCTTGCAAACCCATACTTATTGCTCAAGCGCGAGAAACCAGAAATTCAATAGCAAGAATACCATTGTTACTGGGCTGGACCTGCTGGAACTCACCTTATAAGGCATTGTGTCCCAGAGATCTCGACCACGACTGGTATATGTACATACAGGAGCTAGATGGATTTTGAAGATCCTATTCTGCTCAATCATTCCGCAGGATCCAGAATCTCGCTCACTTCTCCGCTCTCGGATTGTCGAAATCGCTCAAATACACTGCTTATATCTTACAAATGCATCTCCTCAGTTGATCATATCGCATGTCCCGCGGACATCCCAGGCTTGGGAAAGGACTTTATTGGCGCATGGAGCGCAGAGGGCTCTGGCGAGGAAGCATCATTGGGGGGGCCTCGGGCACGGAGCCAAGCATCGTTGTGAGGTCCTTCAGAACGGATAACGCTACCGATGGACATAAAAAGGCTGAAAAGGAAAAAAAACCCGCAGTTAGATCAATTGTACTCATTGATTGTAGTGGAAGACTGAAGGCTGCTGAAATAGCACTTACCCGAAAGTCGCACCTGAACCAAGCATATACTTGCCCAGAGTGCGCATCACACCGTTGGGACCTGCGCCGTACTGGAAAATGGCAACGGTTCCTATATGTCATAAGCTGTCTGTCCAAATCTCGGATAACACAGTCTCCCATAGAATATTATATCTTACCACCAATGAAACCCATGATGCCACCGACAGCTATGATTCGGATCTCGCATTAGTTTTAAGCTCTTGTCATGTAGACATCTCGGTGTGGGGTTGCCACATACTGGATCCCATCAAAGCTCCCATTTTCACTAAAACAAATCATTTAGCTCCTGGTTCCTCATACCACCAACCCTCATTAGGGCGATTGATGCGCATTGCGGGCTGCAACATACTCTTGTCAAAGGTCGAGGGACCCCCTGCGGGAGGACCAGCAACAACAGGCATTTTCTCGGAAAAAGTGAGGGCAAAGTGATTTTTAGAAGTCCCGTCAGGAAATTTACACGCGAAGTGCAGCAAATCAGAAGATTCAAGAGTTTGACAAGCAAGCAGAAGCGCAATGAACCGGGAGCTTTTTCAGATGGATCGCATCACTCTCCCGTCTCCGCTTTTGTCACGTGCCAAAAGCGGCGGGAATTAAGTATTGGCTTAGTAACAAGCTAGTAATGCCTGAAACTCAAGGCAAAACAGCAGGTGGTATCGCACGTGCCCTGCACGTGATCTAATGCCTGGGGCGTCAACGGCGGAAGGCAGGAGATCGTGAATCTCCCCTCGGCCCTGGAGTTGTTGTTCCTTATGGCGAAGGTCCATCCCTATTTGATTTATTTGAAATAATACTGCTGTTTGGGTTGGTCTTCGACCTGCGGCAAGGCGGCAGTCTTGTCCTGTGTTTCCTATATTGTCTTGGGACACAGTGAGACACCCGGTCGCTGCTCACTTTTCGGCAAGACCTCACACGCCTCTCTGGTCTGGAGCACTGACACTGTTGTCTTTCAACTGTGCTTAATTTGTCCTAAAACCACTCTGAACGAGTAAGTAGCTTCTTATTAAATTTTTGATGCCTAGGAATCTGGCCCACACACCAGGAGTTTCTGGGGTCCGACCGATAAATTATCCCCATCAAGGCGCTAACGCGACCGTTCTGAACTAGCCGGCCGGACCAAAAACATTTACACACGCGGTCATCGTGAATACGCTCTACGTTTCCTCCCACTCTCCAGAGGATTTCAATACTCTGAATCATTCAAGATCTATATTCTTCCTGTTCTGCAACCCCTCGTGACCCGTCATATTCAGCCCACACTTCTCATTGTGCTGAGCTCACTTCCTGCCGCCTTTCTCCATGACTGCGGTAGCATCTCCTCCTAGTGTGCAATCGGGGCCTCGCTTGGGATGGTACAGTACTGGTAAAGGAGGACAAGGAGCCCTGTCTTCAATGAATGACGAAGTGTCCCGGATGTTCATGCAGCGGAAGACCGTTCAGCGCTCAAACTCCTCATCCTCTCTGGGGTCAAACTCCTCCACGAGTACCGTGATCAATAATACGCAAGACCCCAATGCAAGTCAAAATTCAAACAGCGACGGTACCTGGTCATCAAAGAAGAAACCTACTCGAAGTCCTTGGCCTAGCTCGAAGGCAGAGCCGGTAGCTGGGGTTACAAACACTCGATCTCAAGCAGTCCCTGCCTTTTCGTCAGGGCCGACTGCATCGTCAACCATGTCTGCTATTCATCAGCCACAATCGATTGTGCCCTCACAACATACGCTTCAGTCAACACAACAGAATGGTGTTCGGCAACAGTCTAATGGGCAGTCTGCGGACCCGCCTGCTATTTTGGCTCTTGCGCCCTTGAATGGCACTTTCGAGAAGAAACAGATTAACGTGCCATTTTATCCCGATCTTCTTAGGATCGGTCGCCAAACAAACGCCAAAACTCTTCCAACCCCTTTGAATGGATTCTTTGATTCAAAAGTTCTCTCTCGGCAGCATGCTGAGATCTGGGCCGACAAAACTGGAAAGATTTGGATTCGAGATGTCAAGTCATCAAACGGTACATTTGTGAACGGTTTACGACTTTCTCTAGAGAACCGCGAGTCGGAGCCACATGAATTGCGCGAAAATGATACCTTAGAACTGGGAATTGATATCGTGAGCGAGGATCAGAACACAATTGTTCATCATAAAGTCTCGGCTAAGGTGGAACATGCTGGTCTGTACGGCACTACTCCCAGCATCCTTGACCTCAATTTTGGAGACTTGGATCCTGCCTCGGGTGGTGGTTTACTCCCATCTCCCTTAAGTCAGCCACTTTCACATCTCCGAGGAAGATCAGGAAGCAATGCCAGCAGTCGCAGTGCTCAGAGCGTTGCTAGCAGCCAAATGAATGCCATGCATCAAAGGCAGATGAACTACTGGAACTCACCCATTTCAGTGGAACAAGTTGTCAAAAGATTAACTGTATGAAACCATATTATTTCCATTGGTATTGGTTTCGAATAGTTTGCTGATTTTTTTTATTAGGGTGAATTGAGACAAGCAAAGCAGCAATCTCAAGATCTTCGTCAAACCGACGAGTTTCTGACGGCCATAATGAAGCCTGGATATGCCGAGAAGGAAAAAGCCACGAAGCCTACCTCTTTTGATAGCAACGGGCCTCGTCAGCTGAACGGACGCCCTAAGATGCCCCGGGTGGACTCTTTCTCGAGATTCTCGGATCCCCCTGCCCCGCCTCCCCAACAACCTCTTCCCGAAAAGCCAGATGCTCTCCCACGGAGTGGATCGGATACATTCTCGCCCTTGAAACGGAGCGATACAGAGAAATCGAAGCCAGTTGCGACAGGTTCTCCCGTATCGCGTGACTCAAGCCAGATTTTGTCACTCATTGAGGCCCTTTCTTCAACTAAGCGTGATCTCGAAACTCAGGGTGTGCGAGTCAAGGAGCTTGAGAATCTGTATCTCCAAGAGAAGGCTGCCCGTGAGTCTGCTGAAGAAAAAGTCAAGCAGCTGGAACTGCATTCCACTTCGCAGAGTACAGAAGTCAAGGTTGAAGATGGGGAGAAGCATGAGACCGATGAAAAACATGAGCTTCTTGACTCTGAAGCCGTTGAACGACCCAATGGCTCGATCAAAATGTCTGACGGTTCGGCTGATTCTGATCCTCAGCAGCCAGAACCCGCTGTAAAGGTAGATACCGCGGCCCTCGAGCATCGCTTGGAGACTATGATGCAAGAAATGGAGGTGGTGAGAAAGCAGATGGCCGCGTTCAAGGAGCAGGCAGAGAGTGCTGAGGAGGGCAAAGCTCAAGCCCACACATCTCTCGCCGAGATGATTGAGACGCTTCGTCAAGAACGCGCTGAGAAGGCTGCCCTTCAGGCATCTATCTCTCATGTAGATGCCAAGGGTCACGACCAGACCAAAGCTACCATTTCCGAAGTCCATGCGATTGGAAATGGCACAGCAAATCCCGAAAAGAAGAATGACTCGTCTAAGGCGCCCTTTGATCCGGCCTCTCTACACAAGGATGACCTGGACTCGGCGGCCTCGGCCATGGCCACAGAGTGGCGTCGACGCAAGCTTCTGCAAGAGTCCAGTCCATACGCTTCCATGTTCGGCGTGGTTCTTCTTGGGGTTGGCATTATGGCTTATCTCAACGGGTGGCAAAAGTTAGACAAATGAATGTGGCAGCATTTTTTGACGTCTCTTTTTTGACACATTAACGATTGTCTTTCCCTAAAAGTCGGCGCCTAGGGACATCCCAGCATGATTATTCTCTTGACGACTTGATTCCCCTGTATTTCTGGGCCTGGTCCGCTGCTACGTTGCACCTAGCTACTTGATTCCTTTGGGAGCTCGGTGTTGGTCATACTGCATACGTTGCATACCCTTGACTTTCTTCCTTGTCTTTTGTGTTATGGTCTTTAGCCTTACTTAGTTCGCGTCAATAATGACCCTTGACGACGGATGTCCTGGTCGTTTTCTCAAACCTATTGGATTCTTTTCCTTTTCCTTTTCCTTTCTTTGTTCTTCTTCTTTGGTTTCATGTTTTTTTGTCTCTATACTACCCTTGTCTCATCAGCCTAGCCCACACAGTCTTTCAACTTTTCTAATCTTTTGTTTTGTTATCACGAGCCTTCGTCTTCGGACCTTGGCACCTTTTCCTCATTTAACTGTACATGATTGAATCATTAAGGAAATGCTCACGACTAGCCTCTCCCGGGCTTTTATTCAATGTAATGCATTAAATGAGTAATTCAACTTGGAAGTTCGATGGACCGCTATTGACTACATACTAATACTAGGTGCATTCATATAAGCCCGAATACTGCGCTTCGGCGGTGTTGTAGCAAGGAAATTAGGAAAATTATGTACAAGTACTTGGTTATGAAGTTCTATTAAATACCCCAAAATCCAACGCAGGTAAACAGAACCAAGTTTCAACCTGCCCTGTTCATATCCCAAAGCCAAACATCAATATCTAAGTCAGCCTTATGTTGATCATTAATTGACACTACTAGCATTTTTCATCTCACAACTTGAAGAAAAGAACTAGCATCAGGATGGATTTAACGATTTAACCCTTATTATAGGTAACTTAGTGATAAGAGAAAGAAATCACTGGGATCACCTACTAGTACCAACTTCCAAGTTCGTTCCAAGGTTTACATCATCGTAACAATACACACAGAAATTCAAGTTTGAATATTTGAACAAACTATTATAAGAGTATCCAAGCGTCAATATTTTCAATAAAAAGCAATATTCCTCAGGCATAACAATTTGACAGAGAGAACCTTGCAAGAAAAGAAGACCAACTCATCAACTAATCATTAGATACATCAAGTAATAAAATTGAATGGTAATCAGATCACAGTCAACAGAAAGAGACTTAATTGTCTCGCTGACTTGCCATAGCATCATTGGCATAATCCGAGTTGCGTGTCCGGGGATCAAGCTTGTTCAAGAACTTCGAACCGGAACTACGTCTCTTCCCAGACTCAGGTGCATTGTAGCTACTACCTCCAGCGGCAGCACCACCACCACCAAAGACTTGCTGACCGGTACGTTGATTGACCTCCGATTCAGCACGCGATTCAACCTGGTTCGCCATGCTTGAGCCCGTGTTGCCTGAGCGGTTGTAGTCCTGCGAGTTACCGCCAACCGCATTGTCACCTGGCGAACCATAATCAGAGGTATAATTTCTTGTCTGACCCATTGTGTCACCATAGGTTCCTTGGTTTTCTGCAATCAAGGACGACGTTAATACTGAAGTATGAGTACGGCATAGGTCATCTTACCAAATTCATTGTCCATCTTGCTGGCTCCCTGAGATTCGCGCGTTCCGGCGTTCATGTTGCTTGAGCCATGTTTTTCAGTGCCTGACCCATACGGGTTGGTGTTGGCATCAGCACCATACATATCAGAACTACCCTTGGACCCATATCGATCGGAGTCCATGTTGGAAGAATCAAAGGTGTTTTTGTCCTCTGTAACATCGTGATAGGGTGCAGCCTGAGAGTTCATATCCTTAGAGCCATATGTATCGAGGTCGTTGCTCTTGTTGGCAAAGTTATTGCCGGAGCCGTAAGCGTCGGTATCAGTACCCATGTTTGGAGCAGGATACCTGGTATCGCCAGCATCTTATAGATATTAGATTTATCAATCTTGCTTGAATATCTGGATTGGATGTGCTGACCGTTCATTTTGCTGGCCATTTGTGATTGGCGTTGATCACCCATGCGTTGATCACCCATACCCTGGCCACCCATGCCTTGGCCGCTGGGGCCGTACTTATCATTTCCCATGCCGGATGGGTTCATGTTGTACTCGTTTCCACCGCCAGCTCCTAGATTAGATAGCGTGAGAATATGTACGATTTCTAAAATAAGAGGGAAGCTAACCTTCCATCCGGCCAGGTCCTCTGGTGTCCTGATAGGCACCACTACTGTAGTCACCAGCACCAGGCTTGTCAGAGTAGTTGCCAGGTCCATAATCTTTGGTGTTGGAGTTGACCCAGTTATCACCCGCATTGTAGTTGTCTCGAGATTCTATGAGTTGTAAGAACTAGTTACCCCGGGACGAGGAAGAAATAACTGACCATCCATCATATTCGCCTGCGATGAGTCTTGGGGATGAGAAGACCCCTTATTTCCAGAATCATTGTGATGGCCTGTCAAGGCATCTTTCATTTTGTGTAAGAAGTTCGACATGACGAAAAGGTAAATCAGTCAATAGTATGAATTAATTGATATTGATAAGAGTGAACAGGTGTTGATTCAAGTTACAAATTGAACAACGAAGAGTCTGAGGTTATTTGAATTGTAAATGCTCTAGAAAAGTCTAGAATAATGAGGGATTTTATAGTATTATTAACATTCGAAAGCTTAGGAACTATCCGTTCGCCAATTGATTGCTGAGATCGATTGCCCTCACATGTAGTGACGCCATTATGCGGGGTGAGCAGCATGCGGCGACCACTGAAATAAGAAAACTAGTCTATTGTTTCCCACATGGATTGTCATGACGTTTCATTAGCATGAAGAAACAACCGATTGATTTCTACCAAGGGACAATGCTGGGCCATTCATGTCATAGGGCGTCATGACGCCACTGGATAAAAAGTACCAGTCCAAAGACTGGAGTTAAAGAGATCGGTATAGCTCAAAGCCTGTTAGAATAGTTAATTGAGTTTCAACCTACCTTTCAACCCGATCTAATACTCTATATCCCTCTGGAGGGAGATGTTTAACTGCATGCGAGTGTAGATAAGCTAATGATAATAACCGCTATATCCCGGCCATCTCGGCCACAATTTGCCACAAAGTACGAAGTCGACCTTGAAAGAGAATAAACCTAGTGAGAAATGGTCCTTGGACTTAATTCAAAACCGAATGTTCACGGAGATTTTCGATCATCTCAGCTATGTCAGTGTCAGATAACTGATGCCTGCCTGGGTGAGGCATCTGGTAATATTTCAGGCCGTTAGATCCGATGAATGCCGACTATGATCAACCATCAAGATCTCTTCTCACAAAACCCTTTTTATAGTTAGGCGTCAATATTTCAAAGACTTCTGTCTAACGTTTGTTTTGATCATAATTTCAAAATAAATGGTGCACGCATACATAGAATTCAAGTTGCGAAGAGGCTTTTCCAGCACTTGAGCTAGCACTAACGTATCTCCCAAGCGAGCCGCCACCCCAAGCGAGCCGCCACCTGACCGCGTTCGCGTTAGTCGCGTCGCACCCTTCCATCTTCAACCACCCACCATGCCACCAATACGTTCTAAAACCTCTCGAAATTCAGCCGAACAAGAGGGAAGGACTCTACTTGCTATTGAGGCTATAAAGAAACAAGATATCACAGCAGTCGCCACAGCAGCACGTATATTTGATATACCTCGCTCCACGCTACACGATAGGCTAAATGGCCACCAGAACCGCCTTGGAATTCGCGCAAATAATCATAAATTAAGCGAAAATGAAGAGAATTCGCTTCTTCAATGGGTGATCTCTATGGATATACGTAGAGCTGCCCCCCGCCCGGCTACTGTCCAAGAAATGGCCAATATTCTACTCACAGCACATGGCCAGACCCCCTCTCAAACTGTTGGCAAGAATTGGGGTTAAACACTTCGTTAAACGACATTCAGAGCTTACCATACGGTTCTCTTGATGATATAATTATGAGCGCGCGAAGATGGAGGATCCAAAGATAGTTTAAGAGTGGTTTAATCTGGTTTTCAAGACTATCCAAGAGAATGGTATTCTATCAGAGGATGTTTATAACTTTGATAAGACTGGATTTGCAATGGGGCTTACAGCAACTGCTTAAGTTATTACTCGCTCTGAATTCTACGGTCGGCGAGCACTGTTACAGCCTGGAAATCGTGAATGGGTAATAGCTATTAAAACTATTAGTGGATCTAGATAAGTCCTTCCACCAGTTATTATTTTCAAAGGCAAAGTTCTTATTCAGGGCTGGTTTAAGAACATTCCACTTGATTGGCGATTTGAAACTAGTCCAAATAGATGGACAACCGATGAAATTGGGCTTCGATGGCTTCAAAAGCACTTTATTCCAGCAACTACTGAATGTACACCTGGAAAATATCGACTTTTGATTCTTGATGGTCATGGGAGTCATTTAACTCCCCAATTTGACCAGATTTACAAAGAGAATAATATTATTCCAATTTACATACCATGCTCATTCTTCACATCTTTATCAGCCACTTGATATTAGATGTTTTGCACCTCTTAAACATGTATATGGTCGGCTTGTTGAGAATCAAATACGGCTTGGTTTTAACCATATCGATAAATTTGATTTCTTAAAGCCTACCTAATCGCTTGTAAAAAGGCTTTTCAAACCCAGACTATTCAAAATAGCTTTACAACAGCTGGTTTAATCCCATTTAACCCAGACCAAGTGCTTTCTAAGCTAAATATTCTTCAAACACCTACACCCCTAGTCGATCAAGCCAATTTTCACCCAAGACACCCCAGAACCTTATCCAGCTTCAACGGCAAGCTAGTTCAATCAAAGCTCTTCTGAAACAACGATCAAGGAGCCCACCAAGTCCACTAAAACAGCAAATTGATCAAGTTTTAAAAGCCTGTGAAATTCAGATGCATTCAACAGCTTTATTGGAGGTTGAAACACGCAAATTACGTGCCGCCCATGAGAAGCAGAAGCAGAAGCTCAAGCGGTCTACTAGGCAGATACCTAACGAGGGTGGTATGACAGTTCAGGAGAGCCAGGAGGCTATACAGCGTGCTATACAGGTGGTTGAAACACCAGTTGCCCCTCCCGTACTGCGGCCTAGGGCGCCTGTTTTACCACCTCAGCCAGCTAGGCTACCGACGTGTAAAAAGTGTGGAGAAGAAGGACATAGTTCAGATCACTGTGATATTTAGATCAATATTTTAATAAATTGGTGTTATGGTGGTAATATTCATGATTAAAACTATAGGATAGGCGGTCAGGTGGCGGCTCGCTTGGGGTGGCGGCTCGCTTGGGAGATACGTTAGTAGTAATCAGATCAATCCACGCTGCTCAGATACTCTCGCATCATCATAGTATCCTATGTAATATACTTACTAGTACTTAAATTTTGTAGGCTCGAGCACAGAATGAAATAACTCATATTGAATGATAGACTTTACAGATATGAGTCAACTGGTATAGCACCTGGACATGCGCCTGGGTACAGATCCGAGCCAGCAAATACGATACGAGAAGGTTATCTCATAATCCAATCATAGGTCTTCTATTATCACCCCGTTGGAAAAATCACCAATTAGCCTCAGATAGTAGCCCTCGAGGAAGCAGACTACTAAGTCTGGACTCTGAGTACAATGTTGAGTGCCAAGTACTGATCAGATGCCAACTGGTCTCCAAGTTCCAGCGTGACGCGGTGAGCAGCTGCAGATTGACGTAAGTGAGCGTTGGAAGTAACTTGATTTTATCGTAAGAAATACGATTAGAATATAGATTTGGCAGATTTCTTGACCACATCCATAAAAGAATTCTACTGATTTATCTAAAATATCATACTATATTCTATCAGGTATAGATCCATGTAGAAGTTACTAGACCCGCAGACCCCGCGACCCCCCAAAACTCCGATCAGGTGGCCAGGTGGGAGAATCAGGTGATTATGCAAGCTTATGGCCTCAGGAACCAACCGCATGACAATGCCGTCACTTCCCCTTCTCCACCTGCCTAACTTTCATCTGCTTCCTCTCATCCCCTATACTGTATTTTCCCCCTCGTTTTGTGTTAAGACTATTGTTTGTGCCCGTCGGTTCTTTTTGACCTGCGGTGCTGCTCATTGTCCCCGATGAGTGGCCGCCTGCTTGTTTATCGCCGACTGTTGGATTGGTAGACTCTCCGACCCGTCAGCACTGTCATACAACAGAACTCCTCGCATCGTCCCTCGTTCCCTCGAGCATTTCCTTTTTCCAAGTCCAACCATCTATCTCCTTCTGAATCGTTGTTTACGACCGATCTGCCAGAAATGCGACCGCCACGCCTTCTCCTGGTCCTCTTCTTCCTTATCTTCTTCCCTATCTTCGTTACCTTCTATTCAGCGCTCTCTTCATCATCCCGTGTGGCAACACCTACTACACTTACCAGTCCTGCTTCAGGTTTCCGCGCCCTATTTTCTTTCAACATTCCGACCTCCCTGTTTCCACCGTCCGCTATTATTAGCCTGACCGATGACAACTCCACTTTCTTCTTAGCGCGCCCCGCGGCATTTGGCCCACTACTGCCAGGAAAAGGTCTAAGTGGCCAACTTTGGGTGGGTAGTGGCTTTGGCGAAGGAAGCCTGGCTGCTGGCGTTGAAGGAGAATTAGGATGCTCTGATATTCCCGGCTGGGGCGAAGGAAATGGCCACAAGCAGCCAGACACCTCCCCCAGGGGTGCAGAGCAGAAGTCCGGCAAGTCCGGTAGTGGTACAGCGAAAGAGGGGCCTGTGTCACAAAACTCGCGCTCTACAACCCAGTCCGAAGCCTGGCAGAACGAGAAGGGTGATTCTTCAGATGTCCCCTCATCGAGCGATGGCACGGACGATCATCTGCATCACCCTTTGTCCGAATCCAGCACTTCAGAGATTGGGACAACTCAGAAATACGGAGATTACGTACAGGTGAAGCAGTCGACCCATGCGGATATTCAATCTTTACAGGAAACAGCCGAGATACAGGGCAAAGTCGTTTTGCTGAGCCGTGGTGGTTGCGGGTTCCTTGAAAAGGTCAAATGGGCCCAACGCCGAGGAGCTGTCGCATTGATAGTGGGTGATGATACCCGCGGTGGCAGCTTGGTTACCATGTATGCGCGAGGCGACACCTCAAATGTCACGATTCCGGCGCTGTTCACTTCCCATACCACTGCCCATCTCCTTTCGTCATTGATCCCAGCACACTCTGGTACCGATACTGGATTTGGGGAAGCGTTAAAATCCCTGCAAGCTCACCTTGCTGGTCAAATAAACGCAGACAGCCAGAAGGCCACGAAGACTACAGCTGCTCTGGGCAGCTCCACACCAACATCTACCACTTCCTCTCCAATGAAGGAACGCCCCGATTCTGTTAAAAATCCCAGCGGTGGTTTCTTCAGAACCCTCGGTTCTCTTTTAGGGTTATGCAACAAGTTTGGTGACTCAAAAAGTGGCGAAGATAGTCGACGTCCACCAAGTAGTGGCAACATCGATTGGATGACCTGGGATGTTACTGACACTCGGCTGGATCGCACGAAGAACTCTTTGACATACAATGGCCGGAATAAGGGCAAAGCCGATGATGACCTGGACGAAAGAAAAGTGGGGCTGGTCGCGGACAGCTTTGAAGCCGATGACTTTGTGATTGGAGTCCAGGACTGGAGAGACCCTGATCTGATGCCTGCACGAAGCAGCATTCTTCCTACACAAAGCACCACTACGACCGGGAAAGATGCCTCCAAGACCTTTGCTCCCGAGTCAGACGCGATTTCTTCTAATATTCTACGCGGCGGTAGCATCACTCCTGGAAGTGGAGAATATCAAAGCATTGATAAAGCTACGGGCAAATCCCGCGATTCATCGACCAAAGAGTCCGAGAAAGACCCCCACGCAAATACAGAACAATCCAAATCGTCACAAAAGAGCTGGTTCTCTAGTCACTTTGGTTGGGGTGATGATGAAACGCAGTCGAATACTCAGCCGACCTCTTCTCCTGTGGCACCGAATGTTGCCTCAAACCAAAAGTTTCAGAATGTGGCTACACCAAGCCGCCCGGCTACTTTGTTCTCTGAGCATGAAGGTCTTTGGGTCACCTTGACACCAACCAGCATGTCGACAAGCCCATTTTTCGATACACTTCTGGTACTGGTGATCAGTCCACTGTTGACACTGACCGTAGTGTATGCACTATTACTACTTCGATCCCGTATGCGGCGGCGTCGTTGGCGCGCACCAAAGTCTGTTGTTGAGCGTCTTCCTGTTAGAACATACCACACGATCTCAAATAGCTCTTCGTCTTCAAGCTCTCCTCGCCCTTGCAGTCCTGGTGCTGCTACGCCAACTTCTCCCCTACTCAACAATGAACGCCGATCAAGCACATCTCGACCCACGCGCCAACGTTCTCAAACCATCGCTGGGGCCACCGTCAATTCTGGTGGTTCAAGGGAAGAGAAATCGTCCAGCCTGCAGTCGGGCTCTATTCTTTGGCGCCGCAAGTATACTGGAAGGCAAGTAGAATGCGTTGTGTGCCTCGAGGAGTATATCGATGGACAAAGCCGAGTGATGAGCCTGCCTTGTGGGCACGAATTCCACGTGGAGTGCATGTAAGTTAATTTCACCATTCATTGACGATCGACATAGCATGAACTGACTCATTGAACTAGTACTCCTTGGCTTACTACTCGCCGCCGAACTTGTCCTATCTGCAAGGGTGATGTTGTCCGCTCAATGTCCCTCTCACAGGGTGATGAATTCGGCCCCCATCAAACCGAACAAGGCGGTGCTATTGGCGCCCGGGAAATAGACGCTGCGGAAGATGCATCATCTGCACCCCTCCTCATCGCAGGGCTTAATGATGACGCATCTGATGTCGAGAATAACCCTGGTCCACTCGATGGACGCTCGACTTCTGCACCTTCGTCGAGCTGGAGACACTTAGCTTCGCTGAGTCTTTCTGCTCTTAGCGGTGATACCATCTGGCATCAAGCTCGTGCTGATCGTAATCGCTAATTACATATTTTTGCTTCTTGTTTTTATTCTCTTTCTACCATCCTCTCCACCAAGTCGTGGTGTTTGATCTGATTCTCTGGCGTATGCTGTATTAGCGATCGTTTGATTCCCTTATGATTTTATTTTGTTTTGAAAGGCGTTTGATGGTACATCTTGGAGTGCTGGAAGGTGTTGCAAAGCATCTGCGAGCATTATTGAAGCGGCTGGGATATACCGCAGGTCAATCGTTTCAAGGTCTTTTTTTTCTTCACTGGTTAAATGTCCATGGATAGCACTACCTTGAGGTCTTGCTTTGTCATTTCTATCCTCAAAGCTACCTTATTGGTGCTTGACTATGCTATTTACCTTGGACAACTACATATAGACCAGTATCTCCCAAGTATCTATTAGAGCCTGCCAGTGTACAGCGCCATAGCGCGAGTCTTTCAAAGCACCTCCAGAGCATGTCCATGTTGATTACCAACTAACCTAAGCTGAGAAGCAAAAAACCATCACCATCAATAGAATTCCAAATGCTCGTGATTCCGAGTTCCCTCAAAAGTTCTAATCAATAGTAGTTCAACATTTGAAGTTGCCAGTGCTCAGGTGGTAACTTGAAGTAGTCTTAGGGCTAGACAGAAATAATAGAGTGAGATCCACTTTGACCTGAAATAACGAGATCTCATTGGTTGAGGAGGCTCTTAGGCCTTAGGCCCACATCAGCCGCCTCAGGCTCCACATCATACTTACCCCAGGTTTTCCATATCAACTTCAATCAACTTCAACATTCTACACCTTCTACTTGGAATTAATCCACTTTATTATTGTTACAATGGAAGGATATTGATATGAGGAAGAGATCTAGCCACTTTTAGATGCCTCTAAAGCCCCAGGAGACCCCTGAGCCCCCCTTAGTAAACCAAAAATCTGACTCAAATCTTCAGTTGTCATTATAAAACCAGAATATCAGGATGTATTAGGCACTGTGGTCTAGTTGGTTAAGGCGGCCTTTGGGACGACCCTGGTTCAAAGCCAGGCAGTGCCATTTCATGTTTTTTTTTGAATCTACATATGATGCCCAATTAGGTATAGGAGGAGTTTGTGAACCGGCGGGACCTGAGGTTGCCTGAGCCAGACCAGACCAAATACGGCATCCATATAATGCATTGGCGCATTAGTGCAAAGAGATATAGAGTCTCTATCAATGAATGCTCGGTCAAAAGCACCTGGGGATTAGGTAGGATCATTGCTAGTATATAGAGAACAAACGAACAACTCATTATCTGGCAGCAGTATCTTCCATTGTTGCAACAAAGATAGTATTATGTGCAGCCTGTATTAAATTAACATGCAGATTAAAGTATTTGTAGGAGATAAATTTTCTGTGAGCCAAAGAGATGGCAGCTAATGAGCTGCTTTAGTAGTTCTAAATTCAACTTGTATGTAGGGCCTCTGTATCTACGCTGCTATAGAAATATGCGTGTATAAAAATAAAGTGACGCATAAGTAGCAGCTGTCTCTTTGAAGCAGGAGAATGTCCATTTCAATAATATTGTTCCATATCAGAGCTTGAGCAAGCTTCATTATGTACCTAGTCCATTTTGTACCCTTGAGTCAACAAACTAGTAGAAATACTTCTTACACCGTATTATTAAATTTGTAAACTGTATTTCCATGAACTTGCTCTGAATTTTGCAGCTCAAGTGCAAAGAAATGACAATTGGACAGTATTATCATGAGCTAGTATGTGGGGAGGCCTTTATTTGGAGAATAGGAACACCCCAGGTGATGTACCTTTGGGTTAAGAGATTGCAGAAATGATGAAAAAGGATTCAGTCATAAAACCTAGAGGCATCTTAAGATAGGCCATTCTGATAAATCTTCTGCTTTTACATCACCTTAGCTTGCATTATAACCTCGTACCTCTTACCTGTGACCGGTCACCGGTCTTTTCTCACCTCTCATCTGAGTTCCTTCCTCCACACTTCCTATTTCTGACAGTCTTCACTTGAACTCCTCTCACTCTGGCCCCTTTTCACGCCTCTTCTCTAGAATGAACCCCCCCAAATTCTGATAGACAGCGGCGTCGAAACCGAGCAAGGCGACCTCGTGCCCCTCCAACTTCCCGGCACACGCTACATGATCAAAGTGAAAGCTTCAACCAACACCATCCAAGCCTCTATGGACAGCAATTAGCTTCATCATCCTATCCTTACTCTCAACAAGTTGTTGACCGAATAATGGACAGTCACTATCCAGGTTACCTTATTCCTCCGGGAAGCAACTACTACCCAGGTATGGTGCCTGTTATGCAGTATGAGACCTTATTGACCTCTTTCAAGGTTGGCCAGTGTCGGCACAGACTTACAACCCTCGCTTTTGGCAACCCCAATATGAACAACAATACCAGCCTCCTGAGCCTCCCGAGGACCAGGGTTACCGGAGAGGAAGGTTTGTAGGACCCCTGGAGGCGATGAGTGCAAGGAATATGGACGATATTCCATTTCAGGAGTACCCTGATACGACCCAACGGATTCAACTTCCAGTCCATGATGCACCATCGCAAGCCATAGCCTATAACCAGCCCACTATGGAGAACCAGGGACAGACCTCACACCATGCCCAAGTTTCTAGTGAAAGAAGACGCTCGCTGGTCGAACAGGAGATGATAGAGGGATTCAGAGAGAATGCGGGCCAGTTTGAGCGACGAAATGCTGCAGTTGAAAGACTTGCTGCTCGTGAGCGTGAACGCACTGCTCGACAAAGTCGACACAGCTCTGCTCAGACAAGATTGATTGCTGAGCATATTACTCGTGTTGAAGCGGCCCGTCGGAGTGAACAGGTTCAATACCAGAGAAATCTTCAACACCTCGACTCGTCATCGTCTCGAGGTATAACACGGGTGGTCTTGGACAGGCAGGAATTGGTTACAGTCTTTGAGGAAGCTTTTTACAACCTGAGAGAGTATTCTCATGGGTACAGAAACTATCAGGCTCCTCCCTCTTCCCCTTCTACTTCTACTTCTCTTTCTCTGTCTCTTTCTCCTTCCCGGGCACTGCACTTTGGTAGTAGTGAAGGTGGTGATAGTCAAAGCTTTCATCTTACGGGAAGTTCTCCGGAAAGAGGAAGGTCTCCAACTCCTCGCACACGACGTCTCTCGTAACTCCCCACTTAGCTCGAGGCACAGAGCAAGGTTGAAAAATGCAACTCTTGAGAGCATTGATGCTGGATCTTTCAATTTTGAGGATTACGCGGAATATTCTTCAAGTTGTGACGATGGCATAGGACATGCTCAGGACATCCTCTGAGATTTGGACACAGTAAGGATACTCCTGACTCTCCGTATTTTTCTTGGTCTCTTTCAAATATGTCTTTGAATTTCCATGTTCTGTATATGGTAAACTTCGAACATATGAAATATTCTAGTGCTAGCACCGTGACTTCTTTGGATTTTTTGCTTGGTCGATGCAGATATTGCAAGGCTTGAGCTGGGACTTGACACATGGCAGCATTCTCTCTCTTTATTTCCCCTCCCTTTGCATCTTTCTTTGTTTTACATTTCTTAGATTCTTGATGGAAAGGGGAAATCATTTCATTATTCTCCATAACTCGTCCTTTATTGAATATCTTTCAGTTCAGTGATCTATTCCCCTCATGCTTTCCCACTCTCTCTAGCATTTTTATTTTTGCTCAATCCCAAATCCGAGGGAATAAGCAGTCTATAGTGTATCATGTAAAATCTATTAACCAAAACCAAAGCATATCATCAAAGCTTAACCTGAAACTTTGGATTTGTCCGAATCCTCGCTCCATATTTCGCAAATAGAAGGGGCACAAAGCACATTGCCAGTGCAATGAACGCCAATAATGAATTTCCCCAACCCAAACCAAGTGCATCATACATGGAGTTTCCAGCCAGCGGTAAAACCGCACCGAAAATTGAGCGCAGGAATACATTTGCAGCGGTGACTGAGGCAGCATACCGGAGATAAGAATCAACCAGGTACGCACTCACAGTAGCAAAAACGGCTACAAGGCCGAACCCGAAGATTCCGGTCCCGATAATAGGCATGATCCAATGCACTTTCGCTTCTGCCGACCATCCATACCAGAATAATCCGATTGGAATAGCCCAACACCCGAAGATCATAGGTGCGAGACGGGATTCAGGCGAGAATCGTCCTTCAGCGGAGTGTCGCGCTGCGATCTTGTTCACTGCTCGTCCGACAATGAGAAGACCTATTCCACACCCAACTCCGAATCCGATGTAGGCTAGACCTGCTAGACCTTGGTTGAAGCCATAAGTATCTTCGAAGATCGACGTCATGGTCGTGAACATTAGGTATAAGTAGCCGTAGGTGATCGCAGCGAATAGAGCCATTAGGAAGACGATTGGGGAAGTGCAGAGTAGCTTGATGGGTCGTGAGAGCGCGGATAGAAAGACCTGTCGTGGTGTCTTAGCGCCTTCATCGTATATGGTGTGTAGCTTGAGATTTCCTGTTTCTTTCCGGAGACGTGCAGCTTTGCGGCGGAGTAGAACTGGAGCGTAGGATTCTCGGTAAAACATTAAAGTAGCAATAAAGGTGACTCCAATCTGTTGATGCCACGTTAGAGATATTCTTCACTTGTGTACCAGCTAACATTTGAACTTACCGTAATGGAAAGCACCCAGAAAACCCATCTCCATCCTTCCTTCATAACCAAAAATCCACCCGCAACAGGTCCGACAACAGGTCCCATATACGGTCCCATAGCCCAAATCGCCATGACACCTGCTCTCTTCTCCTTGTAGACCATATCGGCTACAGTGCCAGAACCGATTGTCAGGGGACAGACACCCGCAATACCAGCTAAGAGTCGGAAGACTAGGAGCTGAGGTAGACTTTGAGAAACGGCGCAGGCGATGGTGAAAATCAGTAAGAGGGCGTTGCAGGTGTGGTAGAGTGGGACACGACCATAGAGCTCAGAGAATGGGGCGATTATGAATGGACCGACAACATATCCTAGCACATAAATTGAGACTAGGAATGAGGCCATTAATGTGCTGTCGGAGCCATATTCTTTGAGAATGTCTGCTACACCTGGGGTGAACATTGATGAGGCGAGTGGACTGGAGATAGTTAGTTGAATGATATCTATTTTATCGTAGAAACGTAATACAAGAGAGGACTCGGAGTGGAAATGTATAGATCACATACGTTAAGAAAGTATTAATCGCCATAAAGATTAATTGACGCCATTTCTTATACGAAGGCCAATTAAATGGATTCTCTGGATCATCAGGTCCATCCCAATCTACCAGATCAGGATCTGGTTCTTTCTCAGTGACAACCGGTTGTACCGGCGATGCCTCAATATCTGATTTCATGACTGAATCGGAGATAGAATCATGAATACTCGATCCAAGTTTGTTATGGGACTCGGAGCCACTTTTGCCTCGAATCTTTCAGATTCCTCTAGGACTTCTGTGACGGGCGCAAATGAAACAAAGATCAAACAAGAATTAATCAGGAACATGGTTTTCTTATTAGGATTTGAATGACTCGAAAAGAATAAGCGTCTCCACTAGAAATCCACCAGGATTGAATCGTTCTCCATGTCAAATATTAGATACTAGAACTGATAAAAACTGATAAACGGCAAAGACGGCAACTTAACCCTAATAGGTAAATGATTTCTCGGTTATCCAGTTGAAAAGCCTCGGACTTCATTGACTTACCCGATCGCCCCACTTATAGATGTCGGTTATGACTGCCAAGAGCTTCATTAAGATTTATGAAGATCCTTCAAATGTTCCAGGTTCAACTTGATGTTGTTTCATAGGATGAGAGTGGAGAAAAGAGATCTCCGCAATTGGACAACTCAGGCTCTATCGGTATATGCTATATGTTGGTGGAAAATCATGACTCTTTTACTCCGTACATGAATTACTTCGGTATTCATATTGAACATTGAATATGCTTATTAGAATAGCAATACTACTGGTAGGTAGAATTTGATTGCTTCGCTTTCAGAAGAAATCGCGAGGTCTCTAGCTAATAGACATCAAACTTGAACTTGAAACAACGTTTAAACATTGGAGAAATATATATGCAAATACTAGTAGTATATAGAATCAAAAACTTGAGCCCATATTTTCTCATCCACATGCAACACTCAACTAAGTCATAGCCCAAGTACCACCTCAGGCTCCAGTAGTATCCCTCAGCTGGAAGCGAATTTCCGCAAAACCAACAGCAACACTGAAATAGGTCCAAATTCTAGTAATTGAACGAGTTCCTCGCGGAAAACCTGCGAGAACAATAGATGATATAGTGCGTCCAATGCGAGTCCCCATGATCTGATAAAACTCTGGCGTACCTTCATCAAAAGTCCGAGCCTGATTATACTCTCGAGACGCAGGATCATCGTATAATACAGGAAATCGTTCCGCATACACCATTGTCAGAGCGCGAATAGTTTGAGCGTTGTGAACTGCTACAGCCGAAATGTCCCTAAGTCCTACAATAGAGCCGTCGCCGTATTGTGCATTGTAACCTGCTACAACCATTTCAGAGATATGAGGGTGGTAAGGAGTCGGACCTCCGGGTCGAACTGGCTCGGTCTGGTGCTGTATAGATATCATTTCTATTGCCCTACGAGTGAATTGTCCTGCCATATGGCTATTACCAGAAAAGGCAACGGTCACATTTGTCACAAATTCTTCTGGTGCATCAGGGTAGCTTTGCTCGTAAGAAGTCGCAAGCTCGAGATGCTGCGAGGTCGTCTTCAGATCTAGTTCTCGCTTAGTTCTAGGAACACAGTCTTCATGTGCTAGAATTTGTTCCCAGGTCAATGTGCTTTGTTCAATAGGACAACCGGCTGCGTCAGGATCTCTCATCCACTCATGAAGCTGGCGTCCTCTATTTTCAAACCATTCTAAGGGGTAATAAGGGTCACGGGCTGGGAGAAGTCCCCTCTCTGGAAATAAAATTGATGTATCACGCGCTGGAGCTTTAGGCGCTGGAACATCAGGCGCTGGCTCTTCAGTTTCTTTTGGCGCAGGACTCGGTGGTTTCGGAAGGTTGGCAAGCTCAATTTCCTCCTCGGCGGCCCAAGGTGGAGGAGGGAGAGGAGGGCCAGGAGGAGGAGGAGGAGTAGGAGAACCTTCGCTTGATGATGATCGATCATGATAGAAGCACATGCAGTCTAGAAACCACCTGCAGATACCGCAGCGCCTTTGAGCACTCATTCTGGCGAACTCAGATGGATCAAACTTGTAAGTTCAAAAAAGGGTTCAGGTGTAAGATTGGACAAATAGTCAATGGGATTGTAGTTGGAGCTTTGCGTATGCTATAAATGAGATATAGAGTCAAGATTTTCAGTGGAGACACTGGCAGTGTATGAATACACGTCTTGTTTTGATGATGAACTAGACATGATGGTGCTGAAGTCCATTTTATAGATCCGAGTCCTCATGGCTGATCGGATTCAGATGAACTTGAAGAACGGGACAATTGATAAAGAAGAATCTTTGACCAGCTCAAAGCAAATTCGCACTGTGTCAGTGGCTCAGGCCATTGATTTTGAGAGTAAAAGACCGTTGAAACAATAATATCAGGACTCGGAGGTACTAGAATAGCAACTGCGGTCCATATCTTAGGGCGGGAAGTAATTCAGATCCGTGGAAATCCAGGAGAAAGTCCTTAGATACCCAGATTCAACTTGATTTAAGATATAAATTTAGAAAAAAATAGGGTGAGAGGCTTTCCAATCTCTTTTGCTAATTATAATCTTGAAACTCGAACATTGAACAGAGGTCTAAAGAAATCCCTGGAAAACCATGGATAGGTTGTAAGTGGTTTCATGATGCAAATGCCCTTTGAGCCTTTAATAGCTTCAATTCATATGGTTTTCTAGAAGGTATGCTGGGATCTGAGACAATTATTAGATATACACAGGTCTTGTAGTGTTATACCGTTAAATAAGAAAATGCTCGTTATATTCAAATTGAATGTCCAAGTCTCATACTGTATGCATCCATCTGATTCCAGCCATAGCAGCTATTTTGGGATGAAAGGGACCAGAAATTGGGACACCGTGACCTGAATGTCTCTTTGACTCGATATATTTTGTCAAGTTCCTAGTTATCGCCGTGTTTCGAACTCAATAATAAAGAAACACAACTTTCAAGATTGCCCAGGCGAAATTGATGTACTAACTCAGGGACTGTATGCCAGGATTCGAGCGCTGAGCACCTTCAAATTATCAAAATTCTCCATCAGCATAGTGATAATATTACAAGGCTCGGACTGTATACTACTATATGCTTTCAATATACTAGGTCATTTACTTCGGGTCTTTCGAGTTCTCAGAACTCAAGTGCTCGAGCCTTCAAATGTTGCTGGTTCCGCTACCTTGACAATGCTGTGTACAAATATTGAACATTGAAATAATTCAAAACGTTGATTACTACATGTGCAGATTTGATAAAATATTATGTGGACTCGAGGGTCTGATCTTCTTAGTCAGTTTTCGAGTATTTGAATGTCAAGCACTGACCTTGACTCGGATTGATTTACAAATTTTCAAGTTGATAGCTGCAAATGTACAAACAACTAGAGGGCATGGGCAGTTATTCTACTGGGGTTTAGTACATTCAGACTCAGCTGAATAAAGTAAGTAGTAGACTCAAACCTTGGTAACAATGATAATATGATAATATGATAATATGTAGCAGTAAATGTTTCGACTTGAATGATAGCACATATGTAAAAACTAGAACTTCCATTTGAAACTTGAAGTCTTGCAAATAGTTCCTGGAATATTGGGGGCCAAGTCATACTAGTACTTCAACTATTCCAAGATTCAAATGTTCAAACATCATGATTGAATGTTGTCTAATTCCACTTCCATAGTCCGAGGCCTATATCTGTAGCGAATTACCCCATTCATACCAGCACTTGAGTATAGCTACCAGTAGGACCAGAGCCTCTCCAGTTATCCCAGGTGCCCTAACTTGAACCATTTTGAAGCTAAGGATCAATCCGAGGATCAATTTGAAGATCATCCTTAGCGCAGTACATATTGTTCGACGTTAAAGCGCACGTTCATTACCCTGTCATAAAATTCCAGATTTTGCTGCTCCATTTGCGTAGCACTAATCACTCGAATCGAAATTTGACTAATAAAATGGGTTCCTCGAGGATGAAGACAAAGTACAGTCTCTCCCGCCACCCGTCCAATACGGGAACCCAAAAATTCATAGAATTTATCGCTGTCGGGTTGGTAAGAAAGTATGTCACCATCTTTGTATGGTGGATCTTGCCATCCTGTCAAGGGATCCGCGACTTGAGTAATAAGTTCATCAAGAATCGCGCGAGTTTGTTCGTTTGCGATATGAGTAACAAGAATGTATTTTAGATCGTCATTAACTGTGTCACTTTCGTAAAAGTGAGCCATTATGTTAGACATGTAAATTTGAGCCTCTCGCAGCACTGCATCACTATAAATGACCTCCGCTATAATAAGTCCAGGTGCGTTGAGCCCAGAATAATGGTTTCTGGATCCTCTAGTCCCAAAATAGCTAGAACGTTCAGTCCAGAGTTGAGGTGATGTAATATCTATCGCATATCCAAGGTCAATGAGGTTATACTTGACCTCAGACAAGGGGACATTTGGGGCCCGTGAAGGAACTGCTCCCTCGACCATGAGTTCTCTGATTCTCAACCCAATATTGAAGGGGTGTGTAATATTACAGCCAGGTTTATTAGGGTCTTCTAACCATTGATATAGCTGTTGACCTCGGGCTTGTAGATTCCCGGCTGGGACGTTTTCCGAATCCCGCTCACCTGGGGGAGGTGACCAGAGTTCAGGAGTGACAGGTCTATATGGAGTCAAAATTGGTATAGTGATGTTTCGACTACCACCTATGCCACGAGCTCGTATGCGGCGTCGTCGACGAGCACGCAGAATAGCACGCCGACGAACTAGACCAGGTAAAAGACGAATGTTTTTTGAAGCTTCATAATGATAATCACGACACCCACGAGATTCAGGAGGTCCAGGAGGTCCGCCTCCACCACCACCACCTCCTCCTCCTCCACCGTCTCCGTCTCCTCCGCCTCTTCCGCAGTTGGGACAAGGAGACCCTCTATCTACCTTATTTCCTTTATCTCCTTTTTCTCCTTGATCACCTTTGTCCCCTTTGTCACCTTTATCTGCCTTGTCACTCTTATCACCTTTGATGTTAACCCCTCGATCACCCTGGTCTCCTTTATCACCTTTGGCTCCTGGTACTTCTTCATCACCTTTGTCACCCTTATCACCTTTAATGTTTAGCCCTTTATCACCTTGGTCTCCTTTATCACCTTTCACTCCTGCTATTCCATCCTGTCCCGGTGATTATGGATCCCCAGGGGGTCCAACAGTTCCGGGAAGTCCATCAGGTCCAGCAGGTCCCATATATCTTTGCCGTCGGCGCTCCCGTTCACGCTCTACCCATCCGCATATACAACCCTTCAGCCTCTGCAACGGAAAGCAGACACAGCCTGGATCCAGATCCATTTTTACGCCTCAAGTCAAACAAAAAAAAGGACAAATTTGACACCATGACTGGTATATTTCTGGGTAGGAAGGTCTTATTGATCTGAATTCATTTTTGATTCGATGTTGTGTATTTGTATCCAATTTTGACTTTTGATAGGTACTGGATTTGGAGAGAAACTTGAACCGATCGAAGATCATGATCATGATCATATATATAGTATATGCATGTCTTGAGCATCTGAGCTGACCGGGTGCACATGTGAATTATGATCAATGCCAGCCCTGGAGTGGATCCAAGGTTCAAATTTGAATCTAGCTGAATGACACAAAAGGCTCGAAAGTTTTCAAAGAAAACACATGGGCAGTAGAATGAAAGGTATTGCTTTGCAAAGGTATAATTTCAATGAATTTTTCGGAAAATAGTAGACTCGAGATTTGGATACACAATGATGCACATGTACTAGTACTCTGTATGGCTCGATATAGAACATTTGAACCTTTCAAAGCTACTGGGACAACATCTTAAGTTGAATGCTTGAAGAAAAATAGTGAAAACTTGAACTTGAAAGGATGATTTACCTAAGGCTTAGTATTTTCCTGCCAGTGGGCTTTGACTCAAATGTTCCAACCCTGGAAGGTTTATTCAAGATAATTTTAGTTTCATTTCCATTATAATACTCTACTTGGTTCAAAACATGTTTCGATATCTGAAACCCTCAAAGTTCTGTGGAAAAATGAGAACATTTGAATGCATGTACTAGAGGATCAATATCTAACATTAGAAATGTATGCTATTTTAATCGATTGATGCCCAGATGGCTTGATAAAAGCGGCTCAAAGGACTCGTACCTACTAGCAGTGCCAGTGCCTAGTAGTAGTTGAACTTTTCAAATGTTCGCGCTGAAAGATATCCAAGGTCTGAATATTATGATAGTAATAACAAGTTGGAGATGATAGAAGCTCGAATGAAGACTCGGACCCAGGCTACTTTGGATAGTTTTCAGATGTTGTCTATTGGGGGCGGAAGACTTACTATCACAAGGTTCCCGAGGTTGATTTCAAGTTTAGTTGTAACATTGAAGCGATCCACGGGCAGTTACAAGTACTCGCGGGAACACTGATAGTACCTCCAGTGCTAAGTCTTAAATCAAATATGCATTGTATGAACACATTATTGCGCTATCGAGAAATAATGAACAAGAAAAGGAAAAAGGCAGGATCATCATTAGAGGAGAATAGAAAATCTGCAACGAATAGGCCGAAGCAAATATGATTGCAGCCCTTCTAATAGCTCCCAATCACCAGACTTATGCTGATCCATAAACCGAGGCGGGATATTCAAAGAAAAGAAAACGCAGAAAGGGACAAAGAAAGGGGGCGAGAGAGAGAAAGAAAAATAATTTCTCTCGCGTCAAGAAGAATCTGAGCGAAATGAAGAGAGATCGGGAAGAAATCAAATTAACAGTGTATGGCATGGAGAGAAAAGAAGGCACGGACGGGTGTGCATCATTATTTGAGCCATCAGCCTGGGAGCTGTGTGGAATTGCAGGTTGGATCCAGAGCAATACTACAATACTGCTAAAAACAGTGGAACGTGAGTTGAACTCAAGTCTTAGCAAAGATTCAAAGCCCTGGCCTGGGCCTGGCCTGATTAACAAGACACAAGGTTAATGTGGTTATCATTCAATGCTGCACATGCGAGCATTGTGCGATGCGGATGGAATGCCGTGCTAGCGATGGGGGAGGAACGGTTATGATGGAGGAAGCTGGTGTAAGGTTCGAAGGTGGAAAGATAGGTCCCATCGACGTTGAACGTCTTGACTTCATGACGGTTGGTGCCCCTGTGTCTATAGTCAGTATATTTCTACAATAGAGAAAGAAGGATTTTGAGGCAGGTAAAAAGCTTACATGCTGAAGACAGGTGCATGTTCATGCACACTCAAGGTCCGAAGAGTATCTTTTGTGGCAAAGATAGTAGATAAAGCGTCATTCATGCGGAGATCCCAAAGTCGAATTTCGCCATTGCGACTTCCTGAGATGAGCTCTCGCAAGCCACCACGCTGCATGTGAACGTTGGTGATCCATTGCTTGTGATCGCGCCAGACCTTAACCATGGAAGTCGTGGGCTTTAGTCGCTGGTCAAAGACACGAACTGCACCATCCCCAAAACCGGCGACAAAGATATTGCCGGCAACCTGATCAGACGTCAAAGAGGTGATACATGAACCAGAGCGTGCGGGAATATCCTAGAAAGAATCAGCCAAAATTAGCATTTCAAAGAACAAGCACGCAATGGAAAGTTGTTAGGTGTCGTACATTAGTGCAGACTTCGGTGGCTGCATTCCACACCCGAATCACCTTGACATCGCCTGCCACTAGGGCCTTTCCTTGACCCTGTTGCCAATCAAGAACAAGACCGGCATTTCGGTTGCTAGGAATGAGGTCAGGCAAAGCGCGGAAGGATGTGACGACTTCGATATCCCTAGCAGATTCGTAGTTCCGGAACAACTTGAGTACACCGTCCGAGGACCCTGTCAGCAGAAGGGCCTGATCATCTTCATTAATGTATCGAACTTCGTTGATCTTGGATCCAACAGGGTTGCCATTGGAAAATTGGTTGAGACGCTTATGACTCTGCCAATCCCAAATACTAATATCAAATTGTAAGTTAAAAAAGAAAACGGCCTATAAGGTGGAGTTCCCAGAACTTACGCGATGGTATCACGGTCGTCTGCCACAGCGATGTGATCTTCAAATTGGTGGAAACACATCTTCAAGGGTTGGCTGCTGTTGGATAAGAGAGAAATCGAGTTGTCCCATCGACTAGTACCTGCCTTGCCTTTGAGGGGCTGAGTCTCCGCAATAATCTTCTCATTGCGACTGCGCCGCCAGAGACGTTCGTTGTAGTCGGAACTTCCGGGCTCATCGGGTTCGTTTGGTTTCATCTGGGGCTCCCGGAAGTACTTCTCAAGGGTGAGTACGTTTTCATAAAATTTGGTGTGTGTTTTTTTCATGTTGAGAAAGAGTTCCGCAATTACCTCTGTTGACCAGTCCAAGAATCTGCTTTTCAAGGGAATGATAGGGACTCCTTCTGGGTCCCTGTATTGAAAGCCACGCGAAGTCGGCGTGGGAGCCAGGTGATAGGCTGTCGCGGGGGCGACGTGGTCGTTTACCTCGGGAGGTCGAGTCCATTCAGGTGGAGCACGACCACGGGGGGTCATGGGCATGCGACTCTTGGAAGGAGACGGGGGCGCAGTATTATCGGACGATGTATCCCCCGGGCCCGTACCGCCAAATGCAAGGTTCTTCAGTGAGGCAGCATAGCTCGCGGTGCGCTTGAAGCCAAGCGAAAGATAACCTTCTTGTTTGGGGGTTGGGGCGATAGATGACTGGGTCATTGAAGGAAGTGCTGTCTTTTTGGCTTCCAGACGTTCTGAAATCTGTAGCTTCTGTGACAGGCGATATGTGAGATCCAGGATCTCAATTCTGATTTTGTCAGCAAGAGTCGACATAGGTGATTCTAACAGGATGAGATGGATGTAATCAACGATCACACCGGCACCCTGAGCAATATCGGGATGGGGATCAACGGAGAGAATCAGAATTTGCTTCCAGAGAGTCCCAAATGTGGTGTTTCGAGAAAGCTGGGGGGTCTTGGCGTCTAGCTCCAGCGAACCGTTTTGGATCTCTGATGGACTCATTGGCGAGGCATCATAGAGGCGACGCTGCAGAGACCGTTTCTCACTGTAGAGCTCCTCATATGCGGCCACCAAAAGCTTGTTCTGATGGCGTTTGACAAAGGTGGAGAAGAAGACAAGCAGCTCCTTTCTCACAATCACACTTCCATCTGCGGCCATGGGCAAGACTGCCAAAGCTAGTGACTCCTCAATCTGGGCCACTTGGTCCGTCAAATCTGGGATCCCAATGAATGTGGTGACCGCATGTAGCATCGCTGCGCGAACTTCAGGTACCGGATCAAAATTCAGCTCACATAATCGTGCAGGAGCTGAACAGCGAATACCCATCCATTTCGCTTCCGGGAAATCACACCAGAGCATACTAAGGCAGAGACAGGACCACTGTCGGAGCAATGGATTTTCGACGTCTCCAAGATGTTTCAGGCACGAGTCAAATAACTCTCCAGACAAACAGACATTCTGACCTTGCGGGTAGCTTTTGCAAAAGATCGAGACGATGAAGGCACACATCGCCCGATGCTCACTCGCATTTCCGACGGGGATGGGGGAAGATGGATTTAAGATCGAGATAAAATAATGAATGCCGTTGTCCTTCAGAAGGTCGTTTTGCACGGTGTAGTCCACGGCCATAATTCTCGCCCAGATGAATACCATGACGGGTTTCAATTCCTGCGCAGCCGACTGTAATAGTTTGACCACATAAGGGAAGATACCAATGCTGAGGGCGAGATGTACTGCCCATGGACCCAGATCCAGGAATTTGCTAAGTAAAATCAATGCACGTAGACGATGTGCTTGGCTGAGAAGGACTTGCAGCACAATTGGAAGTTGATCTGGTGGATTCTTCTCTGTGGGCCCAGATTGCAAGTAAACCTCAAATGCAGTCAATTGCTCAGCGAAGAAAGTCGAGTGCTGGTACTCATACTGCCTACGGTTTTCCTCGTGATCGATCAAAGCCGGCAGCTGGGCCAGGACCATCTCCACAGCAAGATCCCAGCTTTTCCAAAGTGGATGATGATGAGTTTCAGGAAGTTCGGGAGAGGAGATTGGGTGACATTTGTATGTGCGCATGATGCGTTCGCTGAGAAGAAAGTTTCGGAAAAGTGCAGCAACCATAAGGTCTTGCCGGAAGAGCTTCTTGAACAACGCACGAGGAAGTGTGTTCCAAGCAATTGTATCAGTGATGGCCGTAAAGATCCAATTGAGTTCTCCAAGAGGACTGCGACGGTCTTGGAGACGACCCGGAACTCTGAAGTCATCGATGGAGATATCAGTTCTGAGGGGATTTTGCAGGATGAAAAACCGCAGGGCAATCTCAATGGGAGTGGTTAAGCAACAGGTGAAGAGATCGGCTGGAAGATCCGGGTTGGTTGGGAGAGATTCGGCTTTCTGGCATGCTGCCAACAGAATACAATCACCATAGTTCTGGACAATAGCGTTGGGATCTCTTTTCTTTGCTTCGGCGTTCTCCTTCTCGTGTTTCTCCACGAACGTATGGAAATTTTGGACGATGTTGCCTGCATGCGAGACATCAAAGACAAAAAGACTAGGCCCAGCTAGCCAGGATTGAAGATCATAGAGGGGCACTGGAATGTACTGCGTGTAATTCTTGTTGAAGACCCAGATCTCACCTGACTGGGTCGGCAAAGGAACTCCGTGGCCATTGTAATGCAAGAGAACCCGCTCATCCTTGGCATTCCGACGTAGGGAGATGCAGAACTTCTTAGTCTCATCCACCGATGGGTCCAGGTATTGCTTGTATCTGGTGCGCAGACTCAATGTCTCGTACTGTTCTTGTAGCTTCTTGCCAATCTGCTCCATGATCTTGTTCTGACCGCCACCGGTAGTAGAGGTGGGATCTACCCAGCATTCGAGCTTGGAGGTTGGGTTAGTTTTGACCACATCTGGAGGGTCAACACCGATATTCAGGCATATGGCCAGTGCGGCAGACACGGTCTTCAATCGGTCCTTCATTCTCCAGTCTTGACTCGGCCAGCTTCCTACGGGGTCTCGCGGGATACCATTTGTTTCATGGCGCTTCTCGGTGAAGTACATGTAGAAGTTCTGAGGGGGAAAAGCCTTTGTGTTAGTTTCAATATGCAAAAAGTCGATCAGATGTGGCATTCAGATGCCCGCTTCCCGCATCTTACCGAGTGAAGGATTTTGAGATATTCGCTGGAGGTGTACTCCTCTTGCCAGCCGTGTCGCATGGCAAAATCCTCCTCTTCATCTCCAGGGGTTTTATCAAATGTAACTCGGCTCGGTCCATAGTCACTTTTTGCTCGTTTCAACATTGCCGGTCGACTGGTCTCCGACCTGCGAGGTGATGGCCGTCGCGGTGGCTCGTTGGGTAGTAAGGCTGCATTCTCTCCGGCGGAGCTCGTTGGCCTAACTGGGGTAGCAATGGAGGTTGATGTGTGATCTACCGTAGTGAAGGAGCGATGGTGGCTGGACAAAGGAGCTGGTGATCGTTCACGGGTGGGGATGGTGGTTTCCAATTCTGGACCAAACGCGACTCTGACGGATTTATTATTGCGCCGGGGTTCCGTGGAGCCATTTGTCGCGGGGGGGTTGAGTAGACTGATCCATATCTGCAGTAGGGTCCCTCATGTTGTCGTATCAGTCATGGTGTCACATAAGTGAGAGTTAGGACGGCGGGGGTTGGGAGGTGAAGAGCATGAACAGCTCTGAGACCTCCCAGATGCCGAAACCAGGAGGTAATGAGGCTGGGGGAAGTGTTTGAGGGGTTGATTTTAGGGTGAACTCGAAAACCCAATATATCGAAAACCACTAGGTCAGCACTCTTTCACGGGTGGAAAGCCGGGGCGATCTAGACGCACACGGCAACGGTGAGGCTCACTTGGTGCTGGAACCCGGATTATGGTATCCCCGCGTTCATGATGACTAATGCCGGAGCTCTCGCGGCTTAATAACAACAACCTTGGAAGCTTTAGGCTGGAGATGCGCCATATTACAATTTACAAGTGAGTCTATGAGATTAAAATTCTGAGGTGATCTGAGTTTTTCAATTATGTTTCCAAATGTCTTTACAACTCATGCTGTAAGCTCATTAACGACACACTCTGGAGGGAGTTTGATGCTAATGCGGAGTTCCTGATACTGCACAAGGTTGTCTTATCTGGGGTATTAACCGTATATCCATCAGTATTTGTGTCCTGTTATACCTAGGTATCTACCTAGGGAATTTGGATCCATATTATGTTGGTGATTCAATTGAACAGTAGCAATAACCTTGGAAGCTTATTCATGTTAAGGCGATACATATGTAGTGTGGAAAGCCGCTATTAGATGTGATTTCCAACTAATGGCATGATTCCAAGATTAGCACAAACGCCTGATATAAACGGGCCCTCAAAGGCTTTTAGAGTACCTAAAAGTCCATTCAAAAGTGATACAGTAAGGGTCGAAAGTAAACTCCGCTTTTACCCAGAATGTATTTTCTGTAGTAACAGGTACATACGAAGTTTGCAGGCTTGTACCTACTTGTGACTAGGCAAAGAGATTACTAGTAGGCAGATGGAGCAGAGGCCCGGATTGGATCGAGCTGAGAATAGCACAAAACTGATTTTTGAAGAAAATTCAAGAAGATATAACACAGCAGCATAAATACTGACCTTGGACTCGGAGTTCCCGAGGTCAGCGGTGTTACGTATTTGCTTCGGATACCATGACGATTCAAGGTCTTCGACATAGAGTGGACCTCTGCCTCAGGCCTATAATCATCCTTCAAGTTCGTTCAAGTTATATGTATCATTCGCAGCTATGAAATGACACATTTCCGACATACTTAGTATTCACTCATCACAACTCGTTTCAGATACCCCAAAATTTCAATCTATTGAAGAAAGCAACATGGCCCTCGTGGTAAGCCTGTCGCTGTCAAAACATTGTATTCAACGCTAATGCAGATCATAGAATGACCCGCCGTCAGGGTGGGGCTCAAAGCCGAGTACGAAGAGGACTTGGAGGCGGAGGATCGTGTCGGACAACATCTGTGTGAAGATATGAATCTTGGAAGACGCCGTCCAATATGTGTTATTGCACAAAACATGCCTACCTGCGTGAAGCCAGCGGAAAGTTCTACCTCTGGTATTGCGTTGGTGTCGATATCCTCGAAATCGCCTCTCCAACAACCCTAAATGAGATAATCAAGACTATCAAAGAAAAGAGAGACGAGGCTGTGAAGACTAAGAGGATTTTATGATAAAGAAATCTGGGGTTTATCTGGACTTGGAGACAGGCCCGTTGCTATAGAACACCATGATTTACTTTATCTGACGTGGATCACTAGTATCAATATTTTGTCATAAAAGTGGGAGATTAGGCTAGGCTATAGCCAGTTAGCATGAGAAGTGCGGCCAAGTTCTGCATGCCAGACATAGGTTAATCAGAAAACCTAATAAACTCCACGCGATTAACCGCACATACGGCGGCGACTAAGCGGTCAACTGGTACGACAAAAGTGGATCTGAAATTTTAAAATGGTAGAATCTACCAGGTGACTGATGATCTACACCTCTTCGTATATAAGTACCTACGGGGTTACCTGGAAAGAAAGGAAGGCTAGCTACTACATATATCATGATCCAGTTGGATTTAGGCAACTGGTGGATAAGCTGTAGGCCCTGACAGGCGGTGGCAGAAAAATAACCCCTAGTATGTAAGAGAAGGCCTACCCTGCCGCCTTCCTAGAAAAGAGGGCTCGGACGAGACTCCAACCACAACTTGAATGAGATCAGTCACCATATTAAACTGGAAGTGATACATTGAGTCAGGGAACTCTCTCAGATGAGACCATATGAAATCAGAAACTTGGAATCAGAAATCACAAATTCACCTTGTTACTCCCTGCCAAGATACGTCTCCATAGACACATTGTCTTAGACATGCGGAGGAAGAGATCATGATAGACCAGGTACATCAATTAGTCTCACTAGGAACCTCCAACTCAATGTGATGTGTTTGATTGTGTGACAGTTCATCTCTGGAATGAACTGACAACTCTGCAGAGTCAAAGCTCCTAATGCACCATCCCTTTGTGCAGATGTGTCGAATCTTAGAAATCCTTAGTAGTCAGCATACCGTAACCTTGGAACCGAGGAACATACGAGGTGATGATCGTCGAATTCTTGTGATAGACCCTATCTTTTTCTTCAGTTTTTCTTTTCAGACTTCTTTTCTATGCTTTTTTGACCTTTCTTTGGTATTTTCCTCCCCTTTGTTTAACATAGTCCTGATGTATTTCCTACAGAGATCAACCCTGCGTGGAACCTGTAGGTTCCTTGCACGTTGTGGGGGGTGGATCGCCGGGGTGGACATGGGAGGCGTACGCTACAACAATTGGCTACTCCCGTCACACAGGGGAAAGCCCCGCGGCTTAATTATAGCACAGATTACAGAATACATGTTAATGCTTCCAATCCTTACTATCATGTGCAGATATCAATTATATCTCCTCTCGCATATTATTACTATCCTCGAATACCAACAGTCATAATAAGGTAGCATGGAATGGAGTAGTGTGGCTTGCATACATTAGCCCTGATGACAGTATGGTTCTTCACAAGCTCAAAGGTTATCGGTACAATTTACCTATTATCATCTAAAAAATGAAATCCAAAAATTCATAGAAAATTATAGAAAAATGGACTTTAAATCTTGAATCACAAGCACGAGGGTTTTTCAATTCTCCATGACGACCAGAGGCTGGGGTGTTAAGAATGTGCCTCACAAAGACCGTTGATGTTGCCCCTGAGTATGCAGCCGGTTCCCCATACACTAAGACTAGTTCGATTAGACCACATCCGCCAGGGAAATTGAATCTTCTCTCTTTCTGCATCTCTCTGGTTTCATTCTCACCCCCCCTTTTTCCTTGTTTCTTTTTGCTTTTTCACAGATCTATTCCCTGGTCTTGATGTCCACGATCATTGCTGGTTGATTCGGCATCCCACCCTCCCCGATAACCCCTGGCCTATTTTTTTTTATTCTGCTCCGGGCCCTGTGAATGGGACACCTCTCGACGGGCTCCCGCTGGTTCCTGGTTCCGCTCTCCACACCCTCCTTGAGAAAACACCTCGCTCCACAAACCGATCGCGCACAAGAATTGCATTCGTGAACTCGACCAGTCTTACATTAGCGGTGCTTTCAACCTCAACTTGTCGGCGCCCGCATAGCAAATCGATTTTTTGGGCGCCCGAATTCTGCGAATTTGCGGCATCCTGCGTGAACGGCCCGTGAACGAACTGATTACGACTCTGCTTTAACGATGGCTTTTTTGTTCAAATCCAAGAAGAATCAACAGGGGACGGCACTCCCATCGGCAACCAGAAATATTCATACATCTGAGGGTGCTCCGGCTAGTAATGCTCCCATGCCAAATGGGGCCAAAGTCGATGGTAGCTTTTCGCAGACCCCAACCCCCAGCAGCAGCTACAATAATTCACTTAATTCTGCGGCCAGTCCAACCAGTCCGGATCCTGTTAGGCCACGACAGAGGGCGGAGTCTGAATCACAGGTAAGAATTTGATTGTTAACAGATTAGAAAACAATAGGCCCTGACTCTCTCTAGGTTCAGGTTCAACGTCCGCAGCAACTTCCAAATGGCATGTCTCCGCAACAAAGCCCGAATTCGACCCTCTATCCCTGGTCGCAACGGCGGCTGAAATTCTCCTCGCCGCAATCGACCCCATTTCCCCGGTATGGCGCCGCAATCAATTCGGTGGCTTCTAAGGAGGGAGACATTTACATGATGGGAGGTTTGATTGATGGATCTACGGTCAAGGGAGATTTGTGGATGATTGAGAGCAGTGGAGGTAGCCTTTCTTGTTTTCAGATTGCGACAGTGTCTGAGGGCCCTGGCCCACGAGTTGGACATGCCAGCTTACTTGTCGGGAATGCATTCATTGTGTTTGGTGGTGATACTAAAATCAATGAGACGGATGCGCTGGACGACACATTGTATCTTCTGAATACTTGTATGATCTTGTCCCGATTACATCTTTCAAACGTTCTCTTTATCTAACTGAAAAATATCTAGCATCTCGACAATGGTCTCGTGCAATCCCACCCGGAGCTCGCCCCGCTGGACGGTATGGTCACACTCTGAATATTATAGGCTCGAAGCTCTATGTTTTCGGTGGTCAGGTCGAAGGATTCTTCTTTAACGATCTTATCGCATTCGATCTGAACCAATTGCAAAACCCTGCAAACAAATGGGAAGTCCTTGTCCAGAATAGCCATGAGGGTGGCCCCCCTGAGGGACGAATTCCTCCTGCACGAACCAACCACACTATCGTCACCCAAAACGACTGTCTTTTTCTTTTTGGAGGAACGAATGGTGTGAAGTGGTTCAACGATGTCTGGACATACGACCCTGGCGTGGGCACATGGACTGAAATAGACTGTGTCGGTTTTATTCCCACACCACGAGAGGGCCATGCTTCAGCTTTGGTCGGTGATGTGATGTACGTCTTTGGTGGCCGAACCGATGAGGGAGTAGACTTGGGTGATCTTTCAGCATTCCGAATTACCTCTCGTCGGTGGTATTCTTTCCAGAATATGGGGCCAGCTCCATCTCCCAGATCTGGGCATAGCATGACTGCCTTTGGTAAACAGATTATCGTCATGGCTGGTGAGCCTAGCTCCGCTCCTCGTGATCCCAATGAGCTCAGCATGGCTTATATCCTTGACACGTCCAAAATCCGGTACCCCAATGATTCTGGCCCTGTTGAGCGTAGTGCTGCTCCAATTGGGAGGATTGCTCAAGTGGAAAAGCAGGGGCCCTCGTCTGGACGTACATCCCGCGAGGCACAAAGTGCGACCCCTGACCACCAGCGCCGTGGTCCCTCGCGTGAAAGTTTGATTCAACCCCAGGCAATAAACCAGGCGAGTTTGGACCTAACCCAAACCTGGGGCCTGGCTCACGGCTCCCACGTGCATCCATTGCCCAGGCGCCCTCTGGACCCCCTCCACCGGGCCAGGCTCCATCGCCTGGCCCTCGCGCTAATGGTCCTCAACCTGGAGTGAACCCTCGGAGCAAGACTCCTACGAAAATGGATCGTGGCTACACAGGCACCGTGGATGTTCGTGTTGCAAACTCAGAGCGAGGTGCTGAGTCCCCGGTGGCTAAGGAAATACCTCTGGATACACAGTCTAGTGGACAGCGCACACCAACTCAGCAAGCGCAGCGAATGTCAGCCAAGGCAATGGAGGCCGGTGAAGCAGCGCCATTAATCACTACCCCTGGCCGTCAACGATCATTGCGCTCCCAGCGACAGCGTGGCTCGATGGACAGCGCGGAGGAATCGGTGTTGGGTCGCCAAGCCAGTATGGATGGTTCAATTGAGAGCCGGGCTTTCCGCAATTCCAAGACCCTTGGTGATGAACCTCGTTCCCCGCGCCTGACCCCCCATCAAGAAGCCCTGATCAAGGAGCTGGAGTCCGCTAAGGCTCGCAACGCTTGGTATGCTTCTGAGCTGGCTCTGGCGAGAAAGGGTGGCTATGTGCCTAATCCATCGAGTAGCCCCGCCATTGATGAACGTGCAAGCGACTCGTTGAATGACGAGGACCGTCCATTGGTTGAAGCTTTCCTTGCTATGAGGGCGGAGCTGTCTAAGATGCAGGCCACCGTTGACCGCCAAGCATCTATCGCGTCCAAACGCATCGCAGAAGTAGAACATCAGCGTGACGTGGCCGTGAGCGAGGCAGCTTACTCGCGGGCTCGGCTTGCTGCTCACGGTGGTAGTCAACGTGGAACTCCTCAACCGGAGGTCTCCCGCGACGCCGAAGATGGCACTGAGAGACCGACCGACATGGGTCGTCGTCTAGCATTGGCTCTTGCATCTCAATCCGAGCTCAAAACCAGATTGGATGTTATGACTACCGAGTTGCAGCAGGAAAGACAAGCTAAAGAGCTAGCCGAGGACACGAATGAGGCCACTCGGAAACGATTGGCTGAGTTGGAGATGCAAAGCAACTCTTTGGAGACGGAGAACCTCCGCGCAGAGTTACATCGTGCTGAAGCATCCTCTCGAGAAGAGGCGCTGTTGCGTGCCGAGGCTGAGGCTTCGCTGAATCAATTGACTCTGGACAAAGAAGAGTTGCTTCTTCAGTTCGAAGAATCTTCTGGCCGTCTTAAGGACTTCAATTCCAACTTTGGTAGCTTGAAAGAAGCGGTCGCTGCATCAGCTGCAAAGACAGCCATCATTGAGAAACAGTTGCGAGAAGAAAGAGAGCGTCGCGAAGGACTGGAGAGAAAGCTCTTGCAGCTTCGAGCGGAGCATGAGGAGCAGACAACCGAACTTGAGAGTGTCACTCGACGCCTGGTTTATGCTGAAGAACTCGCTGAGAGTCATGCGAAGGAAGCCGAAACCCATAAGATGGCTTTCGTGTCAGGACTTGAACGAGCTACTTCTACTGACTTGGAAGCGTCACTTCGTTCTCGTGCTGATCAGCGTGTTACTGCTTTGGAGGCTCAGATTGAACGATCTACCACTCTGGCCAAGGCCAACCAGGCTGCTGCCGATGCGGCCGTTGAGAAACTGCGCCGAGCCGAAGAGCGCATTGCCGGTTTGGAGGCATACCAAGAGCAAGCAAGCCGTGAAGGCCTGCAGCTACGCCGCCAGCTGCAAACCGCTATGAAGGACAGCCAGACAGCCACTGCAGAAAGTAGAGACTTGAAGGCACAGCTCGATGCTCACCAGCGCGAGGCCGGGGCTTTGAACATCCAGCATGCCGCCCTGAAGGATCTCCTGGGTGAACGCGGCATCAACCCTACTGATACCCGCCGCTCACCTCGTCTTGAATCCCCTGGATCCCGTTTCGGTACGCCGGAGCAAAGTCGTCTACGAGAATTGGAGCACCAATTGTCCACCAGTATGAAGGCACATGACGATCTTAAGGTTACGTTTGAAAGCCGTGAGCAAGAAGCCGACCGTGCTTTCCGGGAGAAGTTAGAGCAGCTTGAGAACGATTACCAGTCTGCTGTTCATTACGTGAAGGGCACCGAGAAGATGCTCAAGCGTATGAAGGATGAACTCGGTCGGTACAAGACTCAGAATGCCAAGATGCAATCTGAGCTGGATGTTCTCCAGACTACTGACGGTCAGACCGATAACTCTGCAGAAGAATGGGGTATCGAGCGAGCCCGGCTCCAGCAAGTGATTGGGGATTTGGAGTTGAATACCTCATCTTCCATTCAGAATCTCGAGAACCAAATTGCTCAGCTCCAGGAGAATCTGACAGCCATCGGTACCGAGAAGGAAGCCTCCATAGCTGAGCACACTCGTATCCAGAAAGAACTACTCGCCACTGCTGAACGCACCCGTTCTGAACTAGACCAACTGAGACAGGAAAATGTGCATCTTGAAACTCGTGCATCTGATGCCGAGCAAAAGGTCAATATGCTTCTCGAACAGGTGGAGACTTCGGTGGGTCACTACCGCCGCCAGTCACAGCACATCCAAGGTCCCAATGGTGTTTCCCGCAGCCTCAGCAACGCCTCTAGCAATACCGCCGGCGGTCGACCTCGAGCTGATAGCAGTGTTTCGCAGGAATCTACTTTCTTCCCTGATAACCGTGGGTCTGTGGCCTTGGACTCCCTTGCCAATGAACTTGAAGCCCTTCGGAGTCACTGGGAAAGCACCAACCGCAACTATCGTCTGAGTAGCCAGTTGGATCTCGAACGAACTCCGACCAAGGATGATAGCAATGGATCTGCCATGATGAGTGACAGTCTTGCAGAGTGGCGTCGTCGGTTAGATGAGGATGAGCGCACTGGTGCCAACAAGCCGAAGACAATGCCCACTGGTGCAGCCAATGTCATCTAACCACGCAATGCTGATTTGCTGCCTTATCTTTTTCTTTTCTTCTTCTCTCTACGACTATGTGGTCCTGAGATATGTCACTATGCAATTCTCTGAGCGCTTTTCCATGTATTCCTGCCAGTTCCCTCGTTTTATTTCTAATTTACCGCGAAAGCATGATCCTTGCATGATGAAAAAAGGTTATGGTCTGTACTGTGTCTTTTTTCAGCATTATTATTATTTTTCTTTTTTCTCTTTTTATTTAGTTACTTTGTTTGACCAGCAATGAGGAACGGGATTCCTTTTGTTTCTGTTTTCCTTTTCATCCCCTCTCGTCTGTTGACTAGTTTCTGCTGTCTTCGCTCGCTCTTTGTTCTCCCCACCCCTTTGTTCCTCGCTCTTTGCCTGTACTTTCCTCCCTTTATACCCCGGTCCTCTGATGTTTATCGGACTCTGGCTGTACCACTACTCGCACACCCATGAATTTTACCATGCAATGTATTCCTTGCCTTCTTTTAGAGGTCCTTTGATTATTCCATATTCCTTTTCAGCCCATGTAGGCCCAAACCCTCGGAGCTATTGCGTATTTTAGAACAAGCCTGAGTGTTGAATTTGTTAAATGGACATCTTGTGTCGTGTCAGGCTTGGTTTGTAAACATTTGAAGACATGGGTTTTTTGGTCTAACCAATTATGTACTATGCCACCAGCGGAGCTGTATACCCACCTGGACATGTATCTGTTTGTATGCCCAGGTGGGGACAGTTAAACCCATTTAGGAAACGGGGTGTCCATTTAACAACAATCATCCTCCTTTATAGATTGGGCCATATCTATTCCAGTTACCAGGATGTTATTTGCCATTGGAACCGTTACCGGGGTACTCCGTACGGTAAGTGGCAGTGGCCCCATGCAGCTTCAATGCAGCTAGGTACGAGAATGGGGCCGAGTTGAACCAAACAAACCTGCGCCCTTCCAAGGCGAATTGGGGCCATGTCATTCAAATGTTCCTTCGGGAAATTCTCGCATGGGGGGAGGGGGGTTTAACCGAATGGCAAAATGGTCTATATACTCCGCAGATACTACGTTTAGTTGAATACTCCCTCAAGTGCTTAATCTACGTAGCATGTATGGTTATCTATCACACCATCAGTACCTCATTTAGGTTGGTAGTTTCAAGGGTCTAGATCTGGCAATTGATTGCTGCAGATTCGGGTATATTGATGATATTAATAGTAACTTCGGTCGATAGGGAACATCCCTCACATTAAAAAGAAACCGAGGTATTTACCTAGGCCCATCACACCAGGGTTTTTCTTCTTGCAAATCTCATTCTATTTCAGGTTATTTCAGGTTTTTGGGCAGTCAGCTGAGCAACGTGTACCAGTCGGACTAGTACAGGCCCGAGACCCTTTGAGATCCAACAGTTTAGATCATATTATATACTGTAGGGAATATGAACTGAAAGACAAGAAATATTATAAAATAAAATATCAACTAAATTTATATTTATACGTCTTTATAATGATTTAAAAGTAAATCGCGCAAAATTTAAAAGTAACGAGGTTGGTACATGTCAAACCCCTAGTAAAAGTACTAAGTAAGTAGTTAACCCCTTGTACTCCGCAAGTCACTTCCCGTTCAGCCACCTTAAATTCGCTAGAGAAAAATACGCGCTTCACCGACTTCTTCCTCCCCCTCTTCACTCCTCCTTCTCCTTCTCTCTATCCAACATCACTCTTTCCCTCCATTATCAAGGGCTTGGTCCTTGATTCTTTTTTGGACTAACCTCCTTTTTCTTCTTCTATCGATTCGGATTTTCGTTCGTGGCTACCATTTTTCTTCCCCTATCCATCCGGTCGTACGGTCGGCATTGAACATCTTTTGAGATCCTTATCTCGCGTTCCAGGTATGGCGCCGTTACCCTCTCCACTTCTAGATCTCTCTCCCCTCCTTTTGTTGATACTCTATTTGTGTTCCTTTTTTCTTTTTTTGTTCACTTGCATGCTTGTAACCGCCGTCGATTCCCATCTCACGGCCCATCAAGGCCCAACCTTTACCCCCTGGTGGCCACATCTGACCAGCCTCACTCTTCGGCCTGAGGCTCAGAGAGTCACCCCCCATTTCAATTGCTCTTTGCCTTAATTTGTACCACCGCTCCACACCTGCTTGTCATCCACTTTTTTTTCCTTCTTCTTCTTCTTCTACTCGACCTTTTCTAATCATTATCTCAACAGCTTTCAGTTTCTCCGCACGGCTATCGGCTGTGCCGTGACAATCCATCCAACATGACTACCATGGTCAGTGCCTAATCCCTTTATTACGACCTCCTTCCTTTTATTACCAGTGTCGATTTTTATGTCAAATCTTCACTTATTATTCCGAGATCGATGTCGTCGTCAAATACGTCAAAATCGAAATCATTCTAGTCGGGTTGTCGATAAGTGCTGACATCATACACAGGATTTGCGTGTCGGTAACAAGTACCGCATCGGCCGCAAGATCGGAAGTGGTTCTTTCGGTGATATTTACCTTGGTATGTACTTAGGAACCAGCATATAGCTGTTTCTGTTCTAATATTACTGATCCGGCACTAATTCTCTTATATAGGAACCAACATCATCTCTGGTGAAGAGATTGCCATCAAGCTTGAGAGCGTCAAGGCGAAGCACCCTCAGCTCGAGTATGAGGCCCGTGTCTACAAGTCTCTTGCCGGTGGTGTCGGTATTCCCTTCGTCCGCTGGTTCGGTACTGAGTGCGACTACAATGCCATGGTCATCGATCTGCTCGGTCCCAGTCTGGAGGACCTCTTCAACTTCTGTAACCGCAAGTTCTCGCTCAAGACCGTTCTCCTTCTCGCCGATCAGTTGATTTCCCGTATCGAATACATCCACGCTAAATCATTCATTCACCGTGATATCAAGCCCGACAACTTCCTCATGGGTATCGGTAAGCGCGGTAACCAGGTTAATGTGATCGATTTCGGTCTGGCCAAGAAGTACCGTGACCCCAAGACTCACTTCCACATTCCTTACCGTGAGAACAAGAACCTCACTGGTACTGCCCGTTACGCCAGTATTAACACCCACTTGGGCGTTGAGCAGTCTCGTCGTGATGATATGGAGTCTCTTGGATACGTTATGCTCTACTTCTGCCGTGGCTCTCTTCCCTGGCAAGGTCTGAAGGCTGCTACCAAGAAGCAGAAGTACGACCGTATTATGGAGAAGAAGATGACTACCCCCACTGAAGTTCTTTGCCGTGGTTTCCCCAACGAGTTCGCCATCTACCTCAACTACACCCGCTCGCTCCGCTTTGACGACAAGCCCGACTACTCCTACCTTCGCAAGATCTTCCGTGACCTGTTCGTCCGCGAGTCCTTCCAGTACGACTACGTCTTCGACTGGACCGTCTACAAGTACCAGAAGAACGCCGCTATGATTGTTGACGCCAGCAAGAAGGACAAGGATGACGAACAGACCCGCCGCCAGGCCGCTGCTGCGGCTGCCATGCCTAGTGCTGCTGCCGCCAAGCCCAGCGCCATCTCGGGCCAGCGCCGCAAGGTCATCGACCGTGGCACCCTCGACAACACTCCGGACACCAACCGTGCCGTGGGAGGGAGTGACAGGATGTGAGTACTTTGAAACCTTGGTTTCCGAGTAGGGAACCCCTTCTTCTTTTCCCCTTACGTTTGGTGTTTTATCTTTTTGTGACGCTGGGCGTGGAGGAAACCCTTTAGTTCTGAATCTGACTAATCGCATAGTCTTCGGCGTTAGGCTGCGTTCTGCCTCGAAGGGAGCTGCTCAAGGTGCTTATGGACCTTCCGGTAGCCGTTCGAAGCGGAACGATGGGTCTGGGGCTCAATGGTACTAATCGTGTCACCATGTGTGGAGCGACTTTGTAGGAGTATGTGTATGATAGGAGTTCGACACCTGTTGATTTTCTGCCATCTCATACCCTACAAAGCGCTTTTCTGCATGCACACAATCAACCACCTTAAGAAACCCGGGACTTCCCATTGTCAACTCGCTGTGGACGGAACATATTGCACTCGACTCTCGGCCTACTCGGACTTTTCTTTTCTTTTCACCCCCTGGAACTCCACTCATTCTGCAATCTCTTTAACCGCCCTTCTATCCCGTTCTCGATCATATTTCGACTTCAGCCGTTTCGATTCTCAGCGATATGTCTATTGATATCACTTTCTGGTGTTGTCTGGCCATTCGCTGATGACTGTTTCAACATTTTCGGATTTTCCTGTTACCCGTTCGCTCGGGGCAGCCGATTTCTCAGTCTCGAAACGCTATTGATATGGTGGCTTTTTTTTCAGTCTTCGGTTTATTTTCGGTATTTGCGACCCTTAAGCTTACTCTATGCCTTTTTTTTCAACCCTCTTCGCAAACGACCGAATTACCCAAGACTGAAGGAGATGCAAATGACGGGCATCAAAGCTGGAAACAGAACATTTCGATGTTTCTGTTCGTATGATCGCTTGTTACTGGACTTCCCTGCGCATTTCGATGCGCCTACCCATCAATTTGTGTTACCCCCTTGTCTCGCTATTTCTTTTACCCCCACCGTTCAGTGTGTTGTTTATTTTCCCTTGCCCTTTTTTCATTTTCATCTTTTTGTTTTTACGTACGATCGACGCAGTTTGGGGACGAGGAGAAAATCGGTTGAATCCGGTCTGTTGATGAAGTGTGGAAGCGATTATACGGGAGGTTGACTTTCTTCGAGGATTTGTTTGTTGGCTGTTATGGATCTTGCTGGGCTCATGTGCAAGATCCTTGTCTCGACACAGCCTGTTAAGTCTTCAGAGGAGGAAAGTCTGTTCTCGTTTGGTACTTGGCGACGGAAATGGTTAGGGTCGCTTCCGGGGTGGTTTTTGCGTCGATCGTATGTTTTTAATTTTGCTAGCCTTTTTGAGTTCGCTTGCGCGTTCCCTATTGCATGAGTTTGTTCTCTATCGCACATTCTGAGATTGGTGCATGTTCCCTCTCCTATAACTTGGATGAGCTTTCAGAAACCTATGGGCCGTCATGGTCTAAATAGTGCCCAAGTTAAGGAGATGCGCGCTGCCTTATGGCTTTAACGTCAAATATCAAATGCAATCATCCCCTATGCCCTGAATTTTCATCTTCGTTTCTACGTAAATTTCGACTTGTAACATGTAGGGATCTATACGAAGTACGAGTAGTGTGCATTTGCGGTGAGATCATCGAGTTGTCTTTGTCGTTCTGGGCGATCTATGCACGGACCAGAAGCTTTACGGGATCAAATACTCAATAATCTCAGTTGAGGAGACAAAGAGACAAATCAGATTACTAGAAACTCGATAAAAGTAGAATATTGAGATAGAGTGTAATCAATACGAGATGTGATGTACTTTGGTAGTTCTATTAGCCCAGTCTAAGATGCAGAATCAGTCAGAACCACCATGGAAACACGAAAAAAACCCCCCCATGAAACACTCAATGCCCAGTCTGAAATCTCCCCGTACTACCTCGTTCTCCTTTCACTTCTCTTCCATCCCATAATCATTCAAATCCCAAATACTCTCGAATTTACGTCGGTGCAAGATGGATTACTCCAACTATGCTGGCCATCAATCCCAGCCCTACTCTTTGTACGGTCTTCCAACCCCCGACCAACAACCAGCGCCACACACCGAGGACGGTCTCCGCGATCCATTCTCTCTGGTATGAGCCCCGATTTCCACCACCTATATGACCTAGTCGGAGATTCTAATTATGTGTTCTCCTTTCTCTTTCTTTGCAGCAGCAGCAAAATACATATAATCAATACTTTCCCGGTTTCGAGGGCTCCTTGCGTCTAGACCCCTCATCTTTTGTCCCGCCACATTCGCCCCCGGATTCCTTCACGAAGCAATCCGTCTCTAGCAATGATCTTACCCATACAAAGCCTGGACCTGCTTCCCTCGATGGCGACGATGGCCAATTTGCGGATGGTGGACTGGTGCGGAGTAGCAGTGAGGAGAAAGATTCCATGACACCGGCTCAAACGAAGCGCAAAGCGCAAAATCGTGCAGCGTATGTAGCCCACATCACCTCGACTCCCCCGATATCATGCACTTCAACCCTGTCGTTTCAATATATCCTCCGAGATGAGATTACAATGAAGTACCCACTAACCAAACATCCAGACAACGAGCCTTCCGCGAAAGAAAAGAACGACACGTCAAAGACCTCGAGGAAAAAGTTAATTCCCTCGAAGAAGCATCAACATCCCTCCAAGCAGATAACGAGCGTCTAAAGCGTGAACTCGCCAAATTCGCAACTGAAAACGAAATCCTCCGCGCAACATCCGGCTCTTTAAATGGTTCTCACCATGCCGCACACAATGTTGATCAACCAACCGTTACCGGTCCCATGAAATACTCCCCAACGGACTTCTATACATCGCTCATGCCTGAAGACGCGGGTTGGGGTCCTGTACCTGGTAGCTCCCCGTCCGCACCACCTGCTTCGCATCGTATCTCAGTTTGTCAGGTTACGGGTGAGAAGTTACTTGATGCGGGTGCGACCTGGGATTTTATTCAAGGACATGAGCTTTTTAAGAAGGGTCAGGTTGATATTGGGGATGTTGCGGAGAGACTTAAGGGGTTAGCGCAATGTAATGGACAAGGACCGGCTTTTAAGGAAGGGGAGATTATGAGGGCTATTATGGCGAGTGTTGCGGATCGAGATGAGTTGATCTGATCGTACTCGCTGACTCTGGCTCATTTCCTTGATGAGAATATGTGTTCATGTTACTTTGATATCTCTCGGGGTTTTTTTATATCTTTGGTCTGCGATTTGGCGCTGTTGGATCCTTTTTTGGTGTTTTGTGTCTCTTTTCAGGTCTGGCGTTGGAAGTTGACTGGGATTACGGGGCGATGAATATACCTGCCAGTGACTGTGAGAAGGATATCTTCATACGCTATGGCCTACTTGCCTCGAGTACCTTCCGGTCTACATATTTCTGTTTTTTTTTCTTTGGACATTCTTTTTGCCCTGCAGAAGCTATACGAGTCTAATATGCATTCAAGCATTCCAATCAATACATATATCAGTGTGCTTCGAGTTGATATCCATGGAGTAGTAGAACTTGACTTCCAAGGTTCTTGTATCCGTCTCAACTCCCAGGGCTTCAAAGTTGAATCCGATTCGGATGAATGAATACTATTTAAATGAATCCTCAAGTTAGAAAATATTTGAATCATTGATTGAGTACTCTGTATACTGGTTCAAATTTTGGTACAGTATCAGATGTATATTAGATAACTGTCCTCCAGGGAACACGCAAGATCATGATGATATCAATAACTGAAAAGATTCTCAGGGTTGAGTGACGTTGAGCTCGAAATTTCCTGTTTCCAAGATTGTTTCATCTCAAATGAGTGTTCACCTTCAAGTCAAAATTGTTGTTTTTTCTCGTCTGCTTCCATTTCATTGAAATCTCCCAAATTCAGCACTGCTCAAGGATCGTTTCGCCGTTCGGGCGCGTTTCATAATATACACACATCAAATCATAAAATTCAGGCTGATCGCAAGCTTCAAACTATACAATTAATCCCAATCATCATCGTAGTCCTCCACATTGAGGTCATCATCCTTCTTGCGGTATTCATCTTCATCATCGTCGGAGTTCTTCTTCAGTCGGACGTCACTTTCCTTCAATGCTCCAATATCGACAAGTAGCTTCTCAAGATCTATTTTATCCGTTAGTTTCGCTATCCACATGGATAATAATTGAACGATCACTGGGTCCATAGGACTGCTCACCCGCCAACTTAGTTCGCACTCCCTTCAACTCCCTCAGCGTAACCAACTGTCTCCGAATCTCGGTATCCTTGTACACGAGAATTGTGGGTGTGTTCCGCTCAGGATACCCCTCAATACACATATCGGCTCGGATCTCACAGAACTTAATATCGCCAAACTTTGCGGCCAGTTGTCGCCAGAGCTCTGTCAGCACGCGGGACTCAACGTTGGCGCCTTGGGATGTAAGGTTCACGAGGACAAAGGCATCTTTTGAGGCATCGGTCACTTCACGTGCGTAATCGACTTTCTGGAGAGGGTACACTTGGTTGAAGTTGCTGGTTTGCTGTAGAATGGAGAATTCGGCAAGACGTTTTTGCCTGGGCCAGTCAGTATTGTCATGACGTAGTATTTATTTTGGTGGGTATATGGAATTCAGTATGGAGAGAATGTTGTATTATCCATGTGGAAATAGGATATTACAAAAAATCCATTGTGTCTGTGGTACTTACCGGTATTGCTCGAGGAAGCCTTCGTCCTCTTCATCTTCCAGTGCATCCAACTCATCCAGGTCCTTATCCTCCAGACGGTTCTCGTATGCCCTGTGCTGGGCTGCGATTAAGGCTTCTTGGATCAATGGTTCAGGGTCCTTAGGCTTCTCAGGAATAATGCCATGTTGACGAAGAATATCATTCCTAGATTATTGGCCATTTCTGTTAGACCCTGCACAAATATAGCTCGCTGCGGGCGGGGATGCGGGCATGCAGGTGCCAGTGGTGGAACTTACCACTCAGTATCCTCGTTAGGGTTGACTTCGACCTGCATGGTGAATGAATAAGAATGAGAAAATCTCCAAGGACTTTCTCTTTCAAAATGTTATCAATAATAGTAAATCCAGCATATAGTAGTAAGAAGTTGGGACTGGCAAAGAGTATTGTGAGTTCATGATGCCACCTGTTTGCAGTGTTTGTCGCGGGCCAGCCAAACACACGGAAGGCCACCATTCCAACTTTACTCCATAAACAAGTGATCCGTGGAGCTCGAGGTTGCGCTTCTCTATTACCACCTCTTCTCCAATTTTACTTTTCTTTAATTCTCCTCTTCAGTCTATTGCTTTCGTTGGGCAAGACTATGCGCATGCAGTAGTTTACTCACCGCTCTCTTCTGCTGCTACTGTGTCCTCCCAACTTAAATCCCACCCCAGAATACCGAGCGATCGCGAAGCACATCTCCGCTGGTGCAGACCCAGCACCCGGACAATATGAGTTACATGAAGAAAGATGAAGATGCCGACCAGGTCATGATCAAGCTTGATCGGACATCTGTGTTCCAAGATGGTATGGCAATCGACAATGGCCAATGGCTATGACCCCCTGGACATCGCCGCACTACTCTTGTCCCCCTCTCCCTCCCTGTCAGCTTTTTAGCCTCGCTCATGGGCAACGGACTGATATATCAAATTCTTCTAGCTCGACTTTTCAACTCCTCACCGATCTCCCCGCGAACATGCCGTACATTATTGACCAAGATCGCGGTCCTCCTCTTCACCGGCGAGCATTTCCCCACAAACGAAGCCACCACCCTCTTCTTCGGCATCTCGAAGCTCTTCCAGAACAAGGACCCCTCATTGCGACAGATGGTTTACCTGATCTTGAAGGAGCTGGCTAATACCGCGGAGGATGTGATCATGTCGACAAGTATCATAATGAAGGATACTGCGGTCGGAAGTGACGTCCTGTACCGAGCCAACGCCATTCGTGCCCTCTGCCGCATTATCGATGGCTCCACTGTTCAGGGTATCGAACGTCTCATTAAGACCGCCATTGTCGACAAAACCCCCCTCGGTCTCCTCCGCCGCTTTGGTTTCCGCCTACCACCTTCTCCCTATCGCCCGCGATGTCGTCCGGAGATGGCAGAGCGAGACACAGGAAGCTGCTTCTTCCTCGAAGTCATCGACCGGTTTCCTGGGCTTCGGTGGAAGCTCTCACGCCCACGCTATCTCCCAGTCCAACTTTATGACACAGTACCACGCAATTGGTCTTTTGTACCAGATGCGTTCTCACGATCGCATGATGTTGGTGAAGATGGTTCAGCAATACGGCGCAGCTGGTGTGGTGAAGAGCCCCGCTGCTTTGGTGTTGCTTGTTCGTCTGGCCGCCAAGCTGGCAGAGGAGGACGCTGGTCTCCGGAAACCCATGATGCAGATGCTGGATGGCTGGCTCCGTCACAAGCACGAAATGGTCAATTTCGAGGCTGCCAAGGCTATTTGCGATATGCGGGACGTCACCGACGGCGAGGCCTCCCAGGCTGTTCATGTTCTGCAGCTTTTCCTGTCTTCTCCTCGCTCTGTTACCAAGTTCTCCGCCATTCGCATTCTCCACAACTTCGCTTCTTTCAAGCCAAACGTCGTCAATGTGTGCAATCCCGATATCGAAGCGCTCATTTCTAACTCTAATCGCTCTATTGCCACATTCGCTATCACTACTCTGCTCAAGACTGGTAACGAGGCTAGTGTGGATCGTCTGATGAAGCAGATCTCTGGCTTCATGGCAGATATCACTGATGAGTTCAAGATCACCATCGTTGAGGCTATCCGTACCTTGTGCTTGAAGTTCCCTAGCAAGCAGGCCGGTATGCTGGTCTTCCTCAGCGGAATCCTTCGCGATGAGGGTGGCTATGAATTCAAGCGCACCGTTGTGGAGAGCATGTTCGATCTGATTAAGTTTGTTCCTGACAGCAAGGAAGATGGTATGTTTATTATTATTGATTCTAATATGACATCTCAAGTTCTAACTCCTCTGTCTAGCTCTCGCTCATCTTTGTGAGTTCATTGAGGACTGCGAGTTCGCCAAGCTCTCTGTCCGTATCCTGCACCTGCTCGGTGTTGAGGGCCCCAAGACCTCGCACCCTACCAAGTATATCCGCTATATCTACAACCGTGTCGTTCTGGAGAATGCTATTGTCCGTGCCGCCGCTGTCACTGCGCTGGCTAAGTTTGGTGTTGGCCAGAAGGATCCCGAAGTCAAGTCTAGTGTGCATGTTCTGCTCACTCGTTGTCTCGATGACATTGATGACGAGGTGCGCGATCGTGCTGCTCTCAACTTGCGGTTGATGGGTGCCGAGGATGAAATGGCTGGCGCATTTATCAAGAACGGTAGGCAATGTCACCACCTGTGTGCTCTCTTGTTCCTAACTAACGAATCTAGACTCTATGTACTCACTCTCCACTTTCGAGCACCAACTCGTTATGTACGTGACTTCAAATGATAAGGAAACCTTTGCTGCGGCCTTTGACGTTGCTTCCGTGCCCGTTGTCTCCCACGAGCAGGCCTTGGCCGAGGAGCGGACCAAGAAGCTCACCACCGCTACCCCTACCCTCAAGGCCCCATCGACTGGTCCTCCCAAGGGCAAGTCCAACGGAGTTGCTGAAGCAGCCACTGCTGCTGTCACCCAAAAATACGCCGAGCAGCTTATGCAGATTCCCGAAATCAAGGAGTACGGTACCTTGCTCAAGTCTTCAGTGCCCGTCGAGCTTTCGGAGAGCGTCACCGAGTACGTGGTCTCTGCTGTCAAGCACATCTTCAAGGAGCACATTGTCCTACAATACGATATTAAGAATACCCTTCCCGATACTGTCTTAGAGAACGTGACTGTTATCGCTTCGCCATCAGAGGAGGATGTGTTGGAAGACGACTTTATCATCCCTGCACCCAAGCTCACCCCCAACGATCCGGGTGTTGTCTATGTTGCGTTTAAGAAGCTGGGTGGCGAGCACAGCGTCCCCGTTACCTCTTTTACCAACAACCTGAAGTTCACAAGCAAGGAGATCGACCCCACTACTGGCGAACCCGAATCTGAAGGATACGATGACGAGTACCAAGTAGAGGACCTCGAGCTCAACGGCGGCGACTACGTTATCCCCACATTCGCTGGCAGCTTCGATCACGTGTGGGAGCAGACCGGTGCCAATGGCGAGGAAGAGAGTGAGACTCTACAACTAAGCAACATGAAGGGCATTGCTGGTAAGTGTTTACAATCAACTTCTACCTGTTATCAAAATCATATTAACATGTATTCTAGATGCCACGGAGCAACTCATCTCTGCACTTTCTTTGCAACCCTTGGAAGGCACCGATGTTGCCCTCAACAACAGCACACATACCCTCAAGCTCTTCGGAAAGACCGTCTCTGGCGGCAGAGTGGCCTCTCTCATCAAGATGGCATACTCAAGCAAGAGCGGCGTCACAACCAAGATCACGGTCCGGGCAGAAGAGGAGGGTGTTGCTGCCGCGGTTCTTGCATCTGTCACTTAATGTCTTTAACTTATTTCCTTTTCTTTTTTTGACTCCTTTCATAGCAAATTGTAGTAGACATGAGGATTTGGTTTTTCTTCATTTTTCTTTCTCTCCCATCCCACCTTTTTCTTGTCTTGGGTTCTATTATATCGCACGAAGAAGCCTGCGTCTCCTCTGCTTCAATTCCCTCCCCGTTTCTTCTTTGCCTCGAGTGTGCTCAAGGCAAATTGTGTTAGTTTTGACGTGGTCTACGAAACTTACTACAAAATTGGAGGGTTCTCTTCACCATGTCTTTCTGTTCCTGTTCAGCCCTCCTGCTTCAAGTTTGACTTGTTTTACGTTCTGTACTTCATTAGGTGTCTCATTAGATGGAGATGCTCAGTATGAAAAACTACTTTTATTTTGAAAAGTCCCTAACGCCCATTGGGGTATCATAAAAAAAACTAAAAGAGACAAAAAATAAGAAGCAGATAGCAGAGATGCCCATTCCGGCAAATCATCCCTAGCTGTCCTTTTTGCGGACGCTGAATCCCGGAAGTGCAGGCCAAGCATCAAGTTCGTCATCACTCACATCATCGAGGTGAGCGACGATCAGTTCATCCAGCTCGAACTGGTCCAGGGCGTACTCCTCCATGAGTCCGATCGGAACCTCCAGTCCCCAAATCAAGCACAGCGGGCCAAACTCGACAGAACCAATTAGGTCACCACCGAGATCAGGGTCAAGGTATTCACCTTCACAGTCCACCGGTTCAGTAAGTGTGAGAGACTTAAATCCCATTACATCCTCGGACTCTGAATCAAACATTCCGAAGAAACGTGCCAAATCACACGGGATCTGCACACGGTCCAGGCACGGAAGTTCATACATCACAGAAGTTTCCACTTCTTCAAAGTGTTCGAAATGAATGTATGAGCAGGTTGAATCGATGATGAACTCTTCGAGATTCATTTGGACGGTTGGATGGGATAGAATTGCGTCGATAATCAGGTTGCTGAGAGCCCGACCTTGGGTAATCTTGATAGACTCGATGTGGGGTGGCCACTCAAATTTTTCCATGACTTCGTGATCAAACTCACCAGAGAGGATCATATCGCCGAGATAGTGGGGCCAGTCGCCAGGCCCTCCTTCGCTCTTTGTGGAACAATGAGTTATTGGAATGGATGCTGGAAGACAGAGACGCCAGAGATTTTCAAGCTTGCTGATGGTATTCTTGAGAGTTGGGAAGTTGATTCCTGTGTTGTAGATTCGGCTTAAATCCAAGCTTCTGAGTTCTGAGCATTTCGATAGTGGTGCAAGACAGTTGAGGCTGGAAGGCATATTAGCTTGTGTTTGATACGACACCTATGTGTAGCAACAAGGAAGGAGAATGATGGGGAAGAAAGTAAGGGAAGACTGGACTTGTGCACAAACTTACGAAAAGGAGTATTGAGGGGCGGTGAAAATGCGCATCTTCCTGGCTTTGTTGATGAGCCGTGCCGTCCTGCTGTTGGAACTATGATGGACCAGATTACCCAGGTTGAGAGTGTGAATCAATAGCCCGAGCTCTGGCCGGTCCCGGTCCCGTCTCCGGTCCCTGTGGTTTGGGCAAAGGGTTCGCAAAAACTTCAGAATTGATTCCCCGGACAACAAGGATGGACTGCAATAGAGCTTTGAAATGGCGACAGAGTACCATTGTTTATTGACGAGACAGAAATTTGCCAATGTGGCCTGTCTTTTTCTCAGTACTGATGCATATACAATTCCAGGTTCCTCATACATGTCGACATATTGGAGGTACTCTGCAATTTGCATCACAAGTTCAGTCGGCAGGTAAGAAAAAGTAGCCATGTTCATTGAGGATCGAAGTGTCGCGCTAGGCACGAAGTGACGCGTTTTTAGTTCTTTTTTCTTCAAATCGTGAGTTCAAGTGACGGGACCTGTGATTGAATGCGAGAAGTAAGTGGTCACAGATTCAGTAGATGAAGCAGACAAAGCTTTGGAGACATAGTGTTGAAGTAGGTGTGTTGGGGAGGACGAAAGAGAGAACGATCCAGCAAAAAAAATGAAGGTGTTGATGGATGGCGGGGAGGAAGGCCGATAGATCGGTTGGAGATGAAGATAAATCGGGGAGGCAGCAGTGTGGGGCCGGCATACATGAGCCCGAGCCCCCGGGATGATATCACTTATCGCCGGGCTCCCCTCTCCCCTTTCAACTTCTCCAACTCCTCAACTTCCCCATTTGCAACACAATGAGACCTCAACCTGTCTTGCAGTCACTTCGGCTGCTTCAGCGATCTTCTTTAATCAATTCTACAAGTGGGCGACGTGCTATTCAAACGGCTAGCAGCACGCGCATCCCTAACTTCGCATTTGCCTTTGAGTGAGTAGGATTAATGTATGCATGTATGCATGAAACTACAGCTTGATTTACAATGTCTAACACCTTCTCTTAGCATTGATGGTGTTCTCTTGAGATCTTCCAAGCCTATTCCTGGAGCTGCTGATTCTCTAGCTCATCTGAAAGAGCAAGGCATTCCCTTCATCCTGCTTACCAATGGCGGTGGTAAACACGAGACCGAGCGCGTTGCCGAGATTAGTGAAAAGCTGAACATCCCTCTGGATGCATCTGACATTGTTCAAAGCCATTCTCCCTTTGCCGAGCTAGTCAAAGGACCCGATCCAGCTTCTGCCCTGGAGAATAAATGCGTCCTGGTGGCTGGCGGAGATGGAGATAATTGCCGACGTGTGGCAGAGCAGTATGCAGACCTGAGGAAAAACCAACCTGAGTTGCACTCTTGCTAATGCATTTGATTATTCTAGATATGGATTTAAGAATGTTGTGACACCCGGCGACATCTTCATGGATAATCCCGCCATCTGGCCTTTCTCAAAGAACTTCTCGGACTACTACAAGAATTTCGCCAGGCCACTTCCGAAACCCGTAGACCCTACAGACCGGACTCGGGGTCTCAAAATTGACGCAGTCTTCGTTTTCAATGATCCCAGAGATTGGGGTCTCGACACCCAAGTTATTATGGATCTTCTGCTTTCGCGAGAAGGCCATGTGGGTACACTCTCGGAGAAGAATGGTCGAACAGATCTACCAAACCACGGATATCAGCAGGATGGTCAGCCTCATCTATACTTCTCTAACCCAGATCTTTACTGGGCTGCAGCATACCCGTTACCTCGTCTTGGACAGGGTGGATTCCGTGAGGCATTGGAAGGCGTCTGGGCTGCGACCACTGGTGGACCGAGCAAGGGTGTTGAGCTGAAGAAGACCGTGATCGGAAAGCCCTACCAAGGAACCTATGAATTTGCCGAGCGACAGCTACTTCGTAACCGGGCCAAAAATTTTGAGGGTGTGTCTGATCTCCCGCCGTTGCAGCAGATCTACATGATTGGCGATAATCCTGAGTCGGATATTCGGGGTGCGAACGCGTACCGTAGTACCTACGGAAGTAAGTGGCAGTCTATTCTGGTACGCACTGGAGTCTATCCCGGCGGTGAACCAGCCTGGACTCCTACTACGATCGCAGATGATGTACAGAAGGGTGTACAGTGGGCACTGAAGACCTCGAAGTGGTCTTCTTGATTCTGTTCGCACTTTGTAAATTCAGTTCCATGTATGGCGTCCTAGACATGTGTCTGAAATACTCATAGTATTTCTTTCTTTTGTTAATTATTTGCAAGCGAATCCCAATGGCATGAGCTTTAATACTAAGTTGATTCCTTATTTCGAAGGCATCATTTTATAGCTGGTGTCATGTGACCTGTCACCCCTCTTAGGGCATAGGGTTGTAAGGAACTGTCGGCGGGGTGAGTCAAAGTGTTAGCTTCAAACGGTGATCGTGACGACATATCAAACCATTAAGGTACGTCTATACCCCCCCGCAATATTCTATTTTCTTTGTTGAGTTTCTTTGTTTAATATCATTATCATTTTCCTACAGCATCATGGCGGATTCAGAATTGCCCACACGCCCTAAGCCCGAGGAGACCCCCGCGGCCGCTCCCGCCGAAGGCGAGACCAAGAACGCTGCTAAGAACGCTGCTAAGAAGGCCGCCAAGGAAAAGGCTAAGGCTGAGAAGGCTGCTGCTCGCGCTGCGCAGGAGAAGGCTCAGGCCGCTGCTAATGAGGCCAGCGACACCGCCAAGGGCCTCTACGGTGTCCTCCCCGAGACTGAGGATGTTATCTCCACCACACGATTCTCCCAGCTGTCTGAGGACTCCTACGAGAAGGAAGTTACTGTTGTCGCACGTGTCGACAATGCCCGTGTCCAGAGTGCTAAGCTTGCATTCTTGATGCTGCGCCAGCAGGGTCAGAAGGTTCAGGCCGTCATCGCGGCTCACGAGCCCATCTCCCGCCAGATGATCAAGTACACCGGTGGATTGAACGTCAACTCCATTGTGCAGGTCACTGGTGTTGTGAAGAAGCCCGATACTCCTATCTCTTCCGCTACCATCCAGCACCTGGAGCTCCACATCCGCAAGGTTTACATGATCTCTGAGGCTGCCCAGATGCTGCCCATGCAGGTCAAGGATGCTGAGCGCCCTCCCCCTACTGAGGAGAAGGAGGGCGAGGGTGAGGTCGATGAGTCTGGCGCTCCCATCGTCACCCTCAAGACCCGTCTTGACAACCGTGTTCTGGATCTGCAGACCGAGACCAGCCAGGCTATTACCTGGATCTCCAGCGGTGTCGCGGAGCTCTTTGCTGAGTACATGATCAAGAGTGGATCCCGATGGATCTTCACCCCCAAGTTGGTGGGTGCCGCTACTGAGGGTGGTAGCAACGTCTTTGAGGTCAAGTACTTCAAGCGTACCGGCTACCTCGCCCAGAGCCCCCAGTTGTACAAGCAGATGTGTATTGCTGGTGATATGGAGAATGTTTTCGAGATCGCCCCCGTTTTCCGTGCCGAGGACAGTAACACTCACCGTCACTTGACTGAGGTATGATCATTGTTGTATCAAGGGAGTAGAAGAGGATATCGCTAACCTTTCTTTAGTTCGCCGGTCTTGATTTCGAGAAGACCTTTGAGAAGCACTACCACGAGGTTTTGGAGTTCGCTGAGGACCTGCTTGTTTTCATTCTCAGTCAGCTCAAGGCCCGTTATGCTGCCCAGATTGCCACCATCCAGAAGTCTTACCCCAAGGCTGGTGACTTCAAGCTGCCCAAGGACGGCAAGGCCCTGCGTCTGAACTACATGGACGGTGTTGCGCTGCTGAAGGAGGCTGGCGTCGACATGTCGGAGCAGGAGCGCTTCGAGAACGACTTCACCACTTCCATGGAGAAGCAGCTTGGTCAGATTATTCGCGAGAAGTATGACACCGACTTCTATGTTCTCGACAAGTTCCCCATGGCTGTCCGTCCCTTCTACACCAAGGCCGACCCCAAGGATGCTCGTTTCTCCAACTCGTACGACTTCTTCATGCGTGGTGAGGAGATCATGTCCGGTGCTCAGCGTATTAACGACATTAAGGAGCTGGAGGATTCCATGCGCTCCAAGGGTCTCGACCCCACCCAGGAGGGTTTCGAGGACTACCTCAACGCTTTCCGACAGGGATGTCCTCCCCACGCCGGTGGTGGTCTGGGTATGAACCGTATTGTGATGTTCTTCTTGGGTCTTCCCAACGTCCGGTTGGCATCGCTGTTCCCCCGTGACCCTCAGCGTCTGCGCCCTTAAGGGTTTCGTTGTGTGTAGATAGAGTTGACAAAAACAAATGCATTGAATCGGTCGGTTACCACAGTTAACAATTGCGAGCATCCTCGAAAGATTTCCAGTAACAAGGCCGATCAGAGATATTCCTGGTGGTAGAAGACACATTAGCAATGTACACATGGCTGCTCAAGGTATGAACCACACTGTTTAATAGATCAAATAATTCTGACATGGATGGAGATACAGATGGAGGTAAAGAAAAATAGTACGAAACTATTATTAAAGTCCATGGGCGTGCGTGTTACCTTCAAGAGTACTTGCAGCTCATCAGTCGCGTCGGTCGCGTGTCGAGGTAACACAAGTCAGGGTCTAAACATCAGTGTTGAGGCTCTGTGTTCAAAAAGCTAAAATAAAGTTGACGCGTCAATCCCTACAACTGGTAAAGTTTCATTGACACGTCAACAAAAAAAACTTCAAGTTGAGATCTATTGCTTCAAGGCGTAAAGGAGGAAGGAAACCTTTTGAAAAAAAAACAAAAACTCAACCCAGGGGTTAAACCCCTGAGACTACAAAACTCCGCGGATGTTTTTAGAGGTGCGATGCTGAAACCGCTTGTAGGCCGGCCAGTTTTTCCTACTTCCTCCCGGAGGCAGGTTCGAACACTCCCCCCTCATTTCTGAAGAGGACTTGGACTCGCTTTAATGCAGCAGTTGGTTCACGTGGTTCCCCAACTACGCCACTCACCCTCGTTGCAGTCTGGGGTCCCCAAAACGTTTATCACGGAGACCTGTCTAACCTTTTCGGCAAGTGGAGTAATGTGGGGCATATATTTCTGCTCCACTTTAGTACAGATCTATTGTGGAGAATGAGGCGCATTTGATGAGCCTAATTTTGATGTAAGTTGTCATGGTGAGTTGTTGAGTTGTTAAATTGGTGGGGATATCGCTGTCTTCGTGACTGAGGTGGTGAGGTAGGTAACTGAGGTTATTCCCAGCGTGGAGGACCTCGGACCCCAACTTCGGTCTGACTACCACTTTTGAACATTCTTTTCTTAGGGAACCTGGCAATTTAAATTAGCGGAATTAATCCTACCATTTGAAAGTATCTATTTTCAAAATATAGGCTCTTAATCCGTGAAATAACAGGCCCCGAATGCTGGAAATCGATTCCACTCTGCACTGCAGAGACATATCCTGCTGGGTCATAGTGGGCTCCCACTCCATATTCTGACCACGACAACATTCTCTAATTCAAAATTCAAAAAGAACCAGGAGGCATTTTATTTCCCCATTTGCAATTAATATTCTCTTCTCCGAACATTTTTGTCTATCAAAGTTCGCCGATCCGAGAAGAGTGCTCTAACATTATTTCGCATGCAAAAGACTACTTGAACACTGCTACCGGCCTCCACATGTGCAGAGCTCAGAAACACTCAGAAACACCCGTCTCTACAGCTGATAAGCCCTTCTGGCGCCACACGTCTCCGATATGGATAAATATTTGGCTGGAGTGAAGTAGACTCTTTGTTTGTTATGTTCAATTGGTCAGATATGAGCACCCGGGGCATCTCAAGCCTCCAGAAGCCTTCAAGACCGTTGACGTGAAGAAAAGAATCTTCGAAATCTCGAGTCCAGCGTGGATTGAACCAACGACTTTCCGGAAACGGAATTTTGTTGATCTTGCCATTTTTTTGACGCGATTGCCTGTCCTGAAGATGATTTTGACTAGACAGCGGAGGCGAGTCCATGGGTCCAGTTTGTTGACTGACCCACCGTGAAATTTTCGGAAATTTTCGAACAGACTCATACAGAACTCGGTATCAATCTCATTTTCATGATGGGGTACTGGCAGATCTGGGTAGATTTCGAACGCCGTGGACTCCAAGACCGAAAGCAATTGAGCTATCGCATAACGAGGTCTTTCATCGGCACATGATAGACATTGGAAGAAGCTTGAAGCTTCGAAATGCGCATATGAATCATTATGAGTCAATTTCCCCCTTATAACTTCATGTCGGATGTACATGTGGGCAGCACCAAGGCGGAATTTTGAAGGCTGCGGGCGTCAAGGTCGAGTTATCATCCAACACACGCTTTCATCGCAGGTTGTTAGACATTGGAAAAAGACTCGGAGCTTTGAAAGGCTCATATGAATCTTTATAACTCAATTGGCCCTTACATTTTACGCTGGATGTACGTGTGGCCAGCGCCCGGGCGGATTTTGAAGGTTGTGAGCTACAAATCTAAGCGCTCACCTCCAGGGCCAACACGCTCTTTTATCAAGACACAATCGACCTCAAAAAGAAAACTTGGACAGGAGCATATCCATATTCATACTAATTTCCACTTATAATTCAGTTCCTAGGCGAATTCAATGTTTTGGTTGTGGGCTCCAAGGCCGAGTTCTCATCCAACGTACACTTTCATCCGGGCATGGTAGACATTGGGAGAAAGCTTCAAAAATGTTGCACAATAAGGGATTTGAAAATGAAGAGCTCGAAGGAGTCCAAAAAAGTCTTGTCACTATGGTGGTCAATCTGGGAAGGTATGTTCTTGCATTCTTACAGCTGGAGAAGTCAAATCAACAAGTCAACGCAAATGTAGATCTACTGCAGCATGAAAGCCGCCGACGAGGATGAAAACTTTGCAAAAAAAAAAACAAAAACTCACCCCAGGGTTTCCATACGGAAATCCCGAGGCTACAAAACTCCGAAGAGTTTTTGGAAGTTCGGCTGCTGAACCGCTGGTGTGCCGGCCCAGTTTTTCCTACCCCCTCCCGGAGGTAGGTGCGAACTTCCCTCCCCATTTCTGAAGAGACTTGGACTCGCTTTAATGCAGCAGTTGGTGTGGTTAACCAACTACGCCACTCACCCTCGTTGCAATCTTAAGTCCCCAAAATCTTTATAGCGAAGGCCTGCCAAACTTTTTGGTGTGGAAGCTTTGGGATGTGGCATGATTCTTCCACTACACACACACCCCCTCTCTTTTCTTGATTCAATTTAATTTTTTTTTTCTCATTTCATCCAGTATACTCTTTTGAATCCAAATATCAACACAATTTTAAATCTCCTCTTCTTATTTGATCTAAATGCGCCAGAGGGAGAGGTAGAGCATTCCTGGGGAGATCATTGTATAGTTCCAATGTTGGATGGTGATCCCGATAACAGATAAGAGATGATAAGGCCATGATAAGCTCAGTAAGCTCCCCGACTTTTTCTCCTGCAATACACAATGCCCCAAAAACGAAAGGCTCCCATGCCGTACTCTTCACACAAAAGGCCTCGGTTATCGTATGAGGAGGATGATGATGACGACTCATCGATAAAACCATACGAAAAGCCGCAGAACCACCCTCTCTATGGCCAGAAGAACGCGTTCCCAGGCTTAGACGATGGCGGCGACGAGCTCTGCTACGGTGATGAGGATGGGGATGCAGACGACGGACTGGAGTATCTACGCATGGTCAGGTAAGTCTGCAAGCTTCTTGGTTGACTTTTATCCCGTGCTAAATGTCACCAAGTGCTCCCAAGTTGGATTCCTCGTGCGCGCTACAGAACAAATTCTAACATCCTGCCCATGACCTCCTAGATCCGAGGCTAGCGCACTGCCTTCGTTGTTTAGCGCGACAAAGTCCAAACTTAATACCGATACACCCTCGGCACCAATTCCAATCGTACCCGAAACCAAAACCGCTGCCTTCCCTCCTGGGTTCTTCGATAATGAGGAGGCATACATCGCCCCAATGAAGACCCAGCAAAATACGGTCGCACCTCTCCACACGTATCCGGAAGCCCAGGCTGCATATAATAACCTTCTCCGACATCGATTCCTACTTCTACGATCTACTTTAAAGTGTTCTCCTCCAGCTACTGCCATCGCAGCCCTCGATGACGCCCATCCAATCAGTCTCCCGCGCAAAGTCGAGGCTGCGCGCAAGGAATGGCGACGACTTGTCATGAGCGTGGATCCACAGATGGTTCAACTAGCCTGTATGGACATGGACAGTGTGCTTGGAGTTATGCAGATCATGGCGCGCATGATGTCCGACGTCTTGCGGAGTGAAGATCCAGAGAAGATTCGAAGAATCGGTGCTTGGGCCTGGGGCTTGCTGGGTAAATGTCGAGAGATTGGAGAGTTGTCTACAGAAGAAGTTGGAGATATTCGTGATATTGGGAAACGCGCTGTGAAAATATTGCAGAAAATTCGGGAAGCGGATGATAGTCAAAAGGCGGATACTGAGGAACAGCCAGACTCCTCGGATAATGGAGAGTATGAACAACCGGAGGATGCCGCTCCAGAAATGGAGGTAGAAGGAGAAAAGGATGGCGAGGTCGATCAAGAAGTGCAACCTGAGCCTAAAGCTGGCGGCGACGACGACGCGGATATGCCTGATGCTACAGACGAGGCCGCTGAGCTGGAGAAGGCCAAGGCCCGGTTACAGGCGCAGGTGCAATATAGTTCAGACAGCGAACCCGCTACAGACGAGGAGAATGTCGCAAAACAGACCCGGGCTTTGCTTGACATGATCATAATGGTGGTTGGCGAGTATTTTGGTCAACGAGACCTTTTGGATTCGCGAGAAGTCTGGGCCTCTCCAGTCTGATTTGCATCTGGTCTAAACCGAAAGATCTATGATACCCCAATTGGAAATAATACTGAAAGTTGTTTCGTATCATGATTTTCTTGCAACTACTGCAACCTCGTATGGCGTTAACCCGACATCTGGGAAGCTCAGCTCGGAGAACGAAGATTGACGAAAGCAGGGCTCATAGTCAGGCCAATCAACCCGTGGACCGAGCCACACGATCAACTCAACAGCGTGATCGCCGTAAGTATCAATATATTTGGTAACGAGCTTGGGCTCGCGTGGATAAACGAACATCCATGCTGTAGCCTGCTGAGCAAAGGAGTATATACCCCATGCACCGGTCACGACATGCATATCTTCTTCGGCCAGGTATCGATTAACGCTGGAGCCTACTTCCACACCTTGTACTGAGATGTCATTTTGATAACCCAGGAGGCTTTCAAGTAGACCTGATCCACTGCCGATTGATAATGTGAATGCTGGTTCCGTAGGGAGAAGCGCAACCATTGAGGATATCAGATCAGAGGAGATAGCCAGACAACAATCTGGGAATCGCGTAGGCGATGAGGATAGTTGGTTGGCAATTTGAGTAATGTCCATGATTAAGATGAAATCGTAGTAGAATGTGAGTGGGAGTAGATATAGTAGACAATAATGAGAGAAAATGGTTCTTCCACACTAACCCGATTTCGGGTTCCCTGCGTCATGCGGGTACCTCACGTTATCTCTGCTCTTATCTCTGCTGAGCTTCATGAGAACTTCCTCTTGACAACTCCCAATATGGCGCCGTCAGTAGAAATTGCGATACCTACTACCTCTCTATCGCCTACCTCTCCTCAGCACACCGTATACCATGTCACTCTACGCCTCCCACTTCGCTCCTTCACCGTCTCCAAGCGCTACTCCGACTTCTCAGCCTTCCACACTACGCTGATCAACCAAACCAATGCCCAACCCCCAGCTTCTCTCCCCGCAAAATCCTGGTTCTCCAACACAGTCTCCAATGAAAGCTTCCGCGAAGAGCGCCGAATAGGTCTGGAGGAATATCTTCGTGCCATAAATGAATCCGAAGATGGACGCTGGCGCACATGTCCCGCGTGGCGAGCATTTCTCAATCTTCCAACTGCCGCAGCTTCTACAGTAGCCACTACGGGTAATACCTCGGCAAGACTCCACGCCGCAATCACGGACCCTGGAAATGCATCTAACACCGCAATCACCGATCCAACACTCTGGCTTGACTACTTCCGGGATATGAAGGCTCATCTCCATGATGCCCGTCTTGCTCTTTCGCGCCGAGATCAGGAAACTACTCCGCAGAAACAGCATGAAAGTTCTGCCCAAGCAAAAAGTAGTCTTGTCCGTGCGGGATCTATGATAACTACTTTGGAAGAAGGTCTTCTGAATCTAAGTGGTCGAGGGGCACAGGCACCGAAGACTCAGTCCACGGCTTCGCTTGGTGAAGGAGAACTTCGTCGCCGAAAAGATTTGCTGATTAATGCCCGGAAAGAGAAAGATGGGTTGGAGGATTTGCTTCATGCTATGGCGGCGAAGAGCAAGATTGATTATGCGATTGCCTCGATTCAGGATAAAGAGGCGCTGATGAAGGCGGGTAGTACCCTGGGGGATAGTGGTGGCCGTCGCACCCCGGCAAAATCGGGAAGAGTCCTCGGCAAGGAAACGGAGCGGACTCGTGAGCTTGATAACGATGGAGTCTTGCAATTGCAGAAACAGATGATGAAGGATCAGGATACGAGTGTTGAGGAATTGATGAAGGTTATTATTCGGCAGAGGGAGCTCGGGACTGCGATTCATAATGAGTTGGAGGTGCAGAATGAGTTGCTCAAAATGGCAGATGAGGATACTGATCGGTTAGTCTTCTTTCTCTCACCTGGTGGATTCGTTACTAACCCTATTGCAGTCTGAAAGCCAAGCTCGACGTTGGCAAGAAGCGTATTGGTAGGATTTCTTAAGATCGGATCTTATCAGGCGGTTGATACGATATGTGGGCACTGCTTGGTCATTTTACATTCTACATTTTCATATGAGCGTTCACTTGGCGCGTCTACTCTTCTTTTCTTTTGATTCCCCAGCATGGGTAACATTTACCAGGTTTCCCAAATTTGCAAGACTGTTTTATTATTCCAGATAGGTAAAATACACTATCTATCAGCAGAAACAAAAGGGCTTAAGCTCATAAACCTTCTAACTCCGGTAATTGGCGCTGTAATGCTCGTCTAGCGAGAACGACCTTAGAAGCCCAAGGATAAAAGTGAAACAGAAAAGCCAGAAATTAGGACTGAGGCATTCAAACGGCAGCCAGGAACTAAGCAGTCGAGTCAGTTGAATACTCGCTCAAAATACCATTTCTTGGAGAACTTACCTTGGTTGCCTCTTCTTCGGAAACAGTCGAGCTCTCCGATTCATTCTGGCCAATAAGTCCCAGCTTACCCTTTCGAATAAGCCACCATAGCTCCTTACGATCTCCACCGAGACTTTCATTGAAAATCTTGTTCTTCAGAGCCGGAAGTAGATCATTGTAAATTCCAGGCTCCTCGTACTCCACCAACTCCTCACGAACTGTGCCCAGACCTTCAACAACACGCTCATAGTTGCTATCACCCAGACTGTATTTGATCTGCTCTTCAATGATATGAACCATTTGCTTAACAGCATCATGAATACTTTCAACGGTGTCAGCACGGGAAACCAGTTGCTTGAACTCTGGAATCGCATTCTCTGCTGAGATTTTGGCCCGTTTCGGTTCTAGATTGAGAAGAGCGTCCACATCCAGGCCAGAGAGAGGCTTCTCAGTTTCGCGATTGCGTTTACGGCCTTTAGCCTTAGGTAGCACTATATTTCTTTTTGGTTAGTTTTGTGGTTTTTGACAGGTCGGTATATGAGAACTCAGCCCTTACCTTTCTTCACATCTGCCGCAGTGATGAGCTTCTCCAACTGAGCCTGCGACTTCTTCACCAACTCTTCGTCGGGATGGGAAAACTTCGTCAGTGTTGCTGATGGTTCTTCGATAGCTCCGTTGGGGTTGATGGCTCTCCATCGCACAGCTGACTGAAGACGGTGTAGCAAAGGAGAGTAGGAGTAGTCGATAGGTACTTCATTGATGACATGTCTGATTTTTGATTAGCTGATTGTTTACCTTGTATAGTTTGAAAGAAAAGGACTCACCCATCATCGTCCTTCAAATCTAGCTCCATGCTATCAACATACTGGTCCATGGCATCTTGCAAAGCATCATTTGGGAGGTTGCGGTGTTCATTAACAATCTTGCCAGACACAGTCATGACCTTGTCCAGGGGCGGAAATTGATATGCGCGCAGATCCTCTGCAAATGGAAGCTGAATTTCCAGGAGACCTTCAAAATCCGATTCCAGACATGGTGCTAGGAGGACAAGCATGGGTGGCTTGGACTCCTTGGTTACCAGTCGGGCAACTGCATAGTTCTCAGCCTCAAAGAGTGCATGAATGAGCGAGGACAGGGCAAGAGAGGCTTTTTGATTTCCCTTGGATGCGACGAGCATGTTGACATTGCCCATCTGCATGTATCGGCCGTACTTGGGTTTGATTATTAGCATTATAGCCGAGGACCTAACTCACCGCATGAACATACCTTGTCATCTGCAACGAAACCAATGATTTCCATGCCGGCGAAAGTGGTTAGCATAGTGATGTTCTCGTCCATATCGGTGATAGGCACGACTGTCCGCCCATACTCGTATCCCTTTGCAAGCTGGTCGCGCTCAACGTCAGCCTTGCCTCCTGGGGCTGACTCGTCAGCAACCTGATAGGTTCGGGAGGTTCGTATGGTAACAAGTGAGCCTCCTTCAACTGGTGCTTGACTTGTAGCGGGATCTGTCTCTTCGCCTGGCTCGTTACCAGATCGGAGAACGTAAGAGCTCGCAGTCGGGGGCTTGGCAACCATGGTTTTGGCGTAGCGTTCTATGGGGATGCGGAGGGCTGTTTCATATTCCCCGGCATTGCCGAGGGAGAGGAATCCTTTGAAGGAGGCCATGTGCTTGACCTCTTTGATTCGAGGGATATCTAACTCAGATATGGCAGATTCAAGAGTTCCGAAAAGACTGCCTTCGGGTAGAGTTGCAATGAAATCACGAAAGAGAGTTTCGTTTTGAGCCTATAGAGTATGAATGAGTAAGTTTGGAATGAAAAAGGGTAGTTATGATGATACCTTTCGTTCGTCTTTATCTTCTTCCTTAACGCCTGATTCGGGATCGTCGAAGTCGGGTCCCCTAGGCCAAAAGTCAGCGATTTCAGGGCAGATGAAGGTTCATAAACATACAAGATTTTCAATGTAATACTATCTTCCTCAATCTTGTCTTTGATTTGATCCAAGCCTTCACTGTTAATCAAACCAGTGCCATTGGTTACCAGTACAATTTCTCTCTTGTATTTGAGCTTCTTGCATTGAGCAGTGATCATCTGAATTGCGAGCACCAGACCAGAGATAACTGGATACATATTAGATAAGTGAAGACTTTCAGAAAGTGAAGTTGCTTTCACAAACCATCTCCCTTGTAAGTACGACTAGGCTTGATTGCCTCTTGTAGCTTTCGGATATCGGGTGTGAGTATTCTGTACAGGGTTGACATTAGTCAAATCTAGAGGACAGAAAAGACGGTTATATGCGTACTGTTTCAGACCTGAGAGAACAGAGATATTGGAAAAGCTATCATCATGCTCCTGGTAATCGTTCATGGTATCTAGCATTGTTATGTTAGTCCTACTCGACGGATTTTGGAATTGGAATAGTACCATCAGTGCGCATGGCGATAAAGCCAGCCAAATCGGTTTTGCGGCCTCTCATAACCTAGATATGACTATCAGACCTGAAAATTTATCCAGATATAGGCTCACATACAGTGTTGGTTATCCTGTCCCAGACATACTGCATAGCCCAATCGAGATCGGTAATGGTCCGTCCATGGCGTTTTTCTCCCATGGACCTCCCAAGATCAACAACGTAGACTGTAGCCTCCTTGTCCGTCATTTTGGAACGAGAATGAATTGAAATTTGGGGGAAGGATGATTCAGGGAGGCAGAAGTCGAGTAAGTACTCCGACTACAACAGGCAGACGCGTGATATTGCCTTTTTGGTTTAGCGTAAAACGCGCTTGCATGACATCATCTGACTGCCGTGGTTTTAACAAATGGTGCGTATTTTTACTCTAAGACTAGGACTTTTGTGCGTGATTATACCACAGTCCCGCGTTATTTGACGTGGAATTACACGTGTATTCTTTGTCACACCACCTGCCAACTTGAAGCTTCCCCACTGTTTAAACAGCTTCTAAACTCTAGTCTACATCTTCCTCCATTCTTATATCACCATCTACAGCTGCAAAATGACTGATCCTCGTCCCTACCATGTTCTCGGGTGTGTTCTAATCTCCAACACAAGAAGACAATCAAAATAATCGAAAATGCCACTAACTTGCATTTCTTAGTTACGGAACTCTCCTGGGTACCCAGTTCTTTCAGGTAAGTTCTACCTCAACTGCATGATCAACAAAGAGATTTTATAGACACTAACTCCTACTCATCTTTGACCAGTCCTTTGTGGGTGGAGTAGTTGCATTCCGCGCTTTGCCGCGTCCCCAATTTGCTTCTCTGCAATCAGCCATCTTCCCCATCTACTTCTCGCTGCAGACCGCACTTCCCGTGGCTGTCGCTTTGACTGCCAGTTCTGGTGGTCGTGTACTTGGCCTCTTGGGTCTTGTGTCCGAGGAATACCGCTACAGCACCTTGCTACCCCTTGCTACTGTCGCGGTTACAGGACTGATCAACAATGTCTTCCTGCGCCCACTCACTATCAACATCATGCGCGAGCGCAAGCACCAAGGTATGCATGAAATCTGGATATATGATATTGGGCCATTTTCTAACTTGTCTAGAAACCCGCGATGGGAAGAAGAGCTATGATCCCGCTCCCCACTCCAAGGAGATGCAGGCCCTGAACAAGAAGTTCGGTCGTATACACGGTGCTTCAAGCCTGATCAACTTGGCTGCTTTCCTGGCGACAATTTACTATGGCGTTGTCCTCAGCAAGAAACTTGAGTAAGGAACTTGGGCAAGAGGCATTGCGAGGAAGGGTATCGAATTTGTACATGGGTTTTGGGTGTAAATATACACTTCTGAAGTTTGCAATATCACAGCACTGAACTATCGATAATCATATGTATGTGGAACATCTATTATTAATGTTACTACTAGAATGAACTGAAGGTCTGAATTAGTACTCAAAGGTTGCGTGTTCAGTAGTAATAACGCTAGATATGATAGTAGTAAGAGAAAGATGAGTGAAATCTACTATCAGACCCGCTGACCTGGGCTCTTCCACAAACATCAATTGAAATCTACACATTCGATTGCGATTTCGCACGAAATCCCAAAATTGCAAAACAACAAGAATAGACTGTTTGTATAGCTTTCATTCATGACTGTCTTTGACTCTCTAGATTGCCCCATCCACTTCAAGTTGAGGGCCTGATTAATCCAACCCCAATAAATTAGACTCCGGGTGCTCTGAGCTCTGTTTCTCGGGGCTTGAATCCTGCATATCAGCATTCTGTGGCTCCGAGTCGGAAGTGTCCTGCTGGGGCTCGACATCATCATCCGGGGTCCGATATGATGTACTATCATGGTTCTCGAGTCCAAATTGAATTGTATCCAGACGACCGACAATTTGATTCAATTCATTCTCCATAACCCGTTCCAGATTTCCAGACAAGTTGGTGAATTGGGCTTGGACGCTTAGATTGAAATCCTGAGAAACTTGCACAAGATCCCCGGACATGGAGTTGAGATTACTTATGCCGTGATAAATATGTTGGAGCTCCTCTCGTGCATCATTGGAGATTGAAACGAGACCGCCTTTGATATCATTCAAGTCTTGGGAGTGGCTATCCATGCGTGACTGAGAGCGCTGCTGATCTCGATTCACATCGGAAATGGTTATAGTCTGTTTGAGGAGAATAGCGGATAGTATGCCGATAGCTGTAACGATCCAGGTGGTCATATATTGAGGAAGGTGTGATTTGGAACCTCCATGAAGCGTTGTGTATGGTTGATTCAACCAAAAGGACTTGAGCCAATGGTATAGACCGCCGATTGAGCTGGGGTTCGGCTTAGGATCGGCGTAGCTTGAGAACAATGGTGCTGTGGGATGCACTCCGACTGATTTGTTCAACATGAAGTCGGCTGTCTCTCCAATGGTGAGTACGGTACTAGCAACTTGGAAAGACCCAATGGTTCGATCCAAAGCTGAGCGAGATGGGTGGATTGCTGTATAAGGAATTCCACCATATAGTCCCCATAGATTAGTGACTAGGAAAACAACAATCGGAATCGTCCAAATCATTTTGCTGGTAGTGCTGGTAGACTCGGGTGGATTTTGAAGTGAGACAACAGTCAAGTTAGAGATGTGTTTGAGTGAAGAAGACATTAGGAAGACTGGATTAATGAGCGGTTATATCTTATATGAGTAAGACAAAGAACAATAAGATGTGAGGCATATGTGAGGTACGAAGCAAGAACTTACTACACATGAAAAGTGATGTAGTGAATGAGTAGGTAAAAACTGAAAGAGATGTCAAACACATGTAAGAAAAAGAGTTCGTAAATAGCAAGTAGACCTAGTAATTTGGTGAATGTCGTTTCCTTGATATGCAAAATGAAGTGCAATGCATTGTGATGAACAAATGAAGAAATACCTAGCCATTATCTGCGATCTATTCTTGGTATCTAAGTATAAAACACTTCATTGAGATTGCAGGATGTATCTTTCCTAGATCATAGACCCAGACACAGGTGGCGCTTCTAAGGTTGGTCAGCCCAAAATGAGAATGGATCAGGCCTGGCTTTGAATGCCCTTTGAAATTGACAGCATAGACCATATATAGATCCGAGTTCCAATATTAGTGCCAGTGAGCTCAAGCGCTTTAGCCTTTTATCAGTACTGAAAGACTTGAGACAGCCACTGAAGTTTGAAACCCTCAGACTATTTAGAGCTGGGCAAATGTTGTATGAACCTTGGAAAGGGGACTTGAAGGATTAGGTCCCGAGGTCTTCAAATATTTTGAGGGTAAAGGCTGGTTATTTCAAGTTCTTCACCTGGGCAATAGAGAACTTGAGAACTTCAAGTTGAAGGCTTTACATGTGTATTTCAAGGTATACATTCTTTTTGAAGTCTCTCATGAGAGATATATTATTTGTAAATTGTGACAGCTTTTGCATTCAAATGTTTCTTTCATTACTTCAAGTTAAATCCGGGGATTCTGATCAGATCATGCAAGGACATCCGAGGGGTCTTCGGTTTGCCATCGCGAGTGGATTTCCAGAGATCCAAGACGGACTTGAACTTGGGGCTCGGCTGCCACACTCGAGAAACTTCAGGATTCAAGATATGTTGCAGGGCTTTAACTGAGTTGGGAGAAGAATATCGCTTTGACGGAGAGAAATTATCAAAATGACGTTTGCAGAATTTGGTGCCGTGCCATAATTTGTTTCTGCACCCTCTTCTAGAACAGACACGCTGTTCCCGGGTCGGAAGCAATCCCTCTTCAAACACTACCCTATGGAAATTGCGCTCTTCTTGGCATGGGATACAACGTCTTTCCATGACAAAGCGACTGGTCCAGGGTCTTGCTCAAAAAGCCTTTGTACATAAACCACTTGACAATATCTTGGCATAATAACCTGGGTGCACGGTGCATCAAATCAACATACAAACAGGCGATTGCCAGCTTTCGGACTTTCTGGGTTGCATGTACCAACCAAGTCCCGAGGGCGGGGCCTTGAATTTCTGCATTTCTGCGGGGTCAAAATAACCTAAGATCAAGTAACTCAGCAAATTCGCGGGAGGCGTTGCGGCGAGTCATTAGTGTTCTCGGCGGCTCTTTGTGGACTGATGGAAAATCCCCACGGGAAGGCGTTGTGCATGGCGCGGAAAATCAGCGTCAACCCAACCGTCAGCGGCTTAAGGACCCTCGAACGACAAGTTCAAGTCCCAGATTGATCTGACTCAACTGTAAGATGAATCAAGACATTCTATAGGTCACTTGAATACTTTCTCAAATCTGATCCAGACGCACGCCCAGCGTGACGTAATCGAGGGTGTTCGCGGGCATGATAGGTTGTTCCAACGTTGATCATTTCCTGGGTACTTTAGCTATATCCTCTCGTATTGCTTGGAGTGCTTATCGCTGACTGGTACGGCACGACCGGGGTTCTCGTGTGAGTATACCCGTTCTGCATTCTCCACCAGATTCAGATTCTCCATGTCATTGGTGTCATTTCGCGTGGTAGTCCACTCATCGCGGGATCCATCCATAAGGCCCACCCCCATGGCTATACTCCGCATTTGGGGAGTGCCCGATGACAGGGCGCACGTCCTCACAGATGATACTTTTGATCGCTCGGTGGCTTTCCGGCTCTCTCGGCAGGCTTGAAGTGGGTCGATTTCTTAGGTGAGAAATCAAGCGTGAGGAAAAAAGGGCGCTTTGGGTCACTCTGGAGGATAGCTGGGCCCCACGGTACTAGGACCAGGATTCGGAGCAAGTTTGACTGCCATTCGCGGCTCATGCCGCAATAGAGTGCAAATAGATTGAAGAGAATGATTGTAGCGTTTGCTTGGCTAGCTGTAAGACGTCAGCCTTGTCCCCGCGCTGAATTTATGAGCTAGCTTAAAAGGGTTGTTTCCCCAGGGCATCATTTTGGAGCATGATAATTCCCCGCAGCTTCGTGCAGCTTCGTCTTTTAGAAATCTCCGAGCTCGTCATTTTGTCTCGATATCAAAAAGACCTTCCAGGGACCAGTGTCTGTTCTGCAATATGAAAGAAGGTGAACTCGTGGATCCCGATTCGGGAATTAATGAAAAGACTGATTATCCACCATCCTATGAACACGCGGAAAAGCGAGAGGGCGCACCTATTGATCTAGAGCATCGTGGGGATAATGAACTCAATACCGTTTTTCAGAATCCCCTGGCTGGGTTCTCCCGTGAACAACTTTTCGAAAATGTCGAAGCCTTCTGCAGGAAGTTCGACCTTATGGATGACCTTGAAACCTTCAAGAAAGGAGCACTGATCTCACAAAATCCCGAAGATGGACCTACATTGCCTGAGCTAAGCGCAGATGAGAAAAATGCTCTTGTTCGCGAGCATACGCACAAGTGGAATCAACCATGGCAGTTATATTGGCTTGCAAGTAAGTTTCAAGCAGTCATTGAGGCTGATCACTGTGCGGCGAACTAAGTAATATTCTACAGTTATGTGCTCTCTTGCGGCTGCCGTACAGGGCATGGATGAAACGGTGAATAATGGTGCCCAGGCATTCTACTTGAAGGTAATTGCAGCTATAAGCTAGTCACTCTCTTCATTTCTTGATATAGCACTGACGCTTAAACCAAAGCACTTCGGAATCGAGAACAGTGATAATCTTACCGGCCTCGTCGTCGGCGCACCCTATCTAGCATGTGCTATTTTGGGCTGCTGGCTCACTGAACCCATGAATCGATACTTCGCTCGTCGTGGTACAATCTTCATTTCTTGCTTTATAGCAGCCGTTGCCTCGATCTGGGAAGGTGTTGCCAACTCATGGGTGAATCTATTCATTGCTCGCTTCGTGTTGGGCCTCGGGATTGGCTCAAAGTCAACTACAGTCCCCGTCTATGCAGCTGAATGCTCACCTGCTCCGATCCGTGGTGCATTAGTCATGATGTGGCAGATGTGGACAGCATTCGGAATCATGCTGGGCAATATCATGGGCGTGGCATTCATGAACACTGGTGATGATCTCAACTGGCGTCTCATGCTGGGCTCAACAGTTGTTCTACCTCTAATTGTCTGTGCCCAGGTCTATATATGCCCTGAGTCCCCAAGATGGCTCATCCAGCATGGCAAGATCCATAAAGCCTACGAGAACTTCAAAATCCTTCGCTCAACGGAGCTACAGGCAGCGCGGGATCTTTACTACGCCTATGTTGGTGTAGAACTAGAGCGTGAAGTTAACAAAGGAAAGAACTTCTTCACTATGTTCTTCGAGCTTTTCACCGTTCCACGTAACCGTCGAGCCACTCTGGCAACCTGGATTGTCATGTTTATGCAACAGTTCTGTGGAGTCAATGTCATTGCCTATTACTCTACTACAATCTTCGTGGACTCCGGATACAGCACCTCTAATGCGCTGCTGGCATCTATGGGAACCGGCATCCTCAACTGGGTCTTTGCCCTACCTGCTGTTTTTACAATTGATACATGGGGTCGTCGCAACCTTCTCCTCTTCACTTTTCCATTTCTAGCTATATTCTTACTCTGGTCGGGATTCTCGTTCTGGATAGACGCTAATGATGGTCACAAAAGAATTGCAATGGTTACAACAGGGATGTATCTATTTGAAGTCTTCTACTCCCCAGGAGAAGGGCCTGTCCCATTTACCTATTCGGCTGAGGCTTTCCCGCTACATGTCCGAGAGGTTGGTATGTCGTGGGCAACTGCAACTACCTGGTGCTTTAACTTTATTTTATCCTTCACCTGGCCTCATCTACTGAGATCATTCAAGCCCCAGGGTGCCTTTGGATGGTATGCAACATGGTGTCTTATTGGATGGGTCCTGATCTTGCTTTTCGTGCCAGAGACTAAATGTGAGTGTCAACTTCTCTATCCTGGGGCTTACGCTTATACTAACCTCTTAATTGCTCAGCTCTTACCCTGGAGGAACTGGACCAGGTCTTCTCTGTTTCAACGAGAAAACACGCTTCATACCAGCTCAAAAACGCTGCCTGGCATTTCCGCGTTTGGATCCTTCGACAAAAGCTGGAGCCCTTGCGCCCGTTTTACCGAAATGCCGAGCGTCTCGCCGAGGTGGGCGATACCGCAACAAACTAGAGCCAACCCCTGGTGGCTTCGAAATTGACCGCAAGTTTGGCAAAGTTTATGCTAAGAGAATGCCTTTGGTAATGGAATCTATTGAGTAGTTATGGAAATCATTTTAATTTGACTAATTGAGAGATGTTTTTTGAGTTTATCTACTCCCTGCATACGTGCATACTAAGGAATCGACAGTAGTAGTATTAAGACCAAGAAGATGCGAAATGATATTGAGGGGTATCTATTTTTTTGAAGACAAAATCCAGCGCTTCTGATGATAACATGTATGAGCTGGAGCAGGACCACGAGTAAAAGATCTTCAGTTGGGGGTTATCAAGCTGCCTCTTCGACAAGGTATTTTCGGCAAGCAACCTTCAGCATCTCAATGCGTCTCTGCGTATGAATGAAGACTTCCCGGTACATGTCAAGACTCTGTTGCACAACGTCCTGTCGGGTCTTCGTGCCTGCACAGATCTCAAGCATGCGTAATTCCATCTCTTTCCGAAGGAATGGTTTGCTCAAGGATATGCTATTCGGAAGGCCTGCAACCACATTATCATATCCCTCAACGAGTGCAATTCCTAGTCGGGTTGGAATTAACTCTTCGACCGCAGTCCGTCCAGTTCCTCGCTTATTAGGGACAACGTATTCCCGATCTTTGACTTTAGCAATATGCTCTGCCATGGTGGCGTCAGTACCAATGCCGTTGGCATCCATCAGACCGATCAGCTCTGGTTCAGTCAAGTAGTTTGGAGCCGTGGTCTTTCCCTCGAAAATGTTCGCTTCGGTGGGCTGGAAGGTCTCGTCTTTCTCGAAATTCGGTAACTGCTGACTGCTCTCCCACTTGTCGTAGACGTAAACATCGAGATAGTTCCGCTCAAGCACGATGAGGCCGTTGGCATGGAAGAATTCATCTCCATATTTGATTTCAATCTCAGTACCCTGACCTTTTGCATCCTCTGAACAGCAGGCTAGGAATCGCCGAGCCACGAATTCGTAGACCTTTTTTTCATCGGCACTGAGTTGGCTTGGTGAAACCCAGGCTACAGGGTGGATAGGAGGATGTGCCTGATCATTATTGCGGCCTGATCGAGGTGTCCTGAATTTTCCATCAATAAGACTGCAGAGCGATGTTGTTAGCTTTCTCTTTATGGATGTTCGCTTCCGAATTCTTACTCTCTAGCGTATTGACCCCATGAGCTGTCTGGAAACTGTTTCTCTACCAGCTTCTTGAGGTCAATTTCCTTATCAAACTGATCTGTCTCCGTTCTTGGGTAGCTGATAAATCCCTTGGTGTAAAGACCTTCAGCAAGTTTCATAATCTTTTGACTGTCCATGCGAAGGAACCTGCTGCCCATCATTTGGAGATCAACGGTTGTCAAGGGCAAAGGCCGCCATTTGCTCTTGGGTTTTTTGCTAACTTTGCTGACTTTGGCTTCTTTTGCAATCAAGCAGCGTTCTAACATCATGATGACGGCAGCGCGGTCAAACAAATGGACACGTCTCCAGAGGAAATTGACCACCTTTCCTTCACGCCGAAGCATAACTTTGATGCCCCAAAAAGTCTCTGGTTTGAAGTTTTGTACTCGGAGATATCGGTCGACCACGAAGCCCAAGGTGGGAAATTGACATGATCCTAGAAAGCATAAGATAAGCTATTTTTGTAAAATGAATGGATAGATGTACCATAGCTAATGATTTTGTCTTTCAGAATTGATGTCACAGCCTGGAGCTGAAGAGTCTGAAGTCGAGTAAAAGCGGCACCAATACGCAGATCAAGTTCTATTCTTGCCGCAACGGCATTGGCTTGATATTCATCAAGCTCGACTGGTTGACGAGCAGCTTGGAGGACATGACTAGAACAGTGTGAGAAAGTGTTGGTGAGTGGCCTTTATAACAGAAACTCACGCTCTCTCCGTGTTGCTGAACTTGGCTCTCTTGACCTCTATTCTTGCATTGCCACTTTTGGCCTGGTTGCGGACCTCGGCCCCAATATGTTCTCCTTCTCGATCACAATCAGTCCAGATGAACAGTGCTTTGCTGTATTGTGCTTGGTTTCGAATATTTTCTGCAATCGGCAGTTTGTCCTACAATAGCCGTTTAGTTATTGTAATCGAAACCTAACACGCGGGGCTTTCAAACCTTGTCAACATCTTCATGAACTGGAGCCTCAAACAAGGCGCCGGGGGGACAAGACATCCAGCCCTTGTACTGGCGCTCGAAGTCCAGGCCTGTGAGATGGCCTATCACGCTGGTCATGGTGACGGCGCAGTCCCCCCCACGATCCACCAAAATTGAAGTTGAATTCATAATTTTTCACATACGGACTTCCCCGAATGGCATGCTGAGTCTTGGGTTTCAGTTGCTAATCCTGTTCATGCCATAATTCAGAAACACTTACAGTCTGAAAAGACCCTCCGGACAGATGAGTGGCCACTGCTCGCGCAATGGCCGGTTTCTCCGCCACGCACAGAATCTTTCTCGCCATGGTGAATCCACCAGCCACAATCAAGCGGGACTGTATCCGCAAGTCACGGTGACATATCTTTTCTGGTTGAAAACCAATGCAAATACTTCGGGACGCGAGGGAGTTGATGCCTGAGGAAATAACGCGCTCGTGGCTTGGTGCCTCAGGCATAAATTACTATACCCGATGAGGTAATCCAAACATAGACCGCAACCCGGAACTTCTTGTTGTTTGTTATTTTCCCCCCCGAGAATAACATACCTATCCAAATCGAGTTGGCGGTTTGTCTTTGGGTTCTTTTGGGATAAAATGGCGAACCTTCCACTTCCTACTGTCCAGTCCTTGGCGGATTGCACATCTTTTCAACAGACCGTGCTCCCCTACCTCGAGCAGCTGCAATACCTCCCCGCTAGCTTGGGCGAGGCGGGCTGGAATCTGGATAACCTGAAGGCCGTCTACATAGCCACCAATCCCTTGACTACTGCATTTGCGCTAGCCACGGTCTTGGCCGGTCTTTTTTTTCTTGACTGCTGAGATCAACCGGAACTTTTCCCAAGTAGATCGTTGTTGGTCTCTGTTGCCTACTATATACAATGTGCATTTCGCCGCTTGGGCGCGTTTGTCCGGAATCCGTACCCAGACTTTGGATACCATCGCTGTTATTAGTATTCTGTGGAGTGTATGTGCCCTGTGAACCGAATGAGGATTTCTTCCCCGAGTCTTGACTTTTGCTAACGCAGAATCTGTTCGATAGGTTCGTTTGACCTACAACTACTGGCGCCGAGGTGGATACTCGATTGGATCGGAGGATTATCGCTGGAAGATTGTGCGCGCGCAGATCAACAACACTTTCCTCTTTACCCTGTTCGACTTTGGATTCATCGCCTGCATTCAGTCTTTGCTGCTTCTGCTGCTCGCCTCGCCGTCCTACGTATTCGTGATTTTGGCAAACAGCCAGGGTCCCGAGACCTTTGGCCTGCCCGACCTGGCTTTCTCCCGCGCTGTTTTCTTCTTCCTCATCATCGAGTTCTTCGCCGATCAACAACAGTGGAACTTCCAGGCTGCGAAGCACGAATATCTCAACAATGCCCGTATCCCGGAACCCTTCAAGGACCAGTACACTCCTGAGGATCTGGAGCGTGGCTTTGTCGTCAGTGGGCTCTGGTCATGGTCACGACACCCTAACTTCGTCGCGGAGCAGGCTATCTGGTTGACCATGTATCTGTGGGGCGCCTACCGCACCGAGAACTACGTCCAGTGGACCGGTCTCGGCGTTTTGGGACTGCTTGGTATCTTCCAGGGAAGTACACGCCTGACTGAGTCTATTACTGCGAGCAAGTACCCTGAGTACAGTGAGTACCAGGCTCGCGTTGGCCGGTTCTTGCCGCGCTTCTCCGCAGAGGCGAAGACCAAGTCCAAGGGTAAGAAGAAGGCTGCCCCAGTTGAGGATGAGCAGTCTGTTGAGAGCACCGAGAACAAGAAGAGCAAATAAATAGTAGATGAGATATAGTTGCGGTGAAGGGATCTACTAATACTCTGTTATACCATTTGGGCGGGATTTGGTTTTTTTTTTCTTTCTTCGCTATGTCTTTTTATATAATTTATTGCACATTTACTTCACATTTAAGTTTGCTTCCTGCTTTTACTACATCATGACCGCAGATGTCCGATATCTCGACCACTTTTGCACCCACAGTAACCCCGGCTTCAAGTTTATATGCAACCTTGGAGTTTCAAGGTTGTGCCTCTTCATTACTAATGGCTCATTTGAACTGTCCATGGATCCCCAGGTTCCCATGGTGGTAGCAGTACTAATACAACTTGAATTTCCAACGTTGGACCCGGAGACTGATGCGGTCATGACCAGCACTTGAGTGCCCAGCTACCTAGTACTTCCAAGTTTGGGTCGGACTTTCAAACATTTGAAACACCACAATATCAATAGTGCTGCATTTACGATTAACGTCAAATTTATGTCTGGAAAATAATCGAGACATAGGTAAAAACACCTGCGAACTTGAACTTGAAGGGTAATGATGGAGGACCCGGACCCGAACGATCGTTACTGGAGTTTTGACGCTCTCTGGGATGTATGTGTATTATGTCAAAGACGCAAGCCAGCGAAAACTTGCAGGACAGTGAGTTTAATCCAGAATTAGGAGATATTATAGTGCATATCATGACTGACATGGATTTTCACTCTAGTTGGCCGGGCATATGAATACTTCGGCGTAGTAAAACATCATGATCTTGAGCAGATCCAAAACGCTGAGTCGGAGTCTAGCTGAGTCGGAGTCTGAGTCGGATGAAGACACTTACTCTGATAGCACTCCAACACCCAAATTTCTGGCTCATGATATTTGTTGGTCAAGGCTGATGAAACATTTTGATCACGTACCCAAATTCGACAAGTTGATGGAGGCACTACAACGAGTATTAAATGCATTCTGTGTGGCTGGTAAGTCCATTTTACAGAGAAGACCTCTTGGATTTGACCAGATCCATGACTCACTCAGCTTCCAGATAGAAATGAGGATCCTGACCCGTACCAACCCCCAATAGCCCAAGAGCCGAGTTTTGAAAGCGTCATGGGTATTCTTCAACTTGACAATGCTCAAAAAGCCCCTTCGAGATCCAGCAGTTTCAAAGCCAACTTTGAAAATTCTGTCGCTTCCGATTTGGACCCCTTCCTATTGCTTTCGCCAGAACTTCGATTGGGAATTGCTCAGTATCTCCCCACCGTCAATTTTCTCAATCTCAGGCTTTCCTCGAAAGCTATGGTTCTAATATTCGACCGCCAGGATTTCTGGAAAACGAGATTTTGCCTGTACGGTGATCGAGGCTTTTTGGATTTCTTAGAAGTAACAAAGTACAAGGATTGGAGACTCTTATATCGATCTATTAAAACTGATAAACTATAGAGTCAGAGCCGTGTGCTGAATGACTTATGGCAGCAATGGATTCACAATCAGATGATCAGGGATATGTATCTGATGACTGGAGCACCTGGTCTTGTTCCATTAGCTGACAACACCCGAGACCCAAGTTTGAAGTGGACAGGGACTCAGGCTGCCCAACAAGGTTTCTTTGACGATGACCCTCCGAAGATTGACGGCTGCCTGCGACATTACTACCGGCAAAAACTTTTTGTTTCCAAGGATAACTGTGATAAATTCTCGCTATTGAAGCATGCTCGGTTCTCTCAAACGATCGCACTGCCTGGCCGAGTCCTGGCAATTGCTGTTTCCGTGTTCACCGAAGGGTATGCAACATACATAACAGGACTTGATTTTATCCATGGATCTGATGACTCGGAACAAGTCACCTCTTTTGGCTATCGAATACCTGGAAAACAGGTCATATTTGATCTTTATGGTGGAATTTTGACGGGATTTGACATGCGGATTGAAAGAGGCCTTGGCCTTTTGGGTATACGACCAATTACAACAAAATCTGATATGCACTATAACTGGGCTGGTCTTGAACGTGGTCCAGGACCCTCGTATCCAAGGATTTTCCTGAACATATTGAACAGTTGGATGCGAAATCAGAGATTCTGGCTCTTTATGAGACCTTCGATGTGAGCAATTTCTTTGAAATTATCAATTCAAATTCTATGTTTACTGAATTGACTACTGATGGTGCTAACACTCTTGATAGGACCATAGGATAATGACTCTTTAACTAGGCTCGGCTACTCCTAGCCCATCGCTGTGAATTTAGGTAGCAAAGTGGGCCACTGGCACTGGCAGATACTCCTGAGTCCAGACAACTTGAATGCGCCTTAGCTCTGTATTACTAGCCAATCTTTTCCCTGTATGCTCTAGAGATCAGATTTGGCTGAGAATTTTCAAAGACGATGTTCGTCACGCTTCTAACATTTTACTCTCGCTTATCTATAGCTACTAGCATACTAGTTGACTACATATCAGGGGCCAGGGCTGGCGTGAACATGTGCAAAATTTGGTGCTGTTGAGCGGAAAGTGATTGTATCGTGATATTAGGCAGCTAGGGCACCAAATTCAAGTTTTATGGTAACATGTGAACACTGACACCTGTGTGCAATTCTAGCAACCACCTATAGAACATCCTGCACTAGGTATGTAGCATCATATAATACTAGTAATATCATCCCACAAATTCATTATCAGAATCATGATCAACATCATAAGTACTAATTATGTATGATCAAACTCGACCTCGAAAGTATTAGGCGACCAGGCCACTGACGTGACTGGCCCATGGTGGCCTTCTAGAGTCAACATACACTGACTTGTGGCCGTATTCCAGATCTTGACAGTTTGATCCTTGGAACCTGACGCGAGCCAATTTCCATCGGGTGACCAGGCCACTGACGTGACTGGCCCATGGTGGCCGTCTAGAGTCAACACACACCGACCTGTGGCCGTATTCCAGATCTTGACAGTTTGATCATTCGATGCTGATGCTATCCGGTCGCCACCAGGCGACCACATCATCGACATAACCCAAGATTTATGGCCTCTCAATGTCAAAACACACTCTTCTCTGTTCTTATCCCAAATTCTCACGGTATGGTTCCGGGATGCCAACGCGATCTGGCCACACTTGGGTGACCAGGTCACCAACTTGTTCCAAGAACTACACCAATGATTCCAAGAATTAGGGGATTTCAATTCCGAAAAAGAATCTTCTATGGCTATCTCCCAGATTTTGACAGTATAATCCCAGTCGGAATGACCCGTCAGTATCGACACACTCTCTTTTGTGATCGTATTCCAGATCTTGGCCGTCTGATCAGGGGACGCCGACGCGAGCAAGGCACCATCCGATGACCAGCCCACTGATGTGATCCAATGACTATGGCCTCTCAGCGTTGACGCTCGCGGCCCCTTAGCCATACTACCCCCGATCTTGACAGTTTTGGCATTGGATGCCGATGCTATCTGGTTGTCATCAGGCGGTGGCCTGATTATATTTTCGTTCTCGCCTATGCTGTGGATAAGACGACCCGTATCTGCCTCCCAGATCCAAGCACCCTTATTGGATACTGACACAAGCTGGTCATATTTGCGGGAAGATGCACTGGATCTTCGGTTTTTACTCGAAATCCCTTTCGTCTTTGCCGTGTGGAGATCTCCCCTAGATTGTCTGGTGATAAAAGATGGCACATCTTGACTCTCAATCGACAACTTGAAGTTCTCCTTCGTCGCTTTTTCCAGCAACTTAAACGCTTTGCGAGCTTCGCTATCAGCTCTGATAGAAGAATGATCTTTGATATGCCGTCTGGTGGTAGACGGTGACATATCTTGATTTTCCATCGACACAGCGTTCCCAATCTCTTTGTCCAACACTTTGAGAGGTTTTTGTCTGGTGGTAAAACGTGGCACGTCTTGATTCTCTATCGATACAGCGTTCTTTATCTTTTTGCTCAATCCTTTGGCAACTGGGCCATCGAAAATTGACGGTCCTCTGGTATTTATAGGTGAGACTTCTTGGTTTTCCATCGATACAGCGTTCCCCTTCTCTTTATCCAAAGTTTTGGCAGCTCTGCTACTACTAGTAGTAGCATGCCTATTTTCGAAAAAGAACAGTCCTCTGGTGGAAGGTGACACGTCTGGACCTTCTTTCGACGAATGATTCCCCATCTCTTTCTTCAACGATTTAACGCGGACTTGTGCTTGTGCAGGAGTATTGGGAGGGGGAGGAGATACCGATACAAGCCCAGGGTTTGTCATCTGCGCCCTTGGAGCTTGTGACCGCTGTATGTCATCCATGCTGTATGTGTTCGACCAGTTGTTCGACGGTAAGATTTCTTCAGTTCCAAGGCTATCTGGGCGGTCCATATTGCATTCGCCCCTATATGTAACATGTTAGAACCACTTTCAAAGTATACTTCTTTAATCGAAGATAATACGTAGTACCTGGTAGAGAGACTAGTCTCCATACTGAACCAATTGTGATCTAGAATTTCCTTAATTGTGAGCCGTTGTTTGGCAGATCCGGCCATGGTACTGGAGACAAAATCCATGCAATATCCGGTCGAACACTTATTGAGCGGTTCAAGAAACCTTCTTTGCTGACTGCGAGGGTAGTCACTGCGAGCATATTCGAGTACTGAACTTTGGATCCAAGAACGGAGGGGATCCGGTTCTTAGGCAAAATGCTACAGCCCCAAGTGCCCACACATCGATAGCTCCTGTGTATGGTCCTGCTGAGTAGCTGAGTAGCTCTGGTGCTATATAGCCAGGACTCCCAATCTGGATAGTTTTCGGGGTTGTGCGATCCGTATTTTTGGAAATTCCAAAGTCCGCCACCTTCACGTGCCAGTTGGGCCCTGGGAGGGCGACGAGGATGTTCTATGCTATATCAGTATAAGTAGATCAGGCCCTTTGACTCGTGCAATATACCAATAGCTTAATATCCCGATGAAAAAAATTCTTTTGATGCATACATTGTAGAGCTTGGGCTACCTGGTACGTAATTGACGCTGCTTCAGGCTCGAGGATCGGGGTACGGGTTATGTATTGCTGAAGATCGCCATATTCCAAGAATTCCATGGCAATATAGAAGTTCTCCATATCATCGAACCAGCCAAGGAACTGGACGAAGTAGATCTTATACTAGAACTAGTTAGTCTTGGCTGCTCCGATACATTATCGACCGCCCAAGTGTCAAGCGGAGTGCCTTGTTCGCCTACCTCAGGGACATTAGGGTTGGAAAACGTTTTCAAGGCTTCGAGCTCCCTTCTTGACATCTCCGAGAAACCCCCCCTGTTCCTTATTGAGTCGCTTAACGGCACGGAAATGATCTTTTGGTGGCCCAGATAAGCAGTGCTCTTGCCAGACAACGCCAAATGTCCCTTTCCCTAAACGTCGTGTGGGCCGTCAGCACTCGGATCCCGCTGGTCCTTGGTGGTGCCGGTCTCCATTCGCGTCGAGTCGGGTTTCTAGCTTCCATTCAGGTAGACGCTCGCTAACGAATCCATGGGCCTTCGATTTTCTCTTTGACAAAGGAGGTAGTTGATAAGAAAATATAAAGGTAGTACGCAGAGAGTCGACATGCACCGTTTTAGCATCATGTGCGGGGTCATGGACCTTCAAGTTTCACCTAGTAGACTTTGTTCCTGTAAGGTTGCCTCCAGGCCTCCACTGGCAGGGCTATGTAGGTGGTTTCAAGTTGCTGGCGCTAAAGGTAAGTCCCTAATTGGTCGAAATTACCGGGATTGCTATCAACTTGAAGGAGCATGGGATGGTGTGTCATGTTACTAGTGGCCTCTCAGTCTGTGTCTTACTAGTTATGGGGCGATTTCAAGCTACAGCCATTTGATTTCATGGCAGATGGCTGACAGGATTCATTTACAGATTTTAAAGCGCGAAAATAATTATCATCATACACACCTGGCTTGTCTTGATTTCAAGTCGGTTAAAAGACTCATCAAACTTGAACGAATACTGTCCATCCGCTAGTCAATAGAAAATTTGATGGGAATAATGTAGAAATTGTAATTCTGTCATATCCGGATATCATTGATAGATTTCATCACTTTCTCAATGAACTGCACCGCGACAAGATCATCACTAACACCCCCTTCTTCCATCCCTTCAAAATACTCGTTATCATCATCCAGACACGTCAAGCACAACATCGTCACCTGCGCATACATATCGCCCATGCGCTGTACTAGCCTTACGCCTGCCTGCTCAATAAAATATTCCTTGAGTTTATAAGCCACAGCGTCAAATGACGATGGCGTACCCTGCTCCCTGAGCCACGCTTGAAAATTGTGATAGCATTTCCCGAATTTGGGCTGAGGGCCGGTAGATTCATCATCTGTATATTCGACAAAGGATTCCCATAAGCCTATCTCAAGCAGACAGACACCAAGGCTATAGATATCATGCTGCATCCGATACCTCTCAGTTGGATCTCTATCCTGACGTGACGGGTGACGGTAAACATTGCGATCCCAACTCATATCGCCACCCATTATTGTACCAGTGCTTGTCGCACGGAATGCGTCGAATCCAACCAAAAATGCATGGCTCGACGATGCTTCGGTGTTTTCGAAACACAGCAGCGACTCAGGCCTTATATTCTTGTGCACTAAATCAAAGGTGTGTACATAGTGAAGAGGGGAACCGTTAGGCAGTGTATTCTAGATACACGGGTCGATCCAGCTAGCATGAATGGATAACACCAACCAACATGTACGTTGTGGCCGGACTACCCCGTAGGGGTGGGATGAGAGATGTGTAGGAGTGTGTATTCTAGACTATAACGACGGGCATTCTTGTACGTACAAAGACGGGACTGAAAACATGACAAAACAGAGATGTAACCAAACGGTAATTCTTAGCACGGTACGTGTAGTAGGGGACAGGGTACCCCACTACAATAGTTAACGGCCTTAACTAGCTCACGCGCAATGCGTATCTTCCGTGATAGCGATATATGAGTATCCGAATTTAGAAGAAGGTGCCGTAGCGACTGAAGCACTTCCATACCTCGCGGTATTCGGAAAACAAGCTGAAACTGGGAATATACCTGCCGGCTTGAAGGCGTACGCGCGGGTGCGATAGTAGAAGAAAAACCTGTGGCTGAGCGTAACTGAGGGGACGGTACAGTGGTAGCTTGCTGGAGTTGTACTGCGATAACTCCTTTACAGTTAAGGAGGCCAAACGCCAATGGATCAGCCTTAGAGAGCTTGGCGGCAAGTATACGAACGTCCCGTAGGATACTGCGTCCCCGGGCGGTCTGGCTAATCTCAATAGTATCAATGATGTACCATGATGATCGAGTGTTATGGCTTAGCTTTTGTCGACCTGCTCTTGCTGTTGAGAAGGGGATGTCGAGCCACTCCATAGGTGACTCAGGCAGAATGATGGAGTTGTTCTGGTGAATCTGGTCAATATTAGGTGAAATTACACTCCGAATTCCAGCCGCAAGTGCCAGGGGATTTTGAGCGGCGGTTGCAGGCCCATTATGAGTATTCTCTGTAATCCTTGCTTGTGCTAGCGCCCTATCAATGATAGGTTCAGCGATCTTCATAAGAAGAAACCAGGAAGGATCAAAACGGCCTTGCCATTTCTCGAGATCTGAAATAATGGTGTCGATTGTATTCTTTTTCCACACCCAGGAGGGTCTCCTGGCCCTCAAGGCCAACCTGAGCATGCTAGGTCGTTCCAGAGAATCCTTTCGAATCACCGTTTCGAGACTGCTCAGGGCAAGTGAAAGAGCTAGCGAGAGCTCGGTTAAAAGACTGTCCAGAATCTGGCGTTGCTCGTCGTCTATGGTTGAGATAATACGCATCACAAAATCCACCTGTCGCTTAGTACGATTCCAGCAATGCTCGAAAATGATAACACGTTGTTCAACCTCGCGGTCAGCATTTTTCCATGTTGAGAATATCTCGATGACTTTAGTCCCGATTCTACAGGCTGATCAGCGAGTTCAGGTACATGCAGACCAACGATAGAGTCAACTTACTGATAGGATGTCGTCACAATGGTTGTCAGTGAGCTAGGATCCATGATAACAAGACTTTCAAGTGAGGTTCTATCTTCTAAAAATGTGGAAAGAGTATCGGGACATTCGGGGACATTCAAAATGTGACTATTGATGACTTACATCCCTGGAGAAGAGTATTGATTTCTGCGGCTTGAAGTCCAAGCTGGAGTTCAAGTTGCAATGACTGTGGCGGGAGGGGCCGAAATAGCTCGCGCGAGGCAGTGCTACTGCAAGGCCCCTCATTGGGGACAGAGTATCAACCACAAAGCGGAGATCCCAGCCAATCAGCATATTAGTACAGCAGCTGGTATTTCATATTTTGGTCGTATCTACCTGATTAATCCTTTTGATGAATGATAATTTGTGTAGAAATCTTGGAATTGAGTGCAACTTTAACTTTGTAACTGGTTGTAATGGTATGTAGTGCTATGCGAGCATTATGAGGAACAGGTACTGGGGAACAGCAGGGTCAGAGTTGCCCTGGATATTTTGAAGGGTTAAGTATCTAGATCCAACTTCTTCTCTGGTCGCCATCATTCAAACTTGAATGTTCAAGTTTCAAGTTGTCGAGGCGCAATCAAAATGATGAGAAACTGCCCAGGTGGGCTGATAGCCACCTGGGCATGGATTGCCCTTAGTCTCCACATGTTCCTAGATATGCAAGCACTTCAAGTTGAGTATACACCATGCACGTTCTGCCCACCGGGGCCAGGTGAAATCAATGTCTTATTAGACTAAATACTAGTATTCGACCAAAGGGATATATACTATCCTTGGAACTTGAAGGTTTCTCTGACCTCTCACTAAATATGTATATATAATACGGAGTACTTGTAGTACCATTACTATTGAGTCAAAACTTCAATGTTGAACTTGAATGTGATCGAGAGATTCATGGATGGATGAAATTGAACGCAAAATTGGACATTGAGTCTTCAAGTTGTAAGTTTACACCTCAGGCTGCATGTAATTCAAGCACTTGAGTTGAAATGTTACTAGCTCGAGTACAATTCATGGCATTTGGTAGATTTGGGTCAACTTAGCATTTGACCCAGAACCCAAACCCGCGGGAACATTGAATATCAACAAAGCTTATCTGGCATTTAAGTTATTTGAGTTTCTATAATTTCAATGTTGAAGTTAGTAACTGCTGGGAATAGTCCCGCAATTCAAAACCCTCAACCTTCAAGTTAGAAGTTTCAAGTTGGCCATACATACTTTCAAGGTTAACCTTAGAAGATTTGAAGCCTCTATAAATGTATGTGCATTTCCATCAAAAAGTAATTATATACAACAGATGGTCAAGTCTATGTTTCGAAATCTGGAAGAACTCATACTTGACTCGCAGGACATATCGTTGAACAGAAGGTATAGCGCGTTGCTTAGTATACAGAGCCAAACTCGATCCAGCTAGAGTTCCACTCGCTAGTCTGGCACAATCGGCCATCCTCGCGCTCCCTCCATGCCTCCGATCCAACAGCGGTCTTGGCGTAGAAGATGCCATTCGGGTCATACTTGTTCTTGATCTGACGCAACCTGTCGTAGTTGATGCCGTAGAAGACCTCCTGGAAGTCGGGCTGGCGGAAGTCGCCCTAGAAAAGAAAATTTAGTGTGTTCATGATCGTGACGGGAGGAAGATCTTGAATGGAAATACCTCGTTCATATAAGCACCCGATTCCGGGGATAGCGCGCGCAGTCGTGGAATAAACTCGTCGGTCATCTTGTCCTGGCGCTCTAGCATCAGAGCGGGCTTGTCCCACTCCCATGGCGTGGTGAGGGTGGTGTCAATAAGTGCCTCACGCCAGGCAGGCAGGACAGCGTTATAAACGTCTCCTGAGACCTGCTTCGAGACGTTCAGGCCAACGCCAATGAAGGTTCCGCCGTGCTCGGTAATCCAGCGGTAGGCTTCCACTAGTCCCTTGTTGTTATCCTCGACTACAGATCGCGGCACCAACCAGCCGCCGTATTGTGCTGTGCCGACCTCGATGGTGCCCTGCATATCCTTGAACTGACTGTAGTAGGTGTCGTACTGATTGGCAGTCATCGTGTACTGAATACCAAGCTCTTCTAGACTTTCCATGAAAGGGTTGAGCATTTGCACCAGCTTTGCAACCGGGATGTTTGGCGCGGTGATCGGGGCAATCATGAAACTGGTGTTGGTGTAGTACCAGATACTCATGGCGCCGCTGTCCACGAGCGTCGTCAGGTGCGTATGGAAAATTTCAACACCCTTGTAAAAGGTATCCTGTGAGATGTTCGCGTTGGTGTACGTCAGGTTGAACCCAGAGACAGGAGTGGCTGGGTGGGCCTTGGAGGTCAAAGAATAAACAATGCCATAGGTACCACCGCCGCCACCACTGAGGGCCCAGAAGATATCGGAGTACTCGTTGTCTCGGGTGGCTGTAATGAAGTTTCCTTGGCCGTCAACTACCTCCCATTTCAGGACTTGGTCGGCACCAAGACCGTAGCGTGAGGCGAGAGCTGAATGGCCACCACCTTGGGTGTAGCCACCAGCCAGACCGACGGTAGGACATTCACCTCCAACAACCTGGAAACCCTTGGCATCGGCGAGCTCATATGCTTCGAAACCTTGGATACCGGCACCCATGGTGATAGCTTCGCCGGTGTAGTGCGCATCGGAGTATGAGTGGAGTTCCAAATCCTTGAGGTGGTGTGTCCAGATTGCGAGAGCACCCGCTCCAGTGGATTTACCATTGTAGTCGTGGCCTGTGTTTCGAATGATCACACGAATATTATGCTTGGTCGCAAATTTCACGGCATCGGAAATCTGGGTTGAAGTGGAGACATTTACGCTGTATCTCACATAGTTGCCCAGCGTGCATGGCTTCGACACTGGGTGGAAGGGGTCACAGGAGCCATTGGCGAAAAATGGGGCCATAATCGAGGAGGAAGAGTCATAACTGTGGGAAATTATGGACAATCAGCATTTGGGTTTCTACATGGATTCTAGATCTAGAGCATGAATGGCGACGTACTGTTCCTCGGGATATGTCCATCCCTCCCTCAGGACCTCGCATGTTGCGTTATTATAGTGCGGTGCATGGCAGGGCACGCCCAGAGGTACGGTCTTCACCAGTGCGCCGTCAAGAGTCTGATTGAATTGTGACCAGACGCTCTCAGACGGCCAGCATGCATCGCCAGGGAAGCAACGACATTCTGGGGAAGCTGATACCAGTGGCACCGCCAAGAGCCATGAAATAAACGCGACGCGGAAAAACATCATGCGGTTAGTTGAACGCTTTGGGGTTACCAGGATTGTTGCAGCTTCAATCATTTAAATATTGCACAATTTTCAGCATTTTGAAGCACTACTCATCCAGGGGTGGGCCTCATATCACTTAGATGGTACGACAAACCTTGGAAGACAGTATTGAAAGTTATTACGCAGTTAATATCGAGCCGCGGCTAGTAATGATCATGATTTAGATGCATGCTTTAACTACGAGGGGGAAGAGGCTCCACTGCTCCAGGAGCTAAAGCTCAAGGCTGACCCCCAGGTCTCCACTCTTCCGAAGCCACTTGATTCATATGTTCCATGGCGTACGCCTCCAACTTCTAACATTAAAGAGTATGCAGGAACGAGATATCGGGCTTCTAATGAAGATAGAAATATAAAAAGAAAATAGGGAGAAGTTTACTGTGTATTTCATCTGAGAATACTCTTTATAGAGTGGATTTGATTAAATTGACTAATGATGAAGTATATTAATTAATCTGAGCAAAAGTACAGTATGGTATCCGCAGGTGGACGTGGACTCCGGACAATAGCTGGCAGCCTGGACGGCCCCCGGGAGCCCCCGGGGGCTACAGCCTATGAAGCCCATAAGTTGTTCTTTAATCCCACTTATTCCCCCACTGGGGCCCCCACTATGCTCCACTGACAATGAGAGAGCTACACAGTACTAAGAGAAATATCAAGGTAACATCCGGAATCCGAGTAGGATTTCGCCCCATACTTGATTCCCATCCTGATCCCCAATAATGGGGGAAATTCGGCGAACTTTTGCTCTGGAGCTTGTACCAATGCAAACATCGAAAATAAATAGATTGTCCTCCGAATCCTTACCCAGTGTCATGGCCTTTTTTCAAAAATGCCAATGTTCCAATGTTCTTCTTGCCTTTCTTCGTGAAAGAGCAATGATCAGATTATGGGTTGGGTTTATAACCTCCACCGGACGGAGCCCAACAGCTCCATTTCGGAGGTGATCGCCATCAGCTTAGTTTTTGCCATTCTGGCTCTGCTAGCCGTGTGCCTCCGATTCTATGTGCGGATCCGGAGCAAACGTTTGCCGTGGTATGATGATTATGCTGCACTAGCTAGCTCGCTCTTAACATTGGGATATGCTGGAATCGCGGTGGCTCGTGAGTCTTCAACCTGTGAATTCAGGATAGCTCGGGCATCGAAACATGACTTGCTAATTCTTCTTGTCCAGAAACGCGATGGGGTCAGGGATTGACGGCAGCGTACTTCCCACCAGAGAATACCATTACCTTTAGCAAGGTTAGCAACAACTTTTAAATGATGGTGTGTCTTGCCAGACTGACCTAACTTGACTTGATTTGCTTCAGATCCAATATGCAGGTGGCCCGGTTTACTGTCTCGATGTGCTAGGCTTCAAGCTAGCTCTGTTGACCTCATATCTACGCATTGCAGGCGTGGTGAACCTCTATCGGAAAATAATCATTGGGGCTATTATTCTTTGTGTGATTAATCAATTGATTTTCGCCTTCATCATCTCCATCTCGTGTATACCGGCAAGTAATATCATGTCAGGCCATCGTTGGCTAGAATGGAAGATATCTCTAATGTTTCATAGGTTGCCAAACAATGGAACTCGTCGCTTAAAGGCCATTGTATCAATACTCAGCCATTTTACTTTGCTCTGGGTGGTACCAGCATTACCTTAGATGTCATCATCATCGCCCTTCCTCTCCCAGTCCTGTGGAAGTTGCAACTTCGAACAAAGCAGAAGATATTCTTGGTTGCCTTGTTTGCCCTCGGATTCTTCGTCACCATCGTCCAAGTCATTCGAATTCTCACCGTGAAGGACTTGAAAACCTATACCGACAGCAAGAATATAGTCATTTGGTCGTGCGTGGAGATCAGTCTTGGGGTAAGTAGACTCTCCATGGGCCGATTGCTAGTCCTTACCTATGACTCCTCACTAACCATGGAAAATTGACTAGGTCGTCGTCAGCTGTATTCCCACCTACGGGCCGCTCTTCAGGGAATTCGCATCTACTGTTAACTCGTACCGAAACCGCCAAAGCGGGCGTTCCTATCAACTCGGCTCTATGCCTGAGTCCCGCTCTGGCCCAGGAAACTCTCGGCGCAGAAGCGAGTTCGAGATCATGGCAGACGGTGAAGTGACAACAGTCACGACGATTGGATCTGGAGATAGGAAAGCCATCAAGGATACAGACAGTGAGGAGCATATTCTTTCCGGGAATGATAATCTCAAGGTGTATGTAACCTCAGAGTCGTCAATCAACGAATCCTGATGAGTTTCATTCAGATCAACTGGGACCACAGTGGGAATGTGAGGTGCCTGTCGTTTGTCAACAGAGGAATCTACCCAAACTTTGACTAGTCAAAGATCTTTATAGAAAGGTCTTCCAAAAGTCATGTCTTTCGCTGAAGTCGTTCTCATAGGGACGATAGAACTTCAGAATCAGGCTATGTCTTGTCTCTTCGGCTACCAGTCGCCTACATCCAACTATAACAGCTAACCTTCCCCTTGAGCTACCCATGTCGGTACTTACATAGAAAAAGCAGGATACCAGCCACCTGTAGAAAATAGATATTAGTAGTAGTATAATCAATCAGGTAGTACTCACGGACCCTTAGTCTAGCGCTCTTATTCAAGCGGCACAAAGCGGAGACAACTTGAACCGAATACGAGGCAGGGACATCTGGAAGCGTCACTGTCCGGCAACTATCGACTAGTATACTCAGGCTACTCCTCGAGTACTCAAGCCAGATCGAATTCCAAATCACCGGGAGCCATCACTCAAAACACTTAAGCTTCTCTTCAACAGCATTTCGGCCTCTACAATGCCAAATCCCGAGGCCCCAGCTGTACAAGTACCCTCTTGTTTCACCGATACCCATGGGGTAGTCATATCAACTATGAACGACCTACCAGGTTACAAGATTAAGAAAGTGCTTGGTACCATCTACGGAATCACTGTCCGAACACGCAACTGGGGTGCTGATCTGGGTGCTGTTTTCCGCTCAGCTATCGGAGGGGAGATACGGTTCTTTACAAATATGATGTATTCGGCTCGTGAGGAAGCGATGGAGAGACTAGTTGGGGAGTGTATGAGTCGAGGCGGGAATGCGATTGTTGCGGTCAGGTTTGATGTTGCGAGCTATGGGGTTTGTTCGCAAATTTGTGCTTATGGGACGGCTTGTCTAGTTGAGGTAGTTGAGGAACAGTGACTGTTTTGGTATTCGACAGCTGTTGGAAGAAACAATTCTAAGCGTTTTGAATAATATGACAGCCTGAAGTGGAAAAATTACTTATTACTGTAGTAGGAACTGAAAAAGGCTTGAAAAATATCTTCACATTTATTCGCGACATGGTAGAATTGGAAGAGTTTGTGAGATAGGAGAGGTAGGAAAGAGAACTGAGAGGGGAGTAAGGTGGGAACAAAAGGAAAAGAGATAAAGAGAAAAAAGAAAATGCAAGTCCATAAATACAAAAAGAAAAAAAAACCCCAAAGAGACCGGGGTGATATCACTCCCGACGAGATTTGAAACAGGCCTTCCCAAAATGCAGTCCAATCGGTACAGAAAATAACCAGTTACTTCAGGCCATCAATCAAGGAATAGGAGTCTGGTCCCGGCCATCCTTGCCCAAGGTTTCTTCGGGGTCCTGAGGAGGCTCTGGAGGAGCAAAGGTCTGTCCACCCTTACCGTCGAAGTACTTGGCGAACTCACCAGACTCAGGGTAGGGACGGGGACCAAGAAGACGGATCATATCATCACGACCCAGAACCTCCTTAGACAGCAGCTCTTCGGCGACAATACCAACTTCAACCTTCTTCTCAGTGAGGAGGTCATGACACTGCTTGTAAGCCTCATCGATGATGCGACGCACTTCAATATCGATGCTGCGGGCAGTATCCTCAGAGAAAGGCTTGTGGATCTGCTGCTGAGGGTCCTCTTCGTAGTAGATGTAACCAAGCTTCTTCGACATACCGAACTTGGTGACCATGGCAGTCGCCATGGAGGTTACCTTGTTGAAGTCATCACTGGCACCGCTGGTAACGGTCTCAAAGTGGAGCTCCTCACTGACACGACCACCCAGAGTCATGGCCATACGGTCCATAAGCTGGTTGGTGTTCATCAAGTAAGTGTCTCCGCCGGCGGGAAGGTACTGGGCATAACCCAAAGCACCCTGTCCACGGGGAATAATCGATACCTTGAGCAGAGGGTCGGCCCACTTGAAGTACCATCCACAGACGGCGTGGCCAGCCTCGTGGTAGGCAACGGTGCGCTTCTCCTCGGGTGACAGCACAAGAGACTTCTTCTCGAGACCACCAATGACACGCTCGATAGCCTGCTCGAAGTGCTTCATAACAACCTTGTCGGCATTTTCACGGGCAGCTATGAGAATTGTTAGCATATTTTCAATCATTAACCAGAACAGAACAGTTTGACTCACCAACAAGGGCAGCCTCGTTGACACAGTTAGCAATATCAGCACCAGCGAAACCAGGGGTCAGGGCAGCAAGTCGGCCTTCCAAGTAGTCCAAGTTCTCATCGGTGACAATCTTCTTAAGGTGAACACGGAAGATCTGCTTACGTCCGTCCATAGTAGGGCGGTCGATAGCAATGTGTCGATCGAAACGGCCAGGACGCATCAGAGCCTTGTCAAGAACATCAGGTCGGTTGGTACCGGCCAGAACAACAACCTGTTCGGAAGTGTTGAAGCCGTCCATCTCAGTAAGAATCTGGTTAAGAGTGCTCTCACGCTCATCGTTACCGCCACCAAAGTTCTGCTTCGCACGAGACTTACCAATTGCATCGATTTCATCAATGAAAATAATGCAAGGGGTATTCTTCCGGGCGTTGGCGAACAGGTCACGGACACGGGACGGACCAACACCGACAAACATTTCGACGAACTCGGAACCACTGACACTGTAGAAAGGAACGCCGGATTCACCAGCGGTAGCCTTAGCAAGCAAGGTCTTACCAGTACCAGGGGGACCAGAGAGAATGGCACCGCGAGGAATCTTAGCACCGAGTCTCTGGAACCGCTCAGGCTGTTGGAGGAAGCTGACGAATTCCATAATCTCAACCTTGGCCTCGTCCATACCGGCGACGTCGGAGAACTTGATCTTAATATCGGATTCGTGGTTAAACTTCTTAGCGCGACTCTTGCCGATTCCAAATATTCCACTCTGGCCACCGGCACCACCTCCCGCACGGCGAGAGAACCAGTAGATACCAGCGAACAAGAGCAAAGTAGGAGCGAAGGACAAAAGGGCACTGCCCCAAGGAACTTCATCAACGTAGGCGACCGGAATGCGTTCATGTGGCGGAATTCCCAATTGGTTCTGAGCCTGCTCCAGTTTCATCTCGAAGCTATCGACAGATCCGATACTGAAGAACACGTGAGAAGGCTGAGAACCACTGGCATCGGCTTGCACGGAAGCGACAGCATCGCGGTTAACCTCAACACGAACTCGGCTGTGGTTAAGCACTGTCAACTTCTCAACAACGCCCTTGTCCAGGTAGTTTGCGCGGAACTCTTGCCAAGTGATCTCTCTGCCACTGCTTTCGCCAGGAAAGAAGCTCCGGTAGATGTAGTATGTAACGAGCGAGGTAACCAAGAAAGAGGCGGGATCAAATCGGAACTCGAAGACCTTAGCACCGGGAGGAAGATTAGCGTCCTTCTTCTTCTTCTTCTGTTGTTCCTCCTTTTCCTTTTTCTTTTGCGGGTCGGATTCTTCCTTGGGGTCGTTCTCCTTCCCTTGGTCGTCCCGTTGCGCTTGAGATTCCTTTCCGTCCTGTGTCTTATCGAAGAACTTTGCCGCATCCTCTGCGGCATCCTTGCTGGCTTGTTCGTTTGTATATTTCAGTAGGAACCGCATCATCCGGAGGTAGTCCATCAATGACGCATCCCGCTTCTCGATGAAGTTCTTAACGTCGGGTGGTAATCCATCCCGCATCAATTGCTTCCGCATCTGACGAAGAGCCTCATGTTGTGATTCGGGGATACGGTTCTCCACACTCTTCACAAAGGCGTCCAGATTCTTCTGGTCCTGTTCATTCAAGACCGACTTCTCTTGACCGTCTTTCTTCTCGGGCTTGGGGTCATTTGGCGGGATTGCCTGGAGATTGGAGCCCGTGGTTGTAAAGGTTCGGATGTGAGTTGATTTAATAAAGGGCGAAAGCGACGATGAGGGCACTCTCGTAGATACCGGAATGGTACGACTGATGTGTTCCGTGGCTCTCCTCGAGAAGCGAGCAAGGTTGCCTGGCCTTCGGAGGAAGGTGGCCATGGTCGAGGAAAAGGGGAGCCCGGAGGGCTATGAGGGCGGAGAAAAGGGTGATCAATCGAGGTCCGGCGGAGTGGACAACGACGCGCAATTCATCGAGTTAATTGAGGTTGCGGTGGGAAGCTCGTGATGAGCTGCGGCCAGTTTCGGCATCGGTTTTTCTGCCGTTCCGGTGCTGACTCATGTATCTGGGCGGTGCCCCCTTTGATACTTTGGGCTTCTAATGGATTCTCCAAAATCCAAGCTTTGGTTGAGAATTACGTCGGTATAGGAATCTTTTTTGCACTGAAGGATTTAATATGGCACTTATTCCAAGAGAAATCCGTCACATGCATGTTTGTTTTATATAGATTGCTTGCCAGGCATACTTGAATACCGCCTGCTATAGTCCACCATGAGCCGGCTCTACTTACGTCTCATTTTTGATTGTATCAATTTCAAGTTGAACATAAATCATTTCATTAATATTGATTTTCAGATCGCACAAAAATTGGACCAAAGGCTACCTTGAACATATTGATTGGACGTAAGTCATGTATTCAATAGATGTTTATGTAGTATATGAGAACTTGACTTGCACTAGTACTATTGAACATTTGAAGGCCTATTGGTAGCACACTCTGTAAAGTGATCCTGGGCCCATACAGGAATTGTTCGAAATGGAGAGTGCTCTCGGTATACATAAGAGGAGATGAGATGAAGGCCAAATAGGAGAGGGGAGAGAACAGGCGCCTGATCCTGCAGAAGCTCCACATAATAGGAGTAAGAAAGAGACCATATCCCCGCTTGATAAACGCCATATCAGAGTCTAAGCAATGAATCCCAGAGTAAAACCATCCATATTTTCTAAGCTCGATACTAGTGGTCGAGTTGCTTGGTCAAATTTATCACCGAGGCCCTTGGCCATTACCACCTCCGGCCTCGAAAAAGGGGAAATTAGAGGACATGTCTGCCCAATCCCACTCGATTGTCATTGGCATTTGCCATAAGTCTTGAGGTACGAATGGCTGTTGGAAGGGACCACCTATGTTGGGACTAGTAGGTCCATACCCAGGTTGATCGCCGAATGGAACATTCAGCTGGTTGGGGCTCATCATATTTGGGAGACTTTGACCAAGACCAGGCATTCCATGTACATTGCTTGGTAGATCAGTAGGTATGCCGGCGTTGGAAGGCATTGAAGGTTCCGGACCATAGTCGTTGGCACGCGAAGAGGTCGCAGAGGGAGGCTCATTGGTAAACATTGATGGCGAGAAAGGTGTGGAGGCTGGAGGTGCTTCGAAATTGGTGGATGGAGAGGGGGCTGGCTGTGCGTCTTCCTCTTCCCGCTGCGAGGGACCTGAATCATCAGGTGCATTCTTCCGCTTCTTGCGAGAATGAGACTCTTTTTCGGCCTTGTCCAGGACCACCCTCGCAATCCTCTCAAACTCGCCGCAAAGGGAAAGCATTCGTTTAATGCTGCTGTTGGATTCGTCGGAAACCAAAGTAGAAAGGAAGTTGACAACCACGCCCATCAATTTAACGTCGGAGCGCGCACGAGCGTCATTTGGGTTTTGAAGGATATTGGCGAACAGAGTTACTAAAGCGGACACGGGGTAGTATAATATCAACCACACACAAGCAAAATCGCCCTGGGGAATGTATTTGATCAAATTGATCGATGCTCGAGCTGCGCTCACGCAAAGAACGGCCGAAAGAAAGACTCTGGGATTCAATGGACGCGCATTCAATCCTTGGATAGCATAGTTTGATAAGCGGCTGGTCCAGTACCCGTGGTGTACGGACATTCGATGAATCGTTGTCAAACAGTTGTAGTATGCAAAATGCAAAACTGCAACGTGGAGGATGAGCGGGCCATGCGTGGCTTGGATATCATATTCCGGGCGGAAGTCAACTGGGATATTGTCCTTCCAGTCTTCAAGTTCTTTATCAAGCTCGCCGATGGTGTTCAGTAATTCACCATCGGCCTGCCGTGATGCTTTCGCGGAATAGAGTCTCTTGTAAACTTTGCTCTCAATAGTCGCAAATTCACAAAAGGATCTAAAAAGATTGAATTTGCCTTTCCCATCTGCGAGTGGAACGTTGCCCACATTGTCTGGTGGGTCCTCGCTGGGGAGCTCCACATTCATATCGTCATCGTCTTGGACTGGTGGTCGCCCAGACCGGAGACAAATATCCTTATCGAGACAGTATGCGATCCAGAAGACTCTCTTCCGTTGCTCTACCTCCACTAGGTTTAACCCGAAGCCCGAGCCACGTTTATGCAAGCCAATGCTGTGTGACAAGCGAATAGCCGCTGCGACTAAGAAGAAAGCTGGTTGCGGGTTTGGTGTACCTTGTAGGAAAAGGGACATGCCCAGGAGTGCTTGGACACTCAAAAGATCGGTGTTTCGCATTGTCAGCTCAGTCAAAACACCCATTGCGTTCTTCAAGTAGAGCCAAGCTTTCTTGTCTTCTTCATGTGGTACCAAGTTGCTCATCACACGAAGTCGATGGGAGATGGCTAGCACGACGTTGATGCTTGCCCACCATCCAGATCCTTCATAGGGATCGCGAGAGTACTGTTTATCCACCAGATGCATGAACGTTGCTTCGTGATACAACGGGAATATGCAATTGAAATTCTCGAAGAAGTCCTTGAATAACGAAAGAGCTTCTTCCTTCGGTGGCAATGGCTTGAACACTCTTCGTGCAAAGATGTCGCTAAAGATCTCCGGTTTCCAGTACATCCATTTGTTATCGTCCACGTAAGCGGATGAGATCATTTCTTGGAACGAGTTGTCTCCGGTTTTCTCGTTGACCCATTGGATACCCTTAGGAGAAAAGATTGAAAACCCAGATGAAGAGCCTAAATGGAAAATCGTATTAACGCAAATGGTCTTCCGAAATCTATATCATATCTGCATATGCACTGCGCATATTGAAAGAGACCAAACCACATACCAATGTATCGGGTCTCGCCGCAATTATTGGTCACCAATGAACACATCATATCTGATAACGCCTCCACTTCCGTCTCGGATTCTCTTTGTGATTCGGGGGATGTGGCGGCGGTATGTGGACTAGATTGTGAGTCCATGCGGGGAGTGGTATTGTGAGAGGTTGCCGATTGCTGCGCGGCACTCGGGGTTGTAAACTTGTTGCTATTTCTCGCCGCGTTCAAGGCATTTGTTCGATCGGCCAGTCGTTTTTCAAGCGTCCCCAGATCAGTCTTTCCATTGTCGTCCTCGGATAAAAGCCCAGATAGCCGCAATAGTGATTCCATGCGACCCAGGCGGTTTTCTAAGCCTTCGATGTACTTAGCTCTGCACATCGTGTCAGTGTCAGCCTGGGTTCGACATTGAGATGCGAATGGTCGGAATAGCATTTGCTAATTGCTACATACCCTTTGGGGGGGTTCCGCTTCTTCTCCACCTGTGTGAAGATACAATCGGTCTTGTAGTTGATGCAATGTGAACATTTTGGCATTTTTCCGTCGCACTTGATCTTCTTCTTCCTACACATATCGCAAGCCTAACAATGAAAGGTTAGAACCGAAAGTTATATGACATTGTCGGTATAGAAGGTATGATTGCGTACCCGAGCAATGCGGCGTCTCTTTGCGTCGTTCGATTCATCCCCGACACCCATCGTCGAGTCATCAGGGTACATGGATCCTCCCGGCATGGACATTTGCGAACCATCATGAGCATAGCCACCAAATAGTTGTTGTTGCTGGTTCATCATCCTCATATCAAAGCCCATGCCATCGCCATCCCCCAGGCCGTCCATTTTGCCTCTTTCCTTTAGAAGCTCCGCGGGGTGGAGTCAAGAGTAGATGGGCGGTGTTAAGTCGACTGCGGGGTCATACGTTTCGGAGATGTGTTTTATCCGGAGCTTCCCCTGAGGTTGAATATCAGGTGAATACTAGTATGGCCGTTAAAGAATTTGATGACGCATTCAGGGAATACGGGGAACGGTTGGCGCGATTTGGCGCGAATGGAAAAGAAGAAAGGCTTTTTCCTTTCCCTGGCAGAATTCGATCGGATTTAGTAAGAGTTCCCTCCATGCACCTAGGTACGCCACACGATTGATAACAAAGAACAAAGAACACGATTTCTTATGAAAGTTCAATATGTTCAAGAACACATATACCCCCCCCACGCTAAAACCCAATGAGCAAGAAGTGCGTTCTCTTTGCTGCCTTGCAGAACTTCAGGAAGCACCACACGGAGCACGTTAACCCCGATCCCGATGGATTGTGGCGGTGCGGTAAGACCGTAATATCCGCCTATTTCGTCCGTCTTCCCCGACTTTCGGGGTGTATTCTCTCCTATTTGTTGCTTGGATGACCCTCCGATCCTCTCGGACACGATGGAAGTTAATGTACTTTCAACGTCAAATCTATTACCCGGTTTTGCCCTAGTTTGAACCATCCAGGATTATGCTAGACGCTTCCGAATTAGTGGGGTGACTCAGTCTGAGTCGAGTTTAGACTTTGCTGCTGTGTTCTATGGTGACCGCGTGCGGTTCTTGAAGAAGCAGAGATCGACATTCTCATCAAGAATTGGGTAGGATCCTAGTAGTACTTGAGTCTAATGGTAATCTGCATTTACTGGATTGGGAGAAATAAAGTGTATAGTACAGGGTATGTCGAGGGTACTATGGATATAGTATCCATAGTCAACTGGTCCTTACTTACCCCGGCCATGTATCACACGCTAGGAGGTAGGAGAGAACTGAAGATGATCCACAGAAGTCAAAGGTAAGATATATAATACATTTAGGAGTGGCGATCTTGTCAGAGTATACCACAATGGTGCATAAAGTACAAGCAAATCGAAGAACCCGTTCATAGGGAGAACTATCGATCTGATAAAGACCAACCAGATGGTAAAAAAAGATAAACGCCACGCTATGCACTCAACATACAGTCTCCCAGACTACCTGCTCATCGCCACCGGTATAACAATCTTGTATTGACCAAAGGCGATTGAGTCGAACGGAAGGGTCGTATCAGGTCAGACGTGTTTGTCCAGGAACTCCTTGGCCTCGTTGATTTTAGTTGCCAAGTAGGGACTACCGCCACGATCGGGGTGGTTGAGCAGCATGAGTTGACGGTGCTTCTTGCGGACCTTGTCCTTGGTCAAAGTACGTTCACTAAGGTAATGTTAATTTATATCCCAATGCGCATCAAGATTTGGGAGAAACATACGCAAGCTCGAGGATCAGGGAGGCTTCGCGACGGGTCATTCGTTGCTCGAATCCACTGTTTCAAGAGGTTAGCAAATAAGATCAAAGTGAAAGAGTATTGTTCACACGAACCCCTTGTAAAAAGCCTTTCCAGCAGCATTCACACCACCCTGTGAACGGCGATAGGCGACCAGACCGGCACGGCCCTATGGAAAAGAAAAACAGTCAGAATAACTTGATCTAATCACCCATCCTCACATGGTGAAACACAATCTAGAGACATACCAAGAATGCAGCAGTGGCCACACCCAGACCAACAACAAGAGCTGAAGCCATTTTTGTAGATAGATTTGTAGATCGGAATTGAGGGAGTTCAAGTTGGAGATTGAAGGCGAGGAATCGCGGGATTAAAAGTCAGCGCGGCGAGTTCCCAATTAGGTTTAGCGCGGTACCCTCCACGCCGACAAAGCTTCAAAGAAAAAAAAGTTCTGCCGCATATCAGAACTTCAACAAATATCATCCACCAACCACAAATATGCGGTATGTCTGATAACTAAGTTATATACCATATCATTCAAGTCCTAATAAGTTTTTCTATAGTGTGGAAACCTGCCATTTCTGTTCTCGGCCCGCCTTCCCCAGTAAGGGTATCACATTTGTCCGCAATGACGCCCGACAATTCCGTTTCTGTCGGTCAAAGTGCCACAAGAACTTCAAGATGAAGCGTCAACCCCGCAAGTTGAAGTGGACTAAGAGCCACCGTGCCGCCCGTGGAAAGGAGATGATCGTCGACTCCTCTCTGGTTCTGTCCCAGTTCGCCAAGAAGCGCAACGTCCCCGTCAAGTACGACCGCAACCTGGTTGCCGCTACCGTCCAGGCCATGCAGCGTGTGGAGGAGATCCGACAGCGTCGCGAGCGTGTCTTCACCAAGCGCCGTCTGGCCGGCAAGTTGGCTCGCGACCGCCAGCGCGAGGCAGACCGCAAGGTTGTCGCCACTGGCGAGCACCTTATCCGCAAGGAGCTGCGCGAGCGCGAGGAGGGCAAGCCGTTTGTTCTCGACAACAACAAGACTGCCAACCGGGTTCATGGAGAGGACCTCTGGGAGAGTTCGCGCCAGAAGAAGAAGACCCGTATGTTGGTGGATGGTGGTGCCGAGGAGGAGATGCAGATCGACTAAAGGGTTTTCTTTTAATTTTTTCTTCACTATTTTCTTGTTCACAATTTTTTGGTCCTGTGTTCTTCCCTTGGGTCTTCTGGGTTTCATTTGTCATGCTTTGACCGCTACGATACGATCTCCCGGAGTTGGGCTTGCATTTTCATTGTTGTTACGGTGTTTTCCCTCAAAAGCTATCGATATCACCCTGCTTTACATATATCCCACAGATTAGCAGCATGGAGATTCTCTTTACTACTGAATATGAGGGTCCCTATATTGGCATCAATCTATCTGGCTCAGGCTTAGAAAGAATTGTACGATTCATTCCAAGATTGCTTTAATCAATCTAATAGCAGTACATACTAGGCAAGTTTGAGTAATTTTGACCAGGTCTTCTGCCGTGTTCAAGTTCCTAGTGCTCTAGGCCTATCACCCCCACAATCTACCGTGACCCCACTATACAAACACTCAGACCGATATTCAAGTTCAAGTTTAAAGTGAACTTGAAGTGTCTTACAGTTATACCGGATTGTCGCTTTGGATATTGAAGTTTGTATTTCCATGTCTACTACTATTTAAGCCGGCTGACAAGATTCTTATACCTTCATATATTTTCTCTCTCTTAACTATCGATAAACTTTCAGCCTATCTCCCGAATTTCACCAGCGACAGCGACTATATAGCTGTTCAAGGGAGATGCACGGTTTATATCCGAGTCCCAGCATGTAGCAGGTATACTATTCGATCGATCTATCTCACGTTGTCATCAAAAGAGACTCACTTAGGTTGAAGACTTGGCATCCAACTTGCTCTTCGAGCCTTCAGTCCACTGGGTGTGCCAACTTGAACTGCGACTGCAATACTAATAGACACTGCACGCCCTTCCATTTCTCTCTGTGTGCATGCCTCCAAACAAGTCTACTAGAGGAAATCATGTTCCAACAAGTTGGAAGGTCTAATCAACATATTCTTCCCTCTCTGAATATAGCGCGGGACGCGTTACCTTTATTTTATTGTGCTCTTTGGGGCACCTGGGAACTTGACCATCGTTTTGCAGGGAGTAACCATCACGCTCTCATCGCTGTTTTCCAAGGTTGCATAGAACGAAGGTGGGCGCGAGTGAGCCAGTCGGAGGCGTTGAAGATGATGGACGAGCAATTCTTGGAGATATGTGAATTTGCTCCCCATGTCCGTAGGAAATGGCTTACCCGTTTCACTAAGCGAGACGGTCATGCGAGGACCAAGCTCCGATTTCTGCTGGATTGAACATTCCAGTCAAAAATTGAAGGAGCCTCTATACCCAAAGGCCCGTATCGCCAAGGCCAACCCCGATCAGGATCCTCAGCGATCGTCCGACAGGAAGCACAGATTGCCACTCAAAAAACGCAACTCTTTGTTTTCAAAGAACCCGTCACCGCACCTAAAAGCCCGTCTAACCAGCAAAATGGACCACTCCAAACTGAAGCTAAGCCAATCAAGCACCCCCGTCAATCGTGATGATGATGATGAGGATATTCTATTAAACTGATCCATGCAGCCTATTGTACTTACAGTGGCATTAAAAATGTTGGACTTGTACCGCCTTTACCCTCGCCTTCCAGATTAGACCTGGTCAAATCCTACCTGAAGGTTGATATCAAGGGACATTTTTCCAATGGCTTGACAACCCACACTGGGATACAAACCCTCGACAAAGTGAATACAAGACAGCAAACTTCAACTGACAGTGATCAACTCCAGGACTGCACATGTCGTTTCCAAGCAATCCTTCTCGAAACTATGGAGCATTTTCGTAGTTACTGACAGGTCTAGTCAAAGCTGAACGACGGTTCCACCCAGATCAAGGTCAAAGTTACCACCTAGCCAGTTAATCTAAACTTGGAAACGGTCAATTATGGCGCAGGCAGTACTAGGTCGTCACATAGCCGACGCCATTGGCAAATTTCTTGAAGAAAGGGCATCATATGAACAAGTGTCTTCGGAATAAAGAAATCTCACTGCAAACCTCAACATCGAAAGGAAGATTGCCAGTGCTACGTGTTGAAGCAGTCACCAAAATGTTTCAAGTTCTCGGAATCCACGCCATCTACATCTGCTCCGCCTGTGCTAGCCTTGGAAAAAATATGAAAGCTTGCCCTGGAGAGTACATACTTGCACGGGAATACAGCTTCAAGTAAGATCGACAGTTATAGTGCCTGAAAATTGTGCAAAGACAACAAGCTCTCCATTGGCTTCATCAAAGCACATTCATATCCTTGAAACGTCGAATGAGTTTTATCCAACCATGATCAAGGATAGTATTCAGGTCGATTACTCGTATATTTTGGTGCAATCACGCATGTATATTGCTTCTCTAGCTAATGCAAATACACTATGTATTGGAAAGCTGAATCTTCTTGCACGTCTCATTGAACGTCACTACTTCCTAGTTGCAGTCGATATTAGCAGACAGCGACATGAGGCAACAGAACAGTGTTTAATCACCCTACTACCCAAAAAGCAACTGAGTTGGGTTGAGCGTTTCAGGGGGAAGATTAAGAGCTAGCCAAAATAAGAGAAGAGTGGGAGTCAGAGCTAGCTGAAGTTAGAGATAAAGATTACACCCCTTGTGATACTTCCCATGTGTCGATTGCCTAGATTGGACTATCTCACTCCAAGATGCTAACCACCCCAACCAGACTATAATTGAATAACCTTCGGTGACTGCTTGACTAACGATCTTACCTTACCATGTGGGTAGGCTGGTTATCCAACTGGTCTGCCATACCATTCGATGCCAGCAGGCGGGGAAGACGGTGCAACTACACAGTTTGCACAACTGTATTTCCTAGGACTTGAGAGCAAGATGGAACCAGTCATGAGCCCAAATTGACACAGGTGCCCGTATCATGCCGGGGGTGTAAGTTCGCTTGATGCCATATCCAAAGTGTCCGACTGCCCGGCTTCAATGGGTTCTTTACAGAGCACTGTAAAGGGATTAGCACAGGTCAGCGGGCAACCCTTGAAGCGAAGCAACCTGGACGATTGGTCTTCGTCACCGCTTGGAGTTCAGATTGCATTCTTCTCTTTCTTTTTCCTTTCTCAACATCTACCAAGACCATACCCTTCTCGATAAGGCGCTTATTAAATGGACGGCACTCAAGTTTCTCAATCATGAACGCGACATTCATAACTACCGCTACCCCTTATACAACTCCTGTCATACTGCAATCACATTCCCATGTTGTGGACGTAGCAGCGATCACGCCAAAACTCAAGTGGACTGCTTCTATTACGGATCAGGTCCGTTTGCCGGCTTTAAGAGTTTCAGAAATTGGTTCTCGCTCTTCTTGCATGTAAGACAAGCTTGGACTCGATATGTACGACCTTTACGCACTATTGCTCCGTCGAGGTGAGATTTCTCGTGAATAAATTTCGCGAGGCAGAAGATTGACCATAATACCCCCACTGTCTACATCACCAAGTCCAGGTTCGAAACTATTCTCTACAGCACGAGCAGCCAGAATTAGCTCGATTCTACCTGCCTCCTGGGAAGAGCGTGATGTAAATGTACCCTTTTCCTCCGAGTATGACCTCATCTGACCCTTGATGGACTTACTACTAGTAGTACAAAAGACATATCCCGGTAGAACCGCTACCTACGACTCTTGTAATGGCTCCGGGTCTAACAAGCAGGAAGAAGCCCTGCCAAGTACATTGCTACTACCCCCGGTCAAGTTGGCGAAGTGCTTCAAGTGAACTGTCGATGGTTCCTGAAAATTCCTTCGGGTCACAAATCCACCCATATCAAGCACCAAGCTATGGTGCTCGGACCGGCCAGGTTGCAATTCGAGCTTTGGAAGGTATTCTGGATATTTCAGAGAATACCACAAAGCTCTGTTGGATCTAGAACCCGAGATAACTTGGGAAACTCTGTTTAGTTGAAGAACAGTCCTGGAGGAACTGATATAAGAAACCCGTGCGCGTTATGTGTCTAATTGCAGAGGCAATTTTCAGCTCGATTTTCTGTGCGTACTGCCGGCACAAAGAGGACAGACACAACCTACGTCTTTGAACTAGACGATATCCAGTGGAATGGAATTCTTGCTCATTATGTCTTTGGCCACCGGTCTATTACAAGTTACCCAGGCGTACGAACTCGCCATGTGGTCACGGTTCAGAACCAAACATATTCTGCTTATGGCTAAATGCCAGTGGAATACATCATGAAGGAATGTACTCAAGTGCTGTGTCCGCTGATAATTCTCTCACCATCGGCCTGCCTTACCTGTCACATATGCTCATAGTCCGGAGTCCTAATAAGACACAAAAGCATTGCTGGAATACATAGTGGCTCCAAGATGCTGTGAGATCAGATCACGGCCCCTGGTCACAAAATCCAAGCTGAAGAACTTGAACGCGGGTGCAAGGATCTTAGAGAATGAGTGCAACCTTGGGGGTTAATGATTTTCTCGAGAGCTAAACCTTGAAGATGCCCAATCAATCTCTTTTGCGAAAGGGAGGATCACGTTCTGCCGGGACCAGGTGTAGACCACCTGATCCTCCTTAGAAGATGTCACCATTTCTCTCACTCCTACACACACGTTAGTGATGTGACACATCAAACACACATTTCCATCCTCATTTTAGGTCCCCCTATCACGTTACACTCCCCGTAGCCTGATGGCACACTATTCTAGGGCTACCCCTGGTGTCCAGAGTCTCTTCATTTTTGCATACATTGGCCACGGGGAACTCAACTCGGTGGCTATGCAGGCGAAAACGACGTCCTGTTTACCTCAAACAATGACCCAGAGAGAAGAAATCAGCTGGCAAAGATTAAAAATGCAGCTATCTTGTCAGGTTCATATGGATGTCTTACTTTACCTTACTGCATATGAGAGTGACTACTACCTTCTTTTCCCATCATCTTCCATCACTATCTATTGATAGTTTTGTTGAATCATCACTAAATTTCGATACTGTTAGGTCACACGGTGGTCTAAAGATCAGACCAGCACGCCCTGTGTAGATAGATCTCTCTCACGCCTAGTAGAACTCCTTTCCTTCTCCACGCTTCCCATCACATGGTCCATCGCGTACGTAGACGTCGTTCCCTTCCCCCCACAACAGGTTATGACCCCTCACTTCCACTGAGCGACATCACGACATACAAGAAAGACCTCGCCGATCCTAGCGTCACCGGCACGAGTCAACGACTCACAAAAACAAAGAAAACTCGATCTCGAAAAAGTGAGAACAAAATCTCAAAACTCGATCCTCGAGCACCCCACCTCGAAACGACTTAGCAACACACCACTTGCGAACCAACTAGTCAGCTTCAAAGCAACACCAAAGAAAAAATCATGGCGACTGGCACTGGCGATGACCCAGATGGTTGGGGAGAAGAGCTTTTCAGGACTGACCCAGATTGAATACAAGCGGAATTCTTACCAAAAACAACAGTCACGTTCACACGCATGAAACACACACTGCAGAAGAATGGCAAAGTAACCTTCGAAGAATGGGACATGGACCTACGGACCCCGCTGTCCACAGACGGTATCTTAGACCTGATCAGTTCAAAGCTACGCCGCCCTTCAAAGGAGAACACAACAAAGGAGAACACAACAAAGGAGAACACAACAAAGGCCAACAACTGGAGAAAGATGTCAACTGCCACAGCACGCTGGCTCTGGGAGAACATCAGCAAAGACCTACAGAGAAGAATCACAGCTAACGCTTCCCATACATGGTCCATCGCGTACGTACACGTCGTTCTCTTCCCCCACAACAGATACAGATGCTGAGCCAATAGAAAAAGACACTTGGATATGTCGTCGGCGATGTGAAATACAGATCCCGGAAAGAGGCCATAGAGGCAGTCTCCTACCTTCCTCGAGCATTTCAGTATCAAACCCTCGTTCGGCCGAGGAATTATAGGCAGAGTAGTATGAGGCCAGGAAGCTCTGTGATCTCATGGGCACACCATCCAGGCAGCTTCAAAACAATAAATACCAAAAGAAAGCAGACCTTGGGGAAAGGAATTTACTCATGAACCCTGGCAATATGGTACGAGTCGACGGGAGATAGACTCGATCTGCCTACCATGGCGCCTTCTTTACAGCTATTGAGGTTGTGACGTGCCATTTTGAAAACTTGAGAATATTCTAAGTCCACCAATTTGGGTGTTGGCCGAAGCTACTTTACAGTATGATATTGATGATGGAGAGGATGACACCCAAGGAGGCACTTCAAAGTGTCTCAGCGCACAGCAGTTCTTTGCTTATTATCTCTTCAAGCGGCCCGGTGAGTTCAATACCCTACACCATGGAGGCATGTTATATCAACAGCTCCTGGTGGACCAGTATGCAAGTATTGTACAGGCGCGGTTAGAGTGGCTCCGCTTCCACCAGCCTGAGATCCGAGCGGACACATACGCCAACCTGAGAACAGCCATCGATACAGCAACTACGGATGGGGCGACAGGTTCATCAGAATTCGACGAGAGGTTCATCCTCCCAGCGTCATACACCGGCAGTCCAAGTTTCATGTGGAAAATTCGCCAGAACGCATTCGCGATAGCATTTGTCCTTGGTCCATCGGCTCTGTTTATCATGATGACAGGAAACTCCGCGTGGCAGGAGGTTGAAGCTGAAATTGAGGACAGTCAGAAGCCTCTAGACCGGGCAGACATCATCTCATGGGGTTTTCAGCAGAAGAAGCAGCAGCTCTTCCGTGAAATCCAGGAGAAGGAGATCTTCGGGACATGCACTGGTCGTTTCTCAACCATTGAGTATCAGAAGCGTACCTTGACGCATATTCACCTTATGGTTTTTTGGCGAACTATCTGAACTTTGTAACACCTGCATGATGGTTGGGACACGGCTCAAGTTGCGGAAGTTTCTCCACGACTGTCGCTGAAAACAGCGCGTCTAAATGGCTCTCACGGAAAAGGAAACAGATCTAAAGTTTGGCAAATTTGAACCTGGAATCATTCACGAACGAAAGAGGACTTCGCAGGTCAAGCTCCCGCTCCGAAGGCTCAGGCAAACAAAACTCTCGTTTGCGAGAGCGAATCCCTAGTGGCCAGCATTACTGGACCCGTCCCCAGAAGCCGCTGAATGGTAGCCATCAATGGAAGAACAAGCCACGAAATTGGAAAAGACGGACGCCTGGATGGATGTTAGCGAATGACATGGAAATGTGGAAATCAGGAAATGACCGACCGCGCGTCTGATTCATCTACTACTAAAAGTGCTGGGGATGAAACTTTGAACACAGGAACTGTCCATGTTCTCCGAGTAGTATAATTCGAAGATCATGTATCTGCAATAAAGAAACCCGATCAGATTACTTGCAGATGGTACGACATCCGCACGAGATCTGGAAATAGGTCAAATAGATCAAGAGCCCTTTATAAGTGGTCAATGTCGATTTGGAATTCATGCGCTGGGCATAGCAGAGTCGGATATAGCATAAGCTCCGTCCTACAAGAAGGACCCCTGGCAGACTCTCACTCATATTAGTACACAGCTATCAACCTGCATAATGGATCTGCGCAGGAGTTCCCTATCTAGATTGACTGCCGTGTACAGTTCGATCCAAGTAGTCCCCATTTTATCCAGGCAGACTGGTGCTGGGACGCCATGGTTACCTTTTGCGATGGAGGCTGGACAGGACGCCCAGTCGTACTACGACCACTGTCGAATTGATGGACAGATGTTGTTACGTACGTGTGTGAATGCAGAACATCGCCCTCTCAATGAACAAATGTTCACGTTCAGAAAACCTTGCCAGAATTCCGATATTGGAGTCGCTATAGCGAAGTCTGCCAGATCAATACGTTTGCTACCCGAATGTGGAGCAGCGGGGGATTATCAACCTTCGGAGAACCAAGACAACCATTCCATACACTTGGACGAATCCGTGGTCAACACATCGCCGATCGTTGCCAGTCTCATATTAACGCGTGGCTGATCCAGAATCATACTAAATCGGATCGACATGGCTTTCCTTCAAGTTGGTGGACCAGAAAGAAGCTTCAAGTTCTAGCTGAATACGTATATCCATCTCACACACGAGCTTTCCGGGGTTCATGATGCAGAAAATGCTCTATGGTTCTCGCAGGAAATATGTTCAAGAGCATCGGGATAGAATGAGCGTCCTACATCTACACGAGTGTTGTTAAGGACAGCCATGTTATTACTATGAGTGAACTCTATGTCCTATTATGCTTAGTTCGAAGTTCGGGAGCTCCTAAACATGCACTACGATCACCAGAGCAATTATCATGATGTAGAAAGTCAATTACTACATAACAATTCTACCTAACCTTGGGGGCTACCATAACTTTAACATTTGAAGAGATTTCCAATACTACATACAACCTAGAGGAACGCGTAAAGTACGTAGTAGGTACCCATACATGTACTTAAAAAAATAAAGGTGTAGATAATCAGGCACTGTCAGAGGAAGTTGAAGGCATGACTTTCAGGTTCCGGTCTAACCAACTGCTAGTAACAATACTAGTAATACATCCAGATAACCATGCCAGCTGGGGAAGAACTTGAAAGCGCAGAGTTGGGTTATGTACACAGATAGTATATAGAAGATACAAGCTACAAAGCACAAGTTATGGTTTCATGAGGTATATTCATTGTGTCCCGTCCTAGGATCATTGAGAGTACACATGGGGAGAGCGTGAGAGAGCGTAACAGGGCAAGGAAACGATGGAGAGAGTGCACGAGTATCATGGTATAGGATTCGAGGAGTAAAAGGGTGGATATGTTCGAGAAGCGGAAAAAAGAGAACAGGGACAAGGACAAGGACATCTCAGGTAGAGAGGATGGAATCAGACAAACGAGGTAGGGGGGATATGAATGATGATATGCGCCGGCCATTGGGTAAGGCCATTTATAATGTTTCCAGAACAAGAAAGACAGAGAAAACTAGCATGAAGGAAAAGAAGGTAATGGGGAGAAACATGGGGGCCAAGGAGACATGATACATGGGATCTCGGAGGTAAGGTCCCGGAAAATCTTTATAACACGCTGTGAGGAGGAACGTAATCTCTGGAGGTCATCAAGGTTATTTGAAATGAAAACCGACCAGGTTGACTGTGCGTTCCTTCATTATGCAGCATGCAGGTTAAATTTGTAAACAAGGTGTGCCAAAAACGGACAAAAATATAGGAAGATATAGAACGCAAAGGAGAAAACGGAGAAAACGCTCAAGCGCGTAACATTTCATCGTAGAGGTGATTATCGTGTATTAGCCCGAGGATTAGAGCTGTGCCAACGATTGGGTAGGGAGTTGGGGATGGGGGTTTGATGCTAAAAAGGACATGGAGAGTCAAATCCTATTATTCCTCCATGCGGCCGAAAACACCATCGTCATCATCGTACGCGGAAGCTGCGCGATTGTCGAAATCGACATCTGCATTGCGACTGTGACGACGAGGTACAGAGGCCTTGGAGTCACCTCGGGGTCCACGCTCAGCCGACACCTTATATGACAGCGACGGGTTGAGCGAGACGGAGAGGAATAGGTCCGCGTTCGAGTCTCGGCGGTAGGCTTCGCTCATGGGTCCGGACTGGGTCAGAGCGGGGCTGAGGCTGCTACCCGGGTGGCTGCTGGAATCCAGATAACGAGCCGGCAGTGGAGGCACAGGGGGTACGTCCGAGGACATGGAGACTGGCCCTGTGCGGGGAGTTCCAAAGTTGCAGAGTCCAATCGCGGCAGCAAGATCAGCCTCGTCATCCTCGTGCAATCGGGTATCCGCTGTCGAAGGACGGGTGTCAACACTGGATTGACGGAAGTGCGAAAACGCGGGGGAGTGGAGTGGAGCGCTGTCATTGTAGGAGCTGGAGGGAATCGACTGGTAGGAGCGGGAGAAAGCCGAAGCATTGCTGACACTGGGTCGCTTGGTCCAGTTGGCCGGCATACCGGACATCTCGAAATCGTCGTCCTCTTCCTCATCCATCGGGGGTGGGGTGGTCTCGACGGAGCTGAGACCATCTCGCACATCCGAGGAGGCGTCTGGGGAAGCGGAGGAGAATTCGGAGTCGGCCTCGGGGGACTGTTCGGGATCGTCATGGTTCATGGTGACCAGCACCGTAGCAGCCTCCAATAGTTGCACCTGTTGGTGCTTGGAGATGAGTAGTTTCGAGGTAATAGCCCATGCCGGGTCGTGTTCCCACCTAAGGTACCACAAAAACAAAAATACGTCAACTAACTGCCAGCGATAGGGGGGGTAGGTGAATAATGATTTTGAAAAGGGGGAGGGATTTTGAAATGACCACGAGGGCGACCTGCACAGAGCCGACATGGCGCATATTCTCGATCGAGCGAAGAAGGGAGACGGCCGGCATTGGGGGGGATACACACATATGCTTGGACAAGCAACTGCCATGCTTATACCCTTTCCCGCAGCGTTCGCAACGGAGTTCTGCCGGGACACGCTTCCCCTCGGTCTTAGATTGAGCGCCTTCACTAGCACGGCGGTTTCGACCCTTGAGGGATTTAGTGTCATCGTCGGCGTCGGAGTTGCTGGGCGAGGCTTTACGAGCGACCGGCGGTTCCTGACTAGGACTGTTCACACTCCGCGACAAGTATGAACTAAACCCAGACGTGGCCCCGACCGAAGTGGATTCCAACCCCTTACGGCCCCCAAGACTACGGCGATGACCAGACATGGGGAGCGAAGAGGCGGACTCGCCTTCCTTCATTGAGGCGGCGATCGCGGCGGCGGCATTGGCAGCGGCAGTAGTGACACTCTTGCGGCGAGTCACTCGGTGATTAGCATTGACGGCCCCCAGCGAGATTGAGTGGGAATGTTGTCGTTGACTCGGGTTGGGAAGCGGACGTGAGAGGGACAATTCCTGTGCGAACACATGAGCCACATCATCAGTATTGAAACACGACCCGAACAACTCTCCCTCTCAACCCCCCCTCAATTGTCATTTTGCGGAGAAAAGACCAAGTTTCCCCCTCTCTATCCCACAGGGTGAAATCAATGGCATACCTTGAAAGAGGCCATTTTAAAGGACTTTCTGGCAATCGACTGATTTTTTGAAAGCCTTTAGAGTGGTGTATCGGGGTCAATTCCGGGTGGAAGTTGGTAGAAGCGGAGTTGATTCTCGGGTTGCGGGACTGAGTCAATATACCCGTTGTGTGTGTGTGTGTGTGTGTGTGTGTCCGAAGATAGGAGAGAGGTCCGAAGTGTATAGGTAAAGTTGGAACGAAAGAAGTATGTTAGTAGGAAGGTTGGGAAAGTAGAAGAGAGAGTATGAAGAGATTAAGATCCAAGATGGAAAGGAAATTCCATTAGAAAAAAAAAAGATAAAAAAAAAAAAGAAGAGAAAGGAAGGAGAACTGGTACAAGCCATCCGGTATGGTGTGGCCCACCAAAATCGCTCATTGCGCTTTGCGGGGGCTTTTCCCTTTGAGCATGCGGGGGGCGATCTTTTCTTTCGTACCACTTAGGAAACTGGGGCTTTTTTTTACGTATTCTATTTTGTCTTCTGTTTCTTTAATCATGCATGTTTCTTTGAAGGTGTATATTCTATAGCTGTTTTTTAAAAAAGGAGGCTCTATCGATGTTGTGTTGTGTGTGGTGCGTAAGGCCCTGGGGGATGATGCGATAACCATGGCTCCACTTCGCTACTGCGATGCCGGATCTCAGCTCACCCTGACTTGGAATACGGAGATCTCCAGTAGTGCTCCGGATAACACCAGATATCCAGATTGGAGTAAAATCTGATAATGAAAGGGGTCGAGGGAGTCAATGGTTATATAGAGTCCCTAGACAAAACCCCCTCCATTGACCTCCTTTGGGCGTTCCGGGAGTACAGGGCAAAGTTCAGGGTCTCCCGGGTTTGGGATTCCCAGGTACACCCATGGATCAAACCAGGTAGAACAAGAATGGGGAAAGAGGTCGTCTGGCCCCCAGAATCTTTGTTTTTCCAGAAGCGTCAACTTGAATTTGTTGGAAATCAACCTTGGGAAGTCTTAGGCAAAAGCATTCCAAACTGAAGAGTATATCTGTTGCCTGACGATCACCCGCCAGGATCACAGGGACAATGGACAAAATGGAACTGATTTCCTGACAAAACAGCCGGAGAGTACCGAGAGGTATGATTTGATGAGCTGAAGGTACGGAGTTCAAAGTACCAGGAGGTCATAACGTCCATCACGGACTCGTGGGCGATACGCACGAACAGACCCGATCACCTGCATGTATATAGACCGGTCTAGGACATTAAAATGTGGATCCCATGATGTCACCCGTTGAATGGGAACCGGGCAGTGGAACAAGGTGGAAAAGTGGACATTGTATGTTTAGTGTGTTAGTGTGGACACGGGCATGATAGGAGAAGTCACGGGATGAAGTCATTGATCAGGTGACATCCACTTAACAGGATATGAACAAGAGTATACCGGGTACTGATGCTGAATTCTACCATAGATCTCTCAGCTTGGAATGGATAGAATTAACTAATAATTACTATCAATTACTAATTAGTAATGGGGGCAAAATTATTTCTGTTTTCTCACCTGGGATTCCTTTCTATTTTAATTTCCAGCTCTATCGACGATCAGATCCCCTTGGTCGCATCAGCCCGCGCGCTAATGCTGCCCGAGAGGATCATTACTCCGTTCAAGGAGATTTAATTGAATCATTCTATTTTATTTTAATCTTAATACTTGGTCGGACTTCCCCCAATCAATTTGGCCCCTTCACTTACCATGGAAACCTGGCCTTTCTGGCACATTCCCCGGGCTGCATTCCTCCTAGAAACATGGTTTCCTGCGCCTGACAGGGGAGAGTGGCTGATTCCAAGATTGCCGATCTGAGCTGAGCTGAGCTTTGGTGTAAGGGGAAAAAAACAGCCCCGATCCACTATAACAATAGAAAAAGCCATATGCCCCTTGTAATAAATTGTCAGTAAACTAAAATTAAAATTAATGCCAAAAATAAATTATTCTAACAATGAACATGATATGCATCCCTCAATTGCTCAATTACTTTACTTAATTGCCCGATACAAACAATGCAAACACTCCCTGATAAGCCCTCAATTGTAACCCCATAGGCCCACTTCGGTACTCCATATTCCATACATTAGAAAAGCACAAAAAAAAAATAAAAGAGGAGAAGAGAGGGGAAAGGAAACATCCAAAGTTTACCAAGGACAAACCACGGGAACACCAAGACGAAACAGACAAAAGAACCAGGCAGGATCCGAGCAAGGAACAAGGATTCTCACCAATAACAAAGATTCCAGCCACAGGGTTAAAAGGCAACTATTCGAAACAAAGAACAAATCAATATTTACACACGCCATGCTTCAGTCTCGATTGCGCCCTCTTCCCCGCCGTCCCGTCATCCCTGTAGCAGATTCCCAAAACGCTGAATCCTTTTCCGATGAGGAGGCACCAGAAGACCATTTCGAGACTTTCCTCGCTCACCTCTTCCCTGATGACGTCTCCTCGTTTCACGGTGTTCCCGGTGAGCACTTACTTTACTCGTCGCCGCGCTATGGGGATCTAGATATTATGGTCCCTTCCTACCCGGAGAAAACTGAGGGGTCCAATACACTAGACGAGGATAGACAGCTCCAGGCTCATTTCTTGTGGAGTGCGGGGATGATAATTGCTGAGAGTGTGGAGTCTGCGGATGTACCTCAATCAGCACTTGCAGATACGGAAACTGACTCCGAGGATTCGAGTTTGAGAGAGATCTGGAGTGCACGCGGAGAAAGTGTATTGGAATTTGGTGCCGGTATGTACTAGTAATATTTCTTGTTTGTTTGTTTTATACATCTTCAATATCTCAATTGCAATGCAATGTTATTTTTATTTTGAGGTGTCCAATTCAAAACATTCCACTAACAATATCTCCAGGCGCTGCTCTCCCATCCCTAATCTGCGCTCTCGCAAATGCATCATCCATCACCGTAACAGATCATCCTTCCTCGCCATCCCTGTTAGGCGCTGTCAACTTCAACCTAACTCACAACCTACGATCTCGCAAGTGGGAGTCGGTTGGACCTGAAATATCTATCCATCCGCACCAATGGGGTATCCTATCCGATCCCTTCGCCATAGAAAATAAAGCGCGCTTCACTCGCATCATTGCCGCGGATTGTTACTGGATGCCCTTGCAACATGAGAACCTCTGTGAATCACTACAATGGTTCCTAGCGCCGGGTGGAAAAGTCTGGATGACGGCTGGTTTTCATACGGGACGTCCGATTGTGGCGAAATTTTTTGAGACGGCGAAGAAGTATGGATTGGCTGTTCAGTGTATCTGGGAGAGGGATTTGATTGGGGCGGACGGTACTGGTGAGGTTAGACGAGACTGGGTTCCTGTTAGGGAGGATGAGGGTCCTGAGAATCGGAAACGGTGGTGTGTTGTTGCTGTTTTGAAGAGGGAGAATGAGTAAGTACGAGGACTTTGAGAGAGGTTATGCATCATGATTAGCATTGGGGTTCTGCATAGCGGTTGACTTATTTGCATACGAAACTTATGATGATGAAGCATTGACCTATGAACATCCTACACTTCCTACTATAACATTGGATCAATTGATTGCTATGCTAGTTGTACACATCATATTTTACATTCGCTTTCTGCCCAGGTGGCGTTTTCTATTGCCAAGGATCAATCCATCTTCTCCACGTCCTTCTTCGATTCCACTCAAGTGCTACTACTAGTAATAGGACGGACTAGTAGACTCGGACATCTTAGACGCTGGACTAACCGGCTAATAACCCAAGGAATGTGTAATAATCAGGAAAGAAAGAGGTCACAACTCTCAATTGAAAGTACTAAATCTATATACTAAATGTAGATCATGAAGAACCAACAACCCTCTGAAAACACACCGTACAAACACCCTGACCCTCCTGTCCTCCAAATCTAAACCTGGGATACTCAACTCTCCCCCAAACAACCAATCTATCCTCTTCCCCTTCAACAGAGCCCACAGGTCCAGTAAACCACTTCACCAGTTCCTCCTCTGTCCAATTACAGCTCGTGACCATTAAGAACCCGCCTTTCCGTAACAATCTCCGCACAATATCAGGGTACCGTTCACAAACTCGGGTGTCTTTCGCATCTCCCGCTAACGAGATCGCATCAAAAGTTCCCTTATCAAGGACCATATCAAATCCTCCAGTTTGGTATGGGAACCAGGATAACGTCTCCTCGGTATTAGAGATTGAGATTGCAGTTCCAGTAGGAGAGAGCGTAGCTTTTGAAGAGAGGATATCCCATTCCTCGAAGATAATAGGTTGAGGGGAACCACTTTCACCATTCTCATCCTGATTCTCCTCGCCATCTTCAGATTCAGATTCATCCTCAGATTCAGAATCACTTCGATAAGCAGAATGACCTCGTGAACGCTGTAACTCCCTCGCTAACTCAACACTTTGTGCAGAGTAATCCACACCAACCATCATCCCATGAAATCCACCCTTCTTCTGTAGAAGCGCGAGCATACTTCCATTTCCAGTGCCCAGATCAAGGATACTTGGTGCGGTTGAGGGTTTATTCCGTGGTGAAAGAGGGAATGAGCGACGGGTTAGGAAATTAAGGACTTTTTGGGGTGCGTTATGTTCTGAGAACCAGGATGTACCTGGATCGTCTTCGTCGTTTATGTCATCGTCTTCTTCGTCGCTTTCGCCGGCGTTTGTGGAGTCGGCGGTTGGGGTTTCGTTGGAGATGTGGGCTAGAGTACGGGCGTAGTAATTTTCCCAGCTTTTGAATGTTAGTTTTTTGTTTTCTAAATTGGGACGGTATGATTTTGGATCAATTGGATGTTTGGGTGGTGAGTTGTATGTTTTATCTCAAGGTGGGGTGGAGGGGTAATGATGGATATGCAGGCAACTTGAAGATCGGGGACTTGGATTCGGATGCAAAAGATTGGGGAATCGCATTGATACTGACTAGTCTTTGGAGCCTAGCTCACTAGGTGAGAGGTAGACAGGGTGGGCGTCGTCAGCCATTGCGTGAGGTTGTTGGACTTGGAGAAAATTTGCGGATGCGGAGATCTTATCGATTGTGAGTATCCATGGCTCGTTCTTACCCACTTTCTACTCCATACTACATACAACCAGTATAAGATCGATTTACATTGACTACACTGAAAAGATTGAGGTTAAAATAGTCCATTTCTATTAAATTGCGCACAGGGGGTATTTGTCATTCCTTCAATCCGCCATATCCAGTACACCACTTGGTCACGGATGAACGGATCACAAAACATCGAGATAAAAAGAAACAAAAACGAAGGCTTGTCCGAGACAAGAAGTGTCAAAGAGAGTGAAAGAGAAAAAAGCGAAAGTTCTTGTTGGGGATAGCCCAGTCAATACCATAGATATGGTGAAGGGCCAAGTCGTCCTCCGCAATAATATTACATTTATCGGACTCGAAGAAGATAAAGAAGTCTTCTCGAGAAACCATAGGTGTAAGCCATTTGCGTTTTCTTCCGTGACGCCGGAAATGAACAAATGACGCAAGAAACGAAGATATGAAAAAAATGGAAACGGAAATAATAGCGATGGCGACCGACATGTGAAGCTAGGGCGTCACAAGCGGGAGTTGGGTATGATGTTGAAAATGGGGAAATTGTTAAAAAGCGATGAATGCGACAGCAAAGCCCGCTTTGGTCATGGAATCATCAAAACCAGTCAAGGTAAGGGGTATGAGACTGGATCAAGAATATGTTGAGAAAAGATAGCCAAAACGAAGAGGCCAAAAGGTGGAAATGAATGGTCCCTCAAATTAGGGACCATGGAAAGACATGCAAAATGTCAGGGTCGTGGAATCGTTGCAAGCCATCCCTTTGTTCTTCTCTGATTCAGAAGAAAAAAAGGGAAATGGCAATAATATTACAGGAACTCATCAATGTTCCTCATGATCATCCGCTCGCCTCCTGCTGGAGGAGATCGAGGGTCTGCCGTTTCCTCTGCATAGTTCACTGAGCTGGAACGGTCTGCCACTCGATCAATTCGAGTAAACTGAGGTATAACCGGGGGAGGGGACAAGAAACCCGAAGTTCTCGGGGAGAAAAGTCCAACGCCCAAATCAGGGGCATCACGCACATACACATGCGTTTGGACTAGTGGGTCACAGCTGCTCACATTGCGTGGAAATCCTCGTGGACGACCAGGAGCAGGCTCCACAGACTGGAACTTTTGTCTGAATGGTAGAGGACGCGGCGACAAGCTACGCTTAGGCGACCTCGCACCGTTATCACTAGTCTTGGGTCGGGCCGGGCTTGAAGGGGGAAGATTCAATCCACCCATCGAAGGAATCGGCGCCAGGCCGCGGAAAGGAGGCCGAGAAGTCTCTTCCCTCGCAGCTCGCTCTTCACGGAGGAACTGCGGTTCAGAGCTTCTTCGGCCACCTTGAAACCACTCCGCCGGAGCAGGCCGCGAGGATGATCCGCGCTGCAAGTGACCGCGGAAATCCGTGAGCTGATAAATCAGACTCATGTTTGGCCCGACCCATTGACTGCGACTCTTAACCGCTTCGTACATGGAGTTAAAGTCCATGTGACGGTTCTTGTACAGTCCATACGCAATTACCAATGATGCTGATCTACTAGCGCCCAACTGGCAGTGGATCAGAACCTTCTTACCCTGGGAAATTCGCTCATCAATAAGCTCACACAGGGGTAGTAAATCATCCAAAATCTCAGAGTTGTGGTCCCAACCGACATGGAGGTATTCAGGTATCGCGGCGGATTTGGGAGTAGGAAGGGATGGGGTAGGAGTTGCTGATTCAGAGTCTGGCTGGAACTCAAAAGCGGATTTGAAAGATATCTCGGACATAGCGGTCTGAGGATCGTCAAAAGAGAAGCGTTTTGAGGCCATGGATGCGTTGCGCCAGGCGCTCATCACGGTATCATTTCGCTCCTCCTTATCCTTGTTAAAAGGGTTCCGAACTTCCTTGGCCACGTTGATCACTGTATCAAACTTGGATGCCTCCTCGGCGGTCGGTTCCAAATAAAGATAAACACCGGTATCATAGATGAGAATGGGGCCATCGGGATAGCCGCGGTCTTTCTTCTTGGTCGATTCGCGAGAATCAAGGTGGTCATCCTCTTCATCCAGACCGGGGAGAACGCGGTGGCAGATCGTGGGGTCATCATCGGGGATTGAAGCCAGGGAAGTCTTGATATCTTCAGAAAAGGCAGCAGAGAATCGACGCGTGCTTTGGTGTGAGATTGGGCGAGGCAGCTGCATACCACCTTGAGGACCAAAGGAGGGCGAAGCGAACGATGCTAAGGAAGGAGAGGATTCGGCATGACGGAGAGATTGGAGTCCCAGAGATGGAGTCGGGGGTACCAGGTCGGCTCCAGAGAAAGATTGCTTGAACGAAGGAGTTTGAATGGTGAGATTGGCCGGACGACGTCGGTTGCTCTTTTGGGGGATCTGAATTGGAGATGGCGGGGCAGAAAGCCCGTGTGACGACGATGTCTCCACCAAGGGCGCGGTCGCGATAGGAGGTCGAGATTGAGATGGTGGGGGCATTCGCAACGACAAGTTCTTTAAATTACGCGCGCGCCGACCTGGTGAAGGTGGACGCGCCGTTTTTGGTCCTGGAAACAAGCGGGAGTCTGCTGACATGGTCGGTCTAGCAACTTCGAAAGCGTGAGTAGGAGGTGTGAATTTCGGATACGATAAGGGCATTGCCGAGGGGGATTCGGGAGAGGAACTAGGAGAGATATCCCCACCGGAGGGTGAATCAAAGGGAGAGATCGTAGTAGTTGGGGAGGATTCAGTAGAGGCAGAGGCAGAGGAGGAAACACTTTCGCGATGAACGGGAAGTCGCCGCGTAGGAAATTGAGGTGAAGCATGCAAGTGGCAGCCTGATGATTCTTCTTCAAATCGAGGAGGCAGACCACCATAGACGGACATAAATGAAGGAAACGAGTCCAGGAAGGACGGTGGACTTGTTTGTACCGGCATGATTTGGGAGAATATGAGGGGATAATGAAACGCGATTCCCCGTCTTCGTCGAGGCGGTTGAGATGCACGTATCCACGAAACTATAGAAGCATTCGGCTTTTTCTTCTTCTTTTTGCTACCGGCGCAAATTGGGTACTTCAAGGCACAGGGTTATATTCTGCCTTGTCTTTTAAACGGTTAGTTTTGAGGTTTCTTCACTTCTTTAATGACGCAGGTCCAGAATGCAAGGGCTGAGATCAATGATCTGCGATAATGACCACTGCGACGAAACATAGCCAGGCACGAGTCTCATAAGATGAAACAAGAAACAGGGCTGAACCGATAAAGGGGAGAAGATGCAATGAAAAAGCATGGGCGAAATCCAGGTATCGGATGTATAGAGAGAGTGCCTCACATACCAAGTCGCAAGCCACCCGGAAGATCAGTGCCACTTGTGGGTATAGTTGAAAAATATTGGGGAATGTCGAGATGGTTATAAGATGTAATCGACTCGTATGAAGCTATATAAAAGGCGAATGAAGGAATGACCAGAGAATTGAAAGCGAAGAGGATCGAGAGCCCAAAAATTGGGGGCGAGGGGTGTGGATTCGGGGGATTCGGGGGGGATTCCAAGATTCCAAGATTCCAAGATTCCAATGTTCCTCCGGGGAACAAATGTTGAAAGAGAGTGTGTGTGATGTAGTAAAAGTAGGAATTCCCTTTGGAAGAGAAATCAAATAAAATAAAAAGGTCGAGATCAAGAGGGAGATCGTGAAGGAGAGAGAAAAGGAAATATAGGGCAAGAGGGAAGTTTGGACCCTTACTGGTTTTATTTAGATGGGACACTACTATGGGACTACCTATGGTATGGGACTATGGGACTACTCCGTACTCAGTACACGACTTTTTTTTTACCCACCAACACACATGTTGGTCCTGATACATGTTAGAGATGTCCGATTTCAGACGGTAATTACTTCAAGTGGAGTTAGGGGGCGCCGATCCAAGTACTGTGCGTCCACTTCACTCTTACACCAATCATATATCCAATCGTATGGACTGTCACCAATCATTCTCACTTATGGAGCTCTAATTTTAGCCGCCGGGGGCGTTCACTACTACTGCGTCGGCGTCAAATGCACGTAGGTGAGAGGCCCTTCCCCCCATCCCGAAGTGATCAAGCTGCGTGCCCAGGTGAGAATAATCAGTATCTATGTATAGCTCATTACGAGTTGACTTTTCAAATGTTTTTTTTTGATTCTAACTATTACTCTCAGGAACTCTACTCGGTACTCCATAGGTATTCCTTGTGTACTCCCCATTACACTTCACAGTGTCCTCGGTACGGAGTACTCTATACTGAATTTATTGAATTTACTGAATTGCGTGCGAATAGCACACAATTTCTCGTCAAAACACCAAACGAAATCTAACCCGGGTTCCACTCTCAGTCCCACATCGCTCAAAACTCAGCCTTGAGAGTATTTCACAGTTCCAATGTTGACTACCATTGGATCAGATTCCTCCCGAGCTTACCTAGAACAGTTTATCTCTGGTTAGAAAAGTACATTAACCAGAGACTAAGTGGAGAAGGTTAAATCTCGACGATCTTTGTGTGGCGAAGAAAATTCCAGTAAACTCCCGAAAAGAAAACAAAACAAAACCGGAATTGAAGGACGGGAGAAAAGGTGGAGATCAACTGCGTGTCGGGGGCGCAGGGCTCTTTGATTCAAGAAATTCCAAATTCGGTCCTATCCGACCCGTCGAAAGTGCACGGTTCTCTGTTCACACGGGTGAACGGTGGGCAGATGAAGTTGGGAACCATGGATGAAGGTTATGATCATACCCAGAGATGGTCATGATTAGTGTGATACTATGAGTATTCCTGTCAACACTGTCACTGTCACTGTCAACTCAGTCCACTCACACTTGAATAGATTCATGTGCACCATTGGAAACATTATGTCTTCCAGGCTGACTGTCTAATTCATTGCATCTGAAACCCCGCAGGCCAGAGGATCTCACCAGATTCTGAAACACACCAGACTTACACTAGTCTACGCTAGTGTCTCCTGAGTGGAGTCTTCCTTACACGGAGTATATCCGGGACGATCACTTGCTCAGCTGGTTTCCTCCACATTTTGACAATGACTTCATTCCAGAGCCTCCGAAAGGGAGAGACAAACCCCCATTGCACATCAATATTCAATAGTTCAAGCCTTAAATTCAATAGTTGGGAGATCATTGAATCTCAAGGACAATCAATAGATCGGGGAAACAAAAGAACAAGGAAGAAACAGGTAGTGATCAACCTGGAATTCCATTTCCCACGTGGAATTTCGCTCTGAAACTTGGTCCGTTCCAACATTTGAAGGATTCAAAAGTGGTCCCTACATGAAATATCCATGAGAAATTTGGGAAATTTGGCACTACAAGTGATGAAGAAGATCTGCACTCATGTCACGGTGCTGGAGAACAATCTCACTGCAGATAATGTATACACTCTGTACTCCGTGTACTTGAGTACATAGAAAAAGCCACTACAAAGTGTACTTCTCCGTACAGGGTACTTCGGAGTACATATTCTCATGAAATTAGGTCTCATCCTGGAGGATTTTATGTATTTTTAATGTTACTAAATCAGTTCAGGATTCACTATCAACAATTTTGAATCATGTTAATCTTCAAATATTCAAGTTCCCCCCAGGTTCTAGTTCTAATGTTAGTTTCAGACACTATGTATCAAGTAAATTGACACGGAGTACAGACTTCAGTTCCTGCCGCATGAACGCAACCTGTTTCATCAACCTTCTAAAAATAAGTGGTCACGGCTGACGTTGACTCCTGGTTTCGTGTCCGTTTCGGCTGATTTATTTCATCTTGTTGGCTTGGCTTCGTTGTATTTATTTATTGGCCAAAAAACAGCCGCTGGAACAGGGGGTTCTCTGGCCAACCATCGTTGCCATCGTGAGTATCTCAGCTGTGTATCATATTTACTCGGCTATGGAGAACTTGAACACTCGATCCATATCTCTTGAAGCACTCCAATTTTAATATATCACTCTATCTCCAGGGCTGTCAGTGGATGTCGTTCACTCATCCCGTGGTTCTGTTTATATTGGTACATCGTACCGAGTCCCCACCTCTACTCATCGGGGTAAGGCTGTTTCAGCAAGCGACGCCTTAACCATCTATTCCGACTCGACTTCCCGCAATAACAAACAGTGGAAAATATTGATCTAGGGAGACTGGGAAATCACTATCCAAATGTCCACTCTTACCCTGAGTCTTGTGCCGACGCCACTGCACATGTAGACAGAGCCACATCCTTGACTAAGAGTCCCAGAACCGCCACAGTCATTACTGGTAGCTGAAACAAGCTCCATCATGCGAATCCAATCTCCAGCTCTAGATTGTTGTGGCGTCTTCATTTTACAAATTGAAGCTATCCATCTACTGCCGAATAATCTCCGGTGGCAACCAATCGATGGCAGTGTTGAACACTGAGTACATCTCACAACCTCCATCACGATGGAGTCGCATCGGGGACCCTTCCACTTTTCCCTCCTCGGTGACCATTCAGTTCCTCAACAGATCTCTCAAGAATCTTGATCTCCACCAGCTGCAGGGTAAACCTCCTCCAGGGCTTTCTTACTGGATCTACCGTGAATTCCTGGGGACACCACGTGGAAAAGGAATCCACTCAGGAAGAAGCCGGAGCTAAGAGATTTCAAGTTGAGTCTTTTCAAGCTTCGAGTGTTCTATGTTGATTATACAGGATCCATATTAATGTGGCCCGTTTGAAGTTATTCCATGGATCGATACTATGGTTCCATGGGTCCCTTATTTTGCTGGGAACGAGAGAGAAAAAAACATTCAGGTTGACAGATCAGTGAGTTCAACGGTTTAACATGAAAATTTAGCTTTGAATAGTCTGATAATATTACATATAACAGATCACTCGAACCCGGATATCAGTATCAACTATACTCCAAGTTAGGGCTGTTTATTTACCCCAGTACTCCGTATACTCCGTATATCCATCTCATTCGGGTTGAACTCGGACTCGGAGTTCACTCACTTAACATTCAAATGTTTGACATAAATAAATATTCCGAATAAATCGATCTGTCATAATCAATTCAGAACAATTAAAATGAGAGGATCCACGTCAAACGGGTCTCGTCCACAACAAAATTTTCAAATTCCCAGCCACTCTATATCTCTGGGTCCATATGGGGGCCTGTTCTGGATTGTGTGTAAATAATCTTGAGCACTGGTAATATTATCAAAACAACTGAAATTTTAATTCTCGATCTGGATCTTTTTTTTTGAGTCCCAATATTCAATCCTAGAATTATCTGCAGTGATCCACGATCATCATGCATACATATGCGTGACTTCATATGCGTGACTTCCAGTCTTAAGCGGTGACCCGATATCAATCACACACAGGATATGGTCACTCTTCACCATGACTATCACCAAGGAAAGAGTGACCTGGTGTGCTAGTCTAGACTTAGACCGTCCCGAATTTTCGACTAGCACAGAGCCATCTCTGCAGAAACCCGTCACCTTTAAGCCCATCAACCCAGTCAGGCTTGGAGGCCCCACCGCTACCACTCGTGAAACGCCCGGCGGCCCTGCTCCTGACACTCTGACCCCCAGGGGATTGCACCGGTCCCGTCGATCTGTTCCAAGCTTTCTTCCCAGCCTCCAAACCCAGGTGAAGCGTCATTCCGATCCTAGTGAAGGCCTTCTTTCAGAGTCCAATGTCGCGGAGCGACCATACCAAGATCTCCCTTCCGCGCTCCGCCCTGATGTAAACAGCATCATGCCATCGAGCGTGGCATACTCCGAAATACGAACGCTGCCCAGCGGTCATGGTCGCAGCTTGAATGCTGCCCCCCTTTCAGCGCTGAGTCGACCTCAGGGAAGATGGACGAGGGCCGACCGAGAAATGATGATATCTTCTTAAACATTGCAAAGACTGATTTGGATCGCCGGGAGTCATTGGGTCGGGCAGACTTTAAAAGGGTGAGTCCAAGTAGTCTTCTCCAAACGCTACAAACAGTGAAACATGGTCGCGATCTTGCTCAGGGACCATGGCGCGCGGTTCAGTCGGGGAAACCTCTGCTGGAGACCGTCTCCAACTTGCTGCAAGTGGACATGACAAAACTAACAATAATCATTTGAAATAGTCGCGACTTAGCTATTCAAATGGAAGTTTACGGTCGCCAGCCACTCGCGAGGTGTCCGAGTCAACCCCTTCCCCAGACCATCGCCCGAATAATGTGGAAAGCCCCTTGCTTTCCCAAAATGGCTCCTCTACGCTCCCATACAGTTATTCGCCAGCCGCCTCGGCTCATCCGTTGGATGAATCGTCTCGTTTCCGCTATTCAGGCTTGAACTCCGGTGCGCGATCTACAATTGGCGCTCCTAGGAGCAGACTCAGTCGCGCCAGTCCAGAGACATCTCCCCGGTCACCTGCCATAAGCGGCGAATATAGAGAGCGCCGAGCATCTCTACACGAATCACGCCTACATCGCAGCTCTGGATTATCTACGGTCAGGGGTAGCCGGCAGCCATCCACCTCAGAAGACACAGAACGCGCTCGCGGCGATACGGAAAAGCCACGGGCAGACGGAACTGAGTCCACTCTATCAACCACAGCGCCATCTACAGTCTGGGACGAATTAGACGACCTGAAATCGCGCATTCGAAAACTTGAATTAACTGGAAAATTACCCCCATCATCTCAAGCCGCAATCTCGGGCGTAGCCAACGAAAGACCTCGTACTGCAGCTACTACCATCACAGCCATGTCTACTTCACCCAGACACCACCGCAAAGCCAGCAGCCCATCTGCAGAGACCGAGAATACTGTACAGAGCCAGGTGCATCCTCTTCTGCAGTCGGCATTGGCTAAGGCCAAGGCTGTAATGAGTAGTGACGTGTACAGCGCCCTAGAGGTGACGATCACGGATGCTTTGGCTCTTTCTACCATGTTGGGCGTCAATACAGCTCCGTCAGGCTCCGTCTCCGTCGTGAATGGAGGGTACACTTCGCCTGAGCGGTATGCGCGCCGCAAGGCCGATAGTGTGTGTCGCAGCCTGACTGAACTTTGCCTGGCTTTGACAGATGAAGAGCTCAAGAAAAGCCGGTCAACCTCTAGCGACGGCCCGGCACCCCAGTCGCAGCGGGCGACCAATGGCAAGAGCGAGACAGAATTGCTGATGCCAACACCTTCATACCAACGAGCTACCAGTCAGGAACCTGAAATTCTTGCGCTGCGCCAAAGCACTGGCCGTATTCCGAGTCGCCTGGACGCTCGTGGAGCATCTGTGGCCCATCCGAGTCCCGGGTCTACCATTGAATCTAAACCAGCCCAGTCACCCGACTTATCCACCCCGCCAAGCCGTCTTCACCGCATCTCGACTTCTCTGCGCAATCGCAGAATGCCAGCTGAAGAGGATGGCGCGCAGACCGCAAATCCGAATAGCCGCTCATTCTCGCGCGCTATGACCGAGATCGGTACACCAAGTCCTGCTCAAAATCCATCTCCGCGACATCGGTTGTCTTTTGGCCAATCAACAGCTCGCTCTATCTCTGGAGTTCAGCAAGACCAGGGCTTGGGACTCAGCCCTCGTTCTCCCCAATACACCCCATCCACCCCTACTCAGCCGCCTGCGTCGCAAGCGCAATCTCTATCACGAACACCCTCAAATTTATCCCAGAGTGGGATTCCATTCCGTCGAAGCTATATGACACCTGGTGTTTACTCTCCCGCCACTTCACGCTCTAATATTCAAGCTGGATCCCGCCGATATGGTCTTTCGCCAAATTTATCTAACAACACACCGGGCTCTGGACCAGAGGAACCCCCCGCGGTCTTCCCAGCTAGAGCCTTCTCAAACTCGTATCAGTGTTCCATCGAGCAAGAGTGTCACTAGCTACACACCCATCCAACAAACACGCCTCCGTACCAACAGCCTGGGAAGTAGGAGGTTCGCTCTGAGACGTCGTTCCGCTGCCGTTCCCGACGATATGGTCAATCTGGACGACAGTATTGACTAAGCTTCCATCGCCTCTTTTTTGATTATTCTGCATCTTTTGATCGTGCTACTCTTGCCAACGACTTCATTCTGTACCGCTCATCTCTTCGATACTTTTTTACGCAGCGACCTCGCATATGATTGTTTTCATCCGGAAGGCTCAATTTTACAATTTCAGCTCGGCGTTACTCTTTTATTCCTAGACGCTTGCTTTCCTGTTTATGCATATGGAATGAGTCTGGAGTCCTTTGTTGCATTCAGTCCTCAGCACGACCTTTTTCCATTTTGATGATGCATTGTGACGATTTTCCTCTGTCTGATGAAAATATCCCTGGTATATGAGACATTCATTGACCAGGGATGGTCCTATTTTTCTTCCTGTCTATGTTTCTTTTTCTTTTTTCTATCTCGAGTGTTTCTACACTTACTCGACGGAGGGATCTTCGGCCATGAAGTCGTGGCTCAAGGAGTTCCATTGATCCTTGTACAAAACTAACCATCACAACCGGCGTCTTTTCCACTCTGTTTCTGCATGTGTACATCTTTTTATCTGCCCTGGTCTTCAACTCTTTACGTGACCGAGGTATTTCTTGTGTTTAGTGTCTTTTCATTTGATGTGAAGCGTAATACGCTTATATGGTATGAGGTTGATGAATGAATGATACTTGAATTATGCATATTTATAAGCCTTGGCCTGCTATTTTCCTGATAGATTTACGTTCGTATGTTAACTTGAAGACTGTTGGACTTGAAGCACTCTCAAGATTAGCACTTGAGTTCTCAATGTGTCTAGCAAGCATTGAATCCTTTTACACCAGGGGCTCATTTACAATAGCGACCTCGGGGTCATTTTTTGAGAGCATTCAAATGAGAATATTGAATTCATAGTCCTCAATTGATCCTTAACTTACCCTTGGCCTTGTAGTTCCGAGTTCCGAGTTCCGAGTCAGATGCCGCAGGTGGGCTCCAGTGGTTGTAATACAGATTAGCTGATGTGCAGATTGTGCTTACTGCAGTATAAAGAACTGTCTCTCAGCACGCATACCTACAAGTCCGACTTCCACCGTTCAACTTGAAATCGTCCAAGCATAGATTTAATCCATGCCAGTGTTGAATTAAGATACTATCAATTGATATCTCTAGTCAACTGGTTTCACCCCGCGCTTTAGTTTGACCGCCTTACCCACCGCCAATATCTGCCACCCCCACTTAGTCATTTTCTTTTCCCCTCCTCAGTTTTTAGAACTGAGTCACCGTCCAGTTTTTTTTTTGCATCAAAGTCGCCTTCGAGGCCAAAAATACACCCGTCTTCACAATGGATTCCTCCGCGCAGGCCCGTTTCGATCTCATTAATGACAACCTCGCCGAGGTTCTCAATCCCGAGTTGATTGAGAGCATTCTCAAGGAGAATAGATCCCCGCGCATCTACTGGGGTAAATGACTATCTTAACCCTTTCTATAAGATAATTGCATGCTAACCATAAAATCTTTCTATAGGGACCGCTACTACTGGGTATGCTTTTACTCCGACATTCATCTCAGCGTATTTTCTACCTATTCCTCGGAACATAATTAACTGAGCCTCTTTTAGCCGTCCCCACCTGGGATACTTCGTCCCAGCAATTAAAATTTCCCAACTCCTCGCTGCAGGATGTGAAGTCGTCGTTCTCCTCGCCGATGTTCACGCTTTCCTGGACTCCATGAAGGCTCCTCTCGAACTCGTCGAGAACCGTGTCGAGTACTACCGCAAGATTATCAAGGCCATGCTCGAGGCCGTCGGTGTTTCCACTGAGAAGTTGCAGTTCGTTCTCGGTAGCTCTTACCAGCGTAACTCTGACTACGTTATGGATGTTTACCGTCTCGCTGCTTTGACCTCCGAGCACGATGCTCGTAAGGCTGGTGCTGAGATCGTTAAGCAGTCTAACAATGCTCCTCTCAGTGGTCTGCTCTACCCTATTCTGCAGGTCCTCGATGAGGAGTACCTTAAGGTTGATGCTGAGCTGGGTGGTGTTGATCAGCGCAAGCTCTTCACTGCTGCGACTGAGTGGCTTCCTAAGCTTGGATATCGCAAGGTATGGTTATCCTAAACCGCATATAGTTCTATTGGACATGCGCTAACGGGTCTATTTCGATATAGCGTGCTCACTTGATCACCCCCATGATTGCTGGACTTTCTGGTGGTAAAATGAGCTCCAGTGTTCAAGGTACGCCCAGAAATCTTTGTCTTATCTTGAATAACCGGCTAACTTGAAACAGACAGCAAGATTGACCTCCTCGACGCTCCCGAGGCTATCTCTAAGAAGATCCGCAAGGCCGAGGCCGCCCCTAAAATCCTTGAAAACAACGGCATCATCGCCCTGGTTGAATTCGTCTTGCTCCCTGCGGCCGGTCTTAAGGGCAAGAAGGAGTTCATTGTTGAGCGCCGCGATGCCGAGCCTCTAGTTTACACTGATATCCAACAAGTCAAGGAAGATTATGTAAATGATGTGGTATGTACTCCAAGACTCAATCAACCCATACAGAAAACGAAAGAAAGGCAGCTCACTAATGATACTTTCTAGTTGACACCCCAAAACCTGAAGCCCGCCGTCGCCGCTGGTCTCACTGCCCTCATGAAACCAATCTACGATGCCTTTGCCGCCTCCACAGAGTGGCAAGAAATCGAAGCTAAGGCTTACCCTCCCCCACCTAAGAAGGAGAAGAAGGTCAAGAATAAGGGCTCTCGTTACCCTGGAGCTGATGGAGAGGCTGAGATCGCTGAGCGCCCTAAGGCTTAAGTCATGAGATTAACTGAAACCTAGGTGTTTGTGTGAGATATGAAGGCTCTTATACCCCCTTCTATCATGATATTGCATGTAGTTAGGCCGTTTACATACATTTGGGCTGTCCATATTATTTCTGTTCTAAACTTGTATACTCAGTGCTACATAGGAGTCTATCGTAGAACGAACTTTGCAACATTTGAAATCCTGACACTAAGCCCTGAAATTCGCGATTATATTTCAAGTTCTAGTAGGAGTATCATGATATTGGAAGCATACAGTAACCAGTGAGCTCTATCCTGGTCAGGTTTACTGTCTTATATTACAATAGAAATGACCATATCATATGCCTATCCGCGGCAGGGAGGTATCGTCTTTTGAGTATTTAGTGTTAAACTCTGGATATGTTGTGACAGTCCCAGTCACATTGGAGGCCGTAAGATATCGAGCGGGGAGAATCAAAGGAGCAAATGAAGATAAACATAGAAGGGGACGGTTCAAAGAATTAGGAGAGAGAGCAGGTAAGGTGGAAAACGATTTTTTTTTCAGGGTTTCAGGTCGAGTTTTGAGGAAGATCAAGAGAGACGCGGAGAAGGACAAGGGGATGTAAAGGTACCGGAAATTGAAATTAGGACAGGAGGACAGAAAAGGATGACAGGAGTCAGGCGGGGAAAGGTATCCATGATCCTTGTAGATGGTTTGATCTTTAGGGGGGATGAGGAAAATGAGGTAGGTAAAACAGGTAGAGACTGGGAGGGGAAGAAACATTCAAAGAAAAGAAAAGAAAAAGCATGCTATAATAGTCGAAGCGGGTGGGAGTAGAGTAGGATTTTTGACGAAATGCATGCTGTATGTCTGGAATGAGATGCGATACCATTAGGGGGCCGTGTTAGAAATATCGGAATCGATATAACATGAGGCTCCTCTCAAGGCATAACAAATCGAACCCCACGAGGAGTCATCCAACGTGTAGAAACCATCCATTGCAGCAAGCTTTTCCCTTGTGAATAGAAGCAATGATAGGGAAGAAAGAAGAAGATAAGATATCGCAAGGAGTAACGGGAATAAAGAAAAGCAAGAAAAAAAGAAGAAATGAAACGCGCTTGCACATGACCGCCGCTGATCATGACCGACAGTCTCTTGAAATCATTAAGGTTCAAAGAAACAAAAGGAACCGTATGGCATGGCGGCTCCATCAGACTCCCTGCCAGGGTCCATGAGCAGAAGATTTTTTTTTTCTTGTTTTGTTTAGGTGTTTTTGATGTCTTTACTCCTGGGGTAACTGGCTGCGGCGACCCTTCTCAACCTCAAGGTTCTCGTAAAGAAGATACAAGGCCTTCTCGTTGGCCAGGGCACTGCCCATAATGGTGAACATGCGCTCACCAGTGTCATCATGAGGAGCCTTGGCAATCGAGATGCGGGCTCCAGAGCTCCGGCGAATTTCAGTAATCTTGGTTCCACCCCGACCGATAATGCAGCCTACCATGTCGGCAGGGATGCTGATGTTCTGAGTTTGGATATCTTCGCCATCCTCTGTGGTGAGGGGAAATCCACGACCACCACTGGCATCAGAGCTGGAGCGACGGTTGTAGCCACTGTTGTCGCTGAAGTCAGCTCCATTGCCGGTGCGGTTGTACTGGCGGTTGGAATAGCCATTACCACCGCCCACGGGGTTGCCATTGTTTCCAGTGTTGTTGCTGAGCGGCTGTGAGTTGGTAGACGAGCGAACAGCGGGGTTGTAGAGCACAGTGCCAGTGCCACGCTGCCAGTCATCAATCAGGCACTTTCCGATCTCCCAGGTAGCCTTCTCGATGCCCTCGGGGGCGCCCTGCACCTCCACAATACGCTCTGTAGATTGGGGGAGCATCTCCTTCTGAGCAACCATGCGCACACCCGAAACATCTTGAATGTGCTTAATTTTCAGGCCCTGGCGTCCAATGATGGTGCCCATCTGGTTGTGCGAGATGAGAAGTCGCACAGCTGAAGATATAGTGATTAGCGCTCTTGCTTTGTAAAATAATGCGCAAATTCAAAACACCTTCGGTAGGTTCTGCACAGACAAAATAGCCTGTGATCACTTTCCAAAGCCAACTTCCCGAAGGCAGATGTATGAATCGAAATCATTAAAGAATTATGACAAGTACTCACGGTGGGCTCCATTGTTGGAGACAATACCGCCCATGCCCATCTGCGGGGCACCTTCCAAAAGACCCTTGGTAACGATCGCATAGGCACGGGCAACGCCTTGAAGAGGACCAGTAACGGTCAGGACTCGGTCGTGCACACCAGGAACGACCTTGCTCACACCAGCCTTAACGCCGGTCTCATCGCGCAAGTCGGCAACATTCTTGCCAGCTTTGCCGATGATCACGCCGGCCTCCTTGGAAGAGACAATAGCACGCAGAGTCACCATAGACTGCGCGTACTCTTCCTCGGACTTAGGAGTGGCGTCAATGTCGCCCTCGGGGATAGCATCGTTGAAGGCGTCAGTCATAGTTTCGTCAACCACGGTTTGGTGAACCTCAGTAACATCCATAGTGTCCATTGTTTCGGGCAGAGATAGGTGAAGCTGCGGTAGTAGGATAGAGGTGGTTCAGAGAATGAAATGAGAGGGTTCGACTAAAGTCACACGGTCGCGGCGGAGTAGATGAGGGGAATTCACTAAGTAACACCATGGTCAGATTTTTGTCAGGTTCCAAAAATGGAGGCGCATATCATGAGTTATTCTGCGCGATCATTTGATGCCTTTTCTAGTGGGCTATCATGGGGTAAACGAGTTGGGGGACATGGATGGGTAACATACCGATGAGGGACCAAGATCGAAGTGGAGAATTCAGCGGAGGAGGGGGGTAAGTGAGTAGGAGAGGCGGGGATTAAGAGGGCGGGAGGGGCGTAACGGAGAAGAGGGGAAGGAGAAAGTAGAGGGGAAAGGGGAAGAGATAGAAGGTGAGGACAAGAGAGGAGGAGTTGGAGAGGTTGGAGGGGAATGTCGTTGAAAGAGTTAAAAGAGGGAATGTGGTGAGTTTAGCGGAGACCAGTTGACACCAGTGCCAATTGACCCGCTTTGTACTAGTATGCACCCTGCACTTAGCAACGTCATCCTCATATTAATTCAAATGGAGAGAGATACCTGAGGCAATTTTCTAGTTCTGATCGATATTGAAAGGTATTATTCTTTAGATTACTTCACTATTCACATCGATGAAGGCATTTGCTTGTCTGGACACGTGACCATGAGGTTGGACTAGTTGAGATCTATCAACTTGTTCTACTGAGAGATGAGTTGTGAGTTTCTGGACTATATTACTATATGACAATAGTTTCTTTCATATATAGACTCATATGAAGTATTCCTATAAATAGTGCTATTCTAGGCAGTATGCAGAATACAAATGTCAAAGTACTCGAAATTGAATAGGCTTATTAATCAATGAGGTCATAGCTCTATACCTGGGTATACTATAGTCTATAGAACATTCGATATTCAAACTCACAGTAGAGTAGATATCCTACTATTTAGATGAGCATTCATAGATACTGTCAATTATCAGTAACTAGAGCTCCAACTAAGAGTATGACTTGATATCTACTAGGTGATGAAAGTCGACAACTCAAGCGCTAGCACACATATGCATGCACACGTATAGTACCTAGGTATTTAGTGGACTTGATGCCACGGCCCACTACTGCCAGTGATAGTGCTTTCGCTTTGCAATTTGAAGAACAAGTACTTGCTCAAAGGTAGTCAACCCTTGATTGGTCATTGCAAGTTCAAATTTTCTATTCTAATTCAAATGTTCATCTGAGTCCATGTGCATTCAAAGGAAATTTTAAGGTCCACATGAAACATACTAGTCATAACTTCAAACCCTCGGTCACACTGCACCAAACCCATCACAACAAACCCCATAAGCCTCCGGGTATCCTCCTAAAATCTAGCTCAAGTCTTGGAATAAAATCTTGGAATAAAGTCTTGGAATATTTTTCATGTGTCAAAATTTTGAAATCACTGATCAGGCAAGAAGATGACCTTCTGCACCTTCATGGCGTTGAACAGCTCGTACGCCTCTACAGCTTGCGACAGCGGCATCATCTTCTCGGTCATGAACCTAGTAAAATTGATAAATTAGTAACGATTCAAGCTTCTCCAAATATAAGACTACATACCCAAGCTTGTGCTGGTTCTTCTTCAGAACCTCCAATGCCTGAGGAGCAACCGAACGAACGGGGCATCGGCCCATCTGCACAGTCAAGTTCTTGTTGTAGGCATCGCATCCATCCCAAGGAATCTGTTTTGATCAGTAACCACACATGAAAATCAGAGCTTAGATATCAATAATCTTACCTCAGCATTGTGAACTCCAACACTGCTGATAGTACCCCAAGGTCTCAACAAATCATACGCAGTTCGAAGCGCAGGACTCAATCCAACAACCTCAATAACAGCATCCGCTCCACGACCATCAGTCAATTCCAGAACACGCTTATCCAGACCCTCACGATCAGTCATGAAGTTCCAAGGCTCAGCACCAAGGGACTTGGCAAGCTCCAATCTCGAGGGCACGGAGTCGACAGCCAAAACATGCTTAGGCTTGAACTCTAATGCGTTGATCAGCGCACAAAGACCAACGGGTCCACAGCCGATCACAACAACTGTCTGTTCAGCGATCTGCTCGGGAGTAGAGCTCTTGAATGCGTTGTACGAGGCGAAGTAACCAGTTGGGAAGATATCACCCATCAGCACCAGGTACTTGTCGTCAACTCCCTCGGGGGCCTTCATGGCGGAGCCCTCAGCATTGGGGACACGGATCTGAGAATATTAGATTGAGATCTTTGTAGAGATAGCTATAATGAAACATACGTATTGGGCTTGACCACCGTTCAGAGCTTCGCATCCGAAGAGGGTGCTCTTTTCACAGCGTGAAGAGAATCCTTGCTTGCAGTAAAAGCAATGGCCACTGTCTTAATGTTAGTTTTATTTTATACACTGTTGAGATCAATCCATAACCAGACAGATAGATCTGCTTATGAAACATGAACATACCAGGATGTAGTAAAGGCACTGACGATACGGTCACCCTTCTGGAAGCTCTTAACAGCACTACCCAGCTCCACAATCTCTCCCACGAACTCGTGGCCCATAATGAAGCCAGGGGCAGCAGGCTCAGTACCACGGTATGTGTGTAAGTCACTGAATCAAGGTGTTAGCAAGGGTCCATTCAAAATACCCCGCTATCAGATCTAGATTAGATCTTATGATAAAACTCACCTTCCACAAAGCGCGGTGTACACAACCTTAATCACAACATCCTCTGGATCCTGCACAGTAGGAATAGGTCTCTGCTCAACGGCAACCTTGTACGGCTCGTGGAAAACCACAGCCTGCATCATACCGGGGGCAGCCATTATAGAGGGATTGAGATAAAGTGATGACGCTGTATAGCTTGAGCCTTGAGCTGTAAAGATTGACTTAATATCCGGGATATTAAATATTCCGGAATCAGTTGCGTCTGGGGAGAAGCTTGAGGTAGAACACTGGTGTAATTGGAATCCGGAGCTTTGCTGGTTCCGAGTGGTCTTTTATGTCACAGAAATTGCTGAATTTGCGGGTCCATTCACGGCTTTCTGTGCGGGTGCGGGTGGTGGCACTGGTGGGTCTTCTGTTCTTGGTTCTTGGACGGCGCGGTTAATGAAGTTGTCATGCAGAAGAGTTTATAATTGACAAAAATTAGAATTAGAGTTGAATTAGGGAGATATGAGTCCGCAATTTGTGGTTGTCTTGTAGGGGTGGGCATGGCGCATTGATATCATCGATTCTTCGAGACAATAGAATATACCTAGTTAATCTTCTATTACGATACGATTCAAGATATCTGAGAAGTGATTTCATATTGTTGAGTAGAATATCAAGAGAAGCTAGAATATGAAATGCAAAAACCGTAGCTTGCATAGGATGCATGTAGTAAAATCGCATGCGCCCAGAGCCTGCTCTGAAGAGACTCGCTCATTCTTTGACTCAAGTAAAAGTAACCGTGGTAAACTCATGTGCTCCACGCAACGCCAGTCGAAAACACCGAGGCTGGAAATTCAAGAGCAAGGCCGTAAAAAGAATAAAAGGGCTGAAGATCAGTCTGGCAGCAGAGGATGCAACTAATTGAAGCAATAGAAAAGACGTCGCTGGTGGTTGCAGGCAAAAGATAGAAGGGGTCAATATTGTCGTGGGTTGCATTCTGAAATCCGGTCAAGTCCACGCACAGATCTCATTGTGGGTTTTAACACACAATACAGAGTAGTTCTTCCTCCAGAATGAACTTCCCTTCTTTGTATTTCTCGGTGGGTTCGTAGGCTTTGTCGTACTTCCATCCTACCGTCTCTTTGCATCCACGGCAGGTGATGTCGCGTACGATATGTCGACCTGTGGTCATGCTTCGTTCGACAGCATCGAGGGTTATGACGTTGACCACGTTATTGAAGAGGTATGCCTTGCCGTGTTGGCCGCGGAAGCTCTGTGAGGAGAGAATAGTTAGTCAGCGACACTTCAGTACATCAGGTTTTGTTATTAGTGTCGATCACTTACACGGCTGATAATATCGTTGTAATCTGCAAGATGAGCCTTGCAATTCTTACAGCCAAAGATCTTGTCGGCGTCCAGGTAGACGTTGTATGAGAGACCCATGGCGGCGGCTGTGTCGGATGGTTGCGATCGCTGATGGTTGATTGATGGGGAAAGAGGAAGAGAAAAAAACCGAGTGATGAGGCAAGGGGAATAAGCCGGATGAGAAATTTAAATGAGTCGATGTAAAACCACTAACAAACCAGTCTCACACCTCTGGTACGTTGGAGACCTCTTGAGATAACGTGGGGAAATGCAGACTCCCCCCGAGTATTTCGGCCAGTGTTCAGTCGGGACCTCGGAGTGCCCCACCCTCAGCTTCTTTGCAAGAGGATTGGGGCCTCTACTCTAGGCTTCAAACCTCCTGCTTCTTTGCCTCTGAACTTTTGTTGGGAAGCTTTTTTTTCTCAACTGTAGAGATGTAGGAGGATGTTGGAGAAGGTGTCGGTGACGCTCGGGTTGACGGGTTACTGACGATAAGGATCTCCGCACGATAAGGAAGATCAGAAGGCAGGAAAGGGTATTAAATTATTCACGGAATCACAGTGTAAGGAGGTATCTGGGTCTGAATAAATCGGTCGTTGATCTGCAGTTCAAGAGTGGTTTGGATTTAGACAAAAGAAAGTTGGATTCTTGAGATCACTAACATGAGGTCAGACAGGGCTGAGTTAACTTTCGAGTCTCGACTAATAGAAATCCACCTCAGGCCACAATCACCCCCGCACCATATGGCGTATGCATCTCTACCTAGGTATTTGTACTCCGTACGACTGAGCGGACTGTTCCCCGGGCCCCGGGCACACTCTGTGATCGTGTATACTAGAGATAAGTTACCCGTGGAATATATGCTAGTGTATCTCGGAATTTTCATGCAAAGCTTCAAGTTCAAATGTTCAAGTTTCAAGTTTCTTTTTCCGACAACCCAAGTCTAACGCTATACTCCGTACTTGGGTAGAATGAGAAGAGTCAAAAAAAGGGGAAAAAAATTATAGAAATCAACATTAAACTTTGGAATATTTTATCCATTTAGCTGATTAACTTGAACATTTGAAGAATCCAGTTTGGCGCAAAGCATGCATTCAATATTCTCTGTGTGTAATGGGCTACTAGTACATTCATCAAGTTAACTTTGCAAGAGAATCCAAAGAGAAAAAAAAAATATCGAACAAATTGCAAACATGCGTCGACAAAATCTCAAATAAGAAGTCTACATACCAAGCCACGAATATCGAACACACTGAGAAACACTAGGATACTAGTATGAGTTCTCAGTCGTTCAGACCACACTTCAATGCCATCCACGTCTGAGCATCATCTGGAGAAGAGTAGTTATGGCAGCCCTCAGTCGAATCATAGGAATCTTCTCCAATTGAAGTGCATACATCAGTGCTATACACGGTGCAAATGGCACCTGGTCCAACTACTATCCATGAAAGGGGCTCGGTCAGGGTTCCCTTGTCACATGTCGTGTAGATCTCCCCTCCCTCAGTGTACCACCCACATGAAACCCCTGTGCTTGAGTAAGTTGTGGTCAGATCGCTGATCACTAAGCACTCATCGCTCGAGGTATCCTCGTTATAACCCTGGAGCACGTAGTAATCACCGGCGCAGTCATTTTCACTATAAATAGCGATAGCCCACGAGGCTGTGTCTGTGGCGGAGGGAGCAGAACTGGTTGTTGTCTTCGCTGTTGCAAGACTAGCTCAGGAAGACCGGCTGGATAAGTAGTCAGAGGGGTAGTCGGATTGAACAGCAAAGTCGGCACTCAGAGTGAGGACATAACCGTCGCCTGTGTTCATGTCATAATCCTGGTCATCCATAGCAGCACATGCGCCTTCATCAGTAGACCAGACGGTGTCATCATCAGAATTTGAATTGAAGGTAATTTCAGCTGTACCGTTCGCAAACATCTCAAAGAGACCAGGGATAGCGATGCTTTGTCCAACATTAATGGGAGTCTCGGGTGCCAGCGGGAGGTGTGGATATATGTCTCCCAGTGCCTTCTGCACGTATAGGGCCATGCCATACAGAGACAAGCTTTCCGAGTTGCGAAGAGTCCAGTAACCTGGGTTGGTCCCCCCATTTTGCCAGTACCTTGGTCCAATGTGGACTGTAAGCTAAATAATCCCTTGTCGTCCCACTGGTCTCTTGGATTCGCAATTTCATATCGTGGATGGAAGGGTTTATTCCTCGATCAGCTTTCGATACCCAGTTAATATGCAATAGTTCATGAATCCAAGTTCCAGCTTGATTGGGCCAATACTTGTGCAAATCTGCATACCAATCCGCACCGAGTCCTTTGTCGGCAGTCCGCATGGCTTGGTCAAGAGTGTCCATGGCAAAGTACCCCGGGCAGAAGTTGATACGGGCAACTTTGTACTTAGCGTCCTCGTTCGAGGTATAGGCTAGTGGCTACAGCCTACTATCAGATTTGCCACTGCACTGGCAAAGCTGTGCCGGGTCATCACATCTGAAATCGAATTAGTGGGGGCTTCGGATTTTCAATATCTAGATATCAATCAAAGCAAGATAAAATGCAGGAGAAAGGAAGCCAAGAATATGTACCTCACAGCGAGTCGCCAGTCAAGTGGGGTTGTTATGTAGCCTTAAGTGTGTCAATTTGCAGTTTTGCCAATAGCAAGTTTTGAGCATCAGCTATACATACCTGGCTGGATTGTCGCAAGGTTCAGAAAAACGTCTTTGTAATGCGCTTGCTCATCCTGATTTAGGGCAGGTGGGCCCAAATATTCAATAGCAGCCCCCTCATTGAGGTTGATCAAGCCGTCATTGACCAGATCATACATGTAATTCATAATTTTCCAAGACTGTTGCCAGCCCCAGTATACCTGGTTCCATTGGTCATATGAGCAGCCATCAAAACCGATAATTCGAGTTGCAAGATCAGTGTAGTTGGCATCATACATGGTTCCAACCATACTGTAGTTACTGAGAGTTAGACCCTCAGCGAACGCCTCTATCGCTTCGGTGACATTCAAGCTGCCGTCAGTAGTGGTGATATCCTCGCTCTCGACGAAAGTGGCAAGATCCACGGCCCAGTCCACGGTGCCCAGGAAATTGTAACCCGCATATAGCGATATACGAGATGATTTTGTAGCATTCGACATATAAGCTACCCATGTGTCGTCGCCGTATAGCATCATATCGGAATCACTGCTGTCATCGTGCCAAAGTTCAACAGAACGTTTTGAAAGGGTATCTGTAGAATTATACTCCTCCAACTCGGCCTGGGAAATATAACCCGCTGTAGCAGTGCAATCACCCTCTGTTGCGGTGGAGTCTGGGCCAACAAAAAGGCATTCTGGTCCAGTACAGCTTGGGTCGTCCATGCCAAAGCTTCGACCATAACTCGCAATGCCAACAACCACTTTGTTAGCAGGAACACCAGCCTTAGTAATCATGGCCAGCGCATACTCCGTCTCAGTCAGATTAACATGAGAACGAAGGCAGTTTCCAGTTGGGCAGCCAGGGTTGACGAATGAATTGTTGTAGTCCCATTGTCCATGAAGGTCATATGTCATGTAGACAATATAATCGAGAACTTCAGACATATTGGCAACCGGAAATTCCTTCATATACCAGTAGGACGCTGGAGCAGCCATTGAGATAGACTTGTCGGATGGAAGAAGATCACGGAGAGTGGTTAAGAATTCCAAATAATTAGGACCATCTGTGGCATTTCCTGCGGGAATACCAGGAATATCAGGGGCGTCTGGGTACTCCCAGTCAAAGTCTACACCATCGTGATCATAGTCATTGACTGTGTCGACAACACTCTGTGCAAATGTAAGTCTGTTGGCATCGGAAACACCCTCTCGGAAGATCGGATATGAATCGAGACTGTCATTTGTATCAGCTGAAATCCCTACTCGACTCTTATAGGCAGATTCAAAGTTGCAAGTGAGATTTACTGACCTCGTTGAGAATGACCAAGCTCCAAATGAAAGGATCTTTTTGAAGGAGTTCATATTGACAAATTCGCTGAACTGGTCCTCAGAGGTCGACAGGTCCACTTGGTAGTCGTCGGTGACTCCACCAAATGCGAAGTGGATATGGGAATAGGAAGACGGTATTTGGCTTGCGTTCATATCAAGGCAGGGTCTGGACACTCCAAATGCCTCATAGTACCCAATATTGAAAAACTGGTCCGGGGCTTCATCATTGTTGGTAATTTCTGTTCCGCAGTTGGAAATACAACCATTGGAGTCAGTGGCAGCTGTACCAGGTGCACCCGTAGATGAATCTGTTGCAGTGCAGAAATCCGGTGTAATGCCGCATTCACCCCAAATATCGCACTACATCAATAGTTAGCAAACGGCTTCCGAGGGTGGTACGTTTTCAATAATATGATAAGCGCCCAAAAAGTGCAATGAATCAAAATAATGCAAGAAAGGTGAGGACCGAAAAAAGTGGAAGGAAAGCAAAGAAAGAAAAGACAATTGAGAGTAATGAAGGGCAGAGTCAGGAAGGGAGGGTGAAATGAGATAGAAATTGGGGAAATAATTGCTTACACAGGCGTTCAAAGGACATGGGTTCAACAAGCTGATATCAGACCAGTCGCTTGGTCGTACTGTGCCAGAAAGCTGTGGTCCACACTCAGCATTGGATATGATTGCGGGCATTGGAGGATCTCCAGTGCTCAGACAAATCGCAGCACCCAATTGCAAATCGTCGCAACCCATCCAACCCCAAGTCTCTGTGTTATACTCTTCAATTTCATCGACAGTAAGAGAATATTCTTGGGCAAGAAGACTGCAATAGTCACCGCTCTGAACCGTTTAGCTATAACAAAGACCATCGGACCCTTCTTGAGGAGAAAGATCAGGTAGATCTCCTGATGAACAGGAAATAGCTTGCCCAACCGCCAGGGTAGAGCAAAGTGTAGAGCTAGGATTATACTCGCTGAGCTCCGCCGCAGTAATACCACAACGAGTATCCAGGGTTCCGCAACTGTCACCAGAGACAACAAGAATATATGAGCATGTGGTGTCTCGAGTCTGGATCGAGGCACTCTGAGAATTCTGAACATCAACAACTTGAAGATTTGCAGAGGTTGTGGCAGGTATTGTCGCTATAGTGGTATTGCTATAAGCGACACTGTCGTAACCAGTAACACATGAGGCATTTGCCCAGCTCTGCATGGCTGACTGCAATACTTCGTAGTCACCAGTAGTACTGACAATGAGGCCCATGGTTTGAGATCCATCATACTCATTTCCGCAAACCTGGGCTGCAAATTGATCGGTCTGGGATGCAGCACTGGTAGCTCCGTACTTGATAACCTCTTGTAGAAGTAGATTGCCGGAGACAACAGTGTCTATACCGCTTCCAACATAAAGGCCAAGAACAACATCACCTTGGCTGCCAAAAATTATGGTTTTTTCTCCACATTCAGCAGCAGTTAGCTGAGACTGGAATGCATCAGCTATTTGCGAGATTTGCGACGCAGTAGCCGATGAGCTAGATACAGATTCCCAGGAAGCAAGCTGCAAACTGACGGAACTGGTATTTGTAGAATCGCATGTGGAAGAGTTTCGATAGAAAGGTCATCATCCACAGCTGCGGTACAAGCACGAATAGTAGTATGCGCATAGCCGAGCAAAAGAGGACTGAAAATATTGAAATCAAACAGCACAGTTTCTTCACAGATGTCGAGACGGTCAAAAGAATGATAAGTTGTCCAGTTCGTGGGCGACTGGTCTACAACTGAGCAGGACTGAGGACATCGCTGAATTTGAGCCTGAAATGAAGCAGCAGAAGTGAGAGCAATGAGCAGATTGCTCAAAGCAAGCCACTTTCTTAGTGGTAGACCACTCATCTTCGACTCGATATGTGTTTCAAGTTTTCATGACTGGGAACTCTAGAACGTCTTATATAGTCCCAAAAACTCATGCTCCTCATATAAACTATGCCGTGTTGGGCCCATGTATCGCATCAGAATCGGAAGCTCCGATTTTTCTATTTCGCCAGTGCCATGCTACACTTTCGCCTCATATCCCTGCATGTTGATGGCAAGCCATTCCAGAGCTAAGTAGGGAATATACCACCTTGAATGGAGATAGAGCTACTTACAGCCATGTGCATATTGTTAGCGTGCCAACAAGTGAAGACTCAAGGGACTACCACCTTATGATTGGTGAAAGAAAAGCACTTCCCACTACCGGAACAAGTGATTATTATGCCGGCAATTTCGGAAGATTAGAATGTGTCAAATACTGCTAAACTAGTGCGGTAATTTCAGGGACGTGCGTGCTCGTAACAGCAATGAATATGGAAGCTTTACGGCTCACAAGTATCTTAAATTTACACAATTGAAAATTCCCAAACACGCTAAGCAGCAACATTAATGATTGAGCTGATGCTGAAAGCAACCTTGGAACTGTCGAGGGGCCACGAGTCCCCCATCCAAATCGACGAACCACATGTGCATTGAATCCAAAGTCCCGGGCCGCGACTTAAAAGAGCCTCAGATCCCGAATACGAGATCCCAAAAACGCCAAGACTGCTAATGTTAGCAGTAAGAGTCACCGTACCTCTAAGTCACAGAGTCACGACATCAAATTGCATAACTCAAACCACCTTCTTCTTCTGGATAGTTAGAATCCTCTTTTCCGCACGCTGAGTGAACACAGAACATACGGAGTACATACGCAAACCTTGAAAGCTGCTACGGTGCCCCAGGTGCCAGTAGACGGCCCCGGCCCTGGGGCTTGGCAATTTAGCTTAGTAGTTCTTGGCACGCTATCTTAGTTCAAGTTTACATATCTTAGGATTGTTGAGACGAACTAGAAACATTGATTTGAAGACGGCACCTGGGCAAGCGGAGACTAGTAAATACCTAGTACTAGACTCGGGCCCCAGTAAATTCAATTTGAGTCACGGATCAAGCACTTGAGTTATCATCTCCGAGTCGCGCACACACTGGCCTGCACATACACCTGGGCATCTGGGCACTGGGCCATGTTCTAGGGTCTGGTTTCTTTACTAGCAGTTACTTATATTTGCTCTCTCAAAGCCAAGCTGCGGTTCATACATACTAGCCCAATTGGTCAACACAGAAAAACGTACCTTCTGTCCTCAGCTGAAAATGAATCCTCTATAGTACATAGAAGAATTTTCTGTCAGTGTGTGTGGTCCTAGGTCAAGTTATGACTGATAAAGAATACAGAATAAGTACTAAAAAGGTGGTCGACTCATAATGAATCACAAACTGCTGGGCCGACACAATCTAATTTGGGGTAGGATGGGAAGTAATTTCCACACATGGTGCATGTGTGAATTAGTGTGATCTAGCTGCCCCCTAAGGCAGGGGTCTTCAGGGTCTCAGGGTCCTTAATAGGATGAGGTGCACGCTAATGAATTACAGAACAATACCGTCAATACAACCCCGGACCCGGGGGGGGGGGGGGCCGTAGACTCCCGGGGGCCTTGACATGCCGAGAGTGAGCAATGCCCCTTTCTCTCTGGTCAAAAGGCCTCTTCAAATTCGAGAACTGAAGTTTTTCTATTCGGCAATATGGAGCACTGTGTCCATGGTGACCTTTAGTTGCGTGGATTAGGTGATCAACGTTGCCTAAGCTAGTGGTCCTGTTTCCACGACCCATGCTCACCTGCCCATGAAGTATCTTGCTGCCGCACATCACGACCCCGCTTCTACTCTGAATCTACTCTGAAGCAACTTCTACGATGACAGTAAAAATGAGAGAGAAAATCGCACGACCAATCGAGACATCACCTCTGCTGAAAGTGCATGCCGCACCGCAACAGAACCAGTACTCATACTACATACTCTATTTACTGCTTGCTGTGGTGACCCTTTTCACAATCTCATCGGTACTCTTACCACAAATACCCTCTATCTGGTCTTATATGTCCTGGCAGTATTCGTTACCTCCTGCATCTTGGCCAGAAAGTAGCGGAATCACTTATGACCAACTCCAAAAGATCCTCTTGGATACTCCTAATAGCGACAAGGTCCGTGAGTGGAGCTCTTACTACACGTCCGGGCCCCACCTAGCCGGCAAAAATTACAGCCAGGCTCTCTGGACGCTGAGCTTATGGAAAGAGTTTGGTGTGGAGGACACGACCCTCAAAACATATGATGTTTACTTGAATTATCCAGTTGGTCATCGTTTGGCTCTAATTGATGATTCTTCCTCAGCTGTTATCTTTGAAGCCACTTTGAAGGAAGATGTGCTTGAAGAAGATCCTACAACTGGTCTACCAAAGCACGTTCCTGCTTTCCATGCATACTCAGCTTCTGGGAATGTGAATGCTCGATTTGTTTATGTAAACTTCGGCACATATGAAGATTTCAAAGATCTGGATAGGGCCGGTATCTTGTTGGAGGGTACAATTGCCATTGCAAAATACGGTCGCATAGCCTGCGGGTTGAAAATAAAGGCCGCTCAGGAGTTTGGTATTGTCGGTGTTGTCATCTATAACGATCCACAAGATGACGGAGAGGTTACTGAGGATAACGGTTATAAGGCCTATCCCCACGGACCTGCACGAAATCCTAGTGCTATCCAGAGGCATAACGCTCGATTCCTAAGTACAGATGTTTCTTTGCGTCCAAAGATAGTATAGATAACTAATAACTGACTATAGATGTTCTTCCTGGTGACCCAACAACCCCTGAATGTGTATCTAAGCCTGGATGTGAGCGACAAGAGACCCGAGATTCAATGCCAACCATCCCTTCTCTTCCTGTATCATACAAGGAGATTCTGCCGTTTTTGAAGGCCTTGAATGGTCGTGGACCTAGAGCAGAAACCTTCGGTGATAGTTGGAAAGGTGGTCTAGGTTATAAAGATGTTGAATATAACATTGGACCTTCTCCCGAAAACTTGGTTATCAACTTGGTTAACGAACAAAATTACCAGGTGACTCCGATTTGGAATGTCATCGGTGTCATTGAAGGTCATACTGACGAAGTCGTCATTCTTGGCAATCATCGTGATGCATGGGGTGCTGGAGGTGCCGGTGATCCTAACAGCGGGTCTGCCGTATTGAATGAAGTTGTGCGGAGCTTCGGTGAAGCTTTGAAATTTGGATGGAAGCCTCTTCGTACTATCGTCTTTGGTAGCTGGGATGGTGGGGAATACGGCCTACTTGGTTCCACTGAGTGGGTTAAAGATAACTTTCCTTGGATCTCAGAGACTAATATTGCGTACTTGAACGTTGATATGGCCGTGACTGGTACTGTCTTCGAGGCTCGTGCATCCCCTTTGCTAGAGAAGGCTATCCGAGAGACCATTGCTGTGATTCAGGACCAAGAGAAGATAATCTGTGACTGGGGCAGTAAAATTGAGGGTCCGAGTTGTCTGAAAGACCTTCTCGCATTCCAACATTTTGCAGGAGTGCCTAGTATGGATTTTGGATTCCGTCGTGCATCTACTGACCCTGTCCATCATTCGCACTCCAGCTATGACAGTCTTGCATGGATGGAAAAATTCGGCGACCATGACTGGACTTACCATTTATTATGTGCTAAGCTATGGGCACTGGTAGCTGCACGACTCATCGATTCACCGTTGATTCCCTTCAGCGCTCGGGATCATGCCTTGCATTTATATTCAGCCTTCAACCGAATCAAAGAACAATACCCACCCGGTGACCCTTATCTCCATTTCGCACTTCTCCATCAGGCTATGGATGCTTACTTCGGCGAGGCTCGCGAATTTGACTATTTCACAGTCGGCCTCGCGGAGCGCCTTAGAGAAGTGCCCATTCCTTGGTATAAATGGTGGACTAAGGTTCTCGAATTTAATACAGTCCGCAGAGCGAATGAAAGGTACAAGGCTCTTGAGCGAGCATTCCTTTATCTGCCTGGTCTTGACGGCCGTAACTGGTTTAAGCACGTCGCATTTGCCCCAGACAGGTGGACTGGTAATTCAACAACCTTACCTGGACTATTGGAGAGTCTTGAAGATGGTGACTACGATAATATTAAGGTATTTCTTTCATTCTCGATTCGAAGATCTCACGCTCACTTGATTTTTCACTTATTAGAAATGGGACTGGATTATTCAAAAAAGGCTGAAGGTTGCCGAACGCCTCATGGCATTGAATGTCTAATTCTACTGTGGAACTTTGCAGTCATACACATTTTTACACCTGGCATATACTACTCTTGTTTCAGGCTACCACTATGTTCTCTTTCAAGGTTGAATACGAAAGGATTTGGGGTCAGCTTATCACCTGGTTATACTACAAATACGATGACGCATTAGAGAAACCTATGTGAAATCAAAGATCTGCATCTAATTTTGGGGTAATGACAATAATAAAATTCCCTGTACAAAACAAAGCGCCAGTCAAATGTGCTCCTACATGCTCGTCCATATCAAAACAGTCGAGATGGAGCCTCGACAAAAGACCCTTCTAAAATATTTCACTCGTAATCCTTAACATAACGACCAGGGAGCTCAACATCCCACAAAGGTCGCTCAATAACCGCAACTTCCAGGTTTCCTTCTGGCTGGTCGCCTGACAGGGAGTTGAGTGGAACAATACCGAGAATATCACGGTACTTGTAAGTGTGCCACCACCTCCGTGCAGGCTGGTTCGAGTCTCCAGAAGCCACAACAAGTTGTTGCTTTTTGGGTGTGTCACCGAGTCCATTGACAGGGGCTGATTTGTCCTTGGAACTAGACTGTGCAGCTCCGTCCGCTCCGTCTCCACGTCGGAGACGAGCGAGAGTGGTCTCGTTACCATTCGCGAAGGTCTCGTCATATTCATAAGCCTCATCGTCCTCGCCTGGAACACGCGGACGCTCCTGGTCTAGCGAGATCCACTCGCCTTGGGACTCGTCACTGCCGACGATCTTGCGAATCTTGGTTCCAAGGTGAATATCCATCTGCGAACGAGCCATCCGGTCACCAGCACCACTGTTGGGCTTCTTGCGGTCATTATCGCCATCCTCGAGGGGATCGCGCTTGCGCTTTGAGGTCTGGACAAGTTGGCCTGAGGGTTTGCTCTCAGCTTCGATTTCTTCGGGAGTTGGGAAATCTTGTAAGAGATCGAACATCCACAGCCAGGAAGTTCCGTACAACCAAAGACGCTCGCGGCCCTCGAATACATCCCACATGCAGCCCATGGCACGGTCTTTCACGCCTCGGAACTCGGCGGGGAGGTAGGCCTTGGGGTTGCGGCGTGACCAGTCTGAAAGCTTGCCGCTGAGAGCCTCAAACTCGATGAGCTGGTGCTCGCTGGTGAGAACCATTAGTCTGTCCTCTCCGGTTGTCTGGGTGGTGCTTTGAGGGCGGAATGACAGAAGGGTAATGCCGGACTTCATTCGAGGAATCGGGGACTCGGAAGCAGCTGTGCTCCAGCGCTCTCCCTCAATCGCAATATCTTCATCTTCATCGTCAGAGGAGTCGTCATCAGAGTCAGAGGCTCCGTTGCTCTTGGCTTGTCCATTGGTATTAGATTCAGTAGCAGCACTCAATGCCCAGGTATCCACACAACCAGACAGATCTCCTGTGGCCAGAACCTTGCTGTCATTGGAGAAGACGGCAGTTCGAATAGCCCTCTCGTAGTCACCCAAAGTACCATGCGAAGCCTTCTCGTGTCGTACGTGACGTGGAGCACGCTTGAGGCGAGCAAGACGCTCTAATACTTGGGGTTTTTCGGATGTGGCAGAAGCAGGTTGAACTCTGGCCATGTAGACGTCGCTGTTGGGGCGAATAATCGAGAGCCAGCGACTATCAGGGGAGATGGTCACCAAGCGTGCACCCTCTGCAGAGAGTGCCTTGGGGACATCAACCTTCTGTATGCGCAGACCTCCCTTCTCGTCGCTCTTGCGTCGGCGAACGGCAAACATCTTCACGTCTGAGACGGTCGCAACGACAAGAATCTTTCCATCGGAGGAAAGCACGGCTGATGTGATATTTTCTTCGCCCTAAGTAGAGTTAATGTTAGTGAAATTCAACCTCCAGTTGAAGCTAAGATTGCATTCTTACCTGAACCATAACCTTGGCAACCAGTCTATGCCTTTGGCCTTCAATATTCTCATGGACGGAGGTCGGGCCTCTAGACACACGCCAAAGACTGATTTCTCTGTCCCAGAAGCTCATGACCAAACGAGAGGCGGGTGAGGAAGTAAGTTGAGGAATTTGAGGCAGGTTGGAGAGCTTGCGGTGGTGTTCCTTTCCGAATTCACGAAGGGGCAAGACGATAGGCGTAGCATCGGGTCCTGCAAACATAGAAATTAGTGACTGAGTGGTTAGGGTTTGATGCACAAAAAGACATACCTCCTGACACGGCAATGCTGATATCCTTAGTCTCGTAAACGGCAAAAGTCTTGACATCGTGTGAGTGGTATCGTCGATGCATGAGCTCTGCCCAGCGAGACTTCTTATCACCCTTCTCTCCATCCTGCTTGCGGTAGACGACGGTTCTCTGGTCAGCACCACCACTGATCACAGTATCACCGTTCGAGCTGACAGCCACATCCAACACATCTGCCAAGTGGCTCTGTATCCGTTGAATGAGGGAGTAGTTCTTGGCATCCCAGAATCGAATTTCACCTGCTGAGTCTCCAGAAACAATGGTGCCATCAGGAAGACACTTGACTGACCAAACCAGCAGTTCCTTAGGTCCACCAGTAGGTCCCTTACCGAGCGATATCGTCCTCAACTGCTGTCCATTGCGAATATCAAACAAGCGAATAGAGCTATCAGCGTAGCCCGCAACGATAGTATGACGGTTCTGGAAGGTAACGCTGAGCACTCGAGCTCGCTTCGTGGAAGGGCGCATCAAGCGCAAGAACTTCAGATCATTATCGGCAGTAGACAGAATGACAATTGAGCCATCTGCACAACCCGCAGCAAGGTGCTGGCCAGTGTACTCTCCCTCAGCAGGAGGCAGGAATTTTCCATCCTTGCCTCGCTTTGTAGGCTGCCACCTTGGCTGAGCAGCAAGACACCAGATTTCGCCGTAGTTTCCACTGGAGTGACGCAACGGACGTCCTTGCTCGAGATCCCACTCGGTGACAGCTGTAGAGTAGCCAATACTGAACAGACGCAGCTGACCGGGCTGCTTGGAGCCATCGGGCCCGTCCTCAGAAGGATCCAATGTCCAAGCAAGACCTTCAATACTGCGATCTCTGCCTCCGCGCAGAACCGACTCCTGGAACCATGCGCCGCGCATAGGATTCCATATCTCGATATCGCCGTTTGCACGACCGATTGCGAGTCGAAGGGTAGGCACGCCGCGTCCGGCAAGATCGGCGGATGGTGGATGGGAGAAAGCAAGCGAATTGATCGCCTGGGGGTTGTAGGAAACGAATCGACAACGGTGGATATCCATGATTAAAACTTTTGGGCTTCGAAGCCGAGGCGCTCTTCAGATCGACGATGGAAAGTGAACGAGGAGAAACAATAAATAATCAAGTGACAGGAGTTCAGTTCAAATAATACTCCAGCTCAGGCTTCAATGAGAGCCCTTACACATTCATCTCGAACACACAATGGGGGAATAACAGGCGGTGTTGAAGCTGATCGTCTAATGCGCGACCACTTTTTTTTCTGTAGATAAAATTTAGCGGGCCGGAATATCTTGGCAGATTGTATCAGGTCATGTGATATTGAAGCCTTAAGTGTGAGGCGTCTAATCCAGTTGACGGGTCCAGGCTATATAAGATGCTTGGAAAATTATTTTGCGTTGATATGGTGATTTATTTATTCAATCCTGCTAATTTATTTCGATCATACTCAAATGTTTCATTCCTTATGCAGAAATCAATTTGTGATTTAGCTGCTTGATCTCTCGGCTATGTTAGTATTTCGACTTGCGGGTAGACTGAGCATCATCAATCAAGTCATCCAAGTTCAAATGTTCAAGTTATCAGTTGGGGTTTTTCCTGGCAGCCAGGCCTAGAATTTCATACAGTATCATGACCGTTGTATCGTTTTAATTCATGTATTCCAAAAGAACAATACGCTGACGAAGACAATGTGAGAGAAACGATAGGCCTGGGTTCAATCTTTCGCTTGCAGCAGCAGAAGCAAGAAAGCAGGATTTCAAATAATTTAATTGGTGATAGGCAGTCAACAGAGTAATCAGTTCGCTGTGGGAGTGCCTGGGGGCTTGCAGATCAGGGCGTCGAGTAGTTCATCGTTATGCTGGGATACAGATTAGGAGGATGGTTCAGCGGCGCCATTGGATATCTGAGCGCAATTTTAGCGTGCCACTTCGAATAAGTTGGGCGACAAACTCCTATCTTGGGCGTCAGAAATAAACTTGGGGGGGCTTCATTGTGTGTTATGAAAGCAAATGTCAGGTCGGCAAAGAAAATGAAGGAGGGGTAGGGCGTCCTGTCATGCCAGAAGTAAGGAATTCGATAGCGACCATCAATGGCCTGTACAATGAGCATGGTTTATGCGACAGGTTGAGCTGAACGCTTAAACATTCACAAGTGTGTGGCTCCTAGCCAATCCTCTAGTGCAATTCGCGACCGGCTTGATGATTCCATTTTAGGTTGCTTTAATTGCATGCAGGCTCTAGCCACCAGCGAGGTGCCACGTCAGAAGCAACCCCATTCGTGGGTGCTTTGACAAAAGTGTGGCTGATCAACCCTGATTCATGCATTTTCTTATGTATCAGATTGCAGAGCCAGTCGGGCGATTCGGGACTCTGATAGGACATGCTGTATCAAGTTAATGGAAATGGCCCGCGTCCGATTGTCCCTGCCAGAGATCGGTGGACAGCAGGAAACAAGCAAGGCAGAAGTTGACGGGATGTCTTTTTTGGATTTGATTGGCTCATTCGAAAGTAGTCTTGCATGAAAGGCGGGGATACTACCTCGGACTATCGTGTCCACACAAGCTGCTTCCTTCGGAGGGGGTTGCGCATTCAACTACGTCGTGCCGAACCAAGGATCGAGTCCAAGTTCAACCCCGACTGGATGCCGCAATGAAAACCAAGTTGATGCGATAGTGGCTGTGGACTGACTTGAATGGATTGAATTTGATTTGGTGTGGGTGCTGCGGGGTGATCCTTCAACCCCCCAGTCAGCACGGGCTCGGACGCCGCACTAGGAGTCAACAGCTCGCCACCAGTTGTCCAGTCATCCGATAAGCACTAGGATTTCGGCATTATGCTTCAGGTCTTGTTGTTCATGTGGAATATCCATGGCGTTCTATAGTTGACTGCACAGTTTGGCAGGTTGAACTCAATTCAGAGACATCTCGTATGCTGCCTGGGAGTTAAATTGCAAGATCCACATTTCAGGCTGAGCTGGGCCACGATCTCATCTGGGATCCCCGAGCTCCCCGCTGGGAAGGGATCTCTTGTGGACGGCTCGCAAGCGATTCGTATTAGGGCTTCATTATAACCAGTTGCCGATCGAACGCGTATCAATTAAGCCACGGAAATTTTCATGAATGATCGCGTGCTTTAAGGTTAGATCTGGGGGGCAAAAAGGTGGTCAAACTCAAGAGGTAGATTAGTGAACTTTGAATCCGGTTTGGAGATCCCATTTAATCTCATCTTGCCGTGGTGATCCAGATCTAGCCTGAACAAGAAACGGAGAAGGTGGGAAGGGCTCCAGGTCCAGGGTTTGGAGTTCGTTCCATCGGTACCGAGGGGGATCCTGATCGGCATTAATATAAACGCAATGTCAGTGCTTGACGCGATGGTCGAATGAACACGCGTAGAGACAAAGACTGGGATTCGCGCCAAGATGAAATCAAATTCTCTCCAAGCCCCCCCGGTTATACGGACAGTGGCCGAGCCGCAGATGCATGTCTACGTACGACTGTGTGCCACTGGCATCATTGATTGTAAACCTGGCAGGGGTGCATGTCTTGATCGTCCTTTATGTATCTCTTGCAATTAATTTTGCAAGAATAGAACAGATCAATCCTTCGGAGTTGACCATGACGGCATTAAATTCGAGCCGAGGTCGCAGAGGCACTAACCCGTATATGGAAGGTATTGGGCGCCCCCAAATTCAGGTTATTCAGTACATCCTTGTACCTCCTAACCTTTTATAGGCATATACGGAGTAAAAGGTATGTCACATAGTGATAGAGATGCATCGCAACGTGTTCGCTCCACTCTTTAATCCCACAATTCAATTTATCCCTTTTGAGATGTACTTAAGTAATCCGTACTCAGTAACTACACAGTACTATACAGAAACCTTCAAAGTGGATCGTCTGTTCATTACACGGGTAACCTCCACTCTGTTTCTTGCTCTAATCCAGTTTCAGTTTAGCCGCGTACTAGCCTTACTGCTCCAATTGTCTTTCACCAAGGCTTGAATCTTCCAAATTTGACAAGGAGAGAGTGATTCAAGAGTGGTACCCATATCTCTCTGAGGTGCTTGCTACGGATTGTGTTCTCCACGGAATTCCTAGTATCAACATGTGACGACTCAGTAGATTGGATCAATGGCAATATGCAAAGAAAAGGGGCGGGGAAAAGGAGGTCAAAAAATACCCTAAGTCCATGGTTGAGCCTCCACAGACCCATCGTAAACCCGGACCTTGCCCAAAGAGGTCCTATTGTCTTGTCCTTTTGATTCGCGTTGCTAATTAGCACCACCCTTATTCGCGGTGGGGGTCCACGCGAAGATTTTGCCAATAACTCCAACCTGACGCGGAATTTGATGAGTCGTGTTGGAGAGCTCTAATTCTATGTAGTATGTTGACTAGTAGATCCATATCTCCCAAAGTAAATAGGACTGTGTGGTCAATTCGGATGTACGTTATGGTATACCTGGATCCATATTAATCCTAAAATTCGATTCGCAAAGCCAAGTTACTGTGATGCAAGCCTGACGCACCTTGTCCACGACCCCAGAACCACATTGAATTTAAGGAAGCCCAGAAATGAAAATATTCAATGTGGTGGGGGGTTTCCACTCCGCACTGCATGTAAGAAAAAAAAACCTCAGGATGCAGCACACTCCGCAGAGGGGCAGGCAGAAATTTTCTCACCGGTCAAGTCGCCAGTTCACGATCAAGTAGATTTCAAGATTGGACCGATACAATATTGAACTATGTACGAATCAACTCTCAACAATGAACGGTAAAAAAATCCGTATTTACTGCTTACTAGTTGCCTTCAGAAGGTACATGCCGCGGCTATCTCGTATAAACTATTATTATAAAGACTATTTATATCGACTATTTCTACATAGCCTCTCAATAGGCATCATAGACTTCAACTTTACAGGAGCCGAGAAGCCGACCTCACATTTTGTGCGTACGGTACCCGCTTCTTCCGGTCAATTCCTTGCCACTTCGTTTTTTCAACGGTAAAACCAGTGGAGTGAAAAGCGTCAACAATGGCGGGGCGGAGAGTACAGAAACTTCAATACTTCTCCGCCGAATCAATACTCCATACTGTACGCTTATGGTCTTTTCTAGAACCTCAAAGTTTTTTCACTCGGATTTCGCTTTTCTCGTCTTTACCGTGGTTTCTACACCCGGCACGGCCCTGCTTGATAACCGTCATTCATATTGTGGAGCTGAAAACATTTGACCCGAGGGAATTCCGTGGTTGGGATGGTTAAGAATGATATTTACGAGGATCCGTGAGATGAAAAGTTTCAAGGTTTGGAAGTATACGACCAATCGTCCATACATACAATACCATCCCATGATTTCACGACTTCAAGTTGAGTCAACTGGTTGCAGTATGAAAGTTGGGGATCTAGGTAGCAGCAATAGGTCATTAGCAACTCCAAGTTCAATGTGGTCCAGAGTCAACTGGTATGCCATTGATAGGCACTGTCACTGGCAGTTATGACTACACACCAACTTGAAGTCAGGTCCTTTGTCAACTGGTACATATTGAATGCTCGGATATTTTCTTACTTCTGAACAGACAACTTCCAGCTTGAACTTCCACCTTTGATACATATGTACTATCTATTACTAGAAACTAGTATATATGATGCATAGTATGTTAGGTATACGTCCAAGGTTGGCCGTCGAGCTTGAAGACTCGGACTCATCACATGTGCAAGCCCGGATCTTAGCCGGGCGTTGACATGATGATGTATCCACACCCTTGATTGATTGGTAAAGACATCGACATCGATGTATCATACACTGGCAGCAGACAAACCACCAATGCAATGGATCAAACAAACCCTGCATGCAGTAGATCAGATGAATGCACGGGTCCGAAACTCTATACCGAAATGCCGACACCACGAATCAAGGTGAACTCATTGAATCATGCGATACATGGACATCTGGATATGTATATTCTCCCTTCAAATCTTGATTAAGATGACATAGTTGACACAGGTGCCAGTAATCAACGTGGAGAATCTACGTATTCATTATCCAAGG